TAATATTCTCTATACCCTAAGTATATTACTTAGTTAGGTTAAGGATTTTCCCTCTAATATAGCTAAGCCTCCTATACTAAAGTCTAGTTATAGCTGTAGGATTAGTAATAGCTAGAGCTATAATGTACTGTACAGATCTTAAGGTCTGTTTATTAGGGGCTAGGAATTAGACTCCCTAAAGGATATCTACATCTAGGATTTAAGTAACTTAACTAATTATCTTGCTATCCTTAATAAGATCTACAGAATACTAGTACTAGGTAATATTAGCTTTGCGCTTAAGCCTGCCCTTAGACACTAGATTACAGTATAAGTATAGTAAGTATAGCGCACCTGTAAGTTTGATTATAGTACTAACTCCTTTCTTAGTAGTAAGGTGAAGTTTAACAGTACCCTTATATATATAGCTTAACTTTCTAACTGCTTAAGAGAAGTTTATAGGCGCTTTTAAGCGCTCTATGCTCTTAAACTATAATTTCTTATTAAAGAAATAATACGAAGTTCTAGAATTAAATATAATACTATTAGATGTAAGGCCTTTCTGCCTAGTACTAGCTGTAGTAACTACTATACTAGATATGCTAGAATCCTCACTTTTACTAATTATCTCTAGATTAGAGTTGTTATCTTAAAGCGCTATAGTAGCGCTCTTCTTGTAGCTAGATCTCCCTCTACTCTTAGAGGATCTGTCCTTATTACTGTTCTTATTAGATTTCTTATTCTTTTTCTAGGTATCTTGCCTATTCTTAGCTACCTACTACTCTAGGGCTTTCTTAGGGTAAGCTATCTAGCAGTTCTTAGGGCTATATTTACCCTTCCTATACTCTTTATAAGTTTTATTACTTACTCCTACTACTCTAGTAGGCCTTCTAAGTCCGGGTTAAGATAGTAGAGCCCTCTTAGCTCTTAGGCTAGAAATTAATTATTCTAAGGTATAGTTCTTAGGCCTATAGGCCTGCCTCTATATTCTTATCTATTCTAAGTATTTTATTCCTCCTTAGAAGATAAGGTTAATATATATATTAGGGAGTTAAATATCAAGAGGTAAGTATAAATATGCAGCACAGTACTGCTTAGTAGCAGTTTTATACTTTTACAAATTCTTCTAAAATACTTTATAGAATACTAGGGTGTTCCCCTTAATTAGTCTTATAGTATATAAGGCCTTAATTGTATTATAGATATCTACTGTAATAATAGGCTTATATATTAAAGCTACAGTCTTATACAGTTCCTTTACTGTTTTCCTTATTACTTTAAAGTCTAGTCTAATATTATTATCTAATCTTGAGCTAATAATACTATAGGTAATCCTGTCTTTCTTGTACTACTCTAGTAGCCTCTCCTAGTATTTATTTTTAGTAGTTATGTTTAGTGCTTAAGTCCTTGCTCTTTCGGCTACTTGTTCTCTAATAGGGACAGTAATTAGGAGTAATAGTTCTAGGGCTTCTAGTTTTAGCTTATATACTAACTATAGGATATCTTTAAAGATATATACTATATAATCCTTATTAATAAGAGTAGCCTTAAGTATGTCTCTCTATGCTTAAAAGGAGGCTCCCTTCTTAAGGATATACTTAATAGATTTCTCGCTTATTTAGGTCTCTATAGTAGAACAAGGTAGATTAGGTAGATATAAGGACAAGGGTACTATAGATTCTTAATTAGAGATAATCAAATAAGTATAGTTAAATTAATCTTAAGCGCCGGGCTTATAACCTGTTATGTAGCGGTTATTAGGCCTTCATAGATAATTAATTACGGGAGCAGGTATCTACAAGGACTGTGAATTCAGAAGATGTGGCCTTCTTGGCACTCACGTGATCCCCAGGCACAACAACATGCAGTCGCAGCATCCGTTTCGGGACTAGTGCGAATGTGATGTCATCGCTCTGTCACATGTCAACAAACTTGAACTGCAATTGCTGTTCAAAACCTAAAGCTGCCTTATTCCTTCAGAAAACAATCACCGTTCTCCTGCTTTCCAGATCAAGACGCCAGACTTCGCCCATCATGGCCGACCAACTCAAAGAGACGGCAAAGCACGAAGTCGAGCAAATCAAGAAGGTCGCCTCTGAGGGCGTGAGGTCGGGAGCATATGTCTATCCCATCAAGGCAAGTCGGAAGATCACTACTTCTTCAACACCAACTATGACAGCTAATGTTGTGTTCTAGGGCATCTTTTACCTCCTCTCCCACCGCGAACTCCGCAAACCGCTCTTCACCCGCCTCATCCCAACCCTCACCCTCGGCGCCGGCGTAACCAGTAGGTTCCCCTCGCCACCGTTCCCATATCAATTCCACTAACACCCCATCCCCCAGCTTTCATGTTTGCCTTTACCTACCTCCCCCAACTCGCAATCCTAGTCTTCACCTCCGGCCCCATCGCCGCATTGACAACAATCCTCCTCGTCCTCTCCGAATCCAGCACCCTAACCATGGTCCTCTCCAAAACGCTCCTAATCGAAGACGCCCTCATCGACACCTTCGACGCAACGCTCGTTGCCAAGGGCCACACGGCGCTCGTCGCCAAAGAACGCACCGTCAAGTCCTCTGCCATGGGCGACGCCTTCCAACGCCTGGGCGCTCTGGCGGGCAAGCCCTTTGCGAAGTTCACGCCCAAGGCTATCGTGCGGTATCTCATGTACCTCCCGCTCAACTTCATCCCCGTTGTGGGAACGGTCATGTTCGTCATCCTGCAGGGACGTCGCTACGGACCGCATGCGCACGCACGGTATTTCCAGCTGAAGGGCATGTCGAAGCCGCAGCAGCAGCGCTTTGTCGAGGAGCGGAAGGGTGCGTACACCGGGTTTGGTGTCCCGGCGGTGTTGTTGGAGATGGTGCCTGTGTTGGGCATCTTTGCGGCTTTTACGAATACTTGTGGGGCGGCGTTGTTTGCGGCGGATTTGGACAAGGGGGTGACCACCGCGGAGGGATTGAGGGAGACGGCTGAGGAGGCGACGAAGGTTGACTGAATCGTTATTCGACGGAGAGACTCAAGGTTAAGAAGCCACTTGTTTCTCCTTGGGTTTTGAGATTACCAAGCAGGCGGTGTACTTGAAGGATGATGCATCAAAGACAAGCCGAGAGAGATTACGGACGAAAATGAAGATGGAAATGAAAAACGCATTCAACCATTGATTTAATCATTGCATTGCATTTGTGGGTATCTCAGAGCCGACATGGCAACAGCCAGAAAGTCGCTTCTCGCCATTCATCCCAAAGCATCAAACATTCATCATGAAGGTGAACCTACACCCTGATAGCTGTGAGAGTGTACATGCACTCTACTGATCAGCATTCGTGTTGCAGGGACCACCTGGCATCAGATTGCATCTGTCAGGCTGACGCTTCTCGGCCTTGTTGTCAGGGGTTGCTGCAGGCTTAGAAGTGGTCGTCGAGGAGTTCGGCTTATCGCAGGCAGCGCCTGGGAAAGGAACGCAGTCAGGGCCCGGCGGAGACTTCTTGACCTTGTTGTCGGGGGATGGTGCAGGCTGTGGAGTGGTCGTCGAGGAGTTCGGCTTATCGCAGGGACCGCCTGGCATTGGATGACATTGACGCTTCTCGGGCTGGCTGTCGGGGGTCGAAGTAGTCAGAGCAGAGGTTGTCGTGGTTGACGAATGGGGCTTGTGGCACGGGAGGCCTGGGAGGAATCCGACGCACTGACGCTTCTTGTGCTTGTCGTCGTCATCGTCCTCTTCCTGCCACGGGATGATGGACTCGCCTTGAGCGTCGCGCTTGGTGGTGCCATCGTCGGCACGAGCAGCGACCTTGCGGCAGACGTTCTTGGGCATCTTCTGAGGAAAGGCCTTGCAATGAGTGTTGCAAATGTTGAAAGTCTGGGTGTGAGTGTCAGTCGAAGGCTTAAGTCTCGCAGGTCGGGTGTCATACCTGACGGTTGTGCTGCTCGCAGAGACAAGCGGCGGCGTCATTCTCGTTCATGCCGATGCAGATCGGGGTGACGGCCTGGTTGGTGGCGGTCTCCCAGCACGAGGCGCAGGCTATGAGGAAGTCAGTGGAGATTCGAGGTTGAATGTGAGGTGATGTGCGACTTACAGCGAGCGTCAGGCAGAGAAGCCTGGACGATCGGAGCTGCGAAGAGCAGCGCGAGAGATGCGACCTTCGCGGCGATGAGACCCGCCATTGCGAGTGTGGTGATGAAAGTGTGCGGATGTGGTGAGGAGAAGGTAGAGGATGTTGGGTAGGCGTAAAAGCGGTGGATAGCGTGCGAAAGTGTGACCGAGTGAGCGGATGTCGAAGGACTGCGGAGGAGGAGGACTTGAGGAGCGGCTTGAAATATGTCGCGGTGGTACGTGCGTTTTAAGCGAGCGCGGGCCGGTCACTACAGATTCCAAGCAAGGAAGGAACGAGTGAAGTTTGAAGTTGATCTGTTTCACATATTCCCAGCTGCCAGACACCACCTTCACGCGAAGTGGAATACATATTTGCTGGTTGGCGAAGGGTGGGAAGCCTCAGCGTGGGTGATTCAGTCGATATTGAATGTTGGAAGCTGGATGGCGGCGACGTTGACCTAGTGGAACGAACCGGCGAGACGAGGCAAGAAGCAGGTCTTGTGTTAGCGAACTTGCGGGTGTAGAACTGGAAGAATAGTGAAGATGGGCACCGGCCGAGTATCCCTGTGCTATAGTTGAAAAGCGAAGGAATGAGTTAGGGAAAAGCAGCACTGTCTTCCAAGCGTTGGGCGAGAAGATTTAATATGCTCGCGGAGTGGGAGCGTCGATTGAACGAACAGGAGAGGTGCCCAGGTTCAAAAACAATGGCTTTTTGCTGTGCGAGATGGGTATCACTTAAAAGAAGAGCAACTCTACCCTCCCCTCGCCTGATCCATAGCGCTCCTTCAACTCCGCCTTGTTCAGCAGCTGCACGAGTGGCACCTGCAACTCTTTCATGTCCAGAACACCACGCTTCTTCTGGTCAATGTGAGAAGCATCCATCACAATTCGCTCGAGGTGTTTTGTGGACAATGCGCCTGGAAGAAGTCAGCTGATGACCCAAGAACTCTGGTACCGGCAACTTACCATCCTCCAGCAGGTCGATCAACCGTTGCGGCGTACCCACACCGATTCCCATTCTCGTCTTTTTCGTCATCTCAGCCGCTTCTTTCAGCTTGATGTGCTTGGCGAACAGCTTCGCTACCATCGACTCCTTGGTCTGGAATTTGCGAAGAGCCCGAGCCAAGTCTGCAGCACGAAGTCCCGCGCCTGCGACGACAAGTGTATGTGGAGAGCCTGCCTCTTTCGGCGCATCTGATAGCTTGGCGCCCTTCTTCTTTATTCTCGACGGCGCGAACTTCTCGAGGAATGCTGGGAGGTTGTCGTTGGTCCGTTGTTTGTCGAAGGAGGTGGTGTCGGCGATTGCTTTGTCTGCAGTAGAAGTCAGAGGGACACGCTCTCTCACAAGATTGTATCATACGGACCAGAAATATGAATATCCTCAGCCTCCACCAGACTCAAATCTGGCTGAAATCGTCGAGTCCTCTGAGCAATGTGGTCCGCCATCAAGCGGCTGTCCATGTGTGCGATGGCATGATTGATCCCCAGTTTGGTATCCAGTGCCTCATCTTCAACATCTTGCGGCTTCTTCTTCGTCCTCTTCTTCTTCTTCGCTGCTTTCTTGTCCGCTAGCCCTTCCTCTTCATTTCCTTCTCTTTTTCTTTTTGAAGATTTCTTCGCGGCGGGCGGGGACCAATCGGACAGATCTTCGATCAAAGGAATGCCAACTTGGTCGTCGTCGGAGTCTGCCATCATTGGCATCGGTGAGATGAGGCTGTGATGTTGTCTTGAGTCGAGATGACCTTCTGCAAGTTCTGGTGAAGTCGCAAAGACCCATGAAAGGCTTAGCCAAAATTTAGTGGGGCGGTTGAAATTTCAGCCGGACGTCGTCCACCCCATCCTGGTCCATCACCTCCTTTCTGTCTACTCCTTCACAGACATCATATCAGCTTTGACTGCACACACGACTGAACATCAATGGTATCATGCAATATGCTCGACTCCGTTCGAAACCAGAAATACTGCAGCAGCTTCGAGATCGTGACAATTGCTCTACATCTGCCTCTCTAGGGACCGATCCCAGGAACATAATCTCGCACAACTACTTTGTCTTGCCCACCGTACCATGATCATGAATGTGGTTGCCAGCGACTTTCGAACCCGATAGTCAGTCCGGCGGAGAGGGCGAGCCTTGTGCAGCTCATCCACAGTGTGATGTGGAGCAACGACAGCCAGTGACCAAGTGCGAAAACTGCAGAACGGAGGCATTGTGTCCTACCTGTCCTAACCACATTCTATCTCCAAAAGTGATCACTTAGGGCCAGCGAAGATGCTCTGGCAATCTGGATGGACCTCGAGGTGAGCCAGCTCCGTCCCCGCCTTTCCAGCCACTCGGAAGCTGCTTACGGCTTGTCATTCGGGATCGTTACACAACATCAGCTTCGGATAGGGCCTCATTCCTCTGCTTAAGTATAACACGACCTCCAGATTCAGCCTTTATCATCTTCAAGTATCTGCTCTGGGCTGAGTCCTTCGAAACATCCACACCGCCAGAGACGCTCGTTTGACCATGCTGTTGCAGTTCATCATCTCTGGGTTGGGGCTGGCCTTCCTGGCTCGCGTCGTTTACGTGCTCTACTCGGAATGGAATTACCCTCTACGCGACGTCCCCGGCCCAATTGCCGCTCGCTTCACGCGATTGTGGTATTTCAATAGCATCTGGAAAGGCCAGGCACACCTGGAGAACATCTTACTCCACCGCAAGCATGCCAAACCTGGAGAGCACTATGCTCCTGTTGTCCGCTTGGGACCGAATCTGTACTCGATCACCTCGCCCGAAAAGAGTGTGTATGGTATCTCTTCAAAGATGCCCAAGAGCGATTGGTATGATGGCTGGAGGCACCCCAGTCCGGACAGATGGACCATGTTCCCAGATCGTGACATGAAGCGACATGCTGAGACGAGGAGAAAGTTCCAGTCCATGTACTCACTGTCAAGTCTACTGCATTATGAGAAGTTTTCAGATGACGTACAGGCCGTCTTTCAGAGGAGGCTGGACGAGATGGCAAACACTGGAATCACCGTCAACATGCACCATTGGCTTCAGTGCTACGCTTTCGATGTCATCGGCTGTATCACGTATGGCAGCCGGTTCGGGTTCCTCGATGAAGGAAAGGATATCGCGAATTGCATGGCCTCACTGAACTCCATGGCCTTATACTCTACCTTGGCTGGTGTGTATGCGTGGGCTCATCCATATATGTACAAAATTGCAGAGAAGCTACCAGGTTCTGGAGCCGCTGGCCGCAATTACATCATGAAGTTCGTTAGCAAACGCATGGAAGAGCGTGAGGCACAACGCAAGTCGGTCGAGAACGGAGAGAAGCCTCTCGCCGCGGACTCTGAAGACAAGACTCGTGACTTTCTGGATCTAGCCTTGGACGCGGAACATGACCCAGAGAAGGGTATGACTAGATACAACGTTTTCATGATGGGTCTTTCGAACATCATTGCCGGCAGTGACACTACGTCAACGGCTCTTAGTGGGATCCTATGGCATCTCACGTCGTATCCGGAATCACTGGCCAAGCTTAGGAAGGAGATTGACCAAGCAATTGAGGACGGGAAGATGTCCAAGGACTACATCTCTTTCAAAGAAAGCCAGAACCTGCCTTACCTACAAGCATGCATCAAGGAAGGCCTAAGAGTGTGTGGTGCAGCTGGCTTACCAATGTGGCGAGTTGTACCGAAAGGCGGCGCTGAAATCATGGGAAGATACTTCCCTGAGGGTAGTGAGATCGGCATTAACATGTGGACCGCGCATTACAACAAAGATGTCTGGGGTCCGGATGCTCTCAAGTTCAGGCCTGATAGATGGATCGAAGCGGAGAAGGATCCCGAACATTTGAAGCTGCTGGAGAGCAATTACATGCCTGTAAGTTCCACTTTACTACCCTCTTACATCAGACGGCTGACGCTCTCGTGAAAGTTCGGAAATGGCAGCAGGACCTGCATTGGGCGACATATCTCATACCTTGAGATCTCGAAAGTCGTGCCTATGATCGTTTCCAACTACGACTTTGAGCTGGCCAACCCGGCCAATGAGCTGTTCACCTACAACTACTGGTTTGTGAAGCCAATGCCTGATGCGTTCAAGGTCGTTGTACGCAAAAGGGCGTGATTTCCATACCCTTCTCGTTCCGCTCAAAGTGGAACATATTGGACTGCCATCTCTCCGGCTTTTTACAAGCACTGCGCTGCTGATTGTACTCCAAGCTGCTTAGATGGCTTAGACGTAACGAGCATGAATATTCCACTTTGAGTGGGATACCAAGGGCAGATACCACAGAAGATGCTGATCAAGCATGCATAACCATATCATCGCCAATGCGAATCGTTTCGGGTGAACGCCTTAAATCCGATCACCAGATCCCAGATCCCAGCATTCAGCCTCGAGCACTTCCGTTTGTTAGCAAGCGCTTCCTTGCCACTGCACAAAGCGACTGATATTCGCTCGACAACAGCATGCCCAAAGCCAGGTTTTGTTATCCGGTCCCATGTCTCTCAGCTATGTTCGATCCTTCACGCGCGGCATGTGACGCGGAGGGCGCGGCCTGTCCGCTCGTGAGGACTCAACTGCCGAACACACAAATAGTTGTCGATCTCCTCACTGGCTTCCAATCCAACGATCAAGTCAATAAAGCCCAAAGTACTATACTCTCCACACCATCGCAGAGATACAGACATGTCGTTCTTCGGCCCATCATCTCCACCCAAAACCCGGCTAGGACTACACCAGATCTTGTCTTCAACAGCAGCTGTCAAAGTGTCCCCTCTAGCCCTGGGAGGAATCAGCATCGGCGACTCCTGGTCATCCGTCTTCGGCAAAAATGAAGAAGCCTTCAAACTCCTCGACGCCTACTTTGAAGAAGGCGGCAACTTCATCGACACGTCGAACGTGTACAACTCCGAGGACTCAGAACGACGTATCGGAGACTGGATGCACGAACGGGATGTTCGTGATCAGATGGTCATTGCGACGAAGTACACTGCTGGATACAAGTTCTATGATCGTGAGAGACTGCCGTTCCAATCGAATTATACCGGCAACTCGGCGAAGAGTATGCATATTTCTGTGAGAGATAGTCTGAAGAAGTTGAGGACTGATTATATTGACATTCTTTTCGTCCACTGGTGGGACTTTGGTACGAGCGTGGAGGAAGTCATGAAACATCTGCACGCTCTCGTGTTGGCGAGACAGGTTCTGTATCTGGGAATCTCCGACACACCAGCCTGGGTCGTCGTCAAAGCGAATGCCTTCGCCAAAGCCAACGGCCTCACACCCTTCAGCGTCTACCAAGGCAAATGGAACGCCGCTTTCCGGGACATGGAGGCAGAGATCATTCCCATGTGTCAAGATCAGGGGATGGCGATCATGCCCTGGGCCGCGCTGGGCGGAGGACAACTACTTTCCGCGGAGCAGCGGGAGAAGCTGAAAGAAGACGGTAATGCTTCAGGACGACAGGCGAACATCACCGAGAAAAACATCCGCGTCAGCAACGCCCTCGAGAAACTCGCCACCGCCAAGAACACCACCCTCCAAGCCGTCGCCCTGGCCTACCTCATCTCCCAATCGCCATACGTCGTGCCACTCGTAGGCGTGCAGACGGTCGAGCATGTCACAGCCATGTCCGCCACGCTGGACATTCGATTGACCGACGAGGATGTCAAGTCGATTCATGAGGCGAGCCCGTTCGATCCGCTGTTTCCCATGAGCTTCTTGTTCAATTTCAGGGGCGAACAGCCGTATCATCTGGGACTGACGGAGAGGGATAATCAGCAGTATCAGATGGCGGCGAGGATTGGGGGGCCGCCGAAGCAGAGGCCTTACTGAGGGGATGATTGAGAGTTTGGTTTACGATGAGCTTTCTGTGTTGCTCTTGAATATACCGTCGTGCGACTTGGACATAGACTTCATGGCCAGTGACGTCTTCTGGAAAAGCTCAATCGATTCATTCTCTTGAGGAATATTCTCGCTCTCTGCTCCTTGGGCTGAGACGGATGGCATTGCCACTATTAATGCGGTGGGGAAGACATTGTGGGAGGTAGATAAAAGGTACAACGACTGCCACTGAACATGTACAGTCGTGGCTTGGGCAGGGGGTGGTCAAGGATACTGGTATGTTGATTCAAGGCGGAAAGAAGGTCCAGGCATTGACATTGCCCTCGAGCAGTTCATGTGAGAAAGAAGTAACTGGACACAATGCATTTGAAGTTTCGTTGTCCTTGATCGATTGAATATGATATCGCCGTTCTGTAAATCCGTCCGACGTCTTGCCAGAGCCAAGCGGCCGCAAGTCCGCGGCCAAGTCCGCGTTTTGACAAGGACAAGGACTTCACCTCTACACAAAAGCATCAGAACCATCAACAACCAGCCGCTGCTAAGCTGAGAAGGGCAGATTTCGAGCCCAGAGATACAGAAAAATCGAGAGAAAGGCCATTTGAACAAGTAAACCCCCGTCCTAGACTATTGGGGTACCTGCCTCCGCGCTCATCTCCGCGCCCGCGCCCGCCCTCCGCCAGGCCAACAATGCAAGTGTCTTCGCCTAGAGCAGATCTCAGCTGTCTAGCCTGTCGGCGTCTCAAAAGACGCTGTGATAGGAAGACACCCTGTGCTCTGTGCTCCCGCGTAGGGAGAGCATGCACCTATCCGTCACCGGAGTCAACACCGCGAGGTCCACGATCAGGTTCGAGTGATGAGACTAATATCCAAGTGACATCGCAGCCTATATGTCGCTCACAGCCGCATCCGAGACCTGGGTTACCCGCGGCCTTCTTTCTGGATTCGGTGGCGTCGAGGGGAGTTGTTCCTACGTTACGCAACTCGCTGGAATGGGAGCATGTAGGGACTGATGTACCTGGACTTACGGTCTCGGAGGCGAGGGAGATTGCCAAGGTGCATTTCGAGACGACGCATTGCTGGTTCGGGATTATCTCGAAAGTACGACTGGACAGAAGACTAGTCGACAATGGTCCCATCAATGGTGCAGACACTACAGCGATGCTCTACGCCATGCAGCTCCTCGCCGAGCCGGAGTCAAGTACTCACGAGGTCTATCAAGCCGTAAAGGCAGCATTGGCACATTGTGAAAGCTACGGACAACTGTCTCTCGAATTCCTCGCCGCCAACATCTTGATCGCCGTGCACGAACTCAGCCAAGCGATCTTCCCAGCAGCATACCTCACTGTGGCAATGTGCAGTCGTTTATGCTATAGCATGGGCTGGCACGACAAGAGAAAAGCGACCCAACTCCTCCCGAAACCAGATACGTGGATCGAAGTCGAGGAACGACGGAGGCTGTGGTGGGCAGTGCTTCTACTCGATCGCTACACACATCTTGGACTTCGGTTTCGGCCGCTGGCAACGCTTCCGATACCTTCGGATGAGATCATTCCCGCTGGAGATGAGAGCTGGGATATCGGTGAGATGGCTGTGAATCCTCTGCTCGTGATGTCAATGACTGCAGCCGCTCCTGTCGCCCCTTTTGCGAGGACTTGTCAAGCGGCGCATTTACTCGGCCGTGCTTGTCAACATGTCAATGAGCATCCTTCCGCTGAAGATGCGGATCTGCATTTTCAGGAGGCATGGCAAATCTCGAAAGCCGCACAGGCCTTGAGTACGATCATCAACGACGAATCATCAGCTAGCGAGTCTCCAGATCGTTTCTACGCTGGAAGAGCCCTGTGCTACTCGGCTCTGATGCTCTTGTACGACGTCCACTCTTGCGTGGAAGTCGACGAAGTAGAAGCCTGTGGTGGCAATCGAGGACTGCGACTAGACCTCCAACAACTGGCGATAGACGGATCAAAAGAACTGGCGTATCAAGTCCACTCCTTCGCCATGGAGTTAGAACAAGCCCACACCATTAATCGAGGTTGTCTCAGCCCGCTGGTGATGTACTGCCTGTACTCTGCCTCGGGGACGTTTGCATGGTACGTCAGGGAGTCGGGGGATGAAAAGCGTTTGCGATGTCTGAATGATTTGAGACGGGTGCTGGGCTTGCTTCAGGAGAAGTGGCAGACGGCTGGTGAGTTACATTCAGCACTAAGAAAAGAGAACATCGCTGATTTGATCGTGAGCAGCCGAGTATTTGAGCCTCCTCGAGGGGACGGAATACACGTATGAAGGCGGCTGTAATCAATGAATGTCGCTTAGCGGGTGATACGGCTGTATGAAGAGCTATCTATGTACAGGCTTGGAGGATATCTCTAGTGATTCACCGTCGAGATCACTTAGCAATTGTAGTCTCACTCACATGACACCTCATCCGGGCATCATGACTTCGAAGTACGCCTCAGTTGGAGACTGACTTCTGGAGAACTGTTGCTGACGCCCGATGGTAACCTGTCATGAACGCCAGTTGCTGCACAGGAGGGATGACAGTTTAACCCTGAGACACCATTGGCTGCTCCGCCGCTCGTCACTTGGAACGATGTCACAGCACAAGGCGCAGTTTTTATGTCACGTTTGTGGTGATGCTTGATCTAGAGCATGTGAGGAATCTGGTGCCCGTCTCACGGGTTTAGAGCTTCACAACATCTCTGAGTGAAGTGACGGTGCCCCAAGCAAACACGTACGTACGGTATATATGCAACGGAACCAACAGCCTGCGCCTGCCTGCTGGCCAGCCTGAATCTGTCACCATAGGACAGTAGTTTTGGGTGTAGGTGACATCCGTCGAAATCCAGTCATATCGACGCCCAAGGGCGTCGTTTTTCCTGCTTCCCCTGGCCACTTTGTCCTCGACATGCTGGATGAAAGCGATTGTTTGCTGGACATTCGCACCGTGATACTATCGTACAGGCGCTTCAAGCAAGGCTGTGTTGTACTGCCTAATATGATGATAAGAAGGACAGACAGATGGCGGACGCAGCATGCTGGTCTCCAGTCCGATATCCCATATCATTGTCAACATATAGTTGGCTATTCTTGAGGGCCCTGGAACTCCGGTATTCGTGTACTTGATTGCAGCATGCCTTCCTCCAAACCTCGCTTGTATGTCGCTCTGCACCCCTGTGGCACCAACATCGATGAGAAGAATAAGTACGCAAGCTCCCCTGCACACGCAATCTTCCGTACAGGCTGAAAGCTTTGGACAGATACCGCTGGAGCTTTCTGGTAGGGCCGAAGAAGGAAAGCGCGAATCCGACGCCCGGCACGCGTTTCCGCGTCAAGAACAGCCCCAGCCGATGGGTGTACGAGGAAACGCATCTCAGCAATGTTCAAATGACCAAGCAATTGCTCGCGCGGATCCTCATCGCCAAAGTCGAAGACTACGAGCGGCTGGTGTCGATCCTGCGCAATGTGCCCATTGTGCAGGGCGATCCGAGTTGGAGGTGCTGGTCGTGGATTGCCAGTGCGTTGGAGATGTTGGAGAAAGACGGTAAGGCTGTGGGAACAGCTGAACTGAATTGGGACAAGATTGAGGCGAAGGGTAGGCAGTATGTGGCGCAAAAGACGGCGAACGGGCGTTATGAGGATGGAATCAACGTCTTGGAGAAACCGAGGCCGACATGGGATTTGATTGACAACAAGGAGACGATATCGTAGCGATCTTGGTAACTTCTATATTAGCCCGTCAGATATTAAGTGAGATGTGCCGTCTAGTCAGCATTCACACTTTCAATGTAAACAGCGCGTACCTCATTTACCATTCTCCCCACCATTTTTGCCGAGTTGTCTCCATTTCTCGCTCGGCAGGAAAGCTCTCCAGGAATTGATCCAGCACATCCTGCCATGTCTTTCTCAGGAAATTTCCATGCCACGCAGAGATATACTCCCAGTAATGCACGAACGAGTACGTTGGACGGATTCAAGTCAGCGTGGGTGAAGACAGGATCCGGCCAAGATCCATCTTGCATTGTCGCCATCTTCTTAATGGCCTCCCACTCGTCTTCTGTCAGCCGCTGATGCGTTCCCGACGGGCGAAACCCCTGTCGAAGCCAGGTATGAAAGTCTTGAATTGTGTTGAACGGCCCAAACTCTGGGTAGCGGGGGATTCGACTGTCGTAGAGACTACTGCCTGTGCAGCTCTCCACTCCAGTACCCAAGAGCGGTCTTAATGCTCTCAGCTGGTCCATGATGGCTCTTAAATGCGCGAGGAGTTTACGCCGCCTCTCTTCGGACAGATCGTTCCATACTGCAGAAATCTCGTCTCCTTGGATCCTTTCCATTAAGATGCACGCTTGATCTTTGTGCGTGAACGAACAGTACACCTTGGGAATGGGGAGTGATGTATGTTCTGAGAGGTATTTCATGGTTGCTGCTTCTGTCAAGCGGACTCGAAAGCCTGTCTTGACGATGAGGTGTTTGGAGATAGGGGTACAAAGACCGTCGGATTTGTGGAAGCGTCCCAGAGTTTGGAGGGCGATCTTTGTAAACAGTCGATAGAGGAAAGTGTCGTTGATCGTTGGCGTGTTGCTGTCAGCATATTCGTATTCAGCCTTCGGCGTCGATAGTGCCCCATCTTCCACGCTGAGACGAGTCACGGCCTATCGACAGCTCCAGAAATGTTGAGTGGCAGGGAATGGGTGACTTGTCAGTCCAGGTAGGTCTTCATGGTGAACAGTCAGAGCTTGCAGGAGCGAGGGGACAAGGAAAGCCCGCCAAGTGTCGCGCCAACGCGCTCAACAATGCTTGAGTAATCTTGAATGAGGTTTCTTGAGGTTTTGTTAGCTGTCGCCAGTGTCACATGCTAACACAGTAGATGTAGAAGGGGCCATGCGCATGTCGAAAGTCCAACAGAGAGCAAGCGCTGGAAGATGCTCACGGGAACTTGTGACAAGACATCAGCACACCTGTGATACATTACACCAACACAGCCAGCGACGTCAGCAGTGTCGCCGTATGTCACATGCAATATTGTGTTGCCATCGTGTCGCTTTGTTGAAAAAATTCGACAAATAGCAGCAATCCCCGCTGGAAAGGACATGCTGTTGGACGCTCAGGTTGCCTTGCTGACCTGGTAGCAACAACAAGATTCGGAGTGTCCTTCTGTCAATCGCACAGAAATGTACTGCAGACCTGTACCGTGCACGGCGTCATGCCTCACAGCCGCGGCGACGTGGTCACTCGATGAACCCCAGCCTCCGCATTTGGCCCCGGATCCTCATCATGGAGTTGGCGTCTCACCGTTTAGACCCATGTTGGCGGACTGAGACAATGTGCTGAAGGCGTAATCCAAGCTTTGAAGGAAGACTCATTTGACCTTGGCTACCCTCCCTCTTCCACTGAAAATGGAACCATCCCCATTGCTTGTTAGCTGTCCAAGCAATCCGGAGTACTGCTCTGAGCTTGGTCGCGCTGGCAATCGGAGAGAGGATTGACGATGCCATGTGTTCCAGTTTGAGCGGAACGACGAGGGTATGCAGGAGTGTTCGAGCGCCCATCCAGCTGTATGAGCTTCGTTCGTCTTTTTGCCGTGCCGTGGCGTTCGGTCGCTCGCGAATCCTTGTGCGGCGGCGGAAAGGAGTACATTGTACATGTCTGGTTGTTTTCGCGTCATATCGGCAGGACTCCAACTTCACTTCGGCCTCATATCAGGTCTGACTTCGGAGCGTGCTTAGCATATTTCTTTCTTCCCATGTTGTTGATAAGACGAAGTCCGGCATACGAGCCGGAGGCGTTTCGATGTGGGTCTCGATGATGATGCCGCGCCAAGAGGCACAGGAGTAAGCTGGTATCGTATCGCGATTGCAACAATGAGCGCGAGGATGAACCACGCATCCTCCTCAAGTCTGGTCATCTCCCACCCCTCGCCGCCGCAAAACACTGGCAGCTGACCAGGTCGCAACAAGGCGCGAAGATAGCGGCGCAAGGCATGATACATACCTCTGACGCACGCCGGACCATGATGAGAGGGATCCTTCCGTTGGTTGCAGGTGACTATTAAAGTATATTGTCACCTCCGACTAGAGACAGGTGCACATGATACTGTCGCTTCTGCTTATTATCTTGCGCTGCGCTTCTTTCACTGCTTTATTTTCTTTGCTGTGTTCTCTCCCCGATATCTTTATCACCGACGGACGCAACGACAGCGATTACAAGATGCCTGGGCAAGAGATAGATCAAGAGAAGGCGTTGGAGGCGGCTATGCCTACCGAGCCTGAGGCTGCAGCAATAGACGGACGCGCAAAGAGACGGTTTGACTGGAAGACTATGCTCGGGAACAGAAACAGCAGGAGCGGACAACATGGCAGCAGCGGAGATACATCAGACACCGAGCCAACTCAGAAGAGCAGACCCACGAAATGGAACATGGGCATGCTCAACGACCACGAAACGGAAGAAGTCCCAGGCTCTGTGCTCCTGCTCTCCAAAGTCTCAGAATACAACGAGCCTTTAGGTCTCCAGAACGCCCCAGCGCGCACATCAGCCTCTTCTCTCCCGTCGCCATACCCTCCCTCCAGAACGAGCTCTATCCGCCGCCGCTCGACAATCGCCGACAAAAAGCTCACCGCAGATGGCCAGATTGTCCTAGAACCTCAGCCGGACGACTCGCTCAACGATCCCTTGAACTGGAAGACCTGGCGTCGAGATGCGGCGCTCTTGTCACTGGGCTTCTACTGCATGGTCGGCGGCGGCATGACACCCATCCTAGCCGCTGGGTTCAACAACGTCGCTGAAGACTTCCACACCACCGAGCCACGGGTTGCCTTGACTACGGGGCTGTATATGTTGGGTCTTGGCGTTGGGAGCGTGATCCTCTCTCCGACTGCGATCCTGTTCGGGAAACGGCCGGTCTATCTTGTGGCCTCTATCTGTTTCATTCTCACCGCGGTGTGGTGTGCTCTGTCGACCAACTTTGCGAGCTTGGTCTGTGCGAGGGTGTTCCAAGGAATTGCGGTCAGCAGCGTCGAATGTCTACCTTCTGCTACGGTTGCGGAGATCTATTTCCTGCATGAAAAAGCCTATCGTTTAGGAGTGTACACATTACTACTTTTGAGCGGAAAGAATCTGGTTCCTCTCGTCAGCGCCGCCATCATACAAAGCCTGGGATGGCGGTGGGTGTTCTGGATGGTCGCCATCGTTATCGGCTTTGCAGCGGTCTTGCTCTTCTTTTTCGTGCCAGAGACGTTCTGGGATAGGACCCCGAGACCGCATCGTCCACGGCCGAATCGATTGAATAGTGCCATAAGTGTGCATAACGTGTGGAAGTCCCTATCGAGGTCTCAGCCTGCCAGCCCAGCCTTAGAGAGGAAAGCACGGAAAGCTAGCGCCGTGGACGATATTACCAGTCCTCTCCACGAGATAAAGACAGAGAAACATGCTCACTTCCAAAACGAATCCCCGGACGAGAAGGCCGCCGAGAGAGACGACGAGAGAAAGGAGAAGGACGACACAGATGCTATCAAGATCCAGCCTCCTCCTCCATCCCAACCCGACACCAACCACGAACCCATCGCCATTGACTACTTCACGACACCCTCCCGCCTTGAAGAAACGCCCCAATCCCCCATCTCCAAAACCTCCACAGGCCACAGCGAAATCATCCCACCCCCGACCAACGCCTACACCCACCACTTCCTGCAATCACCCCCGAAGACATTCGTCCAACAACTCCGCCCCTACTCCGGCCGCCTCTCGCACTCCAACTGGTTCAAAGTCGCCCTCCGGCCCTTCATCCTCTTCGCCTACCCTTCGATCCTCTGGTCCACCCTAATCTACTCCCTCTCCATCGGCTGGCTCATCGTCATCTCCGAATCCGTAACCACAATCTACAAATCCCGCGACACCTACAACTTCACCTCGCTGCAGGCCGGGCTGATCTACATCTCGCCCTTCGTCGGCGGCGTCCTGGGGACCGCCGTCGCAGGCAAAGTGAGTGATTTAATCGTGCGCTGGATGGCGCGCCGCAATGGCGGCGTCTACGAGCCCGAATTCCGCCTCGTCATGGCCATCCCCATCGCCCTCACCACGACCATCGGCCTCATGGGCTACGGCTGGTCGGCGCAAGACCGCGACGCCTGGATCGTGCCCACCGTCTTCTTCGGCCTCATCTCCTTCGGCTGCTCGCTCGGCAGCACGACCTCCATCACCTTCGCCGTGGACTCGTACCGGCAGTACGCCGGCGAGGCGCTCGTGACGCTGAATTTCAGCAAGAATACCTTCCATGGGCTGGTGTTTTCGTTGTTTTTTAATTCGTGGTTGGATGATGAGGGGAGCAGGGATGTGTTTTTGGCGATTGGGGGCATTCAGTTGGGGTGTTGTTTGACGACGATTCCGATGTATATTTATGGGAAGAGGGCACGGATGTGGACGGTTAGGAAGAATTTGATGGAGAAGTTGTAGGGATGGGCTTGGGTTTGAAGTAATGATTGACGATTTGAATGATATCCCAGACTTTTGGGTGGATGATATGATAGATTAATACCATGATAGACTTTAGATTGTTTCGTTCTCTGCAGCATTTCTTGTGAAAGCGTATGACATTGACCAAAGACCACTAGAGTCATCGTTGCCACAACAGTGTCAAGCACCCTCATTTCCTTCCCACCTCCCCAATCATCTACGGATCACCAACCCACCCCCCATCGACCACATACGAACTCCCCGTAATTGCACCCGCATCATCACTCGCCAAAAACAAAATCGTCCTCGCCACTTCATCGGGCGTAAGAACCCTCTTCAAAGCCTGCGCATCCAACGTCTGCTGCTTATACTCGTCCGTCAAAACCTCCGCAATCTGCCTCTCGGTAGCGATACTCCCAGGCATGATGCTATTCACGCGAATGTTGTCCTTGCCGAACTCGCGGGCGTGCGTGCGGGTTAGGCCTAAGATGGCGGATTTGCAGGTCGTGTAGATGGGGAGGCCTGTCGCGGGGATCCGCCAGGTTATGGAGCCCATGTTGATGATGGAGCCCCCGCCGGCGTTCTTCATGGCGGGGACGAGGTATTGCGTGAGGAAGAATTGGTGGCGGAGGTTGACGTTTAGGTTGAAATCCCAGCTATCCTCTGTGACTTCGAACGTTCCCACGCGAGCTTTGCCAGCTGAGGAGGCGGCGTTGTTGACGAGGATGTCGACTTTGTTATCGTGATTGCGGATGATGTCGTCGGCGATCTCTTTCAGGCGGGTTAGGTCTGTGACGTCGCATTGGTGGAAGGTCGGGATGATGGTGGATTGGGAGGCGTTGGTTTTGATGTCCTCGAGGAGTTTGGTGGAGCTTGGTTCGGAGATGTCCAAAGCGATGACTTGGCTGCCTTGGTGGGCAAACATGCGGACTGCTGCTGCACCTATGCCTTCTGCGCCGCCAGTGATTACTACGACTTTGCCTTCCAGAGACGGATATGTAGCATATCTGGGCGGGGCCATCGTTGCAATAGATTGTCTGCTCCCGGATTAAATTGCTGTGCAAGCAAGCCTTCAACTGACGATCATGCGGGTGGTTAGTTGTATCGATGCTGCGACATCAAACGGCTGAACACAGGAAGAGATGTGTTCAGATGCCGCTGAACAATGCCAGACGAGCTACAGCCGGTGGAGCTTCCTGTCCGCCCTAGCATCATCGGCATCATTGGAGCCAAGTGCCTCGCGTAGAAACTGCGGAGAAGCTCGTAAATGCACGACTGCAATGGTCAGCAATTGCAAGCCATCGACGTTCCGCTCGTGAATATTGGGGTGGTATTGTAGCGTTCCAGTCCAAGATGAGGTCGAGACACGCGTGTGGAACTTTAAATAATAATGCCGGTGGAGCTCGGAAAGGGGATCGGTTTCGCTTCATTGGCGTTGCAATGATCGAGTTGCAATCAACATGGGGTATCTTCAGGTCGTATTGTACAGTCGTAGCGTCACATTCGTGGTTCGAGGCGAATACCGTCCGCCCTCATTAAACCTCCAGCATGGCCTTCAAGCTGGACTCAACGCCACGCAACCATCTGCCCTCCTCTTCCAATTCGTCCGCAGTACCGCCATGCTCTCGTCTCCTCTTCGCCTCTTGCGCCTCCTCGACAGCCTTAATCTTCCGCATCTGGATCGGAGCCAGCTCGTCTTGCAATCTCACGACTTCAGCCTTCTTGGCTGGTAACGCCGCTGTCAGCTTCTCAATCTCCATCTCGACATTCCGCAGCTCCCGTTCACGATCATTCAGCAGGTCTCGTGTAGGCTGTAGGGGCATGCGCATTTCCGGATCCGAGGCTTCGGGCTCTTGACGTTGGCGGAGCGATTCGATTGTGGTCTCCAGATACGTGATCTCTGCGGGCAGGGCATCAAGCTGTGATGTTTGTAGTTGGATCTGCTCGTATCCTTTACAATGTCAGCACAATTCACACAAAAATTTTCGGCACTATACTCACTCTTCGCAAGTTGCCGTCCCTGCTCTTCCAATGCGCTGATGATCTCCCTGACTTCCTCCTTCTTTTGCTTCAACGCCGCCTTTTCTCCTCGTAGTCGCTCCTCCAGCTCCGCATTCTCCGCTGCTGTCACGAAGTCTGGCTGCTCGGCCGTCACAGCTCGTAGAAAGCGCTCCTTCGTCACCTGTTCGACGTACGAGAATCGCAGTTTGGAGAAGAGCTCTTGATAATGCGTGAGGTCTGCCGCGAGCGAAGCGGGCGTCTGGCTGATTTTATCTGCGTTGGAGTAACGCTTCGAGGGCGAGCGGTGGTTCTGCGACGCGACATTGAGGATGGGCTCGGATATGCTCAGGATGGAGAGATCGTGCAGTGCCGGTTCTTGGAGACGCGCCAAGGCCGTCTGAGGGTCCATGGTGACTTTCCAAAGGTGATTCTGGTGATATTATTCTCCCTTTTTAGCTCGAGATGCACTCTGGTAGTCTTTGTCTGTTGTGGTGATGGTAAAGAGTTTGATAGCAACCAGTGTTGATTTGTTTACTTTGCGGCACGTGGCAATCGCCGCCCCCGCGTTTCGGCCCCCACTCCCGCTCAACCCCTGCCAACCATGTCATCGGCATGTGAAAGTCTGTCGCTCTCTCGACAAACACAACAATGCCACTCGAGGAACCGATCACAGACGACTACGTGGCCGAAGTCCTTAGGCGAGACGCACAACGCAAAGATCAAAGTCGCTATCTGTCAGCCGGGCTGGGCTCGCTGCTGGGCTCCTCGAGACCGCGAAGCAATGCGCCAAAGCCGAACACAAGATTCTTGAGGAATATAGTCAAAGAAGCCGACAGTCATAATGCTGCTGTTCGAAGGAAAGAGGAGGAGGAATCGAAAGAGCGCCTGCGTGGATTGAAGCGGGATCGAAGTGGTCGAGCGAAGGAGCAGCCGGATCTCGAAACCGGTAGAGATACGGCACGCCGGCGAGACACAGAACGGCTGCATGGCACAGAGCGACGACACGAAGCAGAAGGACGAAAGCATAGATCAAAGTCCCGGTCGAGGTCACCAAAGAGAGAAGGACACAGTCACAGATCTCACAGAGATTCTCGTCATCGACGAAGGTCGACAGACAGAGACTCTCACCACAGACGAAGATCAAAAGAAAGAGGCTCCCATCATAGACGCCGTTCATCCCCACATGACGATGAATCAGAATCGGATCCACTAGAAACCGCAATAGGCCCTAAGCCACCGCCCAAAATCAAGACCCGAGGACGAGGCGCAGATAGCAGCTCCGCCATGGACTCCCGTTTTGACCCAAACTACGACCCCAAAATGGATGTGGGCTTGGAACAGGACGAAGACGGCGATGACTGGGATATGGCGCTGGAGGCTTTGCGAGATCGTGCTAAATGGAGGAAATCTGGGCCAGATCGCTTGCGCGCGGCGGGCTTCACAGATGATGAGGTGGCGAATTGGGAGAAGGGTGGTAGTGGGAGAGATGATGGAGAGAAGGACATCAGCGATGTTAGGTGGAACAAGAAGGGTGAGGGGAGGGAGTGGGATCGAGGGAAGACCATGGATGGAGGCAGAGTTGATGTCAAGGCTGAGTGGGGCAGATTGAAAGATTGAGGGTGTGCTGCAAGTCATAGCTACATCCTCATCTGCTGGTGGACGATGCTGACACATACTCTCCACGTCCAGATGAGTTTTACTAAGGCTGGCTTATTCTTCATATATCTTTATTGAAGCTCGCTCTCCGGCCTATCAGCCCTGCCAAGTCCTCTGGGCTGGCGCTGTAATAAGATGCAAATGCGAGATACCCCAATCCCCACCATGATGATCCTTTAGGAATGGGAGCTGCGACCGCCGCAAAGACGTACGATGGTTCCACAACAGCCATAGCCGCCTCAACACCCACTTCAATTTCAACCACCACATACTAAAGCTCGTGCGAACCAAAAATTCAAGAAGACATGGCGCCTCCTTTACCAGTCCTCTTCATGGTGCACGCCGAATACGGACAAGCCAACGTCGTCCTCGCAGTGGCCCAATCCCTCGCCCGCGACGCTGACTTCCACATCACAATCGCCAGCTTCGCAAAGCTAGGATCCCGAATCAAAGAGATCAACGAGGGCAACAAAGCCATCGCCAGACCTATCGAATTCCGTTCCATCCCGGGAATCGCAATGGAAGATCTCGCCGCACGCCAAAACCGCAAGAATCCAGAATCGCCGTACGCTCATCCGCCGGGGTTCTTCAATGCTCCTGCGAGTTATAATAATCTCGAGCGCTCTGCGTTTGCGTGGTGGCCGAGTGAGTATATTGAGATTGTGAATCACTGCCGGAAGATCATTCAGGATGTCAAGCCGGCGGCGCTGGTTCTTGATCTTGCTTTCTTCCATGCGCAGGATGCGGCGAGGGACTTGAAGTTGGACTATATCACCATCTCGCCTAGTTCGGCGAAGGAGTTGGTCGCTGGTGTTCTCCCCGGGGCGCCGTTGTTCTGGAAGTGGCCTGTGTGAGTGTGAATGGCTTTGTGATTTAGGGGTTTGCTGACAACGTGTCCAGTATGTCCTCTGGATACACCTATCCATTGACTTTGTTTGAGACGTTGAAGAACATCGTGCTGGCTGTTCTGTTCATCTATACCCTTCTACGTGGGCCTCATCTGAAGGAGATGGCCAAGGTATCGACTTTCTACTCAGCAGTCCCAGTCCATGCGTACTAACAACTCCTTAGGCTCGGAAGGACGCAAAACTGGAGCACACGTTCCCTCTACTAGAACCATACCGTAAAGAAGGCCGCTATCTTCTTTCATTCACGCCCGAAGCCGACTACGATGGTCTTGACCCAATACCGCCAAATGTTGTGATATCAGGACCCATCACCCTGCCACCACTCAGACCTGTAGCCGATGCCGACGCAACCTTGCTACGCTGGCTACAACAACGTCCAACAGTGCTGATCAACCTCGGAACACACTTCGCAGCTGACAAAGAAGCCTCATTCGAACTGGCCAAGGGGATCAAGACTGTGTTGGAGTCCCGAGACGATGTGCAAGTCCTCTGGAAACTCAAATACGACTGGTCCAGCGACACCCGCATGAAACCTCTCCTCGAGACTTTCGTGAAAGCAGAGCGATTACGCATCCTCCCTTGGCTGGTCGCGGAACCGTCCAGTCTCCTGGAGACAGGCAACTTCGTCTGCGCAGTGCACCACGGAGGCGCGAACTCTTACTACGAAGCTTGCAAAGCCGGCGTCCCACAGCTTGTTCTACCAGTCTGGTGGGACACGTACGAGTATGCGGAGCGGGCGAGGTATCTCGGGATTGGGCTTGTTGGCAACGTTGGTGTGGCGCCAGGGGTGGAAGGCAGACAGTTTAGTGCTAAACTGTTACATATATTGGGGAGTGCAAAGACTACGGAGAGAGCTATTGCGATCAAGGAGGCGTGCCAACGAAGAGGTGAAGGGAGAGATATTGCTGCTGCGGAGGTCGCTAAGTGGGCGCGAGGTGGGAAGACCAAGCTTGTGGATGCAAATACAGCAGCGTGAGTCTGCGATATAGCTGCCATATTCCAGCCATAGACAGCATGAATGACAGCTTTTCATAGACTATACCTGAATCGAGGATGACAATCGCACAACTCCTCGAAAGATGCCCCAACGCCAGGCACAAGGGTAATTTAAGCTGGATATTGACACGTCCAGCATCACCCTCTGCATATCCCGGGGCAAGCTTGTTGGTTTACAACGCTGACGTTGGAAAAGTTGATGTAGACGTTGATCACCAACGACTTGGCTATGGTTGTTGACATCGCACACTGAATTCGGGTCACTGGTGATTATATGATCACCAACACTCTGACCCACACTTTCCATTATATAGTAGAGGCTGCAGTAAGTATGGGACCCAATTCATCCCGTATATCAAAACGATGTTGAAGCTCCTCTGCGCTGCTCTCTGTGCAGTATCATCAGCAAGTGCCACATGCTTGGGCGGGCATTGCTTTCCGTCCCAGGAGCAATTGAAAGCCTTCAACCGAACCGTTCACGGCAGGTTGATTGCACAAAGACCCATCGCTACAGCGTGCTACTCTACCAGCGATCATCAGTTCAATCAGACTGCTTGCCACGATATCCGTGCCAACTTCTTCAATGACGAAGTACCCGCGCCTCGAGCCCCTTTTGAAAGATTTTGCTAATATCGAATGACAGTGGCGTGCCTCTCACTCATCCACCTATCAACAACGCAATTGGGAGGACTGCTCTTTTGATGCGTCTCCTGCCTGCCCTCTTCCTTCGACAGACCTTACGTACGATACACATACCTGCGAGCAGGGCAACATTCCGCTCTATGCAGTCGCTGCCGAAACGGCATCTGATATCAGCACTTCCGTTCGCTTCGCCACCGATCACAATCTGCGGATCATCGTCAAAAACACGGGTCATGATTATCAAGGTCGTAGCTCAGGTCAGGGTGGTTTTGCGATATGGACGGCTGGCTTGAGGAGTATCTCTCGGGAAAGACGCTTCACTCCTAAAGGATGTGGAAGCGGCCAAACGCAAGACGCTGTCCGTCTTGGCGCCGGCGTACATTGGAAAGAAGCATATGCGTTCGCAGAAAAGGAGAAAATGACTCTCGTAGGTGGTGACCTACAAAACGTCGGCGCTGCAGGAGGTTGGCTTTTGGGCGGTGGGCATGGGTTTCTGACTCCCAAGCTAGGGCTTGGTGTGGACAATGTGAGTCGAGGATGCTCCCAACATATATTGATGCTGATCTGAGAAGCTCCTTGAGATGGACATCGTCACCATTGACGGGAAGCTTCGAACAATCAGCGAATGTGCCGAGCCTGATCTCTTCTGGGCCGTGAGAGGCGGAGGAGGAGGCACATTTGGAGTGACGGTGTCCGTGACATACAAAGCACATCCTATACAGCCTATCAGTGCCGTCTTTGCAACGAGTATCGGTGTGGACTTGCAAGGCAATGACGGGTTGAGACTGTTCGAAAGCTTCGCCAACATAACCGGACCCATGGGCGAGCATGGTTTGGGAGGGACGATCTTGTCTCAAGGTCCTGCGACAGTGTTTGGGGTGATTGGTGCGACAACGGATATGGACTTGGTGCAGAGAAGTATGTCTGAAGTATTTACATCCTGGTCGCTGCTGATCGTACGTGAAGTCGCCAGGCCTTTCACGGAATTTGTTCGAACTCTGCCCAGCGTACAGAAAGCAGATGCGGACGGAAGGGAAGGAACATTGTCGAAGCCAGGCTACCTTTCGTGCCCTGTACGATACTGACACGCTTTGCCGACCTTTGCTAACGTCTCGACAGTCATTCCTCCCCTTTCTGAACACTGTACTGCCAAACCCGTATCCAGCAGGATACGCCTCCACGGTCTCCTCACGCCTCATTCCGACCTCATACTTCAATTCAGCTGAACGAAGTGCCACTGTAGCGAAAGCAACACACGACGCAATGAGAAAGAACTTGGAAGTCGGTACATCCGCGCAGTTCCACATCTTTGCAAACTCGCCATCGAAGAGGCACACTGGGAGCAAGACAAGCGTGACGCCGGTGTGGTATGATAGCCTTTGGCATGTGTACCTCGGTCAGCGGTGGGACGAAAGTGTTGGAGTTGATGGGAAGGCTGTGACGAGGAATGTATTTGACGCAATGCAAGTTTTGAGGGATGCGGTGCCGGATGGGGCTGCTTATCAGAATGAGGTGAGTAACTTGTCACGGGTGAAGGTTGCCCAAGCTGATGTGTACTAAGGCCGACGTCTACGAGCCTGATCATCAGCGTGCGTTCTGGGGCGAGAACTATGCGAGGCTGGTGAGGGTTAAGAGGAAGTATGACCCACGCAATCACTTCCAGGTCTGGCATGGAGTTGGTAGTGACCAAGGTCGAGATGATCTATGGAAGTGCTGGAATGTAGATTGGCATGCGTCTAGTTGGTGAATATATCGACGGGGACGCTGCTGCCACTCGCCACGCAGAAGTTTCACGGTGCAGCATTTGATCGATATGAATCCGATTGTAGAGCTGAGCTTTGGGTGTTCGTAGTCTGAAAGCAATCTCCGTTGTGGCAGATCGAGTTGTCAGAGCAAAGCGCGAATCGAGAGGACAATGATATCTCCTCGTTGATCAGCTTCATTGTCGGTTACAAGGCGATGTTCTAGGTCAATGTGTTCATATCAAGGGCCAAGACACAACCGACAGGTATCATTCGCACCATTCTGTGAGCTTCAGCAGCGTTCAACTATGACTCACAGGGAAAGATCGAACCTAACTCATCCTTCTCTGTGCCACGTCAATCAGCTGTAGCCTTGAGCTGTGACCCCCACATTATTAAGGCAGTTCAATGGAGAGATGAAGTGCATAGGAACGACCACCTTCCATTTGAACAAAACGTCTAACGTTAAGCATTGTCAGAATGACTGCTCAGAAATGCTGCCTCAGCGGCTTCGAATGGTCCGGCGAGCCACAAGGCGAGGTCATCCCCTTTCCAACTACTTCCAATCAAGCCTACAAAACAGGCTCAAGCTCGGACGTGGCAATCCTCTTCGTGCATGACCTCGTGGGCTGGAAATACCGCAATGCGAGACTCTTGGCAGATCATTATGCTCGTGAGGTGGGAGCGACTGTGTATCTGCCAGATTTGTAAGTTATCTCGTGTTGGTTGGCTTTTTGTAGATGCTTATTGGTATTTTAGTTTGAATGGAGAAGAACTGGATTTGAGAGCCCTGAAAATGGAACCACATGAGTGGGCACCTAACGGAATTGATGTGGCTGGATGCGTGCAGAGAAACAGCAGGGAGATCCGAGAGCCAGAGATCTTCGCTTGTGCGAGGAAGTTGAGGAGTGAATACAAGAAGGTCGGGGCTGTTGGGTTCTGTTGGGGTGGTAAGAGGATAGGCATCTCATTCAGATTAAAAACTAACGACTACTCAGGTTGGGCCGTCTTCCGCCTCGGAGCCAAAGGCAACAACTTGGTGGACTGCGTGATCGCCGGTCATCCAAGTATCCTGAAGAAGGAAGACATCGATAATGTTGACGTCCCAGTCCAATTGCTGGCACCGGAGCACGATCCACCGTTCTCACCCGAGTTGAAAGACCATTTCTGGCGCGTCACGCAAGCTCGAGGCGATTTGGCATTTGACTATCAGCACTTTGCCGGTATGGCGCACGGCGCTCTAGTCAGGGGCGACGAGGAGAAGCCTGGAGAGCAGAGGGCAATGACGAGGGCGAAGAATGCGGCTGTTGGATGGTTTGCGGAGTGGTTACACACAGAGTAGACTAGCAGGCTGCCTCTACAAGTGGTGTTGGTTCTTCTTCTCCAAATCCTCGCTTGTGCGGCGAAGGAGTCGATGAAAAAGATTTGACAATATAATGCTCAAGCCTCTCAAAGGCGAGCCGATATTATGCAGCTTCCTCGACCAACGAACCCGTCGCCTTTGTCGTAGGAAGCTGATGTTGATTATGCGCACAGCGCTCTGTCCACCAGCCTGTCCCCGATAATGTACAGAGCTCAACCTCTCAAGGGAGCCGGAAGACTTCTCGACCAACGAACCCGTCGCTTTTGTCGAAAAGACCCTCATGCCAGCATTATGCGCCCCTGGCGCCGACTGTGCTTCCCTACCAACGGACCCGCCGCCTCTGTCGTAGATAGCTTCGTCCAGTATGAGCTCCAGGCGCTGGCTCTTCTGACCAACGGACCCGCCGCCTTTGTCGTGAAAAGCCCTTTGCTGGTGTCAAGTCCTCCAATGCGCCGCTCATGCTTCCCGACCAACGGACCCGCCGCCTCTGTCGTAGATAACTTCGTCCAGTATGCGATCCAGTCGCTGGCTCTCTCGACCAACGGACCCCCCGCCTCTGTCGTACAAAGCTTCATTAATTATGCGCTCCAGGCGTTGTCATTCCCCGACCAACGGTCCCGCCGCCTCTGTCATGGAAAGCCCGTAGTGCCCATTATGCGCTCCAGGCGCCCCGCATGTTGTGCATTGCTCCAGTTGTGTGCCGGGATGAAGGGAGAGCCAAATCCTTCTAGTCCTTTCGGCTTGGAGGCTAGTTGAGTTGGTGGTGTGTGTGGCTGAAGAAGGAAAAACTTGAGTATGGGGACAGATGAGGTGGTTATATAGGTCTTGGAAAGGTTGTGTTACGACTTATCGGGGAATAGCATTGATAACAATTCCTTTGTTATTGAATGGTACAAGGCTACAAGAATTGCTTTCAGACTATGGAACAAAGCAAGATGTACGAGCCTTCATGAACGGCATTGTGTGGAGAAAGCCACGCAAGATCCTCAATGGCCCTTTCAGCCGTTACAATTCGTTTGTGAATATTGGAACAAAGGCTTCGGTCTCACGTCTAGCGCTTCCAATACAGCCTTGTCCATGATTCACAACGCAGTCACGAAGAAATTCTAAGTCTGTCAATACCGAGCTCGTCAATACATTCAATACAGTTTCCTAACGGCTTAGAGATGGGATAGATCAAGCTACGTGCCTTGACGGACCCCGGGGAGATGAATCCCGATGCGGTAATACGTAGCCTGACTGCCCTAATCACTCCTGATGTAGCTGTTCTTTCGGGCGGAGTGCGGAAGCTTCCTGCTCGTCTGTAGCTCTGTGCTTTCAGCCACTCTACGCTACTATTGGGCAGCTCGCATCCGTACGGCATGCCTTCCGTTCAACATCTTGTGCTGCCTGTCAACCCATTTTGAATGCTACATTCCTGAAGCCGCTGGGTGGAGGATCCAAAGCGAGTACATTGTTCTCCTGCTTTCCCTAGACTAAGAAGCCACGATGGAATTAACGAATTCTGGAGACAGGCCGCAGTACCGTTTGGCCGACCCGTCTGAGGATGAGGTTGTTGCCCGTATTCTCTACAACTCCTTCCTCCGCAACTGGGATATCAACTGGTGGCAGAATCTGCAGGAACATATTCCTCCTGTTGAATCTGCACCGCAGGGAGATGATACTTCAATATTGGAGGCTCTTACAGCGGCCCAGCAAGACCGTCTGACATTCTACCGTGCGATTGTCCGCCTTGTACGACTCATTGGAGGCAGCATATCCGTCGCGGTTCCGGCAGGTAGCTCGCAGCCGGCGGCGATGCTTTGCTGGCTCCCACCGAAAGTCGAGGTCACAACCTACGCGGTCCTCCGAAGTGGATTTCTCTTCGCCTTACTTCGGCTGGGACGATTCATGGGGACATGGAATTTCCTATACTTCGAGTCTAAGCTATCCGGTCTTTACGATCGCTGCTTACGCCCTCTGGGCTACAAAAGTCGACACGAAGGAGCATTCGTGCAAATTCTTGGGACCGATCCGGCACATGCAGGAAAGGGGTTGTCAGCCGGCCTACTACGATGGCAGATTGAGCAATACCGACAGCAATGCCTCGAAAAAGACAATTTCACGCCTGTATTCTTGGACACTGCGGGAGATTATCAGCAGAAACTGTATGAGAAGATGGGTTTCCGGCCACTGGGCAGGCAAAAGCTTCAGGTCAAAGTTGACGAAGGGGGTCTAAAATGTTCGACCGGAGGGCCGCGAGACTTCTTTCTAAGGGTTATGATGCTGATTATGAAGGAAGAAGATTCACTCTAGTTATTGTGGCGAAACACTGAAGCTCTCAAATGTTGGGCTATCCGTGTAGATCCTCCAATTCTATTCCATATGATCACCATCTTTCGGATCCAGCATCTTGGACATGAAGTTTATGTCAAAGCCAATATGATCGTTTTTAAAGGGCCGCACGTAATCCTTGCCATACCCTCTTCGAGCATAGAATTCCGCAAATGTCGTCTCTGGGGTGCACATGATCATCTTGGGATGAGACTGCGCCGCCGCAGCCTTGCGACGACTCCCTTCTCTAGCGTTGAATCGACTGACGACCTCTTTCTCCGTAAGTCCGAGCATGTAGCTCGCCAGCCCTTTGCCTTGAGCTGAAGGATGAGTCGCCACCAACTTCAGTTCCCACTCTTCGACACCAGGTGCAGGCGTGTGAGTGCACGCCCAAGCCCGACTGGTATCCGATTCCGGTCCGTAGTACCTTCGACAGCTGGCAGTTGATAAAACCTCTCTGTCGCTATGAGTTTGGTTTAATATGATGATGAATGAGTTGGCATCGTTGCGAAGCACTTGTATCAGATCTTCGGTGGACTTGAGTCTATCTCCGGTACTTGTACCAAAACTCTTCTCGTCAGACGTCAGATAAGCCAAATTGATCGTCTTGAACAGGCCAGGTAGGAGAGCGCAGTCTTTCAACTGTTTTGCTGACCATGTTGAGATACTCGTTGGCTTGCCGTCAATTATTGGGCCTTCATCTATCTTTGGTTCATCCCTGAATGCCCCCTCCCCGATGTGTGGTTGTAAAGCCATCGAGAGCGTGTACACACCCCAAGCAGTTTTGATCAACGACAGCGGTGAGAGATTGAATCAGCTCTTGAAAAGTTCAAAAGAATGGTAAGTTCATCAATTGTGAAGGATTCCAGCTCCATAGAGCTACGGAGTTAGGACGCATTCCCACACATGCAAGTTGAATCCTTCGATGACTTCCTGAAGTGGTGCAAAGTCCGAAGGATAAGTTACATACTTTCTCTCTAGTGCCTCTTTGCTCATTGTCGTTGGTCTGAGGCTTCGTAATGACTGTTGCAGGTGTCTCTCATTGCACATCACCTACAAAAGATGCCGCCATCAAGAGTAACGATCTTCCTCGTCAGATAACCACTCTTCATCATCCAAACCACCGTCTCCGCAACCTCTTCCGGATGCCCAGCTCTTCCAATTCGTATTCCTAATAGCCTGATCGGTCTCTGAAAAGGGACATAACGCAAGTGGGGCACTTACTGTTAGCCACGGTCCCAACATCAAGCAACTCGGTTCCAGTCACAAGCCCAGGGGCGATTCCGTTCACGGTTACTCCGCTCTTGGCCACGGAGCCTCCAAGCCAGTAAATGAATCCATGCAAAGCGCTCTTGGATGAAGCGTAGTGTGGACCAACGATACCTCCAGTGAGTGCGGCCAACGAAGAGGTCAGAATGATACGACCATAGCCTTGTTTTTGCATATGAGGCAAACACAGCTGAGAAAGTAGAATATTCGATTCGACATTAACTTTCCACGTCTTCTAGAAGACTTCTGTCGATACGTCGGCCAGACTCTGGACGTTGGTTGCCCCTTCGTTTGAGCCTGCATTGCCGAAAAAGGCGTCGATTCCCCCCATAGTCTTTGTGATCTCGCTGTGGAGCTCTTGAATCGACGCTGAATCTCCTAGATCTGCCTGGAAGAACTCGATCCTTAGATTCGAAGGAGCAGCTTCCAGGATCTCTTCCTGCAGTGTGGCTCGCTTCTCGGGGCTGGCATTGCGATAGTGCAGCGCGAGGTCAAATTCGCCAGTCTTAGCCAAGGCCACGGCAGTTGCGCTGCCAATTGCACCAGTTGCGCCGGTGGTGAGGACGACCTTGCGTTCGGACATTCTTGATGAACTGTGGGTTTTGGATTCTTCCATTGCGAGTCGACACCAATGGCATGAGCGTTAAGTACTCTGAAGTCATCTTGGACTGCTGAAGTAAGCACTGCATGCTCGTTAGGAGAGACACGGTCATTGTGGTTGTGGTGAAATGGAATTTGGTGCTGTAAGTCCGTAGGGCACGATGGTCTGACGCCAGTTAGGTCTGGATGCGGATTAGGTAGTTCTTTCAAAGTTTTGGGGATCTTCCGAGAAGTCGGAGAAGTCATATTCAGTCCCTGAGTGTGCTGACGCATATTCTCGCTACAGCTACGTCTCGGCCGAGAACAGGGATAGGCCCAATATCCGCCCCACCCAACTTCCTATTACAGACACCACCTGCCACCAAAGCTTCCAACCTCTACTCGTAATCATCATCATCCGAGTCCGCCTTCTTCTTCTTCTTGCCACTGCCCTTTGGTCGTCCACGATTGCTTGTCATTCCGCCATGATAGACAGGCTTCTTCATCCCCGGCATAGGCTTTAACTTCTTATTCTCCCGGAACAACTCATTCAACTTCTTAATGAAAGGCCTTATCCAAGTCGTGCCTCTCGGCAACCCGTGCCAGCCTTCGTTCCTCACTCGATCCCAGTGGGTCAAGAAAGTGTAGACGAACTCTCGCATATCCTCGGCAACGAGGAATGGGTTCGAGACGTCGGGTTTGTTGGTGAAGGTCTTCGAGGTGAAGCTACCTGTGGTTGCTTCCTCGTCGAATGATATGAGAAGCTCTTGCGTGTGGCCGACTACCGCAAGATGACGCATCTCACCGTCGTCCCCAGCGTCGAAGTTGTCCTCGTCTGGCTCCCGCTCGTGCTTAGCCGACTCGAGTTCAAGATTGAGTTCGGAGAAGCGAAAGAGCCATTTGCTGGCAAAAGACTCGGCGGCTTTAGAGAGTGTGGACCGAGGCGAAGAGGTTGCGGATTGGGAGCGCTGGGAAGGGTGGGTATTCTTTAGACAGTCTGTTAGTGCGAGTCGCATGTCAATCAACAGGGCTAGTGTACGTACCTTCAGTATGAGCTTGGGCATCTTAGATGTGTGTGTTGTGAGAGAAGACTTCCGCGAATGAGAGAAGTATTTAAATGGCTACATTGAGCGAGTGAACGAAAGTGTCGTCAGCTGCTCCATCACTTCATTCGCGGCGCAAGTAACCCGTGCTGAAGCGCGCGGCACGTGCAAGAGGTGAATAACATTCACCTGCGTGACATCATTCCTTGACATGTGAAGAAGCAGTAGCGTCAGAAGCTTTCGAACGTGTGCTTGTTGCGATACTTCTCCGGTAACAGGCTCTTGCTGCACCTCCGCACGTCACTAGTGATGACTTGTGGTCCATTTTGAAGATACCCAATTATCTGCTGCTGGTCGAGCGTCGCATACTAGGTTATACCGTGTTACGAGACAACTTTACCTTTCACTCAGATTTAGGTGTACTTCACCTATAAAGGGACCAAACTGCCAAAATGCAATTCTATGGCCGTCTCGATCCCTTGACGCAGTACATCGGTTTCTTCCTTGAGGGATAAGTGTGCTGCGCCGGGTGGCTAGGACCTTTGCCCGTACCATCTTTCGAGGGACTTGGTGACGTTCTGCGCGACAGCATTTGTTAGTTGAAAGTTGCAAATAAACCATCAATGAGCCGTAAGCCTTTTAGCCATTCTGTTAGAGTGAAGGGTAGCCGGGTTCGACGATAGATCTTACTAGTAGACCGTGGTTATTATGTTGACCGATTTCGATAATGGCATGCTATTGCCCGCCCACTGCCTCATTTTCTAGACGTTGGAAAGGGTAGAATTGGCAAAACAAAGGATAATCTTGTCCTGTCAATCGAAGCCTGTGGTGTCTCTGGCAGCACAACCACACCTTTGACGGTCGCTGTGGGTGCTGCGAGTTTTACGGACGAGACACAAGGAATTTCGGACGGCCTTGTGACGAACAGCCCCTGAATACTCCACAAGGCCCGACTAGTGACATTCTCGCTCCGTGTACAACAAGGTGCCCTGGTCGCCGCTCCATTTCCGCCTTGTTTCCTTGGCCATTCGCTAAAGCATCTGGTGGAAAGAGAACGAAGCAGATTCGAATGGCTATGCGCCACTCGATGGCACAATCTGGATCGTCATGGACTAGCGAGTAACGTGCCACACGGCAAGTCCGGATGCATGACATTGCATCTAATGTCTGAGGTTAGAACGGTGTTTGAAGAGGAGGTGAAGTCAGGGACGTCGGGGACATCAAGAGATCCGTAAATTCCACTAATCCCCAATAAGTTAGATCGTAGTAGGCGAAAGCCTCTTCTTTCCTCACTTCCATCAATCACCACTTTTCCCCATCATTGCCACCCCAAATATGTCTCATCAAGCAATTCAGATGCTCAGTCAGAACAGCCGAGCAAAGCAATAGGCGAACGACCATGGGCCAGACCAGAGATCCACGCTTTGGGGGCGCCACGCCTATGCACCCCAGCTTCTCCGCATCTTGGAGGCGTTCTTGTCGCGTGTGAACACGCCCAATTGGCCTAGAGCGAGAGTACTTCTATACATGCAACGCGGTCTATCAGTTACACTTAACCGCCTCTGGAGCTGGCGTTCGTAGAGACAGCTGTTGGACCGCTACGGACCGAGTGTTTACCGTTATTCCCACGTGCTGGACGTCCATCTACCCAATCCACTGGAGCCGCCACGGCTTTCGTTGTATCAATGTACAACGCCAAGCGCACTTTAGGACTGGTCTGGTGCAGCCTGTGATTGACTCGACGCTGTCGACGCAGATGTCCTGATGCTCTGGATGTCTGTGAAGCAAGATTGTGGCTAGACAACGGCTATGCTTTCCCCTCACCGGCATAGCTTTTGAGCGATCGGTAGATGTTTGCATATATCTCTTTCGGTTCGCCGTCGATCATAGGGTGACTTGCACACTTCATTCCTCGTCTGCTACTTCACCTTACAGTGTCCACAACATGGCAGCACAAGAGTACGAGAAGGAGACGCTGGAGCGCATAGAGACGACTTCAGATGCTGAGACCCCTGGCGTACAAAAACACAATCCCCTCGATAAGGTTGAGACTCATGAGACTCTCGCTGCTGTCGACATAGAGAACCACCAGGCTTTCAAGGGAGACGATTCAGATGGCAAAGTCCATTGGACTGTGAAGAAGCTTCTGGCTGCAGCCTTCTTGTCAATGCTCTATACCGGTAAGACTCACCACTATTATAGCCGAATCATGGCCGACACTGATATCCACAGGCTCTCAGATTCCGTTGTATTTCACTGGCGGTACTTTAATCTTCATCGCCGAGGACCTCAACGCCCACGACATCATTGGCTGGTTGCCAGTTGCAAATACTCTAGCCATTGCTGCTGTATGCCCTTTTGTAGGATACTTGCAAGACCTATTCGGCAAGCGAAGCATTGCACTTTTTGGAGCAACACTTCTGTGCGTTGGGTGCATTGTTCTTGGGACTTCCCATCAACTTGGCCAAGCTCTTGCGGGAATGGCTCTCGCTGGTGCAGGTGCTGGGATTGGTGAGTTGACCGGTCTAGCTGGGTAAAATATTCAAATTCATCCATGCCGCTTGACGCGTTCACTGACATCGTCTACAGCCTGGCCGAAGTCGTCCCTGTACGACATCGTGGGTACAGTCTGGCCATCCTCACAGCTTTCGTTCTCCCATTCTGCCCTTACGTTATGTACAGCGAGCTCTTCTCTACGAGAGGGTCAAACCCCACATGGCGATGGGGCTCTTGGATTTCGCTCATCTATAACGCTGTCACTCTTGTCGGTCTTGCTGTCTTCTACTTCCCCCATGGACACCGCCGAGGCGATGGTCTCAAGAAGATTGAGATCCTGAAGCGAATTGACTACGTCGGAGGCTTCCTGTCGATTGTCGGTCTAGTTCTCTTGTAAGTCCTCCGTGAACATACCACGAGCTTTTGGCTGACGTCTTCACCCAGCCTTGTTGCACTTCAAGCCGGTGGTTACACACACCCCTGGACCTCCGCTTACACTCTCTGCACCCTTCTCATTGGCATCGCTCTCCTCCTGACATGGTTCATCTGGGAATGGAAGTTCGCCCGCCACCCCATGGTTCCTTTCGAGCTCTTCCAAGGCCAGCGTGTCGTTGGTTTATCCTTTGCTGTTGCATTTGTGGCTGGAATGAACTTCTTTTCGCTCTTAAATTTCTGGCCATTGACGATATCGAACGTGTGGAGCCCCAATCCGGTCTCTATTGTAAGTGGTATCAATGTGGAATTCATCTGGGAACGTTTTTTGACACTGCTCAGGGTTGGCGAGGACTTCCGGTGGGTCTTTCAACTGCCGTTGGTGCTATCATCTGGAATGCTCTCTTAAGCACGTGGAAAGGTGGTTCCAAATGGGTGCTGTTCCTGGTAAGTTCGTGAGCGTTAACGCGTTAACGTTCGGAGTGCGTTAACGTTCAAAACAAACCTCTTGCTAATACTTGCATCTACGGGCTGCCATGATGCTCACTGCATTCGGCGGATCGCTCGCCAGCATGACGCCAGAGAACGTCTATCAGTCCGTCACACTCGCCGCCTTCGCAGCCTTCGGCCTGGGGGGTGTTATCGTTCCTGCCGCTACAGTCGCCATGATCGCAGCTCCGGATGCTCTAATCACGACCTGCGCCGCATTGTCCCTCTCCGTTCGTGCGGTAGGCGGTGCCATCGGATACTCGATCTACTACAGCGTCTTTGTCAAGAAGTTGACCAAGAGGCTCCCCGTTCTCGTTGCAACATACGCAATTCAGGCAGGGCTTCCAGCTTCCAGTGCAGAACTCTTTGTCGGCACGTTCCTCACTGCACCGGCTAACGCATCGGCGATTCCTGGAGTCACCGAGGCAATTCTTGGTGCTGCTTTGACTGGTACCCAGTGGGCTTACGCTGAGGCTTTGCATCTCGTTTGGTAAGAATGTTGATTCCAATGCATGATAGCTTGTTGCTAATACCATTATCTAGGTATGTGAGTATTGCTTTTGGAGCATGCGCCATGGCTTGTGCCTTGGGCATTCCGAACACCCGCAAGTTCGAGACAAACAGGATTGCGGTTGCTCTGTGATTCAGAAGGCCAACGCTATGTCCAACAATGCTGCTAGCAATCATCTATTTGAAAGCATTCATAGTCTCCCGGCCTCCATTGATTATACCAGATGACCCTTATATCTACTGGAATGCCAACGCTCCCAATGTACGGCCTCAGTTACAGTGCACTTCCGAGCATTCAGCACGATTCGAGTATCACATGTCGCCCTGGATCATGATCCAAGCCCGTCCGGACAGGTGGGAGTTAGATTTGTTGGGCAGATCTATTGAACTCTCCCTTGATGACCCCTGTCCTTCAATATCGCCAACAAGGATGTCACAAACTGTACTTTGCCACTGTCTTCTTCCAGCCTGATAGAACGACCTCGTACTTCCTCCGCCATCTCTGGTTCTTTCACGCGAATCAAAAGAGAAACCACAATACAGGGCCAAATCGTATTCGCATCATTCATCCAGTTCATATGGCACACTCAACATCAGACCTCATCGCAATCGCCTGCAGCCTCGTATCAGGCGGTCTAGTCGTAACGTTAGCGATGCTTCTTTTCTTCTTCTGGAGACGGCATCAACAAGTTCACGTCCCAGGTGCAACCGCAAGCTCCCTTTAGAAGGACTAAGCGTCGGTCACAACATGATACATTCCAGTGGCATTTTCTTTGGAATGCTTGGATCAACCCTCTAGAACGAAAGCCATTGTTGCAGACTTCACCTCGCAAGAATGGTCTATAATACAATACTTACAGGTTTATTACGGGGACAACATACATCACTTAGAGGCATAAAGCCAGCACCGCACGCCCGACCCAACACAAGTCTGATCCACAATCACACTCATCTCCAACAACCGCCGATACATCTGACCATGGCCAAACGCATACCAACACCAGATCTCATCCATCACCTCCTTGCTCGCCAAACACTCAGCTTAACGACCGACCTAGTGGGCTGCACATCAACAAGTACATCCACGCCCCTCCCGACTTCTGAATCAACATGGGCACCGCATCAGAGACCGCCCGATCTGGGCGCAATAATCGGAGGAGCTGTGAGTGGATTGGCCTTCGTGGCAGTTTTGATCATGCTGGGAGTGTGGTTTTATCTGCGAGTGGGCCAAAAGCGGAGCAGTGCTGAGGAGAGTGGGCTCGGAGGAAAGGGCAAGGCTGTGGTGGGCCGGCCGCCGGAAGCAAACGGAAAAGGGAAGGATCAAATGCTACAAGTACCAGCGATGGATGAGAGGGGAAGAGAGAAAGTGGGAAGACCGTAAATGGGCGTAAGGGCGGGTTCAATAATTGTGGCGGTATAGACGTCGTAGCATTGGAGTCCTATTCTTCTGTGTATCATTCTTGGTTTCAGAAGAGGCTATACGAAACGAGTGACCTCGAGTCAGATCTTGGTTTAAGACTGGATGGACGTTTTGCTATGAGTCGTTCAGCGCTGGCCTCAAAATGCTACATAGCTCTCCCAGGGACGCACCGTAGCTCTCCTCAAACATTCATCCTGAACATCAACAAGTCCTTCTCAACAATCTCATCCTTCCTAGCCTCCAACTCCTCCACGTCCCAATTACTCGAAACATACCGTTCAGACAGCCAAGGCTTCTTCTCCTTCGTCAACCACGTCAAGAAGCCGCCACACAAGCCGGGGTCATCGATGAGCACTGTGCCAAGAATCAGTGCCATCACACAATAATCTACTCATGACAAAATCTGGCTTACAATCAGTCCAAACACTCCCCAACTGCGTCTCATGATGCCTCTCCGTCTGTACTGTCAGGACCGCACCAGGATGTACCGCAAATGCCCCAATGCCTTCATGATCGTTCTTGATACACTCCACCATACGATTGATCGCAATTTTACTCAGAACGTACGCCACTGGCGTGAACTGGCTATCCGTCATATGGCTCGCCACGCTCGTGATCACCGCGAACGCCTGCGGTCCGTCGGGCGTGGCTTGGAGCAAGGAGATGAAAGATCTCGCCACGCGCCAGGAACCAAGCAGGTTGGTTTCGATGACCCGGGGGAGGTCGGGGTCTTCGAAGATTCCGACTGGCATGTACTCTTTTCCGTCGGATTTGGTGATGTATTTGGAGATGATGCCTGCGTTGGCGATGGCGGCATCCAGGCGGCCAAACTTGTCTTTCGTGGCCTTCGCCAGCTGTTCGACATCGGAATCCTTCGTCGTGTCGCATCTTTGGGAGAGAATGGAGATGCCCGGGTTGATAGTTTCGAGCTCGGTGGCAAGTTTGTCCAGGTCAGACTGTGTGCGGGACGCGATGACGATGCCTTTTGCTCCGGCCTTGGCGTAGGAGAGGGCAATGTTGTAGCCTACACCTTTGACAGCACCGGTGACCAGGACAACGAAGTTTGAATGCAGTTTGATGCTCGTTGGATCGGTAGGTCCTTCTGGTTTGGTGTGGATATTCTTGGTGAACTTCCAGCCCCAGTGATCTGGGAAACCTGGGTCTGACATTATAGCGACGACTGAGACTCCTGATAATTTCAGACTGGCTCCGCCCGGAACTTGTATTAAATACTGTTGATGTAAGTGTGAGATTCAAGAAGTGAAGTCAGCTTCCAAGAACCCACTGCGAGAATCGCTCCAACTCAATCGATGATGTGGTAGCCGTGCAGACTCAGGGCGGGGCTACGCTATTAGTACTGCCTACTGAGGTCCTTTGCAATCAATGGCGAACCTAAATGCGGGCATATCACAGGATGCTGACACGATAATCATCAACATCCTGGAACGCAGTCAAGGACGTCTTGGCGGCTGCTTGTCGCTCTCGATAGTATTCTCATCGCAGTGAGCAGCCAAATCGCCCCAACAAACTTGGGGAACAATTAGCTGAGCATGGACAGATCGGGGTGCGATACTTATTCAAGGAAAGACAACATATGACAGGTATGGCCGCATGAGGCAGTCTAGTCCTTCGCGACTTCACTGGGGCTGATCAGGGTTCGATAGGCCATGGCATGCCTGGTGCTGAGCTCGTGTTCATGCGACTTGGCGTAATCGATGCCATGTGAGGTGTTCGCTCTGAGACAAAAACAAGGTCGCAGGGTAATACTGAGTGTTTTGTGGACGCCCATTCGTCGACCACAGGAGGCAGTATCTATTTTCAAGTCTGGTCGTTCATACAGTAAGCGATTTTGCGTCTTGGCTTTCGTTTAGCTCCTTCAAGGTCCGTGATATCGTGTCTGGCCTTCTTCAAATGCCGGGATAGTACTTGACACTCCCACCTCCACTGCAGATACTCTCAACAACAGCAACATCAGCGAGTGCCTGCTGTGGCGAGCCTCTTTCGTCCGATTTCCCAGCCTGGATGTCGTCCAGGAATGCCGCGAACAGGTTCTTGTACGTGCTGCTGTTGCTCACGATCTCCTCGCTGACGGCGTTGCCTGCATCGTCCTCTACTATGAGCTTGGTGCCGTTCGGATCACGCGTCAAGACTAAGCTGCCTTTGGACCCGATGAAGACGTAGCTGAAATCTCTCTTCGCAGAAGCAAACGAGATGCTCAATGTGCCCAAGGCTCCGGATTTGAGCTTCAATGCTGCCTGTACGGTATCGAGGGGCGGTAAGTGGTCCAGAGTCTGCTTTGCAAATGACACCGTCTCCACGATCTCGTCAGCTGCAATGTGTCGAATCAATGCTGTGGCGGCATTGATTAGCGATGGTCAGCGACCTGTGGCATTCGATGCACTCACAGACGAAATGGACACCGCCATCGAGGAGGAAACCTCCTTGGTACTCCGGCTTTTTTCTCCACTCGGTTTCGTAGTACTTGTTTCCTGGCGACACTTTGTTCCAGACGCGTGCATGTACTGCAGTGAGATCGCCAATGGTGCCGTCGGTGACGATCTGTCTCGCGTTGTCGTGGCCTTCATCGAACCTGTACTGCTCCATGATCGATAGAATGAGACCCTTTGACTTGTACTTGGCGTCGTGCTCCGCTATGAGGGCTTGAGATGCTTGTACGTCTTTTGCAATAGGTTTCTCCATAACCTGTTCATAGTCAGTGGGATTGGCATCTATGCCTGACCACTGAATGAACTCACAACATGCTTTCCAGCGGCAAGAGCCTTTAGAGCCAATCCAGGCTGCACGAGAGTCGGCAGCGATATGACAACTGCGTGGACATCATCACGCTTGAGCAGATCGTCCAATCCAGGACCTGATTCCTCATCATGATAGAGGTCAAAATTCGAGGAGACGAAACCACTGAGCTTCTTGGCCTCTTCAGCCGTATCTGCAGCGCTTCGACGGGACCGAGAGTATACGGCAACAAGCTTTGCGTCTACAGAGTGAAGTGGTGCCAGATATGCTAAAGCCCCGTTAGAATTGTTTTCTTGGTCGCTGAGGCTTCATTTCCTACTCTGTTTGGGATAGGTTCCCGCGCCCAAGAGCGCGATACCGAAGACCATGTCGAGAGGTGTCGGTCTTCAGAGTTATATTATATGGAAGCTGGTGAAAAGTGAAGCACTCGCTGAGCTTGTGGTCCTCCGCCTCCAGTCTTGCGGGTCTCAAACAGTTTGCCGAGTGGCGTCATGCTGCCTTCTCCCGAGCTGCGGCTTAGACTGACTGTCAGTGGGATGTTGGCCGCCGCTGCGAAGGTGCGGTCAATCTGAGTTGATGCAATCTTGCTATACGAGCCTAGACATCGCCTGTTATCTCGATTGCTGGAACGTCGATTTTCCTCACTGGAGACGCCGCTCGACTGAGCGCAAGGACTTTGGGCTTCGCGGCTACAGCAGGCCGATCGTCCAGTCGTCGCGCCCCTTTTGCATCTGCGTGTAAGAAATCGAACATCTGCATCTTCTTGGCTGATCTGATAGTGTCAATGCTGAGCACCCTCGAATCTTTCGCCGTAGCTAACGTGACAGCGATACTCATGGTATTCTTGATCTGCCGAGATCTCGATTAGCTGATGTCAATCACATCACTCGCTACTGTTCCATGGCATACCTGACGTCCGTTGAGATCTACCTCTGCTAACTCATCGAGGTCTCTTTGCTCCAACTTCACATCGACGTTATCGAGCGATTGAGCTTTGCTAACGAAACTTTGCCAGATTTTTCGCCGTGCCTTAGCTTCCAGAATAGGGTATGTGTAGCAGAAATGTACTCTACCTACGCGAAGTCAGTGTTATTCGGCCCATTCTATAGGTAATGGGTCAACATACTCAGCATTGCATGGTCTATCAGCTCAGGTTGGTTCGTCGTCAGGATCATGATGCCCCGGTAGTATTCCAGTTCGCGGAGAAACACAGAGACTATGGCGTTGCGCTCCAAGTCATCGAGCGACCGCTTGGCGAGAAAGATGTCGGCTTCATCGAGAAGCAAGACAGCATTCCAATGCGCGCACAGCCCCAAGATTGCCGATAAGTTCTTGTTGATCTCAGGGGCAGTTGAGCCAAGAGCGCCGCTCGTCACGGCATAGAGTGGCCGCCGAGCAACTTCTGCAATCGCTTCGGCTGTGAATGTTTTCCCTAGGCCTGGTGGACCACAGAGAAGGCCGATGAGTCCCTGGCCTTTACCAGATACAAAGTCATCAAAATTTGTCTCCAGACGGTTTTCCACGAGCTGACGCATGGAAGAAAGCATGTCTGGGTCCAGGACTAGCGAGTCCATTAGAGTGGAGTTCCACTGCACATCCTTCATTCGTGATACGGAGAATGCTCCTACGCCAGATGAATTTAGCTGCTTTTTCTTTGTATTCTGTTTGAACTTACCCCATTTTGAGTTTGCGAAACAGTAGCCGTACACGAGTCCTGTGAAAAGTAACCGCTCGATATCCGAGAGCTGAGCGTTGATGGCAGCACGATCCTCTGCGGTAGCGGTAGGATGGCTGCCCCCTTGCCTCATGTCTCCACTAGATGCGATCCAGTCGCTGCTATCGTCGGAATCGCTGTCACTGTCTTCGACTACGTTAGATTTGTCGTGATCTACGTCTACAGGGCCAGTCACAGGGTCTCGAAAAAGCTCGCCAAGGTCAACTATCTGCGTCTCATTAGCGAAGAGATCAAGAATTACCTATCAACTGATACCTTTCCATCGGGAGCATCTTGAGAGATTCGATTTCGGCCTGGTTTCCATCCTCCAACGATGTCTGAACCAAGGGGGCTTTGCTCGATCTCTCTATACTTGACAGGATCTGTCATGATTCGACCACGGAACTGAGGCGAGAAGAGTCAGCTTGTCCATGCGTGCACCACAACCTCAAAATACTCACATGGCATCGGCGTGGCGGTGGGTCAGGGTCGTAATAGCTCTGCTTTGGTGGCCCGGGCACGATTCCCTCTCCGCCATGTTCCTGCACCTTGTATGGTAGATCGATGAAGGAAAGCTGTTTCTGAGTTCGTGCAAGGACATCTTTCCAGATGGTCTGTCGCCCCGGTAGGAGATATAGCGGCTGGTACTGTAGCTCCTCTATGAGCTTCACGTCCTGATAGAGTGGGATGACCAAGTCAGTAAACGCGAATCCTATCTGTCGCCCATCGTATTCTGCAGACTCTGCTCTGATTATGAATTGACGAGTGCCGTCCCATTTCTTCTGATACCTGGTGTCCACGCAACGCCACACGCGAGGCTCGTCCAGAATATCTTTCGCGAACATCAGTAAGTTTGGCGAGAAAATTGCCCAGAGATTCTCCCAGCTGATACGCGTGTTCAAGCTGGGACTCGCCAGCTCCACGCTTATCTCGGGAAAATGGTGCTTGATAAAGGCGAGGGCGGCCGTGATCTCGAACTGAGTCTGGCTGTTGTTGTCAATGCTGTCATCAGCAAGCGCCTTGAGCGTATGTCGTGCCCAGAAGAACCATTCTGGTTTCAACTAAAGATAGTCAGCATGGTGTGACAAAGATACAAATGCAGTCAAACCCAACCGTCTTCACATGATCTGTGAGGGTAAGGCCACTGGCGTCGCAGAAAAGGTTTCTCATGATTCGCAATAGACTCGAGCCGTTGATTTCGATTTCGGAATATTCGTACATGAGCTTCTCGGAATGCACTCGTTTCACAAGAAGGACACAGTTGTCTTTCGACGAGGGAGGAGCCCGTTTCGGGTTCACAAGGCGCCATCGGAGGTTCTTTCTTCTTGGTGTAAGCCAAGACTCACGATTGACACCTCGAGCGCCACATACTTATCCCAACTTCAACGTAGTCAGCGCGTGCCCAACCCTGTCAATTCAAGCCAGCGCTTACTACTGATCTTTTGTGATGAACATGGATACATCTCCCGTAGTCGTTCCGTTTGGCGGGCCCTGAGGTACAGGCGCATTCTCGTCCTTGTAAAGATCCTCATAGAGAGTCACAGCTGCACAAACGCATTGCGATTAGTGATTGTAAAGATGCAGTGGCGAAGACGTTAAGACGTTTTCTTGCCTTCTGCAACATCTCCTTGGCTTCTCTTGTATAGACGAGCGACCTTATCTTTCGCCACGTAGCAATCGAGCTTTTGCATGAGTTCGTCTCCGAACTCCCATTGTCGCAGCCTTTCTTCGGTCGTGTTTGATTGCTCACGGGACAAAGGTACGTCCTTTGTAATTGTGCGCGAAAATGAAGCCCCGTGACGCCTTGCGCCTGTCGTGTCTTCGTTCTCTGTCGATAGCGAACGAGACATGCTGGAGAGGAGAGAGTAAAAGGATCGTTTGGCTAGACTTTGCAGAAGCAGGCTGCTGCTGCTATAATCTCGCCAGGCACGCGGCTGAGGCTGGATCTCCGTGGGGCCGCTGGGTGGCATTTATGCATGCAGGACTAGCCGCACATTTAATCAGCAACCCGGCAATCACATGCACTTCTGGTCGTGGAGACATTGCATACGCAGACGCAGGCGCCTTGATTGGCCTTGTCGACATGAGGGTTTTGCGCCACCACCAGAGCCTGCGGAAAGCTTGTGATCAAGAGAACGTCTCCATTTGATTGGCAAGTAGTCTTGATTTGCAATCGAGGAGGCACCTGAGGCTGAGACAAGGTATGTCTGAAATAAGGATTCAAAGCTGTTCTCAGTCGAGCACTAATACATTCGCTCGCCCTCCGTCTGATACAGGAAAGTGTCGCAGTCAGAATCTTCATCAAAGTCTTCGTAAAGCGGATCGTCTCTCAGTGTTGCTTTCTTCGCGGAAGCGTAAGACCTCAGTGCTTCATCGGCGGGGATCCAGTCTCCAAGGTCTTCCTTTCGGATATAGACCACGACAGGGAAATCGAAGGTCTCATCCTGTCGGCAACCTAGCACCAATGTAGAGTCACTGTCGGGTGAGCGTGGCGGAAAAAAACGAACAGACCGTTGACAACACGATCTGGGTAGGAAAATGTCTTCTACCGGCATGCAAACATCTCCAGTGACGTCCTCGCTGCCTTCGGATTGTAGCTTGAAGCGGTAGACTCGTAGTTTGTCTGAACTCAACGTCACGTACGCATTGTCCGTGGTCCAAGTGATGGTGAACGGGAGTAAAGATACCAGCTTTTGTCGTCGAGCATCCAGAGATACACAGGAACCAGGACAGAACGTGGGCTTCCCAGAGGTAGCATTGCCGTCAGCTAATCGAAAGGCAAAGATCTCGCAGAAGACTTCTACGTAGTTGGTGTTCACACTTTCCTCGGCGAAAAACCTTGCTACGTGCAAATATTTCTGGTCGACGGAAAAGTGCATCTGAACGCTGATCGCGGAGCTGCTTGGCGGGAGGGGTACATCTTGGATAAAGAATCTGTTTTGTTCCATGTTGGCGAAAAGTAGTTTCTGGCCATCCAGAGCGTAGACCAGTAAAGGTTCCAAAGGGTGCACAGCCGGCCCAGACTCATAAAGTTGCGCCGCGTTTGGTGAACGGAATTGGAATACCGGCTCCTCCTGGTGGCCATCCAGACGGCGCACCTTGACATAGGTGTTGGGTAGTGACCAGTCAACAGAATGTAGTCCAGTTCGAACGATTTGGCGTCCTCGTGAGCTGTCATACCCGCATAGTTGGTGCGAGGAGTCATCGCACCATTTGTGTTGGCTAAAGCAGCTGGTACAGATATCGTAGGAGTCTCCTGGCCTGCAGCGCCTACACCTGTAGTATCGAAAGACTGGATCCGCACCACATTCGTCGCATGAGACAACGTACTTGCCGCTGCTGGTGATGCGGGGCTGGTACGGCACACGTTCGACGTCGTCGTCGCTTTCACTGCTCTCCTCGATCTCATCAGCCTCATCGCTCCCGCCAGCTTCATCAGATCGTTCGTGAGAAGTCGTGTCCGCCGTAGAGAGAGCAATGGGCTCTCGTGGACTGTCGTTGCAAAGGTGAATGCTTTTCGAGTCCAAGTTTTCGTCCAGTACATAGCGAGATGCTCCACCGCGGTCTTCGTCCGGTATCCCCGCAGAGACATTGTCTGGTTCATCCACGCTCTCATCGTCATACCAAGACATGGTGGTACTGTGTTCGTCTGAAGTGCCCGAGTAAAAGTACTCTGCTGATGGAGCCATATCAGACGAGGCTGCTGAAACCGAAGAGGGCGCAGGCGATGCTTCTCTACTTCTTCTCTTCTCAAAAGGGTACAGGACTTTGCGTCGCCGGGTTCTCACAAGGTAATCGTTGCGAAGATGGGTGCTGTCCCAAAACGTGAGTGTCGTCTCACGATCAGTGCTGCGTGGTTTCCACACATCTCGGTATTTCACAAACTCGCGGGCCCCGATTCGAATCATGTAGTTTGGTTTTATGACCTCAATGGGCGATGGGCGGTGTTGGCTTTCGTCTTGCGGGATCAAATCAAAGATCCGAGATTTGCACGGATCATAAGCATTCCAGTTGACCTCGTCGCTGTCAAAAATGAGTTGTTCACAAATGTATCGAGAAGGTGGAGTAACGCCGTCTACGTGCCAAGCCTCGCGAATCATTGTCATCGTCGAGGAAGAACTAGACAGCCATTAGCAAGTCTCCCCGAAAAGTTTCGAGGGCACTGCTCACAGGTCTCGACATGTCCGCCAGACAGAGATCTTGTCCCCGGATTCATTGACAGTTTCATAAGCGCAAGGTCCTTGAGCAATAGACTCTCCACCCTCGCAACCTAGCCGGTAGCTTCGGTAACGCTCAATGGTGCGGTTGTTGCGAAGAACGTTCCTGTCATCGAGAGCGCCCCAGAAACAACGATCGATTTCTCCATTGAACTGCGTCGTAATTCCATGTTGAAGGAATTGACCCCACTCTGCACGGAAATCGTAGTAGGCCCAGCCCACATCGCTGTTGTGCATAAAGCTAGGTAAATTTTGTTTCATGGACTTCCTGTGCCCGTTTTCTAGATTCTGGATGAAATGCCCAACCACGTACAGTGACTGCACCTGCAGAGTCGTGACGAAGTGGGGCGAAGAGATGAAATCGATGACTTGTTCCCGAAGTTTCTCTGGAAGCGGTTCAACCTCGTCAACGTGTCTGTACCAATATTTTGCCGCATACTGTAAGAAGCGATGCTGGCGTACGTCTCGGGGTTCTGGCCCACTCGATGCCTCGAACTCAAGGGCTGACAATTTGCGGAGTGGTAGAGCGTATCGGCCCTGTGTCAGGTATTGCAGGCAGCCAAATGCCAGGACGTCTGGCCGGATCGAACGATCGGGACACGGTGAGGACTGTCCAGTTGATGAATCACACCAAGACCCTGTGAGAAAATTGTAGACAGACCCATGGTCTAGCCGCAGATAGCCTTCTCCGATATCTTGGTTTGGAGCATCGACATACTTGATGAAGAGACCAGAGCGGCGTTGGATCCATTCAAGTCTAATGAGCCCCCTCTTACTGTCAAGAGAGCGCTGCCCGCGTTTTGCAAATTTGGGTGACACCAGAGTCACCAGCTCCTGGACCTCGCAGAGTTTCAGTGCTCGCTTCGAGAAAGTCAAGACACTGAGAATGTGGCTGGGAAGTGTTAGCTCGTTCACAAGTTTCAGAGAGCGCAATACACTTACGTGGAAAGGCAGTGTCCAACACCATCAGGATCCTCGGAGGCCTCATTTTTATCTCGCAGCTGAAGACGCTCGAGTTCTCTTTGATAAATCTTGTTCAAGTCCACTGGCAGACCTTTAGCTATCATGTCAAGTACATCGTGGTCTTGTGCGCAATCAATCAAGGATCTTTGCATCGCGGCTGCCCATCGAAAGTTATCCGCTGCTGTGGAATGCAAACGCTCCTCGGCCTCAATCGGTATGTCACATTTCTCGCGATCATGAGCTTTCCAGAGGGCACCATCCAGCATGCTAGTGAGAAAATGGCTCACATCTTTCCTTATTGCGTCGATTGGCAACCGAAAATGCTCTGCACCACGCAGGCATGGCTTGATCCATTCATCCTCTTGGCTACTGCACCACAGTCGAAGTTTGGATTCTCCAGTTTCGATGGAGGTTTGGTTTCGTAAGAATGCAATGAAGTCCTGCAAGCCGCGCCTTAAAGTGGCGGCGACGGAACGACTGTAGTCATCGATCTCGTTCAGTCCGTCGATGAAGATGAACACCAATGGACAGACAGCGACCAATTCCGTGACGAGGTCTTCAAACTCCTTGGCAAGGTTCAGCGGCCTTCTTCTCTTGCTAATAATCTCTTGAGGAACACCATGATGATCTGAAAGGTAGTTGATAAGCTGCAGGGCCAGACTCCGGAGTAGTTGCAATCGGTTACGTTGCGTATCATATGACAAATGAATGAGTACCGTGGCCGGACTCGAGGCCATCTTTGCAACGTGCTCGAAAACCTGCGAGGTCAGGACGGACTTGCCACGACCACTCGATGCCGTTACCCACAGAGCTGGGTTGGTGCATGCGATACCAGACCAGTTGTGAAACACGCGCTCCTCGAAGAACCACAAGCCTGTACCATCCTGTCGGATGGAGATTCGTTCATCGTGCTCTCTAAGATCCCACCCATCGGACTTGTCATCATTTCCGCGAACGTGAGCACGTAGTTGTTCCACTTCGTGGACATTGAATTGGTCTGCGTTTGTTGGTTAGTAATCTGACTATGAAGGCATCCAACTTGTAAGAACTGACTATAGGTGACATCACCAAAGACATGCCCCAGGTGTTGAAAGGCAGCATCTGTCGCTGAGATCCCGCTATAGACTGTTCGGGGTGCTTGTTCAGGGCCTTGAAGCCACTCGGAAACTTCGTCCTGAATCAAAGCTGAGTCGCCATTAAGTGCAGTCGACTGCCTGCGTCCAATTAGGGGCTTTGATGAGGCCATCCTGTCTCCAACAGATCCCCGACCTGGCTCTCTGTTGAAGCGCCGAAGTCAAGGATAGCGGCCGACGTAAACGAACTGTATGTTTCCTGTATGTTCTGCCCTGGAATAAACAATGACATTGTCAATGACCCGAGCCTGGAGGTTCCCCTCGTTCATGATTATCATGTCCAGACAACCAGTCATGAGGCGATTCCAGCCTCCAGGCCGCGAGGCATTGCGCCCCGACGCAGCCCCCACGTCGGCGCCGACATTATTGCAGTTGGTACACTTTCAGTTCTGCAGGCGGGCGCTCTGGAGCCGTGATCTGATTGCTTGGATGTCGTGCTGTACGCGTGCATTGTGCAGAAGGTCTGGAAAAGCGTTGCCAAGCGCGGCACAGCGCGTGGAGCCGTGGCCTTGATTCGGCCGGAAGTGATCAGTGATCAACGATCAACCCCACGCTCTGCCCCTTCCAGTCTTCACCGGTCATGTTGTTGTTAAGGAGCACGACCACAATATCGCCGCCATGCCGTCGCCCTGCTCGCGTCCGCTGAAGAGCGCTGGAAGGAAAGATACAGAACGTGCAGCAGACATGAATCGCATCCTGCCCGAGGCGTAATGTTCTCACCACTTGCACTCTCACGTCAGCGTTTATAAGTCGTCTTCATCGATGGACTCTTCGGGTCGTAGTATTATTTACAAGGATACGGCGGCGAACGGACGCTCTCAACAGCACAACGGGCATGTCTACGGAAACGTTACCTACAACTATGGCAATCCCAGCCCAGCTCCAAGCGTTTCTGGTGGCAAGCGAAGCACACCGAAGTCACGACAAGATGAATATACTGTAGGATGGATATGTGCGTTACCAGTGCCAGAATGGCAAGCATCTCAGATTCTGCTCGATGAAGAGCATGAAGATGTCTTAATATCACCACCAACGACATACTCGTATGTCTTTGGCAAAATCAATGGCCATGGTGTAGTCATGGGTTGCTTGCCAGAGGCTTCTATGGGAACAACGTCCGCCGCTGCGGTAGCGGCCGAAATGCGAGCTGTGTTTAAAGCTCTACGTTTCTGTCTCATGGTCGGCATAGGAGGAGGCGTCTGGAGTGAAAAGGCAGACGTACGCTTAGGTGACGTTGTCGTCAGCAGACCCGACCCAGTCGCCAGGACTGGTGGAGTGAGTACAGGTGGCCACGACCAAACAAGAGCTCTACTGACTTCCATGGCCAGGTCATCCAGTGGGACTTTGGAAAAGCGATACAAGGAGGAGAATTCCAGATGACGGGTTCGCTGAACTCGGTGCCGGAGACTCTGCTCTCTGCCGTAGGGAAGGTCAAGGCAACGCTACTTCACAAAAGCAAGTTTCCAGAATACTTGAAAGCATACAGTCAGTATCAGGACTCATATCCGGAATACGCCAATCGGCCCAACGCACCAGATCGGCTCTTCGCTCCTTCCTTCGAGCATCCTCAAGGGAAGGATACGTGCGATAGTTGTCCCCGAGAACAAGAGATCTTGCGGCCCGAACGGCCATCCAACAGACCTGTGGTGCACTATGGCACGATTGCATCTGGCAACGCTGTGATGAGAGATGGCGAGCGGAGAGATCGCATTGCTAGTCAGCACGGCGGTATACTGTGCTTTGAGATGGAGGCTGCTGGACTGATGAACCGCTTCCCCTGCTTGGTTATTCGAGGGATTTGCGATTACTGCGACTCTCACAAGAACAAGCAATGGCACTCATATGCATCTGCAGCCGCCGCGGCATGGGCCAAGGAGCTGTTGCGGAATATCCAACCGTCATTGTTGTCCAACGAGAACACAATTGATGAGCAGACTAGTTCGTAGCGATTTGTCGCTATGCAAAATATACATTGAATAAGAAATGCTATATATATTGAAGCCTGACGCGCTCCGCTTGGCAGGAGCTCAGACCAAACCTCGCAGCATCCCAATTTGGCGCCAAAAGTTCAGAAAGTCAAAGCATCCTGATCCCTCCACCACCTCACCTCTTCCCTTCTTTGCACTCTTCAAATGTCGCCCCCGACGCGCCTCTGCATCTCCCTATTGCACGCCCCATCACGATCATCCCCTCAAACCCTCCAACGATGCGCTCCCATCTCCATCACCGCCCGCGGTGACAACAACCAACAGGGTTATAAACGACACCAAACCCGCCCCTTCACCCTCACCCCCCGCCGCCATGCCGGTTCCATGGCCGCCGCCCGCCAAGTCTCCATGCGCCAACCCTCCCAACCCTCCATCGCAGTGCAGATGAAAGCCCAACAAAAAGCTGCCATGCGCGACGGCTCCTTGCTGGAGCAGTACGGCCTGCTTCCAGGAACCGTGGTCCCGCCTACAGGCTCTAAACTGCCCTCTTGGCTCAAAGACCCGCGGGACCGATTCGCGCTGGAATGGCACAAGATCAAACGCGGCGTGGTGCAGATGATGACGGCGTTGTATTTTAGCAAGTGGGCGGTGCGGCCGAGGTTTTCGCTAGAGAGGGGCAAAGTCGCGGGCGTCGCGAAGGAGCTATATGAGGATATGTATCGGCATTTCGCGACGGGCGATCTGGCGCCGATTGAGCATAGACTGTCGCCGGGTTTTATGGGGAGTTTGAGGGCGAGGATTTCGCAACGTGCACCGAATACTTCACTTCTCTGGAGTCTGGAGAAGTATCTTGGGCAGCCGCAGTTGATCTGGTACTCTGTTGCGATGATGGATCCGAAGAGGCCGAGGGAAGATCAGACTGGGATTCTGCAAGCTGTGGTGAAGATTCGGTCGAGGCAGCGGTTGCAGAAGTTGCGGAGGATCATGGGCAAGGACCGGCAGGTGAGGGAGGTGTTGGCTGATGCGGAGGGTAAGGAAATACACGAGGATGAGCTGGAGAGAGAGAGGAGGCGGAGTACCAAGGACACGACCGAATACGTGGTGCTGCAGCGGATCGTGAAGAAGAGCCGGCCGGGTCCATGGCTGATATGGGGCACGACTGAGGAGATGACGCTTGCAAAGATGAAGAGGGTAGAGGAGCAGGTGTACAAATCGCAAGTGGCAGCTCGGAAGGGACAGTGAGATACCAGTGTACAATAAATGTATCAAAAAGACTCCTCAAGGCTGAAGAGATTGTGCAAAGAAAGTGTAAGAGTTTGACTGCATGATGCATTCCCATAGCAAGCTGCTACATAGACTACCGAGTGCCCAAATGGCCGCCTCTGCTGCCGTTACCGACAGTGACAGATCCATTACTGTGCCAGTCGAGTCTCTCCGCATTCGCATATTGAGGTGGCTCGTGCCCTGAACCATCGCATCTGAAGAAAAGTATGAAGAAACCGTGTGTTGTGTAAGAATCGCCCGAAAGGAAGCGCTCGTCAAACATGCGTACCGACGCCCGCCGTACGTCTCGTCGTAGCCTCTGGCTGTCGTAATCGTGTCGTGAGGGTCGTCTCTGTACGTCCACCGGCCCAGCCGCAATACTCTGGATTGAGAACCGCTACGAGAGCCAGCGCGCGTAGCGTGTGTTTATCCACGACCTCCCACTGCTTGTGTGGACGAGCTTGAGCGAGCGCGACGCTGTCATGACGGAGCAGCGTCTAGAAACCGTGGACTTTGATAGTCTTGGCATCCAGCTCGAGGCCTTCCTTCTTGTCGGTCAAGAACTCCTGCACATCCTTGCGCTGATCGCCCTGAAGCTGGATCACCTCGCCCATCTCGGTGTCGTTGACGATGGTGCCATTGCAGGCGAACTTCTTCTTGATCACCTTGAGGATCTTCTTCTGGTCGAACTTCTTTGGCAAACCCTGCACCGTCGTCAAGGTCTTACGACCATTGCGTTCTGTGGGGCAAGTACGTCAGCGGGGCTCACGGTGCAAGTAGGGTGCAATGCAGAGTCGACTTACGCTGAATGCGGATATGAATGTAGTTCTGAGACTGCTTAGTCTCTCCAGTATCCTCATCGGCCTCCGCGAAGGGGTCTGTGTCACACCAACTGTCAGCATACTCTTCACGTGTCGCTGTGACCTCTCATGATCGCCCTCGCGACCCGTCACCGGCGCCATTATTTGCCATGCTCATGAGCATTGTCGAGGTGTTCAGCAAGGTCGAGGTCGAGGATCGGTCGCGCAGTGCTTATCATGAGGCTGAGGGAAGGAGGACTTGCCGTATGTCTTGAGGTTGTCGATCTGGGCTGACATATGCTGTTGCTGGTCGGAGATCGCGTGTGTGTTGGTTGACGATGTGCGTTGAGGGTTTTGGTGACTGGTTTCGAGAGTGGAGTGGAGAGTTGTGGTGTTGTTTCTGTCGTGGTGGTTGTCGAAGAGGAAGAAGCGGGCGGGGCAAGATTGGAAGTGGCGCTCGAAAGCCAAGACCACGCGGGCGCTAGTCTCTTCCCGTACACTACGCCAACGTCACTTGCAGACTTCTCACCCATTCACTTGACCTTGCCTCCACATTGCATCCCATGTCTCACGTTGCTCAGTCTACGTCACAAGATCGGCTGGAGCATTTCTAAATATCACCTATCACTATGGGAACCGGTATTGACAACAAACCCGTCCAGTGACGAGACCAAGGAGGACGCGCACCACGCAAAACGACCACGCCGACCGGCCAACCTGCGGACGATGTGATACAAAATATTATAGTGTCATGCACGGTAGTGTGCTGAAGTCCATTTGCTTGTGTCAATCATCGTCCTTGGGCAGCATGGCCGATCAGGAAGTACAGCTACCATCACTTTGAATCCCGCTGGGCCTAGATCGCGATCACATGGACAATCGCTGAGTCACGGGCTGCCAACAAAGAACGGTACAAAGCCAGAACACAATCTTCTTTGGCCCTTCTTCCCCGAGATCGCCACATCTTTGTATACTGGCTATTGTCTACATCCTCCCCTTGTCCGTGTCTGTTCTCTCGCCACAGCAGTATAAGTTTAGCGCTCGCCCACTCAAATGCCAGCTCTCCACTGTATACAAAAACACGAACACAACAACTTATACCCATCAAAGACTTCTGGTAAGTCCTAGACACACCTCACCTCTTCAAACAACAACAATGCAATTCGCTACCACCATCCTCACCCTCTTGGCCGCCACCAGCGCACTGGCTGCGCCCGTGGACTCCAACACCTCCTCCCTCCAAGCTCGGAAGGTTGCCCCAGAACAGTCAACTTGCAAAGCCTATCGCAATGACATGGTCAACGTCAATGAGAGTGTCTTCATAGTCACCCTCGGTCGACCGTACCTTGGCGGTGGCAGATGCAAGGAGCTGCGAGACAAGATCAATGGCGTCGCCAAGGTCAATTACATGAAGTGTTCGGGCTCGAGTGGCAAGACGAACACAAAGCTTGCCATCCACAGCGACATGCAGGGAGCCAACATTGCGAACATGAACCGTGGTTTGAAGGCGGCTTATCCCGAGATCAAGTTCAACTGCCCGACCAGCATCTACAACCCTTAGTTGTGGGTAGTTTGTACAACGGCTTGGTTGAGCAGGGGTTCTAGAAGATGGGAAGTCTTTTCGCGGTTACCTTTCATTCAATAGCGTTCTTTCAAGAATAACGAACAATTTTGGGCCTGTAGCCCGCATGCTATCTCACACTACCACATACTTCTCACCCGTCATCTTTTCAATCTCCTCAACACTAGCTTGATACTCGGATCCCTTCGCAAGCATCTCGACATATGCCAAAAGCCTTGGATATTTGGTCAAGTTGACCAGCGTTTCGCCAACAAGCACCGGAAAAGACATCATGATGTCTGCGGCAGTAAGATTCGCGCCACAGAGATACTCTCCACTACTCGGCGTTGACTCCAGCTGCGATTCCAGAAACCCGAAATACGTGGCATAGTTCTCAATTAGAAACTCATTGTCGAAGCGACCCGCAATGGACCTCGTAATATGTTTGACGAAAAACGGCACCGGAGCGTTCCTGATTTCTACCACAAGTATGTCAATACTGTCTCCCCTGATGATAGCAGAAACTCACGGTCCACAAGCAACCCCGTCAGCAACAGACTCATTAAACTCCCTCTGCGAAATGCATATAATATCGATATCTCATCCACTCTTCCGTTTCGCCTCCCAGCTCCCCGTCTCTGCCCTCCACCCACTGCCTAGGCTTCAGGTCTTTCGCAAAGTAGTCAACCAGATACTCAACGATGGCACCCGACTCAACCAACACCACCGGCTTTTGCATACTTGGTGCCTCGACGATTATTTGCGGTGATTTCCCTAGAGGATGGTTGTTCTTCAGCTCTGAGGGGGCCGTCATATTCGGGTCGCGCTTGTAGAGTTTGATGGTGTGGGTGATTTGAGGTTTGCATAAATGGAGAAGCCAGAGGATGCGTTGGGAGCGGGATTTGTTGAGCCTGGGTATGGGGTCAGTCTTGTTCGTGGAAATAGGATGGTATTTGGAATAGGAGCGTACGCACCAGTGTAGTGTGATCAGTGGTTTGGACATCGCTGCTGTGTTTTGCTTGCGCAACGATGGACTCTACGTTCATAGAAATGAACGACAAGCATTGCCTGAGGGTTCTCACTTATCTTTACACCTTTGAGATTGGTTGCATTCGTCATCCAAGCATCACAACTCCTCGCATCGACTGACGCATCAGACGAACAAATGTAGCCATTCTATCAGAATCGCAAGCGAAACTCGAAACCTGCATGAAGCCCTTGGCGTTAACCATCTCGAACAATGCATTAGCTTTGTTAACGTCCAATCACATGCGAATGTGTGGCTGCAGCTCGGAGAGTGCATTAGCGTGGAATTTAGCGTCGAGGCTGACACGAGGCTGTAGAGCATGTGCGAGATTCGTTGAAGGGTGTCGTCCGACCGTGCGACCGTGTAGTTAAGAGCTACGTCGAATCTGCAACAGTGGACAATGAGTATGAGAAAAAGTCTTGCAACCATCTTCTCTGACACTTGCAACCGTGAACTTCACTTCTCGAGGCTTGCTACTTCCGCACTGCAAGATCAGGAGCTCATAACAACACAAAAGTATCCATGTCCCAGGCCCCATTCTCCTCTAATCATCATCGGCTCTTATGTTTTACTATACCGAAACCCCTTCGGCAGCCCCTCAATCAAATCCCCAACAGGACAAATCGTCGGCGGACTCCTCGTTTCCAACCTCGCCACCCTTCTCCTCGTTGCATCCGCACAATCCCTACACCACTCCCACTCCTTCATCGCTCCATAACTCTCGAAAAAGTTTCCCGCGCAGCTCAACAACAAGAAAAGGAACTTGCCCGCCGTGACCGACCGCTGGCTATAGAAGGGAGCACATCGACAGAGTTCCCCGGCGTGCCAGAAGGCTCGGTGCTCGATGTCGATGATCTTGACAGGATTGATCGTCTGGGAGAAGTGCTTTTGGGAGAAGGCGTTATGGAGGAGCTGGAGGATGGCGCAGTCAGCCAAAAGGCATAACAGATGGACGAGCGCGCAGCCAAATCCATGTGGGACTTGTGCGAACTTGTAGAAATGGGAGAATGGCGTCGGTTTCTTCAACATAAAGATGTGCTCCTCGATATTTTCGTCGAAGCTGCCAAGATCACCGTCTATGCCGATGAGAGTTGGCGTGAGGTTCAGGGCGTTCGGGGGGAGGAGTATGATAAATTGCGCCTGTTGCAGACCTCCTAAGTGTTGAAATAGATCCAGGAACTCCCACTCCAGGTCATCCTTGGTAGTTGGGGTTGCCTGAGCTGCTACGAAATGGTCTGTTCTTTCCAGTAGACCAGGAAGAGCGTGCGTAAAAGCATCCATTAGCCCGTGCTCGCGTAGTCCGTACCATACGAAGTTGGCGTTGCTGTCATCAATGCAATCCGGATATAGTAGGTACTGGACTGCGGCAGGGAACTCAGGATCCGGATATGGTCCCAGCTGTCTAAGCTTATCCCACTCGGCCTGCGTCCACTCGACTCTTTTGCGCTCGGCAAACGCATTGAACAACGATTGAATGTGGATGTGATAGAAGAGCGGGGCCTCGAAGAAGTCGCCCTCTCCTAGTATGGAAGGACCGTGTACTCGTAGATATGTCCAAGCTCCACTGAGGTGAAGGCTCGAGTGTCTATTCCCTCCGCCTTTGTCAAGCAGTCGTGCGGGAACGGAAGGTGGCAGCATGCTTAGCGCAACGCTGGCTGCAACGATGTCTCGATGGTGATGGGCAGTTATACCAGGGGACTTCGAATTGGTTATGGCCGCCCGCAAGAGTGATATCGAGCGACCATACGACTCTTGGAGTGGCATGCCGAGCAGTCTTCGGTCCATGGTGTTATTGGCAAGATGGGCGAGACAGAGCGATTCAATCGCCACTCTGAGCATTGGCGACGCCACATGAGATCCAGCTAGGGTATGCAGGAAGGATAGCTGTGCAGTGTGAGCACAAGGTGGCGATGCAAGTGCTGCGCCAGAGTAGTTCTGGATGACAAAGTTTGCGAGCAGTTGCACCCGATTTGTGTGCGCTGAACTGGGGGAGGCCGATACTGCGTTGGTTGAGTCTTGGATGACCGGTACGAGATGCCCGCATTGTGTCTCTTTCTCCTGAACTAAAGAGGATGTGTCAAGCTTGACTTGCCATATGGCGTAGCCTTTGCAGACGCGTCCGGCGTTTACGCATCGCTTGCATGATGGACGCTCGCTGTCGCATTTTACCTTCCTCTCACTTGTACACGTTAGTCCCTCGAGTAGCACAGTCAGCGTCTGCGGGCTATGACCTACCGGCATGTTCGACAAGAGTCAGACGACATCCGAGAGGAAACCTCTCTCTTCCTCTTCGTCTTTATTCCATCAATGCTATATTGAGCCGTACCCGGTCCTTGAGAGGGGGCTTGAAGCATTTTGTGCGAGCTGTCATGATAGTGCCTGCACACGTTATCGTAAAATCACCCTTGTGGATGCATGTGCATTCGTTGTGTGGTGGAGTGTGGGCGGGGCCATCGTCAGCCTGCTGACGAAGCACAGATGCAGCTCCTTCCTTCGCGTCAATACTGTATACATATTTTGTTCGAAGGCCTTGGTGTGTTGAGCATCATCAGTCATGGTTGGACGAGCGCCGCTGAAGAATGAAGCGAGTAGCCAAAGTGCACATCAACATTTTCCCAGCTCTCCACTCCACAAATGACGAATGTCGCAAAGGCAATGATGAGGACATCATATCTGCTAAGTCCAGAGCCCAGCTGCAGACAGCACTCAATATTGACGGCATCAGCGTCAAGTTGGGTCACTTTCATACCGGGCGTTCACTTGCGCGCCCCTGCTTTACTTAGAAAGCTACTGACCGCTACTTTAATACGCTCCTTCATATCCACGTCGAACAAGAAGTCTTTAAGTGGGCGATCATTTCGAGCAAGTTCAGCCGGGATAGTGCTCGCCCCCTCGACCATGTTGCGGGCTGTGTGACGGGAGTTGCTGATGAGCGTATGCGACCTGTCGATTTGTGTGGCTGTAAATTCGGCAAATGCCACGTTAAGTTCTGAAACGGAATGGACCTGATTGAGCAATGCCCCTAGAATCGCGGCATCCTCTACCCCGATTGTAGCTCCTGCCGCCAGCCTGTGTTTGATGTCAGCCAGTTCAACCAAATCAATTGGAAAACGCACCATGGCACCGCCGAATGAGCCGCATCTCCAATCAAGCACATTCGCTCCTTGTGGAATGTTGGAAGCGGATTGATGTCCCATTCGAAGAAGCCTTCAGGCTCTGCAAGCTGAAGAATCGTGTCTTTAACGCCCTTACCCAACATGCCCCAGCCATCCCCAAAGTTCTCGTCAAGGAATCCAGCAGATAAAGGGAATCGCCATGGCGAGCTCGCTGTCTGCTCTTTCCATCCCGCAACGATGCAGGCCGCATACTCCCAGTCTTCATGGAGTGAGAAGTAGATGTTCCCCTTGGTACCGACCAACATCACAGCGCCTTCGGTCAGCGGATGGGATATGTGATCTTTGAGTAGAGCTCGTGCACGCGCGGCTGGTATCAATATACGGCCGTCCCATAATCCCGAGGGTCGTGGAACGAGTTTATCAGCGGGCCACTCTTGGATTACTAGATGTCGAATGTATGATCTGAGTCCGTCCGCACCAATGATTGCATCAGTTTGCAAACTCGTGCCGTCGTCGAATTGAATATTGTAGCGTTTGCTGGAATTCAGACTGTCCTTTACGGACGTCACTCGCTTGCCAGTGTGAAGTCTCTCTTTTGGAATCTTCTGCAAAAGCTTCGACATTAGTTTGGTTCTGTCCACGCCAATCGGGCGCTCGTGTTTAGGATAAGAGATCTGATGGGACAACTGGCCGCGATATGGTCCTTCGCCCTACCTCAGCAGTCAGATCGTTTCATTGTTAATGCACTCGATTGCTGCTCTGACCATAGCCACGGTCCATAGCTTGAGCTCTGCGCCCCCTATCTCCTCCGGGTATGATCCAAGGTCGGGATCCATTAACCTTAACGATTGGCGAGCTGTGCTTTGTAAGAGTAGGCCTTGACCAATGGCGCGGATTTCGTCATGCTTTTCGTAAATGTCAAATGTAATCTCAGGATGTTTGAGCAAAGCGTGAGCGAGGCAAAAGCCAGCAACACCGCCGCCAATGATTGAAATGTTTATCGTCATGTTGTTTAGTGTGGCATGAATTCGGTGGCACCGAAAAAGCTGCGATCAAGAAGTGGACAGGCGAAACCCAGCCGTATTCTCACAGGCTACTTCCGAGTAAATTGTAGATGGCTTGCTGTGGAAGACGAGAGCCTAGTAGATGAGAGGGGGGAAATCGACCCAAGCGTGCGTCCGGTAGCGATGGAGTTTGATGATGTTTCGCAAAGACATGCTCAAGTGAGGGCCGAAGGGAACAGGCCCTTTTGTACAGAAGGACAATAGGATGCGGCCCTAACTTGGCTTAAAACCCCCCTAAGCTGAAGTCTGTTGAAAAGGGCCTACTGAGCGAGAGCGGATCCATCTCTCTTGTCGTTTGCTGGGTATATCTTAGATTTCGCAGTTCTGTGCAGTGTTCAATAAGATGGCTGACTTCTTCTGGCGATTCGCGAGGTCGCTGCAGAAATAGGAGGCTTGGCGAACATCGAAAGGCCCCTCAGTCTGGTCTCGTTGTGGGCTTCGATAGGTCGTCATATATGGTTGCAGCGAATCTTTTTATCTGCAATATCGCTATGACATGGACCTATGTTGTTCGTGATGTAGATACTAGTCGATCTTGTACGAACATCCTTCATGGTTGTAGCATCAGGCTATTCGGATGAGAGCTTGTTTGATTTGTCTGCACATTAATGAACGCTGATGCAGGGCTATAGACGTGTGACGAGGATAACCAACACAGAAATCGTGGTGTGCGGTAGAAGGCCGGTGCGAGTTGAATGGCAAGGCCATGTCCGCAACCAGAACTCAGCCACAGAAACACAATGTGGCATGCTGTGGGAAGCGGGATCGAGACTCTTTATGGAGCCTTCGTGCCTCTGGAACTGTTGAGCACCCACTGGCCATCCTCTGTCGGGAAGTCACCATCCGCGGACAGTGGAAGCGTTCCAATAGGAAGACAAGCCTTGTCGATGCTTCCTTCTGGCCAGGGTGGAGGGCTTTCTCGCGATTCTAGTCCGTACGGAAGATCCTCAGCCTCACCACGCACGGCCCAACGGACGAAAGTGCACAGAAGACGGTCTTACGAGCGCTTGTCCGAATGTTGCAGCCTGGGGAGGGATTCAGCACTAATGTAGTCGAGCGTCCAGTGGTATACATGGGTAGGGTCACTGCCTCACCTGAGGTATATTAGTATTAGAGTTTGGTCCTGGTCGTATCTGGGCTCATTCTGCGCTGACTGCCTGTCGTCGGTCATGATGTTGGCTCGTAGCGCTAGGAGCTGTTCGATATTGGGAAGGGGTCCCCAATCTAGTACTCCGTGGTTTCAAACAACATCATACGGTATAGAGCTCCCTCTCTGACTCTCGGTGTTTGCAAAAGTTGGGTGTCTTTCCCAATGGCGTGCAGTCCAGTGGTCGCTGGCCCATTTTCCTCAAAACTCGTGTCGTTGCAGAGATCTGGAGGCGGGGACAACTTGGCTCGTTTTCCCTTTTCCGCGGCCAAAGAGATGCCGTTCTGAAGATCGTCTTGTGAGAGGCATGTATGTTGTCGGTAGTTCGCAGACACGAAACATTCCAGGTTGCCCTGACTGTACTCCAAAACAAGTGGGCCGCCGCTTGCTCATATCAGGCAAGCCGCCAAAATGCAATGCAGCGAGTTCGCCTGTGACTTCGGGATTTGGTCTTCCTGAATCCTTCAAAGCCCTCGGGTCGCGGTATTATGCTCCTTCACCACGAGGCAGACCTCGCGATGGATCATCTGAGTGTTTAGGATGTTGTTGGTGGCAGGAAAGAGTGGCTGTGTGGCTGTAGAATCCTCCTTGCTTGCTTAGTCGTCACTGCTGACTTGGCACTCCGGGCAAGCTGAAACCGGCGGGGCCGAAATGAAAGGCTCTGGATTGGGTTAGGTAATGTCAACGTTGCGGGTTAACAGAAGGCGGGGAGGTAGAAGTGTATTTATTTGGATTCTGGAGAGTGCCGAAGGAGTTTGATGTCCATGTTAGGAATGTGTCCATCACAACGATACTGGTAGCTGAGTTCGCCGACTCGGGACTACGAGAAGCCCTTCGCGAACAACTATGGGCCAGCTTGTGAACGGTCTGCGTATATTCTATCGGACGAAGGACGAATAGGCCTCATACTTCAATCATCAACCTGCAACGACATCAGTGATGCCTCTCATCTCAAGCTATGGCGTCTTCACTGGAGATCCTGAATCCGCAGTCCTGGGTGCCCAAGGAGAGCAAGAAGCAGGACCCCAGGTCTGCTAAGGTCTTAGAAGAACTCTCAACAGCCATGATCCGGATCTTCTGCGAACAAGACTGGTCCAATCCGCTCCTCAAGTACGCGTTACCGAATTTTTCGGCCTACATCGACTACGATGAGGTTCGAAGTCGATCATTGGAGGAACACATCGCCTTCCACAAATGGATGCACAAGAAGTATCCAGGATACATCTATGAGGTCGAGACGGTCTCGGCGGATGTGGACGATGTCAAGGGCTTGGCTACGGTGTGGGCTACATTGCGAGTTACCGGTCATCCGTGGAAGATACAGCGTGAGAGCGTGACCATTCTCTGGTGGAGGAGAAAAAAAGGCCAGTGGAGATGCTACAAACAATTTGGCGTATGTTCGATGGTTCCGTGGTGAACGAATCGTGGGCTGACTATTTTCAGGTGCGAGGAGTGAACTGGTACAGAACCGGCTGAGATCTTTGCTCACACTGCAATGCAGACATAGCCGCTGGATCATGGACGCATGTTGGAACCATTGACCACTTCAGCGGCCGGGTGCCAAACGCCATGGCCGGCAATGCCAAGTCAACTGCAATTCCAACATTTTGCCACATCATCCTACCATCTGCACGAGGTCAGAGGCCCCAAAATGACGGCAAAGAGCCTCGAAGGTGTTCTCAGTCGATAAGGTAGTCAGCGACCGCACCGAGACGGCAGATGGCTCGCTGAAGCCGAGGCGGCAGCAACCGTCGTCTTTCAACACAAAGGCAGATACTGCGGTTAGTTCGAGAATTGCGTTGCTCGTCGCTGTATAAAATGAGACATGAGTGAAACGAAGACGGCTCCTTCGACAGGAGACGAATCAGATGAGAACTACATTGCTCTGATCGGCATCGAGGAACGATCAGAAGTCTGCACGATCAGCGGCCAGGACTCAGTGGAATTGAATGGAGCGCACGGGGTGGTTTTCTTGGCCTGGACATTCCATTGAAGGTGATGCTCTACAAAAGGGGGAAATGGTATCAAGAACGACACAAGCCCATGCTTTCGGGCAGAGTACTCGATCGCAAGCTGCTGCGGGACCACGGCTGTGCTACCAGCATCTTAACAACATGTTTTATCAGAAGCAAAACTACCATCGAGGTCATGGGTCGGCAATCAACATTGGCTATGAAGAGGAGTTTGCATTCTCGAGTGAGTTGCCGACTATGCGTGTCCCGTCCAACACTCGCTCGACTATCTCGACATCAGGAAGCTCACTCGCGTATTAGTCCATGAAAGTCGAGTTGCATCTCGCAAGATTCCACATCTATGCTTAGCCCTCCAGTACATTACTGCATAGGGCGCACTTGTCTGCCCCACCCGGGCTTGCTTGCCTTCTTCTCTATCCGGCCACCGTGAGTCAACTCCAAATCTTTCGGGCTTGGACACCGACAACTTCATATCCGGCTCGACGTCAAGACATTCGAGGAAGACAGACAACAGAAACGACTCGAAACCTACATACTTGGACCCCTAACAGAACCCAAGTCGCCAACAATGGCGTCAACGCAACGCGACCCCAACACAATCACAATCCAAGAAGCCCTCCCTCAACACGTCTCCTCCCTCTCAACAATCCACGTCCGCTCCTTCCACCCAACCAACGCCTTCCACCGCAAAGTCTTCCCAGACACACCTCTAGTCCAAAACTGGTGGTCGAACATATTCTCCTCAGAAATCCAGGACCCCACCGCCCATGTCCTCATAGCGCTCGACACCCAAGCCACCGACCCAGCCCTCCAAGTCATTGGCGTGATCTGCATGCGCCTCATGGACCCCTCCGTCCCGGGCGCGGGGATGTGGTCGATGTATCCCCTCACAACCGACCACGATGCGGAGGAATTCCAGCCCTCGGTGGAGTTCATGGCCGAGTGGCGGGAGAAGCTGTTTGGGAGGGAGCAGCAGTGGCATTATCTGCTGGAGTATGCGGGCGTGGATCATGCGCGCAAGGGGACGGGGGTGGGGAGGAGGTTGTTGGAACGGGCGTGCGAGATTGCGGATGCGAAGGGGTACCCGGTGTTTGTGGAGGGGAATCATTTCGCGGTGGGGTGGTATCAGAAGTGTGGGTTTGAGGAGAGGGGGAGGAAGGTCATGCCTGGGAAGGAGGCGTATAAGCAGCATGTTTTGGTGAGGCCTGTTAAGGGGACGAGGTGAGAGTCGTTGGAGTCGTGATTTCTCATTAAATATATATATCTACTCATCACTCATAGACATAACAAAACGGCCCCGCCACCGTACTCAACGCCTCCTTGATCCTCAACCCTCTAAACTCATCATTCACCCCCAAATCAATCCGGTCCTCCACTGTCGCATTCCGACTAGGAGGCGAATTCAAAAACGTAACCGTCCCGGCAATGCTGCTCAATCTCTCCTCAATCTTCTCCCACACGGACATCTGCCACATCCAATACACCCGATCGATCTGTGCATGGTGCAGGAAGAACCAGGGGTCGCCAGGGCTGGTGTAGAAGTCGCTGCCGGGGTCGCCGCTGAGGATGTAGTGGCCTGCGGCGTGGACGCCGATTTCTGGGATGCCGTAGCCGAAGGGGCCTTGCATTTCGTCTTGGAAGGCGGCGATTGTGGAGCTGTGGGTGATGAGCTTGGTGGTGTTGAAGTCGGAGGCGCCACTGGCGGCGGTGACGGAGAGGTCTCGACGGATGCAGCGCGGGTTGTAGCCCAGCCCGTCCTTTTGAGGATTAGGGGATGTGGTGTCAACACCAACGAGGGCAACGGGGCCCAAGTTGACTTTGTAATCTTTAAAGGGTCCGGAGGTGATGCAGCCTCCTCCCTGGCTGGGTGGAAGGGATACGATAGGATTGTTGTCTGAAGGGAAGTGAATCGTCGGCCTGCCTGGCACATATGCGCCATTATCGCTGATGGAAGTGTCTGATCCATCGAACAGAGGGGCATTGATTACGTTATTGGAGTAGCGAGCCCAGTTCACGTAAGGTAGAGGAGCCTTAAAGCCACACTCTTCCCGCAAGGCTGTCTCGTACGTGGAGACAAAGTATCGATGCCAGGTGAGGAAGTTGCCCTATGAAAAGTCAGTCTTTGCCATCGCACTGCGAGTGCCTTCGAGCAACATACAGTCGAATGGATCGATAGCGTCTGATTAATATGAGTGCCCACAAAGTCATCATATCGATTCCTCGCTCCCGGCACCAGCTCGCCACTGATCGAAGGCCTCGTCTGAAGACATCGAACGGCATTGATATAATCCCGTTTCTCATCGTCACACAACGCATCCCATTCTACTCGCTTCTTTGCTGCATCGAATCTACAGCTCGACGTTCCATTTCGAGGGCCTTGTAGATACTTCTGCGCATTCTTCAAAGCCTGCTGTGCCAATGCGTCTGTTCCATTCGTCGACGCTGGTGTCCAATGGCTAGATTTCTGTCGTTGATGGAAGGGGCCCGGAGGAGGAAGAGCAACGGTAAAAGCGAGCAGAAACCACCACGCGACGAAAAGCGAAAGCATATCGAGATCTAACAAAGACCACCGCACAGACCCAACACAAAATCTGAAACGTGAAGAAAGCAATAAGAGTACCATGGAACAGAGACCCGAACCCTACCTTCAAATACCCAAGTCTCCATCTTCCCTTCCACGCAGCTGTACATCCACCGCCACGCTGCCAATGCCACGGCCATATACCCTGCATTACGCCGCCAGATGTAGTTGCAGATCGCAGCCTCAAGTCCGCTAGTCAAGCACGACGATCCCAGAGCTGCACACCTGCTTGGCCCTCGTCGGGCAGAGTCCGCGGATACAGCGAAAATTGCTGGAGTGTGAGGCAGGGTTGCAGAGGCACAGTGGATTAAGGATTTCTGCCAAGGGTGCTGAAGTGTGCAGCACAATATTCACGAGCTGAAGTGCAACCCCCGTCGCCGAACCCTGCAACTCCGTAGCGTGCGCGTGAGCGTGCAACAATCCCAATCCCGTAGACAGCAGTGCATGAGATAGTGCCTGATAGCGGCTGTGGTAGCCGCAGTAGCCAGGAAGTGAGGAGGCGAAAATGCTTGGAAGTTGCTTGGCCGTCGCACAAATCCGACTTCTCTCTCCGCTACTGCCCTACAAGGCCTAGCGCAGAACAATTTTCCGAAAGTATAATGCAGATGAATGACTTCTTGGGTTTTCTATGCTATAATTAGTCGGGCTGCGAGGGTGGTGTCCGTAGCGTCGACCTACGTCATGTTCAGGGCGAGGTGGGTGATGTTGCGGAGAAAGACGGTCTTGTTGTGGAGAGCTGAAGAGCTGTCGAGTTGACGAATGTGTTGCGATAGGGGAGATTATTCGATGTGTAGAGTCTGCGTTGAAAGCCTCTTGGGCTTGTCATGTTCAAGGCTCTCATCAACTTGCGATATCACACAAGGCCCAGTCTGACTGATGTTGTGCAAATCGTGAGCCGAACAGCTGAAGTTCAGCCCAAGCACTCTGCAGAAAACCCGCCGATGTTTCACAACATTCCACCTGTACAACCTCGCAGACCGCCTCTCACAGCCCAACCCAGGAGCAACCCAGTTTCAAGCCTTCAACTTACCGCCCAGCTCCCCAGGACAAACCCACCTCCCACTCTCCCCATCAAACCTCGCAACATCCGGCCACGAACAAACAGCCCTCTCAAACTCCACCCCCAAGGCAACCATATCATTGACATACTTCGTTCCCACCGCACTCTCCGGTCCTTGCCCCTTCTCAAACCACTCCACCAAACTCCAAAGCATAGAATGACTCCTTCCCTTGCACTCAGGCGGTGGAAGACCATCCTGACCAGCCGCATCCAAAACCCAAGCCCCGACTCCACCATTACAATGCCCCATACCGGGGACCATAAAGAGGCGGTAGAAGTCGCTGATATCCTCTCCTCCGCCGAGACTGTCATAGAAAGCCTCGACGGTCTCAACCCACCTCCCCGCAACGCCGGCTGGAATGACGGGGTCCGCGAACCCGTGATACTGCAGCACTTTCCCTCCCTTCTTCTCGAATGGCCTTAGATCCGGGTCGTAAGCATTCATTCCTCCAGGGTTCATCTCCTCTGCGAAATGGACGTCTTCTGACGTGAGTGTGCGCCAGTCCTAGGCGGAGTCGTTGAAGACGGCGTAGCGGTAGAAGGAAGGGCCGAATTGCGGTTCGACGCCGTTCATGAGGTAAGAGAAGCCTTCTTCGCCGCTGGGGGAGAGACCTGGGTTGACGATGTGGTTGGTGGAGTCGAGCCAGGAAGTGTACATGCGTTGGAGGTTTTGGACCTGGGCGGTGCTCAGGCAGTTTGTTGTGTTGCCGTTTGTGCAGAGGGGGACTTCTGGCCGGAAGTTGCAAATTCGAGGATCCATGATGATGCCGTCTGCAACGCCGTCTAGTCCATCACATTGCTCCAGCACGGCTTGGTGGATCGTAGACCACATGCTCGCGGGGATGTACGAGGATCGATTGTTCGGGAACTGCTCCAGCGCCACATAGATCTGCTAGGCGGAAGTATTCGTCTGTGAGGGGATGGCAGATCCCACGAGAACACCGTCATAGTCTCCTGGATAGCGTTGTGCGGCATTGAGACCTTGTCGACCACCTAGAAACGTACGTCAGCACAAGGCAGTCGCAAAATTCCGGGAAATTGACATACCAGTCGAACACCCAGCATAATACGCAAACCCCTCTCTCTTCCCATAATACGCCTTCACAATCACCTTCGCCACCCCAGTCGTGACATGTAGAGCCCGATGACCGAAGTCCACCGCCGCCTCCAGGTTATTCAACATCCACGTCCCATCACTCGAAGTCGAATCATGTCCAGTATTCGTACTCATCGTAGCAAAGCCCTTCCTCACGCCCCACACAATATCAGGGTAGTTTATTCCACCGGCGAAGCCTGAATTGCCGACCGCCAGGAACCGACCGTTCCATGTAAATGTATCAGGGAGCCAGATCTCGGCGAGGGCGGTGCTGCTGGGACTTGTCTGGACGGTGAAAGTCACCCGGCAGAGAGATGGGAGGTTGGTTTGGGCCGTGTTGTAGTTTGTCTCGGTGGATTCACCTGTGAAGTTCGAGCCAGCCGGTATAGAAGTCGCCAAGGTGACTTTTGTGCCATTCCCCAGTTTCAACTTGTCAAGAGATGAGCACGCTGTGTTGTTCGTGCTCAATGCGAATATCCGGGAGGCTAGGACAGCAATCGCTGTCGTCAGCAAGAAACGCCTCATCTCCACGCGATATGAACGTTTCTTCTCCTCGGTGTTCTGAAGTATGACGACCTTTAAAGTGCTTGATGAGATTCAGGAACGTTTGCCATGGTCTATCGGATTGGCGACAGGCATTCGACGAGGGCCTATCTCCGCGCCAAGATAGGCCAAAATTATTGCCTGGCTGCGACTTGTGTGCTGGGCTCGACTTGACAGACAGGAAATTGAACGCTCCGTGATGCCCACCTCGTGAGTTAGAGGGGTGGGGTGGATAGATTGACTTGTAGCTGCCAGGCTTCTGCGTAGCATTCGGTATATCTCTACCACTCCTTGCTCTGCCGTAGCCTCCTCGAGGAGCCTCCAGGAGCCTTTTTAATCACCATCCACATCATGATGGTCGTAGCCAGCGATAGCGAGAACCACGTGAAGATGTACCTAAACTTATTAGCATACCCCCTCATTTTCCTGGACACCAAGACAGCTCTACTCACTGCGTATGATTATTCCTCAAATTCACCTCCGGCGTCCGTCCAATCGGCACCCCCTTCGCCATGCGATCATAACTCGTCAACAAGTCCGGCCTCATCGTCTCCTCAATCCACACGGGCTGACTGCCCACATGCTCCGCCATCTGATACACATCCGGGAAATACCACTTCCCCTCCTGCGGCACATTATCCGGCGTGAACATATTCTTCTTCCAAGGCTCCCTGAGCAGCCCTTGAACAACCACCTCGCCCTGGGGTAGACCATCCAGACGCGCGGATTGCGCTGCTTTATCTTTGGAGATCCAGCCTCTGCAAACAAGGATGGTGGTATTCCCTTTGAAGCCAGGAAACTGCTCCGAGCGATCGAGCGGCGTGATGACGAGATATCCATCCTCCCCATCGTGCAACCGCGGCCCGATTAACATCTCCCGATCATGCCTCAATTTTCCCCTCGCATACACCCGTCTATAATCGAACTCTTTAATCGCATTCGGGTCGATTTGCGGCGGCAGTGGTAGAGGCTCCCTCACCAGTCTATCCTCAAACTTCGCGATGAGGTCGGTTTTCCATCCTAGGCGTTGGACTTGCCAGCAGCCAAGGATGAAGGCTGTCACGGGGATGGCGGCGAGGATGAGCAGGCCGAGTGTGTTGTGTTTTCGGTTTGCGCGGACGAGTTGGGGCGGGTTGTCGACTATTGATTGGAACTCGGGGTTGTCTGCGGGTTGTTGGTTGGAAGACTGCCATCGACGGTGTTGTCTCTGGGCGCGGAAGAGAATCGAGGGTCTGGCAGTGCGGCGGAGGCAGGCAGTGCAGATCCACGGCGGTTTCGATGAGGTTGCAGACGTGATATGGCGGGCGGGCTGCGATTGCACGATCGACCGGAAGATGAAGCGTGATTTATCCATTTGGTGGGTGATGTTTGCTTGTGGTAGACAATTTGATGGAGAAGACGAGGTGAGCTACAGCTAGGGCGGAATGGACCCGCACAAGGCTGACTTTCTAGACTCCTGTGGTTCATGCTCAAGACTTCAAGTACAAGTATGGTAGGTTGTTGCATTGCATTCAGCTCTATAATACATCATGTATGCACTACCTCTGCTAACGCTTTTGTGCACGGCCACAACTCCGAATGCTGTGCTTCAACTCAGGATCAGACGAGGATGAAACCATCGACTGAGTTGAAAGATTCGTCGGACTCTGAAAGCGCATCATATCTCTTCCTGTCCTCCAGAGCACGCAGAGCCTTAGCTTTCTAAGCTTTCTAAGCTTTGGTGCTCGCCTTGGTCGAGGCCTTCTCGTTGACAGGCTGGATTCTCGCCATCATCTCCTCTTTGGTGATCAGATGATCGATCCGCTCCAGCAGGCCCAGCAAAGACTTCATGTTCCCGCTCCACTCGTTCAGGACCTCATCCGCATCACGCTTCTTCTCGAAGCTGACGATTTGCGCCGGCCGGTCGATGCGGGCGTAGATGGTCTTGTTGACTACCAAATCCGAGATATATTTCTCCGTCTCTTGCGCTGGCAGGTCGAGAAGCTGCGTGAGCCTCGAGAAGTGGACGCGCGTGTAGTACTTGGCGATGACACGGACGTTGTGCTCAATAACACGCTTGCGGAAGTCGAGCCAGCGCTGGTGAGCCTTGGGGTCTTTTGGCGATTCGGCCTTCGAGAAGATGTCGGTGCTGTCGAGCTGGGCGCCATAATTCGATTCGATCGCGGGCCAACGCATGAGCTCGGGGACGGTGAAGAGTTTGAGAAGTTGGCCTTCGGTCGGACAGGACGAGCTGATGCGACTGTCTTGGGCGATGCGGTGGAGGAGGTCAGATTGCTCGTTGTCGTAGGGTGCGAGGAGGACGAAGTAGATCACCCGCTGGAGAGCCGCCCGTAGCTTATCGGAATCGTCCTCCACGGCCTGCGTATCCAATACTTGTCGGTAGTGCTTGCAAGCATCGAGGTACTTGTCCTCGTGTTTGGCGAGTGTGATCTGTTGCTCGTAGTAGCGAAGCTTGAGATCGGTCACATCGTCGTCTTCGGGCTCTTCCTCGCCAATCGTGCCATCTGACCGCATCCGCTCTCGCTCTTCCTTCTCTTTCCGCGCCTTCTCCAATTCCTCGGCGCTCTTCTTGGGCTTGCGTGCGAAGTAGCGGGTGCTGATCTTTCGTGCCAGAATGCCAGCCTGCGTCCAGTCACCGTCCTCAATGCAGAGCGACACTTGTTCGAGGATGAATTCCGTCTTCTCTCTTCGCGTCATCGAGCCGAAAGTCTCGACCTGAAGCTCGCAAAGAATGTCCTTTGCAGATGTGACATCGCTTTGAGATCGCTTGATGTTGGACAGTATCCGCGTCACACGGGCTCGCTCGACTTCGACAAAGATCTTGCCCTCGGTGACTGTCCGCAACGTCTCGATGACGCTCAGCTTGGTCTCGAGATTGGGTGTATCGTCCAGAAAGCTCATGACTACTTGCACCATCTTGGTGATGGCCTGCTTGAGCTGTCCATGCTTCTTGCTGAGCAGCTGCACCTGCTCATTGAGTAATGACCAGTCTCCGGCATTCTTGGCTATGGTGACGACGGCAACGAGGATGCGTGAGGTGGAGGGGAGATCGCTGGATTGTCTCGTTTGCTTCTCAAGCGGGAGGAGCTTCTCTATCGCCTGTTGTGTTTGTCCATTCTGGAGTGAATTAGCAGGCAATAATCAAGCATCAATGCTTCAACCTACCTGTGCAATCTTCTCAGCGTCTGGGATGGCAGCATCGACCTCCTTGGTGAAGTCCTTGTCGGCCTTCACGATGGACCCGTCGCCGGACATGGCGGCGGCTGTGGAACGGGAATCGGGAGGTGGGGAGTATCTGGTGTCGGTGTCGGAGTCGTGTGTAGCTGATGAGGGTGGTTAATGGAGGCGGTGAGGCTGTTTCGGTGGTGAATGGGTGTTGGTGGCAGGCAGATGGACAGTCGTGGCTTCACATCATCACAGCTGCTGGAGCACGCGCCTTCCACTTGCTGCGGCTCTGCGGCTGTTGCCGTGCACTAAACTCTACCTGGGACTCCTTCACGTGCTGACATCGAGACATTCACTTCGACATCTCCATCACACATCTCCATCACACAGCGAATGCTAGCAGAATCCCGCGTCGGACAGCTCTCAGCATCAACAGTACTCTGCTATATAACATGTTTGCGCTGCAGCCCCGTCTTCGATCCGGGTGGATTCGATACCGGCACGCATTCTCGCAACACTGCCACTCGTGACGACTATTACGTCTACCATTCGACCATGCGAATATACCCGGACCCTCATTGCAAAGGATCGTCAAGAATCAGTGGAATATTGCCACCTACCTTCCCCGTTCAGTGACGAGGAAGTGGGCCGATCTTGGCATCCGGTGATCTTTGCGCGAACAACACTCTCCAGCAGCACTGCTCGCTCACCTCAATCGTCGGCCGAGATCCTCGATGTTACCTGCAGCTAGTGTTCACCAACATGCGCGTTGTAATCCTCATGGCGTGGAAGTTCATTCGGCACGTGGCATTACAGCGATCCGCGGCTAAAGCCTTGCTCGACTGCACATTGACGAGTCGCATCGTTTCCCCAGAACCGGGGTCAGGTCGCAATGCTGATACACAAGTGAGCTTGCTTATTTACTCGCTTCTAGGAAACGCCAGTGCTTGGCGTGAGTAACAAGCTTGGGCTCTTGCTTGAATCGACTTGCCGGGTCTCGTTCCGTCCACGATCCAGAACTTGTCCATCTTACTGAACTCGCAGAAATGTTCGTATGATCTGCGTAGCATGCAGGACCAACGTGGAAACCCGACCGCACCCATCCGAGCAGATGAAAGACTATACTGGGTGGCTTGCCTATGGTCGAATCGCTAACAAGATCGCAAAAGCGAAACGGCGGTAACGAACGAAAGACCTTCGGCGTTTCGGCGTATGCAGCGTTGCTTGCAGAACACGCGAGCCGCACATGCAGAGTTTACACACCAGTGTCGACATGTACCAGAGTACCCCACGCGGAGAGCCTGAAAACAGTCGACTTCCCCGCTAGAAGGATGCATTTTGTCTTGGCTTCAGAACAATGTGAGGGGAAGTGGGTATACGCTGTTGCCGACAGGTAGGCGCGAGAAGTTCACGCCGAAGGGTTCCGTCTGTTATCTTTATAAAGACCTCGCCCTGAAGATGTTTCCGTCGTGGTATCGAAAGTCGCTGGACTCGTACCGCAAATATGGACATCTCCGAGAAGTTCCATCACAACGACCAGCTTGAGCAAATCGCTACGAATACAGAAGATGCCACCGATCTGGAGAAGACCGTACAGGTCGACACGTTACACCAAGATGAAGCCATGAAAGTTCTCGCCAGCTACGAGGGACCGTTCGAATGGACTCCTGAGGAAGAGAAGAAAGTCGTTCGCAAGATCGATCGACGGCTCCTATCCCTGCTCGTCCTGACCTACGGACTGCAATATTATGACAAGGCGATGCTTTCGCAGGCTGTGAGAAACGATCGAACCCATTCGATGAAGGGACTGCTCGCTGACAAACTCAGGCCCTGTTCGGTCTCAGGAGCGACCTCAAACTGACAATCGGCGAACGGTATTCTTACTCGTCTGCTATCTTCTACCTAGGTTTTATCTGTGGAGCCTACCCAGCCATTGTCCTCACCCAACGCTACCCGATCGAACGAGTCCTGTTCTGCATTGTCATCCTCTGGGGCATCTGTTTGATGCTCACGGCCGCATGCCACAACTACCAAGGGCTGTACGCCCAGCGGTTCTTCCTCGGCTTCCTAGAATCAGGCGTCTCGCCAGGATTCATGATGGTCGTCGGCGGGTGGTATCGAAAGGTGAGGCTCGTTATCTGTGCCGTATGGGGTAAATGAGCTAACTGATCTCGTCGCAGCAAGAGCAAGCTTTCCGTATGGGCGCCTGGTACAGCGCCACTGGCTACGTCTCCATCTTCGCACCATTGATCAACTACGGCCTCGGACACATCCAAGGTAGCCTAAGTCCATGGCGCTACATGGTATGTCTTTGGAAATCCTAGTTGAACGTCAGTGATGCTCACCTATCGCAGTACCTCGTCGCCGGAGCAATCACAGTCCTCTGGTCCTTCATCATACTTTTCTTCCTACCTCCAGATCCTGTTCGAGCCAAGCGAGTAAGTACATAGCAGTCGTCCTCATTCCAGTCCAAGGCACGTACTCACATGGTCATAGTTCACTGCCCGTGAAAGGTACATCGCAGTAGCCCGCATGCGACAGAACAACGCCGGCGTGAGAAACACACATTTCAAGACCTCCCAACTGTGGGAACTCCTCCGTGATGTCAAGTTCTGGCTGCTCTTCGCCACCGCATTCTGCATGCTCGTTGTCAATGGACCTGTTTCGACCTTTACACCGATCATCATCAACCAACTCGGGTTTAGCGGTCTCAACTCCCTCTTGCTCGTCATGCCCGCCGGTGCGATCATTGGCACGATCGAGCTCATGACGCCGTATATCGCGATGAAGTATAAGGGGTGGAGGTGTTGGCTTGTGGCTATCACAGTAGCGGTCTCTCTTCTGGCGAGTTGTTTGCTTTGGCGATCAGCAGCACGGGCGGGAGGCTGTTCGCCGTGTACATCCTGGCGTCCTACGGTGGTGGCTATGCCGTACTGATGAGTGTAAGCCGCGCCTGTGCTCACAACACCACCGTCTTAACTAACACCCCCCAGATCGTCATCGTCAACAGCGCCGGCTACACCAAACGCTCCCTCAGCTCCAGCGGCGTCTTCATCGGCTACTGCCTAGGTACCTTCAACCTCCCATCCTTCCACAACCCCCTTCACTGACCAAACCCTCCAGGTAACTTCCTCGGCCCCCTCGTCTTCAAAGCCACCGAAGCGCCCGAATACCGCACGGGCTGGATCACCACCGTCGCCACGCTCTCCGCGACCATCGTCCTCATCATCACGTACCGATTCGTGTGCGTGTGGGATAACAAGAAGAGGGATCGCGCGGGCAGTGAGGGGTTTGATCATGCGTATGAGGATGATTTTACGGATAAGACGAATAAGCAGTTTCGGTATACGCTGTAGGGGAGTGGATGAGACAGGTGCGATTGAGTAGATGCTTCTAAAGGACTTTGCCAGACTTTTTTCTTTGTTTTGCCCTTCGATATGCTCACGACATCGACTGGTCATTTCTTATCCGATGATTCCGACTCTCCGGGCTTTGATGGCCTTAGTGTGCCCGTCGTATCGTAGGCACCACGGTGTGAGTCCATTGCTCGGGAAACGTTCGAGATGCGGTGATGAAGCGTTCGTTGACAGAGGAGAGTTGGTGGTTGGGTGGTTGGCAAGGGGTCAAGTAAGAAAGGAAAGATGTTCTTCAGCGTCCGATAATACGGCTAACGGTGCTGCGTTGTGAAGTGCAAGTGGTTGAAGGAAGCAAGTGCATGTCGAGATTTTATTTTCTGAACTTGTATGGTGTGAATAGTGCGGTGTGGTTAGAGGAGTAGCAGTGTATATGGGAGAATTGGTCGTGAAGAATGAGACAAGCCACTGAAGTGTTCAAGGGATGCAGTGAGCCAGCCAAATCCCATCACGAGCCACGAAAATCATAGATCGGAGCACCTGCATTGCCTTGGGGCATTGTAGTCAGTCTGGGCCGAAGTAACAGGGCATGCTTTCGACTCACGACCTTCACGACGAGGCTTCGGAGTGAACACGCTACCATCATCCCATTCATACTCGACGCCATCATCGTTCAGGACCTGCAGCCGCCATCAGCGAGACAGTATTGGTGGCTGCAAATGATTTTTTTGCTGACCTTCGCAGACAGCGTCTCCCCGCCATCAAACAGAGTCTTGACCATGTCCTCAGACGGCACGAGCACCTGTCGCCTCAGCACGAAGGCAAAATGCAGGCCCTCAGGAAGCCATCCAGGATCTTCATTCTCTACCGAATCTATCACCCTTTAGGCTGCAGCTACGAGAGAAGTAGCGAGGAGGAGAGTAGTAGCTCACGGAACATGGCGCGGATCGGTTCAGAGATGGTCTCGTTTTCATTGATGTCCATTTGGCGGGAGAAGTGGGCGTATGATCGTTTCAGTTGAAAGGAGAGCTCGCCGTTTTGTCGATAGCCTCGTTTTGCATACCCTCTGCCGCGCACATTTCGTCTGCTCAGGGTGCGACGGGCGGGAGGCATTTTGAGGTGTCAATGTGGTATTCAAGCACAACTACGCGGTTTGAAGGAGAGGAGAAGATGAAGCATTTGTTGGATACAGGCTCTCCTGCGGTTTTGATGCCCATTGGGCTGCAAAGTCAAACTACTCATGTCGCGCGGATGTACAAGGTGATGGTGTTGGGGGAGAGTTCAATGGAGGAGGGTGGGAACCCCTGCTGCAGCCCTGCTGTTGGCTCAATCTCGGCTAAATTGCTAGCGCCCTGTCTCCACCAAGTGCTTGCTTTCTTCAGCTCCTCGCATCCACTAGGACCACGGCCAAGCATCACTTTTCTCAATGACGCAGGAGGTGTCGCTGCATTCTTGTCTACAACTCTGTTATAATCAGCCCCTTTCGTCCTTGCCCACCTGAAGTTTTGATCGTTTCCGGTATGCCGATAGCGAAAGCGGCGACGTTTTCAGCCGGCATGGCTGCCTCTCAGATGAGAGATCGAAAGGGCGAGCCGAAGGTGCTCACGGCAGAGGAAACGAGGAAGGAGTCTCTGTCTGGGAAACAGAGCGCAGAAGGGAGACCCAGCATCGACACGAATGCGAGCAGCGCCATGAGTCAATATGATGCTTCCTCCAAGTCGAAGTCACTTCGAAGCTCCCGGACGGCGACAGACTCACTATACAGTTCCTCTACGGAAGATGCACAATCCATCCGAGTATACACAAAAGGGTCGAGTCTCAGTTCTGGGTTTGCCTATCATCCAGCCTTGTTCGATATGCAGGTCCATCCGACCAGGTGGGATGAGTTCAGCGCCCAGGTCGTTGAATCTACAAAGCTCAGTCTCGGTGATAATGCCAATGCATGGGCTACTGGTATTTTGTCTTTCACCATATTCCCGCATCCATGGCACATTGGACGAAACCAAAGCCGTCGGCTCCAAGAGAAGAGAGTCAAGACTGGTCTGAGCGATGCCTCTGAGGGTGCTTTGGGCGATGTAATGCGAAATTGGAACGATGGCTACTTTCAAGAACGTGGCTTGGTCGCAAGATTGGAGCTCAGCGAAGAAGCGATGAGGTCTCCCGATCAGCAAAGCTCTTTGATCTCGGGAGAAGCGCATTGGCATCTCAAGAAGGAGGACCGTGACCGCCATCGTCAAGAGCGCAAGTTTGTCCTTGTAGTGTCTAAATTGGGCGAGACGTTACCACAAGAACCGGGAGTCGTGCACGAGCTTCCCGTGGAGACTACGCCATCGGAACTGGCAGACGTCAAGGACGCAAAATACCATATGGCAGAAGCTCCAGGTGATCTACCCACGACGCCAGCGGAATTGCCTGGCGACGGCAAGCGCGCTGAAGTGCCAGGATGGGATCAGTATGCAGAACTCGAGGCCAATAATGAGGACCTCTTAAAGAAGGAGACCCTGATGGTCACTGCAGACACACACGCACTTTTGAACAAAGACCTGAAATCAGGATGAGACGGCTATACTCCAATCGGCATCTGCGCTGTTATTTGTCCGGCATCTGGTTGCGATCGCACGTGGAAGGATGGCTTCGTTGAATTGCCAAGCCTATCTGGAGAGGACATTACCATCTTGACGAGGTCCAGTCTCGAATGATTGCAATTATCTAATCGAAGGCTGGGTCGGTGCGAATTGCTCTTATGACTGCCTTGGTGTCACTTTGAGACTGACCATTAGCTACGAATGGCTCTCCCATCGCTTGTCCCCAAATCTGGGCACAGATACCATTCGACGGCTGCCAAGCTGGCTATGATTGCCGTTGGAGCAGTATGATCGACGTGGAGCCTGGAGGCTTGTGTCCAACATCCTCTTATTTTGACACTGCAGACCGCTTGACCAAGTACGATACATCTAGGCGAGTCTTCTACCGCGGCCTGTCGAAGAAGATGCATGGCACGTTGACTTCGTCCCGACTGGTTGTCATGGCAGGGAACGCCTCGGCCTTGTTACTGATAACGACTCTATTGTCTACCTCTCGCACGGTAGTCCGCATTCAACCTACAGTCTCTGGCATAAACGTTAGCAACCCCTGCTAGCGTCTTGCAAACAAATCCTGTCTGTGCGATTGAGCACTGACAGCGTGTGCGTGTCGACCTTTCACCGTTAGGCTAGCAGGGGTTGCTAACGTTTGTGCTGGGGACTGTATTTTGCGGCTGCTTCCCCGGCTGCAAATACAGCGCGATTCGCACGTAGATCTCTACCGCTTGGGTCGATATAAAGTCTAACTGACTGCCTATATTGGCAAAGTGCAACGGCCAACCACCCGCCGCGCTCCTTCACTATCAGGAATGCGGAGTAACTCAACAACAAAATGAAACTCAAGGATTCTCAGGCGGCCATTGAAAAAAACCCGCCTTCTCTGCAACGATCACGACATACCGGGAAGTGACTTCACCATCGACAATGCCCTCCCTAATACCGAAGCGCATTCAGAATGCCCACCCTCTGCTATTCACACCAGATCAGCACACTGATCGTCACAAATGTACGCGACAGGTACCAATGCGCGTGCTTGCTATGGGATATTCCCGTACGGGTACCGCTTCAATGTCGAAAGCACTTGAGATGCTGGACATGCCATGCTACCACTTCTACCGCATCCTGACCAGCATCCGCGATGCCGACATGTGGCTGGAAGCGGTCCAGTACAAAACTTCGAACAACAGAGCAAAGCTTGACAGGAAGTTCTGGGATGGCCTTCTTGGACATGTCTCTGCAGTCGCGGACAAGCCCTGTCTGGACTTCGCCGAGGAACTCATAACAACCTACCCAGAAGCAAAAGTCATCCTCTGGGAGAGGGACGAAGACGAATGGTTCCGCAGCATGGACGAGACGCTGATCAAGAACTACGGGAAGCCGCAATCGAAAGTCTTCGCGGCGATAGACTACGACTGGCTAGGAAGAATCTCTGCCATGACCCATGCGATTACGAGGCTGTGCTACGGTTCGAACGATCGCGAGCAGATTCGAGCAAATGCGCGGCTTGTGTATCGACAGCATTTCAAGACTGTCAGGAGACTTCTCAAGGACCAGCCTGATCGATTACTCGAATATAAGATGGGAGATGGGTGGGAGCCGATCTGCCAATTCCTTGAACTGCCGGTCCCAGCTAAGCCTTTTCCTCACGTCAACGAGAGCGAGTACATGGAGTCGCAGCGGGTGGCGTTGTTACTCAAGATCCTCGATCGTGTGTTCTGGAAGGTTGTGGCGGTTGTGAGTCCGGTGCTTGTTTTGTTGGTGGCGTACCGCATGTCGAGGAATGATAGAATATCGTTCAAACAGCTCCTTGCGGCGGTATTCAACCAAGCAATGAGGATACGGACGACTTCTGTGCAATCGAAGGTGGAATAGGCCTCAAGAGCAAGGCTCTGATGTCTGGAACGATTTCCCGGAGCTCTCACTATTCGATGCGAGTGGTCGATCAAACGTTCGGCAAACTCTTCGATAGCACTCGTTGCACCAGCATTTACGATCTTGCTAGATGCCAGCCCTGAGCCCGGCATGAGAGCTCTCTGGACCCAATACCTCAGATAGCGAATTGCCTTTCCACTCAGGCTACGCAGAACCTTTATTCGAGCCACTTGGAGTAGGCATTTGGCTACCGGGGAAGGATCTGAGCACGATTCGACGCTATCGAGCACCCTCACAGAAGATGTTCTCAGTCTCAATCTGGACCAAGCGCTACGAAGTCAGTCGTCAAGAAGAACAGACAGAAAGAAACATTCATCGGGGTCCCATTGATTTACTCGCTCTTTCTGACCCGGTGATCGATTGCACGTGCGACTTTAGTGCAATGTTCTCTGCAAATGCACTTCTTGCAATATCTTCGCGGCTAAGCCGACAGCTCCAATCCGGCGCTTTACTCAAAACCGAGAAGGACTTGTAGAGGCTTTTCCTATGTGCCTCGCGAAGAGGGAGGATTTTGCGAGAGCCGTGTGGTAAACATGCTCGTCGGCCGAGGGAGGATATTCAAACGAACTCCGCATTGCCCTCTGGTGCATAACTTCGAACTCCTTCTCGGCCTCACGAGCATGCAAGACTATTTCACTAGCAACTCGTTATAGGCAGGCTGTAACTTCGGAGATGGTATCATTCTTTTTCCGAGGCGAGTGCCGTTGCACAAGAGGAAGTACAAAAGAAGTCTCTTATCTGATCGAATCTTCCCGCAGGGAGAGAGTTTCTTTTGCATCTTGTCACAATGGCGAACAACATCGCAGACGAGAAGACCAGCACTGTCGTTGCTGAGCCCACAATCATGACGGCAACGCCAACCTCAATACCAGACGAAGAGAAAGATGTCGGCACCATCTCATCACCCTCCCCTCCCTCACCGCCCTTCACAAGCCCATACGACTGGCCTCTCACCCGCAAAATCGCCATCGCCCTCATCGTCTCCCTCGGCCAACTCGTAACCCTCATGTCCGCCTCCATGATGGCGCCCGCCCTCCCCACCATCGGTCGAGACCTCCACATGGGCTCGACCGAAATCCAAATCTCCTTCTCGATCTACCTCCTCGGTCTCGCGTTTGGACCATTCCTGATCGGGCCGGCGAGTGAGATGTTTGGCAGGAAGTCGGTGTGGACCTGCTGTAATCTGTGGTATATCTTTTGGAATGCGATTTGTCCCGTGGGGAAGTCGGCGGCGGTGATGGTTGTTGGGAGGCTTTTGGCGGGCGCTGGGGCGAGTTGTGGGACTACGGTGAGGACATTGAGATTGTGAGCGTGGAGTTTGTATGCTGATGGTGGTCCTAGATGACTGGGCCTATTGTGGCTGATATGTTCACGAGAGAGAACCGCGGCAAGTCCATTGCTTTGGCGACTGTATTTCCCTACCTGGGCCCGGCCTTAGGTCCAATCGTAGGCGGTGTCGTCAGTCAGAAAGTCAGTTGGCCATGGCTCTTCTGGGTCCTGAGCATCTTCGACGGAGCTGTGTTGCTCGTTGGAATCCTGTTCATCCGCGAGAGTTACATGCCCGTCCTCTTGCGAAGACACCAACGCAAGGTCAACGGACTGAAAAGAGAGCCATTCCTCAGCGCATACCCCGAGCTACTACGCAAAGCGCGAACCGCCTTGGCCGTTCCAATTCGACTCCTCTTCCGTCGACCCATCATCATCATCCTATCCTTCCTCATGGGTCTCGAATTCGGCGTCTACGTCCTCTGGCTCTCGGTCTACGCCACGCTCTTCATCGACGAGTACCACGAAACACCCACCATCTCCTCGCTGCACTACATCGCCATCGCCATGGGAGCTTGGCTCGCTGCCCAAGTCGGCGGCCAGACCCTAGACATAATCTTCAAGAAAATGAAAGCCCGCCGTCCAAACGAAGAAGCACCACCAGAGTACCGCGTCCCTTTACTCGCGATCGGAGTCCTCATCTGCCCCGTCGGTCTCTTCTGGGCAGGTTGGTCCGCCCAAAGCGGCATCCACTGGATCATGGTCGACATCGGCTCCGTGATCTTCACGATCGGGGGCTTCGTCACCGCGCAAGCCGTGCTCGCCTACCTTCTCGACGAGTTCCAGAAATCCGCTGCGTCGGCCAATGCGGCGGCGAGGATGCTCAGTAATTTGTTTGGGTTTAGTTTTCCGTTGTTTGCGCCGCAGTTGTATGCGACTTTGGGGTATGGGTGGGGCACGACGCTGCTGGCGTTGGTTTGGACTGTTTTTGCGGTGCCGTTGACGGTTATGCTTTGGTTTAGAGGGGCGGAGGTTAGGGCTGTTGGGAGGAGGGAGGAGAATGACTTGTAGCCGTTCGATAGGCATTGTAAATGATAGACATAGACATGAGTGATGAAGTATCGAACGTTTCGTTCGCTTGATCTGATTGTTTGCTGTCGCACGCAGCGATCTGCAGCTTTCCGGAAAGGCTCAGGGGCTCTGAGCGTCATCGTTCTCCCTTCAAACGTTGATCTCTCCATCTCTCTCCATTATCAATGATCGTCCCTCCGCCATCCAATGTGATAGCACAGACTTTTGTTGCCTATGCCCGAGATCTGAAGCTGTTGACCGCTGCCTTCTCGAGGCTCCACAGCTCGAAAGCCGAACCTCCACTGCTCGGCCGAACTCGCCCTACCTGCGGGCCGTGGTTGAGCTTTCATAACTGCCATAGAATTTTCTCTCCCATCAATCAGCCAACCAGCTTCGAGATCGGATATGGTGTATCGGCTAGCATCACCCGCTTTCAATTCTACCTTCATGTGCCCTTCCAAGAACTGAAGAGAGTGAAAATGCGCCGGGTAGAGCCGTATGCCTTACCATTGCCCACTGCCATGACCGTAATACTAACAGGTAGCAGGGGTTCGACTCCCGGTATCCGAAGTCTTTTTGAGCTTGGTTTACTACTAGTAGGAAGTTTTGATCCTGAGATATATCGATATCCATGAATTTTTGGCCTTTGTGAATTGGTCTTGGCGTACATCCATGGACTTGAGGATTGCTACATTTTTGCCTGTAGCACGATCAAAGCATTGACGAGACCACTTTGGGAATGCTGCCATTGCATGTGCTCGATTGATACCAGGGGGCAACAAGTATCGACGTTAACGTGTTGGATCAGGCTCTGGCCAAGCAGCTGGCGGGTTATACGATTTCTTTCTTGGTTCTCACTGTGCATCGTGCTACTTGTGCATTTCTCAGGTGTTTGTAAGCATGCGTGATTTGGAAAGGCCTGGTTTTGGGTTGATTGTATCACGCGATCCTCAAGTCCTCTACTACTGCTCCCTGCGTGCTTTTGACAGCGTCTGGATCGTGATCATGCGTAAGAAAATGAGAGAAGAAGATGAAAGATAATTCAAGATAACTCAATGTACAGCGCTCAAGTAACATGATAAACACACAAATCGACAATCGATATCCCATCTCTTATCGTAGAGCCTACGCCTTACTCTGCGCATTCGCCCTCTCCTCCCCAGAACTCGCACTACTCCTCTCATGTCCCACCTCACCGACCTCAGACTGCGCAACGTTCTTCTCGGGCTCCGCTCCATCAATCGTGCGTCCCGAAACAACACCGCTCTCACCATCGTCCTCGCGCCAGAAATCTTTCTTGCCCCGAGCAGCGCGCTTGAGCCAAGGTGGGAAGACACCGCCTGGCAGTTTGTACGTCCAGAATTCTTTGTATTCCTTGTCCTTGGGCTTGATGCGTTCGCCAGAGGCCTTTTCGATGATCAACACGCCCGTGTTGATGAGGATGTAGGAGCAGATGCCGGCGATGAGGCCGTAGGCGATGCTGTATGTGAACGGCATGATGGTGATCTGATGTATCGTTTAGCGGCGGCTTGTGATATGGCGAGATTGTGAGGTTGTAACTTACAGTGAGGAAAGCTGGAATGGCATCGCCGATATATCGCCAGTTGATGTCCGCCGCTGCTTTGACCATGAGAGCTCCGACTATCACGAGCGTGCAGCCCGTTGCCCAAGGTGGGATGGATGCAAAGATTGGTGCGAAGAAAACGGCGATGAAGAAGGCAAGGCCAGTGGTCATTGCTGTTAGACCTGTGCCACCACCCTCAGAAATACCAGCACCTATCAAAAGTCAGTGCCTGTCGCGGTATAATAATAGTTGTAGGGCCATACCAGATTCAATGTACGCAGTAACCGGTGGGCAACCCAGAAGAGATCCAATGCTGACGCCAAAAGCATCAACCAAGTATGCAACTGCCGAGCCTTCGAAATCCTGGGTCTTCTCATCAATGGCACCACAGAATTGAGCCATAGAGTACAGCGTTCCCGTGCAGTCGAGAATGTCGACATACAAGAACGTGATAAAAGCCACAGCGAACTGACCGCCATGTTCACCAATGCTCCAGTCTTGCGCCACGAGAACGTTCTTGATCGGGCGGAACGTGACGACTTGCTTAAAGAAGTCGAACAAGGAATCGCCAAGCTCAGTGTAGGGGAAATATGTGACATCGGTCCCACGTGGCCAAGAGATGATGCTGACGAGCAGGATACCAGCGATGATCGCACCCTTGAATCGGAAAAGCATCAGGAAGATAGTGAAGAATCCTCCGCAGAAGATGCCAATCCACAAAGTCGGGTTTCGCATTTTTGCGCCTGAAGGGCAGAGCCCATCTTCATCCATGGCAGATTGCACGCAGCCAGCAAGCTCGAGAGGAGTCGACGATGCGCCGACAACGAGACCAATACCAGCACTGTAGGTCAAGCCGATCAGGGTGAGATAGAGACCAATTCCAACACCAGTCGCAAGCTTGATAGAGTGCGGGATCGCTCGAGCCAACCATTGACGCATACCGAGAACGGTCAAAGCGACAAACACGAATCCTTCGATGAACACAGCTGTCAGGGCGACCTGGTAGGGGATGTTTCCTGATCCATGATATCCAACGACGTTGTAGGCGAAGTAAGCATTCAAGCCCATTCCTGGAGCACAACTGATTGGCATGTTGGCGAAAAGACCCATGCAGAAACTTGTCAGGGCGGATATGGCAGCAGTGGCGGTGACGAGATCGCGGTTGATTTCCTGGACACACAGCAAGTATTCAGGGTTGGTGTCGCAGAGATCCGGGGAGTCTGGCGGGCAGACACATGTTCCTCCAGACTGGCTGACAATATTGGAGTTGACCGAGATAATGTAGGCCATAGCGAAGAACGTAGCCAGCCCAGCGCGAATTTCCGTGAAGAAGAAGGTTCCCTTGCGCTCCTTGGGCTGTTTGAAACATCTTGTCAGGGGCTTTCCCATGCCATGCGCTCGAAACATTCACTCACATGTCCGGAACCCTGCAACCTGAAGTACCGGCCCACCGGGCTCTTAGCCACGGCGGCATTCGCATTGTGCACCCAGTTATTGAAACCCATTGTATGGTATTTTGCCTTGTCCTCAACCAGCGACGGAACCTAGATGGCCACGCGAGCAAGGCGGATAGATATAGGCAAGCGGTCGTGCATGATTAGCAGCATCAGCCTCTTCGCGAAGTCTTCTAGCCAGGCCCGCTGGCCTCGTGTGATACCGCATTTCGATTTGTTCACGCTTTCAACCCTGCTGAATGCCGGCGTAACGATTGGATAGAGATTACAAGGAGTCTTGGTACACTTGGCTTACTACTTGGCAAGTCGAGAGGCGAACTGCTCGATTGGGCCTGTTCGAGGACAATTTACAAGACAAAGTTGAGTGGAACATGGATATGTCTGGTAATCAAGACCAAGAAATTTGACGCTGATGAAGCTGATGTTTGATATATTGCGTGCAGAAGGAACCTTTCGCACCGGACGCGAAGTTTCGACGTTCCAACGTTCGTCACGTGTTTCGATCACGCCGTCTTGGCGGGAGGGACGGGAAGGCGGGCGGCGTAAACTCAATGTCTTGAAAGCAGTCACTTCGCCAGCCTATCTTTTCCCACTCTCACCACCGTCTTACGCAGCTCGCCGATGTGCTCCAACGCAGCATTGCAACAACAGTCGACATACTGTCTGCATGATGGTCTAGGCCGGAGAAAGCTCTCTGAATGCCGCACGTTGCCGATCTTGCAACCGCCAACGCCCGCCCCGATACTGGAAGCTGTAACGCAAGACGCCGTGAACCTATACCGCGACACATGTGCAACAGCGCTCGGATTTTGCATTCGCGCACTTGGAATTGCAATTGGCAAAGGGACGGCGCTGGATTAATTAGTTCTCGCAGCACTGGATCGCTTTGAGGGGGTGAACCACAGCTACACGAGCACTGGCCCGCCAGAATCAGCAGTGTATCAGTCTACTTGCCCAAGAGGCCGAGTATGGTCTTACCAGCAACGCCTGTCCGAGTCGCCGACCTCAGGCGTACCATACAGCCTCTGTGACCTGCCGTGCAATGGCATCGATTGCCTTTTGAGGTTTCACGGCCGCTGTCAGACGCCGTATTACCCGGATATGTACCATTTTCTTGGTCTTCTGGTAAGTTTGATGGGCGCTGCATGAGCTGAAGTCCCCATGCATCCTTCTTCTTCTCCACACCACATAGGGTCCGCTGCCAGGAGGCCGTGCCCTAGGAAACAAGAGAAGCTTACTTTCTTTCTGCTCCTGGTTTCCTTCGCCGAAACGTTTCGTTCTTGTTGGTCCTCATGGGAATGGGATCTTCGAAATAAATGTTGTGACGGGTCAGAACAAGACCACACAAAACATCTTCTCAAAACACAATGGAACGGAACATTGAATTCACCACTCTTCAGCATCATCAATGCGAAAGTTCTAACGTTTCAATTTATACTTCGGACTTAGGGCTAAAATCAGCAATGATCGGCCGAGGTTCTGCTAGCCAATCCCTAGCGAACACACTTCACTTCAGCTGAAAGACAACATATGCATCTCTTCGCAACCTTCGCAACAACCACTTGGCTCACGAAGAAGGCGCCATCCTGTCCATGCAGCATTTGACCCCTCAAAGTTCGATCACGCCGGCGTCACAGCGGGTCGTACACAAATGCCCTTTCAATCTGCCCACCTGCCCTGGGTGCACAGAATCCGCGCCACGGCTGACATATGCGGGCGAGACGTACATAGCAACAGACGATGTGGACGACGAGGATAACGATGAGGAAGATCAAGACCTCATTTTTTTCGATGGCATAGCCGAAACCACAGCATTATGCAGTCCCGCGATGCAGCGTTCGCAGCTCAGAGAAGAATTCCGAAGCATCTTCTCTCCAGCATCCTCGACAAAAGACGCAGACTTCATGTACTGCCGCTTCCTCGGCGGAAAATGTCTCCAGCCCAAAGGCGCCTCCATGACCGCAGCTGTAGATCTGCTCTGTCTGCTGCAAATGGGCGTGCGGCGCAAGGATGAAACGCTCCTCAACGAAGCCTCTAAACTCTACGACTACACTATGGCGAACCTCCAAATCGACCTGGAACGGCCGGACGCGGCGAACGACGATGGCATGTTGGCGGCGATTTGGATTCTGCATTTCGCGGATAGCTTTACGCCGACAAGGGGGAATGCCAAGTCGATGAGGATGCATAAGCAGGCTGCTGAGCAGATTATGCTCTCCAGAGGGCCTTATGCGGAGTTTTCGCCGCTGGCGAAGATCTTGCTTTACAGTATTCGTTTGACGGGGACGTCCTTTGGTTTGATCAGTCGAAAGCCCGTGCCGTCAGCTGGACGACAATGGGCGACCCGTGCTGCGTGGGCGGGCTCGATCGAAAGCGAGCTCATGGAGACGTTACTCCACATTCCTCGTCTTCTCCACGAACTCGATGGTTTACTAGAGCAGTCCAGCAAACCCAAATTCCACGAACCCTACTCCTTACTAGGGAGCTTCACCTGCATCGAAGAAGAACTCAACACCTGGCTAACCCACTGGATGCTCACCCTCCCCGGCGAAGTCTTCCACTACGTCCCCGCGTCGACATTCCCCCATCTCGAGAACCTCACGCGGGACACTCCCGGGGCGTTCTCCTCCGTCATCGAATACCCCTCCTTCGCCACCGCCTCGCTGCAAATGTCCTTCTGTACGGGCCTCATGCAGGTCAAACAGTCGATCCTCCAACTCCTCGAGCGGATCAAAGACCACACCCTCCTCCGCGTCCGGAAAGACGCCCTCCTCGAAGACCTGAACCAGATCGCCGACCTCCTCTGCCAGAGCGCTGCGTTCACCCAGCCGCAGTACGGCTACTGCGGTATCATGAGGGGCTTGGGACCGGTGTACTTCGCGGCGAAATGGTTCCATCTGCGGCGGGAGTGGGAGAAGCGCTGGGCGCATGGCTTCACGGTGGCGGCGCAGGAGAAGCATGGGTTTACGTCGCCGTATGAGTTGCCCGCGGGTCCTGGGGACAGTTCCAGGGCTGTTGTCTTGGAGCTCGGAAATGGGTGAGAGATTCTGTGAGACTCTAAGAATTCGACGTATCGGGGTGTCATTATCCGTCACCTTCGAAGAACAAGAACTGCGACATGGCCTCTTGCGATTGCAAGCGTATCATACGGTCGCTTCAAGCTCTCACGATGAGTGATAGCTTGCAAGATGACCTCTTGCAGACTGTCCTCGACCATTCTCAAGACTACCACAGCATTGCGATGCGCTCAGAATAGTGGCACCAACCGCCGTGAGGCTCTGATCGCCTTCACTCAAGATGCATGGGGATGGACCATGTTCGCAAGGCTGTCGAAAACGTCAAGCCCGCTGCGGGAGCAGTGTCAAGAGGACGTAGATGGACGGGGAGGGTGTTAGTGAATGGACAGACTGATCGCCTTTTCTCCAGGTTTCGTACTGGTTGAGCGGGATTTTGGGTCGTCGACGAGGGATCTTTTTGGGCATTCTGTCGATGTCGACGGAACAGAAAATAATTATTGAGGTCGAGTGTGAGTGTACCGAATTCGGCGAGGAAGACCAAATCTCCTCCTACACTGTTATCAGCACAGATCCTCTATAACAGCCTCTTCCTACCTCTCCCTGCCCTCCTCGAGCCGGATATGAAAACATGACATGCAGTAATGACATTGATAATACACTCATCCATTCATCAAGTACCAGCACTATTACGAAATTATTCTACCATCTGTCAAACATTGCCAAAAACCCCATCATCTCATAATACTTCCGTCGGATTCGTCATGTCGTTCGCATGGAGGGGATATCTTTTTCAAAACGCGTGTTATAACGAATGAACGCCCGTCTTGCGTTGAGAATGCACGCATTCCTTTCTTGGTCTTGGATTGAATATCTGGAAGGATCTTGCTCTTTCCGTCTCTACCTGTGGCATCGTGACATTTAGACGACCTGCTCAGCAGTGGTGTGGCCATTGGTGGCAGTCACGCCATTGGTACCGTCGACGCCGTTGGTGCCGTTGGTGACGCCAGTGCTGTGGCCATTGGTGTGGTGGCCGTCCTTCTTCTCGATGACGGTGTGGTCGTCGGAGCCGTAGTCCTTGATGGCGAGGCCGAGCGAAGCTGGACTGATGTTGCGGTGGCCCCAGAGGAGCAGAGCACCGAAACCGGGCTTGGCAAGCATGTCGAGGATACCGTAGAAGACGGCCTCGGAGTCTGGGGCGATGACGTTGCCACCCTCAGCGAGACCCCAGGCGATGGGGTACAGGATCCAGAGGAAAGCGGTCAGAGAGCCGCAGAACAGGAAGGCGCGACCCGCGTCACTGCTCACGCCGTTGGCGTGGATGCGGGCTTCCCAGACGAGGACGTAGACGATCCAGAAGAGAGCGACGCATCCGAATACGAAGTAGCCCCACTTGTAGCTTGAGGAGACCAGCGCGCCGACGAGACCGGTGATGATCATGACCCAGTCGATCAGGATGATCCAGAGGGTGGTTGGCCATGGCATGGCAGCCGTGAGCATCAGGTCCAAGAGCAGGAGAGGGGTGGTGATGAACCTGAACGCAGTCAGTATGTTTCGTTGCTATGCTCTTCAATGTATGCCACTCGCCAATCAATGTATCGGACGTAGAAAATCTCACGGCTGAAACCACTGACAACAGGGTCGCTACGCACGAATTCAACGTCGATGGAGGTCCAGCCGAGGTTGGACGCCATGGAGAAGTATGCAATAGCGGCGACCATGGTGACACCGGAGGTGATGTAGTGGAAGATACGGTCAGATCGCTTCTTGGTGCCAGCGAGGCCAACGAAGGCGAAGGTCGCGACGGTCATGACGGCGCAGACCGCCCAGTAAAAGTCGGAGCCATGGGTGGTGATGGCAATGTCGGCGTGGGCGCCATTGACCTGGTCGTCTGCAGAATGTTAGTTATCTTCGCGCACGCGATTTCGTATAAGGTATTCACACACTGTTGATCTGAAGAGCTTGGTTGCCCATTGTGACGGTATTGATAGAAACAGTAAGCTTCCTTTCCCAGATATCACGCAAACTCGTTTGCGGTTACTCGAAACTTGCCAAGGACCTTGAGACGAAAGAAGGCAGTGAAGAAAAAGGACCTCAGGCCAGATATTTACCTTGTCCAACGCGCACGGGTACTTTTCGCGTTTGGGGAAATCAAGCCAAAAAGCTATCTGGCGCATGACGTCGGCGATGCTTCATCTCATGATGCGCGCCCTTGCCGTCAGGCCGTCGAAAGTATAATGCGTCCTTCTCCATGCCCGCTGGTGTCAATATCCGGCGCATGCCGCTGGATGGGCCCTAGAAGAGTCAAGGGCGTGCCGTGGGAGCCAATCTGTGATGGACACGGCTATCATGCGGCTACAACGGAGGTGCAGCTAGGCGGTGGTGAGCAGAGCAAAGGCTGTGGACCGATTCCTATCGTGGGGAGCAAGACGTGCAAGGAAGGATGCGACTGCTCACAAGCGCGCCTGTCACGTCTGCAGCGTGTTCTCGTCTGGTCCACTTGGCCTGCGACATGGTCGTCGCCCGTACGAGAATTCTGGCGCATTCCAGCGTGAGTGAGGGTGGTTTTGCGATGCTCGAGGCGGTGGTTGATGGGATGAGGTCAGGAGATCCAATCGGAGCGGCTACGAGCGTGAACCTTAACCGCGCTAGCGGCCAGTGCAACGCATTTTGGCAACAAGCATCGTCTGATCGACGGGAGAGCCGTTAGCCGTGCGCTGCAAAGCTTGCTTGGACGCTCTCTTGACGTCTTGCATCTCTGATCCTCCACCAGACTCCTGCTACTGACCTCTGGTTGTCCTGCCGCATGCCAGTGGGGCCTCGCGGACAACTTCCTGGGGCAATCATCACCTGCTTCATCACAGCCGGAGTCTGCGCGGATGGCCTTGCGGAGGTCTTTGCGGATGTGCTACTCACAACAGGATGGGACCACGCCAGCAACCGCCCATCCTCCGCCGATTGCAGAGGTGAAGTCAACGAACGCCACTTGCATGTGGCGTGAGATCTCAAAGCTGATGACACACGATTGACGAATCTGACATTGACGTTCCCTCGACCGCGTTCGCATGGACAAGCAGATTGGGATGACTCCTATCGCTCACCCTCCATCACGGGCATCTTCCGCAATGCCCGCGGTCATTTGATGTCGTCCGCAAGATACAATTGGACGGTTGGGTGCTATACCGCCAGTAAGCTTGGGAAGTATCTCCCGCCCTGAGCTGCAGCACTGCAGTCAGCTCCAGCGTTTCAGCCAGACGCTGCATTTGTTTGTTTCGGTATCAGATGCTTTCAGCACAGAATACTTGCAGGCCAAGACGTTAACGTTATCGAAAGCCGCAGAAGTGATTTTCGACGTCTTCTTCTTGCGGCTCGGCGAGCCTCCTCGAATCATCGGGCTTGAGTCCGTGTACCCACTCGACTAGCCGCCAGCCACCTGCTCATCCATCCAAGATCTGTGTGCTTCCTTCTGCTAGCACCATCGGCTATCAGGACTCACTGCCGAAGAAGGCCTACGAATCACCTGCTGACAAAAACTCATCCCGCAACGGAAATCCTTCTCGTCAGAGAAAACATCATGCAGCATGTGAAAGCAGCAATCCCGCTGCATCATCAATCATCATCATCACATTCATCCGGCCCGACATCTCAGCAGCGGACTCCCCGAACAAGACCTCCCTTCTGCGCTGGCTTGACACACGCTGCACGTGCGGACGAACGAACCGTGGTATCCAAACGTGCAAGTGCAAGCAAAAACCTCGGTGAGAGGAGTCGCAAAGTCGAAAAGCAAGATTTCTCACGTCGCGGCAGATCTGCAGCCTGAATGCAAGCTGCAAGGATGCGTGGATCTTCGCTGAGACTTTTGACACGGTCGGTTTTGACTTCACCTTGCAGTTGTTGACCGGCATGCATGCTTCACAGGTGTACGTACTGTGGTTTGTTTCATCATGGTATTGACAACCAAAGATGAGGCACTCTTTGAGAAGTACTTGGAGATCGAAGAGTGTTTGAACAACCTCCTTGCAGGGCGAGAGCATCGCGAACGATAACGCTCTCTTCTTAACTAACCTTCCTACAGAAGTTTACTATCGCTCTTTGCAAGCACAAAACCCGACCTACCGAAAACGCAACCATACCAAGAAAGACAGAACGACGCGAGATCATCCAACACCTTTCTCCTCTTCATGAACGAAACCCTCGAAAGCGAGAGAGGGGTCGACATGAATGTACCTGTACACCTGTACAGCCAAGACGAAAGAACCCTGTACCGCTTAGAACCTTCACAGGGGGAGTTGCATTGCACTTTTGTGATGATGAGGGGTGAGTGTCACACGACTAGGTACATGTAGGTGGATGCTTGGCTTCGTATTTACATGTACCCCTCGAAGCTGGAGATCAAGACTTGATGAGGGGAAGTGACAGAGAACGAGGAATCTCAATACGTCGTTCTGCCCGCGCAGTAGTACGGCAGTCGATTCTATGCGAGGGAGTCGCGAAGCATCGCATACATTGAATCGTGTAGGGGTTCATGAAAATCGTCCTGTATTCCCATATCTTCATGACCTCAAATACATCAACACCAGCATCAACACAACAACAAGCCCCCTCAAATCCCCCCACCCCGGCTTCTCCACCCGATCCAACGTCCCCCTCTCCCCCTCTTCCACAGCCCTCCCCCTCCCCTTCTCCCCCCAAGGCACCCGCACCCCCAAATCCCCACAAACCTGCTCAGCAACCAACCGTCCCCCCGCCAACACAATCGGCACCCCCGTCCCCGGATGCGCACTCGCCCCCACCATATACAACCCCTCCACATCCCTCCCCCGGCCCCTCACCGCATCAACCAAACCCTCCAACACCCGTCCCACCACCCCCAGATCCTTGATATAAGCATCCAGGGGTCCGGCGCGGCGCGCGCGGGTGCTGGGACGGAAACACAGGACGTTGAAGAAGGAGTGCGAGAGGCCGAGGATGGAGCCTTGGGGGAGGTTGAAGGTGTGATGCCAGGTTGTGGGGTCGTTGGTGCGTTCGGTGAGGATGAGGGGGGTTAGGTCTGTGCCGGTGCGGGTGGCGATTGTGGTGAGGATGGTTTTGCGCGCGAGGGCGATCATGGTGGGCCAGTCTTGGGTGGGGGTTGGTGGGAGGCCGGGTTGATCTGGAGGGGATGAGGATTTGATTGAGCCGTTCGATGTGGATGGTGTGTTGGGGGAGCTTGTGTTGTGAGTGAGGTGGCCGACGGGGACCAGGACGACCAGCGTGTCCTTCCGTTCCGGCGCAGCGGTTGGGTCGACTCTGCTGGGGACATTCACATAGAAGCTCGGCTCGTCCGGGATGAGATGCTTCTTGAAAATCGCATCGAAGCTCTCCTTATACTCCTCGGCCAGGAAGATATTATGCGCCTCCAGCTGCGGCACCTTCTCCTTCAGCCCCCAATAGAAACTGATACTCGAACAACTGCCCGGCCTCTCCTCAAGACTCTCCGCGTAGCTCTCCCTCGGAAGCAGCTCGTTATACGCATAGACCAGATCCGAATTATTCACCACCACATCCGCCTTCAGCACCTCCCCACCTTCTATCTCCACCCCTACAGCCCTCCTCCCGTCCCCTTCCAAAACTATCCTCTTCACCGCCGTCCTCAACCGATACTCCACGCCCAACCTCTCCCCAACCCCCACAAGCGCCTCCACAACCCGATGAAACCCACCCACAGGATACCAAATCCCCTCTGCGAGCTCCGTATACTGCAGCAGACTATACGTGCCAGGGGCATCAAACGGACTCATGCCCATATACATGCTCCCAAACGTAAACACCCTCCTCAACCTTTCCGTCCAGAAATACCGGCTCGCGCGGCTCCAGATGCTCTCGAAGGGATGCAGGTCCAGCAGATGCCGCAGGAAGTCTAGACGCAGCATCGACTGCAGGCCCGTGAAATTCTTCAGCAGCACGTGCTCCACGCTCAACTCGTAGTGTTTGTGGCTCTCCCCCAAAAACTCCAAATACCGCGCATACCCCTCTTTGCCCTCCCACTTCTCCACCTCGTGCTTCATCACCGCGAGGTCGGTACTCAGGCGAAATTTCCCACCGTCCCCGAACCAGATATTGTAGTTCGGTTCGCATTTTATGAGTTTTACGCCCTCATCTTCGAGGGTGGTGTCGAGGTCGGCGAAGGTCTGGTGGAAGAGCCGCGGGAGGAGGAGTAGAGAGGGCCCTTGATCGAAGCGGTGGCCTGAGGCGTGGAGGAGGGAGCAGCGTCCGCCCGTGAAGGAGTTCTTTTCGAGGACGGTGACTTTGAAGCCGGCTTTGGCGAGGCGGGCGGCGGTTGAGACGCCGCCTGCGCCGGCGCCTGGTTCGGGATAGATGTGTCAGTGTGTGCTAGTGCGTGAGAGATTGTTGCTTTTACCTATGACAATGGCAGTCTTCTGCCAGTCTTTCTCCGCCATGAGAGAGGAAGGCGTGGATCGTGCAGCAATTGCATGTTGAGGAAGGGTGGTATGTTTTGGGCTTGGGTCTCATTCACATGCGAGGTCCCGCTTTTTCAAGGACGCTAACTAAACGCCCTCCCACGTGATAGTCACAGATGCTCCACTTCATCATGAGAGATATCAAAGATAGACAATACAAACACGCACGTGATTATGCATTTGGAAACTCCTCGCTTGAAGGGTATCTAAAGCGCTATGCACTCGCGAATGCAAATTCTATGTACAGACAATATGTGCGGGCATTACTCCTCCTTCTGCCTCGGTCTGGGTCCTAGTAACGTCCTCCACGCAACCAGAATGCGTTTCCACCTTGGAACCGTCGCTCTTCCAGCCTTGACTTTGTATCCGGGCCTTCGAAGTTCGCGGGCGATCTGCATGTAGCTTTCCACAGCAACACGCAAAGGAGCACGGGCAGGCCTTGGAAGCTCTTCTATCGCACCGACGCTTTTGCTGTAGAATTCGAATGCGCGGTCGAGGAGGCGGTGTCTGATCAGTTCCACCTTCTTCAAGAAGAAGTCGTCTGGTTCTGAGGATGATGCAGCCTTGGTCTGACCGGTGATGAACGTCTCTGATGTGAGCTTCTCCTTCTTCAGCCAACTGGGTGGCACGTAACATCGGCCAATCTCAGCATCGACACCCAGGTCCCGTGCAATATTAGTGTACTGTAATGCAATGCCCATGTTGTGACCAGCAGACATCAGTCGTCTTGCTTTTGCGTCCGAAATGCCAGGGTAGCGGTAGAGCACCAGCTGAATGCATAAGAGAGCGACCGTCCCGGCGACTCGTGCGCCATAAAGATCGAGGTCTTCCTCTGATCTGATCGGTCCTGAGCCTTTCTTGTCAGAAAATGTCAAGTCCATGTGGAATCCTTTGAGCAGTTCGTACAGCGGTTCCTTGTCCAGTCGATGTGTGGGTAGGAGAAGGAGTGTCAGTTGCGTCTCTGGTGGGAAGTTCTGTACGATGTAGCGTGTTGCCACGCCTCTGTTCATGTCCTTGGGCTGTATTACTTTTCCGTCCTTGGTCGTCTCTGCCGGGCCGTAACACAGATCAAGATACTTTTTGAGTTTCTGCTGCCACTCTTTCGTTTCTTTCACGGACGCAGCGTTGTCAATTAAATCATCTGCGACTCGACAAAATGAGTACAGCATGATCAGGTCCAACCTCAATCGACCCTGGAAGGTGCTGCTAGCGAGGAAGAAGCTGCGAGACTTGTTCTGCAGTCGCTCGGTGGCTTGCTCGATTCCAAGTATCCGATCGTCGTCGTATGCAAGAGCTGGTACAAGCAGCGCTCGCACCAGCAAGAAAGGCGAGGGTAGACTGGGCACATTTGGGAAATGTGCGGGAAAGGCATTAAGAATGGCGACCGCGTTGTCGAAAGCAACCAAGCCAAACACGATCAGCATGTTGGTGAGCAGAAAGAAGAGGGCTTCTTCAATCTCCAAGCCAGGCCATAGGGTTAACCCAGTCTTCGTACCAGCCTCGATCACCCAAGTTCCACGCTTCAGCGCCAGCGTGTCTACTACCCAGAGATAGACGGTCGGTAGAGCAATTGGCAAGACGGTGCATGCTCTTGGCAACCTCAATATGAGCTGATATGCCAAGCTCCACAGCAGCAGCAGAAATGGGAGTGCCCAGACCAATATCAGTCCCAGATATGTGTTCTCCCCTTCAGACTTGACAAAGTCTATGGCCTTCTTCAATGCCAGTGCCAGCACAAGCTGACCTCCCATCTTGATGTAGCGCCATTTCTGGCCTTGAGTGCCTGAGCCCTCCTTCACCAGATACGCCTCTTTCAAGACCGGCTTCGAGGTCAGCAGGTACAGCAGGGAAGTGTTGTACGTCTGGATCACGAAGAAGAAGACCTCCTCCAGAGGAATGCTGAACAGGGTCGGACCGACGATGACAGTGGGCGGGTATGACCAGATATTGTTCCGGATGAGGTAGCTATCCCACGGGATGGTGGAGACGACGGCGATGGTGATGAGAAAGGCGATTCTGTAGAGGTCCAAGCGCGTGCACAGCGGGAAGTAGACGAGAGAGAGGAGGGCAGCGGGCGGAATGGTGTAGGTGAGATGTCTGCAAGCGGGAGTCATTCACGTCAGTAGGCCTTCTTCACATGCAAACCATGCAGATCCCCGGAGCATGCACTTACACCAACGCGTAGTCGAATCCCATGGTTGATGCTAATCCAAACGCTTCAGCGGCGTGCAAACGAGTGTGAGGTGCTGTGTCTAGACTCTGCCATTACTGTCCAGCCACGAGGAAAATTGTCAAAGCCATGCGCTCATTGTGTTCCGCGGCCGCATTCGACTGGAGATGGTGGTGCTACAGCTGCAGAGCCTCACGGCAGACTTTGGCCGCCGTCTTCACGTCGCTTCGGCTACCGCGGGATCTTTGGCCGATGAAACGCAGCCTCCGTGCCAAAGATGTCGGCAAGCGATGCTACTCATATCGCCGGCGGAGATGTCGCGCATTTAACCTCGCAGCTTGAGCCATTTGACTTTGCGGAGGTTGCTGTTGATATGACCTGGTGACCGCATCATCTCCACGTCATGTCGCCAGCAGGAATCGGGAGATTCGTGAGGCCACACATCACACATCGGCATTCACTCCGCCAGACGACGTCCGGAATTGAGATTGCAGCGTCAGTGTGAAGGTGGAGTTTGCCAGGGCCCGCTCAGAAGCATGTGAATGTCGTTGTGTCAAGCTTGGTTTGGCATCGGCAGGCTTCCGCTGTCTTAATGAAACTGGGCAGGAGGAGGTTGGATGTGGACGAACATCTTGCCGCGACTTGATGTTTCCTCAGACACTCACTCTACCGTTATACGACAATGCCATTGGCAGGACAGAAACGAAAGCGGACGTCCAGCGAGAATATCCTTCCCACACCACAAGCGAAACACCCATACCTGAGCGGCAACTTCGCCCCCATCCAGCAGACGCTGCCGTTGACGAAATGCACCTTCATGGGCAGGATACCAGAAGAGCTGGCCGACGGCGAGTACGTTCGTAACGGAAGCAACCCAGTCTCGAACGAGGACTTGGGAAGAGACGCACATTGGTTCGATGGAGATGGCATGCTGTCGGGAGTCTCATTCACCAAGGACAAGGCTACGGGAGAGGTGCAGCCGGACTTCGTGAACCAATTCGTCCTGACAGACTTGTATCTGAATACTGTCTCCTCGCCACGCCTACGAGTACCCATCTTGCCTTCGATAGCGACCTTGGTCAATCCTGTTGCGAGCTTCATATACGTGACGCTACGAATCCTAAGGACGATATTGCTGGTGATACTGTCGCACCTACCCGGTTCGAAACATCCCATCAAAAAGATCAGTGTGGCCAACACGCACGTTCTATACCACGATGGAAGAGCGCTTGCCACGTGTGAAAGTGGCCCGCCCATACGCATACAATTACCTGGACTCGAGACTGTCGGCTGGTACGACGGTGCGTCTGCTGAGGGTGAGCCGGCGAAAGAGACTGAAGACAAAGAATCCGTGCTGGGACAAGATGGCGGACTTATAAGCTTCATGAGGGAGTGGACCACAGCGCACCCAAAAGTTGACCCCAACACGAAGGAGATGATCATGTTCCACTCGAGCTTTGCACCTCCCTTTGTGCAGTACAGCATCATCCCTCAGACCGCCCAGGTGGAGTCGGGAGTTCAGAATGGCGATGCTTCTGGGAAGATCCTCAATGCCGCGGTACCTGGCGTGAAGAGCGCTAAGATGATGCACGACTTTGGTGTTTCGCGAGAGCACACCATCATCATGGACCTGCCGCTGAGTCTGGATCCCATCAATTCGTTGAAGGGATTACCGCCAGTATCCTACGATTCTAGCAGACCTTCGCGATTTGGTGTGTTTCCACGTCGGAAGCCAAAGCAGGTCAAGTGGTTTGAGACGGATGCGTCTTGCATCTTCCACACCGCCAACAGCTGGGACGAAGCAGATAGTTCGGGTCAGACTGCTACAGTCAACATGCTTGCCTGCAGACTGACCTCTGCCACGCTCATCTTCGCGGCTGGCAACATCGCTCCACCCGTGGAAAAGCGAGAGAAAGCAGTAGCAATCGCCAAGAAGCGCATGCCGTTCTTCTCGAAGTACGACCAAGATGCCGAACAAACGTACTTTGAGCAGTCCACTGCGCTTGAGTCACCCTGCGAGGAGAAGGAGCCATTACTCCACATCGCCAAAGCCGACCGCGAGGACGACTACGATGATCTCTTTAATGAAGACCAATGCCGTCTTTACTACTATCAGTTTGATCTTCGCTCTGGCAGCATCAACTATCAGTGGGCGCTGTCCTCCATACCCTTCGAGTTTCCCTCTGTTCGGCCAGACCTCGAGATGTCAGCCGCGAGATACATTTACGGCTGTAGCACCACAACAACGAATTTCGGCTCCGCACTTGGAAAGGCCACCAAGATTGACGCTCTCGTTAAGATTGATGCCACCGCGCTCATCACTCGTGGACGCACGACTCCCCCTCGAAGCGTTACTGGTGTCGTGGATAGCAGATCCATGGCTCAAGTCCTCGAAAGCAACGACCCTCACGACCCGATCCAGGTCTTCCAAATGCCAGAAGGCTGGTACGCGCAAGAACCTCGCTTCGTGCCTGCTTCGTCGAACGCGTCAGAAGACGACGGATACTTGCTCTTCTACGCTTTCGACGAATCCCAGCTCGACTCAAACGGCGACGTACCAACGGATTCATCGCCTCTCCGAGCCAAGAGTGAACTGTGGATTGTGGATGCCCAAGGAATGAAAGACATCGTCGCCAGGGTCAAGCTGCCTCAGCGAGTGCCGTATGGGCTGCATGGAACGTGGTTTTCAGCAGAGCAGATCAAGGAGCAGAGGCCTGTGGACTGTATCAGGACTACAGCAAAGGCGATGGAGGGTAAAGGTGAGGGTTGGTGGATGAGCACGAGAGATCAGTTGGAGAGGATGTTGGGGTAATGAGGAAGCGTGTATGAATCCACGTTAATGTTTTTGATGAGATAATGCATCGTACGGCGTTGACGATAGGAAGGGAATGGCGGGAGATACCACATACGGCGCACGAGTCCCGGTGCCCATTGCGAGAACATGTATATACCAAACGCTGCTGCATCCTCGCAGCGAAAAACATAATGTCGAATCACAACCCTCCAAACCCAACACCTCACCCAAACCCGGCCATTTCTTACTGCTCCCCCCTCCCAAACACCCTCACCCCACCATCCCTCCCAACAAAATACAACATCTCCCTCTCCTCCACCTCCTCCCCATCCCCTTCCCAACCTCCTCCTCTCGTCACCCTCAAAGCCCCACTAACATCCCTCGCAGCCCCCGTCTCCAGCTCCCTAACACCCATAACCACCCTAGCACTATGCGCCGCCACGATCAAAAACTCCGCCGCGGAGGTCTCGAGGGGCGTTGTTGTGGGGGAGAGGAGGGGGATGTCCGCGGCAGTGGAGAGGATTGTGGCGTGGGCTTGGGCGCGCAGCGGGAGGAGGGTGGGGAGGGAGGGGGGGAGGGGGACGTCGAGGATTAGGAGGGGTGCGGTGAGGGTTAGGGGGAGGGTGGTGGGGAGGGTGTTGGTGGGGGAGAGGAGGGGGACGAAGGTTAGGTGCGAGGGGGGGCGGGTTATGTCGAGGCCCTGGGGAAACGTTGTCACTATCAGCTTTGCTTTGGTGGGTGTGTTGGAGTGGGTAGGTTTGGGCGTGAACATACCGTCGTCCTCTTCACCTCCCCCTTCCACCACGCCAAATCGCGAAGCCAGCTAATAAGGACCACCGGTCTCGTCGTGTCGTCTTCATTTTCGTTTCCGTCTTGTGAAGCAGGCTGCGAGAGTGCCGTAGCGATGAAGCGGCACGTGAGCCAGTTGACGCTGCAGCCCAGCGTGCCCGTGAGTAGGATGAGGGAGGCTTCCGGTGGGAGGCGCAGGTAGGGCTCTAGTGCTGGGGGGATGGGTTTGGTTGACATTTTTGCTGGAGTTTTGGGACTGGCTGTGGGAGGGTGGTGAGTTTGCTGGGTTGTTGTTAGTTTTTATTACTTGTCTTCTGGCAGGTTTTTGGGGGTTTTACCTTGTGAGGTTTTGGGAACGAAGAAACTTGAGATCTTGGAGGGGGTGATGATACCAGAGTTTTCCGAGTGTTTATGATATGATCTGAAAGGTTCCAGGTTGGTTGTGGTTTCTGATTTTGTTACTTGTTTATCTTTTTCATTTAGGTCGATCAACAGAGAGAGAGTGAAGTGAAGTTTGCAAGCTTGCGAATGCCTCAGGCAGCAATTTCCAACGTCACTTCTTCTGGGACCGCCATCTCTTCTTTAGACTTGGCCATCAACTACCCAAAGAGACAGCAACCAAAATATCACGATCCCGAGACTGTCAATTCATCACTCGAAGCAGATATAAATGCATCGACCGGGTGCATTTCTACCCGCATTTCCGTCTTTCAGCACCACACCGGGAATCGCCTAAAGCAGGAGTGTCTTTACCTCACGAGCGTTTCCCCTACGTGGTAGCGAATGCGTTGCACACTCAGATCTCTGGACTTCTTGAAGAATTAAACAACCCCTTGCACCTTCTTTGAGCAACTAACAAATTGATACACTCCCTCTAAGCGTATTCGTCGAATCCGTTCTGCAGACTTAATTCCATCTCCATCAAATCCATTCCCTCCACCCCATGTCCCACATCCTCACCAAAACAGCAAAGTCCGCCCTCTTCGGCGTCCTCCTCACAACCGGTATCTGGACCGCAGCAGTATACCACCAATCCTCAAAAGTCGACCGCCGCAAGATCGCCACTTCAGACGCCGTCTCCAAAGCTTTTCGAGACTCGCCTGCTCACAGACTGGTGAACCCCAAGCAAGTGCGCCACACATCTGACAGCCGTACCATCACACTTCATGTCTCCTCGAAAGAAGTCGTTGATCGCCCGCGAGTTCTGGCCTGGATGTTGAATGGGTTTTTCCAGAGTTGGATATTCGCGCCGGAGGCTCTTGCATTTCGCGTGTTCTTTAATACTACTGGGAGGGTTATGACTCATTTGTCTGGTAAGTACTGGCGTATCACAAGAAAGATGTCGAAAAGGATCGTTGATGAGACCTTCGTTTAGGACTCCCCGAGCACCTCCCGCCACCGATCTGGTACAGCACCCAACTCTCAGACTCCTCTCTTCCACCGCGCAACTCTCTTCTCTTCGGCACCTTCCAAGTCGCAGATATCTGGACGGCCGAGACCGATGGCGAAGAAGAATGCGGCGTCGACATCGCCTTTGGCTCGGACAAGGGAACGTTCGCGGGATATCACCGGTTAAGCGTCGCAACCCTGAAAGAGGATGGAGAGTCGTATTTGCGGTTGACATTTGCCTGCATGACCTGCAATCCTGCAGGTGATAAGTCTTGGGTCGAGACTTTTGGCTTCATGTTGGTGTTTCATAAGATATACGCGGAGATTTTGTTTAGAGCCGCCGCGGGCAATGTTGTGAGGAATCTGGAATCAAGGGGTGCGAGAGTGCTACTCGTGTCGAGTAACGAGTAAAGCGGATTGGAAGTCGCCTCTGTTACACCAGGAATTTTGGACGACAATCTCCCCTTCTATACCAGGCAGCCAGACTTATGGAGTATAGTCTGTTCGGAAACAGACCCTAGGGCAATACCGATATCAAGCAGAAAGACCAAGTCTGTTTCGGATCCAATTCGGTTGATTCTACCCATTGGCTCATCTCACCATAACATGAGGACGACCGAAAGCCGCCACGAGTCCCACGACACCACACTCAAAGACCACCCCCTACGACCCCTCAAGAATCCCGAAAATCCACCCAATCCTCCTCCCAATCATCGCGATCATGCCCAACAAAATAAACCGCCACATGATCCGCATCATACAGAAACGACTGCACCTCACCGTCCACGATCTTGCACAACCTAACCAACTTCTCCCTCTCATAATGTTCTCTCTCCAAAACCGCGAAAAAAAACCTGACACAGCGGCTTCGGAGCGTTCTTGACAAACTCCGCCGCCTCTTCCAATGTCTTGCCCAAGAATGGCGAGGTCCATCCAGGATCAATTGGAGGCTTTGTCGCCATAGTTCTCTCCTCAGTAATGGCGGGCAGATTCTGATAGCTGTCGGCTAGCCACAGGAAGAAGCACTGGTGCAATGCATCAGCGTTTTTTGTTAGGACTTCGTCGATTATCTGGGGAAGTTTTAGTAGATGCTTGGTCTTGACGGGTTTTGCCAATTCGTACAGATTTTGGAATATCATCTTCCAGAATGAATAGTGCGTAGACGTCGACTCTGTTGTCGTCCTCTGCCCACTCGCCGGTGGCCATTGTTGCTGAACGGCTCGGCGAGGGAGAGGACGGTGCTCGGAAGGTATACGAAAATGGCCACGCGCTTGTGGAAGGGAGTGAGCTGTTTCTCGCCGCACGTTGAGATTTGGGGGGTTTCGCGAGGCGCCTCTTGACGCCTCTATGCGAGCGGCTATTCTATGCCGACGAAGGTCGTGCTGTTGAGCCACCTCGCTTTTAGTAACGCTGAAGATGGTATCACTGCTGTGCCAGTACTCCTTAGCGTTGAGAGAAGAAGAATCGATGCCTCTAGCTTCATCAAGAACGATAGAAGATTTGAATCATGCCACCCTCATCTCATTCCTCCCTCAAACTCCTCCAAGTCTCCTCCCACGTATCCCTATCATGCGCCTCAATATACAACGCGACCTCATCGCCGTTATAGAAGAAACTCTGCACCACCCCATCCGCACTCACAACCTTGCAAACCCGAATACACCCATCCCTTTCGTACCGCTCCCTCTCCAACACAGCGAAGAACGTCCGGCAGAGGGGTTTCGGGGCGTTACGCACAAACCTAGCAGGCTGCTGGAGAGTCTTCCCTATAAAAAGAGAGCGCCAATTAGGGTCGATGGGCGGTCTGACGGTTTCGGGATGGGGCCAGTGGCGGAGCCGAGGGAGGGTGCTGTATGTGTCTGCCGGCCAGAGGTAGTGCTCGCCATCGTTGGAGGCGGCGTTTGTGCTGAGGACTTCGTTGATCATCTATGAGGCTTTGTTAGAAAGAGCCGGTCGTTGATAGGGGTGGGCATTGTTCACGGATTGTGGGATGTTGTCTTCTAGGATGAAGAGGGCGTATACGTCTATTCGATTGTCATCGTCGAGGAACTCTTCGTCGGTGGTCATCCTGTCGCGATGCAGGCGTGACTTGGAGTGCTTGTCAAATGTTGAAGATACGCGGCAAGGTGATCGACTTCGTGGTGGCGTATTTGTAGACGAAAGAGCGACATGGATCTTTGCAGGCTTCCATGGACGCTAGTGCATCAGAATCCTAGTAAGGCACGGCAAGGCAGCAACCTACTTCGAGAGGTAACTGAATCAACGTGAATCATGTGAAGGCCAGACTGACTCGTCGTAGCGATATCATTTCAATTCGTGTCGTTCGCTCATTACATTACAAAGACTAGAATATGTCTTTCAAAGGTCGTCATTAAAGTATTATCCGCCAAGCGGCGGTTGTATGTCGGATCTGCTGGCCCCAGATGATCATGGGAATGGCGAGCAGCATGATGGCGACGTAGATGCCGGCTTGAGTGCCGAAAGCATTGATGTTGCCCGTCTTGTCGACCCAGGGCACGATGCCATAAAGAAAGCCGAAGGCGACGACGTTCTGTAAGGTGACGTTAGTTGGAGCAATGGCAAGTCGAATAGGAGGTACAAATCACGTACCTTCAAGCCGACGACGAGTGTCAAAGCGTCCGCATTGACAGGCAAGTAGCTGTCTGAGACGTATGTCATCGTCATTGTTGGGACGGCGGTTAGACCAACGCTGACCATGCCATTGGCGAAGAAGCTGTTGTCGAACGTCAGCCCTCAGATCGAGTAACAGTAACAACGATTCAACTTACAGAGCAGTCCAATGCATGCTCCTTGCCACGCCATATCCCCACAACAAACATCCTGCTGGAACAATGAGTCCAGGGATAATCAACAAGTGTAATCTCGTCTCTGGCTGGAACACGCCGCCGTTCTTCTTGCTTCTCCAGTCGCTATACCGATCCACGACCCAGCCACCAATCCAGGCTCCAAATAGATTGCCTATCAGACCAGGAATATTGATCAGACCATTGATGTCTGGCTTCCAGTTGTACGGCGGGGCTTGTAGAACGAAGCTGTTCAGGATGTTTATGGCGACGACCCAGGCGAGTGAGACAGCAAAGCCCAAAAACGCGAGAATGACGGCTGGGTAGGCGATCATGGGGAGAGGTCGAAGGAAGAGTTTCAAGAGGTTCGTGTTTTTGGGTAGACCGGACCAAAGGCTCAGTTCCTGCATGAAGCTCTTTTTCGGAATCTCGGCGGCAGGTTCGCGGTGGGCAGGGTGGACCGCCTTGATAACAGGTGACGCATTCGCCTTTTCGATATCAGTCTCATTGCCAGTAGTAGCAGGCGGTGCTTCTTCCTTCGCTGAGCTTGATTCAGAGTCCAGTGAGAGGCTCCTCGCAGAGCTCGCGGGTGACCTCATGAGCTCAGAGCGGTCATATCTTGTCTCTGGCACGAAAAAGACCACAAGCAGGAAGTTGATTGCCACAAGCCCAAATGCTATCCATTTCTGAACGCGCCAACTGGATCCGGTGACCACGAAACCGCAGATCAGAGGGCCAATCGTGTTTCCGCCTGAAATGGCGTTCATGTACCAGCTCATCAGATTGGCTCGCTGGTGCAGAAAGAAGACGTCGTTGACGATGGATGCCGCGAGAGCTTCCGAGGCAGATCCAGCAAATGCCGCCACGATGTTGCTCCAGAGAAGGCTCCCGAATGTTTGCGCAACCGCTCCCCACAAATAGGCCAGACAGAGCAGAAGGGTCGCAAAGACGAAGATCGGTCGCTTTCCAAAGTAGTTCGCCAGTGGTACCCAGAGAAAGTTGAAGACTCCCAGCACAAGAATCGGCCATATCAGCAGCGCACTAGTCTCTGTCATTGTCTTGTTGAACTCGATGCTGAGAGGGTAGAACGCCGGTGCAAGGCCGCCAATTGCGTAGTTGGCCAGAAATGCGAACGAGCAGACGCTGAAGAAGCATATGAACTTCTTCCATTTCGGCCATCGAAGAGGGTCATTGGGGTCGTATGGGTTCGGTTGAGGGTGTAGAATCAGGTTTCCTTCTTCGGTTCTGTCGTGAAGCTGAACAGTTCCTTCGGAGCTGTCGAGCTCCTTGAGTGAATGAAGTCGCATGGTCGATCTTGTCGTTAAAGTCGTGTGCGTAAGTGTCGGATGGTTACAAGCTGTTTACGACCCAAACATCAAACCAAGGTTCTCCGTTGACAATGGGCGAGGTAGTGGGACTTTCGTCGTTCATATCTCCCACACCGATCTGCGAAATAAGACCCGCGTAAGTTGTCGAGTGCAGGGGAAGGAGGCGAGCACACGACAGTCCCTGAATAGTCTATTGTGGGATGGATCAAACTCAGCGCCGAAAACGAAAACACATGCGACTCGACCAGGGGCTAGGAGCGAGCGATCTTTAAGACTGCGAGTAGTGCACAGATCCGCCAAACCTGATTGGAAACAATCCGCTGGGTGTCTGTTCCTCTCCGCTGCATGATTTCAGCCCATGACGGGATTCTAATGAAACCGATAGGTGGTGGAAAACGGCAGCGGAACTCCGCACTGGGGCGGAGACGAGAATCGGTGGTTCATGATGAGGTCCAATTCCTGCTGTAGCTGTCTGACAAACGTCGTACTGCAGATGCCTTTCCTCAACATGACCTGTCTTGGAGCAGCTCGAGGTCGAGATGCAAGCTTCCCAAGACCAACGACTGCTTCTTGACACCGCGGAGAGCACAGGATCCCCGAAGAGGGTGGAGAATATTTCGATGGCGCTATCGAACGGTGAAGAAGTCAGCGTGCCCAGATGGCAGATTTGGCGAACGGTGCAGGCAAAGGTCGATGATTCGATGGCCTTGTCAACGTCCGGACTTGATCGAGGAGAGCCGGCAAAGGCAAAACTGCGAGGTGGGGTGGAAGTTGTTGTCCTTGGCGTTAATGCCTGAGGCAGGAAGTTCGAACCACACCTCCCAAATCGCCACCACTTGCAACGATAATATTCAACATCACGCGACACCAGCTTGATTCAACCCAAAATTTCGAATACGAGGGCAGTTGTGACGTCAAGGAGGCTGGCAAAGGACAGGATTGTGTATGGACAGAGCTACTGTGCACTACCACCCTGTCTCACAATGGTCGAACCAATGCTCGCCATTTTTCCAGAGCTCCTGAGAAGACCATGTGAGGTATTGCCTTAGGCAGGTCTAGTTTCTGCTCTCCACAATGTCTCCTGACTTTGACAGACTCCCTCGCTGAAGAGAGCGCTCCTTGCGTAGCCGTGGCCAACGTCGACACCACGAACGAGGATGGCATCCTAGAAGACCACATTATCTCAGCAATCAACAACGTATTTCTATTGACATCTCGTTTCAACGACCTGTCAATATCTCTCGCTCTCGCGCTTCATGTTTACATCCCATTCATTTTTCTTCACACTGACATGCAACCCCCTTGCATCCTCCGCTCGAACCACGAACCCACCCGCCCGGCTCGATCACAAACCCTGGCATTTCGAACCGCAGGAAAGCCGACCAGCACAAAGGAAACCTCACCCAGCGCGAGCGATCGACCACTGTGAAGTCACTCCCACACACCCGGCTTCTGTTGACAGATCGAGGGGCTTTCTGCATTCCGTCCCTCACGTCCCGGACTCAAACCCTCTTGTTATATGTAGAATGGGGAATGTCGTAGACAAGAGCGTGTCCTGCTGTCTAAAACACGTTTGCTGCGTGGGTAGGTCGGTTTGAAGCGGTTCTGTTTTTGGCTTGCATTTCAACGCTTGACGGCGGCTTTTTTTTTTTTTTTTTTTTTTTTTTTTTGTGATGGCTACGCGGAGACTGAGACCTGAGGATTGGAATCCGGCCTTTCAGACCAGGATATCGACGAGAGTTGCGCACGAGCCGAGGGATGAGTTTGCGAGGATCTCGAAGAACTCGGACAGAGCGTTGCGACCCAAGCCATTGAACATCCCTCCAAGACAGCTGCAGTCTCCGCCAGATCTCAAGGCGCCGCCGCCATCGAGGAAACAAAGCTCGGAATATGGGGATGTACTACGAGATCCTGAGATCGTCGACGTTGCTCCGTCTGGAACATGGCCGCAGAGAGAGTCGCCAGCGCATCGGCAACAGCGAAAGCAGTCTCCCAGCATAACGTCCCAGTACAGCACGAGGCAATCTGAAATCTCGTTGGGGATCTTGGACTACTATATGCGTGATCGAACTCCATCGCTGCATAGTCCGACACTACCACCACCTACACCAAAGGTCGACCCAGCAATTGAGAAGTTCGACTTCGGACTACCACCAACTCCCACACCATCAGCTGCCACGCCTGAACTATCTGCAGCAGACACAAAACCAGGCGCAGAAAGGAGAGACCAGCCCCTGATCCCACTATCCCCACCTACCATCAACCGACCCCCACCGCCACCAAAAGGCTACTCGCTCTTCCCAGTGATCAAACAAGTAACACCCCCGCCACGCCAACCGATCCTCGTAGAAGAAACAATCAACCTACAAGCAATCACCCCAACAACCCACCACCCACCCCCCGACCCCTCCTACCGCCAGCGAAAGGAATCCATCTCCACCACCACAGCAGGCCGCACCCGCACCGACAGCCACCCCAAACGCACGCCGCTCCGCATCTTCTCCTCAGACTCCACTAGCAGCACCGCGACACCACGCTCCCGTCGCCAGATCTCCACCTCCTCCTCGACCATGCAGCACGCCAGGACCTCGTCGCCGCCGAGCGCGAGTCGCTGGTCCGACGACACGATTGCTTCGCCGCCGAGTACCGCGGGCCTGCGGACGAGTTTCGGGAGTTTGTTGCGGAGGGAGAGTACGGCGCAGCAGGGGTATAGCTACTACCCGGATTGTTTCTTTGAGGATGATGACGATGAGGCGGAGCCGTTGAGGAGGAGGAGGTGGAGGAGGAGTCCGGGGGCGACGACGAGTTCGGGGGAGAGTGCGTCGTATGGGGCGGGGAGGAGGGGGCAAACGCCGCTTTGGAGGAGGGTGCTTTTGTGTGGGTGTGGTGGGTGAGTCTGGTAAAGGGTTTTTGTGATGCGTTGATGTTTTGTTTGCGATTGGCTTCTTGATGAAAGTGATACCTTTGCCGATGGGGCTATGATTTAGTTATGAGGCAGTGAAATGAAAATGGAGGATTTGAACTTTGCCATCGTCGCCGTCGTTTGTACTACCCCTACAGCTAGCAAACGCATCAGTATAGCCAGCACCGTGCGTCAGTATATCTTGTTTCGCACTGGAAACTTGCCACCACTCAAGCAAAAGTCTCATGCCCCATGGAAAGAGAATCCTTAAGCCAACGTGCAGACTCGAACTCAAACCCCCTCGCAAGTGCACGAAACCAAGTCCCCCAACCCACCAAAAATCAAATCACCACGCACACCCCCCGACTCGATCCCACGCCCCTCCACGAAAAGAGCAAAATAGAACCCCCGCCGTCACCTCATTCGGTGGGAGGGAGGAGAGAAACTTGATCTGGGACCCAAAGATGATATCTAGATATCAAGTCGAGGTTCGTTAAGAAGCTGTCGGGCTAGGGCCCCCTTTGGTAGTCGCACGGTCCCTAGATTATTTTAACCGCTTGAGCCACCAAAGGGGACACCTTGCCAAAGGGCATCCACCAGAGTTTACTGCTTTTGTGGTTGGTGGGGGGATTTTGGGATATATGATGCTTTGGGGGCGGTTTGGTCCGGGGTTTTGCCGGGCCGGGGGAAGGTACGGACGGACGTCTCTGTTTTCATACACTTTGTTGGTTGGTGAGCATCTCACCGTCGCTGCTGGCCCAGTAAGGCGACGAAGGCGTCGATGTAATCGCGAGAGTGTGTCAATACCTCCTTCTTCATGCGAACCTTGCCACCTTGCGAGACCAGTCTCAGAGCTTGTTCGAAGACCTCCCCTGGGGTCGTGTCAGCCGTCATATCGATGGCAAGTGGCGGGTGCCTCCAAGTCTGCACAGCATCCGACGTGAGCACCATTCCCACGAGAGAGCAAATCAGAACCGCCAGCACGGTAGGGAACGACACCACAACCACTGCAACGGCGACCCAGAACATATACACCTGCTTGGATTCGGCTCCGAGGAATCCGACCGTGAGCAGGAACCAGGTCACGAGCGCGGCTCTGATGCTGGAGTTCTGGCCCCCCAGCGAGGTATGCACCAAGAAGGCCCGTTCGTATAGGGCTATCACGACGGGAAGCGCGTAGAGCATGCGCTCTCGATACCAGACTATCCGCGCGTCCCAGGACTCTCTCTGCATGTACTGGCTAGTTGTCGGACTCAAGACCTCAAGTAAGTCCGTCCTGAAGTCGCCATTCGAAGATATGTACTCTTTGCCGACCCCGGACACGATCAAGGGCCATGCCCGCCTCCAGTCCCGGCTCTTGTTAACATCGCCAGAGGTAACGTGCGCGGACATGTTGAATCTGTAGCAGGTGGTAGATTGGCCAAAGCGGACTCGAAGCAACTGCATGGCAAGGACCTCGTTGGAATGGTGTTGCGCGTCATCTTGTCGACAGGCCAAACGCAACCCGATGCTTTCGCAGCTGAACAGATCATCACTGGTGACATTGGTATCACATTCCCACGACGTTGGAAAGTAGAATTCAACCCCTAAGCTGGTACTCCGGTGCGGTGGCAGAGAGATGGTGCGTGGAATGGGTACGACATTCCGTGAGCGAGCAAATTCTGACGGGTGTCTGGCGAAGATGCCACCGATTCCGCCGCCATCGTTTGTAGTCCAGGCGAACAGGCTGTCGTCTGGAATATTTGCGAGGATGTGCTGTTGCAGTCGCAGAAAGGCCTTCTCCCCTTCACCGTATAGAAGCGCCATGTTGACGTCGAAGAGGCCCAGAAGACAGTAGGCGTTGTCTTCCACGCGTGTCGTCTTCCTCGACGATGCCCAGCTCATTCGACGAGCGACGCTTGCGCGACGCAGCTCCTTCGGAGACGATGCCAAGTAAACAAAATCGATGCCTGTCGCCCTAAAAATCGCGGGCAAAAGGTCACCCTTGGTACCGATCGGGGTGAGGGTTTGATCCAGGAGGAGAGTCAGTTTGGGAGCTAGGAGCTCTTGTAAAGTCCAACCTCGTGTGAACCAGCGACTTTCCGAAAAGCAGAAAGGACAATATGTAGCAGAAGGTGTCATTTGCCCATCAGAAACGGCCACATCGTCGTGTCCAGCAATCTTGCATTTAGCTTGAGTCGTTTCATCACGGTCTTCCTCTCGCGTGCTCTGTAGAACAATCATCTCCGGGAGGAAAACGAAACAGACGCTGGAACGTTCGTACCACGCGAACATGGAATTGATGGCCTCGGAGAGCTCAGCACTGCTGGTCTTGTCGATACAGCAAGTGTCGATCCACGCCCACTCTATTCCATAACCATGAGCGAGTCTACAGCAGTCTGTGATCTTCTTGTAGCCCAGTGTGTCCCGCTTGTGACCAAGGATAAAGTCCTGATAAGAGACCTCATCTTCGCCCCAACAGTGCGAGAGGATTGCATATCGAGGCGGATCGGGTCCCAGGAACTCTTCGAGCTCGAGTCGTGCGGTATTGACGAGACGCATAGGGGGAGTTCTGATGGATAGAAGCAGAACGAGCGCAGCGGCTGACGGCGCTGGAGCTGAGAGACAACATCGCCTATTTCCATGCCCTGGTCAACTACATCACATTTTCAGCCGCCTCGCTTGGTACCTCCTGTCCAGTTCATGCAGGCTTGAGCGGGATGTAATAGATTGTGGGATAAGGAGTAAAAGGAATGGATCGCCATGAATGAATGCAACTGACTTTTCGTATTTCGAATGGTCACGTACCTATATGTACCCCTTCAAGACCGCCGCCTCAGCATTGAGCAAACTGCTCCCAGCGGCACCAATGATGGTGTTATGGCTGAGCGCCACGAACTTGATGTCGAAAATACCGCTCTCGTCCTCGCGTATCCTGCCAACACTGACTGAGTAACCCCTGTCGAGGTCACGGTCTAACCTTGGCTGCGGTCGGTCTGGTTCATCACACACAGTGATGGCATTCGCTGGAGCAGACGGACAACCAAGCTTCTGCGCCTCTGAAACGTACTCTCGCATCGCGGCCTTGACTTCCTCGACGGACGGGGGTGGTCGCTTCTCGAATCGCAGTGACACGCAGGCGGTGTGGCCGTCCAGAACCGGCACTCGATTGCATGCAGCTGAGATGCGGAGATCCTTCTGGTCAGCGAAGGCTGTGGCTTCGTTGTTGATCGCGCCCAGAATCTTCCTGGCCTCGGGCTCCATCTTGTCCTCCTCTCCGCTGATGTATGGCACGACATTGTCGATGATGTCCATGCTGCTGACGCCGGGGTATCCAGCTCCCGAGACGGCTTGCAATGTGACGACGCTGACGGTGTTGATTGGTCCGAATTTGGCTTGTAGAGCGGCGAATGGGATGACAATGCCAATGACTGCGCAGTTGGAGTTGCAGACCAGGAAACCCTTCTCTAGGCCGAAGTGTTTGCGTTGATGAGGGATGAGGGATAGATGTGGTAGGTTGACGGTCGGGACGACCAGAGGCACGATTGGATCGCGGCGGTAGTTCTTCGCGTTCGAGAAGACAGGTATGTTAGCCTTGAGGAACTCCATCTCTGCAAACAAGTGTCAGTGCCCAATGTCCTCCCAACAAGAACTTCTCGACACCGACCAGTAGCCTCTGCAACATCACTGTCCAACCCACTGAAGATAACATCCACCTCATCCTTAAACTCTTCCGCCCTGCAATTCTTCACCACCAAATCCCCCAGCTCCTTGCTCATGGGCACACTCTGCTTCCACTTCACAGCATCTCTGTACTTCCTGCCCGCCGACCGGGGACTCGCTCCCACCGCCGTGAGCTTGAAATGCGGGTGCAGAGCAAGCAGTAGGATGAACCGTTGTCCAACACTCCCCGTCGCTCCCAAGACACCTAAAAACCACAATCCAATGTCAGTTCGCTACATCCCACTTCCAAGTCTGGCGTTGGAGGGACTCACTAACCGCACCTCTTCGCTGGGAATTCGCTGTTGTTGCTGCCGTTCAGATCTGCCATTTTGACCTCGTTCGCGTGTCCCGACTCGTGGATTTGGAATTTGGAGGTTTCCATCTGAGAGTCACAAGGGAAAGCAATGCGAGGCTCGATGGAAGCGAGGATTTCCCATGGGCCAGAATGACGCATCGGACGCAGGGATTTGAGCTTAATCAATATTTGATTGGGTTTGATGGGGACCTGTGCCGAAGTCGGCTGGGCTTGACTTCACTTCTCCCTGGTCGATTTGTCTTTTGCGCTCACTCTTTCTTCATGATTCACCCTGCTGTGAGATGACTCTGAACGTTGTCCAAGTCCGATCGCCTCAAATGTACTCGAAGCAAGCCGTTAATGCTGGCTCAATATCACAAAACACAGATACTGGTGTTTTTGGAATGGTCCTTCAAAATGATCTCTGACCGCTGGAATCGCCATGCGTGGATGACTTGTGAAAAGTTCAAATCAAAGGGCCTCATGCTGCGAGAGATCCATGTGGTGATAGGGCAATGTGACTTGTCTGAAGTATGGCTGAAGGCTTGGTCACTCGCAGTGCATCATGTCTGGACTGGTAAGTTCAGGAAGCTGTAGGAACTCCCATGATCTTCTGTGAGGCACAGGAGATCGAGGTTCCTTGTGGCTACAACCACATCATAAGTTACTCTTCTTCCACATTACACGTGATTCAGATCCCCTCTAGCCTTGAGCGGCACGAAGATCAACCAAGTTCTTGGCGGCAAAGGGTGCACGTGAATGCAAGTGGGAAGTGAATGCTCAAATCCACGCTAATGAAAGAGCATGTGATCGAGCAGCGACAGGCATCTTCACGAGGTGCGGCACCGCATACTTTTAAAGCCTCCCTCTCTCCTTCACTTCTGGACTTCTGCACCCCACATCTTCCATCACTTACTTGAAGCACAAGATACAGCGATGGCGGGTGAGCCAGTACTTCAGCGGCCAAAGCGCCTACGCAACACCCTGGGACTGTCAGCGGGCAGTGGCGTAATGGACCAAGCCAACAACGAGTCCCACGACACCTCCTCGACAACTCCACGTGCTCGTCCCGTCGACGACGACCCAGACCAAGGCTCTTCCTCGCCACCCACCATCTCCACACCCAGCAAGTCCAAGCCCAAGAACAAGTCCACCACCACAAGCACCCCCAAATCCAAAAAACGCAAATCCCGCCCCAAAGGCTACGCCGACGACTCCGACTCCGACTACCGCGCCCCCAGCACCACCACCTCACGGAAAACCTCTCGCCGCGCCTCCTTCGAAACCGACCCCGACGGCGACTACGGCGGCTCCATGACGCCCACCCGCAAGATGACCCGGCCGATCCTGTCGCGCTACTCGTATCGCAAACTCATCAGCGAGGCGAATGATTCGGGCGACGAGGATGACGAGGATGAGCGGGAGGGGCTGTGTTTGGCGAGTTGTCCGTTCTATGAGACGGCGGAGATGCTGGAGTGTGAGGGGGTGGAGTGTGGTGGGCGGAGGTTTCATCCGGGGTGTGTGGGGTTTCGTGTGAAGCCGGTGTTGTGGGAGGGAAGGGGGTGGTTTTGTTTTGAGTGTCGGAGGGTGGAGGGGAGGGGGTTGAGGACGAATGGGGTTTTTGTGGAGGGGGAGGAGGAGGGGGAGGTGGGTGAGGTGGTTTGAGGAGAGTGAGGTCGATGGCTTTGGGAGGGAAGGGTGTTCTTGTGAGGGAAGAGCTTTCTTTTGGATATGCGGCGTCGATGAAGTTGGAAAGGAAGGGGGAGGGTGGCATCTTGAGAAGGGAGACACAAAGAAGTGTCCTTCAGACAGGAAAGTGAAGCATGAGACAGATATTGTCTACCTCGTCCAAGAGTTTCTCTTTGGTAGACCAGGGCCGTTGAACAAGCTGCGAGCACAATTTCAACTCGACAAAATCCACTCTCAAATCTCAAAGACCAAAGAACAAACCTCCAAATGAGACGCCCTCATCACCCAGGTCCACCCTTCGGCTCCGACGCCTCGCCGTGTGTGGCTGCAAGCCAGGATCCCTCGCAACGGAAAAAAGTGTCGCAAGAAACAATGTCGCACGCCGTCGCAAACATGCGAGGGTTGCGAAACCCAGCAGCACAGCAAGTGATGGATGGATAGACGGGGTGAGGTTCATTACGAAAAATTGCCCTGAAGGATGCGGCCTGGCCAGCAAAGTTCCATGCAATCCTTTTCGCATCGGGACTCGCAGAAGCGAAAGGAATTGCTTGTTTGTACAGTATTTGTATACATCCTGTAGGAACCGTGGTAGAAACTTTAGCCGGTTCATCGAGTGTGGTTACGTGTATCCAGCGTGTCGGTACCGCAACAGCAGACGCCTCGTCAACCTACACCTCCCTACAACTATATCTCTTGCGCCAATGTGCGCTGGACGTTTGCCTATAGCGGGATAGAGGATTCACGGAGCCGCCGGTTTGGCGTGCAGCCACTCGATGGTGGTTGGGTGGGTAGCTTGTGCTTGTGCATCCGCGAATCTCGAAGTACCACCTTTCGGGACCGAAGGGTGGTGGTGGTGGGAGACGCCAACAAGTAGGTACAGGAAAAATGCGGTGCCTCTTGTCGTTGCAAGGATATTTCGAGGGAGAGAGTGCGGTAGTGGGCGAGGCCATGGAAACTCTCGGGAGACGTCACGTCGAGTGTGGGCCAGTAGAAATGACAGCTTCACGGTTGCGGAAAGAGGAAGGCCGCGGGATGCTATGATGGTGATGGCGACGATGACACGGCCGTATAAGAAGACGAGTAGGGGAGCAGCGGAGGGGGAAGGGTGTTGTTGGTTGTTTGTGAGTGGATACACACACACGTACGCGCACTCGTCGCTCGCAAAATCCACACGCGCTGCTGCTGCCCTCTGCTGCTTGGCGAAGAGGAATCAGCAGGTAGGGCTAGAGGGAAGAGTGTTGCGCAAGACGTGCACCAGGTCACAAGCCGAGAGGGCGATCCGGTCGACCGCAGAGGGTCAGAAGCCAAGCAGCTCTGCGCTCCCTGTCGCTGCATACTGTCAGACGGGGGACCTCGAGGGAGAGAAGAGGTGGTTGTGGTTGATGTTGATGTTGATGTTGATATTGATTGATGCTTGTGAGGCCTGGCGGTGATTCGACGGCGGCAAGATGAGCCGGGCCAGCTAGACTGATTCCATCGTCGACAAGCGAGGGCCGCAAAGTCTAAAGCATCCTTTGCCTTGCGGGCGTTGTGGCACGGATGCGAGGGCGGAAGATCGCCAGGAATCTTTAACCCTGTGACGACGCCAGCACCGCCAGACGCCTCATGTCCCTCACAACCTCCTCACAGCATCTCTGACGTTGCGAGCGACGTCTGTTGCACGCTCCTCACTTCACCACTCCGCGCTGTGCGAGCCATTGTTTTCGTCGCTTCCGCTCGCCTGGGAGAGGCTTGTGCCACGCTGCCAGACATTCGCTGGCGTCGTGAAACATCCCACCCCCATCCCCAAACGGCCTTTGTCACGGACAGAGTCGCGGCCACACCACCGCCGACAACCCACCTGAACACGGCCTCCCCCGCGACCTGCTCCGCCTCCCACCGATAACCTATCCATGACCTCGATCACCAGTAGCGCCCGTCGCTTATGATGCTGGACGATGCTCGGCCACGATCTGTCGTACTTGTTGGAGGTCCTCAACATCGGCGACGGCGAGACGGAAGATGAGCTGGACGAACGCTTGCGGTTAGAGGCCAAAGAGCTCGGGGTTGATGTGGACGAGCAGAAGACACTCGAGATCAAACCGTTCAGGCCATACTACCCCGAGTACCCTCGCCGTTCTGAATCCATCGACTCCAGAGCCTCGCAGTCTACCGGCTTGACTTCCAACTACTCTGACCTGTCCAAAGACTATCATGGCCACAGACGACCCTCTCGAACGTCGCTGTCCTTCCGAGACTATGATGCCTTTGTCGCGAGAGGGGTGCCAGTCGGCAGACATTCGATCTCCTTCTCGCCTCTTTCCACGCCATCCCACTCGACCTTCTCACTCCCCCTCTCACAACCATCCTCTCCAGACCCATCGCCTAAGAGACACTTCCGCCGCATTCGCGGTTTGAGCATGCTTAGGCTGCATCAGCGACTGGGATCGGATACATCTCTTGCTGAAGGCTGTCCGCACTGTCCTCAGGATCTTTCCAGCCAACGACGAGCAGTCCATAAGCTGCCATGCGGTCATCGATTGTGCACTCAAGCGTTGAGGAACACGGTCAGGACCGCGACCGAGAGCAAGACAGGCGCAGTCCCAAGCTGTTGTGGCCGACCAATCCCTGGCGGTTTGGTAGAACATGTGATGACACAAGAGGAACAGAACGCTTTGTTGGAGAAGTTGGAACAGTGGGATGAGGCTATATCCCTCGCGCCTTCTATAAACAGCTCACGCCGTGGTTCGATCCCCTCAATACAGCAACAGCAACCACGTCCCGGAGCACTGTCCCAACGAAGCCGCACCGTGTCCGACGAATGGAGATATGATAATCTGTCCTTCAAGCAGCGCAAAGAGTTGGAGAGGATGATGGAGAGGGAGGATTACAAATTGCTGCGTACAGGTCAGGGAGAGCAACGAGACCGCTTCTTGAGATGGGCCGACAAAGAACGCTCAGAATTGGAGAAGAAACATGAGACTTCACGAGAGGAGAGGCGAAACCTTCATGAGACGGCTGTGGAGGATATGGTCGAACATCATGCGACTGCTATCGCGGAGGCAGAGGACAAGCAGGTTAAAGCAGAGTCCGACTTGCGCGAAACCCAGGAGCAGGAGAAGCGAGACAATGCCACAGCTCTTAAGCACATCGAAGCTTTCTGTGCTGGAACTTATAGTACTGGTGAACTTCACAACCGACCAGTGACAGACCAGTCTCTCGCCGAGCTTGACAAGGCACGACGCACGCGAGATCAGATGGATGCCAAACACAGCAGTCAGATCAATGTCCTGCGCGGCGAGCAGTCTCGGCGTATGCGTCTTCGGTGTCAACGTCAGGAACGCGAGCTTCAAGAGCTCAAGCGACAGCAGCGCAAAGAAGAACTCGAGATGGAGCGTGCATGCACTGCCGAACTTCTGAAGCTGGACGAAAGCGTTGCGGAGAAGCGCAGGAAGATTCGATGGCGCTGGGAACTGCAAATTGCCATCTTCACGAAGAAGGTCGAGTCTGAAACTGGCATTCAACTCGGCAGTAATTGTCGTCTGCCGACGGTGGAGTGGCAGCCTCACGTTCACCACGAGAACTATTCGACACCCTCTGCGAGGGCCATGAACGGCGACGCAGAAGGGAAGGGCCACATTTACCACGGCTTTGCGGTCAGAGGAACGGCGAGAACTCCGCTCGCGAAGGAGATCCATGTTGGATGACGAAAATGACATGGCAAAATGAATCACGATGATACGCGGCTGCATATGCATAGCGTTGCGTTGCGAGAAAGAAATTATACGAACCACGGTCTTGGACGAGATACCGTACGCATATTGATATGCGAGCTCTGGACGATTAACGGATGTGAACGGCGTTTTGGGCAAGAAGGTTTTATAGCATGGCGAATGATTGCGAATAAGATACCATGGGTGGGCATTTGCAGGGGAAGGGATCCTTATCTTATCCGTTTAATACGACACAGCATTTACCAGATCGAACTGGTCTCACATCTTTCAAATCCCAGCCCTGAGTGCGTCAGCTCCGTGTGAAGTGGTCTCGACGGAGCTGAACGCCGTGGCAGCGGACAAGCTCCGGACAGCATTTTGTCAGGATATATAAACAAGAGTGGCCATGCCAACTGCAATTCTTGCTAACCTGCTAATGTTGAGTTAGGTATAGACCTTACAAGAGCTCCAAACCCAACAACCCATTCGAAACCATGACAGCCCAAGAACACGGCTACGTCCACTCCGCCTCTTTCGACTCCGGCACACTCCCCGTCGGCACCATCCACAAACTCCACTATGAACAATACGGAAAGCCCGATGGAAAACCCGGTACGCTCTCCCCCCTCCAAACCGCTACCATCTATCCAAAACTAACCTCCACCCCAAAGTCCTCTTCCTACACGGCGGCCCCGGCGGCAGCACCATCCCCTCCTCCACGGTCTTCTTCACCCCCCTTCACTACCGCATCATCCTCCACGACCAGCGGGGCGCCGGGAAATCCACCCCCAGCGGCGACCTGCGCGAGAACACCTCCGCGCACCTCGTGGCGGATATCGAGACGCTGCGGCGCCATCTCGGCATCGAGAAGTGGTTCCTCGTCTTCGGCGGGAGCTGGGGCTCCGCGCTCGCGCTGATGTACGCTCAAGCCCACCCCGGGCTCGTGGGGAGGTTGGTCCTGCGGGGCGTGCATACGTGTCGGCGCGAGGAGTATGCCTGGTCTCGCGGGGCGAATGGGGCGGGGAGGGTTTGGCCGGATGGGTATGAGCGGTTCCTTTCTCCCCTCCAGCCACACGAACGCGAGGACCCGATTAGGGCGTATCACGACCTCCTCACCTCGGAGGCTGTCAGCGAAGAGGAAAAGGTCGCGGCGACGAGGGAGTGGAATCGTTGGGACCTCACGCTTTCTTCGATCAAACCGAGCTATGAGAAGTTGGAGGATGCGGAGTGGTGTAGGCAGCATGCGCGGATTGAGAGTTGGTATTTTTCCCATGGGTGCTGGGTTGAGGATGGGGAGCTGCTGAGGGAGGAGAGGATTGAGAGGATTAGGCGGATTCCTGGTACGTTTACCCCACTGCCTGAGCCGCTGGCTGGCTTTTGTTGGAAGGTGAATGTTGGTGAGTGTTGGTGTTAATGTGTGTGTTCAAGCGACGATCGTCCAAGGCCGCTACGATATCATCACGCCTCCCAAGACGGCGTGGGATTTGAAGAGGGTTTGGCCGGAGGCGAGGCTGTTTTGGGTCGATGGGGCTGGGCATTCGGTTAAGGTGAGTGGCTTTACCTTTTTCGTGAAAGGGGGGAAGGGAGGGTGTGGGAGCTGATGTGGTTTTGTTGGTGTAGGACCCTGGTGTGCAGACGAAGCTTGCGGAGGTTTGTGATGAGTATGCTGTGGAGGAGGGGTGAGTGTTGTAGTGTGGAGTCTGTTGGTGGGAATGGGTTTGGGTTTGGATGGAGAGGAGAGGATGGGTGGGAGGGATTTGGTGAAGATTTTGGGAGGTGAAACGATGTTTTCGTTGCGGAGTAGTTTGTATACTACACAAGCAATTAATTGTCGTGTGTGATTTACGCTCCCTAATGCAGAGGACGAAAGTCGAGAGGGCATTACTTTGGTTCTGCATGTGAAAGCGACGTGCAGGTGAATGGGCTTGCAGGCAGCAGCGCGGCTGTTGCCCCTGACAACCGGCACCAAGCGAACAACAAAAGACTTCCAACCTCGAAATGGCAGCGACAGGAAGGTCCATCATCCCCAAAAGCACAGCATACCCAAATGCAACAAAATGGCCTCCCCAGGCTACTCCCCCCTCGCTGAAGAAATCGACCGCATCCTCACCTCTCCCTACCCAACCCAACTCCTCACCCTCCGCGACATCGCCACTACCCAATGCAGCGACGCCGACATCTCGCACTGGGCCTCCGCAAAGCCGTGCCTCATCGACGGCCTCGCATCCGCGTTGCTCGAAGGCCTGCAGCACTGGAGCTACGTCCTCGACATCATCGCGAAATTCGCCCTAAACGCTGCGTGTCGGGATGCGTTTCTGCAGCAGGAGCCGACGTTGCTGCACAGCGTCGTCGCGCAGGCTGTCAAGGCGGGGGATGCGAGGGAGAGGAATGTGCGTGTGAGCGTTGCGTTGCTGGCGAGGCGGTTACCCTCGACGGTGGCGCTGCCGGCGGAGGTGCAGGCGCTGTTTGTGCAGTTGGTGGAGGAGGCGGCGAGGCGGCCTTCGAGCGCGACGATCGAGCCGGTGTATCGCTTGCTCACCGGGACGGGGAACTTGCTGCTGGGGATTCTGAGTCCGTATGTGGCGGTGCGGTTCGAGGAGCATTTACTCGATATTCTCAAGAATGGGTCGGGGCCGAATGATCAGGGCCTGGGGCTGTACTGCTTGTCGATCATGAATGTCGTTTGCTGCTCGATGGATCCGGAGTTCAGACTCACGGCGAGTTCGTATCATAGTGAGGATTTTCTGGCTAGCACGCCGACGAGCTCGAGGTGGAAGGCGGAGGCGATGCAGCAGTTCTTCACGGGGTCGAAGGCGCAGAGGAGTTTGCATCTCCTGGCGCTGGTGACGATTTGGGCGATCAATAAGAGCTCCCTCGAGGCGACGGGCGAGAAGGTCAGGTGTTTGGTGCTGGTCAATGAGGTCGTCACGGCGATTCCGGTGGATTTGAGGAAGAATTGGTGTACCGCCAACCCAGTCATGGTGCGCAAGTTGCAGGAGAAGCTATGTGCGGAGAATCAAGACGAGACGATCAAGACGCTTGCGTTGCGGTTTATGGGCAAGCTCTACGATTTGGACTCGTTACCTCATCCGGTGCTGGAGAGCATTGAGATGACTTTTCTGGAGCCGAGGGGTGTGCAGATTGCGCATACGCTTTGTCCGCATGTCAATGACTGCGAGCTGTTCGCCAATGTTCTCGCACGAGCTCCTATCAGCCTGCTGCTGAAGAACGCCGTCGACTATGCCACTCAAGCCGATTCGACAGATCTTGCCTCAGGGTTGGCGGCGGTGACTCGTACGCTGCGAGATGCCTTGACGATCATCGAGGAGCAGAAGATCACTGGACATGAAATCCGCGCGACGCTGAACGAGCCTTCGTTCGCTCAGGCCTTGCAGTGCCTCAAAGATTTGGTCGAGCAGCCTCCAGACCAGCATGCAGCACCCCAGAACAGCGGCTGGTGCACGAAAGCCTTGCATCGAATGCGCTCTAATCTAGCGCATCAGATCAGCGACTTGCTTCTCCGAGCGTGCAATAGCTCGTCCATGAGTCCCGGTTCCATGACATTGTTGCTGAATCTGCACGCCTCTTCAGCCCGTGGAGATCTCCAGTGCAACCACGAGAGACCTTTATGGCGAGACCCTATTCCAATCGTCGATCCCGCAGACGAGGATGTTCCTGATGAGATGGACTGGAGGGAGGCTCTGCACACACATTTCAAGGCCAGAGCTCAAGTCGAGCAAGACGCTGTGTCGAGGCTTTTCGCCAAAGCATGCGCCAGTCTAGAAGCACGCTGCGAGAATGTCGAGAAGCCTTTACGTGAAGAGCGAGAGAAGCGCTGTGCCGTCGAGAATCAGAACGAAGAACTCACACAGGCTCTCGCACAGCTCGAAGCCCAGAACATGGACCACATCCTCCGCACTCGCGACCTGGAAGAAGAACGCGACCAGTACGTGCAGAGTCTGGAAGACAGCAAAGACGAGAACCAATCCCTCCTTCAGAGGATCTCTACCCTCGAACAGAAATTGCGAGACGCGCAGGCCCAGAGCGAGAAACAACTCGCGGAGATCCGCAGTGCGAAGCAGATTAGTGAATTGGATACTGCGTCGATGATTGCGAGGAAGCAGGAGGAACTTGAGGATTTGCGGGAGGACTATGATCAGGCTGTGCGAGTTGCGGAGACGAAGGAGCGGGAGAAGGTCGTTGTTGAGAGGGAACTTGCGGGTGGGAGGGTGGAGGTGGAGAGGTTGAAGGAGGAGGTGGAGAGTGGCAATGGCAAGGTCAAGGCGTTGCAGGGGACTGCTGAGGTGATGGAGTATAAGATCAAGCGTCTGGAAGCTGAGAAGGCTTCGGTGCTCGATGAACTCAACGCGACCAACGATAAGCTCGCATGCAAAGTGGACGAAATCTCGGATCTTGAGGATCAATTGCAAAATGCCCGGACTGAACACGAGGACTCGAAAGCATCACTGGCGCGAGAAACCTCCCACCTCTCAGCCCTCCGAGCAGAGCACATCGAACTCGAACGCTTAGCCAGAGACCAAGAAACCACCATCAAAACCCTCGAAAGCCAAACCTCAGCCTACCAAGAGGAACTCAAAACCACCACCCACACCCACACCACCGCCCTCGCCACCCTCAACACCAAACTCCACGACCTCCAATCAAAAACCGACCGCCTCCGGAGGAAATGTCTCCAGAAAGACCAGCAGATCGCCGAAGCGGAAGCCATGCGCGCGAACCTCCTGACCGCGATGGGGTTGTCGAAGGACCAGGGACGGGTTCTGGTGCATCGCTCGCGGGACTCGTTGGCGCAGACGCAGGAGTGCACGCCGCCTACGCCGACTTCGGAGGAGCGTGTGGATGGCGATGTTGATGGAGGGAACGGCTCTTTTGTGTCGAATGCTTCGTCGCAGGAGTCGCGCTCGGGACCTACGCCCAAACGGGTCCGGCCGAGGAAGTCTTTTGCGGTGGCGCCTGCGACGGCGGGGAGGATGAGGGCGAGTGTTGGCGGAGGTGGGGCGGGGGGTGGTGGCGGGAAGGGCAGTCAGTGGACTGCGGCGAGGAGGCAGACGTTGGGGGCTGTTAGTGGGAATCGGGTGGTGGCTGGGGCGAAGACGCCTGTCAAGGGGAAGGTTGTGAGGATGGAGGATGGGGAGATTGGTGGGGAGGAGGAGACGACGTTTGATGGGAGTGAGTTGTTTGCGGGGACGCAGGGGGTGAGGAAGGTGGGGGAGTTTGGGGAGGAGTAGATTGATTATGCTTGGGATCAGTCTGTGGTGGTGGATCAGTTTGCGGTTGGATCGAAGGGTATGAATTCCCATCAGAAGTTTCCCAGCATTCGTTCGCTTCACCACGAGCAAAACTCTACGAGACACGACTCCACGCCTCTCTCTCTCACAACTCACCCTTCCTCCCCCCATACCTCCCAACCAACCCCCTCATAATGCCCACCGCCCCACCGCGATACCCGCCCCCAAAAAGCGCATAATGATTCAAATGATGATACAGCTCATACAACGCCACGCGATCCTCATACTCCGCCACGGGCTCCGTCTTCGGCACCAACGCATGATACTCCCTCAGAAACCCACTCCCAAACCCGCCAAACATCTTCATAATCCCCAGCTCGAATTCGGAATGCGCGTAGCACGCGCTGCTGTCGTAGACGACGGCTTCGGGGGATGTCATGGAGGGGAGGGTGCCGGTGGAGGCGTTGCCGGACCAGAGGTCGCCGTGGACGACGACGGGGAGGACGCCGGCGCCGTTGTTGAGGTGTGCGTCGCCTATTAGGCGGGGGACTACTTCGTTGCAGGTTGTTTCGACTAGGGAGGTGAGTTCTTTGTCCGGGCCGTTGAATTTGTTCGATTGTGACAGGATGAAACGGAGTCGGCGGTTGGCGTAGAAGTCCGCCCAGGAGGGCGTGTAGGTGTTGTCTTGGGGCGTGTCGCCGCAGCAGGTTGGGGCTGGGAAGCCGAATTGGGGGGTCGTGTGGCCTGGGGGGATCGGGGCGGGGGTGGTGTGGAGTTTGGCGAGTTTTTGGGCCAAACTCATGCCTGAGGTTTTGGTGGAGGAGAAGCGGCTCGAGAGGTCTAGGTAGTCTGTCACTAGGAAGGAGGTCGATGTGTTCTCTGAGAATTTTCCGTGCCCGAAGGATTTGGGACAGAGTGTGGGCACGACGGCGTGGATGGCGTTGAGGGAGGCGTGTTCGCCGGCGAACATGGTTTCTGCGGCGGCGCCTTTGCCGGTTTTCATGAAGTAGTGCGTTTGGGTGCCGTCTGGGAGGGTGGTTGTGATTTTGGAGGTGGATGCTGAGGACATGCCGCCGCCTGGGTGTTGTTAGTGGATTGTTGGAGATGGGTGGGTAGGTGAATGGTATTTACCCCCCGCTCCTGAGACTGTTGTTTGCTCTGGGTCGAGCTTGAGGAGTGTGACGACTGCGGAGTCGAGTTTCATAGTTGCTGTCTTTCTGAAGTGTGTTTTCCAAATCGTTTGAAGGGAGTGCATACAATGAGGAAGAGAGATGGATCGAGAGACGTCCTTACGACTTGATGTTGTTGACGATTGACGAGTGATGTCAATCCTGGCTTGGGAGCTGTCGCCACCCGCATTCTCACCTACCTGGTTGTGCCTGATCCTACGTTGACCACGGCTGTACCTGCGTCGATGTACCAGTACAATCGAAAAATGGTATAGGAATGTTTTCTCAATGGAGTGGCAGTTTGATCGTGTCGTTCTGCGGCCAGCCAATAGATTTATACCAAATTATGCACCGGGTGTCCGCAACTTTAGCTTTTCCGCGCGCCCCCGAAGCGGGAAGGCGCTGGCGAGGTATAAACATTGGGACAGGGTTGTAAACACGGCCTTTTGATATTTCGCCCGTGCTCCTCGAGTCTCTCCCTCGCACCTCGAGCCCACCACTCTCACTGCAGCCCGCATCGCGGAGAGGCCAATTCCTCAAAGGCATCCCCTTCCATCCCCTCTGCAAGGGAGACAGCCCCAGCCGAGACATTCCGCCTCAGGCGCAAAAATTCCACCGCAATGTCAGAACGGGTCACCAGGAGCCAGACTGGCAAGACGCCCAGGTATGCTGCCCAACACTGCCAAGAGATATTGTCATATATCTGACTCTTCTTGCAGGAAGTCCATGCTTCCTGATGGATTCGTCGAAACCCCAGGCACGCAGCGCCGTTCGCGCAAATCTGGCGCTTCCTCAGACGAGCGCTCTCCCTCTCCCCTCGAAGACGCCTCGAGCACCGCCCGCGAACCCAAGACCGTGAGCAGCAAGTCGAGCAAAAGCACCAATGGCCACATCAATGGCGCACCCAAGGGCAAGAAGGCTATCGATGGCTACGTCGAGGGCATGGACCCAAGGATCGACTACAACCCACACTTCGACTTTGGCGGCACATGGGGTGTGAGTGCCATGATGATCGGGTTCCCGACTTTGATGTGGTATATGTGGGTGGGAGCGACATACTACGATGGCAAGTTCCCGTCCGAGCCGAACATGACCTGGGCCGAGTTTGGCAAGCATCTGGTTCACCTGGCTTACACCGGCGCATTCCCCCATTTGAAGGCGTGGACCATCTACTGGACTTTCTTCGTTTTCCAGGGTATCCTCTACCTGACCATGCCCGGCGTGTACTCCACTGGCAAGCCTCTTCCCCACGAGAACGGCAAGCAGTTGCGCTACTACTGCAACGCCGTGACCAGCTTCTACCTCACCATTGTCCTTGCCCTGGTCTTGCACTTTACTGGCCTGTTCAAGATGTACACTCTCATTGACGAGTTTGGCCCTCTGATGTCGGTTGCCATCCTGACTGGTTTCATTGTGAGCATCATCGCTTACGTCTCCGCTCTTGCAAGAGGCGCACAACACCGCATGACTGGCTACCACGTCTACGACTTTTTCATGGGTGCCGAGCTCAACCCACGCATGTTCGGATGGCTGGATTTCAAGATGTTCTTCGAAGTCCGCTTGCCATGGTTCATCCTCTTCTTCACCAGTCTGTCGGCCGCATTCCGCCAGTACGAGCAGTATGGGTACGTTTCTGGTGAGGTGGGCTTCCTTCTCATGGCGCATTGGCTGTACGCGAACGCTTGCTGCAAGGGCGAGGAGATGATTGTCACGACCTGGGACATGTACTACGAGAAATGGGGCTTCATGCTGATCTTCTGGAACTTGGCTGGTGTGCCGCTCAGCTACTGCCACTGCACCGTGTACCTCGCCAACCACGACCCTGCGAGTTATGCTTGGTCCAAGCCAGTGCTTGTCTTCCTCTACGCCTCCTACCTCTTCATGTACTGGGTATGGGACACGGCCGGCTCACAGAAGAACTACTTCCGCGCCGAGGAGAAGGGCTACGCCCAGGACCGAAGGACTTTCCCTCAATTGCCATGGAAGATTATCAAGAACCCTGACCACATCAAGACGGATACTGGCGACTCACTTCTGACTGATGGTTGGTACAAGTACTGCCGCAAGATCCACTACACTTGCGACATGTACTTTGCCCTCACGTGGGGTCTCATCACTGGGTTTGAGAGCCCGTTCCCATGGTTTTACCCTGTCTTCTTTGCCCTGATGATTGTCCACCGCGCGTACAGGGATATTCAGAGGTGCAAGGACAAGTATGGAGATGCGTGGGTGGAGTATGAGAAGAAGGTGCCGTATCTGTTTATTCCGGTAAGTCTTGACTGTAGAAAATGTGCACGAAGTTGTAGACTAACATGATTCACAGTACGTCATCTAAAGGATATGTACGCTGATGTGTAGAAGATGGTTGGGGCTGTACATTACTACAGGCATGTAGATGGTGTTGGCACGTGGGAAAAATGAGTGAAGGCGTGCGGTAAGATATGTAAAGGTCACAGGGCGAGATGTCTCTCACCACGACACGGAGTTGCAATGTTGTACAGTGGGGGAGAACGGTGTATGGCGGTTCGAGTGGTTCTTGATACCCTGACCCCAGTCTCGTCGATAATGTTTGTTGCTCGTGTTCCGTCCGGTCTTGTCGGTACTGGATTTTCCATATTCCTTCATTATTCTCGCGAAGCAAGAAAGTCTCCACATCTAGTGCTACCTTCCTCTTGTCGAAGTTCAAGTCCGAACGCACAAGCTACCACATCCACCAGCATGCAGCAGAAGCACGAAATTCTCGGATCGCCACGCTGCTATACCCCTCGCAGTCTATTCTCCGACTCGAGTCTCGAATCTCACTTCAAACAAAGAAGAGTCCCCCGTCCGGATGATCAACACCCGGCAAAGTCAAGTCAAGTCGTGCCAACCACAACCACACGAACGAACGCCTGCCCCAAAGCGGAACCGAGGAACCGAGCCGTCGCGCAGGAACCAGCCAATCAACATCGAGGTTTTCGGCTCGTGCTGGCTTCGACTTCACTTCTTCGAGGTCGAAGGGTTTGTGAGAGTATGACGAGGGAGGGATGTTTGGATCTGCGGCTTGCGACTGCGTGAGATGGCTTCGTGACCAATACGTTGCGTGTGGAGGGATGCGCAGCCTTGTTCGACAGGTGTAGGTGTCGGGGGATGTTGGTGGTGGGAGGTGGGCTTTTGCTGATCATTTACAGGAACTGGGTGGTGCTCCGCTGCACCGTACGCAGGCTTGTGAGTTTATTCTTCGGAGAGTTGATGATGAAGAGGTGGGTGGGTGAAGATCCGTCACGTTGCTGGTTGCGTAGTGCATGGGTGATCGATGCTTGGGTATATGTTAAAGGTAGGGGTCTCGTCTCATATTTCCCGTTCAACACAGTTGCGACTTCACTTCGTTTCTTTCGCCGTGAGACGCTGAAGATTGGGAAGAATATGTTTCTTGCTACGCTTTTGTCAACCGCTCTCGCGGTCTCAGCGGCGCCTGTCATTGAGAAGAGACAGGCCCCCTCCGGAGTCCCAGATTATGTCGTGCAATACGCCCCTGTGGTATACCTCTTCTCAGGCGAAGCGTACTTCCCCTCAGATATTGGATCCCAAGTGACGAACACCGCACCAGCGATCAACAGAACTCTAGTCGAAAACCCACCCTCGGTGGACTTGTCAAACCTAAACGAGCTGAACAACATCCCCAACTCCAACAACGGCGCCGAAATCTACCTCACCTCCAAACAAGACCCCACCACGAACCCGCGCCCAGAATACCTCTACGGCATCAAACCCGACTCCAGCGGCAAAACCGGCTCGGCGGTATCAAGCGCCATTATCACCGTCGACCACGGCAACAACACCCTCGACGCCTTCTACTTCTACTTCTACGCCTTCGACTTCGGCGGCGTCTACTTCTCCCTCAACGTAGGAAACCACGTGGGCGACTGGGAACACAACGCGATCCGCTTCGAGGACTCCGCCCCCTCCCAAATCTGGTACTCCCAACACTCCTCCGGCGAAGCCTTCACCTACGCCGCCACAGAGAAACACTCCACCGTGCGTCCCATGGCCTACTCCGCCAACGGCACCCACGCCAACTACGCCACCCCAGGCACCCACGACCACACCATCCCCGGCGTGAACCTCCCCGCGGGCCCCATCGAAGACCACACCGACGCCGGCTATCTCTGGGATCCGACCCTCGCCGCATACTTCTACTCTTTCGACCCCGCCACGAACACCTTCACCGCCTACGGCGACGCCCCCGCGCCGGGGTGGTTGGCCTTCAATGGCCGCTGGGGCGACGATAAGATCCCTGAAGATGATTCGCGCCAGAGTTGTCTGTTTGGGATTGATGCGTTGTGTCAGTATACCGCGGGACCCACGGGCCCGCAGGATAAGGATTTGAATCGGACGAATGTGTGTCCCGATGGGGAGGACTGTAATGTTTTGCCGATTTTGGTGCCGAGGGATGTTTGATGAGGTGTGATGCTGTGATGATTTACGTATTTATGTAAAGAATAATTGGAAGTGCATTTCATGGATCACCGTTCGCCTATGATCTGTAGCGTCTCGTTCCTGTGCACTGAAATAGAATGGAAAGTAAGAGTGATGGTGTAGGAAAGGCGACGCTGATTTCATTTCAAGCGCCACATTGATTGAACGTCTAGAATTTAATCATCCATCATATGCATAACGTCTTTCTTCACATGTAATATCGGCGACGTCGAGGCTGTACGAGCTGCATCTCGATTCACCTTTCATTCACGCACCACGCCTCGCCCCGTTGGCAGTACTCATCAGCGTGATCTTCTTGCTCTTCTTCTTCTTTCCACCACCGCCACCACCAGAAGGCTTAGCCTCAACGCTCATACCTTCCATCCCAGAGATCAGATGTTGTTGTTGTCGCTGGTCAAGAAGATCCTTCTCCCAGTCCTGAAGCCAGCCGTCATCTTCGCCATGTCGTATGTCGTTGTCCCTAGGTAGTGTGGCATGCATGTCTGGACTTGACGGTGCTACTACCGCAGTGCCCCAGACCGTTCGAGGCATACTGGGTGACGTCGAAGGCGAGGCGAGGGAAGTGAATCCCGGTCGGTCTGCATTCGATGGCCAAGGCGGTGATGTTGAAGCAGCCTCGTCCACCGAGTTTGGCACTTCAGCGATACTCAATGGAAGAGACGATGTGAAGAAGCCGTCGTTGTCTGGAATCGAAGGCCTCCTGCGTGAGCGAATGGAAGCCAGCTCCCTCTCTTCTGCTCTTTCAATTCGCACGCGCTCCTTTTCTTCGCGCGCGTCCTTTTCGTCGTTGCGCTTCTTGCGTCTCTCCAGCATTGGCCTGAACTCTTCTAGTATTGAAGCTGGGACGACATCCCTCCAATCGCACTCGAGGAAGCCGACCTCGCACCCATAGGGTAGGTGAGCAAGGTACTTGACTCGTTTTCTGAGCTCGTCGTCGACGACATGACCGCTTAACACCCGTTCGACCCGAGGAAGGATGCTTGATGGAAATGCTGAATACGAGCCAAATGCCGATTTCAGGATCCGAATGTCGAGAGGCGAGAGGTAGTAATGGAGAAGGCCGTGATAGAACAAGTACTCGGCTGGTTCCGCCTTTTGCGTGTTTCGTTGTCGCATCTCTGCGATCGTCCGTGGCACGTAGCTGCTCGATTCGGGCTGATGGCTATTGTCTTCGCTAGAGCTCGCTGCTTCTGCGATTCTTGCAAGATCTGGCGTATCGTTTTGTTTCTGCAAATACATTTCCGGCACGTTCTCGTCGTTTGGGTTGAACTCGATGGGTGGGCGTGCTGGTGTATCCTCTGCCGGTGCCGGTGCAGGCTCGGGCTTCTTGGGCTGGGCAGGTGGGTTTCCAATACCAACAACCTTCTCTTTGGCCTCCCTCAACATACGAATGGCTCTACCAGTCCACTCATCCCCTTCGCCGAACATCAACTCGTCCTCTTTCTCCTGCTGCTCGATAGCTGTCAAGGCCTCGTCGTATTGTTGTAACATATACTCTTCACTGCCCTTCATGACACGAGCATAGTCCATAACTTCTGCTGCAAAGTACCAAGGAACGCCCTCGCCTTTTGCAACAGTGTCAGCGCTTTCACGCGGCATGGCAAGTGTACTACCAGGCTTTCTCTTGACCAATCGCAGAACGAAATCGCCACCTTCACGGGGCTGATCGTTCTCCTGGCCGATGTACCAGCGCACTGGTCGCGTCTCAGACACGTAGATACTATCCCAGCAGATAGGGCACTTCTTCCATTTCGCTTTCTTATCTGGTGGTGGTCCGCTCGCGTCTTCAGAGTGCATGTATCGAATCAAGCATGACAGGCAGAACATATGACCGCATTTGGCCATTCGCGGGACTGTCGGTTCGGAGAGGCAGATGGGGCAGGACGCTTCTTGGGTCTTTGATGACGCGATTACCTGAAGGACATTGTTCCAATCCAGGTGCACGTCGGCGTCCACGGCTTGAGCCTGGTATTCTCCTCGTGGATCGACGACAAAGCGGTAGTTTGCATGGACGTATCTGAACGCGTCAGTCCCCGTATTCATCCTCATACTCTTCTCAATCCGCGCTTACCTTGCCTTATCAACGGCATGATAACCACTCCCAAGTCCCCACGTCGGATTACCCCTCCCTCCTCTCCTAGGACCATTGTAGCTGTGTCTATGATATTGCTGTTGCGCGTTGGGCCTGGGCGGCAGAGCAAACTGCATCAAATGGGTGATGCTCTGCTGGCCGCGGCGTCCGTGTGGATTCTGCATGCTGAATGCTTCAGCCTCTGCATCCTCATCCAAAGCCCGGAACCGCTTGCCCTGCTTGTGCTTGGGCTTGGTGGACTGATTACTGCGTGGTGCCGGTGACTTGGACGCGCCCCCGCCACTGCTGCCGGAGCGGCGGTCGCTGGAGAAGAATTGCTGGGTGGAGGAGAGCGCGGCCGGACTGATCTGGCTCGTGGAAGGAGTTTGAGAGGTTTTGGAGGACGAGACGGCCTGTTTGTTGGGGACGATGGGCTGGTTCGACATGTTCCTTGGGACCGACGGCCAGCGAAGGCGTCAGGAGTGGAGGCGCTGCGGGCGGAGGGGAGGTGTCCGAGCAGCGGTGGTCGATGTGCCGTGCGGAGGGCAGGTGGTCGTATCGGTGAGTGAATGAAATTGGTGGTTTCGCGTAGCAGAGACAGACCCAATGGGCAGTCTGGTGGGAGAAGGAGAAGAGCGAGGACAGTGATGGCGGCGGCGATGACACACGCTGGGCGCGGGGTGAGCCATGCGGGATTTCCCGGCCTGCGAGATGAGGTGCAAGCAAGAACAAAGCTATCCAACTCCATAGACCGCAGACACGTGCAAGACAGCAACCAAGTCGTCCACTTCCGCCCATTTACCGGCTACATCACGCTACAACATCACAGGACAATACCGTATCCGTCACTTCCACACAGCGGGTAGCAAGACAAGATGTTGATCCAAGAGTCCCACAAGGACGTCCCAACCCAGCATGGCGGTGATATGCGTATGATGAGCTGTATATCCCACTTTCGGCCTCAACACCAGGCTGATTGAATCGAGGTAGGAATCTTCATCTTCCACCCCACCATTCCCAACTACCCCAAAGCCAAATTCCCCGGCGTGGTAGTCTTCTCTGAGATCTATCAAGGTGAGTCGAAGTCACATTTCTCTAGCCTGTATTCTCATATGTATACTTTCATGTCAATCTTCTCGAAAATTCAACGCTTTCCTCTCTGATACCATCTAGTCACCGGCCCCGTCCAACGCTTCGCCCGTCAAATCGCCTCCCACGGCTACATCGTAGCGGCGCCCTCATCCTATCACGAGTTCACCGGCCCAGAGCCTCTCGCCTACGACGGCCCAGGAACTGATAAGTATGCTTGACATCTTCGAAACTTCTACCGACACTTTTAAGCTCACTCTGAATCATCTAGGGGCAACGACTGGAAAATCGCCAAGAAAGTCTCCGCATATGATGAAGACGCTACGCTCTCCGTCGACACATTGATCTCGCTCCCCACATGCAATGGCCGCATCGGAGCAACCGGCATGTGTCTCGGCGGCCACCTCGCCTTTCGCGCAGCCTTCGACCACCGCGTACGTGCCGCAGTCTGCTACTTCGCCACCGACATCCACAGCGCAACGCTCGGCGAGGGCAAATCCGACGATTCTCTCAAGCGTGCTGCACAGAAGGGCACGTTTAAGGGGGAGCTTGTCATGATCTTTGGGAAGCGCGATACGCATGTTCCGCCTGAGGGGAGGGATCTCATCCGTAAGACGCTGCACGAGAGTGGGGCTGTGTTTAGCTGGTATGAGCCTGCTTGGGCGCAGCATGCTTTCATCCGGGATGAGTTGAGCAAGGGGCGGTATGATCCGGCTTTGTCTGGCATTTGCTTCCAGATGTTGCTGGAGCTGTTTGGTAGGACGTTGGCGGAGGGATTGGGGCCTCTGGTCAGTGAGACTGGGGAGGTTGAGGATGTGTGCTAGAGTGTCCGTGGTCTGCAGGATTAATTGATAGAGGAATGCCATGGCCTGGCGTGGAGAGCACAAAAGAGAGCCTTCTACTGCTTATATGTACACGTTTGGTACTTGCTCCATCTCTCACCATGTGTCATGTCTTCGACTCGCCCAACCGTAACCCTCAAATCGACGCCATGCTTCCACAAATTTACTCGTCCGTCTTGTGGTGGTTGACCTTGGGGTTCCAGAAAAGAGTCTGCCTTAAGTAAGCAAATGTATCCCACACATGTTCCTTCACTCTCAAAGCATTTCTACGCACCTTGTCACCATCGCCCCATGGGAAGTTCTTGGTTCGGATGTTCATGTATGGGTACTCGGTGCGCTCCTCGACCGGAGGCTCGTGCGACTTGTGTTCCCAGTGCTCGGTCCAGAGGCGGTATGCGTTGACGCCGGCGATCAAGAGGGATGGGATGACAACGCTGGCAGTTGAAGTTAGTTTTGGTGGTGTGATATCGGATGATCTGGTGTTCGAAATCGTAGGAGGGATGTGAGTGCGGACATACTAGATAGAGAGCTTGCGCCAGAGGTCTGTAAATGAGAGTGTTAGCATATATTCCTTAGCTTGCTATTCATGCAAAGGCATGGGTATGGTAGAGTGGGCAAGATCGTAGGTGTTTGTGCGGCCTCGGTCCTCTGTATCCGTCTCTTCTCACAGCGCCCCAGCAGCCTCATGGCCACTCCCCAAGCTCTTTTCCAAACACCTTCTCCTTGCAACTCTTCGCTACGCTCGAAATGACATACCAGAAGTAGCAGCAGCGTGCTCCTTAACCGCCTGTCGCTCCCGGTTGAAGGCATTATCCTGAGTGCCCTGGAGGGTAGACTGCAGTCTCTTCTGCTGGACGCGGCGCAAGACCGGGGTGGAAGATCGGAGGGCGCGTGCGGCGAACATGGTGAGTGGAGTGTGTCTTGGTGGTGTCCGGATGTTGTCGCTATTCCAATGCTGAAGTTGCTGGCGGAGCAGTTGGAGAGCTGGTCCGAGCGCGTGAGCGGCAGTATCCGTGACTAGCCATTTCTGACATCACCTGCCTTTGATTCGCGGATTGTTCTGGATCGCCACACTTCTTCCACAACTTCTGATGTCTCTCGTGATATCTCACGACCACCGGAAGGTCTGTTATCGATGGCCCTCGATGTTCAACGAAACTGGGATGTCTGCATGGCGGAGAACTTGGAACGGGTGACGAAGGAAAGCGACCAACCGAAGGACAAGAAGGATGCTCGTGAAACGACCAGAGCAGAGAAACCAAAGATCTGGAAAAGCGAACCTGTCTACCTACCGGACGAGATCATCATCCAAATCCTAGAATATGTGTCCCGATTCCACGAATCGCAGTATACCCTCGCCTCCTGCTGTCTGCTCTCACGACAGTGGTACAGCGCGGCCGTCCCGATGCTATACGCCAGTCCCTACCTCTACGGCAAGAACTTCGACCCGTTCCAAGCGGTGATGATACCCTCGAGAAATCTCCACGTTCGTGACAGCCCTCTCGCTTCACTTGTAAAGATCCTCGATCTGAGGGGTCTAGTGCATCAAGCGAGCCGAAGGATCACGGCACGCCTACTGGGGAGGACCAAGGGGAACTTGGAGGCCTTCATCGCGCCACAAGCCAGTTTCGGGACGAACAGTTTCGCTGCGTTGGCAAAGTGCCATCAACTGCGGATATTGGATCTGTCTCTGGTCTCGGAATCTCCTCCCCTGTTCGAGCTCCTCAAGACCGTCTCTCGCCTGGACAACCTCACCACGTTCCGCCTACCACGCTCCTCAGGCTTCAGCACGGACGTAAACCCAGCTTTAATAACCTGGCCACGGCGACTCGAGAACCTAGCCTTAAGCGGCGGCATCGACGCCCACTTCATGCACGGCATCGTCGCGCTTCCCTCGACACTCCGCAGTCTCACAATCGAACACTGTCCCTCAGCGAAAGGCTTCGCCCTAATGCACATGCTCCGCGCCGCTGTCCGACCACTCGCACACCTCGAAACCCTCAAACTCGCCAACCTCCCCCGCTTAAGCGGCAGCGCCTGTGACAACGTCCTCTTTATTCTTCCAGGCCTCACCCGTCTGAGCATCTCAGTCGACTACATCACCCCGGCGCTCTTCGACTTCGACGTCAGCAGCCACCGCGAAGCAATCGAATGCCACTACCCGACCCTCCCGCACGCGGAGTCTCTCCCAACCCGCCACCAGTGGACGGACGGCAAACAATGCGAATTACGCACGCTGGAACTCACCAACTCGGGCAATCCTGGCGTTGAGGACAAGGTTTCACCTATTGATATCGTTATTGCGCTCGATGAGGGTGCGCTGCCGAATTTGAGGCAGGTGAGGGTGGACAAGACTTTGCTGTGGCAGGCGAGCGCGACGGCGGCGGATGTGGATGCGTTGGCGGATGCGCTGAAGGAGGCGGCGGTGCAGAGGGGCGAGGATGAATCGACCAGTACAGGCGTGTGGACGTTTTGATAGAGCTGGGTGGATGAGTTCATGTTTCGTAGATGATGTGAATGAATTCTGATGATCACTTTCATGATACGCTCTTGCTCACCTCCTCCCACGCTGTTTTGGTGTATCTCATGTCACACCCTGGAAAACGAGTCCTGAATACCGAATGCCAGGGAATGTTGTAGGTCTATCTCATAGCTTTCTATCAGGGTATATCGCTTTTACAAGTTTTTTTTTTTTACGGGCTCACTGCCTCCTAGCATCCTCAACCGCCCACCGCACAGCATCCAACACATTCTCCCTCACAACATGAGGCTTATGCGCCGGCTCAGTGCCCTCCTTCCACACCCCGGTCTTGATCAACACACTCGTCCACTGACTCCCGTACGGACTCCGGTAATTGTTCGCACCTCGAATATCGCTCTCAGGATTATCTCCAATCATATACACCCTCCGCAGGGGGTCGTTCAACCCCACCTGTCCGAACAGCTGTTTCCTGTGCGCTCGCAGCCGTCGCTCGGCGAATTCGTACGTCTCCTGGTGGGGTTTGCCGATGATGGTTTTGGGGAGGTGGGCGCCGCCGGTCACGGAGGACCACAGACCGTCGAAGGCCGCCGTGAAGCCTCCTTGGCCGAGACGGGAGAGGTGGTAGGATGTTGCCCACCACATGTCCGGGTTGGAGTAGTAGAAGGGTGGTTGGGAGTCTTGGAGGTAGCCTTTGTTCGGGAGGGAGATGTTGTTGTTCTTTTTGGAGACCGTGCCCAAGTATCCGCTCTCGGAGAGCAATGCATCTAGGATGATGTGGGCGTCTAGACCCCAGTCTCGCGGGTCGTTGTATACGAACATAGCGTCGATTTTCAATGCTTCCTCTGATGTGCTGTGCGGAATGATGGGCTTTGGTAAGGGCTTCGCGAAGCTCTTGTAGTAGTCCAAGAATACCTTGCTGAAAGGCCAGATATCCGGTTATGCATTCACAATATCTCCCGGCGTGACAACATTCTTGAAACCATATTTTTGAGCCACCAGCTGGCACTTGTCGTAGTCACCACCCGCTACCAGCACCGTCTTGTCGTGCAAGTCGGTCAAGTCTGCAAAAGGAGTGTGTGATTGAACAATCATGCTAGTATCCAACTCGACGTCTAGCTTGTTCTGTAGATCTGAGACGCGCTCTTCCTCGCTCTTGCCGCCGCCATTGGTGAGGAGGATGAATGGGATTCGCTCGGACTGGAGGTGTTTAAGGGCTTGGGAGGCGCCGGGGAGAGGTGCGGATGTGCGGACTAGGACACCGTCGATACTGCATCACATCTTAGCAGCCATTCGCCCAAGTCGTAGCATTGAATATATCGTACTCGAAAGCAAAGGCATAATCAGGTATGCCACTGTTTGTGACCGCCGGCGTCGTTTGGTACTGTCGTCGCCATTGCAGTGGTGCCTGGAACGCTTTACCAGCGCCTCTGATGGCTTGAGGAACCGCAGAGCCCCGTGAGGAGCTCGTCAGTGATCTCAAAGCGGTAGCCATATGTTTGTTTCTCGAGGTCGACGCTTGGGAGGTCGGCGTTAAGGTTAAGCGCATGTGGGACGGAGTGGGGTCCGGTCGATGGCGCCAACTCTAAATCGAGACGTGCCATGTGATGAAGCAGGAAGTGCCTCCATCAACAACTCTGAAAATGAAATATCTTGCAACCACGGTCATTAGATGCAGGTATTAACCATTCAATATCATATCCTCCTGATTCCATGCCTCGTACATCCAGCAGTCCATGCCCACAAGTCGCCAGACTCATCAGAAAGCTCTCCAATTGAATCGCTCCCTTCGTCCAAACATCAGCACTCCACGCCCACAGCTCCAGAACTACAGAGGGCAGCAACTATCACAAGAGTCATCCAACGCACTCCATGTGACGCGCTCGTCGTATCCCATTCTTCCGCTCTCGTGTCTATGAACGCTGGACATGTCGTCCACGCTGCTCCATCAGAGTGAAACCGGCTCTGGAAACGAAACAAAAGCAACCATGGCACGAAGATGGAGACTGATCATCCCAACGCGTTTTGAGGGCTTGGAGATACTTGGTACTGGCAGGCACAAGAGTATGTCCAGTTCACAATAACAATTCCTTCTCAGCCTTTCATGCACAGCATCTTCATCTACAGGATGTACATTGCCTTTCCCGCAGAACGCAAACATTTCTCGCCCGCTCCGCTTGCTTCATTATCCGTTCATCGTTGTGCATTCTTTCCTTGTTTTGCACCTGATTGCACACTCTCCATGTCGTGTTGACTTGCATCATACCGGAGACTTCAAAGCGTTTGTGGATTCCGTTTTCCCAAACGGGAGCCTGGTCCAGCCGCATTACTTATACAGGTGAGCAACGCAAGCCTCGGCGAGTGCTCTCACGATGATGGTATCTCTATCCGCGCGATAATACAAATACTGGAGTCGAAGTCGTCTTGGCTCGCAAGAAATCTACACCTTACATCCCCCGAGTTCAACAAAGCATTCTTATTGCCACACCTTCTCAACCACCCGCAGCACCACCAAAATGCCACCATCTCTGACACCGGCCTTGACTCTCAAGATCTACCAGAGCAGAGAGAATGTGCTCGCTTTCAACTCTACCAAAGGCTTAGCACCACGATACATTGCTCCTCTGGTGGAAGGCCACCTTCAGCCCCACAGCTCCTCTACCTCTCCCTCGTTCAACGCAGCTCTCGTACCAGGCGGCTCTGACTGGCTTCGCGTCGACCCAAGCACAGGTACTGGGCATCTTGATGCCCGTCTTCACTTCCGCAGCAAGACTGATCCGTCCTACGTCTTCTTTGTTCGCTTCGAAGGCATCGTCAGGATGGACGAAGCGATACAGAAGATCTGGGAATGGAGCCCGGAGGCAAAGACGACAGAATTTGGGGAAGGCAGGAACTTTGTCAGTCCTGTGATTGAATGCAGTGCCGAGGAGAATAAGTGGATGGAGACGACGGTCTTTGTGGGGTGGGGAAGGTATGTTGTGGAGGGACAGGGCGATGAGAGGAGGCAAGCTGTCGAGTATGAGATCTTTGCAGTTGGCACAGCGTGAGCGGTCACAGTGCTGGCGAGGCCTGTGTCTACAGCACTGGATGGAAAAAGTGCAGAGCATTATATGACATGCGAGACTAGACTTGTGTTTTTGCGAAGTCAGCAATATGAATGTAGAAGTGTGCCTAATAAAGCCAATGCCTCATCTTCAATGTCTTACTTGTATAATATCGAGCAAGTAGTGCATGCCTTAAATCGATCTATCAAAATCGACGCCTTTTGAAGGTGGACTAGGCTCGGCAATCCATGGTCGCTCAGCTGGACGCCTTGAGGCCACCACTTGCACTTGCATATGCACAACATCAACTTTGAGTCACCAGCGAATTTGTTTCCGTTTGCTTGATGAGTGTGCACGTGTGACCGCTAGTCAAACCTGTAGCTTGCAAAACCTCTCTACTTTCAATCGACTTCACCAACCGCCGCCACACCTCGACACTTCACGACAACTACCCTTCCAACTCATCGAGACACAGCATGGCGCGCACACTCACCACTCTCCCCGAAGAGCTGATCCTGCGCGTCTTCTCTCACCTTCACCGCCTCGACGACTTGTACTCGCTCACACTCACCAACAAGCTCTTCCGCCGCATCTCACATGATGTCTCACCCGCCGACATTTCACGCCTCGCGCTGAACACGGGAAACTTCCTCCCAGGCCTTCGACCTTACCAGCACACTCTACTGATTCCGTCTGCGCGTCGCCTGGCAGACTGGGCCATTCAAAGCAAGGAGAGACGGGACAAGCTCGCCAGTGCCATGCTCAGCGGGATCGATGGACTCGTCGCAATTGCCATGGAAGAGGCTCCCATCACGCTTGACGACATCCGCAAAACCTGGCGCTGGAAGCAAGCTGTTCTGGACCCGCTCAGTCAAGAGATGGACGGTATCTGTGGCCGACCCTCTCAGCCTGACGACTTCCTCACGGTGTGCGAAGATCCGTCATTGACGCTTCTGATGTGGGCCATCTACGGCGAGCTGTTTCACCACAGTTTCTCGTACCTTTACTCCTGGCACGATCCCGATCATCCAACACCTTTCGACAGTATCATGCGGTTCAAGTTCATGGTGTACTGCATGCCCGATGTCAACGCCTTCACTTACATGGGCCTCGAGCGACCAGCCTGGTTCGAGAGCATGGCGAAGACCGCTGATCGCTTTCAGCAGCTTGGCCTCAACCACGCCACACGAGAGTTCCTTCTCCCATCTCTATGGGTACAAGCAATCCGGGAAGTCATGCCTGGCGTCCTCGATGACAACGGAGACGAAGGCTGGGGTTTCGAGTACCTCACGAAGGATCGCCTGTTAGTGACCGCGGTATCGGGTTCAGGGGTTCAAGCGCTGGACCTTCTTCAAGCAACGCGATCGACGACTGAATGCAAAGTCGAACCGCCGCAGCACTTGGTTCGTTGGGTGCACGAGCTCCACCAGAAGATTGATCGCCTGCCTCTCGATGAGAGCGAAACCGGTGAGATCAGTTGTGGAACGCCATATGATCCTTGGCTGGAGCAGAACTGGGTCACGTTGCCTTGGGATCAACAGACGACGCTGTGGGATGCTGGACCGTACTCATTGAGAGAGAAGGTCTACGAGGAACACGCTCAGAAAGAGGCGTGGGATGCGACTCGAAGAGCGATAGGCGAGGATCCGTTGGCACCGAGCACAGCGAGCATCGATTAGCGGAACATCTTATAGGCTGAAGGTCATGCTCGGACTTGGCTGCCATTGCAATCATGTCGACCTGCTTGAGATGATTCTGAGGCCTCAAGAAGGTAGACTGCCAATTCATTTGCTGGGGCCAGGCGGTCGTTGCGAGAGGGCGCGGGAAACGACTGCCGGCCGTGTTGGCTTCTGTGGAAATGAGTCGAATGCTGTCCTTCTTCTAGAGAGAGTAGACACTCTTTGCTATTCAAACAATCAGCTTTGTGATTGTTCTCACGTGAAAGGGGGTCGAGCGGGGTCGAAAGGAGCTGCAGAGCCGGCAGAGGAGGGGCAGGAACACGCCTACGTCAACGCGTCTCAATCATGGACAAAGACCATGATGGCTATACGTTTGTTAGAAAGCATGCCTGGCCTGCAGGGAAGCATTCGAGATACAACAAACCCAATGCCCTTCAGCTTCTCCCAGCGTTGAATTTCCATCTTTGGCAGCATGGCTTCCCTCCACGTTGTAGCACCTCTGCGCAGCTCGGACGTGTGGCGGATCAACAAACGCCTTCGCATTTCCGAAAGGACTGCAGGTATTCCCGTCTGCGACACTGCCTGGTGCCGGGCAATGAGGGGAAGAGCACGAGGAGGAGCCTTGGTCTAGTGATCGATAGTCAGCACCGTAAAAGAATGTCTCTCCTTTTGCAAAACGACACCAACATCACCTTCGAGATTACAAGCGACCATGGCCACTGAAGTTCAAACCACCAACATCAACACCCCAGCATGGGTCGTCCACAAAGCCAAAGAAGACTTCAAACTCGAAGAAATCACCCTCGACGAAATGCAAGACCACGAACTCCTCATCGAAATGCTCTACTCAGGGATCTGCCACACGGACATCGTCTTCCAAACTGGCGCTTTAAACATATGCCCATATCCAGCCTGCCTCGGCCATGAGGGCGCTGGGATCGTTCGCGCTATCGGATCCAACGCCAACCGACCGGATTTGAAGATTGGCGATAAGGTCCTGCTGTCGATTAACTATTGCAAGGAGTGTAAGTTTTGCAAGGACGATCATCCGGCGGATTGTATTCATGGGACACGGTTGCATTTGACGGGTGTGAGGCCTGATGGCACGACGGCGGCGAAGTTGAAGGGGACGGATACGAGTGTTAGTTTCCATTTCTTTGGGCAGAGTAGTTTTGCCAAGTGGAGTTTTGTGCAGGAGATGTGTTGTGTTAAGGTGCCGGAGGGAGTGAAGGATGAGGATATTCCGTTTCTGGCGGCTATGGGGTGTGGATATCAGACAGGTGAGCCTCGGGTCTGCGTATGATGCTGTGTTGATATCTATTGACGAAATTGGCAGGCGCCGGAACTGTCGAAAACATCTTGAAGCCAGAACCGGATAGCTCGATAGTCATTTTCGGCTTGGGAACTGTGGGTTTGACCGCTCTGATGGCAGCCAAATATATGGGCGTGAAACGCATCATCGGGGTGGACATCTTCGACCATAAGATGCCTCTGGCCAAGGAACTGGGAGCAACAGACACTATCAACTCCAAATCAGTGGACGACATTGTGAAACATATCAAGGACTTGACCGATGGCGGCGTGGACTACGCGGTAGACTGCACCGGCGTCCCGGCCGTCATCGAGAACATGTTGAACATGCTAGCAATGCGAGGGACAGCGGCGACAGTTGGCGTACCGCCTACCGGGGCTAAAATCAACATCGACCCGTTGGTGTTCTTGCTCGGGAGTCGGGGGTATAAAGGGTGCAGAGAAGGCGACTCGAACCCGCCGGTGTACATCCCGCATCTCTGTCGTCTGCAGCGCGATGGCAAGTTTCCGGTCGAGAAGCTCTGCAGAGTGTACGACTACAAGGACATTGAGCAGGCGCTGCATGATCTTCACGATGGGAAGGTGACGAAGCCGGTGATCAAGTGGTAGACGGGAGGTAGCGCTTCAACATTCGCTTTTGTCCCTGCATGTCGTTGATATCCGGGCGAATTCAAAGAGTCCAGACCGTCGTCGCATAGCAGGCATCAAGCTCGCTCTGCTCGGGTTGCGTCTTGCCGAAATGCTTCCAGGCTGGAGTGTTGCTTGGCGGCTTCGGTATGCAATCGCAGGTGCAGTCTTTTCTCCAGGAAGCCAGGTATTGTCGGAGTGAATATATAGGGGTGACGTTGTTGCTGCGTGATTCGCAGGCTCTGAATCGCGACGTGATGAAACACTCGCCCAACTGTCATCCAGTGACGAGATAGGGGAAACACGCGTTCGTATGGAGTCTTGGCACACACGCCAGGGAAGACGGTAGCCCAGATCTGTGCCTGGTTCCTGGCGATCGTCCCGGCGAGCCGTCGCTGAGCCACGCGGTCCCACCACCAGTTCAAAGACGAGCCACTCCTCGTCGTGGTCGTCGTCTTCCGTTCGCCCTGCGACAACAATGTGAATCGGACCTGCAACACTGCATACCACTTGCAGTCCAGCCTCTCCTTGACGCGCATTCTTTCGCGCATCCATTCGTTAACAACTATGATCTATGCCTGCCTTCATGCAGTGTAACCCGCTCGTCCACCTTCTTTTTCTCCTATCTGTACCAATACATCATGCCTTTGCTATCGGAATCGAGTTCACTACGCCTGCAGGCGGCGCTACATGGCCCGCTGGCCCTATCACGATCAACTGGACCGATGCGGGCGGCGACCCAAATATGGCCGACCTCACGACATACACACTGCAATTGATGGTGGGAGGGAATTCGCCGGATAATTCAAAAGCTTTGCAGACGGTCGGGAAGGAGAATGCGATGGTGTCGGATAAAGGCGTGGAAGATGATATACAGGCGGACCTGGCGCAGAGTATCCAAAATGGATTCTACCTCATGATGACCTCGAACACCAGCCAGGGGAATCAGGTCATCAACTATTCCAACCGCTTCACCCTCATACAAATGAACGGCACGACGGAAGAAGCGTATCTATCTGGAGCGAACAAGGAGGCTGGGGCCGTGTCAAACGTCCCAGAAGCACAGTATAATGTCATATCACAACCTACGGCCTCAGCTACCTCATCCTCGACACCCTCTGCAACATCATCATCCACCGCAAGCACAGTCACAAGCACTGCTTCAGCGTCACCCTCGGCTACGGATCACCCTCACAGCGGTAAATCGAATGGGGAAACGGCTGCCATCATCACTGGCTGCATCTTTGCAGTGATCGGTCTCGTCAGTATATTCATCTGGGCCGTCTTCTTCATCCGCCGTGCCCGCCGAAAACGAGCAGAGCGGAGTGCCATCGAACGAGAGGCAGCATTAAACGACTCGACTTCCGATCTCGGCAAGCTGGCCTTTGTCGACGGTAAAGCAGAGCTGCCGGCTCACAGCGCATCGAGTTCAAGCTCCACGTTCCCGCGAGAACTCACCCCGACAACCGAACGATATGAAATGCATGGGTTCGACAAAAGGGCGGAGGCGCCGTCTGAAATGGTGTTTGAGTTGGAGGGCGACATTGGACTTTATGAGGCGGGCTCGGGTAGGAAAAGCAAGGCTTATGATCCAACCTTGTAGGTATATAATCTAATCGTACATCCACGAACATGAGCAATGATTATACTGAGCAGTCCCTTTCGTTTTGTCGATGACAGGATGAGGTAATATTTCCCCAAGACGACAGACATGAGCACTCCTCTTCCTGGCTCACCGTCGATACCACATTCTCGTAATCTTCGTCTTGGAGATCTTCTTCTTCAGCTGCAAAATCCCAAACATCAAAGCTTCTGCCGTCGGCGGGCACCCAGGGACGAAGATGTCGACAGGTATCACGCGGTCTCAGCCTCGCACGACCGAATAACTTCCCGCCAAACCAAGTCAGTACAATCATACTCTTGACACGTACAAACGGACTGGCTCACCTATAATGATAATACCCACCCCCATTCGCGCAAGACCCCATACTGATCACCCACCGTGGCTCGGGCATCTGATCATAAACCTGCCGCAACGCCGGCGCCATCTTGTTCGTGAGGGTGCCCGCGACAATGATGAGATCGGCTTGCCGCGGCGAGGCACGAAAGATGATGCCCATGCGGTCCTGGTCGTAGCGGGGAGTGGAGAGGTGCATCATCTCGACGGCGCAGCAGGCGAGGCCGAAGGTCAGTGGGTGCATGGAGCCTTGGCGGACCCAGTTGACGAAGGCGTCCATTTTTGTTCTTTGGGGGGATGTTAGCGGATTGGGCTGTTGATGGATGTGGGACGTGGAGTATCTCACAGGGCGAACTGGGCGGTGGACTTTTGGTCATGCCTTTCAATTCTGAGGTTTCCATGCTGCTCTGCTTCGGCACTGTGGATCCCATTGAACTGGTCTCGCCGGATGCTCGAAGAAGACATGTGCCTGTATCCATGGATGCAGCCCGATTGTCTGCTCCTGCCTCCCAGCCGGACTAGTACTTGGAGAACGTCGCCAGAGGAAGCCCCTGTTCGTGCTGGGAATACGGTCAGTGGACATTTCGAATCTGTTGGCTGTGGCAGCTTACTTCTCCACAGGATTCTGGACATCTTCCTAACAATCACAAGCCAAAATCGAATGGCGACATCTGCTGAAGAAAGAGCTTCAAGCCGAGACAAGAGCCATGCTTTTCGAAGTTCGCGCTCAACAGATTTCCCCGTCTGATTACATATCGTTGACTACTTCGTGTCACGCACTCCGACGCCGGTTTGAAGATCGATTACTTTCAGCAGCAAAGCATCGTTGATTTGTGTGTCAGCCATGACACATGATTTTGCTACCACTTTTTGTCTCTACTTCGAACTTGATCCTCTCTAAGACGATCTGGGCAAAGAAGGCTTTCTGCGATTTGCAACTCATTATTCACATTGCGAGAGGGTTTGAATCTCCCCCTGTTGTCGTGCCTATGGATGCCTCAGGACTTTATGAGACGGTTCCGGAAAAGTCGCTCCTGCTCATCGACCTTTCTGCGTTTTTCAGAGCTATTCGCCAGGATCGCCCAGGCCTGATCGAGGGTTTGAGCAATTGGTCTTTTCGCTCCTACGCCTCGCCAGAACTTATCCATACAAAAATGGATCTGGAAGCGATGCGGTAGAACCATATTATTGCCACGATCCAGTTGCAAGCGCACTTGACGTGGATAGGCAAATTAGTCGTGCATCCGCATGAGGAAGCGAAGATGCCGCAGCCGACACCGCGAAACTTCGCGTCTGCCCTTCGTTGAGGGTGACACTGATGGATTGGATCTTCCCACGACACGTGCATGACGCAGCTATCCGCGTATACACACGACTGGACGACTCGTTCAATACTCTTGATATGGATCTAGCGCTTGGTGGAGTCGAAGGATTTCCATCAAGGATCTGACGCCGACATCAGCGAACCGTGGACTTTGAAGCTTCAGCCACTCGGCGGAGAGGAAGGTGAGTACAGCATACATCATGATGCTTCATCCACAGCTCAAGTTGCAGGCCTAACAATCGTTTCCAGTGATGAGTTCTAAAGCAGTGTCGCGAGGCTTCTTCGGCGGCTTGGTCGATAAGCTTGCAGGTCGTCAGCTGGGCCTGCCACCCGAAGTCTGCAGCTACACAGTCAAAAGAGTTCGGATACCGCTAGAAGACGACGTTCAGATTGCAGCGGATCTGTATATTCCCATCAACCAGAAACCTTTTGGCACGCTCTTTGTGCCAACACCGTACGGAATTGGTTTCCTCACGTCGCTGTCTCAGGCGAGAGTGTTTGCTGCTCGTGGATATCAAGTGCTCACCAGCTCTTGCCGCGGCACGTTTGAATCTGGAGGCACTTTGGAACCCTTTCGCAATGAGGCCAAAGACGGACATGCTATTGTAGCCTGGATGAGAGAGCAGGAGTGGTACACAGGCTCATTTGGAACCATTGGCGGCTCTTACCTGGGCTACAATCAATGGGCTCTACTTTCTGATCCGCCCAGCGATATGAAAGCTTCAGTCATCTGGTCGGGCTTACACTCCATGGGTAGCTTCTCTTGGGGAAATGGTGCTCTGGCGTCGCACATGATTGCATGGGCGGATGTTCAAAGTCGTGTTGGAAACGGTGGACTGCTATCAGTCCTGCTGCATCTTCGGTCGCTGGCGAAGACGCTGCAACCGGTGCTCGATGGAGTCCCTCTACTGGACTCTGTGGATCAATACTTTCAGAAGAAAACCCCTGGATGGTTGCGAGACGCATTGGCTCACCCACGGAGTGATGATGCGTATTTTCAGCCCATGGACCAAAGCGCTGGTATCGAAAAGGCCAACATACCGATACTCCTGACCTCTGGCTGGGACGATCCCATCTTGCCAGATGTCGTGTGGCAATACCAAAGGCTGCTGGAACGAGGAATCCACGTCGCCTTGACTCTGGGACCGTGGACGCATCTCGGATGTCAGAGCCAGAACTCGCTGCCGGAATCGTTCAAGTGGCTAGAGGAGCATCTCGGTCACCGTGTTTCTAACAGCAGAACATCACCCGTGCGGGTGTTTGTCACTGGTTTGAAAGAATGGCGAGATCTGCCGAAATGGCCACCGCCAACAACGGCTTTCGACCTTTTCCTGAATGCTGGCAAGAAACTTTCGCGAGAGACACCATCGTCTGGTGCACCGACATCCACGTTCGAATTCGATCCTGCCCATCCAACACCATCCGTTGGCGTTCCACTTGTATTCGACAACGGACCTGGAAGGTCGCAAGGAGACACGGCTTTGGCGAGTCGATCTGACGTCTTGGTGTTCGATTCAGATACCCTCAAGAGTGAGGTTGAAGTTTGCGGAAAGCCTGTGGTGCAGCTCGAACACTCGACGGACTATCCGGACGCCGACCTATGGGTGGTTCTGAGCGAGGTGAATGCATCCGGCACCTACTCTCGAACTATCAGCGAGAAATATCTGCGGCTCCCTAGAGAAAGACAGACTGAAACGATTACGATCTCCCTACTGGATTGTGCCCACCGCTTCTCGAAAGGCACGAAGATTCGACTCTTTGTCGCTGGAGGGTCACACCCTCGATATATACGCAATCTTGGCTCAGGCGAAGACCCGGTCAAAGGGGCAAATATGCAAATTGTGCAGCATACCGTTCGACACAGCAATTCTGCGATTTCGAAGCTGATACTTCCAGTCACAAAGGGAGCGTGATATGGCGTTCAGCAACGCAAAGAATGGCTAGGATTCAGTTGCGCGAATTGAGCTCTTTCCGTATAGGCGTAGAAGAGAACACGCGTATTTATTAATGCCCGGGAGAGCTGACTACAGACACATCTAAGAACTCGCTCGCAAACTATGCCACGTGTGGTAATTTATCCTGCAGATCGGGATCTCTTGGATGGACCTAGGTCCACGGGTCCGCTTCCTTTGACTGTGAGACTCGATAGTAGTAGAATTCCCTCCATACCAAGAAGCGCGGTGACGGATGACAGAGGTTGCCATTGTTTTCGTCATCTCTCCTCTCTACATCCGCCAAAGTCTCCCATTCAACAATCATGCCTGACCAGCCCATTCACATCGCAATAATAGGAGGCAGTCTGGGTGGCTGCAGTCTCGCGCTCGGCCTGCATCTTCTCAAACGCCAGGATATCACCTTTGACGTCTTCGAGGCATGGAGTTTTTCAGAACGAGGTGCTGGGGTGGGCGTTCATCCGAATGGCCAGAATTCACTTCGTGAGTTGGGTCTAGATGTGGATGCGTTGCTGGCGAGAGCGGGGGCGTTTAGGGAGAAGACGACAGAAGCTGTTGTGGTATGTACGAAACGATGGAGCGATGAACTATGCTGATATGTCACAGGCTTATGGGGAGCATGAAGGAGAGTATCTTATGGAACTTCCTCCCATGGGAATTCAATGCGTTTTGAGAAAGACGCTGCTGGACGAGATGGTCAAGCTGCTGCCTGAGGAGCGATTGCACGCCAATAAGAAGCTGGTGACGGTCGAGGAGGGAGAGAGAATGGTTCTCCAATTTGAAGATGGAACCTCGTACGAAGCTGACGCCGTGGTCGGGTGTGACGGACTGCGTTCAACTGTTCGTGGTTTCATCTTGGGTAAGGACGATCCAGCCGTGCCGCCGAAATTTACGGGCTACTGGGATGCGAGAGCTTTCATGATGGCCGAGGATTCACGAGAAGCGTGGGGAGACGACATCGTCCAGTATGACAATCCTCGCGAGTACTATAAAGTCGGCGAAGGGTGCACGATGCTATTTGCGTCTGCTCCAAAGGGACACTTGGGAGGGGTGGTAGTTGCTGGAGCCGCAGGTCCGGAGGAGATGGATATGGTTGACAATTCGAAAAAACCACTGACGCGGGAATTCTTGGAGAAGAAGTTATCTGGATGGGGGAAGCCGTACGTCAAGGGAGTGATTGACAGTCTGTTGAATCCGGACTGTGGGCCTGGCATTTTGTTTGGCGAATATGAATCTCAAGATGCACCGACGTGGTGCAAAGATCGAATGTGCATCATGGGCGACGCTGCACATGCCGCACTTCCCTGGTAAGTTTGCCAGAATTGGTGCTAGATCTGAGCTGATCATGCAATAGGATGGGCCAGGGGTTCAGCATGGCAGCAGAAGACGCAGCCATCATGACAGCGCTGCTAGGCGCGGTAAGTAGTCGAGGACATGTCGAGCAAGCGTTCCGTGCATTCGACAAGCAACGTCGGGGACCTGGTGGTAGGCCTGATTTCGTCGTCAAGAAAGGAGCACAAGTGGCTGCTCTCTGTGCTGGTCAAAAAGGGCTGGATCCGTCGACTGCTCTCCAGGGGCTTGATCATATGCCAGATCTGTTTGTCCATTTGTGGGAGGGTGACATTAAGAAAGAGATCCAGAGCGCGGTGGACGCCTTTGAAGGGTTTAAGTCGAGTTGAGACGTTGCAGATGTCCTGTGAAAGAGAGTATAGACCCGGCTACCTCCTGATCAAGGGAACCCCTGTTGCGAGACCCAGCGGCGACAACGTTCGATACGAGATACCACCTCACCTCTTCATGGTAGAATAAATGCCATGCGAGAAAACTGGATTTGGGCAACCTCAATCATACCACCTCATTTGGTGCAGCCTCGTGGAAGCAGCCTTACTACACCTGGGCAGGCAATCGAGGTCAGCGATGATATGCAGTATTGACGTACCCAGGTGAGGAAAGGTCGTAGGTTTTGTCGAGTTCATGATGTTGATGATCTTTCCCATCGACCACCTGTCCGCATACAGGTGAGTTTTGAGTTTCCCTGACGTCACGGAGTTGTCTTGGACCCCTTTCAACTTTCAACCGCGGTTCCTGAAGATCACGATAGCGAAGCCAGCAGCATCCTTCTGCAGAGCTCACCTCTCTCAGGACAGACGACACTTTCTCGACAACTATTCTGCAAGACAGATAACCAAGTGCAACGACCATGAGACTCACCGGCAACATGTCGCCCACTCCGCTCAAGATCATGATTGTGGGCGACTCCATCACACACGGCGAAGAAGGCGATTTTACCTGGCGGTACCGAGTATGGGAATGGTTCAAGAACTGTGCGCCAGAGGTCGATATCAAGCTCGTTGGACCAGCTGTCGGAACAGTGCCTCCTCAGATTCCACAGCCTCCTCAGCCACCAAGATTACCATGGGAGAAGGAGCCCGAGGATAGAGACAGTGAGTAGAGCTTCGACTATAGATGGATCTCCAGCTTAACAGATTGCACAGTGACGTCTGGAGGATATTCTCGTTCCGCGTCCAAAGACTTCGACAAATTTCACTTCTCGCATACGGGTCGGCAAGTCGCCTGGGCCATGGACAGAATCAAGGAACAGGTCGAAACTTACCAGCCGGATATGCTACTGGTCATGCTTGGCTTTAATGACATGGCTTGGTTTGTTGCTGGTGCTGAAGACACTATCAAAAATACCCAAAAGTTCATCGAAGAAGCAAGATCAGCCAAGCCAGACATTCATTTCGCCATCGGAAATGTCCTTCAACGGGAACACATGCACGGACGTGACGACTTGGCCAAGATGACTGCAAGGTACAATTGTATGCTACTCGATGCCATCCCGGAATGGAGTAAGAAGAGTTCACGGGTCGAGCATGTCGAGATCGAAAGGAACTACGGCTATACACCGGACGAATGTAAGGGAACTCACGACGGCCTGCATCCCAATGAGCTGGGAGACTTCCAGATTGCCAAGGCATTTACGGAGACACTGCATCGAGCTTATGGTTATGGAAGTAAACCACTGAAGGTGCCAGCCCATATCCCCGAGCGACCGTTACCGGTGCCGTCGAACATTAAAGTCCAAGGTGTCTCGTATGGCGTGCAATGCACCTTTGATGCAGTTTACGGATCGCGAGGCTACGACGTGAGGCAGCGGGTGAAAGGTTCGGACGACTGGAATGAGATGCACATTGGACCAAATCAAGTCGATAACAGCTTTACCGGCGACGACACAGAGTGGGAATATCAGGTGCGCTCGACGGGTGGTATCGGACAGAAGGGCGAGTGGTCAGAAACTGCAAGAGGCCAAGCCAGGAGAGAAACCGCACCAGCTCCTCCAAACGGCAAAGTCTTCGCCACGCCGAAAGGTTTCGAAGCATCGTGGGACGAATTGCAAGGATGGGATGTGGACCGGTATTGCGTGCTGTACCAGGACAAGACTTCGCCAGGATTTCTCTGTGGGAAAGCTGCAGCGGGCACAACGGCTGAGGTTGATGATCTCGAGAAGGATCACCGCTTCGAAGTATGGGTGCAGACATGGACGAGCAAGGGGCCTGGTGTACCCGCTGGGATAGGAACGATTGTTGTTGGAAGCGGTGTGTTCTCTCGGCCGGCGAGTGCGAGCCGACAGAAATGAAGAACTTTTGACACTGTAAGTAGATGTATTGACTGATTAATGACGAAATGGTCAAAATTGTACACCAAGGGAAAGTCAGAGTTCCTTGACAACAGCGACGCATGGGCGAGACATCATTGAATACATCGAACCCGACGAATTCATGTTCATGAATCGGTCGCAGACTTCAATTACCACTTCGTCGCACCCATCTCCAGCAGATACCGCTTGCCCTTGTTTCTCCCTTCCTTGAGCGCGAGCAAAGCCTCTGCCAGAGCATCAACCCCATTCGCGCGAACTTCATAAGGATGGGGGGCCAGAATGCCATTCTGCAGGGCGTACGAGAGATAATTCATGGCCGTCAGCCCAAAAGCCTTCCGCCCATGGTTTGGACTATCCTCTCCATCTGGTCCATCAGGATCATTCGGCTCGAACACGCCGGGCGAGAATGCGATTTGGAGCTGTACGCCGGGAGGTACACGGTCTTTGAGGGTATCGTCCCAAGGATCGCCGACGGAAGATGTCACGATGGAGTCGTGCGGGTTGACGAGCCTTGCGCACAGTTCGCCTGTCTTAGGAGACCCGATCGCGTCGGCGGCGTAGTGAGCATCGTTGGCGACTTGATGCACTGCACGAATGAGTGCGTCTTCCTCTTGACGGTAGTCCACGATGACGTCGCCCTTGCTTGGGTTTATCACGCTCTTGATTGATTCGGCGCTGGATCCAGCAATAGCGATGATAGGGTGAATGTTGGCGAGCTTTGCAAGTTTGACGACGAAAGCCCCTACAGAGGATGATGCTCCATAGACGATGAATGGAGTCCTTGTATTGCCATTGGCGGGGTTCCATGGCGTTGGCAGAGGCTTGTCTTTGAATGCAAGCAAGGATGCGGTGAGATATGGGAGGCCGAAGGTGAGTGCATCTGTCGAGTGTTAGCTTCAGCCGTCTTGATCGCATGCTGCTTACCTTCAAAGGACACAGTTCCCGGTGTGATAGCACTGGCAAAGGTCTTCCCAACGGAGTACTCTGCAAATCCGGAGCTGTGGTTCACGCACATGACTCGGTCGCCGATATGGAATTGATATGCTTCTTTGCCTAACAACCACTGTCAGGGTGAATTGCTGGCGTTGGCCTGTTGTACCTACCAACGGCAACAACATATCCCACATAGTCTTTTCCTGGCGCTCGATGGACGGGAGACTTGAGCAAGCCATGTAAGGCAACACTCTGCTCCTCATTTGCACCCTTCCAATCGATGGGATTGACGCCAGCGAAGACAGCGCGAACAAGAATCTCGTCGTCCTTGAGCTGTGGAATGGGAGCATCGGACTCAAAGTCAACGCTGAGGTCAGGCTTGATGATGGCTTGATGCATAGTTTGGGGAATTGATTGCTCCATGGCTTTGTCTGTATTCGAGTGAACTGGTCCAGGGCCAGGCATCACACTCATCATGGGCTTCTTCTATACATGACCTGTGCTGGGTTCAGTCAAGGCCCCGCCGCCTGCGATGTCACGGCCTTGCAGATGCATCAGTCAGGAATTATTCATGTGGGGAACAAAACCACATTCCAGCTTTTTCTGCGTACAATAGGATGGATAGCTTAAACGATTGTGTCCCTGTGATAGGCTTACATCTCTTACGCTACATCAATGACATAGCCTGCCGTATCCTTGTTTAGTGAACGTACTCCACGGAACCTTTGTAAGCTTAGTACTTACTAACGGGCGCTTTGTCCAGGCTGAAGAATCGCTCTATGGGTTTCGAAGAGATTTGAGGAAGTGCTGTCCGTCAATACAGGGGAGGGAGGTGTTTGAAAGGCTGCACGCTAATGGTAGTAACGGGGAGGACTCTACAGAGCCTGCTGCGATCAAGCAAGCAAGGATACCTAGTGCGGGCGTACGTATTCCATGACAACGATGACAAGGTCCAATTTTGGTAACTCATTAGCCCTCATATGTTGTGCGGAAGCCAGAGGCTGAGCGCACGGACGTGGAAGTGTATCATGAGACCGCCCGTGACTGCCAAGACCAACAACAAGCGTGATTTGTTCAAAACCAGTTGGTACTAGACTATGCACTAGGTAGCGATAATCTGCGAGTCCTATTCAGAGTCCGTACGAAGGAAGATACGAAGAAATAATTCCAACTGAGGAGACAAATTCGCACAGAAAAAGGAGGCAAGGCCTTTGCCCTTCGTTTCAGACTACATGCGAGTACATCTTACTGTAACTCCGCTTCATCCTTCACAATTGCCACAGGTCCATCGTAAGTCTTCCTGGCGTGGGTGAAGTAAAGGACTGTCCCAATCCCCATCAACCCCACAAACAACACGCAAGCCCAGTTGAAATTCTCGGCGTTGACGGCGTACGCATTCGGCCAGAAGCTCCAGAAGAACGACCAGCAGGCATATACCAGAGCCAGTGCATTCACTGGAAGTCCCCAGCGACCCAGAGACCATCGCGCAGAAGGCAGATGCTGTCCTCTGATCCGTCGGATCAGCACGCAAGTCACGGACACCACGTAGGTGGCCATTAAGGCAACGGTCGAGAGGGACAGCATGGCGTTGAATGCGGCTGTGCTGCCAATGTTGATGAGAGAGATGATAATCGTGAAGATCATGGTGAAAATGATGGAGTTTAGCGGGACATGCCAGGTGGGGTGAACCTATCACATCACTGTCAGCTGTCGTCAAACAAGATTCTTCGCTGATACTTACCGCTCCTAGCCAGGAAGAGAAAGGCAGACCGTTGTCACGAGCGAAAGCAAACGTCTGTCGAGAAGTCGACGCCATTGCACTGATGGTGATCATGATGAGGAGAAACAAGATGACAACAGTCATTCCTGTCGTGCCAGCGCGACTGCCAGTAGCTTGCCTGAAGACATAGATGAACGGGTAACCGGGTGGATCTTCTAGAGCATCGCCCAGGCTGACCATACAGAAGAGGTAGCTGATGACCATGCCGAAGGTGAAAGGTATGTTGAGAAGGAACGACCAAACCATGCTTCGTGGCACGACTCGTCCAGCGTCCTCGACTTCTTCCGCCATATGAGCAACCGAGTCGGAGCCTTGGAAAATGTCAGCATTTACCATAACCAATCTTTTATGAATACTCACCCAATACACTGAACATCGCGCTGACCTGACCCACGAGTGTAGCCCATCCAACACTTGGCCATCCCGATCCATTGTCCGTGAAGGTCAGAAAAACTGCCGTAGGAGTTGTCTTCGGCGCAAGTACCAGGATGACAATGATGACGGGGAAGAAAGCGAAGAAGTGACTGGCCACAAAGACACCTTCGGCAAGTGGAAGATGCTTGACACCGACGACGTTGAAGATTCCAATTCCAATGACAGATGCGAAGATAAGCAGAGTGGCTTGCCACCTTGTCGCCCCGTAAGACTCATTGTTGATGGTTATCAGGGCCTGAACGATGGTGCCGACCAGGTAACAGTCGAGTGCCACGATACTCTGCCACGAGATTGTCGAAAGCCAGCCTAAGAGACCATCAGCTTGTGCATCAGAGGCATTGGGACAAAACGTACCAGACAGATAGCTGAGCAGCTTTTGCTGACTGCGTGGAGCAAACTCGCTGACCTGGACAAATATTAAGAAACAAGTTCGTCCAGAGGATCCTTCAAAGACTTACCCAATGATACTGACCTCCCGCGGTAGGAGCCATTGAAGACATCTCGGCCAAAGACAGCACGATAAATGTTTGACCTGTGTAGCACCAGCATAGCGACCAGAACAATCCTCCAGAGCCGCCTGCCAGCAAAGCCTGGGTATTGGAGGTCTGCAAACAAGGTTGGTGAATATACAAAGTCGTACATGGGCTACACTTACCATCAAGATCTCCCAGGTGCCCATCACACAGCACGTGAAGCCCACCGTGGTAATGAACTTGAAGTTTCGCCGGAACTGCTGCTGCTTGCCCATTCGTTTCATATCGCGCTGATCTTGAACGGTGAAACCCTCTTTTGCGACCGGATCGAGGGCATTCCACTCGCCTGGGTCCAGGAACGTTTCCTGGGGCGTGTCTTGGCCATTGTCCGAGACGGTACTCTTTGGCAGCTTCGCCAATTCAAAAGCTCCCTGGTCGCCGGCCGCCATGGTTGACTATAGAGATGCGTAACGACGGGTGGCGTGCTGAGGAGTTCGAGAAACCAGATGGCGAGGGACAGGAGTGACACCCCATGCGAGAAGTCATGGCAAGTGGCACAGCAAAGCCAAATGTGCGCCCAGTGTATCGAATTGACTGCCCAGAGCATTAACACAGGTACTGCGTTCGGGTGTCTACATTCATTGGTGGAGATTGCAGATCGGCATCGCAAGCTTGACTGGATTCTGCAGGAAACGCATTCTGGAGGCACGGGGCGTCCGGCACACCTTACCGACCCTGCCTCAAATTCACTCCCTCCAGCATTTAAACTTTGGGCTTGGAGCTACTGCAGGTGATTGACAGTGCCTATTGGACGCTGTTTCGTGCTCTTTCGTGGGTAACTTTCACAATATGGGGGTGCAGGCTGGGCAATTGAGGGTGGCACAGCGACAGGAAGGCCGAGAGTCGACATATCTCCTTCTTCTCCTTCTTCACCCAAGAATGCATTCTCGAGCGATGAACGATGCCGACTTACTTACCAAATACACCTGAGAACCGCGAGGGATTGATTGTCATATTCGCGGCGGTGGGCGTGTGCTGGAGCGCGACGGTCCTGGTCTTTCGGCTCTGCGGCAGTCTTCTACGGCGCAACGGGCTTGATGCCGGAGACTGGACAATCGTCACGCTGACTGTGAGCCAAGGGTGAAATACATTGATCAAAGCAATGACTTACTGAGAGCACAGTGCATCGGGACATCATGTTCAGTTGCGATCTTCTTGGCCGTCAAGTACGGTCTAGGAGAACGCAATTACCTCAGAAATCTTTCAAATGATTACAGCGCAGCCAAGGTCTGGCCTACCACGCATGTTGGTCTCAATCATGGTGACAAGGCTGAACGAATGACTAGGCCCTCTACGCGTCAGACCTCCTTTATACCTTCACACTGGGCTTCTCAAAACTAGCCACGCTCCAACTTATCAGCGCCTTGAGTCCCGATAAGCGCCATAAACGCGTATGCTACGGGCTTTCCGCCTTTATAGCATTATGGACGATAGCAGCCATCTTCACCATCGCCCTGCGATGCAACTTGGCAGCACCGGCTTCAGACCTCACATCTGTCCAGTGCCCAAGCCTGGTTCGTACAGCTTGCCTCGAATCGAGTCATGGTTTCTGACCTTGAGCAGTTCTCGCGTTGGGCTGCCCTTGAGTCCATCAGCCTTTGCAGTGAGCTCATGATCTTCGTCATCACAGTTGTCATGATACGTGATCTTCAGATGTCGATGAAGAAAAAGGCCATGGCCTTAGCCATCTTCGCTGTGCGGTTGCCGTACGTATCCGAGCCTACGCTTGTATGCTCTCACTGACGGCATCTAGTGTTGTGATACCCATCGCTTTCCGTCTGCGCTACCTTCACGCAGCCTTCGTCTCTGACGACTATCTCTTCACCGTCACAGGCGCCATCCTCGCTACACAGTGTGCTTTGCACTACTCCGTCATGTCGACCTCATTCTTCTACTTGAAGCCGTTCCTCGCAGCCTTCAATAGCAACCTGGGAGCATCTACCAAGCTCGACACAGTAGTGGCGACGCGCTCATCAGGAAGAAGGGATGGCAGCCAAAGCAACAGCAATAGCAATAACAAGTCGTGGCACACGGCGGTCCAGACTGCAGTCCAGACCGTTCCTCCCGTCCAGGCGGAAAGAGAACTTGAGGATCTGCACAGGAGTAATTCGGTGGATTCGAATGCCCCAATCATCTGGAAGACTCGATCATATCGTGTGGACGTTGAGGATGAAGAGCGATGAGATGTATTGACCCAATGCAGCACCATGAATCGACGTTAACAACCTGATTACCACGACTCTCTGCTCTGGCAAATTTTCCACCCTTCCACATGCACGATACTCAGTCTCACACCATGTGATAGCCTTGGCTGCCCGCCTCCACTGGCAGACGCAAGCTGACCTACCGGGTGAGGATGACATTGGTCATTGCAAGTCCTGTTCCATTCAACAAAGCTTTGATCTCGCTGGGTGGATGATTGCAAAAGCGATCATGACCACCAGCATCAGCAATGCATCGAAGACATAAATGACCCATTCCTGCACCCAGAATTGTCAGCAAAGCTCAACCTGGTGGCCGGAGTGTCTTACATTCGTCATCAGGTACGCATCTTCGCCCACGGAGTATTCGATGAGTCGAACTACAACGCGAATGAGTACCACCAGGGTGCAAACATAGATATGATCAAATGCTTGGCCCAGGGGGCCACATACTTTTGGGCCTTTTCCGCCAGGTTGCGAGAAATGCGCTGATGGAATAGTGTTGCGGGACAACAAACAGGACGAAGAATACGATCTGGACGACCAGTCCGACAATAATGACAGTCTTGCCAGTCTTTGAAGAACTGCTGTCGTCGAATGACAGCATGCCTGCGCCTATGCAAAGGTCAGCCCAATTCATCGACCGATCGGAGCAGAGGGAGCCTTTACCCATCATCTGGACGAGGAACGCCACGACGTCTCCAAACACAAAGACCTTTGTGAGCCAAGTAATCCGCATGATTGCGAAAGATGGGCCATCCGTCAACCGAATGATGCGACCCAGCTCCATGTACATACTCGCTGCCAGAAGGGACGGTGCCACCAGGACCGAAATCTGACTGGCAACGTATATTCCAACTGAATAGTCTGGTCTCTGCGAAGCCGATAGGGCTCTCTGGGAGCGAAGTTAGCGTTGATCTTCACGCAGAAGGAGAAGGGTTGTAAGAACGAGAGCATAACCAACGGTCTCGACTACGAATACGTGAGCTTGCACTTCTCCACATATCAATCTTCAGCGGCTACAGATTCCTCCCACCCAAAATTCGAGTCAGTATCAAGTGCGAGTCCGGAAGACTCGGTAGCCATGGATCAATGTCAGGATGCCGAATACTGCTGCGGTAACGGCCGCGCCTGCAACGGACGGTGTGTATTTGTAAAAGTCGCTGTCGTTTGAATCTGACATTTCCGATGGACTAGTCTTTGCGAATGATTGTAGAAGTTTGAATTTTTGCTGCTTGAAGACCCTAAGCGCTGAGTGCGTTACTATATACCTCTGTGCCTGACCTCGAAAACACTTCGTTATTCGACTTACGACTTTTACGAGGCAACACCACCGCCTATCCTAGTGACGACGTAGACTGCGAGGAGGAGCGCACGACTTGTATGTGGTATCCATCGACACAATGATACCGACATAGAGACTGGACAACGGGAGTTGGACTCGGATGGTATGCCTGTTACGAGAAGGTCAAATTACGAAACATGAGAGCCGCAATAATCCGTTCTGATGGTCTATAATTATTTTCAGTATCCCTTGAGACGACATTTCTACCCATGACCCCTAGTCTATGCATGTGCCGAGCAACTAGGAAAAGTTCGTACCCCTGCGACTTGAAATTCTGATGCCTTCGTATACTCGCACGATAGCTTAGTCCGTTGTGGCTGTACTCATGCGACTTCACCGGAAGCGCACATAACCAGTATAAACGCAAATGCCAGGAATAGTCCAGAGACATGGCTTCTTGTTCCAAGTACGATCATCTCGGCAGTACAGTCGCTTTAATTTGGAGTGAACGTTGCATTCATTGACTGCCCTCTAATGCCGAGCTGGCTAGGCAGAGGTGAAGTCTCTGCAAAAGTTTTCGCTACCTAGGCTCTAACGATAGTTCTTATGTTGAATGGGTTGTGTGAACAGGGTGGGCGTACTATGTTCATCTGATGGCTTGGCGGTCACATGTTAGCGCGCGGCTGATCCCGGTCCCCGATCTTGCTACAGATCGTCACAGCTTTGTCGAATATAAAAGCTCAGGTTCATTCCAGTCTTAAGGGGCCATACTCAGATAAGGATTCTTCTCACCAAAACTTGACCTGTTACTCACCATGACCCAACAGAAGCACTAATGTTCGAGATCTGGTACTGCCTCTAGCGAATGAGACCCCTTGTACACTCTGGTCGAAATACCTTCGCTCGAAGACAGTCATCAGAGTCCATAGGATGACACAATCTGCCTTAATTTGCTACTTCCTAAAAGAGCCCTGGCTCCACTCCAGCCGCAAACTCTCGCATGCCAGCGGCTTGCCTGAAACGGCAAGTTTACGTTTTCTGAGTCACGCGATTGGCCGAAGAGCGAGAATCTAACAGTCAAGCAACATCAAAGCAAACCTTGTACGAGACTGTTTCGCGCAGCCTCCACTCACAGAAAGCCTACATATTCCTCTGCATGCCAGGAGTCGTAGACCTCACCGAATGGTACAGCCTGCAGCGTGAGCCTGATCGCATCCGAATGCCTATTCCTCGAGACCAGCCACAATGACAGTCCCTCTTCAGCGGCAAAGAAAGAGGCACCACAAGACCAGGACAGGTGAGTAATTGAGAGCAACGTGTGGAAGTAGGCTGACTCGTGATGCGCAGGATGCAGGACGTGTCGCCAGAGGCGCATCAAGGTAAGAAACAAACCAACACCATGCACAGACCTGAGCCTGATTCGAAAAGTGTACCGAAGAGCGACCGGAGTGCAGTCAATGTATGCTTTTCCCCACGGGTATCGTGAGGCTCCGCTCATTGTCATCCCTTAGGTATCAGGTCAAGACGGCACTGCCTCGGGTACGAGCTTGCACAAGCAAGTGAGCCAGGATCGGTCCCCAACATCTTGCCAAAAGCTCCATCTTTGAAACGAGCACCGCACTCTTTTCTTGCAACACTCAGCTCTCGAGAGCGCATGTCCTTGGAATTCTTCCAGCTCCATTCTATCCACCATTTGCCAGGTTCTTTGATGTGTCTGCCCTGGGAACGACTGATCCTTCGAACTGGTTACAACGAGCCTTGCATAATCCATGCAGCAGTCGCAATTGCAGCGATGAATCGGTTCCAGGGAGGTTCTCAGCAGTCTGTCTCGTCGCCCAACTCGCCTTCCGATGCGAAGGACATGGACCAGTACGAATTCGCTCTCGCCCAGTACAGCAAATCAATGAAGCATCTTCACACATATATCGACGCTGGTCCAACGCACTCGACGGACACGAGACAAGAAATGGTCCTCTTGCTTACTTTAATGTTTTTCTGTTTCAACGTTTTTCAGCAAGACGATGCTAGGGCAATCGCTCACGTAGCAATGGGACTCAAAATCTTACGTTCCGGCTTACCGCCACCCGGACAAGGTTTAGATGACTGCAAAGGGGAGCAGGCTATCACTGTAAAAGTCAGGCCTCGGAGTGGACTTGACGTCCTCGTTCAAGTCTTTGTGCGGCTCGATGGCGACTCCTCTCTGGCGACTCCTGAGTACGGCTTCTTGAAACCTGTGTGCAGTGAATCAATACCTGACTCCTTTGCGTCACTAGGCGAAGCAATGGTGCGTGATCAAGCATGGAAGATTGTCTATGTTCTGACGGTGGTGTAGGTGCACTTGGATGTCTTGACTGGTGAATTGAGATCACTGGCCGAACGCCTGGAGGCTCTGGCAGATGCAGTCATCAAAATCCATTCTAATGCAGCAATGGATGTGAGCACTCTTCGATGTCTCAGATACGTGACGTGTCGAAGTATGGAATACCCCCAAGCCTTGGTACTCCGACTTGAGCATCTGAGGCAGGATCTCAGAGCGTGGATGTCTGCTCACGCCCTGATCCGCTGGGATCCAAAGATGAGTTGATGCACATCATGATAAATTGCCACTTCTTCGCTGTCTGGCTCATGGCAAAACACATGGGATGCAACGACGAGGACGAGTACGACATCTCTCTGCAACAATTCGACCACATACTCTCGCTAGCCGAGCGATTTGTGGTTCTCGATCAGACCTTCCCAGAAAGCTGCAGACCAGCCAGCACGACAGGCACGCACATACCCGCCTGCGTGTATGAGATTGCCCTCCGTTGCCGGGATTCCTCTATTCGGCGTCGTTGTATTGCGCTGCTTCGCCGTCTGAATCTGAATGGGGTTTTCGACGGTTTCTATCTTTCCTCGTGGCTTCGCTGCATTATCGAAATAGAAGCCACGCGCGCTCAAAAGCTGGATCCTGCACTCTCCTCTGTCAAGAACCTCCGCTGTGAAGACATTCCCGAGCAAGCACGAGTGCTAGAGACGGTCTACTTGGAGCAATGGGACGAGACGATCAATCTTCACAACTTTTACAAAATGGATCATGGCCGGGTGTTGGTAGCCAGCCATGCGAATACTGGCAACTACGCAGACGTTGTGATTGAAGAGGTGGTATTCTTTGTTGATCGCTCAATGGCCACATTCGACGAGGCAAATTCTTCAGGCATTCTGCAAATGTCGCCCACATGCCTCTACTCCCCTGCGGCTGGAGTATTGCTGGCTCAATAGATCCAGCCCCAAGGTAGTCTTTAGAGGTGACTCTAACGTTTTAAATATTACATTTCTATACTTTAGGGCTAAATATAAAAATATAATATAAAGGGGTAAATAGAGACAGCGGTATGTAGAGTCGGGAGCCAAGCAGTGGATCAGGCCCTGAGCTATACTCGTACTATTGATAAGACATGCAATTTGTGCTGTCGAGCTATCGTGCCTGAGGGCTATCTAGAGAGACAAGAGACATGCTTCAGGTCCGCAGTCATACTAATGAGGTGCTCTTTGCGTTTCACATTTGACATCCACTATCCAAACATGTCCTCCAATCTGCCAAAGTCAAATCGGGATACTTGAATCCCACAATATCTCCAACCTCCGTCAATGCCTGCGTCGTACTGACACCAGTCGTGTTACTCCCATGTACATGAGCACTAACAATCAATGCCGACCTGGGAATTCCAATCTTAATGCATCTCACAAGCAGGTCCCAGGCGTACAGACTCTTGTAATACACTGCGTTCGAACCGGGATTGACGATGTCAGCCTCGTAAAGAATGAATGTGTCGGAGTCTGTGGCATTGGCCTTTGTCACTACCGGGAAAGCTTGGTCTTCGGTGTGTGGTGGACTGGATGGGGACCAGTATGATCGAAAGTCGATGAGGTTATCCCTAAAGACGAAGGGCTTTTCTGCAGTGTATGTAATGATTCGTTGTGCAATAGCCTGTCCGTAGTAGTTTCGTGCAACATAGGGTACCACCAAAGTTGCGCCATCGTTGACATAGTCGACAAACCCATCTGCATGATCGCTATGGTGGTGCGTCGGGACGACATGGGTGATTTTCTTGTCCGGTCGAGTCTGTCTGAGCCACTCGATTATGATCTTCGATCGATGCGGTGGTGCATCGGTTATGATGAATCCAGTTTCGTGCTCTATGAGCAGCTGGTTGTAGTCGTTGTAGCCGACATATATCTTCATGATGTTTTTGAAGGTTGGATCTGGGTAATCGACTACAATGGACGAGGTATTGTACATTTCTGTAAAGGGACCGGCCCAGATTCCTGCTTCGTACCACTCGTGAATCTCCGACAACGGATACTCGGGGCTAGATGAGGGCTGGGCGGCAGTAAGTCTCTGCACTGTGTTCTGCGGATCTGGAGTCGGTGCGTGACCTTCAAAGAATCCAGATGGGAACGCAGGGTTGACGGTGATGGAGTCTAGCAGGATGTCTTCGAGGACATACATTGAGTTGTAGACGGTCTGTAGTCGGAGAGGAAGCTTGATGCTCGACCCATTTCGGATTTCAGATGGCTGGAAGTTCGTAAAGACCAAGTCGCTCGTCGATGGCCCATAGACGACATGATTCTCCAAAGACCGCACCGCATAAGGGAGCTTTGTCGCCAGATCGAAGAGCAGCGTCAAGCCAAGTTCAGCGCTTTCAATGGCACCGTAGGTCGCCCTACTATAACGCTGCTGTACCTGGTACTTCTCCAACTCGGTGTCATTCTTCAGGAACTGCTGTAGCAGCCACGGTAAAGCATATTGATGGGCTTGATGAATCAAGTAGTTCGTCACCAGTTCGTCCGTGTATCCTTGCGTAGATCGAAAGTCGGACAAGAAGTTGTTCGAGCCGTTGACAAAGCAAGCGTACTGCTCTGAGTCGTCACGAACTACCAGAGACATGTCTGCTAACGGTCGTAGAGATGGGATCTCCCATACCCAGTAGTCATCATAAGCGTATTCCCGATCGATGCGAGAGCTCAAGCCTGAGCTGTTGAACCGGAAGGATATATTCGAGGATCCTGTTGTTGCTACGGACTGGTCGAGCGATTCGAGGGTGTAAGTCTGGCTCAAGGTGCCACTGCGGTAGAGCCTGAGAGGTGTTCGCATCAGTATCAATGCATCACATGCAGCGTGTTGGCACATACTGGCCACCATTGTACGTCAACCCTCTAACCTCTTGCAGTACCTCAAGTCCCCCAATAGCGTTGACCACTTGCAAGACATCTGCGATAGAGGCTGGTTGTCGTGATGTTCCATTGCCCGAGCTTGTCGAGTTGTACAACTGAAGCCTACTTGGCGCTGTAAGGCTGGCAACAAGGGCCGGGAAAAGTAATAGCGTTCTCAACTTGATGCTCATCATTTTGCCGATAAGAAGGCAAGTAATTCGTTGCAGTGTACTGGAGAAGGGCAGGGGAGGTTTTATCAGAGCACGAGACAGACTCACATTCTTGAAGAAGAACCATGCTTAGCAGGACAGACCAAACACCGCTTTGCCGGGTGCTTCGAGAGCCCGTGTTTCAGGTGGAACAGGATGAAATCTCACAGCAAATACCCATTTGGGAGAGCCTTGGAGGCATCGGATATACGTCTCTCCACGGTGATTGCCACAGTCTGGGAAAGATGCCATGACATTGAGGGCGTTGACTTGACAGAATGATTCATCGAGATCCAAGGCGAACCTTCTTGACGCCTGCTCTGATTTTCCTCAATGAGAAGAACGAATATCTGTTTGATCGTACTCGTGCTTTCTAAGCTACCGTCTTGTGTTTCCCGTGTCGCTCTTGCCACTCGACTGCCTATCACCAGCTACTCTTCTCAGAAATCTCGAGCTAGTACCTTCCACCGTTCCATCACTTCCTGCGCAGCTCGGCGAAAACCTGCAGCTCGAATGCGTCCAAGCTCGTTCGGCGAAAAGGCTGATGGAGACCCCTTTTCACAAGCAGGCTCAAGCGTTCCGGGCCCGAAAACTTTCTCGGCCGTGAAAAGCTACGATGCAGTCTACGTCGATCATGTTGCGTCTTCGAGGCTTTCTAATCCAAGATGGTGATGTGACCATCTGTGCTTTGTAGGTTAATGGTCGTGTCTGATTGCTGTTCAGCAAAGATGTTTTCGTATATATCTCAAAGCGGCCGTGCTTGTTACATACACGCCAAGGCATCACAATGGAACGACTCGAGCACATTCTCTCCTTCATCTCTGCCGCGCCGAGGGCTAGACGACTTGATGTCGATCCCGAGAAAGAGCTGAACTATGGGCAGGTTGACTTCGCCACGGACAACACCGAGAACCCTAAGAACTGGTCGTCGACACGGAAATGCTACCTCACAGGAGTCGCAATCCTCATGGTCATGAACGCCACCTTCGCCTCATCAGCCCCTACAGGAGTAATCCAGGGGATCAGTGACGATCTGAAGGTCTCTGTCGAGGCCGCTGGTCTTGTTACGACACTCTTCTTGCTTGGATATTGTGCGGGGCCTCTGTTCTGGGCGCCTTTGTCTGAGTTCTATGGGTGGGTTAACATCGCTATCTATATTTGGGCTTATGAGTCTGACTTCACCTTCTGAACAGCCGCCGCTGGATCTTCTACATCACCTTCACGCTCTACGTCACCCTCAACTTCCTCTGCGCTTTCACCCCCGATTTCGGTGGGCTCCTAGCTGGTCGTTTCCTAACTGGCACCGCAGCCAGCGCCATTCTGTCGAACGGGCCTGGTTTGATCTCTGATATCTGGGGACCGGTAGGGCGAGGCAACTCTATGGCTATCTTCATGGTCGCGACGTTCTGCGGTCCAGCACTTGGTCCCGTCGTTGCTGGCTTTCTCGAAGTCACCAAGACATGGCGGTGGTGCTTCTATGTCCTGTTATGGCTGGGCGGTCTCACTGAGGTCTTCGTCCTTACTGTACCCGAGACGTTACCAAAGGTTGTACTCGCGAAGAAGGCCAGAAGAATGCGGCAAAGCAAGAACAATGGCTCCAAGACACCAGATCTAGAGAAAAAGGAGTCTCTCCTATCGATCTTCAAAACGACTCTGACAAGACCATGGATCATCCTCTTCGACCCAATCAGCTTCCTCGTCGCCATCTACTATTGCGTGGTATACACTTTGCTATACATGCTCTTCAGCATCTACCCCATCGTCTTCCAACAGAAACGAGGGTGGAACGCCGGCGTAGGAGAGCTTCCCTTGATCGGCACGGTCATCGGCGCCTGTCTGGGCGGTGCTATCCTACTATTCATCGGCTCCAGAGAACGAAAAGCTATGAAGGAGGGCCACACAAGAACACCAGAAGATCGACTGCCTCCTGCCATGGCTGGTGGGGTCTTGTTTGCTCTGACAATGTTCTGGTTTGCTTGGACTGCGGAGTTCAATTCCATCCATTGGATCGTACCGACGCTCGCTGGTACGTTCCTTGCCACGGCCATATTGCTGGTGTTCTCTGGCTTCATCGTCTTCATCATCGACAGCTATCTCATGTATGCGGCCAGTGCGGTGGCGGCGAACACTGTGACTCGGTCAGCGTGTGCCGCAGCATCGCCGCTATTTACGCAGTGCATGTTTGATGCTTTGGGCGTCGGAGGTGGTGGATCGCTCATTGGAGGTGTTGGAGTCCTGCTGGTACCGATTCCATTCATCTTCTACAGATACGGCGCATCGATTAGAAAACGTTCGAGGTTTGCTCCTACAGACTCGTGAGAATTATACAATACAGCTATTGTGTCTATAAAGCTTCTTTACATACTTTACTCGAGGACGAAAAGACTCTTGGAAAAGACCTCGCTGGGCATATGCGCAATGACTTCGTCCCTCTGTTGGCCTGAGGAAGAGCCAAGAGCATGTGCCTCCACCCTTGTGCCATCCGCACTCTTTCTCCATCTGATAGGGCCAGGCAAGATGGTCGGTATCCCGTCCTCCATATTCATCAACCCCAAAAGCTCCGAGTCGATCAAAGGCAGATCCCCAAACTCCCAATCAAGCGTACCACCGTAGCGTTTGGGAATCTCGGAGGAATCAACGAATTTCTCCAGAGTCGGTTTGACTTGGGCTTCTGACAGAATGAAAATCGTCGAGACTGTGATTGGATCGAACCATTGTTTGATCCAGTTCCAGACTGTCGGAAAGAATGACGGTGCGCCGACGATGAATGTTTTGCCTAGCGTTTCCGGGTAGTGAGCAGTTGCTAGAGCACCCGCATCTTGCAGGTGCTTCTTCAGACTCCAGAACTGGCGGATGCTCACCCCGGAGATGTCGACAATGTTGCAAGTCTGAGAGATGGGCGTTTCGGGGTGCTTCCTCGAAGGCACTGATGAGCACAAGGGAAATACGAAGTTGGTAAGATGCTCGTAGGTCGCGAAAAGCCGACGAAGCTTGGGCGAGAGACCTCCGTGTGCTTCAGACTTTGTAAATGTTTCCGTCTCTGATAGCTTCTTCGAATCGAGGCCTCCAATATTGAAGACGTACAGCGGGATGCCCATTTTGTCACGTCGCCCGGTCCAGTGTGTGTACTAAACCACGGTCAGCCTCTCGCGTCTGCGCATTGCTTTTGAACACCTCACCAGTACTCTAGTCGCCTCGTACTCGTCGATGTCGATCGTGTTGTACCAATTCTCAATATCCTGCTCCTTTCGCCAATCTTCCGTAGCCTGGAATTGGGCCAGTGCATCGCCAGGCACAAATCTGCGAGCTCTCGAGAACCGTAGCAGCGTCTCATCATCGTGACTTGGCTGCTCGCTCTTGTTTCCAGGCTTGTAGCATCCTTCTTCTTCGCAGATGGCCTTGAAATCTTCTAGTGCTTTTATCTGGCTGGCCGATAGATGGTGAAGGTGACCAGCGGGATATTCGTGGGCAGATGCCTGCTCTGACAGCTCGCCTCGTGACATTTCGATGCTGGTGTTTGTGCTTGTGATCGCGGATGGTTGTAATTTTGAATTGACCTGCCAAAGACGCTGAACTTGACGCATATATATTTTTCGTGTTGCCGTCGTCATTCAATGCCGAGCACAGCCTTGCCTTAAATTAGCTTGCCCTAAAATTCCTGTGCCTGGGTTACATAACAAATGCTGCTACGGTTTTGGGATTAGTGTCGAGAATGACGCCACATTATGAAAACCTAGTTGTTCCAGGTTGTCTTCCAGAACCTCACCTGCCGTATCAGAGGACCGTATTATGTTAAAGTAGCCCTCACAGGCCGACTCTGTCTCGTGCTGCGGCCAAACCTTCGCATCGAATCGTGCTTATGAATCTGGCAATTCAGCTGTTGATGTTGGGAGCCTCCTGACGAAAAGGGGCACCGACATATCTCTCAATGCTTCCAGAGTACCAGCTGAGCCACACGACGAATTCTCCTGGCTGCGTTACTGTCCACAAAGGGTCAAGTAGGCCTTCATCTGCTATCCAGAGTCGAGTATTGCGACGCCGACCTTTGATGATGCTGACGCGAAGACGTCGCAGGCGTGGCATCGCGGCGACGACTTTCCAAAGGTCATTCCATTCTTCAACTTTGAAGCGAGGCTGCTGCAGCGCTGACAATTCGTCCGGTTCATGAAGCCTCCAGTATTCAAGCCAGAGCATGAGCGAAGTCATGGCTGCAAAACGCTGAGGTGTTATGTGATTCCTCAAGAACAGAAGATCGGTCGAGCGATGAAACAACCACGTATTGTAGCTATAGCGATAATTGATGGTCTCGATGTATCTGGCGGACCTATCAGCCTCTTGCCGCGAGATCGAGCCGGGGATGATACAGTTGCCGACACGTTGAAGGTAGAGCAATAATCGCGACTCGAGCACAGCCGTTAATCGCTCGCGACGGATCCAGACTGTCGCTATGTCTGGCATTGTAGCATTGGATTCGCAATCGTGGGACTTCTTGGGACTGCTTCCCCCTTGAGACCGTGAATGTCATCCTCAACTCTTCGAATAAAACGAGATCGTAAATGAGCTGCCGGATTTCTAGGGGTATTTTGGTCAAGAGCAGGGCATTTTGAGGTCTCTTTGAACGAAGCCAATGGTGTTTCCGCGCAAAGGTCAGTCTCTTGCGAGTGCTTGGACGTGCCTTGTTGGGCAGGAGTCTTACGAAGCGTCTTGCAGTGCGCGATATGCTCTGTCGAAACGGTTCTATACGGCTGTGTTCTGAGCTGCTGGCCATCGTGATATGAGGCACTGATGGAGTCCGCGATGGGAGGGGGGTTGTCTTGAGTGTGTTGATGGAAAGCCTGGAGGTACAGGTTGGATTCGGTTTATCTCAGAAGTGTCAGACCTTTTCCGGCGATACCGCCTTTGGAAGCTTTCTGGATCCCTCTTTCTCGCCTCGTCAGCACCACACGCTTCATCATCAACGAGTGTAACCTTGGAACCAATGATCCACGCGACAGCGACGGCCACCAGGCAATCCAAGAGATGGCCACTGAGACTTCGTACTTGTTTGATCGAGGTCGCTGCTGGCTTTCGCGGCAAGGAAACCCGTCCGCACATCACGCCCACTCCGGTAGACCATGGAGCTTCAGGATCCAGATATGACGACAGTACGTGAGACGCAGAGGAGCAGCTGAATACCTTGGCCTCTCGCCTTTCTTCCAAGTCCACTACGTTTTATGCCTGGGGACAGAATCTGCCTTACATATTGACGACCACCATGTCAGCTTTGGCGACCACCTTCAAGGCTGCAGCAGTCCACGCCGCACCTGTCTTCATGGACAAAGGTGCTACCATTCAAAAGACAGTCGAAATTATCCACAATGCTAATGATCAAGGCATCGGATTGCTGGTCTTTCCAGAGACATGGATACCAGGTTACCCGGCCTTCGTAATGGCGTACGCTCCAATGCAGACCTTAGGACTAATCTCACAATACTCCAAACAGTCGATGCTGGTGCTTGACAGCTCTGGCCGACCCTCTCAGGATATGCAGAAGATACTCTCTGCCTGCCAAGAAGCAGGCGTATCGATAGTGCTAGGGATCTCCGAGGTCAGCGGTCAAAGCAAACACACGATCTTCAGCAGCCAGGTCTTCGTCTCGGCAAAGGGTGAAATTCTTGGAGTGCACCGAAAGTTGATGCCGACCTATGCTGAGAAGAATGTCTGGGCCAACGGTGGAGGTGCCACACTGAAGTGCTGGGACATGCCTCTCGCGGACGATTCCTTACAAAAGTACAGAATAGGCGGGCTGATCTGTAGCGAGAACGCCATATACGCCGCAAAAGATGCACTGGTCATGGAAGGCGAGCAGGTGCACGCCGCATCCTGGCCAGCCATGTGTGCCTTCAAGGCGATGAAGGCCACCTATGCTGACCGCATTCGGACTTTCTCGATGAGCCACGCTTTCTCAGCAGGAGCATTCGTGATCGCTGCCAGCATGATCTTCAAAGAAGAGCATCTCGCTTGGTTCGAGAGGCAACTTGGTCCGCAGCCAGGGGAAATTGTTCTGGAAGGGAGTGGATGGAGCGGCATCGTGGCACCTGGAACAGGTGTTCTTGCTGAAGGGCAGGGCGTGGAAGACAGACTTGTCGTTGCCGAAATCAATCTGGGCATGACTGATAGCCCTGCGAAAGTCATAAGCGATATGGCCGGTCACTACCGGAGGCCTGAGGTTTTGAAGATTTCTGTCAATCGAGAGAAGATCTGGGAAGATGATGAATTGGTCGCTACAGGGGGTCTATCAAGCGCAACCTCTCACCCTTGACATCTACCTTTTAGGCTCGTAGTCTTACATTCCCTGGTCCGAACTTCTCCAACGACGATGATTCGCCAATACAGCAAATCGCAAAACAAGCCCGATCTGTTGTGGATCCTGCTGGGTTGTATACGCGAAGTTGTGTGATTGTCAATTTTCTGACACTTTTCTGACATTCTTCGAGAAATTTCGCCAAACAGCTGAGTCCCTTGTTATAAGAAGCTGTGGCCACTCAAAATACTTTACACGCTCGCTCATCTGTTCAGTACATCCTCCAGAAGTTGGAAATTGGCGACCAAGCAATTCTCTTCTGCCGAGCTTCTTGTGCTCACTTTCGAAGGATCCGAGGAGCTGAACGCCCTTACACCAAACCTCGCAAACCCCCACGCAAAGGGATCTAAGTACTTCAGCACCTCGTTTCTTGCACCTATTCACTACTTCTCTCGATCAATTCTACCTCGATTCGTCAAGACAATCCCTGGTGCTGAGCACGTTGAACAATGTCGGTCTCATTCAACCCCGCTCGAGACATTCCAGATCTGTCTGGAAAGGTCATCGTTGTCACTGGAGGTATGTCTTCGCAGAATAACAACATCAGCAGGTCATGGATTGACAGCTCTCAAGGAAACGCCGGTCTGGGAGCAGAAACAATCCGCGAACTAGCAAAACATAACCCAAAGTGCATTTACCTCTGCGCTCGCACGCCGTCCAAAGCAGAAGCCTTCATCTCAGAGATCAAGACTTCGACGCCATCGGCCAACATCAAGCCTATCCACTTCGACCTCGCCTCCCTCCAGAGCGCCAAGACCGCCGCGAATGAAATCTTCAGCTCTACCACCCGTCTCGACCTCCTCTACCTCAACGCAGGAGTCTCAGCCGCAGCACCAGACCTCACAAAAGAAGGCTACGAATGGCACATGGGCGTCAACCACCTCGCACACGCCATGTTCGCCCAGATCCTGATGCCACTACTGCAGAAGACCGCCTCAACCGAACCCAACAGCGACGTCCGCATCATCACCGTCGCCTCCGAAGCCGCCAAAGTCTTCGCCCCAAAAGAAGGCATCATCTTCCCCCAGCTCAAAACCGACATGTCCTCTTCCACCGGCATCGCCCGCTACGGCCAGTCCAAACTCGCCAATATCCTCTTCGCAAAGAAACTCGCCCAGCTCTACCCAGATATCAAAAGCATCCCGATCCATCCCGGGCTCGTCAATACGGAGAACTACAGCAAGGGCACCGGAGCGGGGTGGTTCAAGCTGATCTGGAAGCCGTTGTTGATGTTCACGGGTCTGACGGCGGAGGATGGGGCGAAGACGCAGTTGTGGGCGGGGACGGCGGGGGAGGCGAAGACGGGGGTTTTCTATATTCCTGTGGGGAAGGAGGATGCTGGGGGGAAGTTTGGTGGGGATCAGGGATTGATCTATGAGTTGTGGAGGTGGACGGAGGGGGAGCTTAAGGCGAATGGTGGTGTGGGCTGGCCGTAGAGCAGAAGCTGAGATTGAGGGCGTTAGGGGATGTTTGCTTGCTTTTGGCTGACGGCGAGATAGATTCTTTCCTCTAGACTACGAATGCGACTGCGGATACCAATACATGCTGATAGGACCATTCACAGCTTCTGGCCAATCAAGGCTCAATTCTATCTCCCGGGCCCTACTGCAGTCACCAGGATTGGACACTTCATCTCTCAGTTTCTATACCGCGTGTCCTATACTCAATAACACTACCAGCAACAAGAAACCACTCATTCACCCCTCCGTCCCCAACCCACGCCCCTACCCATCCAACCCAACAAACTCCCCCGGCCCATAAACCGCCCCAACCATCGTAGGAACATCCCAAGAGCAATTCTGCAAGGGGACACGCATCTCCACAATCTTGCCGCCTTCCCTCGAAATGCCGTACAAACTGCCGTTGAGGCCGCGGGAGCGGTCCCAGGCGATGCCCTGGTGGTGCGCGAGGTGTCAGATACGGGGGCGGAGGAGGTGGATAGGGGTGACTGTGACTTACCTGGCCTTCGATGTCTGGGAGGGAGATTGTGGCGACCTGGGATGGATGTTAGAGCCTGATTATCAGAGTGTCTGTGGACTGTGTTGTGAGGGAGGGCATACGAACCCAGATGAGCGTGCTCCCAGCGTCCGGGATCTTCATCACATACGCCGCTGAGGCATCATGGCCCTACCACCACAAACGCATATCAGCCACCTCCTCCATCGCATCCCATGCCCCAATCCTCTCAAAACGCGCAAAACTACTCACCGTAACATACAACCACCCATCCGCCCCAAAACTCCCCCCACTATTACTCATCGGACTAAAACTCTGCCACAGCGCCTCAGGGAAAACCCAACTCCGCTCCACCTTCCAGCCCTCCCCAAACCTCACAACCTGCGTCCGCATCGTAAGCCCATAAGGCACCGCCTGGCCCGGCTGGACCCGGTCATAGTTCGCAAACGCACCATACCACGCCCCCGTAGTCGGGTTCTGGTCGATCCACGTCAGGCTGCCGCGCTCGATGCCGAAGGCGTGCGAGGAGGTGTGGTTCAGGGTGGTCGCGTCCCAGGTTTCGATCGAGGAGGTTATGGGGGAGGAAGGGTAGTTGGAGTGTGGGGCGTAGAGGGTGGAGTTGATGAGGACGCCGCCGTCGAGGTGGATTATGGGGCCGGAGGGGCTGCCATACCATTGGAGGAGGGGGGCGCCGGTGGTTTTGTTGTGTTTTGTTATGGAGCTTGGGTAGGGTCAGCGGGATGGGTGGGTTGGAGGGGGGTTGGGGGTTGGAGGTGGGGACGCACTAGTTGTCGATAGAGTAGATGTAGTCTGCGTCGACGGCGACGCCTTGGTCTGCGTCTGCGGCGTCGATGGTGCGGATGGTGGTTCCGTTGAGCTGGAGTTCGCTTCCTGCTGTTCCATTAAACGTTGTGCCATTGGTCGTGGAGAGGCACTGAGGCTGCGTTTGTGCCGTGGCAACCGCAAGGCTGAAGAGCCATAGCGCTGGTCTAGCAATTTTCGCCATGGTCATTGTTAAATGTTGAAAGGATCTTGTTCTTGATTCTCACAACGTCCAGACAATTAGTTGGATCTGGCGGCAGACTTATATCTTTCCATTCTTCTCAACTATGTACTGTGGCTTTCGACTCTGCGTCATAGCGGACCGCCTCAATACATATTTTTCCTCTCCATCCCATCGTGGTGTCCGTCTAGCTTGCGGATAGAGTCTTGTTTTCTTGCAAGTCCAATTGGCTGACCAAGGTCTTCCACGTGCATGAACGTGAGAGAGCTGATCTACAATGCGGTGAGGGGTCTCGCGGCTCCTTCGTGTGGTTCGAAGGCTTGGCGATTGACGAGCTCTTCCTGAGGATGAAAGCCAGTCCATGGATATCAAAATATTTGATCGGACTCCTCTCTCGTCCCACCAGGAACTTCTACGCTCCTCTTCTCCAGCTTCGGCCTGTTGGCTTAGGCTTCTTCAGAGTCGTCTCCAGACGCTCTGATCGCCTCTATCCCCAGCATAACTTGTTCTCTGACATCGTTTGAAGTCACAGATGCGGAGCGACGCACTCCAAAATCGATCCGGAGATACTCGTCCTTGACCTCCTTCCAAACACGCCTATCATACTGTCGGAAACACTCCTCACAATCTCCGCAATTCCCACACGACCGCGGTTTCCAACATCCATTATAGAAATCGAAAACCCACGGCTCCTGCGGTGGATCAGGTGCCGATTTGAGGTCTGCAAAATTCGGCGTAGTTGGGAATTGAATGTCGTGGATCGGCTGCCCACGTGTCGTCCTCGTGTGAACATCGACGCCGGCCTTTCGTCCCGCGGCGATGGCCCTTGAGAACCATCGTTTCTTGCGTGGTGCTGGCACGCGTACGCCCCCCTCGCCATCGGTGCCGAGTTCGTCCAATGCGCCTAGGTAGATTGCTTTGAGGTTGGGGAAGCGTCGGTCGAAGGTCTTGGTCGAGGATTCGGAGTCTTGAGAACCTTCACTCTTTCCGTCAGCTGAGTCTTCGTCAGAGTCTGCCTCCGGCTCGCGCATCGTCTGTATCATGGTCTCAATGGCCTGGTCGAAGAATTCGACGTCTCCATCAGGCATTCTTCCACGCCCCATACTGCCCAGCACTAGCACCTCCATGCTCTCAGGAAAAGCCGAGTTCATGAAGAATTCGATAAAGAACTCGCGATCGCCGATCCATTCATGGTTCAGGCCATCATGAGCATCGCCCTCGTGATTGTACATCGCATCCAGCATCACGTCGCTGGCATCGATGTAGACGGTTCGCAGGTTGTTGAATCCGTTGATTGACTCTGGTCTGAACATGTTGCACCGATAGCCATGCAGCAGACGAGTCTCGTAGAACATCAGAGTCTCCATCGAGTCCCCGTGGTAGTGGGCTGCGCTTTGAACAATCGCGTCAATGTCGTCCATCTCGCTATCGGTGATGGTGAGAGACTTGAGCTCTCGGCAGCCGGCGATCATCGCGTTGCGGTATTTCCAACTTAGGCCGTTGACGTTGTCCAGGAGAATGTGTTGGAGAGAGGAGGAGCGTTCGTCGATGTTGTAGGGTGCGACTGTACCATCCTGGTCGTCTGCAATCATTTCATCGATGTCGTGCCTCAGGCCATAGAAGTAGATGGATTGCAGATTGGGTAAGTGCATCAGATCAGCAAACACATGCGGCGAGAAGCTGAGTTCGGGGTCATCAATCTCCATTGTTCCAGTCCCAACGCCAACACCAATGTCGCTCAAAGATGAAAAACCTACAGGCCAAGCCTGTTCGCTCTGTTGGAGATGAAGATTGATCGCACGCTGGATATAGTCCAGACTCGACCGTGGTGGACGGCGGGGCAAAGCAATGCCTTGCGGCTCGAAAGCATCTCGCGAAGAGGAGTCCAGATGCCGAGAGAACTTCAGCGATCGTACTCGCGGACAAAAGGCAAACACCAACAGCTTAAGAGGCGCATCGTTACCCTTTTCGAGGTCTTCCCGGGCTCCGTCGACATCCTGCTCCGTGAAATGGAAATGCTTCCTTAGTAGATCCAGCAACTCCACCCGCTCGTCTTTCGTGAATGCATAATCCGGAGGCGGCGGCCTGCCTCTCCTATTCGAACTCTCTTCATACTGGAATTTGAACTCCTTCCAATGCGCCCAGTGCTTTCTCCCGTAGCATGATTCAAGATCCCGGACGTGCCACGCGCAGATCGGATCCACTCGGACTTTGCGAAGTAGGGCGGGTAAAGTGGTCGGAAGGATGTCAGTGCAAACGCGATACTGATGGGCGAGTTGGTGCTGCTTGAGGATATCTCGAGAGCATTGAGCGAGGAAATTGCATGTGCATGCGAAGTCTACCAGAGAGGGGGGATCCACGAAATCGAGGACGCTGGCGACCAGCTCGGGTGGCAGAGCCACGAGGCCGGTGGGCTGGTTGTCGTCTGACATATTGGTGGTCTTGGAATATTGAGCTTCTGGTGGGCGTGGGTAGTAGTTGAATGTTGTGGAAATGAAGGCAGCAAGCAGGCAGAAGATGGATGGAAGTGGAGTCCAGGAGGCAACGATCCAGCACTTGCTAAAGATGGCTAGTCTGTTTTGTAAGCGAGCGCTCATATTGCGGGTCCTCGGGTCCGTGTCCGCGCAAGTACAGTATTGAACATGTCACATCCATACCGTTCTTCATCGATTACCAGCTCAAGGTAATGCCCTCTAATGACTCAACTACTGTCCCTTCGCCCTCCCCACCCCCAAAACCAACCTTCTACCCCTCGGCCCCGCCAGAAACGTCTTCGTCTGCTCGCTCCCCTTCTCATCAACAATCCACGTCTCAACCCTCCCATAAACCTCGACCAGCGCCCTTCGTATGATAATCTCCGCAAAATGATTCCCAATACACATTCTCCCTCCACTGCCGAAACCCCACCAGCAGCGCTTCATCTCCTCGCTCGCGTCGAGCCAGCGATCTGGATTGAACGTTTCTGGGTCTGGGTAGACGGACGAGGTGCGGTGGAGGACGTAGCTGGATGATGAGATGGAGGTGTTTGGGGGGAGGTAGTGGTTGTGGAGGGTTAGCCCGCTGGGTGGGGAGAGGCGTGGCTGGCGGCCGGCGCCGGGTGCGTGGAGGCGGAGGGTTTCGTGAATAAGGGCGTTGAGGAGGGGGAGGGATGAGAGGTCGTTTATGTCGGTCGAAGATGCGATCTCTGCACGCAGGCGGGATTGGAGGTGGGCCGATTTGGAGAGGTGGTACATGGCGTAGGTAAGGGTTATTGCGATGCCTTCTTGGGAGGCTATGAGTTCATCGCGGAGCTCGCTGGCGCATGTGAGGAGGATTGTATCGTGTGGTAAAGGCGGGTTCTGAGCGGATAGAGATGAATACATCTTTTCGAAGATGATGGGAGGCGTCGAGCCGGCAGGTTGCTTCTCGTCGATGCCTTTGGCTGTGGCTCTGCATAATGCAAGACATTCGTCTTCAGGGAACCAGCTATGATCTCTACGATCTTTGCTCTCGTAGATGTATCGCGAATCGGCGGCGTGGTACGGACGGTTTTCGTGGCCATGATTTTCGGTGAGATGTGTTGATCTGTCGAGACCGAAAGCGTAGGCGGAGTAGAAGTCGATGGCCACGAACTGAAACAACTCAAAGACGTTTACGGGACGTTGGATATCGGCAAGGTGCCCCAAAACAGGGGTAAGTCGTTGGTCGAATACGTCTTGTGAGATCGACTTGATGTCCTCTGATCGCTGCAGATAAGACTTGGCGTAGATGCCCGAGAGAACCCTTTTCTGTACCGAATGTCGCTGATGATCGACCGTGGCGAACATGTTGGGCATACCATTGTAATTTGTGAACTGCGCATAGAATGGGTGCTTTTCGAGAGAGGTGTAAACTTGTCGCAAGCCTTCAACCGAATTGACGCTGACTGATGTCGGTCCAATGCGGATAAGAGGGCCATATTGGCGATGATATTTCAGCAGCCAGTCGAACTCCTGTTCGCGCCATGAAAGGTACCGACTGAAGTGGTCAGTGATGTAGCACAGTGGGTTTGGTGTTGGTATTTTCGACAGAGGAGAGAAGAAGATCGGGTAGATCAAGTATCTGTAGGTGAGGAACACAGCCAGTGCACCCAGCCCAATTAGCGACAAGAGGAGATTCATCGTGTTTCTGCGTGAATAGGTTAGGAGCGGTGCGAAATGGGACTTTATGTGTTGTAAAGTAGAAGAGATGGTGTTGGGTTGGGCTGGGTTATCTATGCCACCCGTTGTCGCATGATATGCTTCTGTGAGAGCTGCTTCCTTCGGCAGCTCTGGCGACACCTCGTCCGTAGCTGTACAACGCTCGCCAGCTGGCAGCGGATTGCTAAACTCAGGCACTGGTCTTGACAGATGATGATTAGGCAGTGCATGGCGTGTCACGTTCCTGTAGTGTGCTGAAAGGTGACCTGAGGCTGTCACGGCATGTCCGCGGGCACAAGAGTTTCGAACGAGACCAGCGTCTCATGTCTGGAGAAGGTTTGATGTCATTTCTCTCCCAGCGTGGAGCTTGACACGCGTGAGGTTTCTGCTTCCTCGCGTTTTCGGACGGTGGTGTTGTTTGACGTTTGTTGGTGTTGTTTGGGTGTATGTCCCGACTCGTGCCCGATTGCTGTGCAGACGCGTGGAGGGGAGCTGCAGGTGTCACTCGTAGTCATCAGGAACAGCCGGTGGACGAACGGCGAATGATGCAGGTCGAGGCTGCGAACAGGTGGGTAGCGTCAATAATGCGTGGACGTAACATGACATGGTGGAGGGGAGCATCAATGTTCCTGGCAGGTGAGCCGTTCCGCGTGAGCACGTCGAGCTCGAGCAAGGCAGCTGTGGGAAACGCCATTGGCTGCCGAGCTCCTGTGCGACCTTGACCCAACCGCTCTCGCCGCCAGGGACAAGACTGGCGGTGGTTGAGCAGAAAAGAATGCCCAAACCAATCTTAAAAGTCCTCTGTCCTCCGCTTCCTCTCTCTCCTCACCTTCTTCCTGCCCAAAAAGAGACCAGGGTCAACGCTGATTTCACGCCCAATTCGATACCACGCCCAGCCGCCTCCCCCTACGCAATGGGTAGTGCGTTTGGAGGATCGGCTCTGTCGCACGGATGCCCCGTGGCCATGACCAGGGAAGAGGCTCCGACTCGCGAGGCAAGGCATCTCGGGAGGGACAGCAGAGATGAAAGGGCGCCGGGATGATGGACGACGCTCGCCAGCCCTGCTCCAGCGCGTTTGTTGATGCCGTGTTTGATGCTGTTGTGCTGCTCTTCCGCCCAACTTTTCCCTCCTGATACCATCCATCCTCACTGCACGGCGACCAACCACGCACGCGACGACGACGCACGGCGATCCAGGACGTCCATCCCGTCTCTCCTGCACCGCGAATGCTACCATGAGCACGACTGGCTTCAACGAGGGCACATTGCACGCAGGCCGAGAGAGATCTCATCATCGCATACGGCAGCACCATCGCAAGACCAGAACCGAGACGGCACTGCAGCATCCACAGCTTGGTCGTAGGCGAGCACGAGGCGGACGGCTGTGGGAGGCATTGGGGCCAGCAGCTGCAAGGGCCGGTGAAGCGCCACAGCTCCCACTCCAGCAGTGACAGCGCATCACCCGGCGACGGCAGCAACTAGAACTACAGCTGCGACGACGACGACCTTGATTGATATCTGCGCAACAATACGACCTGGTGGATGCGAGTGTCGGCCAAGTTGGACGAAAATAGCCAGGTGAGTAGGCAGATCGTCGCGTGAGCCGCATCCCCAGCCTCTCTTCACCAGCCATCGGGATTAGCAGTCGCTGCCAGATTCACCACGTCACGTCTCCTTCCCTGCCACCTTCAAAAACCCGCGCCCACAATCTCTCACCTTGTCGCGTCGTCGCTCCTTGCCTGCTACTGCTGTTCGTGTTCGATTGTTGTCACCGACTATGGCTTTTTGGCCTGCCTCACCACCCTCGTTGACCTTGACATCACCGTCGCGGGCACCATCGTTGTCGACCAACAAGCTCACCAAGTCTCAGTCCCAGCACCCCGGTCACGCGCGCCGCACCACCCTATCGTAGCGTCGTCGTCCCAGCAAGCATCCGCCGTTGGCCTGCACAATAGCAATCGCTTTCATTTGAATTGCAGCCAGCAGCCGTGTCAGTCCCAATCCGCGGCGGGCTTAACGACCGAGACGATACCCACGATTTCAGCAACAACGACAACGACCAGTACACCTCCTCTTTAATCCGCCGCCAGGAGCAGGCGCACGCATCCCTCCGCCAACAGCTCCCACCGCACATCTCCTCGCGCCCATCCTCTTCCTCGGGCAGCACTCGCAGCATTCGCCGCGTCCCGCGAATCCAAGGTCTTGGCCAACCAGCGGCCTCACGACTGCGATCCTCCTCGCTCGACTCCAACACCCTACCGTCCTCTTCGCCACCCCGCGCGGCCGTCGCGAAGCCAACCTTCCACCGCCGAGCTGCCAGTGCCCACTACAGCACCACCACTCCACATCCTGCCCTCCGCATCTCGCGCCGCACCCATTCCGCCATCCTCTACGCCCTTGAGGAAGCCATCCGCAAGCCGCACCCCTTCACCGTGGACGAGATTGAAGAGAACGCACAGATGTCCGACCTCGCCGGTGGCAGCACCGCGCGAGCTTCCAATGGCGGCGCACGAACTGGCGGCCCCGTGCCTGTGGGTGGAGGTACAGGGGGCACACCCATCCGAACTCCACGAGATATTATGAAAGATCGCAACGAGCGAGAGCGCAGACGGCAGGAGGAAGAGCAAAGACGATTGGCGGAGGAAAGAAGACGAAGTGCAGAGAGAAGAGCTGCGACGGTGCAAGGCGCGGCGCCCAGATTTAGTCAGTCCTCGTCGCAGTACAGCCCTGATGTATCTGCACCGCAGGCTGGTTTTGAAGGCGCGGGGGTGGAGCGCAGAGATAGTCGCAGGGCGGGCGAGGTCGCTGGCAGCAATGTCTTGGGTGATCCAACCGGCAGAGCATCGCAGGAGCCGCCCCGGACACGAGGTCCCAGCGTTTCCCAACCGCAACAACCACAACCACGTCCTGCCCCTGCCGCTGCAACCGCCGCCGCTCCACGTCGGACCCAACCCAGCCAACAAGCTCCACGACAACCCCAGCCATCAGCTTCGACACCCGCCCAGCCAGGGCCCTCAGCACAGCCATCTGCTGCTGCAACCACACCTGCCGGTGATGGCTCCCAACGAGGCACATCATCGTCCTTCCCACATGCATTCGAGAGGTGGGAGACGTTGTCGTCACATTGGGAGGGTCTCACTTCATATTGGCTGCACAAGCTGGAGCAAAACACGGAGGAGATCCGGGAGACAGTGCCAAACGCGTCGACTCTGAACAGGCAGATTACGGATCTGTCTGCGGCAGGTGCCAACTTATTCCACGCCGTCGTCGAGCTGCAACGACTACGTGCCAGCAGTGAACGCAAGTTCCAGCGCTGGTTCTTCGAGACGAGAGCCGACAATGAGCGAAATCGCGAGGTACAAGCAGGGCTGGAAAGGCAGCTCAAAGCAGAGAGACAGGCGAGAGAAGAGTCAGCACGAACACACGGTGACAATGCCATTGCCATTGAGAACGCCAAGCGAGAGGTCAGCGAGATGAGGCGTGAGCTGATGATCTCCAAAGATGAAGCTAGACGTGCGTGGGAAGAGCTCGGTCGACGTAATCAGGAATCACTCGATACAGCTCAGAGCTTGAAAGAAGGCAGAGTCACCTTGGTCAGTGGTGTGCAGGTGGTGCCATACTTTGGTGGGCCCGCCAGTCGAGGGACTGGTAGCATCAGCCAAGGACAGCAGAGACCTGTCACCAGAGATGGGACTTCGGGATATGGTGGTACGGGCATGGCTTCTGCGGCTGCAGCTGCTGGATTGCAAAGCCCTGGCGACGAGCGGCAGTACTATCGTGAGGAAGCTGCCTCGCCTACCAACACGGATCCATTCACCGACAGCGGCCGACAACAGCAGATGCATCAGTCACCTGGAACGCAGTCACTGGCGCAGGGTACCTATTACCCACAGAACTACCCTCAAGGTGGTACGCCCGCATCAGCAGCGACGGCGTCGACTGTCATCCCAGCAACCAGCCAGTTCCAGCAGAGTGCAGGCTCGCCCAGTCAGGCACGAGCCGGCCAGCCTTCAGTCAGCAGTTCAGAAGCCCAACGCTTCTACCAGCACGGCGGCCAAGGTACGCAACTCCTACCACAGCAGGCGGCACAGACAGCACCCGTCGCGAGGGAGGATGTGCGATCAGAAGCTCGCTCAGAAGTCAGCTACGTCGACACGCTGAGTGAAGGCGACACCGAGTATGCAATCGATGCTGGGGGCAACATCCGCCATGACGAGCAAGGACGTCCCATCGTCTTCCGCCGGCGTGGACCTGCACGTTCGTCAGAGAGCGAAGACGACTTCGACACTGAGGAGGCTGTCCGCCGAGAGCGTGAACTAGCGGCGAGATATGGCAGTCAGCTGATACCCGAGGCACCCTCAGTACCAAGCACATCTGCGCAGGCAATGGCGACCTTTACACCTACCAGTGCCGAAGATGCGACGTCGAGCGGGGCCCCGGATTACGAGGGCGAAGGATATGAAGGCTACCAGCAATATGTCCCAAGACACCATCATCCGACGCGACTGAGCGACGTACTGGAAGAAGAGGAAGAGAGGAGCAGTCGCCGCACTGGTGGCGATTAACAAACGAGTTTTCGTTGAGTGTGGGAAAGTACAATGCATGAAGGAGAGGGTATCGACAACAGTACCAAGCACCAAAAAGTGGATGGAGCATTCGAGATGGAGACTGACTGAACTGGGATTGCATTTGCATGTCTTGCTGTTTTCTTTCGAACCGATGCGTTTGGCATAGCGATGGCGCCTTTTCCTTTTCCGTTTCTGCTTGGGTTTTTGGCTCAAATGCGAATGGGTGGTTGTGAGATACCCCCCTTGAAGCGAGCGCGCAGAGCAACGGAGGATGGCAATGGCATTGTGTATACGGTCGGCATTATCTGTTTTTCACGACTGGCTTTTTTGCTTTGCTTTGGTCTTCGCTTCTGAAGATGTCTTTTTTATCAAAGAAGTGGGACGCATGCATTGTAATGGGGAGGAAGAAGTGGTGAAGGGGGAGAACGATGTTTGAGTAGTGTGTGAGAGTGAAGTGAGTGAAGTAGGTAAAAAGAATGATGTGGCTGTATCAAGACGTTTTCTGTGCATTTGTGGGTATCTCTTTCTTTGTACGTCTATGTCTATGCCGTCTGTTCGCTGTGGGTATCTGTTCATCGCTGCTCATCTTTCATCGCTGCTCATCTTTCATCGCTGCTCATCTTTCATCGCCGCTCATCTCCTTTCTCATCGTCGACATTGCCATCACCATCAACATCAACATCAAAATCAAACCCTTATCCTACGTTCTCCCCTCTCTGTCCATCTCTCGCATTCAACTCATCCACACAAACCATCCATCCATCCATCTCTCTCCCATCAACGCGTCTTCATCGCCACGTCTTCATCGCCACGTCTTCATCGCCACATCTCCCTCACCACGTCTTCATCGCCACGTCTTCATCGCCACATCTCCCTCACCACGTCTTCATCGCGATGTCTTCATCACCACATCTTCATCACCACATCGTCATCACCACCAACCAAATTCCTCAAACTCCTTCTCCAAATCCAACACCATCGCCTGCCAGTCCTCCTCCACGCTTAGAAACACCTCTTCTCCTTCCCCTCGCGTCGGAATGGTACGAGGCGATGGAGCATCTAACAGCAACCCGGCGCCGGAGCCTGTAGTGGGAGGGGTCGAGAAGATGTCTAGACGGAAGGTTATCGAACCGCGGGTCGCTGTGGACGGTTGCGCTGGTCGTGGTGAGGGAGGTACTGTTGATGGTGCTATCGTTGGTGGTGGAGGTTGCGCTGGAGCAGGCGCTGGCATCCATCCCCCCTCGTCCTCCTCCCTCAAAACCCACCCCTCCCCACCCTCCCCCACCCTCACCCTCCCTCCAAAAAGCCCCTCAAACCGCTCCCCCTCCCCCCTGAAATAACCCTCCAACAAAGACGAAGGTCGTTCCAATTCCTCTTTGTCAGCAACCACAGCTGCGGCGTCCTCTCGGGGATGTCGTCGTCGAGGCGGTGTGCCAGGCAGTGCTTGCGGTTGCTGTCCGTGGAAGTCGGTAGCTGGGAGCCAGGGGTAGGGGTTTTTTAGAGGCGAGTCGTGCGAGAGTTCGGGGGGTGGCCAGGTTGGGGGTGGTTCGGTGTTTGTTGGGAGGTGGATGAGGGGGAGGGGGGCGGGTGGTGGTGCTGGTGCTGGTGCTTGTGCGGGTGGTGTTGGTGTGGACGTTGAGGGGATGGTTTGGGGTTGGTGGTTTGCAATGGGAGGGGGTTGTTGTTGCGGCGTAGAAGCTGCTGGGGGATTTAAAGGCGTTGGGTAGCCGGGAGTTTGCTCAGCAGGAGCAGGTGTCTTTTTAGTCTTCTTTGCCGGCGGCGTTTCGCCCTCAGGAAGCGGATGTTTACGCGGACGACCAACTCCTCGTTTAGGCCCCTCGAACACCTCCTTTCCCTCCTTCGGTGGCCGACCCCTGTTCTTCGGCTTTGGAGGTTCACCTCCTCCCTTCTTTCCATCTTTTCCCTCTGCACCCTCTTTTCTCTCCTTCCCTTCCTCCGGCGCAGCCAACCCCGGCACCGGAACCCACTCCCCATCAACCTTCCTCTTCTTCGTCTTACTCCCCTTCGGCGTACCCCTTCCCCTCTTCACCGGCTCAGCAGGCGGCGCCTCAGCAGCAGCAGCCTCCTCCGCACGCTCCCCCTCCGCCGACTTAGGCGGCAAAACCCTCATCCCCCCCTCATAAAGCCCCCTCGCCACCCCCACAACCCCCTGCACCTCCTCGCGCTCCGCAACCGTCCCCTCCAACATCGCCACGTGATCTCCCGCGCCCCTATCCGCGCCAAGATTCAACCTGCGCTTGGAGAAATGATACCACTCCCTCACGAGATGCTGTCTCAACTGGATCTCTTCTGCTCGCCAAAGCGCGATCTGCAGAGTCTGGATGTGCGCGTCGTACGCCTCGACGCGGTCGAGGCCGTAGCTGATCACCGGGGAGCGGTGCGTCCAGAGGTATGTAAGGGCTGTTCCCAGGGGGCCGTGGATTGTCGTTGGTGTTGAGGTCCCTGTGACAGCGGGGGTGGCCATGCAATTGATGAGATGGACGAGAGCAGTGTAGATGTGAGAGATTCGGGGATACGGTTGCGAAAGTTGTGTGTGGAGTTCGATTTCGAGATGGGATGAGAGACGGCCTTACCTGTGCGCTTTAAGGAGAGGAGATGAGGGGAGGGCATGTGGGAATTTCGCTCTGTGGGCGCGAGCGCTGTGTGTGTGAGGTTCATGGCTCGTTGGGATTTCTTTTTCTTGGGTATGGGATGTTGTCGTGGTTACTAGTCTTAGTCATTGCTATTGGGCCACTGATGGGACGTGGTGGTAAGCGGATTTCACGTTTTGGGATGAGTGGCGGAAGGCTCCAGCCTGGCGGGATTCACGGCCAGCTGTCCCTGTCAACGCAGGCGTTGGACTCCCACGTCAGTACGTTGGACTATCCGACAGGCATGGGCATACCGGTGGTCTTCATGGTTGTGTACTACGCAGAACATCGTCGTTGCCGTGGTGTGAAGACGAGAACGCGAGAATTTCGTGCGATTCCTCGCCACGCTAGCGTGGATTTGGATTCACTTACTTCTGCCAAGCAATGGATTACACATTTTCGTATTGGCCGCTGTGGAATGGCAGTGCCGTCAGTAGCCGAGAGTAGGTCCAAAAGAGTCTTGGATTCCGAGCACGTCGACATGCTCGACGACTGAGGGGCTGTTCGCCATGCGTGATGGTGGAAGGACCAAGACGTCAAGATCCTCGAGATTCACGTCTAGCAGTGATGTTCGCACTGGAAGCTCTGCCCTTCGACCTTGTCATGAAGGGTAGTCCCGCTTATGCCGCTGTTGGTAGGCCACGTCTCCAGATGTCAGTTCAGTCGCTGATACAACTCCGATGCCCGGAGCAACAATCACAAGATCCAACACACTCAGAAGACTCATGATGAAGTTTCGTCACGCGATTCTCTTCTTCGTTGCTGTCGTCTTGGTTTACTACAAGTACACCACCTGGCTGGAACTCGCCCGCGAGAGACAGCTCGCCTGGTGGTTCGATCCACGTCGGGGTGGCAGCGATTTCGAGTCGGTGTTTGGCATCGAGCTCACTCTGGATGGCGCCTCATCTGCCGTCTCATTGCCAGACGGCAGTCTAGTGGGACTTGCGACTGTGCAAGGTGGCGAAGGCTATGTCAACTTGATGAGGGACTGGTACCGGATCTGCACCGCGGAGAACGCCACGAGAGAAGAGAAGAAGGTGCTTGCCGCGTCGAGATACCCAGACTTAGATGCTGAGGAGATCAATGCTGTACATCAAGCATGGAACACTTTCCACGAGTCTGCTTCACGGCCTTCTTGGGACAGACTAAACATTCTGCTGGGCATGTTCGACTCGTATTCCCCAAATCTGGAGACGCTGTACACCCAGACGTTCTTCGCAGAAGACAAGTCAGTCCGCATCCTCGAGCGCGTCCTATCGAACCTCCACCAAGCGACGATGCAGGCATTGGCAAATGTGACCTCCTTCGAAGCCGCCGACAGACCATACACCGAAATTGCCCTCCCAGGCTGGATGTTCAACAATATCCTTGCCATCTCCGATGATCCTCCCGAACCTCCCAACTTCACCCTAGTGCTCTCCTTCGACTACTTTCCCCTGACTAGACGAATCTCAGTCGCAGCGCATCGAGCGGGCTTTCGCCGATCAGTCATGGATGGACCTAAGCAAATCATGGGCCATCACTACAAGGGAGCTCACCTCGAGGGACCTCGTCCTGGGCTAGCTATGGCTATACGATCGGCTGCGAAAGGGATCTGCGAGATGTCGATAGCGGGAAGGGAATACTGCGAGGTGAAGCCGTATGGTACTTGCTCGCCGCGAGAGCTTGTCGCAGTCGTTGATCAGCATTTTGTGAACGGCACAGATTGGATCATGCTGTGGCTACAAGATTGTGGTACTCATGGTGTTGGCTTCGTTCGCTGGAAAACCTGGAGTCTATCAAGAACGGGGACGGACTATGAAGACGACCGGGGGCGGATTCTCAATGAGATGGCGGTCGAGATTGCTAAAGCTGCTCAGGGGCTCGAAGGCTCTCCACAGAATGAAAGCTATGAGAAGCTGTCACTGTTGCTGACAGGAGGCAAGGGGCTAGAAGGTCCTCTACTTTCGGCGGCCCTGGAGAAGTCCCAAATGCACGATCTCAAGGTCGAAGTGGTGCGTGGCGAGGAAGATCAGTTCCTGGCGGCCATCGGTGCAGCTGAAGTGGCTCGGTACGACTGGTTCATGTACAATGTGAACCAGATGGACTCCGAAGACTTTCCAAGGTGGTTTCGCAGGAACCACGAGAGTGCGCGGCGAGAGATTTGAATTACCAGACGGCCAGGTTAGCTAGAGCAATGGTTAACGAAGTCTTGAAGCCCACCTAAACAATAACCTTTTTACTTGCGTGAAAACATCTTGCTATCTCCATGTCAAACGCCGACTGCAAAGAGACACGACATACACTGCGTTGAACCTCCCATCACTGTGCTCATATTTCAGGAGGCTGCTCCTGGAGTGACGGACCAGTTTTCACCAGTGAAGACCAACTGGTCGTCAAGGTCCATTTGAGCCGGGTCAACATACACCTTCATAGCCATGCGCTCTTCGCTTTCGATCTCAAAGACGCGAAAGACTATGTAGACCTCCCTTCGCTCTTGTTCGTGGTGGATTTTCATCATCTAGCGAGCGTCGATCAGCGTCAGCATCCTTCACCAAGTGCATCAAGGCTACTGAGACACAAACTCACCCTCTGATACTGTCCCTTGCTCATGTAGAAAGGGTTACCGCACGGACCAGTCGTAGTCTTGACTTCGAGATAGTAGTAAGGCCGAGCATTTCGCCATTCGCTTTGGTTGAGATAACCGTGGTCGATCAGAAGCGAAGTGAAGTCGCCAAATGTGTCGTCGTACACTAGGTCGGATGTCTCTGGGGCCGCCCAGCCTCGCATACCAGTGTAGTCCTCAAGGATCGAGACTCGGTTTCGAATGCTACTCTGCCAGTTATCACGGCTCCAGCCCCGCAGAGTGGGATCGGCGAGTCTTCTTAGCAACTCGAACACCTAGTAGAAAATCAGTAGATGTTTTCGTTTTCGTGACGACCGTTGTCCAACTCACGTAGAGTTCTCCTGCCGCGCCAACTCGGAAGTTCCGCTCAAACTGACTGCTCGAACGGTATCGTAGCTCAGATTCAAAGCCGTTGTAGCCCATAGCAGTGCTACCTCCGCTACCGAGTGCGCCACGAGCAGACATATATTTTGAGGGAAAGCGAGCACGGCTCGCTGCGCGTACTACTCGTTCCAAGAGTTCCCGGTAGTGGTCATCTTCGCGAATGGCGTGGTCTTCGTGTGGAACAGTAAAGACGGGTGTATAGCCGCCAGATCTTCGAGATGTGGCCCCTGCCTGCCTGGAAACAACTTCGACGACTCCATCGTCAGTGGCTGAAAGCCGATGGTCAGACACGGGCGTGAGACTTGTCGCGACAAGTACGTTGACAAGGTCGTGTTCGACGAAGTCATCAGGATCAATGTCATCTTCGTCCTGCTCTTCATGTCGGGGATCCTCATTCTCAATCGGCACCTGAGCGATGCCTTTGTCATCCAGAATGAGGTCCACAACGGCTGGGCCATCACTTATCAGAGACGACAAAACGGTCACCATTTCCCCGTCGACGTCCTCCTCAATGAGAGTCACAGGGTTTCGCATCAACCAGGCGGCTAGGTTCGTTGGCAATGGGGAGCTGAAGCAGAATTTCTGCTTACGCTTGTTGCGAGGAACGTAGATCGTGACCCCGTCATCAGTCTCACCAATGTGCATATTGCCCTGCTTCTCCACGGTGGTTAGAATGCCATCTTGCGAGAGGGTCAAGACTGATGAGATGTCGTCCGTGACCATTGTCTTTATACCCTGTAGATTCTTGTAGAGAGCAGGTCCGTCCGAATTGTACCGTGGACTGTTGAAGCTGGCTGCTACCCTAAGACCAAACTCGTTGTCAGCGAAGATTCATAAGTAATGGGGGTCTCTGGCCTTTTTCCATACCGAAGAATGGCGTGCGCCTTATATCGCAAGTCCAGCGCCATTACGGACATTGCTTGGGCCTTGTCATCATTTGCAGAAGTCATCTCCTTGACAGATCTGGACAAACATCGACTTGTGATACCCGCCCACTCCAAAAACGTTGCAAGCTGTCGTATTTCGAACAGGTCGTAGTCCAGCATCTTGATGCGATGCTTGAAATGCGTTGTCAAATGTTCCCGATCGCCAATGCTGAAAGCTTCGTCAATGCTGACCAGGGACGTGGTTCCATCTGGTGAAGATATGGGAAAGATCTTCTTCTTGACGAGGGCGTGGACGTCGAGAGGACTATTCCTTTCAGCTTGCAGCAGCGCATTGAGCGACCAGACCGCACTTTTTACCTCAGCAACGGTCGTCGTCGAATCGGTCTGCAGCAGTTCGTCGTAAACCATCTGCAACGTCAGCAGCTTGACGCCGACAATGTCGAGGAAGAAGTCCTTTAGATCCTCATACTGGTCGTTGAGGGTGACTTTACCTCTGATGTCAGTGGTGCTAGACCAGAGGCACTCGCTGGTCGTGTACCATTCTCCTATCTCATCGCCATCTCCGTCAACTCCGAAGACACATATCAGCTCGTCTTCCTCGAATCGTTTTCTGGTTCAGATATTAGATACAGTCCTCCGCAAGAGTGGAGGTTATCACAATACTGACCTCAATCGACGCCGCTTGCGGTCATCACTAGCCTCGTTAGCAAGACGTCGGTACAGTATTGAGACTTGGTCAAAGTCGTCTATTTCCTTATCTCTCATGGACTCAAGCTCACCGATGATCTCCTCCCAAGATGCGTCCGGGACTTTTAGAACATGCTGGAAAAACTGAGAGACGCCAGAGAGTTGACCAGGCCCCAGAAATTGCTCCATTGTGTGCTTCAACGAGTATTTCCGAATCATAGACGGTGGCGCGTCCCAGAGACAATATTGTGGGGCCGTCCAGGCTGCTGCATCGTGGGCAGACGTTGGTACGAACAGACACGTCTGTTCTTCCAAGAACTCCCTGTTCAAAATCAGTTGGAGGATGCAGAAACACATGACTGCGCCAGCAGCTTACACGATCATGTGCCTCTCCGAGTCTTGGTCTTCTGATGCCATAAATTTGGCATATATCGTGAGGTATAAATCGGTGATCCGCTCCGGCCGACTGATGGTCGAAGGATCTGGGTTCGCGTGCTCGATCCATAACAGTATATCCAGAAGGAACGGTATATTGTCATCAATGCCGACAAGAAAAGCTTCGTTGAGAAATGTCCAGTGTGTGAGAAGTCGTTCCGAGGGTGTCGTTGCGCCGAGCTGCAAAAAGGGAAATGCTTCATCTTCTTCCATGAAGCGCTCGCGAAGTTTCGTAAGAGTGGGAAGGGGCACATATGTTTGCCTCAGAGTGCAAGATTTAGTGAGTCGAGATTTGCACAGACTCACTGCACTCATGTCTTGTATCGTGGTGCTGAGCACTGTGCTGTTCCGAACATGGTTGCCCTCATCAGCCCACAGATGCTTCAAGAGACCAAGCAGCTTGTATGGTCTATGCTCGGCGACGTAAGACCAAGGTGCTGAGAGGGAGGTACCATTGCGTGAAATCAGTCGCAGCTTTTCCCGAACGCCAATGCAGTCGTGTAGCCAACGCTTCCAGGGTGGATGTTGAGCACTTGGGGTTTCCGGGACCTCGGTCATGTAGCCTGGGTGAAGGTATGTTACTTTCATCCCCGCTGCGCCAAATCCAGGATCCAAAAGTTTTTGAGCTCCGTATGGATCGTTGTTGCGCAGATAGACGTCTTCATCCGTTGGTGTGGCCTTCATGTCATCCTCAGTGAGCAATCGAAACCCTTTATGATCAGACCGCGTCGGCCTGGGCTCACGAAGCTGCGACATGTAAAGGAAATGCAGCTGGCCACGAGACTCGTCCAAATTGATGGAGGACAAGAGAGGCTGGAGGGCTTTGCTAACAGATTTTCGCACTACAGCGATGGGCGGCTCAGCAGCGCCGAATGCTTCGTACAGCGCTCTACGATCGCTGTTGGACACGGCTGAGGAATCTAGTATCCGCAAGTTGATCCCCTGTGGTATCTGCAAGCCTGAAACTGTAGGCAGATAGACAGAACCGCTGTCTGGTGATACCCAGACTCCGCCTCTCAGCGGCAAGCAGCTGAGTGCACGGACTTGGGTCTTGGTTACCATGGGTGTCAGAGTCCGGGCCATGATTGTGTGCCACAGCTGGCTTGTAGTACGCGACTTCATTTTTGAATCTGGGTCCTCCAGATCTATTCGCAGTAGTCTGAGGATAAGGTCATCATTCATGACTTGTAGCCCGTAGTCGCTCAAGTAGGGGGACACAGCTTCCTTGACATATCTCTTCGATACGAAATGACTTGTCGTAGGATCGTCCAGAAGTGGATTTCCTAAGTCATCCATGAAGCTCTGATCCATCCTCACAATGGTATCAAGACGGCGGAGCTGAGTTCCATGTCGTGGCATCAGCAGTCGATGCTCTGAAATACGTCTGCAGATCTTGGATCGCAATACGGACCAAAATGCATCGAGTCCATCCCGTTTCAGAGGTAGATATTGTGGCCATGTGTAGCACAGATCCGTATGATCGCAGAACTCCAGTACAGCTTGGATGAACGCATCCGCAATCCCGTTGAGCAAGTCCCTGTTCCTGGCGGAAGTCGTTGTAACCTCCTGGCGACTAGCGCTAGTATCGAAATCGGATTGTATAATGAACTGAAGATCAGATGTAGTCAGCATCTTTGCGTTGGCTCAGAGAAGCAAAGAATCCACCTTAAAATGAGACTCCCGGACAGGAAGAAACGCGAAAAGCTCTTGATATTCCAGGATCGGCTCTGAATGTTCGGTCAGAGGGAATGCTAGAACGACTTCGGCCCTGGAGGCTGCAAGCCTGGCTTCCTCAGTTTGTGGAACCTGGCGAGATACACTTTGAGATAAACCGGTTGCCGTGTGTCGAGTGACATGGTAGTGTTTCGATGATCTTACTTCGCTGCCGGTTTTTTGACACTCGATGGTCTCTAGAACAGCCCTGTGCGAGTTGGTGATGGTAATTTGCAACTTCCGGGTGCTTTTCAAAGTTTTCCCCTCATCATAGAAGCTCAATTCGATCTTCTTCAAGTTGCGAAAAAAGAGGAGAGATGTCTCCTGCAGATCTGAGAGTTGGTTGAAAATCGTGTCGCGGCGATTTTGAGGATGATCTTCGCCCTCGGTATCATGAAGATACAGTGTCATTCTGGTCATGGAGGTTGGTGGTTTCGATTCGGTGTCCTGCCAGATAGGCACAGCCATCCCTAGTCCTGATTCACCTTTCCTGTGCTTGAAGTAAAAAGAATAATGGCCAGACTGTACGTGAACCTTCCATGCTGCAATAAAGACAGATTTAAAGCCAATGCCTTTGGCTCCGATATAACCGTGAGAAGCAGACTTTGAACTCTTGCCGACGGTGCAGATAGCCTGGAGATCTTGCTCTGTGAAACCATCCTCGTTGCACTCCAAAATGATGCGGTCAGGATGCACATGGAAGGAGACATACGGCAGCGCCCCGCGTGTATGTGCGTTGGTGAATTTGTTGTCGTCCGCGTTCTGTAGAAGTTCAAAGACGAACCTAGCGTTGCTCCCATAGATGTTCTGAGCAAGACTGGTGGAATGAGTAAGCTTTCACATTCGGAACCCAAGCTACTTACGTTATGATCGCATGGCCCGCCAGCTCGTCCTTGGCTAGAAGACTTCTCTCAACCTTTCGTTTCAAGGCAGGATCAAATCTTCCCAGCCTCTCTAGCTCTTCTTCATCCAGATGACCGAACTTGTCGGAGATTCTTTGGACGGCTGCTTTCGCCGCGTCACGAGTTGCCATAATCGATATCAATTCCGAAAACCCTCAGAACGTACACATATATGTACCTAGCGAAGGTCCAACCTGGAAAGTTGGGAAAGAGGTCGGTGCAGCCCACGCGATTCTTTTCAACAGAGTGGTTCAGAGCCTGTTCTGACCCGTCTAGGTACAGGGGCCATCACTCTAGCGGTGTCGAAGAAATGCGCTCGCGTACCCTCTGCAATCGACTGCTAGCGAGATATTCTTGGAAGCCTCATCATGCGTGCCAGAAGCCTTTGCAGACGTGGCTGGTGTTGATCCCAATCAAAATTTGGCCATCCAAGCACGAAGGACCTGCGCCTACTCCTGTCATGCTTGAAGTGCTAATTTATTGAACGAGACGATATCGGTCTGTGAGTGCGAGTACGTTCCATTCCGTGTTCAAGAGGTCTGATAGGCACAGTATTAGAAAAACCACGCTCTTCTCATCAATGCGTCGGACGTGTTCAGTGCGTGAACTGCCTCGGCGGTTCGCTGCATTTGTGTGCTGCGCCGCACTCCTGCATGGCGCTTGAGTAGTGTAAGAGCAGATGGAACAAGGTGAGGACAATCGCGAATTGGGGGTTTGATTTGCTCACCCCACTCGGCCCCCACGTAGGATTTGTGCCGGAGGCTGGAAAGGCGGAGATAAGACAGATATATCTTGGATCACAATATTGCTCACGATTTCGAACAGAATGGTTGTGATTGTAACTTCAGAAAGCCTGTTGCCAAACATGCCCTGATCTCAAAAGCGGGTGCAGCTCCTGCATCCAAGGATTGAGGCCCATTCGGCGAGCACACAAATAGCCATACCCCTCGAAAGCCTCTTTTCAATACAGATCGCCGAATGAAGTTCCAGAGATACAACATTCGATACAACAAATGCCTACCATCCTCCGAACCTTCCGCATAGAACCTGCATCACCTCCCGAAAATCAGCAGCACAGTCATCTTCACCACATCTCTTCCCAACACAGACCCTTCCCAAATCTATGTCTTCCAAAAAAACGCTGCGGAGGACGCCCGTTAGCGCGCCAAGGGATACCTCCAATCTCACAACTGTCAAATGGTAGAGACACTTCGAGATCCATGGCTTTGGTGTGAGTAATTCATAGCTTCCATGTCCTCGGGTGCGGTCATCGAAAAAGGGGGAAGGATGAGGCATCGGTAACTTCGGGCTGGAGATCGGGCCGGGGAAAGTACGCTTAGCCGATTATCGCAGCTTCCTGGGCCGCCTTCTTGTAGGAACTAAATTGGAGGGGCGACGTTGGAGAGCTGACAATGACGGTGAGTGATCTTGAGAAATCCCGTTCGATTATTATAACTTCGAAAAGCCATCTTGGCCGAACTACAATTGCTGAAAAATGCCATGATCTCAAAGGCGCGTCTACCCACCCCCGTGAAGAGAAGCAAAGACCATCGCTATGCCCCTTTAAATCCGCTGATGCAGAACGCCAGAACGTGTTTCTATCAAGAATGCCCCCTTTACCCATCCCATCTCACACTGCAGTATGCAAAACAACGCTCTATGGCGCCTTCCCAAAAGTCAATTTCGTCTGCTTCCACTTGCCGGTCAAATTCGCCAGGCTGAAGATGGAGCTGTTGCGTTTCGGCTTCTCGATCATCGGCTCTTCCTCGTCATCTTCTTCGCTCGCTTCATCCTCATCATCATCGACGTCCATCTCATCTTCGTCCTCCTCATCTTCGTCTTCCTTCGTGCTCGACACTTTGCTCATGCTGCGGCCATTCGAGTTGGAGATCTGCTTGCCCAATGTTATGTTATCGTCATCTTCGGTGATTGGCTGGCGCTTGAGGTCCATCGACGACTTGGCTGACTTGACAGAGTATGTTGTTCGCTTCACGATGCCAGTCGCGCGATTGTACGCACTGTGTCGAGAGTTGGGTCTCGACGCTGGACGCTTCTCCATGTCGAGATCTTCAGTGAACCGAGATCCGGTCGATGTACGGCGCAGGGTGTTCTTCTTGACGATGATGGCATCCTCATCCTCGATGGCATCCTCGTCGTTGTCGGCCACTCTCGACACCCGCCGCTTTATTTCGTCAACGGCCGCAGTTTTGCGACGTCTCGGAGAAGACCTCTTCTTCATGGGCGATGTTTTAGCTTCAGATGCAGGCATCGAACCACGACGTGCACGAGCGGCCAGACGCTGAGCACGCGAAGAGTTCATCGCTGCTTCTTCAGCCTGCTTCTTCTGTTCTCTCAGCTTTGCCTTGACCTCAGGATCATCCACTGGAACCCAGCCACGCCATCCACTCCCACGACTGTCCTTTTCTTTCTTCTTGGCCAGTTCCTTAGCTGCTGCCTTGGCCGCCAACGCCGCAGCCTCACGTCTCTTTTCTTCTTCCAACTTCGCCATCTTCTTCTGCTCAGCGGCGTTCAAGCGCTTCCCGAGATAACCTCTACAGTTTCCAGCGCCGCAATAGCATGGCTGGCGTGTTTCCCCGAAGTTGTCGAAGTTGTAGTCGTATGTGAGTTCCTCACCAGTCATGATTCCAGAGTCCCCAGCAAACACAGCCATGCGAGGTGTCCCACCAACTTTCAACATGCGTACCTCGCAGTTGGGGTCGCAAGAGTGATTTATGAAACGAGCCATGCTACCTCTCGTTCCGTCAATGACCAAATTGCGCTCCAACTCCATCAGGTAGTAGCATGCTTTGTCTTTGTAATCCTCTCGCATGCGACGCTGGCACTCGGCCTCTGAGATGATCTCGCCAGTATACTCCATGATAATCTGGCCAGGCCGGAAAGATCGACATGCTCGAATGCCAAAACCACGCTTGTCGGTCTTGACGACTTCTACGCCAATATCAAAAGATCCACCCTTCTTGATTCGCTCTCCAAGCTCTGCAAAAGGTCGGTTGCTGCATTGTGAAGGATCGAGGTTGCAATTGTCTTTGCCACACTCGTACTGCATCACACGGTTCAAACAGGTCTCGTCGCATCCAGCCTCGCCTTTAGCAGGAATTGGGCAGACACATGCCGATTGTGCGAGTCGTTCGCTGCGGTCCCACAGTTCCTTGGCATCACCGACAAGACGGTTCCTGTTGATCTTGTGCCAATCCTTGGGCTTCTCGTCACCCTTCTTCCAGGATGGAGCAAACACGTCGTACGGGATGACAAAGTCACGAGAATTGTCTAGATAACTGAACATGGGCAAAGGCATGACAGAGCGTTTCTTGGGCTCTGGAGCAGCTTCGGATGTGGACGACCCTGGGCGCTTCTTCTGCAATTTCTTCCTTGATCCAGCGTGAGAGGGATCAGCATCCTCGTCTTGACCCGCGAAGAGACCAGCTGGCTGCCACTTCTTGACTTTCTTGCCGTCTGACGTCTTCTGGAACTGGCCAATCGTCATTGGCTGAGTGATTTCTCGCAGCGCTGTTTTGGCCTCTGTCTTGGAACGTTTGGTTGGGCGGGCGAATGTGGGCACAGCAAAATCTTCTTCCAGGTCCATCTCATCCAATACGCCTCCCTTGCCCAAGTCCAATTCCTTGAGAAGCTTATTCTTCTGAGGACTCTGCTCTTCCTTGGTCATACCGAGTCGTCTTCTGCCAGTCTCGACCATGTCGCGGGTTCTCTTGCCCAAAACTGAACCTGCCTTGCCCGCCGCATTCTTGACGCGATCCCTAATGCTCGATTGGCGCTGGATTCTAGAGGGCAATTTTCCTTTAGGCGATTCATTGGGAATCTCCCAGTCTTTGTTGAGGGCCTTGTCAAGTTTGTCGCCGAGTGGAGTATCTCGCTCGTCGTCTTTGGCGTTGTCGACTAGTGTGCGGCCGGATAAGCCGGAAGCATTGCGAGAAGTGGTGGTGAGAGGCTGCTGGGCGGTAGAAAGCTGTTTGAGATTGTATGAACTTGTAGGTCGTGCACGTCTTGTACGCCGGGCAGGTTCCTCAGCGGGCGGGGCAGAGTCATCGACCGCCTTGCTCGAGTTCATGCTGCGACTGTCGGAGACGCTGGTGGGCGGGGTGGAGGCGGAAGGCTCGTCGGCGCTGTCGTCAGCTGCCAGTGGGCCGACGTCGATGTGAGATCCGATGGACGAGGTTGAGGATTCGGCGCGCGTCAACAGAGCCGTGGCGGGAGCCATATTCAGCACGAACGCGGCGGTGGTGAACAATGGCGGTGGTGGTGGTGGTGGTGGAGGAAGTGGTTGAGGTGGAGGATGAGAACGACGCGCTGGCAACGCGAAGTCAGGAAGCGCGGGGGACTGGATGCAGTATCGCCCTTGCCAGCCTCGTCCGGAGATCTGCCGAAGACCGAATCGATGTTATGGCGACGACGATGACAAGACGGCGACGTCAAACAAGTGGCGATCGGAGAGGTGAATGTTGTTGTGGTGGTGGATGTTTTGGGAGTGTTAGATTTGGATTGAATCAATTCCACGACCATCAACAAGCTCCAAGCCTCGTCCAATCAAACGTCGCCACCCTCAACGACGACAACAGCTGCATAGGTCAGCATTCCCTTCTCCTTGCCCCGGCGACCAACTTCACCTCCTTACCGTACCTATACTGTTATGCTGAACGTTATATTGCACTCGTTCCACGATATCTCATTGCAATGCTGACTTCCTTCGTCAGCGACTATCGATAAAGGCATCAGCTCTCTCCCTTTTGTTCCCTTTGCCTGAAGCAAACAACTTTGAGCCAAGCCCGATCCGAGGCAAGGAGGCTCGTTTCAGGCCCTGTCACGCGGCAGTGAGGACAGGGTACGTGACATACACACGGCATTGCATCGAGAAAAGGGTCGCTACAGTCACTTATGGCTCCTTCAACGGCATTGCCACGGCGACAATGAGAAAGGCAGGAGAAAATGGCTGCACTAGGCCTGAACCTGACTTGCATTGATTATGTGATTCTAGGCGATCGTGTAGCAGAGACTAAATCATCTTCGCGGACTGATTTTCTTGAACACAGAAATCTACCACAGCGGATGTGGATCGACGACGACGACAACGAGGCCTTTTCAGGAGATGAAGAACGATTGCGGCCTTCACCTTGTCGTGATAGACTCCAACATGGGGTTTACACGTTTTGGCCGCCAGATTAACGATTCAAATGCTCCAAACAACACCTGGGTCCAGGGACTGGCGAGCCTTTACCAAAGGTCTGCTGGAGTAACAGATCAATGAGAAGACTCTGAACGCGTCTGGACTTGTCTCACGGAATTCCTTTGGAACAGATGGCATCGTGGTCCCCCAAGCCATCTAACAGCAACATGTTCATCATCCACATGGACGAAGTTGCAACAACGGAGACACCAGCAACCATGATCAAGCTACGTAACACTAGTCTTCCATCCCACCCTTCTTCCTCCTTCGACTCCATCCCCTCAAATCTTTCCCTCCCCTTCAAACCTCCTAACCACCCCCTCCCTCCTCCCAACCTGCTCCTCCGTCAAATCACTCCCCATCCCCCTAAACGTCCACCACCCCTCCCCATCCGCCCCCACATCCTCCTCCCCCTCATCATCATCCGCAAAATCCTCAAAATCCATATTCCCAATATTCAAATTCGCAAAACAGATATACGTCTCATCCCACGGCGCTCTATACTTATTAAACTCATACTGCTTCTCCCGGTCTTCCTTAGGAAACTTTTCCGGCGGGTCGGCGTCGTCGTTCCATTCCGTGTAGCGTTCGGCGATGATGCAGGTTCTGTCGCGGAGGGATTGGCAGTCGAGGATGAGAAAGAGGGAGATTTCGTTGCCGTCGATGCCGGTGGGTTCGTGGTCGAGGACGTAGCGTTCGATGTCTTGGATGCTGGCCCCGGACCATTCGTTAGAGGTCTCTGCAGTTACGTCGCCTGGCTTTGTCGCGGGGAGTTCGTTCCGGCGGGAGTCGCTGAATTTGGAGAGATCGGGATCCTTGCGCGAGGTGACTAGGTGGAAGTTGTCCCAGGTGTCTTCGTCGCCGAATTCCCAGTCGCGGGCGTAGATAAGAAAATGGTTAATGGCTTTGAAGTCTGCCTCGGGGGCTGTGACGAAGAGAAGGCCGGTAGACATTATGAGAGATGATGGTTCGTTAACAATAGTAAGTGCGCTTCCCTCATTTCAAGCGTCGAGTATATTTGAAGGAGAGCTAATGGTCCTGACGGTGATCAAGCTGGTTATTCAATGTATCAATCTAGTCACCGTTCGCCACTTAAACTTCTGGCGCCTAACGATCGCGAGGCAGACATCTGGGCACCAAGACTCTCAAGCTGCCGATCAGAATCCTTCTGACCATCGTCCTACTACCACCCATCATACTGACCTAACTACCCAAAGGAAACTAAACTACTCCGAACTCTGATCCTCCCACTGCACAAAAGACCTCACCTCCAAACTCTGCCTCTCAGGCCCATGATCCTCCGGCGAAACGAACGCCGTATGCGGACTCCTCCTCGCCACGCCCGTCTTCTTCGAATCAAAGATCTTCAAAAGCAAAGCTTCGTCAGGCCTCATCTCTGACGCATAGTACCACTTATGCTCGCCCTCAACCTTTGGCGCTCGAACCTCCCACGCCCCGAAAGGTTTTCTGTAAGCGTAGGGGTCCTTGTTGCTCCCCTTCGGAGCTTGATTCTCCTTGTTGTCTTCGCCAGCCATGGGGGTGTCCGGGAAGTGTATCTTGACCTCCAAAAGGTCGCTGTCCGGGACGCTGCGAGCGTCGCACAGGGCTAGAGCGCTTCGAGTCACCGGTCGTTCGATGGGGCGCCAGACGTTGATGATGCCCCATCTGTGGGTGGAGAGGTCTGTGTCAGGAAAGAGATCACCTACTCTTTGGCGGGCTCCGTCGTAGGATTGGTCTTGTTGAGACGGATGTCAGTAAAGGTGAGGGTGATATTTTCATTGCTTGAACGTACCGACGTGAGCAAACATCACGGCCGCAGGACCTTTGGATCGAGCCATGTCGTCGAGTTCCTTTTCTGCGTCGAAGGCCGTTCGCCATGATTGACGGCGGACGACGTGTGACATGGGAAGGACCTTTGTCGCGCCGGTGCTACACAATGATCATCAGCAATCTCTGTCAGTAACCCCTACACTCTACCCTAAGACTTACGCCTCTCTAATCAGCTGCGCACAATCCGGGTAGTAGACATCCTTAATCCTCGCATCATCATCAAACACCTTCTCCGGACTCTCCCTCTCGATCAGCTGGAAGCCATGGGTATCGATCTCGAATTTTTCTGGCGATCCTCGAATGTCGTTGATCTTTACAGTTCGTGGATCATGTTTCCTGCGTTTCTCACCGGCGGTTCCAGCATAAATAGCATCGGCGCCGCCTTGAGAGTGATCGAGGTTGTAATTGAGAGTAGCGGTGGTGGATTTTGGTTGAGGCATGGCCATTTAAATTCACTCACGATGGATTGAAGAAGGGAAGGGCTATTGTCTAAAAGTCAAAGATTTTGCCGTTTGAAGTACTGCTTGATCTCAAGTCTCAGCAGCCGTCAGTCCTCTCATACCTATATGTATACCACTTTCCGGCCGCGTCAACCGCCCTGTCGGAGGCGATTGCTGTCCGACTGTCGTAAGCATCCTCTCAAAAGTCGGATGGACCACCCGGCGATGTGAGTATCTGACATTGGGCTCTGTCATCACGGTTCCAGCGCAGCTGACATGAGAGCATTAGCCTAAGAGGATAATAAGTACGTGGATGAAGGATGTTGCGGAGCGGGAAGGATGTTGCGTAGCGGGAGGTACGTGAGGGCAAGTTTGAAGTTCCTGGGGTGGTGGTTGATCCTTAGTAGGTCTCGCGAGTTGCGATTTGTGTCGAGGAGAGCTCCTTCACTTCGGAGCATGGTATGCTGGGTATTCGCTCGACCGATATGCAAAGCAATAGGAGGCGCAGAACTCTACGCTTAGGGTTGACTTCCCAGAACAAGGGGATCCATGAGGCCGACTCGAGACCAGGGCTACTACAATCATCTGAGGGCACAGCAACAACGATAGAGAAAACCGAAAGCAGGTAGTTGTGTTCGACGACTCCCAAAAGAATCTTGATATGAACGGATAGCCTTGCATGAGCTAGCATACACAAGGTACTATCCACACACACATCTATCGATTCGCTCAATTCAATCCACAAGAAAGCCAGTTGTCTATGCTATGCACACAGATGGGAAAAATGGTCGCTCATACCCGTAAATGCTGCTAATGCAAAGAAAAGAGCCTTGTCCATCCAAAAATGCTTTCAGTGCCCCAAAAAAGCCCTCTCTGCCGATTGTAGGTTTGGAAAAAATGGTATCGTCGTACAGCCGTTCGTTGAATGTCATTTATTAGGAGCAGGTCTCTTACATGAAGAGAGCGCCCATGACACCAGCGAAGCCGAGGATGGCACCGCCGACAACCTTGGAGGCAGCGCCGGTGTAGGCAGCTGGGTAAGTGCCGGAGGCGGATGGCGAGCTGCCAGTGCCGGTTGGGCCAGCTGGGACGGTGGTGTTGCCGTAGCCGTATGGGGCGACTGGGGTGGAGGAGACAACAGCAGTGGTCAGGCCGGAGTAGGCTGGGACGGAGGCCGATGGGGTCACGGCACCGACTGGGCTGGAGCCTGGGGCGTAGCCGGAAGGTGCTGGGGCGTAGCCAGTTGGGCCTGCTGGGGCAGAGCTTGAGGGGGTCTCAGCGGCGACTGGGGTGGAGGAAGATGGGGCACCGTATGCTGGGACGGAGGCGGTGGCGGAGCTGGCTGGGGCCGAGGTGGCTGGGGAGGTCTCCTTGGAGCAGCCGCCTGGGCAGCTGGTGATGGTCAGGGTGGTGGCAGAGGAGACGCTGGAGAAGTGGTTAGTCGTTGTCATCCGTTTGACTGAAGGTTCTGCACTCACGTGTAGGTCTGGCCGCCGTGGGTCAGAGTAGTGGCCTCTGGGCAGTAGGTGACGAACGAGCTGACGACATCGGTGACGGTGGTGCCGCTTGGGACAGCGCTGGAAGCAGAAGCGACCTCAGTGGTGGAGGAAACTGCGGCAGAGGTCGTCGAGGCGCCGTAGGCTGGGACAGATGGGGCGGACGAGCTGGCACCGTAGCCTGGGGCAGCTGGGGAGGACGAAGTGCTCGCACCGTAGGCTGGGAGGGATGGAGCAGAGGTGCTCTCGCCGTATGCTGGGACGGATGGGGCGGACGAGCTGCTCTCAGCGCCGTAGGCTGGAGGAGCAGCGCCGTAGGCCTCGAGGGAGGCGTACGAGGAGCCGGCGAGGGCGGCGAGGGTGGCGAGCTGGTACTTCATTGTGAATTACGTTTGGTTGTCGTTAAAAAGAGAGACTGTAGTTGGAGAGATCGTAACAACTGTGTGAACGAAAGACGTGGGTGAAGAAGAGACTGAAAAGCAGGACGATTCGGTTGGGGGGTTTATACCTGGCCATGCACGGAGATATACCCTGTCATCAAGTCGTGCGTCGTCGAGACTGCTAAACCAGGGTGTCAAGACACTCATCACTCGGGCGGCTCGGCGGTGGTGCCGCTACGACTCACCGTCCTTTGTTGAAGTGGAGTGGCCGCCTGCTTGTAAACAGAGCACGTACGTGGCCTAATTACGGCCTCGTAGATCTGCTCAAAAGCCGTCATTTGCCCGCGTCCATGTTCGCTCAGGGGCTCGTCTCATCCTGGGCGTGCGACAGTCGCCCGCGTTTCTCCGCCCAATCACTTGCCGCGCGGTTGGGGACCTCTACACGCGATGCATGTCGGCACGTATTTTCAGCCACGTCGTGGCCGGGTCGTTGAATGTTGAATCGTTCCTTCTAACGGTGTTTTGAGATCGAGATGGGTGAGTGGATTGCTAGAATAGCATTCTGATACAGGAGCCGACTATCATTTGCCACATCGGAAGCATAGGATCGATGGGGACCATAGCCTTGGTGATTCGTCGTCTGCCAAGCGAGGCCCCGAAGCGACATTTGATGCAAGGGGTTTGGGCCCGCCCCAACACGCCAGGATCGGCCTGTGTTCCTCCTTTTCGACAGGCCGCTGCTATCGTTTGGTTGGTCGTGCGCCAGCAAAGCGTTGGGTAATCCAAACACGTCTCCGACCAGTCTTGGTGTGTCTCACGCATTCTGTTCGCCTTGCACGCCGCGAAATGAAGACGTCTGACAGCCAAAGAACACAGAATATCGAGACGAGATCGAGGTGCAGTCAAGCTTTCTCCTTGTGCAGCAGTTGCGTAAGCAGGAGATTTCAGGATTGGCTGGACAACTCCCGAAGGACAACCTTCTCAACGGCCAAACCGTCTCCTGAACACAAAAAAATCCCGGCGGCTAAAAGGCACGGTAGTCCTTTCCGATAACACCATCAAAGCAAGACATGGCATCTTTTGGCAGCGCTGTAGCTGGCAACTGCGAACACTCTCAAAGCCCGGACGTTCCATCTTCGACGAGACGACTCACTCAACGACCTGCCTCAACGCCCGCACCGCCTCCTGATTCTGAGCCTCGATATCAACATTGCTGCAGTACGCAGCACCTTCACCGTAGATACACCTGATCTCGTCGAGATTGTGGTCGGGAGGGTCCAGCATCATATTGATCCTGCCAAACTGGCGACTGATCTCGACGACTTTCTGCGAACGCGGCCTTCGAATCTGATCAAAAGCTGCGAGCAATGCTGGGATCTGTTCCGAAGTATTCAATTGCTGGAACAAGGCCTTCAGCACCGCCGTGTCTTCCAGCGCCTGGGCAGCGCCATTGCCAGCGAATCTGTGACGGGATGTTAGCTGTTCGCCAATGTCTCATGGGAGGTAGGAGGTTCTTACGGCGTTATGCAATGCGCTGCGTCGCCCATCATACACACTCGACCTCGAACATACGTTGGCGCAGGATCGTGATCCCAGAAATAGATGCGGTCAGCATGGACAGTCGTTGAAAGCTAACAACGCCAAGTCAGTCTCGGTCAGAGGTGTCCTTGATCAAGTTCGACATCTTTCCTCACCTCAATTAATCTTTGGAACTCGGCGGAGTACTCGCCAAACTTCTGTAACGGCAATGGAGTAGTGGTGATATCTTCATCTGTCGGAGCCGTGAAGGTCGTCCCAATCAGCAACACCGTACCCTTCTTGACGGGCATTGTGGTGATCCAGCCATGAGGGCCTATCCGAATGCTAACATTTCGTGTCCAGTGGTCGTCTATGACAGTTCTGGCAGCTTCCATCGGAATCATACTACGAAGACTGACATATCGTGCAGGATTTTTGACTGGCAGCGCTGGATGGTCCGCACCTAGCAAGTACTCTCTCGTCTTTGAATGGGCGCCTTCAGCACCGAGCAAACAATCCGCCGTTACTTCAGAGCTGTCTTCGAAGGTTAGGCGAACAGTTTTTCCCAGATCCTGGATCTCCTTCAAGCGCTTGCCCATCTGGATCCTGCCGCCCCTCTGTTGTAGAACCTTCAACAGCTCCGACAGAAGATCCGCCCGGGAAACAGTTTTCCTGGCTTTGGCCTGTCCCAACTCCGCGACTTTGGCGCCCGTATCAGGGCCCCAGGCCAGACTGACAGTCGTAACGCTGATAGTATCTGCGTCCTCAGGCGACCCGACCAGCGAGCTGGAATCCCGCCACGCCTTGAACACGGCCGGATCAATACTTTCCATCGCCGCAATGGCATTCGAATGCATCGCTAGCCCCTGCCCAACTTCGCGATATTCCTTCGTCGCCTCATAGACTGTAATCTCCAGATTCGATGCATGAGCGAGACCGATAGCCAGGCTCAGCCCGGCGATTCCTCCTCCCACGAGCGCGATCCTGATCTTCTTCTGTTCCGGAACGGAGCCCATTGTTCTTCGTCTCACTTGCATCGCCAAATACTCTTGAAATGTCTAGTGGATCTCGATGGGAAGTCCGTGGCTTCAAAGAAAGTCCTGTTTCATCCTGTTATATCCGTCATGTTCCCAAACTAGACGACAAGCAGTGAGCTCCATCCATCGCTCCCTGACGAATCAGCTCAGGATCAATAGACACTGCTGGCCCCATCGTACGTCCATACAATCTGGGTTGAGGGGACAGACCATGACCGAGATGGTTAATGCTTACACAACGTAAGCTTTTGCTACACCGGAGCCCTTTCTCCTAGTCTTCCATCGTCTTTTCAATGGTGCTGACAGACCCGTAGGATCGCTGAGGATCAACTATTAGTCTTAAACATCTGACTTCCTTCGTCACAGCATTCCCCGAGAAATGCGTGCCAATGCGAACAACAACGCCATCAGGATATCTTTGCGCTTTCTGACTCGCGCGCGCCCCAAAACCCAGGACGACATCGGCGCAAACGACCACGCCTCACCCACGACCGGAGAACCCCGACGGCGACCACGAAACCTCGCTACACAAACACAAACACACGCCCATCCCATCACCAAGCATCTCGGCGACCACCATACCCAAACAGCCAAGATCGCTCTTTCGCAACCTACCAGCAAAAAGGCAATTCCCATCCCATCTACCTTCCTCTTCGGGAAAACCCAGCCCCCACATCCCGCCGAAGTCGGCAGGTCCTTCACGCGAGATGACAATAACTGCGCTTGTTGTACACACCACACCAAGATAGGTGCCGAATCGGTAGCCCTCGATGGAATCTTGCTGGGATGGAAGTAAATTGCCGACGACGACGCCCTGCCGCGTCACGTTGGGGATCTGGATGGCCGTGGCCGTGGGCATGGGGCTGACAGCCGCGCCGCCGGCGAGTGAAGGGTCTTCCTGTCGTAGGAGGGAGGCACAGCACAGTCAGAGCCGTGGAGAGAGGGAAGGGAAGGGAAGGGATCCTGCCACCTTCCCGATCTGTTTAGTCGAAGGCTAAGATGTGTGTGTACATGTATAAAGCGTGCGTTGAAGATGTGCTTGCTACTGTTAAGCGTTGCAAGCCGCGCGGTGATTGTTGTTGCTTTGAGTTCGTGCCATCTTGTCTGCTACTTGAAGGAATTGTTTGATCGATCTCTGGACTTTCTCGTCTTCATCACGACTGCTGGTTGTATTCTGTCCAACGATCATATCGACAGTGGCAAACCATGCCCACCTCCAAACACTCTTTCCACATCCACCGCGACCAAGTCCACCTGAAATGGACCAAGAAACAACCCCCAGCTTTGACAGTCTCCCCCGGCGATATCGTCACCTTCGACTGCATCGACGGCTCCAACTACCAAGTAACACCACAATCGACCTCAGACGCAATTCTCAACTTCGACGTCTCTCTCGCCGACCCAGTCTTCGGTCCAGTCTACGTTAACGGAGCCGAGCCGGGAGACGCGCTTGAAATCGAAGTCGTCGAGTTACAGACGGCCGATTGGGGCTGGACGGCGATTGTGCCGAATTTTGGATTGCTGCAGAAGGAGTTCGAGGAGCCGTGTTTGAAGATTTGGAAACTGCCTGAAGGGAGGCATGATTCTGTTAATGGGGAGGCGATGACGGGGGTTGGGAATAGAAGATCAGAGAGGTTGGCTGTTTTTAACGATCAGATTCGCATTCCGTTGAGGCCGTTTATGGGGACGATGGGGGTGGCGCCTGGGGATGATGGGGAGTATTCCACGATTCCGCCGCTGGAGACTGGAGGGAACATCGATTGTCGCCACATCACTGAAGGAACTCGTTTGATACTGCCTGTGCGAACTCCCGGGGCGCTATTCAGCTGTGGCGATGGCCACGCAGCGCAAGGAGACGGCGAGGTCTGCGGATCCGCAATCGAGACGCCGATGAAAGTGACCTTACGGTTTAGCGTACTGAAGAACCACGACTGGGTGCAATCGCCACATTTCCGAAGTCCACCAGAATCGGAAGGTCCACGACGAGTTCTTCCAGACCGAGGCAGCTATTCGACCATGGGAATCGATTCGGATCTCCTCGAGGCGAGCAGGAAAGCTGTTCGTGCCATGATTCAGTATCTTGGCAGGACGAGAGGATTATCCCGGACGGATGCGTATATGCTGTCTTCGATTGCTGTGGATATGAGAATCGCTGAAATCGTCGACATGCCGAACCACGCAGTGACCGCGACGCTCCCCTTGAATATCTTTGTCGACGAGGCGAATGGGACTACATGCTCTGACCACCCATGACCTTGTTCGGCAACAGAGCTGTCGTAATAACGCAGCCGAGCGAGACGCCACCAGCAATATACCTGCAAGCAGAAGTCAGCATCGATCCTTGCAACTTCGAGGATCAGTGGTACTCACAATACGGTGTTGATCGATTCAGGATTATCCGCCAAGCCACTCGTTGGTATCCTGCTCTGAGCTATTAGAGGCGCAAGGATGGAGAAAAGCCGTCCCCAGAAAGCAGCAATGCCGCACGCAGTTCCTCGAATCGGTGCGGGAAAGGCCTCGGGAGTCCAGCCGTACAGGACGGCGTTGAACATGGACTGGAAGAAGTACTCCATGGCATTTAAGCCGATGTTGGAGGCCTCTGAATTCACGGTGCTGAAGATGAAAATCGAGGCGCCCATCAGTCCGGAAGAAATCACCATTGCGAGTTTGCGGCCGATGGTTGGAACTCCGTACATCATCGAGCCAACAACTACTCCCACGATTCCGGGCGCGTAGATAGCAATATAGCTGCGGTAGGTGTGCTGCAGCGATAGATTGATTTCCGAGTTCTTGATGGCCAGAATTGAAGGTAGATAAGTCCCCGCAAGTGTAAATCCCCAGAAGTCGCACGCGTAAGTGATCCAGACTAGAATGGTGAGGCGAATCATCTGCTGGTCTTTAAACAGCTCGCGGTATCGCAATCCCTCCTCCGCGAATATGTCATTCCACGTCTTCTTCTTGCCCTCATCTGCTTCGGTGATAACACGCGAGATCTTGTGTTGATGGTTCAGCTCTTCAAACTCCGAGAGTGTAACGCTGCACGACCTCTTGTTCATCCTGGCTATCGCTTGTAGCACTTCGACTGCTTTTTGATCCTTGCCACGAGCGACCAGGAACTTGGGCGACTCCTTGAATCTGAAGATGACAGAACGTAGGAGGAAGACACCAAGGGTGATGGCGCCGAGAGTGAAGAGGAGATATCGCCAGCCCATGTTGCTATCCTTTGTGCAACATGGCTGTCCATCGGCTACGTTCTTGCATGACGGCAGCGGGTCCGGTTGACTGAAGTTGGGAGAGCAGGAGTAGTTCGGGATGTATGCGTAGGCGAGAACGCTGGTGATGACCACGCCAATCGGCTGGAAGATCGATAGTAGAGCCAGCATGAAGCGGCGATCCTGAGGAATACACTCGAGGCATATCGTCGTGTCGATAGGGATATTTCCGCCAATTCCAAATCCAGTGAATGCAGTAACGACCAGAAATGCATTGTATGTGTTGCAGCCTCCAAGACCCAGGCCGAACACCGCGGTTATGAAGCAGGTCAGGTTGAAAGCCCATTTTCGACCGATAATATCGACCAGCACACCCCAGGTGAAAGCTCCCGCTGTCAGACCAGCAGAGAAGGCCACGGAGATGTTGCCCGACTCATTGCCAGAGAAACCTAGCTCTTGCTCGAGGGACTGTAGGATAAGACCAAAAGCCTGCGCCCAGAGGAGATCGAGGAGGTAGCCAAATCCGCAGAGAAACCAGACATACCTGTCTCTGACATTAGCGCTGGTCTTGCATCGGTGGGCATAGACAGCCATACCACTGGTACTTTCCCATGCCATTTCCATCGGTCTCTCGATTGATGAGCAAGCACTTCTTCTCAAACAACGTCAAGTCCTCGCCATCGGTGTCAACACTCGATGAGGGACTGACGGGCGGCGACTCGGTCGGGGCAACGGTGTTCTTCTCCATGCTGGAAGTCCTTGAGGCAGGCAGTAAGGGCCGCTGTGCTTCACCAGTATCGAGACGACGAAGCCGCAAAGGCGCAGGGCGAGAAGAGGACGCAGGCATGCTGGGCGGCCCACTCTCTTGAACGTCCTGCTTAAATTGACAAAGCAAGCGAGCCCACCTGCCGTGCTCCCTCGAGGCGTCGCACTGATGACGGGCAGCTGATTGGCACGCAGATGTCAATGTCGTAGGTTGGTCGATCCGCTAGCCGTGCCTGGTGATGGTTCCACGTGCTCCCTTTGTCTCTGCGCGGCTCAGCGAACAAGACCCTTGGTTTCGAAACCCCGTGAGAAATGCTCTTCTTGTTCGAAAACAACCCCGTCCTCGTCTTTGCGTGGATTACCGACTGTCTCTTGGTGTTCAGATGTTCACAGCATTTCCATGACCGAACGTCATCATTGCTCGTCAGTCTGCAGAGCCCCAAGATACCTTTTCGCCTCCTCGGTCAGCCAGTGACAGTTGCATATGTATGACACCAACACCAAGCGCTAGCTGGGGAGAGCTGGAGATGGAGTCGGCTGCAGAACAAGGTTTCTGCGCACGTGCATCCTGTCCCAGGTTCATCTTCAAGGTTCTGGATCTGCGTGTCGAGATATAATGCCGAAACCCAAGAGGCTCTTTGACTTGCTGTTTGTCCTTCTGTCTATCATCTTTTGGAAAAGTTTCATTCAAGCCCATTGCTGTGCACTTCGAGCGTCACGCGGCGGAGTCACGACCGAGGGATCTGAAGCCGTCGAACCTAATCTGGTACCGATCTGGCGATCTCAAGATCTGACCGGCCTGAAAGACGACGAGATCGAGGCCGGGAGCACGCCTCCAAAGACTTTTTCTCGCTATGTACATGAGAATAGTATCATCTGGGCTGTGTTCGAGCAATGGCCGACATGTTGAACGCCGTCTGCATATCCCACACGCGGTCATTGAGACATGGAACTTGTCATTCTTTTTATTAGGCTGAATGACAGGCGAGGACACCTCCAACATCTCGCACTCTTGAATGCCCGTAACAAAGCTTGCCGTACTGGCATGCAAAATCCGTAAGTGAATGTCTCAAGAAAAGCTCACATGAAAAGCAGGCAGACCCCACCTCGTCGTTACTTCCTACTCGGGCCTAGCGCCCGTGCACTGATCAGTCAGCGTTGGACCTCAGCACGAGGACGACACATGGCACCGAACTTCGATCAACCTCTACACTCTTCTCCCACCCTTCACCCATTTCACCCAACCAAGTGTTTCGACACATCCTTTCTCCCACCAATCCGGCCATGTTCCACGACGGCGATCTCCAAAGCGGAATCTCGCGAGCGATTGCTGAGCAGAAGCTCGTTGCCTGCTTCGTCCGACAAGACGATAATGAGGAAAGCCGGATATGGGAAGAGGAGTGGCTCGGGCAAAAGCCGCACCCAAGCTCATCTGAAGCATGGAGCGGTGGCATGGGCGATGTCTTCGCGACAAAGGCTGTCTTGCTGCGGATAGAATACGGCAGTCAGGAAGCCAACTTCCTCAACGCCTTCTGCCCCGTCACCAAGGCGCCGACGTTTGCTATCATCCGCAATGGAGAGGTTCTGGATAAGTTGGAGGGAGGGTTGGGAAAGCAAGAGTTCGTGGAGAGAGTGAGCAAGGCTCTTGGCATTGAGGTCTCGTTCATGACGCGGCAAGAATACCACGAGAGAAGAGAAGAGCAAGGCAACCGAAGTACAAACGAGGTGGTAGATGCTGAGAATTTGCGGGAGGAGAGCGCGTCGCAATCACACGCTGCGCACGCAGATGCAGACCATGTTGCAAGCTCACATTCCTCGGAGATAGCGCCACAACATGTCGCAGAATCAACAGAATCTACGTCCTCACCAGATCCATCACAACAGCTATCCTCAGAAATGGCGCAGTCTCAAGCGAACATGTCAAATCTCTTCCCAGACCGAGCTCAACGACTCGAAGTAGAGAAAGCCAAGCGAGAGGCAGCTGAGAAGGCAGAAAAGGCAGCGCGTGCCAATGCGCGGAAGAAGGAAGCGGAAGAAGCGCATGCTTTCCACAAGGGTGATAAAGGCAAGGGCAAAGAACCAAGCGAAGCCGTTGAGAAAGAGAAAGCGAGACGAGACTGGCTGGTACAACAAAAACAACGCAAAGACGACGCGAAACGAGAGAGGGAGCGGATCCTGGCGCAAATCGAAGCAGATAAGCAGGAGCGGAAGGCGAGGTCACAACGAGCGCCTGAAGGTCCTAGTGAACCTCTACCACCGTCTGCCGATGCTGCGTCGAGGAGAAGGATGGGAGCTGGAGGGATGTGCAATCTTGCTATTCGCCTTTTCGACGGCTCCTCCATCAAAGGCCGATTCGAGCCGTCTTCCACTTTGGCTACAGGTGTACGGGACTGGATCAAGGAGACTGCGGCAGGTGAAGGCGCTGCGGACATACCGTTCACATTCAAGCAAATCCTCGCTCCACAACCGAGTCGCAGCATCGAGATTTCTGAAGAACATCAATCATTGCAGGAGCTTGGGGTGGTTCCGAACGCCACGCTCGTGCTCGTTCCAGTCAGTGGCTACACCGAAGCATACACCAGCAGCGGAGGACGAGGGTACATGAGCACCGCACTGCACGCCGCGTACGGCGTAGTCAACACCGCCACTGGACTGGTCTCGTCCGTAATATCCCACATTCCCGGCCTCGGAGGCCGCGATGGAACTGGTTCAGAAGCTGCATCGACATCAACAGAAGACACCGCTGTGCGGACGTCAACCGAGAGCGGTGCGTCGAGCTTCAAAGTCAAGACTATGGCAGATCAGCGGGCTGAGACGGCGAGGAAGCAAGACCAGAAGAATGAGTTCTATAATGGCAACTCGTCGGCGTTTGAGGGGAGGAAGGATGATCAGGATGAGAAGAAATGAGCTGGTGGTGGATGTTTGATGAACTTGTATGAATATGGTGCGTATGTTGGACTTCTATGAGCTGGAGCATCTACACCTCAAAATCGAGACCTTTCGAGCTGGCGCATTTTCCAGAGCACTAGCGATGCGCTGAGATATCGATCAGTAGACTCCAACGCTCCGTCGTGATGGCTAGTATGCGATGCCTCGCAACCACAACTTGGCAAGATCTGGCCGCCACCACCAACATGAATCTAACGATTGCGAAAGTCAGCGTCTTCAAAAACTTGAGTGGCGTCCCGGTCCTCGACTTAATCGACGTGAGGAGCCTCTGATCAGGAAGTCTGCATGAACGGCGTCGAGGCGGACAATAAGGCCGACAGTCAGGCGCCCAGCACTTGCAAGCAAACCTGAGCCCATTCGGTTTCAAGCCCGAGGTATTTGTACAAGAGGACGAAGATGGGATCAGATCAGAAGGATTGGAAAAAGAGTGATATGTCGAGCGGGTAAGATCCAAGTCTTCTCGGGACAAGGATCACAAGCAATGGCCTGCTACGGCAAGTCATGTTTTGCAACATCTTCGTCCAGGGATTCGTATGTGAGAGCTCTTGTTCATTGACCTACTTCTACAGGATTGGAGTACTATAAAAGGCTGCTCGACTCGCGCGTTTTTTCTTTCTCCGCCTGGATACGACGCACTCCGGCTGTTGCGAACAGATACACTTATTCATAATCCCAGCACTACTTCGAATCTGCACCGTCTCTGCCTGCATACCATCCTTGACCGCAACCATGCGCTCCATCACCGCTTTCCTCGCCGGTCTGGCCATCGCCACACCAGCCCTCGCTGCAGTCCCCTCCCTCGAAGTCCCAGCCTGTCCCGACAAAGGCACCTTAACGTACAACCAATCCGTGCCGGACAAGACCAATTTCCCAAACACCCAAGTCGATCTCTGCTATGAAGATAAGAGCATCTCTATAACCTTCACAGCTTATGAGGAGACCAACTGTGAGTTGGCAGTCACATACCAATGTTCCTGCTGGAGGGGTTTGCCGATGTTGAAGACAGTTTTCTACAACGACACATACACCACCAACGACCCCATCTACGAATACGAAGTCATGGAGACCTTCATCTCCCGTGGCACTGCTGACCCGCAAACCTATCTCGAATTCGAAATCGCCCCCAACAATGTCACGTACGTCCCCCTCCCCTCCCTCCCCCCATCCACCCAAAACTAACCCCCCTCCCCTGCAGCTTCCAAGCATCCATCTACAACCTCTCCAAAACTGCCTCCGACACCGCCCCCTTCGACACAGCCTACTGGACGGACCCCTTAACCGACGGCTTCACCGCCACCACCACCCTCTCCAAACCCAACGAGACCTGGATCTCTGTCGTGAAGATCCCGCTGGGCCTCTTCAACGTCGACGACGGCCAGGCGAAGGGCACGCAGTGGCGCATGAATTTCTTCCGCACGGTGGTCGCGCCGAGCACGTTTCCGGAGCAGGTGCTGGGCGCGTGGAGTCCGCCTGATGAGGCGTTTCATGTGACGAGGTTTTTTGGGAGGGTGCTGTTTGTTTGAGGGGTTCGTGGGGAACTTGGTGGTTAGGGATAGATTTCTGGGCGATGAGCTGGCTTTTTTTTGTTTTCTCCTTTCGGTGGCTTGATTGTCTTTGATGAATTGGACTGCATGTCTCTGCGATGTGCGAAGATTCATGTGATCAGATCCGCCGCTCCGAAGCCATTCAGGAAAGTCTCCATCATTCGGTCGTCAATGCCCGCAAAGTTGCAGTCTTGGATCATTGACAAGCCGTTCATGCTCCCGAGATCCATCACGTTCTGTGACTTGTCCGGATATGTAGGTCCCATATCGAAACTGTTCGATGGCACCTCGTTCGAAATCGATTGCCCGCACGGTCGTTCCTCAGCCGCTATCATTCCGCCGGTGTTGAGGTCTCGTCCAGTTTCAACATCCGAAACCATCGATTCTCTTCCAGGCCGACTCCCACCAATCCTCCTCCAAACCCCAAGCACAGCAAGCGGAACGCTCCTCCCCTCTTTCCCAACCGCCGCATTCAAAACCCCCTCAACCCTCCCCTTCACAACCTCGATCCTCTCCCTCACCCCAACATCCCCCTTGAAAACCGGCCCCTTCACCAAAAGCTGCAGGGCATTCAACGCATATATCGCCCTCACGAACGGCACCGTAGGGAGATTCGCCAGAGTTTCCGGGGAGAACGAAGCGAATGTGTCGAGGAGGTTATGACAGGCGTCTATGAATGGGTTCGCGACTCGCAGGTAGACTGGCGCCATGATGGAGGGGACCTTCTCCTGATGGTGGCAGGGGTCGTCTTTGCAGACGAAGGGGTACGCGATGAGTTTCGACAGATCGTGGTATGCGTGGAGGGGGATTTCGAGGATTTTCGTCTTGATGTAGAGGTAATGGATCAACAAACTCTCTGCTCTTCAAATTAGTCTCAAACGTCCAAAAGATGGAGGTCGTTCTCTTCTCACCATTCATAACACCCCCCTCCAACCCCTCCTCCCAGACCTCCAACTGCCGCTGGAAACAAAACACCTGCGCCGCGAGATCGGTAGTCTTGCAGAGGAAGGAGCTGCGGATATGTTCTTGTGAAGGGGTGATACTGTGTGCTTCTTCGGAGATCGCTTGGAGTTGGACGCGGGCGAGGAGGCTTTTATCTTGGGTTGATGTGGCGTTTGCTGAGAATCTTTGGAGGCATTGTTGGAGGGAGGGTGTGAGTTTCATGATGTTCTCACGGCGGAGGCTGACTGCTGCTCTGATATGCCGTCAGCTTCGTACTATGTCGTCGTAGAAAGGTGAATGGGGGGAACTCACGAAGAACAACTCGCCCAAACCGCCAATGCAATCCTTGCCTCTTCCATTCCCTTCCGCCTATCCCTCTCGTCCCACCTCCCACCAAGCCCCAACTGCAAAGCCATCGTCGCAGCAATATGAATCCATTGATAGAAATTCACTCCACTCTCCCTGTCCTCCAACTCCTCCGGAAAGCAATACCACACCTCCATAGTCAGCACCGCCTGCACGAGCTCGAGACTCCTCTCCCCGTTGACGATAACTTTCATCGCCAGACGGGTCGTGAGTTCGGTGTGGAGGGTTTTGAAGAGGGAGCCAGTGGTAGACATGCTTGCCGCGGTGACGATGGCGAGGAGCAGGGTTGGCTTGTGGGTTGCCAGGTCTGAGAAGGCGGTGTTGGGTGGGAGTTGGAGGAGGGGAAATTGAGCGACTGTTTCGTTCCTAAACCTTTCGAATAGCCGCTTCGCGGTGTCGAACGTGAGAATATCAGGGACGATACCAGGCAAGGTCGACGTCGTCTCCTCTCGCAGCACATCCATCTCCATCGCCCGCTCGTCGACCACGGCAGACTCACTCCCAAAGGAAGCGGCAGAGAAAGCCATCGTCCTCGACCCTTCATCCACACCCGCAGAATCCGGCGTCAAAGGCAACACCACCGCAGGAGGTACCTCCTTCCCCATCGTAGCCTCATTTCTCTCCTTCCCCATCTCCAACCCTCTCCCCTTCGCCCTCCCCATCAACTGCTCAATTTCCCTCAACTGCCCTTCCAAAACCTCAACCCTCGCATCCATCCTCTTCCGCCTCTTCCTCGCCGCCCGGGGCATCAATGAACACTCCCACCCAGCCCCTCGACACCGTCGACACTTCCCATCATCATTCTCGTCTATACGGAGACATTTCGTTTTGGCGACGCGGCAATTCTTGCAGGCTGTGTTGAAGGGTTGCATGGTGAGATGTTGTTGGTTGAGGGAGGAGTGCGAAGGTCCAATGCTTTCTTAAGATTTGGTAATGCAGTGACGAAGGTAATGTTGCTCGTCTCGTGATCGTTCTGACCTTTGGTCTTGGCCTTGGCCAAAGGCAGGTAAGTACTGCTTTGGGATGCTTCGGATCTTTGCTATCCTCCGAACGTCCACGCCAAGCCGTGAACCGCGCTCTAGTTCTTCATCAGATTAGGAAGCAGGACAGCGAGCTGTCTCATCAGTATGACATAGCAAAGGGCGATAATAAAGCTGGAATGGGGACAGATCAATAAACTTCATCAAATTTCTACCCTGGTGCACACGCTTTCCGCTCTGGACTTTTTCTATTCTCCACACGTGTTGTCGCGTGTCCCACCAACCCAAGTCACAAGTCATTCTTCGCTCCAAGACTCCTCCGCCTAGCGCCTTCCGCAATGCCTCATGTCGCTGTCATGAAAGCAATCCCCATTCCATTAAGCCACGCCGCCCACAACAAGTGCGGCCAGGCCATCTTCTTCGCTTCTTGCTGTGATCTTGACTGTAACGCCAGACTTGGCCGAGAACGCCATCCGCACTGTGCTGGCAACTTTGCCACCAGTGACCGACTTGCCGTAGAGCTTGAGGGTATGTGTGCTGGTCGACAGTGCGACTTCGGTGCCCTCCAGAGGTTGCATACCAAGAGCGCCAACAAGGAGCTCCACTGCATCGGTGATACCCTTGACATTCGAAAGCTGCAGTGTTTCTGAGACTTCATCTTCAACAGGCAGGCCAGACCAGATGTTGTCAAAGCTGCCAGCAAAGGCAGGGAGAACATAGTCGGCACCAGTGATTTCCAGGTCTCCAACTTGATACTCATCTTCGTAGCCCTCTTCTTCCGGCTCTGACGTGGTGGGGTCAATCTCCTTGAGCGTGAACTTGAGGACGTTGGTGAAGGATGCCGGGATAAATGCCTGGTCGGCGGGTCTGGAGAAGGATGTGTAGACGGTGCCGGGCTCGTCAGTCTTGAGCAAAGGTACAGGGATGATGAAGCCGTCGTCTTCCAGCGGTGACTCCTCGCCTTCTTCAGAGGGCGATGGATTCGAGATGACAGTGACGTCTGTGAGAACATAGTCGGTGAGTGTGTTCTTAATGTCGTACTGCAGCACGATATGCTCCTTGAAGAGATGCTTGATCGCAGTGACGGCGTATTCGGTCCCGCTTTCCGTGAGCTCGATGCCAGGGCTGCTCTTGAGCACAGGTCCATACGTGGAGAACTCTGGGATTGCTTGCAGTTGTTTCGCGTACTTCTGAGTAGCGACGGTAGCTTGCTGAGCCGCGTCGGCTGCGTTCGTGTCGGTCTTCTTTGGTCCCACGCTGGGTGCTTTGAGGGTAGGAGTTGCAGTTGTGAGCTTCTTCGTGCGGTCTTCTGCCAGTGACTGCTCGCGAGTCACGACTGGCACGTTGGAGAAGTCGAAGGGGTTGGCGAATGCTTCTGCGCTTCCGCCATTCACATAATGCGCAAGTTGGTCTTCGAGAACAGGCAGGGAGAACATGGAATCTGGACATTATCAGCGCTATAACTTCACAGGGAGAGTTGACGAGCTTACCGTTTCGGATGAACTTCGCTGCTACGTCGTCGTCCTCCTCCTTCATGAGTCTCAGGTTGAGAGCGGCACGATCGCGGACCTCATCATCAAGATCATCGAGACACCTTGTGAGAAGTACGCTCACACTTCGCTTGACTTCAGGATCTTTCTGGCCAACACCAAACTTGGCGAGCGCAGTGACTGCCGCTGCTCGGACGATGGCGTTCTCCAGGACAACACGGTTGTAGATGTAGCGGATGTATTTCGTGGGCTGAGCCGTCCTTGGTCCCTCCATACCGAGCAAGTGAAGGATGCGCACCGCAAGCTTGGTGAACTCGCAGTCCTCGATGAACTCGCAGAGGTGAGCCAGCGCTTCCTCCTTGCTATCAGGCACGAACTTAATCAAGTCGAACATGCTCTCAACGACACTACGCTTGAACTCGTAGCCGCCCTCGTCACGGAGGATACCAGAGAGGAAGGCAAGCATACGTGCCTGCTTTGAAGGAAATTTCAAGCACAGCGTTCGGATGGCTTCAACGATGGTCACCTTGAACTCGTCCGTTATCTCTGCCATGAAGCCGCTGATTTGGGTCATGAGGCGATCGACAGACGCTTCGTTCCCGGTCTTGAGGAGTGTGGTGATGGCAAAGGTGGCGATGGAGCGATTCGAGTTGGAGATGAGGGACTCGATATCTGGGTTGCATTGCCGCACGGCATCTGGCTTGAACGAGGCGAATTGGTGGAGAATGCGGATCGCGGCGAATTTGGTGACTGCGCGGGGCGATGTGAGGAAGAGTTGCAGGACGTGGATCGCTTGGCCGACCTCTGCATCAGTAAGATCTGGCATCTCACAGATCGCCTTCGCAGCCTCGAAGTTGACCATCTCGCTCTTGTCCCGGAGCCACTCATCCAGAAGCTTCATCATGGGCTTCCTCAAGCTGGGATCATCCTCTGCGAGCTTAGCAGCAAGTCTGACAAGCATGACTCTGGCAGCTGGGGACTTGACGACACCAGCAGCGCTGTACTGTTGCACCATTTTCACCAAGGCCATGCGATCGTGCGAGCGCATCTGGTACAGCAATCCAATTGCATGATACTGAGTCATGAAGTTGGTATTCGCTGCAGCCATCTGATGCGTCGAAGAGCCACCGAACCCCATGAAACCACCAGAAGACTTGGCCGATGAGGCGGCCTCTTGTGTCTCGCTCTGCCATCTTTTCACGATATCTTTGGCAATTGGCAGGAGATGGTATGAAGACACCAGCGCCGCAGAGGAGACAGATGGAGTCTTGTCCACAATGGCAGTCTTGATGTTGCGCTCAATGGCCTGCACAGTCGAAGCGTCTATTATCCGGCACAGAGCGCGAATGGCATTGGCTCTGTACAGGACGTCACTTCCCACTGCGGTATCCTTCATTATACTGCTCGTGACCATGATGACATCCTCGGCAGTCTGCGCCAGCTCCTTGATAACCAGGTATACCATCTGTCGGAGAGAGGCATCCTTGTTCTGGAACAGCTTGGATATGCCAAAGAATAAGGAGGTCGCTTCGTTGGTGGGGAACTTCTCGCCGGTGAAGAGGAGGAGCGCGATCTTGGTCAGGAGAATGCGGCATTTTCGGGGCGATACAGGTGATGTGTTGAAGACTCGGGCTAAAGGGAGAGGTGTTGCGGTCAGCGCAGTGTTCAACAAGGGAGAGTATCCCTTCCAATGTACCTTCTTGGAAGACCGACGTCCGGTCGACCTTGACGATGCCCGCATCGTCCTCGTCCTTTTTGTTCATGGCCATGGCGGGGATCAAATGCTCCTACCGGAGCGGCATATGTTGACTGGGGGTGGTGGTATGGAATGGCGGGTGTTGTCAGTCTGGCCAGCTGCCATTAGAGGTCGGCGGAGGATTCGTGTTCTCGCCGACCGCCAAGACCGCCTTCAGCTTCCCAAAGTCAAAAGACTCGAAGTTGGCTATGTCACTGCCTGATGCTGCCCCTTCTCTACAACAAGACTACTGTCCTCTGTCTATAATACACACAGTCGCGTTACTGTTTGAAAGTCGTCAAAATGGATATGCCCGTCAATGTCCCAGTTGACGACCCTAACGCAGACACTGAATGGTAGGCACATGTCTTCTATCTCCTTCAGCACATGCGGACTTCAGAAAGAGTCCCTGTGCCTGTTTCACTTTCTCCTTGATCTCCACCCATGATACTGAGTGAAAGCTCAGGAACGATATCCTCCGCAAGCATGGAGTTATTCCCGAGAAGCCGCCATCGCCGACGCCCATGATTGAAGAAGCCCTTATACAAGCACGAGAGCTGGCGCATGAGAACAGGCTGGAGGGAAAAGATTTGGATGAGCTGGACGAGCTAGAAGATGATGAGGATGAAGATTTTCTCAATCAATACCGGTACGTTGAAGAGTTGGGCACCACAAAATCCCGGGCACTCATAGCAGTCGTCACAGGCAGAAGCGCATGAACGAACTGTCTGAGCTCAAGACCGCCAGCGTCTACAACCAGGTCTACCCCGTGCAAAAGCCGGACTACTCGCGCGAAGTCACAGAGGCTTCCAACCAGGCCTTCGTCCTCGTCCTCCTCACCTCCTCCACCGGAACGAATCCTGAGTCCCAGCTGATGATTGAGCTCTGGCGCGAGCTTGCGAAAAAGTTTGGCGACATAAAGTTCTGCCAGATGCAAGCCAACCTCTGCATCGAAGGCTATCCCGACCGCAACACACCAACGGTCTTGATCTACAAGGATGGCGAGATCAAGAGGCAGCTGGTGACGTTGAAGGAGTTGAATGGAGTCAAGACGAACATGGCAGGTGAGTCGGCTTCGCACCTTCCTCTTCGGGCCAGAACACTTTGCTGACGCGCAGGATGACAAGATATGGAGAAGGTGCTGTTGGATCTTGGCGCCCTCAAGCACAACGACTCGAGGCTTAAGCGACGAGACGACAACAACGACCAAGACCAGCCGAAGCGCAGCATCTTCCAGAGTTCGCGGCCACAGCAAGAGGAGGACGATGATGATTGGGACTGAGCGTTACCACCTCCTCCTTCGAGTACACGCTCGCTGTGCTTGCCTGCCGCATCGCCGTTCCTTCCTACCTGGCTGGCTGTCCGTGACTCCGCGAGATCTACAACAATGCGTCGTCGAACCCATGCCAGTCGGAATCGACGGCCTCACGAGATGCTGTGCCGCGCACATGTATCACGAATACGACCAGTGATCGATGCATCTGTTCTCAGCTCATGCTGGGGGTATTGAGCAGACTAGAGGCATCGAAAGCCTCAATCAAGGAAGCCGCTTGACTCGTGCGAAGTCAGAGAGTATCAAGTGCTACCAGAACAAATGCGGAAACACTCAGAGTTCGTAAATCACTTGGCGGGCGGTGGAAACCGTTCGACAGCACTGTGCAGAGCACCCACGCATCCGTCGCAAGACGAACTTCACCCTCCAAACCAACACCACCAAGCCTCAAACCCATCACTCATATGAAATCACACCTTCCTCCCACCCATGCACAGATGTCTCGCAGCAGTGGCAGCTCCAAAACCACATTCCACTTACCCAGACTTTCCACCCGGCCACCTACCGACATGAAGCCCCACCGCACCATCGTATCTGCAATGACTGAGGCGTTGGTAATAATAATAAGGCTACAAACCCACACGAGCATTCGTTTCACCGAATGTCGTAGGGCTGAAAGCCGCTTTACAGTTGAAGCGACGACCCGGCGACCGGGTAAAGTCGTTCGTAAATCGTAAAAGTCGGGTATACGTGAAACATTGACTGAGAGATGGAAATCGAAAGGTGTGCTAAACGGCAATGACATCAAATCTCTTTTTCGATGCAAGTTGTGTCGCGTTGCGCTGCAGTGCCTTGCGTCGCGTTGGAAGGATTGGGCTCCCAGGATTTGGCCGGTTCGGTGAGGGCTACGCCCCCACGGTGAGAAGAGCGAGCCGTGGAGATGGACAGCTGCTTCAGAAGAAGTAGGTGGTTGGTTGGGTGGTATGGCACTGCGATGAAAGGCATACTTCTCGATGATCGGGTGGGTGGGCAAGGCATTTACCGCAATATTGCTTCGCTTTCCAGTCCACCACGACGACGGAAATGACGATGGGGGTGGTGCTGCGCTGTAATCTAGGCCAAGAGATGTTGGTGGCTTGATAGAGGGCGTCGAACGGCTTGAGCAGCTACTACTGTCTCACGACCACAGGTTCCACAAAGCCTCTGACTATTGTTCGACTAAAACAATCGAAGAACCAGCCTTTCTTGGTGGTCTCGAACTCAGGCAACTTCCGAGTTGCTTGGGAATGATCACTCCGATCGTGTACGATATACGCAGACATGGCTTCCAAAGGCTTACCGTAGGCTTCCCCGTGGCGTATGGAGAGACAAGTTGGAGCTGTTCTAAGACCAACATCCCTGAAACAAGGTCACGAGCACGATGGCGACTGCCTACCTATCGCAGCCTTGAGGACGAGGCGTCCAAGCCATAGCATAGATTCTCGATCCAAGGCGACTTGGACAAGTCTTGGTGATCTTGAATGGGACGGATTGCTCTACCAAGCGTTTCTCGGCCGGTGTCTGCCACGGTATGAAGGCGTAGTCGTGCTGGCCGTGGTAAGGGTCTCCCGTTGTGAGGTTGCCGCTACCATGCTACTGCCGCAGGGACTGCATATCATGCTGCCATACACCGGGGAATGGCATACTCGCCTCCATCACCGCCAACGCAGGGTCTGTCCCCGCTCCAGCACAGCCATGAGACAGCCGACAGCATGGAGTAGACCCGTCGGCAGCATGGCGTTGACAGTCGAGAGGAGAGCGGGCTTTGCGGCAGGCGTAGTGAGCCACTGACCACGATCGAGGTCCACTCTGATATTGCCACCACCAACGGCGAGCTCGAAGACTGGCAACATGGCTTGACTGCGGCTTCATGGGGGCGTGATGATCGCTCGCATCACACCTCACCATTCAACGCCCATCCATCGCAACATTTCGCCGCGTTCGAAAGACCTCGGCCGGTCGGTGTGGCACTCGGTGTAATGTTGTGTTGAGAAGAGGAGACAGACCAGGACGCCGGAGCCCGATATGGTGGAGTGGGCCTTTGCAGAGAGGTGAAGTCGAGGGTATCCTTAGTGGGAGCGCCTTGTTGGTTGTTGATCTCTGCTCACGCTGATCTTAGTGAAACCCTGAGAGGTTCCATTTGGCATTCTTGTCAGAAAGGAAGAGCGCCGTCAGAGACGTGGCCTCATCCTTCTGCGTGCAAATCCCAGAGGCGGCGGCCCGCCGGCTATCTCACTGCGTCGAGGGATTTCCGCTCGTAGGAATGCCGCCTTATAGCATTCGCGCTCTCTGTGAACGTGCCTTTCATTGTGAAGTACAAAGCAGGCGGCGGGGAGGTAGACGCTCGGTACATGGCCGAGAGTAGGCCAAATTCGTGAGATGCCATTTGGACGGTTCCAATGAGTCTGCGCAAGCGATATGGTGCCAATAGCTGCGTGCCGCTGTGGAGTCCAACGCGCTTGTTGAGAGAGCTCCTGGCCAATGCGGCGAAGGATGACATGGGAGTGAACAGGCATCGAGCTATGCTGTGGAAGCCATGCGCTTCGAGACGGCATTGGCCAGTGGCGTCGTCGGTTCTGAGAGTTTGGGAGTAGTTCAGGCCATCCAGCGGTTGTGTGCATTGGGCCTTGTTAGAGTACCGTACAAGGCTGTTCTGGTGGCGGCCGTGTTCCATACCTGATGTAGGGCGTGCAGAAGTTGAGAAGAAGAGAAGGGCAAGGGCAGAGTCGCGGCTGCGGAGATGCCTGAGGCCAATGCGCCTCCACTTCACGTCTTCCGGTCAATTCTGCAAGCCTCCTGCACCAGTGCAGCAGCATCTGCACTTCATCACAACGCTACCAGGAGGAGCTGTCGGCAACAAGGAGAGAGCAATCTCGTCTCGTGACGGTTCAACAGACGCAACTTCTCCTCGGGCTGCAGTTTCATGCTGCTGAAACACGGATAGCCAAAAGCAAATGCACGCGAAGCTATCCACGGCTTGCACCGGCTACAGAGAGGCAGAGTGGAAGAGATACGGTATAGGCGGTACGGACTCAAGAATACGTCATTCCGGACTCTTCGTCCAGTCGTCAACGGAACCTGGCGCAAATGACGAGTCTGCCCTTCCTGCTGCGAGGCATTCACGGCGATCAATGCGCGACTTCCTCTGCTCGGCTTTCTCTGGAACGTGAGGACCAAGTACGGTACGGGTACATGTCTTCATGACCGGAAAGTGGCGTGTTTCTAGGAGTCCGGTCACAGAAGGAATCCGGCTTCTTTCCGCTCTGGGACCGGTTAGACGATGGGATGAAGTCTTTTTGTATGGAATACTTGATCCGGCCTACCTCTGTCCAGGCGGTGACGTCGGGCGTCCGCTGCAGCTTCACCACAGACTCGCAAGCCCTCATCATACCAACATTGCTCTTGGGACCCGTCGTGAGGCAAGGATCTGAGTCCGCTCCAGCAACTAACACCAACTCGGCCATATTCGCCGAGTATCTCCCCAAAACAGCCGTCAAGGCGGCTTCAACCGGACGTCAGGTGATGATTTAGCTACTCGCTGCAAGCTTCCACTATCCTCACGTCGTCTTCGGCAAAGCTGCCGGACCATTGGACTGCAGCTCCTGGAGTCTCTTCCTTCAGCAGCCACTCCACGCATCGCATCCTCAGAGCTCCCTTTGCCCAGTCGTCACACTACCAACAAGCCGCTCAGGATGGCAATGCATCGGCGTTATGGTGGAATTGGGACGTCGCCAGCAAGGACCTCAATCGTATGATAGGATTTTGCAGAATGCCAACATTTGCCTTGGTTGGCATTGGCACCTTGCAGCCTTGCCAGCGGAGGGCTACAGATCGAAGATGTGATGCCTTTTAGAAGGATGCCGCTTGGTTTCACTGCAGCTGTCTAGCGCACGTGGCTTGGTCTGTATGGAGCGCACGGCATGATACGAGAAGTCTCACGACTCAAGCAAAAAGCAAAAACCCATCACAACTTCCTCTGATGAGACGACACCGCCTGGAAGATGTTGATCAGCCAAACAGATCGCTCCAACGTCCTACAAGTCCAAGCCACGAGGCGGTGGGTTGGCCCTCGGTCGTGGATGATGAGGGAATGCAGTCGGTAGGCTGCCGACGCGACACACCTCGTGCGGCAAAGACTCCTCGCCAGCGAATCGGCTTTGATCAAGCGCGTGTCGATCAAGATGCAGACGACGCAACCTCATCAAAGTCAGCACACCAAATATTCGCAGAGAGAGGTTAATAAGCCGTTCGTGCATTCGCTTCGCATCTGACCTTACTTCTTTCATCACGGCACCGCGAGCAAGCTCACCAGCCACGCCCGTTGATCAAACATCCTTGTCAGGGCTAAGCTCCAACTTTAACTCTGATGCCGCACACCCACCCTCCGGAGTGGACTCGACCAATTGTGTATGACTTTCATCTCTGCTATCTCAGCTCAACTATTGGCTCCTGGAAGAGCAAGTTGTTGGTTGTTCAACATCCACCAATAATCAGTCTCGTTGCGTGAGGACTCGCAATCTCCTCTTTGCGGCCAGTCTCAGAGGAGTTCGGAGCCCGGCAAAGAGGAACTCTACGATGCTACCCTCCTGAATTCCTCCAGACTCCTTCTACCGCCAGCCCTACCTGCTAACGACAATACCTCCAATACAAGCTGGGTACAGACATTTGGCAGGTTCTCAAAGCCCTGTGAGCTGACCTAATCGGCTGCTCTCCATGTTTGCCCTACAGATTTTAGGATGCTCATTAGCGTCAAGCAAACATCAAGGGCTAAACCACCAGTTGCAATGGCAAGGTTGGACAAGGAGAGATGCACCCACGTCATGTAACATGTTGCGATCCTGAGCGTTCTATATTGACGGTAATGTTCGGTTCCTGACCCGACAATATTGCAAGGACGACCAATGGCAGGGCCCATCGCAGTACTTCCAGGCTGGCCAATTTACCGCCCTAAAGTCACGCCTTTTACCACATGGCGCAAGCCCTGCTCCTCCTGTTTGGTACCTCGTTGCAAAGCATGCGGTGTGAAGAAAGAGGCGCTTCCACTACAGAAGAGCAATCTCGCGATCTTTCGATTTTTCTCTGTATGGCGCTGTTACAACAGCTCGAGAGGCTGTAGAACCGAACCTCACATGATGCCTGAAAGTGGCGTTGGCGCGTAGGGCTATATGAAGTCGGCTTGCAACGCTTTCCACGCTTTGCAGGGTCTCCAGAGAATCACCGCGGTGAACATCATGTGCAAAACAGCCGCGGCGCGGCAGTTCGTTGTCTTGTGAATGAACAGCAACAAAACATTTCGGAAATCCCGCACCAGCCAGCGACTTCTTTTCGAAAATTTAGCGCACTTAGGGTCAAGAGAATACAGTTGTTGAACAACGTGGGAACCCTCGCCAAACTCCCGACCAACAAAAGACTATCGTTCCGCACTACTACTCGGTAGTGGTAGATTTGTTGGTTCTGGGTGGGGGGACGCCATTTATATTCTGGGACATGTCATTTTCGGCCCTCAGCTTCGAATGGATTGCAGGATGGCAACCCTATGAATCCATCGTGCGGCCACATGGAGGCGCTCCTCCATCCAGTCGACCATCCATCGACCGAGCGAGCGACCGAACAGCTCATCAGGGCCGTAGTAGCAAGATCAGCGAAGGAGATGATCAGCTTCATCAACACACCACTCGGCGCCGAAAGGTGCTGCAAGATTGAAGGGGCCAAAATCGATCTGCTGGATATCCGCTCTCAGCCCGACGAAGAGACCGCGCGAAATCCAAAAACGATGGAATGCGGCGGCCCCGTCTAGTCAGTTGCTTGTGCCCTGGCACTGGCGCTTTGTAGCGTGCGCAGCACGAGACGAGCACGCTTATTTCTCTAGACAGTGGAGAGCGTAATACTCCGCTGCCTAGCACTCCATTTCCCGACGAACGAATTGTTGGCCCCCATGAATCCCACGAGGAATGATTCCATTCCGTGAAAGTGCACAGTACAGACTGTCTGTCTTTCTGCGTCCTTCCCTTTCCCCTAGCCCTGCGACCGAACGAAGGATGGACGCTACGCTGTGATCCAACGGAAAATCAATCGAAACAGACAATCGGAATACCACCTCTACTCCTCTACCCATCTTCCCACCTCGCGCATTCCGTCCAAATCCAGCCCAAACTTCGTATTGCCCCAATCCATTCACATCTGCTCCGTGCGTGATGTTGATTCCTACAAACCAAACGGGCGAAAAAAGCCGAAAAGTAGAGAAACCGATATCCAGCTCTCCCTCCACCGTAGGATCGAGGGCGCGGGCGTTTGGGAGTGGAGAATTTCGTTTGTCTCGGCCAATTGAGGCGGTGGAAGGGTGGTCGATCGCTTGCCGTGCGTTGCTGCGTGGAGGGAACATGTGGCACTCTACTGCCTGTCTGTCTGTTCTGGTGGGTGGTGCTGCTGGCTGCTGGTGCTTCGATGTGCGAACGCATGGAAGGCTGTGCTGTGGATGTATGTAGGCAGTGAGAAAGCAGGTAGTTTGGATGTTGTAGCATTTTGGCAAGGAGAAGTAGATGTGAGGTTTTTGTGATGTTGATGATGATGATAATATAATATGTAGTAGTTCTCATAATTTCCATCTCATATACATGAAGTGCGTCTCCTTCTCTCTCTCCTGAGCTCCTTCGTATTTCATCTTGGGACTCGATATTTCCATCTAGCTGTAGAGAAAATCACCGCAAAACTAGATCCTCCCACAATTCGTCTCTCCAAATAGATAAAACGGGCCAATCTTGCCGGGTATAATATTTCCATTCTTGCTTTTGCTGCTCATCAGTTGAAGAAGTCACAAAGCTTCGTTGTTCCCATATAAGACAATCCTTGAACTCCACAGACGGCAGATGCTCAAAGGACGAATGAATGTCGTCCTAAGGATCACTTTTTCCCCCTTTCTTTCTTCCTTTCATAATTTCCGTCGTATGCAGGGTGAAGATGATGTGTGTGATATGATTAGGGTGGCGTGGCGTATCAGCAGTGGCCGCGGCTGGCGTAGCGAAATTTGAAACCAACAACTTTGGGAAGTCAGTGTCATATCAATTCGTCGCCACCACTCCTGCCGACTTCCTCAATCACCTTGCGGACCTCGTCCTCCTCGAACATGGGGCCCATGCCGTCGCAGCGCGCCATTTTCTTGAGGCGCTCGCATACCTCGCCGATGTCGACGGCGCCGGAGAGGTAGAGCGGGTGTGATTGTAGTAGATCCCAGGTGGCACTGGCCGAGAGGAGGTGGCTTTCGCTTCCGGGCGAGCTGCGGAATGTGCCTGGGGAGGTAGAGGATTCTGTCGAGAGGAGGCCATTGGTTAGTCTGGAGGCGTCGACGTTTTGGTCGTGCGATGGGGAGCTTTTCGATTGTCTAGAAGGGGGCAGCAGACTGGGGTCGTCGACGAAGCCGGGTGGGTGGTGTGACGTCGGTGATGACGAGGCAGTCGCCCTGAGGATTTCGTTTTCGGTTTGTGCTCTTTGCAGCATGAGCTTCAGGCGCTCGTTGTCGGATTGTAATGATGAGGTGGTGGTTGTGAGGAGGTTGAGCTTGGCTTCCAGGTCTCGCACGTGTCGCTCTTTTCGTTCTCTGAATGCTCGTTGTCTGGAGATTCGCGTTAGCATGCTTTCCATGGTATAGCATTCATGTAGGGAGAGCTCACGCTGCTCGGTTTTGTGCTTTCCGCCTTGATTGTGCTGGAGTAAGAGAGTCCTTCTCCTCGCTGCTGCCTCTTCTGCCTGAAGGCTCGTTCTCCATGTCCATCGCGATTCCACTGTCTACGGATCCGTTGGGCAGCATCGAGATTTGCTGGGCGGGCGGAGATGCGGACGTTGCGGGCATGGGTGTGAGGCCTGTTCCCTGACCGAGCGATGCGTCAAAGTTATAGTCGAACGAGTTGAGGTTGAAGGCAGTCGAGTCGAGGTTCTCCATACTCTGCGGCCTCGGGGTTAGTGATCTATACAGTGCATGCGAGGTTTGGAGTTACAAACCGGTGTTGCACCCATGCCGTCACCGCTAACTTGTGGGAACTCGCCATATCCCATGTACTGGTAGGGCTGCGGTGCAGCCGCAAAGTAGTTGTAATCCATGGACTCCATGGCGCAGACGGCGAGCTCAAGAGTGGTATATGTGGTACGGGTTGGTATTGACGGTGGTGGAGGTGGAGTGCGCACGGCACGACTGGGACGTGATAGAGGCCTTACAGCTAGGCACACACTACAGGAGGGGATGTATGGTGTGGTTCGAGGTGGTCAACAACGAGGAGAGGGCAGAGCGCGGCGGGAAGGAGCCACGATATAGATGTAGTGGCTCAGCCCAAGAGACAGCAGGACGCTTTGGGTTGGGCCAGTGACACGCAACGTGCACCAGGACCAACAGCCAGCAGCAGCAGCACGACGCCAGAGATGAAAGGACCCGACGACGGCGATAGTTCCAGCTAGTCTGTCGGGCCCGTTCTGTGCTGCACGTTCTCGCGTAGCCTCGACCAGCGTGCGTACGTGCAGATCACGGGGAAGATGGAAGATGAGAAGGAAGGGGTCGGGCGGGCTCGACGGAGGCATCTGGGAGCAGCGGTGTTGGTGCATACGACATTCTGCACGCCCTGAATCCTTCGGCCAGCAGCCTGCAAGAGAACAACGTTTGAGCCGGCAACAGGCGCAGCACCGCGATAGCAGCCCCAGCGTGTGCTGCAGCCACTCGCCGCCGACGCAGGGAGGGGTAGCGGTCGGCGCTGCACACGCAGGATTTTAGCGCCGTGCACGAGGCGCGGCCTGTCGGCGACAGTCATCAACGCCGTCCGTGCATAGCCTTTGTGTTGCAAAAGGCAATGTGATGACTTCGCGAGCTGTGTGTGGCCTCCCGACCTGCGACTCAGGAAACCTTGCCGTGGCGCGCGCTGCTCCCAGTCGTCCTGCTGCTTGGAACAACACCACTTTGCGCGTTCGGTCCGTCGCTCACCTCCGCTGCCCGCCCTCTACGTACGGGCTGGCGGGAGGTGCGGACAGAGCTCTCTCGATCTTCACGATAACACGCAATATGACGAAACCCGTCGCTGGCGGTCGCAGCGTCCCTGCGAACAATACTCACACCGTTTAGACACACATTGGATTGGTCCTCTGTTTGGATCGCTGGCCGTCAGCAAGGCTAAGCCTTCCACTCGATGCGGCAGAAGCGAAGCATACGGGCAATAGTATGTACCACCCTGTGGTTCGACGCTAGCCTGGCTCGTGGGCCGACGCTTGCATGTTTCTGTTGGACAATCGAATGTGTGGCTTGCCGGTATCGTGAAGTGGAGGAGGTTCCACAGCAAGCTCAACCTGCGGTAAGTAGGCAGGTGGAAATAGACGGAAAAGTGACGCACTGTCAGCACAACACATCCAGAGAGGTATGGTACAGTCCATTGAATCAATCAATTGTCGTAGCGGGCAGGCCTAGGCGTGATGGGACGACCGCGGAGGAGAGCGACTGCGAGCTCTTCCTTGTCAGTTGCCCGGCAGGGGACGGATGGCCCGAATGGTCGTTGCGCGGCCGTGGAATGGGTGTGGACGCTGGCAGCGGTGGCAGCAGGGTGGACGAGCGTTGGATGCGCTCGTGGCCAGTCGTTGGTGTCACGCCTCGTGGGGGAGATCTGGCATCTCGTAGGGCTGGTTATTCATCGCTGGCCTTGGATGACTGGCAAGAGACAAGCCTACGCCAAGGAGCACCAAGCAATCTGAGGCATCCGTGCGGCGCTACGGTCCGCGCAGCGTGGCCCTCGGCAGGCGATGGCGTTTGGCGTGTGCTAATTGGGCGCGGGGCTCAGCTGAGACGCAGTCATCATCTTGTCGACCAACACCTCACTCTCACACGAATCTCAGCTTCGTAGCGTGGCAAGCTAGCAAACCAGCGGTAGATGCTCAACCAATCTCGTGGCCATGGCAGCTTCAGCGTGCGGTGCTGGTGTGTTGGTGGGACTGACTTCCAGAGAGAGTTTCAGCTGCATCGGGCACAGCAGGGGATGCCCGGCCGTGGCCGTTCGCCTGTTCCGAGCTCGCTGGAGCTGACGCGGTTGGCGCAAGATGCCATACCGTCCACACGGCATCATTGCGCCGACACGCGAGTGCTGATACCGAACACCAGCTCGGCGGGCCCTGGAAGTGTGATAGACAAGGGTCTCGTAAGAGCGGCGCCGGGATCTACAGTTGTGGGTGAAGCTCACAAGCCGACTTCATTTCGTGCCCAGGGTCCGGCTGCCGGTGACAGTCCCACTTCGTCCGGCCAAGTCGAAGAAGCATTCGCCTGGCTGCGGAGTTGCCTCTGTATTCGCCTGGAGTACGAGGGTAACCGTGGAACAGGTGTTCTCCGCACCTGCACGGCTGACTTGGGGGCATCATCTGAGCCGGTGCAGCTGAAATTAGGCGAATGTCCACGAGTCTGGCCGGACCTTTAGGGCAGGTTGCTTCAAGCAATTTGGTCGGGCACATGTCCAGGCTGCGAGCGGCATGAAGACCGGTTGTTTCACGACCTATTGGGATGATTTGTCGTAGCGCCACCAACTACCGGGTGTCAGGACTGCATGATGGGTAGGACAACGCATCGCAAGTTGTCTGCATCAACATTCATTGACGTTGCTTGGCACGTGGAGTTCTGCAGGGTGCATATTAGCCAGGCGATGTGATAAGTGGGGTTCAGCTACTTGTCAGCGGTGAGTAAGGGGATGTGTCGCGCATCTTCTAGCCGTATCTGAACGACGAGGACGTACCTGAAGATGTATCCGTATATCTAAACTGCATCTGTACGTTGTCGTCCGAAAGCTTCCTTACGGACGATGACCGAGCAGGCTACAGGTCGAAACCGTTGGACCAGATTCGTGATGGCCAGGGTCTACGCGTGTAGCATCCGAATTGCATGCACCGTAGCGATGGCGCACCGTTCAGCCACGAGTATTTTTCCAGCGAGATTAGGCTGACTCGACACTCTCGACTGATTTCGTACTCCGTGTACTCAACGCTGACTCCTGTCCTCAACCAGCTTTCGGAGACCGGTCAGGCCAACCCAGACAGCCTCTTCTGTTCTGATAGTGCGGCTCCCCTGGCCAGGCACTAAATTGATCCAAAAATCAAACACCTCTTCTGCCTTTGACACCCCGGCAGCTTGCAGTTCCTCGTCTGCACGTAGCGCCATTTCAATGCCTGTGACGCCCCCAAACACCACGACGAGGTGGTTCCAGGTCGGCTCCACGTAACTTGTGCTTCCCGACTCGAGGATGGCAGACAGAGGCGAACCTCTCTCGCTTGTGCCAATGCTGACATCGTAGCCGCCATCGAAAGTACATTCGGTGAAGATGGATCCGAGTGATGCCGCCTGTCGCACACTGTAGCCCCAATAATAGCCTGCCTGTTCGCGTGGAGTCTCTGGTGCTACAGCTTCGCCGGTGATCGGGCCATTGGGGTTAGAAGGACGCTGCTCTGGCAGCTGGACTGTGACTCGAGTGTTCACTTCGACTTCATCCGAGATCTTGACTCTCTGCCCCAGCCCACAGTCCACCAAAGTCGAATTCCCATTCCCAACGCCGGTCGTGATGCCCTCTCGAAACTGACACCACTCTTCTGAGCGGAGATGATGCGGCATATCCAAGCTGGGCAGTGCACCGGCAATACGAAGATCCGGGTGCATGGGAAAGAGACTCTTCCTGAGATTTGGTGGAGTCTCCAAGTACGTCAAGACGTGGTAAAGGAAGAAGTTGGGGTCCGCGAATGCGGTATAGCCTCCCTGCTCCGGATCTCGAATCTCGGCTTGTCCATCATCAAAGACAACGATCTCATCGACGCAGAACACTGCGCATGCCCGAGCGATCTGTCCTGCCAAGCTTGTCTTCTGGTCGTGGGTGAGAGCACTGTTGTGGGCGAGGCCAAGTCAGCGATGGATTCGTGCGACGGCTTGGCGAGCATGAGCGGCCAGCTTTGGTACGTGACAAACATCTTTATAAGATATTTCGTTACGTACTTGGCTATTATGCTGCCGGGCAGCGCGATGCTCAGAGTATGGCTTCGTCCACCAGCTGGAAGGAAGACGGCGGATGGCTTCGATGTGTCGGGCGCGGAATCATCATGCTGCGTCCTTCTCTTCTGTGATGGCGCGTTGTTAGCAGAATCCTTCTCTACATATCATCATCTCGTTACCTTGGACTTATGATTCGACATTGTCGTTCAGTGCCGTGATTTCGAGTTGGCAGGGCAGGTGGTGTGGTCGAAGTCGCGAAGATTTTGACTTTGCGGCTTGCCATGTCCGCCAAGACGAGCCTGAGGTTCGTTCCATCGTCAACACATACCGTCCATCAAACATTCTCAGACACGACAAAGCATCTCCTTGGCAGCAGGTCAGCCTGCGTATATATGCACAGGGAAAGGCATCCTCTGCACAGCGAGCGACATAGCCCTCAAGCTGAAAAACCAGCCGGGAGATGCGTCTTAACAAGCACCGCTTTGTCACCGTCTCCAACCACTCCCATGGACTGACTAAGGATGTGTGGCGCCGACCAATGAAGACGTTATTACGGCGGCGATCCGCTGGCAAAGGAACGGGGCCATGGAGTGCCCGTTGGTCAAAGATGAAGGAAAGGAAGAACCTCACGTCTCCCACGTCCCCAACCTATGTCTTCACGCGGCAGGTTATGAGCGAGATCGAAGATGAGCGGCCTTACGTGGCGGTTTGGTCATGCCTTACGAACCCATGGCTACCATGCTAGGAATCTCCAGATCGGCCGCAATCTGCCAGATTGTGCGACGTTCGCATCAGGACTCTTTAGGGTACAGGATCGCATCCAACTGCTTGTGGCGCACCACGGCCGACTCCAACGTGCAGCGTGACTCGGCCTTCCACCGACCCGCAGCATACAGATCGTACAATCTGGCGATGTTCCTCGACCGGGGCAGTAGCGCCTCCTGCCAATCCTCCCAATGCCATTCAATATCCCTCACCTGGCCTGTCGAGAAGTCTTCCACTTGGATCGGGATATCGTAGGCGGAGGCTTCGCTTTGAAGGAATGGGCCCCTCTCGCTTGAAATTCGGATCTCTCCTTTCTCGCCGTTGATCGTCCAAACGAAGGGCAGCGTAACCGGAAAAGGTGGCCCATTCCGGAAGTTTACAATCTGTACAGCCAACTCGTCAGCATGTGTGTGGGTTATGGAAGCAGCCTTGCAGGCGCGGCCGAAGAAGAGAGACTACGAGTTCCCTGGACCTTCCGCTCACTGCTCAACACGTATACCATCTCCATTGCTCGTAAGCTGTAAAACAACTTGAGCTGCAATTACGAGCTTGTGGTTTCATGCACCCTGATCTGAGCAAAGCAACAAGAGTAGGATCCCCCCAAAGATCGTGGAACTTGATCCATCTCCTGTGGTATCAAGCAAGATGAACAAGCAGGCAACACCACTTACCAAGCTAGCGCCTTCTTCGACATACGGCGACGTCTCCAACGTCCCATGCAAAGAGACCAGGTCAGGCACATCTGAAGTGAAAGGCCGCTTCTCGCCAGTCTCCTTATTGATGACGGTCTGCTTCGGATGCTGAATCTGCGTATGAGCATGCGAGCTCGAGTATTCACCCAGCACGAAATGGACGAAATCGATCACTGACCCATGTGTCAGTAGCTTGTCACCATACCTATTGATGGAGAAGGATCGAAGGACTCACTATGACCAAAAGCAATAATGACAGGATTGCCGCCAACCTTCTTGTCCAAGAAATAGGCCAGTCCCTCCGAAATCGAGTCTCGGCCGCTGAAGGGTGAATAGGCTTGGACGGAACTACTCAACACTTTCCCGATCTCTCCGGATGCAAGAATCTCCTTCACTTTAAGCACCGCCGGCGCCACCCTCGCCTGCAAGCCCACAATGTTAGGGACATCCTTCTGCTTCGCCAGATCCGCCAGCTCCCTCGACCGCTGCGTGTTCTCAGCGACTGGGTACTCGATGAAGACGGCTTTGCCAGCTTCGATGCTGGGCTTGATCGTATCGTAATGCACATCTACTCGTGTGGCGTTGACGACGAGGTCGATGTCTGGGTCTGCGGCGAGGTCTTGAGGTGCACCGTAGGCTTTGGTGTCTGGTCCGAGATTGTAGGATTCTATTGCTTTCTTTCCGGCTTCGACGCTGGAGTTGAGGAGGGCTTTGATTTGGTATCTCTGTCGGCCGCGGTCGGAGAGGAGGTAGGGGAGATGGCCTTCACTGTTTTGTGTCAGTTGCTGGATGGTTCGCCTCTTCGATCGTACGAACCTCGCCCATGATGTCTTTGCGGACTGCGAAAGTCCTATGAGAGCAACTGTGATGGGTGCCATATTCTCGTTTGTCTTTCACTGGATAACTTCTCAGATGTGATAGAGCTTCGCCTACACTTCGTTGATACACTTCAGAAGTCAATATGTCGTCCCCTCAGCCGCCTCCTAGTCCTCCTATATATCCCACTCCATCACACTTGGCAACAATTCGATTTCTCAGCATCTTCGCAAACCTACCTGAAGAATTCATTTCCGTTGCCTTACGCTCGCATCAGATGGCGACTTTCACAGCCTTCACCTTGAGCTACTCCACGTAGTGAGCCATACTCACATATACGAGCTCCAATAGGTATAGTCAGCTGTAAGTGTGTCTCTGCGGCCGCATGCGGGACCGTCAGCGGCGGCCGAGATGCGTGCGCTCCGCAAGATGAGGTTCTGACAGGAACGACAAGTTGTTAAGCATTTCCAATACGACAGGATCATGCAAGACATTTCTTGCTGGTCTGACAATCGTTTTCCTTTCGACTTGTTTATTATTACAGACTGCTCTGCGCTCAATGGCTTGGTATCTTGTACTGCTTTGAAGCTCTCAACCTCACCTGCTACCTGTATACAAGCTCCCAGGAACCAGATGCTCAAGCTCTCACCTTGAAAAACACATCCACCAGCCAGGCAATCCTCACTGTCAAGCGTTCGCATGTGCTCGATCATACCATCCCAACCATTCCTCCCATCACGCCCAAAAGCAGCAAATCCCGAGAACCTGGCCATCGCCCTCGCAAGCCCCGATCGTGAAGAAACCCCACAACTGCCCCCAGAATCCAGATGACGTGCTTGGAGCTACTGATGGCTCTACCATAAGGTTCACTCTCGCTCTGTGCAAACTCCCCAACTACCGCGACGATGACGAGTACGATTCGCCCAATGCGAACTTTCGTGCCTGACGCCATGGGTGTCGTCGAAGGTGTTTTTGCCCTGTCCACGCACCGGTTATAAGGAGCAAAGCTCGAGGGAGGTTGATGCGATGGGGAGATCGTCAATCTTTTCCGTGTGTGCTTTGCTCCGAGGTCTGGGTGGAGATATATAAACGAAGTGTTTGTCCCCGTCTTGGTCGTGTTCTCGTTTTGGACATATTGTTGTATTACCTGCGGGTTTGTTCGTTGAGAAGTAAACCCCTGCCGCAAAGATGGGCCACGAGAATCGGATCGAGCAGCTCGAGGGCTTGCACAACATCCAGACGAACGGCGACTTTTACGAGAAGTTGGCTTCTGGCAAGATCGCAACCAGTCCGTCTGCTGCGTCTTCGCTCGCCAATGGCTCGGTGACCACCCAGCCGTACTACATTCCTGTGCCCATCACCATCAAGGCGCAGCTCGGAAGTCCAGTAAGTGAACATCGTGGAGCGATATGAGCTACTCGCTGCGGAGAGGGTTTCAGTGCTGAGACCTATGATAGACTGCCTTGGCCATTGGAGCCTTCTCGACAACCTTGACGACCCTCTCCTTGGCGCTCATGGGATGGCGCGGTGTCAGCGTGACCAATGCCTTCATTGGTGATTTCTTCGGTGTTGCTGGTATTGGCATGGTAAGCTCAAGATCGATTCCAAAGCCTCCGTTGGGCGTGTGCTGAAGCGACATAGTTCGTCTCTGCAAACTGGGAGCTTGTACTCGGCAATACCTACGCATATACTGTTCTGGCTGCCTTCGGTCTCTTCTACGCTGGATTCGGCTTCATCGTGACACCTTCGTTCGGTGTGGCAGACGCGTATGGGGGTGTCGATAGCCCGCAGTACAACAACGCCGTCGGATTCTTTGTGCTCAGTGAGTCAACCCTCGAGTCCAAGTCTCATTTCCCCCAAGTCCGCTGACCTCTCCTGCAGTGTGGGCGGTGTGGAACCTCTTCTTCCTGCTGGGCTCGCTCCCGCTGAACCTCATCTACATCGGCATCTTCTTCACCGTCCAGATGGCCTTCACGCTCGTCGCAGCCGGGTACTTCCTCAAGGCCGACGGCCTGACCGAGACTGCGACCGCTGTGAATAAAGCAGGAGGGGCGTTTGCGTTCGCGAGTGGAATGTTTGGGTATTACACGGTTGCGAACCTAATGTGTCAGGAGTCGATGCGGTTCAGCTTCCCCATGGGCGATACCAGCCGGTTCTTCCAGAGGAAAGCGAAGAGCTCGTGAGATGGGTGAGATTGGATCGTGAGGAGGGAGATGATATAAAGAAGGGCTCTTTGATTACTAGATCGTAGAGGATAGAGATCAGTCATCTTTAGTGGGCGCCGTTGGATGGCGTGTAATGGCAATCCTCCCGTTGATGGATGGTAACGATTACTTGATCGTCGAAGTGTGTGTTCCTGCTGTTCGAGCTGTCTGTTCAGGTGTGTTCGTAGTCTTCCAGAGCTGGAAATTGTCGTCTCGTGAGAGGAGTCGTGAGGAAGCTCGTGGGCGGCAAGCCGTCGCCAAGGAACTTCTCCGACTTCATCATCACCGGCCGGCGGCCAGAGACGTGCAACAGTTCCCGCTGTCCACAACAACACTCTCCTTGCAGCATTTGAGAAGCAAGCGTTCGATCCAAGCGTCGGAGACCTCGAAGGAGTAGCCCACAGCTCAATTCTTGGGTCAACCACGAACCTTCCACGCAACGGGCCACCGAACCAGCACGGCCACAATCCCGAGCTCGACTTGCGATGAACTCTCTGCTCTCCGGCAACGACAACCCTCGGCGCATGATGCCCTCGTCTTCGATGAGCATCTCGGAAGTCGAATGCATGCCGAGAACAACATACCGGACGCATCAACGCCGCAGTCGCAACGACAACAAGCAGAAGCAGCTTGCGCCTCCGCTTGGCCTTCGATCTGCCAGAGATCAAGCAAAAAATGGTGGAGACGAGCAATAAGACGAAAATGCTCAGGTATGGACGTCTTGAGACATGACAAGGCGGCATGCTGTCGTCGTGAGAGGCCGTCTGCGCTCGGGGACTTGCAGACCTGGAAGCTGTTCGTCCAGCGGGCACCCGGCTTGGCTCCTGACGATTCGACGCAGTGGCTGCAGGCCTACCCCGTTCAATGAAGCTGTCCAAGGAATTGAAGAGAAGATCAGAGCGAGGACAAGGGTTGAGGCATAGAGAAGACACCGCTGGCCAAGCTCCGTTCTCTCACCGCATCCTCCTGGCCGGAATGATGGAGGCCACAGCCCATTTGCCCCTTACAACGATTCGAAGTCCACACCTTGGAAATCTCCCCGGCACATACAATGTTCCATGGCGTTGGTTCATCGCACTGGATCGCAGCGATCTGCATCTCCTGGAGATAGAAGCTTGGAATATCGACGGCGTCCAGATATTTGGAGTCTTGAGTATGGCAGGCGCTTCAGCTATACTTCGACTCTCGAGGACGATCGTAGCTCCACGCTGGGGCCATCTCTACGAGCGCATAGAAGGTGCGTGCTGTTCTTCCAGACGATACGGCCATGCTTTGGAGTCCTGAAGATGGCATACACCACACTTCGGCGCCATTGCTGCAGATTCGGCAAGGCATCTACACCGCCAGCTGAGACGTAGCGCTGCACTTGTGCCGCTCGAGGTGCGATGAACTCTGGTAAATGGAGCTGGCAGCTGTGGCAGGAGTTGGCTTGCGGTCGGGCAGCTAGAGGCCTGAAAACCGCTACATTAGCTGGGTTTTTATTGTGCCCTCAGGAGTACCGACCTCTCAACGACCCTTCTCTTGGATGCCTTCAAGCGTTGGTTGAAACTTCCTCGGCGCTCGCTTGCCCTTGCAACGCCTTGGGTGGCGTGTGGATCTCACCGCCGGCCGCTCCTCCTGCTTGCTCTGCTCTGCCTGCTGCTCGTTCTGCGGCTCTGTCTGACGCCGTGGGATGAAGCGCAGCCCGCCGCGCTCGTCCCAGTCGTAGCGGCCATCGAGTCTGTCCCAGCGGGTGGACTTGCGTGCCTTAGCCGGCCGCAAGGGCAGATCTCCTGCGGCATCTTCTTCGTGGTGCTGGTGCTGCTGCTCTCGTAATTGCAAACACATCCCTGAAAGGCGAGGAGCGAGTTGCCAAGCTTGGTCGATAAAGGATCTTCGGAGATGTGCCAAGTTTGCTCTGAGCAGCTTCTTTACTCGAGCGTGTGTTGGCAGGAGGTTGCTGTCGACCACGCAAGTTGAAGCGGACTTTCAGCGGCGATGCGGGAGAGAGCATTTCCACCTCTTTGCCATGTTCCACGCCAACGATACGATTACTGCTGGACTAGAGAGACATTGGAGACCGGGCATTGATCAAATTCAACCTCGTTATCCCAAGAGCGCGCTTGTTGCCAGGTCCACTGCCTGCGTAACGCCCATATTGACGGCAGTTGCAAGAGCATTCCACTTGGCCTTGCTTCCCACCGTCTCTCTATGGATGCCTAAGCTATTGGCAAGACCTTAGGACGTCGAATTCCGAGCCACAGCTACAATTTTCCGGCTTTCACGCGTAGGTTACGTTTCTTCCTGCGCCCGCCATCGTTGGTATCGTTTTCTTTCTTTCCTACGGTCAGAATACGAGCATGAGGTACCGGTTGACGCATCTACTATTGAGTAACCGACATGAGTCTGCCTGAGCAGCTCGACGTCTCCAAGCTCTACTTACGAAGCCTCAACGGCTGGAAACAAGGCTGCTGGGTACATGACTTTGAAGGCATTTACATTGACAACAACGCGCGCTATCGACTGGACAAGTTACCTGGTTCTCATCAAGAGCTACATGAGGAGATGCACGTCGAGCAGACTTCATGGGCACGTTCAGTACGCTGCCAAAGTCGGCAGTATCTGCATAGCCGCTGCCTCTTCGTTCCTACGTCTTCATTCCTATCCAAGAGACGATACTCACGGCTGCACCCAACCCGGCAAAGTTGACATTGCCAAGCTGCCATACCTATACAGCGCCCCGACGCCCTTTGAAACGCGGCTACAGTCTGCAGCTGCTGCAGCTGGACGGCAATCTTGTTTGGGGTCGTCCATGCTCAGCAATGTGAGGCTTTGCAAGTCCCAAGGGGTTGCTCTGCGAGCGAGACGCGTTCGTGGGTCGTCCAATGTCAGGGGCAGTAGAACGGCTCGGATGGTATATGCCAAGTCGCCTGGGACGTACGAAGAGCATTGGAGCCGACAACGAAAGAACTCGTCCAGTAACGAGCTACAACAGTATGGTTGTTGTCTCCTGCTCTTTGATCTGTATGGTCGTGGAGCTTGCTGGAACCTGACTGTCAACAAACGAGACGCGTCTTCAATGTCCAGCAAACCTCGCGCTTCTGGAGGACTTGCTTCCCGCATGTATTTGGTCGATAGCTCACGCGTACCGCCACGGCCAGCCCTCCTTGGACGCCTGGAATTGCCATATCGGCCTGGTTTTACATTGCTGGTGCTGCACTTTGCTCTCCTCCTCTTTCGGCCAGGCCTGTTGGAGTGTCCACCACGTTGCATGCTCCTCCTCTTGCAGCCGACCGCCATTGGCAACATTGGTCATATCCTCTTCGCTTTCCAAACGTTGTCTGGGCTTCTCTATCAACGGTGCGAAACACTCGGGCTTGTCCAACCGGTGGTACCAACGTTCCAATCCCCTGCGCGTACCCCGACGCGTCTTCCTCCTCTTCTTGAAGTCTCCATCGATCTCCTGGTGGGAACGCTCGGTATTTGTTGTTGGGTCGATGTCTCTGGGCAAGCTAGAGAGTCAAGGGCCTTGTGATATCTGGGAGGAATAGGTGATATGATGGTTGGGAACGGGCAAGAGAGCTGCCTCAGACTTGAAGGACCTCAACATGGATCGCCTCTCCTCGCATCTCCTGACGAAGGCGATGCTGCCTGCAAGTCCCTCGGAGCATCGATGAAAGCGCTGCTGGTAGAGAAGGGTACTGCCAGGCATTGTGCACATGCTGTTACCGGCCTTTATCTGTCCTCTCACATGAACCTGCACATGGCCTTGCACCTTCCTCCCCCGAGACAAACTCCGCAACGTTCCTTCCTCACGAACGACATCGCTGCCGCACCACGTGAGCCCCGCTCGCTTAATTTCAACGTGTTTCGTGGCCGTGCATCGCAAACAGCGGCTACAAATTCGAGCTTCCTCTTTCTCGACTTCCTCAACACACCAACACCATCCACTTCCGCTCCCCATCTCTGCTCCCTCGTCACCCACTCGACGACGGCCAGAGATCTCTCCGCACCCACACGACCACCGACAGACGACTCGTCACTTGCACGACCTCGTCCGTCCAGGTAAGTCACCCAACCTCGCCTGCCACCTGCCATCTCAACACCCACCCACCCACCACCTCGACTCTGCGACGCACATGCTAACACTTACCCTTCCACCAGCACCTCATCCTCAGTCCACCACATCATTACATTGTCACTCGATCACCACATCAGCGACAATGTCTGACTCATTCGGCAACGACGCCCCAGCCGACGCCTGGGGCACCAACGAGCCGCAAGACACTCCGCAGCCGTCGGGTTCAGCACCAGTTGTCTTCGACAAGGAGGCCCTTGCTCAGCGTGCGCGTGAGCAGGGATGGACGGAGACCACCGCGTACGACTACGAGGCCTTTGAGCGTCAGGGTGGATCCAATGCCGATTGGTATGGCGCCGCTAAGGTCTACGAGTAGTCAGGCGAGATCGGCGAGATCGGTCCAGAAGTCCCAGAGCTGGAGGCTATACTCTTTGGCCGCGAGTTCCGCCCCGAGCAGGGCGAGCACATTGCCCAACTCAAGGAGATCGAGGTGCACGTCGAGGGACCAGAGAGAATTGCTCCCATTGTTCGGGTATGCCTACTACTTCCATGCACCACATCATGTGCTAATGTTCCTCAGTTCACCGACGCTGGCCTTCACCCTGCTGTGCTTGCCAACTGCCAGCGCGCCGGCTACGTCGTCCCAACCCCGATCCAAGGCTACGCCATCCCCACCATCTTGGGAGGCTCCGACGTCGTTGCCATTGCTCAGACTGGTAAGTGTAACATGAAAACTTCTTGGCCTCTCGCAAGATTACTGACAATCGCACAGGTTCTGGCAAGACTGCCGCGTACCTCGTTCCTATCCTATCGAAGCTCATGGGCAAGGCAAAGAAGTTGTCCGCGCCTCGCCCAGACGTTACCAAGCCAGGCTTTGACATCCGCTCCCACGGCGTTAGGGCCGAGCCACTTGTCATCGTCGTCGTTCCGACTCGAGAGCTGGCCATCCAGATTTTCGATGAGGCTCGCCGTATGTGCTACCGCTCCATGCTGCGCCCATGCGTTGCGTATGGCGGTCTCCCGATGCAGATCTGTCGCGAGGAGCTCGGCAAGGGCTGCGATATCCTCATTGCTACTCCAGGTCGCCTGTGCGATCTCATGGACAAGCCTGATCTGCTGTCCATGAACCGCGTCAAGTAAGTACAGTGGCATCTTTCTATGCACGAGCCTGGGCTAACGATAAACAGGTTCACCGTCATTGATGAGGCCGATGAGATGCTCGACCAAGACTGGGAGACTGAGCTGACCAAGATCATGGCGGGTGGTGGTACGTACTGACCTCGTCTTCCTTCTTCGATGAAAGTTGCAACTTACTGACTGACTCCTAGACACCAATGAGGATGCCGATCACCAGTTCATGATGTTCTCCGCCACCTTCCCCAAGGGCGCCCGTGAGCTGGCCCGCAAGTTCATGGCAGAGGATCACTTCAACATTCGCGTCGGCCGCGCCGGTCAGACCCACAAGAACATTCGTCAGAATATCGTCTACGTCGATCAGAACGCGAAGCGCGAGGCCGTTTACGACCTCCTCATCTCCATGGAGAAGCCTGGCCGCACCCTCATTTTCTGCAACTCCAAAGCCGCTGTCGACCTCCTCGACGACTTCCTCTACAACCGCCAGCTACCCACGACTTCGATCCATGCCGATCGCAACCAGCGCGAGCGTGAGGATGCTCTGTAAGTTCAATGCCCATTGCCCGTCAATTCTCCTTTACTGATCTGTTCTAGTCGCGCATTCCGCACCGGCAAGGCCCCTATCCTCATCGCCACCGGCGTCTCGGCTCGCGGTTGGGATGTCAAGAATGTCGTCCACGTCATCAACTACGACCTTCCCAGCGCCATGTACGGTGGCATCTCCGAGTATGTCCACCGCATTGGCCGTACTGGTCGCATCGGCCATCAGGGTCTGGCCACTTCTTTCTACAACGACCGCGACGAGGACCTTGGTCAAGCCCTTGTCAATATCCTCGTCGAGTGCGAGTGCGAGGTGCCTGAGTTCCTGTCCCACCTGACTCCTGAGGATGGCAACATCCAGTTCGACGACGATAGCGACGATGAGGCCGAGGCAGGCGATGGTGGTGCTTGGGGTGGTGCCGCTGATGGCGATGGTGATGCTCCAGCTGCTGCTGGTTGGGGTTCTGCTGAGCCAGCTGCTCCTGCCGACGACGGCTTCACTGCCGACGCTGGCTTCACTCCTGCTGGTGGTGCTCCTCCAGCTGACGACGGTTGGTAAAGACTTGCGACCCATTGCTTGCAGGTACGGATGGCTGGGGTTGTTGGCATACAAACAGCCATCTCACTTGTACTGCTTCTATTGCTTTTCTTGAATGCTTGATACCCATGAGCGAGAAGGGGGAACGAGCGTGTATCCTTCGCAGACCTCAATGAAATCATACTTTGCGTAAACTCCATCTCCAGACTCTCATCATCCTCCGTGACTGTCTTGACTTGATCATGCTGTTCCATTGTATACATAATTCTCGAGAAACCTGAAGAAAGCGCGTGAAGTGAATTGCTTTGTGATCATTCACTTGACATTAAGTATTGGTTGGTCTGTATCTCATATCTATCCATTCATCCTTCTCTCATCCACTGTCATGCATCTCATGCTGTTGGAGGCTGTACTGTATCTACAAGTTCTCATTCCTCGTGGTATCTTTCCCCTCCGTCCATGCACATCATGATCATTATCATGAGGCAAACCCCAAAAGACTCCGCAAAGCGCCGTCGCTGAAAAAACTTTCATCATCAAAATAGGCAAAAAAAAAGAGACACATCCAAGAATCAGTTCCGCACGCGATCAATCCCCACGAACTCCTTCCCATCTCTGCCTACGAATCTTCCCAACGCGTACTTCGTCATCGCGCCTGATGTCGCCTTCTCCTCATCTCCAGCGGCTGCTGCCCTCGCCCGTCCGAATCCGCGAATGCTGTCCGCAAGGGAGATTTTGCTCGCGGCCGCCGCGGCGTTGGGGATGACGAGGGCGGAGCCCGGACGGGCGGAGAGGAGGCGGGTGACGAGGTCGGTTTTGGAGACGGGGTTGCGGAAGGCGAGGTCGTCCAGCAGACGGGATTGGCGGAACAGGGAGATGGTGTTGTCGAAGGTGTCGAGGTTGGGGGTGGTCGTGTGGCGGAGGGTGGCGGGCGGGAAGATGGCGAGGTAGGCGAGGGCGTGGAGGGTGAGGAAGACGGTCAGGGCGTAGTAGCCGGGCATGTGGGCGGAGATGAGGACGCGTTGTTGGGGGATGTAGAATTGGGACCAGAAGATGCCGGAGGCCAGGATGGGGAGGGTGGTGCTGAGGAGGGTTATGGTGGTGAGGAAGGCGAGGCGGTAGTCGGCGTTGAAGAGGGCGGAGAGGGTCGTCAGGATGGGGAGGTCCGCGGCGTAGCTGAGGAGGAGGGTGCGTTCGGGGATGTCGCCGGGTCGGTCGTCTCCCCGGGTGTGTGAGGCGAGGGCGGAGAGTGGCGCGAGTTTGCGGTAGGCGTAGTCGATTTCCATCCAGAAGACAAAGCAGAGGGTTGCTAGGAAGGTTGGGATGAAGGAGTAGAGGAAGTTGCCGCTGCTGAAGCCCATGTTGTTGACCGCGCTGGGGAGCATGGGGCGGAAGCCTTTGGTGCTCGTTGTCGAGGGGAGGTAGGACACGATGAGGAATGCCAGGAGCAAGACGATGGCGATGATCGGCCAGAGAAGGGCGAGGGATGGCTTGAGGAACCATGGGAGCGCAGAGCTGTGGTGGTTCTCGAGAGCCTCTTCGTCTCCGTGTGTACCTTGGCGAGGTAGCATCGGCTCCTTGGACAGGCGTGGTGGGTTCGCAGCGTCGGCCTCGAAATTTGGGTTGCTGTATCGCTGTTCACGATACTGTCCATCCACCACGGCGTAGCTTCGCGCCGGCTTATCAGCAGTGCCATATGCGTGGAAAACCTCATTTGGCCTGTGGCTCGTGCGAAAGTAGCCCAGCTGAGGCACGCTTTCGCCTTGACCGTCGAGAGCATTGCTGCGCTCTAGGAGAACAATCATGTCTGCCAGACTTCGCGGGTCCCACTTCAGTCCGGTGGTGGTCCGCATAAGCCAGACGAGGAGGATCATCAAAGCCAACAAGAGCAAGATGTACAGCGCAATGACGGTCCAAATCACGCCTTGCGTTGCAATCCATCGCCACACGCCATTACTCTGGTAGACGTTGAAGCTCGATCCCAGCAGGGGGATCGTGAACAACTGCAGCCAGGCGATGAAGAGGAAAGTGCCGATGATTGGAAGTTTCGCACCGAAGTGGCCAAAGTACGGCAGCACAAATCCCCGTGGATGTAGTGGCAACCGAGCTGCAACAATCCTCGCTGTTGGCACACTCGACGATCCCATGGCGATGAATGGAGCCATGCGGTAAATCGCCTTCTGAACTTCGAACAGCCAGACCAGAACGATCATGCCGAGCATCGTGGGGAAGTACTGGAAGAGGAAGTATCGCCCATCTCCAAAAGACAGATATCTCCACAATCCAGTGTTGGCTCTACTCCACGCGGCAGCAACGATTAGGCAGATGAGATATGCCAGCACCACGAAGATGAACAGACCCAACTGGAGAGGTCGGAGAATCCCAGGCACGAAGTTCAGGGGAGCTTGTCTCGACTCTTCTTGAGGTACGGGGATGAAGACGTTTGGGCCTTGTCGTTGCGCTTCTGGTCGTCCAGATTGACTCAGTCGATCTGGATTTCTGGGCGGGGGATTGTCCATGTAGGGTGACTGCTCGGAAATGTCCTTCTCCTCCTGTGGTAGTTGTTCGTATCGGGCGCCTTGTGGTTGGGTTGGCCATTGAACGTTGGCCGGGACTTGGTATGGGTAGTTGCCGTCGATTCCAGGGGCGATGCCATACTGCCTGCTGCCTCGTACTTCTTCGTCTCGTGTGAGTTGATCGAGTGCGAAGTGGATGTATGGAGTGTCGTCGACGTGTGGTGTTGGAGCGTCCCGCTCGCGGTTGATATCCCTCGCGACCGAGCTCTGAGCAATGGTTGGCGAGATGCGGCTGTTGCGATTGGATGAGCCGCTCTCCATTACTGTGCTGGGGACCGGTTTCCTTCGAATGCCACCTTCCCTCAATTGTCCCTGTTGTTGTTGAGATCCTGCAAGCAAAGGTTGCTCGACCGCAGCTTGACTTGATCCTTCCTCCACACTCTGTCTTCTCTTGCCGTGGCCTCTCATGGGCGTCTGGCGAAACGGTTCTTCCCCCATCTGCTCGTCAACCTCATGCTGTTGTGGCAGAGGCAGCACGTCTCTCGACTGCTGCGGCGTCCGGTAGCGAGACGGTGGGGTTTGGTATCGGGTTATCGTGAGCTGGGATTGAGATGCTCGGTTGGCATTGGCTCTGGCTGAGGCACCGCTGTGGGTTGATGAGTTGGATCCGGAGAGGGAGTAGTAGTCTTCTGATGCAGTGATGGACTGTTGCGAGGGTCTGCTGTGAATGATGCTTGGATTGGATACTGTAGGCTCTTGTCAGTGGGTGAAGGTCAAGTATATATGGGTTGACGGGAGCGGTGGAGGGCGAGGTGGAGTGAGGCTGCATGAGCTGTTGCAAGGGTATGCTGAGAAGCCGCACTGCATCAAGCCGCAGTACAGAACCACTGACTGATTGGACTCACCGTTGGTCTGGCGTAATGCGAGGCTGCTGTTGGGGTCGGTGGGCTGCAACGAGTTCGACATTGGAGAGCGCGAGGGAGAGGGCTCTGTTACAACGACTGTAAGGACCGTCTTGATGTTGGCATTATTTTATCGATAGGTATTGTGTGGGCACGTGTGATAAGAGAGGACAGAACCATGGGTCGGAATGTCCGGGTTGAGCCTGCAGCGGCTCAGGAACGTTTCGTAAATGTACTGTACCTGGTGGTGGAAAAGTGATGGCGGGTTTATAGCGAGGCTGGGCGCGCGTTGCGAAGGCTGGGGCTACAATCGCCTTGTCTGCTATTGGCGCCTCCCGCAAAATAGGGGAAATGGAAGTGGATGGGAGCGCTATACCGTGCCACCGTGAAGGACTCAATTTCGGGGAGCAGAAGCAGTCAATTGCATCATGCGTTGGTGTTCGGTGGTGGTGTTGTGAAAGCTGAAGCTCAAGCTACCAAATCCTGTGGCGGGGAAACAGATGTCTGCCTTGATGCCTGGCCGCGGCTATATCCGCTTCTCGAAAGCTTGGCGGCCCTGGCTCTGGACATGATGGCAAGAGCTTCACGGCAACAACAGCTACGATATCCCACCTTACACCACCTCAAACCACCCACAAATCAGTCAACATGGCAAACGGTGGCTCCCTCCTCGGAAAGAAGTTCCCTGCGCCCATCGGTGAGTCGCCAATGGCTGCGCGGAAAGCATGAGAGGAGAGGACAGGAGACTGACTTTGACATCCAGCACGGACGATGTGGCCTTTCTACACCGCCGGTACGTCGAGATCATGAACGAGCGGGAAGAAAGGGATGGAGAACCAGTTTTGGGGCAACAGAATACTGATACGGAGGCGCAGGCGTCATCATCGCGTACGGCATTAGCTCCTTTGCGACTGTCCTTGCAAACAGTACGTCCACCTCCCTTCGAAAAGCGCGCACGAATACTGGCGGAGACTTGTGGACAATAATACTAATATATACGTAGCCGACGAGTACAAGAACGACCCGAGGAACCCCAACGCCAAGAAGCCGGCAGAGAAGCACTAGACGGGGGCATTGTTTTCTTGAGTTGAAAAGGTAGCTGGGGCAGCGAGATGGAGACGTGGACATGCTCAATGCTCTGAGTACATCACAGTCAGGGCATTGAGAGGATAGGGCACGTTGCGGATGCATGGACCGAGACCGACCACTGTACATATACCATACCACCGAAACATCTCGCCTGCCGCATCTTCTGAAGACACACTCCTGCTGCCAGCACAATTCATTTGTACCCTGAGGATTCTGTTCAAGGTGGAAGATTGATCACATTACTCGCGATTCATCTAATTGGCCAAGGCAGCGAACAGCAGCCTGGTCTACTTACGAAGATCGGAGAAACAACAGTCCTACTCATGTCACTTCGAGCGGAATGAGGACGGTCTTGCTGAAAAGCTCACGTGCTCATCTATCAAGTCACAAGCGAAGTGAATATTGTGATAACAACTTTATGCTGCAGACCCTTGAAGTCCAATCCAGGTTGGCCACATGTCTCACTACCCGCACAGCAGACTTTGCACGCAATGCGTCTGGACCTCAAGACGTATGACATGTCTCATCGCTCATTTCAGATGCATGCCAGCTGTCATGGGAGCACTTCAATGCATCACGCAGCAGCAGCATCAGTCTATCGGCAATCGGAATGTCAAGCCGAAAGCACCGCCAACGCATATACTGCATGTGCTGCATGACCATGACACGGCCAAGATGCGATATAGGAACGAGAAACGTTCGGATAGATGATGAAGTGTGATGATATAGGCGGTCTACTGCTGGCCAAAGTCACGGAGTATTGCCTGCAAATGTATACCTGTCGACTATTTCACATTTCCCGCGCTACTCGCAGGCCGGGAACAATGATAATGCATCAAGCAGGAGGCCGCACAAGCCGCGCTTGAAGAAGATGGGCGACTGGGCGCAAAGGGCGTAGTACATGCCATTGCTCGGTGTTCTACCTTTGTATCTATAATTGCGTAGCAAATGAGGAGAGTGGAGGTACAAGGAAGAAGCTTGGTGATATGTCGCCTTCTGTTTCGGGCGGGCAGGGCGAGGCAATGCCTCGCTCAGCCGGCGGCTGGATCAATCAAATCGTCGGCGGCACCATTGCGTCGCTGCCCAACGTAGAGGGCGGCCTCGGATTGCCGTGGCGGCCATGACATGAGCTGGCCGAACGACGGGGACGCAAGAGCAGATGTCGTCGATGAGCGAGCTGTATAGGATGAATGCGAGTGACGAGCGTGGCTGATGGGAGAGATGGATGGGTGGTGTGGTTTGTTGTTCGGGACGATCGTCGCTTCCGGTGCCAAGCGTCAAAGAGCAGGCAAAGCAAAGGGCAAAGGCAAAGCAGGTGAAAGGCCGGCTCGCTCTCAGGCTGATTCAGGCGCTGCCTTTGAAGCGTGATCAAAGCCCGCACTGCCACACCACACTGCACTTCACCTACCTCTCCTCCCCCCATAATCTCTCACGACCACTGTTCGAGCAGCTTCCTCCGCCGTGCTGCTGCCGCTGGCTTTGTTGTTGTTGCTGTCCGCAAGGCAATCATCCGCAACAGTCCCCCCAATCCGAACCTCCTCACATCAGCCGGCGCGCCCTTCGCACCACTCGACTCTGCTCACGCCTTTCATCACCCACCGTGCCGCCCGGAGCGCTGCCTGCATCCCTCTTCTGCTGCCATCGCCGGAGACGGTTCGCCTTTGCACCGTACAATAGCCAGCTGCTGCCCCTTCCGACACTAGTCTGCCGACCAAACACTGCACAAAAGGTACGTAGCTGAGACGACTGCTGGAGCGCTGCGTGGCACCAGACTGTGTCACGAGCTGCGCCCGACGCCTGCTGCTCCATCACCACTTCTATCCCTCGCTTCTTCCCACTATTCACCACCACCACCGCCCCCCCTTCACTCTGCACTGCGGCTTGTGTGTGTCGTACGTCGCCGCCCTCCTCCTGCTTCGCTTCCCGCCTTTCCCCGCCAGCACCGCACCGGCAAGCGGTTCATCTCTGCCGCTGCTGCCCACCTTGGCACACCGCCCTTGTCACACTCCACCACTCCACACAACACGTCCTATCTGTACAAAGCCTGACGCTGACCTCCGCCCCCTTCGCGTCTGCAGTCCTCACCACCGACACCACCCACCTCGATCCCGACGCTCGGTAGAAATACTGGGCGCTCAACCGAACCACTCGACCCCTCACCGCAAATCCTCAGCTGCTGAGGCCACCCATCAACATGACGACCATGGTAGGCATATCATACCGCACACACATGCACACGATCACGGCAAGAGATATTGATACAATGGCAGGACCTCCGCGTGGGGAACAAGTACCGCATCGGTCGCAAGATCGGAAGTGGTAGCTTCGGCGATATCTACCTGGGTTGGTCGTACCATATATCCCTCACATGACCGTCCTAACACCACACAGGCACCAACATCATCTCTGGCGAGGAGATCGCCATCAAGCTGGAGTCTGTCAAGGCCAAGCACCCCCAACTCGAGTATGAGGCCCGCGTCTACAAGTCGCTCGCCGGCGGCGTCGGCATCCCTTTCGTGAGATGGTTCGGCACAGAATGCGACTACAACGCTATGGTCCTCGACCTGCTCGGCCCCTCCCTCGAAGACCTCTTCAACTTCTGCAACCGCAAGTTCTCGCTCAAGACCGTCCTGCTCCTCGCCGATCAGCTCATCTCCCGCATCGAGTACATCCACGCCAAGTCCTTCATCCACCGTGATATCAAGCCCGACAACTTCCTCATGGGTATCGGCAAGCGTGGAAACCAGGTCAATGTCATCGATTTCGGTCTGGCCAAGAAGTACCGTGACCCCAAGACGCACTTCCATATCCCATACCGTGAGAACAAGAACTTGACCGGAACTGCCCGCTATGCCTCCATCAACACCCACTTGGGTGTCGGTACGTATTCACATCACCTCACCCGTCTACCCTACCACTAACAATCCCACAGAGCAGTCCCGCCGCGACGACATGGAGTCTCTCGGCTATGTCATGCTCTACTTCTGCCGTGGCTCCCTTCCATGGCAGGGCCTTAAGGCGGCTACCAAGAAGCAGAAGTACGACCGCATCATGGAGAAGAAGATGACCACCCCGACCGAGGTCCTTTGCCGTGGATTCCCCAACGAGTTTGCCATCTACCTCAACTACACCCGCTCCCTGCGCTTCGACGATAAGCCTGACTACTCGTACCTCCGCAAGATCTTCCGCGACCTCTTCGTCCGCGAGGGCTTCCAATACGACTACGTCTTCGACTGGACTGTCTACAAGTACCAGAAGAATGCCCAGGCCATCGCCCAGGCTCAGCAGGGCCAGGCTGGCGAGGAAGCTGACGAGAAGTCTGGTGGCCGCAACCGTACTGCCCAGGCCACGGGCGGACAGACTGCGCAGCTCAGCAAGGATCGACGTGGCCCTGTGCAGCCGAGAAACGAGAGCTCTGGAATGTGAGTGCGCACAAACACATGACCTGCTTTCGTGTCTCCGTCTTGTAAGGCGCCTTCTCCTCTGCGTTCGAACGTTGCTTTGGCGCGTGAGGGGTTAGAAGACTTGGACTAATGAGTGTTTTCAACCCACAGGCAACTTCGCTCTAGCAAGCGCGGCGCTGATCAGTCTGGACACAACTACTGAATGGCTCAACACGACGGCGGGGTCGCCACTCTCGGATGATCAATTCTCGGCAAAGCGGTGCAGCTTGATTGTACACGCTTGTTCTGGTCTCTCAAGACCGGAAAACTCTTTCATATCGGTATCGGTGCTACAGTACATGGCTGGCTTGCTGGTTCGCTTCTCGGTGTGGTTTCTCGACTTTAGCATGACTCTCAATTCGAGAGCACTGAAGTACTGCGAGATGTACATGCTGTTTGAAGAGAAGCGGACGGCAAATTGGGCAACACCAGCAGTGCAGCATTCTGGCAGTGTCACTCGGCAGGGCCTTTGGTATCCGGATTCTTCTTCAACATGGGAAAGTCAACACGAAACGGATACTGGATTCACCTGCAGGCTTCACACAAGCCACATCGACTCTCCTTGTCAGCTTGTTATCAACCACCAACCACCGACCACCACACACAGCACGACATGAAAACGATTAAAACGACAAAAATATGATTGCTTCACCTTTTCCTTGGCGCTGGATGTTTTGATTTTACCTGGGCAGCTTTTTCATTCGACTTCAATTCAGACGAGTAATGGCTTCGGCGCGGATGGCCGTTAGGGGAAGAGGCAGGCGTGGGGAGGTTAATGGGCGGGAAGATGAGAGGGGAGATAGGCGGCAGACTTTGGTACTGGACAATGGACTAGCAAACAGCACGCCGGGCACATGCTCTGGCGTGTTTGTTTGCAGGTCTATTTGGTCGAAGAAGCGAGCTTCTGTGGTCGGGCGGAGATGAGCGTGGACGAGGATGGTTTTGCTATTTGATTTTATGCTTCCTTGGTAGCTTCTGGAATTGCGTTGTGCTGTGTCCCCAAACATCCTACTCTCTTTCATCTGTTGTTGTCAATACGTTGTGAGATGTCTCAGGCACGTTTAAGCTGAGATTGCGATTGGTTTCACCTCGATCTTGACGAAGCTCGACATTCGATCTGTATCTGAAACCGTTCACCGAGAACGTTGAAGTCAATTGCTGGGGAAGACCATGGTACGGACGTTACCAATGGATTGGACATGAACAATAAAAAGGAAGTCGAGCACGTGAGTTGGTGCAGGTGGTGTCGCGGTGAAGAGATCGGGGCATCTATCTAATCGAGAAAGTTTCATTGGCTGCATCCAAATCTCCAGACGATGGAAGTTTGGAGCGTCGACTTTCCATCATCATCGTACTCGCCACAACCACCACGTCTCTCTTTTTGTACATTAAGTCTGGAGGGTCGTCGAGAAGAAGAGGAGGTGGAGGATGTTCTCCGCGCCGGCGATCCGCTGCAATACATGCCGACTGAGGAGTTTGATCCGGATCCAGCAGTTGTCGAGGAGTAGGAAGGCTGTTGCGGGGTTTGCGACGTCGGGGGTGAGGAGTTTCCCAAGAGCGACGACGAAGAAGAAGGGGAAGACATCTCCATCGTTATCCATCCGTCCTGCGCCTCCGACGACGACGAACGCCCGCGATGGACAAGCTTTCTTAAGTCAAAGACAACAAGTCCACCTCATCGAATCCCTCTACACGTCCGGGCAGATCACGCGCGAGGAATGGCGGGAGAGCGTGTGGATCCAGGCGGGGTTGAGGGAGGATCGGGAGGGGAGGGTTGCGGGTAAGGATGGAGGGGTGGTGAGGGGTGGTGGGGTGGAGGATGAGATGAGGAGGTTGAAGGAGTGGTATAAGGGGGTGGAGGAGGTTCCTGGGGAGTTGTTGGAAGAGGGGGAGAGGGTGGTTTATGTGAGGTTGTTTGGGGGTGTGGGGGATTTGGAGGTCGGGAGGGGGGTTGTGGGGGATGAGGAGGTGGAGGAGGATTGGGGTGTGGAGGGGACGGGGTTGCTGAGGGAGGGGAGGGATGGGTTGCTTGAGGAGGTTGTTTTTGAGGAGGAGGGGGAGGGTGTTGAGCACAAGAAGAGGAGGCGGAAGAGGGGAGATGAGGTTTTGGTGGGGGATATCACAGCTGCTTTGGAGGGGAGGGGAGAGCAAGAGGAGGATGCTGCTGAGACGAGGAAAGGGAAGAAGAATAACTGGGAGACGGCGATGGTTAAGGATATACATAATAGCATGGAGTCAACACAAGAGGACAAAGAGGAGAGTATGCTGGATACAGACGCAGTGGAAGTGGACGAGTCTGATTCCGAGGATGGTGATTTCCTACGAACACACCCTCTGACCGCTGCGAACAGATTCGAAACATCGCCTTCTACCCTCAACATGCCACGCCATACCCTCACGGAGCCCATCGAAACGATGCTCGCCAACATGTCGAACAAGCATATCCACGAACACGCTCATCGAATCTTTGGCGGTCCCGGACTGCCTTACTCAACATCGACGCCCCTCCGAGGGAAACCGATGCCAGAAAAGCCCATTGCGTTGGACGCGTATCAATCTCAAATGGCGCCCATTGAGGCGGATGTGTACATGGCTTCACTTATTCCTGGAGTCTATGCTAGCGTCATGTCGGTGCTGGTTGAGACGAGGAAGAGGTTGGGAACGCAGTGGGCGAGAGAGATTGTTGAGAAAGCAGAGAGGGCCGAATTGAGGATTTTGGATGCTGGTGGTGGTGGTGCGGGAGTGCTTGCTGTCAGGGAGATGATCCGAGCTGAGTGGGAGATCGCGCACGAGGAGTCTCACGGCGAGATTGGAAGTTCCATGGCGATGGCTGAGGTTGACGGCAAGGCTGGCGGTGAAGGGGTAAGAGCACCTCTGGGCCAGGCTACGGTCTTGACTGGCTCTGATACTTTGCGGAAACGTGCGGCGAAACTTCTGGAGAATACGACGTTCGTTCCTCGATTGCCGGATTATATCCACACGGAAGCGGCGAAACACAAAGGCAAGTTCGATATTGTCATTGCGCCCCATACGTTGTGGCCTTTGAAGGAGGACTACATCCGCAAGACGCACGTACAGAATCTGTGGAGTCTTGTTAGCGCTGATGGCGGGATCCTACTATTGATGGAGAAGGGCGTACCTCGCGGTTTCGAGATGGTTGCTGGCGCGAGGGATATGCTTCTCGAGACGAAGATCGCCTCGCCCGGTTCGACAACACGAGAACGGGAAATCAACGAATTCGTATCAGAAGACGAAGCCTCCTCATCTCAACTCCCGAACGCAATCGAAAAGGAAGAAGCGATGATCATCGCGCCCTGCACGAACCACGCTGGATGTCCGATGTACCAACAAAAAGGCAAAGTCAAAGGACGAAAGGACATCTGCGCTTTCTCCCAACGCTACCACCGCCCTCCCTTCCTCCAGAGAATCTTCGGCGCCAAAGGCAAAAACCACGAAGACGTCGAATTCAGCTACCTGTCCCTCCTGCGCGGGCGCGACCTCCGCTCTAAGAACTCCACACCTACCGACGAAGTCCCAGTGCCCATCGAGCAATCCTCGCACACAACCGACCTCGCCTTCGCCGGCCACGCCACCACCACCCCTACACCACACCCCCTCACCCTGCCCCGCCTCGTCCTCCCACCCCTCAAACGCAAAGGCCACGTCATCCTCGACCTCTGCACGCCCGCCGGCACCCTCGAGCGCTGGACGGTGCCCCGCTCCTTCTCCCGGCAAGCCTACCGGGACGCGCGCAAAGCCTCCTGGGGCGACCTCTGGGCTCTCGGCGCCAAGACGCGTGTCCCGCGACGGGCGATGGTGCGGAAGCAGGTGAAGGACGCGAGGGATGGAGTCGGGAAGGAGGTTGGTGGGGAGGGGGATTTGGTGGGGAGTGATGAGTTCGGGAGGGTGGTTTTTGATCGTGATGGTGCGGAGGAGAAGGTTTTTGAGGGGGGGAGGGTTAGGGGGGGTGTGAAGGTTAAGGGGGTGAGGGATAAGAGGGATAAGAAGGGGGATGGGAGGGGACGGAGGAAGAATAAGAATTAGTTGTGGGTGCGTGTTGGGGATTGTTGGGGATGGTGGGACTCCGCTCTGTGTTGATAGAAGGTCTACGATGGTGTGGTGTATAAACAGTGGCAAGATGAAACGCACGAGTTTTGTTGATGGATGTTGTAGCTCGTGAAAGCCAACCTCCCATATCTTCCTATCTTCTCATCGAATCCTCAAAACAACAACTTTTTTATGTTTCTCCTCTCTCAAGTCCAATTCGTACAAAGATGTACAAGTAAGTACCAACAACAGTTTTCCCATACGTACAAAGTCTTCGCGATGTGCCTTTTCGACAAGATCGCCGACCAATGGGGGAATCATGTAGCAAAAATGAAATTTCAAAAAAAAACCTGGAAACCTTCAACATATACCACTCACTCCCTGCCTATTCTTCAGATACCTTCACGAGTCGTGATCCTCCCTCGAGGCCATCATCCTGCTACGATTCGCCCCTTTCGCGGATGGGGAGGAAGTTGCCTACGATCATCGAAGGGCTGTGAAAGTCGTCAGTATCGGCACCGCAACGGTACGAGAGCTTCAGGTCCAACTCACATATTATGCGTATCCCGCCTAATCGTAAAACTAAAACAACACCTCACCGTCTCCATCGCCTTCCCACCCCCACCACTCCCCTTGACAGGCGAAGAATTCCCCGCGACGGGCCTCTTCAACGAACAGCTCGTCAGAATCGCCTTTTGGGACTGATCGAACGCGATCGCGCCGAACTTCTCCCAGTAGCTGACCAGACTGTCCTCGGCGATGATCTCGTGGATCGCGAGCTTGCCGTCGCGGAACTTGTCGAGGGGCACGCGGATCAGTTCGGCCATTTCGGTGTTGCCGCGGAAGATCTCGCCGGTGCGCCGCCAGCAGCAGGCGGGGATGGCCATGGAGGCGAAGACGCGGTCGTATTCCATCAGGGAGCGTTCGAACCACATTTCGACGAGGACGAGTTGCATGTCGGTGAGGCTTTGCATGGCTTCGCGGAATTTGGGGCGGAAGCGGTCGAGTTGTTTGAGGATTCGGAGGGAGGATTCGCGCGAGAGGTGTTTCGACATGTATTGGTTTAGGCGGGCGTAGCCTTTGACGTAGTTGAAGGGTTTGAGCATGCCGGCGTCGTACTTTGCGCGGAGGAGTTTGTGGAGGCGGTTTTCGGCGCTTTCGAGGCCGGCCGGGTCGGCGGCTGTCATGTAGAACTTATCTCGCGCGCGGGAGTCGATGGGGAAGGTGGATGAGGGGCGAGAGATTTCTTGGCCTGCTGCTGTCTGGGAGGGAGCAGCGGGTTGGACCGTGCTTTGTTGGTTAGAAGTTGGTGGGTGCATGTTGTTCGCCGCTAGAGCGTTGAGTGGGGATGTGCTTAGAAGAGGGTCGTTAAACAGAGCTTGCGCATCGTCGTTGTTGTACAGGCCGCCGTCGTCGATGAGAGATGAGGAGAGGAAGTCGTTGAGCAGATTGTACTCGTTGTTCACCTCGCTCGTATTGAACATGTAGTTCGGATGTAGGTGATGCATGTCCTGGAATTGATTCGGCACACCGTTATTGTTCCAATCCAGATTCTGTACCAGGTTACTGGAATTGCCTGAGTTGGGGATAGGCTGTTTTAGCCGCGAAGGCGATAGAGGTGTTGGCTGGACGAGTTGAGGCCCCACTGTGCCATTGATTGCTCCCATTGCCATGTCCCCGTTCTGCGCGTACTGAACGTCACCATTCAAAGTCACTCCAGCCTTCCCGTCTGCTCCCATGACCTCCCCCGGTGCTGGCGCAATATCTGCCACGCCGGCCTCGCTCTTGCTCCTCTTGGGCGGTTCTCGTGGTTCGTCGTGACATAAATGACCAATGTCACGCTTGACACATCGCGCGCATGGTCTCTCCAGATCGCAAGTCATATGCGATCGTCGACAATAGACGCAGGCGTGGTTCACTTTTCTCCTCTTCTTCTTGCCTTCGCCATTCTCTTGCGCCGCCGCCTCGGAGCTCTTCCTCTTGGGCGGCGCTCCTCCATCTTTCGCAGCGGGTGAATTGTTCTTCAGCTTCGCGTCGTCGTTCGTAGACGTCTTGCGCTCCTTGTCGCCCGCCGAGGGAGTCATATCGAAGAGGGTACGCGATCCAGGATGACGAGTTCCGCTCGTGCGGTGCGGTAGAAGGTCGTAGGTGTAGCAATATAACTGTCGCTCGATCGTACACGTCAATGTCTCCCCGGAGTATCGTTTTCAGGCTGATCGGCAGACCCCATGGAGTGTGTGTAACGATGTGAGGTGGGCAAATGGGAAGGCTGAGGGTCGTGTGGAGTCAGCAGCAGCTCCCATGTGCTCCGCCGAGCGGGGCTGAACTCGGCAGCCCTTGCCGAAGCGAATCTCTCCAGAGTCTTGGCGTTGACTTCAGCTCTTCTACCGGTAGTGCAACCGATAGTGGACGGATTGGCACACGAAAGGAATGTCATTGGAATGACATTGGAATGCCATCAGAACCTACCAAAACTAATTCCACAAACGCAATGAGCGCGATCATTAAGTCTCATCGAGCTGAGCACGACCAATCATTGGAAGCACAATCGTGCCCAAGATGTTGCCCATCATACTGCCCAGACAAGCGGACATCGACTTGCATAAAACAAAGATCAACGGATCTTGACGGTCGAATCACTCTTCATGGGCTCGATGAATCTCATGGAGCTATAGACCTCACGAAGCCATGTCGTGTCAGGGCCGAAGTCTTGTTACCTTTTGCACACAAGAACTTCACACTAACACACAGTGCGTTTGCCACGGACGTCGAATACTTGAAAATAACAGTGACTTCGACAAGACGACCGGCCTCAAAGATCCTCGAGATGTTTTGCCAAGGGATGTATCTTGCAGTAAACAAACGACATCCGAGTCTGAGTTGCCGCATGTTCACACATTGATACTCTCGACTTCACCGTCTTCCTGGATACCAATATCTGGCTCAAGATACATGCTACACCAATTCAAAACCGACAGCGAATTGTGATTAATGGCGGCAGCGGTTACAAGACTTTGGTGGACAGTCAGCAAGATCCAGGAACGTTACGCCAATGAGACGGCGAAAAAGAACGTAAAGCCGATCTACCTGGAAATCATGACCAAGCAAATGTTCGATACCTTGGCAGCAGAGAAAAGGGAACGGCATGCTAGGTTTGCGGAGGGCCTTCAGGCGCGGGGTGGTCGTCCAACGCCGGTGCTGGGAAAGAGGGGTTTGACCCATTATGCACGCGATAATCTCGAGAGCACATACTTACTCTGGCATGGTTCTGTAATGTCTAATCATCTATATCCTTCCTTTCCCATCCGCTATGCAATATCATCTGTACCGTGGCACTTCAATGGATCTGGCTAGAGTACGATCAAGATTGATGTTTCTTTCAGGGTGCTGCTTCTGTCGAGCGCCAACGATCAAAATAGGTACCTAGAGTCCCGCTGCGCAGCTGTGAAACTTCTTGAGAATGTTGTTAAAGATTCTTGTTGTCTCATGTCTTCGTTGAAGGGGACGTGGCTATTGTTGCCAGGAGATCTCGGCTCCACTTGCCGTTCCAACGACTTCACCTGGGATTGAACCTCACCCGCCCTCCAAGTCTTCTCCTTTCACATTCTCACATATGAATTGAGGAATCGCGATAGCACTCTGTTCCAACACGATCCTTGACTCGAAAACGGCACCGTACCATACGTGATATCCAGACGTTCCACGGCAGCCAACTCGGCAAAGGGCACACCAGATGGGAACGCGCGCGGTGTGAAAAGAGCTTGGGAGCAAACGAACAACTCGCTATTCGACAAATTGTGGACGCACATTGGGATCGATAGACCATGGAGATAATGTTTCCGGGAATGGAACCCTCCTCTTCCCGCCCAAAGTGGAACTTCCCCATGTTCCCATGGATCGAAAGCTATCCGCTCATTTGAAGCTTCAATGGAGTGCGCGGTAGCTTCTGCGAATAGAGAAGTGGTGGCTCTCTGTGTTCTACTTTTGGACCGAAGAACGAGAATAGGGGCAGCAAGGCGCTGGTGATGGATGCGTAACGCGACAAGATGTGCAAAGTCCACGCTTGGTGCGCACGCCGTGTTCGGGATTAGAGGATGCCAGTCGGAATACAACATTGCAGTGAATGTTGACATGTGCGTAAAATGCTATAGTAAGTGCCAAATCTGGCAGGAGATCACCTGACTTCTGTCACTGTTTGCTTCATGCGTTCACCCGTTCGCTTTTGTTGTGGCTTGCATCATCCTATTGCGCAGCATCTCATTTTTAATTTCTCCTCGACCCTCGTTCTGCACTTCGACCGCAACGGTTGGATCATACTCTCTTTAGCATCGCTCACACACAGATCTTGACGGCTTGGATACTGCGATGCGACCAAATATGAAGTCCGTCGCCGTCTTCACGATTCTCCTAGCGACGCAAGCATGCGCCAACATCCTGTTCCCATTCGTCCAGCCGACCTGCGACTTCAGTCTGTCGAAGCATCAGGGCTGCTTGAGCGGGCAGATATGTATTGCCAACAACACGTAAGTGCCTCGAGAGCTCATTCACACATTCAATTGCTGATCTATGAGCAGGTGTATTCCGGCAAAGCGTGTTGCAGACCTCCAACTTCGAGACTCTGCTCCTCGACCTGACGGCAGATGTGGCAAAGACTTCGATGGAGCGACCTGCGATCCAGAGGGCGAGTACGGCGGATGCTGCAGTCAGTATGGATTCTGCGGGAAAAAGGAGGGCCACTGCTTGAAGAGCAACGGATGCCAGAGTGGCTGCGACGAAGATGGAGGCGACTTGCCACCTACCTCGACCACTGTCCCCGACTCGAGTGGTGCACAGTCGAGCGAACCAGTGATGGGCTCCCCCACTGCTGCACCCGACGGCGATGGCCCTGCTACCACCGACGGGACTTGTGGCGCGGAAAACGGCGGCACTATCTGTGGCGACTGGCCTCGAGGCAGCTGCTGTTCTATGTATGGCTTCTGCGGCAACTCTTCGACTCACTGTGGCGAAGGCTGCCAGTCTGGCCCATGCGACCAAGAGCCTACAACCCCAGCTCCAGGTCCGAAGCCCGCGATGGCCAACGCCAATCCTGGCACATTGAAAGTCGTGGGAGACTCTGGAGTTCCGGCAATGCACGCTGGTCTCTTGCCGAATGGTCGAGTCATTTTCTTGGACAAGGTAGAGGACTACTCGAAGCTCAACTTGTCGAATGGCCACTATGCATACAGCTCGGAGTACGATCCTGCAACAAACGAGGTGGTTCCCTTGGCTTACAACACGAACGCTTTTTGTGCTGGTGGCATCTTTCTTGCCAATGGAACCTTTATGTCCATCGGTGGCAATGGTCCGCTCGTCGACATCGACGACAGCGTTGGAGACGGCTTCGCAGGTCTGCGATGGCTGACTCGGTCAATCGATGACGACTCACTCAATGGGCAAGATTGGATCGAGACGAACGACAAGCTCGACACGAAGCGCTGGTATGCAAGTGCGCAGACTATGCCAGACGGAACGATCTTTGTCGCCTCAGGCAGCTTGAACGGCTTGGATCCGAGAGTGCGTGCTAACAACAACCCTACGTACGAGATACTCAACCGAGATGGCATCTCCAACGGCGAGTCGATTCCGATGGACATACTCTACAAAGCCGACGCCTATTATATGTATCCGTTCATCCACCTTCTCAACGACGGTACACTCTTCGTCTTTGTGTCGAGATTCTCGGAGATCTTCGACGTGGGCAAGAACGAGACCGTGAAGACTTTCGACGAGCTTTCTGGCACCTACCGCACATATCCCAATACTGGTGGATCTGTGCTACTTCCTCTGTCTTCCGCCAATGGCTGGCATGCAGATGTCATCATCTGCGGCGGAGGATCATATCAGGACATCACGTCTCCGACGGACCCTTCCTGCGGCAGAATCCGTCCACAACAGGAGGATGCCAAGTGGGAGATGGACAGCATGCCGCAAGGCCGAGGCATGGTGGAGGGTACCCTCCTGCCCGACGGCAGCGCCGTCTGGGTCAACGGAGCCAACCTAGGAGCTCAAGGATTCGAACTGGCAGAAGATCCGACACTGGAAGTTCTCATCTACGAGCCTGCTGCCGAGCTGGGAAAGAGATGGACGACTGGGCCGAAGAGCGACATCCCACGCCTTTATCACTCGGTCGCCCTTCTGCTTCTCGATGGCACTCTCATGATAGCAGGAAGCAATCCTGTGCAGATGCCAAAGCTGGAACCCGATGCCGAGGACCCGTACGCCACGGAGTTCAGGGTCGAGATCTATACGCCTCCATACCTTTCCGGCGACGATGCCAACCGTCGACCCACGGACATTGTGCTTTCGACTCTTGACCTCAAGTCTGATTCATCGACGTTCGATGTCACCTTCAACGCCCCTGAAGGCGCAAAGGAGGTCAAGTTGGCACTGTACCACGGCGGATTCGTCACGCATTCTCTGCACATGGGCCATAGGATGCTGTTCCTCGATACTGAGGGCTTCAAGTCTGGAGAGAAAGAGCAGAAGATTACGGTTACGACGCCACCGAACAGCAATGTGGCACCGCCGGGGCCCTATATGGTATATGTGGTGGTAGATGGTGTTCCTGGCGTTGGACAGTTCGTCATGGTCTCGTAGGATGGAGCTTGATCCGCGTAAAGGCTGGAGGAGTCGTATTCCCTCGCGAATCGGTCTGTAGGAGCGAAGGCATTCTTACGTCATGAACTTCAGCTTACATAGTTTTGAGAGGAAGAGAAAAAGTTCATGACCTCTGTTTCTAAACGTAAGTTCTGTTTCAAAAGATCGTTACTATCAGAACAGAAGACTACTACCCACGATGGAACGACTCCTCGCCCAAGACGCCGTCCAGCGCCTCATCATCTCCTTCAACACATTTGAAGACCAGCTCGACTTCAACCTCTTACACTCTTGTATACCCCCAGGCCAAAAATTCACCCTCGACCTGTCCGAGAACCTCCCAGGAACATCCGCTAGACAACTCACCGCCGACGATTTCTGGTCGGAGGTCAAGAGCAGCATCCCTGGCTTCACCGCCACGCACCATCAACTCGGCCCTATCCAATTCGATTTCCACGACGAGACGTTGAAGAAGGTCACCGCTCGTACGAACGTCACGGCGACGTATTCTTTGCAGGAAGAGAACGGAAGTGTTGAGGCGGTCGTTGTGAAGGGGTTGCAAGTTGTGGATGCTGAGGAGGTGGAGGGGCGGTGGGTGCTTCGTGGGATGAAGGTTGTGAGGGGTGTGCCGTTGGAGAATGTTCATCTTTTTGGGGTTGCGGTGGAGAGAGTGCAGAAGGGGGTTGGGAGGGTTTTGAAGGGGTGAGTTTAGTTGGGTGACATGCTATGTTGAAGCGGCGGGAACGTAGCAAGTGCAAGGGCTGCTATGTTAGCGAATTTGTCAGGGATCTTGAAGACAATCATATGCATGGGCAAGATTTCTTTCATGAACTCACATGTTGGCAAGCAGACTACTTCCACCCATGTACACGATCACGTGCTGGCGCGTCTTAGCGTGCACCGGCGTAAACTCTAAAGTGAATCCTCTGTGAATCTCCTGACCTCACAACAGTCCAGCCCAATGGCACTGTCAATCACGAACCCCATACGCTGCGTGCAGCTCGCCGCAAAAGCTTCACCTATACAATGGCAGACGGCAACCCCGCCGCTTCGATTGTGGAGAGCCCAATATTTGAACTCTGGCCTCAGTCGACCTAGCTACGTCGAGTCTCATAGATACGTTTCTCGATCCGCTGCGCTCTTACAAAAAGGAAGACGAAAGCCTTTATCAGAAGGTTCTGGACCTTTCAAGAAGCCACCACGAAAATCTACTACACTCAAGGCTTGGGAACAAGAGGTAGACTACGATCAAGAGAGGCGATGGACGGAGAAAGAGATGCAGATCGAGAACAACATGCGGAGACTGATAGAAGACGGGCAATCTCGTTCCGATAAAGACCCTCACGATGAGTACATCCGTGAGCAGAGAGCCGAACGTCTGGCAGCCGACCTGGCGGTCGTGCAGACTAGAAGGGGGCTGTGGGACGCGATGTCGGCGTGCAGGGAGCTGGCGGACACAACCAAGTTTGCCAAAGCCGGCGACGATGAGAAGCTTCGACTGATCCTTCGCGTAACTGATGCGATGGACGATTTGTGGTTCGCTGAAGTCAAAGCTTGGAGGCTGTGTGCATTCGCTCCCCTCTCCAACGTAGGGCTTTTAGAGAAGGCTTGGAACAGTTTTTGCATCGTGCTAAAGACAGGCTTGTATGTGCCTGTTAGACTGCCACTCGTTCCTGCTGTGGCATTGGTGAGGTGGATCAAGTCTATGGAATACAAAAACGAGGGCAAGAAGCGATGAAGACGATCGACTGGTGAAGGCTCCGATGCCAGATAACAATCTAGGAGAGTGAACTGGCTTGGACTCTTGTCCAGCAGCTACGAAATCTGGGAAACCCACTGTGAACAGGGTTGGATGCTCAGATTCACCTTCATTACAGTACTTCACTGCTTACGTTTTGTTCAATCATTCCAGGATGTCTCCATCCCATCGCTCTTCGCTCAGAGCACCGGCCAATTCCACCTCGGATCGCTGGCTGGACCGAATGTGCGGCATTTAAGAGTGACCGGTGAAGTCACTTTGCGCGTTGTCTGGCCCTGCACCGTAGCATATCTGATGCTTGGACACCCGAGCCTATCACAGAAGACGATAGGACCATATCTGGGCGCAGCAAGAAGCACAAGAAAACATATACGCTAGTTGCATGTACTGCAATGAGAACCTATCGCAATTATTCTGGCTACAGTCCCTGGTGCTGATGTTGTACCTATGCCTCAACTTGGAGAGCTAAATCGCGCTGCTAAAGTTCACGACATGATCTTCAGCCTTCCGAACAATCACGAATCGCCCTTATCTTTACTAGGGTGCAGAATACGAGGTCGTAGAGTGTGACGTGCTGTTAATACGAGAAGTCGCCACACCCGATCTGTAAGGTGACTTCCAACTGCTGCAGACCCAATCCAGACTTGGCTTGAGAAAAGAGAAACACGAGTTCTCTGGTGCCTGACATGGACAAGATTGCAAAGATAACGGAAGAATTGAGTCCTCTGACCGAGAATTGGCTAATGTCGTTTTGAAAGGAAAAGCAGAAACCGTCCGTTTGATGACGGTAGATATATGTCTGCACGGTGCACAGACTCTGACGAATGCTGGCAATCGCTTGCCTGCACTTCGCTCACACAAGCATTTCCAATGCTCTTCGGTGTTCTGCTTCTACTCTTTCTGAGTGATATCTCAGGCAGGTGCTTTGCGATTGCTCGTGCAGTCCCACTAGACGCAATATCCTTTGTCGTCCACGAGAAACGATCAACATCCGATTCGGGATGGACCCGGTCTCGTCGCGTCGAGCCAAGCGTCCTCCTCGCTGTCCGCATCGGTCTCGTTCAGAGCAACCTCCATTTAGGAGAAGAGCTGGTTCAGCAGATCGCGGATCCTTCTTCTCCACGGTTTGGAAAGCACCTGGCTAAGAGGGAGGTCGATGAGCTCTTCGCTCCGGCTCCAGACACCATTACAAGTGTGAAAACATGGCTTATGAAGAGCGGCATTCACGATGCGCGAATTGGGCTGACGCAATCGAACGGATGGATCGCTTTCGATGCACGAGCCGACGAAATCGAGGATTTACTGGACACTGAGTATTTCTGGTACGAGCACATTCCGAGTGGGGACCTTACAGTCGGTTGTGAGAATTACAGCATTCCGGAGGGCCTTCAGACACACATCGATTACATCAAGCCTGGTATAAATCTACACGCCCCGGAAAAGTTGAGCAGTGCCAAGGCAAAGAAGTCACCTTCAAAGCGATAGATCAAAGAGGATCTCGTTGCGCCATTCAAGCCAAGACCAAACGATACCACTACCTGTGACAAGGCGATAACTCCAGCCTGCATTCGAGCACTGTACAAGATTCCCATCAACCGTTTAAAGGACCCCAGCAACGCCTTGGGAATCTTCGAGAATGGCGACTTTTATGCACAGGAGGACTTGGACCGGTTTTTCGCTGAGTTTGAGCCTCGAGTGGTAAATGGAACGCATCCCGAGTTAGCATCGATAGACGGTGGCAAGGCCCCAAAGCCACCTGCTCAAGCTGATGGCGAATCTGACCTAGACTTTGAGCTTGCCCTTCCACTGATCTATCCACAAAAGGTCGTCTTGTATCAAACGAATGACGACCAATATACCGTCAGTGGCGCCGGTGGCTTATTCAACACATTCCTCGACGCCATCGATGGCTCATATTGCGGCTACTCTGCATTTGGACAGACAGGCGACGACCCAAACTTCGACGATGAATACCCAGACAAGACAAACCCGGGAGGCTTTCAAGGTCAACGACAATGCGGAGTTTTCAAGCCAACGAATGTAATTTCCATCTCGTATAGCAAGCAAGAGGCCGACTTGCCGTATTACTATCAACAGAGACAGGTGAGTAAGTACAGATTTGTCGAGCCGAATGACGAGCTGATATCGTAAGTGCAATGAATTTATGAAGCTCGCGCTTCAAGGGCACACGATCCTAGTCGCATCGGGAGACTATGGCGTCTCAGGTCGCAGCTATGATCCAGAACCGAATGGCTGTCTGGGTCACTCACATACCGTCTTCAACCCAGGGTTCCCCAGTTGTCCGTATGTCACCACAGTTGGAGCAACGCAGGTCGCTCCCGGGAAGACATACCATGACCCAGAGGTCGCTGCGTACGATCCTAGTCACGATGGTACATCCTCAGCCTTCAGTAGCGGCGGTGGGTTCAGCAACATATTCAGTATACCCGACTACCAGCGCAGTGCGTTGCAACGCTACTTTGCCGATCACGACCCTGGCTATAGCCATTACTCGGCCTTGCACGATGCCACACACAATACTACGACAGTGATTGGAGCCAACGGAGGGCTTTACAATCGATTCGGCAGAGGCATGCCAGAGTGAGCAAGTCGAAATAAGCCTGGCCACTTCACGGTAATTGATGTTTTGTAGCATATCCGCGAATGGCCAAAATGTTGCGACCTACATCGACATCAACTATACAAACGGCGGATACGGCCTCAGCGAAGGCACCAGCGCCTCTACTCCCATCGTTGCCTCGATCATCAACAACATCAACGAACAGCGCCTCGCGACAAACAAAGCACCCATTGGATTCTTAAACCACATCATCTACGCCAATCCTGGAGTCTTCAATGATATCACTGCGGGCTCGAACCCAGGCTGTGGTGTCGACGGGTTCCATGCGGTCTCTGGGTGGGATCCAGTCACGGGCCTTGGGACACCAGATTACCCCAAGCTCTCGAACCTACTGCTGAACCTGCCATGAGGAATGACTGCGTCCTGACGGCTGTTGGATAATATGCGAGGAGTAGACGGCCGGTGCAGGCGACCCTGGTTTGTGGGTGCTACTTTTCCATCGCCTCGAAACATCTGAAAGAGCCGAGGATCACAATGACACCCTGGTATTGGGTTTCGCAAAGACGCAGGTGGTGGAGCTGAATAGGTTGAGTTCAAGGCAATCCGACTTAGTCCATTGCAATCGATCTTGCACTTCAGCCTCAACTATGAGTACGAGAAATCACGAGACTGCTTGCCAAGTGATCTAGTCCTCACGATATGTTGTTGAATTCCTCGATTGAAGATGTTCGAAGAAGCATCGTCTTGGCTGCGGACTGCTTTCAGGCTAAACTTTCATCCTTTCGTACGTCGGCAAATGTCGGCCCTCGTGAACTTCACACTTGAAGTGGGTACACACTTACCTACATATACTTAGACTTCTGCTCTGCGTTTGACTTTGTACTCATTGGGACTATCTACTTCCTTCAGCATGTCTCCCATCGCCATTTCAGGTACCAAGACCCACAGCATTGCCTGCATACCCGCAGACGGCATTGGCCCTGAAGTCATCGATGCGGGAGTCGAAGTCTTGAAGACTTTGAGCAATGCATCAGGATCTTTCAAGTTGAACTTTGAAAACTACGACTGGAGCTCAGAAAGGTACAAGAAGACCGGCAAGTACATTCCGGATGGTGGACTGGACAGTCTAAAGAAGCACGATGCCATTCTGTTCGGCGCTGTTGGTGCTCCAGGTATGCATAGATAGCTCTTCGCCACACAAGATCGTTCACTAAAAAGTTCACAGACGTGCCCGATCACATCTCTCTCTGGGGACTGCGGCTAGCAATTTGCCAACCCCTCCAGCAATACGCCAATGTCCGTCCGACTCGTATCCTTCGCGGCACCGAGTCGCCACTTCGAAAGGCCTCGCCTGGAGATCTTGATTGGGTCATCATTCGCGAGAACTCCGAAGGCGAATACGCTGGCCAAGGTGGACGCTCGCATATTGGCCAGCCATGGGAGACTTCGACGGAAGTGTCTATTTTCACACGACACTGCGTCGAACGTCTCATTCGTTTCGCCTTCCAAACAGCGCAATCTAGGCCAAGGAAGCATTTGACCGTTGTGACCAAATCTAATGCACAGCGAAATGGTATGGTGATGTGGGACGAGGTTGCAGCTCTTGTGGCAAAAGACTTCCCAGATGTGACTGTGGAGAAGATGCTCGTCGATGCCATGACCTGCCGCATGGTTCTTCAGCCTCAGTCACTGGAAACCATAGTCGCCACAAACCTCCACGCAGACATCCTCTCAGACCTCGCAGCTGCTTTGGCTGGCTCCATTGGGATTGCGCCGACTAGCAACCTTGATCCGACGAGACAGAACCCGAGCATGTTTGAGCCGATTCATGGCAGTGCGTTCGACATCACGGGCAAAGGAGTCGCGAACCCCGTAGGCACCTTCTGGACTGCGGCGGAGATGATCAGATGGCTGGGCGAGGATGAAGCTGCGAAGACCTTAATGCAGGCGGTCGAGAAGGTCTGTGAGAATGGAGTCTTGACGAGAGACTTGGGCGGCAAGGCTGGGACTAAGGAGGTCACAGAGGCTGTCTGTGCTGAGATCCAGAGGATCTACGGGAAAGATGGCAAGAATAATGCATAGATCGATGTAGCGGTTGAGACTTACAACGATAGCTAGATACGGCCAAGACTTTATAGACTTCGAAAAGTGCTTCTTACGCCTTTCACCTGCGCTGGCAATTAGCTATGATTGATTGCTCAATATAACATACAGAGGGAGACCTCGTGCCAAGCAAAGTCATGCACTCAACCGAGTGCAGCCGAGAAGGATTCAGCGTTCCCCAGGTGAGCTGTGACTCTTCAACGCCATCTACGATCAACAACAACCCGCCTCTTGATACACTTGCACTAATAATAATGGCGCCAGCATCACCACAAGCCCCCAATGCCATCGAGCTCCGAGAGCTTCCGCAGACCACTGATGGCCCCGCTCAAGAAGAGAACACCGAGGACGACGACTACCCGTCCAAGTGGAAGCTAGTTACCATCACGATAGGTCTCTGTCTCAGCATCTTTCTCGCGGCGCTCGACTCTACTATCATCGCTCAAGCCATACCTGCTCTGACAGGTAAGTATTCCACGAGATCAACCCAATCTGTCAATATGTTTTCGGCAAGTCTAATCTTGGTCCCAGATCAATTTGGCAGCATCTCCAACATAGCCTGGTACGGCACTGCGTACAATATCACAAACACCGCTTTCCAGTCTGCTTGGGGCAAGGCTTATAAGTACTGGAAGTTGAAGCCCGTCTACCTCAGTGCAATCGTTGTGTTCGAGGTAGGAAACATCATCTGTAAGTCCGTTAATCTCGTCGGGCTATACCACATCTCATTAAATTCCAGGTGCCGCTGCACAGAGTAGCAATGTTGTGGTATTTGGTCGAGTGGTGGCGGGAATTGGAGGTGGAGGCATAATGACAGGAAGTTTTATCATCATTGCCTTCACAGCGAAGCCTCAGTATGCCCATACGATTCCATCTCTTGCCCTCGGTTGGCTAACTACTGCAGATACCGCGCTGCCTACATGGGCGTCCTAGGCGTTACCTTCGGCTGTGCCAGCGTCGTCGGTCCACTGCTGGGCGGCGCTCTCGTAGATTACCTCAACTGGAGATGGGTCTTCTTGGTTTTCCTGCCGATCGGTGCCGTCGCCGCGGGTATCATGGGCTTCTTCTTCTCACAGCCTCGGGCCGTCGTACCACAAGAAGCGAAGCTGCCTGAGAAGCTCCTCAACATGGACCTCAACGGCGGTGTGCTTGTGGCTGGATCTATTTCCTGCTTCATCCTCGCGATGCATTACTCTAAGCCTCACGTTTGGGGTAGTGCCCAGGTTGTTGGGAGCCTTGTTGGGTTTGCTGGACTTGCAATCTTGTTTGTGGTGAATGAGAAGTTTATGGGCTCGAAGGCCATGATTCAGGCACATCTACTGAAGAAGTTCAGCATCGTCACGAACTCCCTCTTCCTGACGTTTGTGGTGAGTTCTACTGGGTTAAGTGAGCGGGCTTCTACTGACACTTTTGAAGGCTGGGCTATACTTCCCGCTCCTATTCATATTGCCCATCGAGTTCCAATCTGTCCACAACAACAGTGCTTCTGAAAGTGGAGTGCGTCTGATCCCTTTGGTTCTGGGCATCAGCATCTTTACAATGGTTTCCAACGGAGCCCTGACCTGGTGGAGGCACTACTCGCCTTTGCTCGTCGTAGGGGCAGTAGCTGGCACCGCCGGCGTATCTCTGATCTATAGCCTCGACGCTACCGCATCCAGCGGCACATGGACGGGATTGCTCATCGTCACTGCGATTGGTATCGGCTTGTCGCTGCAGATACCAATGATTGCCAACCAAGCAGCGGTGGGGGCGGCAGACATACCGGCAGCAACCAGCCTTACACTTTTCATGGAGAACATCGGGACCTCTCTATTCGTGGCTGCAGGCGAGGCTGCCTTCACCAACGGTCTGATCTCTGGCGTGCAAAGTCGACTGCCGAGCGTCGATCCATCAACCATCGTTAACGCTGGAGTCACGCAACTGCGAACTCGCTTCTCCGCGACCGAACTGCCTGCTATCCTAGCGGCCTACCTCGAAGGCTGTCAGATCAGCCACGTTGTATCCGTTGCGTGTGGAAGCGCGGCAACGCTTATGGCTCTGACAAGTGCGGCCCCTGGAACGAAACAGGGGCTTCAGAACTGGTGGAAGAAGAGCCACTCACGCTGAGCATGCTTGGGTATTCGTACAAGTCGTAAGATCTATTACACATCTAAATTACCGTATTGCTAATGTACATCCTCAATACTTCACCGTACCGCTGACCTGGCCAGCTTATCTAGTCGGAAGAATAGGTGCAGCTGTTCGGCTTATCAGACTTGATAGCCTTCAAAGCAACACCAATACAACCATCCTGGTACGCCGGCTTCTCAAGATCCGTGAACCAAATGGAGTATGCACCGTCCTTCGCTGGGCAAGCCTTTGGTGACTCGCCGTCAAAGACCAAGTACCCCTTGTCGCTGATCGACCACCCCTTTCTTTCACCATTCTTCGGGGTAGGCTGCGCGCCAGTCGTGTAGCCTGTCTTGCCCTGGCCCATCCCTGAGCGGTCGACGTAGAGTTGTTGAGGTGGCTGCGTACTCGTTAGCATAGATATGCCATGCTGGGAGGAAATCCTTACGTTATCGGTGCTGTACAAGTACGCCTCTCCATCGTTGACGACGAAGGTTGCAAAGCCGTCTGACTTGGTGTCGCAGGTGGCCTCATTCTTTCCTCCAATCAAAAGGTTACCCTTGGCGGCGGTGATGCCGGTGTTCTGCACAGGAGAGCCTGAGTGAATGGCGATGAGACCGAACTTGTCACCAGGGCAGGGAGTCTCAAGCTGTCGTTCAGTCGGGAGGGCAGCGGCCGCGGCGGCGAAAAGGGCGACGTTCTTGAACTGCATGTTGATGGTTTAGTGTCGGTCGTTCGATTTACTGTAAGTCGTCGTGTGTCTGAGGTGATCTGTAGATGGAAGTTGGGATGTTGATGCGTCTGATCGAAGGATCTTGCTCCTCCCTATATACAGGCTGGTGCAATAAAGGGATTGACCCCTGCTAGCGTCTTGCACACAAAGAACGTCCGAGCTTCATCTAACAGTCGACTTCTTGCTCACAAAATTAGGCTTTCAGCTAGCAGGGGTCAATATGATTCTTGCACCAGCCTGTATGCCTCCATCCTGGTCTGCTCGTGTATAGCCTGGAGAAATCTGACGTAAATCGCCACGATACCAGGTCCCCTGCGTCAGTACGACTAGCATTATACGAGAGAATGGCCACATCTTGGGTTAGCGTAGTATACAGTAACTAGCGTGTGGCATGTAACACAAGTCATCCCTACCTTTCAAATACGAATGAAGCCATGACGCAGTGAACCATATTTGTATCTCGTATAACATGCCAGAAATTTCGATGTCTTAATCGTATTGAGAGGCTCTTTCCGCCAAGTCAACGCTCGTGTCGTTGACAGACGGTGTTTTCTATTCAGTTTTAGTCTTAATATGATTGGCTTCCTCAATCGCCACCACCGAGGGTTTTCTTCGGTGCTATGTCACCTATTTTGAGTTTCCAAGAATAGCAGCATGAAAACATAGCCACAACCACGACACTGTCTTCGCTCTTTCCGTACCTTTGAAGTTGGTCTCTGGACGGTTCGTACAAGAGCCGTGGCCGAAACACGAACGACCTCACGTACCCGCAACATAGCCACTTGCACATATCCTCAAGTCTCCGAGCAAGTACGGATACTCCAACGTCGTCTGTATGCCGACCGTCGTGCTGGCAGGCTCCCTTTCGAGCTTCTCGATCTTCTCCCTCCACTCCTTCACTTTATCAACCCACTTGTCCTGATACTGAGGCCGCATCATCCCAAGCCCCTCCAACCCCTGACAGAGCATTCCATTCTCCCACATCCGCTGCCTCCAGTCTTGATCTACGCCATCTTCAGTCCACCATCCGTCGTCAAAATCGTCCTGGAAATCCGGTCCGCCTTTCTCTCGCATGCTCTTCCAGTACGGTCTCCAGGTCTGCGATTTGATGGTCCAGGTGAGAGCGATGTTGTGATTCGAATAGTTCCAGAAGCCATCATCGTCAAGGTCATGTGGTCCCGTGCGTTCGACTGATCGAACGGCCTCTTCGTATTCGTCCTTAGACGCCACTGCTGGGTCTGTGATGCAGTATTTGGCGAATTCGATTCGGGTCGCGGGCTTGAGTTTTCGGACTGTGCTGTCGTTGTTCAAGACGGTCTCGAAGTCTGGTCCAAACAGCTCGCCGTAGATTGTGAGATGGAAGAAAGTCTCTGGTGGGTCCGAGTTGATCTACATAGAAGAGCAAGTATTAGCTTTCAAAGTCGAACACGAGAGAGTCAACGGCCAAACTTACAGTGTACGCATCTTCGACCGTATTCCAGAAATCTTCCTGATCATACCACTGTGCGCCCACACATCGATCAATTATGTCCGTGACCGGATTGATGATATCGAAGCGTATCTGGTGAAGTTCTCGTATCCTTTCCATAGTGATGCCACAATGGTCCAAAGCCAAATCCAGAAGTGCAGCGACTCCTCCTCGACATCGCTCTGCGAGTTCTTGTTCATTGGCGTCGGATTGGCGAGCCCAGTCTCCCAGCTCTCGGGCTGTGGCAGCGAACAGGAAGTGAGGAGATGGTCGAAAAAATATTCTCGACTGTGCTACTGCTAGACGTAAGAGGGTGTCGGGCAGTGCCATTTGCATACATTCTCGTAGTTTCTTGCAGGTTGAAGAAAGGTTGGTGTAGTCCTCGATGTTGTGCAGATAGTCTAGTAGCAAGACGAGGATATCCTTCGGCAAGGATTGTAAAGTCGCCATGTTGTATGGACGTTCGTACCCAAGGACACCCGTGGGCTTTTAAAAGGCTTAGGAGGTAGGTAGCAATCAAAGCTGAAGTCTCAGTGCTCATGCATGGTGACGTACTGAGAAGTTCTCGCAGCATTGTGAAGACGCTGGAGAAGGTGAGAATGATCTGAAAGACCCCATTGGGAGACAAAAGATTTCAATGCGTTATGTGTGCCGGAGCCTGATGAGTCCAGCATGCGTCTCGTGGAAACCGACTACGTCGAAGTAGAATGGCCTTAGTCGTTCCTCAAAGTCCACATGGAGCCACTCGCATCCAGCAGACTCCGTCTGTTCAATGACTTGCTTCATCATCGTCTTCGCGACACCTGCGTGCCGATGGCTTTTGGCGACCATGAGATCGAGCACGAATGCGTGCTTGCCTCCATCCCAAACGACGTTGACGAAGCCGACGAGTTGGTCGCCGTGGCGAGCGCAAACCCATCCAAGGCTATGGCGATCTAGGCGAGCTTGCCAATCGATGTCCTTCGGCTCGTGGTCGAAACATTCGGCGTGGAGGTTGTTCACCTCGATGTTCTGGAATGGGCCGCGCCATTCGTACGAGGGTGTTGCGGCCATTGTTGAGTCCAAGTCGCAGTAGCAGGATGAGAAAGCAGGCACGAAATTCTCTCTTCTCGTACCGATGCCACAGCAGCATGCACCAATCAGAATCAAGGATTAAAGAGGTCTTTGAACAAGTCAGTTTTGATATTGACAGAGCTCACAAGAAAACGCCACCTCGACACGCGAACCGATTCAATCACCACCCAAACCTCTCCTGATAGAACGCGACATGCGACCCCTTCTCACCCAGCAGCTTGACAACACCATTCCTCGTCGAAGCCTCCATACCCGATGGACCACAGCAGAAAACCGCCATACTGCCTTGACATCTACTCCTCTCTTCCTGCAGAATTGTCTCAATGTCAGGCCTGCCGGCGTTGAGTGTGACCCGCGACTCTTTCTCTCCTTCCGGAGATCGCATCGTCGAGGAAGAGGTGATGTAAAAGTCCGTCCTCAACCTCGGACTGCCCAGCACACCGTCCAGCTCATGAGCACAGATGTCGTCCACCATCTCCCTCTTTTGAGTCGCCCACACGAGACGTACAAAGTGTGGAGATCCGGCGGTGCGCAGCAGGGAGTACATCCTGGATATCGCGGCTGTGATGCCCGCGCCGCCCACCACTAGGACGACGGTTGAGTATTGGTGGATTGTCAGCTCGCAGCCGTACGGCCCTTCGATCAGGACCCGGATGTCTTTCGACTTCTCCTCGCCTGGTAGGGTCGAGGTCTTCGTGCGTAGTCGGTCGGTGAAGCCGTTCCTGGGTCGAATCAGGAAAGTATGATGTGCCTCTGAGGACTTGCGCTTGTCTGGGATTGGGTCATCGGTGGGTGTTCTCTCAATGCCCAGCTCAACGTCTTTGGAGTCGTTGGGGCTATTGAGTAGGTCGTCGGATGTCTTTTCCATTTCTTTTTCGATCGGCGAATCTAGCGACGATGTGGACGAACTCGATCGCGAGGCAGGCAGCGCATGATTCCAAGTACACAGTGTGAAAGGGTGACTCTCGTAGCCTCGCAGCCGACCAGGTTCATACACGTAGTAGAAGGACCCAGGGATTGGCGCATGCTTCTTGAAGAACTCTGTGACATCGAGTCGGATGAGATCTTTGTTCTCATCAAATGTCGCAGTTGCCTTGGTGCCTTTCAAATTGGGCAGGACGCTGATGCAGAGGATGCGAGTCCATCTCAGGATACGATCCAGCGACCATATGGCCACCGCTGGCCAGATAAAGCCATTGAAGGCGCCGTATTGGATCTTGACGTGGCTACGACACATCGTGAGTGATTGATTCCGCTGCGACAGATGAGAGTCAACTTACAACCAGATGCATACGAGCAGCATCAAAGCAAAGATAAAGTGTATACCCAAGAACACATCATACCATCGATTTCTGATAAAGAACAGGGATGAGCCGATCAAGACGGACATCGATATGACAGACTGCAAAACGTTAGCTTCTCATCATTATCCAAGTCGTCGAAGCCAGAAAGACTCACAATAGCACCGCAATACCAGAACTCTTTCTGCCATGCTTCATGGTACGCTCCCTCCCATCCATCTATAATAGAATAGCCAGCACCGTGAGCGATGGCCAGCAATGTCGCAGTCCGTGCAGCCCAGCGATGAAACTGCGAGAAGCTAGCGTATGACCATCCCGTGAGCCATAGGAATGGGTCGTTGCGGGTTGCGAAGATCCAGATGATGGGAATGTTGGCGATCGCGAGAGTACCAGCTCGATTGCAGAAGTATTGACCAAGCTGGATTCTCGTCTCAGCAGCACTGGTAGGAAGATCAATACGATGATCATTGCTATGGGGTTGGTGCACTCACTAGAGATTGCCTTCGAAGGTGTGGTATCCAGGAAAGCAAAAGACGAAGTTCATCACGACGTAAAGCGCAATGAGAAGGCCCTCCACTCTAGTAGGAACAGTGAATGGAGTTTCGCGATGGTTGCCGAACGCTAGAGGCAAAACCATGTGTCGTCGTATCCAGATCCCCGTTCGCGCTATTGGTGAATCGGATTGTCTTCCAAATGATTCGCCTTTGATGAGGTCCAATCTAGGCTGCGAGCGACGGTGACGGAGGTATTGAAGGGCACGATTGCTCGTGCCGATGAGAATGACAAGACCCCAATAGCCGTATAACGCCCATGCGAAGTTCCAGTTGTAGTCAGTCGCGCGGTTCTGCGCTACCTGCTCATGCTCAGACCGGGATAGAAGTAGGGATGAGTTGGGAATGACTTACAGTCGAATCGTAGCCGACGCTGTAGAAGTCCTGGTCTGGCACGATGGGGCGGGTGAAGTTCTGCTTCTTGACGTCTTGCTCAGAAATCCTCATGACGCTCCCCACGCTTCCAGCAGGCGGATACTCCATGAAGGTGGCATAACTTGGCAGGGGTTCGCCAGCTTCTGCGAGACATGTTTCGTTGTTGTAGGCCAGACCTGACCGAGCCTCGTTCGGTGTGCAGTAGGTCGATGCGCAGTAGAATAGAGATAGGATGTAGTGTTTGTTAGTACAGGGAACAGGGGATCCGTGCGAGGCGCTGGGAGGCTGCTTTCCATCGAACGACACATGGTTCAGTGCCGCCGAGCAAGCCGCAGCACAGTATTGCGAACCTTGAAGATACGTCACAGCACCGACCGCCTGGATAGAAGCCAGTACTGGGAGGATAAGCAAGGCTTTTGGAGCCATTGTACGCCAGTTTACGCTCTTCGCAAAGGAAGGCGCGCGGTGATGGAAGGGCAACGATTCCGACAACAGAACAAAGACTGGGAAAGGAGTGGTAATGAATCGGAGGCTGGTGTGCTCTCTTGCGAACATCTAGACGCCTGTCCAGTTCGACCTACCTCATGGAGAACACCAGCTCATGCAAGACTGTGACCCGCGATTGAGCACGACAGCAGCGTTGCACATCACTTTTGCCATGCTTTTCCGCGCTCATAGGCGCATAGTTGTGTAGTGACCTGCACCAGCGACGCGGCATCTTTGGGGATTGGCCTTCGATGGCGATGGAGGTAGACGATATTGAGTTTGGCAATCTGGAGCTTGGCGCGGCACAAGCACTGTGCCAGATCGACGTCGACGCCATAAATCCTCGGTAAAATGTAGGACGCAACGCGATTGTCGAATGAGTGCTGCCATCGGGTGAAATAGGGTCGCGGGAGGAAGCAAAAGCAGTGGTTCTCATCAGAGACATCTCGTTCCTGTCGTCGGTGATCAAAGTACATGCATGAGTACGTTGGACAGGCTAGTATCGTTCTGTAGCCTGCCGAGCAGCTGGAATCGTTCAGATACCTGATGAGGCTGGCTGCTGCCAATCATTGTCCAGAAATGTGTGACACTAGATCACAAAAGGGGTAAGTCTGTCCATAATAGAGTTGTGTCAAAGGCACTGCCTTTGCAAGATGTTGTCAAGCTGCAGCTGTGGTTCTCCGCGCAAGGCATGTAGATCATGGCCAAGATCGTCGGAAGGGCTCACCTTATCAGATCAAGTTGCATATGATGGTTGATAATCCGGTGCGGTGGACTTCCGTGCGATTATTTGATGAAACAGTAGGCATGGCGACGTGAAGGCTTCTCCGGTTGTTTTGATCGGCTTGTCGGAGGTGCGGAGAAACAACATGCTGAAACGCACGCCTTATCAGCGTTGCTCACGCAAGAGCTGTGCCAGGTAGGCGATGAGCACGTTTACCGCCGGCAAGAGGACAACGTGGCTAGTGACGACCTGCGTTGGATGTTTCTGTTACAATGGCTGGTGTGTGCTTCCAGTGCAGTGACTTAGTTGTGATCCCGAGTGTGTGACAGCCCAGGAGTTTGGTAGTCTTCTGAAGTATGCGAAGACAAAACAGGCCGTTGCTGTTGTCAGCATAGATCCATATCAGGGTGGCTCTGGTTCATCAATAACCGGGAGGTGGAGCGCCTGCCTGATGGTGTATTTGATCCAGCGGAGATGTCGAACGCGGAGCTCTGCAACACGCCTGAGCCGGAAAGTCGCTTTTGAAAGCTTGATGATGAGGTCGGCTGGATTCCAATGCTCCTTATCTTGTTGAGAGGCTTGAAGTCATTCCACGAGTGATCCAGACCTAGCAATCCGAAAGGCCAAGGAACAACGCGGCGCGGCGCGGAGTGGTCGACTCAGAAAGCCTCTTCATGACTTCTCCGTGGCGCTTGCGAGACCAGATGCCACACGAACATGGCACAAGATATGCCCTGCACCTGGGCGCAGCGCACCTGGTTGCAGTCTGAGTGAGGTCGAGGAGTACTCTTCGTGTTTGCTGACAATACATGCCCAGCATGCTCATCCGCCCCCTGAGGGCCGCTACGGCATGACCGATGTGTTGTCAAGCATACAAAGGCCATCGCGCTGCTCATGAGGAGTTTTCGCTTCGCCCATGTCATGCTTGTCTTTCAGTATCCTGCCGAGGAGTGCGTCTAATGAGTTGAAGTTTGGGGTCCCTGGAGTGATCCCATAGCTGTACTGTTGGCTTGCACGCGTCGTTTCTGTCGGAGGCATATCTACGCGTCCAGGTGGCGGTGATTGAAGACGTTCTGAAGAGGCTCAATTGTTGACAATATCGAGAGCGCTGTTGTGGCGTGTGGATCGCGTGAGAATCAGGGCGCGTATGATTACCTAAGCTTCTACCGGGACTGCTTTTCGTATTCGTATCTCTGGATGACATCGGTCTGCTCAGCTTTGTAAACGATCAGCATCGACAATGGAATTCCATCCCATCGCCACTTGGGCAAGGCGAAGGCATCTCTAGCCATGGAGCCAGGCTGAGCATCTTCGAGGCGGCGTGCCCGCTTTCTTCGGTGCTCGTACTCGTTCTTTGCAAGGCGTCGCCACGATGGAGAGCGCCATAGCCTATGGATGTATATAAGCAGCATGGCCTATGGATCTATTTGGACAGCCGCCTTAAGTTGCAGCCAGAAGGGATTCAAATCCACTCCTCAGGAACTTCAACAATGAACAACACCACTTGGTCAGGAGGTCCTCCACCGCCGGGACAAATGCCGCCACAGCAAACGCCTGATCCAGCACCACAATATGGACAAGGCCCGTCAGGATACAACATCCAGCAATTCAAAGTACTCGAAGACTCCATCCGTGCAGCTCAGACCAATCAAGTCCTCTACGAGATTTCTCGACTAGAGACGAAACATCGCTTCTCCCTTTCCGAGAAACCAGCCATCGAGATCAGACGCTCCAAGACGGAGCCGCCATTGGGGACTGTCCGTGCCCATAGAACGTCACAGGATGTGGACCTCACGATACACGGTCGAGCGACGACAATCAAACTGGAACCCCTGATGGAGGAAAAGTGGTGCTATACATCAGTATCCGGTCCGAGCACGACGTTTTGGTGGTCAGAAGGTAATGGCTTGGGCGCAGATGAAGACGATGGGCTGGATTTGAATGAGGAAGATCACCTGGGTCTGGACGATGAAGTTGGACTGGGCTTGGACGACAAAGACGACGGGCTGGGCCTGGACGATGGGGATGGGGAATCAGACACTCTGACGTTAAAGGATGCCAAGAAGGGTGGCCGTTTCATCGCACAGATGAAGCACGACATCCTGACAATCCAGACACCGGGCCTAGGACAGGCCATGACGGACGAAATCATGATTTCGGCGGTAGGCATGCGTGAAGCTATCAAACTCAAGCGTAAGCAGGAAAAGGCGGCTCTAAAACTGATCGTCAAGGCCGCTGGGCTGGGTTAGAAACACTGTATGTAAGCTGCTACTCGATCAAGATTATAGGGCATACTACCCTAAACCACTGGAAGCCACCTGAGTCGATCACCTTCATGTTCAGGCCCCAAACAAGTCATATGATTGGCCGAGAGAAAAGGATTCCAACATTGAGGGTACGCTCTTCCTGCAGGAGTCTTGCCGGATATACGTATGCCCTTGGACGATATAGTCCTCGAAACTCATCATCATCCTCATCTCCCCAACCAGCTCCACACCATTCTACCAGCTCACTCTCTCCACCAACCGCAACAACAATGGAAAACATCACCCAAAAAGCCGAAGCCTTCATCCAATCCTACAAACGCGCCATGGAAAAATCCCTCGCCCCCTCCCCCTCCCTTACCGAATGCGCCGCCGCCCTCGCCTCACACTACAAGCCCGGCTTCATCTCCTTCGCCTTCGGCCAAGCAACCGACCTAACCTCCAACCCCCAAACCACAAGCCCCGAAACCATCGTCGCAAAACACCTAGAACGCTTCGACAAGGCCGGGTTCGGCTGGAAGGTGCGGCTGGCCAGGCACGAAATCCAGGTCTACTCCCAGGGGAGCGCGCAGTGCTGGCTGACGTGGGAGATTGAGCCGAAGGGGTTGGAGGGGTGGCGGTGGACGAATATTTATGGTTTCAGGTTGTTGCCGGATGAGAGGGGGGTGCTTGTGGGGGAGGGGGTTTGGGAGTATTGTGTTTCGGATCAGGAGATTGGGGGGTTGTTGGAGAGGTGTCCTAAGTTTTTTGAACTTGCTTAGATGGGTGGGGTTGGAGGTGGTGTGAGTGCGAAGTGGATTGCGTGTTAGACGAGGGAGTGGAAGGCGAGTCGACGGCGATGTGAGCCGACATGTCAGTACCGCTCGTGCAGCTCGCACGGCTATGTGAGCTTAATCATTTCATTGCCCATAGAATGAACCTTGCCCATGACTTCTCCATTCATGATCCCGTGCACATAGCACTCGCCAACGACGCTGTGAGTTTCTTCGTCGAGCGGGCGGATAATGATAGGTGCCCTGCAACCATGGACGACCACGACCTTATCCCGAGGTCGCATGAAGTTCGGACCAATACCAATGGAACCCTGTCGCGCAGTCCTGAAGAACCGCCGACTGTTGCACATTCTCTCAAAGACTTCGCTGACGCGAGTCGAGCATGAACTTCCGGGCCCATGTTGCTGGTGTTTGATGATGGCTTCTCGGAAAGTCTCGAAAGCATTCAAGTCCTGCTCTGTGGCCGGTCGACCTTCGCCGTTGAGACCTGCCAGGAGGACAGTGTTGATTGCAGGTCTTGCATGGCCGTACCCGAGACCATCGACTTCTTGTAGCCATGAGAGCAGATTCTGCGAGTTGTCGGCTTGGCTCCAGTCTCGTACGCGGTATATGTCGGTCACACTGGCGACTTCATCGATTATAGTACCGCGGACTTGGATCGTAACGTCGTCGACTTCAATAAAATCGAATGGCTTGTGTCCAGATGCCGAAAAGGACCATTTGTTCAGCCTCCCCGGGTAGTCATCCAGGTCTCTTGCATCAGACCACTTGGGCACCCACGATGGCCAACGGTTTGCGCCGAGGGAAGCAGACACACCATCGTCATGCCGATGAACAATCTCCTCAAAGATCAAATCCGGAATTCCCTCCTTCTCTATCAATCCCGCCACGGTAGCATCCCGAAAGACATCCAGCACAGATCGCGAATACGCCGGTCTCAGCCTCTCCATAATCGCCTTGGGCAGAGAACGATACCGAATCAACCCCAGCAAGCCAAAAACATGATCCCGTGGCTGCGAGGAGTTCAAGCCCCGTGCAAACACCAGCGCATCCGCAATCGAGGCCCCTTGCGCTTTCACGTAGGGGCCGTGGGAGGGGTCGGCGTAGCGCCATAAGGTCAGGATGTTGCGGAGCGCAGTGTTGACGCTGGTGGAGTCGAGGTCGGCGGGCGCTGAGTAGTGGTATTTGTACTCGCGCCAGCGGAAGGCGCGCAGGAGGTTGAGCAGTGGGATGTGGCTGGAGGCTATGTAGCAGGTGTTTGAGGGCGCCAGGGCGGCTTCTTGCATGACGCAGACGCGGCTAGATATCCTCTCTTCTTATTACAATGTCATACCGGCGGAGGTCATCGCACTCGCTCAAAGGTCGGGTGTCGCTGTCGCTGCTTTGGACTTCGCTCATCATCGAGCTGTTCACTACCGACATCGCGGCCGCTACGATATGCGGGCCACTTCTTGGATGACAGGGGTGCTCGCAGACTGGAATTGGTAGAAGAGCGCTCAGCTGCTGTCACGAACTGTCTGTGGAGTTATAGTACACCTGGAGCAGTGCGTTCGATAAAGGCGAGGACTCTGTGAGATAAAATGCAAGAGGGGAGGTCAAAACAAACTCGAGAGTGCGAGCCCATCTTTCTAATTTTAGCCATGCCAAGTCGACTTCTTTCAAGACTCAGGTCATAGCAACACCCGTCCACCACACCTTTTCTCTCATGCAGGCGTCGGCGTCTCTGTCGGCGGCGGCAACACATCCAGCGCATCATAGCTCGCCACGATACTGCTACTCCAACTCGCCAGCTTACTCGACTCCGTCGGCGGCAAGCTCACGTACGCATTCGTATGCGTCGCGTTCAGCGGCCCATTACTCGTCAAGTTCGCCGTAACTCTCTCCTTTCCTTCTGGGATATCCAGCCCTTCGATCACCCGCTGGAAGTGTGCCAGTGCGGCTTGAGGCTGGTAGTAGGGAACTTCATGGCCGGATTCGTAGATGCGGGTGAAGGAGAGGTTGCCGCGTTCGCGGGTTTCGCCGTATTCTGTTCCGTTGTATAGCATTGGTTCTTGAGGGGTGTCAGTGCATGGATCATGTGAGTATGGCTGGTGGTTTGTACTTACCGTATCCTGCGGCGAGGAATTCGGCTTTGTGGGTGTGGTTGAGGGCGAGAGAGACGGCTTGGCCGCCGAACCAGTTGCAGATGTAATCTAATGAAGTATTAGTGAGGTCGGTGACTAGGGTAGGAAGGTTCGTAGCGTACCAGCATCACCGTACGCCAATGCCACTCTCACACCACTCGCGATGATGTCCTGCAAGTCTTGGATGAAGTTGGGATAGATGAAGTCACCGGTCTGCTGGAATAAATAGTAGATGTCGCTGTTACTTCCTGTGTAATTGACACTGACGCCCAGAGCCTTCTGGATGTGGGCTTGGTTGAGGTAGTCTTCATAGTATGATGGTGGAGTCGGATCATTGCTGGGATGGCGGATATCGTACGTCCCTCGATCTCCATAATTGTAATACATGCTCTCGACATTGTCTCTGCACATGTTGGCGGCCTCGGCACAAACGGCTGCAATGGCTTGAAATCCAGTGGCGACAGGAGTGATCTTGCCCTTGACGTAACCCCCTTTGATGTCCTGGGCGGCGCGGATGCACGATTGTATTTGAGAAAGGCAGCCGCCGACCATGTGGGTGGCGAATTTGGCGTAGCTGTAGACGGTGTCGTTGTAGGCTTTGATGCCGTAGGTGTTGTTGACGGCGAACTCGGGGTAGTGTTCTGCTTGGACGGTTTCGGAGATGATGGCGTTGATGAGGCCCAGACTGTTGAACTCCATTGCGTAGCCCGGCATGGATCCGTTTTGGATCTTCTCGTTTTGCTGTGAAATACGTAAGTTTTGGCTTTGTCAGGCTATGTTCTGCACGCACCTTATAGAAGTAGTCGAAGAAAGCCGGTCCGTAGTGTCCACCGTACGACTCAGTCCAGAGATTGAATTTGCGTGGTTGCCAGGCCCGGTTGGCGTGAAGCTGTGGGAGAGCCTCGAGGAATCCTTGAAGCGCCTCCCAAGCTGCAATGGCCGCAAGATCTGTGGTATCGATTTCGCCTTCATTATCTGGCACTAACGTGCTCCACGTGCCTGTTTGGTCAGCCTGCGAAGAATTGAGGAAGCCTCCGGTAGAGTTGCCAAGGCTGCCGTTGGTTATCGCTTGGTACGAAAAGCTGACTCCCACGGGCTGGCTCAGGAAGAGCATGTTGGAGACGTTATTCCACGAGTATGGGTTTATGACTGTCGTCAGGTTCTCATTAATCCGGCATGGGCCAAGTTCTTCGAAAAGACCAATAAGACTGTCGCTACCAGGCCCGCCATTCAACCACAGAGTGAAGTCATCCCGTGCTGGGTCACGGCGTGATTCAAAGAACCAGAAGAAAATGTGGACATCTGCAGCAGATCGTCAGAGATGTTGCATAATGTTCGGGTTGTGATGTATACCCTCGCTCAGATCCACATATCCAGAGTAACTGCCCACGCCTGGAGTTGTTTCACAGACACCGTCCTCGCCAGGAGTTTTGTATCGGATCGTGACATTGGTCGGCGTCTTGATGGTGTAGTAATCGGTCGCTGGAGCAGGGTAGTATGTCCGTTTCGCCAGCCGATTGTTCCATGGTGCATCCCTGTGGAAGTGAGAGCTCAAAGAAGCATTGGCAACGGAAGGTAATGAGGCAAGCAGCAGCCCTGCTGATAGAAGAAATGCAGTGGAAAACATCTTTGCCAGCACGTCTCGGGAAGAAAAGCGGTGACGGGAGAAATGATGCTTGAAGGGTGTAGTAGATGTCTGGGAAACGTCGAGCGGTTATCTGCCTACCTTGTATCCACCCACGGCAAGGACATCCCTCACCACCAGCGTCTCATCATTCCATCACCGCGCCGCAGCAGCACACGAAGGACCCAGAATACGAACGACTCGCAAACAGCGGTTGCAGTGATGTTATCAAATCACCTTCTCCTTCGCGGCAAGCAGCAAGCGTGCACCTGCATCACGTAGCATTGGCCTCGCGGGGCCCAGCATGCAAAGAGGGGAATCGTGACGTCCTTGGAGGCGATAAGAAAGTTTGGAAAGCTTGCTTGCGAGCCAGCTTCCTGTCCCGGTAAGATGGGCCTGCCGCTGGGTCGGGTGGTCCTGTCTTTGCAGCGGATAGTCGCGTGCTTGGTGCTTCATACGAGGCAAGCGGTGCGGCTTGCCTCTGCTTGTTGCGGCTTGTTTGTCCGGCTGCCGCCTTGTGGTGCGTGCTGTGCCGCCGCCCACGATGACCGCAGCATCGCGCTGGTCTGTCGGGATCGGGTGGTTCAATCACAGATCTTGAGGATCGAGTGTGTGGAAGGCGAGTTTGTTCTCAAGTCGTGTGTCCTCGCAAAGGCCTCGGTTGTTTCGCGTGGGCGGAAGTCTTGGCAACGCCAGAAATCTCCGCCGCCTTCCTCCGCTCCGCCCTGCTCTGTCACCATCAACAGCCATCAACGAAAGTCATCCAAAGAGAGAGCGCACCATCAAAGGTGCAGCTTGGGGAGAGCCGCTCTTTATATGATGAGAACTCAAATCCTGCATCTGTCAGCTCACGCCCTCTTACGCTATCACGGATGATACCGAGGCGTCAGGCCACGGGAAAGTACCTGTTCTTGAGAACTTCATGTGAGGAACCGATGGCTAAAGTGTACCGACGATAGCTATGTATGAGTCTCGAACGTCGATGTGGCCCAGCATGAACCGCAAAGGCTCAAGAACCTTTCGCAAGGACTTCCGGGAACAGTATCCCAGGCCTTGAGCCTAACCTCTATCGTTTCCGCGATCCCATTTCAACTCCTGCTCGCAACACTTCAAGACAACTGTAGACCTGAAGTCCCATCGATGGGCGGTCAGCCCTAAACCACCTTGTGCGAGACGACAAGCCGCAAACCTCCTGGTCGTATACCCATCTCATTCTGGAAGGCACTCATCGAAACCACCGTCTACCACTCGGCAGGCCACTTGATCTCCTTCTTCTTTGCCTTAACATCCGCAAGCAAAGCGTCAATATGGTGCTTGATCGTCTCTTTCGCCTTCTCATACGTAGCATCCTCGCTGCGTGCATGTCGGGTCAAAGGGCGCCAATATGACTTGGGATACATCACAAGCGCGATGGTGATAGTCTCCAGGTCGAAGTCACGAAGCCAAGCCGCCGAATGCAGAACCGAGAACCACTTGCCGCAATCTTCGGTAACACCCTCGCGATGTGTCTTCTGGAAGTCCTGGTCCTCGTCGCACGCCTCCACGTAGAACGTAATAATGATGTTCTTCATGAGCGTGCGCTGGACTTGGGTTGGGATGAGCATCGCCTGCCTGTACAGATAATTCGAGTCCCACCGTGCGTATAGGTTGCTGCGAGCGACCCAGAGTCCATGACCTCTGGCCACGACGTCGAGGACGGGTTTCGTATCTGGCTCCCTTCGAAACAAGCCATTCTTATTTTGCTCCTTTCGAAACTTATTAGTACTCCGACCATCAATGTCGATGCGCTTGGGCGTGCTTGAACTCACTGTTGGTGATTCTAGGACGGGCTCCATCGCAAAGGTGTTCTGTCCATAGAACATTTGAATCATGGGGTGGTGGAATTTCTTGCAGGTCAGGCTGAGGCGGAGAGCTCGTCGGGCGATGACGACGAAGTGCTTGAGGACGATGGGGCGCTTCTCGCCGGTGCGGTAGTCACGGTGGACGACGGTACGCATGAAGATGTCGTTCAGGATCTCGTTTGCTTGGTCGGTGAAGAGGTCTCGACCGACCTGTTGGGTGAGGTCGGCCATATCTGGTTCGTTCGTGATGTTACGACCAGATCTCGCGCTGACTTTGTGGGCAGGTGACACGTCTCTGGGTGCCCTATATACTGTGAATAAGAACTGGTTCATGGAAAAGTCTAAAAAATGTTGTATGGCCAGTAGAATCTGCGGCTTTGGTAGGTTTGAGCGTGGTAAGCAGTAACTTACGCAGAATTCATTGGATACCGTCGCACTGGACTAATCAATCTTCCTCGCAGAGCACATGCAGAATATAGCAGGTGTGAATTGATTCAATCAGCGACAAGGGTCTTCGAAGGACAATCATGGTGAATTGGGGTAGCGACATTGTGCGACGCTGCGGACTTGCGTTCAGCATGTGAAAATCCGAAGAGGTGAATGAACAGCGTCGCCCTAGCAAAACCGCGGAAAAGTTCCACAACTGATGCCTGACAGCTACGCATCAACACATAAAAAGCAACAACAACGCACCCCGCTCGTTGGCTTCTTCCTCCAAAGCCGTGATCCGTCAGAGATACTGACCTCAGCCACTATCAACATCATCACCAACCATGGCAACTCTCTCACCAACAGTCTACCCCGACCCGCTCATCATCCCACCCTCAAGCGGCCACCACAAAGCCTCCATCATCATCCTCCACGGCCGCGGCTCCAACGCCGCCGCCTTCGCCGACCCGCTCCTCCTCCTCTCCACCACCGACCACGGTACCCTCCAAACCGCCTTCCCCGACGCAAAACTCATCTTCCCCATCGCCCCGCGCTCCCTCGTCCGAAGATCGAAGAAAGCGAGCATGAATCAGTGGTTTGACTTCTGGTCTCTTGCGGATCCTGAATCGAGACCGGAGATTCAGGTTCAGGGGTTGAGGGAGACGGTGAGGTTTTTACATGGGTTGATCACGGAGGAGAGTGGGGTTGTTGGGATAGGGAATGTGGTTCTTTGGGGGATGAGTCAGGGGGCTGCGGCGGGACTTGTGGCGATGTTGTTGTGGCAGGGGGAGGGTATTGGGGCGTTTGTGGGGATGTGTGGATGGTTGCCGCTGAGGGGGGAGATGGAAGGGGTTGTCATGGAGGATGAGCTTGAAGATGGGAGCAAGAAGAGCGGGTTAAGCAAGGTCATCTCTCGTCTGCGCGAGATGCTTGATCTCCCGTCAGAGTCGGATCGTCGCGAGAGTCTCGATGTACCGGTGTTCATTGGGCATGGTGAGGATGATGGGACGGTGTCGGTGCGCCTGGCGCGGGAGGCTGCATCACTGCTCGAGAGGGTGGGAGTTGAGGTTGAGTGTCGTATGTACCCTGGGCTGGATCATTGGTATTCGGAGGAGATGTTGAGCGATATCATCGGCTTCGTCAAAGACCGCGTGAAGATGAGGGAGGTGACTTCGATGTAATGAATTCAATACATCGATGTAGATCAACTGCAATCACATGTCTGGTGGATAGTAATTGTGTTGACGAGAAAGAAGAAGACGTGAAGTGATTTACATTCAGGACTGCGATACCGACTGTATCACGTGACAGCGTGGCGTGGCCGCGAATTGAGGGGCAAATCAGGGAAGTCCTCACCAGCAATCGACAACAACATCAACATCCTCATTCGAACAACCTAAGTCGCAATGATGGGTGTCGATACAGATTATCAGAGCTATGCCACGTATCCTGATCGCCGAGGTTATCCGTCTCAGCCACAATATGGTGGATGCAGCGCATATCCAAGCAGCTCTGGGCGCGCGTATCAACATCCGATTGACCTGACAGCAGACTGGCCACCAGCTAAGAAGCGACCCACCAAGCGCAAGGCTGTCGCATTAGAGGAACAGTATGAAGACAAGCCGGCTAAGAAGAAACGATCCAAGCCCAAGGACGAGGAGAAGCGACTGAAGCGATGGCGACCCAAGGCGCCCTTGACGTATAACGAGATCCGCGACCGCGCCTTGACCCAGCGCATGTTTGTTATTGACCGCGAGCGATATGCGGCAGAGGTTCGTATCACATGATAGCCTTCCATAATCACTTACAGTCTAACGCCACGTAGAGCGAGCAATCCCACCCGACCGAAACGGTGACGATGGCGGGAACGACAGGCAACATCTACCACATCATCGTCGACAAGGTGCCCTCGTGCGACTGTCCCCACGCGCAGAAGGGCAACCAATGCAAGCACATTGTCTACGTGCTGTCGCGGGTCCTCCGTGTGCCGGCTCACCTCGAATACCAGCTCGCCTTCATCACAACCGAGTTGCGCGAGATCTTCGACAACGCCCCGCCGCTGCCTTCCGAGACCGCCAACGAGTCCGAGAAAGACGGCAACCGCAAGCCAATAGAGGGCGAATGTCCCATCTGCAGCGACGATTTCGAGCCATATAATGCTAAAGAAAAAGTGGTTTATTGCAAAGCTTCATGCGGCAACAACATTCACAAAGAGTGCTTCGATAGGTGGGCCGCGACAAGGCACGGTGCAAGAGTTACGTGTCCATACTGTCGTGCGCCTTGGGAGAGCGACGACCAGGGTGATATCAAGAGAGTCGCGACGAATGGGCGGGTCAATACCGAGGGATACGTCAATGTGGCCGGTCAGCTTGGTCTCAGTGGACGGCGAGACTACTCTACATACAACGAGTATTGGGTGCGGAACCAGATGCGGCGAGGTCGTTCGGACTACGAGGCTGGTTGGGGATTTTGAGGAGGTCATTTCTTGAACACCCACGTTCCGTCGTCCGGCGAGACGACCATGAGACAACGATTGAAGATGAACGAGTTACGATTTGGAGTTGGACATGATTCCCATGAGCCTTTCTTGGCTGGCGCGATACTCTATTCGAAAAGGACGGTCTTTTGTCATACGTCGGTTATCCTTCGACCTCGCGTGCTGTACTCATTCCAGGATGCCTCGCTAAATGACCCTACCCTCGACGCTACTCTTAGAAGGATTTGACTCCCAGTTCCGTATTCGCAAGACGGCTGACAATGTACTTTGGAATATGGGATCCACCTGCAAGAACACAAAGAACCCTACATGGCTCAAGATGGCGCGGCCACATAAGAACAAGCGAAGGCCTGCAAAGTGAGGTTGATTTGGCATGAGACGACATTCTTTGCATACTCTTCGCCACATTGTAGGAAGCTCCTTGGAAACCGTCTGTTCCGTTGCTGAATACTCCCAAATCGAGACATTGGATTATCGCAAGCACGGCGGAGTGTCTCATCAACGGCCATGATATAAAGAGGAGCCTCCATCTGCCTCGAACGCCCACCGACTTCGTTCCCAGCCTGCCATCATCGCCATGGCTTCCAAAACCCATCTCGACAATGTCGCCCCGTTCATCAAGGACCAGGATCACATTACCTTCGTCACACCGTCATCCTCCAACTATGACACTGTGCGCGAGTCGTACATCCTCAACACGGGCATCACTCCCCTCGGCATAGCTCGACCCAAGTCTGCCGCTGATGTCGCCTCCCTGATCAAGCTTTGCACAACTCACTCTATACCCTTCACTGTTCGTTCTGGCGGACATGACCTCTTCGGCCGATGTTTTGCTCCAGATGCCCTCGCAATCGACATGCGCGACCTCAATTCTGTTACCATCGATGAGGACAACATGACTGCTACCATCGGAGGCGGCATCGTCGCGGGTGACCTGGCAAAAGCTCTGCAGAAGAGGTCTTTCGCAGCACCCATGGGCAGTATTGGGAGCGTGGGGTATATTGGTTGGGCTAGCCATGGCGGATATGGCCAGCTTGGAAGCGATTATGGGCTTGGTGTTGATGGGATTGTGGGAGCCACAGTCGTCAATGCAGAAGGAAAGGTTGTTGATGCAGATGAGGAGATGCTTGTTGGTATCAAAGGCGGAGGAGGATGCCTTGGAGTGATCGTGGAGATGAAGATCAAGGTGGCCAGATTGGAGAAGGTCAGTAGTCGCGTGAGCTGGGTGAGAGACAGCGGCTAACGAAGGAGTGTAGGTCCTGGCTGGATTGATAGTGTACGAGTCATCCGACCTCACGAAAACAGTCTCAACGTTCTACTCTGGCTACCAAGCTCTTGACAACTCCGGCAATATACCCTCTCCTCTAGGCATCCAGAGCAGCGTCGCCAATATTCCCGGCCTGGGCAAGTCCTTCCTAATAGGCTTCCTCTGGAGCTCTCCCGACATGGAGCACGGCCAACGGGTCCTAGACCAGCTCAAATCGCTCGGGACAGCCATCCACGTCGACGTCAAGGAAAAGACGATTCCGCAATGGCAAGCCGATACGGATGCTCTCGTTCATCACACCACATACGGAAGGGATACATCCGTCAGTCTTCATAAGTTCACGAACGACACGCTCGAGGTTGTAGGCAAGCATGTCGCCCAGATGCCGGACGATCCTGCCACGCTCTTCTCGATCCACGAACTCCGCGGCGCCTCCTCTTCCTGCTCAAGCTCCTTCTCCTCGTCGTCAGTCTTCCCGAATCGCATACCTCATCTCGTCGTGGAACTCATTGCTTCTTCTTCGACGTCCGAAGGTACAAAGGCGGCGTGGGACTGGGCGTCTGCGTTCAAACGAGAACTTGAAGACGTGGCCAGGAAGGACGGCGTGCTGTTGGAACGGACGTATGTCAGTCTTACGCCGCCGGAGAACTACGATTTTGAGGTGTTGTATGGGGATAAGTGGGAAGTTCTCAAGGAGTTGAAGAGGAAATATGATCCGGGCAATGTGTTTGAGAGAGCGGTGGTGAAGTTTAGGGAGGAGGATTTGAAGTGAAGTGACGACGAGACTTAGGTGAGGAACTCATAGAACTCACTGGAGCGAATACTGTATGAGTACGCTGATGTGCAACACCTGCTACCTCTCAAGCGCTGAAGTCGGAGTAAGCATTGCCACAACAAAGTCTCGCATGCTCATACAGCAACGCCCGCCCTACATTGTCTTGGCTTCGGATTATCGCGAGCTCGTGGACGACCTCCCGAAGTGGAGGCACGCGGTGCAAGGTAATACTAATCAAGTTACAGGCAACGATCAGCACGAAACAACTACTTTCGCTATGACATTCCCCGTATGCTTCTCCGCACGAGTATGGGGAAGGATTGGGGGTTACTCGGGCTTCCTGCAAATGGGGTAAGTAGTGAGGGCCAGAATGCGAGGTTGTCGAGTTGCTATAAGCAGGTCGTCGGCTGCGGGTTTGGTATGGCAGGCTACTCATTAACGCCTGCCGGGACGGTAGCAAGATTGACCAGACATGATGAAGGCGTTCTCTACCCTGGCTCTGCTAGCTACGGCGGCCAACTCCCAGCAGACCGCAGCTCAAGACATCGGAAACTGTCCAGGCTACAGGGCATCCAACGTCCAGCGCAGCAGCGGCAGAATCACCGCCGACCTCAGTCTTGCCGGCGACGCATGCAATGCCTACTCCGATGACCTCCCGAACCTACGACTCTTGGTGGAATACCAGGCCCAGCAGCGACTACACGTCAAGATCTACGATGCCGACGAGCGAGTTTATCAAGTTCCAGAAGCGGTTCTGTACCGACCGGGCAACGCGACTGTCGAAGAGGCGGATAGTGATCTGTACTTCCGTCTTGTTGAAGACCCATTTGAATTCGCGGTCGTCAGAAATGCTACTGGAGAGGTCCTGTTCGATACTACAGGCCAGGCTTTGGTGTTTGAAAGCCAGTACATTCGCTTGCGGACGAGTCTTCCTACCGACCCGAACATCTACGGGCTTGGAGAGAATTCAGATCCCTTGAGACTGCCCACCACTGGCTATTCCCATCCTTTCTGGAACGTCGGTCCCTCGTTTTTGCCGGCGGGGAACCTTTATGGGACGTTCAAAGCGTACTACGACCACCGAGGCGCCAATGGAACACATGCGGTCTATCATCTCAACAGCAATGGGGAACGAGTCTTTCTGGACGTGGATGATCAAGGACAATACCTAGAGTACAACGCCAATGGCGGAGTCTTCGACTTCTACTTCGTCACCGGCGCCACGCCCCGAGAAGCCTCCGCCCAATTCGCAGACGTGATCGGCCACTCCACCCTCATGCCCTACTGGAGTTTCGGCTACCACCACTGCCGCTACGGCCTCCAAGACGTCTACGAAGCCGCCCAGATCATCGCCAACTACAGCGTCGCCGAGATCCCGCTCGAGACCTTCTGGATCGACATCGACCACATGTATCGCAAGCAGACGTTCTCCTTGGACCCGGATCGTTGGTCGCTGGAGAAGGTCAGGGAGTATATTGACTACTTGCATTCACATCAGCAGAAGAGCGTTTTTATCATTGAGCCGGCGATTCCGACGCAGTTGAGGGATTCGATCCCTGGTGAGCCCGGCACGTATACGGCTCATGAGGATTTGGTGGAGAGCAAGGCGTATTTTCAGTTTCCTAATGGGAGTGCTGTGCCTGGGGTGAGTGTCACACATACTTTAGAGTTGTCCTGTTGACCTTTGACTGATTGCCTTAGGTTGTATGGGGCGGCGGTTCCATCTACCCCGACTGGTTCGACCCAGCAGTACAAGACTTCTGGAACGGCGAATTCGCCAAGTTCTTCAGCGCTGAATCAGGCATCGATATCGACGGACTCTGGATCGACATGAACGAAGCCGCCAACTTCTGCAATCCAACATGTCGTAATGCCACTCTCGATGGCATCCACCAACAACGCCCTGAACGAATCCCAGCCGTGCGCATCTCCAGCCCGTATGAGATCCCTGGCTGGCCTGAGGATTGGCAACCGATGTGTGTGAGCTACACGCGCTTCAACATCGCTGCGCAGGTGGATGGGGACAAAGAGATCATCACCATCATTGGCAATATCTCGGCGCTGGCTGATGGTAGAGCAAAGGATGGTCCAGCTCTGAACATCCAGACTGAGAATGGATACGCCATTGTTGTGCAGCTGCCACCGAACACGATCGTCTCCTATCAGTACCCACGGTATGCGTACGCCATCGATGGCTCGTATATATTCGAGGCTCAGAATCGGACTATCACAACAGGAGGCTGCAATGATATGTGGCATCCGCAGGAAGTCAACGATACTATCACCACTTCTACGACGAACCTTACTATCGTCCCGTTCACACCATACCAACCCACTCCGGAAGAAGGTCCCGGCCCTGACGTACCGGAAGGCTCGATGTTGGGTCTTCCAGGTCGAAACCTTGCTTATCCTGAGTACAATATCAACAGTACTGTGGGTAGCTTGAGCGATCAGGGCTTGCCGACGAATGTCTATCATGATGGAGGTTGGGCTGAGTATGATGTGCATAATTTGTTTGGGGCGATGATGAGCTCTGCGAGCAGGGATGCTATGATTTCGAGGAGGCCGGATAAGAGGCCTTTGGTGTGAGTACACAACTGTAAACGATAAGTGCTGATCTGTATGACTGACATATGAATTTTAGCATCACTCGCTCTTCTTACATGGGTTCAGGAAGCCAAATCGGACACTGGTTCGGCGACAACAATGCAGACTGGCGCAGCTACCTCATCTCCATCCGCCAAATGGCCAGCTTCGCATCACTCTTCCAATTCCCCATGGTCGGCTCCGACACCTGCGGCCACAACGGCAACGTCACCATCGAACTCTGCGCTCGCTGGGCAATGCTCGGCGCCTTCAACCCCTTCTTCAGAAACCACAAAGTCACCGGCGCCCAACCCCAAGAATTCTACCTCTGGCCCGAAGTCGCCACCGCCGCCCGCAAAGCCATCAACAGAAGACTCCAACTCCTCGACTACCTCTACACCGCCTTCTACCGCCAATCCACCTCCGGCGTCCCGACTATCAGCCCGCTCTTCTTCAACTACCCCAACGACACCGCCACCTTCGCCCTCGAAACCCAATTCTTCTTCGGCGACGACATCCTCGTCTCCCCCGTCACCGCCGAAGGCGCCACCAGCGTCGACGCATACCTCCCCGACGACCTCTTCTACGACTTCGAAACCTTCGCCCCGATCCGTGGCTCTGCCGCGAACCACACCTTGGAGAACGTCGCCCTCGACGAAATTCCTGTTCTCATCCGCGGCGGCGCCATCATCCCCCTCCGCGCCAATCCAGCCAACACGACCACCGAAGTCCGCAAGCAGGATTTCCGACTCCTCGTCGCGCCCGGGTTGGATGGTTCCGCGAGGGGGTATTTGTACCTCGATGATGGGGAGGCGTTGGATCCCGGGGAGCAAACTACTTTTGCTACCTTCAGCTATGCTGACGAGGACGGAGTGTTGAGGGTTAATGGAACGTTTGGGTATCAGACGGATAGGATTATTAGTGAGGTTGTGTTGCTGGGGATGGATGGGACTGTGAATAGGACTACGACTGTCGGTCTAAGTGGGCCCTCTGAGGTGAATTTGAAGAGTGCTGAGGGGTATCGGGTGAGGTGAGCGTTGTATCATACAGGTGCGAGCAGATGTAGCCATGAAAGAGGCGTACGACTCGACACAATCTCAGAGATGATTGGCTTGCTATCTGAGCCCCTTCTGCCTAAGAGACCCTCACGAGAAGCCAGATAAGCTCTACATCATGTCCATCAACGGCGTACAAGCCCGCCAGCCTGACGGCCCCGAGTGGGAACGTATCGGTCCTGTTGTGACGCCCGATGAGGAAAGGAATGTCTTCGATCCAACTCAGTCGGAGGGCTTGTACTGCGTGCCCGCTCGGATCTTTGAGGAAGAGAATCCGATGCTTACGGTGCTGTTGCTGGAGGTTGTGAATCGTGAAGAGCCTACTTGTCGTCGGATTGGTGTTGCTAATTCTTTGAATGAGGTCGAGAGTGGGATCATTTTGAAGGGAGCGGTTAACGCGGAGAGCTTTCCTGCGTTGTCGTATCGTGATGGGAGGCATTGTGTTCGGCTGATATAGCCATTGACGGTATCCTTAATCCGGGCGACGTGGCCACCTATACATCAGTAACTGTCACGGGCCGCACAACCTTCAAGCTCGAGGATCGTCTCACTTGAGGCCGCTCTCTTGGCCAGAGCACGTTGGAGCAAGATACTTGGAGCAAGTCACTTGGAGCAAGTTAGAGCAAGAATACACTCAAGCAGCCACAGCTGCATGGCATTACTTGATTAGTTGCCATCACAGCCATCGATGAGGTCCATGCCGAATAATGGACCATTAGGCCTCCCAAGCCTCGTCACAAAACCACACGGCTGCGTGAGGCTAGTGAAGCTAAGTTTCGCAAAGCCTCGATACAGCAATTGGCCTTGCCATATCTAGCAGTGAACCGAATAACAGCACACTTCTTAGAGAGACTGTAAAGGCCGGCCGGTAAAATTGTTACAGCCGTCGCCGTCGTCGGTGCCGATGGCGAGGACATGAAGTACATACATATATATATCTGGGTGTTCGCAGCGTAGCTACATTGAAGCTTTCAAGACCATCTCCCTGCCCGAGAAAAGTCGAACCCACAGCACCAAATCTCAAAACATCCCATCAATCTCCCACCAAAATGCCACCCTCAACATACGCCCCAAACGCCCTCCAAACCGTCATCATCGCCTGGACAGGCATGGACCTCACCGACTTCGCCGGCCCCGTCGAAGTCCTCTCCCACGCCCGCAACGACCAGCGAGAGCGTCTCTACAATCTCACCATCGCCGCCGAGACTGACGAGTCCGAAACATCCCAAAACGTCAGCATCCACCGGCACACCGGCATCGAGGAACTCGTTCAAAACATCGACAAGTACGACGTCTTGATCCTACCCGGGGGAGGAGGTTTCACCGCCGACACCGTCCCCGATGTCCCGGGTTTGAAGAATGTGATGAAGGCTTTCACGGCCCTCCAGCCGAGGGAGTCCAATCCTCGCGTCCTCCTCACCATCTGCGCCGGCGTCTTCTTCCTCGCCGAAGCAGGTCTCCTAGTGAACAAAGTCGCCACATCGCACTACTTCAGCCTGCGGGACCTGCAGAAACTGTGCGATCGACACGGCGAGACGAAGATCGTGAGGCAGCATTATGTGGATGTGGGGGATGTTGGTGGGACGAGGGTGGTTGTTTCAGGGGGGATCACGAGTGGGTTCGATGCGACGCTTTATCTTGTGGAGATGCAGCAGGGGTTGGGGGTGGCAGAGAAGGCGAGGGCGGTTCTGGATGCGGGGTGGAGGAGGGAGGCGCTTCCGTTTGGGACGTTTTGAGTAGGCTGATTGATGGTGAGAGCAGACAGGACTGAAAGTATCGACTCCTCTATAGTCCCCAGTACCCGTTCTCTTTTAGCCCGCTATGACCTCCCTCCGCCATCCTCTTGTACTCGCTCTCCAAGGTCCAGCTCTTGAATACATGCCCCGGTGGTATGTTCGTGTTGTGAAAGTTCTTCCCATCGCGTACATGCTCGAGACATTTCTGATAGCTGCGTCGTGCGTAGTCCTCCGGGTTATGGTCCCAGACCCAGCGGCCGATTTTGAAGAAGCCGACTTCTGGAGGGACTTCGCCGTCTGGCTGGTGAGGATGTTAGTGAGTGATGGTGATGTGTTGGGGGAGTGAAGGTTTACCGCTGACGCGTTTTCGTCGAAACTGCTGTTGTGAAGCTCGTCACGGTTGACGAAGCCGGTTTGCTGGAGGATGGAAACACGTTGGAAGCGAAGGGCATTGTGGACGCGGGTTGCCCACGGGATGTTCTCCTTTGTTCCGGCTTGGTGAAGACATTCTGCGAGTGAGATGCCATCCTAGAGAACATCAAATCAGTCAATGTTCAAATATGCACTCGGAGAAGTGTGCTTACCTCCTGTGCCTGCACCGCTCCATTCCCAGCTGTCGGGAAGAACGCATGGGCTGAGTCTCCCACTTTAATTATCCTCCCTTTATCAGAAGTCCACTGCTCGATGCTGTCTCGCCACTTCAAACGCCAATCGACGACTTTGCCGGGAGTCTGTCGGACGAAATCCAAAATCGCAGGATCCCAATCACTGCTGGACTTTTCGATGATTTCGATGATATCTTCTGGGTCTCGATTGTTGTGCCAAGATTCAGCGGACAGTGCGTCGGCCTGGGGAGTTTCGTTAGTACAGGAAGCAATGCTTTGATTATAACGTGACGGACCTCATGTGAGAAGGCCCAAGCAACATAGTCCGTCGTCAAGAAGATGATCAACGAGACATCTGCTCCGCCAACATATGTCCGGAATTGAGGACCGTCCTCATCAATCGACTTGATGATGGCTTCTGCCGGTGACCCCTTCTTGATCGTCTCCTTCGGAAACGCCACTCTTGCAACCGCATACCCACTGTCAACAACAGCGGCCAAACCACCGGGAACAGGCCAAGGAACCTTCGAGCCAATTCCATCAGCAGCCACACAGACATCGGCCTCGAAGTCTCCTTTGTCAGTATGAACGACGACCTTGTCGTCAGTCTCCGTGACTTTCTCGGCTGTAGTCGAGAAGTGCAGTGGAATGCCAAGAGCCTGTACTTGATCCAGTTGCCAGGCTGCGTATTCCGGACGACGGTTCAAGAAAGAGATATCAACTTCAGGGCAAGAGTGCACAATTCCCTCACGCTTCCACTCGGGCATGATGGATGCGACGACATGGCCGGATGGTGTCATCAGCCGGACCACGCAGTCGTGGACCTTGTCGTGGTATGTTTTGTAGAATCGAGGGTACTCTTTGAGAGTGGTGAGTGCTGATGGTGGGATCGTGAAGAAGTCGCCTGCAGGAGATGTGTTAGCACTACTGATTGAGGAGCATCGGTTAAGGTATGCGTGCCTATTGGTGAGAGATGTGCTGCTCGCTCGAGGACTACGACGTCGAAGCCTTTTCGCCAGCACTCAAGTGCTGTGGTCAAGCCTCCATTGCCAGCTCCGACAATGAGTACTTTAATGCCTTTTGCTGGATAGCGCTGTACGCCATCAACTATCGTGTCGCTCGTGCCGTTCATGTTGTGCAGTGGATATCAATTATCGTTCAGACTGTGATGTGTTTAGTGCTCTGATGAAGATGAAGAAGTGAGTGGTCCAGTAAAGTGGGCAGCTGCATGAGTCTTATATTATGTATTACTCTTGGTTGTACGTATGGTGCAGAGCCTGGTTCTCTGGCATATTGGTAGTGCTGGATCGGCGCGACGAGCTTGGAATCAGGATGTAGAGCGCCTTGTGTGATTCTATGCGAGTGCCACTGCCGGTGATATAAGACTGGCTCAGGCCGCAATCCTTCCTTCATGGTAAGTTCCTCGATAGGACGCCGCGTGGGTGTGCAACGCAGCTTTGTCGAAAGGCCGGTGACCTGTGATTTCGAGAGCAACAATAGCGGGTCGAGACCCTAGAAATGTCGCCGAACGGGACTAGCTCCCGGAGCTGCATGTGATGTTCTGCAGATAAGGTTCTGTGGCCCGACCGTCGGCAACAAGTGGTTGCCGACGTGCTCTTTGAAAAGCAGCTCTTGGAGTGAGAAACGATCTGCTGCAGTGCGCCTTCATTCGAAAATTGTCGAAGAACTCCATTCCTCATACCTCAGCCACCTATAACGCATATGGCGACGACTGCGGCGAAGATAGAAAGAGCTTGGCCGGACGAAATACTGGACGCTGAGCCAGTGGACGAATCTGCCTGGTTGGAAGATCCGCTCAATGCTTGTCCAGTCGATGAAGACAATCCTCCACTCTGAGAAGAAGACCTTCCACTCTGAGGTGAATTTCCTGGAGTCTGAGACGCTGACCCTCCCTCCGAGGTCCCTGACATAGAGGTACTCGAATCGGCGTTGTCGGATTCGTCTTCATTGCCAACTGTGCTCTTCCAGCCAACGACGAGGCCGCCTGTTGCAGCGCTCAAAATCTTCCCATTGCTCAATGTGGTCGCAGAGCTGCCAGGTGTCAACGTCGCATAGGTACCAACAACAATAGGCCCGCCATCAGGGGTCTGAACAGCTGTAGCCTCCTGGCCGTTGACCGTCACTACCACAGTAGCTGGACCATCATGCGATGTGGGCCCATTATTAGGCTGGGCGACATCTGTAGTAGCAAGAGGAGCTTCACCGCCTATCTTCACGGTGCTGACCCCCTGAAGTATCAGGCCATCGTTTCCATAGCTGGCCTGCGTTCCGTCTTTGAGGGTCTGAGTCGGTCCGCCGGAGGTCATTGTCACACTGTCGATACAGGCTTGGCGACTGGTACCTGTTGCCCAGTATGTGGCATATCCAACGTGGAATGATTGTTTCCATGGCTCGCCAGCTGGGTTGCACGAGGCTGCTGGCTTCATTGGCCGAGTAGGCCTGGCTGCTGGAAGAGTCGGGCCGCCTGCAGTCATGGTTGGGCTGTCATCACTGCTCGCCTGCTTGGTCGTGGGAGGTTCGTTTGGCAATGCAGTTGGTGCAGTCGTAGGCGCCGCAAGCGCAGAGCTCGGTGCGGCAGAAGTTGTTGTCGTTTGGAACCCACCTGGTGGAGTCGGCTTTGCTTCTGAAGCAGCTTCGGTCAAGGCGAGAGGAGGATCCCAAAGTCCATTATACCACATTTGACAATGCTCAAACTCTGGACTCAACTGAGTGATTTGAGGAGGGATCGCAAGCTGTGGGCGGAAAGAGTGCTCGTAGATGATGGAACATGCCCAGCCCCCATATCCTCCTGGATCGCACAGGTTCTGTCCATTCCAGGCCGACCAAGGGATAGGAGTGTTGAAGTCTGCGTACGAGACTGGATAGCCGGTGACCTTGTCGGTACTCATGAGGCGTTGGAAATGATCTTGCGAATAGCGAAGACTGAGCACAGATTCGGATGGCATGGCCAGGATGGCGTCTTTCACAGGAGTACCGAATGTTTTAGAGCAGCGGTCCACAGCATATACAGTCGAGATTGAAATGTATGCCGTTCCTGAAGTAAACGTATGACCATCGGCGACTGCAGCCCGCTTTCCACCAGCATCGCCGTTCCCAGTGTACGACTTGCCGGCGTAAGCTGTGATGACTGCGTCTGATCCATAGTGGGTGAGCGTGGCTGTTGGCGTCATGGCGCACATATCACGGCTGCTGGGATAGGTCGGAAAGTACACCAGCTCCACGCCTTCACCGAAGATTGTGCATTCGCCGCAGCCATAGATGTCTTTGGTCACAGAAGCGTACGATGATGCGGCGCTACGTCCCATGCAAGGCGGAGTTTCCAATGGTGGATTCGTCGTTTGTCCACCTGCTACGCTTAGTGAGGTGCTGTAAGCCTTCCAAAGCCCGTCACAATCAGACGGTGCAATGGAGCAGGTTGGCGATGACTGAGGGTAGTTGGAGAAGTATGTGCCCAGGATTGTGCTGGTCGAGTTGACTGTGCCGGGATAGGTGATGGTGCCGGTAGATAGCGATTTTGCGGGAGAGTATGTCACTCGAGCATGGCCATCGCACAGAGTTGTAGCATTTTCGTAGTATGTCACATCCGAGAATGAAGTTCCACCAACTAGTTCAGTCGTTGTGCTGACATAGCTGTGCGCGCTGTACCAGGAGCTGGACGACACATCGTAATCAATCAAGGCTTTCCAGCACGCCGATGCGTATTCAGGACCGGATCCAGTCGTCGCTATAGTCGGCTTCTGCGTTATGTTTCCGGTAGACGTCGGTGCCGGTGTCCCAGTGGCCTGAATAGCAAAAGCGAAGGCGAACGCGGCAAGGAGGACGCTCGTGGGCAATTGAAGCCACCGTGATGCCGTCTTATCAGTCGCCATGCCTTCCCACGGTCTCTCTTCTCCCAGCTCTCTTTCTCTCAAGAACCAGTCAATTAGATGTTGTATGAGCGAGCGTCGTTATGTCGAAAGGAAAGTCATGTCGTAGGGATAGCGAACGTAGACCCAGCGTCCAGAAGGTCACCGTCTCATCGAGAGGGTGGAAAAGAGTTTGCATGGCGGCGGCGAGAAGGTGGTAGAGGTGACCTCACGTCGCCCAAGCGTGCCGGGTTGATGCCACGCCCGCCTCGTATTCGCCCGCACACTAACAAAATCTCGGTTCTGGCCGGGGGGCGAGATAGCCGCGTCATTGGCAGACAACAGAGCGACGAGACAATCTGTATCAGAGACATTGTTATCGTGCGTCTTGGGTGTCTTCTTCCAAGCTGATGGAAAATTTCCTCGTCCTTCAAAGCTCTCAGCCTTGCGGTAGTGAGAATCGCATCCTGCTGGACTGATCCTTCGCCCCTGACCGACCGAGGCGTCTACATTAGAACGAATTCCGATCTGGCCACACCCCATCCGAGCTCCCGCAGCAGTTCGAATCGGCGTGTCTCAAGATTGCTGCCGGCGTGTGTTAAGTCCAGGATCCGCACATCTGCCGACGCTGCAAACTTCGGTGTTGACGCGGCAACCTGGTCGATTCCCGCTGCCGGAACGAGGTCCGCTTGACGTTGCCTCCGTGCTAAATTGGTGCATCCTCAAACTTTAAAATGACGACGGTTCACCGACTTCACCTCTTGGATATTTGGAACCGGCTGGAAGGGGGAGGGCAAGGTGATGTCTTACTTTGACAAAGGTTAAAGCAGATATCGAGGACAAGATATACAGTGGGCCTTGATCTGGCCGCATTGGTCAGGCGCGCAGCGGGCCGGGTGGGCTACTCTTGCTTCGAAGAACTTCGTTGTTCCGCCCAAAGTCGAATCATCCCCGTTACTGGGAAGCTGTCTAACTGAGAAGGAGGCGGAGGAAGCAGTGTCGGTTTCCAGGATCATATTCAGAACGCGAGTGAGTCACGAGGAGCTGAAGCTGACGAGCTACTTATACCTGGCTACACCTATCTCGCCAAGATGTCTTTGATGCGCTCTTGTAGCTCCACGGGAAGCTCGAGTTGAGCGAGAGGCATATATGCCTGCGAACCATGGACGTCAGATTCAAAGAAACCACCACTCGAAGCGGCAGCACCCAATGTCATACGGGGAATGGTTGCCTTGAAAGCCAGAGCCTGGTCGAAATATCCACTCCAGACGAGTTGGTCCGGCCTCAAATCGTAGAGCGCGGCCACACGCTCTGCAGATAGGAGATTGGACGTCTTGATGGCTTCGAATACGGCAGGGTTCTTGAAGATGATATCGAATGTAATCTCGTACGGACCGGCATTCTTCGACCGCAAGACGTCGGCAACATCGTAAATGGTCTTCGGTTCGATGTTGTCAATACGAGTGCTGGGTGGTGCTTGTTTACCATGAGTAGTAGCCTGGGCCTTGCGGGTCTTGGGCTTCTCCGTCTTGCCATTGAAGGAAACATGACCATCTCCATTTCGACGAAGTCCGTTGTCGATAGTCTCGGCCTTAATCCTGAACAGAGACACCTCTTCTCCAGGCTCGAGATCCAGCAGGTGGTAAATGCAGAACTCAGGGACAAGGCCGAGCGGGATTTCCATTGCCGCGCCAATACCAAACGCAAAGTTGCCGCTCGTTGCTTTCTGTCCTGGGTAGCTCACATGTGCAGAAGCAATTCGTGCGGTCGCTGCAATCGAGTTCGCAAGATCTTGCGTCTTGGCTCGACACTCACCGACGAGGAACAAAGATCTGGGAGTACCATCGCAGTCACGACCGTAGATATGCCATTCCAAGTCCCACTCTCCTTCTTCGAGGCCTGGAACTTGCTGTGGCACGTAATCTTTGATTCTGGCGAGGATTGAATCGATCTGAGATATCAGAATAGCTAGAACAGTGCGTCAGCTCAGCATGTATCTGTCTGCTGTGAAGATGAGCATACGATCTCGGTGTCCGCCCATGTACAGGGCCCGATAGCCTGATGTGCGAGCGGCTTCTAGTTTGATCTGATATGGGGCACTGTTACGTAGGGAAGATTCCCAAACAGCTCCCTGGCATCTCGTGGTCCTACCGTCTGCTTGTTGGGTGTACTCAGCTTTGCTCAGACCGAGCCATCCGCCCGGTGCCAACAGAATATCTGGTCTTGACTTCTCGTACATGGTATGCGCCGCGACTGACAGTGGTGTGCATATCGACGAGGGGTCGGTAGGACAGATCTCAAAGCTGCCATCCGAATACATGGTGGAGATGGCGCCTCTGCTCTTTGGTACGCTGCATTGACCACCGCATTCCATGATCTTGGCGGCGTGCGCGATCCTGTCCTTTGTGAGCGAGTTGATTGTATGTTCGAATTGCATCTCTTACCCGCCATTGATCTGCAAAGCTGTATGCTTGTCTGTATCGTAGTCAGGAACTACTCTTCGAATACATGATTCTGCAAAAGCCACATAAGGGGCAGGATCGTGCGCTCGGCCGCCCAAGATTATGTCAAACTCTGGTACTTGCTTCATCGCTTCGGTATAAGGCTCGGCACCCATCTGAGCAACGATTACGGGTGCCTCATGAACATCTGTCTGTTGCAGCTCGGGCACAGCTTTGCCGCAAGGTGTAATCTTTCCGGAGTGAAGCCTCGTCGAGACGAGGTCATGGGGGATGTCGGCATAGACCTTGACCAACTTCAGCGAGTAATCCCTGACTTTCGTTAGGAATGCCACCTTGGCCAAGTCACAGTGTTTGGAAAAGTACATGCCTCTCGGCACTGTTCTGTCGAATCATCTCGGCAATGGCGTCAACCTGGGCGTTGGTTCCGGCGCCGCCAGCAGAGCCGATCATCAACGGGACACTGTACTTGGTCACAGCGTCTAGCAACCTTCTAATGTCACGCTCATAGGAAGAACGTGGCATTGTCATATCGCCGGACGCCAACTTCTTAGGACCTGAATCAGTCGAGCCAGAATCGAGAATGACCGCTACTGGTGTTGAATCTTGGGTGAGACGCTCCAAGGCTGAGTGTGTTTCTTCCTCGTTGAAGCCATAACTGCCAAACAGAATGAATTATTAGCTAATGGACTCCATGCGAGCGACGATCAACATGCCCCAGCATTCCCACCGGGGTCAATATGCGACACACTGGCACCGCCTGGTTCTCCACTGTCGCGCCCATTTTGCCGCGCCTTGTGAAACAAGTCGAAGTATTGAGAAGAACGGCGGACTCAGATTCAATGCCTGTGGAGCTAGTCCTGTCAATAAACACCCCATAGTGATCCTCGCCAAGACATTGATATATCGCATATGTTTCGTGAGAGGCATGGAAAGGGCAACACAGGCTGGGCGGGGAAGGGGAAGGCGAGATCGGGGTGCATTGCGACTCGGCATCCTTCTGAAGCGGGCTCCTGAGCCTGGTTGCGTACTCGCAGCTCCGCCGCAATGCTGACGCCGACCTTAAGCTTCGCAATGGCATGTGTTCTCACACTGCGAAGACCAACAAGAATCGCAATTTTATCTGATGAGACACCATGAGAGCGTCGGCGTGCGTAAAATGCAGGCAGTGGAAAGCGAGGTGCGATGCCGCACCTGGAGAAGCAGGCGGCTGCTCGCGATGTCGTGCCCTTGGAGTGCCTTGCGTTTTCGACGCCTCTTACAAACGAGTCCCGAAGAAACGAAGCATACATCAACTGCCTAGCGACATCCAGTATCCTCGGCAAGCCGTACAGAGCGGAACGTCGTCGTCTTCGCCGCAATCGACATTGAGCAACAATGCGAGTCACATCCCGCTCACGGACGCTGCGAGCTCTCCTCCAAACCAGGCTTCCGTCGCCGGTGATGGGAATCTCACAGAGGGACAAATCCACGGGATATTTCGATGCTTTTTCACCCGATGCCACCGATATCTGCCTTTCGAAATGACTACACGCTCGCCGGAAGTCATTGGTGAGCGCTCTCCTCTGCTGTTCTGGGTCATCTGCGCAGTGGCATCGGAGGATGACTTCCGAGCCCAGCTTGCTCCCAGAGTCAAGCAGCTGGTACTGAACACCATTTCGTCCCCTGTACATTCAGTCGAGACGGTACAAGCGTTGCTACTGCTCTGCTTGTGGCCCTTCCGGGCATCCTTTCGCAGTGACGATCCCTCGTACTTCTACAGCGGCCTCGCAACGCAGATAGGCATGCTGCTCGGCCTTCATCGTCCCGCTCAGACTCATGCTTACCGGCACGAGTGGGACTCTCATCCGGTCCCGGGCTTCAGAGTCAAGACTACCACCTGGCTTGCATGCTTCGTGATCAACCATCAACTGGCTTACTTCAACGGAGTACCACCATCTCTCGTTGCCGATACCCAGCTACTCGCAATGTTGAACGAGCCGACGGTCAATCCGACTCTCGCACAGCTCTGTCGCATTTACTGTCTCCTCGCACAGTCACTGAAGGAGATCAGCTGTGACGGGGTCCATCCATCTGGGCTTCAAGATCCCAGTACGCGTATGCAGATGATCCAGCGCTTCACGGCGCAACTCACAGCCCTACGAACAACTCATCTCGAGCCAATGAATGACATGATCAAGGTGGTATTCCTGCATGCCAGAATTCAGGTGCATTCCTTTGCCTTGCACGACGACATGAGCCCGTCGCCCGAGCTGCGTGGAGTCCTAATCGATCTAGAGAATGACTCCTGCGATTTGATAGACCTCTGTCACGACATGAATTTAGCTGTTGCACCGAATCACTTCTGGCTAGCAGTCGCGTACTGCGGATGCGTGATAGTCAGAATACTCCAGTCACCGCTTTGCACTCAGCGCGAAACGCTGGAAGACAAGTTCACAACGATGCAGCAAGCCCTCCGCAGTGTTGCAGCCTCGAACGACGACATGTCCATCAAAGCTGTTCTGGTGCTCCAGGCGCTACGCGTTTTCAAGGACATCAAACAGACTCCACCCATCTTGTCACGTATGTCTGCTTGGATCTCGTATGATTGCAGGCGGATCTACTGGGAGAATTGGACACGAAATGGCTTCGGTCAGCATCCCATCGCTGGGAGACCGAGCATTGAGCTTGTTCAGGAGATTCCATTTTCAAATTCAGCATCGGTAACAGAAAATGCTTTTGTTTGGCAAACATAACGAGTTTGTGATCGATAAGCTATTATATACGCGACATATCGTGTCGACTCTTGGACGACGAACGATTCGGCGTCAGCTCAAGACCCTTCAGTTGCCCATCCTCTTTCCATGCCTCGAACTGAGCAATAAGATCAGAAGATCTGCCTCCATACCAGCTGTCTTTTGCAATACGATCATTGACTTTACCTTCGTTATTGTAATAGCCCGGCGTGCACTCAGCTTGGAAAGCCATTCTGAGTTTGCTCGATTGTACAATCATGTCGACCCATTCCTGCTGCGCTTGTGCGGTCGGCTGTACCGAACGAATGCCTCGCTTGGAACACTCTTTGATAACATATGCCAGATGCTCTGCTTGCACCGTGGAGGCGTGCGGGTTGTTTGGCGTGAAGAACGATTGCTGGGCCGACATGATGAAGAAGTTGGGAAAGCCTCGACTCGTCCATCCTTGGAAAGTCTCCATTCCTCCCTTGCAGGCCTCTGAGAACGTCTTGCCATTGCTACCGTAGACTTGCACGCCGGCTCGATGAGACCACGTTGTTGCTCGCTCGAAGCCAGTCGCGAAGACTATGCAATCCACCTCGTACTCTTTGGCTTTTACCACGAAGCCTCGCTCGGTCAGATGGTCAACACCTAAGCCTTGCGTGTCGACTAGATGCACATTCGGTCGATTGAACGCGGGAAGGTATTCGTCGTGGAAACATGGGCGCTTGCATAACGTCTTGTACCAAGGCTTCAGAGCTTCCGCCGTAGCTTTGTCCTTTACTACTTCATCGACACGGCGACGACCACCCTCCATTAGCGCCAGATCTGCCGCGTCACGCATCTCAGCAAGCTGCTCCGGTGTGGTGTCTGCTGTCTTTCGAGGAAGCAGTGCCTGTCGCAAGCGTGTCCATCCATCTTGGACTAGATCTTCAGAAACCCTGCCGCCGCTGAGAAGCGTGTTGAAGTTTACCATCCTGGGCTTCTGCCATTGGCCTGCCAAAGTCTTCGCCCATTCTTGATCTGTCGGCCTATTCGCTCGAATGCCCACTGAAGATGGTGTACGCTGCACCACGTAGAGCTTCTTTGCCCAGTCTGCCAGGTGCGGCACAATCTGCACAGCCGTGGCTCCTGTGCCGACGATTGCGACTCGCTTGTCTTGGAGTCTCGCCAGGTTGCCACTCACGTCTCCACCCGTATAGCTATAGTCCCATCGACTGGAGTGGAAACTATGCCCCGCAAAAGACTCCAGCCCAGGTAGATCAGGCAGTTTGGGGCGATGCAAAGATCCAGCAGCGCCGATGACAAATTGAGCCCGAATCCGGTGGCCATGGTCAGTTTTCAGTGTGTATAGACCAGAATCCTGCTGCCAATGGATCTCCTTAAGCTCAGTTCGAAACAGCGTCTTCTCATACAACCCCAATTTCTCACCAATGTTCCTGGCATGCTGAAACAGTTCTGGCCCGTGAGCATACTTCTCTGTGGGAATATATTCCACCAGATCCAGCATAGGCATATAAATATACGACTCCGTATCGCACTGAGCACCAGGATACCGATTATAATACCACGTCCCGCCGAAGTCTGCGCCCTTCTCAATTATGCGGAAGTCGGCGATGCCTTGGTCGAGCAGGTTTCTGGCCATGAGCTGCCCGGCGAAACCACCTCCTACGATAATGACGGTCGCGTCAAAATGGAATGGTTCACGAACGTGCTCGTCGATGCCTTTCCATGGATCGTCGAGGTAGTGAGATATTGTTCCCTTGATAGGGCGATATTGCTCACTGCCTTCGGGGCGAGCATGTAATCGCTTTTCTCGCTCTTCGCGATACCTTCGCTTCCATTCTGGTTCTTCATCGAGGGACCTGGACGTTTCATCTTTGGCGCTCCTGTCGACAGGAGTTGCTGAAGGCGACAAGGGAGCGTTGATAGTCTCCATGGCTAGAATCTGGTTCTGAAGCCTGTGCGGGTCGATGAAAAGGCTGTAAACGTCTGTCTAGGCTTTGCCTGCGAAATGCCTCCAAGCCTGCAAATGAAGCCTTCCTTTATTCGTGTGTCGCAGCTCGCTTGATTGTTGTGTAGAAGCATCCCCAGATTCGTACACTCTGACATGCGTTCCTGGGGAATGCCGAGTAGCACACACATGCCGAGTCGGGATCCTTCGGTCTGCTGGTTGCCCACAGAGCCGTTGCCGGTCACGCGATCAATCCCTCGCAATTTGACGAACGAGGGGGCATTCCATTTCCGATTGAGTACGACTGCTTCTCATTCCGTAACTTGCGAAGTAGCCTGCAACCTAGGAAGTCGTTGATGATCCTCATCTTTGGTCAGTATGGGTTCCCGCAAAGGCTGGAGGAGGCCCTGCATTGAGTACCGTGTCGCTCTGATCAATGCCCACAAAGTCACCCCAGAGCGTTCGCCAAGATGTGTTCGGCTTTGGCGGCTCAGATGCATAAGGTAGGTTGATTACCATAGCATGTTGTCCGTACTTTTAGACGCCTGTGGCATGACCCGATCGCTTTCAGTCGTCGTACGCCCAGGTGTTTGAGCGTACGCTCTCTAATACGGGCCACATCATCCAAGCCTCGTCACGAAGAAGGCTTTTAGCCTCGCGAAAACGCCGGAGTGAATGTGCATAACAGTTGCGCGGCCAAGGATGGCGAGACCGCAGTATCTGGTACATCCTAGCGCAAGGCTGTGTGCTTGCGGGGTGCAGAATGAGGGGAAAGGCGTAGTGCATCGACCACATCGTAGGGCAGTCAGTACTTAGTTGCAGAGCATGTTGGAGCCGGGGCGCACTTACATCGAGGATTTACCTTCTCGCTCCATCACACTGCCTTAGATCGTTTCTCAGTGACCATGTCTTCTCATCAAGTTGCGGTCGACCCACCGAAGCCTTTCGAGGAGAGCCAATACATCGAGGCTATCGACGATGCCAAACAAGTACTCCAAGAGGGAATCTCCGACGATGAGTTGCTGCTTGAGAAGCGTGTCAAGCGTAAGCTAGATGGCACGCTTATCACACTTTGTGCAATAGGCTTCTTCCTCGCTAGCATGGCAAGTGCCTCGCATATGGATGACAGTAGCAGCGTGCTCGAACTGACAACACAACCCAGGGCCGCTCCGATCTAGGCAACGCCAGAATCGCAGGCCTCACCGAGGACCTCCATCTCTCGAACCAGCAGTACTCCAACGTCGCATCCGTCTTCTACGCAGGATACCTGGCCTTTCAACTCCCCTCAACATTACTCATCAGGAAGATCACAGCTCCAGTCCAGTTCTTCCTCTGCGCTATGTTATGGGGACTGTTCACGACCTGCACCGTGGCAGTGAAGTCTTACGGCTCACTGATAGCTCTGCGAATCCTGGTTGGAGCGGCTGAGGCTCTTTTACAGGGCGGCCTTTACTTTGTCTCGATCATTTATAAGCCTAGGGAGCTTGGCTCGAGGCTTGCTATTATCTACTCGACATCTTCGCTGGCTGGTGCGTGCAATGGGCTTATTGCTCTGGGTGTCGAGGAGAATCTTTCCGGTGTGAACGGCTGGGCAGCTTGGCAGTGGCTGTTTCTGGCCCGTTTCATTGATCGATGCTTGATGATTGTGTTGCTAATCTTGGGCTTTGTCCTAGATCGAAGGTGTAATCCCCATGGGCTTCGCATTTGTCGACCTCATCTTCGTCCCAGCCTCACCCGAGAAACTGCGCTTCTTCTTCAACGAGGAAGAGAAAGCCTTGATACTACGACGAAGCAGACTCGCACAAAATACATCCGAGATCAAGTTCCTTCCGACACTGATCCTCGTCTTGTTTAAAGATCCGGTCTTCTGGCTATGTGTCTGCGTCTTCTCTGGAATGACTTTTGCCAGCGCCGCTTTCACCAACTTCCTGCCTGCAATCATCAAGTCCTTTGGCTGGAGTTCCGTCACGGCGCAGGCTATGTCTGTGATTCCGTATGCGATTTCGGCGGTGACGACTATCTTCTGGGCTTTCCTCAGCGATCGAATTGGACAGCGATTGCTGATTATGATGACCAACATATTGATCGCGATCATTGGCTTTATCTTGCTGCTGACAGTCCATAGCAAAGGAGCTTTGATGGTGGGAGCTTGTTTTGTGCTGGCTGGTGTACAGCCTGGCATTGCCATCACAACAGCGTTCATTCCGAATTCACTGCCTGGTCGTACGTTGCCCATGCACTCGTCTTATTCTGACAGCGGCCGCTAACGAGATCCAAAGACATGTATCGAGCCAGCGGTATTGCTCTCGTCAACGCCTTTGCCCAAGCCGTTTCAATCAGCGCAGGTCAAGCTTACAGGAATCCCAAAAGCCTGTATCGGGAAGGCAACATTGTAACCTTGAGCATGTTGGCAATGGCGTTCGTCACTTGTACTGCGCTGCGCTTGTATGTGACTCAGATCAACAAGGCGAAGCTTGTGGCTCAGAACAGCGAGAAGGCGAATGAGTTGCGTCGCACGAGCACGGTTGACGACGTGGGGAATCGTCACCCGGATTTCATGTTCATTCCTTGAGATATTGGCAATGTAGCTGGGGCTTGTTGATATCGCATCACAGCATTGGAGTATCAACATGCCACAATGTTTGTTTTGAAGAGGTCTTTCTGGTCAAAGCATTTCCCTCCACTGAATAGTTTTTCTCCATTCGTATGGACGATGTCACTTTTGTGAGTTGTGAAATCCGCCATGGGTGAATGGACGCTGTCTGTTGTGTCCATACTCAAGTTTCCATGTCGGACGATCTTTCTCCATGATAGCGCTTCGCATATCCTCAGCTAGGACTGTCGATGCTCACGCAAAGTCCGTCATATGGCCGAAGAAGCTGCAGTACAATTCGGTTCAGGAACGTCTGGGCAAGGAGCAATACCGACGTGCCTCGCAGTCTGGGGAAGTGTGGAGGCGGAAGCTTGCATACAAGCTGCAGGTGCTTATTGCGAGTCGGCGTAGGATTGCGACTCGGAATGTCATTGCGGCTCCGGCATCCTCCTCGAAATCCTGACGCAGATCATGAAGGTCCTGTTCTTCACCAAGTGATGTAGAAGTAGCAAACACGAATTGCTTTCGAAGTCGATGGTATGAATATTAGTGAATCTTAGAGCCCCCCTCTCTAGGCTGTCTATAAGGATCCTCGAAGCCCAGCATCCATACCCACTCGGCCGACCTCTTACTCAAATCCACAGGACGATATGACACAGCAATCGGTTGTGCTGAAAACGGGTGGTAACTCCGGATTTGGCTTCGCGGTCGCAGAAGAGTTGGGTTCTGATTCTACAAAACACATTCTCTTGGGATGCCGGTCAGCTGAGAAGGGCGAAAAGGCAGTGGCAGAACTCCAGAATCGAGCACAAGCAACGATTGACTTTGTCCGGCTTGATATTACAGATGAGAAGTCGATATCTGCTGCAGTCAGTGAGGTTGAGAAGAAATACGGGAGGTAGGTTTCCAGCCGTCAATGCCAAGCACCAAGCATCATCACTGACAAGCGACTGCACAGACTGGACGTTCTTGTCAACAATGCCGCCACGCTTGATCAAAACCAAGAATCACTAGCCCTTCAGATGGCATCATGCTTCGAGACGAACTCAACTGGCGTAGCTTTGGCGGTCGATGCCTTTCTTCCATTGCTGAAGAAGTCAACGAGCGTAGCACGCATCATCAATATCTCCTCTGGCGCAGGCTCCCTCAGACGAAGAGTGAATCAGAGCCCGAACGCACAGGTGGTTGGGATGCAAGGCGTTGCTTATGCTGCCAGCAAGGCGGCTCTCAACATGATTACTCTCGCCCAGGCGAAAGCCTACGGTGGAGATGCGCTGAAGGTGTTTGTATACACGCCCGGTTTCGTTATAAGTAACTTGTCGACGCTCAATACTGTTGAGAACGGAGCGAAGTCGCCCAAGGATGGCGCATTAGGCCTCGTGAAGGTGATCAATGGCGAGAGAGATAGCGAGCATGGTGGTTTCTTGTCCGAGTCGGGCCAATACGAATGGTAGCAGTGAAATGAATAAGAACGACGAGCGTCCTGTCTCTCTTCACGTGCGTCGACAAGGACCTTTATAGTTTTAATTGATTTGAAGAATGAGAAGTGGAGTGACGGGAAAGAAGTGAAGAGAGGAACGAGGGAAGGGGTGAAAGGACAGCGCAGATCCCACGCACGGGCTCAGCCGCTGAGGCCCCACAAGAACCTTGAGCCGACCTCACTCCATCTTTCACTCCTTCGTCCGCTCTATATTTGCATCAATTCCATCTCCAATGAACGTCGCTGGCACAGAATCTACGACATGGCGATTCTTTGATACATGCAGAGGCTCTGCGAGTTTCCTGGCTCGGTCTTTCCTTGACGTCGCCTCCCGCTACAGCACATCATGCAAACAACACGTAGGATGCATCAGCGGACCAGCGTGGCCTTTTCAGGAGCCATTTACTGGCCCGATCAAAGAAATAACATGAAAATCTTGGAATGGCTTCACTGACAACTAATTCGCTATATGTGGTGCAATGAACGGCACGAGCAGCGCTCACAGGGGCACAATGAGTACCCCGGGTGTTCCGGTCAAAGTGGAACTGCCATCTCTCCGACTGTTCACAAGCGACTGCGCTGCCAATTGCACTCCAAGTTGCTTAGATGGTCTGTGAGTGATGGGAATGAATGTTCCACTTTGACCGGAACGAGGAGGGTACATCGACAACGCTTATGACGACAGCTGTACCATCTTCCGGGAAAAAGCTGAGACCACGGCAACGTGCATGCAGCAAGCTGTCTCCGTGAACGCCAAGCCCGCTCTCGCTTAGCGCACTTTTCAGCGGTGCAAACACGACAGCGACACCTTCGTCCGACACAACTCTCAGAGTGATCTCTATCACCCTACCTACGCTTCATCGCAGCAGCGCTACCCACCGCAGAACGGATTTCATCAGCTGTCGTCGACACCACTCGCGCTCTGGCGCTACCGCCGCGGCCATGGAGATGAAACCGGTCATTGACCACGTCTTCTTGCCCCCGCAGCTTCCCCAAACCGAAGACGTAGACAGCGACGTCAAATTGCTGCGCATTGCCGTGGAAGCTGTGACTGAGCTGGAGAAAGTCGCCAATTTCGCACCGATCGCGATCCAAAATGCCGCCTCGATGCTCTCCGCACTCAGCTCAGTCACAAAAGATACCAATTGGGTCGACAGCGCCACTCTTCGGTCGACTTTGGTCGGTCTAACAAGCGGTCGATCTATTGCAGTCCACGTTGCAGCACAAAATGCTGCGGTCTTCATAACTCGGCACGAACACCAGCTCGTCTTCGAACAGTTCGAGCTCTCACCAGACAATAAGGCCGTGTATGCCTCTCCAGGTCGCCTTGTCCGGACCTTCCCAGCATCCGCCATCGCAATCGACGCTGCGAAGCTTCACCAAGATGACTTCGCCACAATGGTCGCTAATACGCTTTCCACCATGGCGAGCCAGGAAGTTCCGAGCATGAAGCCCGAGTCGAGGAAAGCAGGCAGAAGACACAACGAGGACCGTGACTCAGCAAGTCCTGCTATCGTCTCCGAGCTGTTCTTTGGAATGCTAAGAGGTATTGGCGACTCTTACGAAGCGACTACAGTTTCCAAGAATACCCGTGAGGAAGTCCTGTGGAAGAATGCTCTGCGCCCGTGGCGGAGATCCTCCATGTGGCTACTCATCCGCGTCGCTTTGCAATTGACGATCACACGCTCACCTGATGGGTCAAGAGATGTCCACAAGAATGTCATGTTGTTCACAATGAGTCGCGTCCTCAGCTCGGCTCTGCATATCAGCTTGCCATCTGAACTGTACCACATCATGAACGCAAAGCTGGATCGACGACGACAGAAATTGGTCCGAACAACATCACTTCACGCTTCTGTCGCTACAGCTGTCGAGAAGGCACTGCAGAGTAGCTTCGCCAAGATCTCAACCCGCTGGGCAAGCCTACAAGCAAATGATGCTTTGAAGGTGCACATGGATGATTTAAAGAGCTTGGATTTCGAAGCGGATACTCGCGTTGAACTTCGAGCATTGGACGAGTACATCCGCAGCATAAGCGACAGACAAATCTCTGGATCTGGTTCAAGGTTCACCCCTTCAACCAACTTGTTAAGGAATGATTCAAGCAAGCTCCCACCTCTTCCCAAGGACACCACCGACGAGTACTCTGCATCGAACTTGAGGCAGTTTGAAGATTGGGTTGCACGTCATCTCCAGGCGTGGACAAAGAAGTGCGATATCACCAATGCTGGCAAACAGCTGGATGATCTCATGAAGGAATACCGTGGTCTTGCTCAGAGGCTCTACAGACAGAGTCCGGAGCACTTATCTGCTATGATTCTCACGATCGTGGAGCTCTGGATTGCCTGTGACCATATTGCCGTCCGTAACTGTGCTTTACTGGCGGACTACGACCCTGACATTCCGCCTGAAGCATTCCAGAACCTGCTTTTGCCATCCTTGAATCAAATGCATCGGTTAACAACCGCGGAGTCATACCTAGCCTCTCGAAAAGGAAAGCTTGCCCCATATCTGCTCTTCGACATCAAGAGCCCGCAAGGGTTCGGTGCGCGGTTCTTCGATTCCAGCGAGAGTCATCAGCAGCTTCAGCGAACGATCGTCTCGCAAGCCGAGAGTGCGAAGCGCGACAAGTTGGCCGAGTTGACAAGTGTTCAGAATGATTACAACCGTCTGGATTCGTTGTATCGACAAGCGAGTTGCGAGTACAAGACGACAGTCATTGATGACTTCTGCGACCCACCCGAGACTGAGACGGTTCATGTGAGATCATGCAAGAAGTGTGTGTACCAGAGGCAGCGGGACGCTCTTTCAATCCGAGTCCACGAGTGGCCACTGCCGAATGACAAAATTCAGGCAAAGGTCATCGTCTTTGAACTGCAGCCGCCCGATTGGTTTGTGCATTGGCGAGATACTCGACTCTACATGCTCAACCAGGTCTTGAAAGGCAAGCGTCAGCCAACAAGTCTGCGCAGCGAATATCGACTTTCGAGCAATGACCCTCACCTCACCCAGAAGCACTTTAGAGCCGCCGATAATCGCATCGGTCTGCTGTCTCAGAACAAGCCAGTGGTTGTGACACATTACGCCACTCTCCAAGATGTGCCACACCTGAAGGAGAAGCAGGTTTGCGTACCGAATGGACTCTGCTACAGCTATTACGACTCCACAACTAGGAACTTCGTGGGCGACTTTGTCTTTGACAACACTATTCCCAAGTCGTGTACCTATACCCTGCCGCACAACACGTCTTCACTCCAGCGTTTCCTCTTTCGCCCAGCTTCGACTCCTAACGGTGAGCCGCCGAACGTCGTCATCTCCAGCCAAGACACTTGTCCTTCTAGCATGACACTGGAGGAGTACAAAGATCTCAGCTCGATACCTCTTGGGTGCCACATCCAGTGGTCCAACATCAACCTCCAGCTTGCTATGTCCTCGGTTGACTTCAAGAAAGTGGAGACGACGCTAGTTTTCCTACAGTGCATCTATCAAGCAGGGCCTTCCGCTCCAAACAGTGATGTGTATCGGGAAGCTCACAACGCCATCAAGGATGAAGCCATGGTCTCATCGATTCTGGAGAATCTCAACCTCGCGTTGTCCAGAATCAAGCAGAACTGGGAGTCTGTTCAGGCACTCAGCGCTCTGGTGGCAATTGCCGCCAGGGTCTTGACTCTAAACAGCACTGTCAAGGCGTCGTACCTCGCATTTTTGAAGGCCGCCCGAGCTGTTGCTGTTGATTGGATAAACACTCTGCGCGATAAAGCACACGAAGTGACTGACCATGCAGACCGCTCGGATCTTGTATCTCGCTCGGTTGAAGTAGCATTGGTGTGTGCGTCGACATTCGACGTCGACGGAGACCACTTAGGGACAATCCTGAGAAGCTCTGAGGACGTCAAGACCTTGGTATGGGCATCGATTGTGGTGCAGGAGGGCAATCACGTGACTTCTACCTCAGAAGCGCACGTTGCCGTGCTGGCACTTCGTTTCAAGATGATTCTCCATCGTGGATATCATCTCCTGGTACAGAACGAGGGTGGCATAGACGATGCCGTCAGTATGGCATGGGCCGCTTACGCCCCTAGCGCCAAAGGCTGGTCTTCCGTGTCAACAGCTGCGGATCATTGGATAACAACAGACGTCGCTGCTGCATCTCACAGCAAAGCGGCGCAGGTACACCTTAATCTTCTGACTGGAGAACTTCTGGTCAACGGTCTACCGCTGGACCAGCCTCCGGCGAGTTACCGCGAGCATCCACGATTCAAGACTCTCTTCGGCCACGCTCTCGTCGAAGTCATGCCGGCATCGAGACCAGGCTTTCAGTTCTCGACGAAGCGCTCATTCGGCGGAGGTCAAGTGCAGCTGGGCATGAAGGATGGCGAATTGCTGGTTTACACCAGCGGCCAGGCAGGTACCTTCGAAACCGTGCCAAGCAAGGTATTACAGACAAAATACCCCATCCACTTCTCAGACGACTTTGTGCTCTGGTACGACCTAGGCAAAGACGTAGTAGAGCTGCGGCCTGCAACAGACCCTTGGAATTCTCAATCCGCCCTGAAGTGGACTCTATCGCAGAGAAACAGAAACATTGCTCGATGGACTCTTACGAAAGACAGGACGTCTGTCGTCGGCACCGGACGTCTCACCTCCAATTTGTTGTCTCAGATCATCGGCCCCTTGGCCAGAGAACCCCGCATTCATTGCATCCTGCAGTCGAGTCATGATCTGTTGCATGTTGAGGTCCCGTCGTTGAGGCTGAGATTCGCACTGTCGAAGAACAGCACGGACTTGCGATCGCTGGAATACCGCTCCATGAGCGTCGATCACGACCAGTCCCTGGGAACTCTGATTGGGTTTGCAAACAAGCTCGTCCTGAAGTCGCAGCAAGGCAGCGACCGCACAGTGTTGGTTCTGGCGGCCCCTTTATCGTATTCCAAGAACAAGGATCATGTCTCAGTCACGGCATCGACGACATCAGATGCCAAGGTGTATGCCATTGGAGTGGACGAGCAGCTCAAGCGTATGATACGCACCAACGACTTGGACTGCAAGCTGTATATGGCTTACCTCCATGCATTGACATCGTTTTGCCTTCCGGATCCGTTGACACTCAAGACTGGCACAGAAGAAGCGCTCGATATCCTGCGATCCAAGGGCGTTGCGTCATTCGAGCAGCTATCACAGCCAAGCATCGATGTGCTCCACGCGATTTCTCAACTAAGTCCTTCACGCCGACACTATCCTGCCCAGGAGCAAGTCATGCAGCAGACCGAATGGGACAGCAACCTCGGCTTCCTTTCCCAGCACAGTGAATTCGAAGTCGTAGTGGCATCGTTGTTCTGCCAGTCACAGTCTACGAATGTGTTCTATCCTGACCATGATGTCAACTTTCCCTGTTTGAATAGTACGGTCGACGCTCTGCGCAAGAGAGACAGTATCCGTTCCTCGACTTTCAGAGTTGCCGGATATGGGGCTGACAGCCATACTACGTTGTATGACGTACCGTACTCAGGGAGAGACCAAGGCATCAACTCGGCACAGAGGGTTTCTACCGTAGCTGCGCTCGTCACTCGAGAGACCACCGACCACCACTGGGCAGCGGCAAGTCAGACTCATCTCTGGTCCTTGATGAAGGACCACGCCAAAATTCAAGGAGTCAACACTTCAGTCGAAATATCGCGTATGAGATATGACGCAGGCTTGCTAGGATCTTCCTTTGCAGTAACGATGCTGCCTGCACTTCAACGCTGGCTGGGAGCACAAATTTCGCGGCAGCATACGTTTTCAATCGTCATGTGGCTTGCTACACTGGCTTTTGAGCAGGATGCCGACATCATCCTGCTTCAATTTCTCGTGAGCTGCTTCAAGACATCTGAGCTAGCAGCGATTTGTGCTCCGGACATTGTCTCTTTCGCTCCGACGCAGGGCTATGCCATTGTAAAGCAGAAACTCAGAGATGCCCTCGTGGCGAGCCGGCGAGACTTCAACCAGTCTCCAGAATCACGCTGGGAGCGTATCAAGAATGAGAAGTCGAAGGACTATAGCAATCGTCGGCACACTGGTTGGAACCGCTCTTGCGAGGCCATCATTCCACAGCTTGTGGCCGATCTTTTGTCACAGTGGCCTTCTCAATGCGCTAGTGTGCCGGTGATAGCGAACGCCTCGACCTATTTCGATCTTAACAAGGCGATCTCCACCATTAACAAGCACTTCCAAGCCACGTATCGCAACTTCTTGCTGCGTGGCTACCTGATGGAAATCGAGAAGGCGATGGCTCCTACGCCTCACCGGGCTGTACATTTGCCGCCATTATTATCCCTGCGGCCGCCAGTATTGGTTCCCAGCGAGAAGGGATTCATTTCGGAAATCGACGCCTTCTCCGCCATAGTGGCTCCGACCCTACCACACTCACCCACTGTGCTGTTGGTGAGCGACAGGCCGCCAACGAGAGCCACTGCGCAGTCCAAGCCAGAGCCACGCTTGAAGGGCATGATCCAGAGACTCAACACCGTCGCAGGACAGTCCTCATACGAGCTGGTGTACGCATCTGATCTCAAGGACAGTCTGCAGTCACTGGTTTCAAGGGACGACCCAAGCGGTCCTACAGCCGTTGAAATCTCGCGCGACACGCTGTTGAAGTACGTGGGGCGATGCGAACTCTACACCGAACAAGTCTACGACTCTGTAGTCACAACCTTGCGTTCGCTACCGAATGCAGCGGGGGCAGCTTCGATTCTTCATTGCCCTCGTCTTTGCCCTGTGCTTCTACTCAAGCAGCTGGCACGCGATCGCTGGTCGGATCTATCAAACGAATGGCAGCGCTGCGTTGTCACGTACGGCCTGGCACTCACAGCTCTGCAGCGAGCCAAGCGACTTCTCAAATTATCAGACCCAAGTCGAAAGGAGGACTTTCTCAAAGAGCTTCGCAACTCGGGTCATACCAATTGGGATCCAATGAACTACCCCGAGACTCTTTTGATGGAAGTCGAGAGTGGGTTTATCGTTCGCGAAGTCCAGGAGCAGATTGCCCGTGAGATGCGACAGCCTACCTTGAAGGGAAACGAGGTGCTCCAGCTCAACATGGGCGAGGGTAAGAGCAGCGTCATTGTGCCCATGGCTGCTGCAAACCTGGCCGACGGTTCTCAGCTGGTGCGGGTACTTGTTGCAAAGCCGCAGTCCAAGCAGATGGCACAGATGCTTATCTCCAAAGTCGGTGGACTCGTCAATCGCCGTGTCTACTATATGCCATTCTCCCGGTCCCTGCCATTGACAACCCCAATCGTTGAGTCAGTCTCAGCCATGGTGCGCGAGTGCAAAGACACGGGAGGAATTTTGCTTGTGCAGCCCGAGCATATCCTTTCTTTCAAGCTCATGGGGCTAGGGTGTTACATCGATGGAATGGAAGATGTTGGGCGCCGCCTTGTCTCAACGCAGGACTTCTTCGATCGCTCATCCCGTGACATTGTCGATGAGAGCGACGAGAACTTCAGCACTCGCTTTGAGCTCATCTACACGATGGGCACGCAGCGCTCAATCGAACTTAGTCCAGACCGCTGGTTCCTGGTGCAGGAGGTTCTGGGGATTCTCAGAACTGTCGCTCCAGCTATCGACAAGGAGCTACCTGGCTCGATCGAAATTATTTCTGGAGTAGAGGGAAGCTGTCCGCGGATTCGCCTCTTGCGTCCAGATGCAGGTCCGCTCCTGATACGCCGCGTAGCAGAAGTCATCTGTTACCACGGGGTCGACGGTTTCCATCTATCCAGGCACTCAGGGCATGTGCGTGGCTTTGTCAACAAGTACATTACGGAGTCCTCCCTCGCAGCTGAGGACCTCGATGCAGTGGAGAATAGTCCAGTATGGACAGAAGCTACTCGGTCACATCTCCTCATGCTTCGTGGTCTTCTGGCCGAAGGTGTGCTTGTCTTTGCTTTGAGCCAGAAGCGATGGCGGGTCAACTATGGCCTGACCACCAATCGTACACCACCAACTGCGCTTGCTGTGCCATATCGCGCAAAGGACAGCCCGTCACCTAGAAGCGAGTTCTCTCACCCGGACGTCGTCATTACCCTCACGTCACTCGCCTACTACTACGGAGGCCTGAGCGACGATGATCTATTCGCAGCCCTGAGCCATCTTGCCGACTCAGATGAAGCCGATACTGAGTACCAACGCTGGGTCAAGGACTCCTACAACTTGCCCACCGCATTCAAGCAGCTCCAGAGTATCAACCTCAAGGATCGTTCTCAATGCGTCAACGAGTTGTTCCCATGCCTTCGATATGGCAAGAGCGTGGTGGACTTTTTCCTCTCTCATCTGGTCTTTCCAAAGCAGATGAAGGAGTTTCCGCACAAGTTGTCCGCTTCTGGATGGGATATTGGACAGCAGAGACACGGTATCACGACAGGCTTCTCGGGCACCATCGACTCCCGCCTACTCCTACCGACGGATGTACAGCATCTGGATGTGCCAGAGCAAAAGCACACCAATGCTCTTGTGCTGGAGTACTTGCTCATGCCAGAGAACGGAGTGCATCTCATGTCATCGGCAGATCAAGCATCATCCGAAGCACAGCATTTGCTCTCAGCGGTCATGCAGCTCTACCCACCAGTTCAAGTAATTTTGGACGTTGGTGCTCAGATCCTCGAGCTTGCAAACCTGGAGATGGCAAAAGCTTGGCTTGCTCTACACGACGACTCTAAGGAGGCGGCCGTTTTCGTCGACGACAGCGACGAGATCTGCGTTGTGGACAGGAACAGCCGCGTAGAGATATTGCGCACTTCATCCTACCAATCTCGCCTCGATCGCTGTCTCATTTTCTTGGACGAATCTCACACCCGAGGCATCGATCTTCAGCTGCCCGTGTCATATAGAGCGGTAGTGACGCTCGGGCCGAAGTTGACCAAGGATCGTCTGGTGCAAGCCTGCATGCGAATGAGGAAGCTAGGCCAAGGCCAGACCGTCGTCTTCTGTATCCCAGAAGAGATACAGGCCAAGGTCTGGGACGCCAATCCATCTTCCAGCGCACGCGAGGTCAAGATCGAGATTGCCGACGTTCTCATTTGGGCCATCGGTGAGACTCATGACGAGCTGCGGCGCTCTATGCCATTGTGGGCTGTCCAAGGCGAGCGATTCGTGCGACAAGTCGAGCTGTGGCAAGAAGTCCAAGATGAGACCGGAGGCACAACCATGACCGCGCAACACGCCTCTTCATTCCTGGAAGATGAGGCTCAGACACTGCAAGATCGGTACCTCCCTCAGCGAGCTCATGCTCGTCTCAGCCAGCTCAAGAGCAAGGACGACTCCAGATGTCAGGAAATTTTGAAGAGCTGCCGAGTCGTTGATGGACTCCGTTTCGATGCAAGCACTCTCCAAGAGGAGCAAGAGCGCGAGTTGTCGCCGGAGATAGAGCAAGAGAGCCAAGTTCAGCGAGCACCTCCCGCCAAACCTATGAAACACAAGCTGCATCCAGACGTTGAGAAATTCGCCATGACAGGTCAGCTTGTCGCAGGCTCTCAGGCCTACAAGCCGGCATTTTCAACTCTGAAGGATACTACAGCTGGAGAGCATTTCGCTGTTGGTCATTTCCGCGGCAACGGTAGGCTGCTGGCCACTACCGATTTCTCGGAGACGGTACAGAGAGGCGGCGGGGCTTCATTCAGATCTGATGCATTCCTGAGATCCGTTCAATGGATCCTCACTTCCTGCCAGCAAGACAGCTCCGTCATCGACTACTTGATGGTCATCAGCCCATACGAAGCCAACATGCTGTTCCCGCGCATGAGCAAATCTAAGGGAGCTACGTTGCACGTGTACAAGCCGCGAGTCAACTCAGGCTATGCGCCCTTGGATGCCCTGAAGTTCCAGACAATCCCTGTGCGCGATCCAGCACCTCCAGTTCCAAGACAGCTGGCCAGCCAGCTCAACGTCTTTGCTGGGCAGCTCTACATGACTTCGTATGAAGACTATGTGGAGACGTGCTCTTTTCTTGGTCTCTCGCCAAAAGCACTATCGAAGGAGATGGAGGCTCAGGGATGGAAGGTCAGTGCCGACGGATTCATTCTCTCCGACGAGGACGGCCGCGTTGGGGGCTCGTCAGGCTTGAACAAGAGCCCCGTCAGCTTCCTCAAGTCCTTGATGACGAATCGGCGAAATGGAGATGGCATCGCGAAGACGCACGTGGGCCGCATGCTCGCGGGTAAGATGTTTGGGGAGTCGGAGTTTCAAGATTGAGGCAGCAATGGGTGCCAGGATACTTCTGGATTGAAAAAGAGGCTGGACAAGATGCAGTTGGCACGTTGGGGATCCAGCGAAACGCCGGTGTGACACTACAACGTGGTTCATAGTTGAGGTATTCTCCGCTCTACCTCAGAGTCCCTCACTTGCAATTGAAAAGTGTCCTGTTCGATAGCGTATGTGCAATCTCACTGTCCTTCCTCGTTCATGATTTCCAACCACCTCCTGTCCCCCTCACTAGTAGTACTTCGGGTTCTCCGGATCCGTAAGATCGTACACCACAGTGGAATGCGGCTTCGCTCCTCCACGGTTGTAGAACTCTCTGGGAAAATCGATAGAACGATTGAAACTCAAAGCACCATTGTCCAGGATGTCGATGTAAAGAGCCTTGTAATCTCCTGGCGTGTTGAGGATGCCGATGTCGCCCGTCTCAACGAAGTAGTCAGTGACGACGAGATGCTTCTGATCTGGTGACAGCTTGAGATAGTGTGGACCTAGAGTGGGCTGCTCTTCGTCGGGGTCATCGAGGCGCTTGACGTTTTTGAGGTCGGAGATGTCGAGGGCGGCGATGTGGTTTGAGGTGGTTAGGGTGACTGAGTCTTGTGTTAGCATGGAATTGTTAGAGAGATAGATGAGAGGGCTTACAGTATGCGAAGCGACCATCTTTGGTGATGTCTGAGTAGATGGCGGTTGTGTCTCGCGCTTTTGGACCGAGATCGTACAGCAACTCGGCACGTCCTGGCTTGCCATTTTCATCTTCTTGGAATGGATATATGATCCATACTTGGCCGAGGTGAACGGCTGTGGCAATAGCCGCTGCATCTGGGTTACCGGGGATGAACTTCACATCCTGGATGCCGCCACCCTCAGGAATAGTAATCGTATTGGTGATCTTTCGGTTGGCCAGATCCCACAGGCGAAGCGTATCGGCACGTTGGATTCCTAGAGAAGGCTTCAAAATACTGATAGGAACGACGAAGTCTGAGGTCAGGGCGACGTTGCGGTCGAAGTCGATGCTCAGCCCATGGGGAGAGAATTGCTGTCCGAGGATGTTTAGAGTTCCGTCGACATCCTCAGGCCACTGATGGATAATGTTGTAATCGGCATCAGTCTCAATCAGCCGGCCAGGCCCAGTGCCAACAGCCGAACCCATGTAAGTGATGAAGAACCCTCCGTCAGGTTTGGCGACGACCTCATCCGCGATCGAAGCCAACAGAGCACGATCGGACTTGGTGTACTTCGGCTCATAGGGGTTCGAGACATCAAAGTAGTAGCCAGTGTCCTGAGTCTTGAGCAAAGATAGAAGACCACCTCCCCACAGCGTCTTCCCATCCTTCGAAATACCTAGATGATGAGGGCTGTTCCCTGACGAAGGGACGTCCACCACTCTGAGAAGAGTGCCAAACGTATCGTCGTCCAAGCTGTATGAAGCCAAGAAGTCGGCGTGCTTGTTGTCACCAGAACCCGTCCAGAAGTACCCTATCTTCTTAGGCTTGATGTTGCTGCCCTCCCATGGTGGGCTTGGCAAAGGTGGCGTTGGGATTTGAAGGATAGGTAAGGGCGGAGCGTTTTCGGTAAGCGGTTCTGTGACTCCTGGGATCAATGGAATCAAAGGAGGCAAAGAGATCTGTCTCTTGCTGGGCTTCTCGTCGACTGGTGCGGCAAGAACCAGGCTGATTAGGCCTGCGAGCGCGAGCCTGGAAAAGTACATATTGAAGGTGATTGGCTGGCTTCTGTAGCCCTGCGTTGAGGCTTTGAGGAGATATGAGATAGATTGAGCAGGTTTCCACCAAGAGTCCGGTCTATATATGTCCTCCACCCCTTCGCGTGGGATGAGTACTCCTCGGCTGTATCTCTCACAACATGTCCACTAATTGCTTCACTGTTAGGCCCCTTCGATGTCGCCTTCGCCGATCATTGCAACTCCCATTTTCCGAGGACTGGCCGAAATACGCATGTTGCTGAACCGCAGGCCAACGAAGCCTTTGAGACGACCAGAGGAGCCGCCGAATGCCTCGATTGCCCTTGAAAAACAGTAGCCGAATGGAAAGCCTACCTAAACGAGCATCCTCACAGCCTCAACTGACCAGGATGGAGTACCCGATTCGGACAGAGTATTTTGATGCAAATCTCGGCCCTTGCGGTACTCGATAGTCTGAAATCTGGAGACACGCTTGTTCGAAGTCGCAATTTTGTCTACTATGTAGCGAAAGTGCTTGTCCGACGATCCTGCACGACAAGACACTACCGATCTTGGGAGCAGCATCCTGGGACAATACCACCATATTGGAGTTCAACCGAACTAATTGCCTCTTCATCGGCTATTCTGAGTATATCCGGCAACATGCTTTCGACAGGATCGCTTACGTGCCTGTCACGGATGTTTGTCGATCGCAACAACATCGCCATCTTCAACAAGGAGCTGGACTGAGACAACACCAAGACGTCGTGGAGCAATACCCATAGCAATCGGCTCGTGCTAAATGAGAACTTATCGAAGAAGAATCACGACATATTACGTTTGCGTCTTTTGTAGGGGATCGCGGAAGCCCACGGTATTGCACAAGGCCGCGGAATCTTAGCCCGACAAATTCCAGGCGGCACATCAAGATTCATTTAACATAACAAAGCCACTTTTTCGCTGTGTATAGAGTGTTTGGAGCTCCGGGGAAAGCTCCAGCGTAAGAGCCAGCCTCGTTGCCTGTGCTGGCAAGAATTCGTAGTGTCCACAACATGAAGACCGCAAGGCCGCATAACCATGCGTGACGTCAAGACTGCTAAGACATTTTGGTTCCTTGGCGGTCCCTATTGGGGGTGATTCGGTTACTGCGTTCCCAGGTCACGCCCTATATACGACGGTGTCTAAGCACAGAAGATCTTCAACGAAAGATGTCGCTAGCTTAAACTTTTCTCATCTCCGACGCTCTTGTGGAAAGCTCATTGTGGTGATCATCTTAGTTTCTACAAGTCCTGGCAAGCGTGTGATTCCTTGCGTCACGCTCTAGTCGTGCCGTATGGTGAATGCGACGCTCGGTTGGGAAAGGCCCGGCTGGTGCGCGTACTCTCACATGCAAGGCACGATCCTCATTTTCTCGCTAATTAAGCATAAAAGGGAGGTTAACTCTATTGTAACTGCTATTTGGTAGACAATACGCCAGTACTCCTTGCTGGGCCCCAAGGCGGACGCAGCAAGCAAATTCCCAGGCCTTTCTACGCATGTTAGCATGGACCAAAGCAGAGCAGATACTCAGAGAGAACCGTGAGAGCACGCAGAGTAGCCCCCATTGTTGCTGACATCAGGGCAATTTCGAGAGTTCCTAGCCTTTCCGCCAGCACAAAGATCTTTTCCACGATCCTTGCGGACAAGAGGCACAAGGCTGTCGATGTTTCATCTCGAGCATACGAGCCACAACCTACTAGCCCATCAAATAGGTAGGGATGGTCTTGTCGGAGACGATTTGCGCGCACGTTGCACCATTCCCGGCTGATATCGTGTGCTGGGAGTTCTTCGTCGTGGGCCGAACCTCGCCGGCACAGATTCACCTGCAGTGCAGAATTTCCTGTTTGGGCACGGCGGGGAATCCCAGTTTGATGCAGCCAAGAGCGCCGCCTATTACGCCATATGCACTTCGAGCTAACACTATAGGGCAGGTATGGAGTGATCGGCACGCCATGAGTCCAAATCGTGTAAGATCCCTGAGTGCCTAGCATTTGCCCAGCATTTGCAATACCACGAATACAAGACGCCATTCAAGCTAAACCGGTTCAATGCTTGTGTTGTCCTACGAGTGACTTCATCCATGCCCCTGTCAAATGAGCGGCTAGCAGAGCGATCGTAACTTCGGGCCATAGTAGATTGTCTACTGCAGGTTCAGCTGGTGGCTGCATTGGCAAGCGTGCCGGACGGAAAGCCTACAGACTCCTTGAAGTCGTCATTACCACCTGGGTAATGCTCATGATGGCGGCGATCATCCCTCAGCGATCGCATCATCTTTATTCTAGTTAAAGAAGCTCGACACGCCCACTCTCCTGAGGGGAAAGGGTTACACACGTACCTTCTAACCTTTCCTCAACAATGAAAGTCGTCTCAGCACTTGCGGTCGGGCTTGCTCTCAGCCTTCAAGTCGAGGCTGCTGCGACGCCACCATACCCAGCCAAGCGAGATGCCGCTCCCAGAAAGGCATTCAATTTCAAGCGTGCACTGCCATCGAATATCGATTCAAAGCACTTGCGACCCGTGCTGGAACGTCGCCAGGACAGCAGCGAGGAGGTCATTGGATCTACTCAGCCTGATCCCACTGTTCCAGGTTATGCTGAGGGCGCTTTCGCCAGTGGACAGCCGATAAGTAGCAACGGCAGAGGCTCTTTCCTGTCCGGAGGCACGAACAACAGGATTGACATTGAGAACCCCAGTAATCTGGGCCAAGAGTAGGTTTTGCAACCGAAGAAGAATTCATACTCAAGGAACCTAGCTAATCATCGACATCTTCCAGATCTACTGACAGCGGTTTCGTTCCCAATTTGAAGTGGCGTTTCTCCGACTCCAAGACTCGCCTTCTCAAAGGCGGCTGGGTGCGTGAGCAGGTCATTCAAGATCTGCCTTCCAGCAAAGACATATCGGGAGCTCAGCAGCATCTAAAGAAGGGGGCGGCTCGTGAGTTGCATTGGCATCGGGTTGCGGAGTGGGGTTTCGTCTATGCTGGTCGTGTGGCTGTCTCCGCAGTAGATGAGAATGGTCAGAATCAATGGGAAGTCCTCGAAGTCGGCGATATCTGGTACTTTCCAAAGGGCGCAGCGCATACCATTCAAGGTCTTGAGGACGAGAACGAGTATCTGCTCGTATTTGATGATGGTAACTTTGAGGCATCTGGAACCACATTCAACGTCGACGACTGGATTTCGCACACTCCCAAGGACATCCTGGCGAAGAACTTTGGCGTCAACGCTTCGCTGTTCGATACTGTACCATCTCCCAACCCATACATTGCAGCAGGCAATGTCTCGCTTGAGGGTATTGACTCTCCCTACGGCAATCTGAGCAGTGGCAACGGATCATACGTGATCCATTCTGGCGACGTCGAGCCAATCCAGGCTCCAGGAGGTGGCGGCACCATTCAGATCTTCGACTCCCGCAGCTTCCCAATCTCCACAACAATCGCCGCTTCAGTTGTCACCATCAAGCCTCGCGGTCTACGTGAGCTTCACTGGCATCCCACAGCTGAGGAATGGATCTTCTTCGCCCAAGGGCAGGCACGAGCAACTGTCTTCATCGGCAACGCCGCGGCTCGTACATTCGACTTTGCTGCTGGAGACACTGCTGTGTTCCCGGATAACTCGGGTCACTATGTTGAGAACACTTCCGATTCGGAGGATCTCATCTGGATCGAGATCTTCAAAGCTGATCGTGTGGCCGATATCTCTTTGACCCAGTGGTTGGCGTTGACTCCTGCTCCAGTCGTGGCTCAGGTATTGAACATCTCCGTCGATGCTGTGAGAGGCCTGAAGAAGGAGAAGCAGTTGATCATTGGTTAGCAAGAAGAGTACAGTTGTCGATATAAAGAGCTTAGCAAAAGGCATCACAGTTCGTGGCAAGGGTCTAATATAGGAAGTACTTACTATAGTCCAGACTTGGATGAAAGATACCCTCCAGCTTTTTGTTCTTAGCCCCTTTCCGTTGGCGATTGTAGTGAGCAGATCGGTGGAACGTCGTGCAGGTTTTGTCCAGCCAAACCTACTAGTTCCATGGAGACACACCTGGATGAAGACGTAGTTTGAAAGCTTATGTGGGCTTCCGATAATAGCCATAGAGCTGCTCTGCTTAGTCTACGGTATCCTATAGTCCTTTATCTCAGCCTGTCAAGCTACCTATGGTAGTTATCGAGTGGAGCCTCATCCGCGATCTTTTGCCAAATTGCATCGATCCCTTTGACAGCCTTCGCACTCAATGGCCCACCGTTGATCGAGTCCAGAGTCTGCTTCAGCTGCTGCGCACTGCTGGCTCCGATGATAATCGCATCACCATGCTCAGGCTTGAGTGGCGAGTTGTACTTGACCCAGCGGTAAGCCAGGTCTGCGTTGGTAATGCCCTCTTCCTTAGCGATGCTGTGCCAGTCCGAGAGAGCCTCGAGAAGGCTAGGCTTGGAGTACATGCTACAAGAAGTTGTTAGCGGGCGTTTTATTGATAGGTTCGATGCTCTTGAACATACTCCTTGTACATCCCGCCCAAAGCTTGGTCGTTGAATCGGCCAGCTCCTTCTTGGATTTGCTCCTTGGTCTTGGTCAAGAATCCGCCCGCGAGTGGAGAATAGGCGTAGAAGGCAATACCCAGCTTTCGCAGGGTAGGAAACAGGATTTCCTCCTGCTTGCGAGCCACGGCGCTGTAGTTGCCTTGGTACACCGTTGGGAGGACATAGCCCTTCTCCTTGCAGTGATCGTACACTTTCTGGACATCTTCGGCCTTGTAGTTGGACAGACCGAAGCGTTTGAAGAAGCTGGACTTGTGAATCTCATTGATGGCCGAGAGAGTGTCTTCCAAAGGAGTCTTGGCGTCCGGAGCATGGATGTAGTATACGTCTACATTGGAGTCCAGAAACCCTTTGCTGACCTTGTAGTCATCGAGAATATTGGCCTTCGTGGCACCTTCACGATTGAAACCGCCTCTGGTCTGGCATACTCATTAGAACAGAATTCGTCTTTCCGACATATCCGGCACCTACCTTGGTGTCTACGATGAACCGTTTACCAGCTCCAGCCTTGCCCAAGAGCTCCTCGCTGTCACCGTAAAGTCTAGCAGTATCAAGGGCCTTGCAGCCACCTTTCTCCTAGAGTAGACTCAGCATCTGCGGCATTGTGAGAGACACTCCATTACATACCAAGATATCGAACGCCTCCTGCACGGCCTCGACAGTGCCGAAACCATACTGAGGATTGACGTTGCCCGTGCCGAAAACGACCTTAATACCCGAGTTTCCAGACATGTTGTGTATAGTAATCTCCCTATTTCTATGTAAGATATTCCAGAAGAGGCGGTCGTTCCCAAAGCTATAAAGGAAGTGGTGCGATTCGCTAAAAGCTCCAGCTGTAGGTGTCTTGATTACGAATCACGCCCATTTGGCCTACTTCGGGAGAAGCACGAGGTAGAGCGGATCAATTTTGAGGCCGCTTCCGAGGAGTTAAGACGGAAACGAGTCCGTTGTCGCTGTTTTTAATGGCGCCGGTATGCTTGGCAGAGTCTTGTTTTGCTTCATATAGGGCTGAGTAGGCAGAGGCGTTCAGCATCATCCGCCTTATACCTAGCACGTTTTGTGTTTCTTTCAGGAGGTACTGCTCTTCTTGCAGCGGAAATGTTACCGAGAGTGCCGCTATCGGATGACCCAGTCGTGAGCAAATGGACCAATACAGTAGCTACATGTGGCTCCTATTGCGTGGCACTTTAGGCACCATTTTGGGTCCCCTCTTCCACAATCACTGTGGAAAGTCGTAGGTGTTGAATGCAAGAAGATTCGAGTTTGCACTAATCGATCTCCTCAACCCCTTATGGACATTGGGATCGAGACCTTCTCCACACGCCCTGCATAAAACTGAGGCTTCGTTTTTGATCGCCATTCGGCTAGGACATGTTCTTCGGTATAGATGTGACATCCAGATCAGAGGAGGACAAACCTGAGAGTAGAAATTGGACTAACAAGAAGATAGAAAGAACATGGGACTTTTCGAGGCAGTTGCAGGCCCCGACTCCAATCGTTTGACTATTAGGCGTGGAAAGGCTTGTTCCATCGAATGTCAGTCTTCTCCGATCATGACTGCCATCGGGTCGTTCAACTCTGCATCAATCTCTTCCATCATGGATCGTTTAGAGTGCAACTCCGGACCGGATGGCGAAGTTAGTAAACTGAACCCCGAGACAAGGCTGTCACCAGGTCGTTGACCTAGAAGCGACTTTCGAACGTCAACGTACTTGAGTCTCAGAACTGTTCGTCTGTGTCCTGTGAAAATACCAGCAGATGTCTCTTTTCGTGGCACTCTGTCACCTGGAGATACTTTCAGCCTACCTTGTGGATCCTTGTGACGCACTCAATGTCTGAAAATCATCTACGACCTCGAAGCGGGAAGAGATGCGGTCGACGAGGACCGACACCAAGGCTGGCTTGTTCGTTCCTTCGACCCTTCTCGGACAATGCTGCCACATTTGGCATCGGACTCTTGCCGAAAGACAGCATCGCTGATTTGGGTAATGCGAAAGTGGAAGACGGCGATCCAGTCACTGGGGCAATTGCCAGCATTCAAAACCTGTGTATCGTGTCTGTGGCAGCCGACTTTCACTTACCTGCCTAAGCTGCCCTAGTCTGCAGGAATCACGCTACAACTCCTGACGTGCGGCCGCTCCTGCCGCGAGCACGAAGCTCGAGTGAAGGATGGTCACTTGCGTATAGATTGAAAGTTTCGGCAAAAGATGTACGACATACTGCAAGACCCGCTTGTTTTTCGACGCAATCAGGATTAAGCCCTGCCCGGAGTAGGGGTGTGCTCGAGGCGATCGGAACGAGACATATTAAGTATGCTGTGTAACGCTCCTTATCATATGTGCGGATTTTGCGGCCGCAAATTCTTCCTGAAGGAGAGTTCCTTTACAGTTGATATAAGACCTGAGCCCATCCTGTTCTTCCTTCGAAGGTGTAGCATCTTGCAACCTCACTTCACACAAACACTGCTTCAAGCATCTTCAACATGAGCACCGTGTGGTTCATCACGGGCTCCTCCCGAGGACTCGGCAAGGCGATCGCGACCTACGCCCTCGAGAATGGCAACAAAGTTGTCGCCACGGCAAGGAAGACGGACAGCATAGCCGACCTGGTCAAAAGATACGGTGACGACCGCATCTTGGCACTCCCGCTCGACGTGGCAGACTACAAAGCCTGCGAAGTGTCCGCCGAGAAAGCTATTCAAAAGTTCGGCCGCGTGGACATCCTCGTCAACAACGCCGGATACAGCGACCTCGCGTCCGTGGAGGATATGACCGTGAAGGCCTTCCGATCGCAAATCGACACTAACCTGTACGGTGTCTACAACGTCTGCAAGGCTTTCCTCCCTGCACTCCGCAAGCAGGGCAGTGGGCACATCTTCCAAGTCTCGTCCTTGGGCGACAGGATATCTACCCCGGGACTCAGCGCCTACCAAACAGCCAAATGGGCCGTTGCCGGGTTTTCGGGCGTGCTGGCGGCTGAAGTCCAATCTCTTGGTATCAAGGTGACCACGCTCGAGCCGGGAGCCATGGTGACTGATTGGTTTGGCTCATCGATGGATAAACCACATCCCAGTGAGCCATACCGTGAGGTCATCGACACATCCGTTCAGAGAATTCAAGGCGCCATGGACAATGCTACCACCAAGGTGGAGAAGGTCGCCGCTCTGATTGCGAGGATATACAAGGAGAGCGACCCGCCAGTTCGGTTGCTCGTGGGTGAAGATGCGGCAACGTATGGTCCAATGCTTTCGAATTTGTTGAAGCAGTCAGACGAAAAATGGGACGAGGCCACTCGTTCGGTCGTGTAGGTGGAGGAACGATGGGATCTGCTAGCAGCAGTGAAAATCGGCCATGGAAGTGGTCTCTGAGTTCCATGCTTCAGCTCCACAGTGTTGATAGCCAACGGATGAGTCTTTCTCGGATCACTGATTTCATCCTGGTCTTGCGCCCATCTTCAATGTATGAAAGTTGCTTTGCAAAGCCGGCACCACATGGTTCGCCAGTGGAGCTTTGAAAGTCTGCGGCAGCAGAAAGATATACCGCAAAAGCAGCTTTGTAGGATCAGCTGCTACATATATGCCATTGCCCTGCTTACCGTCCTCGCCTGCATACTCAATGCCCAACAAGATTCGCTTGTTCACAAACTCAGCATGCTGCGTAGAAAAGGATGAGGATCGTCTTTGCGTCGCTCGACTATACGATACAGCGAGGGACGGCTCCTCAGCGAGGTATATGCCCGTGCCGTAGACTGCCCCGTGGACTTGAAGGGATGTCTGGCCCAGGACCTTCAGCCCTTGGCAGAGGATGGCAAAGAGTCGATCCATGGATGTACCGTGAAACAAGACTTGGCGTGGCTGGGTATGATCATGCTTGGCGAAGGCAGCCATGATTCCGGGAGGACTGTCGGCGAGGACAAACTGCAGAACATTGGGCATGTTGGGAATCCGGAGTGAACCAGTGGCTTCGACGATGAAGCCTTGATAGGTGTTGAGTGTCCACGAGAAGAGGAGTTCGTGACGGATTGAATGCCGGGTTCGGATGGAATTGAAATCGCTCAGACCACCGACCATCTTTGTGATTGCCGGGATGGAATCCAGCATCGTGATAAGTTTCTTGTTGTCGGCCAGTCGAATGGGTCGATCAGGCAGCAAATCAATGCTCGTATCATCAGCTCGACTCGACATTGCCAACGCCGCCGATTGCACCGCTGCGAGCAAGAGACCAACGGCCTTCTGGTTCAGATGTAGATCTGCAAGTCGAACGTCGAGATCTGAAAACAGATATATGCTTCGACAAGCGGCCTTGCTGCAGACTGTGGGCCGATACAGATGAGCCCCAATGCTTCCATTGCAGACCAAGCATTTATCACCATACGTTTTGATAGCCGATTCGATATCCTGGTATATTTCCGCCAGAGTAGCCCTGTGTGTCGCTCGCAGCTTCTGCCAGCCGCATCGCATGATCATGCACGCAACTCGGGTAGGCCGACTGTGTTTGCAGGACTGACGGCTTGGTGGCTTCGATTGTAAGACTTTGATTGGATCATGCTGTAATTTTGACCATTCTGTATCAGTGTCAATGGCATGCACGCAGAACGACTCTCTAGTACCATCGACGTCGGTGGTCAACCAAACGACTAGGCTCTCGTTGGGTTTCAGTCCCATTGCGTTGCGTTGCAACTCTTTCACGCCGGTGAGCGGAAACTGTAGCTCGACAACCTGGTCGTCCATCTGTTCTACGAAGTTGAAGAACTCGTTGGGAAGGTCCATGATTTCTTCCTCTAGGAGTGACGTCGAGTCTTCTAGGCCCAGATTCGTGAGAACTGTGGCAACGCCGACACGGTCAGTGCCTTTTAGATAGATCCGCATCGATTCCAACTCATGGGCAGACTTGATCATTGTTTCGACTCGTTTGAGAAAGTAGTCCTTGGCGGTGACCGCTTGGGGTGAAGCTGGCAAATGTAAAGCCTCGCCCAGACACCTGGAAAGGGGTCAGCAAAACTTCCAGCTCCCTGTTATGGTCAAGCAACATACCTCAACGCCTTCTTAATATTTGGGGACATCGACTCGTCTTGCAGCCACACCTCCATCTGGACAGCTGCAACATAGAGCGATTCGCGATCAGACAGAACCACAAGCTCCTTGCACTGATCAAATCCAGCTTGAGAGATCGATGAAAGCAAGCAGACCGTCTCTGAGACCTGTTTCGCAAGACTCTTCTCTGTCAACGACAACACTAGATGGCACATGAGCTCCGATCGGTCTTGGTTGGTCTGTTGTTGTATGCAAACCAGCATGTCAACCACGTGCAGCGAGAAAAGGGATCCATACGAGGTGAAAATGACATGCAATGCTCGCTGAGACTCTGGAATCCTTTGCAGCGTCACTAGGACGTCTCTGAGTCGACTCAAAGTTTCGAGCCATTCCATAGACTCTGCGATATCCTCTACCAAATCTCCAAAGATGCAGAAGAGGTTCTTGACCCAGTTCTGGTATTTTTTAAAGCTGCACCTCGTCAGCAATCGATCGGCAACCGCGTATCTCGGGGAGATATTGTAAGTCTCGAGAACATATCGTGTGACAGCTGCCCACGCTATCTTGGCAGCAGGATTCTTTCTAACAGCTTTCGCGGCAAGGCGCACGATGCAATGGCACATGTCTGCTGCTTTGTATTTGATTCCGATCATCGCATCTTCCAGTTTCTTGACCTGACTATCATTGAAAACGTAAATTTCTTGCAAGCACTGTGCCCGGTACGAAGCAGAGACATCACGTAGGTGTGCCAAGGCAAGAGCCGCGGATCGATGTGGCCGGTTCTTTGGGTGCTGCCAGATGACGTGAAGCTCTTTTATGACGGATAGTCCATCGTCTTGACCGCAGTGGTTCTGACCAAGGACGACGTTGGAGATGTATGCTTGAGCAGTTGGTTCGAGGAAGTCATCTGGCCATTGCAGGGTTTGATGAAGCTCCTGAAGCGCGGCCAGGCTCACCATCGTCACTGGCGTCCCTGGCGACAAAGTAAGGCTTCGGTCCTGCGAGTCGCCCAGCCAGGGAAACTTGGAAATCGTCGAGCAAAATCCCACGATAGCAGTGGCTGAAAGAAACCAGTCATTATCAGCCTGCAAGTCCGTCAGAAAGGTGGATTTCAGACTATTGCCGGCTTCAATGGTAAAATGCCAAATGTCGGTATTCAGATATGTCCGGAGGTTCTTATACGCGGCATTGTCAAGCGCACAGAGTCCAACAGATAAAGTCGAAGTAGCATCATCACCGCCTGGTCCGCCTTGTAGGACTCCTTGCAAGAACAGTGGAGCTCTTTTGAACAATGACACCCGCGCAAGTTCCCAAAGCTTCAGCGTATGCCCATCCAGCCCAAGCTGGTCGTCGAGCCATAAATGCCAGAAAAACGTTGCGGAAAGTCCACCTTTAGCACACACAGTGTCAATGACTTCGAACAAGCGGAGCGTGAAAGTTGTCAGGGCATCTTGAGTGTCGTCAACTAATAGTCCGGGTCCAATCGTGATCCCGCTCTCTTCCAGCCAAGCGATGAATCTGCCGTCAAGTATGATGCGAGATAAAGTAGACACGTGAACGCCGTCCACAAAGTCAAAGTTCGGTCCTAGGAGAAACCAGAGAGGGCGCAACCAGTCTTTCGACATCGGCTGCCATGCTTTCAGACGATCTGTGTTCGGTCGCCATGCGGCCCAGTGTCTCCACTTAGGTACATCAGCTTGCAACAGCTCTTCCAGGAGAGGCAACCTTCCATTCATCCCCTCATCGATCTTGGAAAGTACGCTTTGTAGAGGCAGGGCCGACGTCCAATCCTGAGACTTCTGCCAGTTACCAAGGGCAACGTTGAACTTCGACAGCAGCGGTCTTACAACGTCTGGTACTTTACATCGAAGTATCGGGTCAATAGGTAGTGGCTTATTGACAGACTGGAGAAAGACAGCATGCAACACTGCAGGAGAAGGATTGGGCGATGCCGTTGCACCGTGAACCGCCACAAGCGTTGTCGCCCAAGCCGCATCACCGGCAGCATGACTCTTTCCGTGGCCTGCAGCGACGAAAGCCTGCAGATAGTCCTCTAAATATCCCTCCCGCTGCGAGAAAGCAGTCAGCACTTCCGCGACCGCTGGCTCCGAAAGCGCATGCGCACATGCAGCCAGAGCAACGACCTTGTCGGCATGTGTCGTAATCAATCCAGTGAGAACCACATCATATTCTGCAGCAGGTGTCTTCTGCTTGCGAAGGAACTCATCTGTATGTAATCGAAGCTGCGCCCATGGAAAGAGGAAGAAGGCATCATCGTGAGCGGAGACGGGTCTGAGGCCATTCGCCGTGTTATCGATCTGCTTGTGCCATGTTTTCGCGGTTGGCTTCTTGTCGAAAAGCGACAAGGAAGATAGTCGGTGAAAGAGGTGTTTCCGAGGTGCTTGTTTCGGATGAGAAGGTAGGGATGCAGCGCTGCGGGAATATGGGATGCCCTCTGGAGGAGCTTGCATGTCGTGAAGTATTGGGGTGAGTAGAGCTGACAGGAGACTTGGAAAGCGACGAGTATTGAGTCAGGATCGTGGCATGTTGTGTTGCTTCGTGGAGGGGCCATGCTAGCTGCTGGAGGCTCTCGGTAAGGCGTGAAATGCATGTCGTTCTGGCGGCCTCTTGCTGCAAGCCCAATCCTGAGCTACGCCCCGTGTTAGCTTCTTGCAGTAACGCGCAGCCTTTCGACCATAGACCTCAGGCAGGGAAACCTGCATGTATGCCTCAGAGCTTAGTGCAGCTTGATTTGGTGGCGGCGAGCAAGCTGCGAAGCTGAGTTGGGCTGCTTCAGTGTCTTCGACTTGCTGGCGAACATTCGTCAAGAAGTGCACGCCCAGACACTCTTCTCTCATCGTTAGATCATGATGACCAAGTATGGTCCAGCAGCCCCAAATGTCAACTCGACAACACCCTCCAAAGCAGTCCCACCGACATCAACCGGGCCAGTATCGGCCGAAGACTGGGCCATCATTACAGACCTCCTCGAGACCATCGACCGCGACCCGTCATCAATTGAAGCCCGCAGAGTACTTGCGCATCAATACGAAGTCTTCGGCTGGAACGATGAAGCAGCTCAGCAGATCCGCACCATCTTATCCCTGCGACCTGGCGATGAAGAAGCCGCCGCATGGCTCATAGCGCACCTACACAATGGAGGCGACAATGCTCCCGCGACTCAAGTAAAGACAGTATCAAATCAGCGCCCGCGGTATCGAGTCCACAAGACAGGAACCTTGCAAGACTTGCAATCCGGCTACAAGAACATCATGGCCAACGCCCAAGCGCTTTCGCTTGAGCTGCAGATCTTTCAAGATCTCTGCGGGCCTTCACATGACTTCGCAGGCCAGATCTCGGACTTGAAGGCCATTGCAGAAGGCCGTCTGACATCTGTCGTGAAAGTCCGTCCTCCACCTGCGACGAGGGCCGTAGCGGCCAAGATCATAGCCGCAGCGACAATGTCAGCAAGGGAAGATATCGCCTTCGCCGATCTCGAATCCAATGCCCGCTACCTCCGAAACCGCAACACACCAAGCCGTAACGATGAGCTCCGCAGCGCCTTGTGGAAGCGCACCACGGCGATCAAGTCTTCTCTTCCCAAGGACATGACACAAGTCCCTGAAACGGCGTTCATGCACATCGAACACGAAATCCTGCGCAAGACATATCGCAACGCGGAAACAATGCTGGGCGACTCCATCAGCTCCATCACTCGACAAAACTTCTTCGCAAGCGAAGACGGCTATGCATGGGATATGTCCGAGCTTGCTGCAGCAATCAAAGCGAATGGCGGCGTGATGCGGAATCCGCTTTCAAGAGAGATGTTCAGCGCTGGGGACGTAGGCAGGATCGTGACACACGCACAAGGACGGGATCTCGGTGCTCTACAATTACAGCAGCAAGAATTGTCCTCCGGCGTGCGGAAAGACACGATCGATCGTCTCGACCAGATGGCGAGGATTCTGCTGGATGATCAGAGCGCTGACAGTGCTCCCTCTCGTGCCGCGGTCGAAGATTTCACCTTGTATGTTGCGACGTTGCCGCTGGCTGAACAGGAGGCGCTGGATAAGCTGAAGGTGCCGGCGAAGGATAGTCATACGGGGAATGCGTTTGATACGACTGTGGGAGATGCAGTGGCGGATGCCAAGGCGAATCGGCAGTGTTTTCATAAGACGGCCGATCTGTTGAGGCAGGCGACGGGGTGGTTGAGAGACAATGGCGGTAAAGAGGCGAAGGTGCCTGGTGCTTGGGATTAGGTGATGGTGAGAGTCGAGAGAGGGGGCTGTGTCTGTTGAGGTGGAGGCTGAGAAGAGAGCAGAATATGGGCTGAGATTCTGAGGCTGATGCTGTTCTGTGCGATCCCTCGGCATTGTCCTACTTCTTAGAGCTTTTGTATTTTGCACGTGCTTGCTGCATGTGCATGTATCCTTCGATTACCCGCCGCCCATCAGCGTGGTATAAAGACACGATCCAAAGGTAGAGTTCATAGAGATGAACCTTTCGTATCGATTGTAGGATGACTTCACAAAGGGTGGGGTGTCGGCCCTGGACTTCAAGCCATCTCCTTCATATCGTGCCAGGCTTGTAAGAGTGTCTTGGATCGAAATGCCCAGTGTTGGCTTCAGAACGGCGCAGCAGCATCGTAGAACGTGTGGCCTCATGCCGAGCCGCAAAGCCACGCTGGGCCGAAGAAAAGCCGTGTGCGGCAAGACGCTGGGCGGTTTAAAGAGCACCAAAGTCGTCGGCATTGCTCTGTTTAGACCCTCAACCCGGTCGAGACTATCCCAAGCCAATGACCTCATCTGGGATGTGATTTCGTCGTCAACCTGCAGTTTCAGCGTGACCAACCCGCGTTTGGAGCCAGTGCACCTATGGGGGTTTTCGCTTGATGGTGGATTCTCTCCCTTGCGACCTTGTCTTTCAATGCTTCGATCTGCGTCTTTTCTTCTTCCACCTCGATCCGACTGTCAATTCTGGGTCCTCCTCCCCAGCTGAACCACCCGCTCTTGCCGGCATCAATTTCGCCGGTAGAGGTCAGTCGATTCAACATGACCTCCCAATTTCTCACTCCCGTTGCGAGACACTCCATGCATTTCCTCTTCTCTTCTCCTTCGTCAACGTCTGCCGTGGGCGTTGGATGAGAGAGGTTCGCACCTGCAATGGTGACGGCTTGCTTGGTCCAGCCCAGGCTCTCCTTGGAGGGGGTGGACGCAAACAGGATTTCGCCAATGTAGAGCATAAGCGCGCTTTCTTCGCAGGTTGGTTTGTCAGAGATTCTAATGAGTGGGTTGTCGCCTGATGGTGGTGGAGAAGGGAATTTGGGTTTGGAGAAGAGAGAATAGATGATGTCCAGCGCCCCGCCTGTCGATTCCTGGGGCTGCGATGAGGGCGGTGGAGGGAATGGTGAGACGGATGTAGACCGACGAGCACGGAGGACTGATAGCAGAATAGGCAGAGCTGCTGTGACGTTGCCGTTTGTGGCATAGTGAGTGGCAAGATCGGTGCTGGCGCGAAGGAGGTTTGGAGTGATTTGCGAGGAGGCTTGGCTTCTTTTCAAAACTGCCGTGTTGCTGTCAATGAGCTCGTCAGGATCGACGCCGAGTGGAAGAGCAGATTTGGCGATGTCCAGGCTCCATCGATACATCTCCTCGGCGCTCTCGGGTAGGTTTTTGAAGTCGAGCCAGTTCGCGTATGCCCGCGCTGCCTCCATCTTCTGCTTGGTGGTGAAACCCTTGCCGGTGAGGATCCGCATGTAAAATGTCTCGGGCGGGGGAGAAGCAGGGGCGACGTTTTCCTCCAGCGGCGTGACGTTGAAGTAGGCTGGTATGGGACGAGGATCAGGATTACTGGGCCCGACAACAAACTCCTTTTGGAAGACACCACCCGATATCTTGTCCCTGACCATGCTGTCCAGGTGCTCTGCGGCGGCGGCACAGCCCATGACGACTTCGTAGTAGCCCGCCCTCCACGCCCACGATTTCGCCGAGATATCAAAGCCCGCCCTCCCCACCCCTTCGATGACAATTTCTTCGCCTTCGCCCGCTGGCTCCGTCAATCCTTTGCCGTCTATTGCAGGATCCTCCAATCTGCTCAGCGCCGCACGAAGCCTGCTTCCAACTTTTGCCCAATCGATAAAGCCCGCCGTCTCCAGCAATCGCGGCTGGGCGAAGTGCCTCGCGCCACGCACACCATGTCGCGTGAGCAGCGTCCATTCGTCAGGCGTCGGATTCTCGTGCTCCTCCAGCTCGATCGAGATGCCAAAATATACGATAGTGGCCAAGGCGAGGATGGTGCAGGGAATGACGGTCCACTTCACGGCCAGCCACGTCTGTTCCTTCACATATGTTCGTGTTTCTGTACTCAACAGTCGTGCCAGTTGCTGCGAAGGGCCATTGGCTCGTTGGAAGGCGGGTTGAGTGAGATATGGGAGCTGTGGACGAAGCGCGTTGCTGCGCTGGGCGATGAGGAGAAGCGGCGAATTTTGCGTGAACAGCCGCGGTTTGGAGGCATTTTGGAGTGATGATGGTGGTCGAAGAGGGCGTATAGACAGTATTCGAGGCGTCGTCGCTCGTTGGGATAGCATCGTCGCGATTTGTGTGAGAGATACACCCAATGGTCGACGAAGGCGTCTTCCTGCCAAGTGGTGAGGTCAGAGCTGCCTCGCTTGACCTTCCCTGCGAAATCCCAATACTTCACCTCACCTCTTCTCCTATCCGCTTCCTATGCCAAATCCATCGAAAATGGCCGCAGTCGAAGTCATCACATCAAGCTCAGAAGCCGCACATGATGCTCTTCCCGAACTGTACGACCGCCTCGACTTGCTCTGGGCGCACTACTTACAGCTCGTGCATGACTACACCATCGCCCAGGCTTCCATCCAAAAACACTTGGCGACCGGCTTCTTCTCATTGACCCAGGCCAACTTTCAATCTTCGGGCAGGCGCTATGGCAGGGACTTCTACGATGATCGTGCGGCGGCCACCGTGAGGGTCAAAGTGTATGATACTGGAAGTGCGAACATCGTGAAGATGAGCGGCGAGGCCAAAGACAGTGGCAAAGCAAGGCAAAGAAGTGAGAAGGGAGAAGAATCGACACAGCTGCCATCGCCATCACCGACTCCTGAACCCGAAGAGAAGCCTGCTCCGGAAGATGATATTGATAATGATGATGATACTTCTGACGAGGCCTCTGAGAATCCCGCAACAATCACCGATCCTCTCCGCTGGTTCGGCATTCTTACACCAGCATCCCTGCGCTCCGCTCAAGAGTCTTTCACGTCAGCTGTGCTAGATGAAGCCACTCTGTCAAAAGCTCTCAATGCTGCTCGAGGCATGCGGGACTTGGAAGGTGATATCCGAAAGCTGAGGAAGGCCATCAAGAAGGCTGAAAAGGGAGCAGCTGCAGCATGAGTGGACTTCACGTCGTAGCTGCATTGTATTGGTCGATGAATCACTCATTGTCAGAGCTTCATTGATCTGGATCACGCCATTCCCCTCACCTGCGATTGTCTCCATCGCATGGCTCGATTCATAACCGTTGTTTGTTACTTCTTCTCGAAGGCGTCAGTGTCGATGCGATACTTGCACGCTGGTCATGAACTTGACGAAGTGCCAGCTCAGGGGAGAGGTAGCCAAGGATGACCTTCCGCCCAAATTCTGGCCGTCGCCGTCCGTTGACGTGTTCCCGCCTTGTACCACGTCTGCATCTGGACACGTCAGTGAGACTATCGCTGTTCTGCCGTGTTGTTGTCGACTTAGCAGAATCACGAGACCCTATGCCAGTCCTGTTAAATTCAACTCTCGACCTTTGAGCACCCGACGAGCTACCTCTGCAATTCAAGAAACTTCGACACATCAAAGCTGGAATCTATCCAACATTTCTACGACATTTCGTTAAGGAACAACAGAAAGCCAGGTGAATCAGCTTTGCTAGCCATGGCGGCCGGACATGTTCACGTTGCTACAAAATCCGGTGTCTTCATGGCAATCAAACTGCTACTTTGCATGTCCCTTCCGTCGATTCAGGCTGGGGCCCAGGTACCGCGCATCGACAAGGCTAGCACTGCTAGCATCGTTGCCAACTCGACGCCAACCAACACTTCCGACTTGTCTGCCGGGCAGTGGCATCTTTCTGCCCGCGCGCCTCCAGTTTTGACCTATCCCGACGCCGTTGCTAAAGGAAAGACGCTCATTGAGGCAATGGACGCTGCTCCACATCTTTCGGATGATTTTCAGAGCAAGTGGACCGACTTCAAAGATCTGGCAAAGCCAGAGTCCGGTTGGATCAAGGAGGCGGACATGGATTTTGAAATACCGGAGCCCTTCGGCAATGGCATGGGCACAGCGGCGCAAATGATCGGAATCAGTAATTGAGCCGCTGGTAATAGGAGAAGTCGCCTGATTGGCTGGAAACACCCAAAAACCAAGGCCAGTTATGGCCAAATTTACGATGTCGATTCGGGGTCCATCATAACTGACGGACTTTGGAGCCCGCGAGGTCGTGGGGCTCATGGGAATACCGTGCCTGAACTCAGCCAATGGTCCGACGTCACGTTTCTCCAGTGGCAAGAGCTGACGAAAGACAATGACATGCTCGACAAGTTACAGTATGTCGCCCACCATGTCATAACCAACAAGCCCACGGAACACATAATGAACCATGTCACCAACGGCAAGCTCGACGAAGCTACAGTCCCCGGCTATAGCTTCAACCTAGGGACTGATGCCTTTGCAGCACTGTTGGGAACTCCGCTCGGCGCAGGTCCTGCCTACCTGCTCGCACAACACAAGAAGCAACTTGGCTGGAAGACAATACAGAGCATCAGAATCTTCACCGTTGGAACCAGGCCCTCCTGTCAATATCAGATGATTTTCAAGATCGTGCCACATCCCAAAGCGTCACTTCAACGGCAGAATCAAAGGCGGAGTCCAAGGTCAGCAACAGTCAGCACTCAAGAGGAGTGCTGACCTGGGGAGGTCGATCTTTCGCGGCGGCAATATGTCTACGGAGGCGAGTGGCTGGGGACGAGCTATTTCGACCAGTGCCTTGCCTTGGGTTAGCACAGCAGCGATGAGTTGTAGGGGCGGCTTTTTGTTTGGCGACAATCTAATCGACGGACAATTATGATGTGTGTCTGCCTTGGTTCTATTCAAACAAAAACAGAACTCGAAAGGTGCTTCATACCAAACCATGCCATCTTATATCCTTACCCCCAACGAAATGACCCTCGAACCCAGCATCTTGCCTAAGAGGCGTCTTCGTGCAACAGTGGCTGCATCGACGACAAGCCGGGTGCGACATTACTGTCACTTCCCTAGACCGCAGTCTTGAGCGGATGAGTTGGCAACAAGACCATTCCCAAATCAAAGTTGCGATCTCACGCAAGCCATACAGAATTAAGCTGGTTCCACCAAAAAGAACATCAGAGTCCCTACCGGACCTGACAAGAAAATGTCGAGACTGCAGGACAACGAATCAGGCCAGAATCCACGTCATCCACATACGCCAGCCAAGAACTCGCATTTTATGACGCCTATCTGGTAAAGATTCGCGCCATTGGAGACAACCGTCCTCCAACATGTCGCTTTCAAGCGAACTCGGTAGCTGAGCTCCCACTCCTGACATTGTAGCTCTCGCTCTGCTCTGACCACTCCTTTGGGCTCTTTACACGACGCACGGAACAACCTCAAGTCTCCCGTAATTTTTATCTGGTCTACAGCTGCTAGCCGCCAGTTGCAAGCTATGAGACTCGGTCTCTTATTGACGCTGCCCGTGGCGAATGCCTTTGAGTGCTCCCGGGCAGCCTTCCAAGGCATTCTTCCAACAAATATCTCAGCCTCAGTAGCTTATGCCACGACTGTGCCAGAAAACTCAACATTCCAAGTACCCGAGTCGAACATAGCTTTCCCAACATCTCCGGTCTTGCTTCGACGAGTCTGCGCTGTGCAGATCAACATCACTTCGAGCGCGTCTTCAGCGTACAGCTTGGGCCTGTTTTTGCCAGATGAGGATGAGTGGAATGAGAGGTTGTTGGCTGTCGGTGGTGGAGGGTATGCTGGTGGGATTGACTTCGTTTCTATGGTATGTCCATCTTTCAACAATGGAAATGGATATAAGCTAAGGACCAAGGCCGCGGGCGTCTGCTACGGATTCGCTGTAGCAGCCACGGATACCGGCCACAATTCAACACTGGAAGACGGATCCTGGGCTCTCGACAAGGAGAAGTTGACCGATTGGAGCTATCGAGCAATGCATGGTTCTGTTGTCCTTGCAAAGCTCATCCTAAGTGCATATTACGAAAGCTCGAGCTTGAGCTTCAGCTATTTCTCTGGATGCGCGACGGGTGGCCGGCAAGGCTTGAAGGAAATCGAGATGTACCCCGACGACTTCGATGGAGTTCTTGTGGGAGATCCAGCGTGGTGGTCGAGCCATTTGCAGCCGTGGACGGTACGTTGGTGAAGTGCATGACTTGGAGAGTCTCGCTGATGCCATCAAATCTTAGGTCAAAGTCGGCTTGAACAACCTACCAACGACAGCACCACATCATATTCCTCCTGAACTATTCCCCGTCATCGGCGTGGAAGTCGTACGGCAATGTGATCCGCAAGACGGACTGGTCGATGGCATAGTGTCTGATCCTGCCGGTTGTCAGTTCATACCTGAGGCGTTGATGTGCGGCTCGAATGTCTCCTTCACAAGTCACTCCAATGCGAGTTGTCTCACCGGTCCGCAGATTGAGACACTTTACAAGATCTACGGGCCCTATTATGAAACCAATCAGGTGAGCCTTCATGTATCACAGTCAAAGAGACACACATACTTATCCATCAAGACATTCATCTTTCCCGGCCTACTCCCTGGCAGCGAAAACCAATGGACCAACATCCTCGGCCAAGCCACTCCCAATACCATCGGCACAGACTACATTCGCTACTTCCTCTTCGATGATCCTTCATGGAACGTCTACACCTACAATTTCAGCGTCGTCCATGCGGCAGACGAAGCTCAACCTGGCAATTCCTCGATCACGAATTTCGATTTCGCCCCTTTCTACCGCAGAGGCGGCAAGCTCATTCAGTCAGTGCAATCTCGCATGTACTGCTGCGTCGTAATAACTCTCAAACAGCTACCACGGTCTCGCCGACGGCCTCATACCTCCAGAATCATCAGACTACTTCTTCCGCCAACTTCTCAAAACTCTCGTCCCAAAGGGCATCACCGTAGACTCCTTCTACCGCCTCTTCCACGTCCCAGGTATGGAACACTGCACCGGAACATCCAGCAACGCACCTTGGTATTTCGGCGGGGCGATCCAAGCCAACACCCTTGGTGTGCGCCCTGGGACGGTCAGCGGTACCCCAGGGTTCCCGGATGCGGAGCATGATGTCTTGCTTGCATTGATGCGGTGGACGGAGGAGGGCAGGGCTCCTGAGAGGGTTGTCGCGACGAAATGGCGGAGTGATACGCTGCTTGATGAGGTCTGGAGGCAGAGGCCAATATGCCCTTATCCGAAGCGTGCGAGGTACTGTGGGTATGGAGATCCTGATGATGCGGATAGCTGGGAGTGTCTATAGGGGGCACATATGCGTTTAAGCTCTCTCTAGTTACTATCAGACTACCTGGACGTGGGTACGGTAATACAGATCGTAAGTGCTGGAGAGACTGAAAGATTTATGGATTGACTTGATGACAGCAAAGTGTGGCCAGCACCGGCCATAGGAAATTCGGAAAGCCGACCGGCATTCCGGCCGGCATGCCGAGTCAAAAGTGAGGAAGATGGGAAAGCGTTTTCCACGTCACCAGTCTTCCAGCAAGACTCGGCTCCATGTTCAGGCGACGTACGCAAACACGTAATTTTTGATTAGCGTGCGTTGAAAGCCAACACCAATCGGTACCCGTGTTTCATGAAAGTTGATAAGGCTCCAGTCCATTCTCTCCTTTACTTCCAACGCCAGGCTGGAAACCCCACAAAGGCTCGATCAAGAACTCCTCGCGGCCAGTCTGTGGCTATGAAAAGCGCGGTCCCGAAAGCTCCGTCGACGTCAACGCCTCTCTGCCTTCTATTCGTCAGTGTCCGCGGCGCCACAGACTTCCCATTGGTATACTCCATTACAGTAAATTTGAGCTCAGATCGGGAGATGACTGATGGACTCCTGTCTCTCAACCAACTTACTCATACCTTAATTCGACGCTCGGTATGACGTCTCAACGATGAGATGGACGTATAAGATCCTTTACGTGCTCTCTGACACCAACAGATTGCCCAGGGTTTCAACTCACCATGACACCACCATTCTGGACGGTCTTACTCCTTTGTTCTGTGCTGGTGTACGGCCATGTCGCAAGCCCACAATTTTCGTGCAAGCCACTGCCAGGAGAGCGACTTTGGCCATCTGAAAACCAGTGGCAGGCACTCAATCGCAGCACCTCGGGACGACTGCTCGTACCGAAGGCTTTGTGTGCCGTCTGCCATCCAGACCTCCAACTCTACAACAATGCATCTTGTGCTGCTCTCAAGAGCAACTGGACGAATTCGCTATGGCAAGAGTCAAATGCTTGGACATCGATGTATAATGACGAGACCTGCTTGCCATCTGCGCGAACCCCGTGTTCGGCCGTGGGCTACCCAGCATATGTGATCGAAGCCAGGACAACCGCTGACGTGCAAGCTGGCGTGATATTTGCACAAAACACGGGGGCCCGGCTGATTGTCAAAGGCACTGGACACGATGTATCTGGGCGCTCGGCGGGTGCCGGAGCACTTTCGATATGGACTCATCTCCTCCAAGGCATCACGATCAATCGAGAGGACCCTGTGGCCACTAAGAGCGATGGAGTAGCTTCCGTCAAGCTGGAAGCGGGAATGGTCTGGGGCGATGTGTACAAAGAGATGGCCAAGGCCAACCTGACTGTCATCGGAGGAGCAGATCCACATGTTGGTATTGGCGGCTGGGTGCAAGGCGCAGGTCATGGTCCGCTCTCGAGTCTCTATGGACTGGGAGCCGATCAAGTCTGGGAGATGGAGGTCGTCACAGCGGATGGCCAGTATCGGGTTATCAATCCAAACTCCCAGTCCGACTTGTTCTGGGCGATGCGAGGCGGCGGACCGTTAACTTTTGCCATCATGCTTTCTATGACCGTTAAAGCATATCCCAAGCTGGCTGGGTATGAATATGGCTTCCAGTTCAACACCACAGCAAGCTCGGACACCTTCTGGAGACTAGTTGCACACTTTTCGTCTAGATTGCCTACATTGAATGACCAAGGGGCGATGGGCTATTACTACCTGGAGCAAGACGCCCGTCTTGTGACTCGTAGCGCATCCGGCGCCGTGTATGGGACTTGTATATTCCCGAACAAGTCGAAATCCGAAGTCGATGCCATCACCAAGCCGCTTGAGGCATCTCTACGAGCAGCCTCCTGGGCTGTAGATCCAATATACGTGGGATCGAAGACGACCAAATTCGACAACTTCTTGGGCTTCTGGGCGGCGACCAATGCTCCCGAGAGCGTCGGTACAAGCACTCGCTATGTGCCTTGGCTCTTTGATCGACCATCGTTGGAGCAAAACTTGACAAAGCTTGAGAGCGTTTTCCGGGAGAGTACGCCTCTTCCATGGATCTGGGTCGGGCACTTGGTCGCTGGCGCTGGAGTTGCGAATGCTCGACCAGCTGGTGGATCAGATGCGGTCTTGCCTGCATGGAGAAGAGCATACGCACATCTTGGTAAGTCAATGCACTAGACGTGAGTCAGTCAACATACACTTACATCTCGATTAGTTCAAGTCCGCACATGGACACCGCTAAACATATCTGAGGAGCATGAAGAAACAACCGCGATCCGTGATCGAGTACAGCCTGCTTTACGCAGCCTTGCACCCACCTCAGGCGCATATGCAAATGAGGGAGATCCCAGCAATCCAAATTGGAAGGCCGAATACTTCGGTACGAACTATGAGCAGCTGCTAGAGATAAAGAAGAAGTGGGATCCTCATGGCGTGTTCTGGTGTAAGCCTTGCGTCGGGTTCGATGAGTGGGATATCGAACCTTTGGACAACATTCAGGAGAATGTGAATGATCGTGGCATTGGGCAAGATCACATCAGGCTGTGTTGACGGCACTATAGGGTTTGAGTAGAGTGTCAAATCCTATTGGCCGAACGTAAAGTATCGAAGCCAAGCCTACGCAAGACCAGATGAACATGTTGACGAAGTAAGGAGACTTTGAGAGCGGATGTAACTTTCCCAAGCGGTTAGGGTACCTGATAGATCATTCAATGCGAGGCAGAACCAGCGACAAATCGCCCGAACAAGACACTCCCCACGAAAACCCCGGCAAGCACTGACAAGAAATAACCAACATTCATCGTCATGACAGCAATCATCCTGGCAACTTTAGTATTTGAAGCATTGCGAAAGGCAAAGCATACTCACAGCAGATAGCCAACACCAGCAATAATGACATCCAGGAGACCAACAGTCATGACCTCACTCGCCCTCCACGGTCGAATAGTCTGTCCCGCACAGCCTTTCGGCTGAGGGCGATGCGTGACGTACGCAAAGATGTCGTAGAAGTGTATCCTCATAGCGAGCAGAGCTCGAAAGATTGCAGCCAAGACGATGAGGAAGATGCAGGTGCCCGCGTACTGGCCGGTCGTGTCCGGTATCCACGAGAAAGAGAAGAGGGGCGTGTTGGTCGCGGTGAAGAAGGTCATGGCCATCCCGTTCATGGACATGAAGTCGGACGGGATGTGCCGTTTCCCATGCCCATCGTCATGCCCATGGAGCTGGTCGCCGAGGGCATGCTCATGCCTGACATAGTACTGGTCGGAGCATCGGACATGGACATTGCCATATTCATGCTTGACGAACCCATATCCATCTTGTAGTGCTTGAGTTCAGCCTCTGCAGTCGCTGGCAATGATCAGAGCGTCGATTAGATTTTCGTTGGCAATGAGCGTCTGTCGTGTCGTGCTGGACTCGTGAGCAAGTATGGGCGAAAGATGTCGACGTGAAAAACAACAGAGAGACCGAGCAAATCGATCTGGCTGAAGATTGTCAGAGGCCCTCACCCTCGATCTGGCCCGCAACGTGTGCGTATGCAGTCATGAAAAAGTGACCCGGATCAGCCTTCGTGGCGCTCCCTTCCCACAAGCGAAGCCTTACAAGCTTCGAAAACGTGCTCAAATGCAACGCACAGTTCTCGAAGGATTCCAGCACGTCCAATCCCGAGCCCTACGGACCCTGATCTGGTATAATTTGCGTAGACATGGTGGCCAGTGTTGAGAGCTTGATTATCTTGATTCTCTTGACTGAAAAGCTTGTCGATACAAGAGGTTCTTGGGAAGAGTCTTGTCTTTACTGTCTGTTCTTGTTGACTTGAAAAGTCGAGCGAACGATACGGCACTGTAGACTCATCCACAATGTCGGGCTGGCTCTCATACCCACTCCCGCCGCTCGACGGCTCGAGGGAATTCACATGCGAGATGGACGGGTTCGCTGGCGCCAACTGCACATACTATCAGGAGAGATGGCATTTCTGGTAAACAACTCCACTCACAACTCCCCCAAGCAAGAGCTAAACATACAACCAAGGTACATCGCAGACTGGGTCTATGCCCTCCCCACCGTGGCCTTCTTCATGTGCGCCATCGGCATTTTCATCATTGGAAACGCCATCAACCAAGTCCTCTCGCATACCCGCGGTCAGGCGCCTCCAATCTGGAAGAAGACCATAGCCGCGACGAGGTACCTCTCCTATAGGGGATTCTACATGCCGGGTTTGAGGTGGAACTCTGCACCCATTGGACTGCTGTTGCTTGCGCTCATTGGGACTCTCTACTTCTTCCGTTCGTAGAGGTCACAAAGCGCTGAATGATGTTGAAGAAGCTGACAGGCATGTAGTCATGGATCTCGTTCCACAACCCTACTACTGGCCTGACCTCAGCTGGGGAAACTCGCCGCCTTTGGGCACGAGATCAGGCTGGTTGTCTCTTGCTTGCATGCCATTCGTCTTGTATATTCAGCTAGAAGAGTTCCAGAAGTCTGATCACTGCTAATGATAACCAGCGCAACGGCAAGCAAAGCCAACTGGATCACCCTCCTCACTGGCGTATCCCACGAGAGACTCCAGACTTTTCACCGCTGGACCGCGTACGCGTTCTTCGTGCTGGCGCTTATGCACACCTTTCCCTTCATTGTATTCCATATCAACAACCACGATATGGTGATGCAGGTCACTACGATGAATACATTCGAGTACTGGACGGGAATCGTAGCTATCATCTTCCAGGCTTGGCTCACCGTGGCTTCGCATAGCTTCTTTAGGTGAGAATATTTGGAACAGTTGGAGAGCGTTGACTGACCAGCGTCCAGAAAAATGGGTTACGAAGTCTTCAAGTTCTCACACTTCTTCTCAATCGTTGTCTTTGTGGTCATCTTCTTTTGGCACTGCAACGCAACTCTGACATCCTGGTACGCTGAGACATGTTATCTTCAATGTCTGGTCCGCTGACTCTTATGCCAGGAATTACTTCGTCGCTACGGCAGCCGTTTACGTCCCCTGTATCGTCTACTCCTGGCTGCGTACCGTCTTCGAGTACGGCGGCTGGCAAGAAGCTCAAGTCACAGTCGAGGATAACGACTTCATCCGCGTCGGCATTCCCGCCAACTTCCACTGGATGCCGGGGCAGCACTGCTTCCTTCGCTTCGGACGCTTCGGGTTGCGAGTGTTGTCATCTCATCCGTTTACGATCTGCTCGCTTCCAGCTCAAGCGCCAGAAGATCCATCCAAGATTACATTCTACCTTCGTCCTCGGCGTGGTTTCACGAATAGACTGTACAAGTATGCAAGTGGTCGGCCTGGTGTGACTCTCCCGGTTCTCGTTGATGGTCCATACGGAGGCATCGATATCCAGAAGTTGCTCCAGAGCGATCGTAGCGTTCTCGTTGCTGGAGGATCCGGGGCCGGATGGGCTCTGCCACTGATCGAACTCTTCGCTCGAAAACATGTCTCAGCCGCTGGGCTTGGCGGCATCGTCGATGGCATGGACGAGAAGCCTGCTCAAGATACGGCAATGGCGACTGGCCTGAAATCTCTTCGAGTCATCCTAGCGACAAGAGACACCGCAACGAGAGTATGGTTCCGCAAAACCGTCGACGAACTCCTCCACCAGTACCCCTTAATGCACGCCTCACCCGCCTTCGACCTCGAAGTCTACCTAACAGGAGAAGCGGAGCAACAGAAAGACTCTCCGGAAGTTTTGAAACATCTCGAACAAGTAGCAGCCTCCGAAGCAGAGGCATCTTCGTCGTCGGACGACGATTGCAATCCGAAGCACCAGCAGGAGGTTGCTGGTGACGAGGCACGCGGCAGACCCAATGTCCCAAGTATCGTGCGGGAGGAAGTCGCGAAAGCTGCGGCGGTGGGGAAAAGCCTTGGGTTTTATGTTTGTGGTCCGGATACGATGCAGAACGATGCTCGCAACGCGGCTGCCAAGGCGAATCTCGGTGTCATGAAGCAGGGGACGGGAGGTGTTTACCTTCATCTTGAGCACTTTTCTTGGGCGTAGATTGTGAAGCCGGGATGGCCAGAGAAAATTCTGATAGACAACTTATATTATGCATTATGATGAGCCAGGACAAGTCGACTTGGCATTAACCCAGCCCGTCAATCGATTCGCAACATCCGACACATAACAAGCCGTTGCGCCTCCTGATTCCGAGAGATCACCACTCTTAGGGATCAATCCGCTGTTGTAGGCCCTAGCAGCGGAATATGGGTTGCCGTACATGTTCAAGACCTGCACGAGGCCGTCTCCTTTCTTGGTGCCCTGAGTTCCATCCTGAACCATATAACGGATGCTCTTGTCCATGTGACGCGAGTTGTACTCGTGCCCGTCGTGAGCCTGCATCAAGCCAGTATTCTTGACGCCGCCGTAGGATGTAGTGTGAGGGACACGCACGCAGCCGTGCGATTCCTGCAAGACGAGTGCCAGGATAAGGCGGTGATCGACCAGCGATGCGTTGGCTCGGTCCTGGATGGCGTTGTAGATGTCTTGGATCTCTTTGTCGGAATCATCAGCACCGTACTTGAGCCAGCCGCAAGATTGTTGGATGTTGTTGACGTTGTTGTTCCACATGTCTTCAAACGAGATCCAGAGGGTGTGATTAGGGAAGTTGGAGGCGGTGCCCTGGTAGTACTTGTAAGCGTCTGTGCCGGCGCCTATGCCGTCTCTGGTGTCGTTGACGCTGCTCTGCGTGGCTCCACCGCTGGCAAAGGCGGCAGTGTTGTTGACTTGGGCGGTTGAGGGGGTGTAGCTGAACTGATTCCGCGAGACCACGACAGCCACCACGATGATGATTATGAGTCCGATCAATGTTGCCGCGATTGAACCCAATATGCACCATCTTCGCCGGCAAGCACAGCAGGATCGCGAGTCTTCGTATGGGTATCGATCATGCGAAGACCTGCGTTTGTACCATTGTATCTCGTCATACGCGTTGTCGGATGGCGAGTATGGGTACTTTTCATCCTCGTAGTAATCAGATGAGTATGACTGCCATGATTGTGCTCGCGCTGGTGGCCCAGAGTAGTATCTCTTGGACTGCTGTCGTTTGTGTCCGTATCCGTCTTCGAGATCGTAGTCTTGCGTGTTGGGTGTGATGGCTGTGGCTGTTTCTGTGCTTTGATTATTGACGGTGCCGCTTTCCGTGCTCTCTTGGTAGACTGTGTCTCTTGGCCTGCTGTCCTGGTTGTAGAATTCTGTCGCTCGCTCGACTTCTTCCGTCGGGTCTCTCTTCTTGCTGGGCCTGTCTGCGACTGGGACAACTATCTGCTCAGCAGCCGCTTCCTTCCTCCGCCGTCGTTCATCCCTCTCCGCTCTCCGCTCTTCTATCTCCGCCCTCTTCTCCTTGCGCTCCGCTCGGCGCTGCTCTCTTTCCTCCCTTCTCTCATGCCTGCGCTCTTGTCTAAGCAGTTCTCCCTCGGGGTCTGCGGCGTAGCGAGCTGCTCGTCGCTCCCGTCGACGTCGATCTCTACTGGTGGATCGTGGTCGCTCTGCCGGGCGTTCACCCAACGGCACTCTGTCGGTTCGAGGTTTTCGAGAATCGTCTGTTGTGTAGTGCCGGGAGGAGCGCCTGGACTCGCGACTAGACGAGGCGGTAACGCTGGGCTGCGGCTTTCGAGGGAGACGCTCAGTTGGGTGCTCGTCGCGCTCGTCGGTATATCGCATGTTTGGTCGTGTATGCAACAAAGTACGCTATGATACAACCGAAAGACGCCATTGTGACGAGACTTGGCCCTGTAATTATACGTTGTGTTGATCAATGGCAAGAAATGCTGGGTAGGTGGTTGGGGTGTCGGGAGGGTGGCTGGGAGCCGCGTTTCATCATGATTCACGGCGGATGATGGCGACAGCCTCTTCTTTCACCTCTGTCTGACATCTCCCAACGATTTTTGATGGCGATGGGCATATCTCGTCAATTGAAGTGCTGAGTGAGATTGTTGTGTCGTGGTGAAGTTCGAAAACAGCTGAAAGAGCTACCATCTCCGCTGCACCGTGACGATGGTTCCCGAACTACTGCCCTATCCAAACGTCCAAGCGATTCCTCCTCCGCGTATATAAGTCATATAAGTCGTCAACGAATGCGAAGCAGGACGCGAACCGTTTTCCATGGCCACTTTGCGGTGCAGGTATCGAAGAACGAGAACTCGTCTTGACCCAAACCGCACTCTGGACGTCAACCCTCACTTTCTCAGCTAAGATGGCTGTCGAACTGCTCTCTACAGGCGTACATACCTTCCACACGGGGCAAAATATCTTGTCATACCATGTCACTCCCTCGAAGAAGGAGAAAAGTCGCCTCTGGGTCCAACAGGCCATCGCGTGGGGACCAGGACGGGGTTTCTACGCCAGGACGTTGGCGCCGCTGCTCTCAGAGCACTTCACCGTGCTGGACTTCTCTCCGCGAGGCTCGGACGAGTCGACCAGGCCCAAGGACGCTGATGGCAACGATGATCCTTCGCAAATGAGCTGTACCGCCATGTTGGCGGACCTGGAAGCGCTGCGCCAGCATCTTGGACTCGACGCCTTTGACATCCTCAGCGGCCACAGCCAAGCTGGCGTCCCGGTCTTGCTCTACGCTGCGCTGTATCCGACTCGGGTCGAGACACTCGTCCCCCTTGGAACTTTCATGCTCGGTTTTGACCAGTCACGAAACTTCGAGCACTACCGCCAGATACGCTCATCGTTGCCACCCTGGAAGAACTCGTACGAAGCGTGGACACGATTCATCCAATCGCCACCCCAGACCGACGACGAGTTCCGAACCGTCTTTGCAGAGATGGTGCCGAGCTATCTTGTCAAACCAGATCGTGATAGGTACGTCAAGGAATGGTCGAATATGGCCAAACTTTCGCTAACATTTTGCTCGCAGAGCTGCTGTTACGACGGGGCTGCTTGATCCAGCGCACCCACCTCGAGTCTGGTCGTACAATGCCGTTACGCCCACGTATGCCACCGACGCACACGCAAAAGACATGCTGGATCTCCTGTCTCGCGTCCAGGCACGAGTGCTCTTCTCTCATGGCGAACACGACATGATTTGTAGTACGGAGGCTGTGCGGATCGCCGAGCAGAACATGCAACGAGGAGAGGCAAAGGAAGTTCGAGTGGACCTGTTCCCTATCGGACATTTCCCGTGGATTGAGGCGAAGGATGACTTTCTTCAAAGCATCCGCGACTTCGTATAGATCTCTATAACAAGTTTAGGAAGGGCAAAGGGTAGCCGATACTACGATTTCGACTGCAAATGGGTCTCGTCTTGTTGACAGCCACGGTGGCCAGACCACTCACACTGGCAGTGTATAACTTCACGCCGCCTCGTCCGTCTTCTCCAAATACATGTGCGGGTTTGCTACCTTCTCTGTATCTTTCCCGAATTCATCATTCGTCTCTCCACTGACCGCGGTGTTGGCAGAGCCCGTACGCCCTTGACGGCCAATTTTGTACCACGGGAGCTCGAATAATGCATCAATCTTTTCCAAAGGCTTGCCAGTCGCCTCCAGTAGGAAGAAGCTTACCCAGTATTCGGCTCGTCGACGTCCTGGAAACCTGCAGATATAATGACCCCGTGGAATTAATCTCAACCAACAGCAATCTATCTCTATTGACTTCGAAAGTTGCTTTGCGGATCCGACTGACGGCTCCGGGGAAGTTCTTCTGCACTCTATAGTGCAGAGCGCACGTAGTTTACAATGCAGCACCCCTGACTAGCTATATCAAGATGTCATCAGTGACTGGCCCAAGATCAACTTTGATGCTTCGACTTGATCTATTATGACACCGCTGAATGCCGATTTTGCTACAAGAGAAGTTCAAGGGCTCTCGCTCGGCATATGTGTTCTCTCGGTAGGAGCTTTCCAGCCATGGTGCATGAAGCCGAAGTCATACGATATAACGAGTCACCCCAACACAGACGGCTGGGTCATATAACACTAGCTAGCTGTGACCCTTCTCAGCGCGATCGAAACCTTGAGGCCGTTTAACGGGGCGATTTAAGGATATCGGGGACTGTCTATTTGCTTAGCGTGTGATATGTACGGGCCTCTTGTTCTCAATGGGTAGTGTCGTGGTTCACGCCGCCATCTCACACGCTCTGGAGGTTTGTCATTTCTTGGCCGTATGCAACTATTGAGACTACCATTCGCTCACAAGACGAAAGCTGAATTCACGTCGTTTATGAGTCCGCCTACAGCGGCCTGATCTACGTATTTGGCCTCACGCTTTCGCGTTCGCGTACATTGGGTAGAAGAAGCCACATTCATGGCTCGGATCCGTATCTCTTTTTTTGAGATATCTGAAACGGGCGGATCCGACTATTTCAACCTTGGCCTGTGACCTGTACAAACCACATCTGGAACCGGTGAAATGCCGCACCCCTTTCGTGCCTATATAGCTGTGGCGGCAAATCGCCGATCTCCGTTTCCAATGGCTTGTTACAAAGTGTCTTGAATATACTGCAATCTAATGTCATTCAAAACTTGACAAGAAACACCGCAAAGGATATGTCAGACCCACCACTGATAGTCAGCGTCTTGAAAGGCAACGGCATCGGGCCGGAGATCATCAAGTCGACGATAGCGGTTCTCGAGAGCACTTGCATCAATTTCGAATGGCGAGAAGTACCTATTGCAGAAGAATCGATCAAGCTTTACGGACACCCGATAGCCCCTGAGGTAGTGGCACAACTACGGCAGACGAAGCATTGCATTAAAGCTCCGCTTATTGTTAAGCCAGGACAAGGAAAGACTGTTTGCGTTCAGCCTGATGGATCGCAAAGCACCTATCCCTCACTAAACAATGCCGTTCGACGGGAACTCGGTCTGTTCGTCAATGTCAGACCTATTCGAGGATATACCGGCGTCTCTGGCGCCTATGAAGACCTGGACATCGCAATCATGAGGGAGGTCACCGAGGATGTCTATATCGGCCACGAACATGGGATTGGCAACGATCTAGCAGCAGAAGCAATCAAACTTACGACTCGCTCGGCTTCCCTTCGAGTGGCGAAGTATGGGTTCGAATATGCAGTCCGAATGAAGCGAGAACGGGTTACCTGCGTTCACAAAGCGAATGTCTTAGGCATGACCGACGGCCTCTTTCTACGCTGCTTCTACGAAGTCGCTGCTCAGTATCCACAGTTCAAGGTCGACGACGTTATGATTGACGCGGCCTGTTACCTGATTGTGAAGGATCCGAAAAGATTCGACGTCGTTGTGACCCCAAACCAATACGGCGACATCTTTTCAGATCTTGCAGCTGGCTTAGTGGGCTCTCTAGGTCTTGCTCCAGGCGCCAACATCAGTGACGATGTTTGCACTTACGAGGCGTCTCACGGCGCAGCTCCGGACATTGCTGGACTGGGTATTGCGAACCCTCTGGCGCTGATCCTTTCTGGAGTTGAGATGTTGAGGAATGCAGCGTATCAGAAGCAAGCGGATGCCGTGCAGAGAGCCATTGCAGAGTTTTTGCAGAAGAAGCAATATCTCACTCCAGATCTTGGAGGCATCGCAAAGACGGAGGAAATGACAGCGGCATTGGTGCAGGGCGTTCGGAGTCAGCTCACAGAAGATGGTCCTGCTGGGCGAACCGTCAAGTTTTAAGGCTTGGAGCATTCCTGGCGACTCCATCGATATCAAAGATGTGCTTGCTTGTTGGATCAAGCGGTTTTAAGGTCAAATTAATGATAGCCTAAAAAGCTACCAAGTGAATAGATCGACAACTAGATATGATCCAGTGGCCCTTTTCTACTTCACACTCAGCTCATTGAAAATAGCGCTGAACACTCGGGTTGTAGAATGTGTCAGATTAGGCCCCTGCAACACAAGCTCCGAAGCTTGCTCAGCCTTGCGTGCGCCTCGGACGGCAAATCACCGAGAGGAGTCGACACTTCACATGATGTGAGCAAGACATAACATACCCCATAATGGCTGTTATGACTGAACATGAACTTTTGGTCAGAGTCTACATTTCCTCAACCAAGTCTGTCGAAGGGTAATTTGCCCTACAAGTCTATGGTAGCCGAGGTCACTAGCGCACAACAACTGTGGTTTGGTCGACTTCGATCAGCCAGCAGGCAGATACTGTACGCCTTCAAGGGCACCTCAGCTGACGACTAGCTAGACATGGCTTCGTCAGATCGAGCATGCTTGAGCCTCATTGCAGCCTGTGAGGCTACTTCTTTCTGTAAGCATCTCCGAGCTTTTCCCGAGTTTCATCGAGTGGCAAACGAAGGGCGAGCTTAGTTTCTATGGTACGTAAAGAACGTTCAACCTAAATTCAACGACTCCCCAGTGTTTTGCTTCCATCGTAATACCTCCGGTCATTCGCGGAAACCATCGGCCAAAGCAAGTCAGCCAAGCCGACTCCATCCCCATTACAAAGCAGGCAAGCTGCAGGGGTCCCGTTGCTATTTGCCCTGCATATATCGACCTGCTACTTAATTTGCCGCTTCTCAGTTTGGCTGCTCTCCTGCACTGGATAAGAGCTTTTGCGCAACGTGGCGAATTTACGGCAGCCTTGTCGGACACTGCTCATCGATTTCGTTGACGTTGAATTTCTTCAGCACAATCCGAATATTATTTCGATTTCCCCGCGACACGACAGTCCCAAAAATGTCTCAAGAAGCGAATGGCCAGCATCTGTTGGTGGTCTTAGGCGCTACTGGAAACCAAGGCAAAGCAGTATTGCGCCGATATACGGAGTCTCAACTCAACCCGGGCATGAGATTGCGTGGAGTAACACGCAACACAGAGTCCTCGACAGCAAAGGAGCTTCAGGACTTGGGGATTGAAATGGTCTGCGCTGATCTTGACGATCTGCCTTCGCTCAAGGCTGCTTTTACTGGCGCAACTCACATTTTCGCCACCACGGATTCCAATCGCTTGATTTTCGAAGCTATCAAACAACCGCACGTGCTCAAAGAGGGACAAACGCCGCGCTTTCACGCTCGAGCGATCGAATTGAGGCATGGTGCCAACATCGCCGAAGCCGCCGCTTCTGTGCCTGGTTTGCAAAGGATATTGTGGAGCAGTCTTCCCAGTCCAAAGAAGTGGAGTCAGGGGCGATACTCAAAGGTCTCGATGTTTGATACTAAGGAAGACATTTACGAAATCCTGAAATCTACACCTGAGCTTCAGGATAAGTTGAGCGTACTTCTGGTGGGCTTCTATGCTACTAACGCTCTCCACGTCCCAGATATGTACGGCCCTCAGCGGGTAAGCGTTTTTTGAGACAAGACCTCGTTCACGGATGTGTTGCTGACCCGACCCAAGAAAGCCGACGGTGGCTATGAGCTAGCTTTACCGAGGTCTGGCGATGTGGCGGTACCGATTGCAGATCTAGATTCCGACATGGGACACTGGTGTCACGCGTTATTTCACACGGAGCCGGGAACCATCTTGGTTGGGGCGACTGAAGTTCTCACGTGGAAGCAGTGGGTTGATTTATGGGCTCGGGCAAACCAAGTCACTGCTCGCTATCGTCGAGCTACGTCTTCCGAGTATGCCGCTAAGATCGAAGGCATAAGTGATGCTGTACTGGAAGAGTTTGCATTTGTGGAGGAATATGGCTTTACAGGAGGCAACCCTCAAGCCGTGTACCCGGATGAGGTATGTAGACGCCGTGCACGAATGCTGACGCTTTCTATATGCTAACTCGTACCCAGCTTCGAAAGCGTGGTGTATCCATTCCACGCTCATCGGTGGAAGAACAGATTAGGAATTGTGACTGGTCGTCCATTCTGTAAGTAGAATTCAGCCATTTTACCACAGACACAACCCCAATGAGTCCCATTCCCTCTACAAAATACAGCCCATTGACATCACTAATATACATGACTTTTTCATCCTACTCCTGACAGTCTTTTCAAGGTTGTCAAACCCTTGTCTTGTGCCAATTGCTGCCTCATCGCCCTCCTGCCGCAAACTTAGATCGCTTTCGAAGTCGTTCACTGCACCCCAGTTAGTAGTTGACATGGTTTATGGTGGAAAGACTTATATTTACCCATAATGCCACAAGATCCATGGTGCTGGTATGCCAAGGACGACGGCGACTAAGGCCAATATTGTATTGGTCCATCCGTATCCGACACCGCTGTACAAAGAAGGTGCGAATCTGTGCTGGGTGTTAGGAGAGATAGCGAAGTTACGACTATGTTCGTGCAGATACTCACAATGGAAAGCTGAATGCGCAGAGAAAGCGTAGAGTGTTGACGGCGGCCATGGCGCTGGCAGCATATCGTGTATATGCATCAACCACGTAGCTTTGTATGGTGCGTGAACCTATGATAGTCGATGCCTTGCACAAAATGTCAGACATTTACAGTGCTTTTCACGGGAAAATCACTCACAGCGTAGATAGCGACTCCAATATCCGGCATAATCCAGAAAATGTGTGCTTGAGCCGACCAGCCATACCTACAATTCATTAGCGACACGACTCAAGAATGGACACTGGAATGAGATGTACCATAACAGCCCAATTGGAACACCAATGGCAGCAGGAATCATAAGAAGGACGCGGTGTTCTGGAAGGCCAACTCCTCCATTCTTCTCTTTAAGGCGATGGTACACACGATCTGTGAGACGAGCAGTTCCTTGGGCGCCAATGGTCAGACCTATCGCCATCGCGATGTAATTAAGCCCAGCAATGCCAGTCGTCTCCCCGTAGTGATCTGTCCATAGAGCTGTGAAGGTGGAGACTATGAAATACATCAGACCGTTGATGTATGCCAGGAATAAGGCCAGACAAATGATAATTGGTTGGGTAAAGAGGAGTCGAAATGGCCTGGCAAAGCCGGTCGTCAGCTTTTGGGTGAGATTATCGTTTCCGTTGGCATCCACAGCGTAAAGTGCGTTGTTCACTGTCTCTTGTTTTCGTCTCCTCAGCTTACGTGCCAGGAGGAGAGGTCGGTATGTCTCTCGTAGGAAGAACAGTCCGAGTACTTGAAGCACGGTGTCGGCTATGGTGACGATCCAGAAACCCCACCGCCAGCTAATGGTCTCAGCAATGAAACCGCCGGCAACAGGCCCGATGGCAGGTCCAAGGAGAGGACCTAGGGTATATATGGAAACCTAGTCAAGATGTCAGCGAGTTGTCTCTTAAGGACAGGATGAATGACATACCGCCAAACCTCTCTGATCAGCTGTGAAGCAGTCTCCTAGCACACCAGCACCAATAGCGAGAGGCGCCGAGCCACCAATGCCCGCGAGGAAGCGAAATGCAATCAACTCTCCGGCATTTTGCGCAAATCCGCAGGCCAGATTCCAAACGAGGAAAAACATGTTTGCCAATTGCAGGACTGGGACTCGTCCGAAGACCTCTGAGAGAGGGCCCAGCAGTAGTGGCCCAAAGGCTGGGGAAAGTACTGTCAGCCTCGTTGTATGAGCTTGGTCATTTCTTGTACCCACCGAAAGCCAGAACGAATATCGAAAGGGTCATCTGCGTCAGTACATCGTTCGTGATGCCCAAGTCTTGACTAATATTCTGCAGTGCGGGAGCCACCATCGAAGACGACATGGAGGATATCAAGGTGTACGCCGATACAGTGACCACAGCCACCCATTTTTTCCTTTTTGGCCAGTTCCTAGGATCGTCGGGATCATCGGGGCCTTCCCAGCTCACGAGATTCTGGTCATGACTGGCTTGTCGTTCGTTCTGCTTCGATCGCTTAGCGCGCCTGCAAAGTCTGAACAGAGCACACATGACTCTAACCTTCTCTGGCTCAACTGGGTCGTGCTCGTCGTGCCCATCTACTATTGTGTTGGAAGATCCGGCATTGTTGATATCGATACTAGATGGCTTTTCCTTTCCCGGTAACTCTGCTGAGGATGAGGCGCGCGAGCCTTGCTCCAAATCCAGATTCTGGCTTTCCATTATCGGTACAATAGACACAGCAAGCAAGGCATTTTTAATTCCGGCCTTTCGTGGCTGTTATATAACTCCAAAGGACGCGCAAAGGGCGATCCTTTTCAAGGCAACGCCTAACGCCGTGGTCCATTAGAATATGACGTTGTCTTTGGCGTCCGTAAATCTGGCTGGGCACTTGTGGCGCATAGCCCGACATCATCAAGGAGTTTCGTATCGATATCGTTCCTGCGGCATGAGACCAGAACAACGTGTAATCCCCTCTAGAGTTTGCAAAAGGCACTGGCTAGCAAACCTTGTGCAGTCGCCACTAAGCCAATTTCGATGCTGGAATTCGGCACCCAAAACGGAAAGAGGAACGATGAATCCTTCAGCTGTGCATCTTCGTCATGCTGGAAACAGCGATCCTCGAAACATCAAAACTTCATCCTTCCAGCCGTTGCAATGCAGGGCAAGTCTCGAGCATGGAACTGGCTGATCCAGAACGTCCCAGCGACTGAGTCCGAATGGCGGGCGAGGCAGTGCCGACTGGGGCTGAACACGGCAACGCAGTACGAAGAGACGATTCGTGGCCTGGTCGATGAGGATGATTCATTGCAGCCAAATCCAACTCGTGCCATCGAAACATCGCCATTGGAGTCTCTCATTACGTTGACAAGAACGTTCTCTCAGTCCACCCAGAGATCCTCTGCCAGTGCAGCTCTCCATCGGGCAACAGCGGCCTTCAAACGACTTATCTTGCTCTCCCTCTGCCTGATCTTGCGCCATCAAGGCCTCTCCGAAGAATCTATCGATCATATCATCACCTGGCTCAGCCCAGTACAGCGAGTGTAAGTCATCATCGCTGCCACTGATCTTGCTGGATCGATTAAGGGAGCCTAAAGGATGAGAATGCTCACGCACTGTTGACACACCCACCAGACGCGAAAACTGTCTCAAAGGCATTGCTTGGGTGTATGACGCTATCCGTACGTTGCACGTCGAGCATGGTTGGACAGAGCCACAAGCAACAGAGTTGTTCTTCTTGAGTAAGATTCTCGACACCTTCGGACCAACACATAGCAACTTTTGACTCCCTTTTCAGTCCCTCTCTCTGTAAGCAGACTCGGCGAGATTCATCCTATCGATGTAACCGCTTTCGCCCGATATGTGCCAGAATGGCCAGGTTGGACGTCGCTGAAGCCAAATTTCACGTTGCCTTCGCTGGTATGGAGACTGTGCAGAAGGTCCCGCGATACGAATCCAATAACCTCGTAAGCCCACTTCAAGTCTCAATTGCATACAACATTCACTCTCTGACCATTCTTTAGATGTAAAGACGTTTGTCGTATTCTGGGCAATCACAACGACGCCGAGCTGACCGACGACGTCCCCTTCAGAGTCACTGCTCCGTCACAGACATTGAAAGTGGAACTGTACGATTCAAACAAAACATCATCTAGACCCCATACACCAGCGTCGACCTTGGGTAATGAAAGCCAAGATCCAAAACGTCCAGGAAGAAGAAAACTCCCACGTCTCGACAGAGCTGCGAAAGCGAAACAATCGGCAGGTTCGCTCCCCTGTCCGCCTCATCTCGAGTCCAGTACTCTAAACGATTCAACCGCCTCAGAGTATAAGCAAGGTTAGCGTGTGCCTACAGTATTGAATGGTTCAGAAGCTGACGTGGATTCACGAAAGGCTTCAGCCCCTTGCTGTACCTCTTCAAAGCTCACAACGCGGCCATATCCTTGTCTCACCAACAACTTCTTCAAGGATTGTCCTTTCAGAAAAGATGGAACAGAGACGGCAACGTTGCACAAGTCCATATCCGAGACCTGGCTGTTTGTGACGATCTCAAACATCTTTTCATAGACAAAGCTATATTAGAAGATGAGGTAGACAGGTGCCTTCAGCAGGGCTGGCTCAATCAGTGTAAAGATGAAAACGGGACAGCCGTGTATACCCTCAAAGCTAGATCGTACTTTGAGGCTAGGTCTGCAAGAATCCCGTGGGATGGGCTGGCATATCTTTGCCACATATTCCCTCGAGAAGAAGCTTTAGACCCCAGGTCTGTGAGATCGATTCGTCATTTTCACTTCTTACTGATGATCAGCAGTTTCCAACCCGAAGCTAGAGATCTCATGCCCCAGCTACAAGCCTGGTTTGAGCACTTGAGAAATGCTCATGGCTCGACTGTTCCTTTGAACATCCGAGAACAGCTGATTGAGATTTCTGTTGGAGTGTCGAGGATCCAAAGCCCGATTGATCCCCCCCTTTTCGCTTCAGTACTCGACCTGCTGTATCTTGACGACATCTCACGACATCTCCATTTCGACCTCGTCAGGGCACAGAGTACCTTTTTGAGGTCGCTAGGCGCCGAAGGTGCTGTCAAGTCGAACCAGATGATCAAGTCCACACTGTGGCAATCAGAGCAGGCCCTGAAGCTACCCGACCGACGGATTCGATGTTCGATATACGGCCTCTGGTTTTCGCTCATCGAGAATGCGGTGCTGCTACAAGATTTCGAAACAGCCTTGTCAACGATTAATCACCTTGAACTACCGGAACATCGAGACACTTGGCCCGAGCTCGACTTCCAAATCGCACGTCAGACACTAACATTGAGAGGGCTTGTTTTCAGAGGTCTAGGAAGATTCCAAGAGGCTGCTGAAGTGCTAGATGCCTGCAGCAAGATCTGCGAGAGTCACGGTAATAGAGGCACACATCCACATCATCTCAACCGCCATCGGGCAGAGTTGCTGTGTGAGCTTGGACGACCGGAAGAGGCGTTGGATATACTGCGAAAGTCTCTTGCAGATATTCGTGGGAACGGTGTCTTGAATGATTCGCGAGCTCACCGCCGGCTCTGCCTTGCCAATGCAGAAGCTGCAGCACTAGCAATGCGACCAGGTGACGCCGAAGTCTCTCTCGAGAATGTTGAGACCTGTTTCCGGAAAAAGCCCCCCGAGATGCCAGTGGACCAGCTGGATCATGTACGAGTCTATTTGGTTCGCATGCGCCTAGCTCGACATGCGAAAGATCTTGCCATGGCTCTTGTGTATGTCACAAAAGCCGTCGATCTCCTTCAACAGTATCGCTTTGTCAAGGGGCGGGAGTACTTCACAACCCTAGCTCTCAAGTTCCGGGCGTCGATATATCTAGAGCTTGCAAAAGCCGATGAGGGAAGACTTGAAGTTAGTGCTGACCGGACCTCGCAACATCTTGTCGTGGGCATGGGTTCATATGGGCGGGACGAAATTCTAAAATGGTTTGACGATGCCAAATCAGGTCAGTCACCGAACAATCACGTTTCATACAAACTCGTTACTGACTTGGGAAACGCCGTCAGGTTGAAGTCTATTTCCACTTGCAGATAGGTAACACTACATTAGGGCAGGACGTCTTGTCGTTACTTCCAAGAATTGGTGCACTGCTCTTTGAACGGATAGCCGCCTGCCCCTGAAGCCTTTATCTTCGCACGTTGGCACTTTTGACGTGGCAGATCTCCACCTTACTGCAACATCCTCGGGTCCTGTGGCAATTCTCAAGACGAATGATTTAGATCATCGACTGGACGTTTTCAGGAGCTAGCGCTTGCCCTGAGTAGGGAAGTTCAGAGAGCGACAATAGAACGGCTTGTACGAACGACCTTGGAGATCATGGAGAAATGCAAGGCTGGAAGAAAAACACTTCATTTCATGGGTACGCGGAAGACAGAGTATTATCTGTCTTGGTTCTGAGCGTTGTGATCATTTAACCCAGCCTCGGGGCTGAGGACATACTTTTAAACTGCTACAACGAGAGCGTTTTTCCTAAATTGGTTCTTCCTACTTGGTCCCACCTTCCTACTTCAAGGCGTGCTTAGCCATGTTTGTGATGGGTGTGGTGGTTGTCCAAGTGTGCAGAGTCCAAATATGCCCTGATCTCAGTGATATTACCGGAATAGTTGAAGCGCGTAATGAAAACAAACTCGTGGTTGATGGGCTTGCCTGAGAATAGTTAGATCTCACATTCCATGACAAGGTCAAATGTCTGGCTCACCTTTCTTCGACTTTCCTACAGAAGTGAGCTCGACTGAGGCCCACTCAGAAGAAGGTCCTCCGCCAATGACTTGACGGGCTTTGATCTCAATGGTGTCCCAGTCAACCCACTCAAATTGGTCGAAGAACTCCTTGGCCATAGCTTCATGGCTCTCGTGGGTATTCTTGTGAGGATGGTCATGCCCCATTACCTCGAGCTTGACATCGGGATCGGCATGCTCCATGAAGTTACCTCCCTTGGGCCCAATCTTCTCAAAGATAGCGGCGATCTCTTGTGGGGATGGTGCCATGGTGTTGGAGGTGCGTTCTGATCTTTGGTAAGAGTAGATTTGATTAAGGGTATACCCTCAAATGTTGGTTGTAAGTATGTGAGTTGTGACAATCTCTCTCCTAGAGCAGAGCAGTACTTATGCTTTCTCTGAGTCGTCTTGTAGCCCATTGAAGGGTCCCAATGTCTGTTGGTGCACACACGAGATCCAATATGTTGTGGCTTCACCAGTATGCCGTAGCTGCCTCTGGCCGGGTGGATTTTGTCGAATAGAATCATTCTTCAAGGTAGATCAAAGCTCTCTGTGTTGCCATGCTTCGAACGCCTTTGCTGATCGTATGCAGTATCCGCCTGCAGATGAACGCCCCATTACGACGAGCACGATGGAAAGCTATCCAATCTGGGTCCACGACTGCGGGAACGGAAAAGCTCGGTGGAGAGTATGCAGGACAGAGTCTCGTTAGGTGTCTTCTGTAGACGTCCGAGGTCAGGCTGGTGAAGCTTGCGCGAAGCTCCACGCCTAACGCAGCCTCATTATGTTGCGCTCCACTTGAACCAGGACGAGACGAGACGAGACGAGACCCGGGGCTTTGTTCTGGGGATCGTGCTACATGAATTACGGAGCCCGTTGGACTGCTGATCGAAATAGCAGAGGATCAGCACAGGGCATATTTTTCCGCAGCTTGTGTCATTGAACGCTGCTCGCCTTCAGGGAGGAAGATCGACAAGGGAGGGTACGACTGATGCCAAAAGCCTTTCAAGTTCATTCCGGACCAGCAAGCAACACGTATCTCATTCGAAAATCTGATATCGAGGGGCTGTTGCGTGCCAATAACAACTTCCTCCAACGTAGAGCTCAATCGCCTCAAAGTACCGACGGAGTTCCTCAGAGACGGACGACTTGAGACGGTCTTGCTTGAGTGTTGCAGCTCTCGACTCCTCCTCGATAATAATTCCCAGTAGCATCATCTGCGCCGCGCCAGATTCGATGCCATGTTCTTTCATCAACACTCTCACGGCATTCCTGATGCGGTCGGTTGGCTGGTCTTTCTCGACATTCCAACTGAAGTAGTCGTTCGTCAAACCTAGCACGTTGCCCATGGCTATGTCGAATGACTCAATAGATTGATAGTCTTCTTGACTCAATTCAATGCCCATACCCCATCGAATGAAGTAGGACGAGATCCTGATGCTAGTCATTACCTGCTGCCGACTCAACGATTATAGTGACCTACCAATAGCCGCAGTTAGAGACTCGGTAAGGCATGTATTCTTGCACGCTATCGAAATCGTCGTCACGACTGTCGAACGAGCGGAGATAGATCTGCAGCGTCTCCACCATCTTGACGGCTTGCTTTGCGTCCATGTCGATGGCCTTTCGTAACAATACTGCCAGTGTCTTCTGTCGAATGTTCTCCGCTGGAAAGTTCGCTCCATCAATATCGACTTGGACTACTCTGCTAAGAATAGCGTGTTGCCTGCACTCCTTTCACTGTGAGACCCTGCTTCAAACTGGGTAGGTTTTACGTACTGAGGAGTGTTCCATCTCTTCTGTAACATCTTGTAAAGAGAAATCCGTCAACACAGCCTTTCATAGCAACTTGAAGTCAGTGAGTCTACCGTCGTGAATCCACATAACTTCAATCAGACTGGCTATGACTTCCAGTCTCTCAGGATCCGCAGAACAATGGCACACAGCGAAGGCGTTGCCATACGGGTTGGAGTGTCTGATCAAAGCACGTCGCCTCTCGCGAGATCCATCCTGAGATGCTTGGAGAGCGATTTTTGCGAGGGCGTTTTCTACATGCTTGGCTGCAATGTTCACGCCAGCTGGAAATCGGGAGAAGCATCGCGGTACTTGCTGCGTTTCCAGGAGATCGTAAAGCTGTGTTTGTTCCAGACTGGCCATGGTGGTGCCGGTGGACTTGCGAGAGACCAGCTAATGAACAGTTTGCTTATGAGACGTCCTCGTCCTACAACACAAGGCTAGAGAATTCAAAGTCGTCGTTACACCGTAAGTGTTCGTGCCCTGGAGGTGGCGAGAACAGGTGACGACGCAAGTGGCTTCACGCCACACTATGAAGAGTATTAAACGCTTATCCTGCTCAATGCGACCCGAGCATTGGCGGTAGTACAGATCGCCGAAACTGTTGGGCTGTGCTTACCGAGACAGGGCAATGCAGATAGCTTGAAAAGGGTCACTACCGTCTCGCGAAGCCGAGACTGTCACACACAGACAAACTGATCCTCTGTCTTTCGACCTAGTCATTGGCATCGCTCAACCGCCCATGGGTCTGCTGTGATGTCCTCCCACAGCGAGGTCTCGTCATCGTCACACATAGTTGATGGAGGGAACGTATCCCTGCATGCATGCAGCTCACGATGCGGGCGATCCTCGTAATTGCCAGCCATGGGAAGAGATCAGGAAGAGAATCCTGATCAAGATGGAGCTACCCGTGGGGTTTAGCACAAGAAAAGCCCCGTGAAATCATTCAAGGGTAATGGGCAGAAACATCTTCGAGCTCCTCACGGTTTATGGGTAAATCCCAAAGAAACTCCTGTGTGCATTGGTAACCGATTCTGACTCTCCATAATGGCAATCGTGTTTCTCTTCTGGACCTTGGTCGTCTTCGCGATTTTGCCTTTCGCGCGGCTCGCCATTAGCCTACGCAGGGCAAGGCTGAAATTCCGCAAGTTGAAGGACAGCGGTGTCGTAAGTTCTGTGAAGCTTTTGTAAAGACGCACATTAACGTCAACAGCCTATCATGAAGCATTCGTTTCTGTTCGGCCACCTCCTCGTCGTCCGACAGTTCTATAAAGACTGGGCATCGGACGCGAACTTCATTCAAACGTTTGGGTACTACATTAGTAAACACTGGGCCCAATTCTTCCCCGAAGAAAGATCCTGCCCTCCAGTGGTGTATGTTGATGTCTGGCCTATAGCGACACCCATGGCCTTCTCGCTTGAAGCATATGTGTCTAATCAGATTGAGCTGGGGAGAAGTCTACCAAAGTCTCCTATGCAAGGTGAATTCTTGCGACCGATCAGCAATGGCAAAGACTTGAACTGCATGCATGGCGAGGAATGGCGCATGTGGCGATCGAGACTCAATCCCGCATTCAGTAAAAGTAATATCAGGTCCTGGGTGCCTTGCGTCGTGGAAGAAGTCGAATCATTCGTGGCTGTTCTGCAAGGCCTTGCCGTTGAAAACGGCGGCTGGGGGCCTGTATTCCAGTTGGAGAAAGTATCCGGGGATCTGGCCTGTGACATTACAGGGCGTATTGTTGTGTGAGTGACGGAACTTCTGCTTTCACGTTATCCAGGCTCTTGGCTGATGACTCGCCAGCAATGAGCAGTTCAGATCTTTATCGTCACGCCCAGCGCCGTTTGCTCGTTTGTATCGACGGCAATTGGAGGAAATGGAGATTACGATGAACATCTTCAAGCTCATCTGGAGGGCGACGCCCCTATTCAAGTGGCATGTCGCTCGGAGACGCCACACACTATTCGATGAGCTTCGACCATTGATCTTTGCGAGCATGGATAGTACCACGGAACAGCCGTGTACTGTTGCACAATCGGCCTTGAAGCAGGATGCGGTGACTACAATAAAACCGCAGCTCCTTTCATGTCCAGTCGATGCGGATCTCATTGAGCAAGTGTGCTGCCAGTTGATGATCTTCTTCTTCGGCGGGGAAGACGCAGTCTCAATTGTAATACCGTGGATGGTGAATCGTTCGGCGGCCAATTCAGAATGCCTAGACAAGATTCGTGTCGAACACGATGCTGTTCTGGGCCCAGACCCCAGCCTGGGTTTGGATAAGATTCGAGAGTCACCGCACCTGCTCGATTCTCTACCATACTCCCACGCTGTCATCAAGGAGACATTGCGGCTGAACCCTGCCACTATTACCATCAGGGAGGGCCAACCAGACTTCACTCTTGAAATCAAAGGATCAGACAAACGATGGCCAACGGACGGATTTGATCTCTTTGACAGTTCGATCACAATCCACCGAGACGAGAAGAACTTTTCACGGCCACTGGAGTTCCTGCCCGAGCGATATCTTGTTTCTGAAGGTCACGAGCTTCATCCACCCAAGAACACATGGCGTGGCTTTCAACTCGGACCCAGGCAGTGCATTGGCCAAGAATTGGCTACTGTACTCTTGAAACTCGTCCTGATCTCTGTCGTCCGTACATTCGATGCCGAGCTAGCTTGGGCCGATTGGGATACCGAACAGGAACGTAAAGGTATGAAGAGTCATCCGGTATGTGTTGACGGCGATAGGATGTACACAACCGGCAGGGCAACATCGCATCCTAAAGATGGTGCACCCGCCCACGTCAGAACGAGGTGCTAAACAGCAATCAGGGGAGCAAATTCCCTTCCAAAAGAAGATGCGTACGATGTGGTTTCAGTGCTTTATTGCGCAGCTCAAGCATATTAGTCAGACACACTCAATTGCCATCACTCCTGGTGCGGTATGTACGTAGAATACAACGCAAAGTGACGGTGGGCAAAGTCTGCCCCCTACCTCCTCCGACTGCAAGAAGCCATCGGCCCGAGGGCCCAGACCAAGCGGATGTCGGCTCCCCGCTCAGGGGAAGCAGGCGTAAGGTGACGGCTCTCGCAGACCTCATCTCTTCCGTACCCAAATGCCATCCACCAGTACTATCCGACCCATCTGTACCGCATGCCGCAGTCGAAAGGTGAGTGACAGAGTCATTAGCCTGTAACGGGATTGACATGGCCAGGTGCGCTGCGATGGACAGAGTGGAGGCTGCTCGAACTGCTCACGACTGGGTCATCGATGTAGCCTCGCTGTGGCTCCAGGCTCTTCGTCAGCGTCGAAGACTCGAGAGCAGTTTCCTCGGAGACGAGCTAGACTGGCGTGTGAAGGCTGCAAGTCGCAGAAAGCCCGGTGCACAGGAGGAGAGCCATCGTGCGAGCGGTCAGAGATCACTGTCGGTGGAGTGTGAGGAATATACAGGACTGACGAGGATTGCATGTTAAGATGCATCCGCAAGCAGATTCAATGCAAGTATATGCCCTCCCGTCGTGGCATTCATCCCCGGCCGATGATGGCCGCCGATAGCAAAGAGCCGCAGAGACTCTGTACTCCCACATCTCCCGGAACGTACGCCTGGTGCGAGTCTTTATCGTTCGGCATCTTTCGACTGTACAGCTAATTTCACTCAGTATGGGAGTTGCTAGCGAGGTCATCAAGAACCACATTCTCGCGTTCTTCCGGGACCTGTACCCCTTGCCAATGTACAGTTTCCTGCATAAAGCAATCTTTCTTCAGATGTGGCAGTCCGGCCAAATCGATGTTGCACTTCTCAAGGCTGTCTGTGGGTCCATAGTTCACGCGGTGCAGGATGCAGCTCTCGTCAGCCCGGAGCAGGCGAGATCATGGATCGAAGAGGCGAAGCAAGATCTGATGAGTCTGATCGAAAACCCCACCGTTGGCCGCCTCCAGGCTCTCCACCTCATTGTCATCCATTGTCTTAGGACGCGACAGCATCGGAAAATCTTCCTGTTGTCATCCCTGTCCGCACGAACGGCTTATCTGATGCGACTTAATCACGAGGCTCCGCTTCTACCATTCCTCACCAGAGAGCTGCGGAGAAGGCTGATGTGGTCCATTTACACCACAGATACTTTGCTCTCAGGTGGTCTACCGGATCTGACTCTATGCCCGGTATCAAGCCTCTCCATCCATCTTCCGTGTGAAGAGCATAGCTTTGAGTTGGATGAGCCTGTCGACACAGAGACGTTGCATAGCGCATCGTCCACCACCAATTTGAGTCTTCTGGGCTACTATATCAAGGTCATCAACATTCGCGATAGAATTCTCAGGCACGTGAGATGATTCGCAGCATGAGGCAAAAGCTGATCTCAGCACAGACACACTAAGGCCATGATCAAGACCGGGGTCGAATGGCTGCATTCCGAAATTGAAACCTTCGAGGAGGAGCTCCAAGTACTAAAGGCCTCACTTCCTCAGAGCATGATCTTTACGACGAAGAATCTGTCACTCCGAGTCCAGTCAACCTGTACCTTTCCCCGTTTCGTGTGGCTACACATCTGGTGGCATCAATGTACGTCCGAATCATCGCAATACATTGTTGTACATTACTAATATTTGGGTATGGTCAAAGGTCATTGCGACCTCTTCCGCGTCACTATGCCAGCTTGCCGAGAATCTCTCAGCGAGGATGCCATCAGTCGAATATCCGGCGAAGCTCTTCTACATTATCAATCCCAATGTTTACACCATGCATTTGCACTGGCCGAGATATTTCAGTTGCTACTCGATATGGACTTGGAGCGTCCAATACCGGATCCCGGTCTCTCAGTTCCAGCATATCAAAGCGCCAACATACTGTCACACTCGTCGGCTATTCCAGGAGTGGGTGGTGACAAAGATGCGGCACTGAAAGCATGTCTACAATTTGTAGAGACCTTGGTCCGGCCAAACAACTTGGCTAGTGTGGTTGTACAGGACATTCGGCTGCTGGTTCATTCAACAGAGACCCTTCATGCAACGAATAATAGCGATAATGAAGGGTCAAGCACAGAAGAGGCCACTGAAAAGGAGGCTCAGACGCCTTTCATCTTTGCTGAATCAAATGCAATGTTAGCAGCGGCAAGATACCCCGTCGAAGAAGATCTGGCTTCAACATTGTCTCCTCGCCAAGAAACGGGGCAAAACCACACAGGAGAACGCATATGTCGTCAAGTTCAACCACCAGAAAATCTCCATACTCAGCTGCAGAACAGCACTGAGCATGTAGCAGCCTTTGAGTCACCAGGAAGAGACCAAGTTGACGCCTTTGGAGGTTGATTCTCCAGCGAGTCTACGGCAGACGTCCCGGATATGGACTTTAATACTTTGTTCGATCCACGCTGGGAATTGCAAGGCCAGTGGAACATATGATAGATTTCTGCTCCATTCGTGCCTTCTATTTCGTACCATTCACGCGGACCTTGGATGAGGCCTGGATCCTCTCCAGCAGGAGCTCTTTCGGACTGGGCAGTGCCACTTGGGGGAAGCGCGGATCTTTCTGGAATGGTAGCGCGTCACTCGTTGCCACCAGCCACTTGAAGCACTCACTTTCCATCCTGCGAGCGATGGGAACGTACTTTGGATCTGCCGCCAGATTGTGAAGTTCCGATGGATCATTTGGCCGACTGTACAGTTCTGGGGCCTCATACAAGCGGAAGATGTACGTCCACTCTTTGTCTCGACAGCTGATTGCTTTACCAACAAGTTTAGTGTCCTCATGTTGGAGCGCGGCCTTGACATCATATGGATATGGCGCTTGTTCCAGTAGTGGTTCTTCGCTTGTGAGAAATCCGCCTTCAGAAAATGCGAATGACTTGTGACTGCAGCAAGACCCCGTAAGTAGCGGCATCCAGGATAGCCCATTGTGCGGAAAGTGTTGATCTATGCCACACATTTGGAACACAGTTGGCACCAGGTCAACCATCTCTGTCAGAGCATCGTGCCTCAACCCTTGTGGAAGCCCTGCACCGCCGATGATAAGGGGATTTCGAACAAGAGAGTCTGACAGCCCGGATGGCCACTTCTCGATCAGCCCGTAGTCACCGAGATACTCCCCATGGTCGGTGAAGAAGAACGTCACGGTGTCGCTCCACAGGCTACGCTCATCCAACTTGTCCACGACACGACCAAACTGTTCATCCAACCGGGTGATCATCCCATAGTACGTGGCTTGGATCTCGGCCCACATAGCAGGCGTGGCTCGTGCAGTCCCATACCTCTCTCGGATGACTTGCATGTACCTGGGTTCGTAGCCTGTTTTGGCCTCAGATAATGCACGCTGCGGCATGTCGTCTCGAGGGTGCATTGAGAAATAGGGCTCTTCGACCGAGAACGGGCAGTGTGGGAAGAGCAGCGGCATGAATAGCACCCACGGTTCAGCAGGTGGACAGTCGAGCCAGGCCAAAGCAGACCGCACAAGCGCCTCGTCGTAATCGAGAGTCTTTTGAGGATCGCGGACCCCTTTATAGAACAACCTTGCCCAGATGTCTTCTTCCTCAGTGCGCTGCTCGCTTGGCGACGATTTGGGAAGAAAATCTGGTGTCTCGAGGAATCCGTACTCTGTAACACTCAGCTCGGTCACGGTCGGAGCAAATGTATCTCCCCGAGGAGCCAGACAGGCGACGTGGTAGCCATCTTCCTTCAGGCTGCGAAAGAGGTTGGGCTCCCACGGCTTGATGAGATTTTCGAGGCTGCGATGACCAGAGACGTGCGGATAAGTGCCTGTGAACATCGAGCAACGGCTTTGGGAACAGACACTGGCCTGTGAAAAGCAATTGGTGAAGAGATTGCCTCGAGACGCGAATTTCTCCAGGTTCGGTGTCTTTGCCCTTGAATTCCCGCAACACCCGAGTGCGTCATATCTTAGCTGGTCTGGCATAAAGATGACGATGTTTGGTTTGGAGTTTGCGAGTCCACTAGGGGGCATTTTGATGAAGTAGGGCTTCACTGCGTGGTTCTGCATTGTGTCGACTGCTGTACACCTTCAGGGTGTAATTGGGGTCCAAGAGAGACAGAGGTGTTTTCTTTTGAACCAAGGGTCAATCAGGGTGCGTGATAGCTACGGCTGTCGGCGAAAATCACCAGGCCGATACGCCTACCGAGAGCCGCTGGATGGCGGCTGTCGGTCACAGCCTCGTGCGCTTGGAATCGAAAGATCACGCCATGCCGACTTCCAGCTATGCCGTGACCTCTGTTCTGGTAGAACCAAATAATTGACGGCATATGAATCGCCGTGCCGAGAGCCGTAGCGCGAGGACTCTCTTCAACACAAGCTCCCAAAGCCCTTCTGTGGCACAATGCTCTTTCAACGCTCGTAAGGTGAGACCACTCACTCGAACGTCAACAAGGGACAATTCTCAACCGAACGAGTTGCTGCTTTTGCAAAGTCAGAGCCAGCACCACCATGATTCCATTGTTTCGCCATTTCAACACCAGGCTGGCCTTTTCATGCGACCTCATCGCCCTGTCGACTTTTAACTATGGGTTTGACAACCAAGGCTTCTCCACCACGCAAGCCATGGATGCATTCACGAAGCAGTTCGGAACTTACGTCAAAGCCCACAACACCTACGTTCTGCCTCCGTGGTGGCTTTCGTTGTTCAACAGCTTGATATATGTAGGGTTCGCTGCGGGTAAGGTGGGATTGCATCTCAATACTGAGTCGCGCTAACATTCGAATAGGAGTCATCATTGGCGGTGTGGTTAGTTCTAGGTTCGGTCGAAAGACATGTGTCTTTGCGATGAGCATTTACACACTGATCACGGCAACGATAATCATCACCTCCAAGACTCCAGCGCAGATACTGGCGGCGCGAGTGCTCAATTGTAAGGCAGAGACAACTAGACGATTGAGATGCTTGACTCACCATGAGAAGACGTTTACATCGGCATGGAACTATCAGTGTGCCCAGTGTTCCAGTCCGAGATTGTCCCAGTCCCTATCCGTGGCCTAATGGTTGGCTCATACCAACTGAGCCTCGTCGTTGGCGGACTCGTCATCAATTGTGTCTGTCGAGGCACGGAAAACATACATGGTAACGCAGCCTGGAGAATCCCCTTTGGGCTGTTCTATATCGTACCTAGCATCGTAGCCGTTGGGATCTGGTGCGTTCCTGAAAGTCCAAGATGGCTTCTTCTGCACGACCGCCACGAAGAGGCACGCCAGAACCTGTACCTTCTACGAAAGTCTACCAAGTCAGACGAAGAGATCGACGAAGAGTTTGCTGCAATGTCGCTCGCCATCCTCGAGCAGCCAGAGCCGGGCCAATTCAAAGACATATGGACTGGGTCCAATCTCAAGCGGACGATCATCCTCCTTCTTGTCAACTTCTTCCAACAAGCCACTGGCCAAGCTTTCGTTTCCAGCTACGGTGTCATTTTTATAAAGTCATTGAACACAGTCAACGCTTTCGACATGGCCGTAATCAACGCCGGCGTCAACATCTTCTCGCTTCTTCTGTGCCTGCTCTTGGTGGACGAGATCGGAAGAAGGTATGTCCTCATGATGTGTCGAGTCACGTACCATGTTGCTGACCGCCAAGAACAGACCATTTCTATCCGCTGGCACCCTGATCCAAGCGGCCGCCCTTTTCGCCATGGCAGGCTTAGGTGCCTCTTCGACACTCACTGACTCCATAAAGATAGGCATTGTGGCAGTAATCTCGGTGTCGGCATTTGGATTCTCCATCGCATGGGGGCCAGTCACCTACATCGTCACCACGGAGCTCATGAGCGTACGACTGCGAGACGTTACATCCAGGGTGGCGTTCTTGGTGAACGTTGTGACCAAGTAAGATTGACACAATGCCTTTCCATATCTGTGAGCTAATCCAAGGTCAGCTTCGTCGTCAGCTTCACACTTCCATATCTTCTCTACCCCCAGTATGCCGGGCTTGAGTCTTAGGTCGGCTTCATCTATGGTGCCATTGCTGTCTGTGGATTAGTGTTTGTTCTTCTCTGCATACCGGAGTGCAAGGGTAAATCTCTTGAACAGATTGATCTCTTGTTTGAGCAAGGCGTGCCTCTGCGAAAGTTCAAGCATTACCATGATGACATTCAACCGGAGGCTCTAGTGTTTGCGCTCTCGCAAAGTGAGAAGGCCCAAATGTGCAGCATGAAGGAGTGCGAGGACGTACATACCTAGTTGCGTAAGATTAGCTGTCGACTTGATCTTATAGGAGTCGGCCGACAGACTGTGGATTGACATTACACAACGAGCAGACGAACAGAACGAAACAGAAAATTCGCCAGGCCCTTTATTATAGGCATACTTTATGCTACGTACAGATTTCAGTTGTCATGTACCCTAATCACATGACGAATGGCTCTCGACCGCTCCACTCCTGCCAGTCGCCTACATGGCCAGGCCAACCTTTCCAAGACGATGGCTTGTGACTCCAGCTGGAGATGAGCGGGCTCAAGTCCATCTCAAACACACTCAACGTACCACCGACGGTGATTGGTCCCGGCTGCTCATCCATAAAGCCTCCCTCGCTTGTAAGGTACACCGGCACAACGCCATTTGGCTTCATCTGAGACCATGCGATCTTGTTGGCGGTTGTTCCGTTCGTCGTTGCCAAACGCTTGGTGCACGATTGGGATTCAAAGAAAGTACCATTATCTGGGTCACTCGCCATTACCGCTGCATTTCCAGGTCCTGGGAGAACTGTGAAGTCATCCACTCCAGTAAAGGTCAGATTGTTTAGAAGTTCAGCCGGACCGACCTGCAGGCCCGAGTCGGAAATGGGCATTCGGCCAAAGAGGTTTTCTTGCGTGTTGGTGAAGTATAAGAAGTCATCTTTCGTGTGAACGCCGTTTACGCCGAGTCCAACAAGTGTGGATGTGAGATTGTGTAGTAGAGTGTCGTTTGAAGCAATATCAAAGGCTCCAGTATCGGGATCGACTCGCCAGATAACACCTCGCTGCGAGTCTGCTACGAGAAGCTTTTTCGGTGACTGGCCCTGAGTTGTTGTCATCCCATTGGGAAGGATGGAGTCTGTCAGATTGGAGACCAAACGAACGGGCAACTCTGTTCCGCTAAAGTCGTTCAGGTTGAAGCTCCAGACCTGCCCTGTACCTGGTGGTGAATCGGTGGCAAGACGTCCTCGCTCAACTGTCGCAAAGTAGAAGACGTCGGGTTCGAGTTCCACGATTCCCAGAGCCCCGATCTTCTCGTTGGGAAATCGGTGAAGAACTTGAACGGTGGCCGGTCCTTCAGCCTGTGGTGTGACGAGAACATTCTGGCCTGGTCCGCCTTCATAAAGCGAGACGATGATTGATCCGTCAGCCCGAATGTAGAGGTTCTCAGCCCACGTGCCATCCGCGAAATGCACAAGAGTCTGCAAAGGATCAGATGAGGGTGCGTTGGAGCATCCTGACGGTGTGTGGTGGCTGAAAGGTATCGCTGCTACCAGGCTGAGTGGCAGCACGTAGCTAAAAAGGAGCATCAACATCGTTGGAGTTGCTGTACAAGAAGGCGAGTGTTTCAAGATCTTCACCTGTGCTGGTTCTTATTGTATGCCATCTTATATGCGTACCCAAATGACGCACTTGAACCTCACGGCGCCTTGCAAAAGGTGGGCGTATATCAGTCAGCCTCATCGATCTGTCTTTCGAGGCTGCGTGAATCGTGAATCCAGCCAGAACTATCAATACGCACGGGTCCGGAACGTATCCGACACAGCTTCCTGCATCGCCACCATAAGGGCATTGTTCGGCAGACACGACATGAGATTGGCCATTTGTCTGGTTGGCCATCCACGTGCAGTGACCCTAAGCATCTCACCGTCGGCCCGAATCTACGAGCTGCCCAACGTCTTCCCGCTATTACTCACAAAACCCCTTCGTCGGTCATCATCTTCACACAGTCTTCATCCGAGCAAGTGGACTCAGAGTGGTCTGATGCATCTGGGGACGGAACAGTTTTCGACGTCATTGTCGTCACGGCGGATGTTCTTCACGTGTGTCGTGACTTCGCTAAGCTCTCGGACTGGGTCAAAGAGCATTATTTCCGCGATTCAGACTGGCGATATGCTGAGGGAGGAGATACTCGAAGATCATTCCAAACAAGGCTTCGTAGGGATATGGGTGGCTGCTCTATCCGATGCGACTAGCTCTTGTACCTTTTTCGTCCATAGCCTGTCTGTTCGTCGGGGATGGTATGATAGCAACTCAATAGGCATGCCGAAAGCGCCATGACAGACCTATGTATATTGAAGAAGATTAAAGCTCTTCTGGACGTGATGTCGGCCGTTGAATCATCGCAGACGTTTCAGCCTCCGCGAAATCCTCTTGCTTTGGGCCGCCAGGCTCATCAAGCTCTTTGAAAGATTCACTTCCAAGTGGGCAGAGAAGTTTTGCCTTCTCCAAATGTGCTGGCAAAAGATCGGCTCCTCCTCTGTCGTTCGGATCAATGTCAACGTCCACCCTGTCTCCGCCTGTGACTCTCAGAACAGTAGACAATTTATTACTATACGTTGCCCCAGCACGAAGGACGACAAAACAGCCAACGCAGAGGACAACAAAGCAAAAACCCACAGCGAGGCCATAGGCTAGCCAGAGACGTTGTCTGTTATAAGCGTACACGTTTCGGACTGTGGTGATAGTAACGTTCGTTGATGCTTCGTCTGCAACTCCCAAAAACTCGCTGCGACTGAAAAGCGACAGTGTCATGTTCTGGAACAGATCCTCCATAGCATCTGCCAATGGTCGTTGATACCACTTCGAAGTAGGCGAGGCTTCTGTGCTGCTGGTGACAGACTGTGATCCAGAGCAGTAACCAGTTGTTTGAGCATCGCAAGAGGAAGTGTAAATGGGATACATCTCCGTTGTGAACGCTAACTCGGTCTTCAAAATCTGAGTTCAATAAAGTGCAAGGTCACCATCTGCCACTCCCATGGAGCCGTCGGTAGCATGTTCGGAGCTGAAGGTGGAGTCGGCAGTGGCAACGGACCCGACCATGAGGCATCCCAGTGAATCCATAAGGGACTGAGCATTGAATCTAATAAAATCAGTCTGTGAGATGTTGACGTTGCTCCGACGGCGATCGTTCGAGAAAAGGGGTAAGATTGGATTCGTGATGTTAACGTCCAAGACCTTGACCATCTGGGCGTCCTCTTGGAAGGTGAAGTTGACATTATAGGTGGCATTGAACAATGAACAGTTCAAGACTTTCCAGCCTTCGGAGAGATTGCCAGGCACTGCAACGAACAAGTTTGCCGGAGACGACTCGTAGTTGCCCAGGAATGAGGAAGGACTTCCGTCGTTAATCGGCAGTGAGCCACCGGAGAAGGAACCATTATCAAATGGAACCTTCGCGGTACTGTTCGGTGCCCACGACAAGTAATTCCAGACGGACTGCCTCTCGTACATGTAGCAAGAGTCGGAGAGTTCAGCGCTCTCGAACGCAAGACTCGGATCACAGCCCATGCTGAGAACGAAACCAGACAGAATGAAGTCGGGTATGGCTTCACATCTGAGCGAGGGGGCTATGTAGGACAGCACATAGCTTGCATTGGTAGCCGGAGACGGCAGTTTCGGGAGCTCTCCGCTGCACGCAGTGCTGCTCACAGTTCGGGCGAGGTTGTTTGTTGGCCCGTGATACGTGTTCCAGACGTAATAGCCGCGAGGCGGCCCATTCGCCATATCGCCATCACTCTGTTGTAAATATGTGTCGGCTAAGGACCGTGCCAAGAAATTGGGCGTTCTCAGGGATTGCTGGTTGTGTCCAACATCAGGAATCAACCGCACAGTAAGCGTCGCGGGCGGGATGATTGTCGAGAATGGTATCAACCATGAAACAATCGCAATGGCGACCAACAGTGGACTGCCCACCCAGCTTCTGGGCAAAAGAAGGTCGACGAGCGATCCGAGCAGGCTGGTCAGTGAGTCGACAGTCTCCAGGGGTAAGTCTTTCGACAGCAGCGTGCGCCAAAATAGCTGCCAATACACTGCACCAATGGAAAGTACTAATGATGCCCGCACAAGAAATGCAAAGGCGCTGCCAATGGCCAGATTGTACTGCTGGGCGAACATTCCATCGTCGACGGGTGTGCCTTGGAGACAGGTGTAGAATAGATGATGGCCGATGGTGAACAGGAGGCGGCAACAAATGCCAGGAGAATGGTGGTTGGAACTATCCAGTGCGTCCCGGACCATCGACGTGGCTTTGTCATGGTTGGTGGTCTCTGATATTGGTCAAGTGGTACTTCCAGCGTCGATTGGAAGGAGGCGTTCTTCTTGTAAAATGTTTGCTGCTGTCCCCAGCGACATGAGGTGAGCATCGGGGCACGAAAGGCGTAGTGTGTAATTGGTCGCAAGTCGTGCTATCGGGAAACCAGCATAAGCGACCTGCATTTCACCGGTATTGCAAGCGAGGTGTATGGTATTGACCTTTTTATAGCACGGGCTTGGGGCTCTTTCGACAGCTGAACGTATTATGCAATGCAGCGAGGACGGTGTCTTGTCCTCGCAAATTTCCAGCGTCTGTCGCTACATGTCCGCTCGTTAATAGTTTGGTCTTCAGGGAATGTCATCACCTGTCACTTCAACATACTCTTCCACGTCCTTGCCAGCTACCATAAACTTCGCGGTCTTGAACGACATGTCAATAGCGTCCTTTGCAAGTTTTCTAAGTCGCTCTTCGAACCCAGCCATACTCTTGCTACTGATACCTTCCTGTGTTATTGTCCGGCACAGTTCAGCAGCCCCTTTGACAGCGGTATTACCACCCAAGCCTCCCTGAGGTGTCATTGGGTGAGCTGCGTCTCCAATCAACACAACTCGACCATCTCCCCGAGAAAAGTCGCCAATGTCTGGCTTGCTGGAGTACAGTCGTGCTCGCACTGCGAGGTTCCAATCTGCGTAATCGAAGAGCGTGCGAAACTTGCTATCCCATGTCTTGGTCTTGTCGAGGACAAATCTCTGAAGCTCCTCAGGCGAGCGTAGCTTATCGTCAAAAGTTTCCGTAGTGAGCGACCAGTAGACATAGTCTTTGCCGTCGGGTAACTGTCCTCCAGATTATTTTTCCAAACTCGATCTCCAGGTGATGGGCTCCAGGATGGCATTGCGCTCGGGATGTTGGCGGTCCATGCCAACGAACCAAGTCATAGCCTCTTCCGGATACGCTGAGAGAAACTCAGGAGTGATCCAGGTTCATGCCCACACGACTTGCCGTTCGGTGTCGACAAGTCTCCTATCTGGCTGGAGTTGGTGTCTTACTCTGCTATGGATTCAATCAGCACCGACAAGCACACACCCTTTCACAGAGCTCCCGTCGGCAAAATGTGCGGTTACTCCATCAGGATTTAACTCATATGAGGATAGCTTCTTTCCTCGATGTATCCTATCCTCGATACCTATGGTCAGGAGCTGCAGTATCCACGTCCTTCTCACGTTTCAGCTCATGAACGATATTTCGAACCTGGCGGATTCCAACTCACCGATCGATGGGTGAAGGTCCTCTTCCAGGCTTTTGTGGCCGTTTGGGAAAGTCAAGCAGCTCCATAGTTTCAGGATCGGCAAACGTGGGCGAACGATTGATCAACTTTGGGCAGGTCCTGGAGAAGAGATCCCCAAGCTCGTTGGGGATCGTCTCGTAGAGGGCCTCGGAGCCATCTGTGTCGATGCGGAATCGATGGCCACCTGATCGATAAGACAGATGATCCTGTTTAAATACGACAAACGAGATGCCATGTTTATGAAGTCCTTGCGCCAATGTCAGGCCTGAAAATCCAGCACCGATTATGATGACTGGCAAATCGTGGCGAGAGTCACTTTCCTGTGCCGTCATCTTTGAGATTGTCTTGCATGCAAAGCATCCATCTGCGAGAGCACTCTACTTATATCGTCTTTGCCACTGTCAGCACATCCCTACATATCCCCGATGGCGGCCACAATGCTCATGCCGTCGGGTGCTGACGGGCGGAGCTGAAATACAAAAATGTCCGGCTTGCTCGCCTTATATAGGAAGTCGCTGTGTCCATAGGTTCATTGCGCGAGTCCGACTTGTCATGCTCGCATAAGGTCAGAGCAGACGAAGGCGGCGTAGAGCTCGCAAGACGATGGATCAAGAGCTGGCCTCGAATCTTTGTCAGCACTCCGAGCTCGCAAAAACATCGTATAGCAAAAAGAGTGTGTACGTACCTGGATTCACACACCTCAATGCCGGACCTGATTTTATACCGCAAAGATGGCGCCTGTTCCACTGCCGCCCATATGCTGCTCCTCGAGCTGGAGGTGCCGTTTACTGCGATCCCCATGAAAGAAGGACTGAACAGGTTGTACGAAGGTGCGGATGGTACAGGCCTGACTCGTGAGGCGTTCATCAAGATCAGTCCGATGGGCTACGTTCCAGCATTGACTGTCGATGGGGAAACCACAATCACCGAGCTTTCAGCTGTGCTCTTCTACATCTCCAGTTTGGCGCCAGAACGAGGCATGACGGGGCATGATGCTGTGGAGAATGCAAAAGTGCTGCAGTGGATGTCTTGGTTGAGCACGACACTGAACGAGTACGGTTTCGCAGGATACTGGCGGCCGAGTCGCATGGTAGGTCTCGAAGCATCGTCAGAGGCAGAGGATGCGGTGAGGGCCGAGGGGAAGAAGACGATCTTGAAGGGTTTCGACATTCTTGAAGGCTGGCTTGACGGTACAGGCCATGCTGTGGGAAGGCATCTAACCGTGGTGGACTTTATGTTACAGTAAGTCAGACAACCTACCTCCCGCTAAAATGCACTCTTGACTCTGTTTCGATAGTACATTCTGGCGATGGGGTCGAGCTGCGAGCTTCGATATGAATCGTTATCCGCGGTTTCAGGATGTGGCTCGAAAAGCAGAACAATTGCCCAGCGTGAGGCAAGCCTTAAGAGTCGAGGGTATTGGCAGGGAGTTCGACAGCTAGGCTTGATCGGGTCATGAGTCTGATGTAGTTGCTGTTGCAGATACGGTTGATCATATTTCAGCAAACTATCAGTGATTTGTTTGGCAGCCACAATCGGGTAAGCCCTTCCTATTGCCTGGTAATTGTTAGGACCTATCGACGCTTATCGACGTGCATATCTCAGCGTGTGCTGTTGTTTGTTGGGATCGGGTGCTCGCCAAAGCGACAATCCATCGAGACTGCCATGGCCGACAGTCCATCGAGGTTGATATCCGGGCTGTCGGCTGGCAGCGGTTGAAGGAGGCCCAGGGGCCGCATCACATGACTTGCCGCCAAATCTCCAAAACCCTCCCGGTCCCCACACTCCAGCTGAGCACGCCATCTGCGCTACCTCTGTTTCGCTGCCAAAACGCCCCAAAGCGGTCCCAAATGCCTCCCATCCGGCTCAAACCCTTCATCGGCACGCCGAAACCCCTTCCCGAAGGCCAGACATTCGGCTACGCTCCGATTGGGCAGTTTCGGGCCCATTCCTCGTCGTGGGCGAATCAGGGCGCGCAGATTGCGCCCGGCGTGAGACAGCCTGGTGTCAAGAGATGTGCGAGGATACCATACCAGCCTCGTCGAGGCGTCGGCACCAAGAGCTCATGGGAGCAGTGGCACCGCCAGCATGGCCAGCCTAAGAGAAGCAATGCTGCGGGTGCCTTGGCCGTCATATTCGGTGCTTCTGCTATTGCTGTGCTGGCAGCTCCTGTGACCTCCTGGGTGAGAGAGCATGTTGATATGAAAGATGTCGATGACAACATCCATATCGATGAGCCGGAAGGTTGGTTCAAACCGCCGTGCTTTGATGTCGTCGCTGTTTGTGGTGAGCTGCTGACCATTGGATAGACGACCAACACACCGCACAAACGTATCGGCTCGCAGAAGTTGCAAAACATGATCAAACTGCAGATCGGCAGTGGATCGTTCGAGGTACTGCTGTTTACGACATCACCGACTTTATCGCCTGTCACCCAGGAGGCAAGGTCATCCTCCGAGCGTGCGGCGGCAGTATCGATCCATACTGGAAGTTGTTCAGCATTCATAACAAGCCAGAAGTTCAGCAGGTTCTCGATGATTTTCATATTGGCCGAATCGACGCTCGGGATCTTGATGACAATGGTAACATCGACTGGAGTGTACTTGGCGGCGATTGCAATGCAGTGGAGGATCCATTCAAGGACGACCCAGAACGAGATGCCAGCCTGATCGTCCAAACCGCAAAGCCGTGCAATGCTGAAACACCCAGCAAGCTGCTCGTAGATTTCTTGACGCCCTTGCGGCTGTTTTTCGTTCGGAATCACCTTTGGGTGAGTTGATGTGATAAAGTGTGGAATTCAACGCTGATGCTCTGCAGGTACCTCAGCTCGACCCAAAGGAGCATCATCTTGAGATAGAGCTGTCGGATGGCGAGGAGATGTTCTACTCGTTGGAGGATTTGAAGACCAAGTTTCAGCAACACACTGTGACCGTGACTCTGCAGGTGGGTGAATATTTAATTAGGAGCCTTGAAGACGTGTTCTTGCTCACATCTTAGCAGTGTGCCGGGAATCGTAGAGGCGAGATGAACAAAGCTGCAAACGGCAAAACTTCCGGCCTGGCTTGGAGCGTGGGCGCAATCGGCACTGCTGATTTCACTGGCGTGCGTCTTCGAGATGTTCTGATGGCATCTGGTTACGATGTTGATAAAGCCTGCACCGCCTGTCCAAACGACCCCGAGAATGACCGGCACATCCACTTCTGCGCACCGAGCGATACGTACGAGCAGTCGATTCCCCTGCAAACGGCACTGAATCCCACCTCGGATGTCCTACTGGCTTGGGAGATGAACGGAGAGCCGATGCCAAGAGACCACGGAGGGCCTCTCAGAGCCATCGTGCCGGGGAGTGTGGCCACTCGCAGTGTTAAATGGGTAAGCCAGTTCAGTCACAGGTTCGGTACGTAAAGCTCACGCCAGACAGGTCGAACGAGTGCGCATCAGCTGTGATGAGTCGCAGAGCAACTGGCACAATCGAGATTACAAGTGTTTTGGACCGAATGTGCGAGCGGCGGATTTATGCCAGAAAGATTGGGACGAAGCCCAGAGTATCCAAGAATTGCCAGTCCAGAGCGCCATCACAAACATCATCCGCTCGACAAAGCAGTCACCGGTCTCAGTCCAAGGTTTCGCGTACAGCGGCGGGGGTCGAAGGATAGTTCGAGTGGATGTGTCGTGCGATGGGGGGAAGACATGGAGACAGGCATGTCTACGAAAAGATGACGCAAAAGGGACCAGAAGGTGGGCGTGGACTCTTTGGAATATTGACTGGCCGAAGGATCAAGTGCCAGAAGATGCCGAGTTTGTGGTGAAAGCTGTGGATGAAGCGCATAATTGCCAGCCACAGACCATGGATGGGATTTGGAACTTTCGAGGCCTGCTCGGCAATGCCTGGCATCGTGTGTCGATGGCCTCGCAGTCCTGATCTTGCTTGCGGTTGAGGAGAGCCGTGTGAGCATCCATGTGTGCATGCGAGTCTGTGATAGTTTCCAGATCGTCATAGACGCTTTAGTCTTCTTGTCTTACTTCAGGTTCAAAGTGCCGTTTGTTTACTGATGCCGTTACGGATGGAGATATGCCATGCCAGCGCGTGAAGTCTCAGGGTCTCAAATCAACATGCTCATTGAACCCAGCGAAATTCAGCGCTTCCTGGCTATCCGCTCATTCTGAAGCATCTGCATGCACGTTCACCGCAAATGAACCATAGTAAACGCAGAGAGCCTTGCTGGCTCCACGCATACAGTAATGGACGACCTGCAGCTTCTCGTCCTTCTTGGCGTACTTGGCCAGTTGACGAATATCAGTGGTGCGTGGTAGGTAGAGGGCGACTTCACTCGAGGCGCCGTTGAACGCTTCGTATAGATGGGTGAGTGAGTAGGGTTCCATGTAAGACAGGTCGAAGACATCGAAGTTGGTGTAGGATGGGCCTGAATAAAATTAGCAAATGACTTCGCACGTGTGACGATGTTGACTGGCATACCTCCCCAAGGCGGACTGGCGAATATGACGGCGTTCTTTGCGGTGGACTTCAATCGAGTCTTGAGAACAGTGAAGATGTCCCCTTCAATCCAGAAGATCTTCTTGGCCACACCGTAGATTTCCGCATTGTGCTTGGCGCAGGCGAGGGTCTTTGGGTCCTTTTCGACAGCAAAAATCTGTTTCCAGCGGCCACTCAGGGCAAAGGCGATGACATTGCCGCCGGCCCCAGCAAACGCGTCGATGAGGATGGTCTTGGCGGCGGGTGCGGTGGCGACGTGGTCTGCTATCTTTCTGCGACTCCCATCAGCGATTGAGACTATTGGACACGGTGTAATGACATACTTTGCCACGGGCTCAGGAGTGACGCCAAACCAGGCATCGTTGGTGAGCCAGACACCCTCGTCGTACTTGGAGAAGATGTTGTGCCGCTGCAGCCAGTACTTGGTGATGTTGGACGGGACCTGGTCTGCGGATTCGTAGTAGTACACGCCGTCTGGTGATTGAGCTGTCGAGGCCATCTTGGTTCAGTTCCGAGCGTGAGTTGGTATGGCTGCTCGGCGACGGGAGAGTGTGGTGGTGGTGAAGATTTGAGCCCATGTCCCGTGATTGGACCGGAGATGACTCCTAAAGCCAAGCCGTGTCGGGTCGCCCCGCCTCTAGCGCGGCACGGTCGCGTCTTTCGAAATCCAAACCTCGCGTCTTCCACTTCTTCTTCTTCCTTGACCATCTATCTTAACGCACGTGAAAGCTTTCTTCAAGCGTGCGCAAAGATGGCTCAAAACGTCAACCATCAGCATCCCATGAATCAGCCCGGCAATCCGGTGGTAAGTATGAAATGCATGCTCTCGTGAGCTCGTCCGCTAACCTCATGCAGAACGACATGTTCGCTCAGTACGTCCAGATGGGCAAATCAGCACTCACCCGTGACGATCAGCCAATGGCAGACTTCGCTCTCAAGTCGTTGCAAGAGCTTTCGGTCAAGCGAGACCTCTTCCGCCTGTATTGGGGCATCGCCGATCCCAAGGGCAGAGACCTTCAGTCCGCATATCCGACCGGCCTCAGAGCACCGCCTGGCACGCCTCTGCCAGAAGTCGAGCCCAGCCAGTCTCTTGAAGAAGCAGGTATTCAGTTACCCACTCACGCTCCGCAAATTCCGGGATATCAGCCATCTCCTGCTGCAGGTGGTCAGAGGCAGCCACGAGCACCCCGACCACAGCACTCACAGCAGCTTCCTCAGCAACCACGTCCCGTCGTGGCACCAAGCGGCACCAATGTCGCGCAACCTCCTCAGCAACCCCTTCAGCAACCCCGTCAGCAACCCCTTCAGCAGGCCCCTCAGCAGCCACGTCTCGGTGGTGCATCAAGCGGCATCAATGTCGCTCAATCCCCTCAGAACCCTCAGCAACCACGTCTCGGCGTGGTATCAAGCGGCATCAATGTCGCGCAACAGATGGGTCCCGCGGGGTGTGATGGCAATGTAAGTGAACATGACCCTCACCGACAGTGCTTTGCTAATGATAAAACAGGCCCCTACCCCGTTGAAGATGCCGTTCAACGCCACGGCCAAGGCATCGGCCAGCAAGGCACTTTCGAATGAAGTGCCCAAGAAGCAGCCCACGGCTCCGAGGGGCTTTGGTGCCGTCCCGATCGCGCTTGCTCCTCGCGGTGGTCGTCAGTCCAGCGTTCGTCGACCGCCTATGGCCATCGACGAATTTCCGATCGGCGGCACTCCCGATGAGAAGCGAATCTTTTACGAGTCGCACAAGATCATGCTGCGGTGCGCCCGATGCTGCGCATACAACCTTCAGTGCGATCACGACTGCCTTCGTCCCGGCGGCTGCTCCGACTGTCGGGCAGCGGGCGCAACATGCGCCATCAAGTTCGCCCAAGAGCACGATCGAAAGCAGTGCAAGTTCACCGACAACTGCTATCAGTTGCATGAAGAAGATATGGATATCTTCGATCAGCTCGCACTTACGTTCAAGTATGTGTACGAGCCCGTTTACTGGGATTGGACTCCGATTCCTTATCTTCAGCGACCTCCGCACCCCAAGATCAAAGGCCGCCACATGGCCGACGGAGAGTTACCCCCGCCGGGCCTCATGTTGCCCTATAGTTATCACAATAAGCACGGCACCTTGGACACCCATCTCGCCGACAAGTGGTACTACGAACAGTGGGACCCCGAGTTCTTGCGCCGCAACGAGCGTGCGATTCAGTCGTTCAGGAACGCATTGCGTTTATGCAAGAACGACCCTGACCAGATCTTGGCGCTCAAGGCCGAGCCGACGGTCAAGACTCAGTATACGGATACCAAGAGCATTCCGTCTCATCCTCATCAGTACCGCGCTCCTGTCAGTCAGGCAGGGCAAACCACGGTTGCGTTGCCAAAGCAACAAGAAGACGCAGGTCAAGGACAGCATCCTTCTGCGCAATCTCAGTCAAGCGTCAGTGCTGAGGGAGCTGGTCTTGCGACCCAAACTCAGCCCGTCGCTAGCGGTGGATTGATGGGAGGCTTGTCTGGACCTTCTACTCCACCCACGTTCTCTCCGCTCAAGAAGAGCAGGTCGCCATCAGCCTTTGTTCGCTCCTACGGCGGAATTGCCGATGAAGACACTCTTACGTCAAGCATTCCTCCTTTCGGAAACCCTGGGTTGGGTCGATCTCGGAAGTCCACCAGTACTGGTGCAACTCCATTTCTGTCTTCCATCAATCGGTTCAGCGCTTTCAGTTCGCCTTACGCCAGCCTTCACTCCGATGACGACCAGTTTGCTCTTCCAGACTTCGCCGATCGCTTCGCACTCTTGGAAGTTGCTGATCCCAAGACAGCGATCACTTCCGAGCAAGAAGAGGCCATCATCGCCTCGCACGCGGCAGCTGCTCCGGCAGCTCCATCTTCCTCTCCCGCTGGCGGCGCTGCAGTCCCTGTCATTGCTGACAACACTGCTGATGCCAAGCAAGAGCAGGCCAAAGCCGATTTGGCCGAGCGGGAGAAGGCCAAATCTGATTTGGCCGACCTCCAGAACAGCTTGGGGGACTGAGGTGTGTCACCTCGCTCCTCCCCCTCCCCTCTCCCCCCTCCCCTCTCCCCCCTCGACTATCAACCATGCAAGTGCGTTCCCCACTGCAGTTGATGGTCGCCCTCTCTCGTGAACGAGTGTTCAATGCTCCGTCCCCGAGATGAGTGCCTTGCACCATCCTCGTGACCAGGGCCGCACACCACTTCAACATCCCTTTCGTGAACGAGTGTTCAATGCTCCGTCCCCGAGATGAGTGCCTTGCACCATCCTCGCGACCAGGGCCGCACACCACTTCAACATCCCTTTCGTGAATGAGTGTTCAATGCTCCGTCCCCGTGATGAGTGCCTTGCACCATCCTCGAGATGAGTCCTGATACACCACTTCACCATTCGCTTTTACGGGCGCATGCTACATGCACCGCCTGTGATAGCCGAGTCTCCTACAGCTCGTCTCGGACAGACCGCTTCTGAGGCTCCGCACTGCCAGCGCTCGCGGTCCGGCTCATGCCAATGACCCTCGCCGCTTGCGTGCATCCGTAAGTCTACTCTCCTTTGTAGTGATCAAACATACTTATTCTATTTTACTATCTCACACTGCTTCGTTCTCCAAAATGATCATTCCGTCTTGCCAATCGGCCGTGAAGTGAGCACCTCTGACTGTTGCATTCTTCATGAGATTCGCCGTATTCCCTCGTCATTCCCCTCACCGTCCCCATCACCATCACCATCCCCATCTCCTCGTCCTCTGATAAAAAGGTGCTCTATCTCGTGATTCGTGTTTATTCACCTTGCCTATCCACCGCATTTCGACGCAGGACCTCGAAAGAGAAGGGACGTATGCACATGGACATCTGACCAAACATACCACTGGAAGGACTGTCGAGGGCATGACGCTGCTCCTGAGAAATACGTCGTTACCGCTGACCATGGGAGACACTCCTCGCGCCGCTGCAAGTGCCGTGAGCCAGTCGAGGATCGGAGCTGGCCACATCCTATGGTTACAACCTGATATGAGTTCTGTTCCCATGAGCATTGACCTCGAGCACCCAGCATACCCTTGCTGCCAACCTGACTCTGCTGTGCAAGCTTCCGGCAGCACTCCAGAATGTGATCCACTCGACACCTTCTACCGCCACATACCGAGCTCGCAAGACATCGTCTCTTCACTGCGAACTCGCCGTCAAAGCCACCTGATTGAATTGCCGCACGGCCTTGGCAGGCGGAGTCCTTCCGCGTTCCAACTTCACCACTCCCCGCTGGAAACGACTGCACCCGCCTGTGTTCGATTACCTGCTTCAATGTTTGGCTCCTCCTCCGCAAAAACATCACGTCCACTCACAGCCCGAGACTGCCTTCCCAATTCCGAGCGAGACCCACCAATTTCTACCAACGAGCAGCGGTCATGTCGTAGCTATCGTCCAGGCGGGATGAAGTGCAAGAGCTGGGGTCTTCGTGCGGCGTTGAATGGGGCTATTAGTATGGAATGAGGATATGAGGATACCATGATACACTTTGGATACCAAAGCTCCGCGCCAAACCCGTGTTCGCACTCGACAAGAGCTGGAGAAGACATAGATTCATCACGGTGGGATCACAGCAGACGTCAATCCATGCCTGTGAAGCCGTGGGGTATCTGGCAGTCTCATTTCGGCTTTTGCACGCCAGATCCCTGGTCGATTCATGGCAGCTGCCCGTTGCTGTAGATGGCTTAGCCGGCGTGAAGAGGAGGAGCGAGTTTCATTGAGGGTGGGCAACTATCCACAGCAGTCCAGATAATGATGCCTGCGCAGGTGGCATGGCAGTTCGCAGTTCAGTGGAATGGAGACCTTTGAAGAACACCTGAAGTCGTTGCGATGTCGCATATTGCTTTGTCGTGAAGAGGTCTGGTCTTATTGAAGGTCCGTACCCTCAAGTAACATGGCCGCTCACCAGGATGACGACTTCAACCTAGCAGAAGATGGAGTACACTCTCGGATCACATGGTAATTGATTGGAGACCTGAAAAATGCGGATTGCAGCAGCAGAACATCAGCGACAGGACGGATGAGGACACCACGAAGGCACAGCTTCTATCCCGGATCTATGGACCTGGTCCGCGGGTTCGCCCACAAACTGGTGGAAGACAGCCCGCTTGTTGGATGCGGTGGCTATCCCCGAATTCCATGCCCGGGGAGAGATTTCGAGGACGTTCTCATGAGCTTGCTTGTGACGAGAGTTTTTGGGGAGTGCAGGCTTGATCCTAGAGTCGAGGCGGTCCACTGCGACTCTTCTCTTGTCTGCAGCACGAAGACGAAGCCGAAGAAGCCACAACCTTTCCATTGTACACAAGATCTCAGCATTCACGCTGTTGAGGATACTACAGCTTCCACCTTGCTCAGGCCACTGTGATCTTCAGCTCGAACAAGACGGCCACGCTTTTGCCGTACTGCCTCTTTCGCGAGGGACGTACCGACTTCTGCACTGGACGGGAAGAGGTGGAACATAGACGCCTGTGAGGCGAAAGGACAAGAGACTCCGGGACTCAAATAAGAAGAGATGGAGAGAGTAGAGCACAGTCTGACTCGACAACAGTGAACATCGAGGAAGAAGAGACGGAAGGGCTGCGGCAGAAGTCGAGCGACGAGAGATGGAAGGCATACTGTGGTCTGGCTCAGGCGGACAGTGGCAAATCTCGTACCACGAGGGATGGAGAGTCGACCACGACCCTGCGGGATCAATATCATCGACGCCAGCACAAGAGTCGAGCAATTCCACCTCTCTGTGACGCACCTCCCACCCGTTCCTTCTGGCTGACTATTACGTCCGATGATCGTCCTAGGAATGAGCTGAGAGCGATGGAGTGCACATTACAGCTTCATTTGTAAGAAGTAGCAGGAACTCTGGTTATCAAGTTCAAAGCCTAATTCTGTGTTCTCATTTTCCTTTCTCCGCCGTCAACTGGCCGCCCTTAGACGAGAAGAAGCGCGAACGTCCTCACCATCCTTGCTTTCCTTCAGCCCGTCTTCTACAGACTGCAAGCTCATTGGGAGCTTCATGTGACGGTACCTTTCCTGAACGGCGCCCGGCTGTTGTTGACCCCGAAGACGTGAATCTCAATGGAAATCTCTCCAGGCCTGTACCGACATCTTCTTCACCCTGAAGCCCAGTTCTTGCCTCATATTACGACCTGCCCGGAGGATAGACTTACTGTCACGTATCAGGAAGATGTGTTTCATGGATATACGGCATGTTTGTCAGGGCCTCGCTTTGAGTCGGCGAGTCGTGGTCATGCCAGTAGTCCGCAGCTTCTTCGGGGCGAGAAGTATGCAAGTCTCTTCCTCAAGGACTTCCAGCACCTCTTCGCCGAGACCGTATGGCAGGACCAATGCAGCTCTTCATACTCTTGCAGATCGAACGAGCTGACCCAGGCTTTGCAGAAGACGAACTTTGAATCGGGGTGGAAGTGGAAGCGGAAGTGGAGGTGGAAGGGAAGGTATTCTGGTTGCGCTGAGTCTAGTCGTGCTTGGCTCAGTACTCGTTCTATCCATGGAAATGACATTGATCACGAGGACAAGGGAATGGAGATGAATGAGGTAATCATGTTTGATTAAGTGTCTACGTCGTGTCGTCGACTTGAGCTACTGACTGGCAGCTCTTGTGATCTTGGGATGCCCGCGATCTTGGGGAGAGACTGAGCTGGGGAGCTCCAGCTCTATGCCAGTCGTTTCCATGGGAGAGTCTGAGTGGTTAACTCCAGCTCTATAAGATGGACGAAGTCTGCTGTGTTGCCTCGCAAGCCCATGTCTTGGCGTAAAGACCATGGCTTGTGGGTTGAAGTCTTGTCCGGTGAGCTTCTGCGGCGGCAGTGCACGTACGCTCGTCGACGACTTGCGGCAGCCCATGGTCGAGATGGCTTGGAGTAGTTCTTCCTTGCTACGATGATAGTGTCAGCCCATTGCGTCAAAATGAGATACTGAATGCACGTATCCGTGGAAAGTGTTGAAAGGGACGCCGTTGAGGTTGAGGTCTTCAAAGTGTTTGACTGAGAAGAGAGTGGCGTGTCATCTTCGTCGTCCCTCTGTTTGCAGGGGACTTGGGCTCAGTGTTTGTTGTTTGACTGAGAAGAGAGGGTTGTTCGCGTCCTCTTGGAAATCGGCGAGTTCGACATCAAACTCTCATCGATCGAGTCCATTCTGAGTCGTTCATCCAATTTGTCGTGCTCGTCTCACTCTGGTGTTGATCGGCGTGTCATCGTCGTCATCTGCTCAGCTTTTGTCGCGATCTCGCCCATCTCCTTCTTCGCAGCAGCGAAATGGTGTTCGACGTGTCATCTTCGTCATCTGCCCGGCTCTTGCCCCGAAGCTTGGGCTCAGTACTTGTTGATTGACCAGAAACAGATTGTTTGGGTCTTCCTGGAGATCGGCAAGTGTGATAAGGGGCTTGGGATCATCATATGAGCCGTCAATCCAGCTTGTCACGCTCTCGCTCGTCTCCTTCGCAGTGGCGGTGATGATAATTGGCATGTCGACCGAAAAGAATGGGTTGTTGGGATCTTCTTGGAGATCGGCGAGTTTGACATTGACATCAAACTCAGGCTCATCGAGTCCATATGAGCCGTTCATCCAGCTCGTCGCGCCCTTGATCGTCTCCTTGGAGATCGAAAATTGACGTGTTGTGTTCATGTCGTCGTCTTGAAGCGACTTATGCGACTGTTGAGACGTCGATATACGCGTTTGCGCGCTTGGAGGATCGATCACATCACTGTGATCTTGATTGTCATTTGCGACGTGAAAGTTAGCGGGCAAACAATGCGTTGGTACAGTAGGGAAGGGGGAGGACCGCTCTTCCATTTTGACTGTGATGTCTTGCTGCTTGATTGCTGGAAAAGAGTGTGGCGTGGTGTGAACTGGTGATTGTAGTGGTGGTCGTGGTGTGCAGTGGTTGGTGGTTGTGAAGTCAGAAGTGAAGTCAAGTCGAGAAGGCGACCAGAAGGCGATGAGTAGACGCTTGGACCATACAGACCTGATGCTACGCACACAGTCTCCGTTAAACGCAGTCAATCTTTCGGCCCGCTCCCGTAGTGCGTTTCAGCCAGCTGTGCCCGTTTGCATGTGAAGTCCTCCTAACGATCAAAACCAACACCACTACCCGTACAAGGCATGTCGCGTCTTGTACGACTTCATTGACACTTTCCGATCTGCTCCAAAGCTGGTTTGGTCTTCCCCCTTCATTTGACGCGCTTTTCGTGGCCAGCATGGGCTGACACGTACCACCACCGAATTACTCATATCGAGAAATCGCGTATGAACGACGTGGCTGATGGTCTTGAAAGTATGTTGAACTTCTCCCCTTCAATTTGACGCGGTTTCTCACGGTTTTCACCCTCCTCCTGACGCGTTACCCGCAGTTTCGCCTTGCCGACTTGGATCCTACAGACCTTGAGGATTCTCGCATGGATCCATCCGATTAAGAACAGGACACGTGGACTTGATTGAATCAGCCAAGCGAGGGGCTTTGGAGGTGTATTGGGATGTGTCATCGGCTTCTGATCGGCGTATCGTGACGCCACCAGCCACCAGCCAAGTCTGCCCATGTACGCGAGGAGGACAAGCCTCTGGACTCCAACATCGTCAGATTCTATGGAGACTGATTTCTGATTCATTGAATATAAGTCAGAGACATCACGGCAAGGTTGGATACTGGAGACTGGTATGATCTGGTGGTGTTGGCTTGGCTTTCATTCACTCCTTGATCCCAGACGCCACGAGACAGTATGAGCTGGTTAAAGCAACCCCATATCATAGCTAACTTTACCGCAGTCTCGTCCCTCTACTGCCAACACAACCTTGTCGCCCGCCGCCCCGCTGCACCATCGATATGGACGACCTCCTCTACCTCTCCCCACTCCCAGAACACCTCGAAGCTATCCTATCTACCGCAAAACTATGCAGAAAAGACGTCTACGTCATCCATAGAGTGCGCATCCGATGTGGCCGCCTCCTCCGATACCTAACCGCTCTGAATCGATAAGCGTTGCCGTCAGACCATATTCCGGACCTCGCAGAGACTCAGCGACTCTTCCCTTTATTGGTTGAGGTCGGCCGATGATCCAGTGCAAGTTTCCAGGCGACTCTTCATTCACAGCGCATTCCTCAGCCATCACAACCTCGCCCACCAAAACTTCGACCGCTTGGGAAAGTTGCTGCGACTACATTCACGGGTGGAGATTTGGACCGCTTGAACTGAGCGCTGGAAAGGATACTGCCCATAAAACTCCACTGTTTGGGTCAAAGGATGCAACTTCCCATCGCAAATCCGCATACAAATCTTGGCGAGACCGGACTTCACCTGCCAGGAGAATAGGCCAACGCTTCCGCGAGGACTTGAGACTCTGCCGGCTTGAAGATAACTTGCGATAGACTGTCCTACCAGAATTTCCAGTCTCTCCACTCAAGGACACGACTTTCCCAGGCAACTCCATACCAGCCCACCCAAACTTTCCTGCCGTTGGGAATCTGCTATGTCCATTACCAGGAGTGGAGATTCTGACACCTTGAACGACACCACTTGAAGAGTGCTGTCCTCAAATTTCCACACTACAGGCCAGGTGGTAGGGATTCCCACGGCGAATCCGTGCTGGCCCATACAGATTTTGGTGAGACCGACTTCACTTGCGTTGGGAAAGTGCTATGGCCATCATGGAGAGTGGAAGAGTTGATACCTTCAAACTACACCCGAGACGACTAATCTCCACCAATTTCCACTCTGTTGGTCAGGTGTTGGAGATTCCCAAGGCAAATCCGTACTGCCTCATACAAATTTTGGTGAGAGGAGACTTCACCAGTGTTGGGAAAGTGCTGTGGCTATCGCTGGCCGTGAAAATTTTCGGAAATTCGTCGAAAGGTGTATTCGGCTATCTCCCATAAATATCCACGTCTACGGTGCTGATTTACAGATTTCCAGCAGTGCTATCGGCCGCCCCATACAAATTTGGTGAGACCCGCGACGACGAGTGTACCACGACCGGACCACCCATCCGTTGCCCTGGAGATTTCACCACACTCGAGAACAAAGCCATCGAAGTAATCCCCAAGATGTTCCACACGTCCCATCAAGACCCAAGGCTTCCCACCGCTCCTATCGGCCGGCCCACGCAAATTTGGTGAGACCACCGACGGCGAGTGACCGAGAGAGAACATGCAGTCGAGACACTGGTAGATTTGGGCATGTGAAAGAGCAAGGATGTTGAGATAACTCCCAGGAATTTCCACTCCTGCGGTCTGGATACACAACTTTCCCATGCTGGTCCACAGTCCCATACAAATTTGTATAAGGGTGCCGATGGGTATGGTACTGCCAGAAAACCAGACTATCCTGATGGTGGAAATTTGGCCTAGATCAACAGAAGGGTCATTGAAGCAATCCCCATAAATCTCCAGGATATCCATTGAGTGGGAAACTTTCCCAGCGCAGGCGTCGCCAGCCCCAGCGGATTTGTGTGAGGCCACCGACGACATCACTGCAGCACAACGACATATCGCCTACTCTGGAGATTTGGTCGGCGATGATTCTGATACTGTTGGAGTAAACTCCACAAATCTCCAGGATATCCATCGAGTGGGAAACTTTCCCAGCGCAGGCGTCGCCTGGCACAGCCAAATTTGCTTGGAGCCGCCGACGACGACATCACTGCTGCACGACCGTTCGACCGCTACCCTGGAGATTCATTCCCTGTCAAGTTCGATGCTATTGGAGTATCTGGCATGAATTTCCACTCTTGCACGGAGATACTGCGACTTCTCCAGAGGTCGTCATCCAGGCCATACAAACTTCGTTGTCACCCCCGACGAAGTCATCAGTCAAGTTCCACGGCATGCAAAGGTTGGAAATTCAATATACAGCATGTGATAGGCAAGGAGGTGCGCTGCTACAAATCTCCACGAAATCCATCGAAGAATGCGACTTTCCCCAGCATCGGTCTTGCTGCCCTACTCATTATACTTGAAGATTGGAAGTTTGGGGTGGAGATTCCGACATGCCTCGACAATGACTCCCAGCAATCTCCACGTTTTTCCTCGAAGGGTGCACTTTCCCTTGGGGTGGGTCTGTCAGCTCAGCGGATTTCGGTGAAGCCGGCGACGGCGATGCCATTTCCGACACACTGCATGTGAAGGGTGGAAATTCGAAAGGCTATCTTCCTGACGGCTACCGAGTAACTCCCAGGAATTTCCACACTTTTCCACGACGCATACAGTTTCCCCAGGGGTAGGTCTCCCAGCTCTGCAAATTTTGGTGAAGCTGGCGACGACGATGGCATTTTCCACGCAGGACACTTGGAGAGTGGAAATTTGGGCGACTATCTCGATGCCCTCTACTGAGTAACTTTCAAGAATCTCCACACTTTTCCGCGAAGGATGCGACTTTCCCAGGCGGCGGTTGTCCAGCTCAGCACGTCTGCCAGCCCACCAAAATTTGGGTGACGCCGGTGACGACGATGGCATTCTCTACACAGACCACTTGGAGAGTGGAAATTCTGGAGGCCATCTCGTCGACCTCTACCGAGTAACTTCCAAGAATCTCCACAGTTTTCCACGAAAGATGCGACTTTCCCACGGGTCAGTTATCCAGCCCAGCTGGTCTGCCAGCTCACCAAAATTTGGGTGAAGCCTGCGACGGCGACATAGCTCACCACCCCAGCAACATGAGCAGTGGAAATTTGGCATATGGCATCGAGGAGGATGTCTGATGAAACCCCATGAATTTCCACGAATTTCCACGAGCATGGCAGATTTCCCAAGGCACGGCTTATCGGTCACCAAGCCCACTGAAATTTGTATGAAGCTGGCGACGTCGACATAACTCACCACCACATCAATGCGAAGCGTGGAAATCCGAATGGGTTCATCTGGGAGGTCGTCTGAGGGATGTCTTCAAATTTCCACAAATTTGCCAGTGATTTGCGACTTTCCCAGAGCTCGACATCCAGCCCTATCGGCCAGCTCACCAGATTTGTGTGAAGCCAGCGATATCGACACAACTCGCCACCATGTCGATGCAAAGAGTGGAAATTCGAATGGGCTCTCCTGTGAGGTCGTCTGAGGGAGGTATTCAAATTCCCACAAATTTCCATGCGATTTGCGGCTTTCCCAAGGCCCGAAGCCGCCTAATCGGCTGGCTCACCAAATTTGTATGGAGCCAGCGATATCGACACAACTCGCCACCCTGTCGATGTGAGGAGCGCATACTCGAATCGGTGACACTATGGGGTCGTCCGAGGTGTCCCCCCAGCCCTTGGAAAAATCCCATGCGAATTGCGACTTTCCCACGGCTCGACATCCAGCCCGCCTGATCGGCTGACTCACCATATTTGTGTGAAGCTGGCGACGCCGGTATATCTCACCACCCCGTTGATGTGAGCAGCTTCTATTCGAACCAGTGAGAGTATGGGGTCGCCGGAGGAGTCTACCCAGCTGCCCAAATCATTCCGTGCGATTTGCGGCTTCTCGACGGCGTCGTCTCCCGGCCCACCAAACTTGTATGAGGAATGCGACGTCGACATCTTCATCGACGCAGTTGACCTGTTACTTGGACGTATGGATAGGCTCGAGAAATGGGTCGTCTGATGACTCTCAACAACTTTTGAAGCAAGACGTTGACGCTGTCCGTCTGTCCACACCGCCGAAGGTCGTGAGGTACGTATGGGCTGGGCGCGTTCAAGGTACGTCCACGTTTGATGCACACGCGTATTAGGTCCATTAATCGTATCGCAAAGGCCGTGTGGTGAAGTTTGAATAGCTCGTTTCTCGTCGGCACGTGTGGTTCCCTCGTGGGCAAGACGCGTCTGGGTAATGGATGGAGCGGTACGAGGTCGATGGCATGGAAAGGCCTGGCTATTTCAGGGAAGGACGCGAGCCTGGTGGTTGTTCAAGTGTTACTATTCGGAGATCATGTCTCTTCAGTCTCGAAGCAGGAAAAATAGAGTGTCAGCACTGCCGAACGTGTTGATGTAGGTATGGGCTCGACGCGTTCAAGGTATGTCCTCGTTCGATGCGCACGCGTATCAGGTGGATGAAATGTATTCTCAGAGCTGTGTGACGAAGTCTGGATATCTGGTTTGTCGTCGTGACGCGTGGTTTGTTGGTGGGCAAGACGCGTCTGGGATCAGGATGGAGCGGTCCGAGGGCGACGGCTTGGGAGCTCCGGCTATTCTAGCTGGAGAGGGGAGGATCTGGTGGTTGTTCAAGGGTCATTCGGAGACGATCTCCTCTCAGCCTCGAAGCAGGGAGGTGAATGAACTGGTGAGGTAGGTATGGGTTCGGCGCGTTGAAACTGGGTCCCGTTTCGATGCGCACGCGTATTAGGTGCATGGCACGCATCGAAAGAGCTGTATGGTGAAGTCTGGATACCTGATTTGTCGTTGTGACGCGTGATTCTTTATAGACGCGTCTTAGTGGCAGGAGGCGCGTTTTCAGGTTTGCTGGCTTGGGAATTCACGCCGGGAAGACGAGAATCTAGGGTTGGGTGAGGTTTTCCTGAAGAGAATTCTCCACGAAGTCAAAGCAGGGGAATGGATGTATAGGCACGTTCCTGGGGGTGGCAGGTTACGCGGGCTGGCGACGTGTAGAGGCTTGGGGACAGTTTGGAGGCTGTACATCGCGTTAGAATGAGGCCCACATGTTGAGAGCTTGGGGAAACAACCGGGTCCACGTGTGTAGGTGATGTTGGAGGAGCGCGAGCAGGAAGGACGCGTGGATTGAGGTTTTCACGCGTGCTGTGACCCTGAAAGTCGTTGAATGGACATGTAAGTCTGTTTGACGTGGATTTCGAGGTTGGTTGCATCGAATGGCGCGGTCTGCGATCTCCCTCGCGTCGATTAAACGCGTCGATCAAACACGTCGATCCTGGGACGGAATGGAGTGCTGCGCTTTCCTGGGAAAACCGGAAAGCCTGGAGAGTCATAGATTCGAATATCGACTTTCTACGCGTTTCCCATGCTGTGACGCGTTTTTCTTTGCGTGAGGCAACGATGGACGCGTAGGATCAAGGTGGACGCGATTTCAGGACCCGAAAAGGGCACGGCCGAAAATGGGAAGTACGAGGTCTACAGGGGCGTGAGTAGAATGGTTCCAGGCTGGACAACTCGCTCTAGCCAGGCCGTGGGTCTTTCCAGGACTATAGGAAAGCCTTTTGTGAGCATGAATTCAGTGTTTACGGGTCAACAGGAAAGCAAGTGACGCGTATCCTGAGGCGAGGGTACGAGGTAGAAAGGCTGTCCAAGGGACGCGTGAGGAATCGCGTAAAAGCGATAAGTAGACGCGTTTGTTAGAGTAGACATATGCTTCATGACGAAACGCAAAGCTTGACGCTTTGAATACGCGTATCTAGCGCATAGGAATGATCGCCCAGGACTGAAACTTTGCTCAGTTGACACGCACCACACGCGTCATTGTCTAGAACAAAGAACTGCAACGAAACAGAGAGCGTCAACAGGCCGTATACAAGGCCGGCTATGGAATTTTGCTAAATGCCATATTGGAACGCGTCGCAGAATCGCATCGAGAGCTGAACATTTGATTGAGAGGTGCAGGAGACACGCGTATGTCGACGCGTTTGCGGACGCAAATATCGCGAAAGATGTTCGTGGCTCAATTGAACCTGTACACCCGATCTCAAACGACGCTCGCCCTGCACACGAGCATTGTTTGCCTTGGTGAACGGAAAGTACAAGGCTGGAGATTCTGAGCGATGCCCTGTTCGGGGTGGCCCGCTTTCCAAAGTCTAGGAGGGCCGTCCCGCGTTACAGTGTCTGAACATGCGTTTCGGATGCATGTGGGTACCGTGGAGGCTGTCGGACCGAGGTCATGTCTGTTGCATCGCTGGACCTACCGACACGTGCGAGTGTCGTCATTCGCGTTTTCACGGCGTTGCATGATCTTGATTCTTTGCGCGTTTGACATGTTTCGTCGATGAGACTTCGGAGTGAGTCGGAGGCATTACGCGTCCTTTCACTCGAAATTCTTAAGCCATCTTTGCAGGCACACAGACTGTGTTACTTCCTTTGTCAGGCGTCTGTCACACGCATTTACACGCGCTGCAACACGCGACGGACGCGTTGATTGGAAACAAGCCGCGTTTACGACTTAAAGCTGGGCTTTGAACGCAACCCGGTGAAGCCAACACAACGAGACGGTCCGAGAGGGTCTTGAATCGTGAACGAAGTGTTTTCAGAATATGGTAAAGCAACAGATCGGGACGAAAGCCGCGTTCGCTGTCTAGTTGTACTCCAACGGAAGCAGCGGGATTAGACACGCTAACCGTTCGTAGCCTTCAGATCTTCCGAGCTCTAAGCGGCGTTCCCGACTGTTATACGTTCGTGGCTGCTATATGGAGAGATGTCACGCGAAATACGCGTTAGAAAACGAGTGAGAACTTTTAGCGACCTATGCAGCGCGTCACACTGTCGTTTGGCGCGTCGAACACAGCAATGTACGCGTAGTTTCTATACCCGACACCAAGTTACACAGTTTGCTCGGTCTCTACGCGTTGAGAAATCTTGAAATGCGCGTGAATTGGAGTCAAAACGGGCTCCAGATTGTACGAGACATGTTTTCGAGATTCGTTGAGCTTCCCCACTGGGCAGAGGCTTCCCGACTCAGCCAAGGCTGTAGCTGCTGTCTAAGCGGGGCGTGGTACGCTAAGCACCTACGAGTCAGCCGCACTCTAGTCGGCGATTACGCGTTTGTAGCTGCCGTTCAGACCAGCTTCGACGACACACTTAGAACGCGTCCAGAACCAGCTGCGAATTCACACACAGCTCATGGAACGCGTCAAACGCACACGATACGCCATTGAACGCGTCGAGCGCCTCAAGATACGCGTAAATAGTGATGTTTGCACGTCAAAGACGGATTTACGCGTTGTGCAATTATTCAACGCATCCAAGACGATGACATCCGGCGTTGAAGCAGGGGAGCGAGACCAAGAAAATTTGCAAGACAAAAAGCTATAATTTCTTGCCAGCAACAGCGACATGGGCGTTGCAACTATGAGGTGACGGTCAGGCGGCCACGTGTTGGCGATGATGTGTCGACGATGCAACGAAGAGGTCCTGGCGACGACGTCGGTGACGCCGAGCGTTTCTTCAACAAGTAAGCCCATGATGGACCCATGACGACGGCGGCGGTGACGAGGTTCGGCAATGCGGTGATGATTGACAATGGGGTGTCTCAGCAATGCGCTTGTGAATGACAACAGGATGGCGGGGTGTTCCAGCAGCGTGACATTGAGCCAGTGTTGGTGTTGGCCAGTATCAACAAGCAAGCGGTGCAAATCGACGGCGGCGATGAGGTGCTCTTTGTAACGACGACGGGATTGACTTGCGTGGTTGTGACGAGGACGGACAGCGGCGGGCTACGCAAATATCCACGACAGCAGCAAGAGCTATGTGTGAGAGTTAGCGACGACAGCGTCCATCCGTGGCGGCGGAGGTGCTCGTTAGCTGCGATAGGGTATCTCGCCAGCGAGCGTCGGTGACCAAAGGTATCCAGCAAGCGTCAGTGACGGTGTGTATCAAGAAAGAATATTGATGACGATGACAGGGCCGACGAAGTGCCGACCAGGACAGAGGTTTGGCGATGATGTCGAGGACGATAGCAGGGCATTTCTTCCAGTTCTGGGACGACGGCAGGGCAGCTGTTCCAGTTTGGGGACGACGGGCAGTCCATGTAGGGAGCCACGACAACCCGGAGGCCACAACAGCAATACCGACAACATGAAGCAGCGACAACCAGGAGCCCGACAAGGAGGCTGACAACATGGAGTGCTGACAACATGGAGTGCCGACAACAGGAAGGCCGACAACACAAAGTCGTGTTTCCAACGATCGAGCATCAAAGTCACCATCTTTGACCGCAGGTGATGATATCTCTTCGTTCCGGCGAAAGGCAGCCTCGCCAAGCAGCGGAATGAGCGTGGAGTTGATTCCAGGGACGGGGGTACATGTTCGAGCTTGTCGGTGTGAAGGTCTGATTCGAATGGTCTCGCAGATAAGGGGTCGAGTGAGGATCGTTGTTGTTCGTGTGCGAGCGGTGATGTAAAAGTCGGGTGATACAACGTTGGTTCATCCTCGCGCAGCAGCTCTGTGACCTTGCCTTTCATTCCAAGACCTGTAACGACGAAGACGTTCTAGTCTTTCGACAATCGCTTTGCTGTGGGCGAGGTGGGCGAAGAGATTTGCATGAAGGCACACCCTTGAAGAGCACAGGCCTTTCCCGAGACGATTTAGGAGGCCCGTTGGATCTGGATGGGTTGGACTACTCCTTCAAGACAGCAGATGGAAAGGTTGTTTGAGATCTTTCGGTGTGAAGGATGGCGTCATCTCGTTGGGCAGCGTCCAGTCAGTTGAGCAGTCGATGATTACGCATGACAGTCGGGTCTTAGGTCGTGCAGGCCTCTCCCATATCGATGGTGGACGAACAATTACAAGGGCTTGGTAGCCTGGCTCAGAAGCAGCGACAGCTAGTAGACGGTCTTCTTCGTCTTTGGGCGCCACCTGCTCACGTACGGCCGGCCGGTCGAGCCTGAAACCTCGTCGCGCCTTCGACTTCCTCGCTGTCCTGCCTGTTTTCTGTCCACGACAAGTAGAACAAGATGCCACAGCTGTGCGAATATTCAACGACGGACACGATGTCCTCCTCGTTGAGGTCTTCACAGTCGTTGGTGATCGAGGGCCTCACATTGAGCAGCGCGCAGTACCCTCGAGTATTTGCAGGTGGAAGGGAGAAGGTTGACAAAGTAAGCCTCCATATGCGAGTTGCAAAAGCCGCTGCAGAGATCGACATCGTCAACATCTCGGTGGAGAGACGAGGGGCTTGGTGAAGATCGTTCGGTTTCCAGCGACTCATACCGAAGCAGTGATGTGACAGTGGATTTGTCCTCGCGCTTCATCCAGATGCGGCGGTGGCTTCGTGACCGTGTTCGAAATCAAATGACCATTCCCACACCTGTAACGACAAAGAGGTTCCCGTCCTTCCATGCCCACAATAGCCGACCATCGAAGAGTTGAATATCGAAGGGTGGGAGAGTAGGTCGAAACATCGACAGCGTCAAGTCAGGCGTCTGTTGAGCGCTACCGGGTAGTCCAGTCCTGTCCCTTTCTTTGAGCGACGAAGAGACGTTCGGGGTTTGTCTGATGTTGTTTCGGTTCATGCTCCGCCGAACTCGTCATGTTGAAATTGCAGGTCTCTGGGTTGTTACCGAAATGGTCGTTGCAATGGCGATGTTTGTACTGCTGTCTCCGTTTCAAATTGTTGGGTGCCACCGGCTCAAGGCCAGACGAACGCCTCGTCGCGATGTTGGCCTCGTCGTGATCTTGGCCTCCTCGCTCTGCTGCGTCTTCTCCTTTCTCTCATCAGGCAAACCGAACTAGCTCATCCTCCATTAGTACAACGACGACCTTCTCTTTCGTATTCACGTTGACCTGCTCCGACTGTTCGCTACACCTTGTGGCACAGCTTTGCGAGTGGAAGCGGTGGTGGCAGTGGCGTCGCACGGTAACTTTTCGAAAGCCGCTGCAGACATCTTAGCATCGTCAATAACGTACAGATGCTGACACCGATGTACAATTCTCCAGCGAACCTGTGTGCATTGCTCTGCTTCTTTGTAAGAAGTCGCAAGGTGGTCCTGGTTGCTGCTTGCTCTGCTGGTGATGGTGGTGGTGGGTGCGTACCACTGCTGCGGCGCGAGTTTGAGTTTTCTGTGAGAGGTCGAAACCGGCTCCCTGGTATGTCTGTTCTACCTGGTCGCTGCTTCATTCGTTGGGCGTGGGCCGGGGTGAGGGCGGGGACGTTGGCAGTAGGGGCGGGGGCGCTCGGCTTGGCGTTCTTTGCAAGGAGTTGGTGTTCTGTTTGGCGTTCTTTGCAAGAAGCTGGGATTTTGTGGCCGCGGTGGCGGCGGTGTTAGCAAGTGCGGCGCTCGGTTTGGCGTTCTTCGCAAGAAGTTGGTGTTCTGTTTGGAGTCCGTTGGCTGTTACTTTACTTTGTGGAGAGAGGTGTGCGTCGTCTGTTTGGAGTTCTTGCGAGAAGTCGAAAGCTGTTGGGTCGGCGGCAGCGGGCATAGGCATGGGGGCAGTGGAGACCGCAACGCTCAGTTTGAAGTTTTTGTAAGGAGCAGAAGTCGAAAGGTGCTCCTTGGTCATCGACGGCACCGGCAGCGCCGCTTGCTGGAGAGACATGTACGTCCGAAGATCTCTGCAAGAAGTCGAAAGGTGTTATTCGATTGAAGCTTGATCTGTCAGCCGACATTTGTCAGGGTGGTGGTGGCAGCACCAGCGGCAATGACAGGGCAACGGCGCCGGCGCTCGCTGCAGAATCGCACGTCGGTGTACTGCTTGGAGTCCTCTGCAAAAAGTCGAAATGTCGCTATTACTTAGGTCGCGGGTCGTTCTTGATGGCGTTGGTTTTGTTGGTCTGGCTTGCCTATGGCTTGAGGCGGTAATGTTTGGGGCATGAGTTTGCCAGGTATCATGTTTCCGAAAGAGACCAGTCTACAACACCTCCGGCGCGGCGCAGCACAGCAGCGGAGAGGCCAGCCGAATAGAAGTTGGACAATGTTGAAGATTTGTTTCCATCAAGTGAGTAGAGGCCAAGTACGGCTGGGCCAACCGCGCGTTCAGCATGGCGGAAGCGCGACAACATGCATTCCAGGCGGTCATCGAGATGGATTCCGCTGAGCCGTACGAGCTCCACCATCGTATATGTATGCAGGCCGATACAGAGGTGGTCGTGAGGAAGGTCGTGTTGGGTGGGTTCGTCCTCTCCAAGTGCGTGTCCTCATGCAGAATGCCATCGCCGTTGCCACTTTTCATCAGGTGGGTGGAGGACACGCTTCCATCAAGTGTGACACCGCGGAGTTGTGCTGTCGTGGAAGTCATAATGTGATCTCCCTCAAACGTCGGAATTATAGCATGTGCTCTTGTACATGTGTGCTTGGGCCATGAATCGTGCGAATTCGTTGCGTGGCTCTTCGTTTTGGCTGACACAGTTCTGGAGCATATCCGCGAGCATGTACAGTGGAGTGCAGGTCTTCGTGTAATCGATACACGACGTATCTGGCGTGAGCTCATCGAAGGTGGGATGCCGTTGGTGTAGCATCCAGTGCACCTTTGCTGTACTGACGGCAAGCGGTGGAAGAGTCGGATGTCGTGCTCTCAGCTGCTGTGAACGGGCGAACGACTATGCGAATGAACGATTCCTGCCATTGGGATCTCGTCGTCGTAACATACCGTGCACACTCGGTGCGCCATCTTGACAGTCTCGAGAGAAGTGGTTGTTCGTCGGCGACTTCAGTAGTGAAGGTTTCGTCGCTACAGGTCGTCCTCTGCTGGCAGTTGTGATGGGCTCACTTCAGGCAAGAATGTGTGTGGGATACTGGGCAAGCATCTTGAGTACTGATGAGAGCAGCGAGATCGGACGGGTTTTGATTGATGTCGGGCAGGCCAAGTAAGTTGGGCAGGCGTATGCAGGACGAGATTTCGCCGAGATTGACATGTGAAAGCGTCTGCTCTTGTACTGTTCAGATGCCGTGATTGAAGTTTAATGGCGGGATCGAATGATTGTGAAACAGCAAGGTTGTTGCGTAGTCCGTCGGAGGGTGCAGCGCGGCGGCGGGGGTGCGGGTGGCGGTGGGTAAGCAACACGAGGTCGAGGGCGCGATCGATAGCAGCAGCCAGGTGAGGTGATTGACGTGAAAGGCGGGTTTGCGGTCGGCGTTGGTGGTAGCCGTGAGGATTCAGTGGCGACGCTCGGGTTGGCCGTCCCTCGCCTTTCAAAAAAAGTGTCTTCAGGATGGCCCCAAACCCTTGATCTTCAGCATTGCAAGACCAAGAACACATGCATGATCGACCGGCAACCGACTGGTAGGTGAGCACCACCATGTGGGAGCACAGTATCCTGAACGATGTGAAGCAGACCACCACCCAGCCAGTAGCCTCTGCTCGCCCTCAACCGCGAAGGTGACGCCGAAATGCAGCCGCTGAGGTACGCAGAGCTAGTAGATGTGTGCGGAGGAGCCAGTGACTGTGGTCTGACGCGGCGGCAGAAAAGGGCGCGTAGTGGACCGTTGGCATGCGTGCTGACTTGTTGAACTGGCGAGGGGCTGTCGTCCGGAGGTCGTCTTCGTACTTTGCCCTGGCGGTCCCATCATCATGCGCGTGGTGTTGAAGATGACCCAATGGCTTGCCAGAAATGAGGATGGTGTTGATGCGTCTTCATGGTCTTCAGGCGGCGAAAGGCGGCTGAGCGGGTGGGTTCGACGTCATCTTAATTCATATGAAGCATCCTCACACATGGTACAGGATCTTCAGTCTTTGCTCGTCTTCTGTATGTGAAAGTTGTCGAAAAAGGCGTGTCACGATCGGATGCGTTGTTGATAGATTGTAGGTGGTGAAATTAAGCTCAGTCTTGGCGGCGTTTGGACCCTGCATTAGCGTGTTTCAAGGTTCACGCTAGCGCTTGCTGTGAGGTGAATGAAAGAAGGAACGCGACACAACGACGTCGACCTTTAACGGGAACGTAGCCGAGCATTGGGACATGAATAATAAAAGGCTGTGCAGATGGAATCACGTCTCAAGAACCAGCATCTGCTGGTCCTTCTCACCCACGGCATTGAGACTGCACTGTGCGAAGGTGGCTTGAGCGTACAAGTCGCAGATAAATGTGACACCAATTGAAAGATAGCTCAAAGCAGGGTATTCTTCTAGTATAAATCGTCCCTTCCTCCTTGCGCATCGTGAGGAGCACCTTGAGAGATTGACCGATACCAGAGTTGGATGTAAAAGAGATGTTGGCAAGAGGTTGATGTCCTTCGATGCGGATCCACCTCAAACGAGAAATCAATGCTAGGTGCTCAAAACTGCGCAGTCGCTCGTTGTCAAGAAGTTGAAGATAAGAGGCGCAGGCCTTGCTTGAAGCCCATCGAAAGTTGATCAACCATTCAAAAAAGAAGCCGAGGGCGATACTGATCTTGGTTGAGCTGCCAACATCTTGACGCCGCTGGAAGTGGCAGTAGGTGACGAAGGCGCAGTCGCTGTTGGAGGCTCCAGAGAAGCCCTGATCTCTCCCTCGCCCATGCAAACAACTTCAAGACTCAGACCTGATCAGGAACTGCAGACTGCATCCCGCAGTAGCCCAGTGGAACGATATGCTGGCCAGGAGAAGGATACTGTGAATTCGCTGTTCCTCCTCAATAATTCGAAGCACTGGCTACCTGTCAACCTCACTGCCCTTGACTGCCTCGACAAGACAGCTCGTGTAGCCAGCGGAATGATATGCTGACCAGGAGAAGGATACTGCGAAGTCGCCGTTCCTCCTCAATGACTCAAAGGAATGATTACCCCTACTCTGCCCTTGAATGCCTCGACGGGACGGTTGGGCGGCTCTCGCGTTCCCTGTCTCTTGCGAGAAAGGTTCTCGATCGCCCTCTGCCCACCGTTCGGTCCATGACAGGTCAGGTACTTTGTCGAGCCATGACCTCAGACCGCGCTATCGCTGCGGCGAAGACTGGTGAAGTCGATGGTGCTGAGTTGACTTGCCCGTGATCAGGGGTACGTTGTACGCCCCAACATAAAACATCCCATGCAAGCTTCCAGCAGGATCATCGTATGAGCATTCCGTGGCTGAAACGAGGAAAATCTGACGACTCATTGTTGGAAGCCCGGGAATCTCCAAGGGCCAGGTATTCAGGTCGGGTTCGTCGTATTTATCATGCCTTCCTGACTCTGACCATAGACTGAGCCTCAAAACGGCGGTATGGTATACTGGGGTATCCGCCGCGAAACGTTTGAGTTCGGCCTTTCTCGTTGTGCGTGCGGTCATCTTGATTGAGGCCGGCGATTGTGGCAGCCACCGAGCGGACGTTGTTGGATGATGAATCCATAGTTGTTGTGCGGCTTGCTGATGGCGGGCGTTCGTACGTATGGGAGTGGAGAGGAGTGCGAGCTCATCGGCGCTGTGGCGCTGACCTGGGTTTGATGCATGCTGTCGAGACAGGTGTTTGAAGCTGTCGCAACGATGATACCAGCACCATAATGACTGGGCGCCCGGGATCCCGCGGCCTTGATGTCTTGCACCAATGAGTTTGGGGTCATCCTATTCCCGTTCCTCTACCACATTTATCCAGATCTCAAAGAGGCGGGTGTCCACCTCGCGCCCTTCAGATACCAGCCAACCATCACTTCCCTTCCAAGCTCTTCAGGCTGTCCGGGACCTCGCCTCATCGTGTCTTTCTCTCATCCACAGGCAAAGGTGAGCTTCCCAGTCGTGGAACAATGATTCCAGGTCTCAGCAGCTGAGATGCTGTCCATGCAGTCCTCCAGAGCCCGGGTTGGTGGTGTTGGAGTAGCCAGTCGTCCAGCGACAGACTTTCCTGCCTCCTTCCTACTCTGGTCGTACGTGCTTCGCAGACATGTTCCGCGAGTCCAGTGAAATATCTCTTCAACTGCTCCGCCGCCTTTTGCCCGTCATGAGCGACAGTCCTCGTCTCCCAGGAACTTCTGCTTCTTCTGCTACTCCCCTCTTCTGCCCCTTGTTGCCCCATTCTCCTTCCTAGCTGCTGTGTGCATTCCCAGCTCTTCCCAAGTTACAAGGTATCCTGTGGCCCAATCCACAGTCTCCTAATATGTCGACGTCGTCGAAGCTTAGACGGATGTTTGATTCGAGCGGAAAAGCGGTATGGTATATAGGAGGGGGAAGAGCGGAGGAGGAAGGGGAGGGGTGAAGGTAGGGCGGTGGTTTTCTTGATCATATTCTTCGGAAAGACACCATACTCGCCGGTATGAATGTGTCTGGTGTACCTATAAGTCACAGTCAGCGCTCGATATGAGTGACAGAAATTCACCGACCAGGCTCCAAAAGGTCGAAACAGTCCCGCACTGTTCTTCTCTTTTCGACTACGACGGTTGCTGGTGAGTTGTTGGCCGTTCTCGCTGACCGTTCTTGCTGGTCGTTCTGGCTGGATTCATCCAAAACTGGGCGCCATCAGGGCTCCAGGGCAACAGACATGGTTCTGACTACGGGAGTCGATCAATGGTTGTGGTCTTTGGGCATAGCGCCAAGTATCTTCCGCCGCAAGACAGCGACGGCAGACTGAGGAACATGCAGGAAGAATGCTTGGTATAATCTTCCAGATCTGATGCCGTTGCACACGCGCGAGGTGGACAACCCAGAACAAAGCCACGGCCGAACGAGGGGCTGTTTCAAGCACAAAGCAGCTCCAGGAAAGAGGTTGATGGATAGGTGGAGTGATAAGGTGAAGTAGGAATCGAATGCCATATCATCTCTTCCCAAAGTTTCGTCCGAGTGACCGGAGGCGAGGTTCCGTTGGATGTATGACACCCCCGATCAGGCGCAGCTTTCGGCAGTGTGGTATACCTGCACGGAAAGGGGGACCTCGCCCTAGCGGTGATGGAAAGTATCTGAAGCTGGTTGAAGAAAGGTTACAGATGTAAGATACTTCCCGCGCTGTTGCTACTGAATGACAGAACGGCCGCGTCGATGCTGAAGTATTGGATCCCCTCCACTCGAAAGAACGGACGAGTATACGCTGCAATGAGTCAAGCACATGGGTGATTGTAACCTGGGGATAGCTGCCTTCGCAGGCAGGGTCTTGGTGCGCTGACTTCGATCTGCGTTTCTGTCGGTCCAAACTGCCTGGTGTTTCCAGTACAGGTATGGCAAGAGACATCGTCTTCACCAGCGCACTTTTCAACATCTGCAGCCATAGCGAGGAGAGAGTAGCTCAGCAATCCAGAGAGCTGATTGAAGGAAGCTGATTGAAGGAAGCTGGTTGAAGAGGGCTGATTGAGGTCACCTGGCATGGATGCGAATCCACCGATCGCTTCCTCGATTATCCAAGTTATGACCACGCCGGTAGATCGAGAAGTGCAGCTGCCAGCGCCAGTGAGACGGGAGAGCTGCCTATCGCAAGGCAGGGTTACAAAGCTTCTTCGCTGGCTGTGCTGCGCCAGCGTTGTTTGTGTTCAAATGTGCTTCTCTCCCACGTTGTTGTCGAGCGCCGTCCAGCAGATGTCTCATGGTAGAAGCAAGATTGCCTCGAGAACTAGTCCGCTGTGATCGTGGCGAGCGTAGCGGTGATGGCCGGGGATGGTCTCTGCCGCTATTTGAGCACTCGCCATCCTGAGATAGGCCTTGTCTGCAACAGTCGCGACCATTCTCAATGAAACGACCCCAGACCCAGTCTTCTGTGTTGTATTATCCTTGATCTTCCTTTCATGAACCCGCCTCTTTCAGACCCAATCTTCCATGTTGATCGTCCTTTCATGAGCCCGACTCTTTCTCCAAATGATGGTCGTGCATCTTTTCCAAATTCTTGACAGCAGAGTTTGAGAAACGCCGGAAGGAGTGCATCGAAAGCAGCAGAATGAGTTTGCGGTAGAAGATACGAGAGTGGCGAAGAAGGCTTCAGAGGCAGCGTCTGAGTCGTCGATCAGGGTCAACCATCGGTGCTGTCGAGAAGGTGCTGGATGATATGAGCCCTACAAATGTGGTCAGCTGGGTCGTAAAGGCCATACTTGTGAAGCCCATCTTTGCAGCCATTGAACCTTTCGGTTGACTTTCATCTGTTGGCAGTGTCCCTCTCTTGCCGCAACTGCTCCATCTTTTCAATGCCAATGCTGTTCGTCCTTGGAGACAAAGCCCTTCGTTCATTCAAGCCGTTGAAACTCCCGTTGCCCGTACCGCAAGCAGGATGTGGCAGGGTTTCCATGTTCTTCTCGTAACTTCCAACAAAGAACCGCCTTCTCTTCCCTGGAGTCCTGACGATGGTTCTGAACCATTCGCGGGCGCGATTCACCTGTCTCGGATCTATAAACACCGCGAGCTGGAGCTGGAGGGCGGCCTGGGCCATTCTAGTGACGCGTGCTGGACCTGTCGTGCCCCGATGGAAAATGCGTGCTCGGTAGACGTACAATGTCGCGACGCGCCCGCCGCGCTCTTGGAGATCTTGAAGTGGGCTTGTGTAATCGCCTTCGTCTCTGGATCAACCTGGTCCGCTCCGCCCTGTCTTCACCACCTGTTCCAGCCGTTCCGCCGACGGATATCCCCATATATACTGGACCGACCGTGGCTCGGGTGCGAAGATGCCGATCGTGGCTGGATGCGCACAGAGGGGAGGGTAGGCAGGCCGAGATGATGATTCCGAGGCGCCAAAGGGGAGTCGGTGGTGACCAGCTGCGGCGTGTTTGCGGTGCGGGTGAAAGATGTATTGGAGCTGTCATGTCGTAGTTCAATGTGCGCCAGATCGCGTCGCGGTGAGGTGTTGTCTTCAAAGACGGCGAGTCTGAATGCAGATGGCGGTCCTTCCTTCCCCGTTAGACTTGCTGGGATGAAAGCGGAAGGCGCGCTGGCTTTCACTTCACCTCACGTCTCTCCTCTCCTCTCCCCCGACCCCCTACCATCAACACACTCACGAAATCATGGTTCTGCCGGCGTTCTTTGGGCCAAGGCAGAATGCCGCCGAGCATTCATCATCGATCACTGATGTCGAGGACGACGTGCAAACGCACGAAATCAGGCCTGTATACCTAACAGATCATCAGCGTAAACTGCTCAAGTTTTATCAGTCAGGGGACATCGTGGGCCTTTTGAAGGCAATTGGGAAGGCCGAAAAGCGCTCGGCGATGAGCGAGAAGTCCTCACGTCTCCTCAATACCAATCTATGGCCAACCGTGGCCACATATCTGCTCATGCAGCCCGCTCAGCCTCCACTGGAGAGCCTGCTGGACATGACGCTGCCCCAGCGCTCAGTCAAAGCTCGGGGAGATCAGCTCCACCACACGAATCGGACCCCCGCCGGCTGTTTGCGTCGACCGGGCAGGCCAGACCAGTGGAAGGGCAAGAAAGATCCAGTCGTCTACGTGCAAAGCCTGGCCGACAGAGATGGTTGTGGTCTGACGTGCGATGAGTTTGAGCGATTTCTGGACGCAATGATCGTGGGCGCGAAGATCAAAGAAGACGAAAACGGAAATTTCGTCGTACGCAACAGGAGTCTTGTGCTGGGTGTCGTCCAGGGGCATTACAGGTACCAGAACAAGCACTTCTACGAAAGCCTGGGAAAGAACACGGACAACAGCTTGCAGATCTTGCAAGAACGTGTCTCTGAGTTTGTCAAGGTCAATCGCCAGATCCTTGCCGATGCGCGTGAGCAGGAACTGGACCACATCATGCCCAAGTTCGAGGTCGGCTGGAGTGGCAAGGGTTACCAAAGATGCGAAGACCACCGAAAGCTGATTCCACTGGGAGGGTCGCCAAATCTCATGCGCCTAGCGATATTAGTGCTGCAGCATTTGCATCATGATCGAGATTTTCAGTATCATCAGTTCGTCCTGTTTGATGTCATACGAGACGTGCAGGCAGAGGTGGGCGAGAGCCTCGCATCCCAGCTATGCTGCTCGTACGAAACGTATGGGGGCTTCAACGCTGCCCAGGCCGGTGCTTCGGTTTTGTCTGCCAAAGAGATGGAGTATAGGGACTGGGCCGAGGTGGAGAGAGACACAACTCGGCAAAACTTTCTTGGCAATGTCAAGGAAAATCTTCGGCGAATGGAAGAGTTGTACGAGGAAGAGCTGTCTCGCGATGCAGAGTATCACAAGAGACAGAAGGTGGAAAGCCGCCTCCGAGATGGCGCAAAGGAACAGGAATACCTTGACGTTCAGCTGAAGGCTGGAATGAGTGAGATGGAGTCGGCGACGGCGAGTCTCGACGATCGGATCTCTCGGTTGCGACGGGCAATGGAAGCGCGACAACAGCGGGAGCATGATCGCGAAGAATGGGAGCAGGCCCTCATGGAAGTGGCCGAAGCTCTCGAGGAAGACTGATACGGTTCGGTCGTCAAGTGTGTCGTGGACTCGGAATGGCCCTTTTCTCGGCAAAGCGGTTGAGTTGACCCCTTGCCTTGAATCGTGGTTCGGGAGAGAGGTGACCCCTTGCCCAGCATCGCGGTCGGTATGACCCTTTGTCTCGCAAAGCGGTTAGATGGCTTGTGGAGATGACCCTTTGGCTTGCATCGTGGTTGATCTCGGTGGAGATAACCCCTTGCCTTGCAAAGCAGTTCAGATACCGTCGACCCTTTCCCTGGCACTGCGGTTGATCTTGATTGAGACAACCCTTTGGCTTGCAAAGCAGTCCAGAGACAAACTACCCTTTGCTTCGCATCGAGGTTGAGATGATTGAGGCTTGCATTGTGGTTGATCCTGTTGAGATAACCCCTTGTCTTGCAGAGCAGTTCGCGGACTGACGACCTCTTGCCTTGCAAAGCGGTTGATCGTGGTGATGACCCCTTGCTTCGCAAAGTGAATGCACTTCCCTTCAACCCTGCCAGCCACGATTGCCTCGCTTTTGCTCACTCGCACTCGGGGGCCAAGCTGATACGAATTTTTGTCCCTATTTCATCAATGCATCAATACCACCCAAGGGTTGAGACACCATACCATTTCATGGGCTCCAATACCTTTTTTCATCTTGACACCAATGACCTCCAATACCTCCTCCCATCTTGACATCAATGACTGCCCGGCTCTTTCCCGTCCGTCCAAGTAGTTTGTGAGAGCGCTTGCCTGTGCCTCTACCCATCTGTGGTGTTCTATGTTCGTTTCACGAGTGTGAGTGTCAAATCGACAGAAGCAAGATCAGGTGCAAGACGAGGCGGAGACGGTGATTTGCACATTGTTCGGAATATCGCTGGTTCGGTTTCACTTCATACTGGCTCGAGATGCGGGACGAGTGACGCGGATCGGGGAGCGTTTACAGGTAGCTGTCAAATCGCGGCCGGAATGCTATGGGAATGAAGGGAAATGAAGTGTCAGCTTTCAATATACGATCGATACTTACCCTGGCTGAAATGTGAAGGAATAATGCCCACATATTGGCAGCGCCCGTGACTTGAAAGGGTTGGGACAAGAAGTCCATCAATCCCGATCAAGCACAAAAGCCGAAGTGAGTGGGATGTTGTGATCCGCGCTGCACTGGCCATATCAAGGAGCGCGCCGGCTGCGGTCGTTGCAGTAGGTGGTGGGCATCCGTACTCATGTACTTGGATGTCAGGGACAATGGTGGCCGTCATCGCTGCAGTCTTCGCGTTGCCCTGATTCTTACAATGGGAGATAGTACTCCGCATTGTTCTGTTTCTCGCAATGGGAGATAGCACTCGGCATTGGTCTGTTCTTGCAATGGGATATGCTGATCCGCGTTGCTCTGGTGCATGCAATGCGAGATAGGACTCAGCATTGTGGCCTTGCAATGGGAGATAGGACTCAGCATTGCTCTGGTGCATGCAATGGGAGATAATACTCGGCATTGCTCTGGTGCATGCAATGGGAGATAGTACTCAGCATTGCTCTGGTGTTTGCAATGGGACATGGTAGTCCGCATTGCCATCGACAGCGCCCGTGGAGATGCTTGATATGTGGCAGACCGCCAGCTTCAACCCGCTGACGGTCATCGAAGTGTTGAAACGGACTATCGGGGAGATGGTTGAGCCCCCGGCTTGGGAGCCCAACCTCCATCACCCAGACGCTCGACAGGGACCTGTAACTTGTCCTCATCCAGCTGGAACAGAGCTTGTACCGGCCGCGATGTGCCATCGGGTTGCAATGGTGACAGCATACCATTAGAACGAAGGATGTGCTCGTGCTTGTAGAGGACTGCGAACACGTTTTCATGCTCTTGCTTGGACTTGGTACTGATCGTCTTCAGCACCCCGATTTGCTGATTGGACACGTTCGTGGCATCCTTCTCTTTCCTCTCGAGTTCCTCAAGACGCGCTTCCAAAGCTTCAGTCTTGTTACGCAACTCCTTGTTCTCTTCGGAGACTGCGTTGAACTTGCCCTGAAGCGTGATATGCTCCTTGCTCATGGCTGCGAGCTCTTCCTCTTGACCGTTGACGCGGTTGACCAGGTCCATTAGGACCCGGGAGTCGTTTGCTTGTTGTGACTGTATTTGATCAATTAGACCCACACGATCGTTTAGCTGATTTCGAATATCGCGAACGATAGCTGAGTGCTCCAGTTGTTGATCGCCAATATTGACGGTCCAGTTCTTTCGAGCCTCGGGAAGGGAGGTTGGCACGCTGTTGCGCCAAAGTCTGCAACTCGTTCTGGATTCGCTCGACTTGTGCGTCGCAGTGGTTCGTGATGTCCTTGCGATGAGCATCCATTTGCTCCATCGCTCGGACCAGCCCTTGCCAATCGACTTGTAGTTCTGATGCTGAATCAAGCATTCGCTGAAGAGTCGAAAACTTGTCGTCAACCGCCGACGTCACTGATTGTTCGATCCGCTCTGGATCGTACTTGTCTATCGCCGTCCTGAAAAGAGAGCGCTGATTAACCAAGAGAAGGCGTTGCTGGTCAATGTCCAGTTGCAATGCCTGGGACAGCTGCGTCACGCCATCACTCATGCGCTGATTCGCGGCCCGCTGCGAAGCGACCAGGATCTGGAGAATCACGTCTGCGATCTCGGGTGACTGGACCGTATCGGCGACGTACTTTGCGAAGCGAGACATCTTCGGCTGATCGAAGAGAACCAGCGCTCTTGAATCGTCACCTTCTTGCATTTCCTCTTCTTGAGACCAGTCATGGTCTCGAGGTCGACGAGGACCCATGACTCGAAGGTCGGCGACGCCATCCTGGCACGTCTTCTGGAATGCTTCGAATTCCTGTTGTCCGATAGCGTTTGGTGCTATCATTGCTGCTGTGGTCTCGTCCTCTTCGCGATCCACCCCCTCGTCAAACTCGTCGGTGTCCGACCACTCAGATTCGTACTTATCGTCCTCGGCGGACTCTACCGCATCTTGTGCCTCTTCTTCGCGAGATTCTTCCATCTCTTTCGGCTCTTCAACATAATCTACCAGGTCTTGCGTCTCTTCGTTGCCGAACTCGGAGTCCGCAGTGTTGACTGGCTGCTCGGATGCGCCAATGCGCTCGGATGCTGAATTCTCGGAAGTTACTGAAGTTGCTGATAACTGATCGTGTTGCACGGAGTCGGCCATGGTTCTTGATTGCTCGAGGGAACCAAAGTTATTCGTGCGTGTGTGGGTCAGCGAGAAGTAGAGAGTGCGATTTCGCGCTGGATGAATTTCGTCGGCGCGGGGCTTCCCGCTGCGGTTGTCGGCGGCGGCAGCATCGACACAACAGCAGTTTATGGAAGAACATAGCATAAAGCGCTACCGGGGCAACACCCAAGCGCACCGACATTCACTTCACCATTCGCACGCGGGTCCATCACAGTAAAGGCTCGCTTTTCACATTGAACACTCTGGCAAGCTCCTGGTTACCGCAGATGATCTTGTGCTGCCGTTTCGAGAGCGAATACCGCATCCCAAGCCTTTCAATGCCAGCTTGTCAACTCTTATCGTGTACAGCGCCCTCCTCTTCACGCTCTGCCGCGCAAAGTCTTCGGGACAGTGGAATGGGTCGACCGCCATGTCAGATTCTTCTGCTCACTGAAGCAAAATATCAAGGCCAGGACGAGGACAATGATGGGAACAAGGGAGCGCGGACGGGACGAGAAGGACTCTGGCGAGCGTGGGTAGTAGTGAGGAAGGATATGGTCGCGCCAGGATCGTGAGGAGAACGACTTTGTTACGATCGAGGATGTGTCCACCACAAGAGCAACGAGCGGCTTTTATTCACATATGCCCAAGCCGGGTACGATCGCGACCATGGTCGGAGGCACCACCTTTGCTGATGCAGTGGTCTCGAATGCGAGTTGAGCTGGCGAAGAACATTCGGTGAGACGCGAGGCAGCAGGGCGAGGCAATCATGCGCGGAGGAGAGTCTAGCGGATATGTCAGCAAAGCCTGCTCTGAGCCCATCTCTTTGATGCGATGTCATTGAAGCACACAGCTGCAGTGGTCGGCCTGGCGCTGTTATGCCTTGAGATCGTCCTTCACTTCCCTTGTCTCGAAGAGAAAATCCGCCCAACGTCTGATACATCATCTGTGTCGCATCGTGCGGCTCTGAGCCAGGTCATATTGCGAGGACAGGCGTAGCACATGAAGTGGAGGAAGGACGATATGAGCGAGGCGATGCTGTGAAAGGGAGCGCATGAGGTGAAGTGGAATGCGCCCCACCCGAGCTGACCTCCCTTGTTTTCAGCGGAGTTCGCCTAACCAGACCCTACCCTACCTCTTACACCTCACCTCGTGCCGAATGGACAGGCAGCCTCGCCACGAAGGTGAGGTGCACCCTGCCACCTTCGAAGGAGCAAGACGATGTTGTCTCTGAGCAGCTTCTGATGCTGCCAGCCTCTACATGGACACTGCGCAGGCCGCTCGACTGCTCGGCCTTGTACCGGCCTACACGTATGTGCTCTTTCGCTTGCCCGAATCCTCACCCTCAAGACTATATTTCATTGCTCTTCTGAGATGTTGACAAGTATTTGCGCTATGCGCTGTCCTCTTGGGCACAGAGTAAGTCCATGCTCCTCCAGCTTTCATCGCCTGGCGAGCTTTCGTATAAGCAATCGCTTTCACCGCCTTCTTCCGTTGGATCGACGGGTATGGGTGGATAGGACATCTTCGGCGAAGCGGCAAGTCACAGCGAAGCGATTGTCAAGATTGGAGGTGGGAGCTGTGTACTCGTGGGATCCGACATGGGCTGGGCGAGGCTCCAAGCGAGCGACGACGAGAACGAGGTTTGCACATTCAATGCAGGCACAGTATGGTATGAATCTGTCTGACTTGGGTGTTTCGAGCCGCTGCTGATACTATACCGCTGCCGGGATGAAGAGGTGACGTCGGGAGGTACCGCCAGGTGCTCCTTCCCTACGTTCGCGGATGCCTCCACCAAGACATTTCTCCGTTCTCGTTGACGTTCTACATCTCCCATCAACAGTCTCGTCACCATGGCTCATTCAGATCCCATGGAGATGTATGCCGGTTTCATCAGCAATCAGCTCAATCATCAGCATCAGGACCAAATGGACTTCACGGAGTCCATTCAGCCAGGTCAAGTACGGCATGAGAACGATCAGCACGAGAGAGAGGAGCACATCCACAACTCGATCGAGACCAAAGAGCACGAAGACGAAGGAGTGCTGGAGGAAGAAGTCACTCAAGAAGAGACTTCGGCTGAACAACCGCTCTCCGAAGCGGAACGGGAGCTTGTGGCTATTGGAAGCGCTTTGCAGAGCTACAATACCAATGACGGTGGTCTTATAATCATCCACAACCAGCTGGCCAGTGCCTTCAGGGCCATGACCATTGCCGTTGACGTGGAATTGAGGAACTTCGATGAGACGGAAGCACAGCTTCAGGAAGAGCGGGAAAAGCTCGACAAGAAAGGGGCGGATCTTGAAGAGAAAGAGTCCAAGCTTGACACACTTCAGGTATGAGAGCTTCACCATGAATCCTTTTGACACCGCTGCCCACTTCATGTTTCCTGTCTTCTCATTACATATCTTCACCTAACACGAGTCGAAGGCTAACGACTAACAATACCAAGGCGGCTATCGACGGGGATCGAGAAGATCTCAAAGCCGAACAGATCAAACATGAAGAGGCCCGCAGCACCCTCGCAAATGCCAAGACAGACTTCGATCAAGAGCGTCGTGAGCTCCAGGCCGAATTGGACCGCCTTGAGGAATATGATGCATCGAAGGAAGACTTCGATGTTCGGGTGCAAGCCTTAGAGGCTGCAGAAGCTAACAACGACAAGTATGTTGCTGTGCCATGGATGTACATACTACAGTTCGGATTGCTGACTTTGAGATTCGTAGTCAAGTTGACACTGTGGAACAGACTCTACAAAAGGTATTGCACATATCCCCCGATGCTGATCTTGCACAGGTCGTTGCCGCGCGCGGAAAGAGCGATGAAGAGTTCGAACGATTACGAAAGACGTTGCTCGAAACCCAGAAAGAACTCCACAAGACCCAGAAAGAACTCGAGCAGCTAAAAGCAGAGAATGACATCTTGCGCCCTGGTGGCACTCTGGAGTTCGTGAACACCGAAGACCGCGGCCGCAGGATTGATCGCGAAAATCGGAAGAGATCTCGCCTCGAAGGCTCTCGATCATCGTCTGAGTCTCGCATCAACAGCCCCTCGACACTGGAGCTGTGGGATCACCGCATATCAGATGTTGACCTTGATCGCGAATCACAACAGGTCAGAATAACAGCCACGAGCGACTTGCCAGTGTCGTCGACTCAGCAGGGCAGTGGCCACGACGCACAAGTCGCCGAATCATCTACAGATGATAAAGGCGGCAATCTTGGGCGCACGCCTACCGCCGTCACTCCGTCCCCATTTCGACTTCGCACGCCAGCAGCGCAGCGATCAAGTCGGCTCACTCGCACGGCCTCAGTCAGTCTCACCACCGCAACACCGTCCTCGATTCAGAAACCACGCAAGTCTGTGGCAACTCCTACAGTCCGTCGATCACCCAAATGGCCGAAAGACGAGGAGAAGACCAAGACCCTCGATGAGGTTGCACGAGAGTTGAAGCTCCTAAGCGGGGATTTTATATCACCTGCGATGATCACAGTGCTCCAGAGAGGGCTCTGTTTGTTTCAGAGTGCGGCCAACTACGGGAGCCTTATGACGAAGGCGTATGGTCCCAAGTGTGCGAGCGCTCGTGCTTCCAGAGGCGATTCTGCCATGGACAGCAAGCAAGAGCACTCTTGCGCATATTGCGAAACCCACGGCACACTGTGCATTCGCGTCACCAACGACGTTCGAACAGTTCTCCCACGCAAGGCCGCCATCGACCGAGGTTTGCAACCAACCCAGACAGAGTGCTGGTTGAGTGCAGGCCAAGTATCCATCTAGGATACGACCAAGTACCACAGTTGCTATTGGCCTCGATTTTGACCACAATCATCACCATTGCTGATGCTCTCGATGCGGAACGTTACTTCACCATCATTGCCGTCACTCTCGGTGCTGACCAGCTGGTCAAGACAACATCACCATCACTGGGCGTCCTGGGTGCAGAGACTTGCTTCATCACCGATGTCACTCTGGGTGCAGACATGCACCATTGCTGACGCTTTGGATGCGAGTCTTGGAGGAGAAGGCCATCACCGACGTAGCTCTGGGTGCGGACGGACTGTCCCCACCATTGCTAACGCTTTGGATGCGAGCCTTGGAGGAGAAGGCCATCACCGACGTAGCTCTGGGTGCGGACGGACTGTCTCCACCATTGTTGGCGCTTTGGATGTGTATCTTCAGGGGATTGCATTGTCGGCGATCTTCGTCATCGTCGTTCGGCTTGTTGCAGAGCCAAAAAAGACCCAAGACCCCCAGATATTGCTTGCATCTACAGAAACGATAAAAGATGCAGCTTTTCCAGAAATTTGTTTTTTTCAACCCATCCGTGAATCTCGTACTTCCTCATTCTCAGTACCATGAACTGACCACTGAACTTCGTCACCTGGTAGAAAGGGAAGGCTTTGGTTCTTTCCATCTCCCCGGGGGTACCGCAGCACCTGTCATATCATTGTGGTTGGGGAATAGTTAATAACATGATTAATGTAGCAGAGAGTTGTGTTTTGGAGCGACAGCGAGCGAGAGGCGGATATCAGTGTTACGAGATGGACATTGAGCTGGAAGCAGGAAGAACGAGAGCTTGCAAGGTATATGTGAGACAGCTACGCGGAACGTGGTAATCTGTGGAACGAATTTGATAGTTGGTACCTATGTTATCAAGTACTGACGACGGAGCCCAGCTGCAAGTATGGCATGCAAAGACGTAGCTCGAGGCCATAAAATGGCCACCGAGGGTCATGCATTGCGACACATACTCACATGATTGAGCACGAAGGACTGCTGCGATGGTTCGTGAACACTCATCGCAGGATCATGGGTAGGCGGACAGCTGAGATGGTGCGTGAGCACTCATCGCAGGGTCATGGGTAGGAGGACAGCTGAGATGGTGCGTGAACACACGTCCCAGGGTCGTGACGGCGAAGGACAGCTGGAATGGTGCGTGAACACACATCCCAGGGTCGTGAAGGGGAAGGACAGCTGGGATGGTGCGTGAACACTCATCGCAGGGTCGTAAAGATAGAAGACGGCTGAGATGGTGCGTGAGCACTCGTCGCAGGGTCATGGAGCAGAGGACAGCTGAAATGGTGCGCGAGCACTCATCTCAGGGTCGTGGAGATGGATGAGATGGTGCGCAAGCACTCGTCTCGGATTTGTGAGATGGAAGAGCTGCAGGAATGGTGCGTGAGCACTCGTTCCTGGGCTACGACCGTGACTGAGAAGGCGGGAGGGTGGACATTTTTCAGGGGGTGTTAACCCCTTCACTGGCCATAGCCCCTGGCGCCCTTGGGAGCCAGGTGCTTTGGACCAGAACGGTCCCTACCACCCCTACCACCGCCAGATCCCCTACCGCCACGAGGCTGGCGACCATTGCCACGTTGCTGACGTTGACCACCTTGGCTTCTGTTCTGAGATTGATTCGGTCCTTGGCTGAGAATCTCACCAAGGCTGCGGTCAATGTCTGGATGCTGAGCAAAGGATTGCTGCTGCTGAGCTGGAGGATTGGTCGACCGATTGCCATCGGACTCAAACTCTGAAAAGCTTTGCTCGTTCGCACTGTTCACGGGCTGTGGTGCTCCAGGGTTGACCCCATGTCCCCGATTGTCGTCTGTCATTGACGTATCCCCGTGCTGATCTCGTTGCTGACTCGGGCGCTGGGACGCTGCGCCATGGCTGGCATCGCTGTTGAAGCTGTCAAATGTTTGCTGACTCGGACGCTGGGATCCAGACGCGGCGCCATGGCTGGCGTCGCCGTTGAAGCTGTCAAACTGTTGCTGACTGCTGGCGACTGGTGGCGGAAGAATCTGCGTACCCAACTGATCCACTCCTTGTTGATTGATTGTAAGCCAATCATCGTAATTCATTGGCTCGCTGGCACGAGCAATGGTATCGGCGACAGTCTCACCCGGAGCAGCGTCGACTCTGGCGGAAGCTAAGGCATCCATTTCGTCGTTCATCCGATCGAACTCCGTCCGAGGTGGTGGAGTCAGCGACCAAGGCGGCGACCAAGGCGAAGCTGTCGAAGGCTGGCGCGTTCTTGATCTTGAAGTAGACTCTTCGTCGCGAAGAAGGGGCCGTCCGCGAGATTGTGAATCCATCTTCATTTGCTTATTCTTGCGGCGGTGGGCCTTGTTGAGGTTGTTGATCTGAGTCTTGTTGTTCTCTTGTTGCTGCTTGAGACCCTTGTTCTCCTCCAGTACTTGTTGAAGCTTCTCTCTCAAACGCTGAGCGTCGTCGTTGTTTGGTGGTCGACTGTCGCTTGGCTGACCGCCCAGTCCTCCCGACATTATCGCTGGGTCGGGTGGAGGAGGCTGGCCATACTCACGCATTGGTGCTTCAGAACGGGGGAATAAACCGTTATTCGCCACATACTGATCGTACCACTGTCTCTCCACATCGGTCATGGAGACTTCCGGAACCGAAGCATCATCATGCCTCTCGTGAGCAGCTAGTCGAAGCTTCTTACGCCGGTTGGCAGAGATGCCAGTGGGAGGGTTCGGGACAGTACCGCTCTCCGGCTGACGGCGGCGCTTCAATGACTTATTCTGATGTTGACCACTATCGGCGTAGTCCTTGGCGTTGAGTCGCTGGTCTTGGTGACCGGCGTTGAACGTGTACTGGTACTGAGACTGAGGTGCGGGGCCCGTCGCGTAATGAGACTGAGGTCCCGAGCCGCGAACGGGACCAGCGGAGCGTCTGGGCGTGGCGAAGCGCCTGGGGGCTTCTTGTTGGGCGGAATGGCCGCTGTTGATGAATTAGCTGAAGTCGAGGACCGGGGCAATCGAAGACCGAAAGGCAGTGCCTTACCCAAAGAAATGACTGAGATCTGTTGCGCCTGGTAGCGCACACTGAGATCCAAGCCCGAGGTTTCTACACGACGAGCAAGGGCTTCTGAAGAAGAGGTCGCACTGTTGCGACGATTAGCCAAAAACTGTGTGGTTGCCAGTCGCTAGATGAAGACTTACCATCGGATTGTTACTGACGATGCATTGAATACACTTATCGACTGCCATCTTGACTACTGCGCGATGGCGGCAACCAAGTGTCAATCGTGGGTGTATTGGTAGAGTAACAAGTCGCGCGCCGACTTCGCGGGAAGTCCAAAATCCAAGTCTTGGCATCATAAGCATGCACGGACTCTTGAGGCCAAACAAGGAAGGCACGAAAGTTAAGCGCCATCGAAACAACAAAAAGAAAATATTTGACGACCTTCCTGAATTCTTCTTTATCGTTGTACCTTATCTGGCTTAGACACCCACGAGAAGCTTATTGTCCCAACAAAGGACGTACATGCTTCCAGTAGCGATCTTACAGCAATCAACGATCTTCACCGACACTTTGTGCAGACAGACCGTCACGCCCCTTTATACAATCTCCCTGACCTACCACCCGCCCATTCACACGCGTCGCCATTCGCACGCGTCGCCAGTCACACGCTTCGCATACCCGTCGGAGCAGACGAGACGTCCTCCTGAAGCGACAAGCCACCTTTCCCACAATCGAGAATACGCACCACTGCCGCTTTCCTGAAACCTTCCAATCGTTCCGACCCGCATCAAATAATATCTTGAGGGTGGGAGTTGTGGGTCAAGGAGACACAGGAAAGGAGGGTTGTGAACGGGACCAGTGGCGTCCAGCCTTGGATGATACGAACGCGATAACGATCGCCGGCTGAAGCCTGTACAGCATCTTTTGAGGTCTCGCGTAGCACACGCTGGATTTGAGAGGTACTGCGGGCGCCTTTGCTGAACATTGTTGTCTGAGAGACGCGAGGGAGATGGCACTGGTTCTTCAAGACAATGGCGAAATGGGCATGACCAGGAGGCGTGCGAAGAAGAAAAAGAGACGAATTTGTGATGTGAAGGTATGAGATTGGATTCAGTAGGATAACGGGCAATGAGCGGAGACATTCGCCTTCGATAATGTATCCGATACTTTATGGACAAACTCAAGAGCAGCTGTTATTCTGCCTCGATGTGCCATCATTTCCGTCTTCCATATTGCAGTGTCAAAAGATGAGACGTCAGAAGTCTGAGCTCTGCATCTCGTACGCCACAGTGCATGAAAATTGATGGAAGGGAAGTTTCTGCATCTCGGCCACCAAAGCGGGAGAAGAGAGATAAACGGCTGGGTCTGCCTTGCGTCCTGAGCAGGCAGCATTAGACGGGCATGAAGCTCTGCATTTCTGACGGCAACCATCAAGAACATGAGAGAAGACGGCCAAATCTGCATTGCGTCGTAGAAGACTGCAATGAGATGGGCATGAAGCTCTGCATTTCTGACGGCAAGGACCAAGAACATGAGAGAAGACGGCCAAATCTGCATTGCGTCGTAGAAGACTGCAATGAGATGGGCATGAAGCTCTGCATTTCTGACGGCAAGGGCCAAGAACATGAGAGAAGACGGCCAAAACTGCATTGCGTCGTAGAAGACTGCAATGAGATGGGCATGAAGCTCTGCATTTCTGACGGCAAGGGCCAAGAACATGAGAGAAGACGGCCAAACCTGCATTGCGTCGTAGAAGACTGCAAATGAGATATAAGTGCCAAGCTCGGCATTTGTGGTGTAAGACGCCAGTAGAGAAAGACGTCATGACCAAATGGATCTGCTGTACAGCACCACATGCAGCATTTGAGGGATCCGCTCATTGCGACCCCAATGAGGTCTTCGAGCGGCGTCGCAAGCTCCAGGGAACATACAGCTCCACTGGCTCTCGCTCCCAGCCCTGGTTTACGCTGCCTGCCCATCGAGCAACGATGAGCTGGCTGTTGTGGGCGGTGAATGGCTCGACATCGAAGAAATATCGTCCGTGGATACGAACGTAATCCGTATTGGTCGAGAATTTGTACTCATGCTTGACCTGGTTCCAAGGGACACAGACGACCATGCTATTCTTAGATGCGGTGTTGATCAGGACCATTCCATGTTGATAAGCCAGAAGCATCTGATTCTCACTGCGTAGCGGATTGTATTGCTGATGTATCTCTTCGAAAGCCTTGTCAACGGTCAGAGCTTTGGTCGGTTCGTGCAAGAGAGACCATATCCAGCGAAACAATGCATGCGAAACTGGATGGCCCAAGTGACGAATGTCCAGGCACTGATCGATCTGTTTCAGGATGTCACAAAGCTCCCAGTGCGTGATGGGCACGGACAGCCGCAGCACCAATTCCACGAGTCGCAAAGCGACAAGAGCCAACATGCCGTCGCGATCGGTTCCTTGCTGTCGATGTTGAATGCGAGTCACGACGACTCTTAAAGCACAGGCGATCCAGTGCTTCCATTCGACACCCCTGTTGTTGCTCTTCTTCGAGCAGTGGACGGCTTCGGTCATTATCGCCAAATGAGAAAGTCCCTTTGCGGCGCATGCGTGAAGGAACATGCGCAGGGTGACCGAAGAATCGACGACAACTCGCTTGACGTCGCTGGCAGGAAACATGATCATCTTCCATTCGAAAAGAGCCTTGTCATGGATCTCCAGATAGAAGTCTGAGTTGAGTTTCTGGCCAGCCGTACTCTTCACTCCGAGATGGCCGATGAGGACATCTTTGGGCAAAACCCCGTCCACGTTCAGAAAGCCATGTATCGAAGGGAGGATCACATCGCTGAAAGTGGAAAAGTCGAATTGCTCTTGCGAAACACTTTCCTCCAGTGACTGAATCTGTTCTCCCAGATGGCCGATGGAAGTGTCGCGTTCTTGTATAGTGGTAGCCTTGGATTGGACTTCCTCCTCGAGCTGAACATTTTCCGCGTGCAGCGTCAAGGCCCTCTGCTCTACTTCCTGGAGCGTGGCCTGTTCGGTGTCGCGGTCTTGTGCTGTGGTCTTCTGATCTTTCCGCACACTTTCGAGCGTCTTTTTGAGCTCTTGGGACTCGAGCCGAGCTTCTTTCAAGTCTTTCTCGGCCTTCGGACGATCCACGAGGTTGTAGTCTCGCAAGATGTTATCCAAGTCGATGTTCTTTCGACTGAGGTCATCTGTCTGCGTGTTCAAGTTAGCGACCTCGACACCAAAATCACCTACCTCCTTTTTCTTCTGCTCGAGGTCTACTTTTAACAAGCTCACAGTGGCACGAGCGCCACCCAGTTGTTCGGCAGCCTCGAGATGCTCGGCCTTGGCTTTTTCCAGCGATTGACGAAGCTGCTCGATAGATTGGTCGCGCATACGGCTTGCAGCATCGTTAGCTGTCTCTCCGAGCTGTGCGGCTTGTAGTTGCGACTGCAGATGTTCTATCTGAGTCTTCTGCTCTTTCTCCGAGGTCTCCGATTTCTCGATAGCCTTCTCGAGGTCGTCGATCTGATAGTCTCTTGATTTGACTTCGTCCGCGAGTTCAGCCTACACTTGGAGTCAGTTGATTCTGGACAAGACCGACACACAATACGTACGATTGTCTGATCTTTCGAGGCCAGCTCAAGCTTGAAGATGTCTTCCTGATCTCGCGCTGCCCGTGAGTTCCTGTCCACCTCGGCGGCGCACTCACTGCGAATTGCATTGCATGCACTCTCTACTTGCTCTTCGACGACTTGCGGAGTCATCGAAGTGGAAATTTGTTCTTGAAGCTTGCGAACGGCTTCTTCCTCCTTCTCAAGTTTCTCTTGGAGATCCTTGATCGACTCGTCTTTCGAGGCGATGGTCCCCAGTCGTGCCTTGGCGAGCTCATGCGTGGTTGAGAGCTCTTTCTCTTTGCTGTCCAGTACAGCAACTTTGTTCGATAGGTCGGCGGCACGATCGAGGCATTCTGCCGGTGTCCACGATGTCTTCTGAACTCCTCCACCAAGGAGCTTCTGAAGCCGATCCAGAGAGTACAGTTCCGTCGGTCTAACCACGAAGGGAGGCTGAAGTCCCAATTGCTGAACATTGACGAGGCCATCCATCTCGTCGTCGGTCCTAAAGGCCATTGTACGATCCACGCCCTTCAAAAAAGCCTTTCGTGCTCTTACCCCTTTCTGCCATTCAGCAGGAGCAACGACTCCACCTTCGATCGTTCGCTCAACCCGTTCTAGCGTAGCAGACAGCTGTCTGGTACTCTGCGTCTTGTCAGCTTCCCTGAGAACATCAACTTACTTCGGTGGCTTTCTTCGCCTGATCAATCTGACGTGTCGTATCTCGGGAACTCTGTTCTTGCCGACCCCATTCGATGACACTGAAGTCAGATCCAGAGTGGGTGCTGGCCATTTCTTTGCTTCGTTTCGGACCTGACGTGCTTCTGTCTGCTTTTTGGAGCAGTTACCATAGGCGATTTGCGCCTGTATAACCAGGTCGCGGTCCGCCATGGTGACTGTGAGACGTGTGAAGGGCAGAACGTGTAGAAGGAAGAGCGTTAAAGGAAGGCGCTGGGTAGCGTCCCTAGCGGCGGCTGCTCCCGGGTCCGGCGACCTCACGTCCCTCCACAAATCCCCAAGATGTTGCAGTCATTGCATCGCATGCACTCTGGCCTTGATAACGGCGCACAGGGCTTTTCTGGATACATGTCGATTCGTTTGCCCACTACGAGCGACTGTCCTCGCTTTCTGCTTTCATACTCGTTGGGAAATTCCCCACCCCCTCAAGACATGGCCGTGAAACGCAATACGCGGATAACGAAACGGAAGACGCATTTCTAGCGTCGATCAGGTCCATGACAGGTCGGATATTGGACAACTTTACTCCTAGACTAATCGCCCTAGGGTCATATTGGAGTTCGGTGAGCTGACATGTGATTGCCAAGATGTATCACACAAAAGATTTCTAACGAACAAAAGGAAGATGTGTTGGACGATGCAGGAATCGAACCCACGTCTCAACTCAGATGCGGAACCTGCCGACCGCCATTGACGGTAGGGAGGTTCCGCATCTGAGTTTTGTCTTACCATTACACCAACCGTCCTTTTGAAGTTGAGGAACGAAGCTTTCGGAAAGCATGTATGACTTGGTCGAGGCACATCAGCATCAGTCCGAGGTCAATTCAAACGACAGAAATCCTCTTGGCAAACAGCCTACAGATCTCTATCTAAGCTTTACTCATCCTCTCGACGTCACAGGAACCACAACGCATCCTCACGCTTCCCACCAGAATTTCCCTCAACACTCCTCGGCCCAGGATACCGCCGCACATGATCAATCGCCCACCGCGTCTTCGCATCCAACACAGGCGGACTCCTCCCATGCCCTTCCAGCGTCGGCAGGCCAGCAAGCTCGTAGAACCACCTCAGCCACTCCGTGCACTCGCCCGAGTCCCACATGACCTGATGGAACCTCTGCCCCGTCCTGCGCGTCACTTCCGCACGGTGATGCTCCCAGGCCTTCTGCTCCGGGATGGAAGGCATCGCTAGAGCGTTACGTCCAGCCCACAGACGCGCGATGGCGACAGCCTGGTATTCAAAGGAGCGGAATGTGAGCGCTACCGGAAAGCCGATGGTCGCCAACGTCGGGTAGTCTTGGAAGAATACGTGCTGATAGCTGTTGATGAGGCGATTGGCCTTGTAGTCGAACAGATGGCCACCATTGGCCTCCGAGTTCCAGAAGGGGAAGGAGGCCTTGTAACCGGTGCAGTAGATGACCTTGTCGATGTGTTTGAGCGATGAACCGTCCTCAAATAAGATTGTCCCATCTTTCTTGTATTCTTTGATGACCGGCTTATACACCAGCCCATCCGGCGGATCACCATCATCCCATCCCCGTTTTGAGCGGCGAGATAGATAGATCGGCTTGACGGTATCAGGGGACTTAAGCAGATGCTGCGTGATGTCGTAGCCGGAAGCAGAGTTTCCAATGATGAGGACTCTTTCATCTCTATATGCTTTGGTAGTCCGCCATGCCTTGGAATGCTCCACTCTCTTCGGATATTTGGAGATGAACGCTTCTAGTCCTGTGACCTGCGGTATCTGGATTGACAATTAGACAGCCGACTTCTTCACTTTCATTGACTCCACATACATATGGCACACCATAATGTCCATTAGCCAGAATCACAGCATCAAACTCCTCTTCCCACCACTCGTCGACATTCCTCGCAGCGTCATGCTTCCTCAAAGCCAGTTTCCAACGATGACCCGGCAGTCGACTCAGGTCCTCGACAGTAGTGTTGTAAGACACGAGAGAGTCCGTCTGATGCAGCGAGAAGTAGCTCTGAATATACTGTTTCGGTACATGACTTCCTACAAAGGGTCCATAAGGAAAGGGGAAGTCGGTAAAGCACATGGCCACATCGGGGACATTTGTAAGTAAGCCATCATAGACGGGCGTCTTATCGAATCGATTCTGTGACAGTGGCGGAGTAGTACAAGGTAGTTTCGATGGTACGGATACTGCTGGATCGACAGTCGGTGGCAGGGCGCCAGGCTTTAGCGGAATATGGCCTGGATCGGGGTCGAAGTTCCATACGCCACCAGCAGTGTCTCTCCGTTCAAAGACTTTTACGATATCAAAGTAATCTTCCGCTTGGAGGGCGGCTGCAGCGGCAGCGCCTATGGGAGTCTGTTAGCTTTCAGTGCTTTGGCACTCCAGCAGACGTACCGCTAGCACCAGCGCCAATGACCGCAACCCTTTTGACCATAATTTGAGCACCGAGATAGTATGAGGAGACGTGTGTTGGTATGAGTGGTCGTAGTGAGTAAGATGGTTGAACCCTACTACAGGTGTAACATGATGTGCATGGGTGTCGGGATGGCGTGCTCGCACGGCTTCCTGCCGATACAGGTACCTCGACTGTACTACCCACCTCATCTTATTAATCTTTAGATATGAAAGATAAGAGGCTGTCAAAAGATGCCCAACCGAATGCATGGAAAGAAGAAATGCTGGACTCTACGCAGAAATACGCAATCATTCACTCCCTTTTTCGGGATCGATTGGATCGGCCCCGGAAGCTCGGCAACCCGAACTCAATGCTCGCTGACCCGAAATCACACCAACGCCTTCATGCATTCCACAACTTCCTCTTCTATCCTGCCCACAAACTCTCGAATACCATCCGCACCCATAAGCGCGGCATCGGCTCGAGCACCGAATACAATCCCCTTCTCCCCCGGTCCAACGTCAACGAACAGCTGGTGAGGCTGGAGAAAGCTGAAATCCAGTGCATCAACTGCGGTACGTCCCGGCATTGCACGTGGAGACGAATAGTCAGTTGGTACTCCCAACGCCAACGGCTGAAAGAGATCCTTGTCAGACACCTCTCCCACGAGAGATGTCTTGTGCCAGAGCAGGTTGATGTACGCATTGAATGGGACCTGCGTCGCGTTTGGATCAAAAGCCTCGACAGCTGAGCGTAAGCTGCTCTGCTCAAACGGAACCCTCGCACCGAGTATTCGTTGCAACTCTTTGAGGACTTCCAGTACTGGCCTGGTCAAAACGGAAGCCAACCCCAACGGCAGAGTGTTGACGCATGGCCCGGTAACTTTGTCGATATTGTCGAATGCTGCTGAACGTCCGAGCTGGAAGAAGCCAAACAGTGGGCTGGAGGTCTCCGTAACATGAGCAAGAGCCCGGGTGAAAGCCAGAAGCACAACATGATGGGGCGAGATGTTGTGCTTTGACGAAGCTGACTCCAGTTCAGCCACGCTGACTTTAACCCCTTCAGTCAGGGCGAAGCCTTGGCTTCTGTCGACTTCATTCTCTGGCTGCCTCGACGAAGGAATTACTGCCTTTTCGCACCCGGCAAGACTCTCGCTCCAAAACTTCTGCTCTTCGTCCTCGTTGACAGTTTCAGCGGTATTTCTGATCAGCTGAGCAAACGCGGGCCCTCGCTCAATCTCCTCATCTCGGTAAATCGCCGCTAACTCTGTTACCAACCGCGGCATGCTCCAGGCATCGTACAGCGAATGATGCACATACACCATGACCGCATCGCCATCTGTGGCCTTGATCAATCGGAGTCTGACTGGGATATCGAAGAAGTCAGATGGCTTGCGAGCTTCATCGTGAGCTCGATCTTTGACAGCATCCAAGACAGGTCTTTCATCATTGATGACAGCAAATCCGTCTTGATTAATGGCTGAGGCTCTCATGACCACCTGCACAGCACGGTGGGACGAGACAGCCACAAATGTCGTCCTCAGAACAGAGTTGCGCTCCCTCAACTTGATCCACGCAGCTCTAAGCTTCTCAACATCAAGACGAGTTGTGGAACGGTAGCACCAGCCTGGTTCGTAGAGAGTCCTCCCAGACTGAAGCCAACTAAGGAGATGGTACTCTTGACCAGCGAGACATGGCAGTATGTCTTCAACAGCATCTTTATCGGGCCTGAGGGTGGCGAGTGCCGTAGTTTGGTCCTTGAAATTCACAAGCTCGGCCGACTGTTCGACGTTTTGCTTGGCTTTCGTCTGCTGGTTATTCTTCGTCGAAACAATCTCACAGATCCTGCCCAGCATGGCCCCTTTCAGGATATCCGCGACGCTGAGACGAACCCCGGCTTTCTTGCAGCGAGAGACGATCTGAATCGCTGCGATCGAATCAATGCCGAAGGAATAGATTGAAGTGTTGAGGGCGATCTTGTCTGCTGGAATCTGAGCAACATCAGCCATGGCTTTGCGAATGACATCGCCGTATCTCTCCACTGCTTGATCGTCAAACACTTCTTCCGTTGAGGTTTGCTTTGCAGTCTCAACGGGCAGGTTACGGAGTTGATCTGGGAGAGCCGTGGTAAACCGCCCAGGCTGGTCGAGCAGATCGTGGATCGATTGTTTAAAGTGGTCCAGGAGTACTTCAATCTGATCGGGCGCCGCAGACGACAATGCACGAGCGACAAGTCCATCTTCAGTATGCTCGACTTCGAAATTCAACCGATACTCCGATGGGACTGGAGACTTGTCTGATTCGAGGGGCGCACCATATACCTGCGCTCCCCTGGAGTCTGGCTTTTCAATCTTGGAATACACAAAGATGCTGTCGATGAGCTGTGCTCCAGGATCCGAGGTAGACGTCCGCCAATGCTTCTGGACTTCAGCGAGCGATGCATGCTGGTACTCGATTGAGCCTGTATTGACCTCATGCACCCGCTGGACGAGATTCCGGTTCGTCATCAACTGGTCCTTCATTGCCACGCGGAATGGGACAGTATTGAACATGGGTCCAATCACATCGTTCCCATCACCAATTTGACTGTGACGAGCTGCCATGACATGGCCAAAGACGACATCCCTGCGTCCATAAATGCACGCCAGAGCCTTGCCGAATGCCGCTACGCAAACGTCCTTGATATCAACATCAGCTTGACGGAGCTTAGCATCGAGGCTGGATATATCTCCGACGATACGGCGCTCGGCGAGAGTGTACGTAGACTCTGACGACGTTGGCATGGGCGGTGCGCCTTCGTACCCAGAGACTTGGTCCGCCCAGAATTTGACGGCTGGCTTGGGATTCTGGGTGATGGCTCTGGCTGCTTCGTAGAAGGGCGTTGTTGGCGGACATTGCTCACTGAAGTAGCGTTGTGCCAAGCTCCGGTAGAGCATACCGAGAGAGATTCCGTCGTAGATGGCGTGATGAAGGGTGAGGATCAGGACTGTTCCTTCTTGATCCTTCACGATGTGGACACCGGCCAGGGGAAAAGACTGCTGCAAGCGATCGATAAAGTCCGACGTCTCAGTGAGCTGCACCCAGTACTGTCGAGCATCTTCAACCTCAACTTCACACCAGGATGGCTTCTTGTCTTTCCGTACCGCCGCAATCCACGGCGTCTTGGCCTTGGGGAGCCAGTGGAAAGTCGTCCGCAGTACGTCCAATTCTTCCACAAGCGACTCCCAAGCAGACTTCAGTCGAGCAATGTCAATGTCTGCAGTGCAACGAGTGGCATGGTGATGCATGTACAGGGCTCCTTCGGTTGCGAGACTCTGAGCCAGCATCCCAGATTGAAGGGGCGTGCACTCGTAAAGTTCGACATCTTGGCCAAGACCAGTAACACCGTGTGAGCTCAGGGCGTCCGAGAACCCCTTTTGAGTATCTACCGCTGTCTCTTGGATCTTGGTCTCCTCCGAACTTGCCGGTGAAGAGCTGCTCAGATGCTTGCACAAGGATCCAATTCGGTTGTGTCGTATGATGTCCGCAGAAGAAACCTTGATTCCACTATCCCTGAGTTTCTTGGCGAACCAAATGGCAGATATGGAGTCGATACCCAGATGGATGAAAGCGGAGTCCTTGTCGACGTCTTTCTCTGGAATTTCAGTGTGCTTGCTGATGATGGATCTGACTTGCTGCTCGAGTGCCGACCAGTTCGTTTCGTCGTACTTTTCCTGTTGGCCGACAGTCTTCTTATTGTCGCCGTTGATCGGAATGCCAAAGGAGCTAGCAGCCGTCTTACTGTGGTTGATCACAGTATCAATCAACATCTCAATCTTCTCGAGCAACAGCTCAGCGTCTGCCTGTGATCCAAACGTCTCAGTAAAGCCGGCTCGAACAATTAGCTGATCGGCGTTGGCATCTGCTTCGAATTCCACAGCCAGTGGATAGTCAACGCCAATGTCGCTACCATCTTGCTTCAGGACTGTGGAGGCCATGTTGTCCTCAAGCTGAGACCGAATGAATGAGAACAGCGTATCGTACAATGGCCTGTCAGCTTTGGTCCATTTTTGAATATCTCTTGGAGAGACATGCTGGTACTCCAGGCTGCTGGAGTTTGAGCTTTGCAGACCGGTCAGAAGCGTGGCGATTGAAGCGTCGCTATTCTCAATCCTGAGCCTTTGCGGAATGGTAGTAATGCAAGGTCCCATGATCTTGTCTGCGTTCTCGACCGGAATGGTCCGACCTGACAACACATTACCGAAGATGAAATCATTGGTCTGAAGAGACTGCGACATGGCGATGGCAAATGCCAGCTGGAGCAGTGTTGCCATCGTGGTGTTCATCGACGCCGCTTGAGCCTCGAGTACTGATAGCTTTGCCGACAAGTGCCGCTCAGCGTTTCCAAGGACCACATTCTTTGTCGAGCTCTCCGCGAGAAGAAGTGCACTCTCCCAATGATCAAGCAGCGTTGTCCAGTGCTTCTCGAAACTGTTCTGATCCTGAGCGGCAATGTATTCGACCAGAGACTCAACGCTCGGTCTCACCTCTGCAGGCTGCTCGTCATAGAGGGTATGGACATCCTTGATCATCATTTCCAACGAGTTGCCATCGTAAAGAGCATGGTGAACCGAGAGGACAAGGATGTGTCCGCCATCGACGGATACAAGATTCAAACGCATAGGCGGCTTCTCCGTCAAGCTGCTGACAATCTCCTTTCCGACGCCACGCTGAAGAGCTTGTACATCGGCAATGTCGACGTGCGTATTCCACGGCAGCAGAAACGAGTCGGCTTTCATGACGACTTGCAGGAATTTGTCATCTGTAGTTGAAAAGCAAGTCCTGAAGATGTCGTTGTCGCGAACCAGCTTGCTCCAGGCAGCACGGAGGCGATCAACATCAACATCGGCATCCAACTTGAACCTGATGTGGTTCACGTAGGCGCCATCTTCGCCGTCCGTACTCTGATGCAATGATTGCGCAATGAGGACTTCTTGGAGAGGCAAGCATGGCCTCACTGATTGAATGTCGGCAGCGTTGGTCACTGTGGCTAAGAACTGCCTCTCAGTCTCCGCAAGCTCCTCACGAACCTTGACCAGGCTTCGAGAATTGTCCGTCTGTTCACTCTTGGCACTCGCAGCTAGCTGCTCGATCGTCGGGTTCTTCATGACCATGGCGACGCTGCAGTTGTACCCAGCATTTCGGAGCTTAGAGAAGACGCTGATACCGGAAAGACTGTCAATGCCCAGCTCAAACACCGTGGATCCAGCAGTCACATTCTGAGGCTGCTCCTTCAGTACCGAGGACACGATCTGCCACACCTGCTTCTCCGCATCATTCATTGGCCTGTTGATGGCAGCGTTGTTGGAGGACCCATCGCGCGGCATGAGATGGTTGATTGGCACTTCGGAAAAGATCTTGACCAAAAGTTTGTTGTCTGCTTTACCAGACGTCAAAGCCAGTGGGATGTATGTCATCGGGATGATGAGGTCGGGAACCGTCGAACTTGGCAATGTCTTCTGACACTTACTGCGGAGTGTCGTGTTGGCTTCTTGCAGCTCCGAGCGCGTGATCTCAGGAGGCGATCCAGACTTGTTCTTCGAGGAGTTTGCTGCAATGAAGGCCACAAGCTGCACACGAGACAGCTCTGGATGTTTGACGACCAGAGCAGCAACGTTGATGTCGACGGGCGAAGCAGTACGCACACCTTCTGCTACTTCTCCCAGTTCAACACGCTGGCCTCGAATCTTGACTTGGTCATCCTTTCTTCCCATGAAGTAGACGTGATCGTCCAGGCCAAGTTTTACGATGTCTCCGGTCCGGTACATTCTCTTTCCATGGAAATTTTCGACGAAGCCCTTGGCATCCGGCCGGTTGAGGTACCCATTCGCAATCAGGCTTCCAGTAAAACAAAGTTCTCCAGGCATGTTTCGCAAAGCATAATTGTCAGTACATGGAATCAGGATGTGTGCTTGGGAGTCGCCTAGTGGCGAACCAATGTCACGCATATCCGAACCTGGATACAAACGAGCCGAGCAACATCCAATAGTGGCTTCGGTCGGACCGTAGGCATTGATCAAACCCACCCTCTCTGTACCGCCCCACAACTTCTTAGTTTTAGGCGACATCTTCTCGCCACCAACGCCAAGGTAGACGAGATCTGGAGCGTCGTCTGGAGTGAGACCTGTCTGATCCAGCAGTGAGGGCACGAAGGCGCAGTGAGTGATGTGTAGAGACGACAAGGCTAGGGCGAGATCGTCAAGCAACATCGACCGTGGAGCGGTAATTGCAGATATACCATGCCTCCAAGCAAGGAACGTTTCTCCAAGATGAACGTCAAATGCTCGACTTGCCAGACACAACCATCTTCCACGGCCGGCTGTGTCAGCCGTGGTTGAGTAGTCGCAGATGAACTCGGACTGTGCCTCGGAGAAGGACGCTACGTTCAGGCGATTGACGAGCACCCCTTTTGGTTTACCGGTCGAGCCAGACGTGTACAACAGGTAGCAATTGTCACGGCCGTCAGCTTCGATGACTGGGTTCGAAGCATCCTTGGCGGCCATTGCTTGTTGGAAGTCCTCCGCCTCTACATTGACAAGCTGGTAATGCTCGGGGACGTCGACATCTGCAAATCGTTCACCATCGGTAAATACAAACGCCGATTGACTGTCTTCCAATAAGAAAGACTTTCGCTCCGCAGGCAAACTCTCATCAATCGGTAGGTAGCAATTCCCAGACTTCATGATTCCGATGAGGACCGCAAACGAGATCAGTGTCCGTCCAAGGCACATGCCAATCATTCTTTTCGATATTCCTCGTTCGAGAATCCAGTGGGCAACACGGTTGGCTTCTGCGTTGAACTGCGCATACGTCCAGCTTTCGACTTCAACCCCATCAGGTTCAATACTCAACGCGACCTCAGCGCCGATCCACTCTGGGTGAGTCTCCGCCCAGTGCTCGACATAATGAGTAGGAGAAAGCGATGAAGGGCACTTGGTGTCTTTTCGAGGAGTCGTTCGGGATAGAAGCTCGGTTGGGAGACCGTCAGTAAGAGCAGACAGGGTAGATGTATGGTCTTGCACCATTGCAGCCACTAGAGCGTCCAGCTGCCGCAAAAGCAGCTTCTGTTCATCGTCTGTCATGAGGTGACTGGCAACCGCCATTTCGAAGCAAGGACATGGCTCATGATCCTGCCATACGTTGAAGGCAAGAGGATGTTCCACTTGTAGATATGTTGCATCGTCAAGTCGTTTCCAAAGCTGTTTTGAGCCATTCGAGTCTTCCCCACCAGCTGGGTGAAACGCGAACATTGCGGGATAGACGTGTGAGGACGAGCCACGGCTGAGCAGGGTCTTGATGGTTCCAGGTCGGATATTCCTATGGCTAAACGCAGCCTTGGAAAACTTGTCCTGCTCGATGAGAGTCTCCGCTGCTGTGGCTTTGCGTTTGAAGAGGCTCGGTACTGTCGACATCAAGGGACCGATGACATTCTCCAGCTTGTTGTCCATGATACGGTCGGAAAGAATCTCAGCAAAGAGTACGTGGGGGCTCTCGAGGAGATCAGTCAGAACCAGAGCCCATGCCGTGCGCAGGATCGTGACAACCGAAGCCAAGTCAAGCTCCTGGGCCAACGACCTCAGCTTCGAAAAAGGAGTCGTACTCCTGTGGTAGAGAATGCGGTGCTGTAGTTTGGAGTCTGCTTGATCAGCCATGTCCTGCTCACCCGATTCTGCCTCGAAATCTTCGAGTGCGACCTTCCAGAACGATTTGGTTTCTTCGTTGTCGGCATCAATCGCAGACCTTGTAGTGACTGCATCTCGCAATGGCAGACGTTGCGGCGTCTTGGAAGCACGACTGTAGGCCAGCTTCACATCGTCTTCCAAGAAAGTCAAGCTAGGCCCGTCGTAAATGGAATGATGAATCGTAATCATCATGACAGAAGTGCCATCTTTGCGATGGAAGACGTCGACTGCCCAAAGCGGAAGCTTGAAAAGCTGCAGGTGATGATAGTTTGCAATCTCCTGCACACGCTCTCTCGCCGCCTCGTCCACAGAGTCAGAGATCGTGTGCTCCTCCCAGTAAACCTGGGGTTCGTCGTAGACCACTTGCAGATACGACAATCGGTCTTGTGCTGACGAGTCGTCAGGGAGCTTCAGCATGGCTTTTGCAACGAAGCCAACTCGAAGAGCTTCCGTGTTGCGAGCAACTTTAGTCCATGCGCGCTTGAGCTTGTTCAGATCAACGTCTGCCTCGAGTTGGAAGAGGTGGCTACTCCAGTAGGCTTGAGCATCCTTGAAACTCTCGCTCAACAAGCTCTCTTGGAGGATCGTGGTTGGAATGACACTCAGCTCGTCTTGATCTAGATAATTCGAGACTGCACTGTAGTAATGCGAATCGAATCTCTCTAGAATCTTTTCGAGAGGCTGATCAGAATCCCTCTTGGTCGCTTCGATAGTGGACTGCGCGAGCTCACACAAGTCCGAGAGGGTGCGGCATTTGAACGCATCAACCACGGCCAGATTGTATCCGGCAGCATTGATCTTGGGAATGAGTCTGATGGCACCAATTGAGTCTATGCCAATGGCAGGAAGACTGCTTGCAGGATGCAATGAGTCTGTTGACACACGCAAGCTATCCGCGATGATTTGCAACAGATCGCGGTTTTCTGCACGCCATGAGAAGTTTTGATCCTTGAAAGAGCCACCTGAAACATCGTCTCCGCCTTCCCAGGCTGCAAGATCTGGTCCGTGGTAGATCGTCGTCATCGCAGCTCTGTCGACTTTGGCGGAAGCCGTTCGTGGAATCCGTGGAAGCACAATGAACGTGGTCGGAAGCATGTAAGGAGGTAAGACTTTCCTGCCATATTCCCTCGCAACACCAGCTAATTCTTTGGCTGCAGGCGTCGTGAGCGCTTTCACTTCTTCCCCGGATGCAGCGACAGAAGGACAGGCCATGAAGGCCACGACAAGCTTCTCTTCAGCGTCCTTTCGTTTGCAGTGCAAGACTTCAAACTTCTCAATCCTGGCATCCGCCTCCCTCAGCGCAAAAGCGATCTCACCCAACTCGACCCGAATTCCGCCGAGCTTGACAAGATCATCGTTGCGGCCGACGAAGTTTAGAGTGCCATCAGCAAGATGCCTCACCAAGTCACCAGTCAGGTACAGCCTCTGCTGCAACTTCTCGTTCCAGATGAACTTTTTGGCGTTGACCTCGGGTAATCGCCAGTATCCAGGGGAGAGTTGCGGACCTGACAATGCAAGCTCTCCAATGCCGCCGCGTATGACGACGTTACCATCTTGGACGACATATGTTCCCACAGACTGAAGCGGTACTCCCACATTGGAGCTGTGATATGTGTCAGATTTGCCCGTGAACTGCCGCAGTGTCGAGACAACAGTCGTCTCTGCTGGGCCGTATGTGTTGTAGGATCGCATGTCCGTTCCCCAGTCCGCAGCAACAGCTTCAGTCAGCTTCTCGCCGATCATTGTCACAACCTCCAATGTCTTGATGTTGCTCCTCGCAACGGTAGCTGAAAAGGCTGGGGTGAGGTGGGCATGTGTCGCTTTCGTACCATTCGCCAATTCTGCAAAGTTCTGTATCATGATCTGTCGAGTGCTTGAGATGACTGTCCCACCAAGCGTCCAGGTATAGAACAAGTCTTGAACGAAGACGTCAAAGGTGTACTGAGAGAATTGCATGCATCGGACAACGCCACCGCTCACATCTGAGGGGATTGACTCAGCCAAGGCGTGCATGGCGGTGGCGCCTGCCTTGTGGGTGATAGGAACTCCTTTCGGCAGGCCGGTGGTACCACTGGTGAAGATGAGGTACGCCAGGTGTGATGGATCTCGGTGGACGTCGAGATTCGGTGCCTCCGCCTGCGTTGCTTGGGTCTCGATGTCGGGTAAGTCGACATTCAAAGTTGACACGCCTGCTGGAATGGCCTCTTTGCTGACGTCTGAGGCGGTAGGGGACAGTAGCAATAGCCGGCTTCCTGTCCTTTCCATGATGGCATGCTGTCTGGCCGGTGGAGAGTAGGGGTCAATTGGACACCACCCAGCGCCAGCGAGTAGTACACCAAGAATGGCCACGTAGAGCTCTGCACATTTCTCCATGCAGATCATGACCGGCTCATTGGTGACAGATTCATAGTCATTGATGATTGTTGAGGCAAACGTCTTTGCCAAGGAGTACAATTTGCCATACGTCCACTCAATGTCGGGCAACGACCCGTCCATAGCCTGCCTGAAGGTCAGAGCAGATTTGTCTGAATTCTGCAAAGCATGCTTCTCGAAGGCAGCATGAAGAAGTAAGTCCGACTCTGGTAGGCCCGATGGATTTTCCGAAACCACAGGAATCTGCGACAGCACCTCGTTATCGACAGCGAATCTTGCATCAATGAATGAGGCCTCTGGATTTTCGCATAGGAAGCTGACAACGTTGTCAAGCTGCTTCAGCATGGCTTTTGCTGCGGCTGGGTCGAGATGTTCGTAAGTGTATGTGCCACGAAGTCGCAATGGCCCAGTCTCGGTGGGCCAGACTTCGATCATGATCGCAAAATCATGTCCCATGGGTGGATACTCGATATTGTTCCACAGCTTGCTGCTCCCCACCGACTTGTCGAAGGCTTGAAATGCGAGCAGCGTATCGTAAGGCAGGGTGCCTTCTGCAGTGGTCAGAGAACTGAGAGGAATGTGGTGGTAAGGAAGACCCTCAGCGTTCTTCCTTGTCAGCTGTGACATGATCTCCCGTGCGCTTGCAGTCGAAGCAGAGATTCTGCTTGGGCTCACGACAAACGTCGGTGCAATGCAGGAGCTGAGATCCTCTTCCAGGCGATCGGACACCACACTGCCAAAGGACACATCGGCGGTCGAGCCAGTATAGGCGAACAGCACCGTTGCCCAAGCAGCCTGCAGTATTGACAGTGGCGACACTGAAGCCTTCTTGGACGCTTCAGAAAGCTTTTCCAAAGTGATACGACCAATGACCTCTTCGACAAGTGCATCGGGTGTCTGTGTCTCTGGCTTCGATGCAGAGACGCATGGGAAGGGGATCGGCTCGAAATCCTGGAACTCTGCCTTCCAGTACTTGACGGTCTCATCGTTTGCCTCTGAAAAGTGCTTCCTCACCGCGTGCGAAATGTCGGTCCGAGTAACGAGTGGGTTCCCAAGATATGCATTTTCCACGGCTTGCAGGAGGAGCTCTAGAGAGCCACCATCGAATACGGCGTGGAAAAGTGAGAGTAAGTAGGCGGTTTGAGTTGGTGATCGAATGACCGAAAGCCGGAATGGTGGCTTGTCTAGGGTGATTGACGATTCACTTGCAGCTTCCGCCTGCTTCAAGGTCTCGTCCCATTCGTCGGCCGATGAAGATTCAAAGTGTTGGACCTCGAAGGATGTAGCAGCAGCTTTTGGAGCCAGTATGCACTGACCAAAGGGCGCTAGCTCGTCGTCGACAGGAACAAAAACAGTTCTCAGGATCTCAGGCCTGGCGAGAGCGGTTCGCCATGCTTGTTCAAGCTTGGCGGTATCAACACGCTTCGACTGGTAGTAGACACTGTGGTTGATGTACTTCTTGCGAATGGAAGTCGTCGTCTGCCTCGAGACACTTCGAAGGAAGCTAGCAATCATGCCAGACTGTGTTGCGGTAGTCGGTAGAACTTTCTCGATATCCGTGGCTGCGATACCTAATGACTTCGCAGACGGCTGTAAGTGTCGACTGCTGAACTGGCTCAGCTTCCCATCCCAGTCAGCCTGTGGCAGCCTTGACGATCTCATTTCACCCTGTGAGCAAGCCTGCGCAAGGCCTTCAACAGTTCGGCTGCTCAGGACCCCCGCAACGGTGAGATGCGAGATGCCTTTCTCGCGAAGCTGCTGGAGCAATCGAACTGCTCGGAGACTGTCCAGTCCGAGTGAGAGAAGTTCGGTGCTGGGTCGAATGGCATCGGGCTCAATATCGCTAATTGCAGCAATTGATTCGACAACAGTCGACATGGTAGCAGCGTCCACCATACTTCTAGCCAACGCACTATCATAGCCAGAGTCTGACGAAGCTGCCGATACGTCTACGGTATCCCATTGCTCTTCGATGATAGCACCCAGAGACTTGCGGTCTGTCTTTCCAGACCGTGATCTTGGCATAGATTCGAGTACAAAGTATCGTGAAGGCTGCATGAACCGGGCCAGTATCGTCTCGGCTGACTTTCGACAGTCTGAGATGAGATCCTCGTCGGGTTTTCTGCCGTCTGACACGATGCATGCAACAACTTGTTCACTGCCTTGCCCGACAGGACCATGCTGATGCACGACCGCCACGGTGTCAATGACACCAGAGGTAGTCGCAATCGCAGACTCAATTTGACCCAGCTCAACTCTGCGACCACTGAGCTTGACCTGGTCAGATGTCAACCTTCCCAAGAACTCGACGGTGAGTTCTCCACTCTTAGTCTTGACGACGCGAGCACGATCTCCGGTGCGGTAGAGTCTACCATACTCTGAACTAGAGACGAAAGCGGCCGCCGTTTGCTCTGGGCGGTTGAGGTAGCCTTGGCTGACTTGTGGCCCCCCAATGGCCAATTCACCCGAGAATCCAATTGGCACAGGAGTCGGAGAACGAGAAGACGGGTCAATAACAAGGATGGAGCAGGCGTCGATAGGTTGGCCAATGATCGAGCCACGCTCGTCGGAGGAGAAGTCTGGCACGATGTTGCAGTTGATGGATGCTTCAGTCGGGCCATAAGCATTGAGTAGCTTCCTCGAGCGCTGAAGACTAGGAGTATGGCTCGACGATGGGGAATTGCTGGGAGAGTCGGATGAGAATTTTTGAATGACCGTTGGCGTCAACTTCTCTCCCATTGTCCAGAGACTCCGCAAAGTGGGCACCTTTTCTGGTCGCAGTACACTAGCCATGCTGGGCGTTGCCATCATGATGTTGGCCGACAACTGGTTGATGGCATGTTCAGGGTCTGTGAGGAGCATATCTCTCGGTGCACCGCACAGAGTGCCTCCGGTCCACCAGGTAGTGAAGATTTCCATGATTGAAGGGTCGAATGTGGGAGCGGCGAATTGGAACCAACGGAAGCCATCCTTGAAGAAGGAGGAAGGTATGAATCTTGAGTGCGAAGCAATTGAGCATGCTGCTGCGTGGTGGTGAATCTTCACACCTTTAGGTTTTCCCGTCGAACCACTTGTGTACATGATATAAGCCAGGTCAGTCTCCCGGATTTCGGGAAGACTCTGGTCAATAGGGGGGCGTTCCAAGTTCCATTGTCTGATGAAGTCCTGCACATCCAGACAAGTAGCAAGCTCATCGTCGTCACAGTACCATGCATCCCACGGACGGCCGCCCACTTGAGGCCCGTTGGTGAGGACGAGTGAAGCCCCTACTTCTTCGACGATGCCCCGAAGCTGCTCAGGAGGAGCATCGACCGGCAAGGGGCAGAACGCAAATCCAGCCTTCAAGACAGCCAGCCAGCAAACGTAAAATGCGGTGGAATTTGACATGTACGCAGGCACTACGGCTGAGCGTCCAGGTTGGTCAGGGCGAGTGGGAATGTATTCCCGCAATCTATGTGCAAAAGACGTGGTCAAGTCATCCAGTTCGGCATAAGTAAAGACCTCGTCCACGGACTCGGTGTGAAAGTGTAGTGCAGCTCGGTTTGGCCAACGAGCAGCAGATCTCTGGAAACCGGCATGAAGCAATCCATCTGGTAGAGTGCTCTTGCCAAGTTGAGAAAGTGGTGGCGGATGCAGCAGAGGTGGATGGTTCAGAACCGACAGCTTCGTCTCTGCGTTGGTCCCGCTAACGAGTTTCCTCGATAGACGCTGGACAAGAACATCCCACGCTATCTCTGCGAAGGTGTCGTCCAGGTGGGCAGAGTCATAAAGCAGTACCAGGGTAAGTTCTGTGGCATGGTATTGTACCACAAAGGGCTGAAGCATTGGTTAGCTACTCATCACAAGTCAGTTTATCTTCACTCACGCAGTCTAAATTTGGCGAAAAGAGAACACATTCAAAGTTGTCTGGATCGGCGAACAACTCCAGTCCAAAGTCAAAGCCAACATCCACATTTCGCTGTGGGCTGGTCTCGACGATGCATCCATCCCCGTTACTGCTCTCGTTTCCAGCGGCAGTCTGAGGATCAACCACAGAGGCATGCACTATTTCAGGCTTTGCCACTGCTTGTAGGTCGTTCCGCAATGCAAATTGGAAACACACTTCGGCGTCTCCAGTAAAAGATGCGATGAAGCAGGAATAGTCTCGCAGCAGTGCAGCCTTGCCTTTCGGCTGGGCTGCGGGATTGCTAGCATAACTGAACTGTCGTCGTCGGTATCTCTGCTGGGCTTCGGGGCGAGATCGATCCTGCGATATGGTGGCAGCGAGAGTATCTAGTCGTGGAAAGAGGGTAGGCTGTATTGAGAGAGGTGAGGTCGCCATGTTGTGGCACGGCGGGCGGGACGCCAGCACAGTGGATAGGGTGCGGTGGAAGGCTGTCTGAGGACGAAGGGAGATATGATTGACGCAAAGCCAAATCTAAGGGCAGGCACAAACCGAACAGGTACAAGTCGACGGTACCTACCCGCAGGCGCACATGGGAAGCAGCAGCGACGGTGAGACCTTGGACAGAAACACATGACCTGGAGAATGGCCCTGTCGTTCGATTCGACAGCAGCCAAACACGGCCGCAGTCGGCGACGAGGCATGGGATGGACAGCCGTCGGGATGGGCAAAACAACGACAGCGCAGTAGTTGGTGCACGTAGGTGGTGCTGATGGCGTTACCTAAGCATCGGGGTTGATTCATTTCAGGTTCGATCGAACGAATAGTGCAACAGGGTCTCGTCGACTTCGACCGGCGGGTATTGTTCGTCAGGCAGGCAAGATTCGGACGAGAAGGCGCATATGCGATTCCGAGCAGACTGGAATGGTGGGCGGGTGGGCGGTGGTGATCGACGGTGTTTGGTGAAAAGGACCCTAGAAACTCTGGAAGAGCTTGCTGCAACGAGGTCCACTGACGCATTCCATGATGGGGCATTCCATCTAGCGCTGGTCGTAATGCTGCAGTTGAGACGAGCCTTCGCTCTGGATGGCCTTCTCCCGCTGGACCAGCAAACTCTTCACGTCTCGCGGCCCCCAGATGAGGTTCGATTATAGTTATCGTCACGCGTTGAATCAGATAATCTATCCGAGCATCCTGGCCGCCTCCGTGCTCGCCGTTGGCGGTCGACCCATCTTGGCAAGCCAGCCCGTGCAGCCATCCGTGTGTGGCGTTTTTTAGTGCCTGTCTCCAGCAAACATCTTGGGCTTGTGGCTCTCCTGTGGACTACCCCCGGCAAACTGATCGATCCTTTTTTTCATGGTGCATCTCCGAGCTCTGTCCTTGCCCAGTCTCTGTCCCTGCAGCTCCCACGGCCCTGCCAGACTGGCAAACACGTTCTTCACGCCTGTATCGATGATGGCGGTCTCCGTACCTGAGTACATATGCCCACGGCTGTTCGGCCATTCTGCAGTAGTGCAAGCCTGCGTGCAGGGTGACGTCGAAATTAATTCCTCATCATCCAGGCGCTTGCAGCGTCCGATTTGAACATGTTGAGGCTATTGTGCGAGCATCGACACCGCCGCCGACGATGATGTGACGTCGACAGCCGGCGATTTGTGTTGCATCCAGCAAACCCTCCCACCCACGTCTTCACTGCTGCGTGCGTGATGCATATGCCGGTGTCGGCCTATCCTTGTAGTCCCACGCAGCGCAAACCGCGGTTGTCACGAATGCCTCAGCACGCGCGCGTTACGCGAGGCAGACGACGAGGGTGAGGGACAGGAGGGGCCCGTGGCATCGTCGAGGACATCCGGCTCTGTTGTTCGCTAGAGACCTGCCGCACCACCATTGGCTCGCTCCAGTGTCCCCTCTTGCGCTGTACAATCTTATCTGATCCTGCTCGTTGTGTAGTCGTTGCGGCACAGCAGTGACATATTCGTTTCAACTCTCTTTCATCTGCCAGCCATGGCCACCACTCCCGCTACCATCATCGACGACTTGAGCGACATTCCCAAGTACTACCCCTCGCTCTTCCACGGTCCAGCAGATCCACCTCTTGTAACTCTCACCCTCGGCGAGTTCCTCGATGCACAGTGCCGACGACATGGAGACCGTGAATGTATCGTCATCCCCTGGAATGGAGACCGATGGACCTACGATGATCTCCGAGACCAGAGCTTGAATATTGCCAAATACCTCCACGCGAGAGGTATAAAACCTGGTGATCGAGTGGCCATTCTTGCCGGAAACCGTACCGAATATGCCTCTGTATTCTTTGCTTGCATGCGGTTGGGGGCAGTTTTGGTCATTTTGAACAACACATACACAACTCCCGAGGCGGAGTATGCTCTCAACTATACCGGTAGGCGGGCTTGATGTCTCCAAATGAGTCCAATGAGGCTGACTTTTCCTTGCAGAGACCAAGGTTCTTTTCGCAACTCCTTTCATTGGCCGTCAAGACAACCGAGCAATGCTCAATCGATTCAGTAAATATGCCGGGCCGCTACCGAAACTCCAACAGATCATCTTGTTGGAGGGCAGCCTCAACGAGCTTCTCGATTACCACACCGCCGTGCGAGTTGGTGATAGGTTGCCAGAAGGTCCTGTAAGGCAACTTCAAGAGAGCATAAGTCCATACGAGACATGCAACCTGCAGTTCACCTCGGGATCCACGGGGCACCCCAAAGCAGCAATGCTCACCCACCATGGACTTCTCAACAACGCCCGCTTCATTGGCGACCGTATGAGCTTGACAGAGGAGGATGTTCTGTGTTGTCCTCCACCACTCTTCCATTGCTTCGGCCTGGTGCTTGGATTGCTTGCAGTCATGACGCACGGAGCGAAGATCGTATATCCTTCTGAAGTGTTTGATGGACCATCCGTCTTGCAAGCCATTACCGACGAGAGCTGCACTGCGGTGCATGGCGTACCGGCCATGTTTGATACCCTGTTCAGTCTGCCTAGGCCAGCCAACTTCGATTGCAGCCGGTTACGAACAGGAATCATTGCTGGAGCGCCAGTCCCTCGACATCTCATGGAGTTGCTCGTTAATGAGTTCGGCATGACCGAGTTCACCAGCAGCTACGGCCTTACAGAAGCATCTCCCACTTGTTTCAACGCCTATGTGGACGACTCCATCGACCGAAGGCTCACCACGGTAGGCACACTCATGCCCCACGCCCACGCCAAGATCGTAGACAGAGAAGGACGCATCGTTCCAGTGGGTGTTCGTGGCGAACTCTGCATGGCCGGATATCAGCTCCAGCAAGGCTACTGGCGCAACCCTGAAAGGACTGCCGAAGCAATGGAACGTGATGAGAACGGCGTGCTATGGTTGCATACCGGTGACGAAGCCGTCTTTGACCAGTACGGCTATTGCAGCATTACAGGCCGCTTCAAGGATATCATCATCCGAGGTGGCGAGAACATTTATCCGCTTGAGATCGAAGAGCGCCTGGTGGAGCATCCTGCCATCGAGCGTGCCATTGTCGTTGGCCTGCCCCATCCGAAATATCAAGAAGTGCCTGCCGCCTTCCTGCAACGAGTCGAGAGTGTGCAGAATCGGCCATCAATGGAGGAGATCCAGGAGTGGACTAGGAAAACCCTCGGTCGACACAAAGCTCCCGTTCACGTCTTTTGGTTGGGCGAAGATGGAGTAACGGCAGATGTTCCCATCACTGGGAGTGGAAAGATCAAGAAGTTTGAGATGAGGAAGATAGGACAAGAGCTGTTGGCTGCGCAGCCCAAGGCCAAGCTTTGAGTTGGGATACCCTGGAAGGTTCGGAGATTCATTGTTGGACCGGAGTGTCGCATTGAGCGCAAGGAGTTGGTGGTTGATCATTGTTCTGTATGACCCCATTACCTTGAACTCATCAAGGTACCATTTTGCATGAGAGAAGTGAAGATTGGTTCCAGCTTGAATCGCAACTTCCTTCGTTGAGATAGACTGTGCCGCGTACCCCTCACCTCAACCCCTGGCATGTCTCCTGAGACGATAACAAAAGTCTAATTATAACGTTTCTCCTTCGGGGTTCAAAGGGCATGTGATTGATAGATAACTAACGCCACAGACACCATACACCACCACAACTCTATTCTATACCTCACCTAAAACATGGCTCGCTCGCCGTATTGCTGCGAACTTCGCTGCTCGGGCTCGGCCTTCTTATCGACTTCCATCTCCCTGCAGATGCTCTTCACCGCCCTTCTAGCACGCTCTGCCATCCATCTGAAATCGTCAGAGCGAGCATTGCGGTCTTCCAAGGATCCAAGCAACCACATGCCACATCCAGGCACCAGAGTGTCTCTGCGGAAGTTGACGTGGTACTCGCGGTCCACACTGACTGCTCCGGCGTCGAGCAAGGCAGCAGGAACATCCACCAGCTCTTTCGAAAGGCTGAAGTTGTATCCTGTGGCAGCGATGACAACGTCGAATGCTTTCCCCGAGATTGAAGTCTCGCCAGTACGCGTGTTCTTGACCACCAGCCGCACCCTTTCCCCATCCCGCTGAGTCGACACAACCTCAGACAGAGCCTTCATCTGGAACCTCCATTTGCTGGAATCACGCTCGTGGATCTTCTGTGTGTACTGGGCCTCGTATAATGCCTCCAAGGTGTGCAGGTCGACTTTCGGACCTTGGACGCCGCCCATCTGTTGTCCATGCAGACGCTCGCGGACTTCAGGGGGCAAATTGCCAGGCATGGATTCAGTTCGCTCCAACATATCCTGGACGCTATGTGTCTCGTCGGCCGGTCGGAGTGCAGAGTCGGGATAGAAGAGTGTTGCGGTGTGGCTGCCTTGGCGGGCTGACGAGAGGTGTTCAAACAATTCGGCTGCTTCTTGGGAGCTGCCAATGACGGCGATGTTCAAGGACTGCTTGACGGTGTGGAGGTTTGAGAGAAGGCTGTTGGTAGCGCTGGAGTGCAGAACAAGAGGGGCAGGAGAGAGAGATTGCGGAATGTATGGCTGAGAACCAGTTGCGACGATGACTCTCTTGGCCAGGATCGTTGATGGCGTTGACGAATTATTGCTGCTGAGAAGCTGGATAGACCACTGGGCCACCTTGTTCTGGGATTTGGCCTTAAGAGGGGAGATATGGGTCGCCTCCTGGCCATAATGCACCCATCCGAGATGTTGGATTTGTCCTGCTGCCCAGCGGAAGTACTGGCCCATCAGTTGGCGAGAAGGCTCCAGCCGAGAGTTGTTTGCGAACCGAATGAGCTGGTTTGTGGCGTGCAAGAAGTTCATGAAGGTGTAGGCGGATCGCGGATTCTGAGTCGTAACGAGGTCTCGCAGAAATGAAGAGCCCACTTGTCTGTCCGGCAAGACATTTTCAGACTGCCATTCCCAGCAGCTGTTGCGTTCGACGAAGAGAACGCTGGCAGAGGTATCTTGGTCGGCGAGGTTGACGGCAAGTGGCAAGGCTGTCTGTCCGAAGCCGACGCATACCAAATCGTATGTCAACGGCTGCTCGGTCTGCTTGGGTCTCCTGTCGAAAGACCTCTGCTTTGAGACGCCCTTCTTGGGTTCGTGTGTGTCCAAAGACATATCGCTGGCTCAGTAATAGGTTTTGGCTTCGCTTTGCAAGGCGATCTTCCTGCTAGAAAGTTTGCAACGAAACGAACAAACAGCACCAGTGCGGCCGACTGATACGGTACGGGTCAACACGCAAACGACACTTCCTTCTTCTGAAGATGTGGTGGTGGCTCTTCCGCACCTCGGCCGTGAATGTGACCACTTCTCGGACCACCTCTTCACAACAAGTGGGATACAAGCCACAAGAACGGACTACCAGCTAGTTTGTGCCCAACTTCATCGGCGACATGTGTCCGCAGACGGGGCAAAGTCTCATGCAACGAGGTTGTGCTGCTGGTCGATCTGCCTGCTTGCTCGGTGGTCGTCCGCCTGTGTCTGGAACATTTTTGGTGTTGCAGGCAATGATGCATCCATGCAGGGCCCACGCCAGCTTTGCCATCGCCTCGATGCCCACAAGCAGGGTAGGGCGCCACGCATGCACGATGAACGGGGCCATGCACGGGTTGTTGTCCACGCCAGGCAGGTACACAAATGCTCGTACTTTTGTGTAACATTGGACAGTCCACTATCCTGCTCTAGTTCTCACTCTCGCCTGCAACTCTGTCGATCCCGTTGCGAGCAAAGGAATTTCTGTCGAGCAGAAAGTGCGAATCGTGCTCCACCTCCGAAGTCCACAGCAGGGCCACATCCTCACGCTAATAAAGAGCGCCGGCGGCGTCATTGAACGTGCGTGGCATGTGAAACTGCAGTAAATCCGACGGCGTGGGTAGTGGGGCTGAACAAGGCAATTTTTTATCAATCTTATCAGATCATACCAACGTCCTCCTAATTACCGGCCCTTGTCTGAACAGGCAGGTGAATGTTCGACTTCGCCAAGATGAAACGTCGACGAGAATTTTCTGCTTCGCTTTGCAGCACAGTGGGCGGCTAACACAGTGTCCCTCGGAAAGAGAGCCGACGTCGGCGGTGGTGTGCAATGCCTCGTTTCACTCGGGGGAACTTCGCCCATGATCATGCTTCCTGCCAGATCTCCAACAGCTCAAGCGGTCCTGTCCTACTGCACCGCATACGATGTTCGTGATATTGCGTGCTCTTGATCAGTCCAAGACGCTGCACAGTCACACAGGCTTGTGGCATGGCCGTGACCATGGTCATGTTGTCCTGTCCGAGGAGACTTCGTCATGAAGCTTGTACCTTTGTAGCCCCCTCTTCTTCGTTTGCTAGGCGACTGAAGATCTGCAGTCGGTTCTAAGGTTCTCACTTTCTGACGAGCGCCTTGATCAGCGCTGCAGAACGTGCAAATGAGACTCGATGTCGTAATGATCGAGGAGCATACTGCTCGAATCGTTGCCAAAGGGAGAATTTACGGTCCTTGGTCTCACATCGATCGCATCACAGTCGTTGAATGTTACGGGGTAGTTTTCCAGGCCTCGTGCAAGCCAACGCTGCCGTAAGAGATTGTGCTGCACAGAGTGTAGCGCCAGCAGTGGAGTGCAGTGCTGCTCGCGAATGGGATGTACTGGGACGGCATGGCTACTCTTGCGTACTGTTAGACACTCGGAGACCATCAGGTGAAGTCAAGATATACTCTCAGCGCTGCTCTTATCAGATCGCATCCCTACACTCAAACTTGCACCGCCGGCCCGGAAAACCATATCCACCAGGCACATCACTGGAGCGGCTACATTGGGGAACAGTGCTTCGGCAAGTATATGATGGTCCCTTATTTCTCCAGTAGTAGGAACGGTTCCTTCGGTAGTTGTCCATATCGTCACCATTGTCGGTAACAGTGGAGGAGATAAGGCTGCGTCTCAATGAAGTATCCACAACAGCATTCAGCAGCAGCACAGGATCTGCAAACTGCGAGCCGCGCTTGAAGATTCCCACGTGGTCGTCTGCAAGTCTATCTGATAGCACTTGACGATTTGGTAGATAAGATCCGGGTTGCTGGTCATTCACTTATGGCGATGTGGAGAACATGTGATGATCGTCAAACTTACCTGCGCGATGAAACTCACAGTTCACATATACTACCCTACTGAGCCCGGATTACAGACCCTCTGTGGATATAGGAGACCAACACTGTATTCGAGCTGTTGAATATTGGGACATGATTCGATCGCGGCACAGCAAGCCTTGGCGAGGTATCGATGCACGCAACAAGTCTATTGCAGAAGTCTATTTGAACGTGGACAAATTGAAACATTAAATCCTCAGTGGGTTTATTTTGTTCAAGTCCGACGTGTTCAAGTTCTCCACAGTGCCTCTACAATCTGCCTCTCTCGATCCCTTTGTTGACATTCAAGACGGCCACCCCTTTGTCAAGAACGACTCTCCCACCGACTTTGGCTACAAAACGCACTTCACCATCACCGTGATCCCACATATCCGTCTCAAGCACATCACCAGGTCTGACGGGAGCTGCGAACCTGGCACGAAAACTCATCAACGCCCCCGGGCGGCTATCGGCGAAAGTGGACAGAATCAAACGACTGACAACATTCCAGCTGTATAGGCCATGCATGATAGGAGTCGGCTGAACCACTGCCGCTTTGACGTTGGTCGCATGAAGAGGGTTGTAATCCCCGTTGAGTCGATACAGTAAGTTAGCATTCTTTGGAATCTCATGTCGGTATGTCTTGGTTGGCGGTGCATTTGCTGGAGGTGAAGGCGGCGTGGAAGGGCTGGCATCGTTTGGACCGCCCCAACCTCCTTGACCCATAAAGACTGCTGTCTCCGACATTCTCGTGAAGACAGCTTCTTGCTTCCTGCCGCCAATGGGTGAGAGCGATCTGGATACTTCGATGAGGAGATGCTCGGTCTTCACGATGGTCGCCTTGTCTTTGCCCTTGTCGCACACTCCTATCACTTGGCTGCGAATCGCGAAGTTACGGCTAGAACTGGAGATTGGTATTGGTCTGTCGTGTCTGTTAGCCTGATCACTGTCAGATATCCTTGACATACGAACAGTAACTGCTCCAACGTTCTCTCTCCATCCACCACTCTTTCGATGTCCAGTGTTGGAAACCCATTGATGAAATTCTTCGGGGGAGTCAGATGCTTCGTGAAGTGCGCCTTAAACGATGACACTGATGTGTAGTCATGTTTGAATGTGAGAGCAATTGGATAGGTTGGGAATGCCGAGAATGATGGATGCAGTTCCTGGTATTCATGTTAGTTTGCTTGCCGCTGCGTCTTCCTCACGCTGCTACTCACATAAAGAAAGTGCAACTCTGACGGCTCACAGCCAATACTATTCGCGAACAGCAGTAAATCTCGCTCGTTCCACGACACTGGCTTCAGCGGATATTCGTAGAGCGCTTCCGCCATGTCAAATCGGAGACTCGGCGCCGTCACGTGTGGTTGAGGAAGGGATGAGGTTAGGACTGGACTTTCGTAGGAGCTCGCTGACTTTAAATCTGGAGCAGCTCCAGGGATGTTCGATATCAGACAAATCGGGGCCGATATGGTCAATTTTCAAGTGCTTCAATTCTGCTTTTCGAATACTATAACAGCTAGTTGAAACTCTGTACATGACACTGCGCCTTCAACACTTCCCCGGTAGCTTTATAACTTTGCAAACAACTTGATACCTGTCCCACCCACATTTGTTTCTCCATCAAAATGCAAGGGACACAACTGGAAGAATCTCTCCCTTCCCACCTTCATGCAAGCGCTCCTCTTGTGAGTCAAGTCCACATACTTCATCACGCCAAAGCCGCACATCAAATCATAACTCAAAACTGTACTGTTGGTCATCTTGGGCTCGCCAATGACACTCTGCGTTCGGGGTTCATCGAGGAAGAGATAGTGGATAATGCTAGACCACCAAGCCGAGACTCTGTGCTTGCCACGGAAGCGGGTGTCTCCCACCAGGGAATGTCGTCCACGATCGAAGTCGCCCGCATCGGCGTAGACACCGAAGTGGTCCTCCTGATACAACTGTCAGCCAGTGTTCTCATATACTTTCTTTTGACTTTACGTACCTTGCCCCAGTAGATCTCGTAGTACGCAAAGAAAGTGTCATCAAACTTTGCCAATACGGTCATGGTATGTGCATCCTCGTGCAGTTTTCTCAAGTACTCCCGGTGCTGCTCCAGCGTGCCCGTCTCATTCCACCCAGCTGCCACGAAGGGGTCATTCTGCCATTGGTTGAATAGGCGGAGATGCTCATCGTTATTGTAGTCCAGCGCATACATGCTGAAATGCTCGTCGAGATGCGGAATGTACCTGCTGTAGATGATCGATCCAGGCGCAGGCTTTTGCGGTCGACGCGGGTGGAAGGCATGGACTCGCTCGCTGGGGAATTTGCAGCTTGCGGTGTAGTCGAGAGGCTGGATAGGGAAAGTGGCAAGCTCTCTACCGGAGATCTGGTTGGTGTCTGGTGCCCACACTGGCCGTGGACCGAAAGGACACCCAGCGCCTTGCCAGAAGGTGCTTCGTAGGAGGACCAGCTCGTCAACATAGGCATCTGGGTCAGTGCTGGACTTTCCCTCTGGCACGGGATGCTGGCATGCAAGATGCACTGCCTTCAACTCCTCCGCCAATTGCTCTCGTCCCACGCCTACTAGGCCCAAACGGAAGTATTCGAGCTCTGGTCGCAAGGAGAAGAGAGCGTATAATATGAGCCATACCTGCCCAATTGTTGGAGCTGAAGGCTCGTTCCACACAAAGTCGGCCTTTGGTGCCCGCCTCACTCTTCCCCAGAAGAAGTTGTTGGATTCAGGAGGAAGTTGGTCTTCTCTTTGATCTTGTACGGGGTTGGAGAAGCAGACATTGTTGTGCAGCTGCTCAGGCGGCGCTCTTGCATCTTTCTGGGTAGGAGTCTTTCCCGAGCTTCGAGGTTCGTAACGGATCTGGAGGAGCTTCGTGCCGTAGCGTGTGGGAGCTTCGTTGTTGTTTACCTCATGGATGCGGTAGGTAGTGAGATATGGGTGAGGCAGGCGGATCGTGGCAGGAAGTACTAAGGAAGACATGGTGATGGGGGAGTTTTGGGGGGGAAGAGACAAACCAGTCACCTACAACAACAAGCAGTCAACACGAAGAAGCTGATACCGATGCCCAGCTCCAGCTCCCGCTCCAGCTCGAGCTCGTCCAGCGCCATGCAATAATGCCCCGGCTTGCTGCCGTTGTGCGAGGTCCAGTGGCCATTGGATCGATCACATCAGTTTCCGACGTCGCACGCGTTCACGTCACGAGGAAGTACACAATGGACATGGAGGAGAGGACGTGTGGTGTGATGACGCCGTTGTGCTCCACGCCGACGTTTCTGGTATCTGATCCGTCATTACCGAAACGCCAGCGCAAGCGAGAGCGGTGGCGTGTGGGCTCCAATCAGGTGAGTGAATGACCGGCCAAGGGCGCGCTACTGCACAATGGTTCCATCAGATAAAAATTTTCCTTTTCTTCCACGCCCAGCACGATCGACAATCAGATATGGCCGGGCCGCCGTGGACATGGATCAGGGATCGCTGTGGCCGTCCGAGGTTCCATCGTGCACAGATCATCGCCAGATGAACGACGGCCTTGCTTGGCGTCATCTTCGCCCTGTGGCCCCTGTCGCTTCCACATGCGCTTGCTGCGGTAGCCTTTCCCACCGACATCACCCAAGCACAGCACTCGCAAACGGAAGTCGCTATACACCAAACTATTATGTACTGCGAGCGGGATGCCCTGGGCCAAGCCGCCGATGCCGCCGTCGCCTCGCTCGAGACCCTGTCACATGATCTGGCCGCTACTGCTTGCTCAGAGGCAAACATGTCGTCAACTTCAATGTCCGGTCGTGGTCTCGGGGAGTCGCAGGAGTCGCAGTCATGGGCTTCAATTTCAGAAAAAAGGTTTGTGGATCCTGTGCATTGCGTTCGAAGATGCATTTACTGATTGATTCGAACAGGAGTCCAAGCCAGAGGAGAGCGGTGTTGAGAAGGAATCTGCCTTCAAGCAGGCCACTGTCTGGTTTCGCCTGCTACTCACTCCCGGATACACCGCCTGGGACATCTTTCTGCTTGTTGGGGGCCTCATAGGATCTATCGCTGCTGGAGTCCCCTTTCCTCTCCTGGGTATTCTATTCGGTCAACTGATCGATAATGTCAACTCCTCTTCATGCGCCGAGTCTACCGGCGGCGACACTTCTACGTTGCAGTCTTCGATTCGAACGAAAGTGCTCCTTGTCATCTACGTTACCATCGCCAACTGGTGCTTCATCTACATCCACACCACCTGTTGGTCCATGTTTGGAGAACGACTCGTTCGACGACTGAGAGAGCGCTACCTGCGCAGTCTTCTCCGACAGGAACTGGCGTTTTTCGACGAGTTGCCCGCTGGGGATGTCTCATCCCGACTGTCAAACGACTTGGACCAGATCCAGCAAGGTACTTCTGAGAAGGTCGGCATCGTCATCAGCAGCGTATCCTACTTCGTTGCCGCATACATTGTCGCATTCCTCAAGTCGGCCAAGCTAGCCGGAATTTTGGTCTCCCTTGTGCCGGCCTACTTCCTCATGACCTTTATTGGCGGCCACTTCACTAAGAAGTACACCGGTGAGGTGTCGGATGAGATCGCGAAAGCGACGTCCATCGCCTCAGAAGCGCTGAACAAGCTGAACATTGTTCACGCCTTTGGTGCAAGCCGGCGACTGGAAGCCAAGTTCACCGAGTACCTTGGCCGTGCAAGGACGGAAGGCATCAAGAAGACCATCACTGCTGGGGTTCAGCTTGGTCTTCTCTACTTCATTGCCTATTCGACCAATGCCGTTGCCTATTGGCAAGGAAGTAGAACTATTGCCGCATCAGTTGAATCTGGGTCAGGAGGAGCCGCAGTTGGTGCTGTGTACACGGTCATCTTTGTTCTCATTGACGGTACGTACTGCCACTGACACAATATTGCTGGTGCTAACATGTTTGTGCAGCCTCCTTCATTCTCAGTCGCATCGCGCCATTCATGCAAATCTTTGGCACGGCAGGCGGAGCTTCAGAGAAACTGAACAAAGCCATCGCAAGGCAATCTCAAATCGACGGTACTGATAAATCGTACGGTCGATGTCTGGACTCCGTCTCCGGCGGCATCGAATTCGACAATGTGTCGTTTGCCTATCCCAGCCGCCCTGACACGCTCGTCATCAAGGATCTGTCGATGAAGATTCCAGCTTACCAGCACACAGCCATTGTCGGCCAGTCGGGAAGTGGTAAGTCTACAGTGGCTGCTCTACTCGCTCGACTCTATGATCCGAAAGAGGGTATAGTTAGACTTGACGGCGTTGACGTTCGTGAGCTCAACGTCGGTCACTTGAGGGGCCAGATTGGTGCTGTCCAGCAGGATCCCGCGTTGTTGGACCGCTCTATCCTGGAGAACATTGCTCACGGTTTGATCAATTCGGAAGCTCCACAGAAACAAATTGATGCAGTTTTGCATGGTCAAATTGCAGACTTCGCAGACAAAGTGCGCAAGTCCAGCTCCTTCGAGAATACGCTCATCTCACAGTCTGCATCGGTGAAGGCTGTCGTGGAGAGAGTTATGAAAGCAGCTACCATTGCCGATGCGACTGGCTTTATCAATCGCCTGGACCATGGCCTCGCTACCTCTGTCGGATCTGCAGGCAACCAATTCAGTGGCGGGCAAAAGCAACGAATTGCTCTTGCTCGAGCAATGATGCGAGACCCAAAGATCCTCTTACTGGACGAAGCCACTTCCGCACTGGATTCACGTAGTGAGAGGCTCATCCAAGGCGCGCTTCACGAAGCATCGAAAGGCCGCACGACTATTTCCATTGTTCATCGTCTGTCCACTGTCAAGAACGCTGACAACATCATTGTCATGCGTAGCGGAAAGATTCTGGAACAAGGAACGCATGCCGAATTGATCGCGGCTGACGGCACTTACGCAAGTATGGTTCGACTTCAAAATGTAAGCCAACATGACGGCACAGAACTTCATGGTCAAGATACCGAGCCTGAGGACGACATCTCGTCTGCTGAAGAGCGTTCAAGCGACGACACATTCGAAAAGGAAAAGAGCAAGACTGAGGAGACGCCATTACCGGGCGAAACCCTTGCAGGAGAAAACGACAAGGTACTCGCTGAGCCCAGCAAAGAGAAGCCTGCCACAGGAAAGCGATTCTTTTTCTTCGACAAGAAAGACAAGGCCAAGGACGACAAGAACGCCAGCAATCGAGGTGTTGTCTCGACCATCCGTGGTGTTGGTACCCTCACCCGCTCGCAGGCCTTGTTTCTTCTCGTGGCTTTCACTGCATCTGCCATTGTTGGAGGATCCTACTCCGGCGAAGCCGTCATCTTTGGTCACACCGTCAGCAGCTTCAGCTCATGCAACGCTGCCTCTGCCATTCGATCTGCCGGTTCGTTCTGGGGTCTGTTGTACTTCATCCTAGCCATCGTCGAATTCTTCGCCAATTTGTTCATGGCTGGAACGTTCGGCTTGGTCGGAGAAAACACTCTTTATAAAGTTCGCATCCTGTCGCTTCGTACGCTGCTGGGCCAGGACGTCGATTGGCACGAGTCGGATGGGAGAGATCCTGCTGGCCTCTTGTCGTATATCACAAGCGACACTCAAGCTCTCGCGGGCTTGACTGGAACTGTTTTGGGAACGCTTTTCTCCGTCCTCATCAACAGCGTCGCGGGCATTGCTCTGTCGCTCGCTATCGCATGGAGAATCGCCATCGTCCTGTTGGCCTGTGTTCCCGTCTTGATTGGAGCCGGCGTCATGCGCCTTCGTTGCTACGCCAAATTCCACGAAAAGCATGCAAAAGCCTTTTCGAGCGCTACAGGATATGCCACCGAGGCTGTCAACTCTATCCGTGTCATCTCCATATTTTCACTGGAGGAAGAAGCCGTCAACGTATATCACCGCTCGTTGAAAGCACCCTACGAGGAGACGTCGAAGATGCTCCTCTGGAGCAACGCCTGGCTCGCGTCGGCATACAGCGTCAGCAACCTCGTCTACGCTCTGGCGTACTGGTGGGGCTCGCAGAACATCATTGAAGGGCGATACTCCCAACAGTCCTTCTTCATTGTGCTCACTGCCATGTTGTTCAGTGCCCAGACTTGCGGTCAGCTATTCGCCCTCGCACCTGACTTCTCAAAGTCGAAACTCTCCGCAGCAAGAATCCTGGATCTGCTGGAGATTGGAAAGAAGTCCATGACAGTTTCTGACTACGCGATCAAAGGGTCATACAAGGGTGATGGTGTAGGCGCGGAGAAGGACATCGAGTCGACACACTCTAGTCTAGAGAAGTCTGGCAGTGGTGGCATTCGTGTCCAGTTTGAACGCGTAGAGTTCTCCTACCCGTCAAGACCCGACACGAAGGTGCTGAAGGGGCTCGATATTGACGTCAAGCCTGGACAGTTTGGTGCGCTTGTTGGACCAAGTGGTGCTGGCAAGTCCACCATCATCTCGCTGGTCGAGCGCTTCTACCGACCTTCAGCAGGCAGGGTCACACTCGACGGTCTTGACGTGAGCGGCTTTGCCGGCGCCGACTTCAGAAATGACATTGCACTCGTCCCGCAGGAGAGTGTCATGTTTGAGGGCACGTTGAAGTTCAACTTGTCGCTGGGAGCGAGACCAAACCAGGAGGTGACGGAAGAGGAGATTCAGCAGGCTTGCAAGCTGGCACACATCCACTACACCATTATGGAGCTGCCTGATAAGTACGACACGAGGTGAGTTGACTCCACACCGAACCCCTTTCATGAGCTGACAAACGTTCCAGGTGTGGCCCCAATGGCAACCAATTCTCTGGTGGCCAAAGGCAGCGCATATCCATCGCACGAGCATTGCTCAGAAAGCCGCGACTACTGCTACTTGATGAATCCACTTCAGCGCTGGACAGTGAGAGCGAGAAGATGGTCCAAGATGCTCTCGAGAACGTGCGCAAAGGCATCACTGTCATTGCCATTGCACATCGACTGCACACAATCGAAAAAGCCGACCGGATCTTCGTGATCGAGGAAGGACGATGCACCGCCAAGGGAACCCATCGGGAACTGCTGAGGGATTCGGAGACGTATCGCACGAATGCATTGCACCAGGTGCTTGGTGACTAGGTGGGAGAAAAGCTAATTGATACCCTTTTATCAAAATAATGAAAGCACAGCGAGTGTGTGAATGCCACCTCGCCTGACCTGCTCTTACAGTCCTCCACACGAAGAACGAACGGCCCAGGCGCTGGCATGCAACAGAGTTCTTGGACCACTGTCGCGAATCTTGCTTCAGATCAGATCGGTCGAAGCACACCATCATCATCATCCTTCCGATTCGTGCTTGGTACAACTGACATCACTGGAGCTTATGGCGGGCAAGCTTCTCAGCCAAGCATTTAAACATTCACTTCCCAAAGCTTGGCTCTTGCAGTGTTCCCAAAGTCTGGACCTCTTCTCTTCACGTCTTTCCCACGGAACATACCCTTCACATAAACATCATCATGCCTGAAGTGAATTTGAGAATGCTTCCGTTTGAATAAGGGGCTATGCTGACACCTTCAATAGACACAGCAAGAACTCAGTCCAGAGGACAAGAAGATCCTTGAGGACGCTCACAAGAACCGTGATAACCCCGAGCATCCTGCTCATAAAGACCACCCAAAAGTATGCTTTACTTCCATCTCATCGTTGAGTATGTCCTGCTCACGTTTCAACAGCATGGCCAATTCTTGAAGAGCATCCCAGAGAAGCTTGGAGGCGCAGCGATCTTTGGAGCTGGTGCAACTGCAGGCTCTGATTTTGTCAATGGTCTTATTGGGAAATAAATGTATGATGAAGCTTGTTCGAGCATGAAAAACGCCTTTCTCGGCCTCATATCGTGTCAAGTCGTTGGATTCAAATTTACACTGGGTATCAAAACGCCAAACACAACGCCTCGTCCTCCCACTAGGGACTCATTACACTATCAATTTGTTCCACCGAAATGTCTATCCCCACCACTCCCTCGCGAGAGTCCTCCTGATCAATCTCGCCTTCTTCGATGAGTCACCCAGCGCCGTCTTGACACCATCAAGGAATCCCTTATTCGCATACGCCTGCGACGCATCCCAAGCCATCACACCACCGAAACTCTTAAAGGTCTTGCAGTAGTCGATAACAGGTTTCAGTGCATCGGCACTCAAGTATCCAGTACCTGCAGCGGACTGGCCAGCTGGCACGCCCAGGAATACTTTGACGTCCTTGTTGGCCGACTTGGTCGTGGCCCAATTATCCCAGGTCTCGAAGTTGAAATTGTTCTGGGTCGTTGCGTTGGCGACGTAGGAGTTGGTGCCGCAGTAGTTGTTGTAGAATTGGACGAAGATCTGTAAACGTCTCGTCAGCTACGTCTATCTTCACTCCATTTGTGACGCTTCAATTGACTCACCGCATCGAAATTGACCTTGTCCATGCCAGCAGCCCCGTTCAACATACTGTCATCTGCAGCATCCGGATAGGGACACTGAGGAGCAGCAGTGAGGTAGTACTTCTTCGACTTGTCGGCGTCCATCAAGCTTCGCAGCTGAGCGGCGAAGGGGTTGAAGTTCTGCACCGCCGTCTCCAAGTCCAAATCGAATCCATCGATGACAGCGTCATGGAAAGGTCGGTAAGTCTGAGCTTGTCGACGAGGGTGAGTGGCCGAGTAGCTGAGTGTCTCTGCATTCGCCTCTGTGGTTGCAGCTTTCGATGCAGATGCTGTCGCTGTGCTGGACTTCGAGGAGGCCACTTCCTGAGTAGCTTGGGTTCTGTGAATGGCTGCATGAGTCCGAGTCATCCGTAGAACAGTGGTGGAAGTATCTGCATCCGTGTGCTTGAGAGTCTTGGTCGATCGGGAAGCATGGGAAGATATCTCGACAGTGGTTTCTTCCATGCTTTCGGTCGAATGCTTGTCGCTCGAATAGGTTTCCACTGCTTTGTTCTTAAGGGTTGTCTTGGCGGTTGAAGTGGCCTCCTCGAGAATGGTCAGAAGCGTTGTGACTGCAGTTAGTGCGTCTTCATCCGACGTTGTCGCGGATGCCGTTGTTAGCGTGCTAGTACTCTTTACCTTATTAACTTTATCCGTCGTCGTAGAATTCACTACCAAGGCAGTCGAAAGCGTGGGAAGGAGATTCGTTGACGCATTCGTTGCTGCAACCTTGCCTGTGCCGCCGGTCGATAAGGCCGATGATGTGGTGCTGTGGGCTGATCCGACAAGCGACGTGGAATTCGATGCTGCAGAAGGCACCGCAGAGGATGATGATGACGAGTTACTTGATGAGGAGCCAGAAGTAGGTCCAAAGGTATTCCACACCAAGTTGGCTGCCGCGATCGCCGCGTCTTTGCTGGCGAAGCCTCCTTCAGTGTAGGTCGCACCCCCAATGGATAATAGGATGGTCTTCCCATACTTCTGCTGACAAGTCTTGATATCGTCACCAATTTGTGGACAGTCCATGAGGCCGGTATCGGGAAACACTGTACAATTATTCTGTTGGTTAGCAAAGTTTATGACCGGCTCCTTACCCTGGCCAGAAGTAACCTGGACCATGAATGCCATTGGGATGATGTCGATGTCCGTGTTGGCGCAATAAGTGGCGAGAGGTTGTTGGGCCAAGTCTCCAGATCCTTGGTTGTATGAGTTCTGTCCCCAGTACAGCGCTACGTTGCTCGACCCATCAAGACCAGCTGCAGTCGACCCTCGAGCAAGCCAGAGGCCTGCTGATGCTGCTGCTACGCCGCTGATCTTTGATCTTGATCTGTGATGGGGCATCTTGGATAGTGCAACGCAGGGAACAAGAAGAAGAGGCTGTTTGTACAATGATGAGTACTAATTGATGTGTCGATAGATTAGAAGACTGTCTTGTAGATATCTTTGACAAGTAAGAGGTAGTAGGCAATGTTGAAGATAATGAGAACCGATTTGAGAGTCACGGGTCTTGAGCAAAGTCGGCCTTATACAAAGCAACTTGATGTATTCCAAGATGAAGAGCAGTTGGGTCTGTAGGCATAGCAACAGTTCGATCTCCAGGCGCCGCTGTCTGAGTGACCCAGCTCCTCGGCGTTGTCAAGCATCTCTTGCTGCCTTTCAGTGGAAATGAGAAGTAATGTCTCTACCAAACCTCGCAGCTCTGTTTTGCGTTGGACGGCATGGGGCCAGGGCGCGGAAACATAGTAGTAAGGCTGTCAATAGAGGACCGGCGCCACGCAAATTGTGGCATAAGCAACACGTTGCCGGGTTAAAGTCGGTCGTCCATCACCGCCAGCAAGTCCGTCGCTGTAGGGATGGTGGCGAACAGTCCATGGTGTATATGAGACAAGTTGTCGTCTTGATATATTGCGCCGTGGCCACGCAGCCGTTGAACCACGAGCCGTGACGGAAAATTGATGGCGTGCTGTCGCAACGTTTGGATTCCAGACTTTGCTTTCCTGGGCGAGTATAGAAAGGATTCTCTCTCTTCGGGCGACTCTGTCGACCTGGTTTCTGGAGTAACATGTCGTTATCGACCTCTTTCGTGTACGGGACTCGCAAGAAGCTGATTCATTGAGTCAGCTTCATGCTTGACACATCAGTCCATCTGCTTATCCACCTCAGGAGCTCCCCCGATATCGCCCACCATTTCTCGGGCGTCTTGAGTGATGATACTGTGTACGAAGGAGATAGATGAAGTGGAAGACGCAAGCCGAAGAGCGAAGTGCGACCTCGACCGATTTCCCCGACGTCGGCTGTCTTTTCGGCCTTCGTCTCCCCCTTCTTTCTCCTCATCTTCTCCTCCTTGCCCCATAACCCCGACGACGATGATGAATCACATGCTCGTTCAGGGCTGTATCTTGCTGAAAATCCTTCATGGCTTCCCCGTTCTGCAACAGTCCTCCAAATGAAGAACCGGGGGTAAGCCGGGAATTACATTTTCACGAGGCCGATAATGCGGAGGATGTACAGCGAAGGATCAAGGATAGCTGCCAGCTTCTTGAATGACAGTAATATAAGAAGGTAAGCGAACAAACAATCGAAGAGTGATTGGTGTTGGCAGCTCGATCATACCCAGACTACACCACAGAATCTCCACACCATGTCTCCCTCCGCCTCCCCAGTCCAGATCCCCAACGTCAAAGAAGACGCTCGCCGAGCCTTTGATGTACTCCAGAAAGGCGGACTTGCCATCGTGCCTTTCAGCGTTGGATACGCAATCACAGCCACCGACCCAGTAGCGCTCCAACGAGCCTTCGAGACCAAGCAACGGAAACCTCACAAACGTCATGCCATGATCGGAAGCTACGCCTTGCACAAGGAGATTCATGTCCTTCCTGAGCGTGAAGCGGGCATGGTGGGACTCCTGACTAAAACGCTGGATATGCCTTTGGGAGTTGTAGCCCCGTTCCGAAAGGATCATCCCTTGATTCAGAAATTGGGTGAGGATTTGTTGGCGAGAAGTTCAATGGATAATACTTTATCTATGCTGGTGTGTATTCGAATTGGCCTCGTTGGAGAAGTGTGACTCTGATGTGATCCAGGTGAACGGCGGCCCTTTCCAAGATGAGCTTTCAAGATTGGCCGTGGAGGCTGGAGTTCCGTTGATGGGATGTAAGTAACCTCACCGCAGTGCAGCCCAGGCGAAAAATCTGACATATCCTCTTAGCATCCGCAAATGTGAGCGGCAAAGGCACCAAGTCCTTCGCCGAAGACATCGAACCCGAAATTCTGGCCGTAGCAGACATTGTCATCGACTACGGCAAGATGAAGTACGTCCACCCTCGGCCGTCTTCGACAATGATCAACTTCAAAGACGTCTCCGTCATCCGATTTGGATCCTGCTACGATGCCATCAAAGATGTCATGAAGCGCTTTTACGATATAGACTTCCCGGAAGACCCAGGTAGACAGAATCTGTTCTCAGGGCACCTAGAAAAAGAGGCCAATACGTACTGAATCAAAGACTGTCTACATTCCTGTCAGCTATTCAGGCTTTCTACCAATCGTCACATAGAACACCTGATACTTTCCAGCCTCCGGCAAGAGGCACCACCGCATGTCCGCCCGCATCGCCTCGATCTCTTGCTGGTTCTCCTCACTTCCCGACTCATCGTCCATTGTCCTCTGAATCATATGATGCAACATGGTCGGCACCGTCGTCGTCGAGTACTCTCCAAAAGCACGCATATCAGGAGTCTCTTCCGTATTCCCACAGAACGGCCACCGATATTCAAATTGACGGATCTGAACGAACCCAGCTTCTTGCATCCATTTCTCAACGAGCTTGCCGCACTGAAAGGACATGCCTTTCTTCTGCTCGCAAGCCATGCTTAGTGTGTGCAGCCACGACCAGTCCTCGCTGATGACCGAGTCGTTGATATTGTACCAGTCCCATGCCACGTCGTGCACCTCAACCCAGCCACCAGACTTCACCAGCTCATATTCTTTTCTTATGAATGCCGGCCAGTCGGTCATTCCACATATCAGCAGGCGGCTGAAGATGTAGTCGAAGAGCTCTGAGTCTTTAGGCAGACCGGGTCTATCCTCGATCGGACGCCATTGGGACGGTAAATTGGTGGCTGCATTTCCCTGGAAGAAACTGACATTCGGCTCGTGCTCGCGGATTGATGGCACAGCGGAGAGGTCTAGGCCGATACATTCTGCCTGAGGGAATTTCTCAGACATCAGATCGGTCACGATACCAGTCCCGCAGCCAATGTCCAGCATTCGTTGAATTCCGCCATGCTTGATTGGTGCATGCAATACATGGCCTCCCATCATGTTGGACAGGTGCAGTGCTTGGATCTCGAGACGGACGTGCTCTTGAAAGCTGCATATGGGTGAGTGCTGGCGTGCTAGCACTATCACATGGTACTACGTACTCGTTTGGAAGAACATATTGGGCTTCCTTATCTTGATGATAGGTAGGTGAACGCTCATCGGCGCCGATAGAATTCCGCCTGTATACTGCATTTGCAGCGTCTTGTGGTGTCTCGCCAAACAGATCGACTAAAGAAGCTGGAGCCATGATTTGTTGTGCTGTAGGAAGTTTTGTGTGGTATCAAGGGGCCCCGTATCAGACTGGGGAGAGAGATCACAGACCACTTTCTGCGAGCGCATGGGATCGTGGCGGCTTCATATCGTGATGTATCCATGTGCTGGGCAAAAGCAGTGCGGCGAGACATCTTCCAGACTATGGCACAAGCTTCCGATCTAGCCTTCACCGCAGTGCCTCGTTGTAGTCGGTGCATAGAATGTGCAGCTGCGGCGACAGGGCCGTTCTACACCACGCTGTGATGGTGCATTTGCAGGAACGAGTGTGACTTCCAATTTTGGAATGCGGAGGATTCGCTCTTATCTGTTTTGTACATGCGACCAAGGCGCCGTCAAACTTACTGTCGCATGTATAGGCATTGGGCCTATGATAGCAGGTCAAGTTCAGCTGAGTGAAAGAAGTGGCAGCGTGCAGTCAAGGTATAGTTAAGAAGAGGCTTTTCATTCATCAGCCAGCCACGCAGGAAGCCATCGGACTTTCCGTGATAGGCAGTGCATATGAACCCTGCATAGAGCTTGATATTTCGAGGCCTTGCCGTAATGGGTGTCGCATGTGAGCCCAACACACGAGTCCAGTACAATAGAACCACAAGGTAGTGTACATCCAACTCGTCTTGTCGACATTCCATGAGCATCTTGCCAGACTCCTCCTCAGTATTGGTTTCTCACCACTGATGATTGGCGTCTGCTTCTTCCACAACATCCTGTGCAGGTCGAACGCCGGCTTGAACGCGATAAGTCTCCAGCTCAGGTCGCCACGGAGCCCGCCATTTGTCCGGGTGCTCGTATCGCAGCTCTAGCGACACAGCTGGGCAACGTTCACCTGTCCGCGCCGCGTCCAAAAGGTCTACGATCGCTTGCTTGAACGTGGTTGTTCCGCTGAAGCCCTTTCGACAACGAATGTTCAAGAAGTCGGTCGTGGCACCCACTCGGTGAGGGTCTCTTGGGTGTTGGCTGAGTGCAATCCGTAGGGTGAGGTAAAGTGTTTGCAGACGAGGCAGCTGTGACAAGAGCGACCCCATACCCGCTGCTGCGCCATAGAAGGCTGCAGGATATTGCTGGCGCTCAAAGGCAATCTCGATATGCACAGGCAACTCGAAGTGTCGAATGGGGTGGCGGAGAGTCGACACAAACTCGTCCAGGACAGCAACCTTTCCTCTCTGATCGCCTTGAAAGGCCACGTTCACGCTGATGGTGGACGCGTTGAGAATGGCTTCCTCTGCCAATGGCTGCAGCTGGGTGAGGACGGATGACTCGCCAATCATGGATCTCGCTGCACCCGCCAGCGACCTCTTGTGCTGTAGGTGAAGATGAGGCTGGGTATCGGCGGCAAGGTATTCGAAGATTTCGAGGACGAGTTCCTTGGGCAGTTTGGTAGCGATTGCCTCAACGACATGTCGGTAATTTTGCCAGCGCTGGATTTCTCGCAGGCATTGCAGACGACGTCCAGGAATGAGGCACTCGTGGGTAGATGCGTAGTGTTTGGGAGGGCATTGGCAGCCTTGTCGAAGAAGACAGTCCATGGCACCCGATTCTGACATGGGGTTCTCCTCGATCCAGTCGCCGGAGCGATGCACCGGCGGCTCCCAGACAGGCCGCTTGCGGTCTCGCAACAGGCCTCTAGCCCGTCTGCGAGCGCGAGCACTCATGCGCCTATTCGTGGTGTATTCTGCCTCTGAGTCCTCCGAGTAGTCCATGGCGAGAGATGGGTTGTTATGAGTGGTGTCGTTGCGGTTGTTTGTGTGGAGAAGGCAGCAGTCAGTGTCAGCAGCGACGGCTCACAGCCGTGATATTGACGAAATGGTGCTGTTTGAAAATACGCTAAGCCATATATAGAAGGGCGGCCCGAAGAGCGCGTTGCAGTTACCTCTATCGGCAAGAAGCTTACTCCATGGGTTATGTCTACCAGATGCTGTTCACTTCACTGCTGAGCCGGCGATGACTCCTGCTCGTGACCCTCAGAGTTCGCCTCGAGGTCGCATGCAACCAGGTATCTATGCCAAGACCGCCTCTATCATGGTCGCCGCCGTGCCCTCTCTCTGCCAGTACTTCCTCACCACCAACCCAGCCTGCTCGAGTAGCACTTCAAACCCCTTCTTCGTCCTCTCCTTGCCAGCACAATTCAACACAAACATGTCCATAATCCCAGCAATCATCGTCGTCTCGCTCAGTCTTTCTGGAACAATCGCCTCGTGAATCAGCAAGACGCTGTCCCGCGCCATCACGGCCGCTGTGTTCTTCAAGATCTTGACTGATAAACTGTCGACATAGTCATGAATGATCCACCTCATGAAATATGCTTTGGCGTGGACAATGGGCTGCGGGGTCCAGAAGTCGTGCTCCAGCAGCTGCAAACCTCTTGGCAAAGTCTCGCTGTGGCGAGCATGCTCGAGCGTGTGTCCTAGGTCCTGAACCATGCATCTCTCGGCGGGTATATCCGGATGTGCCTTCAAAATCGCCTCAACGCATTGCCCGGAACCACCGCCAACATCCACCAAAACCATCCTCTCTTTCTCTACCTCAATCTTCACAAGCTGTGAGAAGTCATATACCCCTGTCACAGGCGCCGCATCAACCAACATAGCCATACCACGCTGGAAGTTCAGCATTTTATTGGGATGATCTCGAGCGAGCACCTGCCAAGAGTTGTCGCCCTCCTTATTCCACGCGCACGTGACCGGTGTTACACTGGGGTCGCTGGGTTCTTCTAAAGGGTGGGTATCAAGGTAGGCGGTGGGATATAGAAAGAATCCGTCCATGACAACATCGTAGCTGTTGGAAAGAGGTCAGCAAAGGTCGTTAGAGAGGGAGAAACATCGTACACCACGCCTTTAAACCATGCTTCAGCATTGCCTCCATCCGCGGATCCCTTGGACACGTGCGAATGCCAATATTTGCCAGCACTGTCTTGCTGGATGAATCTCGTTCCAACCAATAAACGGAGGAACCTTTCTGGATTATATCAGCTCCAGAATCCCCTTGTCAATTGCCACACCCAACCAACAAAGACTCCTGCACTCCGGTCTTCTCTGCAAGGACTTGTAATTCAAGCGCCTCGTCTTTCTCTTTCGGTAAGACCTCAAGCACTCCCATTCTCATCACGGTTCGAATCGCCACAAGCTCCATAGTCTACTACAGTCAGTAGAAATCTCATGCGAACGGCAGAAAAGCTAACATTGGCGCTGACTTGAAGGACATGCTGTTCCGGGCTCTGCAAGGCAAAGATGAGATCTTTCGCTTTTGAAATAATCTCGAATCTTGCCGTTTCGCTGACTGTCTTTGGAAAGCTTTGCAGGGCATTCGTCAAGGCTTGGATGCTAGATTTGAGATCCATGTTCCCGGAATTTGGTTATGGCAAGGTAGAGCAAAACCCGTCGAGTTGAGCAGTAGTGCACAAGAAGCTTCTTGGGGCTGTTCAAAGAAGTTGGTCCTCTCGACGCATAGGCCGTACTCGACAAGATGTTGAAAGTCTGCAACGACACAAGAGTAAAGATCTCTGCTGTTTGCGCCCACTAGATCACGCCGTTCGCAAATTTGGCCCTGGATCTAACTGCAAGTTCCAGGGACAGATAGTCGGAGGCTAATAACCTGCCATCGTTTGATCCTCTTCAAAGCTGGACGCAGTGCGTTCAATCCTACAGAGATAACCGCGACCAATGGTTGAGATCAACATGAACGACCAGCCGCATTATGGCATAGTAACACACCGACCGAGTCTGGTGTCAAAGCGCCTGTGTTGGCAAAGCGGTAGGATCAGGTCAATGTAGACGTCTTCGCTATCCCCGGTGTGAAGGAGCTGTTGTGGCGTAGATCGACGTAGTGGTGGTTGACTGGATCCTTATTGCCCATGGCAAAACAACAGATTCATCAACAAACTTTTCCATGGGCATGCCAATTGGAAACGGGACTTTTCCGCATCTCATGTCGTGAGCTCAACCCTCACTGTCACCTTCTAACACGACCAGACACCTCTTCTTAACCTCGTCTACCCCATCCACGCCTTTCCACTTGTCCAAGACTTTTTCCACTTGCCTCCACTCATCTTGGGCCGCCTCTTTCTCGCCTTCATTATTCATCCTCTCGATCCTATCCGGCGCACCCAGGACCCATCTAACCAGCTTTCTCTGCTGCTGCTTGTCCTGCTGCAGCCCATTTTCACCACGCTGGGCATGCTCCCTCAGTCCTTTCTTCAGCCCAGCCGCTGTTTCGGCAATATGTCCTATAGCTGGACTCAATGTACTCGTGCCCGGGCTCAATGGCTCCATCTTCTCTCTCATACTTCGTATAGTTTCGGTAGCAGCAATTAATTTCGAGTAGTTGTCGTACACCAATGCTTTCTTCTCTCCATCCAGTGACCTTATATCACTCACAAGTCCCGCTTCGACCCGTAGTACACCCTCCAGACCTGAGTTGGAGAGAAGGTGAGTGACATATTCTTCGGGAGAGAAGCCGGGCTTGTCCAGCTCCGATTCTTGTGCGGCATCGAGAGTGGTCGGTGTGGGTGGTTCTGAAGATATTGACGCAGCCTGAGCGGTGGTTTGGAGGTTGTAGTAGTCTCGAAGTGCGGCGCGATTCCGGCGAAGGCTTCCTCGATCGGCAACGGAGGAGGCGGTGGGTTTGCTGGAGGCGGAGGTGATGGTGTTGTCGGTCGAGGCGGAGCCACGGCGGGAGGAGAGGGAGAGGGAAGGGCGCGGTGAGATCCGGGGCGACGCAATGGTCGACATTGTTGTTCTGCTGCCGTTGTAAGAGAGTTGGAAGCTGTCACATGTCATTGCGGGTGAATCTCGGCAGATCACGGCCCATCCCGAGACACCAACAACTTCACCTCCTTCCTTTCAACACGGTCAACTCCATTTTTGCACCAGGCATCGATTTTTATCGGACTGATAATAGCTTGTGAGCTAAGTTGAAGCTACTATTGAACGATCTCTACCTTCCCCTGGATCCAGGGAAGGAACCAATTCTGCTACGGAAAAGGTGCACCATTTCGGTCTCAACGCACCGAAATGGCAACCGCTATGACTGTTCATCGACGCATATAGGTATCCATCAGGCAGCCTCGGCTGGTCATTGGCTCTCCAGATCGACGAATATGGGTACTGTACAGCCCCAGACACTAATCGGCCGAAAATGGCGCGGCTGGCACGGTCCGAAATAGATATATATCAAGGCCTTCGAAACTACCAATACAACACAGACACCAGCCATCCAATCAGCCAAGATGTCTATCACACACGAAGAAATCGCAAAGACCATCAGAGAAGCCCAGGATGAAATCATTCCTACCAATCCCCAACTCGACTTCGCCCTTAGCAACTCCACCGCCAAAGGCCTTCCACCGATAGCTATTGGACCAGCGCAAGGACAGTTCCTCTCTATTCTTTGCAAATCCATCCAGGCCAAGAATATTCTCGAAGTTGGAACCCTCGGCGGTTACTCCACCCTGTTCTTCGCATCCTCCGTTCCTGGCGTCCAAGTCACCACCCTCGAACTGCGCGAGCACCACCGCGACGTGGCGCTGGAGAACCTCAAGGGCCTTGACAATGTGGAGTCACTCCTTGGTCCAGCTCTCGATCTGTTGCCCAAGCTTGCAGAGCAAGGCAAGGTCTTCGACTTCATCTTCATCGATGCAGACAACGCCAACCAAGACAAGTACTTTGACTGGGGCGTGAAGCTCGTCCGGCCCGGGGGGATCATCTACGTCGACAATGCCATTCGACGCATAACAGACTGGGCGAGAGACGAGCCGACGAGGCTGAACTTGATCGATCAGGTAAAGGGTGATAAGAGGGTGAGGGCGAGTCTGATCCCAACCTTGAACTATGGAAGTATATACAGGCAGGACGAAACGGAGTTGGAGAAACAGATTGATGGATTCTTGATTGCGACCAAGTTGTAAGCTAGAAGCTCCCCACTAGGCGTTTCAACAGCCAGTAAGATGCGCAAAGTATTACGAACCGCAGGCTCATCTTCATCACTTCTTCCCGGGTAATTCTCTTCATGTGGGGAACAATAACGCCCAGCGACGCCAGGTCTGACACGAAGAACATCATGTCCCGGGCGAAGAGTGGCCGCAATGCCAAAATGTTTCCCAGACCTTGGTCACATAATGCTAACACAATATGTGCGGTGGCGACTGTGACAGAAAGCTGCATAGTCTCATTTGACGGCTCGTCGTCCACAGCTAGCAGACGATAACAAGCATTTGCAGAGACAAGGTCCGTGGCGGAGAAGAACAGCTGAGTTGGCCAAAGCACGCCTTGCACGGTCTTGTCAGTGAGTTGTGTGATAGAGGGAACAAGATTCCCTACCAGTTTCCGACAGATAATGAGCGTCGTTGACGTAGTTGAACACAACCCACCACCCATAAACCTTGCACCGTCAGCTCAACTCACTCAAACACGAGGCTCTCACTGACTTACCAATCCGTACAGACTGACACTGCCCAAGGCCAAGACTCCCCACCTCAAAGCACCAGGTGCGTCAGGGTTCCGGTATCGTAGCGTCACCGTCAAGCACGACACAGCCCGGCTCACATACATCCAAAGCAGAACGAAGTGTCCCGCCGACCACAAAAACGCTAGCGCTGCACTAGGCGTGAGATTGAAGTAGATGTGACTGTTCTTGTCAGCATGCTACATCCATTCCAGATGGCGAGCAAACTCACCGGTACTGCTTCGAAGCGTGAAAATGGTGCCCCTTGAACTGCCGATCAAAGCAGGAGCAAGTGCAATTGTTCATGTCCACGACATAGTCGTTGGTCCTCTTTGCGTTGATGATCATGAAAACAACGAAAGCAATCGTGGTCAGCACAGTCGATGCGGCACCGACGAAGAGCGATGATAAGACTCCCTTCGTGGCCCTGAATTCGTCCAGCGGCTGGAATGCTTTCATCGATTTGAGCTCCATGCTTCTCTGCCCCAGATCAATAGTTCCCACTGTTCAATGTGCGACAACAAGGAACAAGACTCATCGCTGTGCATCTCATTGATAGTTGATCTACTCTTTTATCCACCTCGTTCAGCACTCAGCCGATATCCAAACGACGAACGACTGCCCGGATTTAAGACTGCCAAGAGAGAATTGCGACCCTCATGCACGTGTCCCGCCCTTGGCCTGGATCAATCATGACAACAATCTGCGTGTTGTGAACTGGCAGTGTATTTCAGCCTCACGGCTTCTAATGACCAACAAGAGGGTCAAGGGACATGGCGCTGCAGAAGCTGTTCCGACTCATGCGAGGACAGGCCCTACATGCCAAACAACTCACTGCCAGTCTCTTGGCTCCATTCGCTCGCAAAACCCTCCCCCAAAACACTCTCAAATACAAAATCCATCGTCGTGTTATCGAGGTCCTTGCCCTTCTCAAGCTTGGCATAAGCGTTGTGTTTTGAACTTGAACGTATTCGTTTGCGTGGTCTTGGGAGAGAATCCTGACTTGGCTATTTCCAGCAGCTCGTTTTTAGACGGACAAGTACTTTGAACGTAGACGGCGCGGTACTTCGTTTCATCTGGATATGTCTGGACACCGATGACTGCTTTACCAATGTCTGACAGAAGCGTCGTGCTGGCTTTCTTGTCTCCGTCGTTGAGTATTCTGGCGTTCCCCGCAAAGCTTCGTCAGCTCACAGAGTCCGCTGCGACATCAGACTCTCGCGCGAGTGAAAGACAGACTGCGAAAGAACACGACTCTGGGTATCTCAAGCAGTAGTAATCATTATCTTCGTTCATTCAGTTCACATTACCCACATATTCCTACCGTACAATTCCCAGCCCCATCTATTCTCCTACTGCCATCGTTGAGAGGAGCAGTTTCGAGACCCATCATAACGTACAAGCGCAATCTCCTCAATCCCCTCGCTTCCAACCCATAACAACAAGCTATGCCAGTATCGTAGCGCGACGGGTGCTGTAACGCAGCAGACGGTCCGGGAAGCAAAGTGCCAATTCGCGCCCAAGCAGTCGTTGATTAAGCATACTCATGCCAGTCTCCATATTCCAAGGTAGCCAGTCGACAGTCTCGTATCATATCAAAGTCGTCATTGATTCAGGCTTTCAATCTGGCCGCCTCCAGTATACGGCATGACACTGGAGTCTCTGACCTTGTCGAGAAACGCCTTCTCCGAGTCCTTGATCCTCGCCAGTATTTCAGGATCTTTCTCGATGAGGTTTCTGCAACACAAGTCAACCAAAAAGGTCTCTGAGTACACCAACAACTCCTTCATACTCTACCGCAGCAAGAGAAGATGTTCACTTAGTGACCTCTTTCAACATGCCCAATGCAAATTTGCCCATGGCAACGTATGTCGGTTGTGGTGCCAGGACATCCACCTGAGGTGGGCCCATTTTCGAACGTCGAATGGGACATTCCCAAGGGCAAGATCCTTTGACTGACACGTCGCTTCGTTCGCGGTCTTTGTGGAGTACGTGGCCTTTGTATGAGGAGTAAGAGCAGGGCTTGGTGATGAAGCGTTCATCGCAGCCACAGGGCCAGACTCGGTAGCGGTAGAGACACATTATATTAGGTGATGAGGAGAGAGATTAAGATCGCGACAAGGCGAAGAGGCCGTGACTCGTGAAAGAGCTAGCTAGAACTGAGAGAGAAGAGGAATGGATGATCTTACCACAGAACCGCAGCATGTGCTTCTACTTATCCTCACGTCCCAGGCTCACGATGGTCCGACCTCGCCGTGTCGCGTTATTCTTAGCGCCGAGCGAGATATCGTGATAGAGCTTCGACTTTCCAAATTTGCCCTCCCACATGCCCTGCATGGCGATGTGCGGCAGCGGATGCTGGGGGCGGGAAGAGGCTTCTGCCTGTCGTTTCCCCGGGATCTAGGGTATGGAGGTGTACTTTTTCAGGCGAGCCTTATCGCCCTCCGTGTCTTGTTAGAGCATGTGACAAAGATCAACACGTATAGGCAGGCATATCCAGACGAATGGTGGGGCTGCGCTGTTGGTTCATCTGGCGAGTGTGTCAATCCGGTATATCTTGCCGGAGATAACAACCGCGGTGGTGCATGGAAATGTGCTGCGACGGGTCCCTTTGGCTGTTCACGGCATTCGAAAGTTGGCAGGAGCCGTGCGATAGGATGGCGAAGCGTCCACCTGCTCCGATCTGTGTTTCGTGACCCCTCACGTCGAAATACACGCGGTTTGTACACGCCATCGCGCAGCCGTATCATTCGAGTGCCGGCATGACGGGAAATGTTGATTGGACATCGGCCTTGGCAGGCTGTGACAGCTATGGATGTCCCTGCTCGCCATATCCGTGCTCACTGTTGAGAACGACGCTCACGGGGATCTTCGACGCGACCAATGACACCCAACATGTCATAGCGGAAGGCGGGATTCTGGGTGATTTCACGGCGGTCGAGGTTATCGGGGTTGTCGCGTGGTTGGAGACGATGGCGGTGGTTGTTGGGGATGTTGGGCTTACGCGGCGGAAGGAAAGCGGTAGGGACGGGTTGAAGGGTGGTGGGTTCGGGGAAGTGTGAAGACGGAGAGAGGTGGGGAGAGTCGTCCAGACCAAGCGTGAGCGCAGGAAGAGAATGAGGAGAGGTGGGAGTCGAGGTAAGGGTACCAGAGCTTGGACCCTGCATTCTCCAGGCGAAGTGAGTGAAGTGTCCCAGGCAGGTAAAGCGAGCCGAGCAAGTCGAACAGCAACAGACGCGTTTTCCGCCAGCACATCCACCAGCACAGTCATGTGCAGCAACAACACCATGTGAGACTCCGCATCCGGCAGTTGACGATGCCTGGCGACGTGCAGCACACCATTGCCGACATCTCGCGCGCGCTGGCCGCCAAGCACATCCCCCCTACGCACGACTGGATGATCGCCTTTGCCCAGTCCATCCGTCCAAACACTCCCATCCAGGCTCTGCAACGGACGGCCGAATTCCGTCTGCTGGGCACCGATATCGTCACCTCCCTCCAGTCCTCGACTCAGTCTACCTTCCCTTCTGGGATTACCAACCCGAATGTCAAAGAACTGCGCATACCTGGGCCTGTACCCGTTCAGGTGCTGGATATCGAGGACATTGGGCGCAGCAGATGGAGTCAGGTCGAGGCTATAGAGATGGAGGAGCGAGGCGAGACGCGTAAAGGGCATGAAGTCATTCGTGTTGTGCAGGATGAAGAGGACAATTCAGATCCGAACCCTCCTCCAACCAACGCCAACTCGCCCTCTGGACCGCATAAGATCCTTCTTCAGGACGCCAAGGGCAACAAGGTCTACGCATTTGAGCTGGAGACAGTCAATGGGGTCGATGTGTCTATGGCGATTGGGTCGAAGCTGGTCCTGAAGGACTTCCTCGTTGCTCGCGGCGTCATCATGTTGACCGCTCGCGGCACCACAGTCTTGGGCGGCAAATTGGATGCTTGGGACAAGAAGTGGAGGGAGGATAGGAAGAAGGTTCTGAAGGAGAAGGCGGGCTGGTCCGAGAACCCGGCTGCGTAGAGCAAAGTGCCATTTTCCAAGAGCATACCGAAAGACTGCAACACAGGTCAAGAACGCCCAAATGAACCGTAAGTGGGCTTCCTCATATACTTTGAAGTGACGTCTCTGATCATACGCAGCGTATAGACCGCATGCGAGTTCGAAGTGGCCATTTCTTCTGAGGCTGGTCATTTCGCAAGTGCTCGTCGTGCTCAGCAAAGCTTGCGCGAGATTGTACAGCTCTCCTCTACAGCATGCTGTTTGGAGGTGCTGGGACATCGATTTCGTGTCAATTCTGCTTGCAGTTGCGGCTTTCATGGAAAGTATGCAGGCGCGCTCTCCCTCCTCTTCATTTCTTTCTTCTCTTTCCTCTTGTCTAACCATCTCTTCACAGCGCCCTTCTTCTTCACCTCGCTCTGTTCTTCATTCGTGGCGACTCGATACGACGGAGGTCCAACAGGCGCATCGTACTGCCCACCGTACTGATCGGCAGCCTGGCTCTGACTTCGCGCATATGGCATCGGTCCACCGTTCGCCATCGACTTCATCCCACCCAGACCATGCACCGAGAAGGTACCTCCCTCGCCCGGCCGAATGTATTGCTTGTCTTCAGCCCACTCTTTGAGTGATTCTAATCGCTCCTCCGGGCTCATCTCATGTACGTACTTGTACATGCGTGGCGCTGTGCCGTTCGAGGTCGATGGAGACGTCGCCATTTTAGACGCTATCGGTGCTTCGAGACGGTCGTGATGTGCGCCAAGTGGGCTAGGCGCGATCCCACCTGTCCGCCCCCAAACGAGCTTTCGAACTCGTGGGGATGAGATCACAAATAATGACGATCCGCCAAGGACACAGCTGTTGGGACCTCCAGCAACACCTCTTTCGAGTGATGGGATAACGAGGAGGACTTCGCTTAATTCACCTAGTGAGATCTCGACAAAGCACGAATTCAGCGCTGATGATGCATCTTCGTTCAGCGATCGAGAGAGGCAAGTCGTTCATGCTGGAGTGGAGACACGGACAGCATCCTTCAGCCTCAACGGAATCCCGACGTCAGGATCGCTGCTGGCACACCGAAGACGGTCTACCACCCGAACCACGTGGTGTTCATTTGCTTTATCAACTGGACAGCGTCTCTGAGTGGCCATCCCGCCATTGCGTGTGCCCAGGATCTATTCGAGAGGCCATCGACGCCGTCCTCGCCTAACAAGTTGTCGGTTGTACTGCAGCAGGTCCAAAGCTTAAGACAGGCAAGCTATATCTTCGCTGCTTGGTCCATTGTGTGAAGACTTGGTAGGTCGCTAGCACATTCTGTTTGCAATCATGCGTTTCTCAATCACCGCCGCTGTAACAGCAGCACTCGCTCTTTCGTCGCAGTCGTTTGCCCTCAACATCCTCCTGGGCAACGACGATGGTTTCGCTGCCGCCAACGTTCGCGAGACATATCGTCTCTTGAAGCAGGAGGGCCACAATGTCGTTCTCGTTGCATCTGCCGACAACCAGTCTGGCATGGGAGGTCGAGCTGTCTTCACCAACAACGCTTCGCTTGTTGTCAACTCGGAGTACAACATCATCCCTGCCGGTTCCCCTTCAATCGGCACCGATCCAAACGACCACAGCATCTGGTACTACAACGGCACTCCTGCAGCTTGTGCCTTTGTCGGTTCGTACAACATGATCAAAAGACTCGTCAAATACTGATACATTGCAGGCCTCGACTATGTAATTCCCAACTTTACCAATTTCTCCCACCCCGATCTGGTCATTGCTGGCCCCAACTTCGGCACGAACTTGGGTCCTTTCCTTTACACTCTCAGCGGTACAGCGGGCTACACATACGCATCCGTTGGCCGTGGATACCCAGCTATCGCCTTCTCGGGTGGTAACTCTGAGCAACGTTCCTATCAGTGGATCAACCAAACCACCGCAAGTGGACACCCCGACCCTGCAACCATCCAAGCCCAGCTCGCACTTAAGGTCGTCAACGCCTTGATCAAGAGCACCCCGCCAGGCGAGCGCCTTCTACCTCTGGGATACGGCCTCGCGGTCAACACTCCATTCATCACATCCCTCACCAACGACACCTGCATCAACCCACCCTTCGTCCAGACCCGACTGACTGGCGGCGCGGACTACGACATTGCAGCTTACAACGCCACCTCTAGAACTTTCACCTACCAGAACATCGTCCCTCCTGGCGGCAACACTTGCATCAACGGCGACTGCTCGCTCCCAGGCGAGACGAATGTTGTCAACACCGGCTGCCAGGGCAGTATCAGTGTCTTCACCGTCGACTATGATGCACCTCTTGGTAAGGCTCAGACCGATGTTCGCTCGCGACTGACGACTGTCGCGCCATACAACGGCACTGGCAGTGGCAATGGAAGTGGACCTCACTGGGGACCTCCTGGTGGATGGGGACCGCCTGGGAGCTGGGGCCCTGGAGGCTTCCCACCGAGGCATCATTGGAGTGCCAGATGGAACTTGGAGTAGAGAATGCTAGAATTGAAGGTTGAGGTCTTCCTCGAAACGTATGACAAGGATACATGATCCATAGACGATACACGACACGATTCACGATACCTCGCATCTACTGTTCTTGATGTCCATCTGAAGGCAGCAGAGCATCCTGTCGATGCCACTTGTCAATCCACTCAATCACTCCATGGCTGCGGTTTGATGAGATCTCGTATTCTGTGCAAAAACCATCACTTGCTAGAGGTGGTGATCCTTGACTAGCATCAGTGGAGCAGTTGATGATCGACTGGGACTTTTCAAGAAGTAGTACATCTCGTCAAGCGAACATGATGTTGGCGAAGCTGGCGAATCCAGGTTCGATGCGTATAAGGCTTGATGCGAAATAACGAATTGATGTGGATGTGGAAGATGTTTTGGTGAAGGTGTGTGAGAAGGTCACACTGCTTCTGGTTCCTGCATTTGAGATTAGCCGTGATAGCTGAAGCCAATGGGAGAGCTCGGTCGGCATCGAGGCCATCGCGCGAGCTTAGCGCGCCGCCTCCCCTGTGTCCTCCCGTTGCGCCAGGAGTATCGTGTTGTACAACACCTCCTCCTCCACCGCCGTTGCGAGTGCCTTTGCTGCCTTTTGCATTGTTTCGTCGTTTCGCGCAGTCACTCATTCCCCCCATAACCACCTTACCTCAGTCAGTCCTTACTGCAGAGTCGGCTGGCCGGCCCTGTGAATCAATCGATCAATCAATCAACCATACCTACTTAATTCACTATCTGCAAACGCCACCGAGACCAAGACGCAGCCATGTTTCGCAGCACACTCCTCCCCCTCGCCCTCCTCGCCGTAGGCGCTTGGGCTCAAACCTCGACCGACTGCAATCCCCTCAACTCGACATGTCCCTCGGATCCAGCCCTGGGCACCACCTTCGACAGCCCATTCAACAAGTCCACGACCGAATTCAACCCGACCTTCTGGAACATCACTGCGGGAACCGATCTCATCACTTTCGGCGACGATGGCGCCTCAATGCCCCTCACGAAGAAGGGCGATACGGTCACAGTCAAGTCCAACTTCTACATCTTCTGGGGCACCGTGGAGATTATAATGAAGGCAGCGGCGGGCACTGGAATCATCAGCACGGTGATCCTGCTGTCCGATGATCTGGACGAGATCGATTGGGAGATCATGGGCGGAAACAGCAGCACGGTCGAGAACAACTACTACGGCTGGGGCAATACTTCCCAGTTCAACTCTGAATATCCCGCGCTTGATGGTGCACAGTCGGACTACCACAACTATACGATTAATTGGACCAAAGACAAGATTCAGTGGATTCTGAACAATAATACTGTGAGGGAGGCTTCATACGACTCTCCCGGAAACTATCCCCAGACCCCAGCTCGAGTGCAGTTTGGCGTGTGGTGCGGTGGGTGTTCTGAAAGCGAAGGTACCCGACAATGGGCTGGCGGTGATACCAACTTCGACCAAGCGTGAGTATCTATTCACAAACCAAATGATGTCCTCCTAACATGTTTGTAGCCCCTTCACCATGTACGTCAAGTCCATTCGCATCACCGATGGCACCACCAATTCGAGCTCGTACAGCTACGGCGACAACACCGGCTCCTACGAAAGCATCAAAGTCGAAGAAGGCGAATCCGAAGCATACAAAGCCATCAACAAACTGTCGACTACCCAAAAAGTCGAACAGAAATGGAGCGGCCTCTCAACGGGCGCGAAGATCGGCATCGCAGTTGGCGTGCTGGGAGGCTTCGCCATCGCCCTGATCGCCTTCGCATTCTACTTTGTGAACCAGAGGAAGAAGGGCCGTGCTGAAGCCGCCGCGCATGAGAAAGAGTGGGAGGCGCAGAACAACGAGTTGATGGAGTACCGGTCTATGATGGCCAAGGGCAACTTTGCCGTGAGTCGGCAGAGTGTCATGATGGACGTCAAGGCCATGGAAGGCCACAGGTTTTAGAAAGATCCCGCATATCGACAGAGGTGTTTTTGGCTGCGTTGCTGGCTGGCTGGCGCGAGTGCGGCTTTGCTTGTCTGTTAGGGTGACGTGCATCATGATACCATTTGTTTTATTCATTCATTTCCCTTGTCCTTCCTTTCTCAATTGAGAGCGTACTTCGTCTAGTCTCCAGGAATGCGGGAAATGGGTCAGAATACTTGGAAGGCGAGTCTGTGGACCTGATTTCGACGCCCTCGCAGTGGTTGCTGATGGCCCTGACAAGAGCTGGCTCGCGCTGAAATGGTATGCTGGCCCTCTGGGAGACGAAGTGTGACCTCAAACCTCTGCCACTCGAACTCTTTCCGTGGGATAACTGAAGCCGGAACCCAACCCCCAGCTTCATCAACATCGACCTCCACCCTCTCGACACCATCACCGCTCCAAGCCCACCCCCAAACCCTCACCTCCGGACCTCGTACCACAACATCTGGCTCCGGACTGACGATCATAGAACTCGGCTCAACCTCCCACACCGGCCTCATCTTCCCACTCTCATCCCCCGGAACCAACTCATTATAAAAAGTCGTCGTGAACGGCCCCGGCGACCTCCCCTTCCTCGCCGCCAACGAACAGAGCCACTTGACACTGTTCGTCCCAAACCACCCGGGCACCACAAGTCGCACCGGCCCACCTCGCCGCACATCCAGAGGCTGTCCGTTGATTTCGTACGCGACGAGGACTTCATCCTGAAAGGCCTTGCTGAGCGGGAGGTCTTTCTGATACCGATCTGCTTCAACGGAGGCAAAAGTCCCAGAGTCCAGCCCATCCGACCAGATGAAATCCGCTTCCGGTAGAGGTTCCGCCATCGCTAATAACTTCGCCAACTGCACGCCCGTCCACGTAACATTCCCGACGCGCCTCACAAACTCCGTAGGCGGTTTCAGGGGACTGCCATAACACTCATGAAACGCCGTGATCTTCGTCGACGGCAAGGCTTTCAGTTCAGTCAAGGACAGGGTGTAGGGGTGCGAGACGAGGCCGTGGATCTCGAGACGCCAGAGGTTGTGGTCGATTATGGCGGCGCCCATGTGGATTGTTTGGAAGAGGGAGGTGTCCGGGGTTATGAAGGTGGTGAGGTTGTGCGGGGGTGGGGGTGGGCGGAAGTGGAAGCCTGGGGTTGTTTTGATGAGGGAGGGGTGTTTGGGGTTGTTGTCTGGTGATGTTTTCTCCATCGTCGCTTGGAGTTGGTGTTTGTGTTGTTTCTTGTCGAGGAGCTTTTGGAGGTCTGGCATGATGCCCCTCTTCTTACGCTACGAGCTCTTCCTTTGAACCGTAAGCTCAACCTCCTTTCCATATCGAAGATACGCCTCACGACGTATCAGCTGGCGTGTGAGTCTCAAGTACAGCAGTCTCGCACTTGAATCTTCATCTATGCATTCTTTCTCTCCATCGCCGCATCTATCATTCGCCCTGTATCATCTACTCACCGCAATCTAATCGCAAGTAAAAGAAGAACCCCCTCACAACTTCCCATTCCCAAACACCAAATCCGCCTCACTCGAACTCGGCGCATACCCACCCGCCGCCGCCGCATTCTCCTCCTGGACGAGAAAACACTCCTCCGTCTGCACGTACTTCGGATCAAACACAAACTCCCTCACCTCAGCATTCTTCCACATGTACGTACTCTCACCGCCCTCGTTTCCCGTGATGGACCTCAAGATATCTCCATGCGCCACCAGAACGATGTTCTTCTCGGGCCTCTCTCGCAGAAACTGACGAACCCACTTCGCCCGCTCGCCTTTCGACTCGGGCGCCCAGAAACCTTTCTTGCTGGTCCACTCGGGTTTCAGGCGGGAGAAGTCGAAGCCAGCGAATTCAGTGTTGGTTTTGAGGATTTCTTTGGAAGAGCCTGTGTCGCAGGGGAAGGCGTTGCATTCCTGGGCTTCAGGGAGGCAAATCACATTCTGGATCCCGAGGCGCTCGACGGCCGGGGCCCAGCCGAGTTTGGTTGTTTGGAGAGTTCGTTTGAGGGGCGAGGAGACGACCAGGTCGATTTTGGAGTGGATCTTTTCCAGCTGGGGTGCGAGGGAAGCGGCTTGTTTCTTGCCTAGTGGGGTGAGAGGCGCGTCGGGGACTGTGGTAGAAGATCAGTATTGGATATGGCGGTGTCTAGGTTTGACATGTGATCTTACTGCTGTAGTCCAGGTCGACGTTGTGCTCTGCTTGAGCGTGTCGGGTGAGGAAGATGCGGGAATTGGGCGCCATGTTGACGAAGGTTGAGTCGGAGCGGGAATTTTGCGCTCGTCGTGGAGAAGAGCAGTGGTGAAGTCTTGTCAATATCTCTCACTTCTGGAATGACTGGAATGAAGTCTTTTCCACCGGGACTCGGACTTCTTCAGGTCGTTGAGTCGGAACTTCTTGGCACGATGCGCTCATCGCTGCTTTCGGTAGAATGTTCTACCGAAGATCCTGCAGCGTTTGGGTGAAGCTCGTAGTTGTTGTTTGCCATCAACAAAGACTTCTCAAGACAGTCTTTCATCAAGCCATGTCATCCCTTATGAGGCTACCGAACTATGCAGCAGACACATATGCTTTGCCATGCAAGTCTAGGTGTAGCAATCGATCTAGATCTGCACAAAATGATGTCGTGGAAGGAAGAATTGAGTGAAATGTCTATACCCAGAAACCACACAACTGACCAATTCGACCATGAAATCGAGTCATAGAATCACAAAGAAGCGCTCGCAGGGCCCATCCCAATCGCCAAAAGCAGCCAGGCCAACACATATCACGACTCTAGCTCAGGCAGTCGTCCAAATCGCAAAGGTCAACAGCGAGATTGCTTCGATATCAAGCCAGCTACGACGCCTGGATGTAGACAGTGACAGCTCTCCATCAGCAAGATCTGCCAGCGATCAAGGTGAACATCTGACTGACGACATCCTGGACTCAAAAGCTATATCCGCACTCCTGGACGCGTGTGAGCTCGATAGTCAGGACTGCAAAGCTGGAGATCAAGACAAGAAGCAGAGAATTCAGTGTCCAGCGGAGCTTCAAGAACGACTGCGGAAGCTGCAACGACTACCTCGACTTGGCCGGCTTGTGAGGGTTATCTTGCTGCAGCAGTATCCGCTGAGTTGGGAGCGTTTGCTGCAGTCTTGAGGAGAGGATCGAGATCAGCCAGGAGAACGACTGCTCAGGCTATTCGATCGTGTGTGACCTTCTGCGAGTTCCTTCTATGTGCAAGATGGCCGTAGACATGCATCACGCCGGTACACACTTGGCAACGGCAGTGGGAATGACGGACGAAGGCATAACTCGTTGAAGGGTCTAAGACATGGTCACATCTGTGTCAACAGGGTGTGTCGTATGAGATGGAACTGGGCAACTTTTGGCCAATGGCCAGGGGACGGCAAGATGGGATTCGAGGCTGATGTTTCTTGGTGAGGAAAGCTCGTCGACAGTGCAACGTTTCCTTGCTCTGGCCGGCATTGTCTCTCTTCTCGTCTTTATCCTTTATTTCCTCTACAACAAGCCGATCGTAATGTCTCCCTTCACTCTTGCAGTCAAGTGGATCTCGACTTCGAGGTCCAGCTCAATGTTGATTCTCAAGCTGTTCTTCTTCTCGCCATCAGAGACCTAAGACTCCAACATCAGCTGACAGCCAAAAAGACAGAAATTGAATTGCAGAAGTTACCGTGTTGCCGCCGGCGCCAGGGGCACTTGGCTTCCTCTTTCCAGTGACATCGTTCAAAGCTGGATCAACTTGGGACAGAGCTCCAGTTGGATTGCTGCCCCTACCAATGGTCAGACCAATGCTGCAAAGCGGACGAGAGGCTGCTCACAGTCCACCAAGACCAGGAGTTCCCGTCGAAGTCTGATCTTTCTCTTTGCTTGCCATTTTGTGAGCTTTTGGTGTCAGAGGGATAGTCCAGTACTCCACTGCCTTCGCTTGGAGATGATGGAAGTGGACAGGTGGGACTGCGAGAAGATATGAGGCAAACAGGTTGCGCACACTTGCAGCTTTGAACGCAGCTCCAAGCACCCACGGGTACACATGACGAATAGCGCACCGATCCATCCGCTTGCCGTGCATCACCAGAACCGCTCGATCAGTCGCAAGCACCCAATCAAGTTCTTCATGATGTGAGGAAGCGGGCAGCTCTCCCAAACTTGCACTGAACAGAACAGAGAGTGCCGCAACACTACTGCAGCCTCCTCAGTCGAGACGCCGATCGTAGACGGAAAGGGGAATTACACAAGCTTCAACCGCCCTGGCAACATCGACGGATTCTTGGGCTAATGCACAAATTCTCCGACGCATGAACTAAGCTCGGCTTCGTGAGAGCTCGGTGAGCTATTACATCAGTTGCCGACAGCTGGGTGAAGAGCTTTGCAAAGGACTCAAAGCTAATATTTGACTGCTTGGAACGGTGATGGTCTGCTACGTTATTTTCCTCTATGAACATCACGAACTGACCATGAGCAATAGGTGCTGGGCATCCTCACAGCTGTCGCAGCATGTCCTGCGATCATTGGGACCACTGAGGCAGTGAGACATGGTAAGGAGTCGGCAACAATGGTCTGCCAACACGAATCGCTCATACCTTCGCCACTTAGGCCAACGTCAAAATGCACGCGAAGAACACCGCGGCCGCAAGAGTCACTTGGTGGTCTCGTTGCTGAATCGAAGTGCATACAGCCAACGTTTCGACGGAGCACCGATTGTACTCAAAGATAACAAGCTGTGGATTGACACGACTGGCGTCAGCAGGCGAATGGAGCTACACCCATGTACATGCCATGCATTCTCGCGACAAGACTTCAATACTGATTGTGAACAGTCACCGGCTACTTCCTCCCGTACCCAGGCGATATGGAGAAGATTTGGCGCGACGCAGGCTACCACAAAGGCGAGGGTATGGTCACGACAATCTCAGATGACCCGCCCTTCCTGAACTGGGTATACGTGGATCGTCAGACACATGAAGTCAAGTACGGCATCAGAGATGAAGCGCAACCTCATGTTGTAGGACCTTGGGATGTCAGTCTGCCAGAATTAAATTCCCAGGCGATCCCAGCTGATACGCTTGCAGGTGACCAAGTACGATCGACGACTCACATGTGAGGGATGGGAAGGCTTCGTTGCTGTGGAGGAAGAGGATGGCTGCCCTCTATGGGCACTTTACTTCGATCGAGAAGACGATGGTCTGCAAAGCGAGGAGAGAGTGGGTACACAAAGGTTGCGGATGCTCGCTTTGGAGGTTTGGAGAAGAGAGCTGAGAGCAGATCGTGAGACTGCGGTTGAGAATAGGTTGGAACGTATCAGAGCTCGCGAGGAGAAGTCTTCGGAAGAGACTACTGTGTCGTGATCGCGAGATGCCCAGCAGGAGACTTCAATTGCATGGAGCTATTTTGTCCTCACAAGACCCTTCAAAATTCAGCACTCAAACATCTTCAACGTCGACACGTTGAGTCGACTCCATCTTCGCCCTTCTCGAACGCAATTGAGGAACTGCATAGGCCAGTAAATGTGATACAGCGCTAGCAATGGCAACGGATCATCAAGCCGGTACGTTCCATCTCTCCAAAAGAACAAATGCGACCAGAATACGGGTACATGGCGCAGACACTCGACGACTGAGATTCTCAACAACAGCAGTCGCGCCAGTGGAAGAAGTAGACTCTCGACAAGATCATGTCCTATCCAGTAGTACTTCTTCGGACTTTTCGGGTACACGACGGTGGGCGTGCTCGCATCCTTAGCCAGAAGGCTGAGATACGCAGCAACCATGTCCTGGTCATCGCTGAAGAGGACGACCGCCGTGTGAGCTCTCGGATTACATTCGATCGGATAAAGCACGATTTGTTCGGGATCTTGTTGATTCGTATCCTCCACCAGAAAGTCGAACGATAGATGTCCCGTAAAGCCGTCTCCATACTTCGCCGCAAAGCGCTGAGTGAAACGCAGCATGGCGAGATTCAGTGGAGAGCCTTCTGGTAGTGCTTCGTAATGCATGAGGAGCTCTGAGGATGGGCAGCTTGCGAAGACTTTCACTTTGCCATTTATGACAACCGCATGGGTGCAGAACTCTTCCCCCTTGACGAACTGCTGCAAGATCCATGCCTGTTTCTCGGAGATTTGTAGTTGATTAATGTGTTTGACCGTTTCCTCCCAAGGTGCCTTGGGAAGTAGTGTCATATCCCCCCTGGCGGCATCGTCCATTCCAATGGGTTTCATGATGTACTTCCGACCAGAAGGGGCTTTTCGAAGAGCATCCTGCACCTGTTGGTGATTCGTAATTGTGTGCGTCTCCGGGACGTTCAAACCAAATGCTCGAACCTTGTCGATGAAGGTGTGCTTCTCGTGCAGCGTCCGAGTCGTCGCGATATCGAATTGAATCGCCTTGCAGTCTGTTCTGTTTTCGATGATCTCCTTCGCTCCACCATCTTCGACCGCGGATGCAACCCCTGAACAGCTGACCCAGAGGTCGATCTGTTCGTTTTGAATGATATCCAGCAGTCCTTGAATGTACGGCGCAGATCCGTGCTTTGCTGTCGGCTTCTCGAGTCGATGGAATCTTGCAAGTGAATTTGAGAACCTTCCTGGCGATAAAGCTCCATCTGGCTCAAAGTCTGCCCCAATGACCCTGTGACCTGCTTGTTGGAATGATCGAGCGAGTGTCAAACCTTTTGACATGCCCACTCCGGTCACAAGAACATTCTTCCCAGATGATGATCTCAAGCTCTTTATGTTCCGCCCGCTCAAAAGACCCAGCAACTTGTTAGCGGCCAGGCTGAGCAGAACTATGACCAAAGTGATGGGCAAAAAGGCCACGCTCAAGAATATTAATGTAACATTCTGCAGAACGTGAGCTGTGCGAGACGAAGTTGCATCCAGCATTTTCAACAACATGTTCCTCCAAATGCGACCGCCCGTCACTTGCCTTGAATCCAAAAGACTAACTCCAGGATGTCACATGCTCAAAGTTCATCTTTACATTCAAGAGAGTTTCATGCTGGCGACTGTCACTACGAGCACGTGACGTCGAAACGACCCCGACTAAAGTGGAGCTCAATGACGCTTACATGCAAGAGTGCAGAACTTGGCGCGGTCTTCGCCTTTCTGGGGCGCCGAAACTATGTCTGTACGGTCGCAAAGCCTCTTCAGATTGTACACGAAATTCTGGAGATGCTATAGTACGAGATACGTTACAATCTTATCATTCACTTGAACGGGTGAGGTTGGTGCTCATAATCCGCTAGGCTCGATGCGGCAGTCAAGCGGCCAATGACAAGCGATATAGCGAATCAGGCTGTCGACGACGGTGAGCCTCACGACTTGGTGGCTTCGCCAGTACACCTCGATATTCCAACTGCGTCCTGCTCCCAGTCAATAGGGGCTCAGAGGCCGCACTGTAATTTTCGACTCACCTTCTCGCCGCTTGGCTCAAAGCCTTCCACTAACCTGCTCTCATAGATCAGATCTGGGTTTCCTCGCTTCCTCTCATCCTCCTCCCGATTGAAGGCTGGTCTTCTCTCTTGCACACTTGCAGTCATATAACTCCAATATTCAGGTTGCCCAGGGTACACACAGTTGTCAGCAGTAACTAGGGTTCCTGGAGACACGAGCCCGAGCCTCTCGCAGAGCTTGATATCCCTCTCAAACTCGATATGATCGATGAACAGCATATCGACATGTTCGAGATTCTTCTCGCGGTGAAGCCTCTCCAGTGATGCACCGCTATCTCCGACGATGACTTCGACGACGTCGTCCAGCCCGGCAAGCCTTACCAAGGCCATGATAACAGCTGCGAACTCGGGACTGCTTTCGAGGGTGAAGTACCGCTTGCCGCCCAATCTTTTGAATACGTCCCCGAATAGTATGGAAGAGTAGCCAACATATCCTCCCAGCTCCACCATGGTTTGCGGCTTTTGTTCTTGAATAAGCTCTGTAATGATCTTGCCTTTGTACTGCCCTACGTTCATCAGATAATTCTTCGATCGCGCATATTCATCGATGGCTGCCAGTACTGCAGATGGCGAATTCCTGACATGTTCGGCTCGATCGTAGACGAAGTGCAAAAGTTCGATTTCTCTACCATCGTCAAACTACTCAATCAGCTTGAGGCTATAAAAGTCTCTCTAATGGACTAACATATGTATTCCCTTTCTTCTGATAGCCTTGCTCTGCATCAAATGCACTCGACGAATTCGTCTCTGCCATGATTGAAATCAAATCAATGCCAAAAATACGATCTTTGCTTCACACCGGCCCTCTTATGAGACACTGTTTTCAAACACAAACACAACAATTTGGTACCCCTCACCAAATAATACATCACCATACAGCTCCAACCAATCGCAGCGATTCCCCTTGCAGCTTCGTGAACCTCTCGCATGTCAGATCTCGGTAATCTGGGCCTGGGGCAAAGCGTTGGTGGGGTGATATTGCAAGATGCGGAGAAAGCCTTTTCGTCATGCAGATTCGATGACAGCTGCTTGATGCGTATATGTTGCAAGAGGTCTCCACAATAGTTCAGATGTGCGTTCCATGTTCGTGATTTTGGTTACTGCCAAGTTGAAGAAAACCAACTTACGGTGGACTCTCGTGCGCGTGGAGATATTCACCGCGCCATTCACACAAAGCCTGATCGGTGCCAGTGATTTCGTGATACCCCTCCAGCACTCGGCCACAACACATGCGGGAGCTTCTCCGAGATCAACAAAACTCAATCTAGAAATTTATGCGCTAGGATCTTGCAGATGAGCACTAGACCCCTCGCAACGTGGACTCGGCACGTTCAGGATCTGTCACCTTCCAATCGTCCAGTCAGATATGGATACTGCTTACCATGCCGGCCATCTGCCGACGGGTGTAATACATCATCACCCCTCGATCTCGTGCATCGCGGAGCAGATCTAACCCTGTATCTGGCAAGGTTCCAAGCCATTGCGTGATTTTTTCGAGAACGATCTTGATCAAGAAGAGCACGACGAGCTGCACGAGTGAACGTTCCTGTCGGTCTGAGGAGGATTGATGTCTGCAGACGCCAATCAACCACGCCAGGTGGTGGAACTCTTGGGTCCCGAATGCTCTTGTGTTGGTCGGCCAAGAGGGATGCGGTGGTCGCGTCACGATTCGCGTCCTCCAGCGAGGGCGTATTTATGGGTACCTCGTTACCTCTCTTTTGTTGACGAGCCCTGTCAACAGAGTACCTTGCCTTATCTCTTGAAGTTCAATTCCTTGGTTCTGTCAGCAATACCGCAATCATGTCTGATATGAAAGCATCCGTGGCACCTAGTGCCGACGGTTTCCATGTTGAGGGTTACGAGAAGATCGAGTACGACTTCACCTTCATTGACGGAGTCTTCGACAAGAACAACAACGGCCTTGCAGATTGCTACAGACGATGGGGAAGATGTCTTGCGATCATGGATATGAACATCTTCAATCTCTATGGAGCAGAGATGCAGCAGTACTTTGAGCATCACAACATCGAGCTCGACGTTCACAAGACTATGATTGGCGAGAAGGCCAAGAGCATAGAGACTTTTCTGTCAATCGTGGACTCCATGAACAAGTTTGGCATCTACAGAAAGGTAAAGACCAATTCCACGGTTCAAAGATTCTCAATAGCTTACGATATCCTCAGGAGCCAGTCCTCGTGATTGGAGGCGGACTGGTCACAGACGTTGCTGGGTAAGGCAGTTCAATGATCAATTGAGAAACGAATAAGCTAACTTCTGCAGCTTCGCATGTGCGGCATACCGAAGGAACACTAACTACATCCGTATCCCTACCACCGTGATCGGTCTCATCGACGCTTCGGTGTCGATCAAGGTCGCAGTGAACTACGGCAATTACAAGAACCGCCTGGGAGCTTACCATGCCCCGTAAGTTGCTGCCCATATCAATATTTAGGGAGATTGCTAAGAGTTCGATTGCCCAGAATCCGCACTTTCCTCGATTTTGGTTTCCTTCGCACCCTGCCAGAAGCTCAAATAAGAAATGGTTTTGCAGAGCTCATCAAGATCAGCTCTTGTGCCGACCTGAAGACATTCGATGCCCTTGACAAGTACTGCGAAGAGATCATTAGCACCGCGTTTGGTCGTACAGACAATGCCTCTCCTGAAGTCCGCAAGGCTTCTGATATTTTGGAGAGGGACAGCATTCATGAGATGCTGAAGCTGTAGGTGTGAACTGATGGCTGGTTTCGAGCGTTTCTAATCAATCTCACAGTGAGACGCCTAATTTGCATGAGATTGGTCTTGATCGAGTGATCGCCTATGGTGAGTACATCCTCCATGAAACAAAGGAAGATGACAAAACTAATGTGTTCTTCTCCCAGGCCACACCTGGTCGCCACTCCACGAACTCGTCCCCGAAGTTCCCCTCCGCCATGGTCACGCAATCTCCATCGACATGGCCTACTCCGCCACCCTCGCCCACATGCGCGGCAACCTCCCCGACACCGACTACAAGCGCATCCTCAACCTCTTCTCCCGTGCAGGTCTCTCCATGGACCACCACCAATTCAACGAAGAAATCCTCCAGAAGGGCACCAAAGCCATCCTGCGAACACGAGACGGCAAGCTTCGGGCGGCCATCCCAAGCCCGTTGGGCAAATGTGTCTTCCTGAACGATGTGACTCAGGATGAGCTTAATCAGGCACTGAGGAAACATAAGGAGGTTATGAAGAGCTTTCCTCGCCAGGGCGATGGTATCGAGGCGTTCGTTGATGCTTCCGATACCGGCTACACCATGAACCAGGTGCCCGTTGAGCATGCCAACGGTGTCAGCGAGAAGCTGAAGAAGCTGAAGGTACTTAACGATGATACCAGCATGAATGGTGCGAATGGTCATGCCAATGGTGTGGAGACGAACGGTAATGCTGTCAAGGATGCGAAGTACCACGCTTCAAGACCAGAAGGTGTTGATGGGACTCAGGGCCAGCCAAACGGCCACATTGTGAATGGGAACGGCCACACCAATGGTGTTCACTAGAGTCAGTGCGTTGCATTTTAGTCGATCGATAGAGCTGTGAGCTTGGCTCCAGCGAAAAAGCATCTTGGCACGGTTCCTCGAGTGAATGAACTTTGCAGCTTCAGTGTTCATCTCGAAATGTGTCTCTAATCCCACTCTATTCTCCCAAAATGTCAGTAGTATTGCTCTCAGTCAACCCGAGTAGTCTGTGTCATACCTCTGTTCTATGATGTCACTCTCAAAATCGTAATGTGTGGGATCTTCTTTCTGCATCTCTCCCTCGTCCAAGCCTTCGCTCCTACATCTATTCAACCACACCTACACATGCATCCCCTCACCATCCACGAAAATGGACCTGAAATACTTCATCTGCACCCTCGGCCAAGCCTCTCGCCACAAGAATGAACCCCAAGACTTCACCAACATAAACGACTTCACCGAGGAACAAGCACATGACTACCCCAACCACCCGGCAGTCGGTTTCTACAACCCCTCCGAAAGCCAAAACCAGCCTTGGAGAACGCAAGTCCTGACCTTCAAAGAAGTGCTCCAGGGAGCATGCTGTTATGCTGAGAGGCTCTCTACCCTTCTCGACGTGCAGGATAAGGAGACTGTAGCCTTGCTATGTCCGAGTTCGCCGAATTTCCTGTTTACTTGGCTTGGGGCAATGAGGCTGGGACATCCTGTGTTGCTTATTGCTCCACAGGGTTCTCCGAATGCTGTTGTGGAGCTTTGTAAACAGTGCAGTTGTGAGAGGTTGATTTATGATCAGATGTATAAGGATTTGGCACTGGCTTCAAAAGCGGCAGGGAATGGGCATGGGATCAAGCTGGTTCCGCTACCGTTCAAGGACGAGGAGGTACTGGGAACGACGAAGCAGCCTGTAAACTCGAGGCTCAAGGCACAAGACGTGAAGCCTTCTGATGTAGCCTACCTCCACCACACATCTGGCACCTCAACCGGCATCCCGAAACCCATCCCGCAAACGCACCACGGCGGCGCAGGAGTCTATACCGCTTTCGAAGGTTCTCACCATGCAACCTTCACCACGACACCTTTGTATCACGGGGCAATAGCGGATCTCTTCCGAGCCTGGACGAGTCATGCGTTGATCTGGCTGTTTCCTGGGAAGGAAGCCCCAATCACGGCGACGAATGTTGTGAAGTGCCTTGAGGCTGCGGAGAAGGCTGGAACACCGAGGGTGGAGTTCTTCTCGAGTGTACCGTATGTGTTGGAGATGTTGGCGGAGGATGAGAGGGGTTTGAAGTGCCTGCAGAAGACGGCGATCGTGGGTGTTGGTGGTGCTGCTCTGCCGGCTTCTGTGGGTGACGGACTTGTCGAGCGGAATGTGAACCTGGTATCGAGATTCGGGAGTGCAGAGTGTGGGTTCTTGATGTCGAGCAATCGAGACTTTGCAAACGACAGAGATTGGCAGTATCTGAGGTGCGATGAGGATGAAGACAAACTTCGGTTCGAGCCACGAGAGGATGGCTTGTCTGAACTGGTCGTATTATCCGGCTGGCCGCACATGGCGAAGAGGAATCGAGACGATGGATCGTTCGCGACGGCGGATCTGTTGCAGCCTCATCCGAGGATCAAAGGGGCCTGGAAATATCATTCACGAGCCGATTCGCAGCTCACTCTTATCACGGGCAAGAAGTTCGACCCTTCGCCGCTGGAATCCGCCATCAGCGCTTCCACACCTTTGCTTAGTGATGTATTAATCTTTGGGAACGGCCAACCACATCCTGGGGCTCTGCTGTTCCGCTCGCGAGACGCAAAGGAGGTCGTCGACCAAGACGTCCTGGCTGAGATCGGACCCAAAATCGAACAGCTGAACAAGGAGAGCCAGAGCCACGCGAGGATAGACAGAAGTATGCTAATACCCATGCCATGGACCGAGCAGCCCTTAGAGAAGAGCAGCAAAGGGACCATCTTGCGCGGCAAAGCAGAAGAGCGATACGCTTCCAATATCGAAGCCGCATACAAACAGCAGGTCGATTCGTTGAACGAAAATGTTCCTGACGACGATGTCCCTGACAAAGTCCTGGAAATAGTCAACACGGTCGTGAACACCCCGACGTCCGAACCTGTTGATATGGAGACCGATCTATTCGCTTGTGGAGTTGACTCGATCGCTTGCGTTCGGATTCGCCATGCCGTCTCTCACCTGCTCCCCAAGGGTCATGTTCCACTACCTCTGACCGTAGTACAGGACTGCGGGACGGTATCAAAGCTGAGCCAGGTCTTGATTGACATGAGGCAGGGCAAGGATCCAGATCTCAGCGAGACCAAGAATGTTGGAGAGACGATGTTGGGCTTGGTGGAGCAATATAGCCATTTCGATCTATCACCGGGCACAAATGGGTTCACGTCCGGTATCAACGGCTCCAGCCATGGAAAGCGCAAGAACATCCTCCTGACAGGTCCCACGGGCTCTCTGGGGAGCCATCTCCTCGGCCAGATCCTGGAGAATCCAAATGTCCACATCTACCTTCTTCTGCGCGGTAGCACAGCACACGCTGCAAGAGAACGAGTACTAAAAGCTCTTCAATCCCGCAAGATCCCCATTCCGAACGACTTCGACGACAGACTGACCATCCACACATGCGCCCTGTCGAAACCCTATCTTGGACTGTCAGAGAAGACATACGCCAACCTCGCGGGTAAGATAGATGTGATCTACCACCTCGCCTGGTCCGTCGACTTCGTCTTGCCGCTTCAAGGATTCAGGCAGCATTTCACCGGCCTACAATCCCTCACAAACCTCGCCCTGGCGCGCAAGCCCGAACCAGCACACTTAATCTTCTGCTCCAGCACTGCCTCCGTTTCGAATGGTAGTAGTCCTGTGGCTGAAGCTGTCGTTGAAAATCCAGCCGTAAGTGGAGGTATCGGGTACTCCAGATCAAAGTGGGTGGCAGAAAATATCCTCCTCAAGGCAAGACAGCAACATCCCAATTTGAACATCGACATCGTCCGCGCAGGCCAGTTGAGCGGAGACACCATGCACGGCATCTGGAATATGAGCGAAGCATATCCTTTAATGTTGAGCAGCGCGAGAGAGACGAGATGTCTGCCAGATTTGGGCGATGGTGAGGATATGCGATGGGTGCCGGTGGATTTGGCTGCGAGGGCGTTTGTTGAGTTGACGCGTGAGGAGAAGAGCCATGGACAGCAGCTGGCGGTGTTTCATGTCGTAAACTACAATAGCGAGACGACATGGCGACAGTTGTCTGCTTGGATCCAAGAAGACGCAAGTGACGTCGAGATCTTGTCAGTGAAGGAATGGCTGAGGAGGTTGGAGAAGTTGAAGGCGCAAGGAAGCGAGAATCCTTGTTTGAAGCTGCTTGAGTTTTGGAAAGACACGTATGGGGCGAGAGATGAGGGCTCAAGCACCAGCGAGACGCCATCCAGGACGGTATATGAGATGAATAGGACTTTTGCGGCGATGCCGGCTGTGGCACAAATGAGGTCGCTTGACAGAGATTACGTTTTGAGGCTGTGGGACTGGATCAAGGCGAGGTAGAAGAGATGAAGAGGCGGTGAACAGTCGTTCTGAATCGGATTTGAGCGGACTCTTCTTTAGACCACTCCACGCGCTCTTTCGCGAGGCGGTTCCCCTTGCGCCCCATATGCTCCAGGCGGCCTGGTAGCAGATTCTCTGATTACCACAGCGATTCCTCTCCCAGTAGCCCGCAAACCAATTCCCAGATCTGCGGAACTGATGAACCGACACATATAGCGCACCGCCTGCAATGCATGACGTTGGGCTGAAGTGGAATATGCCGCCAGTGGGAATGATATGCTCGAGAATCTTCACAAGAAGCTCCGTGGATAGACTGCTGATCGCACTGACATCCTGGGCTTGGGAATGGCGACATGGTAAGTGTCCGTTTCGTCTACCCTTCGTCATGGATCGCGTTGCCACAGGTCTCGCGGCGTACCTGCCGCCATGCTTGTGAACAGCGTACAGATTGGGCAGTACCAGGAGGTCCTTGCCCTCTGACGACATTTGGTCGTCCAACGAGGACAAGCCACGGGAACCACCTGGGCGAGGAGTCAGGCACCGGCCAGGTTCGTTCTCACACCAAAGACCAAATTGTTGCGGTGGGGTGGGGGTCGGAAATAGCAGGTCTTTGCACTGAAATAGGATCCGCGCATCCTGAAATCCTGATATGGAGTCTGGGCAGCGGGAGAGGAACAAAATGGGGGCCGTGCGGGAAATACATATGGCAGGGACCCAATCTCATCTTTCGGTCTTTCTTGTGGGCGGAAGTAGAATTGAGGGCGATTGACCCAGATGACTCCGTCCCAGAGTCTTTTGGACGAGAGTGTTGTTGCCATCGATTGAGCGCCACCATCATCTCAGCCCCAGATCTGAGGCAAACCCCACCAGTAAACTCGCTTGCATCTCGTCGCCGTTCTTCAGAGCCTGCTCGATCATAGCTGCTGGTCCCACCTTTCGACCCGGTTTGGGCTTGGCTTCTGCTGCGATACGAAGATACCGCTTGACACTCGCCTCCAGAACCTTGACAATGTCTTCATCTACTGCTGCGGATCCTTCTGAAGCTGTGTCAAGATATGGCAACAGTAAGAAAATCGCCCTCTCTGCAAGTCGTAGACGATCTTTCTTCGAGGCTTTGTCAAGGCCAGTCTTGACGGATGCAAGTGCTTTACTCAGAGCTGCTGGGAACTCTGGCGATTGCGAATCAATGGCGAAGAATTGAAGCTTGGCGTCGCAGACGACGACTTCGGGAGATGATGGCCAGGCAGAGTGCAGGAAATCCAGGATGTGCTGCAGTATGGTGGTCGTTGAAGGCACATTGTCAAATGACGAGATAAGATCGAAGAAGGCCTCGGCCACTTCAGGCGCATTCTGATGGAACTGCTTCATGGCAGCATCGAAGATGGCGATGGGGATGGCGCCAGAGAATGCAGGTGCGGTTTCCAATCGCTTCAGTGCATTCTCATCAACTTCCTCAATGCCCTTGCCGGCATCTGGGTCGATGTCTTCGGCAGTGATGGTGGGCAAAGCAATCATGTTCTCATCGTCTTCTTGCTTCTCTTCCCGGCTCCCGTCCAGACCCAAGATCTTCCGTCTTGCCGACAACTTGGCGAGATATACCATCTCGAGCTTCGCGTACTCCAAGTACAACTTCTTCTCATCCTTGCAGAATCGCAGTCCTCTCTGCAAGAACGACCGCGCGGTGCTCATGTCTCCTTGCGCTTCGGCATAGTATTTCGCAGCCAGCACCCACAGACTCCAGTCGCGCGGATGCAGTCTCAGCACAGCGGTGAAGACTTTGCTCAGCTTCTTGTTCGCCTTCTCCTTCTTGCAATAGTTGATGTATTGCATCCAGAGACCCATGTCGCTGGGAAATTTCTTGGTCGCGCGATCAAGGATGAAGAAGATGGTGCGCTGGCCGCTGAACGTGGTTGACTTGACGCCTAATCGCTTGCACCGCTTCTTGCGCAGACTGTCCAGATTCATCTCGTAGGTCGCATAGCGGGCGTAGTCGGCGGTCGTAGAACCTCGCGCATTCAGAGTGTGCTCGAAGTCGCTTCGCTTCTTGGTGATGGCCGAAATTTCGTCGCGGGTGAAGATGCCTTTCTGCTCGGACTCCTGCAACTCGGGCACATACTGCTCCAGGTAGAAGCGGGCTCTGTCGCTGGCGGCCGCCATGGTTGTGATGTCTTCTAGAAATTCGAGGTTGGACTTTTGAAGAAGACGTCCCTCGGTTTTATTTAAGTTAAGGTTGCACCGAACCGACGGCAGGATTCCGCTCGAAGCGAGGCAAGTCGAAGCAGCTTTACACGTCTCCTGGCTGCAGCACCACCAAAACACCCTCACGTCTCTCTTTGCACTGTCGTCTTCTCCTTCGTTCAGCCCTTCGTTTCATTTGATGGGCCACTAATCAAAATGCCGCCCAAACACCGCGACGGCGACGTCGTAGCCGTGGTATGCAGCATCCATTCACTACTCTCTCCACGTCTTCCGCTGACACGCGAGCAGATTCCCGGCCAGTTCATCTCCCATGCCCATACCATTGCCGCCTATGCCGCCTTTCTGGGAGCCTTCATCGTGGGCGTGTGGTTGCACTACCACAAGATTGTCGAGAACGAGCACTTCGGATACCCCATTGAGTGGTTTCCCTCAGTCAGCGCGACCATTGGCGATCGCTATCCCGAGCGATCCGTCTTCCAAGTCTTTATTGCCATTTGCTCTGGTCCTCGATTCGCGCTGGTCTTCCTCTGGTACTGCTTAGCCAACAGACCGAACAGCAGCTTGCCTAAGTTTGTCGCAGGAGTTGGAGTCTTCAGGACGTTGACGTGCGGAGGATGGACATATGTTACAAGCACAGACGACCATGACTGGCACGACATTTTCATGATTAGCTACCTTGTGGCTACTCTGCCATGGACTTTGGGCTGTTTGGCCCTAAGTCCGCCCAATCCGCAGGCCATCAAGTATCGCAAGTACTTGGCTGGTGCATTTTTCGGCACTCTCGTACCCCTGGTTTACTTCTTCATTCAGCACAAGGTCCACCGCGTGCCAGGAGGTATGGACGTCCGCTCGCAATAGTAGCTTGATTCTGACTTTCTCAGCCTACACCATTTACGCCTTCTTCGAATGGTCCCTCGTCCTCCTAGATGTCGCCTTCGATGCCGTGACCGCAATGGACTTCAGCAGCTTCGAGCTGGTTGTGAAAGATGTAAAGGGATTGAGCAGAGGGTACGTTCAGTGGCTTCCAAAGTAGCTGGTACGATGTGCTCGCTTGGTTATGGACAGGACAGAAAGAGCTGATAAGCACCCACAGAGACAAGAAGCGAGTGGCCGATGCGGTGCTTGAAAAGCAAAAGGACAAGGCAGTCGGCCAAGTCTTCGACGAGCGTTTCTCGTGGGACGAAATGATCGACGCTCTGGCTGATGTCTACCTTGGGGTACGTTGAGGCCCTACTTGTGGGAGCGCTTTCACTGACGCTTTTGTAGTTCACATTCTGGACCATTCTCACTGGCCTTGGCGTCGTCGTCTGGTTCTTTCCACTCTGGCACATGGGCATCTCTGGTTACGAAGTGGCGGTCATGTCTACCATCTCTCCATTTCTTCTCGAGATTCCTCCAATCAGACGAATGGTCTCCAAGTCTGTGCCCATGACTATGCTCACCACAGTTGTCGGCCTCCTTGCTTACCTCATCAAATCTCCAGAATGGCGGTTGGGTGCAGTCAGTCTTGGTGTCTGGCAAGGCTGTTTAGCATGGACGGCAGCTTGGCATACCAAGCGCAATAATCCTGCCATGCTAGAATCGAGAATCTCTGCATGGCTTCTCGGCCTCATCGCCAGCAGCATCGCCAAATTCGCCTTTTGGACCAATAACCCCCTTTGGCCCATCATGAACGAGAACAACGGCGGTTTGAACAAGACTGGTCTCCTCTTCTTTACCCTGGCGATACTGCGTGCCTTCCAGAAACAGTCCAAGCACATCGACAGTGCGCCTGTCGAAAAGCCAAAGGGACCTTCATTCCTTGCCGGACTTGGACTCACAGGTGTATTTTTCGGTCTTCACTCTCTTTACTCCGACTCAAGCACCATGATTTCCTGGGTTTGGGAAGGCTACCCGGTCCGGGGTCCACTTGCTGTTCCACACGGCGCCGTCACCATCTTGGCCATGGGCGTAGGTCTTCTTTTTGGCCTCTTCTATCCCAACCTCGCCCGTAGCTGGAGCGCTTTCGGCATCGGATCTGTCGGCGCTGCTGTGTTGACAACTTTCTCCGACTGGACGGGATACTATGGCGGTCTTGCTCTGGCTGCCTACTTGATGGCAGTCACCCCAACTCTCATCACCAATGCTGTCCGTTTTGCACCTGGACGGACATTCTTCGTCGGCTTCTTCTTTTACAACATCATGGTTCTTTTCCACGTCTGGGTTGTGGCATACGCCTTCGTGCCTGGTGGTCCACTCGTCCGTGAGCATACTGACTGGGTGATGGCCACCACCATGATCATGATCGGCTGTGGTGTCTTCTCTGCTATTCAGAACAGCACCCCGGTCAAACAGAAGTCGTTCAGCCCAGCACCAAGCCCAGCTGCTAGACGGCAAAGAAGCTATTTCATCTACATCCTGATCGGTCTCCAGCTTATAAGCGCCAGCATTGCATACCTGCGCTTCCCCAGCTACGACTACAGGCCTTATCACCCTGACAGCAAGCTGATCACCGCTGGCATCTGGACGATTCACTTCAGCATCGACAATGACATGTGGAGCTCAGAACGTCGTATGGAATCATTGATCCGAGAGTCAGAGCTCGACCTGGTCGGCTTGCTCGAGAGCGACTTGCAGCGCATTATCATGGGCAACCGTGATACCACTCAGTACCTAGCCGAAGAGCTTGGCATGTACGTGGACTACGGCCCTGGCCCAAACAAGCACACCTGGGGAAGTGCGCTGCTTTCCAAGTTCCCAATCGTCAACTCCACCCACCACCTTCTTCCAAGCCCTGTTGGCGAACTGGCCCCTGCCATTCATGCTACCATTGATGCGTACGGCGAGCTTATCGATGTTGTCGTCTTCCATTCCGGCCAAGAAGAGGACCCCGAAGATCGAAGACTTCAAACTGAATACCTCACCAACTTAATGGGCAATTCGCCACGGCCGACCATCTTGCTATCTTACCTGGTTATCAAACCGAAGGAGGGCAATTACAACACCTGGGTGTCTGATCGTAGCGGGATGAAGGACATCGACCCAAGCGATTGGGATCGATGGTGCGAATACATCTTGTACAAAGGCTTGAAGAGGACCGGATATGCACGCATGAGCAGAAGCACCATCACGGATACTGAGCTACAGGTGAGTGAATTATGCATCACGTTGGTGAGACCTGTACTAACCTCACATCTTCTCTAGATCGGCAAGTTCCAAGTCGGCCAACCTGAGGATCTCTCGAACCAGATGATCTCTGAAGAACAAGTACCTTCCGATATGCGCTTCCCGACTCTGTTCAGAGGCCGTGGCGTTCGTGACCACAGATATCACGTCTTCAACGAGCCACGATACTTCTCATAATGATGGACGTGGCATGTGGAAGAGAGAGCGGAGATGTATAGTATGTAGCAATACTCTCATGTACCAAATCTGTACTGCAGTTAAATTGAACCGGCGCAAGCCTACAGCAGTCATCCTGCCCCTACCCCACGGGAAGTCCGCGGACGCCTACATCTAAACGACCACCCACGAATGACGCGGCATCGATCTTCGAACGGCTGAGTTACATTGCTTCTCTATATAGTGCCTTGGTCATCTCGCTTGCAATGAATAAGACTGCTGAAGGAAACCGTTGACTTAGCAGCGCAGAACAGCTTGCCCTACTACCTGTTCGGTGATCTTCGCTCCGGCCATGATATCTATTGCCAGATGTTGGAAGCCTTATTTGGCGGAGCATGTGGTACGATAAATTACCCGTGATTGCGAGCATGAGATTCAAGAGCAAGCGTGGAGTTCTCATCGCCGACGGCCTGCACGCTCAACGACGAGACAGATTGGGCCAAAAGACAGCAGTTTCAACGTGGCACTCGCAGTCTTACTACTCACAACAAAAAGCACCAGATGCTATAGAGCGATCCATTCCACGGAGAAACATGTGTAGACTGTTCTGATCCCGCAGCCCTAGTCTTCATACTCCTGGATCCTGACTGGAACATATCTCGATCAGCTCCGTGGTGGCTCCGGAAGTGACACCGGGCTGTGCTATGGCTCTTTTTGCAGCCCTGAATTTGTCAATAACGGTCACTGCCACTGATGACATTACTTTCGCTATGTCATTTCAGACCATGTGACTGGCCTTGAGCTATGAGCCGGTGCTGCGATACCGGTACAAATAGCAAGGGCCAAGACCAGACGGGGACTCTATCATCACCAAACCACAGTATCACCTCGTCGACACAACAATTTCGCACCAACTATTTCTTTCTTCTTTCCTTGATATCTTGCATTCCACGGCGCTATCATGTTTCTGCTCAATTTAGCATTACTCGGCGTTGCTGCTGCGATCCCCCTTTCCACCAACGCATCTCGAGAATCGCCTATCCCAGTCGAATACTACGGCGCTGGGCTCCCCGCTGGAATCAAGTCGTTCAGTGCAGCAGGTTGGAAAGATGCGACCTATGGCCCATCACGAGGAGGTCAATCAAAATGCGTATCTGGCATTCTCGAAGTCCAAGCCGGCACAACACACAACGCAAAGCTGTCTCCGGACATGATCCCGCAGAACCAGACGGCACTCACGGGCATGATTGTGTCGACATTCACGCCACCCATGAAGATGCCGACTCCAGAGTTCACGACCGTTCAGTCGATCTTCAAGATCGGTGCCTCGCTCTGTGGACCGGCTGATGCATCATCTCCTCCAGCTACTGTCGAGCTTCTCACGCATGGCACCGGCTTCGATAGATTCTACTGGGACTTTGCAGCTGGCTACAGCTACGTCGACGCAGCCGTCGCAGCAGGCCATTCTGTTCTGCTCTACGACCGCCTAGGCAACGGTGCCAGCGACCACCCCGACCCCTAATCGTCCAAACCCCCATCCAGCTCGAAATTGCCCACAGTCTCATCTCCCTCCTCCGAAATGGCTCCATCAGCTCGACCAAATTCTCCAAAGTTATCGCCGTTGGCCACTCCTTCGGCAGTGGCATCGTCCAGGCTCTGAACGTCCACTACCCTACCCTCGTCGACGCTTCCATCCTCACCGGCTTCGGCATCAACTCCACCGCCGCTACGACTCTCGGCTTCGACCTGGGTGGGAACCCAACCATCGCCTCGCTCGCTGACTCGCAGCGTTTCGGAGACCTCCCTCTAGGCTACATGGTCCCCGCCTCCGCCCAAGGCAACCAAATCCAATTCTTCTCCTTGCCGGGCTTCGACCCCTCCATCCTAACCCAAGTCAACGCACAAAAAGGCACTCAAGCCTTCGGCGAGCTCTTCTCACCTATGATCGGTGGCCCAGTCCCGAACAACTACACATCTCCCGTGGCAGTCATCAACGGACAGCAAGATTTCCCATACTGCATGGGCAATTGTAGCTTCCCGACCGACCAAGCTGCTGCGGTGAAAGGGGTGCTATATCAAGGGCTCGACCAGGGCAAGTTTGACAGTCATTTGGTGCCGAACGCGGGTCACGGCTGGAATTTGCATTATGCGGCTGAGAGCGGATACGAGTGGATTCAGAAGTTTTTGAGGGATCAAGGGTTGTAAAGGGTATTTGTGGGGACCAAATGGGGGAAGGTGGACGACGGGGACTTTGGGTTTGCTTTATTAGTGGGCGTTTCACGGCTAAGGATTGCTCCATAGTCCTCTCCGGTGCGTATGAAACTTCGTTAGTTGCTATTCTATTGTTCCTACAGCTATCGTTTGGCTAGGGCGAATGCTGATTCCACATAGCCGCCATTGCATGCAAAACATCAAGCGACGAGCCAACGACCATGAAAATGACATTCTGTTTGATATCGCAACATCTGCCCTGTATTCCTGACGAACACGATTGCTTCCTTTGCGAACCCAGCTCTACGATTGCATACGTAAGCATCTCGAAGATTGCCCCGTTGCGTATGTGAGAACGAATGTTCAGCCCAGAGGATTTCGCGAGTACGCGTGGACCCGGATAATGGAGTTCCACGGGACATCTTTCCGTAAAAAATGGCGCGCCCAGCCATCGGTCTTGTCGCGAGGAGATAAAGGTGATTATCAAGCTCTTCGCTCTCTTTCGACATCTATCGTGAGTGAACATTGATCGCGAGTACTGCAATCCACGATATGGAAGATATACCCGTCGAAAAGCGTCTGCTACCAGCAGCGATCGACTATCGTGCTGAACGTACTCCGGAACGAATCTGGGGCTACCATGCGAGAAGCGATGTCGACGTCACCCAAGGCTTCGCCTCCGTCACATACAAAGACCTAGCCAAAGCAGTTGATGCCACAGCATGGTGGCTAGACGAGACCCTGGGACCTGCAAAAGAAGGCTTCCCGACCATCGCATACATTGGCCTTGAAGATCTACGATACGTATTCCTGATACACGCTTGCATCAAGACGAAACGAAAGGTATGATGGCAGTCGAATAAGAGAAGACAAATGGTTGACGGAGACATAAGGTTCTGATTCCATTCCCGGCCAATACTGAAGAAGGTCTCATCAAGCTACTGGAAGCCGCCAAATGTGAGAAAGTGCTTGCACCAAAAGAAGCCTCGCATGCGTGGGACAAGGCTTTGAAGTTCATGCCGAGCCTTAGCCTCGTTGAAATGCCGCCCTTGGCATCGTTCCTCCATGACAAAGAAGTCCAACACTACCCCTTCACCAGAACGCTGCAGGATGGCATCGACGATGAAGCACTCGTGATTCAGACATCTGGTGAGATATAACTTGACTTCTAACAATGTGCGGGACAGCGTTAACGATCCGTTCAGGCACAACGGGCAACCCGCAACCCATCCTCCAATCTAACCGAACCTTTGAGACAACGCGAGAGATGGTCGAAACGTCACGAAACTCCCCCGCGAACATGCGAATTGGCACATTCCGCGACTTACAGGACCACCTGAGTCCCGTCTTCATCCCCCTTTCATGGGCGGCAGCCTTCGTCACAACCGCACTTTGGCCGCTCTACACGGGAAACGTCCCGATCCTCTTGCCAGCCAAATGGAAACAGCCTTGCACGCCCGAGCAAGTCTACGAATCGCTGCCCTACCTTCCCAAATCTAAATCCAGCAGCGTCTTCTTCATCCCCGATCTCCTTCGAGAGTACATCCGGAAACCCGAGCGTCTGGAGTCCCTAAAGCAGTTCGACGTGATCAACTTCGGCGGAGCTGGACTCGACCGAGCGACTGGAGACACCGTCCGGGAGAAGACGGGCGCCCGTGTTCAATCAGCTATGGGGTCGACGGATTCTGGAATTTATCCTTTGCTGTGGGATGAGGAGCCCAAGGCGCCGTGGTGGATGTATCGGATGCATCCTGACTGTCAGGGGTTTCACTTTCAGCACTATCTGGATGATTTGTATGAGCTGTGTATCACGAAGCAACCGAATGATAATCGGCACTGTTTTCTTGTGGATCCGGAGCGGACGGTTTTCCATACGAAGGACTTGTTCAAGACGGTAAGTCTCGATCTAGTTCTGAAACAGTAGCAGCTATCTGACTCGACGTCTTTTCGACAGTATCCTGAGTACAAAGACTACTGGTCCCACGCCGGTCGTGTCGACGACTACATCAAACTCGACTCCATGACCAAAATAAACGTCACACAAGTCGAACAGACCCTAAACAGCCACCCAGACATCACAGCCTCGCTAGTCGGCGGCCACGAGAAGCCTCGCGCATTTGCCATTGTGCAGTTGACTCCAGACTTCTATCAGAAAGGGCTGTCGAGAGAACAGGTACTGGAGGAAAACTGGCCGATCTTTGAGGAGGCCAATAAGACGTTGTATCATGATGCTCATTTGACTAAGGAGATGACGTTGATTGCCAAGGCTGAGAGGCCGTTGAAGAGGACGGCGAAGAATACGCTGGACAGACGGAGTACAATTCGGATGTATGAGAGAGAGATTGATGGTTTGTACGCCGCGCTACGGAAGTGACCTAGGTGGTTCCGTTACGATACAAGAGAGCAATGACATGCAGTCTTTTGTCTCGTCAATAGATTAATTCGATCGTTAAGCCATAGGCTACACCTGCTTATCCTCCAACTCACCGACGACACTCGCGCCCTCTTGTCTCAATCCGCGCATGGCAAACCCCACGGCGGCCCTAAACAAATGTTCAGAGTACAGATTGTGCAGACTCTCCATGAACGGCAAGTTGTCATTCAGGGCCATCCCTTCCTCGCTGGTAGGGTTACAAACAACACACGAGAAGGTCAGTGTCACAAATTGCGTGCTTTCATCTCCTTCCCCTTCTGCTTTCTTCACGCTCAAGCGATGACAGCCCGAGAATGATCACTGATCTGATCCAAAGGCTAGGTCGACGCCGCATTCTCCGTCTGGGCTCCCAATCCCCCACATGTCGACGATTTGGAAAGTTCCGAACAGTTTCGTGTTCAGCCCTGGAGGGCGTCTCCTTGACAGCTCTCTCATATTCCAAATTGGCTCGGGGGTTTCGCTTGGACTAGCCGCTGAACGGAGAAGTGCTCGTTAGTACTGTGTCCGTCTGTCCGGTCCTCTGCACGAACGTACTGGGAAGACTGGTAAACTCCTTCCCAGTCAGTACCTTCACGCCCTCCATCACCACCGCTTCAGGAAAAAAGATCCAGTTCGAGAACAAGCCGTCCGTGAGCCACACACGGATCTGACCATTGGAGATTTGCGAACCCTTCGAGATATTTAACTTCGTCGAACGAGTATCGCCCACGTCCGGTGTCTGCCGCGGATTGACTATGCGGTGGGCAGGAGACCTCGCGAAGACATCCGGGATGGTGTGGGTCGTCGTGATTGTACTTCGTGGGAGTCTGGAGGATTCGTAGCTCACGGCGAGGGGCCATGCTCCCGCGACGATTAGACCGCCTAGGATTGTTAGTCTTGTTGCTGTTCTGAGTAGGCGAGACATGGCATCTGTGATGTTATCTTCTATTTCATGTCTTTCGGGAGAGATCAAGAGTTTGGAGAAGTTGTTGCGCTGATGAATAAAGTCCTGCTTGGATACTTACTCAGCCCCTGCGAATACGGATTCTGGATACATCTGGCGAAGGATGCGAGCTGTACTTGTCCAGCGGTAAGACACATGATGGAAGGAGGTCAGGAGCTCATTGCAGAGGAAATTCGTTGATGGAACAACATGACCTTTCACGCTCAATGACTAGAATGAGGCATGGAATGATGTGAAGATCAAATTGAGATTTTTCATCGCAGCCTTGCGCAAACCAGAAACGCTACAAGTGAGTCCTACGTCCCTTTCTTATCGATAACAATTGCGAAGGATCCTGACAAAGAATCCTGTATGAGACATGGCATAGTGTTCCTCCTTCACTTTCCGGATATTGTGGAAGGAGCTGAGACAAAGCCACAAGAGACTGACACATGTACAAATTGTTGGATTCAACTCCGGCGTTCAGTTCAAAGTCTTTCTTATCTCTGATCAAGTAAGCTAGATGCCCCTCCTATCCCTCGCGCTCCTTGCCCGGTCCATCAAGAAGCTTCTAAGTGTTCCAGCACTTAACGCTGTTCCAGTTGGCAGAGGGGTTGTTGACGTTCGACCTGCTACCAGCGCCCCAGCCGCTGTAAGCGCCAGAGCACTGTCCGCCATGGTACACAGTGCACGCTCCGCCGTCCCTCAGGAGTGCAGAAGACGGGCTGGTGAAAGTTCCCGCTGAGCAGGCTTGGGAGCTGCTACCACCACCGGTGAAGAATCGGCAGTAGGACACATCGCCTGGGATGCTGCCTGGCAGGGTGATGCAGCCTGCCGAGCCCTCGGATGTGGCACTGCCTTCGAGGGAGTACTGTTGACGAGTCAGCTTGGTCGATGTTGGTAGATGGATCATGCATTCGACGTACGTAGTTGCTTGGGTTAGAGCCAGCGTCGGTATCGTGGAGAGCCAGAGTCCATCCGCTGACGGAGGCCGCCAAAGCGAAGAGGACGGAGATCGCGGTGGTGGCACGCATTCTGAATGGAACTGATTGATGTGGTGGGGTTTGAGTCCGTGGTTGATGTTTCTGTGATTCTTTGGGAGAGACTCGGTTTCTCTTCCCTTCCTTTATATGTATTGTTGCTAAGGCTTGTCTCGATTCTCTTACGACATCGTCCCGTCCATCATACCAGCTAGATCACCAACGGTCTGTGATACGAAAATCGATAGTGAAACCAAGCATAGACTGCATGCCAAGCTAGATTCCAGCATTCAGCTAAACGTGCGAAATCATGTACAGCTACTAGAAGGGCCAGTAAATGCTCGCTGTTGGAAAGCATTAGTTGACAGTGTGGGATGCTAGCTTAATTCGCGTTTTAGGGGCGGGAGGAGATGCTGTGGCGGTGGAAAAATAGCTTGAGAACGCTTTCAGGGTTACGAACTAAACCAAGAAATTGCCAACAATAGCCGGGGCTGTACCCTTGGCGAGATCCACTTGGGTGAGGCTGAAGCTCCCTACGTGGTCGGGGAGCCTGATTGGGGGAGAACCGTCCCCGGTCTTCGGCTGGGGAAATTCCGGCACAGCAGCTCGTATGTTGTAGACGGCGGTGAGGAAGAGAGCGAAGAGTCGTGTCATCTTGGCCGAGTCGTACCGCAGAGCAGCGATGAGCTGGAACTGGAAGGCTGGATTCGACTATGCTACATCGTTTACTCTTCGACTCCTTGGGCTGACAATGCTGAGCATGTAATGAAGCAGCTTTTCGTCCTCCACCACTTTGGGATGCCGAACACTGTAGTAGCGGGCATAGTTGAATAGGGCAGTGTAGCTTCAAGGGCGGTCAGCGTTGGGACAGAATCAAATGCTGGGTACTCACTCACCAAGATGCAATATTGACCAGTCTCAACCAGAGCTTGTACACTGGATAGTAGAGGTACACCGTCTTCCTCGCAACCATCGCGACGCGAATACGTAGATGGACTTCGGCAAAGACGGCGGTGATGATCATATACATGACTGTCACACCGACTGTCAACCCAATTGTGTAACCCGGCTTTACACCGACCGCCACAGGGAAGATGAACGGGAAGGAGAAGAGCAGCAGCGTGCCATAAAGCTACGGCGTTGTCAGCAGGATCAGAATATTGCCAATTTATGACCGCTCACCTCCTGAAACATGGCAAGCTTGGAGAAGAACTCGTACTGCCGCAGCCTCCAATTGAAGACGATATACCAGCTGTTGTAAAGAATCCGAGCCATAAGGAAGAAGTTCCATCTCCAGAGCCGCTGAGCAGTAACTGTCATCTCGCCGTAACCCGCCCGATCTGACTCCCCCCCTCGCATCAAGTGACCAGGTACTGCGGTCTTGACGAAAACTTGCGAACAGAACTTGATTCGGCCTCCAAGCTTCTTGCATATCAGACCAAAGAACCAGTCTTCAGAGATCCGATACCCCGGATGTCTCTGGAAGCAGAGCTCCAAGAATGATCGCTCCCATAGACAGATGGCGCCGTGTGGAAAGGAGGCGCTGCCCAGCTTGCCGAAGAACGTTCGAGACAGGCCGGCGAGTTTGTATTCCAGGTTTTGTGCCTGTTGACATAGATTTCCAGGTTCTCCTTCTTCATTGGTGGCTTCTAGTGTGTACCCTACACATTTGACCTTCGCGTGTCCGTGTGTATCACCCTCTTTTCCGAGCTCAATCCGCTCTGTGACCAGTGGAAAGACCTCTGGAAGTGCAACATCGTCGTCGATGAGTAGACAGTATTTGAATCGGTAAGCTGCTGCAGTCCCAACATACTGGGCCGCGATCTTTGAACCGATGGGCACCCAGATGTGACGTACACTCATGCTTTCGCAGATTTCTCCAGTACGGTCCAATGGCTCCTCGCTGTTACCATTAGCTACGACGATAATGTTTCCGGCGGGAAAAGTCTTGAGAGCACATTCCAAGGTGTGTCGAATAACATCCGCTGATCGATGGCAAGGGATGATGACCGCTGTGTCCAGCGCCTTCTCAGCATTCGAACGCAGGAATTCTTCAGTGACATCGGGTGGCTTTTCGAAAGTGATCAAGAGCGGTGCAACAGCGTACAGTAGTGCCACTCCGATAAAGATGACTGTTCCGGCTTTGAGATGCAGACTATCTTTGTAGGCAAACCTGTTATGGTTAGTGCAATGATTTAACATGGCTGTAATGGTATTTTGCTCACCAAAAGTTGTAGACGGCTCCGTGCCACAGGGGATATCCGATCAAAAAGAAATACACCGCACAAGCAAGCAGCAGATACCCCAGGAGCTGTCCAATGATGGACAGCCACCAAGGAGGGGTGAGCCACCTGTTCCTTCGTCGAGCTCGATTTATCTGATCTTCAAGCCTTGCCTTCTCGCTCTGAGCATCACCAAATACATTGGAGACGTTGGAATCGTCGAACGGGTTCTCTGGTTTCTCGGGAGGGAGGTAAGCAAGTGCAGGTGCAAAGACCTGATGTTCAGGAGGTGCCTTCTCGTCCAAGATCGGGTCTTCGAAAGGGTTTGACGTTTCTTGTGATGCTCCATTGCCTGGTAGTGTTGAAGCACATGACAGATGCGTCGATGCTAACCTCCCGTTTGAGGATCTCTCATCGACACCACGCAATGTAGTACCTGATGAGTAGTGTGTCGGCTCAGACTTCTCAACCAGTATCTCATGGTCCTCCATCGTCGCGCAGGGAATCTGTGTGAGATCCATCACATGGCCGCACGGGTCATGGACAGTATTTACATTTCACCAACGACAGTCCAGGCACCTGACTTACTAGCAGCCAGACTGCCATGTCGATCTCCTGCAATGTCGTTGAGAGGACTGTGCGGAACGCATATTCGTCTCATAATTTCGAGGAGAAGCCTCTCCACGCTCGAAGAGCGAGCCCACAGCAGGCGAGGCTCTGCGCTCGGACGTGTTGTCGCAACGCTCGTGACCAACGCCCTGCTCGAGGACGATCTGGTCCTCGGCATGGCCGTCAAATTCCCGAAACTCATCATAGGTCAAGCCACACCGGCATATGATCCCTACAGGCAACTCCTTAGTCTCGGCTGCAGCATGGGTGTCGTCGATCTGGGGGTTTGGCACTTGCCTCAAGCGGAATGAGTTGTTCCCGATTCGCTGGTGTACATAGCCTTATTTCCAGCAGCGCCATGCCCGGAACTCTTTCGATTGCTGTGTCTCAGAGCTAACAAAACGTTTCAAGCGAAAACATCGTCAGCCAGACGCTCTGTCTCTCAAGAAGACAAGATAGAGGCAGCGATCGCTATGCAGTGCAACAGCTGCCCCCGCCAAATTCGAAGGCGTCAAGCGCCCCTGACTCATCAGCAAAATTGCGCCTTCATATTCGAGCTTCTCCGTCCTGCAAACATGCATGTGATGACGGTTCGCAGAACGGCTCTTGTCGCTACACGACAGCGACATTCCGAGCCTTCTGTTGGATAATTTTGCAGATGGCTGATTGATGAGCTGGCGGTGAGATAGCTGGAAGTCAATGGTCGACAGCTGGCCTCCGCGAAGTTGCACGAGGCTCTCAGCTAGCCGACGTGTCGTTCCTTGTGCGATGCAAGAACGCCACTACAAATTTGAGAACCGGGAGTGCGTCGTCTGGAGAAAACCTCATAATGAGGGTAAAATTTGTCAGGGGTAAGTCCAGTCCAGCCGGTACTTCGCGTGTAGACCCCACGCCAAACGCTGTTGCTGGAGTACAGCTACTTTGAGACGCAAACGGCATGCATAGGTGCCACACTTTATTCAGTGACCAATATCTCACCTTGCGCTTGCCGAGAGGCTCTTCAATTGCGAGATGAGATGCCTGATCACTTTGATCGAATCGACCAGCACCATGCAGAGCTCGTGCACTATCACCACTTGGCATTGGGCGAAAAGCACGACATAAGCCATTAATCGAGCATTGGAAGTTGAAGGCGGTCGTCGATCAATGGGAAGGCCTTCACGTGGCTTGTTCTCAGAGTGAGACAGTTTTACTACATGCGATATATTGAGCCACTACAACACACAACACGACTCTTCGCCGCCGACATACATTCAAAGATCCGACAGGCAGGCAGAAGCCTTGCTACGACTCTTAGACCCGTCGGCTGGCTGGAAACTCTCCTTCCTCAGGGCCACCTGGTGGACGCCACGGTGTAGAATTCTGCATGAGCAGTTCTCGAACAGAACCCTCCCAAGTAGTGAAAATGAATTTAAGATGTCGTGGGTCATGGAGTTCAAGCACAACAACGTATTTCTCAGAGTTTCTTTTATCGCAGGCGTGATCATTTTCTCCTTTCCCTTCAGCGACGATGTACTCCTCAAATCACGGTCCCAGCGAAATGAAGCTGAAATCGTTGCCTCATCAGATTCTGCGTCTACCAGAAACACCACCTCTCACTCCTCCTTGCGAGCCCCTCTCCACGAGGTCCTCGTGCGATTATCTTGGTGACCTGGCACTCTCCACGAAATCAGACCCATCCTCCTACGCCAACCCGGTTGTAGCAGTCATCGGTACAGGATACGTGGGACTTCACCTCGTCGAAGCATTCTCGTCGGCATACGAAGTTATCGCGTTCGATGTCTCCCAACGTCGCCTTGACACAATTGGTTCAACTCTGCCAGCATCAGTCTCATGCACATCCAACGCCGCCGACCTCACACGAGCAACACACTTCCTCATTTCTGTTAGCACGGTCATCGACGAACGACAGAATATCGACACGGCTTGCACCCGCAAAGCCATTCAAACCATTGAGACCTACGCTCGTCCGGGATCAACGATTGTCATCGAAAGCTCTGTGGCTGTTGGAATGACAAGGGACTTGCTGTCGTCACTGATGGAAACGAAGGGCCTCAAATGTGGAATGTCTCCAGAGGTAAGCTAATTCATGCAAAGTCGCAAATCCTCGACAAGGAACTATTCGACAATGCTGACAAGGGATCTAGCGCGTCGACCCAGGACGAACATACCCACACTACACGACCATCCCAAAGATCATCTCGGGCCTCGACGGCGCATCACTCCAATCAATCCAGTCACTCTACTCCGCAGTCTTCCACAACCTCGTTCTCGTCTCGAGTCCCGAAGTCGCCGAAATGACCAAACTCTACGAAAACTGCCAAAGAATGATGTGCATCGCCTACGCAAACGAAATGGCAGACGCCTGCACACAGCTCTCACAGTCCCTCTCAGAGAAATACAGCACACACGAAAAGCGACGGCTGTCGAACACAATCGCAATCGACCCCCTAGAAGTCTCCCGCGCAGCAGCAACTAAGCCTTTCGGCTATATGCCGTATACGCCCTCCCTCGGTGTCGGCGGCCACTGCATCCCCTGCAATCCATACTACCTCTTCTCCAACTCCTCCTTCCCCTTACTCGAGGCCTGCACAGACCGGATGCGAGAGCGTCCGGCTCGCATTGGCGACGAACTCATGACGAAACTTCGCAATCAGTCCTCTGGACGGAAACATATCCTCGTCGTCGGCTTAGGATTCAAGCGGGGACAATCTGTGCTGTCGCATTCGCCTGGGTTGGCGCTCGCGACGCATTTGCTGAGCAATTATAATGTTTATGTGGCGTTTGCGGATCCGTTGGTTGAGCAGGCTGCTGTGCTATCGATTCCAAAGTTGGATGAGGCGGATTGGAACGTGCAGACGTTACTGCAGTTTAATGGGATTGTGGTTGCTGTCGACCAGCCCGGCCTTGACTGGTCTGTTGTAAAGGAGGTTGAGGCTCAGGGTGCACATGTGGAGTGGTTCTGCAGCGTGTCATGAGGGGGAATAGCTGGAATGAATGATATTGGGTTGTATGGGCGGCGCTTTGCATTATTGTTTAGTCACTTCATGTACTGATACTTATCACACATCACCACGATCCAGTTCAGTCTGTCAAGCAACACCAGCCCGCCCAAGCATGAATCGCAACACCACCAAAGCTCTCGTGGTGTCCGAGCGTAGCAGTGATGGCCTCCGCGTCGTCAACCACGACCTTCTTCGAACACTTTGACGGCTCATCGCCATACGAGATCTTGCTTCCAATACCTTTCGTCGTCTCCACAGCAGCAAGCACCTTGGGACAACGCCCTGGATTGCATCTACCCATCTGATTCGCACACTCCAGCTCCCTTATCACACGAGTAGCAGCAACCTTCGGGTCGACATGATAGCTCATCACCACATAGTAGTCTACACAAACCATCAAAGCGTCCATGACCGGCATCAAAGCGGCATCGTCTGTAGGCCACCGCATCTGCAACGCCTCACCACAATAATCCCCAATCCAGTGAGGAAACGCAGCAGCAAACAAAAGCCCAGCATCACGCAACATGCCCTTTGCAGTATCATGAATCTCAATCCAGTCCCGCAAAAGAGCCGCTCGGTCCTCAGCTTGCGAAGCCTTCCAAACTCCGGTCCCAACCTCACAGGTCAACTCAGAGGTCTTAATTCCATTATGAAAGGAGCCGCAATGACCTTTTGCATAGGGCTCCAGATCCGCTGAAAAGCCCACGAATCTCTCATGGGCTTCAACCTGGGCGTTGAAGTCGATCATGTTGCGGATGCCTTTGTAGAAATGAGCTGGTCCATCGGCGTCACTGAAGTACACTCGTCCGCCTTCGAGAGCCCAGATTCGCAGTCCAGTTGCACAGGCGCGGGCGTTGACGGATTTGATCAGATCGTGGTACTTGTCGTAGTGGTTTGCATCTAGGTAGAGGTAGAGATCTGTGACCGAGGCATCTTTGCGGCGGTTAGGAGTTGTGCGACTGAAGTTGGGGAGCTGATGACGGCGTGGGTATTCCAGATCCACATTGGTCGCATCATGTCTTTGGTATGGGTCATGATGATGGTGATCAGATGTTTGAGATGCAAATTCTGGAGAAGGAAGGGGCTGGTGGTAAGGTAGCACATGCTCTTGGTCATCGGGCTTAGTGCAGGGCTAACGTACGCACTTCTGCCACCTGGGTGGCTTGAGCCATCGGGTGCCGTGTTTTCTACAACTGGAAGGGAGAGAGACGTGGCCACTTGGATGTGATTCATTTTGGGAAGCGCTTTTGACATCATCGCAAGTCGCTGAATAGTTCTAACGGTACATGAGCCAACTCAGTCGCAGGAGCCACCGCCGTCCGGAAGAGGTCAGTATAAAGAGTCAGTCGTAGATCTCGACTGTAAGCTATACCAAGGATCCATGTCGCAGTGGTTACGGGTATTCCACAGAGTCGAACAGGGGTCGGGAAACCAACAGACTTGTAACATTCGCAGGGCTGGGCGACAAGTCCAAGCCTCGACAGCAAAACACCAGCAATCGAGACGCAGGACAAGCGATTCTGGCAAACAGAACACCCAACGTGAGAAGCTGCATCAGGTGGAATCATGACGAAGCGAGGCAGATTCTCTTCACCAGTTCCTCTTGTATCTTGGACGTTGGCTATCATCTCTCTCACTGGGACCGTAGTGCTGATCTTGGCGGTAGTCGTGACCGTAAGACTGAGAATAGCTCCAGTCCACGGCGTCAGTGTCGAACACCTGATGTGACTCGCTCATGTTCCCTTGGTGTCCAGAGTTGACTTCGGTGTATTGCTTGAACATGTCAAGGTAAGGCGACGTCGGGTGAGGCGAGCTCGGACCTTGAGCAGCCGCGTTTATGATCGCCATACGGTCGGGGTGTATCGCCTCGCTGCTCTGTGCCGTGACTCGGCTCTTGCCGTCGGATCTGCTCAATGCAGGAGCATGCGATGCACCGGTCAAGCCAGCAGTGGCGTTGTACCCAACGTCCGCTCCGCCAAGGCCATGATGTCGAAACTGAGTGTTCTGCGACCCCATACTCGTTCCGTTTTGAGCCAGAGTCTCCATATCCATCCTTCCCTCCTCCTCCTCGACCTTGATCCTTGGCGCTCGAGTCGCCGGTTGCGGTTGGTAGGCAGCACCGTCCTGCTGGTTGGGACGAAAAGGCTTCCACGTTGAGCCGTACAGACCTTCGCGCTCGACAACCCCGTCGAACCAGCGCTGTTCGGCTACATTGTTGAATCTCGGCAGCCGGAAGCTCTCTGGGTTGTCGTCCCTTGCACGAGCGTAACGTGTAAGCCGTTTCCGCGTGGCCTTGGACAGACCATCGGGATTTAGGTGTGTTGGTCGATTCTTGCCTTTCTTGACCTTCTCTTTTCTTGGTGGCCTGTCTTGCGGCCTCTCTCGCTCCTGGTTGGACTGCGAGGAAGCTGGGTCCATGTACAAGCTCGCTTGAGGGGTTAGTGCATGTGCTCCCGATGATGCCTGCGCTTGCAAGTTGCTCGCGATAGTCGTAGGCTGGCTCGTGGTTTGAGTAGCGTTCATGACACTATTATGGTCAGCAAGCTGGGAGAGATGTGAGAGCATTTGCCCATACTTGTTCTGTAGCATGTGACTGAGCAGATGCGGCGGCATGCAAGCTTTGTTGCTGTTGGCACACGAGGTGCAAGGTTTGAACCCATTGAAGTCACACTGCGGGCGCAGTCAGGAATCATGAACGGGTGATCGCATTTCAAATTGGTGATGTTTACCATTGGGATGCCGTTGGCGTAACACTCGGTGCAGATGTAATACGCCATCTTGGTTGGTGTTGTGATTGCAAGCGGCGGCGAAGTTGTTGTTTGCCTGGTGGGCATCGAGAAAGGACTGCCAGCGTCAGTTTCGAACTAGAGGCTTGGCATCACCTGCCGCTCAATACGGAAGGAACGAAGAGCTTATTTTGATTTCGCTTAGCCGTTCGACCGCCGTGGAGATTCCCACCATCTCCAATATCTCCAAATCACGTGGAATGTTTTACTGAAGATAGCCTTTTGGATACTCATCTTTGAGACCTCGTGTCTTATCGTACAGCAGAGCCATACTTGCGCCATACTCCTCGCTAATCACTCACACACGTATGAAGTACATCATCCCTCTTTTGACTGTCGTCATCCCGCCGTAGCTCTCGTCCAGAACGCCGACAAACCCGAAATCGCAGGACGCCCGTACCCGATCGGCTCGTCCCTGCATCAACGCCGTCAGCAAAACGCAAAGCAAAGCGAGCGAAAGCAGGCAGCGGGGAGGGGATCAACTCTGCTAGTATTGCATCCCGCCGCTGCCATATCCCTGCCCGACATTGTCGTCGAGGCTCCGATATCCACCTCTTCCTCGGCCACGCCCGCCCCCGCGAGCATCACCGCGGCCTCGGCGCGGAAAGTTCTGCTGACCACCTCCTCGTCCACCGCCGCCCCGTCCAGCGTTGCCACCTCGTCCTCCACCGAAGCCACCACCATTTGGCTTGTTCTGCCATGCAGAGTTGCCGTGCTGAGGGTTCTGACGCTGTTGAGGTCGAGCCGGCTTGCCACTCTTGCTGCCGAGAGGTGGAAAGTCCTCCTCACGAGGGTGCTTCCGAGCGTTCTTAGCGTTCGGGAAGGATGCCTCGTAGGTATCTTCATTATCCACCTCCTTCTCTATCCTCAACAGCACCTTCTCCTTCACTGTCGTCTCCAACTCAAACGCTTGGTTTTCTGGTACCGGCTGCCAGCTCTGGATCCGAGTTGCTTCGATGGGCTTCGCCTGTCGCCGAGTCGCAAGGACCACACAAGGGGTGTGGTTTTCAGTGTAGATCTTGGCACCTAGGACAGCCGGCTGCACACGCGCAGCCCAGACCTTGTTCTCCATAACAGCGATACCAGTCACCTTCCAACTCATCTTCGCATTGATACCGCCAACCTTCTGCAAGATCGAAGGCGGCGCTGGTCGTGGGGTAATGATGATGTTGTTGGCAAGATACCGCAGTTCATGATCAGGGCAGTTAGCCGGGAGCTTGACCAGCGATCGAAGCTTGTCGACATCGGGTTGTGCAATCATGTAGCCAGTGTAGAACACGGACTTCTTGATCTTGTACGGTGCGGCGTGTGAAGGGGCGATGCCATCATGAATGGCTTGGTTGTTGGCGTTGATCATCTTCTGGATTTCGGCAACTTCAGTCTCAGGGTCCATGAAGCTGTCCTGCTCGCTGACTTGAATGACCTCAGCGGTGAACGGCTTGCGTCCGGTGGGGCCCATCGACATGAGCGAGCGGTTAAAGTCTTCGAAGAAATCGCGAAAACCCTTGACGTGCTTGGGACGGTCCTCGTAGATGCGGAGCTCTTCGGCATCGGTGTAGGTCAGGACAATGTCCTGCAGCAGCGCCTGCTTGAAAACCATGGTGCTTGAGAAGAACTCGCCGTTTGGTCCGGCGGTCGGTCTCAAGCACACCATATCGAACTCCAATCCCTTTGCAGCCACCATCCTGCCAATAAGCTCGGCGAACCCATCCTCGGCGCGGCCAGTGAGCAGGACGTTCAGCGCCGAGCTGTCCTGCATCGACAGTTGTACGAGCTCCACAATCTTCTCATTCCAGCTGCCCTCCCATGCCTTGGCCTCCTCTTTCTCGAGTCCCTCGCCGGTCGCGGCAAGGATGTTCGGGTTATGCCACCAGCCGCCAGTGCCGCCGTGCAGAAAGTCTTGGGCCTGCAGTTGACCACAGGTGCCGGCATTCCAGAGCTGCTTGTTCGGGAGTGGGGAGGAGAACACTGCGCTATATCAGTCTCGGAGCACGATCATGGCGAAGCGCCTAATACATACAGGTGTTGTCGAAGTCGTAGACATGGATGGCCTTGATCTGATCAACCGGCGGAAGCTGCTGGTCCTGGCAGCTCCATCGCTTGAGGGCCGTGACGGTACGTGGATTCGACATCGTTGCCGCTGGTCGAGAAAGGCGACAGAATGTGCGGCGCAGCAGTCTACTCGTCCACCGACTGCATGGCGAGTTGTTGCTGCTCCAGGTCGAGTCGCGCTTGAAACAATTGACGTCGTGAAGTTGCGGAACTGTCCCGCTCCTGCCGAAGTGATGCCGCCTGCCCCTCGACTTCACCTCGCTAAAATCGAGTACGATATATCAAATCACGCTTACAGTCTTTCTTGTTGGAACGAGTGCGGAGAGGGGGATTCAGCAAAATTCTGTAGTTCATTTCATCTTCTCGAGTCTCCGCTTTCGACTAATGAGACCAGCCAGAGAGATTCCTCTTCGAAGCCCCTGAGTCCAGAGTCGGGCCACGCGAGTGGAAGAGAACGAGCCATCAAGTGTCTCGACCATGGCGGCAACGATGTGCCGTAGAGTGAGTGCCACTACCGCTGGCTGATGATAATGTTGATGCGCAAGTCGAGAAGGTCGACACAACCCTCGTTGAGCAAGGCAAAACTCTCATTTCGGACCGCAACCTCCGTTCGACATGAAGTCCGATCGCAAGACTCTTAAAGGAGATGTACTCGCTCTCCTGCAGAGAGACGTTTCCTAAGAGCCTGTGTCGCCCTCGGCACTCGGCGTCTGCACCTCGAACATGTACCGCATGAACGTCGCCCCCTGGATGCGCTGAACCTCGCTCGTCACAGCTGGGTCTCCCTGGCCTGCGTATTCGGAGATGACCTCAGCAATGCGCTTGTCCATGTCGTCGTTGATGGCACGCTATGTCCCAGTCAGTGAAGGCTCGACCGCCTTTCAACCCAGAATGCACGCACAATCTTCTCTTGTCCGAGCGCATCGAGGACGGCTTGAATTGCCTCGCCAGACATGTTGAGAGGTGTCACGATGGTATTCTTGTGAACGCCCTTGAGTTCGTCGATGGCTGCATTGAGCTCGGCTTTCTGAGACTCGAGCTTGTCGATGCGAGCTTTGTAGGCCCTATTGGAAAAAACGTTAGTGCTTACCTTCAACACGCTCAGCGGAGACATTCTTACGCTTTGAGATGAACCGACATGGTTTGTTGTCGGAATGTTGTGGTGTTCGAAGCTCTGGACCGTATGGGTTGGGATGGGTCTTGAAGTGACTGGTAGTAGGAAGTCACAGCAACGTCAGGATGAGATCGAAGTGGAGAGAAGTAAGTAAAATTGGTATTTGTAGCCGCCGCTCAGCACAAAGTACTATTGTGGTTGCCTTGTGCTATTGTCGCTAATTGTGATGAGCATAGATCTCCTGCGAGTCCGTGCTTTCAAAAATTCACTTGAAACACATGATGCGAATTGAGTGAAGCAGATTAACGCCACAGCACGCTTTTGGTGAACAAAAGTCGACGACTCTATTGGAATATGCCCGATTAATGCCCTTCACTCTCAACACACGTCCACGAAGTCCGGCAGGTAAGTGCTCGTGAACTGTCCAGAACCATCTCCCACACTGTTGGACGATCCATTGCAGTCATTTACAGGGGTCACTCGTCTCTCGTTTATCTCGAGTTCCGTACACTCTGTGGGGATACTGGAATTTGCAGCCTCACACAAGCCATTCTGACGAGCTGTCCGCCAGAAGACGTGACGACTTGGAGTATGGGGACTCGAGGGCCAAATTCGAGACTTCTGAAGAGGGTTTGGAACTCGGCATGGTGGGCGAAGACGTTTCAGGATAAAAATGACTACGGCCTTACATTAAGTAGCAACTCCAACTCCGCCGTGGCTGGGCATGCTCCGGAAAGCATCGTTAAGATATCACCAGATGCGTAGATCGATACGATCGATGCAGCAAGGGCACAAATAGACTCGAAAGAGCCATCATCTCCCGGAAATATGTGTCTGACACACCTTGTACCTCGCCTCAAGCATTCGTTGCAAGCATGTATGCTTCAGCATCTCGATCCTAGCAATCTGCACCTTGACACAAAGCTCGTATAGTCATGGAGGCTGACCGAACATTCAAAGCACAGTCAGCTCTCTCGCACCGTCGCACCGTCGCACCGTCGTACCGTCGTAATGTCGCAATATCGACATATAAAAGTGGCTGTTACCGTGCTTGACCCTTTACTATTCTCTTGAAGCTACTTCCGTCCGCATTTGCACCCTTGAGCCATCAATATTACAATACAGTCATGCCTGAGACAGCGAGCCACAAGTCCGGGGTAGTAAATACCAGCGATGGCGTTGATCTCGCTTGGGAACAACATGGAAACACAGGCAAGCCAAATATCGTCTTCATCCCAGGCTGGTGCCAGACGGCACTGCAATGGCGAAAGCAACACGAAGACCTAAAACAGCACTTCCATATCACAACCTATGACCATCGAGGACACGGCTCATCTCAGAAGACAGACCGCGGATACCGAATCTCCCGCTTCGCTGCTGACCTGAACGACGTTCTCACCCAACTGGACCTCAGGGACGTCACACTGGTCGGCCACTCCATGGGCTGCTCAATCATTTGAGCTATTGGGAACTGTTTGCTGGCGAACACCACCGCATCAAGAGTCTAGTCTTGGTAGATCAATCCCCATCTATGCTGCCGAAACCAGGCTGGTCGGAAAAGCAGGCAAAGGAGATAGGAGCAAACTTCACGCATCAGTCCCTTGACGAATTTGTCCTTGCGATCGAAAGTGATGCTCGAGCCGCCATGTCTCAATTTGTACCCTCTATGTCCACTAAGACGGCTTCCCAAGAATACATCGACTGGACACTGGAGCGTAACTTGACCATAGACCCAAGGAATGCTGCTACGCTTTTGCTGGACCATGCGCATAATGACTGACGCGATGCAATTGAGACTATCAACATTCCTACACTGGTTTTTGGAGCGAGTGGTAGCAATTTTCCTCTGTCGGCATTGGAGTGGGTCAAGAATCATGTTGCCGGAGCTCAGTTCGTTCCTGTCGACAAGGAGGAGGGTGGAAGTCATTTCATGTTTTGGGAGAATCCGGAGAAATTCAACTCATTGCTTCGACGTTTCGTTGAGACTGGCAATATCCTCCTCTAATAGCTTCTATCTGTTAGGGCAGCAAATTACTACCACCAATGATCCAGCTTAGACATCCCCTTGGAGCGTCATAGCCTCGTGGATGCGTCGAATCGTCGTCTCAATTCCCGAAGTAGACTCGAAAGGCTGTCGCTTCCCCAGGTCTTTGCCAGCCAGAGTCGCATCCAAATCTTCCTGAATGTCCACCGCCATGGCTCGCAGTATTCGAGATGTCGTCCTGTCGTCAGGCTTTTCAATGAGCCTCGGCGGACACCACTTGAACCACGAATTGCCATGACGAGGCCTTTGCACGAAATCGCCAGGATGTCTCGAAAGGTACATATCGCAAGCATAGCAAGATGGCTTGCTGCATCCGATGTATCTATCCCCGAAGATGAAATCTATCTCATTCATGTAGGCCCATTGGGCAAGGGCTGCTTCTGCGTGGATGATTGTGACACTAGTGGTATTGCAGTTCTTCTCCAGAAATCCGCTCGCAAAGTCCAGTTTACCCTTGAGCGAAGGCAGGAAATGCTGCTTATGCTTGCCCAGGATCCAAAGCAAAACATCGTCTGCGTTCGAGGGGAGAGTCACTGTCTGGCCTCTGTGAAACATGTCGTGAGGTAGGAGCTCAACTCGTGCACCACCAATCTGCCTGGAGAACTTCTTGGAGTACCTCACAACGTAGCGAGAAGCCACATGCCAAGAGCGCAGTCGACCAAGGAAATGCCTGACGTTGATGTACCGAGAGCCGGTCGCCTTCTTCAGGTACGCATATTCTGGTCTCGAAAGAATCTCTGCTGCAGTAGAGCAGAGACGCTGAGGGTCACTACTCGCTCCTTGCAATAAGTTTAGAGCAGAGTTCAGCATTTTGCGTTCTACAACTACTATTAGCGACGAAGCCTTTCTTGAAGCATAGATATGGGCGGTACCGTTTGAATTAGCAGTCTTGGGAATCTGCTTTTCGATCCGTTTCAGTTCTCTTTTCAGTTTGTCGCCATAGTCCTCCGCTTTCCTCCTCGACAATTCGATTGATTCAATGGCAATCTTCTCGACAAGCTCATCGATCGTCTCGCGAGATCCTTCCAATTCACGCAAAACAAATTTGATGTGGTCCAACATCATGTCTCTAATCCGACCCTGAGAGCAATTCGTAGCGAAGGTCAAGGTTTTACCTCTCCGACCAGCGTGCGCGATAACACCAGCTACCGTGTGGCCTGCTCGTTCAAAGTCGCAGAGGTAGCTCAGTTTGTCCAAATACCTGCGCCATGGTCGAAACTCGTCGTTCGGTAGCTTTCGATGCGGCTGCGACGTTGCGAATTTATGATAATCCTTCTCGACACACTGCGTCGTGCACTTAAGTACGAGAAGTTTGTGGAGGTCTTCAGTATCGTCATACAAGTCCTGAATTAAAGCGTTTGAGGACCCTGGTTGAGACATCTTTGAACCGGTGCGGATGCCGAGAAGCTGTGTGGGAACAGAGACAGTTAGAACATAGACTTTCGTTCACGAAGGGGTGGCAAGTACTTATAGCTGAGCCGTAAGAGGATTCGATAATCACACGGCGATCCACGCTCTACGTACCGTTATTGTGCAAAAGAACTCATTATTCACACATTTTGAAGATAACCGCAAGAGTGAAAGTATCAATAAGCCAAACATCAACGACTGTTAGACTGGTTTTCTCAGAACCACAAGCGGCGAGCGTAGATACAACACGAAGCCGTGTGACTCTGCTTTCAGACCTTAATCCCAAGCTCCTTGCATGCCTGCTTGGACGCAATCTGCCTGGCATTTGCCTTCTTCTTTGCCCTGCCTGTGAAGATGGCTCCTTCGATTCTCACATTGACCTGCCATTGTGGAGGATCGACTGACAGCTGTTCGTCATCGTAACTCATGTTCTTGCCTCTCTGCATACACCACTCGTTCAGTTTCATCGTATACATTGCCATTCTGTTTCCTTCGCCAGCCTCCAAGGAGCTCTCGCTCTCAGGTGGAGAAGGAGGAGATGTTTGAGAAGGGCCCAGGTTAACGTGAACAGTGCCTCCGCGACTTTGGATCAAGTGGACCAGCTTCGCTCTTGTTTCGGGCTCACGATCCAGTAGTGCTCCTAACTTGGCCATGAAAGCCCAGTGGCCGCCTCGATAGGGGCTCGAGCCGTGACTGGGAACATCGATGGGTCGCAAGGCATCAAGCTGCTCCACACAGTCTGCGTAAGGAAAATCAATGACTGCTTGCGCAAGCTCGGCCTGTCCAAAACGTCAGTAAGATAGCTCTCGATGATGACCCGAGTACTGACCTCGAGCTGAGTACCGCGCCACGAGGATGGAGAAGTACGAAACACTACATCGGAAAGAATGTAATGTACGAAGACTTTGCCGGACCAATAGCATCGAGAAAAATACTCTTCGTCCACGGCGTTGACCACTGTTGGCTCTCTGTCAGATTCTCCACCCATACTGGTAGACTGATCGTCCATGTGGCTCTCCAAGTGGTAAGACATGTTTTCGGGCATATTTGACTTGAATAATGGGACAAAGACGTCGGTTTTCTTTTTTGCTTCTGTTCGACTCTGTGATTTATCGATCATGCAGACAGCGGAAGTTCACGACCTTTATATCCCCATCTACTTTCCATGAGAATACCTTCCATTTGCTCTCTCGTCTCTCGACTTGATGTTCTCGACTTGATCAACGTTCAGAGTATGACGTCCCACGTCTATCTCTGTCAACTTGCAGTTCAAAGCATGTGCAGAAGTGTTTGGGCATCGATCAAGGAAAGGCCGCCAAATCTCAGAACATCACTAGGTTTGTTGTGCTATACCCCATCTTCCTTCCAGGTTGAGGGAATGAGATATGACGCGATATGCCAACAATCCCTGCGTTCAGCACAGGTTCAGAATGCACCCTATCGTCATTACCACCACGATCTTTCCAGCTTGATGTCAGGTGTAGTTCTAGAACAGTACGAACGACTCGTCAGCGGTCAATGGAGTCCCTGTATTGGGCGTTAGTCGCCGGTCAGGGCGCTGGTGCAGTTCCTTGTGATTGGGCATAGATCATATCCGTCGGTCATTCCCACGGTAACTTGCCTGCAAATTCCTTGATTTCAGATCATATCCGAGGGCTTATTGGGCGAACGAAGAGCAAAGATAATGCAGTACTGATGCACAATGTCGTCGAACTGGCTCTGATGAGGTCTTGGGCGGCCCCTGATATAGAGTAGGCTCCACTTTCGACAGGCTTCAAAAGGCTGTACGGAATTTTAGCGTGGCCAATGGCGTGCTCCCTTGGAAGGTTAGAGTTTGGGCGAGCATTCTTGAAGCTCACACCGGTTTTCATGCTGTCGGGCCAGATATCATCGAATGAGGTATGAGATCAACACACCATCTCACTGAGCTTGTTGGAGTCTGAAGACAAAGGGTCGCAAGCTCACGTTCTCTTTTCTCTGCAGAAGTCCCACCTCTGTCGTCTTGTCATTGCCCATTTGCAAGCCTCTTCACTTCTCTTTTCCAACCACAGAGCTTGGATTCAATGGCTGATATTCAGGCCTTCCTCACTGGCTTTGATGCCGAAGATGCCCGCACACTTGACGATATGGTGGCTACGATCGAGAAGGTGATGAAAGAAAGATCAGGACTGCAGACGCTGATGAAGTATCGAGTTGCGAAACGAGACAAGCGAGACACAGCCCGATATGAGCAGTTCTTCGAATACAGAGGCCCAGATGCAGACACTATGAGCAAGCTGACTGGGTGTGGTCATCAGTGGATGACGTGTCCAAGCAGTTTCTGGAGCTGGAGAATCGACCCGGTCGGGGACCCTCGAGCATTCGTTGTGGGCGCATTCATGCAGGATTCTGGCGGTGATTGTTAGTCCCGTATCAGAGCTCGTATGTATTGCATCCTGCTTGTAGAGCTTCAGGACCATGCCCCACGTGGCATCAGTGCTTCGGATACTGCGAGAGCCTTGTGCTCGTACGGCTTGTTCAACCAGACGACGCCCGAGAAGGTCGAGAGCACCATGAAAGACATGGTCAATTGGGGCCATAGATACAAGAATCTTGAGAAGACCCTTGGGAAAGGCATTTGCCTGGTGTTGGGGACTCAGCTCTCCGAGACATTGTATGACTCAGCCCTGTTAAGTATGAAGGCTTTCTGCTGACTGGCCAGATGGTACAAGATACTGCCCAAGAGCGGACCCAAGTTCAAAGATGTCATAGCACATTTACGCAAGACTGGGGCTGTCGAGGTCCAGAAGGCGTTTGTGGATTTGCGAGAAGTGATCGTAAAATCCAAGCTCCAAGAGCTTCGCACCGACGCACAGGTCGAGGATTGGATGGGTATATGATGAAGATCAGCTTTGGCATGACTCGGAGGGGACTGAAAGGAGTTTAGGAGCTCTCTTGGTGCAGTATGAGATGCTACGACTGTTCTGAAGGAGTGTAAATGTTTGCTCTCGTCGTAATTCGTTGAAATGATTGCGTCGTCAATTCATCATGTGATCTTTCGATGCCTTGCCGTGAATCACTTCTTGCCAGAGTTGTTGGACTTGCCACCAGAGCTAGTGTTGCTGTTGGCGGCGGCATTAGTGTTTCTGTCTCCAGCAGACTGGGCCCGGGCGGCAAAACCAGGGTCGTTGCCACTTTTGGCCTGTCGTAGGACTGGCAGCTAAGAATGATCGATCACTTTGTGGTTGAAAGACTTACCTCAGAGGACTTAATCCTCTGAGAATCTCCTTTGATCATTTGGTCTGGCATGTCTGATGATTGTTTGTGTTTTGAAGAAACTAAATGGCTTGCCGGCGTGGAGGTATGTTGAGATCAAGACGTCGGAGTTGGACTGGAAATCTGGCCGTCTTTATAGGAAGGTCTTCTGCTCGAGAGGCATCTCCATCCTGAGGTTTGATAAGAACTATGACACTGTGAGCTCGCTTTAGTGTATACGTACGGCTCTTTAGCGTGTGATACATTTTCCAATCGACATTGGCATCGATGAGTACTTCCAAGTATCTCAGGTGCATGTCCTCAACGTCGAGCGATGGTTCGATATACTTATTCCTGTCGGCTGCGGTGCGTTCAAACCTTCCTCGTACCATTGGCGACTTCGTGCTCGTACTCGATAGGATTCCAGTCACGTGGCAGAGAAGTGAGTGAATGTTCGGCCACTAGCGCCAAGCACGGGCCACTCTAACCCTTAGCATCTCGACTTCGGATCAAACTTCTTGCTTTTTGTTCTTCCTCACGTCTTCTGAGAGAAAACAGGTTGCTCGAAAGACAATTTGCAAAAATCGGATATGCCTGTGTTCATTTCCACCACGCTCACGGGCCTCCGAAGTAAGCCAGCGGTAACGCTATTTCCCGAGTCAGGCGCGGGTAGCAGCAGCTGGGCTACTGCTCTAGGCAATCCCGCCAGCTTGTCCGCTGCGATGCAGCCGGCTCTGCAAGCCTTAGGCAGCAAGGGTCTTAGTCGGGAGGTAGTGGTAACGACCTGGAGCCAATGCCGACCGGGATGCTTTCTATGTGCCGGGATTACAACCTTGCACCTGTATATCGTATACTCACCAAGACTCAGCGGCTCGATATCCTCGATCTGTACATTGATATCTAGATCGACTTTAACTCATCGACCTTGGTACGAAGCAACCAAAAGCATATGCTGCGGCGATCTGTGCATTATTAAAAGAATTCGAGGGAACAAGTCTGTTGTAGATATCAAATTCAGAATGAAGCCTGCCACAAACAGGGAGTGAAGATTTCATGATGACATAAAAAGGAAATCATGTCCAAGACGAGCGTTCTGCAACCCATCCGTGAGCACCCAAACCGGACTTGTTCCCAAATCTCACTGCCCAAAAGCAGTAACCAACACTCGACATGATTAGTGACTGTCCCCAGAACAGAAAACGCTAGAACATAAATACGTGCAGGCGAAAAGCAAACGAACGAATAGGGCCGAAGCCGCACGAGGCTCACTAATCCTGCATGCGCTAGCGTTCCAGGCACTTTGTCATCACCTACTAATGCACACTATAAGCCTATCCATATGACAACGACCAGTTAATTGATCCTCACGGCAGTCTAAACTACAAACCGCAGGGATGCCGTCGTGAAATACGGCTAAAGTGATTCGAGTGATCACAGCCAGGCGGAATACCTGAAATGCTCAGCCTAAATGAGCGTCTGCTTGCGTAGACCCCAGAATGCAACTTGGGAAACTGGAAGCCGGCAGGTCACCGGTCGAGGTTCCGTTGGTTGGCGCAGGGACCCTAAGGCCCTCGGCCAGGACACTCTCCGCTCGCCGGGTCTCAGTATTCGTGGGCCTCACTGGTCGCCGGTCATCTTTCTGCCCTGCTTGGACCGGCCATGATGCACGGCCATATTGCGCAATGCGAAGCTTGGTGTTAGTCATGCTTCGTGTTGTGGTTGTCCTTTGATAACATATTGTTCTTGCCGTTGCTCTTGCCTTGCGCCCAAGCTGCATATCAGATCGAGAGCGAGCCGTGCATAATCGATGGCTACGTCGAGAGACTTCTGTCCAGAGTGGACTCCGAGCCAGCCGTATGCCAGTCGTAGTCCTGGGTGCTTCGACATGTGGGTGAGTGCGGTGTGAGGAGTGAATCGGGAGTCCGCTCTAACCTCCGCAGTTGACATTCAACGAGGCCGGGCGACCAGAGATGCCCAAGCAAATCACCACTCCCGAGTCTGTACCAACACGATGCCCATCCTTGATATATTCGCCGCAAGGGCAGATCCCTGTAGTAGGCGAGCTCATCTTCGAGGGATTGGTGTCGAAGGATAGAGGAGTGCGGAGGAGGGATCAGAATCGAGCATCGTGCGTCCTAGGGCAATAAGCAACTGTCAGAGCTGACGTACCTTGATAGGCAACGAAGATATCGTGACCGACAGAGGCGGCGTCTTGACGAGCTGCAGCAAGAGATTGACGACCTGAAAGCCTTGTGCATGCAGCTGGAGAAGGAGAACAAGACCCTGACGATGGACTATCAGGAGCGGTGGAACAGGTTGTTGATGGATCTGAAGAACGAATTGGAAAATCCAGAGGCCCCGAGCCCGCAGCAAGAGTCCATCGGCTGGATGTTGAAGCATGCATATGGGTCAGAGGAGGCGAACAACGCTCAATTCTCGGTGTATCCACTGGGTTCGACAGAGACGACCGGAGGACCCAGTACCTGAGGAGGCGTAGAGGTCACAAAAGGTGTCGATTGTGGCGAAATGGCGTTTATACTGGTTCTGCACGGCTTTGAAATGTGACATATGATTAGTGATGTGGAACGGATCACTTATTGGACACGTACTTACTTCGGCCTTCACTGGGTTTCTTCTCCAGCCTGGCAGCCGCGGCATTGTGTTCCTGCATTTTCTCATCAATCTGCGAGATGTCTTGCATCGGGCAGAAGCACTGCACATATATGCGGATGAAACGTGAAGCTTTGATGCAGCCTTTGCTGACTGTTGTGGAGGGAGCCTCGATGCACTTCCGTGCGTGGAAAGTCACGTTTTCTGACCAATACTGCTCGCTCCTGAATAATGACAAACTCAGCATGCCGTAATCAACTACACTATGCTCTATCATGGCCGGATCTTGAAGTAACCCGGCTGCAGGTCTACAAATACATGCTTCAAGTCGTAGTCTCGCTGTACTTTGAGCAACCTAGCCTTGCTCTGAGGGCCATAGCCGTCAAAGACATCCTGCGTGATATATGCATAGTTTTGGTAGATGTAGCGGTGGAATAGTCCTCTGCTTTTAGCAAGTGCTGTTGCTTTCTCGATGATGGTATTCTCGATGCTGAGGACTTGGTCGTCATCAGTGGTGGAATTCCATTGGAAGTCCATGTTCAAGACTGCACAGAGTTAGTCGTTACACTCTTATTTGTCCACGTTCCTGTGCTCACCCATAAGTGGCCCCTGCTCTGCAGTGATACCAAGCGCGTTACCGCCCGCTTTGCTGAATTTCTCAATAATGGGCTCGGTGATGACTTGGAAGACGAGCGTTCCCAAAAAGCCTTCAACCTTGAGCAGAGGCTGGACGGCGGGATACCAGATGTCGTTGAGGATGTCTTTCATAATCTGTGCGTCGTTGAGTAGAGTGATAGAAAAGAATGCTTGTCTGTGGATCTCATTAGCTGAAATACCGTGAAAACCGTAGCTGTACTCACCGATATCCATTCGGCTGCGTCGATTTGAGCTCGTTGGTGAAGTCAAGGAGATTGCTAATGCGCTGGGTCGACGTCACGTTCTGCACACGGGTAAAGTTGTGAAAGACCGGTGGGTTGACCTCTGGTTCAATGTAGTTGTAGTTGTTGGAGAAGAGGCAACTACCGATTGCCTTGATGCAAGCCGCAGAAACAATCAAAGCGGCGTTGGGGTCGTCTTTGGCATTGACGTTGAACCAGTAGAAGGCGTCGTAAAGCGAAGAGTTCTTGTCGAGCGAGTAGACTGTTGAGCCACCCCATAACAGTCCCTGTTCGAACGTTTCGAGATCCATTCGGGTGACCACGCCAAAGTTATTTCCTCCCCCGCGAAGAGCAAAGTAAAGGTCGGGATGTGAAGATTGGTTGGCGTTGACGATTCGTCCGTCGGCGAGAACCACTTGGTAGTTCTGCACATTGTCACAGGCCCAGCCATGGAAGCCAGAGAAGAACGAAATGCCGCCTGCGATGGATCAGCTTCGTAGGGATCCATTTGACTACCACCCATCATACCTCCCAGTGGCAAACCTCCCACGCCAATATCCCCATTGCGACCACCAATGACTGCCAAGTTCATGGGATCGAGCTTAGAGTAGACATCTTCCCATCTGTTGCCCGTACCAGTGTGGGTGATTTTTCGGTCAGCAGAGACATTGATCTCGCTCAGCTTGAGGAGATCTATCGTGATGCCACCATCAACATTGGAAGCTCCTTGGAACGATGCGTGGCCACCACTCTTGACCGCGAATGGGCAGCCGTAGTCACGAATCTCCTTGATAGCAACAGACACATCCTCCGCACTGGTCGGCGTGAACCGACAGACTGGCTTGGTGTTTGCTTGCTGCTGGGACCAGTAGTTCTGTTCCGAGATGTAGGTAGCCTGTCCTTCGTACGACACGAGCTGGGGAAACTTTGCGTCGAGGCACGAGCAAAGAGCTTGACACTGGTCAACGATTAGCGTGTGTTTTTAGCCCATGTTACCCAAACGATGTCGTCTCACACGCGCTGCCTGGGACTTTCCGGGATGTTGGTGACCTCCTCGGTGGCCTGGCTGATCATTGGTCGTTGCTCCTGACACGGCAGCGACAAGCAGGAATAAGACCCTTATTGACAGCATCTTGCCTTGCACTCCAATGTTGTTGATTTTTGTCGACGAGACACAGGAGAGGGAATTTCTTTTGAAAGTCAACGGCGTGCAGCACCAAGCCCAGTTGACGCGCACGCGAGGTGACCCTTTTGCGACTCACGGAACTGGGCTTGCCGGTACCGTCTTGTAAGACTGGTTTGGGTGAAATCCATTGGCGATCTGGCTGCGGGATGCAAGTGGAAAGTGTATGTGTAACCGTCTACAACACATCGGGTCTGGCGTGTTCCCACGCATCGTTAAGTGCACCCACACTAGTCTGCTGTGCCGTAACTCAACAACCGCTCCAAGCAATGAAGTCCGCCGTCAACCACTCTGAGCTTTCAGGAGGGTTTGTGCTATGCCGATTGTGCTCTTAAGCGTTTCGCTATGAGAGCCAGATGCTCCTGCAGGACGACAACGGAGAACTGGCACAGCAGAAGGATGACTGCGGCGCTGACATCCGTAGGGACGCGGGTGAGTGGCATCTTCTCAAAGACGACTCCGCACCCCGAGGGCTGAAGTAGCCCACCTTCGTCTCTATGCGACATCGTGTCTATCGAGGCTGCTCCAGCAATTTGATGTCTTGAGCGCCGAAGACGCCGGTCCATACCATCTATGGCACTGCTGGAAGCTTTCGTGGCCAAAGAGGTCCTGGAGGTGAGCATGCGCCGCTGATTAGGTCAAGGATGGCCATTAACGAAAGCGACAGGCCTTCTGCATCCTGGGAATCGTCGTGACCAGCGTAGTGGGAGCACTCCGGGCCTACGTTCGCATTGCGAAGCAAGGACGACTCCATGAAGACGACCTGGCCCTGTTCTTTGGGCTGGCACTGTATATCACGCTTTGCGCATTGTACATTGCAGACATCCCATACCTGTACTCGGTCATGGGCTGGCTATCAGGACACACTCAACTGAGCCAGAAGATTGTGGCCGATTACACTCAAATGATGAGGTACAACTATGCGGTGACGATGTTTTTCTGGGCAGTACTCTGGTCGGTCAAAATCAGCTTGCTGCTCTTCTTTCGACGGGTGATCCTCAACACCAACTTCATCCGGGCATGGTGGGTCATCTTGGCGTTCACCATCTTGACCTTCATCGGCTGCGTGATATCCCAGTTCACCTCTTGCGACTCAATCCACGACTTCACCAGGCTTGGAGCATGTTCATCGCCACGCAATCAGAGGGCACAGATCATCAGCCTTTACTACTCCTTTGCGGTTGATGTCTTGACTGATATCCTGAGTAAGCACAGCACCTCTGAATATGCATTAAAGGACTAACCTTTCAGTCATGGCTTTCCCCCTTCGCATCCTCATGACTTTGAAGATGTCAGTCAGAGACAAGTGGGTCCTAGCTTGTCTATTCAGCGTCACCATCATTGCTATCGTTGTGTCCATTCTTCGTGTCTTCTTCATCTATGCAAAGACGGGCAACAGTACTCCCAGCCCACCTTGGCTAGGCTTTTGGGCTGTCGTCGAATGCATGGTTTGTAAGTCGCCTCCGCCACTCAGAGCCTCCACTCCTAGCTGACCATTACCACAGCCATTATCGTTGGATGCATTCCTGCCATATCCCAAATCTTCCGGACATCAGGCCCGAACTCCTCACAGTACTACAAAAGTGGCAGTGGCAGTGGTAGCGGGAGCCGATCGAACCCTCGGCAGCGTAGCTACGACCCGGGTGTATACTCAGGATCAGGTTCAGCAAAGACAACTGTCGAGACTTCAGCCAAAGGCTCCCCGTCTTCTGAGAGCTCACGGGAGCTGCATCCGGGTCCGCATCGAATACAGTCTCGAACTGAAATTGTGAGCCAACTCTTACTGCATTATGTACAGCATCAGTGTATCGGTGCTGACGTTTATAGATCATAACCGACGAGGACGCTGACTATGACGATCTGGAGTTGCGTGAGCTTTACCATGGCAGGAGAAGAGGCACAGCGACCTGAACGCTGTGATCTGACCGGTCATGAGATGTCCTCCTCTTGCGTATCGATCGCGCTGCAGCACAACGATGCGTCTCCGGAGCCTTATTTCTGCCGGCTCTTGTTATTGAACACGGACGTCCCTTGGCTTCAGCACACAATTAAGCTCTTCGACCGTCCCCAATCAAAGCGATATCCCGTGAAAAACTGCACAAGCTCGTGGGAGGGTATCGGAATCGTGAGGCATCGACTAGGCGCAGACGGAGGAGTGGCGGCTTGGTGCTGGTTTGGCTGATGTGGACCTTCCTGTCGCTGTGATCAACGCTCCGCGAATTATACCGACCCTGTCGGTCGATACACTCCTTCATTGGGCAAAGCGATGCCATCAACGGGTTCTCGATCGAACGTCAACGGTGGGAACCGTTTCACAGTGCCTCTTCGGGAACATCTTGTGTACGGCCAGCTGCTCGAACCTAGCACATGGCATCGTTGGTTCTCGAACAATCGGCAGGCCTGGGCAACCCATTCTGGCGCATTGAGGCTGGTCTTCCGTACTGTGCGGTGTGAGCGCCCAGAATGCAATGTTTGCTGCACTACGACTGTCGTATTGTGGCTCGAGCCATTGTGCTTGACAGCAAGCAAATGGCCTGACTGTGAGCGGTCTTGTCCTCAGCCAACCCGGGGGCGCGTGTGTTGTGCCTCAAGCGGCTGGACCATGTCAGAGACGGATTGTATTGATTGACGATAATCAAGACTGCTTTAGAGGACGGGTTTTCTGTTGCCACAATGGTCGATGCGTCTGCTCGTCGAAGTTCGGGACCCGCGTGCCAACTGAACTACCGGCTTAGCTTGCAATGGCAGTGATTAAGGGTGAACACGCAACTTCCGGCGAAATCCAGCGTTGAATTAGTACGAAGGTGCTTAGACGGCGGGCTCTGTCCACAGAGGCTTGATTCGACTCTAGTATTGAATGAAGGTGCAAGTCTGAAGGCCCCGCCTGCCAAGGAATCCTCAACATTCACTCACAGTTGAAGCCCACTTTGGGCCCAAGCTTACCCACCCGCCACTGACAATTTTCTAACCCCTCGAAACTCTTCCCAGACTGCTTCGCACATCCACCAAACACATCTCCTGCTGTCCAACACCATCTGACCGCCAAGATCATCGTCCTCGTCCTCGCCATGGCTTCCACCAACGCGAATACCCAGAACAGTCTCGAACGCGCCCGGGGCCTCATCGACAATTCGACGGACAAGCTAAGAGGCAATGACCTCCTAGATGCTGCCGAGTTCTTCTCCAACGAGGCGCTCCATCACCAATGGCTTCGATTCGACCCCCAGGCCATCAGAAACACCCTCGTGAACACTATTGGCAACGCGGCGAAGAAGAGGGCGAGAGCAGAAGGTGTTGCTTATGACGAGTGGCGCCATGACTATGATGTTCGCCGGAATTTGAACGATGCAATAGATCCACAGAACATACATAAGAAAGATCGCAGTAAGTCTGGCTTGTTCATGGGTTTTATATGCACCACAGACTGACAGATACCTCGACAGCCTCCCAGCTTCCTCCCAATCCAAGTCTCGCAGAACTCGCCAGCTCAGTCAGCCCAGGACGTGAGCGCAGTTTGGAATTCTACATCAAGCTATACAAGGCCTACGACGACTACGAGTCGAAGGACGAGGCCCTGCAATCGATCTACGATGCTTTTGGCCATACCAACTTGCAGAGCACGAAGCAGTTGATCTACTTTGCTTGCAATCGCGCTGTGAAGAAGAATGGCACTCTGCATCAGTACACGGATACGCCGCCTGATCAATCTCAGCAGCCAGCCCCTCCCACACCCATCCTCGCCTCCTCCCCCACCACGACCATCCCCCTAGCAGCACCCTCAGCCAAGCCCGCCGCCACAACCACCACCTCGTCCTCGTCCAAGCGTCCTCGGAGAACCTCGTCCGGCGACGCCCCTCCCCGTCGCGCAAAGCGCCCTCGCCACCCGCCCCTCCTCGCCCCAGCTCAAACCACCCTCCTCATCCAGACGCTGCGCGAGAGGCCCGCCAACTTCCACCTCTTCAACTTGTACACCGCGCAGCTCCCGCCAGAGCACTATGGCGAGAGCGAGGAGGACGCGGCTTCGGTACTCGGGCTCTGCGAGGAGTCGCGTGTTGGGGTCGCGCTGGTCGAGGCGCATGGCGTGGAGGCCGTGAGTGCGTACTTTGCTGGACGCGTGGAGGAGTGGGTGAGGAGGGCGGCGAGGGCGGAGACGTGGTATTCGTTCGTGTATGAGTGCATCGTGAATGCCGATGGGGAAATGGAGCGCGCGAATGGTGAGGGGCATTGACGGGGTCGTTTCTCCGTGGGTTGCTGCTTGGACTGAAGCGAGTAGCAGCTCATTGTTCTCGTGGTTGTTACTAGAGACGGCGAGAAAATGATAGAAGTTGTTTCTTTATCATCAGTGGGCTTACCATAGAGGCCATGAATTCGATGCCGCATACCTCCTTCCGATTAGCATTTACATAGCACTTCACCTCACTTAGACTAGGCGCTATAGGCGAGCTGCTACGTCCCCATAGCCCCTATACAGGCTATAGAAACCTTCTTGAGCCGAATCCTGAAGCATCTCGCAAAATGCTCCCTTCTGCGACCGCCCATGAATACTAAGCCCGGACGAATGTGGGCAGATAGCAATATATCCGGCGAGGCAAGGCTATGCTCCCTCGCATAATCTGCCTGATTTGGGACAAATGAGTGTTGGTAAAATAATTGTTCGAGGCTATTGAGAGGGGGGTAGGTTAGAGTAGACTTCAACGCTGGATCCTTCAGCCTAGCCCTGGGGTCGTCCTTTCTGCTATTCTCAAGAAGTTAAGCAGTGCATCCACACTGGCCTCAACTCCACTCGTACCTCAAGCGCAGCTTTCTGCTTCATGAAGAGCACTTCTCACCATATCTCAACCCATCCCCAAACCTAAACACAGGATTCTCCGTATCGAAAGGCACATCCTCCTTACTGTCCTCTACCGCTTGCAGGCTTCGAGGCAAGTCAAAAGGCAACCTGTAACAAAACATATCAGCACACATCCGCACAAGAACATAACCAAGATAGTGGTTGCTTACCGTCCCTTCGGCTCCGCCCCATCAACCCCAAACACAACATCCAAGAACGCCTCCGGTGAGCTGCCAAAACTGCCCAGTAGCGCAGTAGCTTGCTCCGCGAGTTCAGGAATTGCAGCAGGTCGATCGAGGTAGATATCCACAATCGAGATGGGTACTGCGTCGAAGATAGCTTTCTGTCGAGCCTTCTCCGTGACGTTGTACTCAAGAGAGCCAGCGTGGTAATTCGCTTCGAAACCTCCTGGACGAGGCTCGTAAGGCGCTTGGAGACGGAGGAGAGCGATGTCTGCGTCGGAGGGTTCGTCGAGGAGGGTGAGGGAGGGCAAGGCAGAAAGGTAAGTTGCGTTGAAGCCTTCGACGAAGACTTTGCGGCTTACGTTCGACCTTAGTGGGAGGATGTCGTCTTCGTTCTTGAGGAGTGTGTAAGCCGCTCTCTGTGCTTCTTTGCCGAGACGGACGAAGTAGGGGTTGCCGACGATCTTATCGGCTTGATCGATGTCGATGAACGGGTTGTCGAAGAGGCCGAGCTCAAATTTCTCGCGGAGGAGGCGGCGGATGGAGATGCCGAGTCTCTCCTCTATGACGAGGCCAGTCTCGACTAGTTCGACGACAAGCTCTGGACGCTCTTCGCCACCGAATTGGTCAACACCAGCATCGAGGATTCTTTTTGCTCGTTCCAGCTCGCTGAGGTACTCGACACCCCATGCGCGGGCGGGCATGTATTGGCCGGCGATGTAAGTATCCGTGATGAGGCCCCAGTCACTTACAACTATGCCTTTGTAGCCTAGTTCACCGCGGAGCAGATCGGTGATGATGCCCTTGTTGAAGCCGAAGGCGACCTCCTCATATTCAGTCCCAATAGGCCTGGAGTAATACGGCATCATCTGTCTCGCACCTGCGGCGATGGCAGCCTTGAAGGGGATCAAGTGGTAGTCGAAGTTGTCTCCAGGGTATGTCTGGTTCTTGCCATAGGTGAAGTGGCTGTCTTCGCCATTCTCCATGGGTCCTCCACCTGGGAAGTGCTTGGTGACGGTGGTGACGGAGTGCTTGCCGAATGTCTCGCCGTGGAAGCCTTTGAGGTAGGCGACGACGAGTTCAGCTGTGAGGCTGGCGTCTTCGCCCATGGTGTTGCCAATACGCGACCAGCGATATTCGGTTGATAGGTCGATCTGGGGATGTAAAGCGCCACGAAGTCCAACCGCTTTATACTCCTCTCTGGCAACCTCCGCGAACTGCTTCACGAGTTCAGGGCTTCGAAGCGCCGCGAGTCCAAGACTTTCTGGCCATTGAGAGAAATCGTTCGCGGCAAAACCAGTTCCCAGGTTCTCAGTGAATGCATGTCGTGGATCTGTCGACAGCGTAATCGGAATACCCAGCCTCGTGTCTAACGCCCGCTGCTGGATCCGATTGTACCACTGCGCAGTGAGATGGACGTCCTCAATGTCACCACGAAGGTTGAAATGCGTCATGAACTTCTCGCCGATGACATTGTCGGTCGAGTTGGAGGTCGAAGAGCCAGGCGTCAGAGTTCCATTGGGTCCAATTGTGAGACTGTTGTGGGACAGTTGGCCAGCGCTCTCCTCGAGCGTCATTCTCGAGAGAAGATCCTCGATTCTGGCATCGATGCAGAGTGTGGCGTCCTTGTATGGAAATGTGGTGTTGGTGCATGATCCTGTGGCGAGGCTCAAAGCCAGCACTGCAGCTGCGAAAGCCTTGTGATTGCCCATGTTGATAGTTCAGTTCTGGCTCCAGGTGAACACGCTCCCCTGCTTCCACGTGTTGGTGACCGCATGACTTTATATACTACCGTCGCCGACCATGCCGGCCAACAGGCCCGCAGACCCGCTCATTCTCTCATCACATGGCAACGTAGCATTCACCAGTGCGGCGAATACGCCACACATTCCCCGCTGGACATCGTGTTCGCCGGCATGTATCATCGGCCATTGCACAATGTGCTCGTACTGCTACTCGAAGTGCAACTGCCGCCTCAAAACTATTCACAAACGATAGTCTTGGCAGTTCTTGGCCTTGCCCAAACGGCGGGATATCTTCAAGCGAAGTGTGGCAGCCGATGTATCTCCAGGTCCACTTTTCCGCTTTCTCCAGACGTTCTCCGCAACAGAGGTGTTTGCCAAGATTGACATGGGGACATCGGCACTATTCGGTCGGAGGAGAAGACAGTTTTATGGCACATTGACAAACGTTTTGCTCCGGTAATGTCTAGCGCAGGTGCAGTCAGTTGAGGGGCCTAGTGGCAAGGAGGTTCAGCGTGCTCTGAGAACGTGGAAGTCAGTAATACAAGATACGGAAAATAGATGCTCGACTTAGCATTTCATGTTCACGCCCCGCCTCTTCTCGCTTTCGCGGACCTCAAACATGACCTGCACGCCGACAAATAGCGTGGCGCATGCAGCGAGGAGAAAGGCTCGGCCACCCCAGGTCCCAACTATGCCATCGACCAGGCCCTTCAAGCCATCCAACCCAACAGCGAACCCAACAAGATTCGCTGCCATCATCATGAGGATGTTTGCAACAGCCCCCACACCACACAGCCACCTGTACTGATTTGGTCGATCTTTCCACTTCTTCGCGGGAAAGGCAAGTGTTGCTAGTACCTCTGGTAGGACGAATAACGTGATGAGCCATCCCCACATGAGTAACCGGAGGTTGATGTCGTGCCAGAGTGCGACGAAGGTGAAGACGGCGAGATAATTGACAATATGACGCAGCCTGGAGTGCTCGCTTCCTCCAAGAGGAACATAGATGTAACGAACGACAAATCGATTGAAGGATCGATGCCATCCTCGCCAGAAAGCCAGAGCCGAGTAGTTGTCCGACATGCAGCGGACCATGTTCTCAGGTGGGTCTATGCCATCCACGAGAGACCAGAATCGGAAGAAGCGCCACGGGAGAAGAAGCTTCAGCCAGATGATGTGTAGGTTGAAGTATCCCAGCATACTTAGTTGAAATGGTGTGTACACATTCCAGTCCGGATTCGACTTGGATATAGCGACTGCGTACAAGTAGTGTTGACAAAGTTCCATGCAAAGTAAACAGAGCCCGAAGCGAATGCCGTATGGAATGATGCGACTTGTGGAGATCGTTGGGAGTGGGTATCGACATTGGGAGATGTAGTCGTTGAAGTTGACGATGGGTCCAGCAAGGTACAACGGCGAGTATAGGATGTACGCGATGTAATTGCGGAAAGTGAAGTCAGACGGTTGTGCTCCGTATGCAACACGATCTCGCTCTGAAAGAGATCCAGGATCGAGGTTTTTCTTCTGAAGTGGATTAGTTGATGCCAGGGTGCTCAGGTCACGTTGCATGTACATACCTCGATTGGGCTGCTGGCTCTTCGATTCATCGACCAAAGATAGTCAAAGTTGAAGGATATCAGTCGCAAGACTGTAATGTTGAACAGAATCTCCCATCGTGGAATGAGGCCGCCATAGCTGTCGATCCAGGTTCCCCAATTGTCCTCAAGTGGCTTATCAGCAGCAGTCGTGGTGGGGGGAAGTGCTGCTGCAGCAATGTCTGCGAATTTGTAGCCATGGCAGAGTTCGTTGGCAAAAAGCAGAGCGATATTGAACACCCAGGTCGTGGTACCAATGTATTGACGTGGCAATGTAGTCGCAATCTGGTAGTTCAGATAGAGGATAAAGAAGATTTTCAGAGCTGAAACGCCATGCAGTGCCACCAGAAATATGACGGCAAAGACAACGTCGAAAAAGATTCGTGTTTCCTTCCTGTCGTCCGCAGATTTGGAAGAGACGGCTCCAGAGTGTGGTTTCACACCATTCGCACCTTCAATTCTTTTCGGAGATGAAATGGCCTCATAAGCTCTTCTCAATAATGGGTGTAGCACAAGAAGTAGAGCCATGTAAGGGATGTTCTCGCGAAATCCAGCATATTGTGCGTCCGAGTTGTCGACTTTCCTTCCAGGTATCCAGCCTGGGGAGAGGAGGTCGTCATAGTGTTCATAGCTAGGGTGTTCCGGTCTCGAGACATCATATACCGCCTTGAACATCAAGATTGGGATGGAAGCGAAGCAGAGGCCGTACAACCAGTATTCGGGGGTGTTCCATCGTGCAGGCTGGGCGTCCGGACGAGGCTGGCCAGTCGACGAGGCAAAGCGAGTGTCGAGGGTTTCGACTTTGAACAGATCCGTCACCTTCATCGTGCAATTGGCCGCATATCCAGATGTCTGGGGCGTTGGAGAAGTTCGAAAAGGAGAAGACGTGAAGTAACGCGTAATGGTCAGCGGCCATAATGCGCAGCCAAGCGAGCATTGAGCACGACTTCTGGCCACCTCGTTTCGATCGCGGTTTGGACTTCGCGTCTTGATGGCTGCTTGTGATGGAAGACACCGACTCGAATTGCGCGCCCCGTACATTCACTCACTGCTCACCGCTAGTCTCATTACTGTCGCCAAAACTAGCGCTGCTGCATGTGAACATCGCATACCCTCCCACCCAACATGGCGGCCACACTGCCTCCGACCCAGCCGCCAGCGGCCCAAGAATATGCTGGAGGTCAGTACACAGGAAGAAAGGCGTCGCGGATGGTACTGATGTTCTGTGCTAGATGAGATCAATGCGCTCGTCCTCGACCCCGGCTCCTACACCACCCGCGCGGGCTTTGCGGGCGAAGACACCCCCAAAGCGGTCATTCCAACCAACTATGGCCTCCTCTCGTCTGGCGAGAAAGTCTTCGGCGAGAATGCGATCCACCTACCGCGACCAGATATGGAGATTAAGAACCCATTCGACTCAGACGGCATCGTAGAAGATTGGGAGACGGCCACCAAGCTATGGGAGTACAGCGTCACATCGAGGTTAACTGGAGCGAAGCAAACCCCTCCAAATAAGAATGGGCTCAACGATGATAAAGACGAGAACGGCGATGTGAACATGGACGATCAGATGGAGCAACTGGAGGATCAAGAGAAGGTCTTGGGCGAATACCCGCTGCTGATGGCAGAGCCCGCGTGGAACCCACAAAAGGCGCGAGAGAAGTCGATCGAGATTGCCATGGAGCAATGGGGTGTGCCGGCTTTCTTTCTGGCCAAGAACGGACAACTAGCCGCGTACGTGCTGTCAACGAAGCGAGAGTCGAGCTATACTAACGCTGGGACAGGTATTCGCAAGGGAAAGCCACAGCGCTTGTGATCGACGTTGGACATCAAAATACCTCTGTGACTGCGTTGTGGGAAGGCATGGTCCTGAGAAAGAGTAAGTCTCCAACCTCTCTCTACGCAGTGCTTTACATGATGATTCTTTCTATATCTCACGACGGTCGACATAGCACTGCTTTGATGATACAGCCTTTGACCAGGCTTGTACACTGACTTGTTCCCCCGAAACCACCCTTAGCAAATATGCTCTCCGCGAAGACAAGTTCTGACATTCTTCAGGCGTCCATCACACTCCATTAGCCGGCAATTGGCTCAGCAACCAGATTCGCCTCATGCTTAGCAGCTTGCAAGCCCCTCTCATCCCGCACTACATGGTGAAGTCAAAGCAGCCAGTTGACGCCGGTGCACCTAGCAACGCGACATACGTCAAGTTCGACAAACCACCTACAGACAGCTTCCGTAAACTAGAAGAAGAGCGCGTGCTTACCGCCTTCAAGGAAAGCGTCGTCCAGACCTGGCCTGGTCCGAACCGACTGGAATCCCAATCTGGCGCCGGTGCTTTCACGAACCTGGACCACGTCAAGAACTATCCACCCAAGCCTTTTGAGATGCCAGACGGCTGGAACCAGGTTTTCAGCGCTGAGCGTTTCAAGGTCGCCGAAGGACTCTTCGACCACAACGCCGCATACACAGACGCGGAGAATCCTGCACCAGCCGGCGACCAGACCCTTACCAGCGTCGCGAGAAATGCGCTGCAGGCCTGCGACGTCGACACAAGGCCACACTTGATGAACAACATCATCATTACCGGAGCAGGAAGCTTGATCGACAAGCTGCCCGAACGACTACAATCAGATCTTCAGACCATATACCCAAATCCAAAGATCAGGGTGATCGCGAACCAAAACTCAGTTGAGAGAAAATACGGAGGTTGGATTGGAGGAAGCGTGCTGGCCAGCTTAGGAACGTTCCACCAGATGTGGGTCAGCCGGCAAGAATACGAGGAGTTCGGCGCGCGGATTGTGGAGAAGCGATGTAAGTGAGTAGTGGGTGGGCGGCATACAGCTGTAGTTTGAAGGCGTTCGAATCAAATCTCACAAGGAAGTGGAATACTTGGAGAAGGTGCGTGTACCAGCAGCGTGTACTTCTAGATATCCACGTCTTATGAAAAGAGCAAAAGTTCTCACGACAGCCACTATGGCACTTCGAATCATCGCATCGTCAGCTGCAGTATACACGCTCGGTATCTGCATCACCTGTTCAGATGCCGTCGAGTCAGTCAACGTGGTCACGGCACTCAAAAATAGCATGAAACGACACGTGAGTGATCCGCAAGCGGCATGCCGATGGCCAAGGATTCGACGAGGATGTGCCTGACAAGGCCGTGGCGTTACTGGATGGAGATGCTTGTTCACAGCCCTGGGAGCCAACATCTGGAAAGTCAAGATACCTGCCCGCAAACTTGATCTCCGCCGACGGATCATTGAGTGGCCAAGTGCTATCATCAATCAGCGTTTCCAAACGTTGCGGTCTTTCAGAGCTCCATATCAATCGATCCTTTGTCATGCTTGCTGCCCTCTCTGACCGCGACTTCGTACAAAAACCTCGAGCAAAAGACCAGCAAGCAACAACGCAGCAGATCTACCAGGAAACAAGCTTCTTCCAAATGTCGCAAACCCAACACCTTCATCCTGGTCCTCGCCATGCTTGGCCGGCAACTCAAAACTTCAGCTCGTCACTCCAACAGCTGCAACAAGGTCTGGGCAATTCTTGGGATCATTCCGGGGTTTCGCGGAGAGGGGCAAGACGATGTCGTATACCTCCTTCCAAGACACATCAGACATGAGGCTCCGTTGCTTGACCTACACCTCTACCTCCTACTGCGGATGAACCGACGTACCATCAGCGCAGATGGAATGGGTTGTGGGCGCTTCGCCAGAGATTGACCATGTATCGAAATGGCGATCGGTCATTGCGAAGCTGCTGTCGATGACGGTGCTCATGATCTTGATTGTGCTATTGAGGTTATGGATCAGGAGGAAGAGTCTTCATCGAGAGGACTGGGTCACTGTCGTCACTGCAGTATGTTGATCGTGATATAATCATGCCGCCAGAGACTGACCTGTCGTCGGGCAGCTTTTCAGCATCACTTACAGCGCTTCTTCGGTGATTCGTAAGTTGATCATTGTCACCTATACCTTCTCAAAGGCCATCAATCTGAGCATTAACAGAGACGAAATACGGGCTTGGATTGCCTTTGAGGTTAAGACCAGAAGAAGACCAGAAAGACTATGCCATTGTACGCCGCTCCCACCCAGTCCCCTGAACTCTCGCTCTGACCACGTTCGTCTCTGCAGATCAACTACACAAGTCGGCCATTCTACCTCTGGGGCATTGCGGGCTTCAAGCTCGCACTCTGCCTCATGTATCTCCGCATGACGAAGCGGACCCTAGGCGACCGATTTCGAAGACTCATCATAGGAGTCGCAGTCTTCTCGACTTTGGCGCAGACGACGTTTGTCTTTGTCTTTCTCTTCTCTTGCGTCCCGGTCGGTCTCCCTAACCACTGATCGATGACGAGCCCCAGCTGACGTTACACCCAGTTATCCAAGATGTTTGATCCATCAATCGAAGGCTCTTGCATCTCATATGCACCCGTCAGCTACACGATGAGCTCCATCACGATCTTGTGCGATGTGGTCATCTTCCTCATACCCATCCCCCTCGTCTACCGGCTTCGACTCGAGAGGGCGGTCAAGCTTGGATTGAGCATCGTCTTCAGCCTGGGCTTATTGACTACGATCTGCTCGATTCTGCGCATGACGCAAATCCATCGCATTGCGTATGGAGATGGTGACAGTACGCAGTTTGTAGTTCGGAGTGGGATGGAGTTGAACGTTGGAGTATCTCTCTCTATCCTCGCATCAACGTATAGCACACGCTGACCTCATGGTCGCAGATCATAACATCGTGCCTGCCAGTCCTCCGACCCGTCCTGAAGCACATCCCACGAAAACTCCTCGCCCTCCTCCCCTTCTCTACGACTAATCGAACAGACCGCGACACAACAACCCACCCGACCATGAACTGCATCAAACTCAGCTCCCTCAAACCCACCAAGCTCTCCCGTACCGGCTCCAAACCCACACCCTCCAGCAGAATCGAACGCATCAAGACTACACTCCGTCACTCCGACAGCGAAGAGCAAATCATAATATCGCCCTTGGAGATCCAGAGGCCGGAGGAGGCGTTGGTCAGGAGTGAAAGTCATGGCAGCGAGTGGAATGAGTGGAGGATTTCTGGGGTCATGAAGACGGTGGAGGTTGATGTTGAGAGTAGTTATGTGCTTTCGCCTTCGAGTCCGAGGCTGGGGAATGGCGCTGGGGGGAGGATGGAGACGAGGTATGAGTGGGACTGAGTGATGGGTATGGAGGGGGAAATATGGATGATAGATCTAGAAGAGGTGGGTGATGGCTGGATCTGGATGAAGCTAATGATACATGTAGTAGAACATGATGTCTTCGAAGAAATGAAGTACTCCACCACAACGGAGCATCTCATCGCTTCCGATCCAAGAGCACAACTAATGGGTATCTTCTCCTCTTCCTCGGACGCCGCTCCTCAACTCGATCGCTTTTTGAAACAAATATAATACAAAGACCAAGAAAGCATAAGCTTCATGGAAAGATCAACTCTCTCCTCGCTCCCCTCGCTCCCCACGCTCTCGATTTCCCATCCTTCTCAACCCATAAAATCCTCATCATTCGGATCATCATCCGGCACAACCATCCTCGCAACATCCTCGTCCTCATCTTCATCAGAAGAATCTCGATCATACTTGATCTGTCTCGGAGCGGATGCAGCCGAACGACGACGTGTACTGCTTCGAGTCGGCGTCTGCTCCGTCGCTTGCTTCTTGGGTGTTTGCTTCTTGGGCGTTGGCGGTGGAGGCATCCGGGTAGCCTGTGATCGAACAGGCTGTGGTCGAGGCTGTTGCTTGGCGGGATGCTGCTCGGCCTGCTTCGCGAACATATCTGCGTACCTCGACTGCTGCTGAGATTTTCTCGTTACATGGATCGTATCGGAGACTTCGGACATTGCCGATGGTGTGGAAACCCGACGTGGCTCAGTTTGACTCGATGGGGTCGAAACAGGCATCGGGTAGGCGCCCCGAGAGCCGGCGGCGTTGACCTGTGGTGCTGAAGCACGTCGACGACCTTGTCCGTCGAACTGGGCGAGGTGTGCTGCGAGGAGGCTTTGGGGCTTGTTTACCTGCTGGCTCTGCTGAGCGAGAGACACCGTCCGCCGAGGCTGGAAGGTCTGTGGGCTTGAAGGGGATCGCTGGCGCTGAGCTCCTTGTTGTGCCTCTCCGTTCTGATAGAAGCCGCCTGGGTTCATGGCTGGAAGTGACTGGGTGTTTTGAGCCGGGAACGGGTCTGGAACAGGTGGCAGCACCTGCCAAGGCGTATCAGAGCCTGGTGGTGGGTTTGCGAAGACGCTGCGCTGGGTCGGTGCTCGAACGTGGAGAGCTGCGACTCTCGGCTCGACCTGCATTGCCGCACTTTGGTTGTAGAGCTGCTGTTTTTTCGGGTCGAGGTCGATGTGGACGCCGAACTTGGCCATGTGGTTGGCAATTGGGAGGTAGATAGCCCATTGCTCGGCTGCGACCATGACACTGATGAGGATGTGCGGCTGAGGTTGCGGTGCCCTAGCAAGGAACAGACGGACAGTATCTCGCACGGCGTTGTGGAAAGCCGGGTGGTAGCTGTTGTGAACCGTCGTGTTGCTGACTTGCAGCCAAGCCTCGAAGCCTTGCAAGATCTCGTCGTTGCCTTCAGAATTGCGGAAAATGCGAGCCAGATCCGCGGGGATGACAGCTTCATCAGCGATGATACACGCTGTGAACATGCCGTAGATGTGGTTGTAGATCGCATTGTTCGAGCAGCAGTGTCGAGGGAGATAGTCGAACCGTTGCTCCAGCCCAGTAAGCATCTTGTGGAAGCGGTTGATGAGGTTTGGGTTGACGGGAGTGTCGTCGCAGAGCGCCTCGAAGACACAGAATAGGAGCACAGCGTGTGCAGCATGAGGAAGACCTTGAACACCCTTGTGCACCAAGCGGTTGTATGTATCCTTGACCTCCTTTTTCAGTGGGTGGTCCCCGAGAATGTTCAGCAATGTGTCGAGAACAGGAACCGTCGGGCTGGCGCAGTACACTTCGTATCCTTTGCGAAGTGATTGGTTTTGCGCGGTTTGTTCAGGCGTCGCGGGTGATAGTGAGTCCATCTTGGGAGGAGGTATGTCAATGTGAAAGGGGTCGAGATCAGGTGGTGCTCGGGATCTCGCAGGAATGTGTTGCGAGAGTGCTGTTAAGATGTTAGTCCTGCAAATATCCCCCACTGTTTGCTCTGGGCTGTTCGCGCCACCTCTGGTTTTGTTTTCGCTTTGGACAATGATTCGCCTTTCAGATCTCTGACGTGGTTGTAGAAGACGGATATAGACGTAGGCAGAAAGATATCTAATATGTAGTTCTCGCAAAACGCCCGCACAAAGCTCGTTCTTCTTCACTTGTTTGCTATTATGTTCACATGCTACAATAAGCGCACTGTTGACCGCGATTTGCCGCTTTGAGCGGCTTTGTCCCGTACCAATCAATCTGTGAGTGAATGAAAATTAGTCACGTGCTGATGTCACCGTACAGACTTGTTGCAACAAGTGAATGAAAGCAAGCACGTGCACAGCTTGCTGCATCGATGGTTCCCTGTAGTCCAGTAAAGCTTGTGAAGTGAGGTTGAACGGCGCATGCTCGTGACTCTACAAACATCTGATGTTGACGCTAAGCATAACTTCTGAAGCTGAATGACAGACCACGTGTCACTGCACTGGTTCAATGTGGATCTCGCTTTCCTCACCTATCTGCCGATCATGCTGCCAGATACAAGAAGCTGGCTTACAACGAGGGAAAAGTTTCACTAAAGTGTTCGTGCAAGCGATAGCAACCAAAGTGCCAAGTCGCCAAATGAGGCGTGCAAAAGCACTGATTAAGCTGAGATACCATTTTTGAGAAATTGCGAAGCCATCGCATCGAAGCCGACTTGGGTGTTCGCAAGCTCTCGGCAAGTAAGGGCTATTACGTTAGCGTAACTTTTCGGAAGTGAGTGAATGACAGGTTCGGGATCTTCGCTTGCCGACCCGAAGCCTCCTCTTTCTCGAGCCGATAGCCTTGGCCGTCGAAGCAGCTCTCATGCAACACTTCACCTGAAGTACTGGTCACCCGTAGGACCAGTAGCTGATATCCGTCGACTATTTACAAAGAGGTCCTCGACATCCTCGGCTCTGGGTCTTACGACATCCTGAGACTCCCCAACGCATAGTCTCCAGAAGTCTAGTTCAAGAAACAGATGCAACATGTATGTGGATGTTCTGACTCGTACTAAAGATACGCTCTATCCCAGATCACACACGACATCAGACAAGTTCACATCCGAACTTAATGTTGCCCCTGACGTGGACGTCCAAGCGAAGACTCCACAGGTCACAGACGTTTCTCATTCTTCATCGTCCTGACTAGGAATACAACTTACACCAGTAGATCTGATATTTCCCCGCGCTCTTGAAGAGACTTTCATCTCGTCGTGCCCGTGAAGGAGCGATCGTCGCTACGAGTCTGCATCAGGAAACCTAAGAATCCGCTCCCGGCTGCTACTTTTCTTTTTGTCGGAAGTCAAGACATACTGCTCGGGAAGGGTCATCGGTTTTGAAACGGCAGGAGAAGGATTGAATGGGGAAGCTAGTCGTAAATTGCTACTGAGACTGTGGGTATATATAGAGATAAACCGTTCGACGTGGAAGACGTTCGGTCATTCAATCGTACCATCCCAATTTACCATGTTTCTCTCAGTGATCACTCCTGCCATTCTGGGTCTCGTTGGCACATGCCATGCTCTACCTACCACAATAGGCCTAGACTATGGCACTTTCAAGGGCCGCAACGATCTCCTCACGAGTACGACCAGCTTTCTAGGCATGCCCTTTGCGGTCGCCGGCCGCCTTGAGAACCCTCGTTTGATAGGACCTCAAGACAAACTGTCTGGCGAGCAAGACGCGACAGACTACGGACCAGCTTGTCCTCAGCAAGAGCTTGTCGCCTCTCCCCTCGAGCAGGGCAATGCAGAAGTGGGTGAGCTACTTGGTCTGATCGAAGCTACAGTCCTGCCAAACATTACCAGACAGGCAGAGGACTGCTTGAGTATCAATGTTCAAGTACCAAAAGGCATCAAAGATACTTCGAAACTACCTGTCTTGATGTGGATCCATGGCGGTGGCTTTGAACTGGGGTCTTCAGGCTCTCTGGGCTCGGAAGCTACAGCCTTGCAAGGTGTCATATACCAGGTCCGTTCGGAAAAGTCATGCTTCCAAGCGTTGTAACGCTAATCACAATTCCCAGGGTGCGAATCTCGTACAGCGCAGCATCGACATGAAACAGCCCGTGGTGTTCGTCTCTGCCAACTACCGCCTGAACTTCTTCGGGACCCTGGCATCGAAGGAGGTCACAGATGCTGGCATCGCCAACCTCTTCTTGAAAGATCAGGATGTTGCTTTCGCCTGGGTACAGAAATATATCTCGAAATTTGGTGGTGACCCGTGGAAGGTCACGGTCTTTGGCGAATCTGCTGGAGCCATGTCCACGACTACGCACATGGTCTTGAAGAATGGCGATGTCAGTGGCAAGTTCAGAGGCGCTTGGGTGTTCAGTGGCCCGGTATGATCAGGATGATCCAATGCCATCTTCTATGATCCGACTAACGATGCAATGTAGGTTCGCAAAGTGCTTGACTACACTCATGCACAGCCAATATTCGACCGTTTGATGGGACGAATCGGCTGCGGTAATGCCGGTGACAAATTGTCTTGCGCAAAGGCGGCCCCTTACGAGAGCATTTACGCCGCTGTTCAAGGCGAGACAAACTTTCTCTCCTATACTGCGACCTTGGTACCATGGTATCCGCGACCTGATGGCGAGTATCTCGTCGACGATCCAGCTAAGCTCACAGGCGAGGGCAAAGTAGCCAACATCCCATTTGTCATTGGCAACATGGTCGACGAAGGCACGCTATTCTCGTTGGTCAATCAGCTCAATGTGACCACAAACCAGGACATTGTCAATTACTTCCAGGAGGTCTATTGTCAAGAGACTCCGCGAAGCCTCATCGAAGAGCTCGTCGGTCTTTACTCTGATGACCCAGCTGAAGGTTCTCCCTACGACACCGGTCTCAACAATCAACTGGGTCCCAAGTACAAGAAGATTGCGAGTATGATTGGAGATTATACTTTCACCTCAGGCCGTCGGACTCTGCTGAACGTCACTTCGACCCGCCAAAACACCTGGTCCTACCAAATCAAGCAGAGCCTACCTCTTCTCGGTCAGATCTCGCTCTTAAATCCACTCCAGGTCTCCAACCTCCCCATTCTAGGCTCTTTCCACATTTCAGACGTGGTCCTCAACGCATTCGGCACCATCCCCGCTGCACTGAGAAAGAACACTCTCAACATCATGAGCAGCCTCGTGCAGTTTGCGAACAACCTCGATCCAAATACTCAAGGCCTTGGCCTGCCCACTTGGCCAAAGTACAATCCCAACCAGCCTCAGCAATTTCAATTCCGTGAGGACGGATGTCGTATTACTGACGATGGGTATCGCAAGACGCAAATGGACTTCCTGGAGAGAAATGCTGCTCAATTGAGGGCTTGAGAGGACGTACGGTACTGCTAAGCAGTATACACGAGACGCCAGAAGGGCGTGAAAGCTGAAGATACGATCGAAACCTCAATCCAAGGTAGTCTTACTCGAATCTCGTCTTCTATCTATCATATTAAGCGTGCGAGAAAATAGCAACTACTCGCCACTTTCCTGGTTCTTGTGGAAAGCTTCGTCGAAAGCCATCATGGTCCTCGCGAGGAAATCCACCAAGGTCCTTCGCAACTTGTGCAGCTTTCCTTCGACTTCCGATCTTGATGTGACGTTGCTCCAAAAGTATACATTGTCTTCTTGACTGAAAGAAGAGACGACAGGTACTACCAGCGGCAGCAAACCCTACAGCAACCACGTCTCTTGAAGCCATCAGCACACCCCTGACTCAATCCAAGCCATGGGCGGCAAATACAAGCTCATCATCCTCCGCCACGGCCGCAGTGAATGGAACGAGAAGAACCTCTTCACCGGCTGGGTCGACGTCCCACTGAACGACGAAGGCCGCAAAGAAGCCGTCCAAGCCGGCAAGCTCCTGAAACAAGAAGGCTGGCTCCCAGACTTGCTCTACACATCTCTCCTCCGTCGAGCAATCGTCACCGCCAACCTGGCCCTGGACGAAGCAGATCGTCTCTGGATCCCGGTCAAACGCCACTGGGCGCTGAATGAACGGCACTATGGAGGTCTTCAGGGTCTGAACAAGGCTGAAGCGGCTGAGAAGAATGGCGAGGAACAAGTTCATCTTTGGAGGCGCTCGTATGATGTTCGGCCGCCGCCTACTTCTGAGGATTACCGCAAATTGGAAGATGATGGACGGTATTCTTCGCAGGGGATCTCTGTGCCGCCGACGGAATGTTTAAAGGATGTCTTGGAGAGAGTGTTGCCATATTGGAAGAGTGACATTGTGTCTGATCTTAAGTCAGGCAAAACGGTTCTGATTGCAGCGCACGGGAATTCTTTGAGAGCACTGATGAAGGATCTGGAGGGCATTAGTGACAAGGACATTCCTGGCGTGGAGATACCGACTGGGGTGCCGATCTTGTACGAGCTGGACGACGACCTCAAAGGAAAGGGAAGGCATCTCGGTTGACGGAGGCGTACATGTCGTGATTGCGAAAGGGCGTATGTACTTTCGTCAGCTAAAGAAGCCTCCTCAAGACCACTCCTGCGTAGTCATCAAAAGCATGTGATCGAGCTTGGCAACCTTCCAGCTAAATGCCAAAGATTACTGAACATGTTGCACAACCATCTCAGCCACGCACATCACTATACAAATTGTTCCCACAAGTATACTCATCTTCTCGCGTACGTGTTCGCAAAAGCTACTCGTTTCATGGCTTGTGCACAAACACCAGGTCGCCCCCATGTTTGGAATTACCAAGCCCCTGGCCATTTGGGGGCGCGCAGCCTCCCGTGCTATCTCCGGCGAGGCTGTTGAAGCAAGTAATCACGCGACTCCGTGGTACCGATGTGATATGTGAGACGTACATATATAACGGAGTTTGTGGCCCGCAAAAAGACAGCACAAAGTCACAGATGCTCTCGCTGTTGATCACCATCGGAAAATTCACCTCATAGTTGCAATCCAGAGCAAAGATGTCGGGGACACAGCAAAAAGCAATCGCCATCACAGAGCTCAAGAAGCCCGTCGTGAACATCCAACGTCCCGTACCCTCCCCACAGCAAGGCGAAGTCCTCATCAAAGTCAAAGCAGCTCATCGTAAGTCCACCTCTTCCTCCCCCATCAACTACTCCCCCAACTAATACCATCCCCTAGTCCTCCCCCATGACTCCTACATGCGCGACCTCGGCCTCTTCGTAGGCGACAAACTCCCCTGGGTCCTCGGCGGCGACGTCGCCGGCACAATCGAAGAGATCGGTCCCTCGACCTCCACGACCTTCAAAATAGGCGACCGAGTCACCGGCATCTGCGTTCCTGTGGACTCCAACACCCCTGACTCAGCAGCCGCTCAAGAGTACTGCATTCTGAAAGTCGACGGCATGGCAAAAGTCCCGGATTCGTATAAGAAAGAAGACGCCGTAACCATCCCGCTAAACCTCATCACGACCTTCATGGCGCTCTTCACAGAAGACTACGGCTTCGCCTGGCCACCTCCCTGGGAGAAATCGACCACCACCTTCGATCCCACCGCCCAAACCCTCATCATCGTAGGCGCCGGCTCCAACTGCGGCAAATTCGCTATTCAGTTCTCAAAACTCGTCGGAATCGGCCGCATCATCGCCATAGCCGGGCCCTCCAACGAAGCCGAATTGAAGAAACTCGGAGCAACGCACTTCATCGACCGCCACGCCTTGCCCGAAGCCATCAAATCCCAAATCCATGCCATCGTGCCCAAGGACGACATCACCGCCGTGTACGACTGCTACAACTGGACGTTCGAGCTCGGGCTCTCGCTCATCTCAAGCAGCAAACCCGCCCGCTTGGCGGTCTTGCACCGGGTCGATGGCGCGGAGATCGCGAAGACGTATCCGAATGTAAGGGCGGGGACGGTGAGGTGCTCGAATGAGAATCTTGGACCGCATAAGGGCGAGTTTTGGAGGCAGTTGCCGGGGTGGTTGGAGAGGAGTGAGATTTTGCCGGCGGAGTGGAAGGTTGTTGGCGGGTTGGAGGCTGTGGAGGAGGTTAATGCGGTGTTGGATGATTATCGAGATGGGAAGGGGGGTGCGCAGGGGCTTGTGCTTCCATGATTAAGAGAGATCGTGTAGAGGTGTAGTCACTCGTTGACGGACGAAATTCGTGATCCAGGACTGTTGCTCTATAAACCCGGTATTTGTCAGTGCAACAAGTCACACAACAACATCCGGAGCCGACCATACCAATCCCAAAACAGACCCCATGTCTCTCACGTGGAGAACGCCTCCAATCCAGCCTCGCCAATCAAAATTCGCCGCGAGATCTTGACTCCTGCCGTATGGCGTTAGATCAAGCGAAGCTGCATTGGACTATTGCGCTCAGCCTTGGCACGGGGGCTTGCAATTGAGAGGCCGCCGTGCTCAGCCTCCGAGATCTGGAGACTTCATTTCATCTTTCGTGGAGAGGCAGGGAGCTTCCTGGTGCTGTTGAACGTCAGCGACCAGCAGGACATATGCAATGTCGGCTCTTCGGCTTCGTAAAGTATTGCTCCAGCTAGTCGTCTTCACTGCGCTGGCAGATTGCAGTCCTAGAGCTGCAATCACGCCTTTCGCTGCTCCACCGCTGCTCCCTCGTCAAGATCTAGCCCAGACATGCGGCTACGTCGAAGCAGATATCCGTAAGGCCTCCTCCTTCCATCAAACCATACAGCTATCTGACATCTGTTCCCGTATAGTCTCCCCGATCGGCTGTCTAGCCGGCTCAACTTGCGCCGCAGATGTAACGCAAAGCATCGCCGGCATCTGCTGTCGTCTCGGAAACAACGCCAACTGCGTAGCAGTGACAAGTTGTGTGGCATCAGCGAATCTTCAAGCGTCTTGTAACAGCGACTGCTCTGCTAATGCTGCCGTGACGAAATGGTATCGAAGCCGAACATCCGTTACTACGAGCACCATCCACTGACACGTGAATACAGCTCAGATGTGGCTTCACCATACTGCTATACCAGGTATTGGGTATCAGCAGACAGGACGCCAGTGGAGATCGGCTGCACCACCACGCAAGGGTACAGCGCTTTCGTGTACACGACGTATACGTACCTGGGCAATACCGTGAACTTTGATCCAGCGACTACGCCGCCACCTTCCACAACTCCAGTCGGGACAGGAAGTGCGGTCGTCACAGGATCTTCGAGCTCCACGACGTCAGCTGGCAGTGGAGGAGCGGGTGCAAGTTCAGATCAATCTTCAGGCGACTCGAAGTCGAATTCGAATTCAGGCTCATCTAGCAATTCCGGAAGTTCCACCAACGTAGGCGCCATTGCGGGAGGTGTCGTAGGCGGAGTCGTCGGGCTGGGACTGATTGCGGCGTTCATTGTCTGGATTGTGCTGCGGCATCGTCGAAAATCTCGCGAGGCGGCATGGACTCAAGGCAGTGGAGCACCAGCGCCTGCAGCAGCGCCAGCGGGTGACAGTTATGAGAAGCCCCCAAAGTCGGCTTTGTCGGCCACAGATCCAGTGTCGCCGATTCCGTCCACGCAAGGAGGGCATAATGCTGGGGCGGGCCAGACTCATGAGATTGCTTCGAATGACAGACATTATGAGCTTCATGAGCGGGATAGGATACCCGAGCTGCCTTGAGGAAAGGTGGTCTGTAATCAAGTTAAGAAAGCAATGGCCTTATGAGAGGATAGCGAAGCTAGCAATCAGTACGCAGCTTTCATGTCGATGCCTGTATAACTCAAGACTCAGATCGTCAGCGAGTCCGCTTTTCAAACTCACAGTCAAAAAATGCATTCCCCCAAGTCTATGCTCGACTCCTTCCGATGTATCCCGCCCAATTCATATCGCATGTGTCATAAGTCTTCATTTCGTAGTCCTGTCGTCTTCGTCGTTATCCTCATCCGATCCAGCCAAAGAACCCATTTCCTCATTATCATCATGCTGTCGTTGCTGACCGGTCTGCACCATCTCAGGCTGAACTTCTTCGTGTTGGTGAAGTTTGATATTGACAAAGATGACCCAAAGTCCAATGTCGTAGGCGAGTCGGAAAGCACCTCCAGCGACGAATGCAATCCAGAATCGGTTGCTTCCAGCCAAAAGGCCCGTTACTGTTGGGCCAGCAGTAGCAGCGAGAGTGCGCATCATGGATGTGATGCCCATTACCGCAGTTCGCTCTTCTGGCTTGACGATGGCAGCGATCAACGCAGATCGCGGCGCTTGGTCCATGTTGTTCAGACCTGCACGTACGAAAAGCAGGACCGCAGTGAGCCAGAACATGTTTGGCCACGGGAAGACCAGCACGGCAGCCGAAGAGGGAATATGAGTGAAGACCATGGTATTCACTAAGCCGATCTTCCTCGCCATCGGCCCAGCGAAGACACCACCGACTGCACTCAAAAAGTAGCTCACTGACGTGACATCTCCAAGTGCGGCCTTGCTCGGGTGGAACTTGTCGTCCATGTAGTAGTTCGTCAGAGAGTATGGAACCATACCGTCTGCTAGGGAGTCTACAGCAAGCAGAGCCCAGAGCTTCCACATTACTGAGAGTGTCGGTGTTGAAATGTTTCCAATCCAACCTGACAGCCACGAGAAGCGTGATTTCTTGGGCGGCGGAGGTAGAGTCGGACCATCCAGAGCCACAGCACCTGGCCTCGCTGGGCTTTCGACCAGCTCGATGCTGTTGTCCTCTGACTCTTCTTGCGGCACTTGAGCATACTTCTCTTGCTGGCTGTCTGCTTCGCATGCCTTTGAGAGAAGTATCACAAGGCCGGCGTTCAAGAAGCCGAAGATTGCGTAGACCCACCACAGGGAGTGGTAGGCATCAGCGAGAGTCCACCCGTCCCGTCGTTGAAGAAACTCGATGATCCGACCAGAGGCTTCGCTACCGGCAGTGGATCCAAGAGCGGAGAGAGTGACATACCAGGCGAGAACATCTGCTCTTGAGGATGGGCTGGTGATCTGGGATATTATGGACCTCGAACGTCAGCGCAAGTATATCACACAGTGGCAAATAGCATACTCCTCGATAGATCGAAAAGGTCCAAAGTCACCACCAGTTGCGGATACAACACCAACCACGGCGGCGAAGAGGAGAATCCAGAAGTTCTCGAAGTAAGCAAAGATGCAGCCAGTCAAGACCATCAATGCCGAGCCCATCAACAGGATCCTTCTTCGCCCTACTTTATCCGCAACGAGAGTAAGTGCAGTGCCCAGAAAGACATCACCTGAGACCAATCAGTATGTCGAAAGCAGTCATCGGATACCATCGCTTACCGAGCAAGGTCAGTGTCATGAACAGCCCCAGCTGGGAGTCTGAGAACCCGATCTCTGCAAAGAACAGAGCTGGACAACATTAGCCGGACAAGCCCGTTGCAGCAGCAGCAGGGATGGATATACCGAGGATGAGAGAGTTCGTCCTGCGCAGTCGTGTGAGCATATGAAATCCGACAGCATCCTCCACCGCCTTCCTACATACCCATAAGCGAACATGCGCAGAGACCTCGCGAGAATGATAAGCCACGCATTTCCGCCCGTCTCGTAGACGGAGACCAGGCCGAACTCATGGTAGAACCATACGGAGGGGCGTAAAACAAGGGCCATCCAATAGCATATGATACCGCCAAGCGTGTTGTTGAGTAGTCGAAAGTAGTGTGAGGTGTCGGGTGTGTGTGAGACCGGAGGCTAGAAGAGGGTACCGATGAGTGAATCCTGCAGCCCGATGTCGGCGATGATGGTGCAGGTGAAATAACAGCGCGTCGCCGTCTTCTCGAGCATCGTCGTCGTTTGGCCGTCTCGACCGAATCTTCTTCATCGCGTGCTTCTCATACTGTGGGTCGTCAGGTCCAACATTCACATGCGTGCATGTGACTCGACCCACTCGCCCATGAAAACCTCCTCAGCCAGTACTGCCAATCACGCTATTCTCGCTCGCCTGGAATGGGCCCCATCTTTGAGGCTAATCTTTCATCACGAGGACGCAACATCCAGCGCGCGAAGATGAGCCGATTAGGAAGAGTGTGCTGAATACATCGCCCACATCTTGGAGCTGAAACGCCACGGCCATTTGAAGGAGCCACCCGTGGACGCGGGGCCCGAATGCCCATCCTTTATGCATCGGCTCTTCGACTCGGGATCTCAACGTGAAGAACGAAAACCTCAACGGGAGCATTTCCCGACGATTAGGACAAAGGCCGTTACTGCAGCAAAAAGACAAGATCCCAAGACCGGGCCAGTGCGAGCGTAGCCTCCACACCCACGCGACTCACTCGTGCTCGTGTGCGGGGAGTGGGGGCCCCAGGTGTTGGTGCATGGCCATCGCATGCGGTACGAACTGCGAAGAAGCCCAAAGGCACAGCACTCCACGGTTTGCTCCGAACTTCCAATAGATTGTCCCATGTCGCTTCCACAGCCAAGCACGCCTACCCCAATGTTGTGCCCCCGGCTTGCTGCTTCGGTCTCGCCTTCAACTCCTCCTCGACTCTCGCTGGCCCTTGGCATCCGGGGTTCACCATGGGGAAGACCTTGGCGACGAGTGATATTCGACCGCGATGGCCTTCACTTGCCGTGCGTCGGTGTATCCCAACCAACGACGAACAGCCTTAGGCTGCGTGACCGTCGTCTTGGTGTCCTATCTGTCCCTTGAAATCCATCCTCCCAAGACGCCAGACACGACATGGATACGGCTTCTTCTCGCCCAGGTGTCTTATGCGCTCCATGTGGCGTTCTTGGTAGCGGTGTTACAGCCGCTTCCTTTGATCATGAGGAAGCAGAAAAACAGCCCGGCTGAAAGATGAAAGCGTCTAGCTATAAAGGCGCGTTTCACAGCAGATAAGTTGGCCAGCTGAGCGGTCTATCTTTCCAGTCTTCAGAGCATTTCTCTTCTGCTCGTCCTCTCCTCTCCTTAAGCTTCTTCGTACCTCATCCGCAAAAATGACGTCCGAGAAGATGGGCAATGAAAAGGCTTCCGTCACCCATAATGAAGAGGTCCTCTCACCAACCCAGACATTGGACTATCCTCTCAAGCCTGATCCAGATGCCACCACACGCTTCGATTATTCGGGTGCTCACGAGAAGACCGACCCCGAAGAGATCAAGTTGGTCAAGAAACTTGATCGATGGATCATGCCAATGTAAGTCCTCTCTTACACTTGGCATTCCAATGAGTGCTGACGAGTATGGTCAGGCTGTGGGGAATGTACTGGCTGAACTATCTTGACCGCAACGCCATCGCCCTCGCCCGTCTGAACAACTTGGAGGAAGACCTCAACTTGAGCAGTTCGCAATACCAGACCTGCGTTTCCATCCTGTTCGTCGGATACATTCTAGGCCAGATCCCGTCCAACATGCTCATCACCCGCGTTCGCCCATCGTACTACATGTCCGCTGGTATGGCGCTTTGGGCGATCGTCTCGGCTCTCACTGCATTGAGCAAGGACTTCACCGGTCTCCTCTTGACTCGATTCTTCTTGGGAATTGTGGAGGCTCCATACTACCCTGGCGCTCTCTATCTGCTCGGTATCTTTTACACCCGTAAGGAGATCGCTACCAGAATTTCCATCTTGTACACTGGCAACATCCTCGCGACTGCGTTTGCTGGTCTCATCGCCGCTGGCATCTTCAAGATGGACGGCATGGGTGGCCTCGCCGGCTGGAAGTGGTAAGTCTTTCTCAATGCCAAAAGACCCTATCGCAGACACCTTAGCTGACATGCTCATCACACAGGCTCTTCATCATCCAAGGCGCCGCAACCTTTGTCCTCGCCATCGCCTCGGCCTTCGTCCTACCTGATGATCCTCTGCAGACCCGCTGGCTTAGCCAGGAAGAACGCGAACTTGCCAATGCTCGTATCGTTGCAGACACGGTCGGCGCAAAGCACCAGAGCAGCTCATGGTCAGGTCTGAAGGCTGCTGCCAGCGACCCAAAGATCTGGCTCTTCGCCTTCATGCAGGTGAGTAAAACAACAGTCTTGTAGCGATCTAGATGCCCGTACTAATTGCTTCCCCCTAGCACATGCACTTGGCAGCAAACGGCTTCAAGAACTTCTTCCCCACCGCCGTCGAGACACTCGGTTTCGGTCAAACCATCACCCTCGTCCTCACCTGCCCACCCTACCTCATCGCCGGCGTCGTCAGCATCTTCTGGAGTTGGAGCTCAGGAAGGTACAACGAGCGAACATGGCACATCACCGTCGCCAAAGCCGTCGCCATCTTCGGCTTCATCCTTGGCTGTGCAACACTCAACACAGGCGCGAAATACTTCGCAATGGGTACTTCACCAGCCACCTTATCATTCCCATAACTAGATCACTAACACCTTCCTAGTCGTCTTCGCCTGCGGCACCTACGCCGTCAACTCCATCATCCTCGGCTGGGTCTCGGCGACCTGTGGCCAAAGCAAGGAAAAGAAAGCCTCCTCGCTCGCCATCGTCAACACCATCGCCAACGCCTCCTTCATCTGGACGCCCTACCTCTGGCCCAGCTCCGACGAGCCGCGCTACGTCATCGCCATGTCGTCCAGCGCGGCTTTCTCGTTTGCGTGCGCGAGTGGGGCTTGGGTGATGAGGTTTTGGCTGCAGAGGCTGAATAGCAAGATACGGCAGTCGGAGGATGAGGGGGTGTTGAGGTTTGCTTATTAGTGGGATGTTTTGTGGGGCGGGGATGGTGGGATGCATGAGGATATGATCAGATGATTTTGATGCTGGTCATGTTTGACGACTGGCAAGTGGGAAGTGATGGGATTTGATGATATATATACGAATGCGTGACATGATGTGTACGACGATAGTGTCACTGCACAGTAGTGATGAAGGGATGAATTGGCAAATGCAAGAGACTTCTCGAGCCACAAGAGTGGTCTCACACTTCCAGTCGGCCACAGGTGTCGTGAGTCGTCAACTGCAACACGAGTAAGCGTGTCGCAAAGACCAAGAGCTCTCTATACCATTTCGTCTATTCTATCTCCACACCATGGGTATCGTCGTATCATCAACACATCTAAATCTATCCCGCCACACATTTCCCAGCTTGGTGATCACTCAAACACATGCTCCTCCCTCTTTCATACTCACGTTCTCAACCGTTCGACTCACTCAAATGACCTCCTCCTTCTCAACATCCCGATCCTTCTCCCCAGCAAACTGCGTCTCCTTCATCGCCGCTCCCACTTCCTCATCACTGCCCGACGAGAATCCATACTCCCTGGCTCGGGCATCGACCTCCTCGTCGGAAAGTCTCGGAAGCTCCTTGGCGGCGCGGACGTAGTTCATTTTCTCGCAGTAGCCCTTGGCGAAGATGAGGTCGATTTCTTCGAGGGAGCGTTGAGAGGTTTCGGGGTAGCTTTGGGGTGCGTGTGTTAGTAAAAGAGGGGGTTGGTGCGTGTTGGGGGAGGTCAGGGAACTTACAAGAACCAGATGATGGGGAAGAAGATGGCGTTCATGGCGGCGAAGAAGAGGTATGTGCCCCAGCCGATTTTCTCGATGAGCACGGGGGTGATCATGACGATGAAGAAGTTCCAGAGCTAGAAGAAACGCCACGTCAGCAATATCCTTGAGACTCTACGCATACGAATAGATTTACTTACCCAATTCGACACAGTGGAGACAGCATTCGCCTTCGCTCTCGTCTTCAGCGGGTTGATCTCCGCAGGGTACAACCACGGCAGGGGCAGCCACGTGGCGCCAAAGAACGCAATGTACGTGAATAGTCCCACAGCGGCTCCCTTGGCGGCGGACTCGGTGTCGGGGATGAGGGCTCCGAAGGCGAGGACCATGGAGAGACATTGGCCGACGGTGCCGATGAGGAAGAGTTTGCGGCGGCCGACGCGCTCGACGGCGAACCAGGAGGTGGTGGCGAAGATGGAGTAGACTATCATGTTGACGCCGCCGAGGAGGAGGGCGGTGTTGTGGTCGACGCCGATGGAGTTTTGGAAGCTAGTGGATGCTGTGAGTGGATTGCGATCGCTGATACGAGGGCGTGGAGGGGGTTACTTACAGAATGGGGAAGTAGTAGATGACCGCGTTGCTGTTGTCTTGTATCAGTCTCGAGTTACTTGGGTCCATCAGCGACGTATTCCAACTTACCATCCCGACAATTGCTGCATCATCTGCGAACTAGCACCAAGCAACAACCTGCGGAAGTGCTGCGACTTGCCGTTGCTGAACAAAGCCGACACTGGAGTAACACCGCCATGGTGGCCAGAAGCTCTGATCGAGTCGACGATAACTTGAGCCTGGACTTGCACTTCGGTGTCTTGGGGTGGTTTGCCGGCCAGGGCGGCGAGAACCCCTTGAGCTTCTTCTTGGCGGTCTTTGGTCCTAGGAGGGTTGTTAGTATCGTTCGCCGGATGGGAGGACTAGAGCGAGGCCGTACATGAGCCATCTGGGACTTTCTGGTCTGTGAACTGTCAGTAAACCGAATCACACGTATAGAAGGAATCGGGGAGGACGTACAGGTTGATCATTAGAATGAGGACGATGATGGCAAAGACACACTGTTTGAAATGTCAGCAACGGTCTTTTGAATTGTTGGTGCAATTCCATTTACCTGGAACGCGATTGGGAAGCGCCAGACGAAGTCGTGAGGACCGTAGATGCAGCCGTAGTCGATCCAGTAGGCGATTAACGTTCCTGAAACAATGTGAGCAATGGATAGCCAACAAACGAGTCCTCAACTCACCAATGGCAACATTGCCTCCCTCAATACAGATGAGCTTGCCTCGGTTGTGAGACCGACTACACTCAGCCTGATACGTCGGGACTGTGCTCGTGTTGATGCCATTCCCAACACCAGTAATGCATCGTCCGATGATAAACTGCGCCGTAGCCCCGCTACCAACCGGCACAGCCGCGATCTGAATAATGACTCCAATGATCATGATACTCGCACCCAGGAAGATCGACTTGCGTCGTCCAAGATGGTCGCCGAAGGTCAGGATGAAGCATGCTCCGAGAAAGCAGCCGACGGCATAGATGGCGGTCACGAATCCCTCGTAAGTGCTGTTCCCTTCGACTTCGGGGAAGTCGCTGGTGAAGGCCTCGGCGGAGATGATGCCGGACATGACTCCTTGATCGTATCTGTCAAATTGTTGGTTAACAGGCACGTCTCTGACGCATTTAGGGTCTGACAATACCCGAATAAAAGGAAGTCCGTGGTGGCTACGGCAGTGATGAGCATCTGGAGGGCCCGGCCACTGGCGCCCCAGTAGGTTGGGACGCCATTCTCGCTGATCTTGACAGCCATGGTTTGTCTGAGCCGGCAGACAAAAGACAGAGACGAACGGAGAGAAAGCTGGAGATTGGGGAAAGAAGAAAGAAAAGGCCTGAGACCATGGGATTCACCAGCGAGTATATATGCTCGTGAGACACCGGCCTTTGACGAACCACGTCCTCACGAAAACAGAACGAAACCCGCGAACGGACTCCACCGCCGACAACGACACCTACGCCATACTCTTGCATGCGTGGAGTCTTGCCTAGAGATACTGAGACCGAGACGGACAGGACGAGAGAGAGGCGGTTGGTGTTGCAAGATATGTTTGCAGCGTTTGCAAGGGCCGGCGTCTTGGTCCATGTGGTCGACAACCAGCCAAACCGCCGCATTACCACCCGCGCACTCCACAGCGCAGCGTGCGAAGTCTTGGGGGTGGATCTCTGTCACGAGCATTTCACGTCGAAACTCCAGCTGGAGAGGCGAGAAAGCAGGGCCTGTGCTGGTGTTTTGGTGGAGCGCGACAATCTCGGCCCAAGACGCGGCCAAGAGGAAAAACTGGAGCTTGGTTGTAGAGAAGCCATTCGGGTTGCTCGATTCGAGGGCATCCGCTGGTTCTTGTGCGTGGGAAGAGGGCGTGGCGCCAATTTTGGGATTTCTTTGCCTGCGTCGTTGGTGATGTCACTCGTGAAAGTTGTTGGTGTTTGTTGGTGGTTTTGAGATTTTGGTTGATGTCGTCGCGAGGCTGCCTGCGCTTTGCCGCGACTTGATCCGATGTCCGAATCGGCTCCATTGTCCAGCCGATGCGGCACGGTAGAGATCCTTGTTTAGATTGAGAAAGTGAAGTTGCTGAATGGTTGTTCGGAGAGTGAGTGTGACGTCGAGGGAGACACTACTGCTCGAACCCGGTAAATGTTCCCTCAGCAAAACGAGGTTAGTTTCACAACACTGGCCGCCAGGCTCAGCCGCAGTGTCCAATTGTAGACAAAAGACCGCTCCAAGGTGCGTGCTACTGTGTTCGCAGCGAAAGATTTCGTCCACCCTACATGAACCCGATGAAGTCCTCCCCAGGCTCGCGGTCGAAACACTGACAATCTTCTCCCTTTCCTCCTATCCTCCTCCACCCGCTCAACATGGTCGGACACCTCGCCGCGACCCCCAGATCGGCACATTGCATGATTCCACTCCACATTCTCTCCAGCGAAAACCCCAGCGCCGGTGCGTTCAGCGAGTCTGGTTGCTGAATCGCGCCCAGGTACTCGCTTTGATGTGCCCAGCTATCTGGTTCAGTCATGCCCTCATAGAGATACTGATACACTTCTTTCCCGGCTCCTCGTACCCTTGCAGCGGACGAGATGAACTGTCCCTTGTAGCTTAACATGAACCAGCCACATGTTCTATTGTTGGCCATCTCGTACGTCTTTGCGAGGACACCGCTCGAATCGTGCCAGTAAGGGTCTGCGCATTGGTGGCAATCGCAGACCTCACTGGCGAAACTCAGACCAAGCATGCCTGTCTCGGGGACGTAGTAGTTCTCTATGCGGTGGAGTGCCTCGCCAAAGTTGTCAAGAACAGCCTGAGTGAAGAGCGTGTGTCGCGCGAGATCGTCCCAACGATTCAAGATGTGGTGGAGGTAGGTCTGGCCTTCGCGGCCGATGTTTGGTAGTTGTATGACCTCTGCATTAGGGAACTGTGCTTGCAGTGCTGCAACGTCGGCGCCTTCGTCTTTGCTGTAGAGGAGCACTCGGTGATTCGGTGGAACAGATGGCAGAGACAGGATTCGAGAAATAGTATCATTAACCGCCGCTGGGTCTTCTTTGTATATGCTGACAACGATGTCGAAGTCCGTCTCCGGCTGATAGGCCTTATCCAGTCTTGGAGGCGGCGTTTTGCTTGCAGAACTGTGGCGATCGTGCCCAAGAAGCGTGTGAAGAGACCAGCATAGTACCAGAAGAACGGAGCAGGTGAAGACAACGCCCAGAACAATGTTCGCCCAAAACGCGTTCGCCTTCCAGCTCAAAGATCTCTGCTCAGTTCTAAAGTAATCCTCCAGGCCTTCGTCTTTCATCAATGGTATCGTTACTGCGCTCTCTGCGTGGCTGGAATCCATGGATGACGAGGTTCGGGTTGGTGTGACGGGCTGATACTTGTGATCTTCGACGGACGCCATCTTGTATCTCTGGAAAGTTGCCTACATCTTCGTCGAAAAAGTGAATAGTATGTAAAGCAAGCTAGAAGCAAGGGAGGTGAATGCAGGCGCGAGTTCAGGAACGCTGTAGATGGACCGCATTCCACGCGACTTCTGGTAAACAAACGCCGGCGACTTCGACACTACAGGTTATCCATATTTGCGGTCAGCGTACTCCCGTACATATTGACAATCGAACGACATGAAGGGCGATATCAGAAGTGATGAAGACGGCCACTGTCGCAGGTGATTGACATCAGTATGGACGTCAGAAATGCTGCGCAGACGCAGAACTCGAACGAGTGTCCCCAATCCCAGAGAGTGAGCAATGTCAAATAGGTATGAAATAACATCGTTCGCATTGCGTTTGCCTTGTGCCATATCATCCTTCTTTTATGCACAATTGATGCAAAGTTGATGCTCGGATGAACGGTGCCCAGTGCCAAGCCTTTCACATGCCTAAGCCGAGCGTCTTCCGATTCGACCCGGATGCCCATCCACACATTCTCCGGTTTCGGCGCTAGGCGACTTGATATGAGAACGCGACCATCTGGGGCTCCAGATTTAAGTTGTCGTATGAGGAGAATGCAAGGCCGGGGTTATATCCCGCTGACGCAGATGCAGCGACGTGGTAGGAAGTTGCCAGAGTCGAGTCGCCCCCAAACAGCCATTACCCATGGCATCTCCTGGACTGATGATGTTCTCCAAGCAAGAAATTTTGGCCGCATTGGTAGATGCACCCCAGAGATCCGACCTCCCATCTCTCGAGGTGCATATTGACGAGTCCTCAGAGAGGGACAGATGATGGAAGTAGACAACCACGCGGCTTTTCATCCATCGCGTGTCCGCCAAGAATCCATTTTCTTCATCGCACGTCCTCATCTTCCGACGCATCCACCATATCCTCCTCATTCAGCCTCTTCCCATTGTCGGTAGTCAATCCAGCTGCTGCTTCTGCCTCCTTCTGACTATATGGCTCCTCTTTCAAGTCCCTCACACGTCTCTTGTGTGGCTTCCCCTTCGCGTGCTTGTCGAGGTTGGTCTGGGACTCGAACCATTTGGCGCATTCCGTGCAGTAGAAGTCTCCGAATCCAGGCAAATCCTCATGCGCGTGTAGGTCCTTGTACTTTTGAAGGTGTTCCTTGGAGGCGACGTCTGCGTGGACCTGGTCCAGGTCGCGGGTGTGTCGTCTGGTCTTGGACTTGGACTTGGGGCCTCTGATGGCCGGCATGGTGGGCGCAAGGGCGATGCGGATGCTTGCCGAGGTCGCTGTGTTGAGCGCGTTCGCTGATGCTTCCGGCACAGGAGGCACGCGGCTGTGTGCAGCAAATATAGTTCTCTTTGAGGTCTGGAGACCGGGTGCAGCGTCTGTGCCAAAGCAATCGCGCACGTCTAGCCAGCGATATCGCTAGCTGGAAAATTCGAACAGGTCTGCAGGTCTGGCCGTAGCCGAGGTGTCCGCCCGCGCACGACCGGGCTACTAAGCCTCCTCGCTGATTGGCCAGCCGCTTATGCTCTCTGTTTTCGCAGCTACGACGTCTTTTGTTCTTCTGCCACTCCCACCACCGCCGATACCCTCCCCATATACACTGCAGGCCTGCTGCTGGTCCTGCTAGTTCCGCCTGTCTGTGGTTTCAACACTCTCCTCTCAGCAGCTGCACCGCCTTCACAATGCTGTCTGCACGAGTGGCTGCGCGCCAGCTGGTAAGCTATCAACACAGGGATAGCTCCCATTGCTATTGAATGACGCCCATTGAGAGCCCAGAAATACTGACAATGCTTTCAAACAGCCCCGGCTGGGCCGCCGGCAGTTCGCTACTGTCAATGACACCGCCCTGACCAAGAAGGTCGAGATGACCAACTGGGAGAAGGGCCACTACATCAACTACGCCGGCATGAACGAGAACCTCAACATTGTGCGGAGTCGCCTGAACCGCCCACTCACATACGCCGAGAAGATCCTTTACTCCCATCTTGACGACCCTCACGGCCAAGATATTGAGCGAGGCAAGAGCTATCTCAAGCTCCGGCCCGACCGCGTTGCTTGCCAGGATGCTACGGCTCAGATGGCTATCCTTCAATTTATGAGCGCTGGCATGCCCAGCGTGGCTACACCTACCACTGTCCACTGTGACCATCTTATTGAGGCGCAGGTTGGTGGCGAGAAGGATCTTGAGAGGGCATACAACATCAACAAAGAGGTCTACGACTTCTTGAGCACATCCTGCGCCAAATACAACATTGGTTTCTGGAAGCCCGGCTCTGGTATCATTCACCAGATCGTGCTTGAGAACTACGCTTTCCCCGGTGGTCTCATGATTGGTACCGACTCCCACACGCCCAATGCCGGTGGTCTTGGCATGTGTGCGGTTGGTGTCGGAGGTGCGGACGCTGTGGATGTCATGGCCAACCTGCCATGGGAGGTCAAGGCTCCTAAGATCATTGGTGTTAAGCTCACTGGCAAGCTTTCTGGCTGGACTGCACCAAAGGGTGAGCTGAAAATGTGCTGTGAGTACGAGCAAATAAGCTAACGGTCTGCAGACATTATCCTGAAGGTTGCCGGTATCCTGACCGTCAAGGGAGGAACTGGTGCCATTGTCGAAGTAAGGCGAACAGCTCAGATGTTAATGAGTGGAACTTGAACTGACTCTCACGCAGTACCACGGTCCTGGTGTCAACAGCTTCAGCTGCACTGGAATGGCTACCATTTGTAAGGCTTGCCCACTTCACGTCTCGACTGATTGCTGACATTTGGTAGGTAACATGGGTGCTGAAATCGGTGCCACCACCTCCGTCTTCCCCTTCAACGACCGCATGTATGACTACCTGGCCGCCACCAAGCGTCAACACATTGGCGACTTCGCTCGATCTTACGCTGCCGACCTGAGGGAAGATGAGGGCGCTGAGTACGACGAGTTCATTGAGATCAACTTGGATGAGCTGGAGCCACACATCAACGGACCTTTCACCCCAGATCTTGCCACCCCTCTCAGCAAGTTCAAGGAGGCTGTTAAGGAGAACAAGTGGCCAGAGGAGCTCAAGGTCGGTCTTATCGGCTCTTGCACCAACTCTTCCTACGAGGACATGAGCCGCGCCGCATCGATTGCCCGTGATGCCCTCGATCACGGCATCAAGGCGAAATCTATCTTCACCGTCACTCCCGGATCTGAGCAGATTCGCGCTACCATTGAGAGAGAGTAAGTTGGCATAGCCACACTTGAAATTGCGGGGATAGAGGGATCTGACGTTATTCCAGTGGCCAGTTGCAGACTCTCGAGGAGTTCGGTGGGATGGTCCTCGCCAATGCTTGTGGCCCGTGCATCGGTACGTTCATCCCCCCAAAAACACGATCGACCGAGCTCCCATGGCATCGATACTGACAACAGTTCCTTTGTAGGACAGTGGGATCGCAGAGACGTATCCGTTAGTGTTCCCTAACCTCAACATTCTGAGAAATCTCGCTGACAATTTTCACAGAAAGGCGAGCCAAACTCGATTGTCTGCTCGTACAACCGCAACTTCACGGGCCGCAATGACGCCAACCCTGCCACTCACTCCTTTGTGACCTCTCCAGACCTCGTCGTCGCCATGACTATCGCCGGTGACTTGAAGTTCAACCCCATCACCGACACTCTCAAGGACAAGGACGGCAAGGAGTTCAAGCTCAAGCCACCAACTGGCGACGGTCTTCCCAAGAACGGTTATGACGCTGGAAGAGATACCTACCAAGCTCCCCCAGAAGATCGCTCTCAAGTCTCTGTCGCCGTCTCCCCAAGTGAGTTCATTCATAATTTCATGACCACGACTTCTGCTGATCTACTCCCAGCTTCTGACCGCCTTCAAATCCTCGAGCCATTCAACGCTTGGGATGGTAAGGACGCAAACAACCTTCCCATCCTGATCAAGGCACAAGGCAAGACCACCACTGACCACATTTCGATGGCTGGCCCATGGTTGAAGTACCGTGGCCATTTGGACAACATCTCCAACAACATGCTTATCGGTGCCATTAATGCAGCCAACGGCGAGGCCAACAAGGTGAAGAACCAGGAGACTGGCGAAGTTGACGCTGTGCCAGCTGTTGCCCGTGACTACAAGAAGCGAGGCATCAGGTGGGTCGTTATCGGTGACTGGAACTACGGAGAAGGCTCTTCCCGTGAACACGCTGCTCTGGAACCAAGACATCTTGGAGGTCTCGCCATCATCACCCGATCCTTCGCCCGTATCCACGAGACGAATTTGAAGAAGCAGGGTATGCTTCCATTGACCTTCTCCAACCCAGAGGATTACGACAAGATCAAGCCAGACGACCGTGTCGATCTCAAGGCCACCGAGCTCGCTGTTGGCAAGCCAATCACGATGGTTGTCCACCCAGCAGACGGCAGCAAGCCATTCGAAGTTAAGCTCAGCCACACCTTCAACGAGTCACAACTTGAGTGGTTCGTGAACGGCAGCGCATTGAACACCATGGCCAAGAAGGCCTCGTCGTAGTGAAGCTTGCACTGAAAGAGGTTATAAGAAGCAAAGAAACGGAGAATTATGGTCATGAAATCAAGGGCGGCCAGCACACGAAGTCAGAGGGAGCAGGCAGACTTGATGAGCATGTAGCATTGTGCATAGTTGTTTCCAGTTTAGGCGCGTTTGGTAGTCTGGGCACCCTGTATTTTGACACGAGTTTGGAAAACCAGTGAAAGTCCATACGATTACTCTCTGCGTTATTCAGCTTGTTTGTGTGTGGTCTGAGTTATCTTCATCATTCGCGGTCGTGCCAAGCTTTTGGCAAGCGGCGGGAACAGCCGCCATCGCTCTTGCCCACACAAATTCGAACATCATCTGGCCGGCTTCCACCACTTCGCACGCTCAGAGAACAGCAACAAAGCCGTCGCAATGGCCAGTACGTCAAGATACATGATGCGAAAACTGTTGGAAGATGCTGATACAGCTTTGCGCAGAATCCAAGAACTCGTCTCAGCACAACCAGTCGAAGAAGGCCCACCGTAACGGGTACGATACCTCCCCTTCTCCCGCACCCATCTCGAACTCGATCATCGCCATTTCAGCGGATATTGAATCTAGATACTGATGATATTCTTTATTGCAGTATCAAGAAGCCAAAGACCCACAGATACCCATCGCTCAAGGGAACCGACCCCAAGTTCAGGAGAAACCACAGACATGCTCTCCACGGCACGATGAGGGCTTTGGTATGTGCACAAAGCAGGAGCAAGATATCGAAGCGCGGTGGACTGACAATCTGAACAGAAGGAGGTGAAGGAGGGCAAGCGGGATGCGGCATAAACGAAGCGACCTGCGAAGACTCTTCCTTTTCTCACTGCACGCGAACACGGGGGCGACTGATGCGAAGAAAGCAATGTCATGTCATGGAATCGGCGCAATATGGAGACTGCGGTTTCTTTTGACGCAGCAGGTAGCTGGAATGCAAACCTGATCTGAGTGGTCCCACAGTCCCATCTTCCACCCACCCCAACATCAAAACCACGACTCTCATTGAGGGTGTGCGCAAAGACGTACGGCATATGTGTGTACAGCGCCCAGCAATTTCTCCATGCGAAGGTGTCTGAAGGGAATATCCAACGTGCCAAGATCAAAGTCCCATCTCATTACCAAACACGACCGCTGCACCTCTCTGTCGGCGTTTGTGCATGAAGAGGTGGTCACAGACCTTCAATCGAAGTCGTGCTGAATACTGGCATGAGAATTTCGTCGGGGAAGACTTCATAAAACGCGGTAGGTACGAGAAGCAGGAGAGTCACTAGCGATCACATGTCAGGAGTGAAAGATGAAGTGAGTGGTGCTGCAGTCATATATTTTCTTTTGTATGAAACCACTTTCATCTTCACAAAAACGGCGTCTTTGCTCTTGCCTTGTCATGAATCTGGTTCCGCTCCTGCCTTTTCTGTCGCGCTCTCGTGCTTTCCTTGATAGCAACAAACTTGATTTCAACTTCACTTCAACCACACCACTCGAGTTCAACGTCACCTCGTCTTTGCTTACTGCACACCACAAATCGAGTCACCGCCGCTCCTTGCACGAGGACGATCTGCTGTCCACCGAAGGTGCTGCCTGCCGGCGACATGGCCGACATCCAGCAATGGCGCAAGAAGATCCAACCAAGCAAAGCCCGGACGCCACTGGAGCCAGACGACATGCCAGAGACCCCATCGCAGACTGTACCGCCGAAGCGATGTCTGAAGAAGAAGGTGTCGTCGTACTTTGATCTGGGCCAAAACACCAAGACCTTGTCATTCCACGAAGAAGCGCCAACTTCGCTTCTGCCCACCTGGCCGGTCGATGAGCTGTACCCCGAGCCAAAGGCTGAAGATGAGATGGACTCAGTGATGCGCGTTCTGATGTCAGAGCCCTATGCTCGGCTCGACGTTCGCTACAACAGCTCGTTGATGCGCATCTTCGAGGCCTACGCTACATTGAAGGACGAGAAGCTGGAATTGGAGCAGAAGGTTCAGGAGTCCACGGATACAATGCAGTCAGTGATCAGCGAGCATAATATGGCGCAGAAAGATTGGGAAGACAAGAAGCAAGATTACAAGGACGAGATCAAGCGACTGGAGGTCTTGCTGGCCAAGTCAAGCAAACGTGGTCTCGCGGAGGTCACGTTGGCGAGGCAGGACAGCAAGCTCCGCAGCCACAAGTTGAGCGATGACGACCACAAGGAGACAATCTTTGAGTTCCTGGAGAAGACGAACAGACACAGTAGCAGACTGTACGACAATCAGAGAGGTATGTAATCAATCACACCGATACAGACTATGACTTACCTCTCACCAGCAACAATGAAGCCCCTGATCTTCTCACCATCCGACAAGGATCGCAAGTGGTCGCAGAAGCTTTCGCAGAAGAAGTCCATGACCAACATTCACGCCGATCTACCTTTCGGCACGCCTCCAGATGGAGACATGAGGTTCTCCCTCACACAAGCATCATTCCTCGAACAACAAGCAAAACGCAAGAGTCGCCAGTGCGCAGTGACAACATCAACCACTGAGTCTGACGATACCTTTTCGTCTTTCGCTTGCGAAGGCGAAACGCTCCCACAAGTCACGGTGAACGGAGATGGTTTCCACAAACAAGCTGCACACGATGAATTCGGAGACATTGGGCGCCTTGCAGACGCATTGGCCCAGCGTCGTAACATCCATCCCTCCCAGGTCATGCCAAAGCTCTTGGAGATTTTCGATCCACCTCCTGACCAGGAGATTGGCGTGACTGAGAACGGCCCCAACGCTCTCGGTATCACGGCACCGCAACCGCAACGCAATTTGTCGACCAGGATGGTCTCTGCCGACAATGCTATTGTAAAGCGCAAGAGCGTCGTCACAAAAGCTTCCGACCTCTTCCACAAGCTAAGGCCCCAACTCGGTGTCGAGAACGCCAGCAACCTTCGAGGATTGCATCGGAGGTTTTCGTTTGAGCCAGGAGATGACGCCGCAGCTCAGAAGATGCCTCAAGTCAATGGTAATGCTGGAAGCGGTGAGACTCGCATACTCCGAAAGAGCGTCTCGCTGGATGTCCTGGGAAAGATACCGCCAACAACGGCCGTTGTTGATCCCATGCTTTCGCCAGTCCCATCTAGTTCTACAGTCTCTGTCACTCCTGCAGATGGACGACCACCCTCACGGATCCCCACTCCAGTATACAGCTCGGGTTCTCTCGCAAGACCAAGACAGGAACGCGAGGATTCTGCGTCTTCCTTACTCACTGCATTTCGTCAACCCGAAAATACTAGCAAGCGCAGCAACTCTGTGTCGAGCTCCGCCTACAGTATACCTTCTCCCAAGCCGGAGGATCCCAACCTCAGCAGGGCTTCGCAGCCCGTCGAGTACGCTCTCGGTACCAATCTCCGCCTGCTCGACCGCACGAATTCGTTACGCAGCAGCAGCGCCTCACTTGCATCACACGCTGTCGCTGGCGGTCCTGAGAACGTGAATGTCAATTCGACAGCTGATCGGAAGCGACCAGGTACTCGCAGCAACCACAGCCACAGCGGTTACTCGGACAAGAGCAATTCACGGTCTGACAGCTTGCAACCAATAAAAGATCCGACGCAGTGAGGAACAACAGCCCTCAGACGACATTGGCCTTGCTCGCTTCGACCGCAAACCATGTAGGCCATCTCTTACAACGCACAGGCAACGAGTGTTCGCCACTGACTGCCATGAAATGTTCTCGCATGCGCATTAGCTGCTCGAGCACTTGGCCAACCGAGACGCCCGGTGTTCACCAGCCTCGCCAACGTCGTTCGCATGGATGTGGATGGGCGCAGTCGACGGAAGCATCGCTGCGGGAAGGAGTGGGCATTTGAACAGCACGGTAACATCCATCTGACTACATGTCGAAGCTGTCGGCTCGCGGCTCTTCTGCCGTACGGTGTGTAGCGAACTTTGTTGGCGCTCCGCAGCGGTGTGGCAAAGTTGGACTTTGACACTCTTCTGACATGGATGCAGTCTGATATTGACCGGGGTTTCAACGGGTGAGGCGTCTTTGATACAGGCAGGTACCCTCACCAACGAACTTCCTGGCAAAATGGAAGGCTGTCAAAAACTTTCCGATGGCCAAGAGGTTATGTGTCTCAGCATATTTTCTCTGCAGCAAATTCCGAAAGCCTTCATCATCCGCCGTTGTTCCATTGCAGTGGATGCCTGCAGAATGACGACCTCAGGGTGGAGTCTGCAGTCATTGGAATGTTCCTTTCGCATGCTGCCGCCGGTTGATGCCCGACGGAAAGAGGTCCGACCATTTCCACTATGCGGCATGATGTCTGTCGTCGGGTGAGGCGCCCCCGTTTCGATTGAGACCTGGACCACAGCACCGCTCCCACTCCACAAGTGACGTACATGGTGTGGCTGGTGTCCTCTCTGCGGCATGCATCGATTGTACAAGCTTTTGTCATTGTTGGAGATCTGCGTGAGATGTTACCGTTCTGCTTCGAAGATCAGCAGTCAGGTCAGAAGACACCATGCAGGACCGCGTCAGCTTAGGACAGCACGCCTCGCGAAAGTGTTCGAGAACAACATGAGCGACTAGGAGCTCCGTTCCAATGTGCCACATCTTGCGAGGGGTATAGCTGCTGCGCCACACTCTGTGGTGGTGTTCGAAGGAACTCTCCACGTTTTTTTCTCCTTCAACCCACTCACTCGCCACTCAGCCTTGTCTTGCCGCCCGGTATCTGCTGCAGCACCACGAATCCCATCGGCAAAATTCTCCGGCTCGGACCTTGACACACGCTGATGAGAGGAGACCCAGCGCTCGTGCGCCCACGGAAAGTGGTCGTTGTGTCACCTTGTAGAATGTCTGCTCTCAACACAGAGTGCACATGCGCTTCTTCTCTCGCAACGGACATTGCAGTGAGAAGCCCCACTGCTGGAGTGATGAACGTTGATCGACGATTTTCCCGCGAGCTTCTAAACGACGAACACAGTCAAAGACTTTTGGGACGGTGCTAGCATCTCGGTGTTGCCGTTTCGCCTACGCTCTAGGTGCGGTTCATCAATCTTCGTACGGGCTTCACCTTCTTAGGCGCGCCAGTTTATGTGACCTTAACGAGAACGCGACACGCGTGTTCATGATGGAAATCTTTTTTCGAAGACTTCTAGTGCAAGAGACTTGTCGGAAGTCCGCCTTCAACAACGTGCCCAGCAGCCACTCACACGACCGTTGACGCTTAACCGTCGTTTCGGTGCGATAGGGTCTAGAGTTTTGTTCATTTCGGCTAGCTCCAGCAAGTCAGATGAAAATGCCGCATAACTTTAGACGACGACGACCCTTTGATTTCGGTGTGCGGGCTTACACTTCATGCTGGAGGTGTCAGAGCGACACCAGCTCTGAACTGAAATCCTCGCGTTGCTGCTGCGCTGCGCTGCGCTGTTCTTCGGACGGCGTGCTCCGGCCGAATGGTCGCCGGTCACTGGATACATGTTGGTATCCACGCACCGCCGGTAGCCGTTTTGTGTGGCAGTCTGGCCGGCGGGATGTGCTGCAAGGAAGACCCCTTTCGCGGCACTGCGCAGCATCGGACAGATGAAAGGACGGCTTCGACAGCACGTCACTGACACGCGCTGAGACGGTGAGAGGTGTTGCTGTTATTCACAGCAGAGACAAGTGCAATTAGGTGACGGCGGGGGTACCACGTTTCTGCCCAAGCCTGGCCTCCATTCGCCCCAGGCGCAGGACTGCATCGCGCGCTGCCTGTTGGAGGTATGGCCGCGGTGACTCAGTGTGTCGACGCTGACGTGCCCGAGATGAGAGCAATTCGGGGGAAAACGCAATAGCGCGCCCGTATCTCATCAATGTCCACCCGGAAAGAAGCAACCACGACGAGCGGCAGTTGGAGGAGCCCTCGCGCTGGCGTACCGCATCGTCTGAGAGGAGCCCACGAAGCGGAGACGGAGCATGAGACGAAACGAGCCACAGTCAGAACCACAGCTAGAGCTCTTCGAGCATGGTGCAGAGGTGGCATGCAGCGTTAGTGCCTGCGCTGAGGCGCCCGACCAGCAGACGATACGTGGCACGGATCCACCGCATACGTGAGATGCCCACTCACATCATCCATCGATCGACGAACGCCACTCTGCTGTGGCTGTGCCGTGAGGCTGCCACCGTTCACCTCGCTTCCATTCGACGGGGCACGAATCGATAACGACGGGCTGCCAGCGTGGACGCCAGTCTGGAGCGTTGCGGGTGCGTCTCTGCGGCCATATAGGAGTACCCTCCGATCACTGTTGTCAAAGGAAGAAGCGACGCAGCAGATCTCAAGCCCGCGGGACTGGTGGGAGCACGCTAGCCGCCCCTTGTCTGCGTATCTGCTCTCCCCGTCCGTCTTATTCATGCACGCCCACCTGTGGCTTAACATAATCTCTCGCCCAGTTTCACGGCTGGTACCTTTCTGCGCCCAAACACCTGACCGCCAACCGTCGTGCTCTTTTACATGCTCGCCGCCCTCAGTATTCGCCAGCGGCGTTGCTAGACTTCACACGGCCGACCATGTTTCGAAACAGGTGAGTGTTCTGCCCCCGCAAGCCCCCCAGGCCCGATGGGAGCGCCGCCAGCTGCCACGCAGCGCGCTCGAGAGCAGCCTCCACTGCCACACGATCGGCCTCCGCGTTGCGCAACGCTGGAACTTTAACGTTGAGGCGTGCGTGTGCTAACAATATATCCCCTTCGCAGGACGACGTCGCAGAAGCCCAGCGACGAGCTGTACCGTGACTTCAAGGCCAATTTCCCCAGCCTCTCGACCACCAACCCGCCGACATCGAGCGCGCCGGCCCAGACACAGCCGATGACATCGCTCGCAGAGGCGCTCGACGTGCCGATTAACCCGCGGTAGGCTTCTCCCTGTATCGCTGCTGGACGACCCAGGTGGAGATCTCTGCGCACCGCCGTGCCAGCAGGCTGCGCCTGGGACCGCTTGTCTTGTTGTGAGAGAACGCGACCGCTGATTCCGTGACAGGTCCCTTGACAATAGTCAGCCGCACGATATCAAGGATGCAGACCCCACCCCAAGAGGCTCCAACGAAGCGTGGAATTTTGGAACCTCTGGACTCACACCGTCTCTCATGGATCCAAACAGCAACAGCTTTAACATGTTCGCGAACCAGTTGCCGGGCTACTACACGCCCACGCCCGGCGGCACCAACACCCTCTACCACAGCCAGGCCGGCGACCTCCACACGCCGGGCCTCGGAGTGGGACTCAACACGCCATTGTCAATGCCAACTTCAGAGGGCGCCTTGCATGCTGGACAGCAAGCCGCGCAGTTCAATGGCTTCCACACTCAACTCCCGCAGCATATCCAGACGCAGCCTTTCCAGAATGTCAACCCTTTCCAGATGCACCACCAACCGCAGGCCTTCCCGCCGCATCAGTTCACACATCAGAACTCGTTCGATGCGATGGAGGGACCGGTTGGCGAGTCGCCTGTTGACGACCTTGGAATGGACATGGGCATGAGCCATCACCACTCGTCGCCTGAAATGCTCTTCCAGCCTCCGAATCTTCAAAACACGATGCAACCACCCCCTTTACATCCCTCTGGTGATAAGTGAGTCAGACAAGGTGTATCGTCCTGCGACTGCGCTAACGTCTACAGGTTTCGATATCATGTCACACTCAACGCGCCCACCGCCATGATCAAGCACGCAGACGAGATTCCCGTCACATACTTGAACAAAGGGCAAGCGTACACTATCAACGTAGTCGACACACAGCTTCAACAAGGCGCGCCCGCTGGAAAGTACCGAACTTTCGTGCGTGTGTCTTTCGAAGACGAGCAACAACGATTGAAGCCGGCAGCCTGCTGGCAGCTTTGGAAGGAGGGCCGCGGTACGAACGAGGCCCACCAAAGAGGCGGTCGGTTGCAGGCTGTAGAGTATGTCGACTCGGGTCAAAGTGGAGGCGCCGAAGATCCCAGCAAACCCAAGATCGAACTCGAAAGCGCTTCATTTGACGGCTTTTGCGTGCTCTGGACTCCTTCTGCTGGCGCTTCGGAATGCCCCATCTCAGTTCGATTCAACTTCCTCTCGACCGATTTCAGCCACTCCAAAGGTGTCAAGGGCATTCCAGTCAGGCTGTGTGCTAAGACTGAGGCTGTCGAAGATCTAGCGATGGGATCAGCAACACCAACTGGCCCTGAAGTCTGCTACTGCAAGGTGAAGCTGTTCAGAGACCATGGTGCCGAGCGCAAGCTTTCCAACGATGTCGCGCACGTCAAGAAGACCATCGACAAGCTCAACCAACAGATTGCCCAGATCGAATCCGGTATGCGCGATCTTGGGAAGAGGAAACGGAGCGCTTCAATGGCGAAGGGCCTCGACAATCGACCTGGCAAAGTCCCCAAGCATCGGAGAACGTGGTCGATGACCTCTGTGACTTCGAACGGCGGCAGGGGTAGCGCAGAAGAGGATCTTCACATGAAGCTCATGACACTGCAAGACATGTTCACATCGACAAGGCCTGCGAGTGTGCTTTACTTGCGCGGTGATGAAGGAGACGATCCTGACATTCACCCGGTGAAGCTCACTGGGGAGCAAGAGCTGGTCAGAGGCGATTCTGGCGAAACCTCCGGTAGCATCTGGGAGAAGCAAAGCCAGACCGGCGCAAACTCGTCGATGGTATCGCCTACACCGAGCTCGAACTCGCTGGTCGGCAGCCGCAAAGACTCGACAATGCAGCAGCCGACACCGATCGGGGGACCGTCGAGAGTCAACTCGAATGAGTGGAGGAATAATCCTCAGACTGCGACGATGGACATTCAGCCGACGATCTCTGAGCACCTGCAAAGCCCTCCCGATGGGAATCCAACCAAGATCAAGACGAGATCTCCAAAGGATGGCTCTGTCTCTGGCTGGATCGAAGCACTGGGCGTCGACCACACATATCAGCCACCTCCAGAGCGAACGGTGAAACCGGTTGCATCCTTCTTCGTTCAACCTCGTATCATCGGCATGACACCTCCAGACAACTTCTACCGGGCAATATACCTCACCAAGCGCACCCTCAAAGACTTCACCAACGCGATTGCCATGAAATGCAACATCGAACCCACCGACATCCTGCGCACATACCGAATCAACAGGGATGGACTGCAGATCCTCTTCGACGACGACTGCGTCCGCGAACTGCCAGAAGGCCAGGACATGACAGCTGAATTCAGCGAGATTCAGGAAGAAGACACCAACACGCCAGTAGTGAAACCCAAGCGGGAATGGGATTCGGGAGCCTCCGATATCCAGTGCGATGGCGATTTATCCACGGTCGAGAATGTCAACACCAGCGGCTACGAACTGAAGCTTCTCTTTTGATTGAGATGACTTACGATATATGCCTGGCGTCTTGCTTTTGATTGCCCCAGTCGAAGTACCTCTGGCGATACGAACGAGCCAGAATGGAACCTCGAAACCACGCTCCCTTAATACATAATGAAACGGACGAGAACAACGAAACCCAAACGCATCGGATCGATTCGATTCGATTCCGTTTTTCGACGAAGCACGCCTATGTAATTTTTTCCCTCCTCTACACCTTCATCGAAAGAAGAACGAAAAATGAGTGTACATGAAAGATCGGAAAACTCCAAAACGATATCAAACCCCCTGGTGTGCCGCGCACGCGCACCCTCGAGATACCACAGCCTTCTGATATCGAGGCTTTCTTTTACTTTTGTGATACCCCACAACACGCGTTTTACTTTTTGGGACGGACTTATTCTTTCTGGCATCTCGGCTACACGAGAGACGACGACGAGACTGCGCGAAGGAAAGGGGAAAGGGGGGGGGGGAGAGCTATTGTCTATTGCACACGAGGGGAACATTTTTATTTTCGATTCTATCTACTCAATAGGGGCCAGTGGCAGCAGCAGCAGGACTCCTGCTGTCTCGAGGGGCAATTCACATTGACTGAGGACGGGTCACTGGCGTTTTTCGAGATAGGAGTGGGATAGTTGGTAGTGTTCTTGAGGATCAGATCACAAGATCAAGAAGAAGTAACGGAGATACCCCGATCCCAACAATGAGATGCTTCAGATTTTAGCAATGACAACTAGTCGGTCAAGCAAGTACGGAAATAATCAAATCAGATGAGAAGAGAATTGCAGCATACGAGTCATTGGCCTGTCAAACGGTGTGACATTGATGACTTGTCGCTTGTCTTGTCTCTGCTGCGCGTTTCTTCAACCTCGCACACGCACGCTCCATTATTTCCCGAGCTAGAAGCACAGAGCCTCCTCTCCAGATACAAACTCCAGGCTGCAGCGTTCCAGTCGTCGTCAACAGCGCTCAGGGTCTCTCCTCCCATCCTCCCCTTGTCTACAAACCACCAAGGTTCATCGCGGCTAACAACACATTATACGAGCCTCAGACCCGTCCGTTCGGGAAAAATCTAACCGCTGTCAATCAGCCCTCATCGGCCCCGACGCGAAACGATACGAGACGAAAACCCTACGGACACTTTTCTGTGCAGAAAGCCTACGTACCTGGAACATCCTATCTGCCTTGGAGATTAGTGCGGGAAGATTAGGCGATTTTCACTTTTCCGCAAGAGATGCATGTGTATGTTCCGCGGAGTCCACTCGTGCCCTGTAGCTGCTTCCGGGGAGGGTCGATGTGAAACGTGAGAGGGTTCGATTGGGGTGGGTGGCTGGGGAGGGGAGTGCTATAGTGATTTTGGGCCTTGTTCTGTTATCGATTATTGAGGCGATGGGGAGGGTAGGGTAGATGGTGTCATTTTTGGGCGGGATTCTATTCTCGTTCGTGTGGTGTTCTATAGCCTCGTTGTTGCCAGCATGTCTTGTGATGGAGAGAAAGATGGAGGGGGCCAGAATTGTTCCTATTCCCATCCGTTTCTGAAGCCTCACTTCTCAGGCAATGCCAGTCTGACGTGGCCGCACATATCGTTCTCGCTCCTACGAGCTATGGTTTGGCTTGCGACGGGATCATGCACCGTTCCCGCGACAAGAGACCAAGCAGCAGCAATGATAATCGATGCGAGAGTGGGTGGCAAATTGCATATTCATCAATCCATGTGCCATCACACGCGTCTTGCATTGAGCTGATGAATACATACGTACAGCGAGACGAGGTGCGGTTGCGGTGTGTTGTAAGAGAAGTCATCCACGTTCTCCCCGCCATTGGACGTCGGCTTGCCTTGACGTTCGACAGAGTCGATCATGTACTGTCAATGGTAACGATCTTCTTCAGCACAGCCACCGAGGCGTCACAGCTCCAGGACAGGGTGGCGTTCGCGAAGGGTCTGGATCCTTTCAGGGTCCTCCTTGCGGTGGGAGATGGATAGGTTTGTGGCTGCATTTGCCGACGCTGCATATGCTTGTGCATTCGCACATGTCGCATGCGTGGCAGGTGATATGAGGCGAGGGACGTGGACGGGTCGATCGGCTGCGGGCTTGGGAGAGGTGCCTGAGGTGCCTGGTGTGCCTTGCAATGACATCGGCCTGTACCATGGACGGTCGGCCCCGTTACCCGGATGATGGTCGACTTCAGTTGTTGGCTCGGGTTGATTGGGTTGATTGTCATGTGATTGCCAGCGCAGCAGTGTAACGCGGAGTGAAGGACATGATGACATTTTGATGATGACTGTTCTGTGTGCTTCGGTTCCTCAATCCTCACTGCACTGGTCTTTCGCCGTGATGAGATTATTGCCGTCTTCAACATACAGAGAAGAGACTTGCAGACATCGCTGTCTGTTCGCCCACCGCTACCCTCCTATAGTCAGTATGTGCTTAGCGATCAAAAGGATTCTCGCCAACGGAAGGCGCAGTACAACTCACGCATGTCTCGCGTTGCTTCCTTTCCATGCTCTATCCCTTAGATAAGGCTGCTTTTCTCACTTATCGGACCCAATCACAGCCTTACGTATGCTCCTCGTTGCCCATCTTCCTCAGTTCAATCACACTGGCTCGATTGCCTCTGCAGGCGCGTAGGCATGATCAATCCACAGCAAGCGCCACGATGGCACAACTTCAGCTCCGACAGTAAATTGAGCCCGCTCAGCTGCTGTAAGCGCCAGCTCGAGCAGGAATTCCTTTGGCAGCAAGTCTCGCGCGGCTACCTGCTCTGCGCTGTCACCGCTGGGACGCCAATGGTTTGCGAAAATGTAGAGTAGCCATAGACGAAGCTCCGATGATCGTGGAAGGCATTCGAAAGCCTTGCTCGCGGTCTGGAATGTCGGCAATGCCTGACCATGGAGCATGTTCGCTTGGGCACGCTGCTCGGCATCGAGAAGACGAACGAGATAGCGACCCAGCGGCTGACAATCGAAGCGATCGGCAACGATGTAAAGATCGACAAGGCAATCGTATACATCCAGTTCGAGGGGTCCGTCGTCTTCATCAAGAACTTCCTCGCGCTTCTGTTCGAGTGCCAAGCTCCATTTGGGCACGAACGTCGGACCAGAGCTTGTGAAGTTGCCGGAATGGAAATGGATGAGTACACCGATTTGGTATGCATCGAGTTCTGAAAGCTCAGAGTCAGGGAAGATGTGCTTCGTCAAGCGTTCTTCCAGACCCTCCTCAACTTCGCTTGCGGATGGAAGGGAGACAGTTGACTCGTCCGTCTGGTCTATCTCAGTGTCGTCAGGCTCGGAGCCAGACTCGTACTCATAATCGACTTCATCATCCTGATAAGCCGAGTCTCGATCGTACTCATCCCCATCGATTCCGCTTTGCTCGTCCTCGTCCTCGTCTTCGTCAGCTTCCTTTTGCTCGTCCTCATCCTCATCGGCCGGGGCTTGATCATTTTCATCGATCTGTTGCTGGTCCGCGTCTTCCATCGCGGGTTCCTCCTTCCATTCATCAAGGGGGTTGTCATTGACCCGCACATTGTCTTTAGAAGTGTGATCAATTGCGTCAGTGTTGCCAGGGTCGAGGTAGACTTGGCCAGTGTAGAGCCATGCTATTAGCGATCTGACAGCCAGGTCGGGCACGTCATCAATCTCGAAAATATTGCTGGTGGCCTCGGCCATCGGAGTGTTGTACGCCGACTTGAAGTATCCCAGCTTCTCTCGCAATAGCTCCTTGTGGACGACATACTTGCGTTTCTCCGGGCCTACGACAAGAGTTGTGATCGAGGGATCCAGAAAAATGCAGGGTTGATGGGAGCCATCGTGCTCAAGCCGAGGAGGTGGAGCGTCGAGAGATGATGGTGAGGAGAGGGTTGAAAACGCCACCTATTAGAAGTCAAGATGTCTCTCACATCTGCGTCTAGTAGAAGTGTGACAGCGTGTTAGCACATGTGAATAAATTCGTTGCCCGAAATACTGCTTGTGAACAACTGCAGGCTCGATTTCACCTGTTTGGCGACGGAAAGTGCACGCGGTACTACCTCTTGAAGAGATCGCTTTGGTGACCTGATGGTGAAGCGGTCTACCGCGTCTCTATCTCTGGCAGTGCGAGAGACGGAGGCCGGCGATATCTGCCAGTGTGTTGAACTCTGACGGTAACAGATGTCGAGAGGTGTGGACCAAGGAAAAGAAAGAATCCGGACGCGTGTGAAGACGCCATGAGGTCGGCAAGCTTTGCTTTAAGCGAATAGACTAGCCGAATTGGTGCAAGGGCTTGGCACGTGCACCTTGGGTGAGAGCATGTGAACTTCACTCCTGTCGTTCCCCGTCACCTGCACGATCTACTACTGATTATATTAATGATTTCAGTATAGCGAATATTGGGGATATACAAAGAACCAATCTCCCACGATACATTATTCACAAGAACTTCTCACCCACCAACTCCTCATCCAACTCCCACAACCTTTTCGCCAACTCATCATCCACAACCCACTTCTCCCTCATATCCTTATCAGCCACCGCCACACCATCACTAACATAGGCTCCCTCCCACCCCGCCAACACCGAATCCAAAGCCGCAATCAACGGCGTAGCAGGCCCCTGCTCCAGCGAAAGAACCCCCTCATCCACATCCCCCGGAACACTCTCATGAAACTCCAGATACTTCTCAAAAGCCCCCTTCATATGATCCGGCGGTAGATGATTATTCAGATTCGAATCCGGGACGAACCCTGGATTCGCGGAGAAGGCAGCGGTTTTGAAGCCTTTAGCTTTCAGGCGTCTTGCCAGCTCCCGCGCGAAGAGGATGCAGGCCGAGTCGGCGTGGCTGTAGGCCTCCCAGGGGTGGTAGGTCTCCCCGTTGTCGAAGTTCATCTTTTCGAGCCGGAGTGGACAGATGATGTGGCCGCCGCTGGAGAGCTGGACGATGCGGGCGTGTGGCCAGGTGGCGATCATGGCTGGCATTAGGAGGTTTGTGAGGAGGAAGTGGCCGAGGTGGTTGGTGGCGAAGTGCTGCTCGACGTCGTGTTTTGATTGCACGTACTCCGGCCTGATGAAGATGCCGGCGAAGTTCATCAAGATATGAATTTGACTGGTCTGGGCAAGAACGGCGTTCGCTGCCTTGCGCACGCTGTCGAGATCCATTAGATCCAGCTGAACGAAGACTGCTTCGACTGAGGAGTTCGCATCCTTGATCGCCTTGAGTACTGGTGCAACTTTGGATTCCGTCCGTGCCAGGAGAAACATCTTCGCAGGCTTCCCTTTCGCCGCGAGTGCTTTCGCGGCCTCAGCTCCTATCGAGCCTTCAGATGTGCCCGTAAGCACGATGTTGATGCCTTCGACGGCCCCGCTGTGCTTCTCCACCACGTCGAGGCCGGTAGGGATGTCGTTTCTGAACTCTGTGCCATACTTTACGGCCTCTGCAGTTTCTGCGGCCATCGCAGTTGATTCTCAACCCTGGAACTGATTGTCGCTTCCTTGCTCTTGGAGTGCAACGCGGTTAGCCACTTGAAAGGGCCTTTGAGGAAATACTTTGATAGTGTGATGCTACAGAAGACACCTTTTCCACGACTCCCGGGGGAGAGGGTTTGGACGAGACAGCGAGCTAATATGGAGTAAGTCCTTCAATAGCAAGTCCGTTCCAGAGTGGATCGTGCCCTAAGGCACCGCCATGCAAATCGCGCCTCTCAGGTAGCAATGAAATCATGGCAAGTTGTCAGCTTGATGAGCGTACCTTGACCGAAACGAGCGGAAGATACTACTCGCATGATTAGTAAGCATACCACTGCGTTCATCGCATCCTTTTCCCGTTCTGATACTGTGAGCGAGGGTTATCTAGTAGGCACGGCATTGCATGCAATGGTCCTTTTTATCAACGCAAAAAGTCTTCGCGGCTCTCTTGCTGGACTGGACTTTAGGCCGACGTCAATGTTGCTCTCAGCGTTGTGGTACAAGTTCGACGAGTAGCGAGTGCAGATCATCTCAATGCTCTGATAGTATAATATCTACGCTCCATCCATGGCGATATCCTCCTCATCACCAGACTCTTCGCTGCTTTCCCCATCGCCTCCCTCAACGTCGACGTCGTCGTCGTCGTCCTCCTCCTCGTCATCTTCCTCACCAACGATGACTCCCCTCTTCGTCCGACACTGCACCATTTGATCATGCGTAACATGATCATGAAAGTAGCACAAATCCGCATCAAGCAGCGCCGTCTCCCCGCTCAATCTCCTCGGCAATCGTCTAGCATTCACCAAAGCCATCTCCAAAAGAAACTCCTTCGGCAAGAAGTCACGCAAAGCGACCTCCTTAGGACTGTCCATCTCCGGATCCCACTCGTAGGCGAAGACGTGGACCATCCAGAGCCGTAATTTGGACGTCGAGGGGAGGTTCTCGAAAGCGGTGATGACCGTCGCGAATGAGGGAAGTGCGGAGGGGTTGTTCGCCAGCGGTCCGCCAGGATGTACAGATTGGCTAGATCGTCGAAGATGTCGGTAGATGGATCGTCGGCCTCGTCGTCGTCGGTCTCTCCCTGTTCTGCCTCCTTTTGCTCCAGAACTTCTTTCCATTTCGAGACGTGCTCGTGTCCAGTCCTATGCACCTCCGCCAGTTGGATGATGACTCGCAGCTGATGCACATCCAACTCTGTCGCTTCCGTCCCCTCCGTAGCATAGGGATCGACGGCTAGAAAGTAATGCTGCTCTGGACGACCCTGGTGCATCGAAGACCAGAACCCATACTCGTTGCCTTGCATCTTCGGCAAGGATTTGCCGTTCGAGTCGTCGCCGTCGTCTAATTCGAGAACCTCCTGGCCGTGCCAATGTTGTCTCATGACTTCCCAGCGATCTGGCAGTGCAAGCTCGAGGCTGGAATGTCGATCGCGCAGGTTGTTGTTTATGGCGATGTAAAACTCTTCTTCCTCAGGCGTCATTTCACTGTTGGGTTCGTCACCCGCGTCCGAATCGGTAGTGTCCGAATGATCGTCGCCTTCGACATATTCCTCATCAGATCCATCGTACTCAGACCCCAGACTCAGCGGTATCATCCCGGTGTACATCCAAGTGATTAGTGTCGAGACGGCCGCAGGGTCGACATCATCCGTGAGGACGAACCGATGCTCATGCGCCTCTTTCATCCCTGAATCGTAAGCGGCGCGAAAGTAATTCGAGTAGTGACAAAGAAGGTTCTTGTGAACGGTAAAGTAGCGTGGCTCTGTGCCGACAAAGATACTCGTTACCGTCAGGTCCGGTGCGAGAAGAGGTAGCGTGGAGCCGGGAGTTGTGGTCGTCATTTTGGACAATCTAGCGAGGAAAACGCCCGTGCTGCTTGTGTATGGATGGTAAGGTGTTGGCCCAGAGTGAAGTGGTCTTAAGTTCAAGTCGGACAGGCGAGAGGCAAGGGACGACGCATGGGCCAAGTGTGGACTGTCACATGTCAGCTCCTAGTCACTCGCTAGGAAGTGAATAGAGCGTTACCTCAAACTTCAAACCATGTCAGAATTTCCGCTCTCTTGCACGTGCATGGCGGATGCTCCTAAATGTAACAAGCACCAAGGTCTAGCTTCTCGAAGCGGAGCATTCACCAGCTGATAGTAAAGTAAACAACCCATATGCCCGTTAAGCTCGAGTCTCTCCTGTGACTTTGTTGAGACAGAAACGTCGCTTCATCAGAAACAGTCACTCACATTTCTCGACTGGGGTATCATATGAACATTCCTGGCATCCTACGTGCTCTCCTTTCCCGGGAGTAGAGCCTGTCGACCAGGCCAAAATCACTCTCGCCCCATTTCTTCGAACAGTCTCTCCCCGCTTGACCTCCGAATGCGCACTCGCTATTGTGCTGGGTCCTTCTTTGCCTTCCCGGTCTCGCCACCCTCACGCTCACCCCCAGACTCCGCCCTGAGCCGAGCTGCCTGCTCAATCACCCGCTTTATCACCTCAGCTTCCTCCTGCTGGCCATTCAGCATGTATTGCCTGGTCTTAAGCTGCAACCTGGCCCAGGTTATTTTGGTGAACAGGTTATTGCACTGCAAGAAGAGACGATGGTTTCCTCTCGAGCTTTTGCGCCAGGAGATGCAGTCACTTATCTGTAGCGAGGCTCATTGTCAGCTGAACGTGTCGTGCTCTGCTGGCATTGGCTTTCCACGATGCTGGTCAAGGTGGACTCCGTCACAACGTTTGGTGATGTGCTTGCCTCTTCGAAGGGAGTTGACGAGTCTGCGGGACTGCGTCCTTCTTCAGCGGCAAGCCGAGGCACCTGCCTCGACTTGGTCTTCCTGCCTGCTAACGCAGCAACACTGGACGCAGCCTCCGCCTCGTTTATTCCTGCTGAAGGCTGACGTCCTCCGCTTGAACCAGGTCGCCGAGTCGACGTGGGGTTCGGTTGTTTCGTGTTCAAACCCTCTCCCCGTATTGCTCTAGAATCCAAAGGCACGCGCCTCCAAATGAATGAGGTAGCATGAAGCTTTAGCCTCCAGGTCTCCGCTGGCGTGACGTTGCGCGCTTTCCAATACATGCTTGGATCTGAGAGAACCTCTTCTGATGTTGGGGGACGCAACGTTCCTCGCCTCTTGTCGGTAGGACTAGCAGCGTGGTGCAATATCCTCAATTTCGAGCCCACTTGGGAAGTCTGAGCAGGAAAATCCTGTGACGCGCCTAGTAATGAAACCGTGCTTCCGTTGTTTGACAAGTCTTGCTCGCTCGATGCTGTACTGGTTATTGGCTTATAGACTGTCACACGAGAAGTTGGGTCGGCCGATTCCTCGGACACAGAACGAGCTTGTGACGTTGCTGGACTCTCGACGGCATCTTGAATGACCGAGTGAGGCAAATTGACATAGCCCAGGCCAGATCGTGGCACATCGGCGGGCGGGCCGGTCAAACTTGCAGAACCTCTGTCTGAAGGGAAGTCTCGCAGAACTACCGGCCGCTGAGGCGTTTCTAATGCATCAGGTTCCTCTCCGGCCTCGTTGGGTTCGGGAACCGTTGGTGGGTGAGACGGTTTGTCCTCAGATAATGGAATCTGTTGTGCCCCATCGCGTAGGTTAGGGAAAGATGTATCCTCTGCAAGTTGAAATGGCGTGTATCCACCAGTCTCTTCTGCAACCGCCTCACGATAACTAGCAGCATAGATGTTTTCCGCATCAAGAGGGCCGGCAAATGGTTCATAGTCAAAAGCGTTCCATCGTCGCTTCACTTTCTCGGGATCCAACCACACTCTCTCCGTACGAAACCGCTTTGTTGCTGTAAGGAGTCTTGTCCTGGTAGCATTGGCCTTGGCCTGCTCTTCTGTCGACGAACTAGAGAAGTGCTGCAGGTCGGTGATCGCCTTTCTCTCACGAACCCTTGGATAAACGTGCTTGTTCCAGATTTCCCCAGCTACACGGTCAAGATATTCCGCGGCTCCTCGTCCTTCCACTCTCGCCACGAGCATGAGAACGTAGTGGAACTGGATTTTGCTAACCCCTTGAGATGCTTCGAGGGGACGAACAACTGCAGCCGTGACGAGTGCTCGTGTCAGCATGGGCTTGACCGGCGCCTTGCGATCGCGAAGGAAAAGGTAGCACTCCCATATGCGGCGGAAAGCGCTCCGCGGATTCATGTGCTGCGATCGAGAGATGTAAAAGGCCACCAAGTGGATGAGGTCGACATGCTCTGGAGTCAAACGATTCCTGGGATGATTTCGTTGTCCTGACGGGACACTATCTTCTGGTGTTAGGCGCTGTAAAATTGTCCAGAGTCGTGTAGCGCGACAGCGACGGTCTCGTGCAATGAAAATTGGGAGCTCATAACAAGTGCTGAGCGGTAGAGAAGGGACAGCATGGAAGACTTTCTCCGCAAGGTTGGGTTGGCTTTTATCGATGAAGAAACGTATTAGCCTTTGCGCAAGCTCGTTGTCAATGCCGATACCAGCGTGGTGTGTGATTCCGTAAAATACGCGGTAGACGCCACCTGTGGAGGCCGATTGCAATAGGACATCGAAGAGGCCGTTGCACAACTCCAGGTAGGGTACTCGATGATGGTGAAGAACGGCAATTAGCTGTGGCACGGACCCAAATCCGCTCGCTTTCTCACGTCGAGTCATGCATCTCGCAGCGAGCGACTCGAAGTCCTCCACAAGTTTGTCAACGTGAGGTCTGTGCTCTTTTTGTCGCATCAGGCACTTTGAGCCGTCTACAGCCGTCACGGTCATTTCCTTGCCATCCTCTTGTCCATTGATCGACATGACTGGAACCCAATGTCGCAAGAGGACGCGACAGAGTTCCATCCGCTTCATGGTGGAGAAGTGGTCTTTGAGCGAAGTGAAGTCTGGAAAACGCCTTGCAAGAATGTCGTAGACGCCACGCCAGGGGACGGCTTGCGGACGGTCTCCTTGTAGACGCTGGGCTGCCCGAACTACCTGTGACCAAACTTGAAGCCGAGGGAATGAAGCCGGCTCTGTCATATCGGCTTGTAGCATGCGAGTAAGAGCCGCACATGTGTAGGCCAAGGCTCCTCCTGTAGGTAGCGTATCCAGGAGATGAGCCATCTCCGCCACATGTCGTGCAGCATTGGTATCCTTCAACAGAAGCGACATAATCGATGTCAACTCGCCATGGCCTAGGGTTTGTAGCCTGACTTTCCCAAGCAACAGCTCGTAAAACGCAGAGAAGTTGGCGTCCATTGAATTTCGCGCGATCAACCACTCAGCCAACCGAAGGGTATTGCAAGCTTCTGGCTCGTTTTCTGCAGTCTGAAGGAAGTCAAAGAGATCTTTGGTATCTTCTGACCTAGGCTGATCATTTCCCTTCAACCGTAAAAGCATCTCCTCGAAAGCCTGCTTGCTCTTTTGCGTTCGAACTTCCGGCGAGGATTCCTCAGGCACTTCCAGAAAAGTCTCCCATCGATCCTTCCTGGCCCTCTGACCGACTCCAAGGTTCCAACGCGTTGGTTTTGGTGTCTCTTTGACCCCAGGTGGCTGCCATTTCCAGTCATCGATCTTCCTCTCCGGCGTGAACCCTCCAAGACCAAATAGCGCTCCCAGGTCAATCCCAGGCGAGGGCATCGAACTCGCTACCGCGGCGACACCCATCCTCCTCTTTGCTGAGCGCCTGTGAGCCTCCAATGGCCCCGGCACATTGCTGCCATATCGTCTTCCCTCCGCTCGACGTCTGTGGGTGTTGGACACGCGAGCAAATCGATCGAAAGCTTCGGCGAGGATATCATCGGTGATCCAGAGGCACTGAGGAGCCTGGCGGCATACTGTAGCTGCGCGACATGGCATGAAGAGTGGTGAGGATGTGCATGTGGAAGCATTGGGTAAATGATATCTAGACGTGAGGTGAGTGGTTGGCAGCTTTGCGGGCTGCTTCGGGGATGCCAAGCATTGGACGGGATGAAAGTCGACGGCGAGACCTGCATGCTGCACTTTCTACACACCACATCATGATAATACGAGCGCTACGGCTGCGGCATGGTATCGCAGTCTCATCAATGTCTTCAATCAAATGCTAATGAAAAGCAGGCCGACTCGCCCTCCCAAAACCTTCCAATCCCCTCCGCGCATCACGACGATTCTACTCCCTAGAAACCGAATCGACCGAGCGAACAGAAAAGCCGGATTTCGTAGACCCAGGCTCAATCGCCCAGAGACAACTCGACTCAATCCCCAATGTTCGGAGCGTGCATATAAACGACCCCAATGATCCTGTAGCGCAAGACTACGCTTTTCGCCAGCACCAGAAAGCCACGATTGGCCATTTGGGAGCAACCATTGCGCCGCATTATAAACCCCATGAACTTTTATCGAATCCGCCCTCGCCGAAGGACATCACCCTTGAGCTGCTGCTCGCTTCTCAGGCACACATTGGACACTCCACTTCACTGTGGCATCCAGCCAATGCGAGGTATATCTTTGGTGTCAGAGGCCGCAAGATCGATGGCGAGTCACCGATCCACATCATCTCGCTCGAGACAACAGCAGCACATCTGCGAAGAGCATGTAAAATCGTCAATGGCGTGACCGAAAGAGGCGGACTGGTGCTATTCGTGGGTACACGAGAAGGACAAGCACGTGCCGTTGTACGCGCCGCATCACTGGCAAAAGGCTGCCATCTTTTCACCAGATGGATTCCTGGAAGCATCACCAACGGACAGCAGATTCTAGGCAAATGCGAGAAGAAGGTGGTTAATGAGTTCGACCAGGAAGTCCCTGGCTTCGAAGACCAGCTGGGCGTGAAAGCTGCTGTGAAACCTGATCTGGTTGTCTGCTTGAACCCCGTGGAGAACTATGTCTTACTGCACGAGTGTGGCTTAAACAACATCCCCACCATCGGCATCGTGGATACAGACTGCAATCCGACGTGGGTGACATATCCTATCCCTGCCAACGACGACAGTCTGCGATGTGTGCAAGTCATTGCGGGTGTGCTTGGACGGGCAGGGCAAGAGGGACAAAAGAGGAGGCTCGAACTCGCGAAGCAGCAGATCGTCACATATCCCGCGATACATGGACTGGAGCCGCCGAAGAAGTTGAGAAGATCGCGGGCAAAGCCACAGCAGCGGCAACCTTCAGCACTACCCGCCGAAGACCTGGATCTGCCTAATGAACTTGAAGGCGTGGAAGTCAAGCAACACCTTGAAGACCAGCGCATTCTCGACCAAGCAGAGAAGGTTCTGCAAGAGAAAAGCGGCGCGTCCCTGTCTGAGCAAGATGGGGAACAAGCTGTAGCGATGGAAGAAGCCGAAGAAAAGTTATTACTTGCAGAAGATGAGCTGGAAGAAGACGACGTCTACTCCTCTTCAGCATCAGAAACACTCGACCAATCCCTCACTAATGAGAACTACAAAGAACACGACCTCTCCGACGAAGACCTCGCGCAATTCGGCGGCGTGGACCAACTCTACCACCAATCATCCTCTTCCGTGCCAGAGTCAGAACCCGACACTCAAGCTCCTGAATCCGTATCCGAGGGCGAGAGCGGATCCACGCTTGATCAAGTCTCAGACGTCGCCAAAGAACTTGGTGAAGACCAATCAGCCTCTACAACTCCAGCATCAGAGCCCGACGTCCAAGCCACCCAAGCCCCCGAAGGCGAGAGCTCATCAACGTTGGATCAAGTCTCAGACGTCGCCAAAGAACTCGGCGAAGAGCAACAACCGGCTCCAGAGGCAGACTTCCCCGTCGAAGAAGGCGATGCTGCGAAGGAAGAGGCGCCTGTGACGGATGACGGAGCAGCGCCTAGTGAAGCTACGACGGAGAGCGTGGAGAAGGAGGAGGATGGAAAGGATGAGAAGAAGTAGATGGATGCGTGGGGAGTGTATAGATAGATCCTACTTCATTCACGACGCTTCAATCCCTCATTCAAAAATCACAACGCCGCCTTCCCACTCAACCTCCACTTCCCACTCCCCTTACTCCCCTCCACAACCCTCCCATCCCCCTCCAACTTCCTCAACACCTGCTTCACACCCCCTTCCGCCGGCGCCCACAAACTCTCCGGATAATCCTTATACACCACCTTCACAATCTCCATACTCCCCAGTTCCCCTCCCCCTCCTTGCTCCTCCAAAACCTTCAAAATCTGATCTTCGCGCTGCTGGCGATGCGAAATGTACTCCCGTACCTTCCCCCTCCCGTCCTCGATCACATCGCCATGCGCCGGGTACGCCCGTCCAGTGAACCCCTCGACCGCGGCCATTTTCTCTAGGGAGGACATGTACGCCGCGAGATCTTCGAACACAGCCGTCCCGTGCCCGAGGACGTTGTCGCCGGTGAAGAGGGCGTTTTCCTCGTGGAGCAGGAAACACATGTGATCCGTCGTGTGACCCGGCGTGTGGTGCGCTGTGAGGGTGGCGCCGGGGGTGTGGAAGACTTTGTTGGAGGGGATCGGGTGTTGACCTTCATCCGGACTGTGTTTCCAAACCCGCACATCTCCATGACCGGGGAGGGATAACACGTCCTTGACGCCGCCGACGTGGTCGGGATGCCAATGGGTTAGAATCACGTCGCTAATCTTCACATCCGGTCCTGCGGTTTCGAGCGCTTCGCGGATGGAGGACAGCCATTCGGGCTTCCCTTCGCCTGTGTCGAGGAGGAGGCGCGTGGGGCCTGTTCCTATCAGGTAGGTGTTTGTGCCTTGGAGGGTGAATTTGGAGGGGTTGTGGCCGAGGATGCGGGTTACTGTTGGGGAGAGGGGGGTTATGGGGTCCAGGTGGGGGAGGCCTTCCATGATTTCTTGTTCTTGTTGGCTGCCGCCGACTTTGTGGTAGAGCGTTCTGCTGGACTGGAGGGTTTTGGGGAGGCTTGATGTGGTGGTGGTGGTGGTGGTGGTGGTGGGATAGGCCTTTGTGGTGAGAGGTGTGGGGGTTCGTATTGGGTTTCTTTTTGCGATGCGGCGGGAGAGGATGTTCATGTATAGAGGGGGTGTCGGTTTGTGGTGATAGTGAGACCTATGGAAATTAGAGGTGAGGTTGAGACGATCGGTTCCCGAGAGTTGGATGTAGGGCTTCTATCTACAGCGAGCACCTCATCACCAGAAGAAAGCTTGAGATCGGTAGGGTCATTCGTTCGGCATGTCGAGCCGAGGGTCGCGACGCTTGCCGATGCGGGAAGCTCTGGTCGATTGATCAATGTATATAGGCAAAAGCTCACGGTATGGAAATATGGTGAGTATTGAGCATTTCGGGCAGCATTGGAATGGCCTTGTCGTACGATGTACTTCTACGCCGCCTTCCACCTCCTCCCACCCCCTTTCCGCCACAGCCACACCGCCTCCGTAGCATACGACTTCGCACTCAAATGTCTGCCGCCATCAACGCCCTTTCCCTCACTCTCGTCCACCAGAATTTGAATCACCTTCAATCTCTCTACTTCATGCCACAAGCCCCTTGCCAACTCCCTCAGGTTGTCTGTCGAGTCCAACGTCTCAGGCGTATCAGCGTCCGCAGCGTTGCCAAACTCCCCTTTACTCAGTCGATAAAGCACTCGTCCGAGCGTTTGAAATGCGATACACCTCTGCGCCGGGTAGGTCGAGCGGGCGAGATGTGCTAGCTCAGCGACCGTATACCCCGCGGCATCTGGGGCGTCGCCGTGATGGTGCAAGCCGGCGGTGACGGGGATTTCGGAGGCGGTCTTGGGTGGGATGAGCTCGCCTTTGAAGTTGAAGCGGATGTCGGTTGCGTTGAAGGCGGTGGCGGTGGGGTCGTAGGAGGAGTCTTTGTCGGTGGACTGCATCCATTCGAGTTTGTCTGGGTCCGACGGGAGGGTCGGGAAGTACTTTTCGTGGAGGTCGGTGAAGAAGGTTGAGGAGGACGGGTCGAGGGGTGGTGGTTGGGGTGGGCGTGGAAAGTGGATGGTGTCGTGAGGGAGGGTGTCGGTTGGAGGGGTTGGGTCGTCTTCGATGGGTTCTTCTTTTTCTTGGACGTCCTCTTTGACGGGCTCCTCGAAGGTGACTGTCTTTTCGGGCTTTGTCTTTGGCTTCGGTGCCTCGACTTTAGGCGTAGTATCCATCGGCTGTGACAGATCTGTCTCCTCGCTTCCACTCGCGACATTCGACCTTTGTAGTAGTCTCTGCAGAAGCTCCGGTCCCAGACTGCTCACCAGCTCCCTCCTCTCCTCCTTGATCTCTTCAGGTGACATCTGCGCGATCTTCTGACGATTCTCCTGATCTATCCGCTCCTTTTCTTCCTCCTCCCAAGTTTTCACTTTGCCACTGGTGTGACTGGCACTCGCATTCTCAGATACCGCCGGCGCATCGTTCTCAACCGTCGCAGCGGGCGCTCTCTGACCTTGAGCGTTTGCCTTCTGCTGCTTAAACCTGCTCTCGACAGGCCTCTTCCTATGCTCGGGAAACCCGCGTTTACTCTTCATGGCAGGCAAAGTAGGCGGCTTGGGAGCGGCAGGCTTGCGCTCCAGCACGTCTCCGACGAAAGCCCCCGGTACAGGCACCGACTGCTGCTCTCCATCATGCTCATCATCCGAGTCCAGGTTCAGCTCGAATCTCTCGCCTCGGATCATTTTTGGAGAGTGTCGTCGATGTGGTTGTTTCTTTGTTTGTGACGAAACGAAGAAGGTTTGCGCGAGCCACACGCAGCCAGGTGATCTTCCAAGCTAGCGTGGCGGGCTAATTTTTAGGTTGTGGCGTCGTTCCACAGAGACGGTACGCTAGCATCGATTTGGACTTGAAGATTGGATGAGGCAGGAGATACATGTATAAATGAATGAATATGTGAAGACTTGACTGCAGTGAAAGGCAACCCTCCACAATCGTGCAAGTGACGAGTGGTAATTGTGGAAGTTGATACTGTCAGATGTAAATTTTAAAATAGCTAGTCGAGCCGACTAATAGGATGATGGAGTCTATGTCCAACCATGAACCCGACTTCCGATTGTCGTCGTCTTCTACGAGGAGAACAACCCTCACTCCCAGCCACACACGGCTTCAAACACCAGCTCAGATTAGAATAGACATTCCACCGTGATAAGATGTTGCGGTAATAAGATATGCACAACGAAGGAGACGGCAATAGCTTCAAGCAATGCGATGCAGGCTCGGAATAGGGCTTCGGCCCAAGGCGCCGAGCAGGGCTCGAGTAACAGCAGCCAGCGAAATCAGGCGGCGGTGGTGACTTTCCGGCTCAGGGAGGAGAGCGTCCAGTCGTGCTGCGCTGTGCTGAGACTTGCCTTGGGTCGTCGGGCAGTCAGTCCTAAGTTCTGTTTTCCCTCCCCTTCCCTTCCCTTTCGCTGGGGGCCCGTCGTCCGTGTCGCTCGCTCGCTCCAGTCCCGTGCATGCCTGTTTCGCAATCCCGCTTCTGGTCTGCTGGCGTTGGCCTTCTGCCTTTATCACCCTCCACGCCCATCTTGTCTTCTCCTTTCCTTTTACTCTGTTCTTCCTGCCTGTACGCTGCCGTCGCCGTGCTGTTGTCCATCGAATTCTGTATCGTCGGCATCACATATCGCCTCGTCCACCTCGCAAATCGGTCGCTACCACCACGCCGCTCCCTTGGCCCATATCAGCGCCCGCCTGCACGCACGCTGTCGAGGTGTATATCGCGAAAAAGGGTTGTCGTCGTCCTTGCGAGTATTCTGCGACGTTGCGAGACAAAGGAAGCTTCGGCCTGATTGGCTCAGCTATAGCTGCTGGACTGGACCACCTCGACTCAACGATATCCGACTCAACTCGCCTGCCTCACTGAGCGGTCTGTACACATCCGACTGTCGGCGGTCTGATCTTGCTGGCGACGGTTTCCTTGGCGGGTGTTCTTGCGGTATACCGGCGCGATGAACATGCCGCCACCCCTGATGCAGGAGGGTGCAGGCAGCGAGAGCTCGAGCATCTCCAGCCCGCCGCAGTCGCCCCCGCAAAACGTCGGCGACGAAATCACCGTCGCCCGTCGCTTTCCCCCAACATCTGCTCTTGGTGAAGGTGTTGTTAACTCGGCTTCGGCACATCCCGCGCAGCCTGCTCTGTCACATAATGCCACTGCACACAATACCAACGGCGCTCTGTCGAATGCCGACTCTACTGCCAAGCCCAAGAGACAACGCAAGGCACCTGCGAAAACACTCGATGGCAATGACAAGCCCGTCAAGGAGAAGAAACCCCGCAAGCCGCGCGAGCCCAAGGTCAAGAAGGAGGGCGAGACGACAGCGGCACCGCGAAAGAGGCAGAAGACTGAAGACAAGTCGACGCCCGCCCCCGTCACTGCCGCCGACGCGCCTGCCGGCCCGCGCCAGTCCACCCTCACGGAAATGGTCTCGCACTTTCAACCCCCCGGCCCGCCCGCGAGCGCACCTCCGCCGTCGCAACACCACCAACCAACCCTCCCCTCGCAGCAGCAATATCCACCGCCGCCGCCTCGATCTCAACAACCAACACCGTCCGACAGCATGCCAAGAAGCAGTCTACCACCACACACTCAACCGCACACTTCTAACCCGCCGACGCCGCGACCATTTTCCAGCGGACAGAACTACGATCCCATTCGCGGTTCCACCATCGACTCTGCACCCCCGCGGACATCTGTCGCAGCAAACGGCGCACATTCAGCACAAGCATCGCCACACATCAACCGGGCATCTGCATCACCTTCAATAACGAGCCTCATTGACCCACATCCAGCCACGACTACTTCTGCACCTGTCGTTCCTTACTCTTCACAAACAGCAACAATGCACTCGCAACAACACCAACCGCCGCCGCCCTTTGTCCCCTCTCAACAACAATCGCCGACACCGCCGCGAGCTGCTCCAGTACAAGTAGCAGCCCCAACCCCTCCAGCTCAACCGACTGCAGTTGTCAAGCCGATCGGCACCGCCATGGACGGCGCCATGGATATTGACAGCCCTGCATGTGGTCCGCTCTCCAAACCTGATATCAAGATCCAATCCAAGTCATCATCTTCAGCACCCACTCCGAAGCCAGGACCTGTCAAGGCCAATTCACCACCCAAGGCGACAGGCAGTGGTTTGTTGTCGAGTAGTGACTTGTTTGGCGGACCATCATCGAATCAAGGCACAGATCGCAAGGGCATCGACATTGAAATCCGCATCTCACTCAACCCCAACGGCGGCAACCAGGTCAACATCGCACAGGAGATCGCCAAGAAGTACGGTAGGGATGCTATCAACCCTCGAGCTGCTGCACATCGTGAGGCCCTATTGCGAGTCGCTGCCGCAGCAAACAAAATTGACGGTGGTTCAGCAGATGATATGTCGGTTGACTTGATGTCGGAGATGGATGGTGATAGCAATGTGGAGATGGGCGGCGTCGACGAAGAGAAGAGCAACACCGGCGCAGACGACAAGCCTGTTCGAAAGCGGAGAAAGAAGGTTGAGGAGTATGACAAGGAGGACGACTTCATCGACGACACCGAGCTCGCATGGCAAGAGAAGGCAGCTGTTGCCAAGGACGGCTTCTTCGTCTACTCCGGCCCTCTCGTCCCAGAAGGTTCAGCAGCACAGGTCGAATCCAACGCACCAACCCGTGGCGGTCGAGGCGGGCGTAGAGGCCGTGGCCGTGCAGCAGCAGCGGCAGGTACTACACACGCACAGTTGGCCGAGAAGAACAAGGACCCGAACGCTCCTACTGGCAGAGGTCGTGGGAGGGGCCGTGGGACTGGTGCGCCTAGGAAGCCGCGAATCACCAAGGCCGACCGCGAGCGCATGGAAGCTGAGAAGGCGGAGCGGGAGAGAGCTGCTGGTGGTGGTACGATGGGACCTGCCAGTACACCTGCGATGGGATCTACTCCGACTCTTGTCGTCTCACAACAACCACACAATCATTCGAACGGTCATTCCGCTACTCAGCTCGGCCCAGGCGTATCTGTCTAGACACCTACACCCACTCGCTATCGATATGGCCAATATTCCCTCGCAAATTGCCTCTATGCAAGACGTGTCAACGCAGACTAGCCCCGCGCAATCATCGGATACTGGTGGCAGTTAGGAACACGGGCAACATGGTCAGTCGGAGATTCTTGGAGATGTCGGACCTGTACACATCTGGGACGCAATCAACCCGACTATCGGGGACATCGAAAACGCCTTGGCACCCCTCCGCGGCAAGAACGGACACTTCCTCCGAAAATACCACCCCATCGTCGCCAAGATCCGCTTCACGCAGATTGTGTGGAACATCTATCCACTGAGAGTGGGAAAGTCCAGCCTCCACACCTACCAGGAGCTGCGCTCGGCGATCGAGGACGGCCGTCTGGACCGCAAGTCGTCGTTCCTGCCCTACTTCGTCGCCGAGTTTGAGAAATTCAGGAATGTCCTCGATCTCATGAATCTCCCCGGGGAGTACGAGGCGCGCGAGGAGTCCAGGAGGAGGAGGAGGCAACAACAGGACGCGGACGCGGACGATTTGCAGACGTCTGAGGAGCCGTCGAGAAAGACCTTTTTGACCGCGAGCGTCCGACGAACTTCCCTTGAGGCATCGACATCACCTTTTTCTTTTATCTGGTTTTTCTTTTCTTTCGAGCGAGCGATGATTGTTGGACTGTACCCTTTGGCATGGGGTTTCGCTGTCACTTTTTCTTTCTTTCTCTGTTTCTACCCTGCGTGTACGGTGTACGATGGAAGAGATACCACGTCGGATGGGATGGATTGGAAGGGCATGGCTGTGATGGCGGGCGTTTTTCTTTTTACTCCTCATGAAAGTGTAAATAAGGTACTGTCAATCAATGAACAATGGGCAAATGGAATTTGGAGAATTATTATTGGATTCCAGTCCAGTCGCTTTTTTTCCCCCCTGGTTTCGGATGATTATGAAAAGATTGGCTGGGTCGCTGGGTATGGCATTACTGCAAGCGTGAGACGGGGGTAAGGATGGAATCGTTGTATAGTGAAGATTTCAGTGTTCCTTTGTTCGTGTCTTGGCTGTACATCTTCCCTCCCCTTCCTTTCCCTACACTGCATTGCACAGCACGATTGGAGCGAAAGGGGTGATTCTACCGCAAGCTTTTGCATTTGCTTGTATTCATCGTGGTAATTACTACTACACAAGCGTCTCGAGGTGGGCGGGCCGCTATATCTGCAGCTACAATGCCGAGAACGACGAATACCCAACAAGCCCCGAAGTGACAAGATAGTGCGTGTCTCTTCCTGTAAAGCCTAGCTCGCGCTTGCTTCATGTCCTGATGCTCAACTGTCTGTCTTATTCTTCTACTGAGCCGAGAAAAATCTGCCATTGGCTAAGCGATGGACGAGAGTGACTATCTCTGTCCACCATACGTACCCAGCCGAGCGAGAATGTCCTGCATGTTCGGCGGGACGGGTGGTGCGGCAGCCGGAGGTTGACCATGTGACTGTGGCGCCTGAGCACCTTGAGTTGCACCTGCAAAAGCTGGGTTATTGCGCATCGCCGCATATGGATCTGCTTGTTGACCTGGGTACTGCTGCTGGCCAGGCTGAGGCGGGTAGCCAACTTGCTGAGGCGTACCATACGGCATGGTGGCGCTTTGAGGAGTTTGTGGTGGAGCCTGGTTCAGAGTTGAGAGGATGCTCTGCAGGTTGTTTGGGTCTACGTTCGGTGGAAGTGGTGGACGACCTGGCGGAGGCTGCGGTGGTTGCGGTGCTCCGTATGGTGTGGGGGGTTGACCATAACCAGGAGGATAGCCAGTCGGTGGCACGAAAGGGGGCGGTGCGGCGGCATGCTGATAGCCGTACTGAGCTGGAGGCGCTTGAGTTCCACCATAACCGTACTGCTGCTGTGGTGGAGGGCCGCCTTGCATCGATTTCTCCCTCAGCACCAGCTCACAACAGATACCAGGATCTTGGCCGTCGTACTCCTCAAACTGCACGTCGCGGCTATCACGAGTGCGCTTGAAGATGGTGAGGTTGATCTTGGACGAGTCTTGGTTGTGTCTTCTCAACTTCGACACAGCCAGAACACCTTCCACGATCTGACGTCTCACCACCGAATCCTCGTTCAAGCGTGCAGATAGGTAGAGAATGTCGGTGCGGACACCACGTGCCGAAAATGCCTTCTTGACCCAAGAGAGAAAGTCGCGATCAAGTTGATCCAGTGCGATGATTTGCACATCTGGCACGTCACGCGGCTGACGACGTGGAAGTGGTAGATCATCCTCCGGCGAGCGACGTGGACTCGCACCTCTGTATCTATCCCTGCCATATCCAGGCGATCTTGATCTCGACCTACGATGGTACCTGTCATCGTACCGGTCTCGGTATCGTCGAGGCGATGGCGAGCGGTATCCTGGTCTGTATCCTTCTCTTCCACGTCCGTTCGCCCCTCTATCTGCCACGTAGCGATCCACGTTGCTTCCAGACTTGTTACGGCGATGGTCGGGGGACCGCGAACGGCGATTGCTCTGCTGCTGCTGCTGCTGCTGTTGCTGTTGGCGGTTGCTCGGCTTTTGGGGCTTGCTAATCTCAAGGTCTGTTCTCGTCAGCTGAAGTCGCAAGGTTAGCCAGTACTCCCCAATACATACGTATGCGCTTGTCGCGAATCTGTCTGCCCTGCTCTGCTTGCAACGCTCTCTGGCAATCCTCTGCCCGAAGGAACTGAACGAAGCCGTACGCTTGCTTGATGGAGATTTGCGCAAGCTCGCCGTAATTGTGGAACACGTGGAAGATGTCGCGCTTCGTAACCTTTTCCGACGAGAGGTTGCCTGCAGTCACAATAAGTAGCTGCTCCTTGGAGAAGCGGTTGCCATGCAGGTCGCGCGTACCAACAAACAAGCGCGAGCCTGGGGGGAACTGATCCCACTTCGCCTCATTCACATATCTCCTCTCCTCCTCCATGAAGTGGTCGTACTTGCGTTGGATATCCTGTGTCCATGGCTGGTCGTCTGTGGTGGGGGTCTCGCCAGCAGCAAGTTTGAACTCTCGTCGACTCTCGATGGGCGTTGCTGAGGTGGTGTATTGATGTTGCGTGGTTGGATGACCGGCAGACTGTCCATTCTGGAAGGATTGGGCTCCAGCAGAAGAAGGCTGCTGGGTAGAGACACCAGACACATAACCAGCCGAGCTTGGATCCACAGCATGCCCGGAGCTGTTGCTACGATTGTGGGATACTGCTGGGTGCGCAGCGTGAGGGTGGTAATCGCGAATGTGTTGCGAATGGACATAGTTTGGGTTTATGAGTGGCTGCTCTTGGGGCGGTGGGCGAGCTGGAAGTCCACTGGGCGGGGCACCAAGACCTGACGCTGACAGAGGGGATGAAGCGTCTGCGCCAGGGATGGGCGGCTGGCTTTGAGACTGAGATGGAGATTGGGTGGTAGCAACGGTCGGGCCTTCTGCAGAAGGTGCGACATTGGCCTCTGCAGTCGGCGCGATGGAGGTCTGCAACGTGTCCAGGAGGGCCTGGACGTCAACTGCACCTTGGGGTGGCGCTGATTGTGACTGGTCAAAGATAACCTCATTCGACTGGGCGACGGTGGACTGGGTGGTGGGCGCATGTTCAGCGCTGGCGTTGAAGGAGTACTGCGGCACGTCCGCTGAGATGAGCTCGGGGGCGGCGTCCGTGGGAGGATGAGAGTCGGCTGGATAGGAGATGGTGTTTGAGATCGAGACTGGTTCTGAATCATGTGCCTGAGTGGCAGCTGTGTCGTTGCTATGTGCCGCGACGTCTGTTTGGTTTGCATCCACGCCCTTGGTCGGGTTGCTGTTGTCACCTCCAGTGGAAAAGGACGATGCGTGGTCCGTCGGGTTGTTTTGGTTGTTCTGATCGTTGGGATCGCGCCATGCGTCTGGCCTCAGATCCGTGTTGTGCATGGCTGGGTCGCCCATATGGGCCTCGGTCTGGTTAAAACCTACGTCCATCATGTTCTCCAAGACGGGGATGTTGGTCGGCTGTGGAAATTGCAAGGGCTTGGGAGAGGCTGGCGAGAGGATGCTGGGAGCGCTTCTGAGATATGGCTCGTCCGGGGGCTCTGAGTCTCTGGCTGGGTCATTCATCGAATCGATCAACAGCGCATCATCGGCGCGACAGGAGCGACAGTCTGGATGGTCTCCGGGGGCTCATGCATAGTTTGAGCGTAATCAGGCAGCGCTCACTGCGTATTGTTAGGAAAAGACAGACGAGGATGGGTGGGCGGTATACAAGGGCAGGTCACAGAAGAGGGCTGGTCGGGCGAAAATTCAAGACAAACAGACAAACAAGACGCTGCCTCCTCCACGCCGGTGGGTTGCTCTGCTTGCTCTGCTCTGGTCGCGCGCTCTCGCCCTGCCTGCTGCTGCTGCTGCCGCTGATGCTCCGGGCCGAGCGTCGGGGGGTGCCTTTTTACCTTGGACAAATTTTTCCAGATGGCGCTTGCGCCTGGGCGCTGGGTTGACGTGCGATGCGATGCGCAGGCACAACGAGGTGCGCGTGACGATGAAGACGAGTGTGCGACGAGCGCGAGGAGGAAACGGAAATGGGTGGTGGCGCCGGGGTGGGCGAAGGGGTGGTTTTCAGGTTGGTGGTCGATGACTGTTGGATGATGCACACGCAGCGGCGACGACGACGAAGCGACGAACTCGAGGTTGGAGGGATGCGCGACGCACGTGCAAGCTTTGGCCGAAGGTTTGCGCTAGCACCGTTGCTGCTGCTCGATTTGGATAAGAAACCCAGCATCCTCCTCCAGCTCCCCTTCGCTGCTGTGTCTGCAGGCGATGCTCCGCAACAACAGCAAGAATGGCAGACTGTTGATGCAGCACGCCATCACGCATCGCCGTCCCCTCGCATATGGCCCGTCAATTACTGTTACGAGATGGCTTGCGACCAGACGCGCAGGCGAGGACGACGAAGCCGAGCTTGCCGCAGCCAGACGCTGGCTTGCACAGCTCGACCCGGACACCATTCCGCGCGACATCTGCGACGTGAGCTTCAGCCGATCGTCAGGTCCCGGCGGCCAGAATGTGAACAAGTGAGCCTGACTTCACTTGTGGTCTATCACGTGGGGCTAATATGACCTGATTGCAGGGTGTCTTCTAAAGCGACACTGCGCATCCCAATATCCTCACTTCTACCGCGAATCCCAAAGCTCCTCCACCCATCCATCGTCAGCAGTCGCTACCATGCGGCCAAATCGAACGACCTGGTCATTCAAGCCGACGATTCGCGGAAGCAGAACGACAACGTCAATGCCTGCTTTCGCAAGCTGAATGAACTCATCCAACAAGCTGGCCGAGACAATGTTCCAGGCGAGACAAGTCAAGAGCAAGTGAAGCGAGTGGAACAGCTACAGAAAGCTGAGGCTGCGGGACGGCGCAAGATGAAGGAATTCCAGAGCAAGAAGAAGAGTGCTCGCCGAGGAGGTGGGCGTGGTGACGATTGAACATTGGCCTTGCACGCACAAGATCCTATGCGACGCCAACTGCACTGCGGCATTGCATCGCAGAGGCACTTCCATCACAGTGAGGTGGAACTCTGGAAGGCCATCACCACTACCGTTCACACCATGTGACTGATTGTCGATTGCGGCTACGGCAGCAATCATTGTCGTCAATCGCTTCGACTGCTGTCCGTCATACCAGCGTCTTCACTTTGGACACACCAGATGCACGCCACTAGCACGCAAGTGAACTCGGCAGCACGACCTCATGTGTTCACCGCTCATCGGCGTCATTCCGCCAGAGGAGTATCTGCAGAAGATGGGATGGCAATTGAGATCGCCACAGGATGGCGACTATGAGAACATGCCGCAGATCACGCGCCTCTTCACCCCAGACCTCGACTCCTTCCCTGAAAATGAGACTTGGAGCCAGGAAACCAAGTTCTTGGTATACACACATTCTGTGTCTGCCGTTCACACTATCCATGAGCACCATACTGCAATCTCGCTATTCAAAAGGCCATTCTCTTTCCCTGAGTGGTGGACTTTCCCATTTCTCCAAACTCCTCGCCGTCCGAAACTCACAACCTAGTCCTCCAACTTGGGCACGTAACGCTCAATGAAACTGCACATATCTCGCAGCACCGGTCCGCTCAGAGTGTGTCCGAGGCCTTCATACTCATGCACCTCCATATGGTCCTTTCCGACACCCAACGTCTCCAGCTTCTTCAGAGTCTGCTGCCAAACTCTGCTCGGAACCATCTGGTCCGCCTGGCCTCTCGCAAGGAAGATCGGCACGTCGCCGTGGCCGACTGGAAGACCTGCGTGAGCTCGCATGTTCTCGATCTTGCTACCTGCTGCTAATGGGAGGTAGCCCATCAGCCCAACAATACCGCCCAATCTACCGGCGTATTTGCTGCTCGTCAAGTCGAGAAGGAGACTCAGCGCACAACCTTGGCTGAAACCACCAAGCACGATGCGCTGGGGTGGGATGCCTTTGTTCGTGCAAGCGTCGATAAGCGTCTCGAGGTAGGCGACTGATTTTCTCATGCCAGCGTCATCCTCCTCAGGTGCGAGCTCTGGGCGATCTGGCGGGTATGTGGAGAAGGAGTTGGGCGTGTACCATGCGGTGGTCTGCGCGTCGCGAGATTCCTGTGCATTGGGAATGATCCAGTTCATGTACGAGAGCTTGTGGTTCTTCTGGAACTGGTCTGCTACATCTGCGCGACTCGGTGTTAGCAGGTCTCTCTGGCGGTGAGAAGAAAGTTGAGCTCACCTTCGAGACCTTCTGCGCTATCGCCCAAGCCGTGGACGAGAATGAAGGCGGCACCGTGGGCTGGATCTGAGCATTGCTGTTCGGCAGGCTTGAAGATTGGGTCTTCACGTTTTGGGTCGGTGGGAAGGGTCATGCGTCTCTGTCTGGAGCCCATCTTGGTGGTTTCGCTGTGTCGCGTGCGCAGTGGCAGGTGAAGTGGGAGCTCGAAGCGGGGTTGCGGTGAAGTATCCAAGATCACGGCGGGGCTTGAGGAGGGTATATGAAGAAGACAAGCAAGCAGATCCAAGAAGTGTATGCGTAGGTAGTATGCAAGAAGTGTTTGGAACAGAGAAAGAAGAAAGAAAGAAACCCGCTCCCGCAAGGTTAGAGGTATAGGTAAGTTTGCTTCTACCCAAGGCTCTCACCCAAGCAAAAAAGTCTATCGCCACGAAGCTCCTCACCTTCAAAACCACGCATCTTGCCCTGCCCCTTACGTATTAATGGAGATTCCGCCCCACTTGCTTCGAGACATTTGTTCTCCATCATCGGATTGATTCGGGTGCGACGACGACAGAGCGCAGGTGGAAGAATGGCGGCTGCGGGTACCGGTGGCTCAAACAGTGACGTTTGTGGGTTTTGCTTCTATCCTCGGCTGTCTTCCCGGGGACGATAGGCGGATTTTCAGGGACGGAAGGATGCATGTTTCTCGTGGCTAAGCCATCTTCACATGCGAGTTTGCCATCGTCACCACACGCGCGCGTCTTCCCTCGCCGCTACTTCGGCTTCACCCTACACCTTTGATGTCACCACCGCCGTCCTCGCGATAACCTGCCCTCCCTAGCACCATCACCACCGCCACCATGGCCCTCCGCTTCCGCACCCCCTACATCGAAGACCTGCCCACGACCCAAACCAAACAAGCCCCAGGCTTCGCCTGGGTCGCCGTCTCCAGCAGCGACCCCTCCAGGAACTGGGGCACGACCAACCGCAAACGCCAGCGCGCCTCCGGCGTCGGCGGGCAAAGCGACAGCCAGCGCGAAGCGCTCTCCGCGCGCCAACAGCGGGAAGTCGAGCGGAAGATCAAGGAGCTGAACAGCGAGGGCGTCGGGGCGAAGGAGGTTGTCATTCCGAAGAGTAGCGGTAGCAGCGCTGCCGGGGGTGTCAAAGTGGGCAAGACGAGCAATACGAAGAAGATTCTGGGGAGTGGCAAGGTGTTCGCGCATTATCTTGATGATGAGGAGGCGGAGATTGCGAGGACGGGGGGGAGGGGGGAGGAGGTTGTGGGGACTGTGGTGGTGCAGGGTGCGCAGCGGGCGAGTAAGACGCCTATTGCGAGGCGGAAGAGTTCGCAGTTGGTTAGGGAGGAGAGCAGTGCAGGGAGTCCGGCGCCGAGTCTAGCGAAGGAGACGTCGACATCTACACCCGTCCCGGACGCTATGGATATCGATGCCGACAACGACAACAACGACGGAGACGCAGACGATGAAAATCTCCCACCCCTCCCCACGCAAGCCGAAATGGACTCTTTGCTCAACGCACCGCCCTTGACGTACAACCAGGCTCGCTCGGCGCCTCCTCCACTTGGTGCCCCGCCGCCGCGACGGTTCTGCGAGATTTGCGGGTATTGGGGACGCGTGAGGTGTATGAAGTGTGGGAATATGACTTGTAGTGTGGTGTGTAAGGATGCGCATGATGAGAATAAGTGTTTGAAGTTTTATGCTTGAACATGAGTGGAGAGGAGATGGGTTGGGATGGACGGGTTGTGTTGAGATGATGTGTGAGATACCCCATATTGCATGTCTACTCTTCCTTCCGTGTTTTTGGATACTCTGCATAGTTGATTCCATTTGCTTCGCCTCTACAGGCTTGTTGGGTGATTCGATTTTCATTGGCCGTTGGTCTGGGAAAACTAACTTTCGTCTTAGATCCTTGCTCATGGCTGAACTCAAATGTACGCCCTCATGGGTCAACTTCCGCCTGGCCGCATGGTCACCGTCAGCGACAAGTCTTATTCAGGATCTCGACCGCCAAGATGATGACAGCAAAGCAACACCGGGAGGCTGAAGCAAAGCTCACCCGATATGGCAAGCGATTTGATCTCAAACTCGAAGACCACCTGCCGCATGGTGTGGTGATGACCAAGAAAGGGACCGTTGCGAAACGACAACCACGTTACGTGCCCCTATCTAAGGGATATTACCAGGCACAGTGCTCCTTCCGCGGGCTGAACTGTAACGGGAGTGTCGAAGAATTACAGCAGCGACTCAAGGCCAACTACGACCATGGCAGGGACATACAGATTGATCGGGAGCTTGAGAACGTCCGCCATGCGCTCTTCCTCCATATGGACGCAGAGGTCTCGCGGGTTCAAGAGCAATGCCGTATTGAACAGGAGAAGCAGCAATGGAAGAAAATGTCTCTCCAAGAGCGTATTTGGCGCGATGCGACACGTGCTTTGAAGCAAAGCCTAAAAGTAGAAGACGTATTGAGGAAGTCTTGTCATGTGATCAAACCATGCTGCCGGGGTCTCCAGGAGGCGGCGAACTCGCTCGGACTAGCCTATGAATGCGTCGACACTGACCCGAAGAGAGAAGCATTCGACCGCTTCGGCAACACGCGTTGCCAGATTGTGGGAGAGAAAGCCGCAGTGAAGAGAACTGCAATGCAACTCGTTGAGGATGCAGCTCGGAAGCGTCGTGAAGCTGTCGCCAAGGAGAAGGCTAGGTTGGCGAAGATGGAAGCTCAGAAAGAAGCAGTGCTCGACCAGGCTACGAAGATGGCCGACTGGGATATAACAGGATCCTGGATCGTCGAATGTAACGGACTCGTTGAGGACTACTATGTCGGGAAACGGCCAGAGCTCAAGATGGAGATCTGGCGCGATGACTTCGACCTCGACAACGTGCGAGGCATAGAGCCTCCGACCGATGAGGAAAACTCAGAAAACTCCGAAGACGGCACCGACGAAGACACGGATCAAGACATGAGTGACTGGGACGACGAAGAGAAATCCATCCTCACAGGCGAAGCAGCTCGAATCCCTCGTTTCTGCGCCGATTTCCACTTCAACGTCACAGAGGGCACAATGCGTATCTACCCACCCAAGAAGAACAGACCTGCCGAGGGACCGTTTAGCGTCAAGGACAACCCATCGTTTCGATACAGATGGCGGGGTCGAGAGACGGGTGAGGGGGAGATTATGGTGGATTCCGATGAGAGAGTGGAAAGAATTTTGTTCGGGAGTCATGGGACGACGTTCAGGGGGACGTATAAATGTCCTTTCATTGAGGGAGTGTTTATGATTAAAGGGACGAAGATTAGGCATGGGAATCAACAGGAGCAGGGTACGGAGCATTCTTGGGATGATTTTACGGAGGAGGCGTGGGAGGTAGCGAGGGAGAGGAGATGGGGCAGGTGGAGATGAGTGTGTTGTGTGAGCAGTCGGGGTTGTATGGTGAGTTTGAAGGGGGTGTAATTTCTTTGTTTTTTGTTCATTCATTCACTTCGCCTTCGTAATGATCTCGTGACCTCGCGACATGATTGGCTTTTCGACCACGCGACTGGGATCCCTGCACCCTGGGCCGAACTAAGCTCTCCCGTTCTTCCATGACCTCGACCTACACACTCCTGCAAGCTTCCTCCAGCAGCAGCATCATCATCATCATCATGAGTGGGAGAAACCTCAAGATGACACCAGAAGACTACAAGCGTCTACACGAGAAACTCTCCCGCTACGGCGAGCGCTTCGACAGCAACGTCGACACACATCTCCCAGCGGACCTCGTCAGGACAAAGAGAGGGGCCATCGCCAAACGACAGCCACACTTCCCAGCCCGCAATGCAGCGTACTACAAAGCGCAATGTTCTTTCCGCGGACTCAAGACTTCTGGCAAGATCGACGAGCTGCAGCAATTACTCAAGACGAGAGACATCGCCCAGGACGCTCGCATCAAGAACGAACTCGAGGGTATTCAGAAGCAAGTCGATGCTTACCAGGAGGAAGAGAGGAGGCGAGAGGCGGAAAGGTGGTGGTTGGACCCGGTGCGGACGTTGGACGCGAAGACTTCGAGGGATGCTTTCCGTGCGGTGGAGGAGTCTTTGGCGCGCGAGGATGTTTTGAAGACATCTTGTCATGTCTTTGCGAGATGTTCCGATGATCTTGAAGACGCGGCACGGAAACTCAATCTGGCGTATGAATTCATCGACCTCGCTCCGGGAAGCTTCTCCATGAACGCACGCCAGATCATCGGCCAAGAGGCTGCTGTCAAGGCTGCTGCGAAGAGAATTCGCGAGGAAGCGGAGCAACAACGCCGTGATGCTGAAGCGAGGTGCCAGGCCGAAGTTGCTCGACGGCGCGCTGCTGCGAGGGCTCGACAGGAGCAGATGCTCGCTGAAGCGAAACAGGCGCCGGACTGGGACATTTCCGGTTCTTGGACTGTCGAGTGTAATCCTCTCGCTGAGTATAGCGAGGGACCAGATAGGAGGGCGACGCTCAGTATGGAGATCTGGCGGGATGGTTTCAGTCTGGAGGATGTCAGGCAGGACGAGCCTGACTCGGATGATGAGGACAATGAGGACGAGGAAGAAGATGAAGAAGACGACCATCGCCGTGGTCCTATCAGCCTCGAAACACCTCATCCACACGACGCCAGCATCCCCCGCTTCCACGCCTCCTTCGACTTCGGAGTGGTAGAAGGTACCATGCGCATCTACCCTCCTTCCTCGAACAGACCCGCAAGAGGATCTTTCAAGATCAAGCAGAACCCCTCCTTCCAGTACGTCTACCGCTGCCGCGAAACCGGCGAAGGCGAGATCCCGATTGAGACGGATGGATATCAGCCAGAGACCATCACCTTCGCGGATCATGGAACGAGATTTCGTGGCATGTTCCGTTGTCCTTTAATCTCGGGGCTGGTTGAGATCAAAGGGAGGAAGAGGAGTCATGGGAGAGGGGAGAGGAAGAATAGTAAGGAAGCTTGGACGGAGCTGTCGGAGAGTGCCTGGGATAGAGGCCATTCCAAGAGGTGGGGAGGGTGGTAATGATGGAATGAGGTAAGGCTTGAATCTGAGAGACGACGCCGAGAGCCTGGACCTGGTGGCCACTACATCTTCTTATCTCCTTGTCAATCGGAAGACGACAGACTTGTGGTGTTTTTCTCGCCACCACTGAGTATACCTAACCATTGAAGTGATCTCCTGGCAATATGGACTGCTCCGCAACAATCGATACGTTGGCGACGGATTGGAAGAGGTGGTGGAAGCCATCAGCACCATCCATGACCTGGCCGAAGGATATTTTAACTGTACACACGCTTTCGAAATCACTGCTATCAGCAGTAAGAAAAGAGCTGATGAGGTCGAAACGCCGTGTAATAGATCTCCACCTAGCTCGGAGCCTCGCCAAGCACGCCATACACGCATATCGCACACGATCTCCCTCTCAACCACCCCCACAACACCCTTCCACAACCACGACTCATCAAAAAGCACCGCCCGCACAGAACCCTCGTGCCGGACATGCGTACCGCATGTGGAGGCCATGATGCGCAAAACCTATCGGAGTCCTCGTAATGCCGGTTCCCTCTCAATGTCGAGCCAGAGTGGGTGCATGGCGAAAACGTCAACGGTCTGCCATTGCTTACAGGACACTGCTTATTAGACCGACTGTAAATACGCTCTTTTGTGCCACCTTTCTGGTTCTGGGTCTTGCTTGGACTGAGACTTGTTTCTTTAAGCTTTTCGATTCACGGCAATGGCTGCGCTCGAGGTGCACGAGGCTGAGAAGGGCCAGCCTAAGAAGCGGCTGGGTGTGTTTGGTCTCATCAAGGAGATTTTCAATTGGTACCCTGGGGAGTATCCCAAGGAAGAGAAGAAGTATGGTGGCGTTTCGTGGCATTTGGCTTGTGGGAGCGTGGAAGCTTATCGTTTCTTGTGCTTTAGGCTTCTTTTCAAGCTGGATGTGTCGATTTTGGTGTTTGCTTGTCTTTGCTGTAAGCTCCCCAAGTCCATTAGTTACATTGCTGTCCGATCAACTAACGCACCGCAGTCTTCGTCAAATACTTAGGTCAGCCACCTTCCACACCGGTACCCCCCTCGAAACTAACATCGCTACCCATCAAGACCAAACCAACATCAGCAACGCCTACGTCAGCGGCCTCAAGGAAGAATTCGACCTCTATGGCAACCAACTCAACTACCTCAACATCTGCTACTTCACCGCCTACGTCGTCTTCCAAATCCCCGGCATGCTGCTCATCTCCCGGCCCAAACTCGCGCGCTGGCTCCTCCCGACCCTCGAGATCCTCTGGGGGGTCGTGACGTTCGCCCAGAGCCGCGCGACGAATATCAACCAGCTGTATGCGATGAGGTTTCTGGTGGGCATGTTGGAGGCGCCGGTGTTTGCCGCGACGCATTTTATTCTTGGGTCGTGGTATAGTGGGCCGGAGTTGTTCAAGCGGGCGGGGACATGGTTTATATGTAACCCGTTGGGGAGTATGGTGTCTGGCTACCTGCAAGCGGCTGCTTACAAGAATCTTTCTGGTGTTGGGGGTATGCCTGGCTGGCGGTGGCTGTTCATCATCGACGGGATCTTCACCATTCCAGTTGCTCTGATCGGCTTTATCATCTTCCCTGGTGTACCCGACTCCCCGCGGCCTTTCTTCCTCAGCGAAGGAGACATCGCCCTAGCAAGAGAGCGTCTGGCCAGATACAAGATCCGCCGACCTGGCCCACTCAACCTGGACGTGTTCAAAAGAAGTTTGAAGAGATGGCACATCTGGATCTTCGTCTTCTGCTACATGTACGTCTCCCCCGCTCCATTCACTCAAAACGCCCGCTGACCATAACTCCAGCTGCATGATCATCTCCAACTACCCCTCCCAATACATGAACCTCTGGCTCAAAGCAGAGGGCTACTCAGTCGTGCAGGTCAACCAGCTGCCCACTGTCGTCAACGCGGTCACGATCGTGGCGTCTTGGCTGGGATCCTCGCTTGCGGCGATTTGGCCTTCGTGGACGTTGTATACGTTCGCGTCGCTGTGTTGTTTGTTTTCGACGCTTTGTATGATTATTTGGACGATTCCGACGGGTTTGAAGTAAGTAGACCAGTGTAGGTGATGAAGACTTTCTGCTGACAGTCCGAAAGGTTCTTCGCATGGTACCTTTTCGGCGTCTCAGGCTGCCTCAGCCCGATTCTGTACTCGACTGTCAACACCATCGTCAAGGATGATTCCGAAGAGCGAGCTTTGATCATGGTAGTCCCCCTCTCAGCCCTGCATCACAGTCCCCACTGACTCCTACCTAGGGCGCAATGATGACCTTCGGCTACAGCTTCAACATCTGGGTGCCCTTACTCGCCTTCCCAACAGCCGGCTACGACGGAGCACCAAGATGGCGAAGAGGCTACCCCATGACATTCGTGTTTTATTTCTTCCTTTGGGCTGGATTCATCACGGCTATTGTGCTTTATAGACGGAGGTGAGTTCTTCATGTCTGAGTGTTGAATGGTGATTTGTGGCTGACTCTTCGTGATAGGCAAAAGAGGGAGCAGACTACTGCTGAAGTTGCGAGCACGAGTGAGGAGAGTGAGATTGAGGCGGTGACTTTTGAGGAGCCGGAGCAGGTTAAGGGGAAGGAGTGATGTCGGTCAAGCAAGTGTTTCATGGTAGAAGTAAGGACTGTTGGAGATATCACCCTTGCCCAATTTACAAAAGCATCGATCGAACACCACAGCCCTCTCATCACGTCCCCAGAAGCACACCCCTCCCCCCTCCTTCATCCAACCCCCAAGCCCCCTCAGACCCCCACCCACCATCTCCAACAACCCCCTCCTCACTACACCCACCCCACCCCCAATCCCTACCACAACCCCAATACCTCACCCCAGAAACCTTCTTTCCATCCCCATCCAGCGGCGCCTCCAGCGTAACCTCCTTATCACGACCCTTACTATTCTCGAACTTCTCCGCATCTCCGCCGTCCCCGTCGTAGTATACTCGCTCGCCACTTGGCGTAGACGTCTTGCGAGTCACTGTCTGTCGGTGTCGCATTGTCGACGCTGACGGACATGTTCGGGAGTTCCGGGTTTGTCTAATAGGTCGCGGCGATGCAAGCGTATAAGAGGGAGAGGGTTATATTGCCTCAGGGGGTTTAGGCGGCTGCAGAGGAGGGGATGGGGTTTGCGGAGGGGATGGCTCATCCGGATCCGGAGGGGAGAGGCGATGCGTGGGTGGGTGGGTGGAGGGCGAGGAAGACGGCTGTGGGATGGGGAGCATGGATTGCTGTCGAAGTTGGCTCGAGTATCGGTGGTTGTAGAGAGTTCGGGTTCCTGTATGGTTTGGATCTTTCAACAGTTAGTTGGCGGCTGGCCAGCGAGCAAGATATACGTGGGCTTGAGGAGAGACAAATGGTGTCTAGGGAGGCCAACGTGTGAGAATTTCAGAAGCGTAGGGGTGTGACCTAGTCCCTGATTTATCATGTCGTTCACCGCCTTCCAAAACTGTAGAACCTGTGTCGAAGTTTTGATAAGTACCAGCAGCTCCGTCGAGCCATCTGCAAACAATACGTTCCTGAAGCCAGTAAGAATTTCTGAGCCACTCCTGTGTCCAGTCCTGTTCCCATGCCAAAATCACAACTCCCCAACCACATAGAACAGCATGTACGCCTCAGCACCCAACACCTCTTTCTCGTCCACCTGCACAACCATGCTGTCGTCGAACCGAAACCATTCCCCACCTTGCCTTGAATACGAGATGTAGTGCCCATTGTCGATCTTCCCCTTGTGTACGACGACCGAGGAAAGCTCGTACACTGGCTGCCGTGGTTCGGTTCCCTTATCACCGGATTTGGAAGGAGTTTTGACGTCGATCGTGTCTTCGTCATCTTCGTTCCCAGGTTTGCCAGGTTCGTGTCCATTTGCAGTATCACCAGACTTGTTCGGTGTTACGTATGGACCAAGATCGAGGGTCAAGGGAAACCGGACCTTGGTGTCGACTTTGCTGCTTTGGGAATTTGTTTTGGAGTGCGAGAAGCGTTTGAGGTGTATCGGTACTACTGGTGGTAGCTTCGTCAGTGTGAGCTTCTTCCTTGCCTCGCGTGAAGCGTCGCATTTTCGACAGTGGTAGCTGTCGCTGGACAGCGTCTCGGCCGTCGTGAAGCGGTTCAGGCATTCGGCCAAATCCATGGGCAAGGCTTCCTTTATCGTTTGTATGCTGTTAGTCAGAGCCAGCTTCTTCTTTTTGACCGCAAATCCCGTGCTCTTGACATCCAGGCTGAGATCCATGAATGCCTCTACTGCGGTGGTGGTGTTCTTGCACGTCGCGCAGGTGACGGTGCTTTTGAGCAAGCCGCCGAACGTCTGATGTATGACGCAGGTACAGTCCTTGGTGTCCTTTTGGCCGTCCGACTTTTCCTCATCATCGGTGTTCGCCTCATGCAAGCTGTTGAGTATGAATCCAAGGTACTCGTGTGCATCTTGCTGGCTATATCCTGCCAGTCCACCACCCCCTTTCCAGCAACCTTGCAACATGTGTACCGCTCCATACCCCTCATGCTTCTCTTGTCCAAAGAAATCGGTGAAGATGTCATCCAGCGCGCATGAAGTGCAAGCATCGCGGTCGCAGTCGCCAGACTTGTGGCCTTCGGATAGGTAGTATGTGCGAATGAGGGGGTTGTGAATGAGTGATTGTAGGATGACCGACATGAAGCAAGTCTGTCCCATATTATAGAGACCTCGCAGGCCTGTCGCTGCGCATGGTGTCAATGCGGTGTGGGTGGATACGAGCTTCTTGTCGCTCTCTAGAAGCGCTGCCGAGTTCTTCCTCTTCTTGTTGTTGGGCGCTCGGATCTCTTCGAAGGTCGGGTCGTAGACGAAGTCGCGGCATTCGTGGCAGTAGAGGTAGCCTTGAGACGACTCGACAGCTACCCACCTAATCAGTCATGTCCTCCATTCCTCATGCGCCTTACTTACAGAAGCCATGTTCCTTGCGATGCCTCTCCCTCGACGTGCTCACGTTAGGACATTGCAAGCAGAGGTGTGTGGTTTGTATGGTCGATGCTGGCCCGGCTGCGCTCTTGTATATCCGATTGCTCACATTCCCTTCTTTGCGTAACGAGTTTATCACTCTGGTATATCCCTCGACAGCCTGCTGCCGTGCGCTTTGGAGAAGGTTCTTAACGTGTGCTAGTATGCCATCAGTCTCAACCCACCCCACCCTAGCTCTTTGCTACTTACAGCACCCGAACGAGGTCTGCGGTGAAGAGTTCGCGTTTTTGGCGTCTCCAGAGGCGGCCTTCTTCAGCAGTTTCGGGGTGTCGCCGGTGGCTGATGTGGGCGTGACTGTCGTCGTGGAAGCCATGGCGCCGGTGTCTATGAGTTGTGGCCGAATCTACATATCGTACACCAGCCGGTCGGTGTCCGTCGAGGGCTCGGGGGTCGTCTCAGGCGGGGGAGAGGGTGGTTGAAGAGTGAGGAGAGTTGCAAGAGCTCTAACAATAATCCCCGTTCCTTCCCCGGATCGGACCCACCTGCTCGCTAGCGATAAGGCTGAGACAAGGTTCGGGCCGAAGTTGATCCTTGCAGCCGATCCCTCGAAGTTCTTCTCTGGCATCCACGTTCACCTCGACACGCCGACGAGGATGGTACAACATATCGACCAGAAACGAGATTACGCGAGTTCATGATGCTCAGGCCTGCACCGAATCATTCAGCGCCGACCATAGCAATACCTGCCAATGTTGCCAGCCGCTCTGCCAAAGCCTCCTTGATTTCACACTCTCAAAGGACGGCCTAGTCGGCCAATATCAGCGCTTGCACGTAAGGTGTAACTACATATACTATGAGCGGATCAGGGTCGCTACCACTGGCAGCAATGCCGCTGTAAAGAAAGCGTTCACCCTTCTCCGCTGATGGATTAGATACCCAAATTGCTCTATCGACACCACTGTCGCATACCTTTGTCGGAGAACAGATATGAGAATCCTATGTGGGCCCGCAGATACTGGACTGGACCAAATTCATTAGGGGGTCGCGTTTGGATCTCGCGTCACTGTCGACTTACAGTCAAGTTTATTCTGATGCTTCGCTTATTGCTCACACAAGCCGCGGCCATCACAACGCTACAGGCGATCGACCGGCGCCTCGAGGATCTTTGCAAAGCGGTCAAATGCTTGAGTGGTCTGCGGTCCCTACAATATGTCGGAATCGGTCGATGGCTTGAGCTAGATTGTGGGCTGCAGCTACATCGATGGGATCGCTTTAATTCCAACATCGGTCCAGAACAAGTGGATGCGATAGTGCAAGCGCCTCGATACATGTTTCGCGATTTGGCCACTCATTCCTCTGGTCGCCAATCGGCCGCAAAGACGGAGGAAAGAGGAAGGGATTGCTTCTCCAGCGAGGATGACAGAACGAAGAAGATGGTACCCATATGTTAGCCAACGACCGGAAGGAGACGTGCGTTGCATACGGCAGTGATTGATGAAAGAAACAACCGATCCTACATGGCGTTCGGTCTGCTGGGCGCCTGACCAACTTTATGACAGCGTTGGAATTTCGCGCATACTTGAAGAGAGACACGCCCCGAGTCTCTTTCGCTCGCAATGGCCCATGACAGCGATCTCGGGTGCAGGGGGACTCTCAGCCGCAGCTGTGATTGTGACTGTGACTGGCATCACCCCACCAGTCACTCATCCACATGAAGCACACCGATCGAACGACGCAAAGATGCAAGTCTGGCCGTGATACCAGAATTACCTAAACAGGAAGGATGTCCTCGAAGAAGCAGGTGAAAAGTCAAAGTGCAATAACGGGTGAAAAGGAACGGGACGGCAACGGACGGCGTTCCAAAGCGCAGAGCATGCCCTAAATCTGCCGGCCGAAACGTGCAAACTGTTCGGCGAGCAACACGATGGACCTTTGGATTGCCAAGGACGGTATAGGTTGAGGATTGAAACGCAGGTCTAGTCTTACCGCTGCATACGACCATGGATGAAATAGGCCAAGGACTGGCGGGTTGGATGTTATTCAGCTCTGTTGCTCCTTGAGGATCGCCATGTTGCTCCATTTGCGCTAGCGATTGAGCCTGCTGCAGATTGGCTCGTGGACTGTTGTTGGTGCTCCGGTCCCTCGGTATCGACGTCGAGATGCGTGCTACCCTCATGCAGCAACGCGAGCTGACAGCGAGCAGTGGGGAGCGTGTGGTGAAATATCGATACGATGACTGATGTGTGCGACCGCGAGCTGATCGGCCTGGCCGACATGCTGCAGCAGCATCAGCATACAGAGATGAGATGAGAGACTGATGAAGCCGCCTTTGCTTGGCCGTTGTGGCTATGAATGACCCAGACCGGTGACGCAGGACATCCGACACCGTTCACATTTGCTTGTTGGAAAATAGAGCTGGAGTTGCACGGCGATTCGGCGAAAGAAAATGATCGGCCTGGTTCGGTTCATCGGCTGGCGCATTTCCTTGCACGGTAACCCAGGAGCACGAGCCACCCGCAAGCAGACGATCTCCAACGTCGCCAGAAATGCAGTGCTCGTCTAGTCTTGTACATCGACCATGCTGCTCGTGTTGTTGGCCGAGGAGAGCGTTCGCGATCGCCCAACACGCCCGACCTGTCAACACCCCAGCCTGCCTACTGCGGTAACTCGACATGGCCCCCGTACTCGCGCGTAGTGCCTGGCATGGACTTCCGGCCTGGCAGCGTGGACGGTCAGCGAGCAAGGTCCCATCCTCAGCCGCACCCTCGGCCGCATGCTACTGCTAGCACACCGCAAACAGACAGCATTATTGCACAGTCACGGAGATAATCACGTCAAGAACCATGCAAGCCACATGTGCGCGGCCGATGCTGTTCCCGAAGCATGACGAGACGAGCGGCAGCAGCGCTGATGGACAAGCTTCCACACCGAATCGAACAAGCGCGCCAGCATGCCCATCGCCCTCCATGCTACCAGACGGTAGGTACGACGATGAAACGAGCTTCGGCAGGCTCCCTTCGTCATGGTCTGTGCAACCACGTCGTGAAGGTAGAAGTTAGTATGGTACTGGTCGACTCGGCCCGCCAGTGTCAACTAACTCTTTGCAGGCAAAGCCTCGAACGTACAATATGGGGGCCTTCGTCGCACTAAGCCAAGGTGGAGCTGCAGCTGAGCATCGTCTATTGACCTGACTGTGATGTCGCCGCATAGTGGGATTCAAATCTCCTCAGGTTGCGCCCCTTGTCCGGATACAAGAGTAGTTGTTGGTCTCTCTTCCTCCGAGTTCTTTGCCACAGAACGGACGCATTGCTGCACCGAAGCCACTGCATTTATTCTCGTTCACAACGCCACTAATCGTCTCGCTGGCAAAGGCACGCTTTCGACTGCATCCGCCGACCCTCTACCGCCAATCGCATGACCACTTCGCCGCAGAGCCAACACCTATCTCCTGACGCTTGGCGACAAGTTGCTGGGGCGAGAGCTGAAACCATTATCAAGCAGCAGAATGAGCCTTACGCAAGTTATAACTATGCAAGGAATGTTCGACGCAGACAGTCTACTGCTGCGGCACTCGCCTGTATGTTAAGAACCAACACGTTCCTGCACTCCTCCACGTTCACACCATCCTGGTCTCCAACACTTCCACGCCGATCTCTTATATCCCAACCAGTCGGAAACTCCCCCATCGACACTATTACCTCTTATCTTTTTCTGAAAAGACACTGCCCTACACCATCTCGTCTTCGTATTCTTCTCACTATTCGACTACCTCTATAACACATCCCGATCATTTTGTTCCTTCGGACTCTTCAGCCGCATTCGTTACAACTACTGACAACCCTAAGCGTTCCTCCAGGGCCTGCATTGGCGGTAAACGGCAAAAACTCGCTGCGTCTGGACTTGATCGATGCAACATGTCGGGCTACTACTATCCTACTTCTTCAGCAGAGGAAGAATACCATCTGGCGCAAGCATATCGAACGCACGCGGTGCCTCAGCAACCTTTACCCAGTTACGAACCGCATCTCTTCTCATACGGGCAGCAACCGCTGGCCGAGCAGACTGAATACTACCAATCCCCTCCCCAGTATCCACCCATGGATTTGAGACCATATCAACCATCGTCAGAACCAGTTCCTTGGACTCAGGGCCAAATTCCGTCAAATGTGGACTCCTACAGCCACGAGGTTGCAGCGCCATTTCCCCAGTATACCGAGGCTTTTGACTACGGCACGGAACCTGCAGTGGCAGGGTCTTCTCAGGCGCCTGCGGCATATCTTTCACCCAATCTAGCCAGCAGGGGCAGATTATCACGGGCGGGCTCTTTCATGTCGAATACGAGTTCAGTCCAGAGCAAATCCGACATGTCCAGAAGTGGTTCCCCCAACGCCGGCGAGATGGCCAAGTGGGGTTTCAAGAACATGGACGGGAGCTGGTCGTGTGGATTTCCAGGCTGCACTTCCCGATCGACCTTCACCCGGGGCTGCGATCTTCGCAAACACTACAAACGCCATTCGAAATCACTCTTCTGCCGCCACGATGGATGTCCGCAGGCCACGGAAGGAGGTTTCTCCAGCAAAAAGGATCGAGCTCGACACGAGGCCAAACACAACCCAAGCATTGTCTGTGAATGGGATGGATGCGAGCGCTTGTTCAGCCGCCAGGACAACATGGTGAGTGGCGAGCATGGTTAGTACGAGCTCACATCAGCATTACTGACATGTCGAGCAGAAGGACCACGTCAGAAGAGTACACAAAAAGCGCATGGCATAGTCGTACAAACAACGTCATGGTGTTTTTCGCCCCCGAACACTCAAAACAAAACCTGACCCTACGGCCGAAGATAAAACCAAAGGATGAGGGACGACACAAAGCTTGTGCGGCTGATGTGAGCACTCTCTTGTGTAACCTTGACGGGCCGCCTCCTCAATCTCTCTCGTCAAATCTCATCCTGACGGGACGGACTCTCCATGGGTCATCACCGCCATTAGCAAGGCCTATATTTGTTCGGGCAGAGATGCCATAAGAACAACATGCACAGGCGAGGTGCGAGTTGGGTGTACGACTCACCGTTTGGAATCATCGCCCGGCGACATTGCTCAGCATCACCGTTACACAAGAGCTGCAAGCGAAGCTGACACCTCTTGCGCGGTTTTTGTGCCCTACTTGCAGGACTCATGGCCGGTTCAGCTGGGTTTAGAACACTCCACTTTAGACTCGCTCACGCGCGAGGTTCGCAGTGGTGTTATTTCACCGAAGATGTCGCTGTGGCGAGGGCTGACCGGTGAACGTGGGAGCTTGCAATTCATGGCGAAGGATTGCAGAGCGGAGCAACTGGGGCTGGACTAACAACCCTTGAGGAATGGGGGCTGAACGGAAGCGGCATCAAACCTCATGCTCTCGTGGATGGTCAACAAGAAGAATACCAACAACATGATGATCATCTGGACTGAACGTCTCAAGGCTGGAGCAACGTCCACACGTTGGTCCACACCGAGGCTTTCGGTCCTGTTCACATGTTGAGATGCACAACGTGCGAGCGATTACCATATCAGGAAGAGATGGACGGCGGCTTGGAGTGTGATATGCTCGCCCATCTGGGCATATTCTGCGGGTGTCTCAACTGTCCACGGTCAATTCGGGCAATGTCTTCGACTTGAAAGCCTGGCGACTCAACTCATCTTTCCTTAACATCGCAACGCACGGTCGAGCATGAGAGTCTGGCTTTGCTGGAGTCAATTTCTCTCCTGGACATCGAGGATGGAGGACGGAGCGACCATTCTCTTGGAGAGAACGAAGGGCATGTTCTACGCAGCAAGATGCCATCGTTGCGAACCTCGCAGCGTTAATGCGCCGCACGAACCGCGACCCTTCACTCCTTCCACGCGACTTAGGGCATCTTTCCAGTGCCTCTCAGACCTCTCCCAGGATGTTGGATAGTATCTGTGTGATTGAGGGGCTGCGTAGAGCCTAGATTAGAGAGTGCTTGGCCGGAACAGGTGTCTGTCAAGGGAATGGTCCCTAGATAGCAGCGGTCTAGCTTGGAAAGAGTAGTGATCGAACGAAGGGTTTAGGTGGATGGATTGCGTTTGCCAAGGAAATGTCTACAACGATACTAGTACTGCGCTATAGAGGAGGATGCCATTCACATGCCTTGAGAGCATTGGAAAGCGTCCCGATGACTTTCAGAGACAAACCAATGAAATGTTCGAGGGCAGTCGCACTCCACGAGATCACCACCACAAATGATGCACATCGCCAACTGCCGACAGAAATTGTTTGCACAGGATCCATCTTCACAAGCTCGCCCTGCAGCCGCTATACTTCATAATCCAAACCTTCCCAAGTGAATTGAACATGTGTCTTCCACTTTTCAGCCCAGCCCGGCTTCTCGGTTCGGCTTCCCGAAGCGGAGCGGGCGTTGCTCAGCAACGGGATTGGCGTAAACAGACTTCCTAAGCGGGCCTCTCTTTCTCAAGACCTCACCCCCAATTCACCTCTCTCGACCATTGACACAATCGCTATCAAATCATGGCGCGCTTACGAGGAAATGCAAATGCAGATGCGGCGGAGGACAGTCATGTGCCGAGGAGGAGGGTGCAGCGGCAACCGGACGAAGCTAGAAAACAGATCGCGAGGCGGAGACGATCTTCAAACGACGATGAGAGCCAAACATGGGATGCGGACAGGCGAAAGGCTTCGGCGAGCTTGGTGTTGAAAGATCAGTCTGTTCCGCAAACGAAGAAGACGCAAGTTCGGCTTGGAGGGTTGCAGGCTCTTTCAAGTTCGAATTCCCTCACTTCTGGCCTTAACCTGGAGGATTTGACCAAAGACGAGCCGAGGAAACGAAGAGTGCAGAGAGCGTCGCCCAAAAAATCAATTCTCGAAAATCCTGCCAAATCAGCGTTTGAGCGACTGGATGGCCCGATGGCTGAAGACAAGGATGAGGAAGAGAGCATATGGTGTGGCTCGATCGATGCGTCGGACAGCTCTTCTGGAGAGGAGCTCATAAGTCCACGGAAGCTGTTTGGTTTGCCACGGAAACCAGTGAGCTCTACAAAAACTGGACCGAATCTCACGAGGCAGTTGCAAGCGCTCACGATCTTTGACGATGACGATGATGGAGGAGTTCCATCGAAGAAGCGCGTTCCCAGAAGCAAGAAGACTGATATTACCGCAAGGCCGCTGAGCTCGTCTGATAAAGAGAACCATGAGGCCATAATAAGATTCTCTCCCCCACAGGCTCGAGGACTGGTCAAAACAGCAGCGACTGACCGAACTTCTACTCCACCACCGCCAGCCTCGCCTTCGAAATCGAGGCTGCAGTCGCCTTCGAAAAAGGCCACTCGTATACCAACTCCGCCACTCCGACCAAGCCTCGACGCATTCTGGACAGCCGACGCAATCAACGACTGGAACGACCAATACTCCCCACAAAAGCCTCTGAAATCCCCACGAAAGCTCAAACTCCAACCCAACCCAGAAGACCAATCCCCATCAACCTCCCCGAAGAAACTGCTCCAAAGCCCATCAAAACGCACCAAAGCCGACCTCGCCGCAATCAAAGACTTCAACGCCCGCAAAGTCGCCCTCGCGGAAAGCTTCCTGCACGAACTCGATCAAACCATCACCCAAGGCCGCATCCAATCCCTCTCCGCCTCCACCGGCGGCGTGCAACTCCTCTGGTCCAACACCTTAAACTCCACCGCCGGCCGCGCCAACTGGCGCCGCGAAACGACCAAATCCCGCTCCTCCGAAACCCTCCAGCACAAACACTTCGCGTCGATCGAACTCGCCACAAAAGTCATCTCGGCCGAACACCGCCTCCTCAACGTCATCGCGCACGAGTTCTGCCACCTCGCAAACTTCATGATCAGCGGGGTCAAAGACCAACCGCACGGGAAGCAGTTCAAAGAATGGGGACGGCAGGTCACGGGGGCGTTTGGGGAGAGGGGCGTGGAGGTTACGACGAAGCATAGTTATGAGATTGAGTATAAGTATGTGTGGAGGTGTGTGGAGGAGGGGGAGTGTGGGATGGAGTTTAAGCGGCATTCGAAGAGTATTGATCCCGGGAGGCAGAGGTGTGGGAGGTGTAGGGGGTTGTTGGTGCAGGTTAAGCCGGTGCCGAGGAAGGAGAATAGCAGTGGGGGTGGTGGGGTGGGGACGACGGCGACGCCCGGGAAGGGGTATGCGGGGTTCGTGAAGGTGCATTTTGCGGAGGTGAAGAAGGGGATGCCGGGGAGGAGTCATAAGGAGGTTATGGAGGCGTTGGGGAGGAAGTATCGTGCTGAGAAGGAGGGGAGCGGGAAGAGTGTGGATGATATGGCTGGTGAGTTGGGGGAGATGAAGTTGGGTGGTGGTGAAGGACCGGTCGTTATAGATGCGGATTGATGCTAAGAGCGATTATTCTACCAGCCCCCGGAAACACTCGAAGAAAGCACGCCTTCCCTCCCAGCTTCCTTTCCTCACCACTCACTCCCCAAACAACCCCCAATCCACCACCCTCAACGACTCCCTCACCCTCTCCCTCACCCCCTCCCCCTCCTCCAACAACCTCCCCATCTTCGCCCCTTCCAAATCCACACTTCCCCTCACATACCCTCCCTCCCCTTCTACATGCGGCACATTCACCGCCACCACCAAATCCGTCCCCTTCCCCTCCAATCGCACAACCAACAACAGAATCCCCACGAAATCCGCCTCGTGCGCCCGGCCGCGCTGTTTCTCGCCGGGAGGGGACGTCGCAAACATAGTAAACGCCTTCACGCCCCTAAAGAAAAACACATGATCAGTAAACACCCTCATCCCCAACACACCCACCACAAAAGTCTGAACTTACGGCAGATCAGGAACCCGCACCTCCTCCACCCCACCCCAAACCCTCACCCCCTCCATCTCATCCTCCAAGATATCCTCGAAATGGAATTTCACAGCTTCCTCATCCGTGGGTTTGTCTACGCGTTCGAGCAGGTCGAAGACGATGGAGGTGTCGCCTGTGGACGAGAGGTGCACTTCTTGCGTGTCGGGGACTTGGCGGATTGTGCTGTTGGTGAGAGGTTAGTTGAGAGGGGTTGGGGTTGAGTGGGAGGGGAGAGAGGGGTTGGGTTGGGTGTGTGCTGTACCTGACGTCTTGGAAGTCTGAGGGGAGATCTGCTGTGATGGCGCCGCCGTAGAGGGGGACAGATTTGAAGGAGAGAGGTGGGTTGGCCATGCTGTTGGTCCTTCTTTTCCCTTGGAGTGAATTTGTGTCTGCAGTTTTGGGGTTTTCCTGTAGTCGCAGCTCAGACTCTTGAGGTGAAGTTGGTCCTCCGCTTCTTTTATGCAAGGCGCTTTGCGCAAGGCAGCGCTAGGCTCCGAATCAGGCAGTTGTAGAGAGGTTGCCGCCTAGCAGTGAATGGTAAGTGTCAATTACTCAGAGAGTCGTACTTGAGTGCTCGGTTTATTGTTCATTCGCTCGATTCATTGTATTTATACATGTCATTTCGCTACAGGCTATGAAGCGACGTCGAAGCTGCGAAAGCTTCGTTCAGCAGGGCCCACATTTTCGTGGCTGCCTCAGGCAAGTATCTGCCCATACCAACGCCTCGCTATGCTAGGTTGGCTTTTCGAGTACTCCTTGTCCCTCTCAGAGAATATCACACCTCCATGCGCCTCTTGCCGTTGGGATGACACTCGCCGCTGGACAGGCCCTACGATGCCCAAACGTCGTGACCAACTCCCTCGATCCAGTTGCCCAGACGCTCCACACCACCGTCCCACTCACGCAGTCTGGCGCGCATACCCTCAATGCCGCTCCTGTCCAACACCTTGGGCTGCACCCATGTTATCCGAGCTACCTCCGCGACCTGGTCGATGCTGCCCCTTAGAAGTCCTAGACTGAGCGCCTTCATGATCAAATGCTCAATCTCATCCAGCTGCACCTTCGTCTCTTGACTGATGGTCGTGAATGTCATGCTGCGATCTTGTGGCGCACGAGAGAAGACAAGCTGGGTCAGCGCCGACAGCGAGATCTTCTGGTAGAGGAACTGTTGGTGCTCCTTCAACAGCGTGTTTGCATCGAGATGCTGCTGGAGGATGTTGTATGCTTGCAAGTCACCGCGGTTGAATGCAAACAGCAGATCGCGGAGCCAAGCATTCTGGGTGTCGCTCAAACTGTCGAGGATAGGATGGAGAAGGAGCTCGCCGAAGTTGTAGATGTTCTCGCTGACAAGAGCGGCAATGGAGAGGTCGTAAGCGATGCGCTGGCGGTCTTGTTCGGGAAGATCTGAAAGCTCGACGCAGGCGAGGTAGAGGAGCGCGGTACGGTAGTATTTGGCGAACTCGTGCTGGCTCTGGTAGTAGACGGCGCTCACCCAGTAGAAGTTGGCGTGGACTTCGGTCTCGACTGAGTCGAAGGTGTCGAGCACAGACTCGCACTTGTCAAGATCCTTACGTGCTTCGGTGATTTGGCTGAGATTGAGCCGAGTGTTGGCGACTGCTGTGAGGGCGTAGACGTATGCGTCTTGGGAGGCTGGCTTGTCTACACGGCTGGCCAGAGCGGAGAGGAAAGTAAGGCGCTCGTTGTCATCTAATACGTCTTGTCAACACATGTTATCTCATCAACATCTTTACTGGATATTCCCCACCTTTGCACTGCTTTGACGTGCTAAGTCCTATGCGCACAAGCTTCAGTTGGTTGATCTTGTCGGCGAAGGGCTTAATGAAGCTGTTGAAGATGGGGATGCGCTGCGGTGCGCTCTGGGACTCGTTGTAGTAATCGACGAGGATGTCGGTCAGTTCGTGCCATAGCTTGCGCTCCCAGTAGTCCTCGAAGCTCAGGAAGTAGTGCTGGAGGTCGTCTGGGGCTTGGTCTCGCTGGTCCTGGAGGAAGTTGGCGATCTTCTCGTTGTCCGCCATGTTGGACGGAGGTGCCGATTTCGCGATGATGTGGTATAAAGGTTGATTCGACTGCTCTTTCTGGAGGTACGGGAGTCGTGTGTATGTGGTGGTGGTTGGTAGTGGGCTGTCGTGTGATGCAGTGGGTGTTGGTAGTGAGTTGCAGGCAATCGAAGGCGCGCCTTCGCTTTCGGATGTGAGCTTGGGCCATTATCCATTTCGCGGAGCCAAGTCGACCGGCGAATGACGGGCAGCAGCCATAAGCACCTCCATACATCCTCCTTCGCGCTGTTCAATGGAGTAGGCCTCCGCCGCATACCTCCCGCCGACACACCTCTCCGCTCCCTGGCCATGGCTGGCATCCCCTCCAGCGCAATGGCTCTGCAGCGCCAGCTCTGCCGCCCCAACACCTCCTTCACCACCAAACTCGCAAAGACCGCCTTCGCGCCCTCACAATGCCGCCGAAACCTCCAGGACATCGCCATCACGCGCACTGGCAAGCCAATTATCCGGATACCTGGTGGTCGAAGTAGCTTGGGTGGACATACCGTGACCGTCTTCGGCGCCACGGGTCAGCTGGGGCGATACATTGTGAACCGCATGGCTCGTGCTGGAAACACTGTGGTTGTGCCATACCGAGAGGAGATGGCAAAGAGACATTTGAAAGTGACTGGCGATCTGGGAAGAGTGGTCTTCATCGAGTACGATTTGAGGAATACGGAGTCCATTGACGAGTCTGTCCGACACTCAGACATGGTCTATAACTTGGTTGGACGTGATTACCCGACCAAGAACTTCGACTTGGAGGATGTGCACTGCGAGGGAACGAGGAGAATCGCCAATGCTGTTGCCAAGTACGATGTGGACCGCTTCATCCACGTCTCCTCCCACTCCGTCCACCCAGAGTCTCCCTCCGAGTTCTTTAGGACGAAATGGCGTGGCGAGCAAATTGCTCGTGAGATCTTCCCCGAAACTACCATTGTCCGTCCTGCACCTGTCTTCGGATTCGAGGATCGTCTGCTGCACCGTCTGGCCAAGGCCTCCAACATCATCACCGCCAACAACATGCAGGAGCGCTTCTGGCCTGTCCACAGCATTGACGTCGGCAAAGCTTTGGAAGCCATTGGCTATGATGACAGCACCGCTGGCCAGACTTTTGAGCTCTACGGACCCAAGCAGTACAGCTTGGCTGAGATCTCGGAGCTTGCAGACCGAGAAATCTTCAAGGACCGACGACATATCAATCTCCCCAAGTTCATTCTGGCACCGCTGATGGGTGTCCTCAATCGTCTGCTCTGGTGGCCTGTTGGTAGCAGAGACGAGGTTGAGCGTGAGTTCCTCGATCAATTCATCGACAAGAACGCAAAGACATTCAAGGATTTGGACATTGAGCCAGGTGATATCGCGGCCTTCACCTACAGATACCTGGTAAGAATGCTGCTGAACATGTTAAAAAGTACTTGTACTGACAAACTCGTAGCAAGGATACCGAAGCTCGTCTTACTACGACTTGCCACCCATGACAGAGAAGGAGAAGCGGGAGGAGAAGAAGTATCTGCATGTCCTTGACGACCAATAGAAGGTCTTGCGCTTGGAATTGGAGTTTGAGAGAGCTAGAGACCGTGCAACAACTTCTCAAAAAGCGCTGCACACTGTATATACGATACCGCCGATAAGCAAGTTCTTTTGTCCAAATACCGTGTGAGGCAATTTTCGAGCAGATCGGAACACGGCTGGCATAGCTCAAAGTGTATCGTGTAGTCAAGATCGCGCAATGCTCGTCCACTCCATCGCACCTCTGGAGACAAAACGTGGATCTAGACTGGTCATGATCGGCTGTGCGATTACGAGGCTCAGCCTAGGCCTAGCCGTCTGTCTCACCACTGGATTTGTCGAGTCTGCAGCAGCGGCATCACGGCATCTCAGACTTTCAAATATATTTCAAGGTAGTCGCGATGGGATGCGTTGCATTTGAGAAGGTGTGTAAGCCTTCGAGAGAGTCTGCGAGGTGAAAGAAGAATCGAAACGAGTAGATCAAAGTGCAAGGCTGTACATTCGTGTCGATAGAAAATCGGAAGGCCGGTAAGTTAGCGCTAGCGGCTGGCTTCGCGAGGCTCTCAACCCCGCCCGCGCACAACTTGAACCCTTCATGTCCTCGCTTTGAACTTCGTCGCTCCGTCATCAACACCCCATCCACCATCTCTCCGCCGTCGCATCGTCGACATCACCACCCGGATTACCACATCCACGTCGCCAACGATGCGCGTCGACCAGCTCGTCACTCCGGACGACAGCACGGCTGCGCCGCCGCCCAAAGAGTTTGTAGCGACCAGCGAGCAGCAGCTTCCAGCTGTCGCCATCTTGCTGACATCCCAACAGTGACCGGGCTGCTCCCAGACACGAGCCTGCGCCTGCACCGCCGGTGACCAAACACACAAATCATCACACTCATGTCTTCCAACTGAGCGGCGCCGACCCTCGTGGTGATCGCAACGGGTCGAAAGCCTTTGCTCACCAGCCTGTTCATTTTGGTGCCTATCGCTCTTACACAGGCCCCGGCGCACCTCCCGGCCCACCACCTCACAGCCCATCTCAGTATCAAGGCACGCAGTACACCTTCCAGAGCATCCAGAACCCGCCGCAGCACACGTATCAATTTCAGCAGCAGAATCCCGCAGCCTCGCCTGTAATTCGGCGTCGGCGCCCACAATCAGCTCGCTCCCTCGATTCTCCGGATTCGCCTGCCAAACCCGCTAAGCGCGCCAGCACCGGCCAGATGCCACCGGCCAACACCTTCCCGTCGCAAGACACCAACGGCGCTAACACCACCACTGACAGTAGCAATGTTGCTAATGGCAGCACTCCCAACAACAATAATGTCGCCTGCTCAGTCGTGCCTGGAAATCGCTCGTTCCCCTGCCCCCTCAGCATCTACGGCTGCACTTCCACTTTCGGCTCCAAGAACGAATGGAAGCGCCACGTCAACACCCAGCACATGCGCATGGGCTTCTGGCGATGCGACATGTGCAAGAATGGCGATCGCAAGCCCAACGACTTCAACCGAAAGGATCTCTTCATCCAGCATGTGAGACGAATGCATCCACTGTCGGCCACTTCACCCGCCACTGCCGGCTTACCCGCACCCTCCAAATCGTCAAAGGATGGCGAAGACATGCAATTGCTGCAAACGGCTGCCGCACGATGCTACAAGGCTTTGCGCCACCCGCCAGAGGAGAGCTGCTGCCTCTTTTGCGATCGCACGTTCTCTGGAGAGGGCACTTGGGATGACAGAATGGAGCATGTGGGACGCCATCTAGAACTCATACGCCGAGCGAATGATCAGCCACCAGAGTCCAAGGACTGGAGAGCTGATCAACCTATGGAGAAGTGGTTGGCGAGCTACCAAGTCATTGTGCCAAACGGCGATGGCTGGATTCTTGACGACCAACAGCTGACGCAGAAGCCTCCGCGCCGCGCGAGCAGCATAGCTCAGCTTCCTAAGCCAGTCTTCCAAACTGGACCTCATCAGGGCAGCCCTGTCGCACCGCAGTATGCGCCAGCAACAGCGCCTGTCTCTGCAGCTGCACCTCCATCTGCGCCCGCGCCAGCTTTACCACCTCTCAGAGTTGTGCCAACTCCTGCGAAGTACCAGCAAGCTCCAGCTCAACCAATTCAACCAATTCAGCCAGTTCAACCCGTTCAACCCGTTCAGCAGCAAGTCCAACCAGCTCCACCAGCTCAGGTCCAGCCAGCTCCCCCGCAGGCTGCGCCCGCTCCACCAAAGGCTGAGCCTCTGCTGCAAATCAAGCGCGTGCAACCTCCTGCGCCTGCCGCTGCCCAGCCTCAGTCAACACCCCGCGGAAGACAGTCCTCGCCTGATCGTTTGTTCAGTGCCTTCGATGAGCCCGGTGAGCAGCCTGTGAAGTCCGAACAAAGCAGCTCGGCTAGTACGTCTCCTGGAACCAATGCCGACAGCCAAGCGCAGACGACTGGTACAGACGTGACTGAAGCCACTGAAATCGCTGTCAAGCCGAAAGTCTCGACCCGCAGCAAGGGCAAGCGAAATGCAGCTAAAGAGCAGGCTGAAGGCGGTGCAGAGGATGAGGATCCATATCTCTCGCTTTTCCAGACTATTCCCAAGCGAAAAAAAGGCACGGCCGCTGGCGATGACGACGACGAGGAAGAAGCTGAGCCCGAGTCATTCGAAGACTCCAACACTATTGCCGGCGGCTCGCAACGTACCTCTCGCAAGCGTCAAGCGTCACCGGCTCCCAGTAGCAACAGCTTTTGTGGCAGTCTGAAGGATCGCATCTACTCCGGGTTCCAGAAGGCGGTGCTTGGTATGGCGACTTCGGTGTCGCGCTTGTTTGTGGAGCCGACCGATGGCCAGCCTGGTGGGGTTCAGCGAAGCACTCCTGTCGCGAAGAGAACTCGCACGGCACGGGCGCAAGAGAAAGCTGTCAATGGAGAAGATGACGACGAGACGTTCGAGCCGGTACGCAAGAGACAGCGCCGCGGTCGTAAGGATCGTGGAGATTCTGCGCTGAGGGAGAGCTCTACATCGTCGCTGTCGATGAGCACGAGATCTAGTGGACGTGTCAAGGACAGCGTGATTGAGAAGGGTGTCATCTCTTCGCGCAGCTAAGTTGGAAGCAAGACGATACGTGGCGTGTGTGGGGGAGGTTTGGCATGTTTTGGCTGGCAGGGATTCTTTGATTGGGGCACGAAACGACTTCGGCATGGTGGTCTTTTCTGCATTCACATGATGCGTTTTCGGCATTGCGTTTGTTTCGAGACAGTACTTGCTATGTGATATGGAGCAAGGCAATGAAAGTGTTTAGTTTGCGATGGATTTGGACATGTTTCCTCATTGGTCGCTCATTGCAGTAAATGCAACGCTGCATCTGTTATGTAACGTTGATGATGCTGACGGCATGACGTCCTCGACATCTCACAGTTCGTCTTTCTTCCACGTGGCATCTTTCCAAAACCGATTGTCGACGACGGCTTGATATATAGGAGAGACTGCTGAGGTTGACTCAGGCTGTCGACGAAGAAGGCTGGTCCATGCATCGGGCTGAGGGGGCCGTTGCGCTGCGGGTTTTCTCTCAAACGGTGGTCGTATTCAACCCGTCTTTGATCCTGATAGCATTCCCCTCAAAATCACAGCTTTTGTCTCTGTCTACCCCTTAGCCATTCTTATACCGCAATATCTCCCACCTGGGGCATTCGCCTAAAGCTCGCCGTCTCGCTCCAGATCCGAGAGAGAGAGCAGGCCACGGAGCAGCCCAGCTTGCCCAGCCACTTTTGGCGAGTGCATCCTCGGCAAGCGACAGCTTCGTTCTAGCTCCCTGGTCCCCCACTTTGAACACTTCCAATCGATCTGATCGTCCGCCCGCCAAAAGGTTAATGGCGATAGGACAGCTTGCATCATCGAACTAACTAATACCTGCCGGCTGGTTGGTGCGTTCGGTTGTTCTTGTGTAGGTGGGACGGGACTTGTTCTTTTGTTCTGTACATTTCGATCTTGCCTGATTGCCTACTACTACTCGAGAGTGTAGAGAAGATGGCCCACCTTCGCGAACGCAGGCCAGCTGCGAGAACAACACCTCCAGAAGACGACCACCCCAAATCGAAGCAACGCCGCAATGAAACTCCCGACCTCGAACCTTCCCTCTCCGTAGTCCTCACCCTCATCGCCTTCCTCTCCCTCCTCACCGGCTCCCTCTTCTACTACAAACTCGACAACCGCGAGCGCGGGCCCTTCTCCACCTACATCAACACGCACTACCCGCTCCTCGACCGCTTCCTGAACAAACCCTCCATCCCGCTCTTCGGCGCCGCCGCCGCAGAAACACCAACCGGCGGCGACTTGCAACTCACCGAAGAAGAGCTGAAAGCCTACGACGGCACGGACCCAGATAAACCCATCTATCTCGGCATCAACGGCACCATCTTCGACGTCTCCGCCAGCCCGGCCTTCTACGGCCCGGGCGGCCACTACCACCACTTCGTCGGCAAGGACGCCACGCGCGCGTGGATCACCGAGTGCTGGGACGAGGACGAGCAGTTCACATGGCGGCTGGACGGGGTCGAGGCCATGTTCCTCCCCAAATGGATGGACGAGTCCCTCGAGACGATCGCGGCGGGCCAGGAGGCGGAGGATCTGGATCTGGGCGGCATGCCGCTGGATATGCTGGCGGGGATGGCGAAGAAGAGCGTGGAGCGGTTTGGGAGCGTGACGGATAAGGAGAAGGCGAAGAGGCGGGTGAGTGATAAGGAAGAGGCGGAGGCGAAGGTCCAGGAGACGTTGGCGCATTGGGTGGGGTTCTTTAGTGGGAATGCGAAGTATACTGTTGCCGGGAGCGTCGTTCGCGACGAGAGTCGACCTTCGCCTCCGAAGCCTTGTAAGGCGGCGATGGAGAAGAGGCCGATTAAGGGGGGGAAGTTGGAGGGGGTTATGCAGGGGGCTATGGGGAATTTGATGGGTGGGAAGGGCGGTGCGGGTGCGGGTACTGGGGGAAAGGGCGAGATGCCGGCTTTTGTGAAGGAGAAGTTGGCGAAGGAGAAGGAGAAGAAGGAGAAGGGGGAGGAGGTGGTTGTGCCGGTGGAGGAGGAGGAGGATGAGGAGGACTTGGTGCATGATGAGTTGTAGGGACTTGCGGGGGAGAGTTTGAGGTGGTACTTGGGGAATATGAGGTATATGTTTTATATGAATGAAAACGTAAAGTGATGTGTTGGGTGGTGTTCTCGAGGTGAGGAGAGGAGTCCAGGTAAGTTTGATTCCGTTTCCGCTTCTGAGCGCTCATAAGTTTCCCCCTCATCCTCCACTTCGTGAGAGAAGACCGCCTTCTTTCAGCGGGGAACGTGAGCACGGTCAGCTGCAAAGAGATGGGGATGTTCTAGCAGGCTATTATAGCCTTCGCTAGTGAGAGAGCGCGATGCGGTATCCAGTGCTCGAATACACCGCAATTATCAAGCAAGCGAGGTGATCATGCGGATGCTGGAGGCTCTCCTAATCTCCGCCTTCGACTACGCTGCCATACAGAATGTCAGACATGCAGTCCACGTCCGTTCAATGGAAACAGCATGCGTCGACTTCAGGCGAGAGCCTTCTTCACTTCCCTTTCGAAGCGCGAGAAGCGCGAGAAGCGCTGATACCTGGCGGCGGTCTCGACGTCGCTGATACCGTCGAGGAAAGACGGTGTACAGGGTGTTGCTTGTTGTTGTCTGGGGTAGAAGGAGAGAGGGGATAGGAGTTCTTCAATAGGTGGTGTAGGCTTTCTTCACATGCAGCTCGGACGTGGCTCCTGGATGGAGAAGCTCCCATTTGGGTGGTGGCCTCAGTCGTATTTAAGACTTCATTCAGAAGGTGACTGCTTCCACTTGCGACATGGACCTCATCCGCCGGCTCAGCGGCGCCGTGCATCTCAAGCGGCTGGTTGGACCTGTCTGTTGTCTGAGCAGAGCGCTCGCGCTGAGGCGTTGATATCTCGCACGGGCGACGCACGCAGAGTATGATAGTAGTCGTCGGGGTAGCTGGCTCCGGGCCCGCTGCGAGATCTTCTTGCCCGGTCAAAGGGGGTTGCAACCAAAAGCAGACAGTCTTGGCGGCTTTGCGGGCAGAGCTGTCTGCTTTTGCTTGCAAGTCCGGAGCCGGTGTTGTGGAAAAGAAGGGGACGGAGTGATGATGACTCGATTCTGATGTAGTTCGATGAAGGACTGATGCACGTGATGACCCCTATTTTGAGCCTGAGGCTGAGGTAGCAGGTAGTTGGACATATTTAAGATTCGACTTCTTTCTGTCTTTCGACGTTCCAACAACATCTGACAACCACATCAAGACCGCTGTGTGCGGTCTTGTTCGTACACGTCGACAACGACAAGCAAGATCCTCAGCCAGCAGCCAGCTGGGCTTCCACCAGGCGCGATGGTCCTGTCTATCTACGATGAGAGTCGGGGTTGAGTTTGACGTCGTGAGCAACAGAGCTCCCAGCTGGCGCACGCAGTGTACATAACTCTTTATCCTCGTGAGCTTCTTCCATCAACGTTAAGCGAACTCTTCTGACACACAACAAGGGGAGAGCGCTCCAACTCTGTTCAACCAGGTCTGGAAATGAGCATTTGCCACACGCGGAGGGGAGGGGAGGGCTGTGCACTTAAGAAATGTTTTGCAGAGAGCTGGAGATAGAATCAGATCTAGCTAAGCAAGCAGTTATGATCGATCAACTCTGGAACTAATGTCGATGAGATCCCCATTACTTTACGTCCGACTGTGCGAGGTAGAGAAGAGTCGAATGGGGAGTCTGTTGAAATGTAGGGATATTTGTCGGGGATTTTGACAAGGTGAGGTTATGTTGTTGGGAGAAAGGCTGCGCAAAGGCCAAGTAGAGGGCATATAGGGGAGGTGGGAACAAACAGACCTAGGTTGTTTTCGATGCTATCCCCGTTACTTTACGAAAGGCTATGCAGCCGATGAGAAAGCTGTATTCGTAGTCGGCTTGAAGGTATTCGTATTTCGTGGAGACAGTCGTGAAGTGAGGTTTAATCACTTGCAAGCTCAGGGGCCAACAAGCTCCCAGGACCCGAAAAGTGATATTCATGCGCTCATGCCCGGCGTAAATTACAAGTAAACTTTCTCCTCCTACCTCCCATCCTCCAACTCCAACCAAGACCGCTCCACATGCTCCGCCTGCTGCTCCCCCGGCGTCCGCCTCCCATCCTCCCACGCCTTCCCATTCTCACCCCCCTCGCTCTTCGGCATCACATGCACACTATCCGTGCGAGTCTCTCCGATCGACCCGGCGGTAGAGCGCAGACGTGACAATTCCAATCCATCGTCCTCCTCGTCGAAGAGCTGGCCTCGAGGGCGCGGGAGGCTGCGCGAGCCGATCGTGTCGTTTCCACCGCTCGAGGGACCAGAGGGCGAGCGCGTGAGACTGCCGAAGGTCTTGCCCCAGGCGCGCTTGATCACCCCCGCGAGAGCGGGCATGCAGGCGCAGACGGCGGTGACGTGGCATTCAACGGCGCTCCAGAGCGCGGGGAGGTTGTAATCCCAGGTGGCGTTTGCGGACCTGCCGAATTTGAGCAGGCTCTGTAGGCGGATGATGGAGCACACAGTGGCGAAGAGACTGCAGAGGAAGATCACGGCGATGCCCCATTTCTTGCGCGTGGACATTTGCGTTTTGAAGAGCCGGGGGATGGGGAGGCAGTACACGCTGAGGTCGTAGGAAATGTTGAGCGCGGCGCCGGTGTAGATCATGGCGTTGGTGTTGATGCAGGAGCCGTTGTGCTCGCCGTCCCAGCGGTGCCAGGCGTAGTCGATCGGCGTGCATTGGAAGGTGACCACGATGGTCATGGTGATTGCTGTGGTGGAGAGGATCCCGAGGAGGATGAAGCAGATCAACCGGAAGCGTGCGGCGTCGACGCTGATGGCCGTCCAGATGCGCAGGTACATGAGCAGGATGGAGATTTTCTCGAGGCACATGACGAAGTTGTAGAAGTATTCGGAGATCCAGAAGTAGTAGAGGATCCTGGTAATTGCGTTGGGTTCGAGCGTCCAGATGTCGCGGCCGAGGCCTTGGTCGAGCATGACGGAGAGGAGAGCTTGTTGCGGGATCATGATCGACATGGCCAAGAGGAGAATCCAGTCGTCGAAACCGTAGCCGTTGCCTTTCATGTACGGGTGGCGGTAGACGAAGCGCCCGATTACTGAGATGAGTGCGGTGGTGAAGAGGGTCCAAGTCACCTTTTTCGTGATCGAGGAGTCGTCGCGAGGGGGAACACCGCATGCTGCCTGGTTGTAATCGGTGGCCGCTATATTGGATATGAGCTGAATGTCTTGTGGGACGTGATATTGTTCGCCATACCAAGAATGTCTTTGATGCTGCAGCTGGTGGTAATGCATGTGGTAGTATTGGCTTGGAAGGCTGGGCTGGTGCAGAGACAGGTTATGTCAGTCTCGTTGCAGCCAGATATTGAAAGCCCTTCGCCAATGCAGTGTTTCTGTATGACATGTCAGCCTTTCCCGTCCCTTAGCGCCTCGAGCGTCCACAAAGAGCGCCGCGCATGTAAGATTGCTATTTCACCAGACTTACAGCGCACTCTGGTAGATCCTTTGCGACGTTCTCTTGCGCCTTCGCGATCCCGACTAGTATTGATATCATTAGCACCGCAAAGGCGAAAAGCCGCAGAATCCCCGTTTGTCCGGACGAAGGCATGGCGTTGGCGAGTCGTCGCGAGCACGATCGTTGGCAGATCTTAGGGGATCTCAAAAGCGACAGAAGGTCGTTAAGATTGATATCACATCGTCACCAAGTGAAGTGCTCACAAGACCGGTTTTGGTGGAAGCCTAACGTTGACGAAAGCGCATCTCACTTCACTTTCACTTGGGGAAAGTAAGTGGACTCGGATACACTTGGCACGCACATCCCGAGACGTCCCTTCGTACCTGGCGCCATGCTCCCTGTGTTGGGGATGTTATAGATGAGGGAACGCTGTCCATGTAAAGTGATTCGGCTGCCCCGGATCGATTAGAGGGCTAAGCTTTGTGCCTGTTTGATGTCCGTAGTGTATTGTCGTCACGAAGAGACTCGGTATATTGAAGTGCATGTCGTCTTCTGCTTTCACATGCTATCGGCTCCTTTCATATGACATTCTGAAGGATTCGAGGCTGCTGTTAGTGCGTGGCGCATCGTTCAGTTCCCGCGGATGCACGCGAGCCAGTTCCGACATCGCGGAACCTTGACAAGGCTTTTGACTTCGACATCCTTGACCAAGTACGGGGAAGAGCTGTCTCAATTGATCGATGTTCCTAGCTCGGCGCGGTGCTTCCCCAGTTCTCGCAACCCCAGCAATGACTGACTGATCGAGAGCTTGGTGATTCGGATCGTTGGCTGCCCATTTGTAAGTGCCAAGTTGGATGATTTGGTCTCACGAACAGTCCTGGTCGAGTTGGCCAATTCAATGCAGGTGAGGTTGGAGTCGCATTCGTAAGGGAAGGACACGTCCGAAGCCGAGTGCGAAATGGGCGCGACGCATATTACTATGCACTACGCTAACACATCACCACAATTGCAGCAGTACGTGCGAATACGTAGCCGTCGCCATATCATACACGCCTCTGTCCCAGGATACTATAACGTAGTGGTGCGCCGGGTAAGATCCCAGGGAATTCCTGCTTGCGGCCGCAAGATCTTGATCAGGCTGAGCCTCACATCGTCGCTCAGAAGCCACGCCGAGAGAGGAAGTCGCTCAACTGTCTGACCGACAAGTTGTATCAAACTTACCATCTGCTAGGCCCTTAAATACAAATCGAAGAGTGGTGTTGTTGTGGCTAAACGAGAAGAGGTGAGGTGTTCGCCGCCGGAAGACAAAGAGCCGACTCGGCTGTGCAACGTCATGTATTGATCAGCAAGCGAAGCTCTCGACCACTTCTCTTCAATCATCACTGCTGCTCTGCCACAACGCCACCTTTTCTTTGCCCTTCTATTCACGCAAGCCTTTCCCGGTATAACAACCTCCTCCTTCGACAATCGCCACACAACCACCACCTACGAACAACATGGCGTCAAACGAAATACCGAACGAAGCCCCTCCATCATATGCGCAAGCGACCGGATCATCGAGCAGTTCCTCAAGACCGGCAGCAGGCGCCAGCTCGAGTCAAAATACCGGATCGCATCTGAACGTACCAGGCGCATCATCTAGTGGCAAGAATGGCATACCTGCAGATTACCGGCGGTCGATGGAAGACGAAATGCGCCCACTGCCAGAAGGCTGGGTGAGATCGTACGACGACAAAGCACGTACGTCGACGATCCATGCAAAGGGATAGTACATTCATTGACGTTGTTTCCAGATCACCAGTTCTTCGTGGACATTACCAAAGATCCACCCAAGAGCCAATGGGTTCACCCTTACGATTCCGAAGTCAGTACATCGCGATCGGGCCGCACGATCAAAGACTAACAACGCTTAGGAATACCTCAGCACGCTTTCAACCGAGGAGCGCGAACGGATAGAACAGGACAGCATGAACAGAGGCAAGCACACACCCTCGAAAGAGGATATAATAGCGGCACATTCAGACGACGATGATGACCATCACCACTCCGCAGCGGCTGCATCCTCCTCCTCATCCGCACACCCCGAGCTCCCACCACGTCCCGACGGCAAAGGCAAAGCAGCCGATCGAACATTTGGGCGCAAGCTCAAAGACAAGCTCACTGGCATGTCACATGAAGAGCGCGTGCAAGACCGGAAAGTTAGGGCGGAGCAAGAGCAGAAGATGTACGAGCAACATATGCGGGTGAGGCAGGCTATGGCGCAGGCGATGCAGACGGGCCAGCCACAGTACCTGGGCAAGGACAGGGATGGGAAAAACGTGTATGTTGAACCGCCTGCGCCTCCTGCTGCTGGATATGGCTATGGTGGCGGATACGGAGGTGGATATGGATACAATGGCGGTGGCTATGGATACAACCCGTATCGTGGTCCGCAAGGAGGGCCCGGTATCTACTCAACACCAAATGCCCGCTACATCAGACCCCAGCAACCGTACGGCAGACCAGGCTACGGAGGCGGATACGGGCTTCCACTGGCTGCAGGTATTGGAGGCGGTCTGTTGGGTGGCCTGCTTCTGGGCGACTTGTTGTTCTAAGGAACGGGCGAAGACTTTGTGCTTTACGGAGTTTGCTAAGATATCCACGAGTGTAACGATAGCAGGGACTATGACTTGACGATGGCACGAGAATGAGGTGATGTACCTAAGAGTAGACAGAAACGAGCAAGGTTGCAACAATCCATCCTTTCGGATGTTCTCTCTATATCAGAAGGAGTCTGCTCCTACGGTGCTTGCATTGGATGCCACAACCGAGTACGATACCGCAAAAAGTCGATAAGAAAAACTCATACCCAACGAGCCCCGCTGACCAAGTCTCTACGATCTACCTCTATCCACAACCAAAAGCAGCACCTCCCCCCTCTCACGCCGACCCCATCCCCTCCACCAAACCCCTCAACCTCCCCATCTCCGCCCCCATCCAACTCGTAATCGCCACAAGATCCGCCCCACAATTAACAAACTCCCACCCCTCCCTCACCCTCCTCGCCGCATCCTCCGCACCCAACGAGAAATACCCCGCAAACTTCCCCGCCTTCTTCGCCGCCGCCAGAACCGTCTTCCCAGCTTCCTGCACTTCGGGGATCTGGGCGTGGTCGAAAGCGAAGTGGCCCATGCTGGAGGCGAGGTCGTTGGGGCCGATGAAGAGCGCGTCGATGCCGGGCCTGGAGGCTATGGCAGCGGCGTTGGTGACGCCTGTGCGGGTTTCGATTTGGACTATGATTGTGATGAGGGCGTTGGCGGTGAGGGCGTAGGATTTGGGGTCGAGGGAGAAGTTTGGGGGTGCGAAAAGTCCGCCTTGGCCTCGGGTTGCGGAGGGGAAGTCTTTGCTGGGATAGTGGGCGAAGCGGGCGACTTGGGCTGCTTGTTCCTATCCCCATCCCCAGAAGTCAGTCTCCGACTATGGAATTGGGAAAGAGGCAGGCATGCTTACAGCAGTCTCCACCATTGGCACCATTATTCCATGGGATAAACATTCCGTCAGCCTCGCCACCCACACAAACAGGCTCATCACCTATCACCTACCTCCAGCATCTAACGCCCTCTTCACCATCCAATTCTCACTCCCGGCGATCCTCACAATCGGACTCGCTCCCGCGGCCACCACAGCCGCAACGGAGTGATACATCGCCGCATCGTCGATGTTGCCGTGCTCGCAGTCGATGAGGACCCAGTCGACGCCCGGGAGGGAGGCGACAGTTCTGGCGAGAGTGTAGCCGGGGAACTCGAGCCATTGTCCTATGGAAGGGGCGCCTCCTGCAGCGGCGCGTTCGAGAGAGAGGCGCAGGCGGGTCTTGCTCGTTGTGGGGTCCATTGCTGTTGTGGTCATTGTTAGGGAGTTGTAGTAGGTGATCTGGGACGGTCTACAGTTGGGAGGTTGAAGTGTGATTTTCCCCTAGGACAGCCTGATCAGAAACTTGCTGGACGTGCGTCGAATGGCGTGGACTTCCCTCAGGACGTGGGGATAATATTGAATTCATGTATCATATATGTCCTACCTACTAAAGGTGAGGTCGCCCGCTCGGCCAGTCAGTTGGCCGATAGCGGCGAGAGAGCTTCGTTGCTGCGATGGTGCCTGCTAACAGATAAGATCGGGAATGAGTGTTGGAGACCGTTTTGGAGCGATGCAAAATCTATACTCATTCTAAGGCTACTAATCTTCACAGGTGAATCTGAAGGTCAATTTATTTCGGCGGGATGATGGGCAAGACGACATAATTCTCGTGCCCGCCTCCAAAGTGAAGGCTGTTTACGCCTGCGAACACTTTCTCCGATCTGTCAAGAGTCAGTCTAGGAACAAGGTTGAGAGAAAGTAGAGACCACATACCTGTCAGCAGGAGAAGTATGCTCGAAAAGCCCACAGCCTTGAGTGTCACCACTCGAAACCTCAAACACGAGCTTCCCTCCCTTCTCAACAACTACATTTGTCGGCCAGACTTCCACATCCACATCATATACAGTATCCGGCTTGACTTCTTGGACATCGGTCTGGCGATACTCTCGGTGTGGCAGCCACTCCCTATGGCGAGGGTGCTGGTCGTCGAATTTTCGCAAGCTTGTTCTCAGCCAACCTTTGGTCAAGGGAACGGGATCGCCTGCTGTGCCGGTGTAGTAGACTTCTTTGCCCTCCGGCGAGATATAGCGAAGAGTTATGAAGAGGTCGATATCGGATGGTGGGCTTTGATCGGCGGCGCTGCTAGAGCAGGAGACGGCTAGATGAGCGACGATATGACCCGTCACCTCTGTCTCCGCTTCGAAGGATGGAGTTGCGAACTGGATGGTCTGAGGAGATTCCATGGTACCCAAGGCCTTGTACGAGAGTGCCTTCTGTTCGCCGGACGGGCCCGAAGACGACAGACTCTTGTCTGGATGGAGATAGTATCGAGTGTACTGTGTCCGTGAAATTGGCCACTCGTTCTCTGTCCTCCTCTGGTATGCCTTCTCTGCTTGGGCGTCGTTGAAGCCGACGTCGCCTTTGCGCAGGACCAAGTCGACCGGTGGAAGCTTGCCCTTTTCTGACCAACCAACACGGTCTTCGCCCTTGAGGAATGCGTCCAGGAAACTCTTCTGTAGCTCGACTTCTTCCTCGTAGTAGAAAGGCAAGTCGTGTCGTCCAGTGATGAACCGCAGATACTTCAAGTCGCTGCCAGCACCTAGATAACCCTGAACGTTGCCACGCAAGTGCAGCAAGATACCACCCCAGTTTGCTACAGACAGCACTGGAACCTTGATTTCGGCGAGGTTGAACTCTTTGCTGGCATAATAGTGCTCATCCCTGTAATGATACTTCTCGTTATCAATCGTCTGATCCTGACGGTTTGCAGCCCTCTCTTCCTCACTCAAATCCCCCTCAATCGTGTCCGGCCCCCAATTCGCAGCTTTCCGGCCTGGCCGTCCGTACTGATTCGACACAACCTGACGATTCCACCAAAAGGAGATAAATGTATTGCTCAGAATACCTCCATGTCGGCAGCGATCCCTGTAGTAGTCGCTCATGCCCTCCCAAGGGATAATGCATGAAAGTCCTTTCGGCTGGCGAGCTGCCACGCGCCATTGAGTGCCAGCATAGTACGAAATGCCTAGGATGCCGACTTTGCCAGAGGACCAAAGCTGTTCGGCGCACCACTCGACGACTTCAAAGAACGCCTCGGAGGTACCCTTCGACATGGTATCGAGGAACCCCGGACTCTGTCCCGTGCCTCTTTCATCTGCGCGGACGACGGCGTAGCCCTGACTCGTCCAATATGCAGGATCTGGTGTTTCCCATGCTGAGTGCTGAGACTTCTGTTGAGGGTTCAACTCGGAGAATGATTTTGGATGAAAGCTATGGGAGGATATAAGCTTGGTCGCAGGGCAATGGTCAGATTGCACTCACTCAGCATACGGTATGTCTTTACCGTACGGCCCATAGGTGACCAAAACGGGCACCTTCTTGTCTGTCTTTGGGCGGTAAACATTCACTCGTACAAGCCCTTCAGACGACTTGAGCGGAACAGTTGCATTCTGCTCGAAGACATATGGGAATGAACTCTCATCCACAGTGTGGAGATCTTGAATCTGGTTTGGCATCTTGGAAATAGGTAAACACAGACAGAGTGTGTGATTGGGACAGTAGTGTGAGGTTGGCAGACGCTCACGGGGGCTCCATCATTTTTGAGTGCACGCGTGGACGGACGTGTGCAGCTCCAAAGTACCGATGCGAAGACGTAATTCGGATCACGAACCTCTTTAGACCACTCTGCAGCGACGAGATGGCCATCACACAGGAGAGTTGATGGTGCTGGGGCGACTGCTGTCCAGACATCCATTCACCCACACGGAAGGCGTGACTCAGCCTCCACCGCGTAAATTTGGCGTGTTTGAACCGAGTCCGAACTGAAATCCCACCGGCTACAGAACCATTGTTCGGTGAACATTCTTAGCCGATGTTCATGCAAATTGATTGCCAGTGATGGCCCTGAACCCATGCATACAATGCTCGCATTCGCCTCGCCGCCGTGGGTGATGGCCGAAGACGATGAGATCATCTATTCAGGCCTCGAGACAGATTCCTTTAAGATGGCCTCAATCAGTGCCACCACTAAAGGAGCCACACAACAACAATATCCACCGCAGTCACAGTTCCTGAAGCAGCCGCAAGAGAACTCGACATGACTTCAGCAGCTCCTCTCCATATCTTGATTGCAGGAGGCGGCGTCGGGGGACTCACAGCAGCAATCGCGCTCCGCCGAGCTGGCCACCGCGTCGAGATATTCGAACAGTCCAGCTTCTCGCACGAGACTGGAGCTGCAGTCCATCTAGCACCAAACTGCAACGGACTCTTGAGAAGACTTGGCTTGAAGGCTCAAGACATTGGAGCCGTTGAGTTCCTTGGAAACGACAACTACTCGGCAGAAGGCGAGTTCCTGGAAAGCATCTTCACCGGCCATTCAGAGGAGACTTGGGGTCATCCGTGGCATCTGGTACATCGTCAAGCCCTTCACACTGCGTTAAGACGTATCGCTATTGGTCCAGAGGGGGATGGAGAGCCAGCTCGACTGCACCTCGGAAAGCGAATTCAATACGCAGAACCAGATACCGCACGACTAGTCTTCGAGGACGGCTTCGAGGCCCAAGGCGACCTTATCATTGGCGCCGACGGCGTTCACTCACGTACGCGGAAAGCCATACCAGGCGGTGATCTGATGCCTTTCGACTCTGGAAAGAGCGCCTACAGAATCCTCGTCCCAACCTCGAAACTGGCCGCCAACCCCCTTACCGCGCGTTACGTCTCAAAGCCAGGCTACGAGGTCATGTGGACGAAGGGGTCGAAGAAGATCGTCATGTACCCTTGCAAAGGGGGGTCATTGATGAACTTCGTTATCTTGCACCCCAGCCATGAATCCGCCCACGACGTTGCTGGCTCTTCAGGGGCGTGGCAGACGACTGGAGACAAGGAGCGAATGTTGCAGATCTACAAAGATTTTGCACCCTCGGTCCTTGCATTTTTGAGCATGGCTGAGGAGGAGAATCTGAAAGTCTGGAATTTGCTCGATCTGGAGAAGATGCCAGCTTGGGTGAACAACAAGCTCGCTCTATTGGGTGATGCAGCGCATCCTTTCTTGCCGTGTAAGGCTCTAGATTCTCGCCATGAAGCAAATGAAACCCATCTTACATACCACAGACCAAGGCCAGGGAGCCGCACAAGCAATCGAAGACGGAGTCTCTTTAGCTACTGTCTTACCACTCGGCACCCCCAAGGGTGCGATACCGGAGCGCTTGCAACTCTATGAGAGGTGCCGATACGAGAGAGCACATACCATCCAGCAGAACACCCGCATCACTGGCGACGGTGGCTCGGCATCAAGTGACGACAAGACAAACTTCATGAGTGAGCTTGAAGATGTATCGCTTGTTTTTGGCACAAACTGACATTACAGCAGGCTTCATTGAGTACAACTTCGCTCATGATGAGTACGAGCATTCGAAGGACCAGTTGAGGCAGCATCTGGCCGCGGGAGGGAAGTAGAATACGGGGCTTGAATTTGTTAATTTCAAAGGTGATTTGCTGTTGAGCGATTTGAAAGCGATGCATTGAGCGTTGTGAATGTACATATGTAGTGTCAATGCTTATGCTTTTGAATGTTTCAGACTGTTCTAAGATCTGAGACATCTGTACGTACCGCATGTGTTAGTTTCCCTTGCAATGGCAAGCTCCAAGCATGGTGGAGACTTCACGTATCTTCCATGATCTTTCTCATTCCATCAAATGATGATACACATCCTCAGTAATCTAAGTTGGTTGAATTACTACTGGTAAAACCATACAAAAAGCTTGCTCTCGGGCATGGAAAGGAACATGAGACTCGTAGACGCAATTAGCATTTGCATCGTCGATTACAACATGGAAACAATCACCATTGATAGACAAGACACCGCGCTGCTCGACTTCTTAGCAAAGTGATACAAACGCCAGGAGAGTCCAATCAATGAGCCGCCACAGCCCTCCCCCAACTCCCAATCGTAAACTGACTATTACACATATTCGTCAACTCCCACGTCTCAGCACCCAACCGCCCCTTCTCCTCCTTCTCATCTTCCCAATCCCCCGCTGCTCCCGCAACAAAACAGGCCGCCATGAAATGGTCATCAGTAGCATGAGCATCTCTGTACTGCGGATGCTTCATCAGCCTCGTGATCGCCCTCCTCAGCGCCGGACCCCGGTTGTTGCTCATCACATCCTCAACGCTCTGTCTGAACTCCAGCGACCAGCCTTCAGGTGGTGTAGGCTGCGCGAAGTTATTACGGTACATCAACATCGGCCACCACACATTCCGATAGAGATTGTGGACAGCGCCGCCCGTGCCAACGACGAGGTACCCTTCCTTGCGGAAAGGACGAATCGTGCTCCCGACTCGCATGTGGAAGTGAGGGTCGAAACGGGCGTTCATGGAGATGATCGTGGTTGGAGGACACCCATTCGGAAACATCCTAATGAGAATCAAGAACGTATCGTGGATCCACTCGAATTTATCGTTCGGCCGCACATTGAAGCCCGCTGATTCCAACGTCTTCAGGACCCGTTCGCCGTTCTTGAGATCCGGTTCGAGTCTATAGTCGACGTATTTGGATGGGTGGACGTATGCTACGGGGGACTTTCCTGGTGTGGGATTCATGGAGACTTCAATTGCGTCCCCTGTTGCGTCCCAGTGGGCCCCCATTATGATTACGCCTTTGATGTTGTTGGCGAGCGCTTCGTCGCCGCATTTCTTCCAGTAGTCGCCCGATGTGGACTCTTCGCCCAGCATCATTGTCGAGCCGTGTGAGAAGAAGTGCACTGGTGTGAGACCTGGACATGACTGTTAGCTGGAGTTTTGGTCGCAAGGCTGTGTCTAGCGTACCCATGGTGAAGTTGTGTTGTGTTGTGTTGTGTTGTGTTGTGTTGTGTTGTGCTTTGCGACCAGCAGTTACTATGTTGATGTCTACAGACTGGGCCGTCGCATGAGGGTCACGCCTACTGTACCCTGCTTTCCACACTGCGCTCCTTCGCTCCTTCCAATCCTTGCTGACGCCGAGTGGCGAGGCTGACCACATTGAGCTTCCGGTGGGGGAACTCTGCGGGCTGAGTGTGGATAAACCGAGACCGAGCGGGAGAACATCGGCAGTCGCGAGCAACGTCCCATCGACGTCACCCCAATCACGTCAACGTGCGCCGTATCGAGACTGCAGCAAAGATGGCAACAGTTCCGAACGCAGATCAACACCAACTCCAAAATGCCGAACGTCCTAGTCGTGGGCGCCACCCGAGGCCTAGGCTACGAACTGGTCAAGCAATACGCTGAGAAAGGCGACACCGTCACCGGCACAGCTCGCTCGAGCACACCAAAAGACGCCCCCAGCAGCATCAAATGGATCAGCCGCATCGACGTAGCCGAGGAGGATGCAGGCTCCAAAATCGCTGAAGGCCTCAAAGGACAGGCCCAAGACATCGTGATCATTTCAGCCGGCTACTTCGGAAAGGAGTCCTTCGACGAGCCGAGATTCGATGCCGAAGTTACGATGTACAAGACTTCGGCCATTGGACCTGTCTTCATCACTCATGCCTTGCACAAAGCTGGCTTGCTGAAGGAAGGCACGAAACTTATCCTCGTCTCCTCCGAAGCAGGCAGTATCACTCTCCGCCACGAGAGCGAGGGTGGCGGCATGTACGGCCATCACGCCTCGAAAGCGGCCTTGAACATGGTTGGCAAGTTACTCAGTTTCGATCTCAAGGACGCCGGTGTGGCTGTCGGTCTGGTGCATCCTGCTTTCATGCGGACGGAGATGACGAAGGGCGTGGGCTTCGATAAGTTTTGGGATGTGGGTGGTGCTGTTACTCCTGATGTTAGTGCGGGCAGTTTGGTTGAGTGGATTGAGACGTTTGATATTAGCAAGACTGGGCAGTACTGGGCACCGAGGGGACCTGGGTATGTCATACGAGAATGAATGTTTAGGAGGCTGGTGCTGACTTGTTTGCAGTGATATTGGTACTGCAGAGCCAACTTTAGGACCGAAGGACAAGCTGCCGACGCCGTTGCAGCTCCCATGGTAGCTCAACTTTGGGCCTCCAATGTAGACGTGATCGCTACATTGAGCACAGACGATGAGAGTGGGACAGAGTCTCATTTGTTTCATGGTGGCCCCTTCTAACACGCTGACTACCTCTAATTTTGAGCATACACACTCCTGCTCGTAGCGAACCTCCAGCCGTGATTACCACAACCTCTGGCCTACTAGCCCAGCGGAACCCGATTTAAGCAACTGAGAATATGAATCCTCTCCTGCCGAATCACTCGCTTTCTGCCCATGCCATTTTACACGTTCAACTCCAAAGGATGATCGATGTAGTCGACATCCTTCTCAGTATCCTCGTCATCGACTCCAATCCTCCACTCTTCAGGCAAACACGCCAACAGCTCCAGCCTACTCACATCGCCCCTATGAACGTTGTAAAGAGTATAGGGATGGGTCGAAGGTGCGAGCCAGACCCTTGACATGGGGACATCTATGGCGGAGCCGTTTAGCTCGCGATGAGTGCCAAGCTTCCATTCTTCGTACGGCGCGATCTTCCGCTTTCCCGCGACAGCAACTCGAGCCAGGAGAGCCTGCTCGTAGTGTCGATTGGGGCTTAGTGCAGCTTCTTTCAGGATGGCATCGTCGGGTATTGCGTCTGTGGACAGCTCGTCGAAGAGGTCAACGTAGTCGGCGACGATGCAAGCCCTCAAGACTTGTGGGATTGTCTGAGGTACAATCTGGGCGACTTTGCGGTAGGTCGTTGGCGCCGCGACGGTAGGGTACCAAATCAGGTAGGGTAAGTTGTCGGAGGAGACTTTGGAGAGGACGTTGTTCATGATGAAGCGTGCGCAGATGGCTTTGGAGAGAGCGCCTTCGTCATCTGCTGGCAGAGTCTGCTTCGACCACCATATCGCAAACATGGTGTTGTGGTAGATGCCGCGAACGCAACACTGAGGCTCTCCCTCGACCATCTTTGGTCGTCTGAGGCGACCATACCTGTCAATATCTCCATTGTAGGCTGCCATGCAGATGGGTAGGTCCTTGTCTACAGTTGGAAGGTGAGTCGGGAGTGACTCTGTCAGGAGGCCGATCAATGTCTTCCTACGAGCGACAGCTTCGGCGGTGAGGTGAGATGGGCCCTCGCTTGTTGTGATGTCGATGCACATGTCCTCTGTGATATCGAAGGTGTTCTCCACGTAACCAGCATCTTCCAAGAAGCCGGGAAACTCCTCTCCATCGATGATCTCAGGCACTGTTGCTTCTGTGAACGCCTGCTTGATGTCTAGCGATGAGCAGACTGCAGTGTCGCCATTTAAGCATGACACGTCTGGCGTGGCGCTGTTGACAGTCCTGTTGTAGTCGTCCATGATGCTGTAGACTGATGGCTTGGCCATGATGTGGCCATAGATTGCCATATGACCTGCCTCTCGAGCTTCTTCGGCGATGTGCGCATCTGGGCGCAAGTTTAGCTCCAGGAAGAGTTCGGTGTAGCCGGCGACTGCACAGGCGCGACCAACTTGATAGCGCATGTGTGGATACTTATGCGCAATCTCACGGTAAGTCGCTTCCAGTGCGGTGTTTGGATGCCAAATGCAATAAGGGGTGTCCTCGTCGGTGTTCTCGATATGCGGTATGCGGTTGCTCATGATGTCTCGTGCATTGAGGGCCCGAGTGAACTCTGGAGCAGAACCCCTCAATTCTTCGCCGAAGCCGTCATTGTATCGTATGCCGCGTATAGTGCAGATTCGCAAGAGCGGAAGGCCAAGAGCGTCTGGAACGCGCTGTCCTTTGATGGCTGCGGTCGTAGACTTGAAGCTGTACTTCTTCACCTTCAGGCGGTCGAGCCCTACGCTGGGCTGGTCTGAAACCTCCATACACCGAGGATCAATCATTGGTGGTTGAAAGTCGTTTGTACTCTGATCTCAAAAGGTTCACAGTCCGTGATGCAGACAGCAGAATGTGGTCGGTGCACGGACTTCGCTGTCACATGCTATGACGCAGTGGTCTAACCGCATCATACATGTATCTTGTTGAAAGCGCGAAGCCGCACACAGCGTGGAGATTGTTACGGCTTCAGCTGGATAGGGCAGCCAAATTCCTATACCGTATATGGAGCTTAAATAATCCTGCAGTCATCTTGCTCAGCGTCGTAGTAAACTTGCCAGAACGGACGGATTCCAGCGGAGAAATCACCCAAATGTGGAGTGGGAAATAAGATCAGGTTCTGACGGAGTCAGTGACCAAGCATCGAACGCCAAGGTCCAACGTAGTCAATCCGTAATCCCGACAGCAGAGTCAGGGCTGATCTGCTTGATGTTGATGACCTGGGACTGCTGCTCAGCCCAATTGATGATATCCATCGCCTCAGGCTCGTTCCTCAAGGTATTCGCAACTTCGCTGACAACACTCTGACCAAAGCCCTTGCCGTACCAGAACTCATCACCAAGTGGAGCCATCAGCACACCCCAGCACATGAGCGCCAGCAAGGCGACGTGGTCCTGCTCTCTGACTGCGATGGTGTAATCGACGCCGGCGCAAGTCATCCAAGCAAGACTGAAAGTTCTCAGCTTCATGTCCAGACATGTTTGGTAGAGATATTTGAGCCAGGCTATGGCGGTCTTGCAACCGACGTATGTCTTTTGTTGAGATGGGTCGGCTGCACGGAAGTTGTTCAGTTCCGTCAGTTTGTTTATGACCCCGTCCAAGTCCGGTGCTAGTGGAGCCTTTTCAAGTTCCAGGAACGGAGGTACCTTCCTCCACAAAGGATGTGTTAGATGACAGTCTGGTTTCTTAAGCATGACGAGACTCGTCCCTCTGACCAGCTCATGGTGAGAAATGGTATGGTCGATGGTACTTTCTCGACCAGAGCCGTTGAGGACTGCACTCGTGGCCGATGCAAGGGCGAGGACCATCAATAAGATCGAGCAGTATAGCATAGCATCATGATCATCTTCAGTCATCTCCTGAAGGTGGTCGCGGAAGTTCCGAAAGGCGAGTCCTTGGTACTCCAACGCCGTACTCGTCCACTTGAGAGCATCGTCAGGGATCGAATGCGCCATCTCAAAAGCGGTAATCGCAAAGATAGTATGCATCAGGCACTCATAGTTCATAGCAACCTCGGGCACCGTCCGCTGCCATATCGTCCAATCATCGGCGATCTCGGTACCTATGGAGAGGTATGTGACGGTCGACCATCTATGCAAGAGCTGCAGCTCTGTCGGTGTCGATCTGCCCACACTGGAACTAGGACTGGACCTGTCGGACACCGCCGGCAGGCTGTAGGGTGATGTGCCTTTGCCAGGGGATGAAGAGACAAACGCATACTGACACTCAGTATCCCTGGCCTTGCAGTTGGTACATGGTGGCCCACTCTCGTCACACTTCACTCGCCTCCGCTTGCACGTTATGCAGCCGTGACGAGATTTGTGATGTGAACGCCTTGGCGGCATCGTGGTCGAAATGGACTTATGCCGCCGTCGGATCGCTTCCGATGGACTATGTGTGCTCCGAGTGGTATGGCGGCTACGGCCTTCTGTGCTCGGCCGACAATGCCCCGTTTCTTTGCACTTGTTGATCGGATCCGGTAAGCGGTGCTTCCCCTATACTTTGACTGCAGGTCTTCTCTGCAGGAACAGAGTTTGCGGGCAAGCCAAGACTATCTTCATTACTATGGTCAGCCAGCCTTGTCGTGAGAAGCTTGTGCAGCATACCATACCAAAGCTATATCTGACTGGGTCAATGCTCCGTTTGGGATGGATTCGAATAAGAGAGATTGCGAAAGATCTCGCACTTTGGTTCAGTCCGGCCTTGACAGTGCCGAGGCGGGCTTATGGGGTGGATGATCTGGCTGTGTGAGAGACCTGTACTCCGAAAAATGAGAAATCAACAACGCTCCTCACCGCGACGAGTTTCTAAGTGATATACGAAAACGAATGCCAGGAGGAGGGACGACGTGTGCCAGGAGCTGAAGTCAAACAGGTGCCGATCTCAGCCGCATTGCATGGCGCTTGGCCAGAAAATCTGCAGGATGACGACGATTGTTCCCGAGTAGGGAAATCGCGAAAATTAGCGCTCCTTCTGCGAATACGACGGTTAGGACTACGCCTTGTTCGGCTGAACATACTTGTGCAAGACTGGTATATGTCGAGCCTTGTGGTTGTACATGGCTGTGCGCGAATTCATTACCTTGTATTACAACCTGAGCCACGAACAAGATCTTCTTTACAGCCTCGTCTTAGTCTCTTGGACGACGTCTAGCGTACGAACACGACTATTTTCTGCCTCTCGACGACAGGCATCTCACCAGACATGGCCGTCTTCCCTGGACTTCAACTCAATATAAGGGATTCAACATGTGTGCACTCTCGAAAATCGCCTCCTGCGCAAAAGATTCCACATCAACACACTTATCAATCGACCCAAGTTTCCACCAGAACACGCAATGCGGACATCAACTCTGTTACTCACGAGCCTGCAGACTATAGCAATAGCTTCGGCAGCACCCCTCGGCAATTCCCAGGTCGGAAGCATCCACTGGAGACCGTGCAATGAGACTGAACTGGAGAGTATGGAGTATCTCGTTCTGCGAATGCGGCAAACCGATCGTTAATACTTTACAGGTACCGTACCTCTCGACTGCGGCACATTACGCGTTCCGAAGGACTACACTTCCGCGAACAGCTCGGATACCATCGAACTGCATCTTGCCAAAATTACAGCCTCGACGAAGCCATCCAAGGGAAGCATCCAATTCAATTTTGGCGGCCCCGGTTTGACATGTAGAGATGCGCTTGCGACATTGGGACCAGTGCTGCAAGTTCTCACAAATGGCGAGTACGATCTCGTGACGTTCGATCCGAGAGGCACGGGCAAAACTTTGCCATTCCAGTGCATCGAGAGCGAAGTAGAGGCTGCTCAGACTCTACTTCAGACGCCCCTTGGTAATGCTTCTGACGCTGCTGTCGGAGCGCTCTGGGCGCAAGGCAAGATCGTCGGGCAAAAATGCAAGGCTCAATTGGAAGAGACTGGAGAGCTGGTGGGCACAGCCTTCACAGCGAGAGACTTGATGAAAGTGGCAGAAGTGTTGGAAGAGGATGGCCTGCTGAGATATTGGGGTAAGATGCAATCCGAGTCCTTCTTCCGAATGACACACGCTGACTTTGATGTGTAGGCCTGTCGTACGGAACGGCATTGGGTGCCACGGCTGCCGCCATGTTTCCAGACAGAATTGAGAAGATGATCCTGGACGGCGTTCAAAATCCTCATGAATACTACCACGCACTGGCAAACTTTCAAGAGTGGACGGGATCAGATGAAGTTTTCTCAGCCATGTTCACTGGGTGTAAAGCTGCTCCTGAGAACTGCACACTTGCTCAGAACGACAACACTGCGGCGGAGCTGGAACAGAGGACGTGGGATCTACTCGATCAGGTAAGTCCTATCTCGCGAATCGAAAGTCATCCCGGTAAGCTCATACTGACGAATTGGCAGCTAAAACGGGAACCGCTCGTTGTTGCCGGCACTGCTCTCGATTACAATCTTGTCAAAGGATCCCTGCAAAACGCCCTTTACGGCATCGACAGCTGGCCCGGAGTCACCACTATTTTGGACTTGATCTTCAAGAACGAGACTGCGGCGCTTGTGGAAGCCTTTACAACGTCGATTGGCAGCTCCGCTTCAGAGAGTTCCTTGGAGTTACTGCGCCCTCTGAATGCGCTGCATGGCATCCAATGTGGTGATCGCACTGCCAGAGCCAGCACTCTCGACGAATTCCTTCCAGCTGTCGAAGATTTGTACAACATCTCCAGAATCTATGGAGATGCCACAGTCCGTGAGTGCTGCATTATTTGGGACAGGAAAGATTTAACGCTGACCGAACCCACAGCATCCATGGCAGCCTGTGCCCAGTGGCCGTACAGCGCAAAGGAGCGCTACGAAGGCGATTTCCAAGTGAAGACCAAGAATCCGGTGTTGATCCTGGGCAACACAGGAGATGCCTACACGCCGCTGGTGTCAGCCTACAATCTCAGCTCCAGCCTCGAGGGCAGCGTCGTGCTGGAAATCGATGGCTACGGCCACGCCTCAACATCTGTGCCGTCAAGCTGCAGCTGGAAGCACATCTCGGCATTCTGGCAGAGTTTGACTCTGCCGAAAAACGGCACACTGTGTCCCGCGGAGGCACAGCCATTCCAGAATGTTACTTGGGCGGATGTCTTCGCTGCCGCGAACACATCATCTGCAGGAACTTCGAAAAGAGGTGTACACGCGGCCTCGAAGATTGGGTTCCTGGGTCGTCAAGCATGATAAGCAATCGATGGAAGATGGCCACGGAGCTTGACCGAATGTTGGAGGAAGAGATGTTGTCGTCGAGACGGAAAATTTGATACCCATTCCCATCTTGTTTCTAGCACGTGATACCCGGATGTACCCGTTAACGTCTTCGTAGAGTACCGCAATTCCCGGCCTTTCCGATACCACGATCACTACTTTGCTTTCCATCTCACTTCTTGCTTGGGATCTTCGATGTTCGAGTACCTGTCAAAAATTCCTGCACGGCGGGCATGAATTGGACAAGGTAGCCTGTGCTTGGGCACGAAATCTTATTTGCTCTCAAACAACATCCGCTACGGTGAACACGAGGGGCGGAAATGACTCGCTCTGCAGCACGAAACACTGGACACGCAGGACGAGCCACGAGCGATTTCCAAGTAATTTCACAGGCTGCTGCCCCTATACATTAAGTCCGCCGCGTAGACCGACGACGGCGCCCCTTATGTTAACGTTGCTGCCCGACACGATGCCGACTATGCCGAAAAACAAGGCTTCGCGACCAGGTATACCCAGCACGACGACGTCGGCTACGTGTTCAACGCCAAAGCCTGGCAGAAGAACAGCGATATGCGTCGCTGGAAAGATAGGTTGAACAGGTCATCACGCTCCTTTACACTCCCGCTCATCCGCTGCGACCCATTCTTTGTGACGCCTGTCCTACATACCAACTACTGCAGGTCGCCGATCCCCGACCATCCAGAACTACTCTCACCGCAAATGGGAAGAAGTCGACCTGGCGTCTCTTGAGACCTCCCGCGAGCCTCTTTCGTGCTGACTGCCGTAGCAGGCTGACCAGGTCGTCAAGCCGCCCAACATGAATTACGCCAATATGATTGAGGAGAAGAACCTCAAGGTAGGGCAACTCGATATACGATCGGAGAGCGAGGTGGACTTACAATTTCTGATAGAAAGGATTCATCGTTGCTACCTTGATCTCGACCATCGTCGGTACCTTCACGGCGTCCATGACCTTGCACGACAAGTATCAAGAGAAGAAGAACAAGAAAGCCCAGCAAAAGACGGATGGCAAGCAGAACGATGAGCTCAAGGAATTGAAAGAGAAGATCGATAAGCTCGAAGGTGGTGCGAAGAAGGAAGACGACAAAGAGAAAGATAAGGACAAGGACCAGGACAAGAAGTCGCAGCGGTCGCGATCAAGATCCCGATCGAGATCAAGTAGCAGGCGAAGGAGGAGAAGAGATAGCATGGATAGATCGAGAGCTATGATAGAGCAGACATACGCCAATCACTTGATGCGAGTGGGAGATCGATATGCAGAGGGTGACTGTCCGTTAAGTCGCTACCCATCGTGAGAACCATTTCTAACCCATGTATAGTGGTCACGGAAAACAAACTTCAGGCACAAGTGATACAGCTGCAGAAGACCGTCATCGATGTGCTACAAGACGCGGTACACACAGGTCGAGGTCTCACGGATGCGGACATGGACAAGATCATTGCTGCACAGAACGCTGCACGGGACGGGTCCCTGGGTGCTCTCAATGGCCAGTACCAACGCATGATCACAGAAAAAGAGCCACCGGCCCCGAAGCCTTGGGAAGAACGACCAACGCCTTCGCGTCGTCCTTCTCAGGCATCTCAAAGGGCCGTCGATTCGGCATATGCCCCCTCAAGACGAGCTTCTTTGGCACCGCAGGAATATCCTGGTTCACGGAGAGCTTCCATGTATCAGGCCGCAGTTCTTGCACCCTTGGCAGTGGCCAGAGAGCCTGCTGTCCAAGCGAACAACCTACCGGGCCCTTCGAGGAAGGATTCGGTCCAGAGCGATCACTCCAAGCCTCGTGCTATCGACCCTGATGCCCGCGGCCGCAAAGCTGGTTCTGACCAGGCCCGTGTTGCAGACCCCGACGCTCGCCCACGAAAGGCTGGCTCAGACCCACCCCGTGGAGCAGCAGAGCCCGACAGTCGTCCACGCAAAGCAGGCTCAGACCCGCCTCGCCAGAACGGCCAACAGAACGATCGCCCAAAGTCACGAGTCGACCGTCATGAACCCGCTCCGCCTCCCAATGACAAAAAGACACCATCCATGAAAGCGACCTCCGTTAAACCCTCAGAAAAGAACGACAAACCTCTAGCACCTCAAGAGTCTAAGATAGTGCACCCCAGCTGTGTCTCATCACCACCTTCAGGCTCTCGCGCCTCCCAAAACAAGGACCGCCACGCGATCAAAGCTCTCCCGCCACCCGGCGACCATGGTCCCTTCTGCCGCTACGCCCTCGACCTACAATCCACCCCCCTCCCTCTGCACCACAACTTCCGCTCCTCAGGCAGCCAACGCTGTCCCGCCTGCGGCATTGTAATCCCCGTCAACAACCGCGACGTCTGGGTCTTCAGCATGGACAACCCGACCCCCGGAAAACCCCCTCGGGACTACCGCATGGACGCACGCTTCGTGGCGAAATGCCATGCAAGTGATGGGACTTTCGCGTGTTTGCTGTGTGACAAGTTTCGGCCGATGGATTGTTTCTGTCGGAGTGTGGATGCGCTTGTGAAGCATTTGGGGAGTGCGCACACGGCGGAGGAGTTTGAGAGGGATGGGGATTTGGTGAGGATGAAGAGGGGGAGCGGGGTTAATGTTGGGGGGAGGGAGATGGTTCTTGCTTGATGAGAAAGGTTGGGAATTGAGAATGTGCTCTTCCTGATTATCGTTCATGATACCAAATTGTACTTGTGTGTAATTTTGACTGTTGTGAATAGGGGATAGAATATGTGTACTACCTTGGTACTTCACCAAAAGCACCCAATGTGAGATGTTATGTTTCCCTTGAGAAACAACTGCCATGCTTTGGCGCACTCTGTTGAATTAGGTCAAGTTCCTAGGTCAAACGAATAAGGGCCGGATGGATGGTTTGGCCTCGTGTCTCATAGTCGTCTCGGTGAGATGCATGAGGACTCAGCAAAGGAAGTAGCAATCCATCTGGCGATTCGGAAATATCCAATCCCCAAGCGGGCCATGTGGCTGCGTACCCAAGTCCCATGCACCGACCTGACAGTACGGAAAGGCTTCGGTATTTGGACGACGCAGCTGGCCCGTGTCGTTGTTCTCGGCGAAGAAAAAAGTTGCCCAGTGATCTGTCGTGCAGTATCCAATGAAGACTAGCCATTTCGTGTATCTGGTTGACGCATCCGCTGGTGGAGGCCCTACTACACGATTGATAGTGGGCACCTCGTGGGTGTTCGTCATGCCAAAGTTGATGACGACGTCACGACCCACCTTGGTGTCTGTATATCGTAGGATGAAAGTGTCTGTGAAATGGCCAGAGAACTTTTGTTTCCAAGTCGAGACCTCGTTCACGAACAACTCGGCGCCCGAACCCTCGATAAGGGGCCAATTGGAAATCACATCCGGCGAAGTGATCTCCTTCAGATGAACACGGCAAGTCTTTGATAGTCTTGTTGGCAGTGGAGTACCGACGGATGCAGCAGCCCACGTCTTCGAGCCCACCACACAGTCATATGTCTGTTTCCCATCGCTGCCAACGGTCGAGTGAACACTGCCCGAGGCTTTGCCGTTGCAAGTACAACTTGAACCTTCGACGGCACAGCTTGGTGTGACAGTGGTGATGGGAATTGGGGAGGCCTTGGTCCCTGATCCATCGGCACAGAAGACCGTCTTGCCGCCGTCATCGCCTGTGCTGGTGTCGAGACCAGCGACTTTGTCTCCGCATTGACAGAATGTCTCTGCTGGGAATGTTTGAGAGCCCCACGTCGTTGCAGCGGCACTGGTCAACTTGCAGGCTGTAGGAGGTGGTGAGCGCGTGACAGCACTTGTTGCAGCCACTCCACCGTTAGCACAATAGTATGTCTGGCCTCCATCGATACTGGTAGTTGTCAAAACCCCAGCGATGGTCTTCTCACACTGGCAGTAAGTGTTGGCTGCGATCGTCTGACCATGAAGGACACTGCTACCAATCGTCTTGTCCGGCAGAGTGGTGGCTGGGGCACTTGTCACATAGCACGTCTTTGGTGGCGGCAGAGTCTTATCTGGCTTGGTTTGACTTGCAGATCCACCATTGTTGCAATACAATGACCTACTGCCATCTGAGCCCGTCTTGGTCTCAACGCCAGCTATGGTATGGCCGCACTGGCAGTAGGTGTTTGCCGAGATCGTCTGCGCAGCGACCGTCTCCGTGCCGAGAGTGTGTGCGGTGATTATTGTGGCGGGCGCACTGGTTATAGAACAAGCATGGGTTGTGGTCGTGGTCTTCGATTGTTCCGACTTTGTCTTCGAACTTGTCTTAGACTGCGTTTTGCTCTTGCTTGTCGTCGTCGACGTGGTGTTTGGAGAGCCACAATACGGTTGAGCCGAGTCAATCTGATGTTCCTGGCTGCGCTTGCCATGCTGCTGCATGTTCACCAGCGCATTCTGCTCGGGCGTGGCAATGAATCGGTCCTCGAAGATCACTTTCCCACTGTCATCCCAGATGCGTACGACAGCGTCTTGTTGATAACAGACATTCTCGTTGTCGCCCTCCTTATGCTTTTCTGTCATCAACCAGTTTTGAGGATCGTACTGGACGAGAATTTTGCCTCGAGCGGTGTTTTTGAAAATCTCCTCCCTTTGTTCTGGTTGAGCATCAACTGGCTCATAGGTGAGCACAGGCACGGAGACTGCGTACGTACTCTCCAGCAGCTCCTTGATTCTCTTGATGTCCCGCAGATATTTCCAAGCAGGCCAATTTGGGCCGTAGTAACTAGGATCGATGTCGGGTGTGTAGATGATAGGTAGAAAGGAGTTTTGCGTCCTCCCGTATCTTCCATAGTCGAAGAGGTCTCCAGCTCGCGTGAATTCGTTCAAGCCGGGATACCACCCTGAATCATCACCTGTGAACATGCCGACCATGACGTCTTGCTCGACGTGAATGACTGGCCCCTTCATGTTCAAGAAGGTGGGCACCTCCAAATGGTGTGACAGCCAGACCCCACGCCTCGACACCATAATGATGACAGTGCAGCCGCTCAATCTCTCCACGGCGTAGTTTCCCGCGTCCCTGGTGAACCTGAACGCGCGTGCCGAAGATCGCCCACCAGTATCTGGGGGACGGTGAGCGACTACATGATCTTGTTCTCTAGCTTCAGCAAGTTCTGTAAGCATGAATTCATCGTAATCATCGTAGTCACCGGGCCCGAGCAAAGTTCGCTTCGTCAGATTTCCCCCATCCGTTGAGGCTACTGAAGGGAAAGCACCTGCAATAGGGTCGGGCGCAGATGCTGGTACCGTCGACTGCGGAGCGTGCACGAAGCCATTGCTCGTGGTGCAGCTCTTGCAGTTTGCTCCACTTGGTTTGGCGGGCGTCACTGTTCCTCCACAGCCCGCCTGCCCGCAACTGCCTTGGTCGCATCGTACAGTCAATGTGGAGGTCAAAGAAGTCGTGGATGGCGATGGGTCGAGATCGCAGCCTGAAGTCTCCGAGTATGCCGTCTTACAGTTGATTGCACTGTTCACATTGCTGGCATCCACAACCGGCATGCAAGTGACGAGCTCAGCAAAAGCCGTAGACGGGACGCATTCCGCCGTAGGAGTTGACTCTGCAAGTACGATCGCTTGCTGATTTCCCGGTCCTTGGAAGGAAGCCGATGTTTCTGCATGCTTGATCTGTGGCCGTGTGATGTACTGCCATGACTGAGAAGATGACGAGAGAGTCCGAACGCTTCTTTGCTCGATGCTGCTTGAAGATGATGCGTAGTCGATAGTCGAAGGGTGGTGCCAAACGGATATGTTGGAAGTAGAGAGTCCTTCAACAGCACCAGTAGACCCTGTTGGTGTAGAGTATGTGAGTCGGGTGGCCCGGGCCAGTAGCGTCCAGAAGTTCCTCATTGCTGGTCGTTATATCCAGAATGATGATGTTGTATGAAAGCCTCACGACGACATCTGATCTAGCCGCGATGGAACAGAGGTGTAGAGGCGCCGTTCAGAGGACACGAATGGCTCAAGACCCTGCTGTTGTATCCAGCTTTAGATAGGATGTTGATGATGGTAGGTGTCGACACTTGTCTGAATATCCAGTACAGTATGACGAAAGAGGATGCTTGATGCAAGGATGTATGTCGGAAGTTGATGCTTCGATGTTGTTGTAAAGAGGCAGAACCGAACGAAGAAGTCAACTTAGGCGCTGTCTTGAGGACATCCGAAGCCCGTGAGTATCGTCGACCTGCATATGAATAGCCATTGCGCATGCATGTGTGGCCCAGAGTTGTCGAACTTGTGCCACTCTCCTGCCAATGAAGTCTTGCCGGCGGCCTATGAGTGTCTCGTCTGCTATGTGGACACATCATCGTACCAGGAAGTTGATATAATGTACTGCCGCCCCTCTTCGGAGCCGTCGTATGCAGCCTTGAGCGAAGATAGACTGGTCCGTTCGCTTTCACATGCTTGAGAGATTTAAGGTTGAGCCGATGCCTCTGATTGGCCAACGCCAAGACCGCCAGCAGGTGAATGTCAACCCTCACCTCGCCGTTTGCTCTCGTGCTGCCGCGCCGTCGTGAACACATGGAATTCTTCACCTCTTCCTCGAGCTCGTCAGGCTTCTTCACGACTTCGCACACACCCTCCGCTCATGTCCTTTTGGAACTTGCTCGCTTCTTGGTTGCCTTCGACAAAACCACCACCACACCAACCCACGATACAACCAGACTGGCGCGCTTCTTCTCCTTCACCGATAAAACACCAGTCACGCGCACGTCTACCGCCGCCTTCGCCTCCTCTTTCTTCCCCACTACCAGCAAACATGGACAACATCACCTTCCACAAGCCGCACCCACTCCCACACGAGACCGTCGACTGCTGGCTCGTAGCCGTCAAACCCTGCAAATACGACTCGAGATTCTTCGCATACGCCCTCGACTTCGACGACTCCCATACCAAATGGCGCGCCGAGTGCTACGTCCCCAGCAGCGAAGTGGGCAAAGAGACGCAGAAAGAGCTGCAGCGCGGGCGCGAGGTCAGAATGGAGGCGGATGAACAGAGCTGGGGCAGGTGTACATTCAAGGATCTGGTCGGCGAGGACGAGAGGCGGCAAGAGACTGTTCGGAGTCTCACAGTGAGGTTCAATAAGGCCAACTATTCTGGGCATGTCTACGTGCCACCGTGGGCGCCTGTCGCGAAGGACTACCATCGCCTGATCAGCGGCGAAGTCAAAAAGTCGATCGAGCCGAAACCGCAGACAACTCCACCTCGCCGTACTGTCGAGTTTCTCGGACCTATTCGAGCAAACAGCCAAGTGCGCACGGAGGTGTGGAGCCAGGACGGAGAGTCTGTCTATCGAGGAGGTGCTAAGGTGCTGAAGTTCGAAGTGGAAGGCGGTAGGAGGCTCTTGACAATCAAGGCGCCGGTGGATGTGGGACAATACGCTATTCTCGTAGGAGACGTCGGCGACACGAACTGGGCAAGATGCGGACGATTCCAGGAGGTGGAAGATCCCGAGCAGGAGGCCTCTGATGTGTTCAAGTTGCCGCCATGGGTGGAAGAGGAATGAGCCTGGGCTGGTGTGATGCCATTCACACACATTGCTGGACCGTGGTCTTGGAATGGCACAGAATTTTGGTGTCTCAAAGAAAACGTCAAATCAACAAAGACGATCACCGTCCAGAAAGCTTTCCCAGCTCATTCATCAAATTCGTCAGATTCTCCACGAGTGGAGGTAGCGCATTACGACTTTCTGGGAAATTCGACTCCAGTATATCCCCACCGATGACCATCAACCTTCTAGAGTTGTGCAGCGAGCAGAACGAGGAGTCCTCGTCCAGAGTGTGCATCGATGTACCTCTCAGGCCTGGTGTGCCTTGGCCGAGTAGCTTAAAGGACTTCGCGCTTTTCTCATCGGTGTCGTCTAAGAACACTCGGTTGCCATGCGCGAATGAGTCCGGTTGATTGGGCAGCAGCAAGGAGCGAGCATTATGAGTGGGTGTCTTGTCGCCACTCTTGCGTGAAAAATTCGTCACCATACCATAGACCCACAAATTCAAGACAGCTTGGTACACAGCAACAGCGTAGAAGTCTCTCAGTTTCGTCTTCTCGAATGTCCGAGCAATACGCAAGACTTGTCCTGCATGCCAAACGCAAGTTCTAGCTTCACTATCCTGAGCCCAAGTCCGGATGCGTGGGTATACTTTCCGAGCTTCTTCCTCTCCGTGTTTGCCAGAGAAGATTTGGATGTCCTCTAATGAACCGTGCAAAGCCATTGTCAAGAACTCGACGGTGAAGAGAATCTCAGGTGTTAGGTTTTCATGCATCTCGCAGTACGCACTCATGGTCGTCAAGTTCTCCAGGACGTCCCGTTGTCGGTTTAGATGCGTGAGCCATCGGTCCTTCCGGCCCTGGTCTTGCCAGTTGGAAAGGAGATGCCCCTGTTGCCGAAATTGCCACACCTCGTAGGCCAAGGCGTGGCACGCAACCATCACGCAGAGTGGCTGGTCAACGAAGCCACTCAAGCCATCAAGTGTATTCAGGCTGCCGAATACTTCCAGCATCGATGGTAGAGCGCTCTGCAAAGGAGGCTGCTTGGCGAGGTACAAGTTGCGCCAGGCATGCGCATTGGATGCTTGCCAGAGATCGGAAGAAGCGGGTAGCGGTAGCATCATCTGAGCCGGGGCAACGATGGGATTCTGCATATGGGCGATGGCCACCTGTGAGTCGTGCAGGAAGGTGTGGCAAACGAGACGCTTGCGGCCCTCCTGCTCTACCCATGCTCTCCACTTGGCATCCAAAGCCACATCGTTGTCCTCCGCGAGAGGCGCAAAATCGTGGTAAATGAATTTAGACAAAGAATTCGACCATGTCAGCATTGTGACAGTCGGTTGTAAGAAGGAGCAAGCGATCTCTGTCTTTCTGCGAAAGCCACTCCATACCCCGACTCCTACCCAGAGGAGGTATGTCTGGAGAGGCTGCAGTCGTCGTGTAGCACTGTTGTCTGATTCGAAGACTTCTGAAACTGCAAGCCGCACGACCTCTTGGATAATGAGACCCATTTTCCAGACAGGCGCCAAGGCGATATACCTCGATCCACATGCGGCCATAGCAAGCAAAAGCTCAGTAAGACTGTGCCGGCTGTCGAAGGTTGGCACATGGATGAAAGAATCGATTGAATGAGCATCTTGGAGAAGGAACACATCGATGAGATCTTCCAGCAACTCGAGAGATGGGAACGAGGGCATCGCCAGCCTCGATGAAGCAGTCTGAGTGACTACTCGAATCATGCGGTCCCTCGCTTCGTGCTCAAGTTCGCAATGTATTGACCGTTTCAAGCTAGGACTGACATGCTGATTGGTGACATCTACTCGTTCCTCTTGGACGTTGATCTCCTCTTGGCCGGTGAACGTTGTATGATTTCGCTCCGGTATCCAGTGATGCCACGACCAAGGCGACCGCTTGAACGTTTCGGAACGTAAGTGGGCGTCAGACTCCGCCGTCGAGTTCGTGTGTGACGACAGATTTTGGTTATCTCGAAATCCTTGCGCCGATGAGGGCCTGGTCAGTCCACTGGCAAGGAAGCTGAAATCGAAGTCGAAGGCATCCAAGTTAATGTCTTGGGTGAAGTCTGATACATCCAATGGCATCATGACTTGATCTTGAGGCGCACTGGTGGTCATATCGGACATCATGATCTGCTCAAAGAAGTCGGGATATGCAAAATCGCTGACAGGCAGCTGATCTCCGAATGCGTTCTGGTCCATCACGAACGGCGTCATTCCGGTGCTCAAATTGTTCTGAGAGAAGATCGAGTCCTCAGATTGACGAAGCAGAGACGATGGCGTCGCGAGTTGGGTGCCATTCTCGCCGACGACCTGATTCTGTGTCGAGCTCTGCTCATCTCGAGGCTCACTCCGGGCCTCGGTCTCGTGGCAGGGGATCTCTCTGGTTCTACAGCGAGTGCAGGGCCGGTCGTTGTCACATTTGGTCTTCGCTTTGATGCAGGCTTCACAAGCTCGGGGAGTCCTTTTCCTGAAAGCCTCGCCGGCCGATGCTTTGGCATGGGCAGCACGATGTCGATTAAGTACGTCTGCCCGATTGTAACTTTTGCCGCAGTCGGAACACCGATACGCTCGCTCATTGCCGTGGGATTTTAGATGGCGGCTGAGATGGTCCTGTCTTTCATAGCTGCGATGACACAGATAGCACTGATGTCGGGTTCCCGTAGCGGGAGACTGGGCCTGGTCTCGATGCTCGGCCTGCATTCGTACGAGTGTCTTCCGGCACGTTATGGAAGCGGTGGGCGGTGGGAAGACATGGGTTCCAAGTGCCCACTTGATACCGAGAAAAAGGCTGCTGCTTCTGACAGTTCTTTCACAGCCTTGTCTGTATGGAGTCTCGTAACGCCAATGGCTAAGGCGATTCTGTCGCTAACCTCGAGATGAGTGGAAGATCTTTGGAAAGGAGATGTGGTTGAGAGAACCACCCCACAACTTCTCCGCACTTGACTTTGGTGGCGTCCGGAGCCCAGCCGAGCTTCTTCTTGGCCTTGATTGCCGGAAACTGGAGCGGCACATCATCAAACATGGGACTCCCTGGATCGACATCATCACGACTGTGGACAGACTATTGCTATATCTAGATTACTCGCGAAGAGAGAGATACTGGCGGTATAGGTTGACATCGGATTCATTCACTTCCAGTTCTGCGCCAAATCCGAAACCGAAACCGAAATCAAAACAAAACTCTACGTCGACGCCCTCACGCCCTTCATATCTGAATAATCCTCCCCCAACTTCGTCTCACCAACCGTCAAGGGCGTACTTGGCTGCAACACATACAACATACGCGCCCATTGAGTCTCGCTGGTGTTTCTCCACGCATGCATCGTGCCTCTCTGAATCGCAATATCGCCCGGCTTCATGATCCGTGTTTCGCCACTGTCCAGGATCAACTCGATCTCTCCCTCAATCACAATAGCATAGTCCAGTGAAACAGTGCGATGCATCGGCGAGAGTAATCCGGGTGACATGTCCACGTGTCGAAGGACGGTGCCGCCGCTTACGACTAGACCTGGTGCTGATGATGTATACTTTTGATACGCGGCGAGGTCTTTGTCTTCATTCATATCGACGGGGAATTTTTCGGTGCAGTACTGGAGGTAGAATGCAGCTTTGCCATCTTCAACTTGCTGTGGTTTTGGGGTTTCTGGGATTGCATCTGATATGATCGCGTTGCCTTCGCTGTTGTGCGAGGTGATGATTCTGACGGGAGGAGCCAGGTGGTTCGGTGCCGTCATCTTGTCTGAGTTCTTGTTGAGTCAGTTCTTTTTCTACCATTTTGAGCACTACATTTCGAATTATATATCGACTTGGCTCGTCAACTGCCGAGCGTCCGTCGCCTTTCGGATAGCCTCGCCTTCGGATGAGGTGGACGACAGTCACTTAGTCAACAAGCAACCCCCTGCAGGCAAAACCAAAGATGGAACAAATAAGCAATGACCGCGGGAGTCAATCGTGACTTCAAGATCATTGGCGACCAAAGGAAAAGACGGATCCCAATATGACGACTCCTTTGTCTGGCTATGGCCATCACTTTGGCATTGGCAACATACCCTTCGGAGTAGCTTCTCATGCCGAGAATACCAGGCCGACCTGTGTCACCAGATATGGCGACTCGGTCATATTTCTGAGCAAGTTGGCGGACCTTTCCACTCACAAGGATCTCAAGGCCGCGCTCGACCAGTCCAGCTTGAACAACTTCGCGGCTTTCGCAAAGCCAAGTCAATTAACTGTCCGGAAGCACATCCAAGATGCCATCCGCAGGGATGAGACTCTCTCGGCGCTTCCCAAAGATGCCGTCAAGCACATATCTGAAGTTACAATGCATCTCCCCGTTGAAGTGGGTGACTTCACAGACTTCTCTTGCTCCCATCACCACGTTCAGAATGCCGCAGAGGCAATGACTGGCAAGCGATCTACTCCGCCAGCGTTTTTCAATATGCCCATCGGCTACGCAGGCCGTTGCTCGAGCATCGATGTCTCCGGCACACCGGTTTACCGTCCGCTTGGCCAACACTGGAAAGAGAAGCCTATGGACAGCGAAATCGTCTTTGGACCTTGCGAGAAAATGGACTACGAACTTGAGCTTGGATGCATCATCGGCAGACCACTTCTCAGGAATGCAAGAGTACTAGCTGAAGATGCTGAGGAGCACATCTTCGGGTACGTGCTGATCAACGATTGGAGCGCTAGGGATATTCAAGCCCTCGAAATGATCCCATTGGGTCCACTGAACGGCAAGAACGCTGGAACGACAATGTCGCCTTGGATCATTACTACGGATGCCTTAGAATCTTTCAAGACCGCTCCTCCCAAGAGGGTACAACAGCAGGTCTCATATCTCAAACAGAGCGGCAACAAAGCCATCAACACCCAACTACAGGTGGATATTGCTTCACCCAACAACGGGCGTACGCCACAGACCATGTGTGTCAGCAACAGCTCTTGTATGTACTGGAATCTATCTCAATGTGTTGCACATCAGGCAATTGGCGGCTGTGGGCTGCGAACTGGCGATCTTCTGTCTACAGGGACGGTGAGCGGTGAAGGTGACAGCGAGCACGGATGTCTTCTAGAGTTTATGAAGGCCAGCAGTACTCCTCCCAGAGGATACCTGCAAGATGGGGAGACGGTAACGTTTTCTGGATACTGTGGTGAGGGAGTTGGCTTTGGCGAGTGCGTTGCTACACTGCTGCCTGCTAAAGAGCTATGAAGAACAAGGTGATCAACCAACGCATATCATTTCTTCTGTTCTATATTTCTACCACTCCCCGCCAATCCTTATCCTAAAGATCTGGTCATTCCACCTTCCAATCGTCTTCCTACACACCCAGCTCGCGGCCTACACAGCACAAGTCAGCAACCAACCCTCCTCCTGCCAACAATTACCATTCTTTCGACATACCGCCTGCATCCACACCCCACCAAACATCACCCTAATAAAATTCCTCTCAATCTCATTGTTCACATGGTTCCTGTCTCCGTAGATCAGACTTGGATCAACAGCTCGATACGCAGGCACTCTTCGCCATTGTGTCTCCCAATCTGGCAGATTTGCGGTCAATTGAGGTTGTGCATTTGGTGGTGGCGCAGGAGCTGCTGTCTCTGGGGAAGGTTGGCTGTGGTGGAGGTCGTAATCGGCAAGGACATGTCGCAGTTCGGTGACGCGGGCGTTGGAAGTCGTTGTCACGGACATTCTGATGCTGTCGATGGCGATGGAGTCGTATCAACGTGAGTCTGATGTCTTTCTCTTGCACCTGCTGCACGATCTTGGGAGGTAAGGTCAGATGCTGACAGCCACCCACATTGATCCGGCCGTCGTCCACTGACTTCCGTAGCCTTGCCCCAGGGACCACTCCTGCAGGATCCTCCGCATCCTCCTCGCAAACCATGCTCTCTCGAGCCACATTTGACCGCGATGGTCCGAACGTATGTAGTCGATCTCGGTCTCGTTCCAGCTCATGAAGGAGTATGCAAAAGACCGCGGACCCGGGTCAAATGATTTGAAAGCGACGCTTGCCACCATCCGGATCACTGTGATATCGACTTCCTTATTTGTACCAACATCGTCTACTCTACCTCACACGAAAGCAACGAACATCATCAGAGACCAGTCGCGTTATGGCTCCCTCTGACTTGTCAAGAATACAAGCGTCGGCCATCGATGGCCGCATGCACACAATCTACCACAGACAAGAACAGCTCGAGAGACTCTGCAAATCTCTTGTGGACCACGTCAACGAGATAAAAGAAGCCATATCCGCCGACTATGGCTACTCGCCTGCCGAAGTCGCTGTAGAGTACCATCTAGTTCTGACAGCAGTGAAGAAGTACTATGGACTGCTCAAACCCAAAGAGGTCCACGAGGAGGAGTATCTTATCGCCAATGGCAAGGACGCTGCGGATCGCAGAGTACCTGCTGGTATTATCTATATCGAACCGACACTACATACGACGTTCTATTCGGTGGTAGTCCCCTTGGCGGCGGCATTCGCTGCTGGGAATTGTGCGATCGTGCTGGTGAGTGTGGACTACAGTCTTTCTTAAAATTCGACACTGACTTGTGGTGAAGCTAGAGAACAATCACCGGACACTTTCGCGACTCTTGAGACAACTCCTGACCGAAGCTCTCGACGCCGATGTGTTTGCCGTTGCGAGCTCGCCGATCAAAGACGAAACTCTCTTGAGCAATGCAGTCTGCGTTCTGCAGAACGGGGTCCAGAACGAGCAGCCCAGAATGAATCAACTCACGCACTTCGAACAAGCACATGTTGTCGCAGTGGTTGATCGCACAGCCGACGTTCAGACAGCCGCAAGGGAATTGGTCGCCGCGAGATTCAGCTTCAGGGGTAGCAGTCCGTATGCCCCCGACGTTGTCCTTGTAAATGAATTCAGAAAGAAAGATTTCCTTCAAGCCGTAATCGGCGAGTGCATCAACCTGGGCAGCGGAGTGGAAATGAATGGACAGATCAAAGGGAAAACACCATCATCCAATTTGGTCAACGAACGTTTAAGCAGTCTGGAAAAGCTTGATCCAGAACTTCGAACAATCATCCAAGAAGCTAAATTCGCCGTAGTCGATGTCACCTCAAGAGACCCCCTACTTCAGCAGAGGATGACAGCCCCTATCTTGGCAGTCCACGCAGTGAAAAGCCTCGACGACGCGATCGACCTCATTGGCAGCCGATCAGAGAAGCCATCACTCGCAGCATACCATTTTGGCAGTCCTGCAGCCGGCAAATACCTATCGCAGTTTGTGAACGCAAATATCTCGGCCATAAACCACATCCCACGAGAGCTCCTTGTCGGTCCAGCATTCCCCATCGGCCAGCCAGTTGACCTCACCGATCGATACCCACTGGATCTGTTTACGGTACCGAGGCCGGCATACATCAATTCTCTGAAGACCGCAGAAGAACTTTCGAAAGCTTTGATCGGTTCGAATAATCCGACAGCACAGAAGCTGTTGGCGGATGCTACGAAGCCGCTTGTCGAGTTGAAGAGGCATCCGGGTGGAAGCATGGGATTCTTTGAGGTGGGCTTTTTGATGAATGCTGGAATTATCTTGGCTAGTACTTTGACGGTGTCTGCTACGGGGTTGGTTTGGTGGTGGAGGTACACAAGGCCGATTTGAGGGATGGTTGTACCGTGTGTGAGTTGCATTGATCGATCAAAATGAAAGTTTCGCCCATAGTGGCTAGACAAAGCATACCGCCTAGGTGGAATGCAGTTCCCAAGATTGTCAATGTTCAGAGTCGTTGTATTTTAGCCAAGCTTGCTCTTCACAAAAGCCAAGGCATTCGAGCCATACTCATTGCCGTACCCCTGATGCGTGGTTGCGTTGTTGCCATTGCAGCAGTATGGATCTACTCAATAAGTCAACGAGACCCCGAACGCACGACCGATTGTACTCACCAAGCGCATCACAGTAAGACCGAATCTTCGACTGATAAGACGGGCATGTGAACCCACTCGGTCGAGGATCGAACTATACCATCATCAGATATAGCTCTACTTGAATCGGTGACTGTGTCACTTACACCACCAGCAGTACAAGTTCCAACATGGAATGACGACTCTGCGGGTGAGTTACGTGGATTACCAGCCCAGATCACCGCCTTGATCGCACTGGCTGCTGAACTCGAGATCAAAGAATTGGTATAGGTGACGCCTTGATTGGGATCACCGCCACCGCAGAGTGCATTGTCTCCGATTTGAGCGCCCTTGTAACTGTCAACCTCAACGGAGTCCAAAGACGTTGTCCAGACTTACCTGTGAGTACCCAACAACAACCAGCTTCGCACTTGGGCATTGCTTATTGAAAGCATTGATCTGGTTCGCGATGTTCTGTGTTCCTTGTTGGACAGAAGAGGCATAGCTATCACCGCCTGCGGCTGGGTAGTTGATAGCTTCGGATGTTGAGCCTGGGTAAGCTTTGAGGATTGCGTTGACGAAGGTGCTAGAAGAACCGTAGCCGGCAGCAGCGGTGGTCTCGCGAGCGCCGAAGACGTGGATGTTGGGGCAGCTCTGGCGGCCGTTCAGGGTTGCTGCCTGAGTGAGAGATGTAAAGAGAACAAGAGGTTGGATGGTGGCGAGAAGATGCATCTCGGTGGTGAGAAGATGTTAAAAAAATGCAAGTGAAAGATGAGGCTCCCAAGTACGAGATTTCAAGACTGTCAGGATGTTCGCTTGGGGGTTGGAGAAAGATCTGATGTACCTGAGACTCCAGGTCATACACACTTGTCAGATTATTGAATTGCAATTAGCCTGAAACTCCTCTTTCGCTTGATCCAGATCGCAGACAAACGTTATGCTCGGCCATTGACTGCTTTTGACAGCACCATTCAGGTAGTGGTCAAAATTTCCTTCGGCTATAAGGATGCTGGCCAGTTTCCATAGCTGACAAAACGCGAACATGTGCTGTTGAACACGTCTGGGGATGCTCTTGATAGATTCAGCCTGATACTCGCAGCAGCGAAACTGATCTCGTGTCGGGGTCGAAAAGTATATTAGCGAAAGGCAAGTAGGATGAGATGCTGGAGCAAGGCAATACCTTTATAAGTTGGAAAGAATAATTGGGTGGCTAAAGAGCAAGCAGAGAAAGCACCTTCCCATTCCGGGAGAAGGAACGGCCCCAAACTTAAGCCTAGATGCAGCACCACTGTGAGAGCTACAGTGGTCGACTTTAGCCTGAATGACAATACTGCTCGTCAACGCGAAACAATGTCCTCGGACTTGAGGAAAAGGTGATCGTCAGGCTAATTATGGCCTTCGGCCACGACATATAATTTGATCATCAAAGTTGACATCCTCCTACCAGGTAGTCACAAACGAACAAACTGCCTTCGCCTCGTTGCAACATGTTCTCCAGATCTGTCCTGATCACTCTTGCAGTGGCTTTGGGAGCTCTCGCCACCCCCATCACCTTCATTGACGATTTTCACGACTCCAGCGTCTCCGGTCTCGATGCGCGTTCCACATCACCTGGAACAGGCACCAACAATGGCTACTACTATTCCTTCTACACCGACGGTGGCGGCAACGTGACGTACAACAATGGTGCGAAAGGCTCGTATACTACTCAATGGACCAACTGCGGGAACTTTGTTGCTGGCAAGGGGTGGAATCCAGGGAGTGCGAGGTAAGAGCCAGAAGATGCGGTTGAATTGCATTAGACTGACGATGATGTAGAACAATCAACTACTCCGGCACATTTAGCCCAAGTGGAAATGCCTACCTGAGCGTCTACGGCTGGACCACAGACCCCTTGGTCGAGTACTAGTATGATCTGCTCATATCTGACCTCAAGCGACGCCCACTGACAACCCACAGCATTGTCGAATCCTACGGCACGTACAACCCCTCCACAGGCTTGACCTACAAAGGTCAAGTTAGCAGCGACGGCGGCACTTACAACATTTACACTGCAACCCGCACCAACGCCCCTTCGATCATTGGCACAGCGACCTTCACGCAGTACTGGTCGATTAGAAGCAGCAAGCGTGTTGATGGTACTGTGACTGTAGGGAACCACTTCAATGCGTGGAAGAAGTATGGGATGAATTTGGGGACGCAGAATTATCAGATTGTGGCGACGGAGGGATATCAGAGTAGTGGGTCTTATTCCATCACTGTGTCTTGATTGAAAAAGTTTGGAAGTTGAGTACCAGATGGAAGTACAATCGGCTTCTCTGATGTAAATGAATAGGGCAATTCAGTAATGCTTCTTTGTGGTCGGGAATAGCGAATCATGATAATAAGAGACAGTAAGGCTACAACACGCAAATTCTATTACAGTCTGCCTTTGATAGCATGCAGAGTCATGATACTGTACTGATCGACCAACCCCAGCTTAAACTCCACAGCCACATCACGCACCCTTGTCTGGTTCCTGGCTTGATGTTAATTTTCATTCCACTTGAACCTGCTCAGCGTGGCCCATTTCGATTCCTCCCTTGATAGCTTCCAATCTGTACCCTTCAAGTCGATTTTCAGCATTGGTACTCGGTCTAGAGTAATCTTGTCCAGTGCCTGAAACCGTGTGTCGTGGATCAACCCGGTCAGCTGTAAGTCATAGTACGCTTTCATCTTTGCACGTGTGTTTAGCGTGTCGGATGACCAGACGTACAAGGTCTTCAAAGACGGTGGGAGCAAGTCGGGTAAAGGAAGCTGGTCTCCGACAGAGAGCTCGCTATCGCACAGGCTGTCGAATGGCAAAGTGAGTGTCTTGAGCCGCGACAATGAACTGAGGTCGCCAATTGTGCCGATGGGAAGATCTTCATCTTCCTCGCAGTCGGAGATGTCGATGGACAGAGACACCAGTTTCGCTCCGAATTTCCGCAACACACCTCCCCATCGATCATAATCACCGAGTAGCGAGATGAAGGAGAATCCCCATTCTATCTGGAGGTCGTTAACATCCGGACATACGGCGAGCAGCTTTCCCAGACCTTCCTCTTCGAGCAAAGCTTGCCTGAGTTGCAGGCTCTTGATGGGAGAGCGTATGGCCGGTATTTCGTGTTCATCACAGTTGAGCACCCAGCAGCTTAATTTCCTCAATGCAGGCAGACATAGGAGTGGCGTAATTGTGATCAGCTCAAGGCCGCCAGATTCAGATGTATTCAATTCGACATGGCGGAGACATCGAAAGCCTGCAAATCCCAAATTCGCAGCTGCAGACTCGGCAGCTTGAGCGAGAAAATGTTGTATCCAGTAGTTGTCAAGTGGCCCAGGAAGCTTTGCATGAAGGTACTCGAGCTTTGAGCAGAGAGAGAGCAGCATTGTAAACTCCGCATCCTTGGAACCTGCAACGAGGTCGGCATGCAGCCTGTGTCGTAGCTCTTGTGATGCTGGAAGCCCCTTGGCTAAGCCTTGAATGACATGGGCCTCGGTGGCCGACAATGAAGAGTGTTTCTCATCCTCCTCTTCTTCGTACGACAGCCAGTCTGGAACGGTGATTTCGCGTACGAAACGGGCAAGGTGAGGCTGTTTCGAGACGAGGCGAAGTAGAGATCGAACTTGTGACCAGCGACGCTTTTCGAAGTTCAGGGTCTGCAGCATAACAGGCTGTGCGATCCGTCTGAGCGCCTTGTTGGCCAGCGAGAGGCTTCTGAGAGTGGCCAGCAAGGTATTATCGATTTCGCGGCAGCTGGTATAGCCCCAGGGGCACAGATTCTCGCAGATGAGCTGGAGTAGCTCTTCGGGCAGCTGCTTCATGCTGGGCGGTTCGGAGCCGGTGTTGGCGTTGGTGAAGCATGAAATGGTTCTGGTGTTGTTTGTTTGACTTGTGAAGTGAGATTAGGAAAGAGCTTATGTAACCTTCATCACAAGCGCGTGTGGCAGGGGAGACCCTGGCCGCTAGCGTCTGTGCGCAAGTGAATGAGGAAGGAGCAGCTTACCCTCAACGTCACCTCAACTGTTCCGCGCAGAACCTGGCATGTTGGACATCAACACCTCCAAGAAGTCCACCAAGTATGCAGCAGCGACTGGACACGACCTGCAGCCACACGTTGATTATGCCAGGCGCCAGGATTCAAGACCAAGCGCTCTTGCCGCCGAGTGAGGCACAGTCAAAACGATGACCTCTCTTGAAAGCCATTCACTTGGGCATTCTCTTTCTCCTGGTCTGTACCGACCCATAGTCAATCTGAATCCCTAACGAAATGCCCACCCGCCCAATCTACCTCCTCAAGATCCGCCCCTCGCCTCGCCAGAGAGCACATTTCTGCACCTTCATCCCCTACCCAGAACACGCATCCCACGACCCAAGCAACAAAGCCGAAGAATGCAGAGGCACAAAGATCCATGTCATCGGCACACCCCTGGCCATGAGCTTGCAATTCCAATCGAACTTTCCTTGTCACAAAGAGCATGACCTGGAGGCTGTGGTAAGACTGGGAGACGTCGATGACAGTTTAATTGTGGACATATTCCCGACGAAAGATGAGGGTGGAAGAGTTCTGGAGAGAACAGAGCCATCGGGAAGACTCGAGCGGGAGGCAACCAGCATCAGGCCTCCAAGGGGAGGGAATGTTCTGGCGCTGGTGGACGATGTAAGTATTCCCTTCATAATTCCCATCTATGTTGCTGAAATAGCTTCCCTGAGGTCACGAACCGGAGATGCCAAGAGTGGACTATGGACTACCTGCGACATTTGGTAAAGAAAGGCTTGCTTGATGCTAGTGCTGTCGATATTGCGCAAGCCGAAAGAGACCCGCCGGGCTTTGGCATTGGTCTTCGTCCTGTTGGCGGGGAAGCTCTATGGTGACCATATCAGAACCTGTCTCAGCATATCCTAGGGAATAGAGCCTTCAATGCTAGGCTTCTGAACAACCTCTTCCACAGTATGATTCACGCTCTCGTGGTCAACATCAGATCCACTCGAACGCCTGCTCCCATCATCTTTCAACCTCAGCCCCCGATGCAGTCCCTCCAATACTGTCTTCGCAGAGTTCGACGTAAAGATGAACCAAAGTAGAGGCAAGTTCACCACCGTGATACTCATCCCGGTCTCCAGAACGCCAACGTACAGAGTTTGTCGACCAGGTCCTTTGGCAGTGGTGAAAATCACAATGCGTGCGATTGAAGCTCCGAGTCCACTATTTCGAAGGTCAGTCATGCGACGCTATGGACTGCTTCAAGATAAAACTCACACGCAAGCCAGGAGAAACACCCCAACGATCGAAAGCTTCTTCGCGATCGTTGTGTGAAGAGCCAGGATCTATATTCAATCTCATTCAGTACGCATTCCCTATAGATGATATCGTCGATCGAGGAACTCACACTCGGAATGGGCATCAACAAAACCCAAAGATCAAGCAAGAAATCCGACCAAGCCAACCCCTTCGCCCAGACCGGGGTCAGATCACAGTATTTCGTAAAGTCGCCATCGCAAAAGGCTGAGAAGTGCGAGCGACATTGCAGCAAGGACAGAATATCAAACGCGACATACCACGCCGCTATGATGCCCACTGTGGCGAAGATGAGGATGTTGAAGAGGCTGATTCCGTGGAGACCGAAGAGACGGCGGTAGAGGAAGAGGGCGGAGACTTTGGCGCAAGCGAGGGTGTTCATGATCATGAAGTCGTAGGCGAGGGAGATCTTATTCGAAGAAGTTAACGAGTGGTAGGGATCGATTTGGAAGAGACCGCACGTACCTGTACTGAGGGTTTCGCTCTCGCAGCGACTTGCTCCGGAGTGAGGGAGTGATCTGTGTCGTACCCGACGGTCTTCAGGACGGCCACTAGATTCTCATCAGCCCGGTATGACTCTGAACTTTGTGAGTAGACTCCGCTTACGCTCGATTGCCAGCGCCGCAGCGGCAGTGTACGTGACCTATGGCCAGAGCACAGCCTTATCAGCCTCGCCTCACATTCAAAGAAAGGGCAATACTCACAACACCAAACAATGCACTCCAGTCATCGACTCCCAGGAAAGAGCTCTGACGACTGCGACCGTAGAGCCTCAGTCCTACTGAAATAGTCGAGAGTCCGATGAACGAGCCGCAGACGGCGAAAAGACCAGCGGTCGAAGTGGCGGACATATCGACAGTGTTCAACGAAACGAAAAGCGAAGTCGTAGCCCGTAGAGACAGAGAGAAAGACGATTCATCCCAAAGAAGAAGAAAAATCAAAGTACATCTCTCATCCGATGATACAAGCACGCGTGGAGCTTACACACCCACAATGATCGACGCGGACTTTGCAGTAGCCCTGCAGTTGTCTGCGGACGATCTCCTGTACGTGTTGACTAGCCTGCAAGCAAGAGGCATAGATTGCGAAACAAATGCAGTATGCACTGCTTCATAGTTCGCACCGAGCAGATTTTCTGCTTCTTTCGCGGAAAAGGGTAGGTAGTGGTCTTCGTAAGGAGCTGATTGCGCGAAGGATCCAGCTTTGTGACTTCTTAGATACCGGAGACATTGGACATGTACAGAGCAACTTGCGGTATCTGAGAAGCCATTGAATCTCACTGTTCACAATCGTTGAGCAATCTGATCTATTTCACGAAAATGCCCCCTCCACTCCCCCAACCCACATAAGATGGCACCATCCCCTTCCCCCTCCCCTCCTCCCCAAGCACAACAAGCCAAACCGCCTACAAAATCTTCGGCTCCCTCACCTCCCCCTCCCTCTCCCCACCCCTCATAATCCTCCACGGCGGCCCCGGCTCCGCGGACGAATACACCCTCCCCCTCACAGCCCTGCACACCCTCTCCACCACCCCCATAATCCTCTACGACCAAATCGGCTGCGGCGCCTCCACGCACCACCCCTCCGCACCAGCCACCTTCTGGACCGTCGACCTCTTCGTCGCGGAGCTAGAGAACCTTCTCCAGCACTTCGATTTGAAGGAATACGATATCCTCGGCCACAGTTTCGGCGGGATCCTCACCATCGCGCTCGCCGCGAAGCAACCCCCCGGTCTCCGCCGACTAATCCTCGCGAGCGCGTCGGTGGATGGGGAACTCTTCTTCCAAGGCCTCCAGCGCCTCAAGACACACCTCACCCTCCGCTCACAACTCGCCATCGACACCGCTGTGGAAAAAGGAGACTTCACCAACCGGGGGTACCTCGCCGCCCTTACGGAATTCCAACGAACCTTCCTCTGTCGTGCCCCAGATCCCTATCCACCTCCTTTGCTGGAGCCAAATTTCCGGCATCAGAAGGAAAATCCTGAGATTCGACGGGCGATGCAGGGGCTTTCGCCTTTCGTCTATGATGGCTTTCTGAGGCGGTATAGCAGTATCCCCTTACTGCACAAGATTCAAGTCCCGACGTTAATCTTCAACGGCGAGTTTGATACGACGCAGGACGAAGCGACGTACCCGTTGTTTGAGGGGATTGACAAGGTGCGGTGGGTGACGTTGAGCGGGGCGAGTCATATGCCGTTTTTGGATTCGGAGGAGATGTTGGAGAGGGTGTTGGGTTTGGTGGGAGGATTTTTGATGCAGGGGAAATAAGGAACAAGGGGTTGAGGAGTCCGAGAGGGAAACGAAGGGAGAAGTGTTGCGAGATTGATCGTTGCAGCAACATCAGCAAGATAAAGTACTCCAGTTTGTGTGTCTGCTATCATCAGGTTCAGTGGAGACAAGCGTGTAGACTAGAGGAAGAAACCCAGTACACGTGCTCCAGCACTTGATGCACTCATCACTGTCCTTACTCCCGTCATCCCATCATCCACGCCATGCACACACCCCCAGCCCACCCCTACCTGACGCCATGCTCGTTTCCTACACCGTTTATGCTGACAGCGAGCTGTCGATCCTCCTCTCATCCCTCACTCTAGTCAACAACTCCACGGCCCTGTCGACAGGGATCAGCTCTCCCATCTTCTGTGTAGCGGGATCATCACGATTTCTGATGTTGACCGATCGCGACTCCTTCTCCTGCGCGCCAACCACGAAGATGAAGTTGTATTGCTGAAGCTGTCCAGTGCGGATCTTCTTCTGCATGGTGTTGCCGGAAATGTCAACGTCGACGTGCATCTTCTGGGCACGGAACAGCTGCTGTAGCTCCAGTACGTAGTCATTGACAGCAGGCATGACTGGTACGATGAGGATTTGACGAGGTGAGAGCCAAAATGGCCACTTGCCGCCGAAGTGCTCTGTCAAGATGGCGATGAAGCGCTCGAACGATCCGTAGATGGCGCGGTGAATCATGACAGGGCGTGCACAGCCTGGAGTGAGCTCGCGACGGTAAGAGTCGATCTTGGGCATGGCGTTTGGGTCAGCCTTCGCGCCATCAGCGCCAGCCTCGGGGGCGGGTGCACTGCGGATTGGAAGGGACTCCTCCTTTGGCTTGTCTTCTTTGGGCTTTTCTGCTGACTTGTCGCCGTTGACCTCTGGCTTGACGGCTGAAGCTTGCTCTTCTGTGCGGTATTCAAGATTGAACTGCTGTGGCAGCTGGAAGTCGAGCTGGATAGTAGCGCACTGGAACTCACGCTTGAGAGCATCACTGATGGTGACATCGATCTTGGGGCCGTAGAAGGCACCGTCGCCTGGGTTCAGCTCCCATGGAGTGCCAGTCTGTTCTTTGAACTCGTCGAGAGCGCTGGAAAGCTGGGCTTCTGCTCGCTCCCAAGTAGAAACATCACCAAGATGACCTTCGGGCATGGTGGACAGCTTCATGCGGAATTTGAAGCCGAACAAGCCGTAAACGGCCATCATGAAGTCGAAAAGTGCCTTGATCTCCTGCTCGACCTGGTTCTCTGCGCAGAAGATGTGGGTGTCGTCCTGGACGAAGCGTCGGACTCTGGTCAAGCCCGTGAGCGCTCCTGAGGCTTCGTTACGGTGGAGGATACCGAAGTCAGCAATACGCATAGGGAGCTCTCGGTAGCTTCGCTCGCGGTGACCAAAGAGGAGACAGTGACCGGGGCAGTTCATGGGCTTCAACGCCCAGGTGTCCTTCTCCACATCGAAGGTGAACATGTCTTCGTGGTAATGCTGCCAATGACCAGACTGCTTCCACAGGGCGGAGTTGTACATGTTTGGGGAGCCGACCTCCTGGTAGCCACGCTCCCAGTACTGTTCACGGATATAAGATTGGAGGGCGTTGTAGATGATCATACCATGTGGAAGGAAGAAAGCAGAGCCGGGCGACATCTGGTGGAAGAAGAAGAGTTCCTGCTCCTGGCCGAGCTTGCGGTGGTCTCGCTTCGCAGCTTCGGCGAGTAGTGCCTTGTGCTCTTCGAGTTGCTAGAAACAATCAGTAAAGCTGTGTATAAGGAAGAGTGGGTTTGGTTACCTTCTTATCAGGAAATGAGACACCGTAGATACGCTGCAGACTGTCGTTCTTTGCATCACCGAGAAAGTAACTGGCCGAGTTCTTCATGATATCGAATGCCTTGATCCTACCAGTGTGAGGAACGTGAGGACCCCTGCACAGATCGATGAGGGGACCGCATCGATAGACGGTGGTGCGAGTGCCGTCTGGGATCTTGTCCTGGATGATGTGCTGCTTGTACTTATTGTAGGCAAACATCTCAAGCAAATCCTCTTTGCTCAGCTCAAGCCTCTCGAACGGCTGTTTCTCCTTGATCGCCTTCTCAGCAATCTGCTTCAAGGGCTTGTGGTCCGCCTCGGTGACAGCAGCCATTTCAGGAAGAGCCATTTCGTAGTAGAAACCATCGTCGACGGGTGGGCCAATGCATAGCGCGCATCCGAACCTCCTCTCAGCTGCTTCACCCAGGATATGCGCACTACTGTGCCAGAAGACTTTCTTTCCCTCAGGGTGCTCAAAGTCGAGCAATTCCAGCTTACAGCTCTTCTCCAGTGGGCGGTCCAGGTCCCACAGCTCACCGTCCACTCGAGCGATCACGGTGCGTTCAAACAACGACTTGGAGATCTCCCTGGCGATCTGATTTGGGGTGGTCTCCCAGCTCTTGCCCTCCTTTTTGCTGCCATTCTCCAGCGTCACCTCAATGTCCTCACGTGGCTGCTTCGCCCTCCATTCGTCCTGCTCGGCTTTTCGCTTGTCGAAGAGAGCGTTCCTCGTGGCGAAGAAGTCGGGGGGTGGGTTGAGTTCGAGTGAGCGGGCCTCGCCGCCTTCTTTCGGGGCTTTGGGTGCCATTTTGGTGTGTGAAGAGCAAGATCGAAAAGCGCACGCCGCGCGGAAGGTGGTTGTTCTTGTATGCAGCAGTTGTGATTCAGTCACTCGCGCCAGACGAATGAATCGAGCGTGCATACAATACAGCCGTGGAAGGAGCGACCTGAATGTGAGTGAATGTTAGGTGACTGTTCCAATGTGTTACTCAGAGGGCTCCCTGGATTTTGTCTTCGGAGCTGCAGGAGCATGGGCGCTAGTCTCCGCTCCCGCACACAAGCTTCATGGCCCGTGCCAACCCCGCCATGACTTTCACTTCCATCATCGTTCGTTCCCTATCGTCTCGTTTCCATACCAACATCTTCCTGGATAGTACGCCTGGTCTCAAACATCTATCAGAAACGAAAAAATGCTCGCCCGTCCAGCTCGTGGCCATTGCCCGACCAATCATCCCTTCGTGGGCGACATCGAAGAGCGCACCAAACGATTCATCACTATTGAACACCGAAGGGATGCCTCCAGCCTGGCAAAGTGCCACTCTCAATGGCAGTCGACCCTCTTCTGCCTGCCGACAGAGATCCGTGATATCATTTATAACTACGCTTCCATACCCAACGTCGATCCCGATGACCTGAAGTCTGGCCCCCAATGCCTCACTCTCCTGCGGATGCCTGTGGTGTGGAGGGCAAATCTATCCTGGCTTCGTACATGCCGACGAATCTGGATTGAAGCAAACTCGTTCGCCTGGAAGTATGCGGAGCCTACGTTCTATCGCCATTCTGATCGGCCTGATCTTTATGGCTTTCTTTACAGGTTGACGGCGCTCAATGTTCAGAACTTGCAGCGCCTTCATATTGGACAGGAATGCCACAATCTCAAGATGAACGATGCGATGCTTCGACTCTTCGATGGGACTAAACTGCAGGCCTGGCCACCACATCTGACAGTCACACTCGTGGCGTATCCTTCATTGTGGGAACACGAAGCTATCAAAACCTGGTTCAGTACCGTGATTAGCCACCGGAAACTACAAACTGTTCAGGACGTCGAATTCATTTTCCATATCCCTGAGCTGCAGGCTGAAACAATCGCCTTGATTCTACAGGAGTTCGAAGACACAGCGACCACCAATTGGAGTGTCGATCTTTCCGATCGCATAGGGGAGCGCTGGGTTCGTGAGTGGGGAGATGTTAAGATCGGAAGCCATTGGTCGAACAAGGTCGATATGCCATACCGTACCTATAGACTTGTTTGTCGACGTTTGGATGAAAGTAAGCGGCAGAGACCACAAACATACGACCGCGACTCGGCTTGGGACTGCTGGCATCTTGTTCCATATCGTGTGATGTATGGCAGGAGGGATAGCATGGAGCCAGATCATGGATGTGCAAATCAGCTGACCCAGAGATGGCGTGAGAGATGGGAGGAAGCAAACAGCCTGCTCAGGTTCGCCGAATGATCTACTCAAACAAGCAGAACTTCGACCTCATCGCCACCCTCCCACCATTTCCTCCTCAGATTCGTCAGACTTGCCACTCTCTCCCACGCCCCCTCGACCTTCACACTCGGAGTAACAAGCAGTCCCACGAAACTATAACTACTCAGCCCCGTGTCCGCGAGACACACAAACGCAGCGTCCATCTCGCCTTCATAGGGCAGTCCACCTCGAGCACGACAGACATATCGACTCCCTTCAGGAGCTTCTGGGTATCGAGCTGTAAGCAGGCCATCCGAAACGAGATGTTTCTCCTCCGAGAGGGTACCGTTGGGCTCGACGTAGTATGCCCGGTGGCTGTATTTATCTGCTTTCCAGCGTATTCTACAGGGCCGCATGCGAGCACGCAGGGTGATGGATGCATGCGTAATAGCGCCAAATGGGGCTGTTGCTGACTTCGGGGTACTTTCTGCAGAGATGACAGTCGCTAGAGGTGTGAACGACTTGAATGGGTTGTGGACAACTTTACGGTTCAGACACGCCCACGACCAAGATGGTGCTGTGAGTTCATCGGGAGGATACGCAAGAACTTCTTTCGGAGCCGGATTAGCCTGCCACATGAGGTCGAGAACAAGGCTCTCTTCCCAAAGGCCGGCGATATATCGCGTGCGGGAAGCTTGGGGCATCAGGGACGCAACACCAGAGATTGCGGGCAGCTTGTCGCTGGCGTAGGTGAGTTGGCGAGAAGTGTACTGCTGGACGATCATACGCCATTTTGCGCCATCGTCGACTTGGCCTAGGACGTTTGAATACAGCTGAGGATACGGAGCGAGCTGATCCTCACTCCGACGATGGGTTTGGCACTCGAAGATGATACTGCCGTGGGAGAAGTGAATGTTGCGAGTTGGGAGATGTGATTCCTGGAAGCACCACGCCCGTTTATACAAAGGCCCCTTTTGATAGGAATGGCTCCAAAAGCTCGTATACGGTGGCTGATGCAGACCCTGCTCAAGAGGAGCCGCACTCGCATATCTCCTTCTCACAGTAACGGGCACACGGGATCCCGTCTTCGGGGTCAGGAAGTCAAACTTCTGGGGAATCCAGTCTTCATCTCGCGGCCCAAGGAACGGCGTATCCGGATTCTTCGACGAACCTCCACTGATAACAACCAGTGCTTCGGAGTAGACCATTCCCATCTGCGCCGCCTCCCGTTCCCAGTCTTGGCCATCATCTTGAATGATGCAGAGCGAGTCGATCCAGAGGTATTGAATTCCTAGGTTGCGACAGACGGAGATGGCGTCTTTGAATGTTGCTGGGAGCTCGTCGATGGGTATGTCCGCTAACAGGGTGTTCATATTTCCAGTCTTGAGGGCGAAAGGGTCCCCGCCGCCCCAACAATGGCTCAGAGCGGCCCATTGGAATGCAAGGCCGGTGGAGGCTGCTTCAAACAACCGGATGTCGTCTGAAGTGTCTCCGATGTAGATCAATCGGGTCGGGGTGAAGTTGCTTGAGGAGGAATTTCTGCATCTCGGATGCTGATGCCAGCACTGATCAATGCACTCTCTGATAAAGGTCATACAGCTCGGACTCGAACTATCCGCTGCTCTCCAACCGGATGCTGTCGTAGTGGGAGCGTCCGTGGCGTTAGCTGGCAGATCTGAGTCGAGGTACAGCTCCAGATCGACTCTCGAAGTCGATACACTAGCATCCCACTCGAAGTTCCAACACTGAATCACCAGCGGCTGGCCCTGCTTGATCATGAGTCCAACACTAAGCGACAAGCCGCTTATGACATGGTGGTCCCATTTATCCGTGACGAAGCCAAAGAAGTGATCGAAGACTTCACAAAGCAGTCGACAATACGCACAATCCTTTTTCACCTTCCCCGTCTGCGGATCAACCTGTCTCGAAGCAAGAATGTCCTTCGCGGGTATGTGTTCAAGGACCAACGTGGGTATTTTGATCAACTCCTCCCGATGAGCCCATGGACGGTTCTCCCAGGGTACTTCAGGTTGACCGAATGTTCTCTCGTGGTTGAAAGGCTGGAGGTTGTTGCATGTCTGGCAAAGGCCGTTGAAGGAGGTCGACAGAATGCGTTTGAACATGTTTCCGCCGAACCGGGCGGTCTTTGTGGCTGCTTTGGCGATGCGGAAGGCATCTTGGGCGCGGACGTCGTAGATGATGTCCATGGCGGTGGTTGATGTCGATGAGTTCGTTGACGGTATCGAAGCGGAACTGGCGCTCAACTACAATCTCATAAAGCGAATTATCGCAGCTGCATGATTTTGTCTTCCAAGTCTCGCAATGCCAGCTCATCGGCGTAGGTCGGCTCTAGTACGAGTCCTGAGGGGCCTAGACGAAGCCACTGGTTCCACCTATTGCGCCTAGTGGCCTGATCCAATACTTGGCGGCTTCAAACACGGCCTCGTCTTCGGAACATATTCATGACCCAATTCGGTTGCACTCGATACAACCTCCAACAGCCTCCCAAAGCCAAAGACTGGTCCTTCTCCGAGCGCGGGACAAAAATGTGGACAAAGGAGGGCGGCTGCGCAAGGGGCCTCAGCTGCATCATGTTCATTGTTTGTGTCGACAATCCCGGGGCCACTCTTACGATTGTTCTCCGTCCTGTGATTGTTCCCACTGTTACGATTGTTCTCACTCGTCCTCAAGATTGACGAAAACATTACCATCCAGCATGTCGACTGCACTACCCACTTGGTTATTCCAAACATGGAGAAACTCTGGCTCTGGATCGGTGCAGCAGGGTTGCTCGCATTGCTGGTTTACATCTGGACCTGCATTTCCTACGACGCGGACCTCCTGCCCAAGGGCCTCGCATGGGGTGGTTACAAGCTCGGCAGCTGGTTTGTCATCCCCCGTGCGTCTTTCAGCGAGATCTGGCTCGGTCATCGCCTGTTACAGAAGGGATACGAAGACTACGGGAAACATGGCCAGCCATGGCTTGCACCCAATCGCACCTGGGACCACCAAGTCATGCTTCCGCCCGAGCATTCCAGATGGGTGGTGGACCAGCCCGACAGTGTGCTGCATCCTTTCAAGCCCTTTCTGACAGACCTCGGTTTCCTCTACTTCTTCCTCCCACCGGAGGGTTTGGGCCAGCAGTGGACTCATGACTTCAGGAAGATGGATTGGGCAGTCGTAGCGGACGACATATCCGCCGAGGTGGCTGCCTCTACTCGGCGCTTCCTAGGGAGTCGGCCTGGAGCCACTGTGTCGTTCGATTTGAACGACACATTACAGACGATCTTGTCGAATGTCGGAACCCGAGTCTTTCTGGGTCCGGAGATGGCGCAGAATGAGGAGTTTCTGAAGTTCACCATGAAGAGGATGTTTGGGTATATTCTCCCTGCATCTCTCTATCTCCGGACTATCACGCCATTATATCTCCAGTACTACTTGTTGTGGCCTCTTTTTCAGCTACCAGTCCGGTACTACGAATGGAGAGTTCGGAGGTCTCTACGTCCTATTATCAAAAGCTACCTCGCCGCAGCGCAAACCGCTAAAGACGAAGGCAAAGAGTTGAAGGCGCCCACGATCCTCGAGACTATTGCCCGTATCGCGGTCGAGTCCCCTGATCCCAGAGACCATCGACCCGATAAACTCACCCGTCGAGTACTCATGTACAGCTTATTCGAGGGACTCAACGTCGGCATTCAGGTACTCGCTACCATCGCCATCAGCACTTTGCCACTTATCCTAATCGACGGCCCAGACCTCTGGAATCGTCTACGCGCCGAAGCTGAAGCTGTCCAGGCCACGGGACCGTGGACAAAAACCTCTGTCAGCCGTCTCGTCCTTCTGGACAGTGTCTTACGGGAAGGCGCACGCTTGACACCCGTCAAAGTTCGTAACATCGAGAGAATGGTCGCCGCAGAGGAAGGCGTCACCTTACCTAACGGGCTGCATGTGCAGCGCGGAGTGGCCGTTGGCCTGCCAAGCAGCCAAATCCATACCGACGACCAATTCTATCCAGATGGCGAGAAGTTCATTGCAGACCGATTCGTGGGGAAAGAAGGAGAGACTTTCGCGAGTGTGAGTCAAACATACCAAGTCTTTGGTATTCGGGGAAAACACGTTTGGTGAGTTGATACATCGATAAGATGGTGATGGTGAGATTTTTCTAACAGGCATGTACGAGCAGTCCAGGGAGATTCGTCGCCGCACACCTTGTGAAGGTGTTTTTTGCGTACCTGGTCCTTCATTACGACTTTGACCAGCTGAAAAAACAGCCAGGGGGCTTGTGGATTTCGGATCACTACTTCCCGAGTACTGTCACTGTGACATGTCGACGACGGGAACAAGAGGGTGATGTGAAGGGGAAGTCTGAAGAACACGATCTTGTGACTGGGAAGGAGAAAGCGGCTTGATGGACTGAGACGATCTTTCTCAAGATGTGCTTGTAGACAGAATTGCAGTCACAGAGAGCGAAATAGTGGTCCTTCTCTCGCAGCAAAGAGTCAAGAAGAACAAAAAATCAGGTTCAATGTCCATCTCCAGTCTCATGACCCAGTTCCCAATCTAATTTCCCTCACGTCAAGTAAATACGCAAGTAAGGAGTGAGGTAAATTCACTTGACATATAAAGTTTGCGCTAGCCATAGCACGCGCAATGCCACTGTCTAAGCCGCTGGGAGCAACATCCACTTGACTGTTTCGTGAGCATCCCTAAGATATTCTCTGGAAACATCTTGTTCAGTAGGACGACTATCAGGCTGTACGTGTTCGTTTTCGTCCTATGCGGAAGCCTATAGCGGATGTCGGAAACTGAAGGCGGTGTCCACAAATGGAAGGGCTTCTAACATAAAACCTGAAAAGGACAGACGCTGTCTTCCAGAATCTGGTGAACTTCACACTACAGTCTTCTCAGATCTCATCGATAGCCGCGATGCCTGGCTTTTTATCCTTACCCAGTGAGCTCCGCGACATCATACTGGACTACGTCGCTCGGGGAGACAAAATGGTACTGCAATGTACTACGCACCCTCCGCGCTTGCTTCCCAGCTCTGGCATGTTCCTAGCCTCAAAGCAGCTTCATATCGAGTATCAAGAAATCCTGGACAAGGTGGACCGTTCGAACATCAACGCATACCACATTCGCTATGAGGTCTTCCTGCATGAAACGAACCACGCAATCAGCCGAGACCTACCTGCGATCATCAAGTTCGCAGAAGATCTCTACATTGATCTTATCTACGACTGCTCCGGGCTGGACATGACACCAGAGTTGGATCCGCTCGCCTGTACGAGCAGCACCATGGCATGGCCGAGGAGCAGAAGTGTTCGAAACCAATTCCTCCAGATTCGGCGGAATATGTGCGAACGCTTTATCCTACAAGGAGCTCGTTATCACGAAGATCTGGCACTGAAGCGTCTTGCTGTCCACATCTCCTTTCGAGGCATTCCTTCCCAAGAAGCCGGAGTTGCCGCCATGTTGATGCGTTTGGGAGCTGAACTGAGCCAGGCCTTGATTCACAGTGTACCCCAGAGTGTGGTCTCTGCGTCTGTACTAGGACCCGGCGGTGTTGGCCATTATGTGGGGAGGAGATACAAAACCACGACATCGACCGCTCGCATTCGCAGAGGAGTGCTGTACACTGGTGGCATTCCTGAGTGGGCAGAGCTGCTGACAGAGCGCAAGGCCACACGTTCGGTCTCTTTGGAGTTGGTCGCCAGAGACCGCAAGAGAGATACGGGCGAGCAGACCGAAATGCACAAAGCTATTAGTCGCGCTCAAATCAAGACCGATGTCGATTGGTGGGTGAATGAAAACAAACAGGCCACGCCATCGAGAGAATCAGACAGCGTCTCCCTTCGCCAACAATCTCGTGAGATCTTGTCAAACCCTTTTGCGGTTTTGGAGGAATCATGTGGAGGCGAATAACAGTCGCAAGTCTTGCGGTTATGAGAAGATCTTGCCGCCAGTGGCGATTCGACACTTTTTTATATTGTATCCGTAAGGGATGTGGAATCTCGATTTTGGCGATTCTGAACCAGCAGTAGCTCAGATTCAAAGGACTGTCACCTGCAGAGTTGATGAATTCCTGAACAAGACAGTGCGAAACTCCTCGATGTTGAAGAGGATCGGCTGCTCTGTCTTGATTTTTTGCATATTGTCGTCCACGGGTGTCGTTGTGTGGTGCAAGGATTGGGAACCGAAGTGATGTCACAGGAGATTCACTTGCGTCGTCTGTGCCCGCGTTACGTAGATCCTCGTCGTTTTAACCTCACGCGACAGTTGAACAACATCTACGCCTTCTGCTCATTTACATCCTTTCCTATCTTTACAATCCGATTTCATGTCCTCTCCTGTTCCAATCCCACCAATGTCTGTCGATACCCGCAATTGGATCGCTCTAAAAGGCATCGCCCTGGCGGCGACGTTCTCTATCGCCAACTCGCAATCGACCACCTCCCTCTTCTTCATCCCCTCGCTCCTCCGCCCCCTTCAGACAGCCGGAACAGGCTCCAAAACGCCCTCTCGACCATCCTCCAGCCTCCGCATCCCGACCCTTGCCAGCGAAGAATCCGGTCGCCTAACACCCCAACCACAAGAAAACAAGGTCTTCAACTTCTCCCTTGGCACCTCAGGCACCTACAAAGCTGTCGCGCAACAGTTCGCGCTCTTCGACAGCCTCAATTTCAGTATCTGCGTGCCGATCGAGATCTTCGTCATCTCCGTCTTCAGCATCGCAGCGTACCGAGCACGAAACGTCAATAATGGAGTCTGGACGCAGTGGGCTGCTACAGCAGGCGTAGTTGCATCGATATTCCCATATACGGGTGCACTGATGGCACCCTTGGTGCACAAGATCAAGAGGCTGGGTGGCGATGAGGAGAAGATTGAGCCGTACGAGGATGCGCCGATTGATCGCGAGGCAGAGAAGAGCAATACTGTGGAGTTTGTGACCAAGTGGGGATATCTCAATGCTGCGAGAGCCGCGGTCATGTATGCGGCTACTGGGCTGGGATTGTATGCTTTCGCCATGGAATGAAGAACTGCATTTGGTTGAGATCAAGAGTTGGGCGATGGGAAACGAGAGAATGCCCATCGGCGTCCTTGCTGGCAAGGAAGACGGAGGGAATGGCTTTGTCGAGCCATGAGACATTCGAGTTGTCCAACGATTCTGTGAGCCAGTCCAGGAGCGCTGCACCACTGCACATGTATTCTACTTCTATGGAGATGAGGCTATTCACTTCGACATATGTATTCAGATCTACCTCAATCTATCACGCTGGACCGACTTCCAGGAACTGAAACATTCAGCAGACCATGGCTAATAAGTCTCGGCGTCTCAAGTACATTCACCACTCCGACAGATTATCCTGCGAGATTCGCACACGACTAAAGCAACTACTTCGAAAGCAGCCCAGAGTTCCCCTGCTACATTCGCAATCATTCTGCTACCAGACCGACAAATGTACTTGTGACTGATTCGACGCTCTTTCCGAGCCTCATTCTCGAAAGAACAGCCTGACTAGGCCCATCTTCCGACGGCCAAACCCCACCAACATGAATTCTGCATCAGCACTACGTACTGCGCACGTGCAAAGTACCAAACTAGCCGATGCTTGGAGCCGATAAGCATCTGACCAGTGTCAAGCTTGCATGCCTCTATCTTCTCCTCACCTCCCCAGGACGAGGAAGGTTATCTTGAAAGTGGGTCTGCACGACGCCACCGCCGGGCGGCCAAACCTCACTCTCCAAAAAGGGCTAATCAAGAAAGCGTCGCTACTGTGTCGATTTTGACAACGATGGCCATGCCACGGATAAGTCCCGAGAACAAGAGTGCACAAATTCAATCTATCGTTGAGGCGTTCCCAGAGTTAACTCTACTCGACGAAATATCAAGGCAAAGCTCATATAAATGATGTACCGCCTTGCGCTAGTTACATGTACTTGCTTCGCTGGAGAAGTGATCGTCCCTGCATTGAACGAGGGTTACGCAACACGCCGCCTACGCTGTGACCAAGCAATCGCTTGGAGAAGAAGCCATGCGGCCGTCATGCACGTTGCCTATCTTCTCGCAGACGAAGTCTCGTGGGAAAGATAGGCAGTTGGCTTTGTTCCTACTGAAAGTAAAGGACATGTACTTGACTTCACCTCGTCTCAGAACCTCGTCTCCCAACATCCAGACATACACTTCTAGTTGATCTGCATTGTTGCTTCACCACGACCATGGCATCGGCCGAACAAGCCCTGGCCATCCAATCCGGTCACATCGACAACACCCTCGTCCCCGGGACCGTACATCTCGTCGATATCGATCATACCCTGCATACGAAACACTCTCGCGCCCACAAAGACATTGTCCTCGTGCCCACACCCAGCGACGACCCCAATGATCCGCTCAACTGGACGCCGAGGCGGAAGTTGCTGTCCCTCGTCTGCATGTGCGTTTATGTATGGTTCACGGGGATCTGCAACAGCGTCGTCTACAGTGTCTTGGTGCCGCTCAGCGAGGCTAATGATTTGAGCGTTGCGGACCTCAATGCTGGGACGGGTTATCTTGTGAGTTTTGTCTTACCTCGTAGGCAACCGTACCAGCACGCGAGTACTGACCAATTCTAGTTCCTCCTCTGCGGCTGGGGTCTCCTCTTCTGGCAGCCTTTCGCTCTACAGTACGGCAAGAGACCCACATACCTCATCTCCACCGCCGCGACCGTCGCCCTCACCCTCTGGGGCCCCTACGCGAAAGGCAATGGGCAATGGATCGCCAAGTCTGTGCTCTCTGGCTTCTTCGCAGCGCCTATCGAAGCCTTGCCAGAGATATCGGTTTCGGACGTCTTCTTCAGCCACGAACGAGGGACATACATGGGCGTGTATGCCTTCGTGCTTGCAGGCAGCAATTTCTTTGCACCAGTCATCTGTGGGTTCATCAACGATGGGCAAGGATACAAGTGGGTGTTCTACTACCCGGCCATCTTCGCGGGTGTAGCTTTCCTGTTCTTGCTGTTCTTCATGGAAGAGACGAATTATGATCGGAAGACGGTTGGGTTGGTGGAGAAATCAGATGGAGAGGAGTCTCCTGCTGAGCCGGTGGTCGAAGGTGAAGAGAAGAAAACCCCTACGGCAGAGAATACCCTTCCCTCGGACATCGAGATTGGGCGCGCTTACACCCCCAAGTCGTTCATGCAGAAGCTCGCGCCCTGGGACCCTCAAGCCACACACCCCCAACGCATGCCCTACCGCGCGGTTCTCTCTCTCCGCCTACTTTCCTGGCCCGTCATCTTCTACGCTGGCTTTTCCTACGGCTCCTACCTAATCTGGTTCAATGTACTCAACGCCACTGCCTCCCTTATCCTAGGCGGCGCCCCATACAACTTCTCCACCTCAATGGTCGGCCTGTCCTACGTCTCCTGCTGTCTCGGTGTCATCGCCGCCAGCATCTACACAGGATACTTGTCCGATTGGATGACGATTCGGCTGGCGAGAAGGAATGGAGGCATCATGGAACCCGAACAGAGACTTTGGGGCTTCGCGCTTTGCCTCGTCGTCTTACCAGCAAGTCTCCTCCTCTGGGGCGTCGGCGCAGCTCACCACATCCACTGGTTCGGCCTCATCGTCGCCATGCTCGGCACCTCCTTCTGCAATGCCTGCGGCATCACCCTCAGCGTGAACTACCTCGTCGATTCATACCGCGAGATTGGCGGTGACGGCATGACGACGGTGATCATCGTGCGGAATACGATGAGTTTTGCGATTGGTTATGGGATTACGCCTTGGTTTGACAACCTGGGGGCGCAGAATTGTTTCATATCCGCGGCGTTCGTGGGACTCGTGGCTTGTGCGGTGTTCTTGCCCGTCATTTGGGTGGGGAAGAGGTGGAGGGAGGGGAGTCGGGAGAAGTACTGGGCGTTGGTGGAGAAGCATGTCGGTATGGGAATGGTGCATTGAGGGAAAGAAGGATGGATCGAGGATTTGAACCATTCGTCGCGCGCATTGTCATCACTTGATCCTCACTGGCGGTGGTCTATAGACTCTTTTCCTCTCACAGCCCCGAATCCATTTTCCTCCAATCCGCCCCCTCATAGTAGTCACTCCAAGCCTCACACTCCTCCCCAAAGCCCCTCCCATCCAGCCCCTTGATCTCCTCCGGTGCCTCCAAAAACTGCACACCAAAGCCCTCGTTAATGTGCCACGCAATGTGACAATGCATCAGCCACGCTCCCGGGTTATCCGACCGATACGCGATCGCGAGATACCCATTCCCATAAATTGTCGAGGTATCCCTCCTCGTCGGCGACTCGAAGTTCAATTTGGTCATATTACCCTCCCACGTCGTATTTCCTTGGCCGAGCACGAAGAAGTCGTGCCCGTGGAGGTGGATCGGATGTGGAATGGCGGAGATGGTCGTGTTGGGTGGTTGTTGGATGAGCCAGTAGTTCCAGGCTCCTGAGGGAGCTGTCGGTAGGACGTTGTACAATGAGGGAAGGGCTTGAGTGGTATTCGAGTGGATGTAGGAAAGCGTGGGTTCAGACCAATTGACATCGATTGTTTGGCCCAGCGCCCAGACGACCATGGAGTCGTTGTTGGAGTAATCGGTCACGGCGTGAGTTGTGTTGACTTGGAGGGTGCCCAGTTGTTGCTTTGGGGGCACTGTCTGAGGCCAGTAAGGAGTTAGTGGGGTAGGTTCAAGGCAGTCTGTGGGCTCGGGAAAGGCTGTGCTGTTTGGAGTTCTCGTGGGTAAACCCGAGTAGGACCAGATGGCTCGACCGTGCCAGTCATTATTGTTGCGGCATTCTTTCGCGACTTCAGTGCGGAACCAATAGCTTGCTGGTTGCTGATTTGCCGTGATGATCACATCGTATCTCTGCAAGGAGGATCAGCATCTGGATTCGACGTCTTTGCCATATTCTACGCACCTGGCCTGCCCCAAGGAAGATCCACTCCACAAAGATGGGTTTGATGGGTACAAAGTCCGCAGCAATGATCTCCATTCGATGCCCGTCCAACGAGACATGCATGTAGTTATCCACGGACATGCTGATAATTCGCAGACGGTATCGATTGCCTTGCTCGATAGTGACTTGGTTATATGTCCCTGTTCCATTCGCACTCTCGTTCGTCCCATTGACGAGCATGTTGTTGGCCGCAGGTGGCTTGCCGATCGTCTGTATGGCCTGAATGGCAAGCGAACTTGCTTGCCAGGCTGTGCGGTAGTACCACCTTCACAATAATGTTAGAAATGAAAGGCTGCTGCGGGTAACGGTTCACTCACTCATTGACAGGGTAAGGTCCCAAATCGATATCATAGTTCGCAGTCGCCGGACCATCGAACACAATCGGTCCTGCAACGCCATCCCCGTATTGTGCTGACATAGATCAGTTTTGGTCGCTTCTCATGAATCAAAGAGCTCACCAGAAAAATGCGAATGATACCACCCAGTCCCGAACTGAGTCACATTGAACACGTACGTTCTCTCTTTGCCAGGCGCTATAGGGCACTCCGCAACACCAGGCACCCCATCAGCGGCGTTCGTGTCCAACTGCCTGACGCCATGGAAGTGTATCGTAGTGCCATTATCCTGCATGCTGTTCTTGACATGTACGATCATTTGATCTCCCCATGCCGCTCGCAGAGTTGGTCCAGGGTATTGACCGTTGACCAGCATGCAGATTCGTGCACCGTGGTCATCTGGGTTGCAAGTGCTGTTCGTAATCTCAAGGCTGTACTCGACCGTTTTGCCTGTGGCTGGATGGTATTGATCGAAGTCGTCGTTGATGCTGAAGCCGTTGTCCCAACATCCACGGTTCAGGCTGCTATGAGCGCAAGTCGGCGTTTGTGTGGAGGAGGACGTCGTGTTGAGAGCATGTGAGACGGGTGTTGGAACAGCGTTGGTGGCCAAAGTGAGGAAAAACTGCACCGTCAAAAGTGCTCTCCATGCGGTTATCGACATGGTTGCTCTCGAAGTGACCGACGGCTTTGCAACGTCAGTCCGTCTTGTTGATGTGCTTCCTTTTATCCATGATGCCGCTGCCAGAGACCTTACAGCCTCGTCAAACTACGTAATTGAGTCGTCGCCAGCATCACCATCAGAACAGGCTCATCGTCACCGTTTGGCCATTGCCGCGAACTCCGCTGAGGGCGAACCTATCAAGCATGAGACCTTCCACACAATTTCTGGTCCATAAACACTGAATATCGTTCAATCCTGATGAACAGTCGGTGCATGATAGCTTTTCGGGCCCGAATGAATGATCACATGCGACTCGATTTGCGTGCGATGTCCGTGCGATGGAAACGGCGGATAGTGCGGGCAAAAGTCTCAAAGACAAGCCGAAGACGTTGGAAACTATGCCAGGGGCTCTCACGTTGCACATTGACCAACCCAACACCCCCTTCCTCTTCCCATCCACAGATCCGGAAAAGCATGGAAACTTTCCTCCGTGTAATGTTTGTCGTCTTCTCGCGCACAACAGCCTCGCCATTAGCTCACAAGGCTGCAAGATAGCTCGACTATTGGTAAGAAGCTCTCTCTCGTCAAGCGCTAACATGTACCTTCCACCGTCAATAACCCATAGATAGTCTCATCACCTTGAAAAGAGCCGGGTGCCATGGCTTGTACTGCGTACATGTGGCAGAATCATGACAGCGATAAGCCCGAGAAACCCATCTTCAAGGAAATCACCGACCATATACAGAGGATGTTCCAACAAGCGCAGAGCATGGTCACCGACGAGCAGGGAAATCCGAAGGACTTTGGCCCTGACGAAAAATGAGCTGCTGATGGCTTTTCGGATCTTATCTTCGGTGGAACATGAGCTTTTGCATCTAGTCCATATTTTGTATTGTAGTATTCAGGGGAGTTGTCTTAGAAACGTCAGGCAAATGTAAACTTGAATGTAATTCGTCGTGCAAGTGAATTCATTGTCGATCGTTACCTACATAGGAAGTTGCCAAATACCAACATTAGAAAAGAAAACAAAGACTAGAAGCTTGCTTTAGTGTAAGCCTGTTGTGTCTAGCTAGTACCTCTATGGCCGCGCGTTTATTGCCTCGTTCGCTTTTGCGGAACATCCACCACACTGGTGTACAAAATTTCCACCAGCGAACTTAACCAACTCAACTGGACCAACAAACGGTCTATATTTCCCCCCTTTCTAACATAACCGCTGTGCCTCCACCCAAACCCATTTCCACCGCAACATTCCCCTCCAATCCTAACCCACCATTACTCTCTACGAACAACTGGCAAGTCCTGCCCCGATCGGAGTGCACCCATTACCAGCAGTATTGCACGGATTTGTCTAGCAACAAAAATCAGCTCCACTGAACCCTCTCGCTCATAAACACAACCGAACTCACCGAGACGCAAGCGAAATTCCCTTCATCGCCGTTATTGGCCCAGCAGACTCCATAGTCGCCTCCTTTGGCAAGCTCGCAGTTCTAGGGAGATTAGAAGAAGGACACTGGAAGATTGGAGAGAGAGCGAGGACGTACAAACCATGCGAGGGAGCCTGAGGCTAGGCTGAGGAGGGTGGTGAGGAGGGTGAGTTTCATTTTTGGGTGGGGAGGTGTGTGGACCGTTCTGGAGATCGTTTGCCTGGATAGGAAGTTGTGGGTGGAGAAGGACAGATCTAGAAATGCAGGTTTTATAGGCGTTTGGTGAGTTCTTGCAGCCTGAGGTTCTCTAGCTTATCAGCGCACTTTAGAGCAGTCGAATTCGTGTTCGAAAAAAAAAAAAAAAAAGAAATCGACTTCGCATCGCCGTCGTTCCATTGGCGATGTTCCTCGTTTTCGGACGAGTCTTTGGATTCTGCGAATGGGCGTAGTGTCGGCTCGGTGCAACACGCGCGTCCGTGTTGGGAACTTCCGCAAGGCTACGGCGGTGTGTGATTGGATTGGTAATGTTCTGTAGGAGGTGAGTAGGCCGGTATTTCTCCATCTTAGGCTGTAGAGGCTAGGCAATCGTCAGCCTCCACGCGGGAGGCGAAACACGTGGGCGAGAACCATAGTCATTCAAGCGCGAATCTTGAGGTAACGATCGATCCAGGATCGTGTAGAACTGGAAATCTCAAATTGGTATCTATCCTCTATAATCCCAGGCCCAAAACTCCCGCAAAGTGCAAGACAATCTATTCAAACTCCACCCAAACCAACGGCGTGTTATAAACCGCTCCATAGCTCTCTTTCTCAAACTGCTGCGTCCAACTGATGTAAATTCCTTTCTCACTGGCATCCCCGCTGGGCAACAGCGCCGGATGTGCTTGCAGACTGTATCCACCGATGGGATCATCCCCATTCTTGCCCTGGAAGATGAGATACGGCTCAATCCATGGCCCCTCGGGTGCTGGAGCGGTGGACATGTAGAAGTCGGCGGAGGCGGAGATGGCTTGTTGGCCAATCCAGATGTAGGATTGGTAGGCGGTGGAGTAGTAGAAAGTGCCTTGGCCGCCGGCGCCGGCGTTGGGGATGATGGCAGAGGTGTCGTTGATGCCTGGCATGGTGGACGTCCAGGCGCCGTTGACGTGGTATTGGTAGGTAGAGCGGTCTTCGACAGAGGAGGTCGGGACTTTGGCCAGGACAGTGCCTTTGCTTGCGTCCGTTTGTCCGTAGAGGTAGAGGGTATTGTCGCGGACGACGCTGCCGTATTGACCGAAACCGATCTCGCCTTCTTTCCAGAATTGAGAATCCACGACGCTGACGGTGGGCAGGGCGTTGGGGTCTAAGCCTGGAGTATACGATGTTTTGTACAGTGTATGGGCTGGCTCAGCGTTCAGGCTGGTCAACTCCCGCAAGTGGGATTTGGCAATCCAGGTATAGCCGGTCGCGCCCCCGTCCATTGCAGAGTCAGTAATGACGGGCGGCTGGTCCGGCCATATCGCCCATCGGCTGCTATCGGGGCAAACGCCATTCGTAGGACATTCATCTTCTAGCACTTGGAAGTACGTGTTCAAGCTGTATGCGTTGTTCCCGTACATCTTCAAGATGTTGTTCGATCCAGACGAACCAGCGCCGACAGCTCCCGTCTCAAAGTGAGGCCCGCCTTTGGTCATGTCCATGTTCGTCCAGCTTGCAGTGTTGGTGACGAGTGGCAAACTGCACTCGTCCTTGCCAGCGTCGTACAGAGTGGTGTCTCTGCAAGTCCACAGTGCTCGGCCGCCTACTCGCGATGACCCGCACGAGTCGCGGCTTAATGAGGGATCTGTTACATTGGCCGCATAGTTTGTGCTTTTGACCTTGGGCCTTACTTCCGCTCTGGGCAGAAGTCGTTGTGGCAAAGGTGCTGAAAGTGCTTGGACAGCCAGGCCGGCAACGAGAAGAATCGTGTTAATCATGATGTGGTCCGAGAAAGAAAGTCGTGAAAAAGTCCAAGCTCCAAAGAAAGTTGTCGCTCCCCGGGTACTGATAACGTATACGTTGGCAGGCTGCGAACGAAGAAATCAAAGGCTGACGTCGGGTCTCCGCCCAGAAAGGCTGTAATGTTGGAATGTCCGGTTGAAGGAGGTTGAAACACACGGGGACCGGCCTCGTGCGCGCTGCAGCCTTTCGAAGTCGTGGCTGTATTTCTAAAGAAAAGTCGTAATGACGGTACAGATGGTTGGTATTGTGGTTAGGAAGTGACTGTGTTGCCAGAAATGGCGTGCAACGAGTGACAAGAAAAGCGTGATAATGTACCAACAACCAAAAAGAGAGAGAAGCAACACACAATGGTCAGGAAACACACAGAGAGCAGTATGCAAGGAAGAGGCCGAGTGCTTGCATGCAGAGGGCGGAGTATTGTTTTGTTCGACCTGCTCGAGACGCTAAAGCCCAAAACGGCAAGCAGGCGAATCCTTAGGGGGCCAATGCAGGAGGCTCGGGCGTGAAGTGAGACGAACCAACGTTTTTTTGGGGCTTGCTGTCTACCCACCAACAATAGCTTCCACAGCCTTTTGAAACAGGAGCGGCGCCGCCATTCTTGTAACAGCGGTTTCTTTTTGCAGTGGATGGCCTAGAAGTCGACCATGCTCATGCAGACTTCTCACATGTGGCGGTCGCAGCTCTCTTGGACGAACACCTCTTGCAATTCCGCTGGCAACAGCAAAGGTCGTCCGGAAGGCCGGTTCAGTTCACCGTGCACACGTGCTTTGATCATCATGCTGCAGGCCAAAGACATGCCAGCAAGTTCTTTGATCCTCTGGCTCGTGACAGCCTCAAATGCCAACCTCTCAGCAAAATGACCCTGCCTTTCACCAAATGTCAGCTGCCTCTCGTCACACATACATTAGGTAACATCCAGCACACTCATGCGCGTCCTTTCTTCTGCTTTTTTTCTTTCTCAAGACTCCGGCAACATCCCAAAGGCGCTTCTCTCCCCAACGGCGTGACGTGTGTGTACAAAACGCTGAACCCGCTAGCCCGTCCACGCGTAGATCTGATACAGGGGGTGGAACGTCGGGCTGACAAGCCAGCGCATAAAACCCACTCTGGCAAACAATTGCGCGGCTTTCTCACCAGCGCGAAAGAATTTTTCCTCGTATTGTGACGATTGGCGTGTTGGACTTATGAAGAGTGAAGTCTGGTCGAGTGGTCAGGGACATCCCAGCTTTCGTTTCCAGCGCGATCTGAAACAGGGATTCCCTCCTTCGGCAGTTGGCGGCAACCCGGGCGCTAGCGGGTACGTTGGCGCTTGTTCCTGAACTAAAATGTTGATGGACGATGCGTGACGTCTCTGTTCAACGTTTGGATGGCGATGGTGACGTCTCTTCATAACGTCTGTCGTGAACAGCAACGATGGTATCGTGATTCGTACGCCAGAGATGAGATTACACTTATGGTAGGAAGGAAGCGGTACCCGTACACCCATCCAACTCCCAACTCCCAACACTCAACCTCATTGCTCCCCAACTCTTCCCTCCCCTCTCCTCTTCCACCAATTCCAAGCCCACATACTATACGTATACGTCTCAGCCGTGGCAATGATTCCGATCCCCAGATACACGACCGCTTTGACGGTCGGGCTGGCTCCCAGGTCTTTGAAGCTGAAGGAGGGGATTTCCGGTGTATCTTCTTCGCGCTTGGTCTTTGGGTTTGGTTTTGGAGATGTGCTGTAGAGTCGTTTTGATGAGAGGCGGGGAGTCGACCTGGGAAAGTGGGCGAGTTGGCGGGTGAGGAGGAGGGTCATTTTTGTCTTGGTTGCCGGTTGCAGGTTGATTCGTGTGTTCGCGTCAAGGGTGGTGGTGATGTATTTCTGCGTGAAGCTGGTATGCTGCTTGTATGCTTGGTAGGCTATGCGTGGTATCTACTTGATATATCAGTTCTGTTCTCAGCTTTCGTGTTCGTATAGCTCATGTGTCACAGATCGGCACCCGGCCACCGGGTTCGCATTTCTTTCTGAAGGCAGCCCGAAAATCCCCGATGAACAGGTCAGCAGGTATGTGCAACATAGAAAGAGTCATTATGATTGAGTAGAGTAGATATGTCGTGTGGACCAAGTCTAGTTATTATAGCTTTGCCGGCGCCGGTGTGATGGCGAACAACTTATTGAACATGTTGGTCGGATCGTACTTGGCTTTGATCTGCTGCAACCGCTCATAGTTCTCGCCGAAGATGTCTTTCGAAATCTCATCGTATTGCTGTTTGGTGTTAGTAAGGATTGTTTAGAACTCGTGTTTCAGACTCACATCATAGTTGCCGTACAGCATCACGGCACCCTTATGGCCTCTCCTCCCCACAACACGCTCAATACCCTTGCCAGGCTCCTCACCATGAGCCTGAAGTTCCTCTTTGAACAAGTTCGAAACGTCTCGAGCCCATTGCCTGCAGGCCTGGTCGTTCTCCTTGCTGCCCCATGTCGGCATAACCAAGCCGTTGAGATGGTAGCCTCGGTTTGCGTAACTGCCGGCATCAAGTTCAGTCACCTTGACGGGATCGTACAGCTCCCATGCGATCAAGCTCGGTGCCGCATCTTGATTCGATCCGAGGAATTCATCGTATTTGGCAATGACGTTGCTCACGAATTCTGCTCGAATTGGGAGGACAAATGCGGCGCCTTTCATGCTGCTTCGCATGCCGATGACGGCTGGGACCAGGTCGTTGACCTTGGGGTATGGCTGCATCGCGGCTGTGTTTTGAAAAGGTCCGATGTCATAGAAGCCCTTCAGGACTTCCTTGGCCTCTTCTTCCGTACCGAAAAATGAGAATAATACGAGGATCATGGTGTGACCCTCTGCAGGGGGCGGCTTTGCAAGTGCGAGGAGTGAGCCACATCGGCCTTTCGCTTTGGTCTCAGGACCGTTGGGACCGTCTTTCACGGTGTACAAATCGTTTGCTGTAGCAACGATCTTCTCGATATTGTCAGGTGTGGGAGGAAAGACCATCATGCCTGCGAAGACTTCGCCTTGTGGGTACGCTTGCAGAACGAATTCGGTGGTCACCCCAAAGTTCTGTCCCGCTCCTAGCAAAGCCCAGAACAAATCCGCATTCTGATCTTTGCTCGCTTTGGCGATATCTCCGTTGGCAAGCACCACAGTAGCACCGACGACATTGTCGATGACGAGACCACGGGAGCCTGTAAGATGGCCGTAGCCGCCGCCAAGAGTAAGACCGCCAACGCCAGTGTCTGCGACAGTGCCTCCTACGGTTGCCAATCCATGCTTCCAGGCTGCTTGATCAACGTCGTGCCATAGAGAGCCACCTTGGACGTGCAGTAATTGCTTATCGGCGTCCACACTGACGTTACGCATCTTGCTAAGATTGATCAGTACTCCGCCGTCGGTGCTGCTGGCGCCTGCGGTGGAGTGACCGCCGCCCTTGACAGCGAGATCCAAATCGTGCTCGGTCGCATATTTCACAGCGATGGACACCTTCTCAATGTTAGCGAAGATCTCTCTATCAATTTTTCTTACATTTGCAGACCTCCTCCGCTGTGGTTGGCACAACAGATACCCCAGCAGGCTTCTCTGCTGCTCTCGACCATCGTTCGACTGTGGCTGAGTAGCCATCGTCTGAAGGACCAAAGACTTGGGCACCAGTTCCTGAAAGGAGCTTCTTCAGCGAATCGACGTCCGACGCAGTGGCATTCTGCTTAGCACCCATGTTGTATTCTTGCAGCAGGGACCGAGATATGATGTGGAGTAGTACGAGATGAACGCCTCCCAAAATACTGCCACAAGGCGGAGTCTTAAATGTGTTAGCTGAGATTCAGCCTGTGAGACAATTAGTCGTACGTCCATGGAGGCAGGCGTCGCATTGGACTTGGTCAGCTGAGAAGTCTGGGCTTACATATACTTGGCAGGATGCCTCACTCGTCTAGCGTTTACGCACGAATCCGGTGCAAGAAGCGAATGCTAAAGCGAGGCCGTGTTTATAGTTGAGGTGTGCGGGCGGCGAAAGTTGCTGTCAGTCTCAAAGGGGAGGTTGAGATGAAGCTATCCACAGCTCTTCGAAGCGAGCTGAAACTGGGTCTGCGGGTCCGCTGTTTCTTCGCAAGAAGTGGCTGTGAGCTGTCAGCGAGTCTCGCAAGCGTAGCTTTCCAAGAGGAACGGCTGGACAGTAGGTATGGAATCATGCAAGGAATCCTACACGTCAAGTCATCCTGCCAGGTTCCTCCAACTCGTGTTGGTAGGGCTGCAAAGCTCGTGGACAACTCTGGCCCCAACAGTCAAGGCCCTAATATGACGCTCTAACCGAGACGACGTATTATCACTGAGCAGGTGAGGCAGTGCGAGAAGTATCCATGTCTAGGATCAAGCTTCAACACGGCTGTGTACTCAAGCGCCACGCGTGGTAATGCTCAGGCCACTCGTCAATGGAAAATCCGACTGGTATGATTCGGAGCAACTACGCTCCGTGTTTCCTCATCGGAGTGGTGGCATGATGCATGTTCCACGCCAGCGACTGATGCAAAGCGCAGTGTTGATGTTTCTAGGGAGATGAAAGGAGGAAGTCGACTGGACGTACACCAAATCGAGACTGATATGGTCCGTGCTCAATCCATGACGTCGCCCAGCGCGTCGTCCAGCTCTGACCGCGTCGAGGTGAATGTTCCGTCTCTGATTGACATGTGATCCATCCACAATGCATCAGCATCGCCAAGATGAGCACGCCGAGCAAGCGGCGAAAGAAGAACGACTACCAGGCCTCGCCACAGCCGGTCAAGAGCTTGGACTACTTCTTTGGCAAGCAGCGAGCTGAGAAGGAAGCGAAACCAGATGGAGAGACTGCCGTGAAAGAGCAGGCCAAGGACCATCATACGGGCACAGATGTGGAAGCAACTGGCGGCAGCGATGAAGAGTTGACGGATGAACAGCTTGCGCGCAAGCTACAGGCGCAATGGGATGAAGAGGAGAGGCTTCAGCAGACAAACGGCCATGAATCCACAGCACAAGAAGATCAGGAAGTACTCACCGAACACATGGTGGCGGATGGCCTCCAATCTCCTCAGAAGGCTTCAAATGAGGGGGAAGGCGAAAATGGCACAGGCAACACCACTTCAGCTACCAATAACGCGTTCGCGGCCATGGGCAAGAAGAACACGCTCTCCCTGCAATCCGCGACCGCCGAGGAAGACACCGTATCCCATGAAATTCCGTTCGACGAGTCGCCTCTCATATTCGATCCTCAAAAGTACATACCTGAGTTGAAGAAGCAGTGGGCTTCTGAAGGTGGGCTGGCAACATATGCCTTGCTCACTCACTGCTTCGTCCTCGTCAACAGTACGCAATCACGAATCAAGATTGTTGATACACTTGTCAACTTGATTCGTACCCTCATTGAAGGTGATCCAGACTCGTTGCTTCCCGCTGTCTGGCTAGCGACCAACGCCATATCTCCCCCATACGTCGACATCGAGCTCGGACTGGGAGGTTCGGCCATCTCTAAGGCTTTGAAAAAAGTCTGCGGACTGGACAATTCTTCGCTAAAGACATTATACAACAAGTACGGCGATGCGGGAGATGTGGCATTTGAGGCCAAGAAACGACAAAGTCTCACACTTCGCAAGCCGAAGCCTCTCACCATCAAGGGCGTTTACGAAAGTTTGCACAAGATTGCCAATGCAAAAGGACAGGGCTGTCAAGAGGTCAAGCAGCGAATCGTCGAAAGATTGGTGCAAGATGCTAGAGGTGCCGAAGAGAGCAGATACATTGTTCGTACTTTGGTGCAACACCTTCGAATTGGCGCTGTGAAGACGACTATGCTCATTGCTCTGTCTCGCGCGTTCTTGCTTTCCAAGCCACCAGGATCCTCGTATGCAACGAAATCGAGAGACGAACTTCGAAAATTCAGCAAGCAGGACTTGGCCGAAGTCTACTCTCATGGTGAGGAGTTGGTAAAAGCCAGTTTTGCCCGTCGACCCAATTATAACGACTTGGTTCCTACACTCATCGACATTGGCATTGACGATGAGCTGCTAATACGATGCGGGCTGGCAATGCACATCCCTCTGCGGCCTATGTTAGGAGGCATCACCCGCGATTTGGGGGAGATGCTCACCAAGTTGCAGGGCCGCGACTTCAGCTGCGAGTTCAAATACGACGGCCAGCGTGCTCAGGTGCATTGCGATCAAGACGGCAAAGTCACGATCTTCTCGCGACATCTCGAAGTCATGACTGAGAAGTACCCCGATCTGGTTGCATTGGTACCGAAGATTCGCGGCGAGGGAGTCAGCAGCTTCATCCTGGAGGGCGAAGTCGTCGCTGTGGATCGAGGGTCTGGAGATTTGAAGCCCTTTCAGATACTGGCGAATCGAGCAAGGAAGGACGTGGTCATCCAAAGCGTCAAGGTGGATGTCTGTCTGTTCGCTTTCGATCTCATGTACTTGAACGGAGAGGAGCTGCTGGATCGATCGTTCCGGGAGAGACGAAATTTGCTTCGCAGCTTGTTCATTGAGATTCCTAACCATTTCACCTGGGTGAAAAGCTTTGATGCCACTTCGGCGGACGGCGACGCTGTCAGCGACTTCTTCAAGCAGGCCACAGACATCAAATGTGAAGGGATCATGGTCAAAGTGTTAGACAATCTGCCCAATCCTGAGCTCCAGGCAGAGATGGACGTGGAGCCTGCTGAAGAAGTGTCAGCTCCAAAACCTGCACCAAAGCCGAAGAAGGGGAAGAAAGCGAAGAGCAAGCCTGGCGACAAAGACCCTGCCGATGAGCCTGAGGAGAAGAAGTCCGGCCGCCGCAAAGCCCTCCTTTCCACCTACGAACCCGACAAGCGTCTCGACTCATGGCTCAAAGTGAAAAAGGACTACAACACGCAGACAGACACCATCGACCTAATTCCCGTCGGTGGATGGCATGGCCAAGGACGCAAGAATGCGTGGTGGTCACCCATCCTCCTCGCCTGCCGCAATCCAGACACCGGCAGCCTTGAAGTCGTCACTAAATGCATCTCCGGCTTCACCGACGCCTTCTACAAAGCTAACCGTGCCAAGTATGATCCTGGCGGACCCAATGTCATCTCTCGTCCCTCATATGTCGAATACGGCGGCGAGCCAGACGTTTGGTTTGAACCGCAAGAAGTATGGGAGATGCTCTTTGCGGATATCACGTTGAGTCCGACGTATACGGCCGCCATTGGGCTGGTGAGCGAGGATAGGGGCTTGAGCTTGCGGTTTCCGAGATTTCTGAAACTCAGGAAGGATAAGAGCATTGAGGAGGCGAGTTCGAATGCCTTTTTGGCGGGTCTGTATCAGAAGCAGATGGAGAGGGCGCCGGCTGAGGGGAAGGGGGATGTTGGTGGGGAGGAGGGTGAAGAGGAGTGAGCTGGCTATGGACAAGCTGCCAGACAAACATTGCTGTGTTTGCATCTCCAACATTGTCTTCCACCGAGCGAAGCTAGAGCCCCGAAGGAGAGCCCACACATCGGCCACGTCTACTCGTCCCTCGGCAAGCTCCGTGCGAAGCGCGAGTAGCAGTCGCTTGCCATCTACTGGCCGTGATCGGGGCTTCACGGAGTGGGACGCCGAGAGCTCGCCTGCTGAGGATAGGGGCGTCATTTGAGGAGGCCCACTGTTACTGGACCTTGGCGAAAACTTTTCGTCGTCATTGAATCGAAAACACGATCTCTTCGAGACTTTCTAACGCTACTAGGAGCTGAAAGCCGGTCTACATGCTACTACAAGTTGACGATTAGATATCCTCGGCCTCCTTCTGCTTAGAACGAACTGCTCAAACTACCAACCAAACCACTTCTTCATCCGCTTTCCAATACCTCGCAGCATGACAGGCTCCAGGACAGGCTCTGGATAAGGCTTGTGGATGGTGATACTGCCTTCGTCATTCGCGAAAGACACGGCGGGCCTGCCGCCGATTGAGCTGGCGCTGAAGTCAGCATCGACTACTGAGACCGAGCTCGAACGACCACCCGAAAGTCCTTCGGTTTCACAAGGAAAATGTCCACCGTTTCGAACCTCTCCATTCTGTCGACCAAATCGAAATCGAACTGTGAGATGACCATCGGAATGACTTTGCACATCTCGAGCATCGATATGTGTCGTCCGATACATGTCCTACTCCCCAGACCAAATGGCATGAAGTAGCTATCCATGAGCTTGAGCTTCGCAGCATCGCTTTCGATCCAACGCTCAGGCTTGAATGAAGTGGCGTCCGAGCCCCAGATATCTTCATCATAGTGCGCGACCCATGAGTTGATGCCAATCTCGGTGCCTTCTGGGAAGAAATGGCCCAGCATCTTGCCCTCTGCTATAGCCTGATCCAGCTCCGCCCTCAGCCGCTGCATAGCACGCGGAGTAGTAGTAAGATGCCAAAAGACGCTGCTAAGGCTGATGGCAGTCGTGTCAGATCCAGCCAGAATGTTCGCAAGGCCGACCGCGAAGACATCGAACTTGGTCATGTTCTTCTCAGGATCCCGTTCAGCGTCTATAGCGAGGTCTAGAAAGTCTCGGGGCGCACCATCAGCGGGAATGTGTCTTTTGCCGTCCTTTTCTTCCGCTGCTCGCTCGATCTCCCGTTCGGAGACACGTCTCTGCGCGAATTTCATCAGAAACGTGCGTCCAGCCGCTCCGGAGCCGGGCATCTGCTCCAGGATTCTGTACAGGATGGGGTGCGCCCATGAGTAGATCCCCGCGAGTGTTCCGTACACTGTCTGGGCATGGAGCGATGATAAGGCATGATCAATGTCTTTGCCTTCGTCCAAGAACCCGAATCGCTTATTATACGTAATATTGCCAACCTGTCTGATCAGCTCTGCTCCCACAAATCGAAATCACAGACTCACAACATCGAACGCGTAACACTGTATCCAACGATGCATATTCACCGTCTTGCCACTCTTGACCATCTCACCCAACCTCTGTTGAAAGACGTCCTGTGTCGTCTCCACGTATTTTTCGTAGCGCAACAAGCTGCTCATGCTGTACATACTCTGGAACTTCCGTCTCATCTCGGCGTGCTTTCGTATATTGCGATGAGCCAACAATCCCGGCTCCATATCAGGATGCTTGAATGTATTGTAGAAGGAGCTGCTCGTCGAATGAGATTCAGCCCTCGCTCACGTCCTTAGGGAGGCCCTCAATACTTACGTCTTGGGCATCTTGCTGCTGATTCCGTAGACCACGCTCTCGGGTCGAGATATGGAATACAGGTTGGGTCCCAATCGCACGACTGGTGCGTAGAAGGAGCCTGCAGGTGCATACTTCCGGTGTAGATGAATGTTTTCCCAATGTGCTTGACCTCTCCATGTGCTCTGGAAGAACCAGAGCCTAGTGAATCGTGCTAAGAATGGCCCTGGAACGTTACGTAAGGGTGATGTGGCTGCAGGGATGACCGAGTAGCAGACGAATGCAACCGGTATCAGACAGAAAGCGAGCAAGCCAAAGGGTAATATCTCGCCGAACATATTGAAGGCGTCCGCAGAAAGATTTCTCACTTAGTCGTGCGGCTGGCTTGCGACCTGTATATTCATGAAACGGCTGATGTTGAGCCCTATCCCAGCCCTATTTCCTCATTAACTCTGCCCTTTTTGCGGTCGTCTCTTGTGAGGATGACCATCGATGTCCTCGTAGGGCCTGCCAGAAAGGTCAGCATGCTGACGGACGACAAACAACTCAAGCGGGAGGTCGCAATAGTTCGGGAGCTTACATTACAAGAAACGCGAGACCTCAGCCAGCTGCTGATGTGTTCATCGTTTTCGGAGTTATTTGCGAGAGAGGAGTTCGGTCTACGGACACATGCCGAGCTTCATGGTGGAAAAGGAGATACAGTATGTATATTACCATAGCCCTGCTCCGTTGTCCTGATCGCTCGGCGATGTTGATGGTGCCTGCAAGTGAGGACTAGTTGAATCGATCCTTTCTAACCGTTTTTCCTGGATCCCATGAGAGCTTCAGCGTGTGAACAGCTTTTATCGTAACGATACAACAGCACCATGAACGCACAGGAGAGAACCACAAGGCTGCATACTCCGCAATCATCAGCCAAAGATCTTGTAGCTCTTCAGGTCCAACGCATGTTGAATAATACGGGAGCTTATCCCACCCAGCAAGTCTTCATTGGCTATGTCTTGCTCGACAAGAAGTTGTCGAGCTCATGAAGCAAGTTCCGCTTCCTCGTCTCGGTTAAAAAGCTCGACTGGACGGAATTTCTTGCGAGCTTGACCATGTCCTCATCAGAGAAGCCGAATTCCTTCTGCACTAACTCGTACTCGTTCAGGAGCGTCGTTCGAAACATAGGTGGATCATCAGTGTTAAGGGAGATCATGAGGCCGTTGTCAAAATAGGTTCGAACCGGGTGATCTCGAGGAGATGGAATGCCACCAGTGCAGACGTTGCTTGTCACGCACAGCTCCAGAGGAGTTTGTCGTTGCTTGAGCACTTTGACCAGCTCAGGGTCAGATACAGCCGTCAGCCCGTGACCAATGCGTTCAGCCCCCGCAGAGAGCGCGTCCCAGATTGAAAAGGCTGGGACAGCCTCACCGGCATGGGCCGTGACTCGTAGACCGGCCTTTTTGGCTCTCGCAAAGAATTCCGCAAAGTCGGCAACAGGTCCAGCTTCCTCGTTACCGCCAATGCCAATCCCAACAATGGAAGGCATGGTCTCTTTTAGTTTTACGGCCTTGCTGAGAACGACCGCCGCATCTTCCAGTCCAAATTGTCGAACAGCATCAACGATCCAGAAAATAGTGGTTCCGTACTCTTGCTCGCCTTGAATCCTGGCTCTCTCGACGGCCGCCATGGCTGCCTCTACAGTAGTGGTCTTCTCCCTTAGGATATGGTTGAAGCTAATATACACTTCAGCATGGCGTACACCTTGAGAGGCCAACGTCCTGATCATGTCGGTGACTATCAGCTCGAAGTCCTCAGGATCTAAAAGGCGATTCACGACTTCGCGAAATGCCCGGAGGAAGCCGAGGAAGTTGTCATAATGGTACAACCTTTCTGCTTGCTCTAGAGTGAGTGGAGTCTTGTCGTGTCGCTGGGAAAGTGCGACGAGAGTTTCTGGCTCAATCGTCCCTTCAAGGTGAAGATGGAGCTCGCATTTTGGAAGATCACGCAACCATGAACGATTTTGGGTTTGCGGTGACGATTCCGGCATTGGTATAGCGTATGTCAGCATTTACGATAGCTCTACAATGTCCTGACTGCGGAGCCGAAAAAATTTGAGATGAAAGAAGTATCGTGCTTCAGGAGATGTTTCGTAAGACGCCAGCTTTCATATCTATGGCATAATTGCCTGACTCAGCAATCAGACTTTTGTCGGGCAAGTCTAACCTTTAGCGGCCTCGTTCCATCCTGCAGCCTTGGGCTTACGCCCTACAAGCCAGGCGCATACACGGGACGCTTTGCAGAAGACTGACAACCTGGTATACCACAGCATGCTACAGTAAATGTTATCTGCTACAGTGGGGGTAAGTCGCGAAATCTGAAACCGATTCTGGTCCAGAAAAGATAGGCGGCTGGCAGTCACGATATTAGGCCATGGTAAGCAGACACAGAACAGAGTCAGTAATTGGGGTTGAAGCCGCGCTTGTATCTCACTATCTCGATCCCACTAATTTCCAACACAAAACCACAGCCGTACATTTCCTTAGACACCTCACAGCACAGAGAGGTCGACCTTGAGGCTGAGTAGGTGCTCTGGGACGTCGTCAATCGTCGCATCCGCTTTAGCCCGAGCCATCTCCAGCAACACCTCAACGTCTTCAACAGATGTCCCATTCCCAATCTCGAAAGCATGCCCGTCAGACAAGATCAACTTATCTGGCTGAACACTTCCCTTGCAACCCTTCTCGCTGAGAATCCTTAGGCGCTCTTCCTCCGGCAGCTCCATGAAGTCCGATACAGGATCTCTTTTACAGCTGGTCGAACATTGAGAGAGCGCGTGCCACATGCTGCCGGTGGTGAACTCGATTCCGTCGGGATTCGTGAGGCACAGATCCAGTCCGGTGTTCGATATGACCACCTTTCCGCCGCAGGCATCGCTTCCCGAGCCTGTGAGGAGAGAAGCGACACCATAGACATGTAGGCCGGTAACGTAGACAGAGTCAGAGTAGCCGGAGATTGATCCACAGCAAACGTCATGTAAAATGTATGAGCATCTTGTGATTCAACGGTCAGTATGTTTGACATGAACAGTCGTTTGCAAGCGAACTCACTGCACAGAGTTGCCTCGGCAGCCTCCATTGACGTGGTTGCGAAGAGTAACAGCGTTTGTGAGTGAGATAGCAGATGCCATCAAAGAGACGACAGCAGCCTTCATGATTTCGGAACTGTTGGGGTGGAAGTAGCGTTGCGTAGGGAGCAGCAAGTGACAGTACTCGTGCTGCTGAGATAGTCCTATTGTCCTACTGCTGTGGGCAGAACTCACCTGTTTATAAGTTGTGCTTTGTGCGTACTTCTTAGTAGGTGCCGGTAAAACCCTCGTTCACTCAAGTTCCTTCCGGTGAAGCTACGGTTAGACAAGGGATGCAACCTCGCCATTCTCGCCGATGATGCCTCCCATGAGGAAGCTGTTCCTTGAACATAGCCCTATATCGTGTCTTATGATCGTCGACATAAAGTTGGAATCACTTCGGCCTCGGACACTCCGGGACCCCCTGGTGTGGTGGTTGTGCGGTCCATAGAGATGCAAGCGCTAGTCATCGTCGCACAAGTATTGTCGTGGGTGCAATCCTACGCTAATGAACACGGACACAATAGTGGAGCTGATCCTTCGTGCCCCAGGCTGAAGCTGAGAAGGATCACTGTGGAGCTCGAGAGCCTTGGCAAACACGGCAGCCTTGCCGTCAGGAAACCTCCACTTGCGCAGCAAGCAGTATCAAAGGTATAAGTTGAATTCGTATTGTAGTATGCCTCCGCAGATTCAATTTGCTCAAGCGACGGCAATGGTGCCACAAAGCTGCATATTTGAAATACGGGAAACGCAGTATTGGACGAGGTAGTGGAAGTATGTTGAATACGAAAGCCTCAGTGCTCACAATTGTGAAGTGCTACAGAGGGAACAAAATCACCCGAAATTACTGGGGAGCAACACAGTTCAAAGAGACGGTGTCGCCGTGCATACTGAAACTAGCAATACTAACAGTCGCTGCTTCCATCCACCCGGTCTAGCTTCGCTGTTCATCCCTGCAAAAAGCTACACTACGCAATAGTGAGATATCTACCCCACCGCATATGCAACTACACAATTCACTGAGACTCAATATGTTTCCGACAAATGTTTCCGGGAGCCCCTATTCCCGATCTCTTGCGAAGCCCCCATGTCATTCTGGATCCAGTCTTGCTAGTGGCGATGCAAAATTTGCGCACTTCGATGCCGGAGATATGAGCAGGGCAGGAATGAAATCTCATCCGTCCTGGAGAGTATGGCTCGCGAGGTGGCCAATGGGGCAATCGGGTGAGAAAGACCCTGAAGTACCGTTCAGAGTCGACAATCACGGTGGAGTGACAATGTTGTGTCAACCATGGTTGAAGGATCACCGTCGGCCCGGCTTCTTTGAAAGTGATTGAAGAAAATGCGGCAAATTCGAAAAGGCAACAGAGTGAGGTCCGTTCGTGGAACATAAGTACTGCATTCGTTCTTGCAAAGCTTTTTATCCTCATCCACATCACTCAATACAAGCTTTCGGACTTCAGCTTTTTGACACCTTGCAATCGCCATCATGCACTCTCTACTCTCTACTGTCATTCTTGTTCCGTTCGCCCATCTAGCATTGGCAGGATGCTACAGCGGAGGTGCACCATCGCCTTCTGATCACGCTGCAACGCTGGCCGCGATTCAATCAGCCTCCTATCAGATGGAACTTGACAGTCCCCTTTCCGTGGGCGAGCATGTATACAGTATGTACAAACGTTCATACAATATGTCCTGGTGGCGATTACTGACAATGTTTGGCGAGAATAGACACTGTCGTCGAAGGAAAGTGTCTCCACTTTATCCTGGACAACATTTCCGGCAGCTCGAAATCCATCAAGACCGGCGAAGCATCAGACGGCTTCTCCAAAGAATACCGCGGGTGTGATCACGGGGGAGATACTTCTTACACTAACTGGAGATACGTGTATGTCAACTTTGGGTTGAAATCTTGATAATGAGATGCTGAAGATCACACAGGATGGACGCAAACCAAGACACAAGGAACTGCAGATGGGCGTGGGGAGGTAGATTGCTCAATCTGTGAGTCGAAGGCGATATTTGCGCGAAGCTGCCGAATGGCCTTGCCTTGGGGAATTGTGCTGGTGTGGGTACAGACTTTGTGAGTGTGACGTGCGATGTACCGCAAGATCAAGAAACACAAAGTTGATCGATGATTTCGAAGTAGCTAAAGGGCCATGTACGGCACGAGTGGTATGCAGGATTCAAATGGTAGTCAAAACTCCAAGCTGGCACACGCTTCAATATCTCAAATAGATGGCACATGTTTTCTGCCGATCTCTGGGTAAACTCCACGTCCTGCATTCACGTAACGTGTTCCTCGTCCGAAGGACACGACAACGACATGCTGTTCTCAATCGCTATCTAGTCGCTACGCCCCGTTCAAAGTTGTGAATTGGTCGATCTTGGATATTTCCCAATCGACTCGACTCTTGACTCAGTGCCTCTACTCAGACGCAACTCTCTCTCCTTTGAGATGACACGGTCTGCACATTTACTCGAGCCCGCTCAAACGGAACTCCTCGCAGCTTCATCGTGAGCAGTTGCCGTTGCGTATGGCATGATGTTGGTATTCCTGCAGCTAGTAACATGATCTCCTCAGCTTGATGAAAGTGTGTCTTTCAGCTTTGCCTTCATGCACGGGTCCTCCACAAGTACGTACACTTACTTACGAAGCTAGTACCACAGGCGATACGTAACTCACTGTGACAATCGCTGGAAGATCAGATGATATGGCAAGTGACTGAATATAAATAAGCAATCAACTTCTACACATTGGGTTCTCAAACTCGACACAATATTGCCAAATCGTGATGTGGTCAACTCAACTATTGGCCTGCGCTGTAGGGGCAGCTTCAGTTGTATCAGCCCAGACGGCGTACTACACGCCACAGCCAACCCCTATGCCATGTTACGGCGATGCTTGTGTAGACCCTACTTACGACAATCTCCGTTACCAGGATAACACTATTATCCGACGACCTGGAAAGAACGGAGCAAGTGACATTTACTTTCGTTTCTCCAAAGGCGATCACCCAGGTAAGCGGCGTGTCACTGAGAGGGTTGGACTTTGCTAAGAGACACAAGGCGACGGCATCAATGTTGCGACTTCAGACAGCTTGAGTGGACAATGGTACCGACACACCATGTTGAACAGCAAATCGTCTGCTAAGGATACACAGGCATTTGAATTTCACCATCCTTGGTCAGCTTAGCGACATCAGCAAGTCAGACTGCGTCGGTGGTTCGTACAAGAACTACAGCTTTCCCAACTCCGATTTGAATCGATGGGCTCCAGAAGTTCACTTGCAAGTATAGACACATTCACCTCTTACGCTTTGAAGGTACCGTCTACTGACCTTACGACACGATGTAGCATCAACAACCAGTACTACTTGTTTTATACGGTGGAGGACCAAACCAATGGCTATTGTTTCGATCAATGTGTGGCCACCAGTCCCTCGATGGATGCTGGCACCTGGACCGATCATGGGTGAGAGAGATGCTCTTCCACAGCAGGGTCTCCAGTCACTGATATGTTAGGACTATGAATCTACCGAACAGGAACTTCGCAGCTTGGCGTCGCATTGACGGCAACATCTTGTCTGACGCTAGCGACCCTCAAGGCGTTGTTTCGCCATACATGGCATTCAATAGCTTTGGATATGGCATCTACGGCATCGATCTGAACAACGACTATCTGACAGCTAAAAATGTCGAGCCAAAGCTCTTGATCAAGTCACAAGACCAGCCGGTAAGTCTGTCCCCAGCCTGCATTGGTCAGCTACAAGGCTGACAGGGACTCCGCTGCCAGGGCGGAAATCGTACCGAAGGCGCTTTCCAACTGCGCCATAACGGATACATTTATCTCTTTTACTCGCGCGGCTCCTGCTGTTCGGGAGGAGATGCCGATCCACAGAGTGTCTATCGAACTCAGGTTTGCCGCACCAATGCAACCACCCCAGTAGGACCGTACTACGACCGCGACAATGTTGATTGCAGCAATGGTCCTACGAGTCGAGCTGGATCCACCATTTTGTATCCAGTGACACACAACTGGGAGCCTGGTTCAGTGTCTGTTCTCCTTGATCCCAAGGAAGGCTTGATCATGACTTATCAGTACTTGGACACGACAAGGCAGAGCCCAGGTCCGTTCCTCGGCTGGGGATTGAACTACTTGACATGGCAGAGCGATGGTTGGCCAAAATTGACTCAGACCAGAACTTGAGGATTGCGCGTTGCCGAGAATCAGATACTTGAGCTTCTGGTGGAGAGAGGTCGTTTTCTGACCGTAGCCGGTTGCAAGGAGGGCCATACCAAGTTTCTCGCCCTCAACATTCTCTAGAATAGTTTCTATCGTTTTCTTTCAGTGAGCTGGTCTCAGAAATGTTTCTCGCCCATTCTATAGTCTCTGTCTCAATCGATCGAGCAACGCGATCCAGCTCAGCAGGAGCCACTGTCACTATCATCATCACTTTCGTCGTCCTCATCCCCAACACCTGAGACTTTCGACCGTCTATGTACGCTGTCTTCCGATGAATCCAAATCACGCCACAACGCTTTCGCTTGCTTGTGTAGGGCGAGCATGAGTGGATCAGATTGCAGGTGCTCTGGAATGGTCACTTCAGGCATCTGCTTCACTGCTTTCTTGCCTTTCCCGCTTTCAGACTTGTCGGCCGAATTCGTATCTGTGGCGTCCTTGGTCATCTCAGGCTGCTCGTGGTACTGGCTTGGGTCGACCTCTTCGACGATTTCAATATCGTCATCCGCATCCGTGCGACCTCCCACCAGTGAAAGCAGTGTCTGCACGAAAAGCTCCTGCAGATACGCGAAGCTGAACCCTTCGGTGAGTTGAGCCACCACATCGCAAATGGCTTCATCGAATTCGATCTTGCCCCTCAATTTGTTTCGCCAGTACTCGCCATACGAGATCCGTTCCTTCACATCCGGCAGCTTGTAGTAATATTTGCGATCGAATCTCGAGGGTCTCTTGCTGATACCTGGATCCAGACGCTCGAGGTGATTGGTGCTACCAATCATGAGAATACCGTCGTTCTTCTCGAGCCCATCTACTTCATTCAGGAAGTAACTTCGTACTTTGTCGACCACAAGGCTGTCGAGATCCTCGAAGATTAGGAGGCATGGCGCCATCTTCCGAGCTTGCTCGAAAATTTCACGGATGGCGTATTGAGGACCTTGCCTTGCTTTAAACGACTTCACATACAAGCTGGCAACATTTCGCTGCTGCAGTGACCTCATAAGGGCCTTGATGGTAATCGTCTTGCCGCAGCCAGGATGACCATGGAAAATGATTCCGCGTTTCCACTGTACACCAAAGTCCTCGTACAGCGAGCGATTGTCGAAAAAGGTCTGGACATCGTTGATGATGCCGTCTTTAGTTGCAGGATCGAGAATGACATCGTCCCACGAGGCAGATTGAACAGACTCCCAAAGAAGCTTGCTCTTATCCCAATTCCCTGCGTCAAAGACATATATCTCCTCGTGCAGCTCCGACGTCCACTTGCCCGCGGCTTCGATCAATCCATCGGCGACTGGGCAGTCCTCTTCGGCAATGGAAGGAGTCAAAATGTACTGTATCTGCTCGGTACCGCAACCGTCTATTCGAGGCCACTCGAGAGAATATACCTGGAGGTCGTGCCCATCGTAGGAGTAGTCGTAGAGTCCGAATGCGATGGATTTGCCAAGGGTGCCTCGTCCTCCCTCCATGCGGCTGCGTGGCGGGCTGTAGGTACGCTGAGAGTTGAATCGGTTCCCATGACGACGTAGAGTAGCTTTGGCATGGCCGGCACCTGCGAAGCCAATCAAGTCACAGTCCCATGGTCCAATCGATGTGACGTGATTTTCGGGGTGAATCGAACGGACCGCTTCCAGAAGGGCAACGTCAGAGTTTGGACGTCTCTCCGAGAAATGAGATGTGTAGTGGTCGTAGACTGCATTATGTCCAGCTTCATGCCTGGTTGTCGATCTGCCACGGTCGCCCATGTTGAGAAAAAGACGAGTCGAGAAGTAGGCCGGCGTCTGGTAGAAGGCTATTGAGCGAAGACAATAGCAGATGAACAAGGCAAGAAAAGAACGAATTTATATTTTCACGAGCAGAGTGCAGGCAGCAACGCCAACTGCACTGAGCATTGCGTGTGAAGTGACTCACCTGAGAAACGTTGTCAATAAGACAAGAATGAACTGAAGTGTGCAGAAGCAGGGAATCAAATTGTCCTTTCCATACATCATTGGGCGCCCTGGCCCCTTTCCATACAGCTGTGGAGCAGAAAGGGAAGCGGAGCTAGCGCCTGCCAGTCAGGTTTGTTTCAGCTGGCTGTGTCGTATAGGTACATTCTCGGCAAGAGCAGGCAGGGTGGCAATTTTCCTGTTACAGACACCGTAGCTGGCTCGATCCATTTGAGCTTCATGATCCTTTAGGCTGCATCGCCTGATGGACCGGTGTAATGCTGCAAGCTCCAACCCAGTTTGTACGTTTCTTGCTGTTGGCAACCACATGCACTACGAACAGACAGGGTTTGAACTCGGTGCCTGTGCAGCATTCGATGGATTCGTCTGGCCGCACCCAACAGCAGCTCCGGTGAGCGTATCGTCGACCGCCGAATTGTATGCAGCACCGCAGTTCGGGTCGCTGTCAAACGTCAGTGCCTTCGTTGAGATCAGTGAGCGTGAAGCTAACCTTGAACCTCCACTAGCGCCATTGAACCAAGAGCAAATATCATGAGAAAAACAATCCTGGGTGTAGGCATTCCCAAGAGCTGTGCCTGAACAGCCTGCTCCACAGCGACCGTTGCAGCTGTAGCTGTAGCAGACATCAGCATCGACCCGTGTTGCAAAGTTCAGAGCAGATACGTAGACATACTCTCCGCCATTGGCACTATTTGTGCCAAAGTTGCTTCCTACAGTGCCGCTCCAGGTGCAAGCTTGGCCTGCTGAGTTTGTCCATCTTGCAGTGGCTGTTGAGCCCACTGTGAGACAAGTTACTGCTCTTTTTTCAATTGACACAGCACAGGAAAGCCCGAGTAGTAGGAGTGTAACAGAATAGTGGTATAGTGAGTGCATCGTGATGGATATGGACGTATAGAGTTTGAGGATCCGCACTTCTGATTCGACAAGATGGACAGTGGAAATTGAAAGCAAGAACTTCTGTTGAACGGGCAGAACAGACATCTTCACGCTTTTGTACCGAGGGTGAGACACTATGGTGCAAATTAGAATGTCGAAATTAATCGCGTGATCGATGTTCGCTTGTAAGTTCGGCGATTGTGCTTGAATGAGACTGTCGCCCGCCAGACGGTTCTCGGAGAGTGGCAACGATAAGGCACTGGACCGTCTTCGAGTTCCATGCCTTGCGGTACCATCCGTACTGGTAATCGTGAGAGGCATGAAACTCGAAGAGAAGATGGTCTAGATTCATGACGAGTTAAGGAGCAGTATTGCAATGAAAACCAAATGTGCAGCGGCCCCCTGGCTAGCCTCGCGGAGCCTTGTCGGAGGGCGGACTAGACAAGTGTAGCCAACCCCTGCCATCAACTGAGTGCGGAACCATGAGAGTGGTTCTTATCCATGGTGTTCAAATTCAAAGTGCAAACTGCCGCCACAGCACCGAGAGAACAGCTGCTCATCGACCAATGCCAGCTCTTCAAAACTCATCGACGACGTCCAAAATCTCATATAACGGAAAGTTCTGCAACAAAAGCGCCGTCAAAGCCGTTTTAATGACCCCATCAATCGGCTGAACAGCCGCGACCGCCTCATAGATTTCACACGTTGTATCGTGCGTGGAGCTCAGCTGCGCCGGCACGACCACCAGACCCAGAGAACCGCCGTCAGGAGTGTGAAGACCGACTGTAGCTGTGCCGTTGACAAAGGCTTGGTTGACGCCGTTGTCTAGGTATGAATTGAGATCTTCTGGCGCAGGGCCGAAGTCTGTGGCGATTGCATGACCGAGTCGGATGGAGTTTCTTGCACCTTCGACGCCTTTGCCGGTGATGAAGCGAGCTCCTTGGACTTGACTGTTGCAGAGATGATACTTAGTGTGAGTCGCGGGATTGACATGGTTTCCGCGTACACGAAGACGGTTACATTATTGGTGAAGGACGGCTTTTTGATGTCCTCATCGGTTCCTGAGATGATCGATTCGACAATTTCCCTCAAGGCTTCTCTTCGGTCGATCCCAGTGCAGCTCTGGGCACTCGCAACACTTGCGAGGAGAAAGCTCGCGGAATAGATGGTGGAAAATCGCATCTTGGCTGGCGATGAGTGATGTCGTTCGAAGATCCAGAATAGACGCAGGACGCGGTCTCAAGTACAGTGCATGGGTTCAGGTGGCTCGGATCAATGATCCAAGCTTCAGTAATCTGAATGCACCTGGTGCTGCCTAGCTGCAGAAACCAACACTTGAAGACATTTAGCCTTCAACTTTGCTTTGCGAACATCGCTGAATCCCGAAGACGAAGGATGATTAAGCTGCTGTAAGGCTAAGGCTAAAGCTCTGTGTTGAGGCGGACTTGCCATGAATAGAAAGCGCTCAACATGGCGCGGTCTGATGATCCAAGAGACGAAGCCGTAGTAGGTCATGGTTGCGGCCCTGCAGCCCTGCAAGATCACAAATCCTCTGCACAGCTCGGGTTCTTCGCTGTGAAGTGTTGACAGCTGATGAGTCCCGCAGTATTATCAAGACCGTCTGCATGGGTGAAAGCTTAACCGTATGGAAACGGTGCAAACACTGTGCTATGCCCCGAACTTCGAATGGCAAAGGATCGAGGAAAACACAGGTTGGATGGCCAATATTGGCATGTTCTGCCATTCCAAGTAAGCCATCTTCGGACGACCGTTCGTAACTCCTCTGGCTCCTTTGGGAGCTTGTTGCGCTCGACTTCCTTCCTAACCCCATTCAAGGGCTTGGTCTTTCTTACTGCAGCGCAATGAGTTCACCACGAGGAGCAGTGATCGAGAAGGACCCAGTACGCTGAACGAATGAATTTCCCGAGAACATCCAGAGCAAGTTTGGCAAGACCATGTCATTTTCACGTCGGATGGGTTCCATAAGCGGTCGCTGCAGCAAGTGCCCTTGACCGAATCAGAAATTAGGTGGCCGGAAAACGATCCGCTGGTGCGTAGTGCAGGCTTCCTACGGCTGACATCGTAGAAAGTGTTGAAAGCCGCTTGCATCGACGAGCTGGTGTCTCAAGCAACCGAGTATGAGGACGCAGTGTGGTTGAACAGTTGGCAAAAGATTCCGGGATCGTGTAAGACTGAGGCTTCGTCCATTGGGGCGTAGAAGGAGTAGGAGAACGATTTACAGCTTGAGCCCGATGCGCACTGGGCCTGACACCGTGGGTGAGAGTGAGCAATGAAGCTACCCGATAAAGCCATTATGATACCACGTGACTGTTGCCAGCTAATGATGGTTGGCCATGCGAAGTATCTCTCCTCACTGCACACGAATGTCTCCTCGCCTGGGTGCTTTGATATGAGCTTGCAAGGCCGTGCTGCCACATTTGTGTCGGCGCAGAGCGTGGAACTTCGCAGACCATATGATAATGAGGAGCTGCTGTGACTCGGTGACGTGAAAAGACCAATTGCCGGAGAGGGTTTTCGAGGCCATGCCTCGTAGAATGCAGGCGGCATGCAAGCCCGACCCTGAACAGCCATGCAAGACTTGTCTTGGCATATGAAGTGCTCTCTGCTTTTTAGACAGCGCCGGAATGGCCTTGCGATGGTTTTGAAAGATTGCCTTCCACTTCAGATGTCGTATCTCGCATGCCCAAGACTCGCTTTGTCGCACGTACAATCCCAGCCCACTTGTCCTGGCTGGCCTTTGCCTGATAGTCCTCCAGAGTGTTGAGGCGAGGGAATGGCACATTGGGGACTTCTTTCCGAAGGAACTCGCACAACGGCACCCATCCATCTTTCAACTGAAATTCTAAAAGCTGCCCAGCAGGTACCGAATCTCGGACGAATTGGTTGTGGCGTGCATATGCCTCCTCAGCTTTGTCAAAGATGTCCTGTCGCTTGTTCGAGCCGATCCAGCCAGTGATGAACTTGAATGAGGTCGAGCCGGCGATGGTGCCAGTCAGGGGTTCGACAGTCTTGACGAATTGATGAGCCAACGGGCTACACCAGCTTCGTTTCTGCTCTGTCCAGCTTTTCAGCCAGGCGCTGGTGTCGCGCTCTACCAGAATGACTTTCGCATCGGGGTAAGCCGGGATCAGAGACCTGGCGTAATACGCAAACATATCGGTCACGACATCCCAATTTTGCATGATCTCGTCCCAGTCTTCCCGAGTGAAGGGCTTGCCGGTGTATGTGGGAAGTGTGTCAAAAGTTGCGTCGGCTGCTCGGTTGAAAATTTCCCAGTTGGGGTCTGACGGGACTTGGTTGCTGCCATGATGGACACGTTCGTAGCCAAGTATCCGAAGGGCTTCTCCTAAAGAGGCGGTACCGGTCCTCGGTGCTCCCATGCACAGGATTGGAGGCTTCCTAGATATGCTGACATCCTTTGCAGTTGTGGATGTTGCTTTGATTGCCGCCATGTTGTCCAATTCTTGAGATGCTACAATGTTAAAGGAAGGCAAAGACTCTCTACTGGCAATGACATTTGCACAGACGTGCACTTGCTGAAGTCTGCCCTTGGCCTTTGTACTATCGCCTCGTAGGCACGGCGAGGAATCTGCGGTGCTCACACGTAAAGGGATTCGGTTCCTTCAGCTCCTTTGCGCAGCTCGATACCCAGCACCATCCCCAATGAGCTTTCTTTGAGCATGTCGAAGACATGCGTCTTCTATATGACGCCACCGACGCCGCGCAACCCTTGCATCCTATAGCAATACCAGACTCCCTCGCGTCGCCGCCACTTCAAAACACCAAGTCCTTGCTTCCTCAGCTGGGTGGGAGCACCCGTCGTCTCGGTCAAAACATAGACATCAGCCCGATTACCAGAATCGGCAATATGAGCACAGGTGTCCAGCACGGAGATTTTGAGCCCGGGAAATCGTGCGGCAATCATTCGATGCGTCTGTAAGAAATCCTCCAAGCGCGATCCTCCAAACCATCCATCATAAGCGGCGGTGAAATCGGCATCGATCTGTGCCGCTATGGGTTGCACCGAGAACTCGCCTGTGCGGACATAATCCCATGAATCGACAAACGTCTTGGAGAGATCTTCTAGGATGAGTCCGGCTTGCGAGGGCAGCGGCCTTGGCACCAAGGTGCCTGGCACTTCGAACGCTGCGGTGAGGATATCCAGAGACGTCACTTGCCGCTTTTGGTCGGATTGGTGTGGCATGTGATCGATGACCATGGGTCGAGATTGCATTCTCATCAAGTCCTCGCTGACGTAAGTGCAAAGCTTGGATGTTGGTCATGCCACCTGCGACGACCTACCTCACGACAATTTTCTTGATCAGCATTTTCATCACAAGACTGGACACTGAACTGGATCCCGAATGTCTTGCGAATGAGATGAAGCGGCAATAAGCATCGACAAGATGCAGACGGAAGCATACGATAAGGAGCTTTTGCAAATGCTTCCTTCCTCGCGCCTCCTGCCAAGTTTGGCCTCGTATCCTCCATCAGGAGTTTAAATATACTTGCTTACAACCTTAGACTGACTACACTTCGTCCTCTCTGTCTTTGCGACCTCAACCACAACACATGGAGAGCAAAAAGGTGGCCAGAAATGCGTGTGCACCACCCTTCGACCCGGTCCAAATTCGTGCGTCTCATCGATCGGCAGTCACGGCCTCATTCGATGCGTGCAGAGCTGCAACGACGGGCCAGACACCTTCTCATCGAACGCCACATAAGGATGTCAAGGACAAATTGCCTCGAGGCCGCGGCTACTATTGTCCATTGACTTTTTGCCGCAGCCTTTTTGAGATTTGACTAATCAAAGCGACATAGGATCGGCCGTCAACGAAGCAGATGCCCAGGTTGTAAAGATGAGAAAGGCACATCGCATGTCAGGCAATTTGGCAACCTCCGCAGTCAAGCCTAGAGACGAGCAAGCGTCGACAGCGAAATAACAGCGTCCAACTGTGGCCTTTGTCGTGTTCATAAAGCCAGTGCGGTCGCACGACACGGCTGAGTGGTACTTCATATATGACTTCCCCTCAAGCTAGCAGCACGCTGGAAGGATCATCGCCAGCCTAACGCATACATATATGTGGTCTACGGTCGCTCCTCCTGGTTGTGTCTTTCTTCTCCGAGTTGATTTCCGAAACTGCTCTCAAGGCTTTCTTCAAGTCTGCTGCTGGATCCCTATCTCGCTCGACTACATCCCTCGTGGTCCTCAACGGCAGGCTCTGTGCATTGTGGGATATATTAAACATACACGCTGTCGTCACAACGCATTCGTCCTGCGGCCAGCTCACCTAACCTTGCGCCAAACATTTTCCATCCCACTTTCTCTCGGCGAAGGGGCAGTACGACGATCGGCTACTCATTCATCGAAGTACACTGTGTCCAAGTATCCTGACCGAGCAATGATGGCTCATGAATGTGGAAACGCTGCCAGTGGTACCTCACGTCGCTCTTGCAAGGTCGCCAGCACTACGCCTATACAAGGCTGTGTTCGTCCGCCATACTTCAGAGAAGCTCGCAAACGCAGCCACCACGAAGTGCCGAAATGGATAGCCATGCTCGCTGTGGTCGAGCCGAAGAAGAGACGACCGTCTTCGGTCTCTCAGCTCATCATCCGGAAACGTGGGTACACACAGCGGTAGGGTAGCCTTCACCTCCTCGTTTCCTGTCTCCATTTTTCGTCGCCGTTCAACATGGCAGACCCCATACTTGCTCTCGCTGCTCATCCCCACAGAGACTCTGCTATGAAACAGAACCGCATCGACTATGGAGTGAGTGCCGCAACCAAGCTCGAAAGATGTAACGCTGATTGATGGTATAGCGATTGCTGTTGTACGTTGCGAATATCGCTGTCGACTCGGGCAAAAAGGAACGGCCAACAATTGTCTGTCAACGATCTATCGCAAAATCTCGACTTCGAAGCACTTTTACTCTGTCAGTACCTCGGTCCAATCACATCGTGGTCATCCAAGTTGACGAGATCTTCTTTGCAGCAAGGGTCTTGCGAGACTTGGTGGCGTACAGTCTGGCTTGCAGCCACCCGGACGGCACATACAGCTCAAATGCGACAACAGTCCTTCTCGCACAGCCTGGCCGAGCATCTACGGTTGTGCGCAGTGTCCTGAACATGCTTCCATCGATGCAGTACTGGCCAGAGTATGTGCGCCAAGACAGAGAACAGGCTCCAACGAGCGGCTTTCCAATTGGCCATCAACGCCGACGAGGAAGGTTTCGCTTTTTGTACGACGCGATTCTGGTCGTCGACAAAATTGTGGCGACCGAGCAGAAGATCAGATGACAACAAGTCACTACGATTTCATCATGATATCTCTGTGTGGAGCATTGGAGCCGACGAAGAAGAAATGGAGAGATCTGATGGTAGCTGCTGGATTCGAGCTGCAGGTGGTTCGCATGTACGATGGTGACGAGGTAAGTCTCAACCAGTTCCTGTCGTCGATGACATACTGAAACTTGCAGAACACAGGGCGACAATCTTGTGATAGGGACACCAGCTTAGCGGAATCAACGATGCCGACGCCTTTACCAAGTGCAGGCAGTGTGACGTAGCACAAGATCTCCAAGACTCCAACTACCAAACGTGGGAGTCATACGTCAGGTATGTAGCTGACGACACTAATGCAGCGTTGGTCGACTTCTCGGCATTGATCGACGTCTTCTGCACACACCGTGCACACATCTGTGCGAGGCGGCGAACAGTTTCTCATGTGGCGCCTCGGTATGCTACCCTCGCATCGCCACCCAGCTTCAACGCCACATGACGACGTCGCCCCTTTGCCTTTCAACGAACGCGTTGGAAACCGCACCGTTGTGGTGGCCGGGCCGGACATGGCTGGCCTGGATGTTTTACAAAACGGCTGGACAACGAGAAAACGGATGTAACGGCGAATGCGTCGTTCCGCCAGAGCAATCGTCAAAATCCGGGGCACTGGACAACATCGTTCCAACCACGGACCACAGCGCGTGAACCACAGATCGTCACTCCGGGGAATGGCCAAACTTGAAAAGGAGCACGCTGTTCACATGTGCTGCCAGAACTCACCGAGCTGCCGAATAATACGATGTCAGTGATTGGACAGCCTTCTCCACCGAGGAAGTTTTCACTCCCCAGACTTTGCACGGTCGATATAAGGTTCCCCCCGGCCTTTCCCCCGCTGCTGATCACCTACCGACTCTCCACGCAGCGATCGAACAAGGCAACCCAAGACGGACGAGATGACCTATCGCGCGGCTGCCGGTGGGTTTCGGCTGCGATCTCAACCAGACGTGGCATCACTTCGATCTGAGGCTCATGTTTAACCACACATTGGCTTTGCGCCGGACTGTGTTCAAAGGCCAACAAGCACGCTCCGTTAAACGAGCAGGTTACGAAGCAGGTGGAGGAGGATGATGACTGAGTGTATAAGAATGGAGGTCCCAACGAGTGGGCGTGTGGGAGATTTCCCAGCAGCTGAAAAATTCCACACGACCTCCTCTCCCCTTGACATTCGCCCTCGTCTACTGCCACGATGAAGTTCTCTTCGCGAGTTGTCTCGGCTTCGGCCGCAGTCCTCCCCCTCGTCAACGCCTTCCCAGCCAAGTTGTACGATGTCATTGCCAATGACCCACAGATCGCTGCCCGCACCATCGAGCTTGCCAAGACCCTCCAGGGACGACAGACTGGTGCTGATGCTGCAACGGCGCTCTTCGAGCCAGTACCGCAATTCAACGCCGCTGATCAATACATCGATGTCAGCGAAGGCAGCGGACACGAATATGTGGCTCCTGGTCCAGATGACCTGAGAGGACCTTGCCCTGGCCTGAACGCAATGGCCAACCATGGTAAGAGTCGAAGAAGCAATCGCTAGCAAAGATTGTGTTAACAGTTACTGAAGGCTTCCTCCCCCACAACGGCTACGCAACCATCTCCCAGTACATCGATGCCACGACGACTGTCGTCGGCATGGGTCCGCAGCTCGCTGGTTTCCTCTCAATCCTTGGCGCCGCTATTGACGGAGACTTGACTGCATGGTCCATGGGCGGCACACCAAGCGTTGCTCAGGGCGGTCTGCTCGGCCCACTTGGTAACGGCCTCAGCGGCTCGCACAACAAGTACGAGAGCGATGCATCGCCCACTCGTCCAGATCTCTACGAGGCTGGCAACGACTACATCACCGAGACTGGCCAGTTCCAAGACCTGATCAACTACTGTCCAGGTGGCCAGGTGGATCTTGACTGCCTTACTGATTTCCGCTCGTACCGATTTGATCAGCAGATTGCCAACAACCCCTATTTCTTCAACGGACCTTTCTCCGGTGTTGCGGTGCAGCCTGCTGCGTAAGTTTTTATTACCTTCCTCGTGACCGTTGCAGTGTTTCTGATCTGTACTAGCTATACCTTCATCTTTCGCTACATGGCGAACCACTCTGCTGAGTACCCTGTCGGCTACCTCAGCTACGATACCATCGCCTCCTGGTTCGGTATCGAGGGGACCAACGGCAATTACAACGCCGTACAGGGCACCGAAAGAATCCCAGATAACTGGTAAGGCCTAGCGAACGTGTCATCCTCCAGGCTATTTCTGATCATTTGCTTCAGGTACCGCCGCGCTCAGGCCTACCCGTACGAGCTCGAGTACTTCATCAGCGACTTGATTAACGCAGCTGTATTGCACCCCAAATTCATCAACATTGGCGGCAACACCGGAACGGTAAGTTCGCTCAGACCCCCATCTCAGACGTTCTCCAGCCTCTAACATTCTAACAGGTCAACACATTCACCGGCGTCAGCGTCACCAACCTCACAGGCGGCCTCTTCAATCTCCAGACCCTTCTTGAAGGCAACAACCTTGGCTGCTTCATCTACCAGCTCTCCGCGCAGGCCAAGCCAGACGCCCTCCTTGGCGCTCTCGACACCCTCACCGACACCATTGGCAAGCTCATCGCTCCTCTCAGCTGTCCTCAGCTTGAGGCAATTGACGAAAGCCAGCTTGAGCAGTTCCCTGGTTACACCAAAAAGGCTGTCTACTCATAGACTTCTTCCCGAGGCTGTTGATGATACGATGAGAAAACGTGATGAATTGCATGAACAAAAATGAGATCCGTGAGAGACGGCTTTTTTGATGTATGAGTTAAATACCAGATCCATCTAGTTCAAGAGACGTGATACTTCTTCACACCACGTCCCCATGTTTTCGTCTGCCGTCACCTGCCCAAGGCGCAAGAAGTTTGCCGTGCAAGCCAAAGCTGCGTGAATCAGGCTACACGCGGAACCCAGTCCCGCGTAAAGGATCACCTACGTTTAAGGCGCCCACCTTGACATACCAAGCGAGCTTACTCGGTCTCCGTCTCGCATCCCTCCCAACCCGGAACATCAAATACCGTTCCTCTACTACTGGGAAGTTCCTCCCCCTCCACTTCAAACCTCAAATCCATACGAACGACTCCTCTGCGAACGGCCGCGGCTCCTCGCAACGCTACACAGAACCTTAAATTTAAAAGACGAATGGGGAAGGCACGTTGCTTGCTGGTCAAGTAAGGTTCACCGTCTATCTCACATGGGCCGCTCGTGAGACTCGTTAGGCGGTGGAGGCTATTTGCTAGTTGTGAGTTTTATGTGTGTTCTGGGCTTTGGGTTGGTCACGGGGTGTGTGTGTTGCATGGGGTTGGACACGTTGGTGACGGTGATTTGGATCAAAGTTGATTAGTGGTTCGTGTAGTTAGCACGGGTGCAGTTTGTGAAGGAAAGGTGGGTCGACATGCTTTTGAAACTGAGATTCGGTTTTCTGAGGTACTTTTTACAATAGGAAACTCCAGTCGGCTGTGCTCCTCTGATATTTCAGAGGTCCCTTGACAAGTGCAGGCGAGCTTACTCTCATCGCCTTGCTATGGAGCTTCTCCTCCTTCCGTGGTGATCTGGTCGCTGCACGACGCTATCTTCGAGAGTTTTGTGCACCCTGAACAATGCCGAAGGTCTTGGTCTGCTACCCCTCTTCATTGACAGTCACTTCTCGTCCAATATGTGCCATTGAGAGACACAGATCGCTTTCTCTCGTCATCCATAATCACACAATGTTGTGGTACCCCAGTCTCTCATCCTCCTGCAATTCGCAACTTCTTCCCGTGAGCCGTGAAGATCTCCGAGAGTGACTGCACGAACGTATCCCGCAAGTTCTGTGCCTTCTGATTGAGGCAAGCCACCATCTCCTCCTTGATCTCATTTGTGTACGTCGCCTCCTCCCATCCAGTTCCACCACCGTCCCAATCCCTCGTGATGTGTATGTCGATGACGAACTCAACTAAATCAGCCAAATAGTAAAGCCCTCCGAATTCCGTAGCATCGAAACAGCCTCCCCACGTCAAGTCGATGTCGATGTGCATCGAGAATATCTTGAGATTCGGAAGTTCGAGCCAGGAGTAGTCATGCATCAAGGGTCGAGCCGACCAGCCGCTGATACTGCTCCAAACTCGGTGGTTGAGGTTGGTCTCGAGGTGGAAGTATCGAACATGTGGTAGTGCGTGAAGCGGAATGGATGTCAGAGCCCGAGCGCATCCATATGGCGAGTGCAGTGACGTGACATCCCATCTGCGAGGCTCGCGAACACCGACTCGACAACGTTCGTAGAGGACCGCCACTGCTTCGTTGAAGATCTGCTTGTTGGTGGTGAGCATCTCAGTGTGTCCAGTGTAGTCAGTGACGGCTCGTGGCGGGACATCTTGGATGTTCCTGATGGAGCATGGTTTGAGCTGGCAAGTACTTCCCACCAGACGACCCTCCACGAGTTGCTCTTGATTTAGACAGAAGATGCTGGTCGCTTGTGACATTACCTCGCACGGCGCTGACGCGCTAGTTGTGTCTGTATCCCCACCAGCAGTGACGCTGGCAACTTGACGTTCTGTTGCCCTTGTAGAAACCGAAGGCACGATTCTGAACGGGTTAACGCCAGAGCAAGGGATCTTGATAGTTGGCTCTGGAATCAATATCTATTCGTAGATGCGGATTCTGATCTCAGCAGGAAGACGCAGGAATGCACATTGGTCGGTGCCATTCATTGCAGTATCGGTGTCGGCTGGGGGAGGGTGCGCATCCGCTTGCTGATTTGTTTGCTCGCCATCCATTGTGTTGGTGATGACGATCGGTTGGCGACGGCGCTTATTTTGTGGTTTGTGTGATGTGTTTGTCGTGTTGATGGAGAAAGTTGCGGCGTTCATGTTTGGTGGCTCGAGAGCAGAGGCGGTGACGTCGGCTTGTCTTGGCATCACATGCAAACGACGCAAGCGGAAGGCACCAACTCACTTCACTTGACTATTTCATTTGCCTTGCTTCAATACACTGGGTTCAAGAAGGGATCGTATTAGTTGCTCTAGTCATTTCGTCTGTATTATTGGGACTTCAATCGAGAACCCTTGCTTGTCATCCATTTTACCGCCCTGCTCCCACGACATCCTCTATACTTTCGGCTGAGGCGCCCGCTTACTCGCGGCTCTAACTCTACCACCGTATAGATAGAGCACATACGGTATCGGCGTGAAAGCACAAGCAATTGCCGCCAAGATCGTAAGGCTGTGATGCACTCCCAAGTTTTTGTACATCGGAATCGAGATCGTGACCATGCATCCACCGAGAATATATCGCACCAAAGTAATGGAGACGAGAGCCGATGCCGCGAATGAAACGAAGGTCTGAATGAGGTACGCGTAGGTTGAGATGAAGATGAGGAGGACGCTAAAGCCTAAGACGGCGGCGCTGTGAAATTGTTAGCTTGAGGCCTTCCGCCCTTGTTCATGAATTGACTCACGCAATCATTGGACTCCAGAAAGACACTGATGGATAAGCCGACCAGCCCATCCAGAACAGGCTTGCTGGCAAGAACGGTGCTCCGATCATTGCCCACCAGAGCATTGCTTCGGGGTCGGCATGGCTTTTGCCTTGCGCGACGGCCTTCATGTACTCCTTCTTCACCAGAATGCCGAAGAGAGGTGTTGCGAGTGTGGCAATGAAGAGCCCAACAGCGATGGCAATGAACATCCTAAGTAAACTGAGGTTAGCTCCTGGCTTAAAACGTAGTTTCGATTGGTACTTACAGGTACGAAGCACCTTCGTTGAAGCCATATGTTCCTCCGAAGACGAACGGCGCCGATGCGAAGAAAGAAAACATGACTATGTAGACCAGCGAAAGGTAGCCAGTGAACGCAATGACCAGAGGCTCCGTGAAGAGAATAAGAAAAGGCCTTGACAGAGCCTGAGCCAACTTCTGCCCGAGAGAAGTCGCTCCTGCAGCTTCAAGAGGTCCAACAAAATTGACATTCCCAGTTGCCGATCGCAAAGCCTTGGCCTTCCAAGCCAGAATGACTGGGGCACAGGTCTCGGGCATGAAGAGGACCATCAGGATGAGGAGCGCGCCCGCCATGCACAACGTGATCCACTCGCACCACCGCCAATCGATGCCTGAGTGTCCAACGTATCCCCCGACCACAGGACCCAACATGGGCCCGAGGAAGGCCATGCAGGCAAAGAACGGAAAGACTTTTCCTCGAGTCTGATGGTTGAAGATATCTCCCATCGTACCCCCGCTGGTCGTGAAGGGAGTGCCACCAAAGAGACCCGCGAGGAACCTGAACACCAACTGACCTCCAAGGTTCGGCGCTAAAGCAGCTCCCAAGATCCAGCAGCAGAATAGAGCCATCGTGATCATGTAGATTGGATTCCTGCCAAACGATTCTGACAATGGCCCAGCAAACGGCGCCCCAACGCCGAAGCCAATGAGGAAGAGTGCCGTCGCGAGTGATTCGGAGACATCGCTGACATGGAAGTGCTCAGAAGCCTGCGGTATCACGGGGGTGTCGATTGAGGAGCCAAAGCCGACGACGAAGCCAATGGCTGACAGGAAGGCTGTGACGATGGCTTTCTTGCTGGCTGGCCAGTTTTGTGGATTTTGCTGATCGTCAGGGCCGTCGAAGCTGACAACTAGGTGTTCATGTGCGTTCGTCGCGCCCTCTGGGGGAGTCGTTGGCTCTGTGGGGAGGGCCTGTTTCTCATGGTCTAAGTCCTGCTCTTTGGCTTCGTATCTGTTGCCATTGGATGCTTGCTGTTGTAGACGTCTTATCTGAAGTATCGACTGCATCGTGGTGTGCTTCTCGGCGTGGAGTTAGAGAATGGAGCCTCACGTAGCGTGTCTGCGTTTACACCACACCACTCCATCTTGGCCTCAATGCCTTATATACAGAGAAGAGGTCCCTTGAAACATTCTGCAGACATGAACCATGCTTGGAAATGAGCAGTGCTGCATTGTTCAGCGACGTGCTGATCATTGACATCGGACGACAGTATCAGCGGTACTCAGGGACAGCCAAACCACACGAGCGGTTGAATTGACAGCCCTAGACTGTCACACAGTCCGAAATGAAGGCTGTCTATCGTCTGGTCTGTGCTGAGTTCCGCCGTGAGTGGTCATTCAAGACCGCTATAGGGCGCGCTGGTGTGATTACTGAACAACTGCGCTAAGTATAGTGATCGCAGTACCGTAGATTCACAGGTCATGACGAGCGATACCACGCCTCTGAAGTGCGACTAAACTGTTCCTGGCATGTGGTCTTAGTCGCTATAGATAGCCGTCGTTCTTTGTGGAATCTTGTTATTGATATGTGGGTGAGGCAAAGTTTCGCTGCAGAAATCCACGATCAACACGTTTCGTAATCGGGCAAGTTGGAATAGGCTGTACCAGCTGCCAGACCAATATATAGAATACTCAAAAGGGCGATGAAGAAGCGTCATTGAGAGAATCATCGGCCTCCACAATGTCGACCTCGCAAAATCGATCCCTGAAATTGGAGCCTGTCTCCGGCAGTCAGCACGCCGTTCGGTTGACCATATCAAACCCGCCCATCAACCTCACCAACTCGGTACTTCTCGCAGAACTCCATGGATATCTCACCTATCTCGAGAGCAACCCGGACAAAGCGCCCAAGGTGGCCGTCATTTCAAGCGATCACGCCGACATTTGGGTATCTCACCTCGACCTCCATATCGTCAGTGCACAATACCCCTTGCCATCGAGTGAAGGCGAATCCGGTCATTTTCTCCACCTGCTAGGCCATATACTTCGACTTTTCAGGACGTTTCCTGTCTTGTTTGTCGCAGAGGTCAATGGTTTAGCCGTCGGCGGTGGCAATGAATTCGCTGTGAACATGGACATGCGTTTTGCTGGACCAGCGGCACGATTCGGGGTACCTGAAGTAGCAGGAGGCATTGTCCACGGCGGCGGACTGCAGAGTCTGACCAAGTTGATTGGGCCTGGGCGAGCATTGGAGATGATGACATCTTCTCGAGCCCTAACGGCTACAGAGGCAGAGAAGTATGGCCTTGTCAATCGCGCGTTCAGCACAGCGAACGAGCTCAGGAAATATGTCGACGCTCTCGCCGCGAGGATCGCCAAGTTTCCTCAAGGTGGTATCGCCGGCACGAAGCAGGGTGTACGAGAGTGCTTGGATGGCGTGGGCTCCGTGAACACGGACATGCAGCGTTTGGGACAGCTTGCTCATACTGGAGATGCTCAAGGCTCCATCAGCAAGTTGATCGAGTTTGGGGGAGATCAGTCGAAGGGTGACTTTGAGCTGGGGCTACCAGACACTGCGGATCAGCTTTGGGTCTGACTGTCGTATTCGCTGGGACTTCTTTGAATACCCTGTGTAGGACTGAGAATACCTCAAATCAATTTGGTCTCCACAAGCTCGGTACCATGTTTGAAGGAGTAGTCAGAGGTAGGCGCATGCCGCTCAGATTCGCCTGGAGGGCCTCCAATCTTATAAGAAGGGCCGTCCGTAGATTTGACTTCGAGTTCTGTCCAGTCGATACTTGGGTCCCAGAATGTCGTTTCGCCATTGTCTGTGTTCTGAAAGAATGGCACAATGTTTCCGATGGCTGGATTGAGCTGCGGCACAACGGTGAAATTATCTGGAAAGGGACCAAGTAATGCTTCTCCCCAGTTCAGACCATGCACCAGCTGAAGGCTCGCACTCACATATACATACACAGCTGGTGAGACTGTTCATTCGACGGAGCCTTGAAGGAGATCCAACGAGGCACACTGGAGTACTTGGCCTCGGCATCCGGCATCATGCGAAGTATGCGGGAGGAAGCTAATAAGACATCAGCGTGTGTTCACCGAAGAATATTGAGGAAAGTACCTCTGATGCTCTTCGATCTGCAGACATGGCGTTACAGCCCAACTCAGAAGAATTGCGGTGTGCATTGAGCGGTACCGCGTGCGGAGTGTTGTGCACTTGCAGGGGTACTTCGACCTCGAGTTGCGAATGACTGACTTGCGGAAGGCGTAAAGTTGTCCTGCAGCTGTACCTAACAGTGACCAAAGGCATGCTGAAGGTCGGAGCAAGTTGGACCGCGGTTTGAATTGTCAGCGGAATGTAAGCGGTGAGCCTGGTGTCACTTAAGGGCTTGTCCCAGTGCAAAGGATTTACGGTCCAGCGTTGAGTATGGACCACTTCTTCTCTCTTCCGCAGATAGTCGTTGTCCCGTAGCAGATGATCGCTAGCTACTCCAGTGAGTGGCATAGTCGAATAGTAGATCCTTCGTACAATCTCAAGACGTATCTCACATGACCAGCGCGAAAACCGATCTTTCATAAGTTTTTCGCAAGATTCAAAGCTCATTCTCAACAAACCGCGAGTTCGGGTTTCGTTGTTATATGTTCCTGAGAACAGTGGCGAGAGTTCTGTGGTCGACACTGTCAGTGCGCCCAAAACGCACCTTGAGAGACGTCTGCGAATGCTTCCGGTGATGTCGAGACGATATTCGCCTGGAAAATCCTCAATGGTGACAGGTGGGTGAATCTCAGTCCAAGGTGCGAATGCAATGTCGAAGAACTTCTGCTGTTGGATTCGAGGGGCTCCAGAACTGGGTCGGTGGAGAATGACAGCACGCAAACCGTAGGAGATGAGAGGTTGCATGCATTTGTTGCCTTCGCGATCAAGACAAGCCTCGCCGCTGGAAAAAGATGGCGGTAAATTTGCCAGCTGGGGTCTAGTGCCCTCGCTCGGAAAGCAGCACGATGCTATGCGGAAGCCAAAGTCAACGTGGCAGTGAAATTTGCCCGTCCGACGCTCATGAGGAGAGACCTTATGAGTCTGCCTGAGGAACTGTCTTCTGGTTAGCCTTGCTCCTCGTTGACATTGTGGACTTGAACATGCGTCGTATTTCAGAGCCGATGCGTGGCCTGCGTGGTCGACCCAGACCCGAGCAAATCCTGCGATCCCAGTCAGTAGTCGCATTGCCAGAGAAACTGGGACTCAGCGGACCTTCGAGAGACAGTGTAATGTCATCAAGAATCGTGCGTTCGTTGTGATAGATCCAGAGTCGTCCTGTCAACGTATCTCCTTGGTGGTAAATGCGCTTACATTCTCCGCCCTTTGAATCGATGCTCATAGAGATGTCGATATCGCAGACACTGCGGACCGGAAGCAAGTTGTTATCGTGCATCATTGAATAGAAGTCTGAGACCATTCATGGGTATTTCGATAGGCAGCGGCTGCCGTAGTAGCAAACGACAGATTGGCAGTTCAAGAGTGCCTTCGGTCGCGTTGTGATTTCGAGAAAAATATAGATTGCTTATAAGGAGGCATGCCAAAGTCGCACAAATGCAGGCACTTATGAGGCTATCTCCTACCCGCGGTGTAATGCGACAAGCAGAGCACGCTGCAGCGCGGGCCCCACGCTTCGATAGACAGCAATGACAGCATTGCCACTGGACGCCAATTAGCAGTCCGTTACCATTCTGCAGTGGTCAATAGCGATACGGGTTCGATGTGAGTGGCAAAACGGTATCTTGAATGCTTGAACGTCAGAAGATCGCTGAGGTGTCATTCAAGACCCCTGAGTGCTCGACACTTCTGCCCAGGCATCAGATAGCCAATTCCATGTAGACGCCTTCACGACATGGAGATCTACGCAACCATCTTCATGGAGCCAGCACAGCACACGACTTGGTCTGGTCATGTGTCCCATGAGACTCTGGCACAGCGCCGCCATTCGTGGCGATGTGAGTCTGCTGCGAGTGCGTCTGGTGCGTCATCCGCTGTGGTTATCCAAGATGTGGCAGTATCGAAGATGGGCCGGGGACAAGAGCTTCGTATCAGACGCGAAATCTCGATGATAGCTGGTCAGTAACAAGGTAGATGGCCAATGGGTGGTGTGTTGATGCAGATGAAAGAGGGGAACCGTCGAGTCCTGAGCTGAAGTTGGACCTATGCTTTTAAGGTTCACGCCATGTGGGGCTACGGCAAGGAGGCCGAAGACTTCACCTTGCCGTTCTCCTCCTTTCCTCCTCCCAGAACAAAAGACATTACGCACATCTGGATCGTACAGGTCACGATGTACAGGATACAGAATGACCTACATGGTATGGAATCTTGAGCGATGAAGCTCTTTCTGCCAACAAACCCTTCAATGGGTTCCCCGCAGCCCTCGAGGACGTCGACGCAACATGTCCGCGATAAGCGAACATGGAGGTCCCTTTGCTGCAGAAGCATTCATGGATGCGTTCAAGCTTAAATTGAGAGCTCTGACACTGACAGATACAGAGTCTTGATGATTGGACTCGAGCCGATCGATGATTTGCTACATGGTGCTCTGCGATCTGACCAGGGCGGACCTGGTTACCTGCTGGCGAGGCTCTATCCAATTCGGAAACTACCTGCTGATCGCTGCCAGTATACCAGAAAGAATCGCTGCACCCCGCAAGTATTCTCTACATGCATGTCGATAGTTGTTCTTACAGCAAGTCTATTCGCACTCGCGCGACACTGCATCCAATGAGCGGGCTCTTCTCTGCGATGGCCTCGATACTCATCATCAGACCTGGTGCTTTCATGCTCAAACGTCCATATCCTTTTGACCGTCACCTCATCAAACTCAGAGTCAAATTTCCCCGCCGTGGAAGGTGAAGATACAAAGGCGGACAGGCTCCTCTCGATCGCGTGTTCGGCACCTGAGAGCGCATTGGAGTTTTGCAAAGAGCATTCGTCAATCTGCAGTAAGTGAGCAGGAACATTCTACAGGACTGTGACCATGTCGGCGAGCGACAAAGACCATGCTTCCTACTACGACAATGGAGGCCCAATTGGAGTCGACCACCTGCACCCCAACGAGAACCCGGACGTTGCACTGCAGCGAATCAGGACTGCGGGCAGCGTTTCCATACCGCCTGAGCTGTTCGAAAAGCTTTATCTCTCGCCAGAGAGCAAGGTAAAAGGCGATTTGCGCAAGACCTTTGGCAATCCAACACCAATGTATGTGGCGACATCATAGCAATCGTGTTGATGCCAAGTAACTGACTTCTTCCAGTGGCTTGGGCGGCTTCTTACTGTCTCTATCTCCACTGTCTTGTTTCCTCATGAACTGGCGCGGTACTGGTGCCGGCCTTGGTGCTTCAGACATCTCGGTCTTCTTGTTCTTCGGTGGTGTCTTGATGTTAGTATCAGGGGCGATGGAGGTATGTTCCTCCGATGACTCCTTCCACACTGGTCAGATGGCCCTGACACATACTCACAGTGGATTCTGGGAAACACCTACATCAGCGTGGTCTTCATGACATTCGGTGCGTATAATATGTTGGACTCGCGACAGGTCGAAGCTCGTCACTTACACCAGTCAGGCAGCTTCTGGCTCAGCTACGGAGGCGTCCTGCAACCATTCTACGGTGCTTATGCTGCTTATTCCCCCGAGCCCGTCACTGCACCCCAAGAGGGACTTCATGAAGCCGGGTTCGTAAACTCGTGGGGTAAGTTCATCGTCCACCTCGCCAAATCTCACGTCTCTAATGCAGCCGCAGCATTCTTCCTCCTGTTTATGGGCCTGCTCTGCCTCGTCTATCTCGTTTGCTCCTTGAGGACCAACCTGATTCTGTTTATGATCCTCCTCCCCCTCCCACCTGCCTTCAGCTGTCTTGCAGCGGCCTTCTGGTATAACGGCCAAGGAGAAATGGCCTATGCGATGGCACTGCAGAAGGCCGGGGGAGCGCTTGCATTTGTTACCTGCATGTTTGGCTGGTACCTTTTCAGTGCCTTGATGCTAGCATCGATCGACGCTCCGTTTGCTCTGCCCGGTAAGCTGGTTGCAGTACTCGAATACTGCTAATACTGACGCCGTTATAGTGTTCGATCTGTCGACGAAGATCAAGGGAGCGAGTCAAAGGGAAAAACCGCGAGATCTGGAGGGGTAAACTTGCAGGCAGAGTAGCGACAAGTTATTTTTGGTTGATGTTGTTCACAGTGGGTGATGTGATCTTCACGAACGCAAAGGCAGACGAGGCGAATGGTTTATCATGTTATACCTACCGTTCTACATTGCAATGTGATCGAACCCGAATGCTGAATACGATCAGCCATTTGTACTGCGAGGTATGGAAACGGCTCGCCGCGGAAAGCAGCCCATGTAGTCGAGAATCGATTGATGTACAGATGCATTGGTGACTCTTGGATACCTATGGTTGATTTGACTAATCTTTCAATCCCGACAGAGTTTCAGTGTACACGACTACGCTATGGACAAATCTCCAATCTATCTTTCCATGCAACTCCCCCAAACGCATTCTTCATAGCCGATCTTCATAGTACGCGCACAGCTCACCAGCAACCCATGCACCCCTCAATTCTAGTGTATGGTGGATGTCCTCAATGGGATTTCCCTCCACCAACACAAGATCTGCACGCATTCCTTCTCGAATCCAACCTCGATCTGGAAACTTCAGTCGTTTTGCGGGCAAGCTGGTTGCAGAACGTAATGCTTCGATGGGCGAGAATCCGCATTCTTTCACGTATAGCTCGAGTTCTTGGTGTAGAGAAAGTCCATAGGCGGTTCCAGGGGCGAGTCCAGTGGAATCGGTACCGCTGTGATAAAAGTTAGCTTGACTGCTACGTCGCCAATAGATCACATAGTATCATACCAGATTATGTCAATTCCTGCATCCTTCAGTCTCCTCACAGTCTCGACACCATTTCTTAGGCTACCATCGTTCGCACTCGTCATTGCAGAACACTGGCACAGCTTCTCTTGCCCTCCTTCCACAAGTAATCTCTTGACCCGCGCATCATGGGCGTAGCCCTCCTGCATACTGCGGCTTTCCGCGGTGCAGCTTCCGATGACCGTTAAAGTAGGTATGCAGAAACTGTCATTCTTGCGAAAAGCTTCGATGAGCTCATTTGTTGGTGGTTTGTCGAACGCCACGTGGGCAGTACCGTCGACTCCCAACGAAAGAACTTCTAAGGTGTCGCGGATCGTGAATGCATGAGCCAGGGTAGTGAGACCTGCGGTATGTGCTTCGTCTGTGATTGCATTGACCACGCTGGTGGGCATTCTCGGCAAATCCATAGCAAAAGGGGCGCCGGATTCGTGGAGAATCTTGATGTAGTCTGCACCATCTTTGACCTGATCTCGTACAAAGTTGTGTCCTTCTTCCACGGTTTGCAGGGTATTCTCATCCGGTGGAAGCACAACGCCGGCTTTCTGGACGAATTGTAAGTGTACTGAAGATGGCGGGAGATACTTGCCGATAATACCTCGAGTAAGGGTGCAGGCCAACCTCCCTCAGGCGTAGCCGACTTCATAGCTGCTTTCAGATCCGAGCAATCACCTTTACTGACCAACGCCCGCAACTGATGGATCTGGAACGGTGCGTTACCCATATCGCATTGTGTTGTGACGCCAAATCGCAGGCCTTGAGCGAGTCCGGATTCGCTCCCGAAATCGATGTGGACATGGGCATCGATCAACCCAGGAAGTAGAGTGTGTCCTGGTTTCGATACGATCTTTCCGTCAAAGTCGATGGGGGTTGTGGACACTTTGGCGATTTTTCCATCTTTAACGAGCACCGATCCGCGATCAATGACCGCATCGCCGTCGAAAATTCGAACGTCTTTGACGAGGAATGAAGCCATTGCGAGATTAGACGGTGGCTTCAATGAAACGACGCAAAGGATGGTATTGTGAAGGAGCAGCCTCTAAGTACTGAAAAAGGAACAGCAGTCTCCAGTCGATCAATGCCACAGCGGGGTAAGTCGCCAGGCAGAGGATGCAATCTGGAAGCTGCGATTGGTTACACAGAAAATGCACCATTATGTGAGGAAGGCTTGAACAAAGGCACAAGTTGAAACTGTCTGCATGCGGTTGAGTAAATCGCCATTGATGCTTTGTTCGTGCAAGGCTGGTATTCTCACACATTCTCTAGATCCTGTTCCGTCAACATCAGGCTGTGGGTGGTGCGAAGCACATCGTACCTGCTAACCTTATTTGGGCGTGCTATCGGGCATGGCGGACATACCGGCAATATTTTCTTACCTACATCATGAAAACCGAGCTTCGTATAAATTGACCAAGTTGGGCATCGACTCTGTGGTCCCAGACTTCTACTGCACCAAAATTTGCACGACATCTCCTCGGTGAAACCAACGCAACGCAATGGCAACCATCTTCTACGGCTCCTGCCTCTGCAAAGGCGTTCGATATTCCATTTCCGGCCAAGCACAAATGAGCGTGCTTTGTCATTGTCTCAACTGCCAAAAATCCAGCGGCTCAGCCTTCCAAGCGAATGGATTCTACAGTAAAGGCGTACGTTCTCACCCGTTCTTGAACCAACAACAAAGTCAGTCTAACAAATAGTTATGTTTACGCAGCAGTTTGCTCTCCTTGATGGCGCCAGCTTCATAACCGACTACCATGACAGCGCTGTCGACGCCGGCTGCACGGTGATCAGGTCTTTCTGCTCAGTCTGTGGGTCCAATCTATACACAACCAATTCTACGAACCCGCTTATCAAGGACGCGATCATCGTCATGTCAGGCTGCCTTGAAAAGGCTTCGAGTGCTCTTGAACCTCCGCAATCTGAATTTTACGTCAAGAGACGCCGCGACTGGGTGAAGGTAGATGGAAATGGAACGAGCGAGTTCCAGGCAATGTCGTAGCCGGATAGAGGCGTAGCTGAAAGCTAGAGTCCTGGGTATTAAAGGATTGGGTACACATAGACTCCATATCACATAGGCCAAGATGATTATGGCACAAACATAGCATCATGACTCGTTCATTCATCAATACATAAGACTCTCGAAATACACAACACTCACACCTTCGGCACAGCATTCACACTCCCCGCAACAATCTCCCTCTCAATCTTTTCCCGCCTCTGCTCCTCCGCCTCCGAGCTAACATCCTTGAAGACCATGTCCATAGCCTCCAAACTCTTGCCTTTTGTCTCCGGCACAAAGAAGAACGTCCACACGAAACTCGCCAAGCAAAATACCGCAAAGAAGACATACGCGCCATAGCCTGTATTCTCGACCAGTGGAGGGGTGATCAAGCCGATGATGAAGTTGTTGAGCCAGTTCGAGCACGTAGACAGCGCAACGCCTTTCGCTCGGAGAGACGAAGGGAAGACTTCAGACGGCATAGCCCAAGGGACGGGACCCCAGGAAGCGCCGAAGGAGAGCATGTAGAAGAGGAGCATGGCGACGCTGGCCCAGCCTTCCGGACGGTGAGAGGGCCAATCGTGGGAGAATTTGCCGACAAGGATGGAGATTATAAGGTGCGAGATGAACATCAAAGCGCTACCAGCGAGGAGGAGAGGGCGTCGGCCGAATCGGTCCATCGTCCAGAGGCTGCTGGTGACGCCAACGAGCTGGGTAACGTTCAAGACGCCGGACATGATGAGGCGCATGTTGTAGTCTAGTCCCATGGTCTCAAAAAGCGTTGGCGAATAGTAGATCAAAGCGTTAATACCAACGAACTAGAACGCATGTCAGTGATCCGACCTTTTGTGCGACGGCTTTTGGGACTTACCTGTTGGAAGAACATTAACCCAACACCAACATGCGTCCTTCGCCAACAACCTCTCTTGAAGCAGTCAGCCCAACTGGCAATCTCCAGCTTCAGTCGATTCATTCTCGTTCTTTCCTGCAGCTTTGGGTGCCTCTCGACTGAGATCTCCTTGTGCAAAGCTACCTCCGCTCGAATATCGAACCACTCCAATTGAACTCTCGAATCTGTGGTTGGTAACTGTCGCAGCTTCGCCAAATTGACCAGAGCCTCGTCATCTCTGCCCTTGGAAGCCAGCCATCTGGGTGAGAAAGGCAGGAAGAGAATCCCAACACCAAGCACAAGTCCAGGCAAGATCTGGATCAAAAACGGCAACCTCCACGCCCACTCTCCAGACATATAATACGTCCCGTACGTAATCCAGAAAGCAATGACAATGCCAGTGACAATGCTAAACTCCTCAAGCACGAGCAATGTGCCTCTGATCTCCGGCGGCGAAATCTCGCTGATGAACAGCGGCGCGACCATGGACAGCATACCAATGCCTAGACCACCGATGAATCTCGCGACAACCAGCATTGCATAGTTCATGGCGGCGGTCTGGAGAGCGGATCCGATGGTGAAGACGACAACAGCCATGGCAATCGAGTACTTTCTGGAGAATTTGTCCGCGATCCAGCCTTGGTTAAGTGCACCGAGAAGTGCACCTAGTTCGATCTGAAGCCTCATCATTAGAAACAAGTACCCATGCTGGTAGGCAGCAAATCAAAACTCACCATAGCGGTCAACAACCCCTTCCAAAACCCAGCTCCAGCGCTCCCCTCCGCGATCCTCGTAAATCTCTGCAAGAATTGCTGTTCGACAAGAATAACACTGACGACCTATTCACAGAACACATCAGCCACTCATCACTCTAACCCCAAGCAAAAAGTGTGCAACTCACTCCCTGATCGTAGCCAAATAGTAAACCACCCATGGCACTAAAAGCCGCACAAAGCGCCACATACTGACTCGCAAACAACCCTCTGAAACCAGGCTGACAGTACGGCTCGCGCTGCGCATACGCCGATTCGGAAGGCTTCCGCTCGGCCTGGTTCTCGTGCATGCTGGCGACCTTGTCTTGGCTGGGGGTTGGGGGTTTCTTGTCGTCGGTTGAGATATCCATGTTGCACAAGTGCGTTAAGTGCTTAAAAGTTGTCAAGTGGCGAGAAGCCTTTTTCGTTGCTTGTGTGGGTAAGCGCTACGGTTGAGATGATGTGTTGTCTCGGGCAGGGAAGAACGAATGTTCGAACGTTGTTGCGAGCAGGGATGCCTTGAGTCTTAAGTATCAATGGCAAGGACGTCAATTTGCGAATATAAAGAGATCACGCCTTGTCCATAGAAGACGAGAATCTTCCAAGCAAGAGACAGGCTTACCTTCGATCAAGCAACGACCATCTCTTTTAACAACACCCCCTCGAATCGATCCCGGCATCCAAACGCCGATACCCTCATCACGCGACGGATAAATCACGTAGAAACTCTCGAAAAGACCCACTCCAGCACCGCATCGACCGCACCTGGAGAATCCCCTCCTCCGCCCGGGGAAACGTTGATGCAGAGAAAACCGGGTCTCCTGCGGGGAAGTATCGAATCAACGGATTGAATTAGTCGGGCTTTGAAGGCTTTGACCTGCAAAGGATGCAGATACATTCACTTCACTCGCCGATGCATCTTGTTTTGGGGTGTACTTTCTTCCGAGATCGTAGGAGAGCAAGGTGTCCCGAGACACGCTAGGAGGAATCGGCGCCGTAGCGTGGGAAAGAAGCCGATGGTAACAGGCAGACAGGATCTTGTCTCGTGATCTTCCATGGTCATTGATATGCTGTTAGCGTCTAGAGTGTTCTATGGGTTGCGACAACGTGAGGAGTTGTACAAGTGATGCTGTCGTCAATCATTATAGCAAGCAATTTGTCGCTGTCGAGAGTGGGTCTATGCTTCATTCATGCCATCATGTTGGCATCGCCAAGATGTACCCTTCAAGCCGAGACGAGCCCCCAGCAGAGGCACCACCCCTGGTATTCTTGTTTGAGGACTTCCTCTTGGTAACACCAGCACCTGACGCCGACCGCGAATTGTCATAGCTGCCAGAGTTGTTTCGACCTCGCGCTGGCCACGCTTGACTCTTGGCCCCACCCCTGCCTTTGGCCTTGTAGTTGCGCTTACGCCCCTTTGGCGAAGCCTTGGTCGGCTGTTGTGCCGGCATGGTCCTCATGCCCACTGATTGAGATTGCTGGAAACGAGCGTTGAAGGCTTGCACGTTGGGGGCAGTCTGGAAGTAGGCACTCTGCTCGCCATCTTCCTCTTCCTCCTCTTCCATGCCAGACGGGAAGCCGCCGAACTCTTCGTCCTCGCTCACAAGATCGATCACGTTCTGATTGTGCTTGTTCTCAGGTTCGTTGTCGGACTGATTGTCCTGGCCAACCTCCTCAGCTTGTCGCAGCATTTCTTCATAACGAACACGAGCATTGGTGACCATCTTGCCAAACAACTTGCCATAAGCATCAACCTTGTCGGAATCGAGATTTGGGATCTTGCTCATCATTTCCTCGGGAGTCTCGGTCCACTGAAGAATCATTTCACGCAGAGCTGTGTTGGTAAAAGGCACCATCTTCATCGACTTCTTGCGTTGGATTTCTTTTGCTCTGGCTTCGGCGAGACCCGTAAACTCTTCCAGTATCAACTTGTGCACATCATTGAGCCTATCAATGACAGCATCGTTGGTGATTGGAGGTCCGACTTCTTTATGCGTTTTGTGTGTGTTGCGAGTCTTGCGAGTGTTGCGAGGTGGCGGATCGAAGGCTTCTTCCTCACTATACTCGGAGCCATCATCGACAACAAAGTCATCGCGTTCGTAGCCGTTAGCATGCATGTCACGGAGATTGGCCTGATGGAGAGGCCTCTTCCGCTTTGAAGCTGCCTGTACCGGTGACGATACATTGGTGGACAATGGCAGCTCGCGAGGCGCTTCCTTCTTCTTTGCCTTCTTTGCCGGTGCTTTGGCATTCTTCTTGCGAGGCGAAGTTCGGACCTGCATCTTGAAAGAAATTCTGCCCTGTTGGAATTGCTTGAACTTGCCGCCCAGACGCACGTACTGTGACGCGAAACCGCCTTTATTGACTTTGTTTTCCTCCTGAAAGGCGTTCTCGGTGAGGAGTCGGTAGAAGAGGCGCTCAATCTCGCTGCGATCGAGGTCCTTGCCGGCGCCGTATTCGTCCAGATCTGCGTGCTCCAGCTCCTTGATCTTGGCGCTGTTGCCTCCCCTGAAAACGTCAATGCAGTGGAGCATTGTGACTTCATGTCTCATCTCGAGAATTTGCACCACCATGTTCACAGCTTGCCGAGCATAGTTCGTGAAATCCTTGTCCTCGAATGTGGAATCCGAGTTGCAGTTGTCGCAACCCCCATCGCAATCGTCGCGGTCGAAAGATTCGCTGAAGTAGCTGAGAACCTGCACTCGGCGACAGTCTGCCTGGTTCTCGCAGTATTGCACCATTTTGCGGAGCATCTCCCTCTGACGGTTCTTCTGCTCTCTGCTCCCTTCTCCGTCGTCAATCATCCTTTGAAGCTTCGCCGCATCTTGGTAGCCGTAGAAGAGGTAGCATGAGGATGGTTTCCCGTCGCGACCAGCTCGGCCTGTCTCCTGGTAGTACCCTTCCAGTGACTTGGGCATGCTGTGATGGATCACGTAGCGCACATTGCTCTTGTCAATGCCCATGCCGAATGCGATCGTGGCAACAATGACGTGGTGTCTTCCGGCTTGCCATTGCTGTTGTACCTCAGACTTTTCAGCCGGCTCCATACCTGCATGGTAGTGCTGAGCTTTGACGCCGTGTTCCTTCCTGAGAGCTTTCGCCATGTCCTCGCAATTCTTGCGTGATAGGCAGTAGATGATCCCAGTCTGCTTGGCGTGCTTCTCTTTGATGAGACTTGCAATGCTGCCGAGGTCTTCCTTCCCCTTGCCTTTCATGCGCACTTCGTAGTAGAGATTGGCTCGATTGAAGCTTCGCGTATAGACCTCACATCCGTCAATGCCCAGATTGTGAATCGTGTCAACCTTCACATTCTCGGTGGCGGTTGCTGTCAATGCCATGACCGGCACGCCGGGGAACTGGCGTCTCACATCGCCCAGAGCCTTGTAGTCCGGACGGAAATCGTGGCCCCACTGACTGACACAGTGTGCCTCATCAATCACAAGGCGGGCAAGGCGATCCCCTCGGTGCAGCCGCTGGAAAGCATTCATGAAAGCCTGACTCTTGCTCAACATTTCGGGCGTAACGTACAACAGCTGGATGAAGGTCTCGACGTTGGGGTCTTTCATAGCATCCAGCAGGAAACCGCGCTCCTCTTGGGTCGTCTCCTTATTGATCAAGAAAGCCTGGATATTGAGCTTCCGCAGATGCTGGACTTGGTCTTCCATAAGACTGACAAGAGGAGACACAACGACAGTCACGCCACGTGTCTTGCCGCTTCGGATCAAGGCAGGTAGCTGGTAACAAAGCGATTTGCCACCACCTGTGGGCATGAGGACGAAGACGTCTCTCCCGCCAAGTGTCGCGTTTATGGCGTTTGCTTGATTCTCGCGGAAGCCCTTGAGTCGGAAACGCTCTTTCAATGCAGTTTTCACATCGTTTGACCACGGGAATGAGAAGTACTTTCGTTCTTCTTCGGCTTCATCTTCGAAAGATGTCTTCTTGGATTTGCGAGCGGAACGCCGTGTTTGGGTTTGATTGGCAGCATCGCCAAACATCGAGTGACTTGCATTTGCAGGCTGCTTTCCACGATGTGCTTGATTCTCGAAGTCTTCGGCAAACTCAAGCATTTCGTCGTCGTCGTCCAGTCCAAAGTCATCATCGTCGTGATACTGTGCAGGCGGGGTTCCCATTCGATTGCGGAATATGTTGTCATTGGGAGGATACATATCCTCGTCATCAATGTCTGCAAAGTCGTCATTCGAAAACGTCGTCTGCTTGGTGTTGTCTGCCTGAAATCGCGAAGAGTGGCCATACTGTATGGGCGCAGCTTGGTTTCGCGCCGGAGGTGCTATCGGTGGAGGCATCTGAGTTTGGGCGATACGACTCGAGCTGGGTATGGCCGGGCGACTCTCTTCGCGAGTGGTAGTAGGCATCTGGGTCGATTTGACAGCCACTTTCTGAGGAACAGACGAAGCGACAACACTGTCATGTCTCTCAACCGCAGAACGAATGTCATCTTCACAGGCATGAAGCAAAGATAAGCAGTCGGCCTCCATTGCAGCAAGTCTTGACTTTCCTGCGTTGTTGGCTTCCTTCGCGGCATCGATGTTCTCCTTGACCCGGGAGCGGACGGCTTGTAGCATCTCCGCCTTCAGCCTGTCTCTCTCATCCGAGAGACTGCGGTGTACTCCTCGTTTATCCATCAGAGATTTCAAAGACCCCTTCCGCAAGGTGACTGTATCAAGTTCGCGATCAAGATCAGATGTGTCTTCGTCTTCATCCATCCTCTCCGCAATCTCTTCGCATATCAAGTCATAGCGAGCGTCCAGTCTCTGCATTGTTTGCATGAACGCCGAGTCAGGTAGAGCAAGTGCTTTCTTGAGTAGGACTGCGGACTCAGTGGGCATAGGAGAGGCGTCTTGCGTGCTGAGAGTCGGGGCAGGCGTACGCAGAGATGCAGTGCCATTGGCAGGTGTTACGTGTAGCTCAGGATACCTGACTTCGTGCCGGTTCGGTGCGTCGTCATCCTCGTCCAATGGTTGGAAGTCGTCTCCCATTGGAGGTACCGACGGTGGAGGTAGCACTTTACGCTTCTTTGGCGACGGTGTCTTCCGCGATTGAGGCTGTACAAGATCGGCAAAGTTCATGAGATCTTCCTCTTCATCGGAGTCAGCCATCATGCGCTCGTTCCTCGCAGGAGAGCGCGCAGCTGGGCGAACCACCACTCCGGGTTGCCGCAGCGGTGAACCTGATTTCACGACCTGAGGAATGGTCGAGTAGGGAGGCGGAGGTTCTGAAGGTGGGCTGTTCTGTTTCTCAGGGCTCTCATCAATTGGTCGAAACTCTTGTGATGGCATGAAGGGTAGCGGCCTATCATTCAAGTTCAGCCTCTTTGGAGGAGCCGAAGTAGGCCTCAAGTCCCGCTCATAGTCATCGCTCTTTCTCTTCCGCCCCGTATTTGACGTCACATCCGATCTTGAAGGTGTCCCCAGCTCACTCATGCTCTCTGTCAAGTCCATAACTTCAATTCCACCCGGCATGTTGATCTCATTCGGCCGAGCCTTCAGAGGTGTGCGCTGTAAAGCAGGAGTACGTGATTCCGTTCGTGGTGGAGCTCGAGCTTCTACATCCCTCGTCGGCGACATCTCTGGCATCCGTGATCCAGTTGTACTGTGTGGCCTGGCTGCAGAGCCAGGCGCTATCCTCGTCCTCACCATATTGTCTCTTTGCGGAATCTCCGCTGGAGGTGATCTTGGACGCCCCGCAGGCTGCGCAGAAATATCCTCAGGCTCTTCAACTTCCTGCACCCTTGCACTCGGTGTCTCGATGGTCTCGGCGCTCGAAATCGCTGTTGTCGCGGGCGGCAAAACAATGATGCCAGACGGGATGGAAGGCTTCTCGCTCAACAACCAGCGCAAGTGCTCGTCCAAGTTGTTGCGCGTCATGGGTGGCGAGCATGTTCGTTCGTCATCCGAGGCGGTGTCGCATCCGGTCGCATTGGAGGCGGTCGTGTGTTACAGATTGGAGATGGAGTGATGCTGGAGTCGAGGCGCGTCTTCGCGTTAGGGTTGCCAGGATCCCGCGGGAGGAGCCGCATTCGCGCTGAGCCCAGGTCTACACGTGACCAAAGTGAATCCTTCAGCGAGAACCGCACGCCCTACGCTCTCAACACATTTTCAATTTCAGTCGATGCTTTGTATAAAAGCGAGACGTCTTCCTCTAATTACTTCTGAAAGTCTCGCATGTGCATTCCAAAATGAGTAACAACGACTATGTGCTGCCTTCCCGGCAAGCATTGGACAGGTCCAGATCGAAGCTCCTCAGCCTTCCCCAGCAAGGGCTTCGCCTGGATCGAACAAAGCAACATCTACAGGACGACATAGTGCCAGGCTTGAACAGAAGTAGCCAATCTCCCAACTTCTATGGATTCGGTGAGTTCCAGTCTCATTAGAAAGATCCAATTGTGAGAGAGCAATGACTGCATGGAACAAGAACAGGAACAGGAACATTCACTTATGCAAAGGAGCTTCGTTCCTTTCAAACCTCCCTGATCTTTTGCGTTGCCTCGCCAAACCTTGCAATATATACTAACATACCTCTCAGTAACCGGCGGCGCCACCCCTTCTGCCACCCACGCCGACAACCTCGTCACCCTCCACGACCAAAACGTAGCGGTGCACCTGCCAACAGACACAATCGCCACCGAAGTCGAAGATGCCGCTCTCCGCATGCTTCTCGATCTCTTCCGCTTGCCTGAAGCCACCTGGAAACACCGTATCCTCACGACCGGCGCCACGGCGTCCAACATTCTCGGCATGGCGTGTGGACGCGAGTACGCCATCCAGCAGATCGGGAAGCGGAAGGGGTTAGAGGTTAGTGTTGGCGAGGAGGGGCTGCTGGAGGCATGTGCGAAGGCGGGTGTGGAGAATGTGAGGATCTTGACGACGGTGCCGCATTCGAGTCTTGTCAAGGCGGCGAGTGTGGTTGGGCTGGGGAGAGGGAGTGTTGTCGAGGTGGGAATGTCGCAGGGTAGGCATCATTTCGATTTTCAACTGCTGGAGGAGAAGCTGCGAGAAGGTGCGGGCAAGACCGCATTCATCGTTGCTGTTTCTTGTGCGGAGGTCAACACTGGATTCTTTGCTACCTCTGGCGGCGACATGGAGAAGTTGAGAGATCTCTGTGATCAGTACGGTACCTGGCTGCATGTAGACGCAGCCTTTGGTCTGCAAGCCCGGGTCCTCTCGCCTGATGAACCAACATACAGCGCCATCGTCGACGGTACACGAGGCATCGAGCTGGCGGATTCCATCACTGGAGATGCCCACAAGTTGCTCAACGTCGTAAGTCCTCATAATCACTCTCCATCTTTCCATTCGTTCCAGCTGACCATGAGCCAAAGCCTTACGACTGTGGCATCTTCCTCTCCCGCCATCTCGCTCTCGCAACTCAAGTCTTCCAAAACGCCGGCGCGGCATACCTCAACACCAGCGCCGCCGACATTCCCTCGCCCCTGAACATCGGCATTGAAAACAGTCGTCGTTTCCGAGCCCTCCCCGTCTACGCCACGCTCACCGCCCACGGTCGTGAAGGATATCAAGGTGAGTTCCAATTTACTTCTATATCACGATTTGCCCCTGACTGTATGCAGACATCCTCCACCGCCAAATCGACCTCTCCCGCGCCATCGCCAACTTCATCTCCCAAACGTCCGGCTACGAACTCCTTCCACGCATCCCACCATCGTTCGACAAACCCAAAGAACAAGGCCTAAGCAGGATCTACATCGTCGTGCTCTTCCGCGCAATAGACGACTCGCTGAACCGAGAGCTCGTCCAACGCATCAACGCCACGAGAAAGATCTTCGTCAGCGGCACGCAATGGGACGGCCAGCCTGCTGCAAGATTCGCCGTGTCGAACTGGCAGGTAGACGTGGAGAGGGATTTGGAGTTGATTAAAACCGTCTTGACAGACGTCCTATCAGGATCGAAATAAACCATAAACAGCTTCTCCATCAACATCACAACTTCCCTTCCCCCTCATCCTCATCCCCCGCAACCCACCCCCAAAGTGCCTCAACCTTCCCATCCAACACCTCCGCCGCCCTCCTCAACTCCATGCTCGCCCCCTCCCACCCCGCAATAACACTACTCGGCCTAACCCAAACAACATCCGTCCCCTTCCCATCCAACCTCTGCACAACAAGCGCATCAACAGGCACATGCAACCCCCCCCGAACATCCTCCTTCAACATCGTAATCGCAATGAGCGGATTCCCATAAATCACCCGCATAGCCTGTTTCCCCGCGTGGGGCACTTCGGAGGGATCGTGCAAGGCGAGCCAGGCGCCGTGGTTGAGGAGGTGGAATTGCATGAAGGAGTGCGGGCCCAGGAGGGGGTTGACTTCGTTTGTGAAGGAGGTTTTGTCTTTGTGCGTGGTGAGGGAGAGGGGGGTGGAGTTGGTGTCCTTTTTGATGGAGCGTTGGAGTTTGGCGAGGACTTGGGCGTAGGGTTTGGGGATGAAGAGGGTGTGGCGGGATATGGTGTACGTTTCGGTTGTGAGGTTGGACATATTGCTGGCTTTTGTCTCTATCTTGGGATATCGCGGGTGATTGTGTCTTCAGTGGAGGTGTGAGGCGAAGAGGGATGGGTGCTTGAACGGATGCAGTTCTGGAGGCAGGCGCTGCCAAGCTACATATGCATCCACGGTCTAAGACCTTCGCTTTCTCCTATGGCTGTACAGCTCGGATGTTTTGACTTACAGCCCCGGAAAGAGTAAAGCAGGATTTCATGATTACTGATCAAGCGGTCGACAGCCTTGTTCGTGATTCGGCAAACCGGTGAACGGCGTAGCACGACAGAGCTGGGTTACCGGGGTCGCTGTCCTTGAGAAAGTTGGCTGAGGCACTTTTGCAGAAGACTGCGCACAGAGACAAAGTACGGGCACATGTGCTCTGAATATGTCCAATTGCCCGTCTAACCACTACCTCCTTGCATCACGTCACCGGTCGTGTCGGATGACTGCCACCTGTCTAGGCTCGCGACCTGTAGCAAGAATGGGTGCGAATGGCTCGTGGCGCTTGTCGTGTTGGTCGAGTACAACTGTTCTCGTCGGTGTGTTGCGGTCTCGTGTGTCCCTCAGGCGATATCAGAAATATAATCTTCACTACCAACATCATCATCCCCATCCCGACCGCCGTCCTCAGCATCATCATTATCGCTGGCTGAATCTTCCGTCAGATAGCCATCTATTACACATAGACCTTGTTCGATTCCCGCTCTCACGCGTTCGCTAATTTCTTTACGTCTAGCAAGGCCCCGCCCTCGATTCTCCGTCTTCACCAAGAATTTCTCCATTTGCTCGGCCTCTGCAGGCTTTGCCTCATAACCTGTAGCACTCACGCAGGTAAGAATTCCCTGAACGGACTCTATCTTGCTCAGAGAAAAGAACGTCCGGAAATGGGACTCCAATCCGTAGATTGGTTGGTGTGTTAGAAGCATGATTTGCAACTTTTTCAAGCTCGGGAACTCGCCTAACATGTAGTTTAGGTCCGTGATCTGTAGGAGCTCATCGACACGGAGCGACTGAATGGCGCTGGCTTGGTGTTGAAATAGTACTTTTGAGACGAAGGTCCGCTGCAGTTCACCTGGAATGTCATAGGTGTAGTTGAGGAAAGGTAGCTTCCAAGCTTCTTGGTAGATCAGTCGGCATGTTTGCAAGAGATTCAAATCCAGAGCAGAGCGTGCATGCCGCTGCTTGAGGGCGGACAACCGGTCATCGTGATCTGCCCTAAATTGACGCCAGCCAGCGTCGCCTTTGGGGCGCATCGAGGTCTGCAATAGAATCGTGGCCAGGGTTTCGTCTTGAAGGTCGTCTGCAGCCCGAGCACATGGACCCATGTGCCTCAGGTCTCGGCGGTAGTCAAACTCACCAAGTTTGCTTCGCGCATAAGCTTCTTTCCAGTAATTACCATCTGAACAGACTGAGTACGTCGACTTTTGAAAGGTCTCCCCCTCGGGGCCATTCCAGTCGCCGATCATCTGGTGTCCAAAGCCAGCCGTGAGATACCTGTCCATGAAAGTGCAGCTTCTTGTGGTCACATGGATCGTGCCAGAGCCAACCACGTAGTCGTAGATACAAGCCCTTAGTTCAGGGGGCAGGCGGAAGAGAGGTGCTTGTGACTGTGGATCGCAATCGGACGAAATTCTGGTGTAGTGGGAGGGGCGTGCGAACATTTCGCGTGATGTGTAGGCGCCTCGAGGGGACGACGTTTGGTCGGAGCCAGGATAGTACAGGCCCTCACCGTCACTTTCTTCTTCCTCGTCGTCTTCCCAGTCCTCGTAGGAGCCAACCGCGTGATACGTTTCCTCTTGCATTTTCGCTGTTGATGTATGCTTCGGATGCAATCACCCAACGGAGTTGACACAGAGAGAAGGCACTTTTTGGACCAAATACAGGAGATCGATTCAAATTTCAGCTCATGCAAGCTGATGGAACTGAGTGTCTTCTTCCGCAATTGTGCTGTAGGAAGAGAAGGAAGTTCGTTTCAATGAGAAGTAGTGTACAGACCCGGACCTGATGGCCACAGCATCCCATGACTTATTGAGCTTTTGCTGATTGGGCCAGCAAGCGAGAGCACATCCAATTCTCAATTTCGACGACATGAACTTCTCGCGCATACCACACATCCGCCAACACCACCAACATGGGCGTCGCATTCGATTACTGCCCGGAGCGGCCGGAGAACATCGACACCATCCTCAACGGCCTCGACCGATACAATCCTGAAACCACGACCGTCTTCGAGGAATACATCGCCGGCCAGTGCAAGAGCCAGACCTACGACAGCTATGCGAATCTGGCGCTTCTGAAATTGTGAGTGAACAGCACATCCTACACGAGAGAGGAGGGAGCGGATCATATGATGAACAAGATTCATAAAACGTTTCCTATTACCTGAAGGCAATTGCCTGGTGAAATATATGTATTAGCTCTATCTGAAAGACGCCCCTCCTCTCTGCACACCATACACCACTCAAAAGCGGTCGCGGAAGGAGAACAGCAGCTGACCATCAACTTCTTACTGCTAGATATCAATTCAACCCACACCTCGCCCGCGACGAAACCATTCACAACGTCCTCGTCAAGGCGCTCACCGTCTTCCCCTCACCAGACTTCTCGCTCTGCCTCTCCCTCCTCCCGCCATACGTCCTCGCGTCCTCAAAAGCAGACAAGGGCCCACCCGGAAGTGGCACCCTCGCCGAAGCCGTGCAACACCTCTCTACCCTCCACACTCAACTCAACAATGCGCAGTACAGCGACTTCTGGAACACCTTCGACCACGACGACCTCTGCGCGGACCTGACCGCCGATGTCGCGGGCTTCGAGGATACCATGCGGATACGGATCGCCGTGGTGGTGTCGCAGTGCATGCAAGAGGTTGGACGGGATGTGCTTGAGGGGTGGTTGAACTTCCGAGGAGAGAAGTTTGATCACTTCGTCAAGGATGTGTGCGGGTGGACCATTGATGGGCAGAAGGTCAAAGTGCCGCTGAACAAGGAGAATGAGGCACGGAGTGTGGTCCAGCGAGAGACAGTCAAGTTTGATCAGTTCTCGAGGATGGTCAAGAGGGCGTATGAACAGCCTGCGTAGAGTGGCAGCTCAGCAGGACTGCAGGGACTTGATTGTTACGATGCATGATGCATCCTCTCAGGAGCGTGGCGTTCAGGGGATCAAAGAAGGGAATGGGACGAACTTGAAATGAAGTGGGTGGCATTGCCTGCTTTTCTTGCGTGACTAGGGTCACGATCAAGCTACAATGAAAGAAATGAACCGATCAGGCCGGCCGCCTGGTGCCGGCTAACTCCTCCCATTGCACACCAACCCACTCTTCCACATATCCCACCTCTCCACTGTCTATCCCGCTCTCCTGGCAATCCTTACTGCACACGCCCAGAATAATCGTGCCCCAGTCCATCCCATCGATCGACATCTCATCCGCTTCCAGCTCCGTAATCACATGCGGCGTGAGCTGCAATTCAAACACCCTCGCCGCACCACAATTGTTACATCGTGGAATCTTCGCTCCACCACCCTGTGTCTTGACCTTCACATTCCCCTCCTGCCCCGCAGCCTCCGCGAACAACTTGCCCACCTTATCACTCTTCGAGTACAATAACGGCTGGCCCTCAAAGTCATAGCGCAAAACTTGCTCGGGGTTCTGCGACAGGTGGTCTGCGAAGCGCTGGAAGGTTTTGTCCATGGTGCTTTCGAAGAGCGTTTTGTCGTCTGCGCCACTGCCGCCGCTCGAGCCCTCACCGCGGTCGATTTGGACGTTGGAGGGCGTTTGGTCGTCGGCTGAGGCCTCGATGTATTCAGTGTCAGCGTCGAGGTGGTAGTGGGGTAAGGGGTCAGGGAAGTTCGAGGGGGAGGGCCAGGGTTCTTTGGGAGAGGGTTGCGTTTCAGGGGATGGTGCATCGGTGATGCGGGCTTTTTGCGCGAAGGTCTCTGGGAGGGAAGCTGCTTCGTCGACTTCGGGCTGTTGCGGTGGTTTTGCGGCGAGGGAGGAGGCGGAGGAGAATGGATTTGATGCCGTTCCATTTGCGGCGAAGGGATTTGCTGAAGCGCCGCTGCTAGAACCTGAGGCGATTGGGTTGGCTTGGGTATTTGTTCCAGGCTTCACGCCAAAGAGCGTCTCTCCCAAGTTGTTCGCGGGTTGTGGTGCCGGTGCTTTGGGCTGGCTCTTCTCTTCTCTCTTCTCCTTCACTTGTTGCACCGCCGTCTGCCTCGTCGCCCGAAAGGCCCTCACACTGCCCTCCTTCCGTCGACAAGTCTTCTTCCGACAAGCCCACAGGTATAATCTCCTCTCATGTCCCGGAAACCTTTCTGGCAAATCTCCATTGATCTGCAGTAGTAAGTTCATGAGACCATTGCATACTCTGCATTTGGCCAAGCTGCCCGATGGAGCGGTCTTATCGTCTAGCCATGTCTATGTCCGTCTCTTAGCCTTCTACTATTCTTTTCAACGTGCGCATGTCGGATTGCGTACCGGATGTCCTCCAAGCTGGCTGAAGTCGTCGCTTGTTGGTTCTCTCGATGCGTAGCCCAGCAGAACGTTGGTGGCAATGTCCTCTGCGCCTGAGGAGTCGGAATCGTAATCGGCCATGGGGGATGGATGTGAAGCAAAAGAGAAAATGTTTGGACGATCGTTCTTCACAAGATTCATCTGCAGTCTTGGCCCGAGCGTCTGGAGTGGTCCAAACCTTATTTTCGGCCGCATCTCTTGGTTGGAGCGGTCACCTGCTCTGCACAACGTGCCACACGCACACATCAACCAACACGTTTCACTCACCTACATTCGTACAACAATTTTTGACGAGAAATCGTTCACGATCGCTACTGGCATCCCATACACAACCGCGGCCGAACATCGCCATCCAGATCAGCATCACCGCCACTCAAGAAGCGGGAGCAATGGACGACTCAACTCATACGCCGATAGAAGACAACCACTCTCACAATCCGACAGCCACTGTCCTAGGCCTCCCACAAGAATTGCGCGACCTAATCCTCGCCCACATCCTCATCAAACCCACCAACACAATCACAATGCTCCCCAACTTCACCTGCCACGCCAACGAGATCTCCGCCCTACAACCACCTGTCAGCCAAGTAAACCGACAGCTCCGCCACGAAACCTTGCCAGTCTTCTACTCCGCCAACACCTTCACCGCACAACTGGACAACGCCGTCGATCTCGACATCGCGCTGGCCTGGCTGACCGCCATCGGCGACGACAATATCTCCCATCTCCGCAAGATCATCCTATGTGGCTGGACTAGAGTTCCATTCGGACGCATGATCACGAAGCGATTCTTGAGGGTTGTGCTGGATTTGAAGGCGGGGAGTTTGGAGATGGAGAGTATGGAGGGGGATTATGGAAGTAGTGATTATGGGCTCAAAGAGGACGGGTTGGAGATTAAGAAGAGTGTGGAGGAGTTGAAGGCGGTTTTTGGGAAGATGGTGAAGGCAAGGGGTGGGAGAGCCTTTGATGAGCGGAGTTTGATGGAGTTGATGTTGGGGTTTCATGGGCTTTGTACGGGGTATTGAGCGGGGGGTGCTCTGGATCTGGATCTGCGAGAGCATAAACTTCCTTCAGGAGAAAATGCTGTTGCGCAATGCCAGCTGCTGCCACTTTACCGAGCTCCCCGCCAGACGGAAGCGATACTGGCGAAACGATTCTCGTGCTCACGGAACCCATTACGATATCTATCTCGGGACTACACTCTGATGAACGTCAATCCGGTGAAAGCGCCAATTTCGCTCTCATACACCTTCTCCTTCAAAGCCGCTCTGTCAGGATTACACTTCCAGATATGACCTCCAATATCCGCCACCCAGATGCACTTCATCTCTTGGTCGAGCTTCAAGCCAATGGCCTCGGTGAATCCCTGGGCGATGATCTGGCGTCCCAACTTCTTCTCCGACTGAGGAACGGTGCCGACTATCGTCTTCCTGTTCAGCGTGTTGCCGAGGGGTAGTTCGCCACGATCGGTCCAGTACAAGACTCCGGTTTCTTCGTCGAGTTCGAGATCAATAGGCTCTGGGAGCTTGTCCATGACCACCTTGATATCGGAGCGATTTGCTGGATCTTTGGGAGTCTCCAGTCCGGCGGAGAAAATGCGACCTTGAGAGCCTTTGGACGGCCCTTTCTGTGTCCAGAAGATCTGCCGCAATCACGAGATCAGTATGTTGGTCACGGGAAGAAGTCTTTGCGAAAAGGCTTACCTTGCCTAACTTCTGCGACACAGCAATACCCACACACCACTCCGTCTCTTCCGGCGTCTCCTTCTCCCAGTCCGCCGTCTGAACCAGCGTCTCCAACTCGCTGCCATCCAGGTTCACACGCATAACCCTGCACCCTTCTCGGTCACAGAAGTACGCTTTCTTGGCTTGCTGGTCAATTATGAGCTGCTTTGGAGTAAAGATCTTGCCCTTAGGCACCACTGTCTGGATGTCGCTCCCATCCAGTTTCGCGCTGAAGATCTGGCCCTCGAACACCTTTGGATTGCCCATATCGGTCCAATAGATTCGGTCGCCATAGACATCGATACCGTCTGGCATGTATTCGTGCGTGAGCAGATTCTGGGCTTTGCCGCCTTCAGCGGGGTCGTAGGTCAGGATGGAGCCGCGGTGCTAGATAGACACCAGTCAGTCTGGATTCGATTGTTCCTGAAGGAATTACAACTCACCAAGACCTCATCAAAGGATACTTTGTCGTCAATTGGCTCTGCAGTGCCAAGATTCAAGAATATGAGCTTCGTCTGCGAACCTGGCTTTGGCACCTCGTACAACCCGCCTTTGCCTGCTGTCTTCTTGCCTAGTTTGCCGGGCTTGACGTAATTCTCGTTCAACCAATCCAGATGTGCTCGGGTGATACCACGCTCTTTGACGTAATGTTCCTCAATGTTGGATACGGTGTCCAGACCGACGTTGTCCATCATATGGCACTGCATGGCAAAGTCAGTTTCTCACCCAAGAAGTCCCGACAGACGTGCGACTCACAGGCCCGTCTCTCGCTCGGTACTGTTCCTTGAACACTCTGTCGACCTCCGCGGGCGTCGAAACACCCTCTTGCAATACCTTCAAAGTCTCCCGCTTAATCGCCGCCCAGATCCGGTTGAAAACGAATCCTGTGGATTCTTTCTGTGCTACAATGGGGTGCAGTCCAGCTTCCTTCTGACGCTCTACCATCCAGGGGAAGAGGTCCGGATATGTGTGGCCTGAGGTCATTAACTCGACGATCAGAGCCTCGGGAGGCATCATACTATCAAGAGCTCAAGGTCAGCCCACTCTAAAGTGAAACGATACCGCAGAACGTACTAATGCGTATTCAGCGCCCTCTTCTTCGTCTCATCCTTGACCCTACCCAACAACTCGCCGCTCTTAAAACTACTCGAATTTGTCCCCAAAATGCAATCTTCCGGCGCATACTTCTCCAGATCCGCAAACGTCGCTTCCTTGATCTCCAACTTCTCCGGCACGGCTTCGATCACCAGCCAGGCGTCTTTGAGCGCGGAAGGGAGGTCGTCGAAGACAGAGCATTCTCCGGGATTGCGTTGGGTCAGGTTGGTGAAGGTTGCGATGTTTTCCTTCACGTATTCGAGGGCTTGGGTGCGTTGTGCTTCGCTGGGGTCGCGGATGTGGACGGGCCAGCCGCCTGCTGTCCAGCATGCCGCTGTTGAGGGTGTTGTTAGCTGGTTGATCGAAGAAATATGGAGATACCATTGCAGACTTACCAACTCGACGACCCAAAACTCCGCCACCGAGGATCACGACCGGCCTGGTCTCATACGATTTCGGGGGCTGGAACGTCGACATTGTGGCAACCTTTCGAACGATGGATTGCGAGATGGATTTGGGCTTCACAGCGATTGCAGTGCCGAAGACATGTAAGTACCCAGGCCTGAGCCCAGAAGACAACGTGAGCATCCTGCTGCGTCAGCATCATGGAAGCTGTGCTGCTGCACTGCTCTGTTCTCGCGCGAGAAGCTCTCGACCCAGCTCGACCGAAACCCACCGGATACACCTCGAGCTCAACACCACCAAGGCTGAGCCCGCTACCAACCATCCACCTGAATCAGCACGCCGCATACACGTACTATCCGAACCCCTCCGGCATCTAATAATCAGAACCCAAGCGCACCGACTAATCCTAAACGAGCCCTCGTCTCCGGGTGTAGCCTTGCGAACTCGCGCGAGGAAGGAAATGTGTGAGAGCTTCATCTCAATGCCTGAATGTCGTAATCCGGTTTCCTGCAGGTACCGAAAGGCTCCTTGGAGCTTGGGCTCGAGCTGTTGTGTAGTCATCTTGCTAGTGCTTCGCTGACTACGCGGATCTTGCATGCACGTGGAGAGGGAGGTGAATAGTGATACGGTGGATTGGAGAGCTTCTTATTCAGCCATAAGCCTCTTCGATCTTGTTTCGGCGCTTCTTTGACTCTTCCTGTCTTCATGTCGTGCTTGCCAAGGAGCTTGTCGTGCCATCTGGATTTCAACGAAACTGAGATGTGCTGCGAGGGGTGTTGTCATTTGAGTTTGTTGCTGGATGCGGCAGCCGAGCAAGCCGAGTTGATCAGTCATGATAGCTCGAGTATGAGCGGCCTGATGCTCGGCCGCTTCGCATTTGGGGTGTTTTGTGCAAGATGATGAAGATATCGGGACGGTCATTGAGCCGGTTTGTGCTTTTCTGTTGCTTGAAATCATGTGTGAGCCGTGATGCAACGAAAGACTTCTGTATACTATTCATGCCGTAGGGCTGTCGCCGAGTTTGATTCAGGGAATTGTGGTGGTTGTTCGATGCTCGTTCACATCCTACTACCCCGGGCATTTCACATGCTGAATAGTGGCATTTTCTGGATCGATATGGAGAATTACGGTGCTCCATTGAAAACCGTCATCATGCAATTGGTCATCTATCCTCAAGAGCCTCATGACTCCCTAATGTAGCAAAAGCTTACCACTTATCCAAATCACTCTTGCTTGGCCACACTGTCCTCCGCTGAGTCCTGACATACAGATTCACCGGACGGACAAGTTGAAAGTAGGGATCATACTGAACCGCAGCCTCGCCGACTCTCTCCCAGTGATACCGCCACACAAGCTTAGGCAAGAAAAGCTTGACTTCTTGCAGAGCAAAGTTGAATCCGATGCACGAGCGGGGACCGATGGCAAATGGGCAGTAGGCGGCCTTGTGGCGATTCTTGACAGCGTCGGTATCCCAGCGGTCGGGGTCGAAGTGGGCCGGGTTGTCCCAGTATTTGGGGTTTTGGTGGATGTGATGAATGGCGGCTGGTAGACAGATTAGCGCGTTGCATTTTTGTTCTTCCGAGAATTGTACTTGCCAATCACCACGTCTCCTTCCTTGAGCTTGTATCCACCAGGCAGCACGAGGTCTGTCTTGGCGGTCCGACCGGGCTGGTAGGACGGATTGTTGACTCGCTGCATCTCCTTCACGTATTTCTCCTGAAACTCCAACTTCTCGATGAGCTCGGGAGTGACAACTGTGTCGTCATTGAAGTCGTTGTCCACAAGCTCCTGCAAGAGTCTTGCTTGCATTCCCGGATACGTGACAAGTCCGTAGATGAGCCAGGACAGTAAAGTGGATGTAGTCGCAAAGCCAGCGCCTGAGGCAACAATCACAGCCGAGACGAGGTTCTCCTTCGGGAGTTTCTCGCCGTTGGAGTCAACAGCTCTCACGAGATAGTCGATAACATTCGTAGCATGCAGAGCGGCATCCTGCAGAGGCAGATCTTCAGTTCCGCCAGCCTTTGTGTTCTGGATCACCTTGTCGACTTCGCTCGCTTCCCAATCTTGTATCTCCTTCAATTTCTTCGGGTCGCCAAATGGAAGATGGGCGAAGAACTCGCCCTTAGATGCAATCTTCTTGTTCAGCGACAACACTTCGACAATCGCTCGCACGAATGCATGCATTGGTGCGTCGACCTCTGAGAAATGGTTGAAGTCCATGCCGAGGACGACTTTGCCAATCGTCTCAGCGCCAAGCTTGGTCATGTACTGGTAGACATTCCAGGTTTCATTATCTTCTTCAAGCTTGTCGAATATTGGCAGTGCAGATTCGATGCAGGCCTGCATGATGGGAGCATAGTGACGAACCGCCTTGGGGCCAAATGCTGGAGGCAAGAACTTATGGACGATGCTCCATGTTGGATTTTCGGTATCGCTCAGGAACACACCGGCCTGGTCGTCTTTGATTGGGTATAGCGGGTGGTTCTCGTTGATCTTCTTGGTAAAGAAATCGGTCTCTGCAAACACAATCGCAGCCAGTTCCGCATCGTTGATTTGATACGCAGTCCGACCGAGAGAGGTGGTCTTGAAAATAGGCCCGTATCTTTCAAAGAGACGTTGATTGTTGCCCAAATGATCTGGCAAGATTTCGAAATAGTTGCTGAACGGTCGTCATTAGCAATAATTCCGGTATTCGATCCGACATACGTACCCAACAAATGGCATACCTTTCGGACCAGGAACTTCGCGAACGGCATGACCGTCAATGGTGATTGCAATAGCTCCACTGGCCTTCTTGATATCTTCTACCTCAGCAAGTGGGCCATCGTTCGACTGGAAAGCAATTCCTGTGCACTGGTGAGCGCGCGAAAGACCGAGTGTCCGAATCAGCTTTCTCACCAGACGGCTCAACGATGGCGAATTGGCCAGCAATCAAGAGCTGCAGTGAACTAACATCGCTCGCCTTTGAAACATCGACATCCAATGCTGTTGATTCATCTTCTCCGAGTAGGTAGAACTGTTTAGAGGCCATAATGGTGCAGCGAAGAGCGATTGAATCAGAATTCGGTACCGTTCTCAACGTTGAAGCGTTCTTGTTGCTAAAGAAGCGACGTCAACAAGGCGCTCTTTCACAAGCCAAACAGATCGTATCTGCGCCGCACAAGATGATCACATCGTGCTTGACGCTATGAATGGCAGACCAGTCGTAAGCAGAGGCGTTGAGCTCTGGAAGCCCACTACCGATGCACCGTCCGATGCTGCTTACAAACAAGAGGCTTGTTGTAATTGTCGGCGCTTCCATTGGCGTCAGGCTTTGATTCCGGGGTAGAGCTCTCATGCACCAAGCATGTTAGAGGTGCCACTGAGTGAAGGGTGATTGATAACACGGCGCGCGAGCTCCCGTATAGGGCTCTAACGCGGCTGTGGGATTCGACGACATGCAGGACGCGAGCATCCGACACCTTATTACATTCTGCCAAGCGGCTCTGGCCTTATACCATCGCACGCATGCCAACGCCAATCGTTGATGACTATTTTGTCAACGGGTGGAGACATGTGTCAGCTGTTGCATATTGATGAATACAAATCTTAGACAGCATGTAACAAGCGTGCAGCAACGAGGCGTAGGCAGGCGAGAGCTAATCACGGCTCTGCCAGAAGCTCGACTCGATGACGACGGGCTGGTATCCGTGCCACTAGGCGGTGACAAAGTGGGCTGGTAGTGATACATGTTATCTCGTGCTCGAGCGGCGAGCTGATGCGTGCAATCGACGTTCTCCAATTCCGGGTCAGTCGAAGGCGTCTTCTCTCTGTCTTTATCGACGAACTGCGAGACACTGCAAGACGAATCAACGTACAGGTCACGATATGGCATCCCCAGACCGAAAGGAGCTTCAAGCTAAATGGAAGACCGAAGTCGAAGTCCCAACTCTGTCACTAGCGGATGTGGCCAAGCATAACACGAAAACCGATTTATGGATTGTGATTCATGGCAAAGGCAAGAGCATGACATGCGTAGTCAGATCAGGGACTGACCTTTCGTCTCGTAGTATACGACGTGACGAAATACGCCAGAGACCACCCTGGAGGTGCCGAAGCATTGATCGAAGTCGGCGGAACAGATTCCACCAGCGCATATGAAGATGTTGGTCACTCAGAGGATGCGAGAGAAATCATGCACCAGTTCCTTGTCGGCTCATTGGCAGAGGCTGCGGACTCTCAGACACCAACTGCTAAGCCCAAAGTGCAGCTCGTCAGGCGAGGTGTGAGCAATGAGCAGCCAAAGAAGAGTGCCTTGAGCGGGCTCACGCCGCAAATTGAGCTCGCAGCCGTTGCTGTTGGAACCATCGCTGTGGTATTCATTGCACGGACTGTCGGTCTACCCAGTTCGAACAAGAGTCACGCTGGGTCGAAATCGGCGTCTGGAGCAGAGAGCCATGGCGGATTCGTTTCGGGATTCTTGTGGGCAACCACTGTTTGTGCTGCGATGGGAGCCGTGGGTTACCGTTATATTTCGAAGGCGATGAGCTTCGACAAGCAGTTCGCACCGTCGAGTTTTCCAGCTCACATGCACGCATCCAAGCTCGTCAGATCCACGAACCGGCCAGCTGGTGTGTTGATGCCTCAGGTAAGTGTTGACGTGTGCCAGAAAGAGAATGTCAGGCTGATGCTTCTCATCAGGAGTACCAGAAGTTTCCACTGATTCGACGGGACGAGCTTTCAAAAGACACGGTCCGTCTGGTGTTCGCACTCCCGGCAAAGACAACGATACTCGGCCTTCCAATCGGACAGCATGTCGCCATTCGTGGATACTTTGACGACGACAGTGGACATCACACCGTAACTCGATCGTATACACCTGTATCGAACAATAAGGACCTCGGCCGCCTTGAATTGGTGATAAAGCTGTATCCAGATGGCCAGCTCACTGGAAAATATCTCACTGGACTGAAGCTGGGAGATGAGGTACGCCATAAATTTCCGAAGACTGTTGTTTATCTGCTGATTGCAATCGCTTCAGGTTGAATTCCGTGGACCGAAAGGTGCCATGCGATACCGGAAAGGATTCACCAAGCGTCTCGGGATGGTAGCCGGTACGTGAGCTGTCCTCGTCATTCACTCGACTCCATCCAACTGACACGGGTTCTTGTAGGCGGCACCGGCATAACGCCCATGTACCAGCTCATTCGTGCCATCTGCGAAGATAAAACAGATGACACCAAGGTCTCCCTCGTGTATGCCAATAAGTCACCGGATGACATTTTGCTGCGTAATCAATTGGAGCGGTATCAGAAGCTGGCGCCTAGCAAGTTCAAGATATATTACATTGTCGATAATGGTGCGCCAGGATGGACAGGAGGCGTTGGCCGGGTCACAAAGGAGACTCTGCAGGAGCATTTGCCGCTGGCAAGCGCGGATACGAAGATCTTGCTGTGTGGGCCGCCGGGCATGATCAACGCGACGAAGAAGAATCTTGGCGATTTGGGATTTGAGCAGCCTGGTGCCGTGTCGAAGTTGACGGATCAGGTCTTCTTGTTTTGAGAGAGTTGATGCACAAGAGGGTGGAGGTTGATGGGTTGGTTTGGCCCCTGACTATACGATGGAGCTAGTGGTGATGATACTGATCAATAACTCGAGATTTCACTGGACTCTTGACCCGCAATCGTACAGACTTCACACTTTCACAACACATCCTCACCGTCCGTCCTCCCGCCCTGCACCTCATCTTGCTCACGAAACCCTCGTGTCGCATCTTGATTGAACTCACTGAGATCGGTCCTCTCACCTCGTCCCGATGTTCTCGTCGTACAGTCATGGCGCCTACCTTTCGAATCTCCATGGTCTCGCAATGGGAAAGAGTTTTGTGGTCATGCAACCCACCGATGCATATCGTCGTTCTGGCCTGAAAAATCGCTATTTGTGAGAGCACACTCGCGTCGTATGGCTCGTGGCATTGTTCTGGCTGAGGCCCTCGCTAGACGCACGAATTGGCAGAAGAGATTGCGAGAAGGTACCTGGTGGAGGTTCATGATTGGATACGAGATGGTGTAGCGAAGGCTATACGTGCGTCCACATGCTGGACAGAAACTCAGTCTTCTGAGTGCTCGCCCCAGTACAGTCGAGCCTCATCCCTTCCGCACACTGGACGGGTCGAGCGTTCAGCCGAAGGCTTGCAGCTATCCCTGCATTTCTGAGACCTGCTACATTGATGTCTGGCTTGGGAGAGGCTGCGACTCGGCGCCACTCATGCCGTGCGTATCAGTAGCCACGAGCATTCTCGGCTCGGGCACCGTATCATTGGGCTTCCAAGAGAAGCTCGCATTTTTGCACTACTCCAATGCACGATAGACCGGTTTGAAGCTTGCAGGTGGCACCATCATTTGCAAAAGTTGTATCTTCAGCTGAAGCGCGATTGCGGAATGTGCACTGCCCATCTCGGGTATGCTGTGACCGGTGAGCTTTGTTGAATAAGTATCTGTCCGCTGAACACCCTGCTCACCATCATTCCCGCGCTTCAGTGCAGGCCACTACACGACGACGAAAAATCGCCTGTTCCGCCAACCACGCGACGGCCACTCAGCATGGCCGAAGCTGGAGCCATTCTCGGCACCATCAGTGCCATAATTTCCCTGATCGATGCCGCCAAGAAGGTCTATGATGCGGTCGGCGATGCTCGCGGTTTACCAGAGGCGTTCCGCTTAGTGGCATCAAATTTGCCGCTCGTTCATGCGATTCTGGAAAAGATACAAGCTCAATACCGGAGTGCAGCATCTGACGGCCATGACATCGCTATCATCGCTGAAGCCCTCGAGGACTGTCGTGACAAGGCTGATAGCCTCAAGAAAATCTTCGTCAAAGTTCTTCCAGGTGATAAGGACTCGTGGGTCGACAGATATAAGAGTGCTCTCAGGACCATTAAGCCGGGCAGGGCCGACAAGGTCGAGAAATTGATGGAGACGATCATGGACAAGCTGCAACTTTTACAAGAACATAGTATCGCAGACAACCTCACAGGCGGAGAGCGTCGTCAACTCAAGAAAGGGATTGACAGCCTGGAAAAAGTGGAGCCCTCAATCTCGGACGAGGGAGTTGGTGGTTCACTCACGCAGTACGGGCAAGGATCCAATGCCGCCACAGGCCATGCAACGCAAACAAACAACCAGAACTTTGGTTCCGGGAACACCTATCAACCTCAGCAAGACAGCTTGATTCAGGCGAACCTGGTTACCTGAATGGCGATGTTGCGCGACCACATGAACTTAAGACATACTACATATCGAAGACTCGTCAATCTTTCTGCTTTTTACTCGTCTGATTATCATTGAGTAGGCAACAACAATGTCTTTGAAGGTCCAGATCCATTCCAAGAGTGGATGAACAAGTTGTACATATCCCCTGACCTAGATGTTGTCGCTGACGGGGATCGTACTCGTGAACGCCGTACACCAGGCACGTGCGAGTGGATCAAGACAGAACCCGGCTTTGTTTTGATGCATGGTGTAGCGATGCCCCCGATCCTCGACTCTGGGTTTTGGCTGGTGAGCCCGGAAGACGATCATCGCAACATACATCATTGACCACTAAAGGAGACAGGCAAGGCGGTTTTTTACTTCTTCTGCAAGAACACTGAGGACACGCGAAACACGACTGTGTGTATCTTGCGGAGTCTGCTTCATCAGACGTTGAAGCAGTATCCGGACACTCGGGAGGCAGTGAAGAGAGCGTACAATGCCAGCAGCTCAGCTCTTGACGAACTCCACACCCTTTCTGGTCTCTTCCATAAAGCCATGGCTAGCCCGTCGCTAAAACGTGTGTGGTTAGTCATCGATGGTCTGGACGAATGCAAACAAGAATCGTGGGAGCCTCTTGTTCAAAAACTACTGAGTGCTCCCTTCACTACCGATACTTCCACCCCGAGCCCTGGTATGAAAGTCAAGCTTTTAATCCTGACGAGGCCCAACGCAATTCCACTGCGCACTGTCGAAGGCTCCAACAATCTGGTGAAGTACATCACTCGGCCTAATATTGCGAATGATCTGGAACGTTTCATCCACAACGAGGTTCCCAGACTATTCAAAGACCCAGAAATTCGCGATGATGTATCCCGCGATCTCTCCACCAGGTCTGGCGGGACATTTTTATGGGTAGCATTCGCTCTTAGCTATGTTGAAAGTCTCAGGTTGACAGAGCCATTCGCACGGGACGAATTGCGCAGCATGCCTACCAAGTTAAGAGACATCTATGAACGGATCCTGAAAGACGCCAAATCCCACTCTCTCCGTCAATACGTCCGGCCTACACTGCACCTCATCCTCGCGGCGCAAAGGCCGCCCACGACAAATGAATTGGCGCTGCTTCTCTGTTTTGTAGAGTCTAGTCCATCCAAGACACCGGACAACAAGACCATCGAGCAGATGCAGGGGGCATCACAAGCCTGTGACCTCCTCATTCAAAAGAATATAAGAGGGACAGTATCGACAATCAGCATCATCCACCAGTCCTTGAAAGACCTTTTGGAGGAAAAGAAAAAGCGGTTGCCACGGGCTCTTCGATCCTACGTGTTCGATGAAAGCAAGTCGAGAATTGAGCTCGAAACGGCTTGCCGGGCATATCTCTCGACAGATGAAGTGCGAAAAGCGTTGGACTTCGTGGAACATAAACTATCCCGCACAAAATCTAGACTTGCCGGCTCTTCAATTGGCAAGGACGGGGCAACCTTATCAGAACAACAACTTGGACTGCTGACATTTGCATTGCGGACCACACGCTGGAGCCCGCCTCGTGGTACTTCCCATGGTCTTGTCTTGTGGCAGTTGCGTCGGCCGGATGAATTATATCACGGTTGGAATTCCGATTATGAGGCCCGGGTGTGTGGATTTGCTGAAAATGCCATCGAGAATGCACATGTCTCTGCCCTCCAATTCTTCTGCAGGATCTTAGATGCCATGAATACTGAGGAGAATTCCTGGCGGAGAAGACTCGTCAGTTGGTGCCTACTTGCGCTCGAACACGGCCACGACTTGCTCTTGGAACCACTGCTCAACGAACTCAGTCTCTTGCAAGACAAAGACTATCTAGAGAACCTCGTTCAAATTGGTTTGTACAACATACTCAAATTCCTGGCGAACAAGAGTGAAGCTCACCAAGTTGAGCGCCGCAACTCTATGAGCACATGCATTCGCCTGTGCCAAAGCCACCTTGATCAGACTGACATGATTCGGGGTAATGCATTGCATATTGCTGTCCGAACATACATCGCCGAAGCTGTGCAAATCTGCATAGAACAGCATGTTGACGTGTTTGCGAAAGATGGATATGGCCAAACACCCCTACACTACGCCGTAAGGAAATCAAGCAGTGAAGTGGTTGAGCTTCTTCTGGAAGAGCACAGCATCAAGGCACCTGCTGAAGACCAGAAAGGTAGAGGCCGAGGAGGAAACACGTTGTTGCACTATGCTGCGCGAAGGAACGATAGCGCAGTCTTGGAGGCTTTGCTAAAGTGCCATTTTGGCAAGGAGTTGATTTATACTGCCAACAATGACGGCGAGCTTCCCATCCACACTGCTATCCACAGGAGGACGACGTTGGGCAATGTGAGGCTGCTACTTGAAGCTGATGTAGAGAAGACGTCGCTTTGCACGACAAATCTGAAAGGCCAAACGGCGCTTGATTATGCCAGATCAAGACTGGAGCAGTGTTCTGGTGGTATCATGGTACAGGATCGTTCCGGGCACGAATTGAGTAGCTCTGCCGACAAATGGGAGCAAATCGTTGCATATCTCGAGAAGCAAGGAACGCTCGCCGTAGCAGTGCTACAGACGGAAATACCAGGCGGCTCATGTTCTGCATCAGAAGTACAACAGACGATGAGCATTCCAGAGGACGTCACCGCCAAAAGCGTCTCCGCCAAAGACACAGTATTCGAGGAGCCGACCATTCAAGGACAACCACTCGAGCAGCGTCTACCTCATGACCAGATCAAGGAACCTGTGCATGTACAGTACCCTGGATCAGTAAGCAAAGAAGCTGACAACCATGTTCCTTCACTTACGAAGAAGCAAGCTCGGAGGAAGTGCAAAGATGTAATGTGCGTTCTCAGCTGAGCAAGGAGTATCACGAAGTGAGGCCTGCTTCGTACAGCGCATGCTCTACCTTTGGAAGCATTTGCTCAGTCAGTATCATTGTCATCTCCGTGAGTTTACCAGCGTTTGTAGAAGATATTCTAGGCACTTGAAACACACTTCTCAATAATGTAAGAGTCGTCTTCAAATCGCCCGCGTAAGAATTTCGAATCATATTTGGGCGTCTCATGAGAAATTTCCTTCAAGCTTATCAGCCGTTCACGATATCAAGGACCGGAGTCTGCGGGACCAAAACAACGTCCTTCACGTCAGGCTGGGCTTGCCAAGGCTTTGTAGTTCGGCGCTCCTTTGACTCCTTCAGCTGGGGCCTTTGTCAGCACAATAGAGCTGAGCTTTGTGGCAATGCAACTTTCGCAAATGACTCAGCTTTGACTTCTCGTATTCCTCATCATTCGGGAGAGTACTCTCATCTCGATCTCTGTCAAACAAAGAATACGACGATCAATCCCGACAGCCTAAATGCGCGGGACACAATGTCAAGTATTCGTGAGGTCGGTACAGTAAACCACGCATACCGTCACAGCGGGTTTCTAACATGACTTCCAGCACTTCCAAGAGCTTAAGAACAACATAGACAAGGTCATCGGAACGCTACTCGAACTTCATCCACAGGAGGCAACACAAATACGTCATGAAGTTTTCCAACTATGCGAGGAGCTATTGTCCTCCCTGACGATTTCTATGCCGTCGCAAAGTGTGAGCGCTGCCGCTCAGTCTCAATCATATCCGAAAGAGAACCAAGCGTCCAATATCCAAGACGATGAGCTGCTAGACGTCGACCACGCTGGAGCAAGTGTTGTGGGGGAAGGCAAGGATTCTTCTAATGCTGAGGAGGGCATCGGCGACGATGGAAGGGCACCTAGTCATTCGAGCGAACTCGACAATTTGCAAGGCACGCAATCTCTGGCGGCCGAACCACCTCCAAAGCCACTATCTTCTTCAGACAAACACTTGGGTGCCGTACTAAGATCAAGCCAATTAGCTCATCTTCCTAGAGACATCCTCCAACCATCTGAGCTCCTTCTGAAGCTGCAATACGAACTACCACGAGAGTATCGACTCTGGACTCCCCTGCTCACCCGCTTGTTCTACGCCATCGGCAGCCCTGAAAGCTTCCTCCAACTACGAGACGCCTGTCGCTTCATCCGTCGAACACCTTTCAAAGCTCGGCCAGTGAGCACTGGTAACAGCGATCTCGCAGAAACCGTCCAAGCCCTTGATTCTCTCGAAGACACCGACTGCGTGGCCTCCGTACTTCGCCGATACCATCTATCTCGACTCCTTGAATATCGCAACGCTCGCTGGCAACATCACCAATCTCGATTCCCTAATGTACGGGTGACGAAATTCAAGCACGGCCATGTGCGAGTCAAGCAAGCCAAGCCAAACGAAGGTCAGAAAACAGCTGCATCAGCAGCACTGAAGGACTTACTGGCGGAAGCGTACCCTCAACTGCACGATGAAAGTGGAAAGCCTTTGAGCAAGACTAGCGGCCCACATCAAAGAGCCTACAAGTCTCTGAAAAGACGCTTGGGTAATGGCCGCAACTGGCTCGCTTTGTCCCAGGCTTTCTCCGCAGGGATTCTCAGCCTCGTGCCCACGGGAGGTGACTTCTCAATCCATAACCATCAGATTGAGATGATCCCGGCAGCCGCTTTCCAAACATTCCTTTCAGTTCTGTCCTCTCAGCGTGGAGGCTTTCTTCGCATGGCCTCAGCGATGTTATCAAAGGGGATCTTCGAGGTTCTGATGGGGAAGGGACTGGACCAGTTGTGGTATCCTCTGGAGAACTTTAATGAAGAGACATGTGAAAGCGAGGGATTTGACTCGTTTGCCCTGGTCACTGGCTGCACGAGCAAGGCAGGTGAGAATCCGCGGAAGACTAATCCTCAGTTTCTCGGGGGCGAAGGCGTGGTGTAGCGCTGAATAAGTCTGTGGCCGAATCCTTCTCGATAATTAGGAGAGACCGCTTGGAGCGATCGGGCTGTCATAGGTTTCAGACTCTAGCTGAGCTTGGAGTTGATAAGCTATTTACTTATTTGTAACAAGATGAATTGGATTGAGGTAGACACTTGAAGTGAACGGCCCCTGCTTATTCTGTTTTATCGTCACGTTAGTATAAGATTTAGCATCATAAGAAAATTGGAATTTGTATCTTAACGGAGAAACAACAGTTGCAGTGCCTATATACTGTACAGCGCAAAGCCTCACTCAATCCCCTGAGGGATCGAAGTCTGATCGGGACAGAACAAGGCTGGTTTAAAAGCAAGAATCACGAAAGCGCTAAAGCGCTAAATCGAGTCTCCTAGAAGTACAGAACATGCGCTCGAAGTCAGACATGAGCAACGGATCAAAGCTATCCGCAGATATGGTCGTGGATGAATGGAATGTCCTGGTACGCCTTCTGCAAAGCCGTGTTGATGTCGTAGTAGATGGCTCGGGCGTTCCACACATTGAAGGCAAGCTGGGTGTAGCCGTAACCATCGTCGACGCAGGAGTAGGCGGAGATGCCGTCGGGAATCAAACTCTGCAGAGTCTGGCGGATTGGGGCACAGCCTGCACCGTTGATGTAGTCTCTACCAACGCGGGCCTCGCACTTGTCCATTCCCAAATCCAGGCTGCCGCCGGTGCCGGATACCCTGCTGTAGGAACACAGGGCGGTGTTGTGGTCGATTGGACCATCGCGAGTGGTGAGCGTATGCGAGTTGATTGGAATTGAGCGAGTGCGTCCTGGGTTGCTCTCGAAGCGACAGATGCCGTTGTCCTTGAATGGAATCATGGGATACCGCTGCTGGAGGGCGTCGATGACATCGGCGTTATTCTCAAGATTGAAGACATCACCAGCAGCGAAAGTCAAGAACGTGTTTCCACTGCCGTCATCCAGGCACTTGTATGTGCCGCTCTTGAACTCGAATGCGCCGTCAGAGGCCTTCTGGGCGATGGTATCACGAATGTACTCGCAGCCTGATCCCTCGGCGTATGGTCGGCCGATGTGGACGTTGTAGGACCGAGTGGCAGAAGTGTCATCGTTCATCAGCACCCCTACGGAGCACTTGGCGTTGTCAGCCTCGATGGGCTCCAGTGACAACCCTGGAAGCTGATAGTCGTCCCTAGCGTTGATCGTGGTGATGTTGGTCGAGGTAACTGCCACTGGTGCTGCCAGAGAGCCAGTAATGCCGATGAGGGCAATGGCGAAGGTCAGCATGAAGTTGATCATAGTGTCGGTGGCTGTGTTGTGTGCGGTGGCTTAAACGTGTTGGTCAACAAGGCAAGTTTGAATAGTCTCGGTGTTGGTGTGGCTCGGAGATGTTGTCTTGTGGATTCGAGTGTGTGGAGAAGGTACTGAGGGAGAAAAGAAGACAGTAGTTCGCAGTATTTAAAGGTCTAGAATCTCGTGTCGTCGGTGTGTTGTGCACAATGCCTTTGCACTCGCTGAAGATACATAACGCTTTGTGACGTGACTCGATCGTGGCATCGATGAGATTGTAGCAGGACAAAGGAATTGTCTCTCCCTCCTTTCTAGGTTGTGCTTGAGAATCTCTTTCGACACTTCAAGAGGACAGTCTCATTGATGCCGGCTTGATGTCTTGCACAATGTCCAAGACCAGGCTGAGCCAGCTTAGCGCAGCCTTGCCCATTCGAAACTTGAGCGTCAGCCGCAGCCGCCTCGCAAGGGAAGCTTGTCAACGAAGTAGTGGTCCCAATGTGTTTGAAGAAATCTGCTTGAATACAATAGCTCTGACATGAACCACGCGCCCCATGAAATCTATCTACCGCCCGCAATATCGATCTGCCGACGCGGCATCAGGTCAGCTTTGTCAATTTCACCCGTGACCGTCTCTGCAGGGATGCACCCAGGATTTCACATCGGGGTAAGCGATCGCCAAAGCCTCATCAATTCTACCTTCATCTTGATGGATTCTATTGACCTCGAATGGTAGACGAGTGTTTCCTGAACCATCGTCGAGACAGTACCACTCCATGATACCAGGGGCTGGGATCGATGAGTGAAGAGTGTTGCGGACTGGCTCGCAACCGTAGCCATAGTTCCAAGGCCACCCGATGAATATCTCGTACGCTTCGCGGTTTCTACCATCTTCATATACATGGTTGGCGCATGTGCCGGCATTGGCCTCGATTGGGGACTCGAGTCTCTTGCGGTGAGTTGGAGTCGAGCGCTTGTCCTCCACAAGGCCCTCGGCAGGTTCGATGACGCAAATATGATCGTCCTTGAAAAGAATCATAGGATAAGCCTCCTGAAGACCCTCGATGATCCACTCGTTCGTCTCCTCGGTATGACGGGCGTCTCCAGCAACAAATGAAAGTAGGGTGTCGCCGAAGCCATCATCTTCACATAGATAGCTAGACTCCATAAAGAATCCAACATTCCCGGCCCATTTCAGCATGGTTGCAAGAATGGGCTTGCAGCCATCGCCACTGTTGAAGCTCACGCCAACGTGGACCTGCCAAAACCGTTTCCATTTAAGATCTCCGTCGAATGCAACGACGTGGCTGCGGCAAGTGGCGGAGTCAACATCGACAGGCGCTGTATCACGCGCGATGGTAAGGCAGTCTTGATCGGCTCGCTTGACATTGATGGAGGCGGCTGGCGCTGCTAGAACCCCAGTCAAGCCTATGAACGCTGTGGCGATGGATGCTTTCATTTTCATTGGGGGGATTGTGCTGTTCCCGTTCTGTGCGGTTCTCAATTTTGCGTATGTTGTGTCTGCAATGGTAAATGGGCAAGTGGAGTTCCTCGGTATCAGTATGTGGTGTTGAAGCTGGAATGAACTGATTAAGAAGGACACTGAGAGCCTGCTTCCTTTAAATACCTTTGGAGACCAGATACTGTTAGACCGTTATTCACGATAGTAGTGTGTTTCCTCGGGAACACACAATCCCTCGCATGGCTGCTAGAGCAATGAGTCGAAACTGACACTAGGAAAACAAGGGTACAGCCGTTACGCAGCTGTTTGCTGCATCAAATGATAGTGTCAATGTGACGTGGAAAACACGTTCGAGCCATTTGATTGTCGATTAGAAAGACATGCACTATGGAGTCGAACTAATGCGAACCCTGTAGCTCGTTACCATGAGGGCTTTCCTCGTCACCGACGATTGAGAGAGGCCATGTTTCCGAATGATGGAATCATGTGGTATCGGTGACGTCGAAAGACTCGCTGCGAGCTTTGAGCTAGACCGTCTTCACAATGCACTGGTCATCCTGGAACGAGACCGTTGGATAGGCCTCTTCGAGAGCGACGAAGACCTTGATGTTATCGTGCTCAGTAGTGGCGTTCGTACCAGCGAAGAACCGAAGTGTCGTGCCACCCTCGCCGTCGTCTACGCAGTTGTATTCTACAACCCGACCAATGTGCTCAATAAGGGTTGTCTTGACAGGATCGCAGCCGGCGCCTTGATTGTATGGGCGACCCACGTCGACTAGATAGCTCCCCTCCTCAACGTGCGGGTAATTGCATCTGAAGCACTTGCCAGAGTCGAGCGGGATGCGCTCCGACAACGATCTCTGCTTGACAGGGACGGCGACGCAAAGGTCGTCAAATGTAACCATGGGATAGGCTTCATGCAGAGCGTCGAGGACCTTCATATTGGCATCCCAGTCGAAGGAAGGGCCACTCTGAAAGGCGATATGGGTGCCACCGTGACCGTCGTCGTCGCAATGCCAATCCACGACGTCGCCAGTGTGCTCGATGAGAGTGGCTTCAATTGGTTCACATCCGAGGCCCTCAATATACGGGCGCCCAAGGATGATGCTGTAGGCTTGCTTCGAGGTTGCGAAGTCGGGATCCGTGGAGCAGGTCGCGTAGTCGGGTGTGGACCTGCTGGCGAGGGGCTTCTTGACGGGCTTCACGATGCAGGAGTCGCCGTCGAATGCGACCATCGGATACGCCACGTGGAGAGTGTCCATGACCTTGGCGTTGTCCTCATCAACGTCGCCAGTGCCGGCAATGAAAGTGAGGATCGTGCTGTCGTCACCTCCGTCCGCTGTGCAGACCCACTTCGCAACTGCGCCGATGTGCTCGATGAGGGTGTCCTTGATCGGTTCGCACTAGAAGTGAAGGATGGAAGGTTAGCGAATGTCCAAGGAGAGTGGTGGGCTTTCCCCAAATTTCTAGTATACGTACACCTTCGCCTCTGATATACGGGCGGCCGACCTTGATCTCGTAGCGGTTGTAGGAGTTGAGCGGGCTATTGTACGCAAAGCAGGTGCCAGTATCGGGTGGCGTGTTGACGGAGAGGATATCGGTCGACGATGGAGTTGGTCCTGCCACGGCGACGCTGATGCCCATGGCAAGCGAGCAGAGGGTGGTGGCGAGCTTCATGATGTCGAAGCTCGTGAAGGTCGTCTTGTGCGTATTTGTGGCAAGTCGGTCGGATGTCTACCTATGGGGGAGTCAGTGGTGGTGCAGAATCCGCGATACGAGTCGCAGATATACCGGTTGTTGTTTTTGGCCTGGTTGCAAGGGTCGTTGTTGATCGAGTACGCTGTTCGCTATAGCCGTGCTGTTGTCTGGTTGTGCGCGGAAGAGTGTCGAGAATGAAGCCTGTCGAAGTTGGAGAGTCGGATGGAGTGCGACTCAAATACAAGATGCGGCTTAGCGCAAACGCCGAGGCGGCGCGGATTAAGCTTCGCCAAGAGGACTAGCGCGCGAGGGGCGGCATGTGAAAGCATGTGAAGTGAAGTAGCAGCTCACCGACGCATATGACAAGCCTCGCACCAGCATTTTCGATCTAAAAGCCTTCCATAAATGTCTACCGGCGAGGACTGGTAACCATCACACACCAGGAGTCAATATCAGCGTTGTCCTTCACGTTCCCCGACCCAACACCTGCCTTCCCAACATGTTTCTTGTAATCATTATCCCAATCGTCGACATGCACTATGCGAAGAAGCTTATCACAACGTGAAAGCTCTTCGTCATCTTGTTCGAGGAAGACCCTCGCTCGCTCGAGCGCGAATACGTGCCTGCCCTTTGCAATCGAGCCGATTTCCAATGCCAAATATTGCTCGACGAGATCCAGGGTTGATGTCGCCAAATTTGTGCTTTGCTGGTTGCTGGGCTGTCGGTGGGCCATATTTTTCGGAACGATGATAGTGCAGGCCAGAGACTTTATCGCTTCGTGGATGCGAAGTCTGATACCGAGTATTGTGATACCCAGGCGAAGCTTGCTTGCGATATCGACTATTGAGAAGCAGTCAGAAATTTCATTACTTTGGGCCTTTAGGATGTCTGCAGACTCCGGCTCGGTGGTGAGGAGTCCTGGAGGTTCCCCTCCCAAAATGACCAGTCTCATGTCAAGCATCAAGCATTCTTCCATCAGCTTCACGGTATCGTTAGCACTCGACGAACCTTTCCCACCAAGTGCTGTTTCAACTTGCTGTAAGATGTCCCCAAGCAGAAGGCCACAATCAGCCACCTTCTGCCGGACGCTTTTTCCAGCCGAATCCCAAGGAGCCGTCATCCAGAGTTCTTCCGCCAAGAACGAAGATCTTCGTCGCATCAGCCCAGACATCATGACCATGTATCGAGTATCCTCAAGATATCCCGACTCTGAAAATCTCCAAAGCTCGTCGGCCCTCGATGCTGAAGAAGCTTGGTCATGCCAACGAAATGTCTTATCCACCCGATCGAAGACGTCGGGTCAGAGGGATCTATCGTCTCGTATGCCATGCATACTGACGTGCTCATGAGCACCTCATCATCACGACTCGATGTGTCGTTGTTGAGCAAGTGAGAAAGTTGACAGAGCGACCTGCAGTACCACGTTTGCCCTTGGACAAGTAGATCTCGGTCTCTTCTAGTCTTGCCACAATAGACCATGCTCACAGCGATCAGGACGTTGTGAAGCAGAGAGTCGGAGCCTTTGATGTACTTGAGACCGTATGTCCATGTATCGGGATCGATGTAGTCCTGCTTCAGAATCTTGGGATCTGTCGAGCAGATGAAGTCTCGAAAAAAGTAGTCCATGAACGGCACGGCTTGAATGGCGATGCTTCTTAGTTCAAGAAGAGGAATTCTTCTCCGGTTGTTGCACTCAAGCTCGGCCTCTCCAGTGGACATCGTTAAAGGCTTTGTCTTGACTCTAGGCCGGGTCTCTTCGAGTGGCTTGCGCTTCTGCCATCCATCGAGGTCTTTGCGGAGGAAGACAGCATACCTCTCGTATCCTTCACAAGTCAACCCAGCCTTGCTGCAACGACCGCACGCCGGATGTGTTGAGTCGCACTGAACAAACGTGAGCTCAAACACCGTAAAGTAGAGACAGCGACGTACCTTCACCTTCCTCCTCCGACACGTCGCGCAGCCCTTGGATCGCCCTGCCACGCCAACCATAGCATTGCTAATGGTGGAAATGAATACGTGAGAGATTTATCACTTACAATTGAATGTATTGGCAGATAGGCAGATAGGCAACGACTTTAACAAGAAGTGAAGTCGCACAGCGTGGAGCCAGCTCCTTCCCGCTCGCAACTTGGCTCCAGGAAACGGCATAGCGCCATGCAGCCTGGCTGACTTCACCTCGTGCTGAAACTGCAAGATATCCCAGCACTGTACGTCAAGACTAGGGTCGTGTCATGAATGTCATTGCTGTGGAAAGGAGTGTAGAAACGGGGATGATGTGAGATGGAGAAAAAGGCGCAAAGCGCAAAACGCAGACAACAGGTTACTCGGGCTATCCATCAGCCCCGTTATACGCGCCCAGAACTCAATTCCCATCCCAACTCAGAAAACCACAATCCCCAGAAAAACAAGCATTACCAACTCCAACTCCAGTCCCTCATTCCCACAATCCCTCTCATTCCTCCGGGGATACTCTCCACTTCTACTCCAACAACCAACCCCACACGTCCCCATCGAACAAGCGATCATCACCCGCCCACTCCCGCAGCGGATTCTTCTTGTTCAAGCGCCCCTTCGAGTGGACGAAGCCCTCCATCTCCCAGAGCACCGACTTGGTCGGCAGCCCGTCGCGGTTCTCCCTCACCGCGCGGATCGCGGCCGCCGCGGTGAGGATCGCGATGGGGATGGGCTCCGTCCCCGTGTAGGTGGGGATCGCGCGCGTGGTGGTGTTGGTGAAGCGGCCGGGGGTCGGCTTGGTGATGCGGCCGCTCACCGCGCGATTGTTGGCGGCGATCCCCGTGGTGGTGGAGGGGACGGTGGTGCTGGTGCTGCTGTTGGTGCCGCGGTAGGTCATGTTCGCGGGGAGATTGTTCTTGACGGTGCGGTCGATCTCCGCCAGCTTCTCGCGCAGCTTCTTCGCGTCGATCTTCAACACCACGATGCTCGAGATGTTGTTCCAGTCCTTGTACGGTCCCAGTCCCTTTCCTTGCTGAGCCGCCTTGTTCTCATCCTCGTCCTCATCCTCACTCTCCGTCTCTCCACCCTCCTCCTCCTCAGTCATTTCTCCGTCTTGGAACCGCTGAAAGAGCCTAGCTCTCGCCACCTCATCGCTGTAGTCCTCCTCAAAAGCCGAAACGCCCAGACTGATCGGTCTCCATCCACTAAACGCATCCCTCGGCGCGATGCCAGCAATCTCCGTGGCTGCAAGCTTCTCGATCTGGCTCATCGACACGGTGCCGAAAGGAGGCTCGTAGCCGAAGTTGAAGTATGGTCTCTGGTTATGGTAAAAGCGAGCGACTTCTTGCTGGAGGACGGCGCGGCGGCGACCCTGTTCGTCGTTGAAGGACAGTACTGGTGGGTTGTTCATGATGGCGGTGGGTGGTGAGTTGTTTCGAGAAAGAGCTTTGAGAAAGATGTCAGTTGCTGGACAGGCTCTTGGTTGATTAGTGTGAGAGACGGCTGGCGAATTGCGGATGGCGGATGGCGTGTCGGACGGCAAGGTGGCTTCGATGGCAAGTTTGTGGGTGCGGTTGCGGTCGCGGTAGTGGTTGCTGACGGTTGATAGCTGAGTTGCTGCGCGAGAGAGGTTAGCGGTGCGCAAACGGTGAGACGAGATTAGCATACGAAGAAGCCGGAGCACGGCAAACAGCGTTGATGGTTTTGATCAGAGTCCCCAATGTCAAGCAAGGTTCAAGTTGCAGTTGTTGCAAGCTGGCGGCGTGGTCGTGTTTGAAGCTTTGGAGCGAAGACAAACGGAGAGCGATCTCGTCAAGAGTTGCGCGTCTTGGAAAGGGATGACGACATGCGGCGAGTGAAGGCGCGCGCGGAGAGTGAGAGTGTTGTGTGTGGCACCACCACAACAACAGTGCACGAGAGGAGAAGTGAATTGCATGTGAAAGTCTTGGCGGGTGCTGTTTACTCGAGCTCTGGCGTCGTGTTTCACGTCTACTTCTAAGTATTACAGGTGGAAAGGATCATCAAACTCAGCCATGCTATCTTGTTCTGTTTGCATTAAATGTTTCATTAGTTGATGAGATTTTCGCTCCTGCCAAATTGGGAAGTGAGAGTAAAAGTCTTGGCGTGCACTGTTTACTCGCGCATCAGCATCCTCGTTTCGCTCTACACTCTACCGCTTTGTACGCTCATGGGTATGATTATTCCAGTGATCTCACAGCCGGAGGTATCTAAAGGAGACGTTTGCTTTGTTGATGGCGGCTCTGTGCTACCAAGTTGAGAAGTGAAACACGAAAGTCTTGGCACAGCATCAGCTCTGGTCCTCCCTTTACATGTCAGCGCACTCGTGGGAAATCCAGTCAAGGCAGTCGTGGTATCTAGTACCCTTTGCTAGACTTGGATTAGTGGTGACTACAAGGTGCCAAGTTGGGGAACGAAATCATGAGAAAGTCTTGGCATAGTCTATCTACGCCTGGATCATCACATCATCTCTTCCATTTCTTCGTACGGTCATGGATATCATCAGCAAGAAGAATCACGCAGCCCTCTGTTTCAAGCTGAGCAACACCCATGGTCTGCGAGGTTGCTTCAGCAAAACACGCTTCTGATCAGACCATCGGCGGCAGGCCAGAATGACTGCCGAATGTCGTGATGCGGTACCGCTGCAACTCCCTCAAGCAAACGCCCGCAGCAATGTATCGAAAACTTTGCAGTTCTCCAAGCTTCTTGTCACCGTAGCCCTTCTCCTTGACAGCCACGAACAGGCAAGCGACAGCTCGCGGCAGGGCTTCGAACTCACGCTCGTCGTACTTGGCATCGTACAGATCCTCGAAGTCCTGCGCATCGTGGATGGCATCATCGCCTTTCGTCACGCGTGCTTCAATGAACTGAACCGTGGTGTCGAATCGCTCGCGCATGGTCTTGCTCAACTCCTTGAGTTGGCGATCTTGGGCACCGGATTGCCGTCCTAGAATTTCCCCAGCAAACACCTCAGCTTCCGAGAGCGGCGAGTGAGGTGAAGGCTCGTAGTCGTACAACATCGTTACCAGCTTGTCTTCGTAGCTTCATCGAAGTTAGCATGATCCAATTTAGAGGTCGGTTTTCTGAAACTTACTCAGCGCGAATCTCAGCAGCCAACTGCTTGTGGTGTTCGTATATGATGCCGTACTGAGTTGCCCAGTGCTGGACATAGCGTAACAATGCGCTTAGGAGCCCGTTCGTCTTGTTGCTGGCCTGGATAGCCATGCGGTTGCGACGAGCCCTCTGCATGTTGTCGAGAAATTCACCCTCGTCAATGTTGCGGTACAGCACGCCGAGGGTCTTGTTGCTTGTGTAGTAACGATGGGGCTTCAGCTCAGAGTCAATTCCTTCAAGTGCATCGTCATCTTCTCGGTCGTCCTCCTCAAGATCGAGAAATCCCTCCGGCGACACCACGATTCTTGGACTTGGGGCCTACTCGTAGTCAGCGTTGCATATTTACGTGTTGTACAGCCTCAAGGACATACCATAAAGTCTGGACGGCACTTTGGTGGCTTAGGGGCTTCCCTCATGTTGACTGGTATGCCAGTCTTTGAGAAGTCAACGGCAGTCGAAGCTAATGCGGCGAGTTTGATGCAGTCAGGATCAAGGGTTCCGGTGGAGCGCTGATCAGCGAGAATCATGTGTTGGACGCAAATATTACCCAGCTGGTCTGTTCTGAATGTTAGACAAAGTACGGCGTTTGCATTGTGGATTAGTTGTTAAAACTTACCTGACTCGCAAAAGTCGATGAAGAAGTCAATCATATCTCTCAACTTGACCTCCCGATCGAGTTCCTTGGCATTGAGTCGGGGATAGTCCGCGGCCTGGTACGTGGTTCTTGGAATGAGGTTTTGATCCCACATGATGTTGTAAAGATCACCGTCGAGATCGCCGCCGCTGAGTTGACTGGGAAGATCGCGGTCGCCCTTCTGACTGAAGACAATGACATTGCGCAATTTGTGAAGAGGCGACTGCGCTGGCACATCGACTGCGCTCACAATTTGCACATCGCCAGGATGCATGGCCGGCGATCGTGTGATGACGACGTTGTTCTGAACAAGGACTCTCTTGCCTCCCTCTGGTGCCTTCTCGGTGATAACGAAGATCTCGCCTTCTCGCAGGTAGTCGGTCTCGTCCACAACACCATACAGAGTCATGCCCTCGTCGACAGGGATGCGACCTTTGTACTTGACAGCCCGTAGCTGAGCCACGACGGACATTTGTACGACCTTCCACAGGAACTCATCTTGCTGATAGTCAAGCCCAAGCTGACCGATAAGGCGTATCAAAGTCGGGAGCTTGGTAGCTTTAGGGCTCTGCATTTCTTCAAGCAAGTGGGCAGTGTTGATCGAGGAATCCGTCATGCACTGCAACTTGTTGATCGCTTTTGCCTGCAGATCCGTGAAGACGTTACACGGTATGCTAAGGTCCTCCAGGATCTTGATCAGTTGGCGATTCAGGAACATGGGTAGAGGACGAAAGCCCGCACCGCATATCTCCAAATTCCAGACTGCTTCAGTCTCATACTTCTTCATGTTGGAACGAAGCATCAGGCATTCGCCGGGAAGCCGCGAGTCCAGCGAGACCATGCCTTTGCATCCCTGAAAGCGAATTTGCAACGCAGTGGGCTTCAAGAGTCGCTTCGTTCCATACACGCGCCAGATCTTGTACAGCAGTTCTTGCGAAATAGTACCCACGCCATCGCTGAAGTCTCGCCCGTTGCGTGTAATTACAGGAAGCCAGGATTGTTGACTGGGGTCAAGTTCGACAGTGGCATTCGTGTCGGTGAAATTCTGCCCTATCCTTGCGGCGCACTTGGCAGGCACTCGGATATGGCTAAAGTCTCCCAGCTCTTTCAAGATGTGCTCGGCGAATGACAGCCTCAAAAATCGATTGACCAGTGGCGCCATGAACCAGACGGACTGTACGCGGAGAGAAGAGTTGGCGAAGCCCAAGAAGTCGAACAGGTGGCCGCAGATCATTATGCCCTTGGCGAGTACGTCTTCCTTGAACCGCTGATGATAGACCAGGCTATTGTCGGCCCTGGGGTCATGCCTGACTGCGATGCCGTCTTCGTCCCTGAAGATGACTCGAGCGAACCGATCTGTGTTGTCCGAGTAGTAACGCAGGACTCTATTCGTCGGCTCGGGTTCTGGGCCTTCGAGGTAAGTACCTGCAGGCGTAACGACAATCTTGTGAATCAGGTTGATGTGGGTGTGTCGCTTAGCAAGCTCGTAGGGGTTCTCCGGGTCGAGGGCATCATAACTGGCAGCATAGTCTTCAAGAAAGTCGCCAAGTGCTTCCAGTGAGAAGTCCTGCGCTTGAGAAGCTGGGCCAGGCGGAAAGTGCTTCAGATCTCGGCCAAGTCGCCGAAGCGCAGACACCGTGGGATTGAGCCCATGAGTCTCGTAGACCTTTGAGATAGTTGGGAGAATGGCAAGGACCTTCACGGGGGATAAAAGCCCGTTTCGGGCTAGTCGAGAGATCTGAAAACGTAACATCCACGGCTTCGATCCGTAGAGATGCTGATCTGTCAATTCGAACTCGAGTCGGCGAAAAGATCGGTCTAGGGGTTCGAGTGGGTACTCCGTTGTTGTCTTGAGTGACAGCACCGAGCACATCCTTGGGTTCTTGGCGAGTAAGTTGCGCACAAGTGGAAGATGCTTTAGGTCGTGCAGGGTGACTCGATACACCCAGCAAGTTGCCGAAGCTCTCGCATGGGAAACGTTCATGGTAGGAAGCCGTGTCTTTTTCGGAGCCTTGGGAGTACGAGAGCCGCCCAAGTTGATGGACTGCAGGAGGTCGGCCAGATCAAGGTCCTTTACATCGTAGATCTTGGGAGCCACAGTCAAATTGAACGTGACAGTAGGAGCCTCGTATCCGCCAAGGACAATGTCATGCAAATCGCAGTAGTTCACATCAATGCGTTGCTTGCCACCTCCAGGAGGGTTCTGCATCATGATGATGGCTTGTCTCATGCCGAACGTGATCTCACCACGTCGAACATCGGTGTAGTGAGGGATGAAGGCCAGATGTGAGCGCTGTTGCTGACTCTCGCCCGAATAGTCCCAGACGCCGCACTGCAGTTCACTGATGCTGAATTTGTTGGCGGTCTGTTGATTGTGGGCGTTGTTGGGCGGAGCGGCGGCAGCGGGGTGGGCAGTCGTTGTTTTCTGCTGCTGCAACTCGTGCTGCAAGCTTTGCAGACTGATATCGCTGGGTTCGTGGCGACTCCTGCAACATTTTATGAACGATCCACCCATATGGAGTCGACGTCGAGCCATGACATGGCGCGGTGCGTTTGCGGGCACGCCATAATGATGGAGGAAGATCTCTCCAGCCTTGGCATCCAGAACGGTGATGTTGGCCAGAGTCGGTTTACCCAGCTGCTCGACATGGAAGACGTCGATGCCACAGTCGTGGAGTGGGCCGGTGAAGAAGCGCTTCAGCTGCTTCGGGGTGGTGGTCGGCGGTATGCCATGCACGAAGATGTCCATGGTCGGCGATGCGGGCGCTGTTCATGCCAGCAGAAGATCAGCAAGTGAGGGAGAGGGTTGAAGGAGGGAGGTGATGGATGTAGACAAAAGAAAGACGGCGCTCTCGAAGTGCAAACGGCGGACGACGGCGGTGGTGGATTAGACGGTGGTGCCGAGCATGTGAAGGCGGAAGAGCGCAGCAGGCGTCAGGATGGCCGCAGCTGTCCACCGCCGTGGGTGCCTTGAGAGTCGTGTTTTGGTCTTAGTGAAAGTTAAGTAAACATTGACGACGGCGATGTTGAATGCACCTCGCGTGGATGAAATATCCCTTGGGCAGCTCTGGCAGCTTCCGGCGGCGGCAGTCTGTGAGCTGAAGTTCTTCCGAGCAAGGAGAGCTGTCTGCAGCGTCCGCTCATGTGACGAGTATGCAATGCTTCAGCCTTTTGGACGGACGGAGAGTCGCATCGTTCACGTTACACGGCATTGTTGGTCGGGCAGACACGCGTGAAAGACGAAGTGAGCTCGAGGGAAGACCTGCGCTAGTCTGTTTTGGGACGAGGACCAACTTTCCATGCAACCTGCTCTACCACAGAGAGACAGTACCTTAACATATACATTTGCTGCATTTGATGGGCGTTTGGCATCTTTGATTTACCTTCAATCAAGATGGCAGTGGAATCGCGGGTTCAGGACTTCCTGGACGACAAGCTGCAGTCTGCCGCCGACCTCGAATCTATCGACTCCCTACTGGAAAACGTCAAGGCTCAGCAAGATCTCTTGAAGAAGCAGGTAGGTAGTATGGAACCTAGGCTTGGTATAAACCTTGCTGATACTTTCTCTAGCTTCATGATGCCAGACGAGAACACGACCAAGCCGCCGAGGCCGCCAGAAAGCACACAGAGTCGATCAAGAGCAAGGCCGAAGGATTTCAGACAGAGCAGGAGGACATCGACCGCAGACTTCTCATTGTCACGCAGTCCGATACCAGCGATGAGGCGGTACAAAAGTTCGATGCCAGCATGGCGAGACTGCGCAAGTTGGACGTTACGGCTGGCTACGTTGAGCTCTTGAAGGAGGTGGATGCACTGCGATCAGACTGCACATCCAAGCTGGGCAAAGACGATGATGCTGCGTTGGAACCATACAAGCGGCTGCAGCACCTAGTCTCTGGCTTGACTTCTCTGCAAGAAGCAGCGGAGGGAGCAGCGCCGCACTTGGTGGATCATGTTGCGGCTTCCGTGCAAGACCTACGGGAGAACATCCAGAAATCATTCTCGGACAACCTCGAAGCGACGTTGAAGAACATGAACTGGCCCAAGTCTACTGATCGGGTAGCCTTGGCGCTGGAGAAAGAGTGGGCTACCAATGTTGGGCGGCTGCTGGACTTGCAAAAGCAGGAGCTGGAGGATCGCGAACACGTCCCAAACCGTTCGCCTGATGAAGACCCTCCGGCCTTGCTTCCATTCGAGGTGCTTGCGCGTCCACTCGAACAACGATTCACATACCACTTCTCGGGCAACAAACCTACCAACCGCCTCGACAAGCCCGAATACTTCCTCTCCCACACCACCGATCTCATCGCTAACTATTCCGACTTCGTTCAGGACAACTTGCAACCAATTCTACTCCGCCACTTCCGCCGATCAGACCTTGCATTCACGCCAGCCTATATCGATGCGATTTCGGCTTTCATCACTGCTCTCATCCCAATGGTGAAGAACAAGGTCTCCAGCGTTGCACGTCAAGTGTCAAGCCAGCCCTCGCTGCTCAGCCATCTGGTCCAAGAAGTCATCCAGTTCGACACAACCATCAAAGACTCCTATTCTTACACGCCCATATCACCATCACTGGAGTGGCGGGGTCTGTCTTACTTCTTGCTCGATACATGTGGCTGGTTCAGAGACTGGCTGTCGGCTGAAAGAGACTTCGCACTGCAGCGATACCACGCTATCGTCGAGACCCAGGAGTCTGGTGAGCTGGACTTTGATGCAGTCTCAGCAGAAGCCTCCAAACCCACCAAGGCGGCGATACGGGTCAATGATCTGCTGGAAACCATTACTGAACGGTACCGTCACCTTGCGAGCTTCAGCCAGAAGATTCGCTTCCTCATCGACATCCAAATCGAGATCTTCGACATGTACTTTAAGCGGCTGCAGTCGGGTCTTGATGCTTACATCACTTTGACCTCTACTGTCGGTCGCACGATGCATGGGATGTCAAAGGACGAGCAAGCTAAGGTCCAAGGTGTAAATGGCCTTGACAGACTTTGCCGCATCTTTGGCTCTGCTGAATACCTTGAGCGTGCCATGCGAGATTGGAATGATGATGTGTTCTTTCTGGAGCTTTGGGCGGAGCTTGACTATCGGTCAAAGAACAGCCACCAAGCGAACCAGACTCTGGGCAGTTGGCAGGAAGTATTGCAGAAGACCAGCTCTGCGCTGGGCAGCGAAACGGACAGCGGACTGGAGGGCGCTCTTTTTGACGAAACAGCGAGCAGCTACCGCAGAGTCCGTGTGCGGAGCGAGAATGTGCTTGTCGAGACCGTCGTCTATGACCTTCGGCAAGCTCTGAAGCCATATGGATCCGTCGCTACATGGTCCTCACTGTCTTCCAACGCCGCGGGCAGCTCTGTGACATCAGAACTTGATCCGACTTTGAACTTGCTGAAAGAATACTTCGGCTTCTTGCGCAGAGCTGTTGGCAAGGCACCACTGCGAAGAGTCAGTCGACAAGTCTGTCACCTCATCCAGAATTTCGTTTGGGACAACGTCCTGACACGAGCGTCTTTCTCCACTGCCGGTGCAACGCAGCTAACAACAGACATGCGGGCTGTCTGCTCCACCATCGACCGTTTCGTGGCGCCAGGCCAGGCACAAATAGGTATGCGAAAACTGCTGGAGGGTATCACTCTGCTCAGTCTTCCAGTTCGTGGGGAGATCGAAAGAGTTCGGCCAGGAAGCTCCGGTGCTGACGATGATGAGGCCTCGGCCTGGGAAGAGTCTAATGATGCAAACTCAGCGACCGAGGATGATAGAAAGATGAGTCTGTTCCAAGTCGAAAGGCTTGTGTTTCAAGATAATGAGAGTGCACGACATGCACTCGAGCAGTTGGGCCTTGAGACTCTCGGTGAAGCCGATGCCAGGGCTGTGTTGGGGAAGAGAGTAGAGCTTTCGAGCTGAGCATGTCATATTGAAGACACTAATATCAAGATGGACAACCGGTTTCTTCCCAAGTCGTTCACGTCGTACCTTGTCAGTCCGCCTCGTGTACGAAGCGCATGTTCCCGAAGAACAAGGAGAAGCCTGTCTTGGAGCCGTAACCTACCCCTCCGCCAATGTCAGAATCCTGGTTCCACTGGCCCTCTGACGGACCTCATCTCCCTCGACATGAATATGATCATGAGGCTGTGCACTTCGTATGAATTTGCTGCTACGATGAAGCACCGCGACCATAGTCGACGTGGACGGTCACACCCGTTACCCAGAACCGCCCCTCACTGACTCGGCAGAGATCAAAGCTGGTATTTAACAGAAACCTGGAGAGATAGTGCTGGTAAGCCTGCCATCACGAACAAACCGGAACTTCCGCTGACTGTACGAAGACGACAGTTTGTTCACATTCACAGCTTGATCACTCTGCTGCCTCAATCGCGGCATTTGCACCAGGCACACAGCCTTGACATCCATCATGTGGTCTATACTATCTGCCACAGTCTTCTTCGTCACCATTCTAGCCCAGCATCCCGCCTCATACGCACAACAAGAACCCATTCCCGGCCTGTACGAGCCCTACAACAAGCAACAGGGCCCCGATCCACCTTATCCAGGCAACCGCAAAGACCCTATCCTACCAACCTCAAGCGACCCACCAGCGCCCGACGACGCCCTCTTCCAAAGCCTCGCCGCAGCAGAATGGACAATCCTCGACTTCTACAACTCTGCCCTCCGCCGCTTCAAGAGCGAGGACTTCACCGAGCTAGGGTTTCCAAATGATACATTCGACCGCATCCAAGAGATCCGCAACAACGAAGCCGGCCACGTCCAAATCACCCTCGACATGATCAGCGACGCATCCACGAAACCCGGGCCTTGTCAATACAACTGCAACATCTCCACCCCAATGGAATTCATCACCCGCCAAACCCTCATCGAAGCCTCCGGTCCCGCCTTCTTACCCGGCCTGACCTCCCAAGCGAAAGAGCCTCGCAGCCAAGGCGTCATCACCTCCCTCTCCCAAATCGAAGTCCGCCACGGAACATGGTCGACCATGGCCCTCTTCAACGCAAACCCCTTCACCGGCCCCGCAGATACGCTCTACCCCTACCCCATGCAAATCCTCTCCCAAGTCGCCGCCTACATCATCCCAGGAAGCTGCCCAAAGAACAACCCACCCTTCCCCAACCCACCCCAACGCGCCGCAACCATGATCTCCAACCCTCCCTTCCCACAGGCCGGCGACGAGGTCCAATTCGTCTTCCCCGTCCCGCAACAACAACCGAAGTTCGAAGAAGGAAAGGAGTACTACGTGGTGTATTTCCACGCGCTGGGGAATCTTACGAGGAGGTTTGATGTGGAGAGTGGGAAGAGTCGGATTCCGGCGGAGTTTGATAAGGGGAAGGGGGTGATTATTGCGGCGATTGCGGATGAGGAGGGGGCGGGGAGGGAGGAGAGTGTGGTTGCGGGGCCGTTGTTGATGCTGCAGCAGCCGGATTTGGGGAGGGTGGCTTCGTCTGGCGGGAAAATGTGAAGTTGACCTCGTAGTTTGAACGGAACGAACTGGACTTGGTTTGTTTTCTTCTAATAGCAGGCTTTGCGACTATTGCTGTGCTCTAAGGCAAGTCATCCGATGGCGAAAAGGGAAAATAGTACACTCTGAAGCCGTCGAGAGCTTCCACTTGCATGGTTTTTCTTAGCTGCGAGGATCGGAGCGGAGTCCTGTCAGCTGAGCAGATGTAATCACTGTTAAGATTTGTGCGATCGCATACGTCTTCGTATTCTGCCCAGTGTGCTGTGCTGTGCCACAACCACTTCGACCGCCATCAGCGTCGATCCCGCGGGCGTGGCGCTGGCTTCGTGTTCGACCTCACCTCCTCCTTCTTGCCTCCTCCGACTACCCTCCAAGATCCAACAAGTGCCTACGCCGCACCACGGCATACCACCTACGCGTTCAAGATGTAAAATGATGAGCTTCCCTTCAACCGCAAACGCATCCTTCCCTTCCCACCTCCTACAGAACATAATCCAATAGATCCCGATGTGGAGGCATCCTTCGACCTACATTGTCCAACGCACTCGTCTTTTAAGCTTTTGCGTACCTGCGTCTGGACATCTCGAGAAGGAAGCGGGGTGTTGCCTTCTCTGGAGACTGTTCACTGTTTGCGGATACGTACGATGTGTTGGAGAAGTCTCTGAGCCGGATGCTACATCAGCGGGTGCTGTAGTGGAGCATGCCCTGCGGTGAGTATGAGGGTGGGAAGGGTGTAGATGGTGCAGGGGACTGGGCGAAGGTGCCGGCTGCCGGATGTGGGAAGGCAGAAAAGATTCTGTAACAAAAACAGATTCATACTGATGGTCGGGGCATCAATCTGCGTTACATCTCCTCTAAGCAGGACACGGCGAATTCTGCGAAACACCACAAATACCGCTCTGGTTCTCCAAGAGCGCACAACACTGTCCATCATACTGGCACTGTACGTCCATTGTCAGTTTCGACTTCGCGAGTTGTGCGTATTGAGGGATCATATCATACTGGTCCAGCAAAGGTGATCTGGCAAGTGCTGCCGTTGTCTAAGTTGCAGGTGTTTGTCGATTGGGTGCATGTCTAGCAATATATAAGGGTCAGTGGGCAATTTCTCGGGAAGAGGGTTGTTTTTTGTTACCCCGTATATTGCGTTTTGCCTTGCTACCAGCGCCTGGACGCCGAATGCCATTGTGGTGAATGTCCACAGAGCGGAGAGTTGCATGATTGCGGTTGAGGCTTTGGTTTGGCGGTATAGGTTAGGTGGAAGAGTCTGGTATGGCGGCTGGAGATGCGAAGGTCGTATTTATCGAGGAGGGACCTGGAGTGGGAACGACGGAGTTCGACCGAGAGAAGCGTTGGTGGAGCAGTGTTCCATCGGCTCCACGGTTGTATGGGCTTTGCATTGCATTACGGACTAAAGGCATTGGGGAAGATGTTAGTGTACTTCGAAAAATGTGTGAGGCAAGGATAAAGTCGTCGTCTGAACGGTGACCTGATAGAAGTGAACAACACTCGCGGCAATCTAGTGATGCTTGGGCAGGTTTTACTCTATAAAACTTTAGCATGCTCGATCAGTAGTAATGAGAGACCGCAGGAAGGCCTCTAAGATGCTGATGCACGAGTCCGAGCAGTGTTCAGTCCTCGTAGCCGGGGTCCTATGAAAACTGATGGAGTCTGACCGCACATTCTAGTTTTGGCACTACCTGCGTTCGTGAGATTTTGAAAGAACGGATGAGTTCGGGTATTGCTCTCTTAATGTTTGAGAGGCTCCGTCTTTATCGAGGGGCCAAAAGTCAACATCAGGATTGACGATATCAGGTAGGCTACGTGAGGTTTGAGAAGTTTGACAAGGTTTCAGAAACTCCATGCCTCAGGCATCAAGGCTTCTGATCACGAGGGTGCTTCAAGAAGAAATGATCGTCGTGTGGCGCATGATGGCTTGGCACAACCTAGACTTCACGTCTTCGCCTGTTTCTCCTCCAGCCTTCCCCTCATCACCAACCTCGCGTGGTCTTTTCGCCCGCCGCTTCACCGCAGCCTCTGGTCATGGACGATGCAAGATCCTTCCCTCGACCCGCGAGACACCAGCCTTCTATGACCCAAAAGATCCCGATGTGGAGGCATTTTTGGAAGTCTCCTTAAGGTTCGGTACCTGCAGTACACTGTCAAGACTCTGGCACGGAGCCTCTGATCACCTGCACCCGCTCTAGAAGGAAGCGGGGTGTTGCCGGCTTTGGACATTCTCTTCGTCTACACTGCCGCCTGGATGTCACGACTGCCCGCGAGCGGCACTGCGCGGTGGGGGATTCCAGGTTCGATGCTACCGTGCTCTCTTTTCGAACAGTAATCCCCGCTAGTCACGCAGCTGCAAAGTCTAAGGATGCCTTGCGCCGAACGCGGATGCAGGAAGAAGACGGTCTTCAGTAAGGAACTGCATAGCAGGATGGCCCGATGTTCCTGGGCGAGTGTGCCGGATGCCGCTCTCCGGCCCAGGAAAGCGTCGACAGGAAGTCGTATCGCGGCTTTTGTATTAATACTGCTGGTAGCTATCACATGGTTCTCAGTGGTTTGTCAAGACGTCGGCTTTGTCACTACAATGTGGAAATCCGCGGTGATTTCGTTGCTCTCCCTTGCAGGACCATCTTTCGCCCAGTTTAACTCGCATTGGGGCGGATGGCACCCAGGCCCAAGTTCTAACCATGACCAAAACAATGCCAAAGTCATTGATCTCAGCGGAAATGGCTGGACGCTCAAGAGCCAAAATGGTAGCATCTCCGTCCCAGCCAGCATCCCTTCACAGCAATACATCGATCTTTATGCCTCCAACACCATCGATGACCCCCTCTACGGCCTGAATAACGTCAACCTCGACTGGGTCCGCGATCAAAACTGGACATACTCGCGCAGCGTTTCACAGCTCCGCACAGGCGGTCCTCGGGGAGGATGGCGTGGTGGACAGACGTCGACGTATCTTGTGTTTGAAGGCTTGGATACTTTCACGACGATTACGTTCTGTGGCAAGGTTGTGGGGGCCACGGAAAACATGTACAGGCAGTATACGTTTGATGTGACTGATGTGTTGAGCTCTTGTCGGGGGGCGCCGCAGTTGAGCTTGAATTTTGGTCCTGCGGTGCCGATTACGCATGCGATTAGTGAGGGGCCGGATCAGGATGGTAATTGTCGAATTTTTTGAATGTATATGAGCAGGTGCTAACAATTGTCAAAGGCACTGTTAACTTCGCTGACAGCTGCAATAACAGCACCGATGCTGAACTGAGTTGCAAAGCCTACGCCAGGAAAGAACAGAATGATTTTGGATGGGATTGGTCGCCTGCATTGGTTCCAGCAGGGCCATGGAGACCGCTTTATGCTGTTCAGATCACGAGAAACCAGCTTTACATTAACAATGCGGCTATTGATATCTACCGCAAGGGACAGCAGAATAACCTTCCACCAGACCAGTCACAGCCATGGATCTTCAACGCTAGTATCGACTTCACTGGCGACCTTCCACGCGGCTCGAGCATGCAACTCACTCTTTCGGACCAAGGTGGTCGACAGATCTTGCAGAAGAGGCTCGGTGGCGTCTACAGCTCGAGTAACACCATTTCCGGCAGTACTACAATTGATCCAAGTTCAGTTCAACTTTGGTGGCCTAGCGGCATGGGCTCTCAGCCGCTTTATAACGCAAAAGTGGATATCTTGAGTGGAGGCGGGCGATTTGGGAGCAACTCCATTGCGAACGCTGAGCGACGAGTGGGCTTCCGAACGATCGTGCTGAATCTTGGTGCCATCACACCTGAGCAGCTGGCACGTGGGATTGGAGATGGTGCGAACTGGCACTTTGAAGTCAACGGGAAGGAGTTCTACGCCAAAGGATCTAACCTGGTGCCCCCGGACGTCTTCTGGCCTCGTGTAGATGACGGAACGGTGCAGAATCTTTTCCAGCTTGTCAAAGATGCCAACATGAATATGCTGAGAGTGTGGTCGTCTGGAGCGTACCTTGACGACTGGATCTACGACATTGCCGACGAGATGGGCATTTTCCTGTGGTCTGAATTCGAATTCACTGACGCCACGTACCCTAACAACGACCGGTACTTCGCAGAGTATGAGGCTGAGGCATACTACAATGTCCGGAGAGTGAACTACCACCCAAGTCTGGCTCTCTGGGCAGGTGGCAACGAGTTGGAAGCCGTCATCAACCAGTATGGCATCGGCAAGGAGAACTACGAGATGATCCAGCTGCAAATCCTGATCAAATGTGTCTACGCCAACACCAAATCCATCAGCTACATCCCCTCATCGACATATAATGGCTACATAAGCCTCGACTTCAACTCTGTTCGCCCACAGACACCTCGCTACCTCAGCGGGACACCGGGAAACTTCTACAACGACACCGACACATATCAATATGACGCACCGACGCTGTTTGACTTCAACACCTATCCGGAAGGTCGTTTCGCCGATGAGTTTGGCTATATCAGCTTCCCGTCGATCCAGACCTGGGAGCTCGAGGCACCGGAAAGCGATCTCTATGTTGAGTCGCCGACCGTGGTCAATCATAACCGTCATGTTCCATTCGGGGCTGCGGCCTCCGATGACGTCCGAGTCAATGCAGCCTTGCGTGTGATCAGGGTTCCGGAGAGCCAGTCGTTGCAGGGAATTCATGAGATTACGGCTTCCACGCATTTGTATCTTCCTGCGCCCAATCTTGCGGATTCGAAGGCGAACTTCACGTGAGTAGTGAGGTTTGATGGCATGATTGGGATGGGTGCTAATTTGTATGCAGCGCCTGGTGTTACTCGACCCAGATCATTCATGCCGATGCGATGGCACATCAGATTGCCTTCTACAGGCGTGGATCTGGTATGCCTGAACGAAACCTTGGCTCGCTGTACTGGCAGTTCAACGATCTCTGGTAAGTCCCACTCCTCACACGGGAATGAGCATCTCGCTGACATCGCCTCAGGGCCGCACCAACATGGGCCAGCGTTGAAGCCAGCGGCCGCCAGAAGCTTCTCTACTACACCGCCAAGGACATATTCTCCCCTGTCATAGTCTATCCTTATTGGAACCGCAACACCACGGACCTCGCCATCTACGTCACTTCCGACCTGCAAGATTCTGTCTCCGGCACTATGTCCTATCAGTGGGTGGACTATAAAGGCAACCCGCTCTCCGTTGGCGGTACCGTGACCATCGAAGGCCACCGAAACGGCACTGGCAACAACGGCACTCAGCCTTCCCAGGCCAACCGCCTCAACTTCAACGTCGGCGCTATCAACACCACCGAAGTTCTGCACTACCCCTCCCTTCAAACCACCTTCTCCAACTCCAACGTCAGCATGGACAATGCTGTACTCATCCTCTCCATCCAAGCCGGCCAATACACCCACAAACAATTCTTCCACCCGGCCAACCTCATCGACGTCGACCTCCCCGACCCGGGCCTCACACTCCGCCAAAGCGGAAACGGCTTCACAGTCACGGCCACAAAGGGCGTCGCGGCGTGGGTCTGGTTGGAGTATGACACGAATGCTGTGCAGGGGAGTTGGAGCGAGAATGGGTTCTGGTTGAATAAGGGCGAGAGTAAGGATGTGACTTTTACGGTGATCAGTGGTGGCGGGGATTGGGCGAGCTCGGTGAGTGTTAGGAGTGTTTGGGACAACTTGGGGAGGTGAGTGAAGGTGAAAGAAGTGATCGGGTGTGACCAAGATGACTATGAAAAGTTAGGATAGACACGAAACGACAGCTCTGAACAAACAGTCTTGACTACAGGCCCCTATGCGAGGCTGTGTTTCTGTTCGATCGATGAATAGGAAGCTTGGGGTGCGATAATAAGTTTCCACCAATGCAAGACAACAGTCTGCACACTTCTTCCTTGCACACCAAGAGAAACGGAGCTGTATCCGATTGACTCCCCCTTTCAAGCCATCATTGGGCACTCATACACGACTATCCCGGCATTATATTCTTCTCGTTAGACTTCGAGGCAGTGTCCTCAACCCTTACAATTTCCAACCACGAAGGCTGTGTCAAGAAAATTTCTCCAAACTCTACTGGTACTCGCTATCGTCGCACCGCCCCGAACATTCATTTCAGACCACTGACGGGAAGGCAGTGCTGTCACAAAACACCTCAAATCTCACATCCCGTGCCAGATCTCAATGCCGGGCACCCTGCGCCGGCATTCCCATCGATCTTACCCTCCAAGGAGAACGGACGCGAACAAAAGCATCACAGTTCACCACATGCAAGGAAACCAAACAAGTCATTGAGTCATTGCACGCCTCGCCAACCAACAATCCTGGTACATAACATGCACGCGAACGTTTTGGACACTCCGACTCAGCCTACCGAACCTTCAGCGTGCGTCATGTCTCGACAGCGACGACAACGACATGCAAGATTCCCCAGTCTCCTCCAGATAAGGCGCTGAATGGGGACTTGACGCTGCGATCAAGCGTGGGATGGCACGCTGACGTGGCTTGGGTGTTGACAGGGTTCTTCCTGGATACGAGCTGCTTTGACAGGTCTTGGGAGATGCAGTCGTGGCGGCCCAACGGGATGTTCATGTGCAGAAGTAGGAAAGGATGGAAGCTACCTTGACCCTTTGCTGTCGGACGTCACTCGACTCCTGCCTACTCCTTCGACGATTCATGCGTACACAAATGCACCGCAAAATGGCGTATCGACGGTCAAGCACGGCGCTCCATGCAGCGGGCCTCAACATCAACGATCTCCGCTCGCAGATCAAACTCGATATCCTCGCTTCCAACGAGCTCGATGCGAAGATCTCGCTCTTTCGGCAGGATGCTCGCATCGGCAAGAATCCGCCCGTGTCCAAACTGGATGAAATGGAATCGACGAACAAGGACATGACGAAAGACGTCGTGAGGCATATCGAGAAGATCGAAAGCCAAGGCGCACCGAGTAAGCTCACGACGACGGATCGGGAGGTTCTGCAGGCGCTGCATGCAAGGTTGGCGACGTGTGATCAGCAGGGGATGAGGTTAACGGAGTTGAGGGATATGGTGAAGGAGATGGAGAACAGGGAGAGGAAGGAGGCGCCACTGCCGCTTGGTGGAAAGCCTAGGACGCCGGAGAATTCGCCAAGTCCGCGGAAGGTTACGGAGTCGTTGAGGGGACGGCCGCCAGATGCTGGAGTAAGGGTTGCTGGCGGTGCGAGTCCTGCGTTGGAAAGGGTTGGGAGCAGAGAGGCGCCTGGGTCGCTGAGGGGTGGGCCAGATGGGAGGGTAGCAGGAGGTACGAGTCCGGTTTTGGAGAGGGTCGGCAGTAGGGATTTGCCTGGACCGCCGCCAGTGGAGGCACGAAGGAGCAGTGAGGTGAATCGTGCGAGGGGCTTTCCTCTTAATATGACACCATCACCACGGATCGACGAGTACACACCGCAGTCATTCCCTCGACGAAGCAGCAAAGTCTACTCCACAAATGACTTCGCCGGTGTGCAATCCCCACGCAAGAGCAGCGACAGCTTCTTCAGCCCCAAAGCACCCGCAGTGTCCTTTCCACCTCCACCGAGACGCAGCGAGTCGATCAGGATGTTTCCAAATGATCTACCACCATCTCCTCGAATGCCTCCTTCTCCCCGCATGCCTCCCTCTCCACGCCGAAGCAGCAGCAGCGTTACCGGTACTCCCTCCCCGAAGCGGTCTCCAAGAATCGACACCCCTCAAGGCGAGCAGCTAAAATACGAAGACTTTTACCAAGTCAACCGGGTCGATGAAACGTCCAACGAGCCGGACAAGACTAGCTGGCCAATCTTGTACAGAATCCTGGACATCGATCCAGCCACAGACCCACGAGACTACGATGGTGCTTTGAAAAGGTACGTCTCTATTCCCCATCTCAAAATTCTCGCCTCTTACTCACTTCCACAGATCCCTCGCCAGACTCAGCCTCAAGCACGACCCTGCTAGGCTTCCCAATTACCCAGATGCTCCTCTTCGATGGGCGGTTGTATGCAAGGCGTATGATGTCCTCGCGGACCCGGAGCGGAAGAGGTTGTATGATGTGAGTGGGTTGGAGCCAAGGGGTTTTGAGGAGTTGGACTTTGCGAGGCTGAGGATCATTTAGTGATGGGGTATCGGTTGACGAAAAGGAGAGGTAGGGAGCGTCCCGATTTCGTTGGAAGTTAGGTGGTACATCTGTGATGTGAATTTGTTAGCATTGAGTGTTCCTGTTGTGGGTGGTTGAGATGGCTGCAATATTTCAGCTTGTCGTAGCGTACATTATGAGTGTTGTATTGTTGTCGGGATTCTAGGCAAACGTTGGAAATATGTGCGATCTCATAGCACATGACTCCGAGGCGATGACTCAACGAGCTCCTTGGCCCTATATGGACAGATTTGAAGAAAGGCTATAGCTTATGCTAACGAGATCTATATTACATGTCTTGAATGTTCTAATACTAGAATTTACGCCATTAGAGCCCCTGCACCGGATCTTTGTGGACGAATGCCGAATTCAAACCTTGTCGAGCGTTATGTGATCATATCGTCCAATTGCCTATTGTGCATTGGTTCTGCACCGCTTATCGGGCGCGGTTGGAACCTACTCCACAATCGGGCTGAGGCATAGGAGTTGGCGCCGCGATCTCACTGATCACGCTCTCAGGGACAGCAGAGTAGGACGGCCCAGAGAGATTTGATATACGGACTCTTCATGTGATTGCAAGCTGCAGCCCACCTACAGGTACACTGTGGCTGGCTGACATGAACACCCGACGAATACAACTTCAACTGGGAATCCAGAAGGCGTTGGTCCAGATTCAGTGCCTGTGCTCTGTCGCGCATTGCTGTAAAGCGAGGCATTAGAATAGGAGAGAGGCATCGGGGATGACTTGCTGCCGGTGTTCTGGCCGTTGTAGGCTGGGGCGCCAGAGTATGCCGGGGTAGACTGGCTGGTCCAGCTCGAAGACTTTGGACCGAGCCCACTCTTTGGGCTTCCGGAAAGGGTCGAAGTAGAAATACTAGAGTATGGAGCAGGCGTAGGGGTCAACTGGCTGGTCGGTCCCTGAGGAGTGCTGTAAGGCGGAAGGCTGCTCGGGGCAGTCGTCACAATCGTCATCGCACTCCAGGAAGTCAAACGTGACGAGCTCTCGACAGGTACTTGAGATGAGAACTCGCTGGTACACATCGTCAACGATATCTGCCCCAGTACATAGGAGGTAGGCGTGTGCATTGCAGTCGTAGTATTGAGAGATGTACGGGTAAAACGAGTGGCGGTTGGCGCTGAGATGGCACTATTGTCGTGCGTGAACTTGCTTCGAGATTCTGTGCACGTTGTTGATTTCTCTCCGCTTGAGCTCCAAGTCTGTCTTGCAGCGCTTGAAGATCCGGTGCTTGTTGGCTTAGGAGACGAGCCGGTCTGGTACGAGGAAATGCTGGAACTTCCTTTAGACGCTGTTGGCCCTCGTCCGTAAGAGCTCGACGTTGGCGCGGTGATTGTAGCGTTGGATGATGCGCTCGATGATCGGACAGAAAAAGTCCACGATGATGCATTGGTTGGCAAGGTCGTGCCCGTGGAGCTTGGTCCTTTCGACGACGTAATGCTAGAGTGTTCTGGCAGCGACGTCCGGGTCTGTTCTTGGGAACTGCTGGTATGTGAAGTACTGGTCTGCGTTGCGATCGACGACGAAGAATTGGTCAAAGCAGTGCTAGACTTCAAAGCAGTGCCAGACGTCGACCCCGTGCTAGACGAAGCGACGCTGGACGAAACGGCGCTGGACGAAGTGCTGCTGAACGAATCGTTGCTAGACGACGTGGAGGAACTTGAAAGGGCGCTGGGCGTGAAACTGCCCTTCGTCGACGTAGTGCTTGATGGTGAAGGGGCGCTGGATGCAGAACTCAGCGAAATAGTGCCTGAGGTCGAAGATTTGCTTGAGACCGAAGATATGCTGGATATCGAGACTGTACTACTCGAAACAGTTGTCGAGACTGTGTTGCTAGTTGAGACCGCGCTGCCAGTTGAGACCGTATCAGTCGACGAAGCAGAGGTGGTCGACGAGGCTGTGGTCGAATGGGAGGTAGTAGTCGGCTTGGACGATGCCAAATCCGCCCTCACTTCACTCAACCAAGGTGGGTTGGAGTACGCCTGCGAGGCATCCCACGCCGAAACACCACCGAAGTTGGAGAACTTCTTGCAATAGTCGATAACAGGCTTCAGCGCCACGCCACTCTCGTATCCTTGGCCGCCAGTCGGTCCAGCAGGAACCCCCAAAAAGATTTTGACGTTCGGATTGGACGACTGCGTCACGGCCCAATTGTTCCAGGTGTCGAAGTTGAAACCACTCTGTATTGAAGTGCCTGGGGTGAAAGTGTCGACCTCGCAAGCGGGGTTGTTGTAAAATTGAACAAAGAGCGCATCGAATGGAACGCTGCCCTGGGGGTCGTTGAGCAAGGGGCTGAGGTTTGCGTCTGGGTAAGGACATTGAGGCGCGGCGGTAAGATAGTACGACTTCGATTGATCGGCATCCATGAGAGCCTTCAACTCGAAGGCGAAAGGCCGGAGGTTGGTGCTCTTCTCTTCGATGTCAATGTCGAAACCATCGAGGACGGCGTCACCGAATGGTCGAAGAGTACGGCTAGAGCTGTTGACGGGTCCAAACATGTTCCACAGAAGGTGGGCCGCGTTCTCCGCGCTTTGCGCATTCTCGAATCCTCCCTCGCTATAACCGTGACCACCAATAGAGATGAGAATCTTCTTGCCATATTCCTGCTGACATGTTTTGATCTCTTGGGTGTATGATGCACAGTTCCAGAGCTGCGTGCCAGGGAAGATGGCACAGTTGTAGCCAGAATTCGCGAAGTTAATCACGGGCTGGCCACCTTCGCCGCTTGTAATTGCCGTGATGAAGGCCATTGGGATGATATCGACGTCTGCGTTCGCACAGTATGTAACGAGAGGTTGTTGTGCATAGTCGCCAGTGGCATTGCCGTACGAGTTCTGCCCCCAATAGAGCACTATGTTCTGGTCTCCGCCGAAATCACTGGCGGACACCGTGGGCACGAGCATGCCAGCTGACGCGGCGACAATCGCAAAGCTGCGCATCGTTCTCATTTTGGACTTTGTAAGGACTGTGATTAAACGAATGACTGTGTTTCAAAAGAGCGTCTGCGCGAAGCGCGAAAAGAGAGTGGATCAAAAGGACAGTACAAGAAGGCACACAGAGAAAGAGACAAGGAAGCTTGCTTGCGAGATGCAATGGGTTGTACCTAATAAGAGAAGACAGAAAAGTCGTTCAGTGAGGCACGGCAGCACCGAGAAACCCACAAATCGTGACGTGCTGGCAGGATTCGAAGCCGGCGTCCTGATCAAGCCTGCGCTCAAGGTCTACATCCTCCATACGACCGCTGGTGTTGACCCGCACAGCATGCATATTGACGATTGTCTCGCTTCCTCACGCAAGAGGCGTGCCTGGCGTGGGCCTCTCGTGCGGTGCTCCATTTCTTGACAGGCCGGGTCCGCTCACAGAGGGATGATCGTCCTGACATAGCAGAGGAGCCCGCCGACTCGGTGTTTCTTGCTTATCTGGCAGGCTGTGAGCACTGGCGTCAAGCCATGTGGGTGTTAGAGTCTGGAAATCGTCTCGAAGGACTCAGTCTATACCGGTTCGAACTTACATATATCGGCGGCTCCGCTCATGTCGCTCCGTGCAATCTCGTCTGCAGGGCGTTGCCACCGAAGGTAGCACTTATTAGAACTTCGAGACACATTATTTTCGATTCGAAGCTGAGGTGATATGTACGCTTCTGAAGCTCAAATGAGTGTTGCCGATGACGGCGGCCATGATATGGCATGTCCGACCAAGATGGAAGATGAGGTGTGGTCTGAAAAGAAGCTCAGCAAAAGTTTCATTCGCTCTCGTCCACGTTCGGCATTCGGCATGGGGTGCGTGCCAGCTCCGCCTCCTGAACAAGTACAGGGTCTTGGACCGCCAGCAACCGGTGAAGGTTTCGATAATTTCAGGGAAAAAAAAGATCCATAAACTTTGACTTGGCGTGATGCGTTACCTGATGTTCCTCTCTTCCCACAATTACGAATACGCCGAGCGATGGAAATTGGAGCGTGTTCTCGACCAGTCGATCAATCACAGTATCGTTCTCATCGGTCCGGACGTAGAGCCTGAGAAATTCGACGTCCATGCTGCCATTCATGTCTTAAGGGCGGCTGTAATCTTGCGAGCCATCCAGAATTGGGACTTTTGGTAGGCAGTCCACAGCATCGGGTAGCTCTAATAGGTCGTTTGCCAGGCCTTGGGGACAGCCTTTGTGGTGCGTTGTTTGGTAATTGCGCCTGTTGCATCCAGAACACTTTTGGGATTCCTTTCCCACATTTTCTTCTTGGGCGGTTTTCGGCCGGCCGCTTTGCCCCTCGCCTGATCGAGACTTGGCTTCGAGCTTCTCCCTCACGAGTTGGTCGTAATGATCTTGCCCGCCGAAAGCTACGAGGCCACTGTCGACTCCCTGCCGTCGCCACTGTCGATTGTCGTTGACCCGTTTCTCCTTCTTTGCAAAGAGAAAGATGATAAGCTTCTCGAGGAAATGTTGCTGTCTATTTCGCAAGCGCGCGAATTGCTCGAGGCTTTCTGCCACTGGCCGGAAAACATTCATGTTCACGTCGGCGGCGGCTTTGACATGGCGCAGGTCTTCCAGCTGATCATCGAGCTGCGTTGAGATTTCTTCCAATCTCGGGTCAATACCGTCGAGGTTTTGCATCAAAGCCACGGATGCTCTGACCACCCTGCGATAGTGTCCCTCATGCTCGTCTAGGGTCTCATACCATGCTTCGATCTCGTTGCGGAGATGATCTGCATTATGTCAGGGCCTTGCCAGCTTTTGATAAGTACACCTCGCATACCGACCTCGAGCCTAAGCGTCCACAGGAAGGTCTAGGTGTTCTGTAAAGAATTTCGGAAACACACGCCGGTCCGAGTCGTCTCTATCGATTGGTTCAGACATTTCTGATAGCTGCAAGGGATGATGCCAGAGATGTGCATTCCAGGTTCACCTGACGTAGGGTAGGGAAGGTACCCTGAGATTTTGAAGAGGTCGTAAGAGACTTGGACGAATTGAGGTGTTGACAGATCCGGCAGCAAATTGTTCTTTGACTTGCAAAACCATTGTGCATCCTTTGTTCTTGCAGCTAGGATCACGCTCGAGTTGACTCAGCCTTGAGCCTGTGGCAACAATCTCAGTGACATCTACGTAGAATCGAAGCCGCGAAGATTTTTTCGGCGCTGCCAACGTGAGACGTGAGGCTTTGTTAATTGTTCAAAATGAAATGCTATTAACATCTGTACGATTTTTAATCTTCCGTGGACATTCTGATCTCGATAATCCTGACTTATGTTGACATCTCCATCATAATCCCCATCTGCTAGTTTGATCTATGTCTATGTCATACCCCGGATCATGCTAGGAATGCATCGACTCATCATCTGACATCTCTTCATCTGAAGACTCCTCAGTCTACATCATGTCATCTTCGTCTGCATCATCGAACTCTGGCAGAACGAACCCTAAGCAACACGTATCTTTATCAGTGCCGTGAAGATGATATCGAACATGCGGTTGTTGAAGGCCGTGTCTTGCGTTCACATTCTACTCGAACATTTCCATGGGCAGAAAGATGACGAAGTCGAGAATCCTCTCGAGCAAATCTTCCGCTTTGATGCGGTTCGCAGGCTTCCATTTACGGCACTTATTGATGCACTGAACTGCTCGCGAGTCATCTTTTCCCAGGCCTTCAATTTCATCGCTGTTGTCGTCGACTTCGAGAGAAACGACGTTCTCAGTGCCTTCCTGCAACAAGAATGAGCGATTCTTTACCCGTCTTCGGATGCATCACGAGATTAGGAAGCCTACTCTCCATATTTCTGCTTTGCAAGGCGCAGAATACGGGCATCTCATGCATACGATAGCTTTGTGGACGTGAAAGCGTTTCAGACCGCAGAGGACTGTCAAGTCTGAATAGGTGCTTCTTTTCGCGCTGTCAAGCACATCAGTATATATCGCTACATCAAGAGGAAGTGCTTCGGGTTAGTGTGTGGCATACGAAAGTGGTTTTCATGCCTGAGGCATCAAATTTCACCGAATTCACTTCATCCGCTGGCGTTACCCCGACGAGGCAGTCACCCCCCAAATCCACCACTTCACTCCGCGAAAGCTCTCTCGCAAGTAAATATCACTCCCATCATCCTCCACGTCGAATTTTGTGAAGTTTGGCCGACCGAGTGAAAGCGGCCAGATCTCGATCTGCAGCGTTTGCACAGATGAAGTTCGCCCAAAACGGAAGGCACCAGAGCGCTAGCGCCTTTTTCCGGACTCGCGAATTCGCGGCACGGCGCGAAATTCTGAGCACGCCCACCTATAAATATTTTGTTTTTCGCCGCGCTTCCACCAACCTGTCTTTTTCTCTCATCTTCATGCCGCATCAGCCTGCAGGGTGCCGGCTGTGCGTGAATGCACCGAGTCGCCAGGCCAAGGTTTGATATCACCCCGCACCCCTGCACCCCCCTGTCCACCCCCTTTAGTCAAAGTCACAGGCTTTACCCTCCATGGCCGGGGTGTTGGTAAAAACAAAGGGCATCCTTTAGCATGGGTGTCGACACACGAACATGAAGGCCTCTGGTGTGTGTACTGTACGTATCAACCCACTCCCTTCCTCTTGCTTTCTGACACTTGCTGACTCTTCACCTTTCGCGTTCAGGCAAGATAGCATCTTGGTCGATCTTCGAGCCATGCCGGATGTGTGTTCGGCCCCATCGCGTAGGGTTCAGCTGGATTGATCGCATCAGTCTCCCGACTGGCCCCTGCAGAGCTGGTGCGCTCTCGACGACGAGTTTCTCGAGGGTGCGTGCGACATAGCGCCATCAGCTCGCGTCGAGCGCGTGTCTGGTGTTCGCTCGGCGGTCATGGCCATGGCACAGGCCTCTTCACTGCGCTGAGGTGAAGGGGTACTCGCGAATCCAACATTCGTGAATTGCGACTTCAACATCACGTCTGTGTCAAAACTAGGGCGGGGTTCACACAAGAGAGTGCAGTTCTTTGCTCGCGTCCGCAACATCGCAGCTTCCCATGGCGCCCAGCTGGCTTCGGTCGGACACAGAAACCAAAACTGCAGAGGGGGTGGCCAACACCAGCTCGGTGGGGAATTCGTTACAGTGTGCGGCCACTGCCAGACGCCTACGTACCCGTGCTGCTTGGCAGGCTGGCGCCGACACACCCGCGCCCGCCCTCTGGGTGGACGGCTGTCCCAGGCGTCGCACCCAGAGATGGTATGTTCCACACCCCCGATACGAGATACTGACTGCCGCACGATGGCCTGCACCTTATCGTGGTGTGCGGTGTCTAGTAGCCCGCAAGGGTGAAGCTGAGACAGGCCGAAGCCTCGATGACTGGTCGAACCGACTTCACGACTTGACGACAAGTCACCCTCCTCAACCTCCTCAACTGGGCCGACTTCACCAACACCCCTCCGCAGTTGGGTCACGCCTTCAGGCCATCTTACACAACACCACCGCGAGCTAGCCGACCGAAGTGGCGTCACTACCACGGCGACTTCACAACAAGCCTCCACAGCCGGCATCACCACCAACGCGAATCCACCGAGCCAGGCGATCGCAAGGGCGCGACTTCATCAAACAACCACAGACACCACCGCGAGCCAGTCGACCGAAGTGGCGTCACCAACACGACGACTTCACGACTTCACAGCAACCCTCCACAGGTGAAGCTGACGCAGGCCCTGGTAGATAGCATGGTGTATTGAAGATGAAGCCGTGATTGAACTCGTTGCCCATGCTTCATCCTCCTTCCCGTCTCATATCCGCCAGTCTTGACTTGTGCGTGCTTGCGTGCGTGCCTGCTTTCCCTTCCATCGGATGATCATGTTTGGACAACTTGGTTGGCGGTTGTGTTGTGGTAGCGGAGATAATGATGCAGGACTCTGGCAGGTTCTTGCTGTGCCCTGGGGTTGATGGTAGATATCAATAGTTTTGAAGCTGTTCGTGGTGGTTTTCATGTCTCTCATGCCGTCTCTTTTGTTGCGCTGTCAATGTGCTTTTGCTGCTTTGTTCATTTGCATTGTTCGTACAGTGCCATCGTAATATTTGGCGATGCCGGGGTCATGCTGTGATGGAGATGACGCTGGCGGGTCGCGGTCTGTCGTCGTCGCTCAGAGAAGACAAGATTCACCACCAAAGAAGAAGGCCGGTGGGTTGAGTTTAGATTCATCATATCATTTCATCTAAAGTGTACAAGTCGCTAAACAGAAACGTCCTCTTTACTCAAAACATTTCTCCAGCTGTTGCGCAGACCTCTCTTCAAGTCCCAGAGTAGACAGCAGTAACATTCCTCCCACACTCCACTCGCTGCTCAACACTTATCTTCCTCCCATCGCCCAGCTTGGCTGTTGTCCGCGGCGTGATGTGAAACCTGTGCTCTTCCTTTCCACCACTGCTCTTCTTCGCCCGCTTCACCTCCGCTTCCATGTCGAGAGGCTGAATGTAAATGGGTGTTGAGACGTTGTTCCTCTTGCCTGTGCCGAGCTGGTAGTGCTCGTTGCCGCCCCAGAATACGATGTCCGCGCCCCAGTTGGTGTCGTCATCAGATGTCTTGTCGGAGGCGGATGTGTAGGTGATGTTCTTCATAACGGCAGCAGCATGCGTGGCACCGACGCTAAGGTTTTGGAGGCGGATGGGCACAGTTTCGTTGGTCTTCTCGTCGTACTCGAACAGGCCGCTGAGGGTGGGGATCTTGGTTGGTGTATTTTGGACGTGCGTCCAGCGGCTGTTGCCCAGATTGCCCATGATGCCAGAGCCGAAGGCGAACGTATCTGCAGTGATACGACCAATGCTGAGTTTGACGCGAGGGTCGGTGGGGTCGTCTTTTGGTGAAGCCAAGCGGGTGGCATCCACGGTGAGGTAGCTGTTAGTGCCGCCAGCAGCGATGTGAGTAATGCATGGCTGTTGCGAGCAGCCGGAGTATAAACGTTGAGTGGGGAGGAGCGACGGGACATCGACAATGCTGGCTTCGGGACTGTAGTCGAAGCCCAGTTGGCCCGAAGAATTGTCGCCCCATGCGAAGACACGGCCGTCTTTGTCCAAAGCCAACGAATGGTAGTCGCCACATGCAAGCTTCAACACTTGAAAGCCTCGTAGTGTTGTGATCTCATGCGGCTGGTCGTAGGCGCCTTCAGGTCTGGTGATCCATGTAAGGCCCGGGATGCCAAGCTGACCACGACTTGGAAAGTTGTCTGATGCCGAAGCTGTCGAGAAGACACGGCCTTTCGATGTCAACATCAATGCGTGCTCAAGACCGCCTGCGATCGATGTGATCTTCTCAGAGTATCCGAGGTCTTTAGGCGAAATGGTGCGGTATGAGATCTTGCTGGAACCATGCCAGAAGGGGATCCAACTCGACTCTGATGGTTTGATGCCTTCTTGTTGCTCTTCTGCAGATACGGGTATGCTGTAGACTTTGCCGTTGCCTCCCAAACCCAGTATGCGGTCCTTCGATATCGTCAATGCAATCAAATTCTTCCCCTTCAATGTTGCGACTGGCTCTCTGATATCTGGCGCATATCCCAAGCCCCATTGCAGCAGGTTTCCCTGCTCATCAATCGCCGCTCCAAAATTCCTGTCCAGCTTGACATCCCGTAACAGCTTTCCGTCGAAGAACGGTATTCGCCTGGGGGTCTTGATAACGTTCTCCGTACTGTCTGGCGCAACGACTCTTCCTGTATTACTGCCCCAGGCATACACGCCAGGAGCCGCCCACGATCGCTTGACTTGATGGTGTTGACTTGAGATCATATCTCGATTCTCCTCCTTGCTATTGCTGGCCTTCTTCCTCGACTCTTCGAATATGAGTTCATGATCGTCCTCCTCTTCCTTCGCCGGTGCTTCGGCTTGGGTCTGTCTGAAAAAGTTGCCATCGTTGATGTAGAACTGCGAGGCCGTTGCAAGGCCTCCTGCGACGGCGACGGCGAATATGGATCGGTAGAGCTGCTGCTGCTTTCGGTGTGCTCTTGCTTGGTATGAGATATTGGCGATTCGTGATGCATACGCTTGCTGCGCGAGGAAGCTGGCTCGACTGGACGATGATCGTTTGCCGGCGGGAACTGCTTTTGTCGCCGCTCTCGAGAGCGCTTGCTTCGATGCCATTGTTGAGACGGGTGTCGGTTTCGATTGTGCTCGGTATGAGGTAGAGACACGCTCAGTGAAGAGGTATCTAGTTGAATTCGAAAAAGTGGCGAGGAGGTTGAGTGAATGTCGAGGACAAAAGATCGAAGAGGACCAACATGGATCTGATCCAATGATGCCCTCTCCGAAAGTCAATTGTCGAATCGAGAACGTCAGATGTGGGTCCCGTTCGGATCGTCCCGTGAATGCTCCTTCGACCTCACCTCGTCGTTTGGACACTCTTCAAACCCAACAAGATATCTTGCTAGCTGTATCAATGGCGAGTGGAGGTGTCGAAGGTAACATTCCTCAGCTTGCACACAGAGCTGTCTCGATGCAGCGCCCCCACAATAGGTACCCTGCTGGTATCAGCTGAATCACCTCTAAAAGTGCTTCAGACCTTTTCCGCAGCGCTTGCTCACTCGAGGATACCATGGATCCAGGGTCACTTGGGCTTTGATCTGCTGAACGATGTTATTTTTGCCGATCTCCAGAGGTAGGCTTCCTCCTTTGAACGGCTGGCAACCTTACGAGAATGGCTTCGCTATACAATCCGCTGGAAGCAAACAAGATACGCCTCTTAGCCTTCATCGATGACACCGGGACGAACTGCACGCTGGAAAAGGTATATCTGAATGATGCGCCGCCTTACGCTTGCCTCTCCTACGCTTGGCAAGATGGCCAGACACTGAGCACCCCAGTTGCACAATCCACCATAATGATTAATGGTCAGCTGAAATCGACCCGGCCAAACCTTCAAGACGCACTTGCTCACCTGGGACCAATCGCCCGTTCCAACGGCCACAGATTTTGGGTCGATGCTCTTTGCATCAACCAGGATGATCTTGTCGAGCGAGCGGAGCAGGTAAAAATCATGAAGCACATCTATGAGCACGCTGAAACGGTCATGGCATGGATAGGCCCAGCGAACGCTGACACCGAGCTTGCTCTAGGAGTAATGCAGGCAGTCTCCAACTTCACGCATGAGCTCTTTAACAGAAATACGCAGCGTACAGCACTCCATCTATGGCAGGCAGCCATTTCTCGGCAACCATTCTTTCAAAATCGACCGAAGAGCGATGTTCTTGTTGGGTGGGCCGAGATGGTGCAGATGTTCAAAGCCCTTTACTGGGGGAGGACATGGGTACAACAGGAAATCACGGGCAACAACGCCGTCTTTTACTGTGGGCCATGGTCATTCACCTGGAAAGAGCTGCATGCCTTCAACGAGTTTCATGGTACTTACGGTGGACTGCGCGACATGCCCGACAAGTACATGCTGATGATTTCTGGTGGCGTCAACGTCGGCTCACCGTTCTTCGACCTGCATGTCGCCGAGAAAAACCGAACTACGTCATCAACATCTCTTGCCAAGAAACAGAAATTGATGGCTCTAATTCGAGAGTTGAGATTGACACATTGCTCAGATGCGAGGGACAAGGTATTCGCTGCACTCCCACACGCTACAGACGTTGACCAGGTTCACGCAAAAGACTTGCTTGCTGTGGATTACTCCAAATCCGTACGTGATACGTTCCTCAACGTGGCACGTTACTACCTGGAGCACGGAGATCTTGAGATACTGGGCTACGTTGGAGCAAATTGCCACGACCACGACTGTCGACCTCCTCGCGGGGCAGAAGAGAGTCCACTACCATCGTGGGTGCCCGATTGGCGAATCCCATACCGCATCCGTCCCCTCAACACAGGCGGCCGAAGCGATCGAGACTATCCCATGCTTTACAACCCTCTCCCTCACTCCACCGCCCAACTTCAAGTCACCTCCTCAACCCTCCAAATCTACGCTCTTATCTTCGACACGCTCCGTACAATCACACTAACAGCCGGCCGCGAGTACGTCCCGTCCCAACTTAAAATCAAATGGGGCAAGCACATGAAAGCTTGGTCTCCCAACCTCACAAGTCGTGATGTCAAAAGGATCCTGAACGCGGACGCACAGTGGAGTGCTGATGAAGTTGGCAACGCAAGGGGCGAGGTGATTGACTGGGAATTCTTGGATGAGCCGATCGAGAAGATGAGGCCGGAACATCGTTATTGGAGGCATAATATGCGACATGTCCTGCGGAGTGTGTGTCGTGATCGGCGTGCCGGAAGGACGAAAGGCAACAGGATCGGCATCTTCCCTGAGGCAGCAGTGCCTGGTGATGTGATCGCTGCGTTTTATGGGGGCCATGCGCTTTATGTCATCCGGCCTGAGCAGGACAGACAGGGGATGTATCGATTCATTGGCGAGTGCTACCTGGACGGCATGATGGACGGACAGCTTCTGGATGTCGCTGCAAAAGAAGGACTGACCGCTACGAAAGTAACAATGATCTAAACCCAGCGCTTCTCATGCCTACCTCTGGAATCTCACGCCCAACGCATCCGACACCACAGTCCTCGCCTCACCACTATCATCAACCTCGATCACGAATGCATCAAGCGCCAGACCACCTCTCTCCAGCTCTCCAACCGTCTGCCACGAAATGCACGTCGGCGTTCCAAAATCAGCCAACGCACTCTTGTCCTGGATCACACCCTGCCACACCCTCTTGCCTCCCTCAACGAGATTGGTAGGATACAATCTAAAGTCGAGATTTGCCGGGTCCAAGATACCACTCTGCTCCGCAATCGTGGCAAGCCAATCCGTGCCATTGACGACGAGGTGCGTGACAGCGAGACCCGGGTCCGAGCCCGAGTCCGTGATGTTAAGCACGATGGAAGAGGCATTACCAGCGGAAGTGTACGTCCCAGGATAAGTAGCCTGAGCCTCCTTCTCCGCAAGACTCTGCAGCTGCAACAGCGCAAACAGCGCCATATCCGCATAAGCGTTCAAATCCGGCGCCTCGCCCTCGCTGTTCAACGCCAGAATCGAGAACCCGACGCCGTAATCCGGCGCGAGACCGAAGTAGTTGCTATACCTCCCCACAGTTCCTGTTTTCGTGTAGACGTCGATGATGGTGCCGGTGGCGTTGTCCCTGTAATGGTAGATCTCCCAGGGTCGACCGACGGAGTTGGCGATGTTGGAGGTGGAGGTGAAGGGTTTCAGCCAGCGGCGAGTTGTGGATTGGGGGAGCAGGGAGGATGTCAGGAAGCTGTGGCCGAAGGTGGCGAGGTCGGCGGTGCTGGTGAGGAGGGAGAGGGAGGCGGGTTCGCCGAGGGTTGAGGAGTTGGAGAGGCCGTGGCCGAAAGGTGGTGCGGAGGTGTTCTTGAGGAGGGAGGTGCTGCTGAGGTTGAGTTTGGCGAGGATGCGGTCTTGGAGGATCTGTGCGAAGGGTTGGCCGCATTTCGCTTCGAGGGCGAAGGCGAGCAGTTGGAAGGCGGCGCGCGAGTAGATCGGCGTCGTATCCGGGAGGTAGACGGGAGGTTTCGACGCCAGCTTCTTCAGGAAGATATCCTTTTGACAACGCCCGTCGATTCTGCAGGCATCCGCTACACACGAATCATCAGCTCAACATCAACACACCACGACTCTCGGAGCGGTTCACATACAATGCCTCACAATCCCAGCCATATGGCCCGCCAACGCCCCCAACGTAACATTCCTCCACTGCACCGCTCGGAGCGGACCTCCAGTCGACAAGCCCTCCAACTCCGGCAAAAACTCCACAATACTCCTCTCCCACCCCTCCACACCCAACTCCACCAATGAAGCCAGCACAGTTAAAATCTGCGTCAAATCCCCCGCCGCATATACACTCCCTCGATCCGGCTTCTCAACCCCAGCACCATGATGATACTCGTAGAACAGCGGGTCTGATCCATTCCCGTTCCGGACGAGATTCCCACCCGCGAAGAGGCTGAGGCTGAAAGAGGTGGTGTTGGGCGTGATGGGTCCGAAGTCGCCGGTGCCGGCGGCGAGGTAGGAGTCGATGTAGGAGGTGAAGGCGTTGAACGTCGATTTGAGGGCCGGGGAGTTGGGGTCGATGCGCGGGGCGGGGAAGTAGGGGCCTAGGAGGGGGCAGGGTTTGTAGAGGGAGGTTTGGGCGGTTGTGAAGGGGAGGAGGGGTAAGAGGGAGAGGATGAAGGGGTGTGCGAGGTGCATTTTGTTGGTGGGTTGGGTTGGTGATGGGGAATGGACTTGGAATTAGAGGAGAAGGTCTTGATGTTCCATCATATACTGTACCATCCTCCCCAAACCGCCTGCCTTCAACGCCAAGCCCTCACACATCACACATTTCAGCCTTCGCAGCCAAAACCCAAACCACGCGGTTCACCAGGCTGAGTCAACGGACGTAAAACCTGCCCCGGCATAGGATAGGGCCATTGCATTTCCCGAGTGCGACAGACACCGCCAGCTGAACCTGCACTCCTTCCCAAACAGGCCGTGTGGAGAGGCTTCGCCTTGCTGCTTTGGGTAAAGCGCGGAGTTTTTAGCTTCGTATATCGTAGCATCCTTTGGGACACGGGTTGCCAAGATGGATGTATTACAAAGTATAGGAAACCGGTGCAAAACGAAGGGGATGTTTGCGTGTGCTGTTGGGGATGGAGTTTAGGCTGCCATTGTTTGAGAGGGAGAGTGCGAGTGTTTTTTGCTCTGGGCATTGGTTTCGAGGCGTTGTTGTGAGGATGATTAGTCTCAGGCCAACAGGTTTACGGTGTTGTTGTCGTGGTTTTACGATGCGGTTCTGGGATATCGATTTATTTTATTTTGAAAGGGGGTGATTGATGGGCCTTTCGTGCGTGTTGCTGCTGAGAATTGATGTAGGCTGCCACTTTTGCTTCCGTCACGTAGTTCTAATTGCTTGCTCCCTTTTGCCCGAGTATTACTTTCCCGATCTCGCCACGTGCAAGACTGATTTATTGAGCGAATGATTTTGTGGTTGCCGTCGATGCGGTATGTGATGCTGAAATACGAATCAGAATTCCATTACCTACTCCAACAAAAACATCCTTCCTTCCATTGTCATCCACATCCAAACAAGCCTCCTTCACCCACCCCTCACCTCACTTCTTCCCATCCCGTCCCCTTCGCTCATACAACTCCCTCCTAAACACCACACCACATTAGCACACACCTCCCAACCCACGCAGCCACTCATCTCCCCCCATCAAAAACAAAAAAAAACTCACCCTCTCTCCCCCTCCCGCTCCCTCCCCTCAATCCTGTTCAAAGAATCCTCAATCAATCCGATATGCCCCCTCAACGTCCCTTCGATTTCGTCGAGGCGGGCTTCTTGTTCTTCGAGGTTGTGGATTATGTGGGATCTGAGATATATAGTTGAGGTGGTGATGGCGGAGAGATTTAGAACGCCAATGAGAAAGGAAGAGTTGCGGAGGAAGGACATTGTTGACAAGGGGAGTCGGATTGGTTGGGATGGATTGGCTTATTGATGGGGTTGATGGGGTTGGTGTTGTGGGATATGTGTGTTGTGAAGGACTGGAAGGCTGGATCGATGACGTATAGATGTTGGTGTATACGTAGACTGGCGATCGTGATTTTTCGAGGTCGTTTTCCAAACCTCGCAGGTGGTTTGTTGTAGTCGATTCGTTGTAGTCGATTCGTTGTGGCTGAACTTTTTGTTTTTTTTTTCAATTTGGAATATCTATCCCCAGTACTCGCAAGCGGTCTGAGCAATCCGAAGCGCGATTGAGAGCTTAGTCGGTTGTGGGGGAACGGAGAGATGACAATGCCGTGCATTTCATTTTGAGCAGAACAAGGGCATTAGCAGGTAGCTAAACAAAAAGTTGAGAGTTGAGCTAGAGCTGAGATCTCATTTCACATCATCCAAAATAAAATCAAGTCATCAGTTTCCCTTCTTCAGCTCCCTCTCCAACCAAACCTCAAACAACTCCCTCGTTCTCCTCTCATCATCCTTATCCTCCAGCGCCTCGCTCTCCCTCCACAAGTGCACGACTCCAAAGCCCACCTCGATGCAAATCAACCCTATGATCATCCACTCCAACATACTGCTATGCTTCTCACTCAACCTCTCCCGCAACACAGCTGCAATCTCGCTCGCGTAGTCCATCTTCTCGTTCAGGACTTTGATCCTGACGCCGACATCTAAGGCTCGGCCGACCATTTCGTAGTACCCCTCTAACCCAAGTTCGTGGGGAGAGTCCCAGAAGAGGTCGGGCAGGGAGTCAGTGATTTCAGAGTAGAGGTTGAGCTGGGAGCGGATCTCGAGAAGTTCTCCCGTCCGTTGCAGGATCTGGCGGCGGTTGATGCGGAGCGCTTTTCCGCGAGCGAGGACTTTTGGGATATGCTGGGTGGTGTCGAGGTAGTGGGAGAGGGCGTTTTCGAGGACGGCGAGTTTGGTGCTGCGGGCGAGGGCGGAGGAGAAGGCGATTTTGGCGAGGATGTTGTCGATCTCAGGGCTGCGATTGTAGAAGTCGTCTTCCAGGGTGGTGGTGTCCGGAGAGTGGTGGTCGCTGGGCTTGGTGCCGAGGATGATGGTCTCGCCGAGGATTTTGGAAGTTTCGCGGGAGGGGTCTTCGATGTATTCGAGGTCTTCGATTTCCATCTTATCAGGATGGCTGTCGGAGCCGGCTGCGGTGACGAGGACTCTCTCGACGATGGTGTGGGCTACTTTTTGGGGTACGTTCCATGTGACGACGCATCCTGAGGGGAAGACGAAGACATCGCCTACACCTTGTGGTCGTTCTTCGCCGGATTCGTCATCCTTGACGACAAAGTTGGGCGTCTGAGCATGTAGCACTTGTGCGCGTAGTCCTGTTTTCAGAGGGTCCGTCTCATATCCTTCTCGCTGCAGCGCATGGCGAGCAGTGCTCAAGTTGTACGTCTCCGCCGCACAGTACCCCGTGACATCTTTTGTATCTGCCTCAGGGTTGACATAACGTGTCTTTCCACTCTTCTTGATCAAGCCTCTCGATCGTTGCGCCTCAATCGCGACTTTTCGGAGAGAGTTTGATGTGGCGCGTTTGCTGGCAGCGTTGCGCTTTGGGAGCGCTTTCGAAGTCGATTTCTCACTCTCGTTGACAGTCTTGTTCTCCTGCCGTACGACTCGGTTGGAAGTGAAGTGGTTGCGAGGGATCTTGCGGGCGGGATTTCTCGAGGTGGATGTGAGGCTTTGGTGGTGCGGAAGCTTGCACTGCGACGACAGAGGAGAGCTTCGAATTGGGGTTGTCGTCGTCAACGTCCTCTTGACGATGCTGCCAAATGCGATCCAAGTAGCAGCTCTGGACGATGCCATTGCGGATACTATCACTGAAATATTCTTAGCTATTGTATTGATTGAAGATTGCTGGAGCTGCCGCTGATCATTTGACGCATCTCGGTCTCGGCAAGTCGGAGCTTGCTGGACCTCACGATACTTACCTCACGACTGCCTGCTCTGGCTCATACCAACCACTCTGCGACACTGTCACTGCAGCCTCGATGCCTGCAGCATGTCTGCTGATGTCCATGCGACCGCGCCGGACGAGTCGGAACGCCCATCAAACCACGATAGACCCGTCGAATCCAGCGCAGCAGCTGCCACCGCGACTAATGACAATGGCGACGAGGACGATGAGGAGGAAGAGGACGAGGACGAGCCCAAGCTGAAGTATGCCAAACTGTCGGACAAGTTTGCCTCGGTATACAAGACCACCCAACATGGCAACTCGACGTCCGCTTTCACCGTCGAAGGAGACAAGATGGTGGTGGGCACACATAATGGAAGCGTCTACGTTTTTGGAGTGCCCTCTCTGGACAGCATACGAACGTATCGCGCCCACTCGGCGAATGTCACCAGCATCAGTATCAGCCCTGTACCACCGCCTCCAGTCCTGATTCGAAGTGATACTGGCAATGCGACTCTCGTTCCATCCCCGCCTGCCAGTCAGAAAAGCATAGCTGCACCGTCACGAACAGCCACGAGCACGAGCAGTCCCAGGACCCCCTCAAAAAGCCAGCAAAATCAGCAGCAGAATCTAGTGCCAAACACTCCCAACAATCAGATATACGTTGCGACCAGCTCTCTGGATGGCCATGTGTGCATCTCGTCTCTGATCGATCCACAGGACGTTCAGCTCCGCAACTTTGCCCGTCCTGTAAATGCTGTTGCCTTGAGCCCAGAGTATAAGACGGATAAGACGTATCTCTCTGGAGGACTGGCAGGGAACTTGGTGTTGACGGTGGGCGGCAAGGCAGGCGTCAGTACAGACGCGAACACCAACAGCGCGGCGGCGGCGGCGTCGGGATGGTTGGGAGCAATAGGGATTGGCGGCAATACTGGTCGGGACACGAGTTTGCATTCTGGGGAAGGTACTATCAGCACCATTAAATGGAGTTTGAGCGGGAAATGGGTGGTTTGGGTCAACGAGGAGGGAATCAAGATTATGAGGAGTCACCTCAAGCTAAGCAGCGAGCATCAAGAAGACGCTTGGAGGCGAATAGCACACGCTGCCAGACCAAATCGAACTGGCTGGGAAGAGATGGCTGGGGTGTGGAAGGCAAGATGTGAGTGGGTTGATGAGAAGGCATTGGAGTCGGACGACTTGACCACAGGGGGCACACACCACGCTACAAACGGCGTCAATGGCACAGATACTGTCAAATCGACGGCTTCGAAGCAGGGCAAGAAGAAGATCGAGAAGCTCGTCGTTGGATGGGGCGATACTGCCTGGGTAATGCATGTGCAGTCTGGCAGTTCCACTCCCCAGCCACCAAATGCGAAACGACAGGTTGGCAGTGCGGACATCATCCACAAACTCCAATTCCGCGACTGCGTCATCTCGGGTATCAGCTTCTACACGCCTTCGCTGCTTGCTATTCTGGCGTATCGGACGAGGGATGATGACGACAAACCAATCCAGACCTCTTCAACTTACAACCCCAGTAGAGGCAATTCAGAAGGAAAAAGGGTCAAGCACACTAGTCTCGCCCCTCAGCTTCGACTGGTGAATGTGGTGAATGGCGAAGAAGATGAGCTGGACGAATTGTCAAACCTCTCGCAATACGAGAAATTTACCTCACAAGACTACCATCTTGGTACGCTGTTCATGCCTCCTCCGTTGCCCGAAAAAGCGACGCGAGAACAGCAGAAAGGCAGGCTGGAAGGTCTTTGGGATGCCACTGCCAGCACCCTGACTGGAGGTGGATACGCCACTCGCATGTTCTCGTCAAACGCGAGTGTTATGAGTGGTAGTAGTGGTGGAAAGGAGACTAATGGGAGAAGCTTCTCATTTAAAAGACCCGGATCAGATCGAGACGTCACGCCGTCGCCGGAAATTCGAAGAAGACCGGTATATGCCCATCCGTACACGCTGGAACCTGGCCTCAAGCTCTTCATCCACAGTCCGTACGATTGTGTTCTTGCTGTAAAGCGAGAGCTGTCAGATCATCTGGAATGGCTTCTCGAACATCAGCAATATGGCCAGGCATGGAAGTTGATCGACGACCACCCAGAAGCTGTCGATGGCTCATCTGCCGAGCAGTCGCAATATAGCTCAACGCCAAGTTCCCCATCGAAGGATGGTGCAAGAGGGCTTGCAGACTTCTTCGCGGATGAAACAGCTTCGCAAAGTACTGACGCCGCCTTGAGAGCTCATAACTCTGCGGCATCGAAGGAGAAGAGACGAATAGGTGATCTGTGGCTTCAGCAGCTCGTTTCTGCAAATCAGTGGGATGAGGCTGGTGTCGTTGCTGGAAAGGTGCTGGGCACCAGCAGTCGCTGGGAGCACTGGGTCTGGACCTTTGCCCAGGCAGACAAGTTCGACGAGATCACGCCGTATATCCCTTCTACGGCGATGAAGCCGCCGCTTCCCAGTCTGGTGTACGAAGTCATTCTAGGTCATTACATTGGCAAGGACAGAGATCGCTTGAGCAGGCTACTCGATCAATGGGACCCTGAGCTCTTCGACGTGAAAAGCGTCGTCAGTGCGATTGAGGATCGACTGGAAAGCGGCGAGGTCACCGAAGAGAGTGTCGAAGATGGAGTCAAAGGCCGCGACTGGAGAATTCTCATGGAAGCACTTGCAAGACTTTACCTCGCTGACGGACGTGCCAGAGAAGCATTACGATGCTACATTGCTCTACAAGATGCCGAGAAAGCGTTTGGACTCATTCGTGAAGAGAAGCTGCTGGACGTGATCATCGACGATGTTCCTGGCCTGCTCATGCTGAGAGTGAGCAGAGAACAGATGCGATCAGCGCCTTTGTCTGAGCTCGAAGAGGCTACATCGGAAGCGACACAGCTCCTTGTGGAGGAAGCACATCGCGGTGCGATACATGTTTCGACCGTGGTGAATCAGCTCATTCGTAAAGGAGACGCCTATCAGCCCTTCCTTTTCTTCTACCTCCGCGCACTCTGGAACGGGAAGGCATCCAGTGCGCCAGCACCACGAAGACGGAAAGATCCCGTCATTGATGAAGGGCACGCTCTTGTTGAAGAACATGCAGATCTTGCGGTCCGACTGTTCGCCGAATACGACCGCCCTCTGCTCCTCGAGTTCCTGAAAGCTAGTGAAGTCTACAGCTACGACAAGGCCGCGAAGATCTGCAAGGACAGGCATTACATCCCCGAACTCGTGCACATTCTCTCCAAGACTGGACAGACGAAAGAGGCGCTGTCTTTGATCATTGGAGAGCTTGCGGATGTCGGTCAGGCGATTGCGTTTGCGAAAGAGCATCCTGATTTGTGGGAGGATCTTTTGGATTATAGCATGAACAAGCCGTCGTTCATTCGTGGACTGCTCGAGGAAGTCGGCGCTGCACGATATGAAGGTTTCGATCCAATTGATGTTGTGCGCAGGATACCCGAGGGAGTCATCATCAAGGGGTTGAAGCAGGGTATACAGCGACTGGTGAGGGAGTTCGAAATCCAGATGTCGATATCTGAGGGCGTGGCCAAGGTCTTGAGAGGTGAAGTAGGCATGGGCATGGACACGCTGCGAGCGGGCCGAAAGAAGGGAGTGAGGTTCGAGGTCGTGCACGAGTCGGCAAGTGAGGTCGATCTGGCAGTTCACGACCCGCCAACGAGAATCCCAGGCGACGAAGAACTCCCCATACCGACAAAGAAGATCGACAAGAAAGACGCCAAAGAGGAGATCAAACCAGGCCACTGCGTCGGCTGTGGAGACGTCTTCCACGCAGAAGGTAAAACCCCCGTGTCCCCCTCACAATCACAGAAACAATCCCATGCTAACCCTTCCACAGAGAAAGAACCCCTCATCGGCTTCGCCTGCGGCCACGTCTACCACCTCTCGTGCCTTCTCCGCGCCAACCCTGATACGCGCGACTCGAAAGAAGCGGAGGCTTTGCTGGATCAGATGGCCTCCGGACGGGATGAAGATGGTTATGGCAGCAGGAGTGTGGGCGGGAAGGTTGCGCATGCGCATGTTATTGGGAATGTTGTGAGGGGTGGGTGTGTGGTTTGTTCGGGGGTTGTTGGGGAGGGGTGAGGGGGAGGGGAAGTGGGCATTAGCGAGGGCGTTTCTTTTACTTTGTTTTACTTGTGTATATTGTGTGGGAGGGTAAGGGGATGTTGCATTGAGTGATTGAGGGTGAATAAGTGGAGTGGAACTCGAGGAAAGAAGAGGTTGTTTTAAGATACCCGAAGTCGGTCAGAGTCAGATCAGGAGCGAAGACCCGCCTTTTATTCAAGAATGTATAAAAAACACTTTAAACACATCCCAAACTATCCTCACCCCATCCCACATGTTATCCATCATCATCATCAAACACACCTCAAACTAACATTCCTCCCCGTATCCGCCCACATCCCCCCATCCTCCAACATCGCAAACGTATACTCCCCCCCCTCCACCACCCACTCATTCACCCGATTGAGGATCTTGAGATACCGATCCACATCAACCTCCAACGTGATCTGCCTGCTCTCCCCTCCTTCCAAATAGACGCGTTGAAAAGCCACGAGTTGCTTCACTGGTTGCGTGATACTCGAGACGCGGCCGAGGAGGTAGATCTGCGGGGTATAGCTTCCTGGTGTAGGGGATGTGTTGGTTAGGCGGAGGGTGAAGGAGAGGAGGGGCGTTGAGGGCGTGAAGGATCCGTTCCCAGAGGAAGCGGTGAAGTTGCCCAGCGTGAAATTCGAGTAAGACAATCCGTATCCGAAGGGATACGCGGGACTCGGATCGAGATCAACGTACGCGGCCTGATGCGTGGTGGGTTTATAGTTGTAGAAAATCGGCATCTGGCCTACATCCCTAGGGACGCTTAGCGGTAGGCGTCCGCCGGGGTTGAAAGTTCCGAATAATACATCCGCGACGGCTTGCCCGGCGCTCTGGCCGCCGAACCAGGTGGAGAGGACGGCGGCGGTGGAGGTGTGGTTGTAGAGTTCTGGGAGAGCGAAGGGGCGGCCGCCGGAGAGGAGGAGGATGGTGGGTTTGTTCAGGGAGAGGATGTAGTGGGCCAGGGCGGTTTGGTTGGGGGAGAGGCCCATTGTGGCGCGGTCGCCGGATTCGCCGTCGGAGTTCCAGTTTGCTCCTAGGGGGAGGATGATTTTGTCGGCTGTGGAGGCTAGTTGGAGGGCTTGGGAGAGGGCGGATGTTGTGGTGTTGGTGCTGTTGGAAGAGGAAGAGGAGGAGGGCGAGACGAGGTTCCAGAAGAGGAGGACTTCGGCGTTGAGGGAGTTTTGGTTGGCGATTTTTTGGTAGAGGTTCCAGGATTGGAATTCGAGGCGGAGTTTGTGGGTTGCGCTGGGTTTGAAGGTGAAAGGCTCGGAACCTGGCGGTGGGAGGGTCGAGTTCACGAGGGTGTATGCGCGGCCAGGGATGTTTGAGAGGAGGTTTCCTGTGGTCGTCAATGGGACGTGGACGTGCAGAGCGTCGTCGATGTAGAGGTTTGCTGTGGCGTTCCAGGAAATTCCCACGCCGAGCCAGCCTTGCGTTTCAATGTCGACGGGGACGTGCAGTGTGCCTTCCCACACCGCGGAGAAGTTGTTTGAGGGCAGGCCGGGCGGTGGGTAGAGACCCCAGTCGCGGACGGGGACTTCTGTCTTGTTCACTAGCGGCTCAGTGAAGTTTGGGCCGGCGAAATAGGTTGCTTGGAGACCGCCTGTGGTGCCGTTTGGTGTGGAGAGATGGTAGCCTGCGATGGGGTATTGTGCGTTGTGGAGCCAGGTGTTGGCTCCCCAGGCGGTTACGAGTTCGATGTTGGAGTTGGTAGCTTTGAGCGAGTTTAATATACCTTCTCGAAGGGTCGAAGAGTGTGCAACGGGGTATTGCCCAAATTGGCCTGCGTAGTCGCCGTAGTTGAGAATATCGCTGTAGGGGCCAACAAGAGCAATCTTCTCTTTAGAGTTGGCTTTCAAGGGGAGGGTGGAGTTGCGGTTTTCCATCAGGACTATGCTTTTGTGGGCAGCTTCGAGCGTTAGTGGGATGTGATCTTCTACGATTGCTTCTGGGTCGGTGTCGTCTGGGATGTATGGGTTGGAGAAGAGGCCGAGGTCGTATTTGACTCCCAGGATGCGGCGCATCTTTTGCTTGAGGGTTGAAAGGGACACGGTGTGGTTTTTGACGAGGTCGACTGTTGACTGCGGACATCGTCAGCTGAGGTTGGAAATGTAGACTGTTTGCTCACATTGAGAAATGTCTCTAGGGGGTAGTCGTAGTAGGAGATCATGCCTCCCGCGTTGTACCACTGTCCGATGGCATCGGCGGGAGATGAAGCGACTCTATGGACTTCTTCCAGCTCGGACATGCCTGCTCAATTCATCAGCAAGTGACGGGGTGCAGGTTAATGAGCTTCTTACCAGTATCATCCGCTATCACAAACCCATCATATTCCCAATCTTCCAAAGCACCGTACAACATGGGGTTGACATGCGAAGGAACATCATCTAATTCTGAGTACGCCATCAGAACACCCCTGGCACCTCCAAGTTCGACTGCAGCCTTGAACGGAGTGAGAAGGTTTTGCAGGACTTCGCGGTTGCCGTGGCCCATCCAAGGAGCAGCATTGAGTCCACCTTGAGGCGCACCGTGGGCAGCGAAGTGCTTCATTACTGGGACTACAGCGTCGGGTTCACCCCAAGAGCTGTTCTTGGAAAGTCCAGACGCATATGCAACGCCGAGGTGGCTGGTGAGGATGTGGTCTTCTCCCCAGTCCTCTGTACTCAAATGATTAGTACAAACACACGTCGTTTCGGACGTTTCATTCACCGACCTTGACACCGCCCCCATCGACTGTCTTTACAAACATCCAAAACGGGCGAAAGACAAGCATGAATTCCAATACTCCTCGCCTCCTTCGCAATAGCCCGCGCGACTCTATGCACCAAATCCACATCCCACGTTGCAGCCAGGCCAATGCTCTGCGGGAACATACTCTGCTTGAAACTCCCCACGCCATGCAGGCACTCGGCTAAGTGCAGAAAGGGGATCTTCAGGCGAGATTTCTCCAGGTTCAGTGCTGTGAGAGAGTTGACTTGGGTCTTGTTGAGCGTATACCAGTCGTGGATGATGCCGATGCCAGCAGATGGAGCGAGTTGCAGGGCGTGGTCGTAGAGCTCGTTGGTGCTATTGGGGCCAACAGCGTCGTCGGCGAAGAAAAGGTAAAGCTGAAGGGCCATTTCGGGGACGGTCATCTGAGAGACGAGGGATTCGATGAAGGCTGTTTTGTTCGAGTGAGAGACAAGGGCAGCATCTCCTTCTGAAGCCTGAAAGCAGAATATAGGAGACAAGAACAGGAGCCATGGTGTCAGACCAAGGCGTAGGAAATTCATCTTTGCAGGAGTCTCCACAGACGAGATGGCAAAGAAGAGATGAGAGACGTCAGTCAACTTACAACCTTGCCATTGAGTAGTGAGACTGATAGTCACGATAGGTTCCTTCGCGAGAGTGTAACCGTAGAGTCGCAGTCGCAACGCTGCTTGACACTATGGAGCGGGGAGCGGTGGAGCTTGAAGTAGATAAACCAGCGATCCAATTTAGCCGGAGGATGATCTGGATGATGTCGTTGCGGTGTTGTTCCTGCGTGAAGGAGGAGCTTTGTCGGGCAAGTCGTAGCCGAGGCGTTTTGGTACGCCGTATCCCATGTTTACGGCGGACTATATCGATAAGTACTGTCAACTTCACCTCGCCAGAACGATCGACATGACCTCGCTTCCGTTCTTCCTGAATCAAATTTGGATCAATCAGCCCATTTATATGCGACTCAGAGATAAATTTCGTCATGGCGGACGCAGCAACGTTGAAGATTGATGGAAGAACCTACTACACTCCTTGAGCATCCCCCCACAGCGACCTCGCCCAAACGATGTGTGCTCTTAGTCCATGCCTTGATGTCGAATCTCAATATGTGGGGTTCCACCGTCAAGGCCCTTCATGAAGCAGGCTACAGTACTCTTCGTTTCGACCACATAGGTCATGCGAATCTCCACCACCGCAACCCGAGCATGGACCACTTCACATGGATGACATCGCACGGCATATGAGAGATATTGTCGCCGCAAGAGGCTGTCAAGACTCTCTATACGCCATCATCGGCTGTAGCATCGGCGGCGTGCTGGCTCTGCGGTATCCAATGTTGTATCCGAATGGAGTCAGCAGAGTTATCTCTATATGTGCCCCAGGGGCCAAGGCACCTGAGAAAGCCCACGCATTGTGGTCTCAGCGCATCATAGGATAGATGCCCTGCACCTTCCTTGTTCGTACTAGCTTTTCCATTTTGTCTAAGCGACTAGCAGGTGGTTTTGCTAGCGCGAGCTGTACCTTCCACATGCGGAGTAGCGCGGGTGACTTTCAGCTCCCTTATTGGTGAGTTCTGGCTTGGACATTCACTTGCAATGCACTTTAGTGAGTATGTTTATATGGAAGGAGGTCTGGAACATCGGGTATTGAGCTTCGAGTATGTGTCAATCGTGAATTTCAAGCGGCTACTAGCGACCGCGTGGGAGAAGTTTCTACTGCTAACAAGGCCATCGGCCTCGTGGTTCTTCTAGCCATTGCGATTTTCTCCATACACTTGCAATGCTTTTGACTTAAGCTATCCGCCGGTATCGTTCATAGTGCTGTCTCATGCCTTTCCTTATTTGAGTGTAGTCTCATGCTTCTTTGACTCGATGTCCGACTTGTCCTGCACAGTGTCAATGTCAAGTTCTGACAATTGTGGATGGTGACTTACCTTCGAGGCACAGTCATCGGCCACGTCAGCAACATCGCTACCGACCGCGACGCCGTCACTCGCCGCCGCCTGGTCTGGGTCGGTCTTGTTCCACCTCATGTAAACATCTCGGGGCAGCATGTCCTTCGCCTCCGTCTTGCAGATCTCCAGCCGACCACTTCCTTCATTGTACTTGATCGTAGCACGTCCAAGTGGTGCCACAACATCAACAATCTTCCTCATCAGGGTTGCAAGCAAGCCCAGCGATTTCTGGTTCTTGGTCTCCCAGCTCTTGATCACAGCGGTGGTGTCCTCCACCGTTGGAACCTGGAAAACGCCCTTGACATGATAAGCTCGAACGAGCTTAGGGGTCTAAGAGATCCGCAGCTGGGTGGCCACTTCATCCATCGGTAACGGCTTGTGGGCGACTCGGGTCTTGATCTCGAGAGTGGAAGCCAGGGACACTTCTTTGCCCGCTTTCTTGATTGTCAATTTGGAACTGAGAATTGACACTGGTGATGGCTTGTCACCGCGCGTGTCGAGCGATAGATCGTCCAGCATGCTTGCGATGTCGTCGTCATTGTCGTCGCCGCTAGCAGCTCGCACGTATCCGTCAGTCTCATGTCGAATGACCACGTTCAGATCATTGAAGCGATAGTTGATGATCCTGTGATGGCCGGTGCTTCCAGCAACCTCATCCTTGGTAAACGCCTTCTCAAACTCGTGACCAAAGCCTCTGAAATCGTTTGGTCCGAGAAACTCCTTCACAAGCGTCTCGTAACGGTTGAGGATAACAGTCTGACCTGCTACCTCGACCTTGATCGTGAAAGGCTCAAGGCCGCTCTTCGCCGTGCTGGGGTCGATGAAGGATAGCAGCTTTCGGATGTTGTTGCGGTCGCTCACGATGTCAACGGAGCGCATGTCGAAGCCAGGCTTCTCCATGTCCACAGCGCGGAAGAGTGGCTCGAGGGGATAGTCTGGATGGCGGGCGGCATTTTGAGCAATGTAGATGAGGCCACTGTTTTTGCAGACTTGCTTGGGTTGTTTGATGTTGGACCATGCAGCAGGGCTGCCGGGCACAGCGATAGTGGGTGACGGAGCTCGAATCCAGTTGTAGGAGGCCAAATGCTTAACGTCGGTGATGCGCGCATCTTTCGGCAGGTCCAGCGAAGCCAGGCTGGCGCGAGTGATGCCGTGCATCTTTGGTGTAGCCATGTTAGGGTTCGGTAGAACCTCTATCAAGCGGTGCAGACTTTGTAACGGCGATTTGGCGGATGGAGAGGTTCCTGCGCAGGTCAGAAGCGTGGTCGTTTGTAGCAAACGCCCCTAGTGGGGGTTGTAGAAGCTGCGACCAGGGATAAGCCGTCTTGGCAATCACATGAAAGGATGAGAATGAAAAGACGCTATGAGCTAAACAGCCGTACGGATATTTGGCCATTGTTGTCGCCACAACCAGTCAGCACGCCCTTTCAATTTGTCCTCTGTACTTATTCGAGGTAACGGGATCTGCTACTGTGTCTGATATCTGGCACAATGTCTTCGCGACGCGGAAGTGTAGCTTGAACAGTGGGAAGTGTCTATTTCCATGAAATCGTATGTACGCAACACTTGCGTGGGTATCTGTTATGTGAAGTCAATGCTTCAATGCCGCATCATGTTGGCAAAGAATCTTAGCCACACCCTGACCCGACTCTGACTTTCAACTCTTATTGTGAAGCTGATATTAAGGCGATCGTTCGCCATCCTGCTGGCTTGTGCCTTCGCTCCGACAGACTTCTCGGTCTGCAAGTATCCTGTTCGCCCTTTCCTCCCGAAGGCTTTCATAATCGCCTGTCGTGGCCAACGTAGCCTCTCTTTGCCGCACAAAGAAGTCTATCTTATCCTGTCTCGACGATAACGTCGACGCTTCCTGCCTCACCCTCCTCAGCTCTTTTGCAGCTCTATCATGTACAATGTCCCGCTGCTCCACGATATAATGTCCAGCATCTTTCGCGCGATTGACATTCAACGAGCTGCCCATTATCGCCAATGCCACGATCAACGCCAGGAAGTATGAGTTGGCCATATATACGGGTGCTCGCTTTTCAGGGTAGGTCCCTTCTCGTCGTTGGTAAAATCGTTCCCAATCTTCCCAGGTCGCATTGTTCCATATTGGGTCGTTTGGATTTCCGTAGCTATGACTGAATGGACCTGCAGGGTGTGATGATGAAGATCGTTCTCCAGTCTCTGCTCTTCCATCCCAGCCTGCACCGAAGCGATCATACGCACTGCGCTTGGCTGGGTCGGACAGGATCGTATGAGCCGAGACAATGAGACGGTATCTCTCCATCTTGACTTTGTCTGAGATACCATGGCTAGCACACCCATTCAAGTCTGGATGATACATTTTGACAAGCTGGTAGTACCTCGCCTTACTATAAACACCATTTTGCTTCAGGTCAAAGATCTGATACGGAGTCGGACTGGCTCGTCCTTTGGGTGTTTCCGGCCAGACATGTCCATTCTCTTGACGTTCAGGCTGTTCGTGACTGTGCCTCTCATCTCCCGCAATGGTAGCGTATCCTTTTGCCTTCTTCGCTGCACCTCGAGATGGTCGTGTGCCTCTTTGCCATGATGACGTCGTCGATTGTGAGGCTGTAGGAATCGATTGAAGGGTGTTGCAAGCGGCGAGGAGGACGGACGGTTTCTTGGCGATCATTTCGCAGCTGACGGCGTCCTGAGGCACATCGTACCTGTGCCAGATCAAGATATAGCAGAGACAGAGATGGTATGAGAAGCAATTGAGCACATATCCATCGGTTCCGACGTCGCTCAAAGTGATCACGTGGAGAGCTTTGAAGCGGGGATGGGTCCGCCGAAGTTTGATTGAGAGCCTCCTGTGACAACAACAATCGGCAACTCTGCCACACGTATAATATGTATATTCAAAACATCTTATCAAGATCTGCTCCTGACATATCAGTCCTGTACCCTGGGTGCTCCTGGATCTAACACGATATCGCCAATAGTGATGAGTACAAAGAACAGAGCCCAAGCGAGAAACTCCGTCGCCAAAACCAGAGCGAGCAGCAAGGACAGCAGAAAGACAAAGTCAAAGACCCCAAACTCGTTCTGCGAGTCACCGCCCCATCTCTTAAGATCCATCAGCACAATGACTGGTAAGAAGAAGCCGAGAATCATAGCAATTTGAGAGACAACCATGCACCCACAAATCCAAGCTATTGGTCCTCGTCCCCATGGTCTGTCTGGCTGGTCGGCATTGCCATGATCATCAACAGCAGGCTGCGCTGTCTCTTCAGTGGCTTCGCCTTCTCTTTCATCAAGAGGTGTGATGCTTTGGTTCTCTTCTGCGCTCCGTGCGGCATCCGCTGCTTGCTTGTTTGCTCGAAACGGGGAATTCGACCCGGCGAAGATCGCCTGCCACAATGCCATCAAAACCACGAAACCCCCCTCGAGAAGAAAGAGCCAGCCAAGTAGGGAAAGCACTGGACCGAAGAAGCCACTGACGCTCGGGTGTTTGATGAATTCGACGGTTCGGCTGCCAAAGTCGCTCAGCCTAATCGCTGCCGAGCCAAGTCCATACATTATTGCGAATGGAATCCATGTTTTCAGCCCTCGAGGGCTGGCTCTGATCAAGTCCAAGTATGCTTGGGAATTACGGTACACGATCTGGAGCCATCTTGGGTCGCCTCGGCTGATTGAACGTCGCTCGACAGCGCAGGCGGTTCCAGAGTAGTCCTGATTCATGGTGATGGTTTTCAGACGAGGAAGCTCGAACTCGTTCGTCGTATGTCTATGACAGCGCACTCTGAGCGGAACGGCTACAGAAGTTGAAATGCATGATCGATGCCGCCCTGTGGCATGGCTCAGCTGATCGATTCGAAAGCGAACCAATGTGCAGCTCATGTTCGTGGGCGGTAGAAGCTGAAGTACCTCGTATTTGCACGCACTAGAATAGCCGACAAGCCGACTACCGCAACAACATCTGAGACTCAACGACAATCATGTGATATCGGCCACACAGGCACCTTTCTGATCATCTGCTAAATTGGTCGCAATGCTCAGGTCACGGTACCAGGTACCTATGCTAGAAGCTCAGAGCACCCCAGAATTCTCTGAGATTTTTAATTGATCAGATAAAGCGTGTTTCTCGGAGAGCCTAAAAGAGTCAAAAGAGTTGTATTACATAATCGGCTACTGGCGCTACTGAAATCGCGTCAACACTACCACATGCACTTCACGCGTCGAACAAGCAGAGAGTCATCAACAAATGTCTGCACGATAACGCATGGGTTGAACGACGGACTTCTTGCCTTCTCAGCACAAAGTGCCCTCGGCACGCAAGATGCCGTACGACTGGGAAAGCGGGCTGGTATTCGACGAGACGGTCCAACACAAGCACAAAACACAATGCATGGCCGAGCTCCTGGCCCGCTCAAGCCACCTCAACTCCTCCTCTACCAGCACCAAGAAAGGCACGAATACCTTGTATGATACGGCGTTGCGTTTGTTACTAGCCAAAGTGGACTGTCTGGAGATGGACGCTCTGAAGCACATTCCCGGTACATTGCTTGGCCGCATCTGGAATGCCGCAGTCCGCTCGTAAGTATTGACGGGCCATTTTCCGAGTTTCGAATACTAAGACCGTGCAGCTCTTCGAGTAGCTTCATCTTATGGAAACACCTAGCCAGGTCTGGTCACTTCAGCAACAGGCATTCGAAGACCGTGACAGCAGGCTGTTCAAATTGCAATCCATTGGACCTTGGAGCTATTATGCCACTCATCAGCAGCCCGTCGCTGAGCTGGGTCACTCACCTGAGCTTGGAGACAATACAACTTTCCACGTCGGAATTGACGAAACTAGCGGACTTGACGAGTTTGCGGACTCTGTACCTTCGAGTTGGACCGCATCAGGAGCCTTTCCCTGTTGACAATATCATTCGTGCCTGGGCTGCGTCAGCCAAGGGGTGCAAAGCCTTTGGTGTCTTGCAAATGATGTTTCTGGATGTTTCGAGGCCTCTCTCGACGTGGACCTTTCACTACCTGAATGCCTTCCCTGCCTTGGACACGTTCGCGCTTCGAACGACATCTGATCAAGGTCCCCTGGAGTTGCAAGCAGATGCTTACGGATGGCATGGAAGAGAGAAGTACGTGCATCCTCCCTCCTTCCGATCTGAGTGTTGATTATCAGCAGGTCAAAATTCCTTCGTCATGCGCGCAAGTGGCTACGAGCTCGCAGCGATGATGAGCGCAGCCGTTGTTACTGGAGTGACTGTGTGCTGTCATTCGTGAAGAAACAAGAAGATCTCAACGTTGCAGGAGATCTTCCACGCTTGCAGGTACGTTGCGGCGCCCCACACGGCGGAATATTCAGCTGCGACGAGCTTCTCTGCTTCAAGAGGGACTGGGAATGGGTAGGACCTGCACCTCCGTCGAAAGCCGAAGTCGACAAGGGCCGTGATGGTGTCGAGCAGCCGACGAAGAGGCGTAAGCTCAAGGCCAGCAAACGGCGCAACCTCGACGACCTTCTTGCTGGGTTCTGAAAGTCAGCCCTACCACTGGACTTGAAATCAATAAGCCATACCTTCGCCATGGCGTCTTTCACATGCAAGGTGGATCTCTGCTGGTGTGCCATCTATCACAACCTCACCAGCAGCAGCTCAACACAACATATGCAATGCATCCAACGGAGTAAAGCATGTTGTCCTCATGACGACAACCATTGTCGCACAAAGGCATAGCGATTTCGAAGATCGATACCTGAAACTCGAGCGCCTCCCATGCAGTCCTGCCGTGGTACCGACGCACAACAGGATCGAACTATCGATTCTTTAATCAACAGGCATCATCAATTGTCCGTAGCGCGCGATGTGCACGAAGTGCTCGAGGATTGTCGCAAGGTTGGGCCATCGATCTTGCCGCCACGCGCAAGTGCGTCCGATAAGACACTTTAGCGTCGAAAGTCTCTCGAATGCCAACCTTGCTTTCGGAGTCCTCGCCATCTCTTCCGAAGCATGCATGAACGATTCATGATTTGAGGAAATCAATGAACTTTCACCATGCAGGAACGGTGAACAAGTATGGGCGTCATCGACTAATTCGGATCCGCGACAAAGTTTCCAGGTCCTGGAGATAGAGGAAGCTTTCGGACGAACGCAGGTTGACCTGGAACAAGTTTGCGAACTCGAGGTTGAACAGTCCAGATCCTGGGGCTGAAGGGGAACACGACGTGGGGTCGCATTCTAACCATTGTGTTCCTTCAATAGGCTGTCGATCTTCAGAAAGTTTGGGATCACAGCTTGGGTTTGGAATCAACAAGAACACGAGTTGACTGAAGGATGAAGAAGTCTGTCTATTCGTGGTGACTAACTTTCTCCCTGCTACAGTACAACGGCCATTCAGCACTTGAATTCGGGCGTCTAACCATGGCAATTGCATGCTCCTGTATCCTTCCGTGCCCTAACAGATGGTATCTTTTACGAAGTTCGTCCGCAAACAAGGTGCGCCAAACCCCATCCGATCTCTTCCTTGCCAATCGCATTCATGCCTCTTTTGATCTCGCTATCCGAACTCATTTCTGCAACAAAGGAAATCTCGCTCATATCAGGTATCCAAATTGCTTCCACATCTTGCTTCGATGTAGGTAAGCTGTATCAGGTGGGTCGGTTTGGTAATCGATGGCGGGTGATTCAGCATTTACATGCAGGCGGCACCGTCAATGCCAATGACCTTGCCGTTGACCCACTCGCCGTCCTGGGAGGCGAGGAAGCAAACAACGCGGGCAATGTCGATTGGCTGACCGACACGCTGCATTGGGGACCAGGTCTTCGCGTACTGTTGGAGGTAAGTCAGCAGATTGTTCACGTCGTCCAGAGAGATCTTGTTCTTACCTCGTCGACCTGATCGTCGGAGAGCTTCTCACCACCTGGGATGTACTCACGGCAGACGGCGTGGTACATGTCGGTCTTGATGCCACCTGGGGCAACACAGTTGACGGTGATCTTCTTGTCACCGCAGTCGATGGCCATGCAGCGGACGAAGGTCTCAATGGCACCCTTGGAGCCAGAGTAGACGGTGTGCTTGGGGACACCCTTGGCCTGACCGGTGATGGAGCCCATCAGGATGATGCGGCCACCAACGGAAAGGTGCTTGTAGGCCTCGCGGGCGACGAAGAACTGGCCACGGGTGTTGATGCGGAAGACACGGTCGAATTCCTCCTCGGTGACATCCTTCAAGTGGCCGAAGGAGACGACACCAGAGTTGGAGCAGACAATGTCGAGCTGGCCGTAGTGCTCAACGGCCTGGTCCATTAGACGCTTGGTCTGGGCGACGTCACCGACGTCGGCCTTGAGGGCGATGGCATCGCCACCGTTCTTCTTGATGGCGTCGACGACCTTGTTGGCAGCGTCGGCGGAGTTGGCGTAGTTGACAACGACCTTGGCACCGCGGCGGGCGAGCTCGGTGGCCATGGAAGCACCGATACCACGGCCGGAGCCAGTGACGAGGGCGACCTTGCCATCAAGGCGGGAGGTCTCGACAGCCTGAGCAGACATGATTGTTGGAGTAGATGGGTTGAGGAAGTGAGCTTTGAGCGAGTTGTACTTGGCGATAGCACCGAGGGGATCGACAGAGAGTCTGTTTTGTTCTTTGTTGGACATCTTTGCTCATGCCAGGAGGGAGGGAGTATCTATATATCTATGCACTCCTCGCCCACCGCCATTGGGATTCGGGGGGCAGCTCGACCCAGGAGCTTGCTGCCGTCGCCGTCCGTCAGCGAGAGCTCGACGGAGACTCGCACACACGACACATCTCCCCTCCCGGCTCCACAATTCGCGCCCGTCTCGGCCCTTGGGACCAGGAGTCGTCGCTGCTGTTCGCCCAACTCAAACCGACAGACAGCTCTGCCCCTGTGCACGCAGCTCACGCTTCGGCAGCTGGCGTAAAGGCGAAGGCGCGAGCAGCAAATCGACACGTCGAGGTGTTGCTGTCGGCGCGCCGGCCGGTTTCTACTTTTACACTTTCCCACTCCCCTGCATGCAGGAACAGGTCGACTAGTGCGGATTGGCGGCCCCTGTTTCGGCCTAGTCGCATCTCGCGCGTTCGCTGCTTTGCGCAATATCGATCTGGACGGACATCCCCCGCAATGTCCGAGCGTACTTATATTCACGGACTTGAGAGGAGTGTGTCGTGGGAGTCGTTGCCATCATGACTGTCAGAACATAGCGATGAGAGCGTGGTCGACAGCTGTCACTGCAATGGATGGTGATCACCAACAAAGCGGTGAAAATCTGATTGACACAGAGCAGCCAAAACAGAGTTGCTGGAGGAACGGTGTAGACGCGCCCCCCACTCCCTGAAAGTTAAACTCCCACATGGCTTCAGACTTCTTCTCTTCCAGACTGTCAACAATTTCAGGGCGGTGAGCGCTCAATTTCTCCCTATGCCACACCGTTCGCCAGATTTTTCGGTTCAAGAGTCTCATCTTCGGCACCGAGTTGATGGACGCCTTGGAGAACTTGCTGTTAAAATACCTCAAAAAGGCCCCGAGAGCGTCTCACCGCATCATGTTCGCGGCTCCGACTGTGGTACTTCTCTCAGGAGGCTGTGTAGATCTTTCAGGAGGGCGACACGCCAGCTTGACAGGCTAATAACAAGGGAGGAACAACACATGCCAAAACAAGAAGACATTCATCCATCGAGGAGCGGTGAGTTCTTTTTGCGACCGTCTCCTGTTACGCGTGGGCCCAGGCATCAACAGGCAGATTGCAAGAGGCGTCTATCGATATATGTATTTTCGGCTTTCCCCCTCGCCCGTCCATCACCATTACCCCAGACCCCTCACATTGCACGCCGTTTGCAAGAAAGTTCGGAAGGGTCTGACCGCCGCTCCAGAAGCTTTCTGCCACGATCGTCTTGTCTCGGCTTTCTCGAGGTCGCACAGTTCGGCATATTCGACTGTTGAAGAAAAGATATCATGGCAGTCCGTGACATGAGAACGGCACAGCACGATGGTCTGCGCAAGTTTGCATCGTGGCCAGCGCGAAGGAATGTCCGACGCTGCTTGTGATGGCTCGTATATTCTGTGCCGTGGTTGCAGTAGCCGGCAGCAAGGTCGGTGATTGTGAAGAACATGCTTCGGAGACCGGTCCCAGAGAACTGTCTTCTTCAGGGGTCTTCGGCGACGAAGATCTCATGAAGAAGCCTTTCAAGTGTCGTTTGAGAAGGTGAAGAACAATGGAATCACCTTCTTCCGCATGCTTGTTAGAACTGTAAGTCGTTTGACGGAGAATTGCTTGAAACCTCTGCTCCAAGATCCCAACTCCGTTCCTGCATGACAGCGGTGGAGCCGCATTTGTACGACACCGAGCAAGACGAGCAACACCAACCGGACATTTGCATTCTTGTGATTCGAGTATCCGGACATTGGTTGAACAACACGAACCAAGTCCCCAACCCCAGCAATACATCACGCTTCTTTCGCACACATTTCCAGTCTCAGTCTGTAACTGGGGCAAGTGGTAGCGATGGAGGAGAGCCGTAGTCCACCCCCATCTTCCAAACAAGCACCTCGACAGTGGTTCATCACACGACCAGACGGCCTTGTGATCCATCACGCCGGACTACTGAGGAGGCTCAGGTGTTTGCCTATCCTCGATCCGGTCTTGCTAACGTAGTACCCGAGACGCAGGAGTTCAGTAGTAGGCTGTAGCACACATGCGATGATGGCAAGCACAAGGATTCTCCGGATATTTGTGGTTGCTAGCAGAGGAGCCGGTGGTTGTTCTTGCCCAGGCTAGGACAAAAGCCAAAAAGGTTGTGTCCACTTTCTTCTCCACGACAGCCGTGGCGTCCGTTGTACAGCGAGTCGAATGCCTTATCCTTGCTTGTTTTCATAATCCTCATCGAACCTTTCAGAAAGTCTGCAACCCGCAACAACAACAATCAGCAGCACACCACTCTCAGCAGTCACAAGACAGGACAGATTGCCTACCTGATGTCCGTGTCCGTCCCCATCTTAACTCATGCACGAACACACGAACCGTCCCCGGACTACGGACATCGGACAAAGCACAGACATTATTCCTCCCTCCCCTTCGACCCTTCTACCCCATTTCTTGCCTAATAAGGACACATCATGCCTTGGAAACGAACAAAGAGAACAGTGCGCTCTTGCCGTAGTGCCAGAGCCAGAGTCGGCGTTGGTGCTCGCTGGTATTGAGAAGACTTCGGCCTCCCGCTCGTCGTCGGTTTGCGATTTTCTTCCTTCCTCTCAACTGAACGATGTCTTCTTGCACGGGACTCACTTACTCTGGAGTTTGGACCTCCTCAACCTGGACCTTGGGAATTACGGAATCCCGTCGACTTTCCCTTGTTCGTCGTCTTGCCTGATCATCACATGACAAAGGATATCTTTTGGTTCCGTCGACACATCTTTTCCTCTCGGGTTCTCGATTGATAGAGTTGGGGAGGACGACGATTGAGATTGGGATGCTTGTTCGAACCGAAGAGTCACTTCTCCTTTTCATGGTCTTGTTCATTCAGCATACAACACGGGACATTCCTCCTCTTCGTCAATTCGCTCCTTCCTCACCCTACTGGCTCCAAAGGAAATCAACAACTTGAAACGAATGATCACGAAAGAACGACTCACCTAGGACCCAGGACATACTCTTTCGAAACACACATCATCCATTCGAATATATCTAACATTCATAGCAAAACAACACTAACATCAACAGCAACGACCTTCAACCAACCAATCGATAGCGAACCCCCTTCGAGCGAGCGATCGAAAAACACATTATATATTCTCCCCAACCGACACCAATCGACATCGAACAACAGCAGAAAGAAAAGAACCCAATCATCATAACTTCCAACAATCGTCATCGATGATATCGTCCTACTATCCTGTCTGTCTATCTTCGAGCCCTGTCGTCGGCTGTAATGGACCCCACAAGGAAGGAAGGATCCAGCAGGAAGCAACGCCACCACCACCCCGCCTGAAAATTCAAAAAATCCAGAACGTCTGCCTCTCCCATATACCGTGGTAACAATCGAAGCAGAAAACAAATATCATCAACAAACATCGACAAGAGTTGAACAGCACAAAGCAAAAGCAAGCAAGAAAGACAAAAAGACAGAATACATTATATGGGTTCTTCTGTTTTGGTGGTTCGGTTCGGTTCGTCTTTTCGTGGGTCTCGTTATGGAGTGGAGCATCATCGGTGGTGATGCTTACTCTGTTGGCGCAGCAAGATGGAAGATGGATGGTGTTTCCGTCGACGCCGAGGATGATGATGAGTAGATGGCACGAGGGACGATGATGGTCGCTCACCCTCTGGACAAGCGCTCGAGTTTCGAACGGATGCCATCGGAGAAGCGAGTCGAGGCGCCCTCATCGATGACCTCGATGCAGTGATGCAGGACGGGATACGCCCGGTCGAGTGTCATCTGCGAGCCATCGCGCTTCGTGACACAGGGAACACCCTCACGCTTGGTCAGATACCGTACGATGAGAGGGTGATCGGCCGCCAGAGCGTCGATTGCGAATGAAGGGCCTGGTACCGGGAACATGCCATTGTTCGACGGCGACACGGTCTCCTTATGCGTCAAGCTATCGGTCCACAGGATGAGTGCGACGCGATAGATGGCACCCGCCCACCACGGAGGTCGAATGGCTCTCGGCATGGCGCGGATGAGGCGGAAGACCTGGCCGCAGTGGAAGACGGCTTCCTCGACGTCGGTGATGCAGCGCTTGTGCATCCACACCAGCTGCTGGTAGGTGCCGTCGAAGCCTTCCCTGCGAGCGAGACGCTCGATTTCAGGGAAGTTGGTGACGGCGTTGAGGCTGATGAGGTGGAAGATGACGAGGTTGGTTTGCATCATCGGGCACATGGGGTTGGCTTTGAGGTACCGCTCGGCGAGGTCGAACCATCGCTGGAGTAAGGATTGGACTTCTTGGAGACGACTCCGTGTGGATGAGGCGCTGACTGCTCGAGGAGCGTTCTTGCTGCCTGCCTCGGAGAAGCAGCTCAGCAGCTGGCTGTACTGGCAGACGAGAGATTGCAGAGGATGCAAGAGCAATCGCAGCTGCAGCGGCGTCATCTCAATCCCGAGAGGGATCATCTCGTCGTCCAAGAAATGGCGGAAGAGGTCTCGCAACGACAATGGCCTGGCTCCCGATCCGACGGACGAGTAGCCCCCTGAGAACTCATGCACCTGCTCGAATATGGACGACCATTCAGCAGCGCTCTTGGCGTGCCAAAGCCGATCGGCATCAGGCATTGGAGCTCCAAATTCCGTGACGCTAAAGAGAGGTGCCGTGTCGTGGAAGAGTGCGAGGTCCTGATCGACCATCACCCAAGAGTAGATGAGTCTGCTTCGAGATTCGTTCTGGATCCACTCACTCCACAGATGATCGGTGTTGGCTTGGTGGTTGACCGTGTTGGACTGCGTCGTGAGCTTCTCCAGGATTCCCGAATGCCTGAGCATGGCGAAGTACATCCCTCGCTGACCCATGGCAATGTCCATCTGCCACTTGTCGCCGCTCCACGCTGCTTGCACCGTAAAGAGGAGTGCCGCATGAAGGACGATGGGGTCGCCGGACATGATGATGTTCCTCTCAATGAGGTCGAAGAGTGAGATGCGGCAGGCTTCCGTCAAGCCACCAGTCAACATTCGGGCTTCTGTCGAAGGGATGTTCATGGCGCCTTGAGCGATCATCATGAGCACCAATAAGCTTGATGCTCGGTCGTTGTAGCAATGCATCAGCTCGTTGGCGTCCAGGATTCCGCGCGAGGTCAAGGGGTAGTACCTCTCGAAGCAATTCGCATACGACCTCAGGAAGAACTCAAGCACCCGCGCCGGTGGCAGCAGGACGAAGTTGGAGCCGTACGAATTAGGGGTGTGGTGTCCCGAGCCAGCCGTATGGTGAGTATGATGCCCCTCCCTATGGATCTCCAGTGCCTTGTGAAGGAAGCTTTGAGTGATCGCCAGCAGCTTATCCCTCGTGCTCTCATGCAACTGCATGACAGTCAAGTGATCGCCGCCAGCCAGGTCGTCTTCATGCCACTGTGGGCTCCAGGTACTCCACCCTTCATGGTTTCGAAGCGTCTCCTCGAGTCGTTCCAGATTCAACTTGGCCGTCTTGGGACACGCCGTCGAAGGCATGATGGGCGTGCATCGAAACACCGACCAGGCATCCTGAGATGCAATGATGGCTGGCATCTCGTCATTCTGGTCCGTAGGCGGTGTATGCACAGACGCCATAGAGTGCATCGACGCATGTCGATTAGGATGGAAAGCAGCCGCCGAGCTCCCCAGTTCGAGGTCAGAGAAGGCACGCTCCATCTTGGGGGTCTCCAAGGGAGTGATGAGCGGCGCCATGCCATTAGCGACATCCGGCATTATCGTAAGCATCCCGTCGTTATGTGGAGCGAGTGGTAGGTTCGGGTCGAAACGCATATCGGTCGTGTTCATCAACATGTGCGGCTGCACCATTCCGTCGTAGCCGATTGGCATCTGCATCTGGCTCCAGTCGAGCATGAAGTCGGGGCTGGAGCCCGCGTCAGAGCTGTCTTTGCTCATATTACTGAATTCATTGTAGCCGGAAAGAGGGGTGTTGTTGACGAAGCCGTTGGGCATGGGAGGGGAGAAGTTATGGGGTGGTGTTGGACCGCTGGTGGGTTGCTGGTCGACGAATTGGGAGGGTGGGCCGTCAACGACAGGTGGAGCTGCTGCCGTCTTCTCTTCTTGGATCGTGGTCATGTTCTTGGGGCTCGCTGGCTTGATGACTGGCGGCTGTTGCTGAGGACTGGTATTTGGGTGTTGCGGCTGCTGAACATTGCCATGCTCAACGATACCTCCCGGCTGCTGCATCCCAGGAGGCATGGCAACTGCACCCTCTGGAGGTATCCCCACCCTACTGGCATTCTTCGACGCTCGCCTTGTCGGCCGCAGCGTACACCTCAGATTCCTCCCCGCGCATCGTGAGCAAGGGAACTTCTTATCACACTTTGTCTTCGTCTTTGCACAGTTGCTGCAGGCGATTGGCGTTCGTCCTGCGGATTTGGGGATCATGCCATTCGCGGCGGGGATCTCTTGCTGGTTCTGGTCTCGGCCGTGGACGGTGTAGTGACGCTGGAGGAGGTCCCTATCGATGGAGGGTTAGTATGGTAGTCGATTGCAACGATCGAATTCGTCGACAAACCTCCTGGCGAAGGACATATGGCAGGTGAAACATTTGAAGGGCTTGACATTGGTGTCTGCGATCGTTCGTTAGCAATCGACAACCATAACATCGACGAGGTCCCCAACGTACGGGTCAGGATATGTCGTTCGAGGTGTTCGTCCCGAGTGAAGGACTGGCCGCAGTAGGTGCAGAAGACCATGGTTGCGGTTTGGGAAGGTAGCAAGCAGCAGCGAGTGTGGTGTGGGCTCAACACAGTCGTCGGAGAAATGAAGAGCAATCAGAGGTGGGCAGGGCTACCGGGACTTGTTGTTGGAGGGGGACTGGCATCCAAATACACGACGCAGGATAAGCGGCAGTGGTAACGAGTGAGTGGATGGGAAACCAAGGCGGTGGGGGTGGGAGGTCCAACCCTCGAAAGCAAGCAGGCAGGGTGCAATGCAATGCGGTATGGCAGGGTTATGGGGCAGACGCTGGATGGAGCAGGCTGGAGCCTCGTCGGTGCGGTGTGGGAGTGGTAGCGAGCTGGCAAAGCAGGCAAGCAAGCAAGCAGGATAAAAGCCAGACGACAGGAAGAACCAAGGTGTGGGAAACGAAGAAGAATGATGGAAGAGTAAATGCAGGAAAGTCGGCGGGCGTGCGTGCGTGCTGCTGCGTATCGCGTGTAGTGGGAGAAGGGTTGCCGCCGATCGGCCTAGTCCATGACTTATACACGAAATGCACGTCTGACGGCAGCGCAGCGCAGCACAGCACAGGACCAGCAGAGGAGTAGTAATGCTGGGGGGGGAGCGAACGGGGCTTTTCTCGTCCATGATATCTTGATTATGCTGGGCCCCAGGAAAGCTAGTCAGTGAGTGGACGAGCAGGCGCAGTGGAGCACAGCACTCTCACCTGCTGCTGCTGCTGCTGGCGCTGGTGGTATCCAACTAACAGCAGCGACGCAGTCAGAGCTTTTCTGGCCAGTGGGCGATATGAAGCATGGGCATGGGCGTGGGCGGGTTCCCCCTGGCGGACCGAGTGAGCAGAGGCTGAGGCTGCTAACCACCACCCCTGCAGCCTCCCTCGTCCGCTTTTAGCAGACGCAGATTTGCGAGGGCGCGCTAATGCGCCCACCACGCTCCTCCCCCTGCTCCCGCTCGGCGCTGAGCTTGGCGCCCTAGCGCGAACTTTCAGCTCGCCCCCAGCATCGCCATCCATCCATTGACTCACCAATCCACGAGCCAGCGAAGACGTCCTGCCCGTTTCCGACATAACCCATTTCTCCATTATCGTCCGCGCCGTTGCTGCCGGAATGATGCTTCAACTCACTCACCCTTATCCGCATACGGAAGTCGCAAAGTCATCACTCGTCGAAACAGTCGGCGCGCTTGAGGAGAGTTTCACGAGCGTGCTCCCAAACGCGACCTCAGACTCTCGTCGCGGCAGCATTGATTGATTGATTGTCTGTGGAGGAAGGAAGACGGGTATCTAATCATGGAATGGTACATGGTCTTGGCCCCTCTGTGCTGCGCTTTCGCTCGTAACAATAGCATAGCTCCAAACAAATCAGGGTTCTCGGTGCCGCCGCTTGCTTCGTCTTCCTCGTGTGCTGTGCTGTGAGCTCATACACCACCCGAAGACGTGCCTGCTTGCGATCAGGCCTCATGAGATGGAATTATTCTTGCACACAACAACAACATCGCCATCGTTCCTTCCTTACCGTATGACCGCAACATCCTCCCGCCACAGCTCTGCTGCTAATAATTTATCTGACCTGGGCGCCGCGGCGTACCCTGTTGTTCCTTTTTGCAGTCCTTTCTCTGGGGTGTGTGAAACGTCTCGGTGCCGATCGCGTATAGCCATTTTCTCACTACCACCTCTCGTTTACTCGTCTTGGCCCCAAATACCGGTACTCTACCTCTGTTTGGCTGTGTAGCCCGCAATCGCATCCTGCTTGCAACACCCGCCACGATGTTGGTCGTACTCTCTCCAGGCACCTTGTGCCCTTCCATCCATCCCACCGCGTCAGCCATGACTTCTTCTCCAGCCTCATCTGCATGCCGCAATGGCAGGGAACCCCCCTCGTCCGCCAATCTAAACAGGTACATTGCACTGAATCATCAAAGTCATCTGAACAACGCCTTCAGCCAGCCAACAGCAAACAACATCCACTCACCCTGTTTTGCCCTGTGGCCGTTGTCTCGCTGCGATAAGAGAGATCAGGACGTTTTCTGCCTGAACGTCTCTCTCTCTTTTGCCGATCTGGCAACGCTTGCGGGAAATATTATTAGCCCTGGGCTGCGTCTGCATGCATGCCGGGGTCGACTGCAGTAGCGTCGAGGCATGGAAGCCACATTTTCGCTTTCTCGTCATCACCATTTGCTGCTCGTTGCGATTGGGCGGTGTTATTTTCCTTGCTGTCAATCCCCAAAAACATGGATCCTCTCGTTCCATGATACCAAGATTCCCTTCGTGTCTGCCGTGCAGCCGTTGCGGGACGGAACAATATCGCCCGACGACGAACGATGAGATCTGACAACATCGTGCGGCCATCACTGTTTGGCGGCCGTCAGCAGCAGCGAGCGTTGTGTTGGCGGTTTTGCAAATTCTCCTCCCGCGTCGCGAGTGTTCGAATCGGGCACAAATTTTACGAAACCGATGTGCCACTGGACAGCCCTGCAGATCAGCGTTTGGGCGGCGTCGCGGACAACAAAGCATGTTTAACAAATATTGACGCGCCCGCCGATCAGTACCTCGCTTCAATTTATTTCTTGATGATGCATCATACCTGCCTGTTCGTGATTGCAACCCCTCGTCCCAATGGGGCAGTTACAGCTATCAGTCCAGTGGCCTGATGAGGTGGTTCCTTTGGGCGATACAGTCAGGTCAGTACCAGTCGGCACTGAGACATGCAGCATTGGGGATGGGTTCGCCTCTGCGCGATGATGGAGGTTGGCCAGGCGCCAGGGCATTGTCAGCGACCGACCTCACCTCCTCTGACAGCAATCTCCTGGCCATCTGACGCCGAGCATCTCATCCGCTTCGAGGCTCTTGTGCTGGCAAGACGGTTATTCGGCCTCCATACGCGCTTATTGCTGAGCCTTGCTGAAAGTTGCTCCCGGCCATCAATGGCGTCAACACTCGTATGTGCGGCCAGCTCCAATCATACCATTGGCATTTCTCATCCTTCCGGCTTCGTAATCGGGGCAAGTACTGTGTACACATCTCTTCTCGCCGATAGGGTTGCGGGCCGCTGCAGTCGGAGAGAGGTCGAATGGACGGAGCTGTATAGCGAAAAGAAGGTGCTGAGTGTGATTCGAAATCCCGTCCGTCGAGGCGCGGCAAAGCAAGGGAAGCTCCCTCAATGCAATGTAAGAGCATGCAGGTCGAATATGTGGGGTCGTTGTGGTGTCCCGATCCAGCAATGCGCCTTTTCTCAGATGACGCAGTCGATCATCTTCGTCGATGTCACCATATGAGGTTCATGGACGTGAGCAATGCATCTGGACGTCTCTTCGACATCGTAGGCCCTTATAGTAGGCCTTTGATTCGGCACTCCATGTCAAATTACCGTCCCTGGGCTGTGAAACAGCACGGTAGAGCAGGACTTGTCCGGACAATTGCAGAGGAGCCGGATCGGTATCTTGCACGGCCACGTTTTGCACGGCCACAGCATTGGGAGGAAGGAAGGAAGGAGTTTTTTGCGGGTTTGATGAGAGCTATTGAAGCCACTTGCATATGCAAATGCAGAGGCAGAACCGCGCGCGGATTACATTGCTGCTGAAGCCGCACCGCCGGGCACACTAGCAGCACCCATTCTTCGTCTCTTCCGCGCGGATTCCCTCGCGCATACAAGAGCCGCACATTATCTTCAAGGCGTGATGGGATTTTCACGTGCGAGATATCAGACCTTCGGACGACGGCAGAAGGCTCTAGACCTCATCATCCAGCTTACATGTCATGCAGAGAGGGCCGTCTTGAGGAAGCACGACGATAAGGAACATGCGCTGGCACCATGGTGGTTTCCATCCTGGTGATGAGCATTCCATTCCTTCCGATCATCGAACCTTGCGTTGCCTCTATACGGTTCCGCCGCGCATCGATGGTAGCGTCGCCGCAGGGCGCAGAGGGTGTCGGATCCAAGTCTGTTTCTGATGGTACGCTGCGTATGGTAGCAATTGAGATGGTCCCGGGTGTTGGCTGTCCCGGCGGTGATGGGAATCCAAGGAACGGGATAAGCTTGCGAAATGCCACTGGTGAGAGAGGATGCGGTACGGGGGCGTATCGGCGGAATTGACTCCATCACGATGGCGCCCAGCAGGTTCTCGGTGGGTGAGGAATCAAGACGTTCTCGCCACAGACGGGCTGGTGTGCGGTATCTTGATTGATGGATGGGATGCGCTGCAAGCCATCGTCCCGCAGCCTCTCGCAGTGCAAGATAGGGGAGATCCTCGACGGGTTGGGAGGCAGCAGGCGAGCGCCAGCAAGATTCCAAGGCACACCGCACCGCTCCTCACTCATCCATCTGCAGCAGAGGGTGCCGCCCGTGCAAGCGATTCTGTAGGGCAGCGACGATCAATAGACTACGGAGAATTGAGCAGGATAAGCAACAGACGGCGCCCAACTCAGTCGCCTGCCAGTGACCCCCGCGGCCAGAGCACCCGAAAGTCAGCTCTGCCATGCGGCGACGAGGGACGTCATCTCGTACCCTCAGCTTCGCATTCGTCGTGGCCGTCGACGAGAATTGGCGGGGCTCCACGCGACGCACAGCTAGCTCGTATCGTGCCAATAGTGCCGGGTCTGTCTGCAGAGCAGCAGGCAGGCAGAGCGATGGGATGGGCGCGTTTGTCACTCGACGCCTTGGCTGCATCCCGAAGCGCTGCGACGATTCGTGTTGCCGGAAGCGTGCAATGGACGATTTGATGATGCCTCACGCTCGACGACGGACACGTCGAGTCTCACATCGGCTAGCACTCGCACACCAAGCCGCCGTCGTCTCTCCCCGCGCGCCAGCGGACGGGCCGACGGTGGAGCTCAACGAACTTCGCCAACCTCACCGACCGCAGTCCTGCTCGTATCATCAATAATCATCACCGCGACCCTCCGTCCGCTCGGCAGTCCCATACCAGTGGCTGCAAGGAGCCGCTGTCACCACCCTCGATGCTGGAGAGTCGCACACAGATTCGGTGCCCTGCGCGCTAGAAAACCACGGCAGCATCGAACTCGTCACACAGCGCCAGCGAGCCATCTCCGTGCCTCTCGGCCGTCGCAGCGCACCCTCGCCATTGCTACCGGTCGTATGTGTTATCTACCACGCGTCCACGTCGTACTCCCTCCTCCTCCTTCACGTGGACGGTGCCGCCGCCGTGGAGAGCGACGGGCGGCTTGCGTAGCCTCACACAGACCTGCCCATGTGTTTGCGTAGTGCATCCACCGCGCTGGGCGTCGTCGCTGTTGCCGTGATGCCGTGCTTCCTGCTGGCCGCCTGAGCTGAACCTGTGCTCGTTTGTGTTTCGAATCACCGCAACCATGCCCCTGTTGAGATAACAAGGACCCAGCCAAGCCTGCTGCTCCCATCCTATCTGCAGGGTCGCCTCTTCCCTGTGCTGGCATTGCTCCCCTTGGCGCAGGCAAAGCGAGGGCGTATCCTTCCTCTTTGGTCTGAAATGTCCGAGACTTACAGTGCTGAAGCGACCCCGTGGAGCAATACTTTCTAACCACAAACGAGAGCATGATCTTCGTCAGCAACGTCGAATAGGTAATCCGGTATGTGCCAATGTGCAAGGTATGCCCTTGCTAACACTCTACATCGTGCAGTCCGGTGTGGCAGCATTAATCAATTTTGATGAGCAACGTGCTGAAGGAGTGTGAGGAGCGCTCATGCTCGCTGTCGTCGATCATTCAGCTGCGAGGACTGCGCTCACTCAGCCTTGTTGTAGGGCTATGGAGTCGTTGGATGCCTCGAGCGAACACGAGCGCGCGCTTCGACGATAACCATCTCATCACGTCAATCCACTCCCGACGCTGCATCCTGCCCAGATGCCAGCCGTCATCTTCCAACCATGGGCAAGCCACGGACGATGCAAGCACCATTCACCGTTGATGCCTACACCAACAGCGATCACAGCTACGTCTCTGACTTGCATTACAGCCTGCCCTCAACGAAAAGCCCTCACTGATATCCCCCACATGCCCGCCAAGATCCGAAAGTCTGAATGAAGGCAGAGGTGCTTTCAAAGATGCAGTCGCACATCCACCGATGATGTGGCGGCCTCGCAGTGGCTGCCGCCGTACCCTTGGATTATCCCGTTCTGGGCACGACGGCCAAGTTCAGCGGCCTGGTGGCGTTTGTCCTGTTCTGACCCCCACCAAGATATGTCAGCAATTCTCCGATGTCAGTAGGATCGACACGCCTCTTCAGCCAGCCTCAGATAGAATGGGTCGGACTGTTATCAGATTTCGCTTGCGTGCGAGAAGCTCGTTTGGAGCTCTTCCAACGACGGTGTTGACGATTGGTTTGATCTGCATTGAAGGGTGAAGTTGGTGCAGATCTTTGGTGGAGGTGATGAGGGTGGCTGTCTTTACCATTCCAACTTGCGCATGGCGACAGCGCTCCGGACACCGGAGCCGCTTCGATCTTGGGGAGTGCCGTCTATTTCCCGACCTCACCTCTGTCTGCTCGTGCACTGTATGCGCGAGACTCTCTGGTAGCGAGGAGACGTGCAAGGTCTAACCGCTTCACTCAACACGGCATGTTGTTGTTCTTCTGCAATGCTTCAAAATGCTGGATGAAGCGGGCCACTTGCGCCTCAACTCTGTGAGTCTCTTTCCCACCAGCATATCGATTCACTTTTCTTTGCTGAAACACTCCCGCTTGACGACGGTCCGATTTCGAGCATTGCGCGAAAGTCTTCTGCGACATGTTCTGATTACTCTCGCATTGCATTGGAACATCGCATCGCCTTCTTTCGAGGCGGTGAAAAGACATGAAGATGCTGTTCGAATCGATCGATAACACTCACATCTCAACGATTGAACGAAGCAAGAGCATTATCTCAATCCAGACCAGTGCCGTCAGCGACTCACATTGCCAGTTCAATTGGCAGCCCTACGAAGTCTATGGAATGTTCGGTATTTCTCGCAAAAATGTACATGTACCTTCAGCTCGAGCGTCAAAAGAGCATCGAGACCTCTTCGACTTTACTTTGACTTTCTACCTACCTCAAATGCAAGACGGAAGCAGAGAAGAAAGTAATTTCGGCATGTGCATTGCCTTTTCCACATGCCTCGCATGCATAACAGAAAAGCCAGTCTTTCTGATATAGTTTGTCGATCGACCTGGTGAAACGCACGTCATCGTTAGGGTGGATCGATGCATGGACTGGATGGATAGGATTTTCTTGTCTGCATGAGTGAGTGCTTCACCGCTCTGTCGTGGCAGACGAAGGTACGGTAAGGTAAGCATTCTGATCGATTCAGCTCGCGGAGCATTCCTGATCAGAGAAGACGAAGTTGGGCAGCAACACCATCATCAAACAACACTCTTCCAAGACTAAGTATATTTGATTGAAAAGGGGCACAGCTATATCGCCCTCCTACTATATGAAAACCAATCTCTCTCACGCGGAAGCCATCCTCAACGGCCCTACAGTAGCACGACAGACAGACAGACAGCATGGCGCGACGGTGCATGATGCAGACTACTGCAGACCCTTCCTTCTGTCTCTTTGCACTCCCGTGCTGTCATCGCTCTGCCGGCTGCGTCTTCACTGATGACATTCCTGAACGACTGTACGAGGTTACGGAAGTCTCACGACTCAAGTCCGTATCTTGCTGTTTCGGCGAACGGACGAGATACTCGATTCGGACGGGATGGGGAGGATTAATTGGGCTTAAGTTGGGAGTTTGCTGATTCTACTTGATTAAGAGGATTGATGACGGCGGAGTAGAAAGGAAATGCCGCGAGATGATTTTTTCTCGTGATGATGATTCTTGGGAGGCGCGGATATGCAGATGCAAATGCAACATGCGAGGTGGAAGTCAAGTCGTTACATCCGTACCCATCCAAGGCTCAACCTCAACAATCCTTCCACTGCACGAGATCCTTCTCGGGACCGAAAACTTCCTTACCGTCAACGCCAACACCACCAACACCATCATCATCGACAAACTCAACACCATCCCCACATCACATCCCCATAACGACACACCCCACCGCAGTCCCCATACGACCTCCGCCACCCCAACACTCACAAACATCACACATAGACCTGAAGCCCAGTTTAGGTTATTACGCCGGCGCCTCCTTCCCGCGCTGACAGGATTCCCTTTCCCTAATTCCTCTCTGCTCTGACTACCAAATGCACCCATCTTATAGGCATGATCCCTGTTTGCAAAAAACGCAATCGTCAGCGGGAAGGATGCTTTTCTCCTTGCGTACCAAAGGAAGGGGGTGAATGGAAAGGAAGGTGCTTTGCTGGCGATTGATGACTTGCAGAAGGGCGGGTAGGGCACTTGATGGGGATGTGGTGAGGTGAGGTGGTTGAGTAGGATTTCTTGTGTGTTGTTGGCTGTTGTTGTGAAGATGCACAGACGGACGGACGGTCGGGCGAGAACGTGCGGTCAGGTCAGCATTGGCAGGGCGCTGTGGTCTTGTTGAAGCAGGTAAGACGGACGGGGGAGGAAATCAAATCAACTCGCACGGAGAAAGTAACGAGCCCGCTCCTGTTGTTGTTTCGATGGTTGGTCGGCATCGTTCATTCCGCGGAGGAGGGTTTTGCTTGTATTCCTCCTCAAACATGTACGTATGTATGTATGTGTTGTAAACGCTTCGAGGACTTACAATGCATATTCAAGGCTGGAGCTCAAAGGCTGCGAACGTCAGGATCAGGGTCAGGGGCAGGGGAGGCATGTCTTGGCTTCCACTTGCCCAGGAACAAGGACTTGTGGTCTTGGTAGTGGTGGTCAGACCGGAATGATTGCGACATACTGCCCTATGTCACTCGTCAGTCGGGGACTTAGATGCGCTCGAGGCAGTGAAGGATTGAACGAACGAAGGAGATAAGACCATTTTCCCGGATCGGTAGCGCTATGTTGTTGGAAACATAGCACGAGACTGCTCTTTGCTTCGGTTCGAGTCCGCTTTCCTTTAGAGTATATGTGTTGAAACGCATGAAGTCGTGCATTATACTTCCCTACCCCATGAAGCAAAAACTCAACCTTCACATCTCTCGGTTTCAACAGCCGAACGGAAACCTGGCAAAAAGGACCCATCGCCATCGCCATGACCTCAAACACTTTCTCACGATTGACTTTGCATCGTCATCCTGGTCTGTGCTGTCCCGAAGGAGTAATGTCCAACTTCATGGAGATGGGTAGGGCCTAGGATCTTGCGGAGAGATCTCAGACGGACGAGGTTGGGGATCGATGTTCTTTTGTTCGAAACTTTTTTCATTCGGAGCAGGACACTTTGTTGTTGGTGTTGTTGCTATTGCTGCTGCTGCTGTCGTCATCGGCGTGCATCTGGCGATACGAAGTGTATCTTTGGGTAGCCGTATTTGGACACGAGCACGGATTCGATGGGCTTAATGATCGGGAGGCTGAGCAGGCATATCGTATAGTCAGTCGGTTCAATGCGATCAGTTTCGAAGAGGCGCGCTTGCCGCGAGTTTCACGGCTTTCGTCCTCTTTCCAGCCATCGTCGTTTCCAACATTCTTCACCCCCTTCACCGAGTGAAGTGACGTGAAACCGTCAGTCCGGCACCTGGATCCGAAGACCTGCATCGAGAGACGAGGGATCCGCGGCGTTCATGCCTGTCGGCCTCAGGCAGGTAGGCACAAGCACATGGTGTCGACGTACTGTAGAAGCAGCAAGGAGATTTACCTTGCCATGGAGACCCAGTCGGGGAGTTTTTGTCTTTTGAACGTTCAGACGTGCCGAGCCGGTTGAAGCGGTGCGGTGCCAGGATTGCGGGTAGGACGGCGCAAGATGCCCAACACGTTGTTTGCTGCACTGGTGATGTGTCCTTTTGCTCTCGAGTGGAGATGTGTGTCGTGGCAGGTGCTCAAAGCGGTCGTGAAACGTCCAAGGTGCTCTGGATCAGGAGTGCGATGCCTGAGGTTTCAGGGGTGCTCGCCTGTTTCTGGCACCAGTATGAAACGTGACGTTCTCGACCAAGTGGTGGAGACCTATATCGGCGGTAGGTATTCATCGAAGAACCATGCAGATCTGAGAAATGGGTAACGGAGATAAAAAGGGCCACATAGGGCTCGACGTGACGGCGGAAGATGACCGCTATCTCCATGAAGAAAGAAGAGAGATACTTGGAAGAGACACCTACTTTTGCCGGTATCTGCTCCTCAACATCCGTGACTGCTTGATCTGTCGTGGCCCTCGCAATACTGGACTTAGACAATCTTCCGGGCTGCGACTCGGTTGGGATGTGAAAGTCTAGGCCCCAGAGCGTACCCTCTACATCGTGACGAAGGTGTGAGAGCAGCTTGTGTGAAGTCTACCATGGCATGTGCTAACCACGTCAATACTCGTGGCAACGACGATCGTCCACGGCAGAAAGATGCCGACAGAAGGAAATCTGGGGCCGAGTCTGGAGCCGAGTCGATATGATCTTGTCGCCAGAATCCTGACCTTGCCAGCTTTGAACTCAGTTTCCAACTTCACCTGCTTGTTGACCGGCATAAGGCGGTGGTCAACGGCAATTGCATTCCGATGGAGCCATGGAACGGTGGTCGACAGTGCCGTAGTCGAAGGCCAAGCAGTGTCATAATGGACCCCAGCCAGGCGCCTCACTATACCTAGTCGTTCTGGCCAAGGCGAGTGGGAGAATTTGCACTGCACCTTTCGGGGTTACTTCTGACCAACAAGCTTTCGCAAGAATTGGGATGATGACATCCTGGCCGAAGTGTGCCTTGAAGATCCAGGACGGCGACATCGAGATGGGAGAGCTTCCTTAGCTTGTCGAAGTCAATTCATTGCCAGCTCCAGGGTGACCATGAAGGACGCACCACAGCCCTGGGTGATCCTATCCTGAGGCCAACATTCTCGACAGACCGCTGTATTTGAATCACAGACTTGACTCCACTGTCATCGTTTCGCTTGGCCAGCCGAATCAGGACCTGGTATCAAGTTGATGTCGAGCTTCAGCACGTCAACATGGCCTCAATGCGGTGGCCGTCTCCCATCAAGGATCTGCCTACTACAAGAACCAGCATAGCTTCATGATTCGGCAGTAAGATCCGAGAGGTTGGTGGAGGCTGGACCGAGATGCTAATGATTGAATCATTGCAGTAGCGGTGAGCATTGTAACATTTCTGCATTTCTGTTGCTCAGCCACGAGATGCGGTGATGAAGTGAAGTCGGGACGATGGATATTCTGGGGATGTTGGGGGCCAAGGCAAGGCATCCAGTGTGCCGTCACTTTGCAGTGAAGGCAGTGGTTGACCTTGGAATAGTATACGTTCAGCTCCTTCCTGACGTCCGCCAGAGTCCAGGCCTTCAGCTGTTGCAAGCGACATGATGGCGAAGCTGAGTACTGTCGCACTCGTACCCAAAGCTCGCAGTTGAACGAAGAGGATCGAAAGCTATCGTGATTAGCAACAGTATCCACGTTTCCATGTTTGCTTCCAAGATGACAAAACAACGCACTCGTACGAGCTTCGCTTGAGCAAGGCGCAATCGTGCGTGCCCTCTTCGCCCATGGCATGTTGGTGGGATCCAATTCCATGCAGTCACAATCGTTGAGGCCAACATTGTTCGCTCCGAACGAGGAGGCTGGATCCGGCAAGAGAAAAAGTCCCGCTTTCATGGAGTCTGCAAGGTCTCGTTGTCGTGCAACAGCGAACGAGGACTCTACTGTTTCACGAGCTTTTCTGTTGGAAAGGAATCCAAGAATACTTCCGAACCCCACAACGAGCGCTTCGTAGACGAGGAAGCGCAAGGAAGACGCTTCCATTCCAGCTTGGCGTTCGAGTCAGCTCTTGGACGACCTGGCATGGGTGTTGCGACCTCGCGTATCAAGTTGATGCGCTAGTGGGGTGCTGTTGAGAGACCGGCACGAAGACCGCGAGTTGATATCTTGACATGCGACTCTGTGCCCATACCGCACGTGTTCGTCGATCTACCATCAGCGGCTGTCAGCCATGGCGATGTCTTCAAGCTCGCACAACATTCATCCACTCCTCCAGTGGCTGGCGGCCAACGGCACCTCCGGAGCATGTGCACTCTCATGTCGGGAATTTTCTATGCATATGGTGGCACTTCGTATGCTCACATGCCAAGGTCCGCAACATGCGCAGTGCGAGTAGCCCTGCCGAGGGTGCATGATCCCTTCCGAGAAACTGCAGAGCAGTCGTTGATGAGACTCCTTATCAGTCTACCGGCGAAAAGTCCAGATTGATACCGCAAAGCCGCAAAATCAAAGAAAAAGGGCCACAATTCCAGTCCTCTGTCCAACCAAAAGCCATGGGCGCTTTATTGCGACATGATAAAACCGTGCAACCGTGACAACTGTCACTAGTTTCGAGAGGCTTCGATATTATCGATAACCCTTGCTGGAGGCTGACAAAAGCCCGAGAAGTATAGGCAGTAGTGGCCGTTTGGAAATGTGTTTCAACGCATTTACCTAGCGACGGTTTCCCTCCCTACCTTCTTCATATTCCCGACCGGGTAAGACGCTGTCAACGGCTCACATGTATTAGGGATGAAACGAGCCCAACGATAGAAACGCCCCGGAAATGGCGCACGGTAGGCTCGATAAGAAGCCTTTCAGAAGACGCCTTCGCGCTCACTCGGACTTCTAGGCTGTCTGCTCTGGGAGGGTCTTATAGGGGGGCTGCCCGGGCCGTTTCTTGCTGGGCTGCCTCATCTCGTGTGGCCAAACATCCAATCCCACCGCTTTCGGTAGATGTGTTGCTGGGAGACAATGTCTTACGAGAGCCGGGAGAAACTCGACAAGCACGAGCGATTTGGACACAATCTTCTAGTTGCATTCAGGTCTTTCTCGTGCGGTCACGGAGTAAAACGCGCGAGGTGGAGGACGAATGAGTCCAGAGGAAGAAGCGCGAATCCTCAGCGTCTGCGTTGGGGGATGGTCCGAGGTCCCACAAAAGGAGACTAGATGCAGCAGTCTCCTTGGCTCGTCACAATCGCTGTCGCAACGCCACGCAGGGCTTTTCGTTTTTATGCTTTTGGGGAGACGGTTGGTGAAATGAGCACTGGCCGTAGCGCGCCGCGGTGAGGGACTTGTGCAGTCTAGAAAACCAGAAGACGCGGTGGTGATGCGCTGATCACTGATAGCGCGCACGCAGCCCATCAATGCATTTGCATGTGGCGGTGCGACTCGAGCACGCGAGGGGTGTTGTCGTCGCACAGCAGTAGTGATATGGTCAGAGTGATAGCGTCAGGAAAATGGACATGGTTGTTGTATGCGGGGATGATGCACGCAAGCCAGCGCCGCAGCCCGATAAAGACACACCGCTCGCTGTGCATAGCGCTGGCTGTGCACTGCAGCTCCGGCGAATGAGCTGCAGGGAGAGTGTGCATAAAAAGCCGTAAGGCTGGCTCTGAGCCACAGCAGCCTCGGGGGCAAAAGTATGCGATAGCGGGGATTGTTTCAAGAGGCCAGGGGCATCCCTTTCCCACCAGAAATAGGTGCTAGCCGAGCGATCAAATCCGCCCGCACGGTCAATTTCCTCAAACATCGCGCCCAGAAGCAACACACACAAGCAAGGTTAGGCCGGGACGATTTCACATGGCAATCGCCATCTAAGCGCCACTGCGGGCCCGCCCTGCTGGCGCTGGATTTTCGTCGTTCAAGGGAGAGGGGGGGCAGCGTTCAGGGAGAGGATGCGGTGCGCCCAGACTGGGGGGCAAGAAGCGAGTCTCCAAGGGGGGTGAGCAGCATGCAGGTGAGTGAGGATGCCTTGCGCCGGGGTGAGGAAAGATAGCACTCACTGCAGCCAGCGGAGATGGATGGATAGATGGTTAAGTCAGCCGCAGCCAGTGATGGACGCCCAACAACAACAAGCACCGACATCTTGGACGGCCTTTTGGATCGTGGGGAGACTAGCCAACAAAATACTGTGCTATTGCTGGCACAGACAACACTGTACCATACCGGCAAGACGAGTGCTTCTGCCGCACGTGTGTGGCGCGCGGGATAAGCAGCATCCGGATGGCATGCCGTCAGTCCTCGCAGCTGCAGTGCGGTTTCGAAGTTCTGGTATGCTGCACAACAGGAGCAGGCTGAGGACTGTGCTCCGCCAGCACGCAGATAGCCTTTACGCCCGGCTTCGGCTTGCGGGAGGCCATTCACTTCCCACTTCCTAATCGGGCCTCCCTTTTCTCCCGATGCAGGCACTTTGGCGAAGCCGTTGGCCCAGCACGGGCGTCATGGAGAGCCGAACTTCGTGACTTCATCTCATCGCCGCCAGAAACACTCGCACTACCCGTCGCCAAACACCCCCCAACCCTATCAATAGCCACACTGTTGCTTGCTTACCCTCACGCCCGGGATCGACTCTATCCCATGCGATTGCGCCGGCCGGCGGTGACGCTAGCGCCAGTTTCTAGATGAACGTCGACATGCTCGTTTTGGCAGCCATGGGTGTGCTCCCCAAGCACTGACTGCCTCCCGCTGCAGATCCGCCCGCCGGACGCCTACCCTGAAGCATCGAGCGATCAAGCGTGCACCAGACCCCTGGTCTATCAATGGAACGCTCACTTCTTGATACATAATGCCTCTCTCCACGCTCAGTACGTACTTTCTGTCCTCTCATCTATTGCTCTTTCGTTGCTTCAGCAGACTAGCCACCTGCCGAACCAACCTTTTTCTTTCTATCATCGACTCGAATAGACCTCGCTGTTTCGACGAGACCTGATTTCCCTTAATCAACCCACCACTCGCTCGCCAACTTCCTCCACTCTGTTGCATTCATCGTGTCTAGCCACCACGATAGTCTGCCGAACGACACGAACCTTCTAATCGAATAATCAATCGCCCACGAAACAGTCGCTCCAACCCGATATATCTCCTAATCACGAGACGATCGACCGAAACAACCACCCCACGAATCCAGCAAGATTTCCCGCCAACATGTCTAACGTTCTCCTGTTCGGCGATCAGACCGCCGAGCAATATCCTCTCCTCCACCGAATCGTCCTCCGCAAGGACAATGCCCTGGTCTCCAACTTCGTTGAGCGTGTTGCTCTCGCCCTGCGTGAGGAGATTCGCCAGCTCCCACGCAGCCAGCGTGACTCTCTGCCAGCTTTCTTGACTCTCAGCAACTTGATCGAGGCCTACTACCAGAAGGGCGTCAAGGTGCCAATGCTGGAGTCTGCTTTCGTCACTGTTGCTCAGATTGGACACTACATTGGATACTTCTCTGAGCACCCAGCCGAGCTCCCAGCTGCTACCAACACCCGTGTGCTGGGTCTCTGCACTGGTCTTCTCGCTGCATCTGCAGTCGTTTCCGCCAAGACCGTCGAGGAGCTTGTTCCTCTCGGTGTCGAATTCGTCCGCGTGGCATTCCGCTCCGGTGCCGTCGTCGACAGCGTCCGCTCTGTTCTGAGCCAGCCTGGCCAGGAGAACGCACCATGGTCTACCATCGTCACTGGCACCAATGAGCCAGCAGCAAAGAAGGCTTTGGCTGCTTTCCACAAAGAGGCGGGCATCCCACAATCGAACCAGGCCTTTGTGAGCGCCGTCTCCACCATGGCTATCACTGTCTCTGGCCCACCGGCCACTGTCGAGCGTTTCTTCAAGGAGGGATCCCTCTCGCAGAACAACCGCGTGCCAATTCCAGTGTACGGTCCTTACCACGCTGAGCACCTCTTCGGCCAGGCCGAGTACGAGAGAATCTTGTCTGGCGAGGTCGGCCGTGAGCTCAGGAAGCACCTCCCAGCATCATTGGTTCACTCCGCCGCCACTGGCAAGCCCATTGTTGCCGAGAACTCCTACGAGCTTGCCAAGATCGCTCTCGGTGAGATGCTTCAGTACCCAGTCCGCTGGGACTACCTTCTCGAGGAGGTTGTCTCCCAGATGGTCGCCAGCAAGTTCGGTGCTAAGATCTACGCTCTTGGTGTCAGCAATGTCGCCAACAGCCTCGTCTCTGCCTTGAAGGCAGGTGGTCAGACCAATGTCTCCGTTGTCGACCACTCTGTCTTCGTTACCCAGAGCGAATACGTCGGCCGCACTCAGAACGACAAGGTCGCCATTGTCGGCATGGCTGGCCGCTACCCCAACGCTGCCAACCACGAGGCTCTCTGGGACCTGCTCATGAAGGGTCTCGATGTCCACCGCAGAATCCCTGCCGACCGTTTCGACGCTGATGCTCACGTCGACCCATCTGGCAAGGGCAAGAACAAGTCGCACACTCCTTTCGGCTGCTTCATCGACGAGCCAGGTCTTTTCGACCCTCGTTTCTTCAACATGTCTCCTCGTGAGGCTGCTCAGACTGATCCTATGGGTCGTCTTGCTTTGGTCACCGCCTACGAGGCCCTCGAGATGTCCGGATACGTGCCAAACCGCACTCCTTCCACCCAGCTCCACCGAATTGGTACTTTCTACGGTCAGACCTCCGATGACTGGCGTGAGATCAACGCGGCTGAGAATGTCGACACTTACTTCATCACTGGTGGTGTGCGTGCCTTTGCTCCTGGCCGTATTAACTACTACTTTAAGTTCTCTGGTCCTTCGTACTCGATCGACACTGCTTGCTCCTCATCCCTGGCTGCCATCCAGCTCGCTTGCACTTCGCTGTGGGCCGGTGACTGCGACACTGCCATCGCTGGTGGTCTCAACGTCTTGACCAACCCCGACATTTTCTCGGGTCTGTCCAAGGGTCAGTTCTTGTCGAAGACCGGCTCTTGCAAGACCTACGACAATGCCGCTGATGGTTACTGCCGTGGTGATGCTTGCGGTTCCGTCATCCTCAAGCGTTACGAGGATGCCATCGCCGACAAGGACAACATCCTCGGCTGCATCCTCGGTGCCGCCACCAACCACTCTGCTGAGGCTGTCTCCATCACTCACCCCCACGCTGGTGCCCAGGAGTTCCTCTACAAACAGGTCTTGGCCAACGCTGGTGTCGATGCTCACGAGATCAGCTATGTCGAGATGCACGGAACTGGTACTCAGGCTGGTGACGGCATTGAGATGACCTCTGTCACCAACGTCTTCGCTCCCCGCCACCGCCAGCGCAAGCCAGAGGAGAAGGTCTACCTCGGTGCCATCAAGGCCAACGTTGGTCACGCCGAGGCTGCATCCGGTATCAACTCTCTCGGCAAGGTGTTGATGATGATGAAGCACAACAAGATCCCCGCCAACGTCGGTGTCAAGGGCGAGCTGAACAAGTCTTTCCCAGCTGACTTGAAGGACCGCAATGTCCACATCTCCCTCAAAGAGGTTGACTGGCCACGCAAGACCGCCGCTCCTCGCAAGGTCTTCCTCAACAACTTCTCGGCTGCCGGTGGTAACACCGCACTCCTGCTCGAGGATGGCCCACTCCCCGAAGCACCCAAGGCCACTGACCCCCGTGGCACTCTCCCTGTCACCGTCACTGCCCGCTCGATTGCCTCGCTCAAGCGCAACATTGCCAATCTCCAGAACTACATCAAGGAGAACGGCAGCACCACCCTGCCATCCCTGTCCTACACCTTGACTGCTCGTCGCATCCAGCACAACTACCGTGTCGCCTTCCCTCTGTCCGACATTGGCAAGGTCAACGAGGCTCTCCAGGCTCAGGTCAAGGATTCGTACAACCCAGTCCCAATGGTCTCCACCAAGACTGCGTTCTGCTTCACTGGCCAGGGCTCGCAGTACACTGGTCTCGGCCAGAAGCTCTACCAGGACCTGAAGAGCTTCCGCGACGACATCAACCAGCTCGATCAACTCGCCCGCATCCAGGGCCTGCCATCCTTCCTCGAGCTACTCGATGGCACTGATGTCCAGACTCTCTCCCCAGTCAAGGTGCAGCTCGGCATGGCCTGTATCCAGGTTGCTCTTGCACGTATGTGGGCTTCTTGGGGCATCACCCCCACTGCGGTCATCGGCCACAGCTTGGGTGAGTATGCTGCTCTCCACGTCGCTGGTGTCATCTCTGCTTCCGACATGGTTCTCCTTGTTGGTCGCCGTGCTGAGCTCCTCGTCCGTGACTGCACCCCCCACACTCACGGCATGTTGGCTGTCAAGGGCAGTGCTGAGGCCATCCGCAGCACTCTCGGCAGCAAGATGACTGAGATTGCCTGCATCAACGGCCCAGAGGAGACTGTCCTCTGCGGCAGCGGCGATGTCGTCGGTGCTGCCAACGAGACCCTCACTCAACGTGGATTCAAGGCCACCAAGCTCAACGTGCCTTTCGCCTTCCACTCTGCTCAGGTCGACCCCATCCTCGACCAGTTCAAGAAGATCGCCTCCTCGGTCACTTTCAACAAGCCATCCGTGCCTGTCCTCTCCCCTCTTGAGGGTGAAATCATTCGTGAGGCTGGCATCATCAGCCCAGAGTACCTGGCCCGCCACGCTCGTGAGACCGTCAACTTCTGGACTGCCCTCACCAGCGGCCAGAAGGAGAAGATCTTCGATGAGAAGACTGCTTGGCTCGAGGTTGGTGCTCACCCAGTCTGCTCTGGTATGGTCAAGGCTTCTATCGGTGCCACTGTCACTGCACCATCCCTCCGCCGTGGTGAGGATGCATGGAAGACCATTGCCAACAGCATCTGCCAGCTCTTCATCGCCGGTGTTGCTATGAACTTCGATGAGTACCACCGTGAGTTCAACGATGCTCAGGCGCTCCTCCAACTCCCAACGTACTCTTTCGACAACAAGAAGTACTGGCTCGACTACCACAACAACTGGACCCTCACCAAGGGCGAGGCGCCAAAGACCAAGGAGGTTGTCGTCGAGAAGGAGAGTGCTCCGGTGCCAGCCGTCGAGATCCCCGCCAAGCGCCTCTCGACTTCTTGCCAGAAGGTCATCAGCGAGGAGTTCAGCGCCAACCAGGCTCGCGTTGTCATCCGTTCCAGCTTGGCCGACAGCAAGCTTTACCCAGTCGTCTGTGGACACATGGTCAACAACGCTGCTCTCTGCCCATCTTCGCTCTACGCTGACATGGCTTTGACCGTTGGTGACTACATCTACAAGGAGATGAATCCAGGCAGCGAGTCTCCAGGTATCAACGTCTGCAACATGGAGGTGCCTAAGCCATTGATTGCCCAGATCCCACAGCCACCTCAGGGCCAGCACATCGAGATGGAGGCCAACGCCGACCTTGCCCAAGGCATCGTCAAGCTCCAGTTCCGCAGCGTCCAGCCCGATGGCAAGAAGATCCAGGACCACGCCCACTGCATTGTCCGCTACGAGGATAAGGCTGCTTGGGCCGACGAGTGGGCTCGCTACAACTTCATGGTCAAGGCTCAGATCGACATGCTCACGGCCAAGACCATGACCGGTGGTGCCCACAAGGTCCAGCGCGGCATGGCCTACAAGCTGTTCAAGGCTCTTGTCAACTACGACAGCAAATACCGTGCCATGGCTGAGGTCGTCCTCGACGGTGCCAACACTGAGGCTTCCGCCACTCTCGACTTCCCCACCAAGCCAGATGATGGTGACTTCTACTGCCCGCCATACCACATTGATGGCTCTTGCCATATCTCTGGCTTCATCGTCAACGCCTCTGACCTTCTCGACTCCGAGCAGAACGTCTACGTGTCCCACGGCTGGGGTGCCATGAAGTTCTCCAAGCCTTTGACTGCCGGCATGCGCCTCCGCAACTACGTTCGCATGCTGCCCCAGCCAAACAACATCTCCAAGGGTGACGTCTACATCATGCAAGGTGATGAGATCGTGGCTGTCTGCGAGGGCATCAAGTTCCAGCAGATCCCACGCCGTGTCCTCAACACCTTCCTGCCACCAAACAAGGGTTCTGCTGCCCAGGCCGCCCCAGCTCCAGCACCAGTTGCTGCTTCATCGGCTGTTCGTGCCACCCCAGCTCGTGCTCCCGCACCAGCCCCCATCAAGGTTGCTCCAGTGCCAAAGCCTGTCGCTGCCACTCCGGTTACCGCCACCAAGGCACCAAAGCAGCGCAAGGTGTCCGCCCCCAAGAAGACCGCCGGTGGTCTTACCGACAAGGTCATGAGGATCCTGGCCAAGGAGACTGAGGTTGACGTGTCTGAATTGGTTGACGAAGCACACTTCGAGAACCTCGGTGTTGACTCGCTCCTCTCCCTCACCATCTCTGCCATCTTCCGTGAGGAGCTCGACATGGAGATCAGCTCTTCTCTCTTCACTGACTACCCAACCGTCGGCGAGATGAAGAAGTACTTTGCTCAATTCGATAACGGCGCGGCTGCTTCTGCACCTGAAGTTGAGGACGACTCTGACGACGACAGCATCCCACCAACTGACGTTCCTACCCCTCTTGAGATGATCTCGACTCCTGCCAGCAGCGCGCCAAGCGTTGCGCCAAGCGACGCTGGCAAGCCTGAGCTCGACTCACCAACCCGCGAGACCCTCGCCGATGTTGGTGATGTTTCCCTCGCTCGCCACGTCGTTGCCCAAGAGATGGGCGTCGATATCTCAGAGATTACCGATGATGCTGATCTGTCTGAGCTCGGTATGGACTCCCTGATGTCTCTTACCATCCTCGGTGAGCTCCGTGAGAAGACCGGCATCGATCTCCCATCGACCTTCCTCTCTACCAACCCAACCATCTTGGACATTGAAAACGCTCTCGGTATGCGCCCCAAGGCCAAGGCCGCCGCCCCAAAAGCAAAGCCGGCCGCCCCAAAGTCTTCGACAAAGACTGACTTGAACGAGGTTTCCGCTAGGTTAGCGGCCATCAACAAGACCGACATTTCCAAGTACCCTGCCGCCACCAGCGTCCTGCTCCAGGGCAACGCGAAGGTTGCTACCAAGAAGATCTTCTTCCTGCCCGATGGATCCGGCTCGGCCACCAGCTACGTTTCGATCCCAAACCTCGGTCCTGATGTTGCGGCGTACGGCCTAAACTGCCCTTTCATGAAGGACCCGGAGCAATGGACTTGCGGCATTGAGGTTTCGTCTCTCATTTACCTCGCGGAGATCAAGCGCCGTCAACCGAAGGGCCCATACATCCTCGGTGGCTGGTCAGCAGGTGGTGTGATTGCCTACGCCGTCTCGCAAGCGCTCCTCGCCGCCGGTGAGAAGGTTGAGAAGCTCCTGCTCCTCGACTCTCCTTGCCCAGTCGACCTTGCTCCTCTCCCTGCCCGCCTTCACATCTTTTTCAACGAGATCGGTCTCCTCGGCACCGGCGACCCAACCAAGACCCCCAAGTGGTTGCTGCCTCACTTCTCCGCTGCCATCCGATCGCTCTCAGACTACGACCCGAAGCCCACGATCGGCCCAATGCCTACCTATGCCGTGTGGTGCAGAGATGGCGTTGCCGGCAACCCAGGCGACCCACGCCCCCCGCCAGCTGAGGAAGAGGACCCAGCGCCTATGGTGTGGTTGCTCGAGAACAGGCACGATTTCGGTAGTAATGGATGGGAGGTACGTACATTCGACAGCACTGACTTGGCAAATTGTGTACTAACTTCCATGATAGCAACTTTGCGGACCCAGCATGAAGTTCGGGGTGATGGGTGGCAACCACGTAAGTTTCACGCCCCTGATACCGAGCAACCAAAGCTAATTGACCGTATCTCAGTTCTCAATGATGAAGGATCCCCATGCAGCAGACCTTGGCAAGTTGATCCGCGAGGGCTTGGACTGGCGGGCATAATTTCTCTTTCGTTCTTCGGTCCCTTGGCTATGGGGTTGAGACAATTGTCATGTCGAAGTGCCTTGGCCGGCACCTTGACACCTTTTTGGAGAGCATTGCGCGGCGTTGTTTGGCTGTGGGGTTTTATTTTCTTTCCTTTCTTGATGACTATTGGACTACAGGACGCTTTCGTTGTCCGTTTTGTTTGATAATTGTGCGTGATACCACAGGTGGCTCCTGGCAGCAGTATGCAAGCACTATGTCTATAGACCATCTTCCGCACCGCATCACAACCAGGTCCCCAATGGCTAGCGGCCACGGGACCGGACTAACCCAGCGGCCGCGCCACCTCGTCGTCAGTGTGCTCGTCTGCTCGCCAGTCTGCCTGCTCGCCTGCTCGCCTGCTCGCCGAAGAGTTCCACCCAAGACGCAAAGACCGCAAGGTCGGCTTTCCCTGACATCCGGAAAAACCCCGGCTTCAAATTAAGGTTGCGCCGCAAAGCTTGGCGTCGCGGAATAGCGCGAACTACTGAAGCGAACTCCGAATCCGCAACCACCACAAACACCACCACCACGCGACAAACAGCCAGCTCAAGATCACCTATTGCTCGCATATTACACCTTTTTGGTGAGAATCACACCAAAGAGGTGTAAATCACCAGCACAAGGCGTCCGACCGCCGCCGCACTGCGAATGCGACCGGTCTCCGCCATCACAACCGCGTCACTGCACCCCTCACATTCCGACATCAGAAGCTTAATCCCAGCCGATATCACAAGAGCGAGTGCCACATGGCATGACAGAGTTTTGGCGATACTACTGGACCACCGGTCAAACTGAAGAGCCAAAGCACGAAGAGCTCAAGAACCGAGTGATCCAGCCGACCAGCGACTTCTACATCCGGCTGTTCGAGGGACAAGTGCTCCTCCGCACCGACTATCGCCTAGCTCGGCACCTGATCCATTGCCAACACGACAACGTCGAATCGAACGATTGGGTGATCGCCGACTCGGAAGTCCAGCAAGTCTTCCAGAGCGGCACTCGTCTGCCCGTCCGCTTCATCCGCCTCGCTGAGAGCCTCGCTCGATTCCAGCGACGAACCTTCGAGCTACCTGGCCGCAAGGTCGACGACTTTGCTAGCTATCCAGTCCTCTCGTACCCACCTGGTGTTTCTCGTGCCTACTTTTCCGGCCCACGAATTCACCACGACCTGCCGATAGCTGTTGATCAGATCTTCGACTGTCATTTCAGCCTACTTGGCGGCAAGTACAAGCTGCCACTCGATCGTCAGTTTGACCCTCGATCAACCTCGAGAGTCGACCGCTGCACCCGCCAAGCCGAAGACCTCATCAACAACCAACTAGCCATCCGGCGAACCGAGCGCCGTAGGTGTGACTGGTACTGCGCCGTCAGAATCAAACGCCGCACGTACAGAATATTACGTGAGCTGGTCGTACGATACTACAACCCCAACAAGCCGAAAAACGAGATCAAGCTCTTGGTTGAAGCACAAGTCCAGCTCGTGTGCCCACACCACGATATCCACTTCAGTATTGGACACTATCACAGGCGCGAGCTCGAGCACCTGACCTCCGGACTGGGCCTCGGGGACTCATACCTCGTCCACACCTTTTCCATCGGACGTCCAGGTCTGAACCTACCCATCCACCTAGGCCAACTAGTCGACCGCCAATCGGAAGGCACTCAGCTCTCAGGCAACCAAGTGCCCTCCGAGCCTCCTCCCCTCCAGCCAGACCAGTGCCCCGACTACGAAGCCAGGACATACCTCAATAGCAGAAGCACCCAGCCAGCAAGCCCGGCGCCTCCTCGACCCCGAAGATCTTCAACAGACGGTCTCAAGACTCCTCGACTTTGGCGACGAGCGTCCCTGGACGCGGAGTACATAATCCTCATGGCGAAGGAGACCAAGAAAGGAGCCAAGAACAAGAGCAAGAAGGAGAAGGAGAAGGACACCCCCACCGAAGCAACCGCCTCCATCGAAGAACCGACACGACGTAGCGCCCGCAACAATGCAGCAGACAACACGCCCAAGAAGGGCGAGGCCAGCCGACCAGCCACTCCTTCCTCCAGCTCGAAGAAAGGCCTGCCAGCCAAGGAGATCAAGTCTGTACCCCTGCCACTCAACATCGACATATGGCGCCGTCGGACCCAGCACCCGACTACCTCCCAGTACGACTGGCTGAACGACGAGATGCCCGAACCTCCCTCGCGTCCATCCAGCTTTCCATGCGAGCTTGGCGACGTCTCAGCCCGCTATTGGTCTCTCCTCCCGAATGGCACAGACCACAAGACGTACAACCAGGATTACAAGATCGAATCCAACGACGCTATCAACATACGACTCGCCGCGTCTACTGGATACGACATCCAGGACATTACGAAATGGCGCCTAAAGGGCGTCGCAATCTGCGAGAACGGCGTCATCCTAGTCCCTCGAGCCCACGACCCCTTGCTCCGAAAAGAGCAGAAACTCCATTGCAGGCACGTTAGTCGCACCGGCAAGACTGTCGAAGGCTTCCCTTACGAGAGCCTGTTCCAGGAGTTCATCGGTCGCAACGTCGTCATCTACAAGACTAGCACCGCTACCTACGGCTTTACGGTACCGAGAGAGGCGTCCAACGTAAAGAGGAAGTGGTTCATCAACGGCGTCAGTTGGCCACCTCTCGAGTTCGTCACGAACACCGCCCTAGCCTGGGAAGCCCAGCAACCAGCCGCCGAGGCTAACGACGAGGTCGAGCAAATACATACAATGGCCATCTCAAAAGACAAGAAGACTCGAGTTATCCCTTATCAGAACTTCGTGCAACCAGCTGAGCCATACGGCAAGGACGGCTCACCGACGGAATGGCAGGAAGAGAGGATTCATTGGGAGCAGCAAGTCGAGGGCGTAGGCGACAAAGGCGTCGACTACCTGGCTCGGAACCGCGCACAGGTAGTCATTTTCCCACGAAAGCTCTATCAAAGCGAAGACGAGGATGACGACAACCGTGGCAGCCCAACTCCTGCCGGACCGAAGACCGAACGCACCTCACAAACAAGCGGCCCTCCGGCCGGACCGAAGACCGAACACACCTCACCACCAAGCGACCCTCATGCTCGTACTTTGATGGCTCCTCCGCCGCCACTGAGGCTGCATCAATCGCTGCGACAGCCGCCGCTCCAACAGGACTTTGGGTACCCACCTGGAGTGAACCCCTGGAATGCTGCCAGCCAAGGAAACAGCCCCCCTGGACTTGGAATCAAGCTTGGCAACCCAGCTACAGCCTTCACTAATCCAAACGATGGCTTACCAGCCGGCGATGTCAAGAAAGACAGCGACGAGCGACCCGAGAAGCGATCGCCTAGCCCAGACCTTTTCTCCCCCGACTCGCACAAGAGGCGACGACTTCAGTATGAGGAACGGAAGAGCTCTCGAATCCACAAGCTGCTGAACGGTGTGAGTTCCCAAACCGATCTTACTCCACAGCAGATCGCTTGGCCTGAGGAAGAAGGTGCACAGCTTGCCAACGCCCTTGCTGCCCTCGGCCGCAAGCAGTTCCTCTACCCAACCAAATGCCCACCAGACGCTACGTCGAAGGTGCCAGATACACGCGCAGCGGACGAGTTCCAAGAGCACGTCTTCGAGTGGTCGGACTCTAGGGGCCTTGAAGCGGACGACATCTTCCCTCATTGCACCGCTATGGAGAGCTACATGGCTATTCTGATTCTCTTCAACCATTGCGTCCAACCGGATGGCTCGGCGAGCCGGGGCTACAACGAAACCCCAGCAGCAAACCAACAGCTCAAGTCCTCAGACCCCTACACCGAGCAGGCACCTAGGACCCGAGCCCTCCTATGCCACGCTGCAAATCTGAAGGCAGCCGCGCAAGCATGCTGCTTCGCCTCTGAGTTTGAGGGCCTCTACGGTCTCGCAGGCTCCTTTCTCGAAAGCCTGAGGGACTTTAGCACCCAAGCTACCCGACTCCTCTCCGCCCCGACCAGGAATCCACCACCCAAGCGAGCCTTCGGCGCCGACGCCAAAGCTACTATCCGCAGCCATCTGAACAATGTCAATGTTGTCGATACCACAGCTGCCGACCCAGCATACGTTCACCTCATGGCAACTAACGCCATGATGACGGACCAAGACTCGCTCGCATACCTAATTGGCCTCAGAGCTTCCCTCGACAGACAGATCGAAGAAGCTAGTAGCCGATTGAGCCTCTCTACGAACCACGCTACCGCCACCGGAGCACTGGTCAAGCCGAACGACTACATTACACCAACGTACCAGTTCTCCAACGCGTCGAGTCACATCGTTGGTCAGTTGCTCAGTCATTTGGACGGCACCACCGTGTCTAAGACCAGATTCTACATGGCGCTCCGAGGCCTTACGACACGGGCGGCAGCTTTCGACGAGCTCATCGACACCTTGTGGACCAACACCTCTGGCTACAAGGACTCCGTTGATGACTTACGCCTGACCAACGACCTCCTGCAAGTGTTTGATCGCTCGAGACGCCCAGCTGACGGGCTACGCGACTATGAGGCCGCCCGGCTTCTCGAACTGCCCTCTTTCGCCGATCTTGTCGACAGAGGCAAGCGAAACGACGCCCTGATCGACCTGCCTCGCCACATACCTGTGGTAGGCGTCGAACCAGTCGGCCGCGAATTGGACTACCAAACCCGCAAAGCGAAGGTAGCAGTCCTGCTAGCCAATCGAATCATCGACAAGGTCGTCGCCATCACCGGCCTGGCTATCGCACGTTACACCGAGTACGACTCTATGCCCCAGAAGAACGATCTGTACGAATACCCGCTGGAAATCCAGCTCGCTCTGTCCGCAGTCTCTCTGCACCTCGACAGCACTGCTGGCCACGACCAAGCACGCTCTTGGAAGAGGCACGCGAACGTCTGGCTCCGCGAGCTCGCCACCTTGATGTACGATCGCCACCTCATCGAGCACGAAGCCGACGAAGAGACCGACACGAGCGAAGATCAGAGCATCAATACGACCAACAACCTCGACACCGAGCCTGATTACGCCCGTATGGCGGTTGAAGGCTACATAGCTGCGATCAAGGCTTCACCCAAGTGGGCCGATTTCTCTAGCAAGCCTACCAACCTCGGCGCCCTAGCTGATGTCGCAGCTAACAAGCCATCCAACACCGAGGACTTCTCCACTGCCATGAAGTTGATTCAGAGATACGCAGAGAAGCACAAGCTGCTCGAGTCCGAAGAGTCCGAGTGATCCTACTAACGAGCGGAGGAACCAAGGACCGGACGACCTGACAGGCTGTTGAAGTAATGGAGCAGATGACCTGAGAGGTCATTGGAGGTCATTGTGTGCAGCGCGGACGCTGCCCTCTTTCTTCGGAGCGAGGGTGAAGATGTTATGACAAAGTCGCTGGGCCCTCGGCTCGGCAGCTACCATATCATCCAGCTACGTAGATAGACACAATGACACACACATCACACATGATCCTTCTCAGATTGCTTCATCGAGTTAGTAGTATTCTGTAGTGACGACCTCACGACCTAGTAACCTTGCCGCCTCATGGGCCCACAAACAAAGGCGACTCGGAGGATGAGGTCCTGGCCCCGAACTTCCACCCATCGGCGGACCGAGCGTGCGACGCACTTTCCATTCGACGATCAGGAAGCTGACCTTCGGTTATGCAAGCACGCATCGACCGCCTGCCATACATCCCTGAGACATCCTCAAACAACATAAACAAGGACCACGAGACCATCATCATCCGCGGACATGGCCGAGCAGAACGAACCCATGGCAGATGCTCCTCCCATCGACAGGACCACTGTGTCTCACACTCTTCCCGAAGAACCTGCTACTGACATTGTGCATGTGCCAATGCCTGCCGTGGTCCCTGGGCTCGTTGGACGATTGGAATGGTTTGTCCATGGCTTGAACGTTGCCGCTTGGTGGGCGATGCCGCAAAGCAAACAAGACGAACGACTCGATGAGCTCTACTATTTCTTCCAGCAACAGCCGCACCACGACCTTCGCGAGAGATTCTTGATAGTCGCTGATGAGCTCCTTCGATTGGAAAGCAGCCGGCGAACCAAGCAGCCCAGCCACGATCCAAGTTTCGACCAGACCTTGGACTTCCCAGACCTTGCACGCGAATGGACCCGCATCATGAGAGCAGCACCGGAGTCCTTGGACCCAGACAGAGATGGCAAAGTGGTAGATGAGATTCTGCAGGCCCGCGTCTCTCATGCCTTGAAGATGAAGCTCACCCTCAAGTTCTGGCGCCTCTATCCAGACCATACCTTTCCAGTCCATCGTGGGGACGAGACAATGCTATTCTTCTTGGAAGACATCAGAGACCGACTGGCGTACTCAGGCAGAGGAAGCATAATATGGACAGAATACAACAACTTTGCGGTAGAACCGTCGACAGCAACTGCAACGAATGATCTTTGGACGGCCACCCGAGCGAACGGCACCACTAGCATCAAGACCAAACGCAGTAAATCAGCTAACAAGGCTGAGAGTGCCCCAGCAAGCAGCAGATCGAATGCTGACTCGAGGACAAAAGACATTCCAGTAGCAAGTACGACAAAGCTCAACCAACCCACGAACGAACAGAGACACAAGCCAGCGACAGCCAGAGCGAATCTTGCCTCTTCGAGTATCACGACAAAGATCACCCCAACGAGCAAGACCAGGCCCAACGGATCAGCGACTGAAGAGAGGCACAGCCGAACGATCACGGAGAAGCACGACCCAGCAACAGCCGCAGCAAAGGACGAACTGATCGTCTCTGCGACGCGACCCTGCTCAGCGAACTCCATGAACGATCGTATTCGGATGGCCTCTGAGGCAAAGACCGAGCGACCGAACCGTCTCGTCCACCAACCACATGGCATGACCAAGCCAGAGGCAAGTCAAGATGAAGAGAAGAAGGCATCGAAAAAGAGGCAAGCAGTAGCAAAGGACGATACTCTCTCGAGCGAGCCAACTCTCAAGAAGCCCCGCACTGTGACAGAGAACATGAAGGCTGGTATGACTGCTGTCGATGCGAAGCGAAAGTATAAGGCCGATTTCGCCCGCTACAGCAGGGCCAAGAAGAAAGCTGAAGATGCAGATGAGTATGCGAGGCACATGGCGGAGAGGAACGAGTCAAAAAGGGCCTGGCGGGCAAAGAATCCTGAAATGCAGAAGGACCAGGAGCGTAGAGACAGGGCCATTCGCAAGGCCAAAGAAGATGAGGAGTTGCAGGGGCTCCGGAGCGGGAAGAAGTAGTGTCCTCGATCTTTAGGATCGTCCGGTCCTGCGCTCGTCGATCGTGTTGTCGAGGTCAAACGGCTTGTATGTCAAAACAATGTTTGTCTAGATCGCAAGAATAGGAGAAAGCAAATGTATTGAGTCTTTACGTAGTGTTCACGGTGCAACTTTCTTCGCATGCGGTCTTGTGTTGTATATTAGTGCCGTGTTCATTGAATATAGAGGAAATGAGACGTCTGTCCATTACGCTGTGATTCAAGCCTTTGGACGGAGAGCTCGACTAATCGTGCACTGGTCCTGCCTACAAAGTTTCAAGAGGAGGTTGCCACTTGCATGTGTGTTTCCTTCCAGCAGCCTCTTCAGCTTGATTTCCGTCCCACCTCGACACCACGATCTCATCGTCTCGGAGAAAACTTCATCTTGCTGTTCGCCACGCTCGTTCAGCCTCATCATTTGTACCTCACACCCAAGAACCTCGCATCTGTGTTCGTCTGCTCCTACCCGTTATGAATGGCGACTCTGAGGGCGACGGCGAAGATGCGTTGGCGTTTCGCCGGAACCGCGGTCGCTCCGGTCGAAGACTCTCTCCAGCCATAAGGGCAGATCTAGAGCAGATCACAGCTCCTGCGCGCCAACGTCCATACATTCCACGCTCGGTGGACCGTTCGCGAGACACGCAAGCTCCAGTCATCGAAGTCTCCTCGGATCCTCCGGTACGGGAGGTCGTGAATCTTGTCTCTGATGATGGTCCCTCGGCACCCATAGAACTTTCGTCTGATTCACACCAAGGCGACTCGCCCATCCTTCTAGAAGATCGGAATGGCTTCGATCATCCAGAAAACGACATCATATCTTGGAACAGCCCTCCCCCTATCCAGTCGACCAGCCCAGGAACAGATCAGCATGAGAACTTACATGCCCAGAACGTATGGAGCGGGCCAGTGCACGACCAAGCCTCCTGGAAAAGCCCTGTACACGATCGACCCACGAGACCACAAGACTATCAGCCCGAGAACATGCTCAGCTCTCCGGGATCATCGTCTCTCTCAGATATCTCAACCGACAGTAGGGTCGGCCAACAGATTGCTACTCCATTACCTAGCAGCTACAGACTCCGTTCTCGTAGGGAGACACAGCTGAAGCCATTCAGCTCCTATGCGAAGAAAGAGCGCGCGCTCTTCGGTACTCGGGTCGTCGCCATAGGCGACAAGACTGAAGAGATACCAATCGACAGCGACGGCAGCTCGGACGAACAAGAGACAGAACAGTCGAACTTACACTCAGAGCCCCACTCCAGCTTTGAATCCGACGAGGATATGGAAGACGAAGCGACGGACCTGAGCTCAGAAGTTTCCGATCTCTCCGAGCTCAACACCTTCCATTACGCACGACCCGAGGACCGTCGTGGAGAGGATGACGATGACACTGATGACCCGACAATTCTAGGGAACGATGAGGAGGAGCTTTGGCTGGCTCGAAGCAATCCTGTTGAAGAGTGGATCGAGCGAGATGTTCTGGACTATCTGAACAATCAACAAGACTCAGGAGTAGAGGGCAAGGAGAGCTCCGAGGATGGTGCGTACGGTAGCAAGACGTCCTTCACCCACGGGCAAAGCCCGGCAATTTGGGACCGACCTATTGCCTCTTCCAGCAAAGGACCAATGATCCCATGGCCAGAGCAGCAAGCCACCAGCGAAGGCCCAGACCTGCATGGCGAAGATCCGGATGAGCATTTGCCACTTCATCTTGCTCATACCCCGTCTCCCTGGCCTACTAACCTGTCCGGCTCCAACGACCCTAGGGATAAACTCCGCCGCGCCAAAGCGCTTCGCACCTCCCCTGCCGCCCTATCGAAGGCATGTGAAGACCAACCGCCTATATTACTAATGAGCCTGTCCGAGAACCGACTTAGCGTCGAATGTGTCGACTGTCCTATCTTTGCAAACATCGTACGGGTCATTCCAAAGGTTGTCGCCGACAAGCAAAATACAAACACATACGCTTCATATGCTCTCCAGCTTTTGAAGATGTTTGGGACCGGACAGGTGTGGGACTGGACGAAGGCGCTATTCGAAGACCCAGCTTTACGGAGAGTCAAGGAGCAAGGTATCTGGGACGACTTCTCGGTGCTCAAACAGATTGGTGGAGACATCAGGTCCATGCGCTTGAGGTAGTACTTTGGACTGGTCACCTGCGACTCTCTGCCGAACTGGCTCAAGATGTACTGTGGAGAGGCCCTGGTCGGTGGCAAACGTATGCTGCAACATTGTCAGGAGCTCAGCCGCCCGGTCAACCACCAGTGCCTATTCTATTACATCGCCACACGACAAAACAGAAAGACTACATTTGTATCCATGGGCATCGACGACCGCATTATCACAGCCCTTTGCTCAAGCTACCCTGTCAACGTGATCGACGGCCTGGCGAAATTGATCGAGCATTACCTACAGTGCTTGTTTCAGCTACTGCCGGCAAAAATGCTACGAATGTGGCTGCCCAACGAGGTACCACTACGTCCGGAGATTGGGTTGAACGTCCAGCCACCAATTGGCCCACTCGGTGCTCCTTCTGCAGTCTTCCATACACAGGCGTCAACGGACCCCGAGGTCAGGAGCTACTACGACGACAAGACGAAGGCCAAAGAGCACAAGCGCCCAGCACCACAGGCATCTCATTCTCGGATGTATTTCTGGAACGGGGAGCTTTGTCGAAGGGCGGACTTCACGACGATCGGTCTATCCACCGAGGAGACGAAGGACATGAACATACGACTGGAGAAGCAGTCGGAGTTGAAGGGTAGCAGCGAGGCACGCACAAAGGCCAATGCGAATCGAAAGGAACGTGACAAGAGGCGCAATCTTTTGGGTCTGTCATCCAAGAACTTCACGAAGCGTTTGGGTTGGGATGCTACTCTGGGCAAGCATTATATACTTCCTGATGATGCATGATCATACTGGCCAAAGAGCCCAAGAAGCTGTGGGGCGTGGAAATGCAATCGGTCTGGTGGAGAGATAATTTCTTGGAAGGGGCTGTGATTCAGCGAGAGGATGCACTTGTGACCAGACAATATGTACGTGTATGAATGAATTCTTGCTTGGCCTTGAGCTGGTTGGTCGCAGCTCTCGACTTTTGATCTCATGTGCCTGCTTGTGCGTGGTTCTGTGTCGAGTACCGCCTTCCATTCAAGTGCTTATGGGGTAAGTCCGACTTCTCTGTACCTTCTACTTGTCGTGTCCGCTGGTCTTCTCGACATCAAATCAACCTGAGAGCTCCAAGCTCTGCCATCAACGACAATGTTTCGATCCCTGTGGACGGCCATGCGAGACGATGAGGACTTGGTCTTCACACGAAAGCGAGGTGTTCCTAATCGTGGACACGACACCCAGGAAGTTACAGAGCTGAGAGTGGCCCTGCGTGGTGCTCGTCATTCCGCTGTGAGTAGCCAGGCGTCCAACGAGACGATAACATTTCTAACATCACTATCCCAGCATGCCACCCAGTTACACCCCGCTGCTGCGACGTCAAGGGCAACAGACTCGGCCGCCATGAGCCCAGCGCACGACTACGACGGACATGAGACTCCACCGCACCACCATATCTTCCAAGAGCACCGTACAGCCGAGGAGCAAACGCCGGAGCAAGAGCAGATGGAAGAGCAAGTCGTGACCCAAGGACAGGCCAAAGGGCAGGACATGACCCAGGAGAGGACCCGCGTTCAGGAGCCGGCCTTGGTCAGAGAAGAACGCATCGCCAACGATTCGACCAAACAGCAGACCAAAGAGCCACCCAAGCAGCAGTCTATATCAGCAGCACGTTACCCAACCCGACAGCGTACCCAGCGGCAGACGCAACCATACAGCTGTCATCAAGAACAAGAACGCAGCACGTTCGGCACTTATGTGTTAGCTCAAGGCAAGCAAACGATCGATGTTCCATTGGCCGAGAGTATTGAGCAATATGGGTCATCATCGTTGTCTGACGTCGACATGGGTGACGAGTACTTGGTGCCGTCTGACGAAGAGACGGACGTCAGCATGGATGACGAGACGGATGTCAGCACAGATGGAGAGATGGACGCAAATCTGGATGATGCTACGGACGTCAATGTGACAGTGACGGGCAGAGTGAAGGCCGAACCCGATGACACGACCATTGATAGTCCAACCAAAGACGGCAACGACCAAGAAGCCACTTTGGAGCGCGAGCAACCCATCAGGTCGAGACACCAGCGCCTGAAAGAAGACGATCCAGCAGGATACCAAGAGAAGCTCCGCAAGAACTTAGAACGTTCTCGCCGCAACAAGAAGGATCCAGCCAAAGTTGCGAAGAAGCGTGCCTACGGCAAGAAATCCTACCAAAAAATCATGCAGGACCCAAGTCGCCACGAAAAGCACAAATTGCGAAACCGTGTAAACTCGAAGAAGCGCCGTGAGATCCATCACGGCGAACCCAAGGACCCTGTCAAGGTTGCAAAGGATCGGGCTAGAAACAAAGCTTCTTACAAGAAGTGTAAGAATGATCCAGTCCGTTGGGAGGAGCGAAAAGCACGGCAGCGTGTGAACAATGCGAGATGGCTCAAGAAGCGCAATCAGACAGTGACAGACAATCAAGCAGATCTTGAACAAGACGAGGATGACGACCTGGTCGAGGGTGAGAGTGGGGATGAGGTGGATTGACTATGATGGTGATGACGAGCGCGCAGGCAAAGACCAGATGAACCAGGGGAGACAGAGTCCAGGCAGCCAGGGAGGCTCTGACATAACCACATGTATCTTCCAAGCGACAACAGAGTCACTGCATCATGTATCGATGAGACATCATACTGAAGAATGTTGGAAGTGCGTGCACTCGAAGGTCGGAAGGTTCGTAGTCGAGCAGTGATGCAGACTTCGATTTAAATCATCTATCTGCGCTCGTCCAACGATCCAGCGATAATAACTTAAACTGTCCTCGTCGAAGATTGGTCTTCGGTCTTTGCCATCTCTAGCCTCTCCCTTCATTGGTCTTTGTCTCCATTGGTCTCTGCAGCGTTCAATCCTATCCCTCTCAAGTCTATCACTCTGCATCTGACGACCCGTCCTGTGGTTCTGACACATCTGCATCATTCTGCAGTGCACGTCTTGCTGCTGCCAGTCGGGATACCTCTGTCTGTCGCTTCCTCTTGTAAATCTCGCCATATCTGTCTGGATTTTTGGCTACCCACTTGTTCCATGTCTTGTTTCGCTGCTGGCGGTGTGCGTACAGGAGATCTGGTCGATGGGACAGCCATTTACGCTTCTTCCTGGAACACTGTCTGTTCAGCTTCCGTCTCTTCGCATCGGCATCGTTCCAGTCGATTTCCTTTCCACTGCTCTCGGCTTCAGAGGACTCGAGCTCTGTATCTCCGGACCCGTCGCCGTCGACATCGTTTGAAAGGCGATTGCTTGATCCTCGGTTGGTGGGGTCGTTCGGTCCCTGGTTGGCGGGGTCGTTCGGTCCCTGGTTCTTCGGTCCCTGGTTCGCTGAGGGACAGACTCGACTGACGGATAAGTAAGCATGGGCCAGTGCCAAATCCACAACGAGTATGCTAGCTTACTGGTCTTTGCCATTGTTGACACCTGCCGTAGCTACTGACGAACGGAGCAAAGCAAGCGTCTGGGAAACGTGAGGGGCTGGTCGGTTGCACCAGGCCATGGGAAAACCTTGCTGTACCCCTTCGGGCAAGCTTTTGAAGTAGGCATCGTCGGTAGGAGTGTGCTCGAGTGCTCGCATCTTCGATGTGGACTTCGTCCAAGTCTCCTCGGCATCGTGTCGTGGGTCCTGGCTCATACGTAGCCAATATGCGTCGATTGCATCAAGCCCCTCCCATTCAAAGAGCGTGTGCCTGTCAGACCGTCAGCTCCAGGGTTGACTCACGTTGCGAGGTTATTAGCCACCCACCAAGTTTCGCAAGTGGTAAATCTGCATCCAATCCACTTGACCTCATACCGTACAAAGTGTGCATCGTACAGAGATGAGAAGGTTTGGACAACCTCGCTGTCTGGCTTGAAGCAATGGCCGATGACAGCCTCGATTTTCGGCACGGTAGGCTGGTCGATGGCAGAGAGATCCGGGTCAAGAGAGTTCACACGTGGCCGCTTCGGTCCTGCAGTGACACTCGACATGTTTCTCGACAATTGCAAGCGAGAGACCTTGGTGCCAGTGGTGTTGTTGAGATTGGAATGCTTCGTGTGTCTACGGGTAAGAGCAGCTGCCCAGTACCTTCTTCAGCAAGGCTGCAAGCTGTGACGCCCCTGTCAGGCTAGCAGCCTAGCACATGATGATTGGCTCAGACTGACTATACGAGAAGAAGGAACTTCGGACACAGTAGTCAGTGACCAGGTCCATTCGATCAGGTTGCATGTACGTGGGTTTGTTTGTTCGTGCCCCTGCCTTGCCGTTGCTGTACGTTCCATGTTGCGAACATCGCTGCAAACTCCCTCCGACAGCTGTGGTTAACAAACATGGCCAACCCTAATGTGGACGTACCGGAAGGCCTGCGCTACTGGCTCGAACGTCTCTCGCGACCTCCCCTCCGCGAAGGCTATCATGCCGCCGCACAGCACTTGATGCAAACATTCTGGCAGCTACCAACCCAGCCGCCGCTCTATTGGGATCCAGCCAAGTGAGAACAATGTGATGTATTCTCTTCCGTTGGCTGATATCAATATAGCTGGCAAGCTCATGTCCGTGGAGAGCTGCAGATGATGCACATCACAGCTGCGTCCATCTTGCAGAGATACGACACAGCATTACCGGTACTCCAGCCAGCCCCCTTGTTCATATCTCCAGCCAAGGAGCTGCCGTCAAGCCAACCGCAGCATCTCTCGAACGGGCAACGTCCCGACGTGCAGTGCACGAAAGCTTCCAGCGAGCAATCTCCTCCAACCTCTCGGACACAAGACCAGTCGGCCGTCCAGTCGTCCGAGCCAGAAGAATCGTCAAGAGGCGTTGGTGCGAAGGCTGAGAAGCAGCCCATGAACAATGTTGAGACCATCCCTTGTTCTTCGTTTCTGCCCAAAATGGCACCTCATGGTGGGAGTCCGTCCTTATTTCTCGCCTCGCACAAGAACACTGGTGTCACTATTCACAAAAGCTCAACGGCCCAAGTCGCAGTGCCACTGGTGGCTCCGTCCAGAGAGAAATTGCACAGCAGCGCGGAAAGCAAAATCAGGGCGTCTCAAGCACGACCGCCTCAGTCTCTTTTGGCTAAAACACCACAATCAAACGGCATTGTTGACCGACCGTCAGTACCTCAGCCTCGAGCAGATGATCTTACATCCGGCAAAGTGCCAACACAACCGGCCGAGCGACGAAAAGGCTCGTCGTCGGATGCAAACAAGGACCCTAAGGACGAAGCTGTCTCTCCTACTCCAGGCCCAGTGGCTCCTCACAGCAGACGCCGAGAACCCCCCAGGACCTTACCTACTCCATCTCAGGAAGAGGTGATTGGATGCGCATTGATCGGCTCGTTTGGTCGTTTGGGGGTCGAGACGCATCTATGGGAGAAGATCCTCATGTCGTTCAATCGCATGGATCGCAACGCACTGATGGCCACCAATTCCACAATGTTCGAGCTCATCAGCGACTTGATGGTGATCATTACGACTCCACGAAACCAAGGAAAAGACGATCATCATCGCCGGACCATTGCCATCGGTCGGCAGTTGGTCTCTTACCATCCTACTACTGCCATCCGTACGCCAGGTACATACGTCGACGCATTCGAGAATTCGACGGCGAGGACTGTTCAGATTTTCGGTTACAACTTCTGGACCTTTCGTGAGTTTCGAGATGCTCTCTATGCGGCAGCAACAGAGGCATCCGCCAAAGTCGAGCGACTCGAGTTTGTCGGGTGCATATATGTAGATCATGAGCTTCTTGGTCGGCTTCGAGACTTGTTCCCTTGGCTTCGTCATGTCTCCATCTTCAACTGTGCGCGGTTCGATCTTCAATGGGCTCTTGGGGCAAAGGCCAACGAGTTCGATGACCTCCCCTTCGAGATCGATATCGATTTTGCTGAGCCGTCCCGCGACAATGCGGCCCTACATGAATACAGTTCTCCAGGTGCTGTAGGATGGACCGACGGCACTGTGTTCAATGCTCTACTGCAGTGGCTTATCACCGTCGAAGGTCGTCCTCTAGCGTGCCATCAACCTATGATGCTCCACCACATCTTCTTGAGGCTGAACAAACAGTACATAGGACTGTTCCGAACCAAGGACTTGTTCGCCATGAGGCTGGGTCGACAGCCCGCATTCCCAAAGGACTTGATCGCAGCAGTGTTATGCGGAGACACTCGCGCAAAGACGCACTTGCAATACAGCATGCTGCGATGGCAAAGTCCAACCAGAAACCTTTCTTCTAAAGATTGTGCAGGACATTTCAACGTCAAGCAGGAGAACTCGCTACCTTGTGGCCATTGCAACAATCTCTCGGACGAAGAGGTCATCGAAGAAGACTCTCAGTTCTACACCAAGCATATAGCAATGTTCTTCTCCAAGACAACTCGAGATCGAATCAGAAAGGAAGGTCCAGACGGAGATCTTACGTGCTACCTTGGTGGTGGCATGTTCGCTGCAGAACAGTTCCAAGACGACATTACGACCGCTGCCAGAGACGACATCACCTTCTCGTCCACTGCACTAATCAGCAAAGTTCTGGAGATGAAAAAGACTCAAGATTCCCTGCCGAACCTCCAGAGACCGACACCAGACGGGCTCAAGGCCCTGAAGACAATCCTGCAGCGTACATCCGACCAGAAAGTGAAGATCCTTGCGGGGAACTATGCGTGGGACAGTCAGTTCGCTAGCCATGTCGCCCTTTCGAAATCCAGTTCGTCCGCTGCGGGCCTCGAGTTGTGGCGGTCTTACCTCGAAGCCAAGTCTCGAGCATCGACAGCGCAGCCTCCTCGTACCAAAGAGTCCGCTGCATCCACTACAAAAGCACCCTCTCAATCGGCAACTAGACCGTCAGCTCTACCAACGACTAGAGCACCCAACGAACCGACGACCAAAGTAGCTGCCCACTCGACGACCAAAGCACCCAGCGAACCGACGACCAAAGCAGCTGCTCACTCGACGGCCAAAGTGTCTAACGAATCGAATACCAATGCACCTGTCCACTCGACGACCAAAGAGTCAATTATGTCTACGACCGGAGGACCTACTCGTCAGCCGAAAGGCAAAGCACCAACTCCATCGACGAACGACATGATACCCACCTTCATTATGAGCAAAGTCTCAACAAACCGGCCAACGAGCAGATGCCCACCAAACACACAGATTCAGGTACCAGGCTCATCATCAGCCAAAGAGCCAGCTGTGGAGACCACTGCCGAGGTTCTCCGTCTAGTGTGCGCATTCAATTTAACAGGCAACGGTCCATGGAACCCCCGGTGCACTGCTCCATGTGTCGATGAGGCTTGCGACTCGAAGTACCACATTTGCAAGACTTATTGGTCCGGGGTGAAGAAGGATGGGGACCATACCGCCTGCAAGCATGGGGGTGAAGGTGTCTTGCACTGGGATAATACCTGTAAAGCTCAAGTGATCCATATACTCCCAAGCTGTGCATTTGAGATGCCAGACAAGACCAGCCAAGGGATTAACTGCAAGGGAAACTGTCACTATGGGCATCAAAAGGACAGCACTGCTGCGGCGTTTCGAGTGAGGAAGAGCAAGTTCGCCGAATTTCGCAGACGTCGAATCTCAAATTACAGATCGTAGATCCTCGGTCTTACCATACATTTATGTAGAATACAAGCGTTCAGCTTACTCATAGTGTCATTCTTCCTCTTATATAGTCTGTCGCTGCGAAGATAGCTTTGTGGTGTTTCGATGCTCTTGTGGGTGGCTCCTGCAGAGTATTCGGGACGAATGAGAATTGAGCAGTTGATCTACTTCACATTAAATCTGACTAGTGATCAGTTCCATGATCTTGGTGAAAGTAGCGGAGATGACGGACACGGCTGCCATTCGACTTGAATGCATCGCACAGCGGAACCTGCGACTTTGGACCGCCTGGTTCACGATCTTACCTCCACTAGGCTCTCAGAACTGCCTCGCGGCGGCTATCCTGGCCCATCTCTCGAAGGATTGGCCGGACTTGCTCAATCGACTCGAAAGTCCTTTCCCCAGAAGCCTGGGCCGTACCAGTCAGTCAAACGGCCAGAAAGCAGCATGGTCGGCTAAACATAAACGGAGAGAGACCAACTTCTCCACAAGCAAGACCTTCAGCAATACTTACTTGCCCAGGCCTCTCGTCTTGGACCTCCGCATAAAAACTAAACAGAGTATTGTGCTCTGATCTGCGTGGCAAACATCGAGACGAGCACTTCCCACTCCATCTTGTTCATACCCCGTCTCCCTGGCCTATCAACCTGTCCGCCTCCAACGCCCCTTTAAAGGGACCACCCTGTGCCAAAGCGCCTTGCACTTCGACCATGGTTTTATCGGAAGCACACAAAGATGATTCGCCCATACTAGTAATAAACCTGTTCGAGAACCGGCTCAGCGTCGCAGATGTCGACTGCCTTATCTTTGCAAACATCTTTGTGGTCACACAAAAGCTTGTCGCCGACAAGCCAAACACGAACACGTACGCCTCATATCCAGGACAGACCACAGCCGGAGCAATGGATTCTGCTACACGTTCTCTACCGAATCCCTGTGCAGAGTGTTTGCACTGTTCCTTCTCGCCAACACTGAGTGGCGTGCTTATAGCAGATGTCGCTGAGATGACAACTGCGAAATCGCAAACAAGGCTCCAGCTTGAATGGATAGCTTGAGAGAAGTGTCACCCTTTGACGACCTTGATCAGGATTTCCGGAGTCTTGACGCCTTCATGTCGGCCCCGTCAAGCCTCGAATCGATGCAGACCATGGAGAAGAGACCAGGTCGGCGAAGCAGCTAGCACACGTCTTCCCCGAAAAGACATCCACATCTAACATGCTGAGCAATCGAAAAGCAGCTCAGTCGACATGGGGTGATCGGAGAGTATAGGTACAAATCGAGGCATGTAAGGTCTTGAAACCATGGCGCACCTGAATGGGAGCATTCGCAGCAGCTTTGCTTATTCCAACTGCTCTCCGATACTATCGCGGCGAAATCTCCAGATCTCGACCTGCTCGAGCCTCCAGCCCAAACTGTGAAGATGGTGACTGGAACGAGTTGCATGTTTCTTCCCCAGGAACAGGCGCAACACCAGCCTGTCGGCAGGCGAATGGGTAGCATAGGCGTAAGAGGGGGGTTGGAGAATTCCTTACCTTTATGAAGTCTATCAATGATTCGGATCGTACGTCCTCGAGCAACGAGCGGCACAGAAAGGGATGTGGTTTGAAAGCAATAAGCAACAGAATCCATGCCAGTGGCATTGATTGGGTGTCCGGGGCGATCTGTGATGAGTTATGCTTGCCATAGAATCTCCGTTCCTGTATTTTCTTCGAGACTTATTTTCTTCGAGACTTATTTTCTTCGAGACTACGCTCGCACATTCATTCTGCTCTCCCTGCATTTCAGCACTCTCTCATTGTCTCGCCAACAGTCCTCATCTCCCGTCCCTAGTCCATATCGACTTCACAAAAAGCCACTCCTCGGCCTTGGCCATTCTCACTTTCCACGAATCCGCACTGCTGTCGTGGGGATGGACCCATCCACAAGGCCTATCACAATGATGCTTCGCAGTTCGCATCTCGAAGACGCACGTGGGCCGCACATGTACCCAGGTGACCTGCGCTCCGCTGTCCCAATGTTCCACATCATCTCCACCGTACTCACAGGCGTTGCTATCCCCGCTGTCCTTGATACCGTTCCTGTATGTCTTGCAGATGTGGAGTTCCGCCTCGCAGGCTCGTCCATGACAGGGAGCAGAAGTCGACGCGCTCCATGGTCCCTTGCCGGATAAGTTCAAGGAACACACCTTCCTCAATGTCGCCGGTTTTGAACCCTTTGCCTTCGTGTTGGAATCGTCGATCGCAGCGTCGAGGGCAGCAGTTGCTGGTGAAGCGCTCTATGGCGCTGGGAATGACTTTGAAGGGGCTGGCGTTGGGTTTGGCTTCAGGAGTGCTGGCGAAGCGCTCTTCGGCGCTGAGAATGAATTTGAAGGGGCTGGCGTTGGATTTGCCTTCAGGAGTGCCGGCGAGTGCACCAGTGCTGATCTCTCATATTCTATGACTATGCATGCTGCAGCTTCGTGCAAGTCCTTCATCTGTACTTGAGAGAAGTCCATCCTGCTTCAAATTAGCGCACGGACAATCACAAGAGGTTAGACGACTTACTTTTCGGATGCGAGGTTTGTCGGGGGTTGGCAGAAGACAGCTACCATACGGTCGACCGCAGGAAGGAAGTCCACCCGGACAGGTTGCTGTATGAGATTTATGAGCCATAGCCGCAGCCCGTTTGCCGGGCAATCGTCCAGCTGAGACATGGGCGGTTGTTGTTATTATTGTGGTGATGTTTGTCAAAATCTGTTGTGCTGTTGGAGAATGGAAAGAGTCGCTTTGGCTTGGCGGGGCACGGGCGTCTCGCGGGCTTCCAAGGCAAGAACGCGCTCTCGACATCGTCTGATTCGCCCAACGCTCCGTTCAAACATTTGCGGCCTTGATTACATTTAGTCACAGACGTCGGCGCAAGGCAAAGAGCGCATGTCTTCATAACATATCAATATGGGAGAAATTGGCATGTTTCGCTCCTGCTGATGCTAAGGCGAGTGAATGATGAGGTGAGATTACACCAATCAAATGGCTCGGAATTCAAGCGACTATTCCCAACAAGGAAGTCACGACTCGCGCTAAAACATTTGCTCTCTTGTTTGACATAGTCATGTTCTGCACGATTCTAATCGAGGCAAATTCGAACTATCGATTGGGAGTTTGAACAGTTCGTGAGACGCAGAGGCTTAAACCTGAAAACCACAGAATTGATGCCAATGGCATCGATCGGGTTGCCGGCTCGACCTGCGCATTTTCCCAAGCTATGTGCTGTTTGCTGTCTTAAAATGTACAACAACAAAAAAAAAAAAAAAAAAAATTGCTGATCGCCAGAATCGAACTGACATCTCTCGGGCCCATGGTGATTCAGCCTTTGCTGAATGGTGTCTTTGCACGATACGTGTGTCTTTGCACACATCGCATGACTTTGCATGCAATAATTGTGACTTTGCACAATGTTCGCCTTTGCGAACCAAGTTACCATGACCCCGAGCGTCTTACCATTGGACCAGATCAGCCGACAGTGCCGAATGTCTCATGGGTTATAATACTTTGCACAAAGGCAGTTGAGGTCACAGATGACTTTGAGGTTATGCTAGAGAACATTCACAATTCTTGCAGGTGTAAAAAGTAAGAATAGAGTTAATTCAAGATTTCAACGAAGCTACTTTCACCTTTCCCCTAAACCCATCATTAAATCTAGGAACGTGAAAGCTGTCGAAAGAGTACCGACGAGACCGATCCTAACAGCGGACTCTCATCGAGAAATATCCTAACTTCGAAACAGAGGTGGAGCTTGAGAAAGCAATACTTGATAAACAACATAGCATTCAGTCTCCGTGGCCGATCTGGTATAACGGTATTGCGCTTGAGGCTGTGGCCCAGGCCAAAGAGCCAACTGGGGGAGCCAAAGAGCTCCGCACAGTCCTCAAGAGATGTGAGTTCGACTCTCGCGATCGGCAGAATAGTGTTGTCCTTTTTGTTCAGACTGTTTCCTTTAGAAACGGGACATTCTTTTTGCACTCGATGAATGGTCCTGGTATGCACCTTGTCGGTACCCCTGATGTAACTCACATGCGCCTTCGAACGAGGGTTATGCTGTTCACCGCCGGTGCCGCGGTGACATTTCCACTGATACCAAGAGGCAAAGATACATCCCAATAGCATCGATCTTATAGCATCAGATCTTATAGCATCAGATCTTGGAATGCAGAGGACGATGGCGCTTACTATGACAAGGACTCGTGAACGAAATTGACTTCGTTCGTCGCCTCTTTTGGTCCACTCGCTTTGGCAGATCACCCAGTGAGATTCGATCGATGGGTGAAAGAGCACGAGAGGGCTGGCACTTATTCGAAGAACTTGATACACAAATCATCAATGCCTTGAACTTGTAGGGCAAGCAAAGTCTATCTCGTGAGCGGGGACCAATACCAGCCTTGTGCTTTCAAAGCTCTCGAGAAATCTGGCTGCGATTCTTGTGCAATCCTGCTCTAGACCGTGCTCTCCTGCCAGCGAAGAGCAAGCAATAGAAGCTGACGCGTTGTTGTTCGAGGGCAATCGCACATTCTGTTCAGATCGAATGCAATGTCATCGCTTGTTGGCCAAAGCAGCAATAATCATACTCAGACCGAGAGACCTTCACTTACGTCAAGATACATATACTCCAATATCATCCTTCATCCTCCATGCCGACCAGGATGCGCTGGCAAAAGTCCAGATACCAGGTCGCTGGACATGACAGGCCGATCATGACGTCCATCACCTATACCGGCGCTCGATCGAATCCTGCCCACCACCACGAGGAAGCCATGTCGGATCTCCAACGTGGGAGAGGAATTGTCCGGGATCCTTTGCGATGCGTAAGTTGGAATGCCATGCAAGCCCCGTCACGTGATCTTCAAAGACGCAGCAGAATGGATCTCAACGACATCATTCCAACATCCCGATGCTGACCTCGTTCACTTCATCTCACCGCAGGAAAGAGAGTATATGGTTCCGTCCACGGACTTCCCTTGCATCCGCGCCGACATCCTCTTCCTGCCGTCATCGTCGCAGCGGAAGCATTTCAAAGCATCATGACGAAAATGCAGCGAAGGACCACCTGCCGCATCGAGCCAGTGGAGAATTTAGCCGCCGCATTATTTCATCACTCGTGAAAGCGAGCAGGATCGGTTGACTCGTGTGTCGTCGTGTCTGTCGAACGCGTCAAGAAAAACATGGTCGCGCGCGGCCCCCCTCACCCAAAGTCCGAACGCAGGCTTCGACGCTAGGATCGGGAACACGAAACGGTCGCAACGGCGGTGCAGAGGGGCCTTCTCCTGTAATTTCGCAAGTCGTGTTCGTCAGTTTTCGCCATTCCAAATGTCTTTGGTCGTGAAGTGCGTGGGAGAGGTCATGTTTTTGATAGACGCAAGTGACTTGGGTACTTGTGGTGGTTGCAGCGATTCTGCTGACTGGACGAAGTGCAGTCAAGAGAAGGTGCAGAATCCATTGCAAGAGTGACCGGCCCGCGCGAGAGTCTAAATTAGAGCACAAACCCCTGTCGAGCAGGGGGCGGAAGCAAGCGAGGGCAGCAAGATATTTGGCAGACCTGAGCTGTGGCGGTGCGCGAAAGTCAAGGTTTATGCAAACCTTGTTTCTCCGCCCCCACGACGACTTCACCTTCATCATCACGTGCCTCCAAATTTTGCGTCTGCTGAAGACATAAACCTATATCCAACGGCGGGAAGTGTTGTGCCATGGCCGCCGCGGTTGAGAAGGCTGGGTAAGCAAGAATAGGCAGGGCCTCTGGTGATTTGAAAGATGCAGATGGTTGATGAACAGTATCAACAGCAAAGATGCCGCCGCACCAACTGAATCTAATCCCAGAGGCATCCCGAATGCTCCCTTTGTGGAGAGGGTGGAAGACTATGTCTCGACGAGAGATGATGTGGAGGGGACGCTGAAGAGTTTTCAAGAGATGATCTCGTGAGTGTTGGTGTTGGGAGTGAGGGAGATGAGGTGCTGATCTTGTTGCAGGAAGTACCAATTCATGGAAGCCAACAATCAGCGACGAGTGGCGGGCCTGAAAGACAAGATTCCCGATATCCAGAAGACGCTGGACACAGTACGGTTCCTGAAGTCAAGAAAGGTGCTCCATCTTGAAGAAGTCTTTGGAATCTCGATCTCGACTAACGCCAGCCCCAGGCCGACGCAGAACCCCTCGAAGCATCATTCGAGCTGAATGACACCCTTTACGCAAAAGCCAACATCCACGAAACAGAAGAGGTATACCTCTGGCTCGGCGTCCGTCACCCACAAACTACCTCAAGCATCCACTCCAACTAACACATCCCAGGCCAACGTCATGCTCTCCTACCCCCTCCTAGAGGCGGAGTCCCTCCTCGACTCCAAATTAGAAGTCGCCAAGTCCAGTCTCGCCAACTGCGAGGAAGATCTCGACTTCCTACGCGAGCAAATCACGGTAAAGTCACACCACCCATTTTAGAGGAGACGCAACTGACAAGGCGCAGACGATGGAGGTCGCCACTGCCAGAGTCTACAATTGGGACGTTGGTCAGCGACGGAAGGAGAAGGCAGATGGCAAGGGTGATGATGGCGATGAGAACAAGGAGACGCCGAATGGCTGAATGGAGGGCTGAAGACAGCTGGCGATGGAGCTGTGCTGTGCTGTATTCGTCTTTCGCTTTCGCTTCGAGGACCAAGAGATACCCCAGTCAAAAACAGGTCGCCTGTTCATTCAGCTTGTCAGCCGCAGCGATATCCACTGGACTCTGAGATGGAGGCCTGATGAGTGTCGTACCGAAGCATCGCCAATACGCTTTCCCAGGGCCTCGACTTTGCCCAGCATCAAATCCTCTGTGTAAGGAAGCGACCAGCACAGCACAGCCCTCACTACCGTACCTCGTCTCGAAGACAACAATAGCCTGTACGTCAATAACACACTCTCACCGCCTTCGTTACGTATCGACCAACATGACCGTCACCACTACGGACCCCATCAACGGACCATCCAGCCTTCAGCCCATCATCCTTCAGCACGCCATCAATCACCTCTTCTCCTACCAGCACTAGAGACACCATCAATTTCCACAAGCGCCTAGCATTCTCAACATCCCAAAGTCCCTAACCCACGTGGCAACCATCCCAATCCTTCACATGTCGCAATTCAATATTCCTCCGTGCTATCTGTCCAACGGAGCCACTCCCGCCCTCTAGACGCTCGTGGCTTTCATAGCTTCCACATCACCAAGCCTTTTACCCTCCGCCCCGATCTATCAAACTTACACTTTGCGAATTTCCACCATAACAGCAACAAACAAGCCTTCGAAGGGGAATGAAGCGACGAAGGCTTGAACAAGGCGTGTATGTAGTCACGACCACGTGGACACATCTAATCATACAAACGCTTGGTTTCTGTGGCTTCAAGCCCCTTCCACTACTACTCCTCAATCCACAGGAAACACGCCACTATTTCTCCGGACATCACATCCACCCTGAATCCTTCACCGTGATATCCAGCCTCTCTGAGATTCTGAATCGAGACCCGTCTTGAATTTCCACAACCCTCCCTTCTTTCCTTCCATCGGCGCTTGCGTGATTCTAGAAGGAGATGTGGCAAAACGGGGTGAAATCGTAAGGACTAGCCAGACGCCGAGTGGCGTTGAACTAGTTCTTAGCATCTACCATGTTTTCGAAGGGTAAATGTTCGCGAAGAGATTGAACATCTGTGCTAGTTGGGGGGATCATAGTGGTGGGACAATTATCGAGGACGGATGGTTGATTGAATGGGTAGGGAGATACGGCGTGGTGAACAGAGGTTCCGTTCGTTCCATTACTCACCAAATTGCCGTGCACCCAAGAAAGCTAGTCATTTGGAACAAGAAGCGAAGAAACCAGAACAGGCAGACATATTTTCACATCTTTTGGTAGCATTCCAGTTGGTATCATAAGAGTTTTATCAGGTCTTCCCACCTCATCATCCTTCCTCGTACCCACCTCATCACACCCTTCTGAAGTCCCTCTTCTTCTCGCCTTTCTATCCTCACTCGCCATCGCCAATTCAATCCCAGCCGTCGCGCGCAGCAGTGGTATCAGTTTTACAGTCCCAAGAAAGCAGCAATCCCCAGAGCCCTCCCAAAAACTGAAAAGGTCCGACCTGTCGCAAACGAGCCGCGGCCGGCCTCTGGTTTTGTCCCCGAATACATTCGTCTTGCCCTTCCTTCCCCAAACTCCAACGCTAAAAAGCATAAAAAGGAAAAACATCCAAGCACTGTTCGGAGCAAGAGGCCATAGCGACTGAGCCGCGGAAGCGCGACGGTATGGAATGCAGATGGAGAGCACATCAGACGGCTAGTCCAACTCGATGACCTCCTTCTTGACTTTGGACTGGTTGTTGCGGGCTGCGTTCGGGTTCGAGTTCGTCTTGGCTGGAGCTGGCTTCGAATTCGTAGGGGCAGGTTTCTGCTGAGGCGGAGCTCGCTGTTGCTGTTGCGGCGCATCCTCTTGCTTCGTCGCAGAATCTTCCACGCCTCTGAAAGAACGCATCAATCGATCCAGGCTCTCCAACGCAAGTGCACCGCCAGGCACGGTTTGCCCTACAAGCGTCCCATCCTCCAGACCAAGCCAGTCATTGTCTTTGTGCTTCGCCAGGTCCAGTAGCGCACGGCCAAACACAGTTGAGCCCAGTTCCCGCGGCGTTGTTGACTTGTCCCGACGTATCTTCCATATACACAGGGAGCCGCCATCGGTCTTCTTATTGATCCTCAACTCAATGTAGAAGACCCAAGTCGGAAGTGGCGCTTTGTACGCGAGCTTCATGGTATTGGCATCCAGTACGGTCACAGTAAAGTCTGGCCCGGTGGAGTCTGCACTTTCCAGCTTCTCCCACAATTGCATAATAGGGAGCGAATATCTCAAGGCTTGACACAGTATCGCAAACCTGTTAGGTGTTGTGGTGCTGTTCATCAGCTTTTCAAATGCCAGTCGCTGTCGCTGCTGTGGGTTGATCGCGCTGGGCTCAAGTTTGAGAGTGGCCGATAACTTGTCATCGCTCCCACGGAAGGTGATTGTTGTTGACAGCTCAGGGGCGTCGTTGTAGATGAAGCTGAACTTGGTGGTGGACGCAACAACAGGCCGCATCTTAAGGGCGTCGAGCATCTGAAGGTACATGTCCAGTCGCTCGCATGACCGCAACAGATCCTTGATCTGCTCAAAGAATGGCTCCCCAAAAGATGTTCGAAGCCTGATTGCCAGCCCACCAGAAGCATTCATAGCAATATCTGAAGGCCGCCGGCTGTCCGCCAGATATGCGCGCAGGGACTTGAGTTTGCCATCGTCCACTGTCAGACGCAGTTCGTGTCCTATATCAGCGCCGGTACCATCACTTCCCACGCCTTGCGTCATGAATCCTTGATTGGTGACTTTGACGGGGTCAACGGCGGAATCTCTCCGGGAGGGCGACTTCGGCAGGGCTTGCCATTGAATGAGCATCGCCGACATTGGCATCGATCCAGCACTGCTGTCTCCATCTGTTAGCGATGCTATCCTCTGTACGCGATGTGGTATCTTCTCGGAAGACAGCTGCTCAGAGAGCACTGCAAACGATACCTCTGCCACTGCCAGCTTCTCAATTTGCAAGAGCAGACTGCGCGACATGATCGATGCGGTATTCGGTGCGACAATTCTGTCAACAGTGACTCGCCGCGCGATAACAATCGCCTTGGCGGATGGGTTCTGCGATGAGTTCGACTTGTTCTCAAGACGAACGACCCACCACTTCTGCCCAGCCAATGAGAAAGTTGGGAATAAGACCCATTGCCGAGTTTGTGATGCCCATCCAGGACTTGGTACGAAAGCTCTCCATGAAGTGACGTCGGCGCCAAAGATTGCCTTGAAGTTGTCCGTGCGGATGACTGCGCGGTAAGGAGACCACGCCGCAAGCTCTGCGGCTTTGTCGACACGATCTTTGACAGTGTTGCAAAGCAGACCAGCCAAGGCAAGCGCCAGGTCTGGGTCAGGCTGTTTGTTGAGCCTGCCTTCAAGATCGGCCGCACGTGGGGTCGTTGTCGACATCGACACATGTCCTGTGATCGGCTCCAGCCTCACCGCGAGAGTGGACTGCATGCCTGGCAAAGAAAGCGTAAGATGGGAATCTTCAGCGCTGTCCTTTGAAGACTGCAGTGCCATCTGAAGTTTCGAGTTTGCACCAGCGAGGACTTGAAGCCTTCCTTGTGTCGCACGGAGTACCCACGAGATATGCCGTGCAACCACATTTCGCAAGATGTGCTCCAGAGACAAGTTTTGCCAGTCGAATTCCAGCCCATGATCCTCGACGAGCTCGCCACGCCTGAACCAGCGCACCGAAAGTTGAGGCGTTGTGGGACGTCTTGATCGTCGGCTTTGCTGCTTGCCAGAGCTCACGGCAATCTCGATCCAGCTCTTCCGCCCGGGCATGCCGCGCCAGTACTGTACGGTCAGCACTCTATGGCTCTTTTGTATGCCCAAGCAGCCAAACCACTTCTCGCGCTCGACCTGTCTCGCCTGATCGTACAGAACGTTGATCTTGTAGGTGAGGATAAAGTTGTGAAGAAGTTCATAGCAACCCTGAAGACCTTTTGTTGCCAGTGCCAAGTTCGATCGATCTTCTAGCTGTTTTAGAAGTGGACCAGGAATATCAGCAGCGGCCGGAGAGAACAAGAACCGAGCATTGATGAAGTAGAACTGGCTATTGATATCCTCATCGGCAATGGCCAAGTCCACTTCAAACTCGCCTGGGACTCGAAATGTGGCCTTTCCGTTCGCTACTGAGAAGTCGTTGAAAAGGGGTGGTAAGTCCTCGTGCAGGTTGAGTCTCGTCTCGAGCGCGACATTCATGTTGCGCAGAGCCTTGAGAGTTTCCTTGGCGCTCAGTCTCTTGGGTGCGATGTAACCCAAGTGAGGTAATTTCGAGGCCTTTCCAGCGGCCAAAAGCTCCATGGCAAGGTCGATGTTGGGATTGGGAATCTTGATCTGGTTCACGTCGCGTTTTACGTGGCCAATGAAGTTGATTGCGAACTTTTGCATCGCATCGCGCTGGTCGAACATGACCTTAATGTCAACGAGTCTGCTCATCTCGTCGCTGCTTCGAGCCCAATCTGATAGTACCAGAGTCTTGATGAAGCGATCACGCTGGCCATTGGCGAAGTCCATGAACGTTCGCTTTTTGCTTAAGCTGGCCTCAGAAGAATCGGTCGACGGCTGTGTGATTCCATTTGGCTGCCCACTGCGCGGCTCGACGGGAGTGTCGGCCATCTTCTGGAGTGTCGAGTTCAAGTCTTCGAAGCACGCCTGGGCCAGCCGGTCAATCAGTGTCCCCATGCTCTTGTTGTTCGGCTGTTCCCGCCATGATTGATCCAGCTCTGGAGGTGACTGAGGATCTGCTATGACTGCGGTCCCCACAGCGATATCGCCGTTCGTTGCTGGTGGATGTGGGCCCTGGCCGGGTGCGCCATTCGGCAGAGACCCATTCACGGCATGGTTGTCAGGGGCACTGACTGGAGGAGCCATCTGTTTCTGGGTGAAGTCTGGCTTGGGGGGCAGTCCTGCCGCTTGGGCCTGGGCATGTTCTTTCTTCAAGTCGTGCGACCCATTCGCTCCCTGCTGGTCCATGATCAGTCTCCCGGGCATTGCCTCTCCACCCTCGACGCCTGTGCTACCTCCGTCTTCAGAGCCCCTCGCACCCCCACCGCCCTTGTCCTCCACCGCTTTCCCGTCGTGGAGTCTGCTGTTGTGCTGTATCTTGACGGGATTTCTTTTTCGCGACTAGGTCATGTCTTTGTCTTTGTTCCACACTCTGATGCGCGCGTTCGCGATGAAGAGTAGTCGACAGCTTTGGTGGTGGCCAATGGTGATTTGGTGGTGTACGAGCCTGTAGACAGGTTGTTCGGACTAAGGCGAGGCGTTGTGTGCGTTGGAGCTGTGCGGCAGGTGAACAGGCGTTTGATTGTCTCAGCGCGTGATGTCACAGGCTCGCGCGCGGTCGCTGTCGCATGCGCATGCAGACACGGCTGATGGGCGCGTTAATACTGTGGTGGTGTTGGCAATAGTCGTCGTCAGAGGTGGTGAATGTGTTGTGGTTGCAGTGACGAAGAGGGCGGAATGTGAAGCGGCTGCTGTGCTGTTGGCGAAGGGCACAAGCACAGACGGCGGGAGAGCGTCCGGCCTGCTTGCCGGCCCCTGTTGAAGCCGTCACGCGCTAGACCCAAAGTGGAGCAATGGCGGAGACGGATGTCTTGCAGCTGCGTTGTTGGATGACGGATGGAGCAGCCCTATGAAAATGACCCCCAATACATTGCATACATCTCAAGCAGGTCAGGTGTCAGCAATAGCGACAGTCAGTCGAGAGGCAGATGGGAGAGCAGCAGGCCGCATGTGTGTGCTGCACGTCAGCGCCTGTGGGCAGCCATCCACTCCAATTCCGGATGCATGCATCGAGCAGCCGAGCCAATCCCTCCACCTGCCAGATTTACACTAACAGTCATTACATATATCTCTACGATATGAAGCCAAAGGTTTGCTTCTACGACAGACGTATCCTCAGGTGGCGTCGCGACTGCGTTCGCTCATTCTGCCAGAGCTCCTAAGCCGCGCAGGAGTTCTTGCATCCGCTCCTCCACCTAGCTTCTGTCAAAGTAGCTTCCGCAGAGGCAGGGAACTGTTTCGGGACCGTCTCAAGAGCACGCCCTCACCAGATCACCGCCACCGCCGTTTCCATTGTCATACACTTCTGACGAGAACAGTGTGGCGAAACAAGCTCCAGACAGAGCACACGAGGAGAGGCCTCGTGGACGGCAAGGTCTTGTCCATCGATGCCATGATTTGCAGCTAGCGACCAGGTACAGTACACCATCACACCCTCAATCTCGTCCACGCGCCAGCGTCCTTATCGCGATATCCGCCGCGAGCGCACACACGTATATCCTGGACTCAAAGAAGTTCCAAACACTGCTTTCCGTCGCTTTTCATGTCTTCCAGTATTCATGTCTATGAGATGTCGTCCTCCCGCCTGTAGGAGGTGCGTGCCGCACGGCAGGTCTAGCCGAGACTGTTGACAGGGATGGTGCCACGAGCGCAGCCGCTACCGAATCTTCGCAGGCCGCCGTTCGACTACATCTCCATCTCACCACCTCCAACCACACGTTCAAGGAGCGAATACCTACAACAATACTCTCCCGACCACGACGATACCGGCAGCGAGGCTGATGACGAACGTTCGTCATTCTCATCTTCCCGTTCTTGGCGTGACGGCAACGTGATGTGTCCTGCTGACCACGGAGACGACAATGATATTCTGGACCCATCATATCCCGGCGAGGATACCAGGCCTACCTCCACACGAGAACTCCTAGGCTTCTACACTTACTCTTTTGCCGCAGAGGTCTTCGTAGTATGCGGCTTGGGAGCCTTCATTCCTATCACGCTAGAGGACCTGGCCCGAGCGAGTCCGAGCGCGGTACTGGCGAGCGATCATTCGAAATCATGCAAACCCCATGGAATCGAAGGACCTTCTCCCATCTGGTACACTTCTGGAGGGGATACAAGTCACCGCAAAGGTGCGCAATGTGTCTTCCGTGTGCTTGGTCTTGAGGTCAACACGGCATCATTCGCCATGTACACCTTCTCCATCAGCGTTCTGATTCAGGCTTTGGTTGTCGTTACTATGTCTGGAGCGGCGGACCATGGCAAGTTCCGGAAATCGCTTATGATTGGATTCGCTGTTGTGGGTGCTGCCGCCACGATGTCATTCTTGCCGGTCACACCAAAAGTCTACCTGCTTGGTAGTCTATGGGCCATCATTGGAAACGTCTGCTTTGGGGCCAGCTTTGTTTTGTTAAACTCTTTTTTGCCCTTGCTGGTGCGATGGCATCCAGATGTCAGACAACAAGGGCGCAATACCGATGATCAGGAATACGATGAGGTTAGTCTCTTCTTTCAGAATTCGCAGGAGCTTGTGCAGTCGTCGCCTGAAACACATTCGCCGCTGGCTTTGCGATCGTCGGTGTCGCATAAGTCCTTTACTGAATATGGCTACGTGCCTTTGCTAATGCGCTTTTTCAGCAAATTGACCAAGATAGCCCACCGACAGCTCGTCAACAAGCCGATGAAACAACACCGCTTGTTGCTACCGACGGCGAGACGTCGCCTTATCCTCCTTCACACGCAGCTCCGTCTATCGAGATGCAGCTTTCGACGAAGATCTCATCCTACGGAGTAGGTATAGGGTACCTCGCCTCTGTCATCGTTCAAATATTTTCAGTGTTCCTATTACAATCGACAGGCGGCAGTCTCTTCTCGCTGCGGCTAGTTCTTTTCATGATCGGAGGCTGGTGGCTGGCATTCACAGTTCCGGCAGCATTTCTACTTCGATCTCGCCCAGGACCTCCGTTATCCACCACCAAAAACCGCACGTGGATCGGCTACCTCACCTACTCGTGGAAGAACCTTGGCAAGACAGTGCTTCGGGCACGCCGTCTGAAAGATGTCATGCTCTTCCTCGCAGCATGGTTCATGATCAGCGATGCGATTGCTACAGTCTCGGGCACGGCAATTCTCTTCGCCAAAACCACCCTTGGCATGGGATCCTCCGCTTTGGCTCTCATCAACGTCATCGTTACCATCTCTGGCATCGTGGGAGCGCTCACCTGGTCCAAAATTTCTCGAGCAATGCGATGGAAACCTTCTCAGACGATCTTGACATGCATCTGCATCTTTGAGCTCATCCCCCTCTACGGTCTGATCGGCTACATCCCTGCCGTCCAGCGTTCGGGCTCATTTGGTCTGCAAAATCCCTGGGAGATGTACCCCCTAGGCGCAGTCTACGGCCTCGTCCTCGGTGGTCTCAGCTCCTATTGCAGAAGTCTCTTCGGCGAGCTCATCCCTCCCGGTAGCGAGGCGGCTTTCTATGCGCTCTACGCCATCACCGACAAAGGGAGCAGTGTGTTCGGCCCAGCTATCGTCGGTGCTATCACTGATGCCACTGGAGATATACGACCTGCATTCTGGTTTCTTGCCGTGTTGATTGGCCTGCCAATACCATTGATGTTTGCAGTGGACGTCGAGAGAGGGAAGCGCGAGGGCGCTAAGTTGGCGACGGAGACGGCGCCGCAGGATCTTGATTTGGATGTACCGGAGGAGGATGGCCGTGACGCTGGGGCGTATGAGCAGAGAGTGCACTGGTGTCCTTGATAAACGTCGCTTCATCGCATAGACATATACCATTGATCCTACCTGTTCTAGTCCCGGTTTTCTCAATCTTCCACATCAGCTCATCGCATCAACACAGACAATTTCCCTTGTATAACGGCCAGATGACCGCTATGAGGAAAGAGCTTCACATCGATGCTTCTCAGAATCAATGTCTCCTAATGGCCCAAATGATCGAACAACTGGCCTTCGATGAGGAGTTTAGAAGTGATGCCAGGCTGCCTTTTCAAAGCACCGGACATTCACGCAATCTTGGCAATCACAGGCCACTACTGCAACTTTGATCGGACATCAGAACGATTCCCTCCGCGGATGTCTCACATTGATGTCCCTGCATTTGCGATTCATCATTATCTTTCGACGCCGGGTTGTAAGCGTGATGCCTGTGCGCGACGGCAGCCCGTTCAGAATTCTTGTTGAAACAACAACTCTGCGTGTCATACATCACCACATGTATTCGTAAGCAGTCAAGCATCTACGAGTGATGAAAGCGCGCCCAAAAGGCCCGTGCTAGATGGGCTTTCTAACATTCACGCAGCCTTGGCGTTCACATGCACCCTCTGCCGTATTTATATTTCGTAGGCTTCCATTCAGCACCTTCCGCTGCCCGTATCGTTCGAGCGCTCCAAGGCGAATCAAATGCAGAGAGACAGGTCAAGCAGCTCTTCTCTACTCTACCAAATCGGAAACACGCGGTGCCGCAGTGGATCGTCGTCTCGCCTTGAATGGGTTAAGGGAGATGGAGCGCCAGTGCTTCGGGTGTGATTTTAGTTTTGATGCTGAAGACGAAGAAGACTTCCCGCTCTAAGCTTTTGGAGACAACCGCGCCGAGACTGGCGAGAAAGAGCGCGAGAAGAAAGCGCTCGACGCAAACCATTGCTGCCATCTGCAGACAACCCTACGAGCCGTCGAGAGATTTGGTGACGCGGTTCGCCGGATGCGAGATTGCTAGCTTATGTGGGATGGGATAGTCTCGAGATTGGCGTTGAGCCGTTCCAGAGTTCCCTCTTAGCCTACTGTGGCGCTTCTTGAGAAACTGGATAACGTACTTGATGGGGAAGCTGCGTAGACGGTGAAGCTGCGCACGGATCCGCGACACTTTCGCGTTTTCTTTTAATTTCTCGCGACACGCTTAACTTTTAACTCTTCTACTTTATAGATCTCGAGCAGCATATACTAGACGCAATATCTGCTTATAAGAATAATCTATATACCTCGAAACGTAAGTGTGCTACCGCGTTTTCTATTAGCGAATCTACGCTTCGACTACGGCTCGCCGGCGGCGTTTCTCGATCTATTACGCACGAATACGAGTAATACCTATTTACGACCGAAGAGTAGACTCTTATTAAGTAGATCTCGAAGTTATCGAAGTACAGCTACCCGGTTT